TGACTTAAGAATTCTCTATTAAATATTTCGAGAATTTTCCTGTTTCAATTTAGCCTATACGAATACTATAAGTACCATAAAACTACAAACGTTTATGGCATTAATATTTTTTTCAGCAGATGGCACAGTTTATGTTTTTGAAAAATGTGTAAACATACAAACAAAACAAACATATAAATATCATACAAATGCAGGAGATGTCGTTGATTGTAGTCAAATATCCTAATAGTTTCTTTTTTTCTTTCCAAATAGCTTTTTTCCATTATAAAACAGTTTGCCTCTTCTTTTTTTAGCACCTTGCCTTGAAGTTCTTAAGAGTTGAGAAAGAGATAGCTTTTACAGAATAACAGTAAGTGGAGATGGAAAGACATAGGGAAATTGATAAGTATATGAGTTTTTTGGTTTGGGTAAATGGTAGAATTAAATAGATGAAGCGGGAATTGTGATAGAAAAAAAAAGGAAAACAAACTAACGAAAGAAAAAAAACTTAAGGATTCACTTTCTTTCATCCCTTAACGCCATCTGGCGATGAAATATAGAACGCAAACGAGAAGAGAAGAGAGAACGTTACTGGATGCCGATGATGCTGGAAAAGCTCTGTCATGTGCATATCGGGCACATGTATGACGTCTGGTATGTCTTAAATCGTTCATACAATTCACACATTTCAGATCGTATTGGCAGTACGACTCTTCTTCGGCCTCGTTGCATTCTCCTTCTATAGGAATTCTTCTCTTACTCCCCTCCCTAATGCATTTTGTATTCTCAGCATACGGAGAATAACCTTTCGAACAGCTGCACCGTCCTTTATCGCAGATGGCTCCCCCGTGGCAGTTTGTCGAATACAAGCAACCTTCTTCATTGATATCCCCTATAAATTTTTTTTTTGTATCGAAAAAAAAAACAATCATTATGTAAATAAAAGTGGAACAAAAAAACACCAACATGTTGTACAAGTTACACCATCTGGTTTCATGCCAGTATGACATCGGCAAACACCTTGAATACATATAGAACTGCTCTCCATATATTCTTCGCTATCGGGGCCTATAAAGAATGAGTAAGGATTAAGAAATGATGGTAGAATAAAGTAATATAAAACTAACGTCGACTTATACACTTATCGCCTGAGGCGCAAAATTCTCCCACCAACCTCTCGTTTTTGCTTTTGCAATATAAATTGTCGGCGGTCATAGTGTAACCATTAGGGCATTTGCATCTTCCATCTTTACATATCATATTTGTTCCGCTCTTACATTTTACTTTATTATCGCACGCTGCTCTACCTGTTACAACAGGTATGCACCTATTTTCGTTATCTCTCTCGTACTTTCCAGGTTGACACATGCAAAAACCATTTCCACAACCTTCGTACAATTTCCAGCAGGCTTCACCTAAACTGATCAGACATTCCTTGTTATTCCAGCACGGTATCAAATCTTCTTTTCGATCTGAGTAAGTAAGAGAATTGTTATTAGCTTACATGAAAAGAAAATTATATAAAGGGAAAAGAAAAACCAGAGATATAAGCGAACAACGGATTAGCATTGAAATAATCTCACAACCTTTTGTCCGCTTCGTTAACGGTTCAATTGGCGCGAAAGGGAAATATTTTCCCCCTTAGCGTTTGTTCTATATATTTACGATCGTAAATCTTGCAGAAGGAGTCACGTGATTAAAGACAATTTAGCTTACTGCCGAGAAAAAAATGTCGCGTGCATTATCGATCTCGACTGAGCAGATTTACATATATTTTAAAAGCGAACGCATTAACGTAATCAATCACCGTTAATTTACTATCATTTGCTTGTTTAGGCGTCGTTGCGACGTCGACGGACCGACTTTTTTTAATATACGCTTTGAAGTGCATGAAAACGTAATTACTGGAAATTATCCCTGCGTCGCGTTTCGTTTATTTCATTACACGGGGTATGCTGTATACATAGGCCTCAGGAATCGACTATATTTATATTTTTTCTTACCTTTTACATATATATACACCTGTACTGACTCTTATTTAAATGATAACATTCATTTAATTCAAAGGCTTATAAAACAACCATTGTTCTCTTTATAGGTTTAAACGTTTATATCTTGTTTTTTTCTCTCTCTTTACAATTCCCTAGGTGCGAGTGAATGTATAAAAATATAATTACGCTATGCGTGCTTTCGCACGTTTATCAAAGAGTATATGTAACTGTAAGGAATGGTGGTAATGATAGAATTAGGGAAGAAAGAAAGAGAACAAGAACGAGTGAGAGAGAGAGAGAGAGAGCAGGGGGCTAGGGCGAATAAAGATGGAAAGTACTCACCGACAGCCAAAACGACCGCCGAGCAAAGCAGAAATTGCAGTAGCATCTGTAAAAATAAGAGAGGCAATTAGAAGTGGAACCGACCGAATCCGTTCGACCTTTTTAGGACTCGTCGAGCCTACTGTAAATGTTTACGGTCGGCTCGTATCTTTCAATATCTTATACCATCAATCATTCTAGTTGATTTCTTTCTTGTAAATATATAGGTTTTAAAAAGGATGTAAAAAGAAAAGAGGAGGAAAAAGTAATAAAAGATAATTCGAAGTGGCGGAAGAGTAAAGAAAGAGAGAGAGAGAAAGGAAGAAGGGAGAGAAAGGAAAGAGAAAAAAGAGAAAGGTTACTTTATTATTATTGTTATTATTATTATCCTTTTAGTTATTAATATGTAATTACGATCATTTCCCTTTATTTCTCTTTCTCTTTATTCCTTTCAAAACGACTTCGATCGAGTTTGAGCAAATAATATTCAAATAAAAAAAAAGAAAATTCCAAGTTCGACCTGCCAGCGTATCGATAACAAATGTTTAATCAGCATTCGATCCGAACGTTTATAAATTTGTTTATTCTACTGTATGCAGATCAAACGGGCGAAACAGAGTCAACATTCTTTAATTATGTCTAGTCTCGTTAGGATATCGCGGAAGGGATTGATCTAACAATATTGAATTTAATCGTTAAAATAAATATTACCAGCGTTTTGTAGATATGTCAGGTAAGCATTGACGTCGCGGAGAGATAAGCTAGAGAAAGCAAATGGAATGGCTACTTATCATTTGCGTGCAAATATATGCTAGGCGACAAAGACTATTGAACAACAAAATGATTCCGATATAATCTATTGGTAGTAAATGAATAGGGGAAGAATTCGCAACAGTTCAACCGGCTGTCGATATATTTTATTGACGTCTTCTATATTACTTATTTTTAACCATCTGCGGATCCTTTCGTATAGAAAATTATAGTAATTCTAGGCTATCGAATTATCTCAGCACGACTGCAAAAATAGAGGAGAAAAAAATGGGGAGCGACAATGTGAATGCTTTGGAAAAGTGTAGCTAGCACTTCCGGTCCATTAGAAAAACGACCAAGTTGCCTTACGTCTATTTAATTAATGTCGGGATCGAGAGGAAGAAACTCGCAATTAAGGTGATTAAAAAAACCCTAACTGAGTCTTGAAAAATCAATGTTCGTTCATATCTAGACGTCCCATAGGATCGATTAGTTTGTCACGGGTTTGACATCTTTGCATTTTGTACATCAAACGAAGACGCTGTTTACTCCCCACCGACCCCTTAGTTATATAGAATAGATCAATGCAATTCTGGAAAAAAAAAACACCCGACTGCAATATTTGTACTGCAAATTCATCGCTTCAACGGCTACGTGCCTCTGCAAAATCCTTTTCGCTAAATCCAAAGCCTTTATTCAGGCACGATTCGACCATAAACAATCCGGCCATAAACTTTCGATGCCTCGACTTTTGACCGAAACTCGATTGACATACTTTTGTTTCCTTATTTTTTTGTTTTGTCTTTTTTTTTCATTTTATTTCTTGTTGTTGTTCGTCTGTTATGAACTAATAAAAAAAAAATCGACGTTTTTTCACGTTCTATCCTGCCCATAAATATTTTTTGTCGATTTTTTTTTTTTAAAATTGCTCTCACTTTAAGCAGGTGCAGAGTAGATTAGTACGGTTTTTTCCACTTTTTAACCTCATTATGATTAGCGTCACTTTTGAATTAAAGACGAAGAGAGACTCTTCGTACTGAGGGCAAAAGCTTTCACTATCTTTTTTTATATTTTTTCGATCAAAGCCGTATATTGTTTAGTTTGATGTAGGAGTTGAATACGCTGCGTATAGCAGCATCTATATATCTATCTATCTATGTCTATATATACATATATAAATTAATATATATACTAATATATATATAGATATATAGATATATAATACACAGTATATACCTATATATATATATATATATATATATTGTATATATCCGTCGATAATTTTAAATTAAAGTAATGTAACACACTTACTTCTTACTTAATTTTTTTTCCTACTATAATATATTACGAAATAGTCTGCAAAATGCAAATATTGCAGTTGCGTGATGGAGAGGCGTAATTGTAGCGACGGCTCGAACCGTAACAATGCGGTTACTCGTTTGATTTTTTTCGTTCCACCGTCCGAACGAATAATTCATGCTACGTTGATTACGCTTAAAGAATAAGGCAGGTCTAAACCAAGTTTTTTTGTACACGCAGTACACAGACCAAAGTTAAGTGGTATAAGATATCAAATTACAAACAGATGCGGCATTTTATACCTACCGAATGCTGACTTGGTTATGTACACGTTTTAATATATGTATATATATACAGGATATACGCAATGTATACACATTAAATGTATAAATTTGTATATGTATATATAGGCATATAAAACGTATTCGGCTGTACAAAAACAATGTTGTAATGAAAAACTATTCGACAGAGTAAAATCCAATAACACTTTACGCTTCTAACTTTAGCGAAGAAATGAAAGCGCCGATAGCGGCGACGTAATTTCTACGCTTCGCTGATTGGCTGCCGATCAGTGACGTCAGTTTTTTTCGATCGATAAAAGAAAAGAAAAAATATATCCGACCTTTTCTTCGAGTTAACGCTTAACGGTCTAAGCCAATTGCAAACAGGGAGGGTTCTACCCTCTTGGCAAAATCGAGACTGACAGGTGTTTGATTGTTTATTCGTTGGGGTATGGCCAGAACGCAGGCAATCTCACTCATTAAATAGCAAAGAAGAAAAAAGTTATTCCGTCTAGACAGAACACGTAGGAAAAGAGTTGAGGAAACTGAAAAAAAGAATAAAGAAAAAATGGGAAAAGAAAACTCTGTAGGAAGAGACTAATCATCCCGTCGCCCTTGTCCAACCCCTTTTGTTTACGTTCGACGCATCAAAAAAAATCCTCCGAGGTCGCCAGACGTCGGATCAATGTCGCGGTCGATCGCTTTCTATCTGTCGGTGTCGTTAAAGGCGTCTAAATTACTGAGTTTCTTTTTTTTTATCTACTAGTCTATACGATTGCGCCGCGGAGTTCTAACTCGGGCGATTATCGTCATCAATTACGAGTTAATCAATTTTCTATTAGTTTACTGTCGCTTATGGGCCGTGATTTATGCAATCGTTACGCACCGTCGTATTCCACTTGCGTACGGTCCATTTCTACCTACGTGATAATTAACGTTCTTCTTCCTCCGGCTATAGAACTGCAATCAGTGTAAGATTGTTTGTGGCAAACATCTGTTCGAGGTTGTGAACCAACCAAGTTTCTACTGGAAAAATAAATAAACCGAGCAGGAATGAGATATCGGATTTGTATTGTTCGGGCCTGCATGAAATGAAGAACGGCTATAGATTAGATAAGGGGTGAGGAGGGAGAACTAAAAACCCTCATCGATTCACTGCGGGCGCAGTTGGAAGTGACGGTCGGTCGATCGATAGCCTTCCCGCAATAATTATAAGGCAGAAAGAAAGCCTTATACTTCAGCCAGTTGCCAGATAAAGCATCAAAAGATAATTGCTGAAAGATCCGGTAGTAGCGAGATAAGACTGACTAGGACCATGGAAAACTACACACGCTTGTGTTTTCATTGGAAGAAAAAGAACTAAAATTGGCTTTTCATGACCAAATGAATAGAATTTGGTCGTTTTGGAGAGAGAGAAGGAAGGATAGGAGTGGAGGCGAGAGAGGGAAAAAATCGATCCGTCATATAACAAGGTCGATCTAATAAAATCCCATAGTAGAAACGACAATAACTATACAATACCGCCTTGATCGACCACTTGCTCATCCGCCCTAGGGCACTATTCTAGAAACGTGCTAAGATATGTATTTATAATATACAAGTAAGAAAATGGTAAAGGCATTTAAATACCGAATATGTAGGCTGACGCATCAAGGCAATTTCCGAATCACTTCATCTTGTTCGAAAAAAAACGCGTACTAGATCCTCGGGGCTTTTCGGGCGTCACTAGAAATTCTATTTGCATGCTCTAGCTCTATTTTTACGTGACTTGACAAACTCGGGTTGTGTACTTTCTAGTATTATACTCTATTATTACAGATCTGCGCCTTTTACAAGCTTTTACCATTTAGTTGGCTGGCTCCTTATTGGGTAAACATTTAGAAACTATGTTTGTCAACAAAGTAAACAATACCAGCTGACGTCGTGACTCGAAATCAAATGGCTAAGCAAACTTACCTTTCTCTTATGCGTATTAATAAAAGAACTTAGCATCTTTCAATCAAATTTTCACAAATCACCAAAAGAATTTCTTAAACGTTTTTTTTTCTTTCTCACTCTTTCTCTCTCTCTCTCTTCCAAAGAATTTCTTTCATTTCCTTTTACTTCCAATTGTAATTTCTCATTTCTGTTTTTTTTCTAGGCTGATTCCGCTAGGCCTAATAAAGTTTTATTTTCTTTTTCCAATACAATCTTGAAAAATATACTCAATATTTCTAATTATGTTAATGTAAATAAAACGAAAAGAGAGAAATACGATCACTTAAACTTTTTAAGAAGAATTTACAAAGTCAATAGCTTAACAAAATACTTAAATTTATCAGGTTTGTTGAGATTATATAAATAACATGATATATTAACCATACTGTATTCTTTTTAATGAGCACAACTATATATATATATATACAAAATATACTGTATATATATATATATATATATATTAATATATATTATATATTATTAGTATATATATATATATATATACAGCATATATTTATTTATATGGTTTGGATAATATAGCCGGATAGGTTCTTTATTATGCATACAGAGGTCTAAGCTATGCTTATATTTAATAGTCCCTATAAATATAAGACGATACTAATCTTGAAAGACATCGACATTGAAATCGAATGTCTATATTCTAATCAGCGACCGCTTCCGGCTCGATATCGAGTGGAATAGAAGTACGTTCGGTTCCTTAACGGTCAAATTGGTATCGACGTTACTAAATCAGTCAGTTCATTATAATCCATTGCTATTTGGCGGTAAATTACTGAGCTTTTATCGCATAAACCAACTCGTTGCGAAATTTAGCCGTTTCATTCCAACCTTTTTATTGTACCATTTTATATTAAAGCGCTTGCAGAGGCACACAATAGAGTAGATAAAAAATAAAATCTTTTTCCTTTCAAATTAATCAAGTAGACCGATTTGATCACATTGTATTTTAACCAACTCATACAGAATATACATACATATATATGCATACATATATCAATATAAATATACATATAGATATGTATACATGTATCAGATATATATATATATATATATATATATATATATATTGTATACATATATATATATATCCTATACATACGCAACTCTTTAATGCGTTAAAATAACGTTTTGTAAAGGAGAAAACAATTGAAAACCATTAATAAATAACGAAGAGAAAAATATTTAAAAGTCACTGACAATAACGATCGAACACATAGTATACATCATGCGTCATATATGATTAAGTATAGACATTTACGCGATGATTAATTATTTTTTTGTGTATTTGATATAAGTTCGCGATGACATACGCAAAAAAAACAAAAAAAAAACAAAAAACATCAGCAGAATAATGGCAAGTAGGGGGGAGGAGAAAAATTCGAGCCAAGACGAACAACAAATACTTTAAGAACATCGGAAGGGGAGAAAAGAATTGACACGTACACAGAAATCTGATTTCAGTTATATATGCGCGTGTCAACATATCTCTTTTCTCACTTATATACATATATACATATACATATATACATATACATATATACATATACATATATACATATACATATATATATATATATATATATATATAATACAGTATAGATAATGGCGTGACTAGGCAAGAGAAAATTTTCTACTGAGGCGGTTGGGCCCTAGATGGCGCCGGTATCTTGGACTCGGACGCCTGGTCCGTTGGACTATAAACGGACATTATTTGTTGAGAACAAATAGCTACTAAAACTGCTACGGCTCCAAAAGCAACTAGCAGAAGGAAAGCCCATTGCTGTTCAGAGAGTCTTGGTCGCCTCCACGATCCACTACTATTCTTAGTCTGTTGACTATCATCGGTATTTGGTGACTGTCGAACCGGTGTTGAAGGAACAAAATCTACTAGAGGACTATAAGCTCCCTGTAATTCACTTCCGTCTTCGGATACTCTCACGCAACACACGCGAACTTCGTGGTTTGCCTTGGCAGCTAATCGAGTTAGAACATATTGTGTATCTGGCCCTCTATGAACCTGTATGAAAACGAATTCAATGATTACTAAACATAGAATTTACATTTGTATTTGTTTATAATACTTTGAATGTAAAAATCAAAAAAAAGATCAAAAAAATAAAAGTGTACTAGAGACCATACATGTATATTTATATTTTACTCACGTCATGTAAAGGCGAATCTCTGTTTGCCAGCTGTACCACATAATGTAAAGTATCCCTTCCCATCGGTTTAACTGCTGTCCATTCGATAGTTGCCGTATCATTCGTTAAACGAAGAATACGTGGTGCTTTTACAGCGGGAGGAGGGGCTTTGCTTGTATGGAACGTAAAACTTTCCGAGTATGGACCATCACCAGCTTCATTTGATGCTCGAATTCGGAAGTGATAAGCAGTCATTTCACTAAGTCTACTGACCTTGTGTTGTTGGGCCGTACCATAAAAAATAACGTGGAAGCTATTTAAATAAAAAAAATGACTTATATAATTTACTTATCATTGGAATAAGATAAATAAATGATGATAAAAACATCGATAAAGAAATTAGAATAATAGAAATAATGATAATAATAATAATAATAATAATAATAATAAACAATTAAGAAATCGCAATGCGCGTACCTTTTTTCTCGGTCTTGTTGACCGCTGCGCCCTCTTGTCGAACTGCATGCGAGATACAAAACAACGTTTAGACGAACAACATTGAAGGAATAGGCGTGCAATTTTACACCAAATGTTGCATTACTAACCTGCCGCTATCTCGTAGCATTTCGAGCGCGTATTTTATCTGTTCTGAATTCTTCTCTCCCCACTTCAAACGTAACGAATTTGGCGTAACCATTGTGCAGTCAATTCGTGGTGGAATGGGCGGAAGGGGGCGTGTTGTGAAACGAACGGGTGTTGCGAAGGCTCCCTCGCCTAGAGCATTCACTGCTTGAACTCGAAGCCTATAAGTAGTTTCTGGAGTAAGGTTATCAATAACATATGAAACTGTCCTAGACGTAGTTGATCCTTCAGCAACCGTAATTAAGTGACGCTCTCCAACGTCCAATTGATAATGCGTTATAGGCGATCCATGGCAGGCAGGTCTACGCCATTCGACCTGAACACTTGTTGCCTCAGCGGTTATTCTGACATGTTGCACTGGGGCGGGTGAAGATGGAGTTGTCCGCCAACTGCAACTTTTTGACCACATACCAGCCCCTGCAACATTAATCGCTTGAACCTTGAATTCGTAATTTGTTGCCGGCGTTAAGGAACGCAGATCGTGAAACAGTTGACCACCGGATACAGTTGCAGTTCGACAGCATTCTGAGTTTTCACTCTCTTCTTCACCACTCGATGCAGTTGTACTACCTGTTATGCCTGAAGTAGTACTAGTATTAGCAGCAGACGCAGAAACAGCAGAGGAATCGTTTCTTGTATTTGTCGAATTCCATTCCAACTTATATTCGTTTATGAAAGCACCATTATTAGCCGGCTCTTGCCATGTGAGATGCGTGTGCGACGGAGACTTGATAACAGCCTGCAGATCGAACGGAGCGTCCGGCACTCCAGGGCCACTTACCGCTTGCAATGCAGGAGACCAATTACTTGTTAAACCAGCTGCATTAGTTGCCCTCACGTGTAAGGCATACCCTTTCCCTGGCTGTAGACCGGCTACCGTACATTCTAAGTCGACTCCCTCATACACTTGCCTTGTACTACCGTCAATAGACGACATTTGAAGAGCATATTGGACGATCGATGAACCACCGAAATCCTCAGGCGGAGACCACTTTATTTGAAAGCTAGTTGCTTTTGCCTTACCAGAAACCCAAGGCGCAACCAAACGACTAGGAGCTACACAAGTTGTGTGAAAAGGGAGCCAATCACCTGCTTCGCTCCAACCTGCTTCATTTTTGGCCAGTATTCGAACCCTGTAGGCTCCTCCTGGTCGGAGATTTTCTATATCATATTCTCTGGACGTTCCTTCATAAACGCAAGTTATTTGACTTATGTGACTATCGTGCAATTCTACTTTATAGCCTGTAATGTCACTTCCTCCTGTATCAGAAGGCTCATCCCAACCTATTCGAGCGTGATGAGGTTGTGGCCGTGAACGCATTGTAGGTGCTTTGGGGGATCCGGGAGTAGAAGCTCTTGTTGAAGCTGTAATGGCGTCGCTCCAACGGCTCTGTCCGTCTTCGTTGCTGGCTGCTAAACGAAATTTATATGATGTATTTCTTCTAAGATTTGGAACGGTGCAGTGAGAATCGGCTCCGTGATAGACAGGCAAAAATCCGTGACCAGAAGCGGAATCTTCCATTTGTACAGTATATAATTCGCCTGTCCCTCTACCATCCCAACGTAATTTAATCCAATTTACCCGCGATTCTACACATTGAGGAGGAGAAGGTACGGACGGTGCCGCGCCAGACATGACGCAACTTAATGTATCCGAAAATGGTCCCATTCCCATCGAATTGACGGCCGCCACCCGGAATATATATTCCGTATTTGGCGATAATTTAGTCACCTTATATTGTTTCTGCTGACCACGGTAGATTTCTATCCAGTCACAACCTATCTGTTGTTGTTGTTGGAGTACATAATTTGTAATTTTACTTCCATTGTCAAATGAGGGCGTACTCCATTTCAAAACTAACGCACTTTTAAAACGAGTATGAATCTTTAAGGCAACTGGTGCTTCCGGATGATCCGGCAGAGTATGAAAAGAGACCTGGTCTGACGGTGCAGGTCTTACTCCCGAGGATGGTTCAGGTTTTGTTGCACATATTCGAACAACGTATTTAGAACCAGGTCTTAAATCTTGTAATGTTATTTCCGTCGCATCACCTTTATAAACGGCTTTGAATTTATTACCGTCTTGTCCAGGTTCGAGCAACTGCAGTTCGTATTCGACAGGATTATCAGCAGGGTTCCTAGGAGACGGTAGTTGTAATGTAACTGTAGCGCAGTGCTCAGTGATGTTCGATACGGCTGGCTCAATTAAAGGTTCCCCTATTTCGAACTCTTCGTCACTAGAACTAGTCACTTCTGTCGCGACATTCGATGTTTTACCTGAGCGACTGTCACCGTTCAAGTGGCTACGTGTACTCCGATTAGCATTACTCGAAATGCGATTTTGTTGGCGGTTTTGATCATTCGAATTGCGATTGATGAGACGAGTTCTGAGCCTCTGCTGAATCTTCGCCCCTCTTTCGTCCATATGGTTATCTATTGAAATCGAATATCATAAGTAAAGATACGAGGTGAAACATGTTACAAACGCTATTCTCTTACATAAAAAAGACGCCAGAAAAAGATAATTATAAAAAAGAAATATGAAAACGCCTGTAGTGAGAGAAAGGCGTCCATTGAACTTGAACGACTATGGTATTTTCGCTCAGACAAAAAAATATCTATATTAATAGATGAAATCACCTCAAAAAGATTTTTTGTCGATCGGGATTAAACAGCAAAGGTAATTATTTATCGTAATCCGACGATATTTGTTGCGATCAAAGGAAAGATAACCGTTTTTTATTTAAGAAAAAAATATCTTTACGCAACTGACGTGTCAATAAACACAACCGTGCGCCATCTACTGGTATGAGGAAATATAACGTGTCAATATTTCGAAAAAATTTTAACGGAGCGGGTAGCAGAATTTATACGAGAAAAGCGTAATATAACCTATTGGATATCTTATCGCGTCTGAACACTGAAAGTCGACAGAGTAGAGGCAAATAAAAAAAGCTTTTGAAATTTGGCCATATAGATTAAACGGTTTGTTGGGAGAGAGAAAGGGAAAATAAAGAATTGTCCTAGCACAATTCATACGTTGTAGTCAATATGTTATTTTTCAGCGTATACTTACTGTTGTGGTTCTGTTGAGGTATGCAGGGATGTAAATAATGCAGCTGAGGTACTGCTGTGCCGGAAGCTTGACCGAACCCGGTCGGTGTGAAAGCTAGATGAGGTAAAACTGTTCCGCTTGCACCACCGTTCTGTAAATGAAAAAAGAAATACATTTGTTAGATGAATCGATAAAAATTTCAAAATGAATTAAGTGGCCAATAATAAAATAATAATAAAAAAAAAAATATAAAAATATGGCGGGAAAAAAAACAACCGTATTTATATTACAATTATTATTACTATTGATATTATTATTAATATGATTATTATTATTATTAAATTATAAAAAGAAATTAAAATTATTATAAAAAGAGGAAAGATAGCTTTATAAAAAATAATAAAAAAAAAGGAGAGAGAAGAGAAGAGAAGAGATAAATGTTGAGAGAATTTCAGCTCAGTGTGGAAATATAAAGAAATTTTACCTTTAGCACTTATTAAATTTTAAAAGAATGGAAAAAAATGTAAAATAAAATATATACATATATTATCTATTCTTTGTTTCAGCGATTGAGGTATTAGGAAGCGAAATACATACGTAGTAGCCTACCGTCGTCTGTTGAGGAGCGGGGGTTCCAGAATTGGGCGGAGGAGGTTGTGCAGATAGGATAACGTGCGTCAAAATTCCATTTTCATCAACTATTTGCTGAACCATATGCCCAGGTGGAACGTGCATCGGCATCGGCATGGGAGGTCCATTATTCGAAACCATACGTACTGTTGCTGGTCCTGTTTTATTTAATTAGAGTAAAGACTTTCTGATGAGATTCTTAACTATCCTTTCGCTCTCTTAATGCACTCAACTCAAGCAGACCACACACAGAAAGTAACGAATAGACTACGAAAATTTCTGGTTTGGGTGTGGCTTTCGCCAGCCGCACGTTCCTCTTCGTATCGCCTTTAGTTAAACGTGTTTGTATCGAGTTTGACAAAATTAGTAATCACCGCGACTGGTACGCACCGGCACCGACCTACGAGCGTACTACGACTGTAATCCGAAAATTTGGCCAGCCTCCAACGGGCCTGGAAATAAAACAGTTGCTATAGCAACAGACGGCCGTCGGTTTCGGTGCAATTCGACAGAAAGCTAGTCTTGTTTCTCTCTTTTTTCTTTATCACTAACTTTTTCGAACCAATCTATCGTTAACTATTCAAATAATAATAGAAAAAATTTCAGCTTACAGAACGTTGAATACACAAAAGAATCGTAAGGCTCTCTAGCCGCTTGAATTATATAGAAGGTCTGCGTAACTATTCTTTCCCATAAATCAAATAAATACCGACAATAAATAACCCAGCCTTTCCGTGCGCGACACGTATATATGTAAAAACCTATATATATATATATATAATATATAATATATAGTAAGTATATTTATATTTAAATATAGACTAAGGTCTTAAAGAGGATCCTACATATTACAGTGGATATACTATAAAATGTACAATAACCTCTGAAGTTTTTACCTACACACACATATATATCTATATATTATATGCACTATATATATATGCATATATATTGCGATACACAGTAGCAAATAATGTAACCAATCCTTTTGCTGAAATATTTTACGCCTAATTAGAACCAACAATTGCGTAAGCGGCGGGGCGTGTGAACCTTCTCGGCCTACATAGTTTGGTAGCGCCATTAAGTTCAAGGTCGGGTCAAGTGAAGAATATTTACACCGACAAATCAGGATTTCGCAAAAAAATAGTAAACAACGCGTATGATCAGCCTGATATTCTTTTCGTATTCTTTTATAATGCTTTTGTTTTTATTTTTTTTACCGTTGTTCCAAACGGGTTCAAAGGTTTCGAGACTATTCCGTCCGCTGTCAACACTGGCTTCCTCTGAATCCTGATCAAAATCAAAGGGGTATGGACCGACCAGGGGTATGTGCTGGGGAACGGGCATTAATTGAGCGCCAGGAACGAATGGTGGCAGTTGATGTTGAGGTGCCTGAAGGACACTTCGAGGATAGAATTCTGGTGGTAATTTGTTAACATTCCATTTTGATTTGGTATCCACTGAGTCATCATTGTTATTATTGTTATCCTCCTCTGAATTCGTGAGGGGAGGAGGGCTGGTTTCGCGAGAGGAATTCGTCACACACGATGATGATGACAATTCCAACACTGACGAACCACTCTTTGTCGAATCTTCTTCGCCCATTTCAGAATCCGTCACATTTCTACACATACGAGCAAAGGAGGTAGAGCTACTGTATTCCACTGCCGCCGTCTCAGACTCGCACAGTTGATCGATGCCGTCGGGGCGACACGTTCGTCGATGACGTCAAAACCCCGTCTGCCAATCAGCTACGGCCTATTACAATTGCCTAGGCCTATACGCTATACAGAGCTGACCACCGCCCCCTTCGCTTGGCTTTTTCACTTATACCAGGTCTATTAATTTCACCTTCACTATCTTGTTGTCCCCTCAACAACACTGACTTAAATACAAACAGTCACACGAAACAAGGTATTTCTCTACTAGAAACAGAAACATACAAATCGTGACGTCCGCCTGTAGTTAGTAACTGCGCACGATTTTTCTCTAGTAATAGTAGCAACAATCGCGCGCTCTGTAGTCGATTAGACGAATAGAAGGAAAAGTACAAAGTTGAAAGGAAACGAGTAAATATTGCTATTGTTGGTATGATGTTAAGATAAAGAAAATTATAAATATTTTCTAGTTGGTTCTATTACGTTGACTTGGAAGGGTATAGGCCTATAAAATAACAACACAAGTCCCCGCCCACGTGTCTAGCAAATACGTATATAGAGTAGTCAGTCAATAATCGTCGCCGTGGAAAAAGGCTACGTCAGGAAATTCAGCAAAAACAATTACGATAACTAAGATACGAATTATTACTTTACTGTTACTATTCAATACCCTAAAAAGCAGCTTATAGACCTCACTTAGTTCACTATAAACACAACTGCATTCTCTTTTCCGGAAAGGACTGCTAACGCCACCTTCAGTCCTTCAGTGGGTGGGTGGCTGGAGAAACGCTTGGAAATACTACGCATAGGCAGTAATATATTTAGATTAGGTATTGATAGAATTATGTGGAAAGAGACAGATAGGGAAAGAACGAGAGGGGAAATGTATAATGAGTACGAGGAAAGGTGGGAGAGGAAGAGAAATAAGGAAACAGTAAAATGAGAGAAGAGACACAGACTCTGGGAAAGAAATAGATGGAGGACATATTAATAATAAACAAGAGGGAAGGATACGCGCGTGATAAATTCACGATTTTAGTATCAACAGCTGTAGTGCGACTAGCCGGCTGGTGTTCTAGTAATCAGTCTCGAAACGAAACAAAAAGCCTGACGTCATGCTCGGGACAAAACGTAACCGTGGTAACGCTGCACCGGAAACGCCGTCTAGCCACCCACGCCCAAATAAATAAATAAACGCTAAAAATAACCTGGTATATGTTGAAATTGGTCCCCGACTTGAACGGTGAACGTTTCCCCCGGGTTGATATGCACATGAACTACATGTTGTTGTTGCTGATCTTCGTCCCTGGTCGTTGTCGGACTTCCGGAATCTGGACCGGTAGTTGAGACGGATGAGGGTGCCGATTCAGGTGTTGAAATTCCATTGGTCATTGGAACGTCTAGAAACCCGTTTGTGGCCGTTGACTCTACTTCTGTGACACTACTGCTAACACCATCGCTTTTTGCACTCATGCTGTTCGCCTGAGTAAAAATTAAATATCATAGTAAATTTTAAGTAAAAATTAAATGACGATAGTTTTATAGTTTCCAACAGCTGATTCTCTTAATTTCGCCTAAACCAACGGAGGCATATGTTCCGCAATGAGTTACGTCATGACTTTTCTTAACACACCTGATCAAATAGATTTTCTAACAATCCTAATATTGTTCACTAATTCATTAACTAACGAGGGTGATTTTTGTCGTTGCGTAAGAAACTGTTGGCAATAGAGTAGGATAGAAGGAGTAGTGTGTACTGCATTTTTTTTTTTAATATTATAATCATTTTTACTATATTGCAAAAATGTTTTATTATTGACTTTGTTCCATCGTTTAAAACTACGCTAGTTTAGAGTATTTTATAGTTTAGAATTCGCTTCAAATCACTTTAACACTTTCGCTATGTACATCAGTTTGAATGTAAAAAAAAATGCATATTTATATATATATATATAAATTATATATTCCATAATTATACTTGTTGTTTATTTATGTGCTATACTCAATGTTTTTAATATATGTACCTATACATCTCTATATAAATATATGTTCTTTTTTATGTAAAATGTATATAGATATCTATTTATGTATTTGCTGAATTCAAAAATACTCATTCTTATCATTCTTCTTAATTGTGAATCTGTTCAATTAAAATATAATGAATTACGTGTTTCTTTTTAATCTTTTAATAGAAGATTCTTAAAATTTGGTTCCTGTGTAAATATAACAAAATGCTATTACAGACTAAATACTATAGAACGATAACGATTGTGTGAGATTTTCTTTCCTTCAACAAATTAATAAACATGTTAAAGGAGTTAGGACATTAATTGGAGACGAGATACGCAGCGATATTTGAAACATATGCGAATTCGAACGTCACTAAATTTTTCGTGAAACCCCATCATTTTTCTTAAACTAGACCCAAATTAGTACCCTGCATTATCTAAAATGTCAGACCTTCATTTCCTATTATAATAATACGGTTAACAAAAATCAAGCTGCTGTAAACAAAAAAAAAAAAAAAACATCTGTGAGCTAGGCGGTTAACGGTTTGTAAGCATAAGATACAAAATTATTTGCTTAAGAATAAGAATTTTTAACACATACCGAAATTTCTTGGTTCAGACAAGTGTACTTTATTAATTGTTAACCGAAAGTTGCGGCGACCTTTCGCTAGGAAGGCGAATTCCAGCAATTTTTCTTCCAGCGGTTCGAGCTGGCCTTTTCTACCGCAATTTTCATCGCCATTTTGAATTTATTCATATCTGGCATAGGGAACCAGTGTGTAAGGAATACCGGCCTACGTCATTGTGTTTTGGCGGGAAATTCGTTCGCAACAATTTTATTTGAAAATTTATTCGTAATTTTGCACATTTCTATATTAATAAATTATTTGATTTCAGACGTATGAAGATACTTTTCAGAAGGAGGACGTGTACCATAAGCCCTTTTATTCGTTCTTATCATTGCATCTGTAGATGCAGCCGAATCGTTTGAGGATATTGACTGTGGCGATGGAGGATATACCAGAGGTGGTGTAGACGGCTCAAGCTCAGAGTCTTCTCTATCAAGTAGTTCTGATCCCTCAAATAGCTTGTATGAATTTCCTAATGCATTTGGACAGCACTGTTTTCAAAAGAAATACAAGATTTTTGATATTTTTTTTAATTCGCAAGTAATAGCGACTCTACCTTTAATTTATCAAATTGTTGAGCTCCCAACGCTACTATACAAAACCAGGCCTTTTCAATACATAAAAGCATTATTAATCAGATCTTATATATATATATATATCAGTGTGTCATTTTTTTCTTACCAGATAAAAGATAAATCCACAATATAAAAATATCAAAATTCCTATAAGAGTATACAACGCCCAGTGATGAACTCTTATGGATTTTATACTATCAATTGCAAAGTACAAGTTAATAGCCATGACAGTAATTGTTAGTACAATAGTCAAGATTTTTGATAACCTGGAATGATTGACTTATCGTATAAAAACATTGAATAAGAGAAAAAAACCAATAAAAAGATACTAACCAGCTGTTCTTAAAGGAACTCATCACAGATTTCGACGAGGTAAATGTTAAAATTGGTAACAAAGCAAATGGTAATTGTAAAGACATTAAAACATTCATTGAATCGTTCAAGCTTGTTAATTGAGTAATACCTAGGTATTTTTTTGAAGAATTATTTATTTATATTATAAATTATTTATAATGACAGTAATTTATTACTAACCCTCAAAGGCCGCCAATAAAATGGTGGGAACAATGGCAATAGATCGAGTTAATAAAACTCTCTTCCAACGAGCCCATTTCAAATTAAGGAAGCCCTAAATAAATTTCAACAGAGGCAATTGAAAAAAACATGTGAAAAATTATCGTAAACAACAGGCTTAAATGTAAATACCTCCATAACAAATTGTCCAGCATATGTTCCGGTCATTGTAGAACTAAAATAGAAATGGTAACATAAGACTGTTGCGCAATTAGGTATAAACAAACAATTTTGTACCTTTGACCTGCTGCTAAGATTCCTATCGCCCAAATATACATAGCAGCCTGTCCATATCGACAACCCAGAAATACACCCTTAAATCAGTGTTATATTACTGAATTTATTACACAAAACAAAAAAAAAAAAGGCAATATACAATATATTTTAATATAAACTATATATGTAAAATCTTTCTTTTACCCCTCTATAAATATCAACTTCATTGCTCGTTGTCTTCCAGTAGAGAATGAAAAAAAAAATTGTTCATAAATTATTAAAAAAAAAATATTTGTACATATGTCGGGATAATTGTTTTTTATATAGAATTTAACCTACATTAAAAACGCTTGCATGCGGATTTCCTTGCTTTATACAGCTTTCAAACTATAAAAAAAAATTTCTATTATTAGATCAAAACTAAAAAAAAAATTGAATAATTTTGATGTATTAACTTACGATTTCAGTACTATTTTTACCGTAGAAACCTTCTGCAAAAACTGCGGTAACAAAGAGATTGATAAGAAAGGAAACGAATAGAGCAATTCCGGATTCTAAAAACAAGTATCTGTTTGCTTCCGATACTTGAACCTTTTTACTCCTGTCAACTTCTCGAGACTGCAGTATAAAGGATGAGCTACATAGTCTTCATCAATAATAAACTTACTTTTACAAGTGCCGAATGTAAATAAATATTATGAGGCATAATCACAGCACCAATTATTCCAACAGCTTGCTTTAGTGCATTACTATCACAATTACGACAATACGGAAAGAACATTCCTTTTAATAGTTCTCCTTGATCTGGTTTGGCTACTATGTACTGATAACCAAAAGTAACAGCCATAACAGTTATGAGTGCACCGAAAAATCCTTCCAGTTTTCTCAGACCATATTTATCAAGGAAGAGGAATGTAAATGTATCTGCTATTGTAATTAGGACACCGCCATATAGCGGTATTTTACCATTTGATAGCAGATAGAAGGCAATTGCAGTTCCAATCACTTCTTGCATGTCAGAACCTATAATGGCTATTTCAACCATTAACCATAGAATAAGTCGTGGAACTTTTGGATAGTGACAATAAGAAACTTCCGCCAGATGCATTCCGCTCACGACCCCCAATCTGGCTGCTAGTCTCTGCATTAAGAGTCCTAGTACGTGCGCCATTAGTAGAACCCAAATAAGCTGCATATCTTATAATTAGGTCTAGTCCATTGGCTTCATATTTTAACAATACCTTAAATTTGGCTGCTGCTCCTGCCTGTAAATCTGATTCAATATTTCCTGGATCCAAGTAAGCAATACTCATGAGGAAGCCTGGACCAGTAAATGCCCATAATTTACGAAAACTAAATTTTGTCTGAAAATAAGCAACTACTCTAACTGTTTTCCAAGAATAATTACAAGGGTGCAACTCACACTATCAGCATCAGGAATTGTTATTCTTTCATCGAAGTAGGTAGATGTATCTTGATCACTGCGCTCTTGCGCTGAAGCTTCTTCTTGTTGGGATGGTCTTGCTTCATTGCTTATCGAAATGACATTCGCTCTGTCAACCATTGTTTCCAAATGGCTGAAGGTAAAGTTATTGTGAATAGGTCCGTCAGACTAACGGTGACCAATCAAAGTATTATCGACATGTATTCATATATATTTAAATGTATGATGACTCTTAAGAATGCATTGATTACTTATCAGCTTTACAATTAAATTAGTCGATTGTATTTCTGATTATCGCTCAACTTCCCTGAAAATTAACGTACTATGTAATGTCTTGCAATTCAAGAAATATATCATATTTATATATAATTAATCTGTCTTACCAAGATATAATAAAGTTTCAAATGTATAAAAACTCCAACAATCAGGAGTATGACAATCAACAAGTTTGTATGCAAGTTATTCTAATTTTTACGGTGTCCATGGTAGGCGCTCCAATTTTATACTGATTTCTCATCATAATCACGAGATCTTAATAGGTTATAGGTTGTATTAAAAAATAAAATAAAAAGATTCGCTATTTGTTAACAAATAATAAATAGTTTTTTCGAGTAAGAAATTAAAAATAATTAAAAAAAAACAACAACAAAAAAACTAAACGAACTGGATTTCGTTTCAACTGCAAAAGGGAAAACTACTGATACAATAGTTAAGTCTGTGTGAGCAGGGTATCTTCGTATCACTTTCATCAATCAACTATCATTAAAAACTTCATTGTGGGCTTAAGATCTACTTTGCTGAGCTTTTAAATTTGAAGGGTCTTGAAATTTTATTACCCATGAACATATCATTTAGTAGTCTTGTTTAATCCGCAGTTAATACTTAGACATTTAAGAGATAGATAGAGTATAGACATTACTCCATTTACTTTATCATTGTATACGTTTTCGTTGCTTTCCATTCCCACTAAACAAAATCTCGTATATAATCTTCTTTAAAGTTAATATTTGCTGAATATTTTATACTACAATTTGATAGTAAGCATATAATAAATATTAAAATACTATATACAGATAGAAACACCATCTACGCACACCCACACTTTCGCACGCACATATATACACATACACACACGAACATAAAAGCACGCACATTCATGTACAAGCCGGTTAAACACGATATATAATCATTGAATAATTTGAATATTAATATTAATTCAAATTATTTATGCATATCTAAATAAAAAAGAATCAATATACTAATATTGGTTGAACTGAATAATTTTAATGCTTTTTCAAAAAGACTATTCTCAGTATTTCGATAAGAACAATTGATTTATCTTTTATAAATATTACTTTTAAAATGGGTAAAGTGCCTAAACTAATATTAAAAATAATTCATAAATTTCCCTTTGAAATGTTTCGGTTAAAATTACATTTTAAGGATTTAAATATTATCTTTTAGTATTCTTGGTATTAAATATAAAAATAAATAAGAAAATTAATTTTGGACAAGCCTCTAAACTTATTAGAGTCTATTACGAGTAGAGAGATTAGTCATAACTATATTATTAACTGTTAAATAGTGAACAAAGTGCTGAAGTAAGTAAAACAAAAAAAAACAAACGCCACAACCCCCTCCCTCCCTGCCCTATTTCAATGGCACAGAAAAGAATGAAAAGAATATAGGAAAATAAATAAGATAATTGAATTGTTCCGTTACTTGGTATAATGATTTAATGCTATTCAAATGATTTAATTAGACAACTTTGAAAGATGATAAAATAGAAGATAAAAAAAAGTTGAAAACGTTAAGAATAAAGGAAGACAATTTTTTTGTATTCGGTTAATGTTAGTTATATTCAATACAATTCCAATTTTAGAACTATATTTCTCTTTCTCTCTTTCTCTTTTCATTCCTTTTTTTTATATTATTGATTTGTTTGCCCAGTCTTTGATTAATTGTATTAAATGAAAATCTCTACTTAAATTTATTTTAATCATTGTGATTTAAAAATAAAATAATTACTTTTGGCTTTTAAGAGAGAGAATCATTATAAATATTTTATTAAATCTGACCTTAATTTTACCCTTTTCCTATTTTATATCTATAGTTTTTATAATTCCTGCCAAAACTAAAAAATTAGTTTGAAATACGTAGACGGTTATAAATCTACAAAACATTCTTAAGGGGTTCTTTTCTTTGGAATCATTATTCACATTCAACAGATGAAGTAAGTCTGGTAAGTAAGGAATATTTACGTCAATGTTTGCACTCCTTATTCTCTTCTTGCCACATATATTTTTCTTCTTTCTGCCATGCTATCATAAAATTTGTAACTAGAATGTAACGTTTAGAAAGGAGAGTTTTTTAAAAGCAATTAACTATGATCAATAGATTTTTTTTATCTATACAAAGTGTATTTTATTTTTTTTATACATTATCTAAAAAAAGATGGATCGTTCTTAAGTAGTCATTGATTATGAATCGAAGACCAATAGCTACCAACTGAACTATTAAACTATTTTTAAACAACTATGAAACAAGTTGCTATTTTTAAGTTTTTCTTTTGTATTCATATTGAAATATTAATTAACCAAAACTATGGATTTAATTCATATTTAAGTTAATTACACTTGTACAAAGAATAGATTGTTTTTAAGTTTAGCAAACGAGAATCTGAGTGGGAGAAAGAAACAAAAAAGAATGACATAAAAAGACGAACACCGAAGCTTTTACATTGAGATATATAATTGATAGCATTTTAATGTTGTTTAGGAATATGCCATCCTTGACTCCTTAAGTAGGGGCGAATAGAATCCAGGTTAATTATTGGCAAATATTCTCCAATTCTCTTTCTATTCCACCACTTCCCTAATTTATAATCTTCACTACCAATTGGGGTAAAAGTGTATCGATAGTGTAGAGCACGTACGAACCTTTTTTTATGTTATTAATGATGCTAATTAATTATATGATGTTCTTTTTAACCTAAGTATACAAACTTTGGAGGTGGTTTCTTATCGAAAGGATTATGAGCAATTAAAGACATAGTAAGTTCATCATTTACCAAAAATTTTCCCGCCAGGTGTACTAACCAATTGTTATACTGATAATTTTGAAAAGCGGCAAACCACATGAGCCAGTCAAGTCTAAGATTAAGTCAGTGTGTTTTATGTCAATAATTTATAGTACAGTCAATAAGACTTGTATCATTTGAGCAAACCTGTAATGATACGGTGATATCAGACAAGGTTTCCTTTTCACGTCTCCTGGCTTACAATTGAACTCATACTCTAACCACTTGGCATTAGGTAAAGTAGGATCGTCATAGGTTCCTTCGAAAACAACTTCCGTCCTTTCCTTTGTTATACTAGGGGAAAGAGAAATAACTCGAGAGCAATTGTATAAATATAAGTATGATTACCTGCCGAATGCACCATAGGTATTAACTAATCTTAACGAATCAAACGATGTATTCATAGCTTGTCTAGACGATAGCAAATTTTTAACTACGGGCAAACTTAAATAAGCAATCAAACCACCAAAACAGAGATTCCATACGGTTCTGACTGTAATTGTTGATTTATCTGTTAAGCATTGTCTTTATTTTAAGGAAGTAACGAATACTTTTATGAAAAATTCTATTTTTCATTGTTTCTCTACTGGTAAAATCGACAGATAATCATTCAATTTAATAATCGTATTATCTCTTAAACAGATAAAAACCTGCCGAAAGCTCCATACGTATTTACAATTTGCAAGGGATCGAAACTTGTGTTCATAATTTGATTTTCAGATATTAAATTACTTACAATAGGTATGCTTAAAAATAATATTAAGCCACCTACGCTAAAATTAAAGAGTTTTCTTACAATAGAAACTGTTAAAAATATAATCACAGCTAAATGTAATTAACTTGTTTAAAAGAAAATAGAAACTCACACCAAGACTGTTGTTTATCAACTCTCCTTTTAATTTCTAGTTCCTTTGCCTTATTTTTAGACGAAGTTGTAAACATCCATGAGATTGATGTGTCATCGAAACAAGCTAGGGAAGGGATTATTGTAAGCCAATTGAGAAAGCTTAAATTCCCACTGATGATAATTAATAGTTGAAATAGAATTTGGAAAAAGCCACCAACTATTACTAAACGTCTGTTGAGAAATAACATAAACGGTACAACTAGTTCGACGAAGTGATTAACCATTGTTTCAGCCTTGTGCATGATTTCCGGCTCTTGATGCATGTAATAAGCAATTGGATTTGGAACTGGTTGAGTCTAATGATGAAATCGAATACAACGATTAATTAATAAACTTGCCAATAATTAATTACGATATAATAATTTACTTGATAATGATAATTCATGCATGTCAGATCTCTCCAACATTGATCCCCTCTTATTTTTATTAGACCGGCGCCAATCATTATCCTAAATATTAACCATCGAAATCCTAAGATTACAATAAAGGATGTTGGCGTTTTCTTTGGAAAAGGATTAAGCGACCATATAGGACATAGCCAAGTGGCTAGAAAAGTTGTCTCTAACAGCTGAGATTCCCACCCGAAGCTATACCATCTCTGACCTATGTTTACTATGGAATGATATAGAATCCAGATTGTTAGCATTATGAACACGTTAGCTCCACCAATTATAAAGACAAAGCTTGATAGCGCTAATCCAGCGTAGGCAAATAAATCCAGCCAGTAATCTATATCAGTTTCGTAATCAACTAACCATAAAAGAGTGACTGCATGAGACCAGTGATTAGTTTGTGTTGATTTACTATGTTCTTTTATGCGCTTCAAATAAGAATCGGCGGGTAGCAAACCATTCTTACCCAATAAGGCACGGTTCTGATTAAGAGCAACAAGGAATGCCGTAACTTTAGTAAAATGGTTAATATATTAATGATAATCTTTGGCGTCACTATATAAAAACATACATTGGATAAAAGCTAGAAATCGCAGAAGTAGTATTCTTGTTAGCCAATAACCGCCTGCTAAGTGGCCTTCAGTTTTTTTAATATTATCATTGTGTAATGCATTATCTTTCAATTCGTCAGCTTTATCATCCTGTTCGTCTTTAAATTCTTTTTTTTTCCTTTGCCGAACAATGTTTTCAGAAGCCATGTTATGATTATAAAATCTCTACCAGTTTTTATAATGTTTTGCCTTTTAGCTGCTTGTGGTTGGAGTTTCCTATATAAATTTGAGACTCCATTAAACAATATACTTTCGAAATTTCGTATTTTTGTCAGTATAATTAAATATATTACTAGTGGTAATATTAAATGTTTAACTATTATTATTTTAGACAGAACACACACGAACGATATTGAGACAAAATTGCGGCTGTAAGTTGAAATGAAAATCATTTGAGCATCACTCATCGTACGAACTAATCTATCACACTTACCAATCCAAAATATGAAAAAACACTCTGCAAGGAGAACAAGCTATTTCGTTTTGACTTCAACTTTAGATAAATCTAAAGGTGATTTTGAAGTCTTGAATGATGAAAAGCTGAATATTGAACTACGTTTTCTAGAAGAAGGAGAAATATTTGTCTTAAACAATGACCAAACTGATAGTATTGTCGTTACAAGATTAGAAGACATTAATTCACCAATTTATTTCTCAATTGTTAGTAACTGCTTACAATTGGTCACAGATTCCCAATGTCAAATTCTCCTTCCGTGCTCTAGAGAAGGAAGAAGAAAACTTACTCATAATATCAAGAATTTGCAAGATATCATGAAGTTGTGTGAAGGTGATATTGTTACTATTACAACAAAATATTCATTTAAAAAGCTTATTGGAAAGATAAGATATCGAGGTAATTTGAAAAATAAACTTGGTGTATGGTTTGGTGTTGAACTTTCACTTGACTTTTATGGGGAAGGGGATACAAATGGTGTCGGCTATTTTACTTGTACAGAACAATTAGGTCTATTTGTAACTGCTGATCAAATCAGTATTGAAGCAAAGGTACCTGAATTTAAAGAAGCTCTAAATATTGGGACTAGAGTGATGTGGCCAAGCGATACAGGCAACGAATATGGAACGGTAAAATGGTTTGGGAAACTGAAAAAAGAACCAAGTAAAGCATGGATGGTTGGGGTTGAATTTGATAGACCAGTTGGTAGTGGTACTGGGGCATACAAGAACGAAAAGTTATTTACTGCTAAAGAAAATCATGCTTCCTTCGTACCCCTCATCGGTCTTGCACCTTGCAGTGAAGAACCAGTAAATTATCCAACTTCTGAAAGTCAATTAAATATTGATAAATCTATTTCAAACAAAAATGAATCAGAGAAAAAACCAAATAATCCTAAGCCAGATTTATATAACAATCCTAACTATGATCCATTAGTGGAGAAGTTCCCGAAATTTGATGTTGGATCGAGGGTAAAAATAAAGCTCAAAACTAAACCTATCTTCGGAGTTATTCGCTGGAAGGGTAAATTGACTTCATCATCTAAAAAAGCAGTAGGTATAGAAGTTGAAGATACGTTTCCTGGTTGCTCAAGTGGAGAGTTTCTAGGCAAAAAAATTTTTACTTGCCCTCCTAATAAAGCTTTTTTTTATAACGAAGGTGGATTATTTGAAGATAGGAGAACTTTTGATAATGAAAGTCTCGAATGGTGCCAAAAATACCCTTTTGGAAAACTTGATTCTCCTCTTGTCACAGATGAATATGTGCCTACTATACCTCTAGAAGAGATCGACAGGACTGTTGTTGGAAAATATCGAGGAATACAAGGATATTGCAACTCTTGTTATTTGGATTCAGCATTATTTTCTCTATTTGTTTTCAGCGACGTGTTCAAACCTATCCTTTGTGAACAAACTTCGAATCCCATTCAATTACAACTAAAAGCAATAATTGCAACAGTAAGAAAGTATGGATGGGTAAGAGCCGACTATGTTTATCAACTGAGAGAGGAATTAAATAATATGTCCAATGGTAAATTACCAGGCTTGTTAAAAGAAGAACAGGATCCTGAAGAATTTATAAATTTTCTATTTTCCTATGTGAAAATAGAACCTCTACTAGTGATAAATACAATGGAAAAAATGAACATTTTTAATATTACAGAAACAGAGAATGCAAATGATCCACCTCAACTGAGTGAACTTCTCGGAATAACATTTTTGAAAAATGATATTAGTCTAAAAACACCGCCGAAAGGACTTCTTGTACAAATGCCAAGAAGCGGTCTTGAAAAATCAAAAAAATATGTTATTCCAGACTTAAAAATCAATATTACTCCATTATTAATTAATTATGAGCATAAGTGTGCTATATGTGATTCTGCTGCTAAGGTGAAGTGCAAGGATTGCTTAAAATCTATATTATTTGCAGATAATCTTTATGATCGGATTACATACTGTGATGAATGTAATAAGAAGGTTCACTCACACAGGGAAAGGACTGACCATAAAAGTAATTGTCTTGACAAAAATGTTGAAGGAAGCTTGAGCTCTCCCATTTATATGAACTTGAAGAGTGTAATCTGTATAAGTACAAGTCATTATGTCAGTTTTGTTCGATGTGGAAAAAATGTTGACGATCCATGGTTATTTCAAGATAGTATGGCCGACAGAGTATCATGTTTAAGAGACCGCTTCGGATTCAATATTCCGTGGGTAAAGAAATTCCAAGACGTTGGGAAATGGTTGAATAAACCAGGAAAAGAGATTGAGGAGTCCATAAACGATAATTTACTGCCAAAACACGTTCTTAGAATTTTATCGGATGCTTATATTTGTTTATACGAACTTAACTAACTAAGAACTTTACTCAACCAACATATCATTACATAAATAGAAAGAACAAATATAAATTATCTTAGGAGCAAAAAAATAATGAAACTGAGCAAATGAACTTTAAAATTGCTGATTTTTCTGACTCCAACTGTTGGGAGAAAAGGTACTAAAAAGTTTCCCTTTGGTGATTCTAATTGATCCGTATGATTTTCTTTGCTTGATCTCAATTAAATTATCTTTCACCATATCTAAAAAAAATTTGAAATCATTTTTTAGGCAATAGCTGGGCATTTTACTTACGTAGCATAGCATAAAATGCTTTCACTGTCAACTTTTTATCGCATCCAGCTACAACCTGAGAAAATTCAATTTCATGGTGGTTTTCCAGCGTAAGACGGATCAACCTTAGAATTGAATTAGAATAAGTTATATCTTGAATAATCAAAACTTACGCAGTTAATTATATTAATGTATATTTAAAGTTTAAGAAACTTACTCGTAGAGCTCCCGTACATTTTTACTGGCTACTAAATTACCACTCTCCCTCTCTTCATAAATCACCGGGTGAGCGTGTGTTTGTGCTGCACGAGGTGGACTAGCATTAATGCTTTCCAAAGGCAAACTGGGTCTGAATTTAAAAGATTTTTTGCAATTCCGAAATAAAGTTTAATTACTTCAGTAATTTTTGTTCTCACCTTGAAATGTCCGAGTAATCTCTTGAAGTTTCCTACAACTAAAATTAAGCTTACCCGAAAATTCCTATTTCAAACTTTTACCTTTATATCACTAATATGCCCTTGATCGGAAATCAATACGCTGTCCATGGATTGGTCTCTGGCACGAGGTATTTCAATTGGTTCCTGTTTGGAAATCTGTTAAAAATATTATGAAAACGCTTTAATTGATCAACCTGAAGGGTATCTGATATCAAGGGGCTGGGATGGCTAGGATGATCACGATTCATTTTCGCTAATTCACCTACAAGATGTAAAGACAACTTATCAAACATAATTAACAACACAATGAATAAAAATACAAACTATCATCTAAAAGCATGTAAGGCCAATTGTTTCCTTCGGCGGCGTTCAAGTCAAAAGTATTGTCAAGTAATCCTTCGTCATCCAGAATAGTCACTCTGACTTCAGGCTCGCTCTAAAATAAAGCATATAAATGTGGAATTTTAAAAATAGTTGAAAAATATCTACAAATGTAAGCCTTTTTTGACTTTGATTAAATGCATTTTCGTCCTCAATAAACTTTTTTAGTCTCTTCCTTTTTGATTTGGTGTTCACTGGAGTTTTAGGAATAGCAAGAGAATCTTCCAAGTTAATCTTTCTCTTTTTCTTCTTAGGTTCCTCTTCATCAGTCTATATTGGAAATGTTAGATTTCGTCAACATATTTCAAATAGCAACCTCAATCTTTCTCCTAACTGGTTTTGGCTTCTTTTTGATTGGAGTTGAGGGAACTTGATCTTCTTTTTCCTTTTTCTTTGAATCAACTGTTGTTATATCCTCCATTGGAAGCATTTCCCTGGAAAAGAATCAAATAATACTTTCCATATTTTTCATGTGATCATAAAATGCATTTGTCGTATCTTACGAAGGTCGATCAGCAGCTTGAACCATTTGATCCTAAATAAATTTCATAAATTATATTATAGATACAGTATTTCAACAGATTTCTATTACCTCAGTTGTTGCTTTAGTAGGATGTTGGCTTTCTTCAAATGCCATTTGTTCTGGCCTTAAAGTCGTGTCACCAATCACATCATCTGAGTGATTCATTTTATCTTGGTCTCGATCAATGATAACTGGATCATGAATAGGAGATGCATTTGGTAGGCACAGCTGATTATCTTGCGTGTGATCGATTCTTTTGATTTCATTACTCTTGCTTCTTTTCGAGTGTATTTCATCCCCAGTCTGATACATAGAAATATTAAAGTTATAATATAAAAGTAGTAATTCAATATACATTATCAAAATTAGCTAGTAGATTTTCCAATCTTTCAGCATCAAGCATAGCAGAATCGTCTTCGACCAGCTAAAAGTATTTTTTGTTATTTTTGTCAAAAGTTAAAGATACTTAAATACATCAAGAGTAACATTTCGGCCCTCCTCTTGCATCTCTCTTATAGTAATATCAACGTGATTCGCTTGGATAGCTTTAGTAGAATAAAAACATGAATTCAAAATAAAGTTATCGATGTAAAATAGAATACCTTGATTTCTAGCATGTGTTGGTGACTCGGGTATAGACTAAAGCATATTATAAATATAATTCATTTAGTAAAGTTTGTTAGTTTTTTATGTAAAACATGTACTTCGTTAAGATCTTCAGTTAGAAATGGAATGAGTAGATTACTCTCTATATCCCAGTGTCTTGTGATACCAAAATAAGGATCTTCAATATTTCCCTTGGGTATTTCAATCATAGAGCCTGTACGTTTCTTTCTGTAACGACATTTACTTATCTAGACTATTCAATAAAGCTCTTGGACCAGTAATTACTTTCTTTTCCTAGTCTTCGGTAGCTGAACGGACAACTCATTTGTTGTGACTTTAAGACGGTTTTGGCCAATAACAGCTGTTATATCCCCTGAAACACGAAATGAAATAATGTAAAATGTTATAATTTGTTTGTGAAAGAACTTACTCATTAGTAATTTGCTTTTTTCGCTGTGAATAACAACACAACCGTACATCAGCATGGCTGACAAGTAGAGTGACATTCTTCTGCGAGAAGCGTGCCTTCCGTCAATGTACTTCTTTATTTCATTACTATTTGGAAGTCAAATAATTTTTAATAAACATACCATATAGAAAGTCGATTCGAATTATAATTGTATGATATAGATAGAATAATTTAGGTAGAATTTAAAGATGGCTTCACTATCTAAAATTCAAATAAGAATTTAAAAACTAACCAGATCCATTGCATATTTAGAGAATTATATTCTAAGTCTGTTAGTCGTTTTGTTGACGTCGCAGCAAGCCTTGTTTAAGAAGGTTCGTTAAAATTTTTTTTTTAAAAATAAGTTAAATTTATATTTATTTGATTAAAGTTGCTTTCATACCATAATATGCCAAATTTTCCTTCTTTAGTAAGTAGTTCGTAGCTATAAAACATTTTGACCCTTTTCTTTCTCAGTGATTAACTCGATAAGTATAGAAATTGAGTCGAAATGGATTTAAGGCAAGTGTGAGAAAATTTTGACGGTTAATGTTCGCGCTGATGGAATATTCGAAAGTTTGGTTCGGTGTTGGGTTTTTACTTTTGAAAAAAGTGGATTCTCGTGGGGAATTCGGAACCCATCTTGAGCAGTTTCCTCGCAATTATTCTTTATGACTGAAATAGAGACAAACATATCACATGATCTAAATTCTAATCCGTGACGCAATTGCTAAATTTCCTGATATTCCAGGTAGCGCTACCTGTCGGGGGTTCCCCCAGAAATGGAGTGCGGTAAGGCGAGTTGCATCCAGGAAAGAAGAGCTCTAAAGAGAGAATTACTTTCATGGAGTCGCAAAATTCCCGTTCTTTTAGGTGAGTTATTAGCCAAGGAATAAATTTCCTTATTTACTTTTGACAAGCAATCGGTTTCTTAAGAGTAAAAAGCGTCGAACACCTGTCTGCCCCACCTGATGGTTGCCAAATTTCTAGGCTGTTGCGGACATCATGTACACTCCCTATTTTTTGAGATTTTCCTAGAAATTTGCCTCTCTATACTTTTATTATTTACTATCAATTATTGAATTTGTATTTATTTAGCATGGTAAGAAATGTACTTTGATAAAAAATTACAAAGTTTTCCCGCTATTTTGTGATTCGTTCTAACATATATGCACGTGTCCTAGAAACGATAGTGCTAGCGTCTCTATTGTAGACGCTATCATGTAAATTAAATTTGCGGACATAAATGTAGTTCAAAACATTATTTTCCTCTGAAAATTTCTACTCTTTCGAGTACAGGTGCGCTTTGAAACCGCTCTTAATTAATACATGCAAAGGCAGGTGGGCTACCAAAATGTATGCAGCGCAGTGCTGCTGGCAACCATTGATTTTGCAGTCCAGCCCACCGCTTACCTGCAAAACTGCAGTCTGTTACATATTGCGGCATTTATCACCACACCACGGGCCGTCGTATTGTTTTTTACCTTTTTTCGTAATAACTTTTACCTAAACTAATAAATGCATATTTGTAAACATTATTTCTTTTATTTAATTAAAGGCTTAGAAGCTATTGCTACTGAAGTATGTGGAAGAAAACAGCACAAGAAAGTATTACAAGTTTTGGAACCCTTTCGAGGTATATTTATTTTAAAATTACGAAACATGACCTAAAATGCGCAGGTAATTTTGTCCGATCAATTATTAGGAAGTTCGGATGACAAAAAACTAAGGCGACCGCTGACTGTGTTACTGTAATTTTCCTCGCAGCGTATTAACTTGGTTTTTTTTTTGAAGCGTTTTTTGGGAAATTCTTATTTTAATTATAATTAGCTAAAAAAAATCAATAATTTTTTTTTTGATTTTTCTGAAAGAATCAACAAAGACAGATCTTGTGGACTTTGCGCCGAACGAGGAGTGTGCATTTTGCGACGTGGATAATGGAGCTCCAGTGAGTTAAAGGATAATTTTGACACCTGTTGCTAATCCATTTTATAATTTGTTTTTTTTTTTCTCAGAAAGGAGAAGATTGTACTAATCACGCTCTGTCGTCAGCTTATCCCCTAGGCGACATTGGTAAATTTTCACAAGAATTTCTTCATTACGACTTAATTTTATAACTCAATTATTATTTTATAGCCCCCAATAGTTCATCGGCAAGCAATTATATGCAAAGTCTATTATCTGCCTACGTATCAGCGTGTTCTCAATCAGCACTGCCGTCTGATCGTGTATCTCATTCGAACTGCCAGAGTTCACCAGTTGATCTGACCAACCAGACCCCCACAAATAACGGGTAGCTACATTTCAATCGTTTCTTTTATACGACATTAATTCGTTTTTGCATTCAGTCCAAAGAGAAAGGAATCTAAAAGAGGCTACACTGAGGAAGAGTTAAGAACTGCTTTAAAGGAAATCAAAGCTGGTCGTTTAGGAACGAGAAGGGCAGCTGTATTGTACGGCATTCCTCGTTCTACGCTGAGAAACAAAATTTTCAAAATGTCCTTACAAGAACAATCACAAAAAGCAGATGTTTCGAACAATAATGCTGCTAAGAGTTCCCCTAAAGGTACATTTTTCAATTAAATTTGTCCAATTACTTTACTTTGACTTCTCCAGGTCAACGGGACTTGACAATAACAGATCTTTTAGCTACTCCAACTTTCGCGCAAAAAGAAGAAAAGAAGAAAGTATCAGATCTAGAAAATGATACTGCCGGTTGGCCTAGTCGACTTGACATGTTACGCCACAAACATCGTCTAGATTCTCCTGTTCAGCACCCTTTCCTTCCTCAACCTATCGACGAACAAAATTTAGCTTTTTGGTCGGCACTTTGCACTGCGCAACTTTTACAATTGTCGCAATTGTCGCAGATGTCTGCTGCCGCTGAGTGTCCAACAGTTTCTTCTATTCTACCACAGTTATCAAGGCAGCTAGTGAGTGAAAAGTTTTTAGATGTTCGTAAAACGGACAATACTGAATCTCAAGATCCGGAAAATCAAGTTCAGTTGAAGATTCCAAATTATAAAGCTCGCTTGTTGAATGAATCTAAAAATAAAAATCATTCGCCAAACGGGCATTTGAAAGATGTTATAGCTAAGAGTCTCACTGATAAGCTAAAAAATAGGAGTTTTGACAAGTCGCTGGAGACCATTCATACCAATCTTACACAAGACAGCGTAGTTTCACCGAATAGTTCAGATGCTTCAACGTCATGCAGCAGCATGCCGCCTCCTGTTAAAAAGGCCAAGCGAGCGTCGAAGAAAGAAGAGAATACTATTCCAAGCGATAAGAAAACTAGGCCTAAACGTGGACAATATAGGAAGTACAACTCACAATTATTGCTCGAAGCAGTTGCAGCTGTTCAAAGGGGCGAAATGTCGGTCCATAGGGCTGGGAGTTATTTCGGTGTTCCTCATTCGACTCTGGAGTACAAAGTTAAAGAACGTCATCTATTGCGAAAGAAGACTAAGGAGGCGGCAAAGAGCACAAAATTGAACGGAGATCAACAAGCTGCTTCACCGACGGCTTCGACGACAAGCCTATCGACAAATCCGGAATCCGAAACAGCGGACCCGAATAGTCCCCCAACTGCTTTGAATACACCTGCTTCAGAGTTGCTGAAGAAATTGCAACAAAAAGTTCAATCTAAAACGTCCATCGACACCGTTGAAGAGACGGAATGAGTTTAAGGTAACAGGGACCAAGAATTTTTAAAGCACGTCAAATATCATATCAAACATAATCAAATTTGGCTGTATATCTTGTATTCTGTGTGATTTCTCTACTACAGATCGTCAATTTTTTTTGTACGGAGCAATTCTTGTCATTTCAGCTGTGATTGTTAAGTATACGTCCATATATTTATTGTTCGCTAATTCACTGGTCCATTTTCCCGGAGTTAATGGTATCAGAAAGTGTTTTTTTCTGCAACTACGTGCATGTAGTGCCTTATACCGTCTCTACTGTTATTTAAATTATGTTGTTTTTTATGTATTACATTCCACGTGATTTCTAGTCATCTTCATCTAGTCTGGTATATTTTTTGTTAATCTTTGATGTTGGGTGTAATGAAAATTTTACTTTCATGTTGTGTCGTTTATTAATTTAAGTAATAAAAAGCTTATTTTAAAGCTAAACATCTCCGTTTCATTATACTGTTTCATGCTGAGAGCAGAGACTATGGTTATAAAAAATAGTAAGGGAAAAACTTAAGAATAAAGCTATAAGACACATAAGTACTACAAGCGGTTTAACCGTTTTTAATCAAACAACATTCGTTGAGCACTGCGATTAGACTTCTTCCTGTGTATTCGCTTGTCATCCATGACTATTTGCTTGTCGATTGCATCTGTTGGATGTTCAGGAGTTGCAATTTGACTATAAATAGAACATAAGTCGTCCTCTTGTTGTAAACTGAAACCATTAAAAACATTGTAAGATAATTAAATGCAACATAGCTGAATATGCTAACTTTAAAATAATAGGCATTACATCTTTGATCTCCTCAAATGAGTATCCTGATAATAATATGAAATGCGGAGGCATAGGAGACAGCTCTAAGCTTATTCTTCCAGCGACAATTAATGTGGCGGCGATACATGATGGACGAAATTGCCGAAGAAATACAATATCTAAGGTTTTGTTAAGTACCTTATCAACATATTTTCGTAGTTCTCTTTTTAAGACAACCATTTCTTCAACTTTACAATCTTGCATCGATATGGAACCTTCCAATAAATAGTCAATTGTTGTCGCAACAGTTGGTAAATGTACTTGAAAATTCATTGATTTTAGAATAATGACTTCCATGGAATAGTAGGTCTTTTTTGGAAACGAAATCGGAGACAAAAAGTCGTTGACGGCACTAAATAAAGGAATGTTGTCTTCAAGATCTTCCAGTTTACCTGTAGACCTTTAACCCTTACAAATGACAAAGTAAAAAAAAGAGATAATCTTACAGGCAATAATTACACACGTGATGACGAATAGATGATAACTATTAGGATCTATGTTATAAACTACCATCATATAATCCATTATAGCGACTGAGAGATGTTCTACTTGTTTCGAGAAACGAAAATGACTGACAGCTTTTCGTATCAGTTTTAGGAAAATAATGCGATATTCCTTTTGAAGTGAAACGTTAATATTTAATGGTTCTGCTAAAAATATTTATAATTTAATTAACAATATTATATTTTTACCATCGCATCTTCAGGAACCCCAGCCCAAAAGGGGAGTTTCGACTCACTGATACAAACATTTTTATAGATTTCACTTGCTAAAGAAATATCAGATTCATGCCAATTAAATAATACATTTTGAAATGAACTCATTTTAAATGGCTATTAATGATTATCACTTTGATATCAGACAGGTAACAAGTAGAAATTAACAAAAGGCCAACAATTAATTACTGAACGTTTTCGCAAAAAGAAAAGAGAACTGGAACAGCGCAGTACGCCATCTTATAGAACATTTTTTCAAATTGGCGCGCGAAAAAAGCAAAAAGAATGCGGAACTTCTTAATAGTTATTTTCGTATTTCAATTAATTTTGAATTTCAACGTTGAGACCAAGTTTATATTTTACATTTGCTATTTAAAACATATTGAAATAAATTAACCTAATTTGGTAAATATAGTTTCCTATTACCATATTAGGTGAAAATATCGAAGAGGAGCTTTCCGCAGGCGTTGGACTAATTTCCTTCAATCAATTGCCGGTTTTTCTTCGTAGCTAATATTACTTTGAAACATGAGTGCAAGCTTGAGTAAGTTTCCCGAATAAAATTTTCAAAGAAACTGTATCTTTTCATACTTTACTTTACCTGTCTAATGAGAAATCGTACTTGGTATCTGAGTTAGTTCCGGTATCGGATTCATTTTTGTTTTTGTCATAATTTCAGAATCACTTTTTGCAACTTTACCTAAAACACAAAGAGGTCAAAGAATTGTTATTAACGGTGATCCAAAGGGCAAAAATTTCCTGTATGTCAATGGCAATAGCGTTGTTATAAGAAACATAGACGTAAGATGAAATTGCTAAAAACGAACGAAATAACGAATTATCTTCCTTTTAGAACCCAGAAATTGCTGATGTTTATACTGAACATTCGACAGCAACGACATGCGCTAAATATTCTCCAAGCGGCTATTATATTGCTTCTGCCGGTTAGGATATTATTTACCCACTCATTAACCATGACTAATACAAAAAAAACGGAATATTTTTAAATATTAATAAAACAGATGTGTCTGGAAAAGTACGAATTTGGGATACAGTTAATAAGGAGCATATTCTAAAGAATGAATTTCAACCCTTCGCTGGTTGTATTAAAGATATATCTTGGTCCAGTGACAACACTAAGATAGCAGTCGGAGGTGAAGGTCGAGAGAAGTTTGTATAGCCTTGAACTGCAGATTTTAATTACAGTATTTTATATGCATTGTTTAACAGATTTGGTCATGTTTTCAATGCCGAGACCGGAACCTCTGTGGGTACTATTATGGGACATTCAAAATGTGTCAATGGAATCGACTTCAAACCCACAAGGCCATTTAGGCTTGCAACAGCTTCAGATGATTTGAGCGTTGCATTTTTCGAGGGTCCCCCCTTTAAATTTAAGCAGACTACAAGAGTATGAGCGAATGCAATTTAATTAACATTTAATAAGCTATTTTCTGCATTAGGAACACACACGTTTTGTTAACTCTGTAAGGTATTCACCTGATGGATCGATTTATGTATCATGTGGAGCTGACGGAAAATTAATTGTCTATGATGGTAAAGACGGAAACAAGATATCTGAAATAGGTAGCCCTGCACACGCTGGTGGAATTTATGGGGTAAATATATAAATATCTACCTATAAAGCTGCAATACTCTACACTAATATTTAATATATATAGATAAGCTTTAGTGAAGATTCAAAGAGTTTACTCTCAGTTTCTGGCGATAAAACAGCTAAAATATGGGATATTCAAGCAAATTCCGTTGTCACGTTCGTATTATGAATTTTATTAGGTTAATAATATCCTTTTCTTACTTTATGACAGTACTTTTGACATGGGCAAAGCCATAGAAGATATGCAAGTTGGTTGCCTCTGGCAGGGATCTCACCTGTTGACTGTCTCCCTATCAGGGTACATTAATTATTTGGACAAGAACAATCCGTCTACTCCATTGAGGATTATTAAAGTAATTATTCTATTATCGTTCATCAGGATATTAAACTTTTGTAAATATTTTCTGTAGGGTCATAATTTACCGATAACCTCACTGGCTGTGACCGAAGATAAGAGTGCCATTTTTTCGGCTTCGTCAGATGGCGCTATCTGCCGTTGGAGAATTAACGGAGATAATGAAATGTTGAATGGTTCAAAGCATGACAATAAGGTGAAATTTGAAGTTTTTAACAAAGCCACACAACCCACAATTTAGGGGGATTTCATATTTTACAAACAAAGTTACTAGAAACTTTGATTAAAACTAGCCACTAATTGATAAGATGAAGGTAGTTACTTGTCGACAGTTTTTTTCTTTCAAAGAAAATGTCTTTTTGTTTTCCTTATATTGAGGTTTTGTCAGTTTGTCGTGATTGATTAGAGCAAAATAACTAATTCAGTTATTCGTTCAGAAAAACTTAACAATTTCTAATGCAGTAAGATTCTATAACTCTTATGACTCTTTTTCCATCGGGTCTTAATGATACATTCGAAATCCGTATCTAACTTTATGTTATTAATCATAACAAAATTTATAAATTCGGTACATATAGATATATATTAGAATATATATAGATTTATATATCAGCTTTAGCTAATGCGCCCTAAAAGATATCATTAATTTAAGAAAGATGGAATATAGAATAAATTTCTTGTCACTTCGACTTCAGATTATTTAGTTGAATGATTAATTCTGTTGGAAATTAGAGAAAGCAAAATAATAAACATTGAGTTCACTACAAAACAACAACTTTTATTTGATCTTTTACGTGAGTTTTTATTCAAATTACAAGTCGACTAAAAAACAATTGCTTTTCTTAAGCAAAAAAGTTCAGCAAATATTTTGAACATAATGAAAGCTGCCTTGATTTTAAGTTGTATAAGTTAACCTTTGGCTAAAACAAAACTTTGTCACTTTTTATGATATAAGTATGAAAACGTGCGTCCGAGTGTTCGAGTTACACCATCATATTTGCAGCCTCTATAGTTAATAAATGTAGAATTAAGATCTCTGAAAATGATACCAGAGCTTAAAATTTCGTAACCAGCTGATGAAGTTTAATTACGTGTATGTTTCGTAATTGTCATGTCTTAACCAACTTAATCGTTTAATGGTGTCAAAGTAAAAAGTTATTTTAATAGAGTATTTGTTTACAGATTCAAAAAATTAATATTGTTCGTGGCAAATTGATAAGTTGCAGTATGGATGACACCATAGCATTCTCTGATGTTAGTGAGGCACGCTATGGTGATAAAGTCAAACTACAATCTCAGCCTCGCGGCATGTCAACTTCTCCTTCCGGTTTAACGGTTGTTGCTAGTACCAACCATGTAATTACTTTCAAATATTGTTTTTTATCAGATTTAAAGTATACATATTTGTAAATAGATTTCTATTCTAATGAATGGAAGTATGGTCAAGAGTGTTCCAATTGACTTTGAAGGTCAATCTTCCGCCGTCCATCCACACGAGAAAGAATTTGCTGTTTGTGGAGGGGATAGCAAATTACGAATTTATAGCTACGATGACTCTTTCAGTTTAACAATAAAGCGAGAAATAGTCGTCCAAGGAGTAATAACAGACATGTCTTATTCCCCGGACGGAACTTTTCTAGGAGCTGCAAGCTCTGGACGACCTATCTACTGTTTCCGTTTGCCTGATTACGAAGACTTAACGAGCTCGCAGTGGGTTTATCATACAGCAAGGGTTAACTCAGTATGTTGGTCCGACGACGGGAAGCGTCTGTTTTCTGGTGGAATAGATACTAATGCGTTCATTTGGGATCCTGCAAATACGCACAGTAAAACCGAAATCAAAGGTTAGCTTTTTTTCTTATAAAAAGAAACTATTTTAAAGAATCATCTATTCCCAGGTAAACATCCTATGGCAATTGTGAATACCGTGGGCTGGTTGGACAACAATACGGTTGTAACTGGTGCCGATGACGGTTGTGTACGAGTATTTACAGTATAAATATTTGGGGACAGGGTGTTTGAAACATAACAAACTTTGCTTAAAAAATGAATACTATGCACAAAATATTATCAGTTGAAACCTAGCTTTAAGTTTTTCAAACTCCGCCTGTTTCATTACTGCCATATACCCTGTTGCAGTGGATAATATTTCAGCTATCACAACATAAATATTTAAAATAAAACTGATAACACTACCCAATGGCATCTTTTATTAGTAAATATGTAAATTTTTTTATTTACACATACAGTGTTTATAATCGCATTCTAATCTGTAATCTCAAATTATCGAAATTCCAAAATGTGTGCAAAATTCCTTATTGCACACTTACTAAATATAAATTTCTGGAGAGTTTCAGTAGCGAATACTATACATGAACATCAGCAACAGATTTACTAAACAAAAGTCTCAGTGCGCATAATTCGACAGATGATCATTGATTAATATGGCAGACAAATTGTCTACGTTATCACAGACAAACAATAATCACAACGTAAAAAAAAATAAAGGAATTAACATGCAAAATTGCAAATGAAATAAGTGCATATTTAATTCACATAAACTCTATACATTGCACGCTAGGAAATTTTTCATGAATTAATTTCTTCCGGAATGTATTAACTATATGCATATTAAACACTGCAATACTTAAAAGCGTCACGTTTATAAATAAGGTAACTGCTTAAATTTTTTTGCTTCATACCAGACGTCCAGCTGAAGCGTTTCGTTTTCATGGAAAAAATCATCGAAAGTTGATTTATAGGAAAACGCCTAGTAAACACCAACAATATTGAACGAGTTAACTATTATTTCTTAAATATATATTCATATTAAAAAATTCCCCGGGATTAATCAGTTTATCATTACCATCTTCATTTGCTGAAATTTCCGAAACTACTGAAGGCTTTATCAGCTCTTGATTTCAGTTGAGCATTAACTGGCTGTTGTGCAGTTGTCATTGGTGCTACTCCTCCCATGCCTTTAAAATAGTTTTGTTAGAAAAATACCTATATTTATGTATTAAGGATCTAACCCATAACACCAGTTTGTGGTCCCACCATCATTGGCATTTGTGGCATGCCTGAATTGTACATAACTCCCCCACCAACACCACCAGGGTACATAGGTTGATTCATAGGTACTGCTTTTATAATTTTTAATTTAAAATAAATTAACTAATAGAATCAAACTAAACGAACTTTGTTGAACATTAGAATAGGGAGGGCTTGTTGGTCCTGGAACTTTTTTACCAATAATCTGATTTTGCAGCTGATTAATTGAAGGTGCCGGTGTCTTTTTATATTGGCTAGATATGCTTAGATCGTCGAGATTAATATCCAGGTTTGAAGAATTAGACCATAGAGTATTCTTCTGCTTTAAAAAAATTAAAAGAAAATTGAAAAGATCTTATCTTTAAATATTGAAAAGAAAATTAAAGATAAAGTTTACAACAGAGCTAAGTCATCAGACCTGAGTTGGATTGTTATTGTTCGACTTCAGCATCTCAGCAGTTGAGGGTGCAATGGGAGTCTACAACATTTAACGACAAAAACTTAGTCGGGAAAACATGCATACTAAGAAACATTTAAAGAAAAGAAAGGGAATCAGGAAAAAGACTTTTTTCCAAATAAAAAGAGTAACTTGAACCAAATGACACTAAATTATAAGTGAAAATACAGAGATCAATCATCAATTGCTCTTTTACCTGATCCAAGGCTGATAATTGTAAGGCTGGCTGCATCGTACTTTGCATTCCCATAACAGGTACTGGCTGAAAGGTCGTGCTAAATTGACTGGGTGAATTCTGAGAAAAACATTTTCTATATAAAAAACGTCCAAAACAGAATATATATGAATTTACGTTTACGGGTGCTGTTGATAATCCCGTCAATAAATCAGCATTTGATGATACCCCAGCCTGTGGCTGTGCGGGAGCTGAGCTAAAACTACTAAATTCTTCATTCGTTGTTGGACTGATTGAATAGGGAAGGTTAATACCAAAAATGAGTTATTTATATCGTTTTAAAAACCTTTGTGGATTTGATGGCGGGGCGGGTGCTGCTTTTTCTGCAGATTGGAAATCGGCGAAGTCAGCAAATTCCCCATTAGCTGTAAATATGTTTAAATTCTATTTGGATGAATAAATATTAAAAAAAAAAACTGACCATTTGATCCATTGACTGCAGAAGAATTATTTTTACTACCCAAATCGTCTATCAAATCAGTCGTATTCGCAGCCTTATTACTAGATGCTCGAGATTGCGACATATACTTGAAGCCCTCCTCAACATCCTGATAAGGGAAATCAATATTGTTTAATAACTTGTTAATATCAAAACTTAGTATTAAAAATAAATTACATTTCCATCTGCATCCCTATCCGAATTTCTATGTGGTTTACGTGAATCGTTCGAAAATCTCTCGGGATATTTCCTTTCTAATTCATCATCATCACGGAATTCTCTGAATCTGTGAATCAGCGGAAGTATTTATAAAGCAGTCAAGTGCATATCAAGTATGTATAAACAAACCGCGAGACTCTGTTAGAATTCTCTCGGTGGACATCTGAAGGAAAGTCGTCTTCGAAATCCTCGTCGGCAGCACTGACATCGGCTTCAGCAAACCCTCTTGCCCGGTTCCACAAGTCCTTCGCCTTACCAAATACCTAAAATTTATAATGCAAGTTTATACGAGCTATTCCTATAAGTTGTCTTATAAATGGAACCTCTTCTGCAACAGATTTCCGCCCAGAGTCCCATTCGTCAATATTTGACATATGTGAACTACCATAGCCACCGCTACTTCCACTATTGTAATGCCGAGGCTCTTCATCAAATCGATCGCCTGGAAATGTGTAAGTCATAATTAAGCTGTTTTCTATAAAACACACAGAAAAATCGGTAACATGCTCGTCATGAGAACATCGTAACATGCACATAAAGGAGTTTGTTTAGTTTGTTATCCGTATCATCCGATATTGCTTTACTATAGACCTATCTATAATATTCAACAGTGTCGGAAGATATAGGACGAAAAAATTGAAGAGTTAGAGTAAATAAAAGCGATCATAAAATTCTTTACGCTAATAGTCTCACAAAGATTTTTCTCCAAGCAAATCCTCGGTTGTTCTCGCTTACCCTAAGATTATTGGTAGCGTTAGTAATTTGAAGCAATTTATTTAGATATAAATATAAATATATATATATATATATATTAAATTGGTATATATATAAGAATATATTTATTAGATAGGTTTTTTCTAGGTATTAAAAGAATTTATCATGCTTTGTTTGTTTTTTGGAAAATTTCAGATTTAAATTAGACTGACAAAATAGAACACAATATCCTTGATAAACTTCAACTAACAACATTCAGATAAAATTCTTCGTGCTAATTCATTTAGTGAAACATTCGAGAACAACGCTATTAAATATCTCACCACTATTTTTAGTTTTATAAGAACGTTTCGTAGAACGTTCTAACCGATTTGGATCCTCTTGATATTTATCGCCTATGAATTATGCAACTTAGACACTCAATTTCAATTCACATTGATTCAGTTTAAAGCAATTTTTGAGTAGTTTGATTTTATTTCTGAATGAATACTCACTATAGCTATTTCGTAATGTACTCTGGTCACCGCTCATTCCTATATATTTATCTTTATTTTTCTTAGCTTTTTTTCTTTCTTCTCTTAGCCGATCATCATCTTGAATAAAATCGACTATATCTTTAGCTTTTTGCCGCACTGTATTTATTTATATAGATTGTTAGTTTTTAAAAAAAATCATTATGCAAATTTTTTATGTATAAGTATTTGTATTTTACCATTTATTCCTTGATCTTTTCCGTGTTCATCGCTGAATGTATACGATTCCAGGCCCCTCAGATCATAGATGTGTTCTCTTGAACTTGTTACAACCTTTTCTGATCCATTTCGAATTAAATATTGAAGGAGTAGTAACGACTGTAAACACAATCATAGCCATAAACGAAGGAACAGGTGTTTTCTAATGTTTATAGGAATTCTTTTAGTCACCTTATAGACCCTACGCCAATTTTTTTTATTGTCATGTAACATTCTCTTCCATAACATTCCCATCACTTCGGGAAAGTGCTCATAAGTATACGTATAATTAGAAATTTCGCTCATAATTTGTCCATGGGGTCCCCAGGCGTCGTCATTTGTTGCTTCGCGAACTTTTGTTTCAACTTCCGAATAGTTCATAACAACATTCGTGCTGTTGATTGAACACAATTAAAAATAGCTTATTTAATACCGGTTTCTTATCTCCAATCTGTGTTACATTCCTATTCAGATTTTTTGACACGTAACTACTTACACCTTATCGGTTAATTCACGAATTTTCCACACCGGCAACATGATGATTTCTTAATAAATGTCCTATTTTTATTGTAACTGTGCTATAAGGATGGGTCTGATACAGGGGGATTGTTAATTGTTCCTACTTCTAACAAAATTTGTTGACAAACGAAATCATAAATGAGTTCGTATGGACTGTCAACCAGCTCCATATCTTGCTTTATTTTCTTTGAAAGGAACAGGAGCCTATCTTTTCCCTCCGAATATTACTATATATTTCTTTGAGGCTGACATTTTGTTGTTCTAGCCTGGTTTGGTGTGGAACTTTAGTTGCCTCTCCTAACGAGCGGGTCTTTCTATATGAATCAAACGAAAATGGCTGAAATAAAAACTGGTGTTAAAAGACTGTTTTTGTCCATTTAAATATCATTGAATACTTCTATATCGCTCAAACTTATTAAAACTATTGTTAAATTATAATTGTATTTAATATTGTAATATAATGCTTTAAATATAATATATCATGTTGGCAACAATGTGGAAGATACTATTTTATTAAGATAATGACCATGTTGTGGAGCTTTTGATAGGCATACTTTAAAACTAGATCCAAATGTCAAGATTCTGATATACCGTCTTCTGTCTTCTCGTAATAATTAGGTGTTTTTTATACAGTATCTAACTTGTCATATAGGCTCACGTTTCCATTTGTTTTCTGTTTCGGTAATATTGTCAGGTGACCGTCGTCTGATAATTGATAAGATCAACGAAGTCTTGCCTATCGTCACATTCGATAAAGAACAAGCGCAGAATCATCTTAAAAGTTTGATACTGCCGCTAAAAGTTTCATAATCGAATAAATTAATTTTTACCTTTTTCTTTAAAAAAAAAAGAAAAAAAATGCTCCGTCCGTTGACAGCATCGATACTTTGTCTCTTATGTATAACATCATTACCATTGAACTCCGCGCAGCGTAAGTATTACTTTATGTATTCTGCTTTATGTAATTTATATACAGTATATATATACTTTTCTCTTTGGTAAAGTATTTAACGAATATCAGGCTTTTACTATAATTTATTAGTTAGAAAGAATAAAAAGGGTTTTCCTTTTTGTATCTAGAAATTAATATTTCAGATCAGATCTGATTATATGTTCAAAAGAGATCTGCAATAGATAAGATTAATATATTTATCACTTGATAACAGAAATAAGAAAGTTCAGAGATTCAGATTTTTTTTTTAAAAATTTTAATTAAATTTCAGCAAAAGAAAATTGCACTGAAGAGAAAATTCTTGATGCAGTTTTTTGCTTTATCGAACCAATTGCCGAATTAATACCTGTACTGAAACAAACCGAACACTTGAATCCAGCTGGTAGAAAGCTACAATCTCTGATGGAAACATCGATAAAAGATGTTAGAAAAAATCTTTTTTATATGGAAAAAATTGGAAGTGATCTCAAAGAGATTGGTGCAAATCTTAGAAGTTTAATTGCTAAATCTCGAACGAAAAAGCTGCAGAAAGCTGAAGCTTTAAAAATGATTCGCAATTTTAACAAAACGGCTGGTTTTAACTTCTTTCTTAGTAATTTACAAACAACACTTGCGCCATTTGGTCATTACCTTTCAAAAATGAAGGTTGATAATAAAAGAATTGATAGAAATTCAATCTCAGATATAATTAAAGGGTCTGGATATGAATCTAATAGAAATATTGATAAACTCCTTAATATAGCCATGTGTTTACTAAATATTTCGGATTACGAAGATTTCGAAGATTCCCTCGAATTCATGAAATGCTTCTACGATTGCGAGTAATATTTTCTTTATTACGTTATCTCTAATAGAGATGTAAACTATCATTATTTATCGCAGGTCACTTCCAACTGTTGGAACGTGTTTACAAAACACTTTTTCGAATTGTTCAGATTCCACCTTCACTACTCTAAGAAACTTGATTATGCGAGTGTTTGTTGATGGTTTAAGTCCCAAATTCGACAAATGCTATTTCAATGTTTGTATATGAGAATATTGACAAACTTTTTTCTGTAGCTATTCAACAATTAATAACAGGTAGACGAACCTAGCAACGGTATTAAACTCGAAGAAGGTCAAGATGGAAAATTGATTGAATTTGGATTGTATGGTCCACCTTTCCTATATTGTACTAGCTTGGACGACATTAGTCCATCATTAATTGATATAATTATTGATTTTCTAATGGGGGAGGAGGAAAAATGCCAAGTTGAAGTTCAAATATCTAACAAAAACTATATGGATGACTTGATATCCAATATTGCGCCAATTATTGGAGATGCACAGTAAATTTTAGAAACATTTTTCGAAACAGAATATAGTTAAACATTCACTGTATATTTTCTCCATCTTATAGATGTAAAGATGATACAACTATCAATCAATTTTCTATTGGATCTCAGTCTTGTACCTTTACGATTGACGAGGATAATTGGACAGAGCCTATGAATATAACTCTTACAGCAAATATTGATCGCCAAAAGGATGGCGAGTTTGAAGGAAGGTAATAAAAATACTTGTTTAATTCTATTCTTTTGTTCCTTTAAATCGTAATTTTTAATTGTAGATTGGGATTGAAGCTTTATGTTAACGATGAGCACAAGGCCTCGAAAAGTTTAAAGGTATTACACGAGTTCTCGATAATCGATTATCTTATCCTTAACCTCATTGATAAATTATAGGTTACAGTTGAAGACAAAGATGATGACAGGCCTTCTATTTGTAGGGTTTTGTCCAATTCACATATATTAACATTCGATAAGAGGTTCGAATATAATTTTTTTTTATTTATTTCTATAAATAGTTAACGTAAAAACGACTCTATTGTCGTAGATTTTACAACAACTTCTACGATGGCTATTTTGTACTTTATCAAACAAATGATAAGGATTATGAGGTACAAACTGTTCATCAAAGATGTGAAGGCAATGCAAGCTGTGTTTGCGCTATCTTCGTAAGGTCAAAGGACGATGTTATGGCCTTTGATATGTGTCGCAGAAGAAATGAAGAAAAACCTAAATCAATTAAATTTAGCACTTACGTACAAGGTGAATTAACAGTTGGAACAAAGATTTATCGTCGAGATGAGGGTATGCGTTACGAGGTACAGTCCAGTTTTTTCATGAATATAATGTCGCTTAAACTAAATGCCCCTTAAAAAACATTAGGTTGTTCTTCCCAGTGGAACTAATGTAAAGGTTGCCCAACATGGCTTCTTCCTTCATGTTTATATAACAGGAACTCCTGCTGATACAAATAGAACTGAAGGTTTATTAGCGACCATTGACATAGATAAATTCATTATCATTATTAATATTTTATCAAAAATATGATAGGATTATGCGGATTTTATAACGGGGACCCTTCTGATGATCTCAAGCTTCGAAATGGTTCAGACTTCACCGGAGATGGAACCGGAGAAGGAGAACAACCCAGGGCATTTAATCTAGACTGGAGGTTTGCAAAAGGATAATAATAAATTATTACCGCCAATGCTAATTACCATTTTATTCATATAGAGTACCAACAAAAGACAGGCTTTACGACGGAGCAAACAAAAATGATAATTCAGCGATGATTAGTTATTGTAGATGCAACCACGTGATATTAGCAGGAGTTCAGGGGTCGTGTGAACATGGCCCTGTAGAAACTTGCAACATATATGGAGGTATTTAAATTTCTGTTAATATGACTTGTTATCAGTTGTCTGACAAACAAAATCTATTTAATATTTATAGAAGAAGTCTCTCATCATTTACCTTTGATCACACGTCACAGTAATAAACACAAGAACGAATCTATAACTGATAATTACGACATTAAAGAAAATGAATGGAATCCACCAGTGAGAGCGACACACTTTACATCAATCAACCTAGTCTCATAATTGTTCTTTTGTTTGATAGGAACTACCTGCTTGGACTAGACCTACAGAAGCTGAGGCACGTGCCAACTGCATTGAAGAAATTCAAAATACGCATCCCCTCTTGAAAAATCCAGATTACTGTTCAGCACCATTAAATATTTTTGATCCATTAACTTACGACGAAGAAATTGAAATATGTATACAGGACACACAAGTAAATCATAATATATAGAATTATTTCTCAATAGTAAATCATCAACTATCTTTTAGTTTACAAAAGACACAAGAAAATGGACTAAATGGTCAGTTGAAGCAGCTAAAGAGCTTTGTATGTCACAAGTACATTGGCAAAGAGATATGTTTGATGACTATCGTGTCCTAGCCAACAAAAGTTGCATAAACGACTGTTCCAATCAAGGAATATGTACGGATGAAGGAAGTTGTCAATGTAATGAAGATATTGGCGGAGGTGATTGTAGTTTAAGTTTGGGTAGTGAAGGGCTACAAGTCAGAGGCATGCTTCGAAACGGTTTATGCGATACAAGAAGAGAAAATTGTAGTTCAATCGTTCTTTTTGGTAACAATGTATTGAACAGAAGAGATATTAAATGCCAGTTAAAAGAAGTGACGGTAATAGTTGAAAAATTATAGTTATTTCTTCTAGTTTTTATAAAACCTGTTATATTTTAGGTTTCTGGAACGAATGTTAAAGTAACAGGCAAAGAGGATACGGTCGACGCCGTATCTGTTTCAAATTCGCAGTTCTATTGTCCGCTACCACAAGTAGGAAGTTATAGAGTATCATTTGCATCGCCTAGACTAGCAACGATGCGAAGAATGAAAAGAAGTATATCTACTTTTATGGAAACACTTTTATTTATTTCTCACGATACTGCATGCTACACTTGTGCGACTCGAGGACAGAATGGCGAGTGTATCAGGTAAAGTCTTTATTTTATAAATGTCAAACTGTTGTGTTGTAACTATTTATGTATTCTGATTAATTAGACGCAAGGAAAGAGACCATTGCGTAATAGATGACAACTGCTTTATGGATCTTGAAGAAAAGCCAAAGGACGATTGCCGAATTTGTAATGCTACAGAATCAACTGCCGATTGGTCTTTCAAACATGGTAAAGTTGAATATATTTGAATGAAGATAATGATAATAGAGCTAAATCATTGATTAATTCAAACAATTTTAGAAAAGAAATGCAAGGATCTTGAAAGGGAGGAAGAGAAGAAGAAGAGTGACGATAAAAGACTCAAGAAAATCCGAATTGGAACTTCAATTTCTCTGTCAGTGATTATAATCGTTGTTGCGATAATATTATATGTAGCAATTGGACGACAGTACGTAAATTATTCTTCGTTTTAATGAATAGTCATTAAAAACTACTATAGTAAATGATTTTTTCATTTTAGCGAAAAGGTCTCTGATACGGATTCTGACATAGGAAATGATCTCCCTGTTAAAGAATTGAAAACTGGAAATGGTATAACCGGTTACGATAATGAAGTTTTTGCCGATGAACAAAAGATTAATACGTTAGAAAATGAGTTGGCAAGGCTTAAGCAAGGAGAAAGGATTAGAACAACGAGCGTAAGCAGTCTTGGTTCTATTGGAATTGGCGGGGCTGGACCAACAACATTCAGCAAACCAACATTTACTCATGTATACGATAACCGTTCTTATCGATCAAGAGAAAACTCGCATAGTGGAACTTTACCTAGAACAAATAGAGTAGAAAACAAACCAAAATCTGGTATAGCATCATCTCCTAGTCCAATGAAAAAAGAGGAACATAACAACACAACACAGTTATAGGGAGATTTTCATTTTTTTTATTAACTTGAAACAATGACTTGATATCTCCTGTTTTGTCTTTCATAAGCTTTGTTATTTTCATGATTATTTAAGAGAAAAGTGTATATTAAAATCTGAAGATTATATAATTTGCATGTATAATTTATTCATATTAAAAATACAATTTATTATAATATTTATCAATATAAGCCCTTAGACGGATAAATAGAAAGAAAGGGAAGAAGAAGAAGAAGAAGAAGAAGAAGAAGAAAGATTATAATTTTAAATTGGAAAAATCAGTTTCTCATATCAAATATAGAAAAAAAATAACCTTAAATTGTTAATCAAATTGTTCTAGTTCAGTAAAACGTAGTATTACTCTGTAAAAATCCTCTTTATCTTATCTTCTTTTTTAACACTCAATGCTATCTCCTGTAAGATAAAGATTGGAATAACTAAAATCCTTACAGGTTTATAATTACGTCTTAAAATTGATTAATTGAATTAAAAATATGAGAATCTTTTGGGAAGATTAAAGATAAAAAAGAATTTTGTTTTCTATCATCGTAAAATACAAACAAAAATCACTTTTACTAAAGTTACATACAGTTTATTATACAAAAGGAACATAATTACAAAGACATTTGGACCTAATTGTTTACATATGTTTAGATCTTTTAAGAATATAATCGCCGTGGATTCAAAAAGTCCTCTTTGTTGTTCTAGGCTTTTGTCGGTTCATCTTAGAAGAGAAAAGAGTTAGAAAGAGGAAGATCGGAGAAAAAAATTGAGTATAGACTAATCTAGCATCAATTATACTCTTAGCAAGGTCTTTGTTTGTTTATTACTTTCAGATAAATTAGAATACAAATTTAAAATGGCCGAAGAGGACATTGAATTGAACGGTGACAATGGAGAAACTGAATCAGGGGTGGATTGTAAAATTGAGAGATTCATTAAATATCGCGTTGGGGAAAGACCTCCCCTACTTTTAACTGCTGTATACGCTTTTGAGGTTCTTATCATTTCATAGATTAAATATTGTATATAGTAAATGTTTAAACATACCTAATGAATTAATTTATACATTTTTATTATTAAATACTATGTAATTTTTCAAAACCAGCATCTACTTATTGTCATCAGCACCCCAATCATTTTCGCTACTTTTCTAAGTGCTAGATTGTGTAATAGTAATGATTATACGCTGCAAATAAACTTGAGCAGTATGTCCTATTTGGCCTCTGGAATTGCAACGCTCATTCAGGCTATTTTTGGATGCCGTCTACCAATCATTCAAGGTCCTTCATTCTCTGTATTTGCTCCCATTGCCGCCCTAGAGCAATTACCAAGTTGGGAATGTAATTCGCCCAATAATACAGCCGTTTACGAGATTCTCTCTCCTAGGGATAAACTAAGATCGGTTAACTTTTTCTTTAAATAGAGATAATCTTATAAAACAATGTCAAAGAAAATTCTTATTTCTATTAACAACAGATCAGTGGTGGGGTCCTGCTTGCCTCTCTAGTTCAGATGTCTTTAGGAGCTTTTGGCCTTATAGGTCTTCTTATGAAGGTAATAGGTCCCTTAACCATCGTACCAACAATATTTTTACTCGGCTATACCCTAATAACTCCAATGGTGAGCATGTGCGAACCAAGTTGGTCTATAGCTTTTCTTCAGGCCAGTCTTATTCTACTATTCTCAAACTTAATGGGAAAGTTGGAAGTTCCCATACCATTCTTCAGCTGCAAACAGAGAAAGTGTAAAAAGATAAATTATCAACTTTTTAGAACTATGCCGGTAAAAGAATATTATAATACGAATATGAATATAGATATATCTTATTTTATTGGATTTATATAGATTTTCTTAGCTATGGCCCTAACTTGGAGTTTATCTGCAATTTTCACTCATTATAATATCTTCTCATCAAATCCCAATTCAACGAGCTTTAAAGCAAGAACCGACGCTAAAACCAACGTTATATCTAAAACACCATATTTTACATTACCTAATCCAGGAGATATAGGAAATCCCAAGTTTGAATTACCAGCTTTCATGGGTATTTTAATAGCTGTTATTACGTCAACTCTCGAATCAGTTGGCGATTATCATGCTGCTGCAGCTATCAGCGAGGAGCAACCTCCACCTAAACATGCCATAAATAGGGGTATTTTTATGGAGGGTGTAAGCGGTGTCTTTACTGGAATAATGAATGCGGGTCATTTGACAACGTCCTACAGCGGTAGTGTAGCAGCTATAGGAATATCAAGGGCTGCTAGTCGTGTTATATTTTTATGCTTTGCCTGTTATGTAATATTCTTAGGGGTTTTTTCTAAATTTAGCGCCATTTTCCTGACAATTCCAGGTGTTTATAAATTACATACTAATAACAAACAGTAACAGACTCTTAAACTCTTAACGCCTCTCTTTAGATCCTGTCTTTGGTGGTACTGTTATGGCCCTAATAGCTTTACTTACTGGTTTAGGCTTTTCTTATCTTCACTATGTTGATGTTAGATCAACTAGGAATATGCTTGTTCTTGGTATGGCTATTATAGTTGCTGTTAGTATTACATCGTTCCTCAGTAGCCATAAAGGTTACATTCAGACAAGTAAGTTTCTATGGTAATACAATTCTTGTTTTCATTCTAAATAAATATCAAATATTTTTGAAGGTATTCCGCTTTTAACTGCAACACTTACAGTTCTACTGCATTCCCCTATGTTCCTTGGTGGATTAATGGCTTGTATTCTAGATAACATTTTACCTGGTTCGGCTGAATCAAGAGGAATAAAAAGTTGGAGACAACACAAAGATGCTGAAGGATCTGCAAAAGCAGATAGAGATGAAATTTACAAACTACCCTTTCAACATAAATACGAAAATAGTAGAATATTTAAGGTCTTGTGTAAAATATCGCCCTTATTTCCTAACTTTACTATGCCTGATATTACCAAATGTTTTAGAAGATAATACTTAAGTTTGTCAACAGATATATATATATATAATGTAAAGGAATCAATATTAGATAGTACGTTCCTAAAAAGTAAATATGCTTGAGTTTTAGATGATAATTACCGTTTATTTCAAGTTGATAGAACAACAAAATTCGGTTCAATATATAGTTGTGTTATAACGCAGATATAGTAGAAAAAAATCCACTGAAGGCATTTATAGTTTCTTTTTTTTTGTTTTAAAACAGTCTTCATATATATTAAACTAGTGCCCAACAGTGGTTTGTATATTTTTTTTAACAATAAAATGAACTACAAAAAAAAAAACAAGAAAACAGTGTATCTATTGGTTAACTGTTCTCATTGGTGGTGAAACCAAGATAACACCATCACCTCTCACGAATAGCATTGGAATTTTTCTACGGCTTGATTTATACATTTCTTCGTACGTTTCTTCGTCGATTTCAACTGTAGTCACTGTTTCTTCGACGTCTCCCAAAATCATGTTTAAATGCTGGTCGAAAGCGTGCAAAATACCCCGTAATTCTCTTCCATTTCTCATTTTAACATAGATTTTTTCATCCAAACTTAATCTTACCAAATCAAGCGGTTCTTCGACGCTTTGCAAAGCAACAACACCCTGTTCTTGTTCGTCCGCCATTTTGAAGTAACACCGGTAACCGGTTTTTGTAAAAGGAAACTAAACTGAATTACCGATCAATTGGCGACCGGTTCATATCTATTGATAAGGAAACTACAAGTACAATTCCTAGGAAAAATTTCTCGTCTGCACTAACATTAATTCACCAATTCTGAACTATTACAGTTACATCGAATGTATGGTAAAATATCTGCGAAAGACCCATTATGTTGCTGCGAATATGTTGATAAAAACTCAGAAAGAAGTCATGTTTTAGCCAGTTGCTGTGATTGCGAGGCCCTTGATTCAAGTTGTGACCAGTTAGTCAACCATATTAATTTCTTAGTTCAAATATATAGAAATATTAAAATGGAAATTTTATTTTAGCTGTATTAGATGTAAACCAATTCCACAGAAGACGCTAAACGATATGATTGATACTATTGGTGATAGATGTCGGCTACCCATGTGCTTCGGAAAGGGAGCCATTCAAATTCGTCTCGATACTGCTATTCCAGTATTATTGGTCCCATCTAGCATCCTATTGGCAACTCTTGGACCATATTTTACAGCATTTTCCTTTTGTACTTTGCCTTTGATGATATACTTTTTCTATAGAGTCCTAACTAGAGATAAATTAATAAGAACAGACATATTTTATACATTCGGCCTAACATCTGTCTTTCTTATGTTTTATACCTTCGAATTTGTTGTCATAGGATATAGAGAAATTCTATTATGGGAGAATATCGTTGTTGTCATTCTGTTTTCTTTATTGCTAATTTGTTTAATCAGGGCTCGTAAAGATCCTGGAGTATTGCAGAAGAGTAGCAAAAAATCAAATGAAAGTTATCTGAAAAATCATGTTGCAGAAAGTCACCCAGTTGCTCACATACTAAAAAATAGTTTTGCAGTGTCAGACGAAGATATTACAGACTGCATTACTGATAGGGCGTCTACGAAATCCTTAGATAGCGACCAAGTAAATTGGGCTGATTCAAGAGGATTTATAAATGGAAAATTAAACACTTGGTGTTCTCAATGCGACTTAAGGAGGATTCCTCGATCTGGTCATTGTCCCATTTGCAGAATCTGTGTTAGAATTCGATGTCACCATTGTTTATGGATAGACCGATGTGTAGGAAATAATAATCATCGCTTTTTCTTTTTTGGCCTTTTGCTCTCAGTTCTGCTTGGATATTATGGCAGTCATTTAACACTTACAACAATATGCACACCAAAAATGTATTACGACTGGTTTCTAATACCTGATGACTGCCGATACTTGTATGCAGATCTACCAACAGCGTTATGTTTTGTTTCAGCCATTTACACGATTATCTTCACAACGTTTTTATCTTTTATTCTTCTGCAGCAAATTCTCTTGATTTCACAAAATGCAACTTCTCAAGAATTACATCAAGCATCTATACGTGGTTATACAACTTGTATATTATTTATAAGGAAGAAAAATAATCCTAATGATAGAGGATTGTTTTGGAATTGGATAAACTTTCTCGGAGGAAATCGAAAAGAACGCTATGGACATTATGATATTTAGAATTAGTCTTTCTTTATTACTTAATTTTTCATTCTTTAGGTCTTTATTATATTTTGCTAATCCGAATATTTTCTCACGCACAACTCCTATTCATACTTTCTAAATCTCCTTTGCTATGGAAGTAGTATGGAAGAGAAATGAGAATATAGAAGAAAACATTCCAATTATGATATGAAAAATATTCATACTATTAAGAGATAATGCTAAAAGAAAAAATTTATTCTCTCATTTCTAGTTTTAGAAAGGATTTAGGATTACTCTTTCCTGGAGCTAGCATATGGTAAATAAAGGAAAGCAAAGTAATACAAGTACTAATTTGTGGAATCTAAACATTTGTTGGGGGAAAAAAGTTGGAAGGGAGTGAATTTATACAACCAGGCTGAGACTAGCCGAAAATTTTAATTATGGACGTTAAACTTGAATATTTTCGGCCAAGTTTTGTTAACATATTGATTATAATACACCGTTAATAAAAGACAAAGAAGGCGTAGTTTTTGTTATAGAATCTGCATATTTGACGATTGAACTCAATAGGTTACTACTCTACTAGATCTAACTAGTACTTGACTGAAATATTCTGAGTATGTTCCACGTCAGTGAGCGCCATCTTTCTTCTATTTTTTTAGTAACCTTTTAATAATAAGAAGAAAGAGAAATAAAAGGAACAAAGAATATGTTTTCCGGCAATAGTTTAACTTATAAGGCGACCGACGCGTCTGCTGTAAATAATATATCGAGATCGTTGAGGTCTAGATATCCGCCTCGATGGCGAGATTACGCATCGTACACGGAGGAGTTACAGAATAGAAACGGAATCTCTTTCAATTTATTCGTCCGAATAGAGAAATACGTAAACTATATATCGGGAGTAGTGTCAAGAATAAATATGGATTTTAAAAATTGTGAAGACCCGCTAAAAATGGCTGTTGTAAAATTTTATATATACGGTATAAACAAGAGATTGGATAGGTTATGCTCCTACGTAAATTCCAGATTACCACTAACGGTTCAGGTTATAATAACAATACGGATTACCTTGAAAAAAAAAACAAAAAATAAATAAATAAATAAAACTAGAAAGAATTAGATTAAAGAATAACTCTGGTTTTTTTTTTACTTTCCCCACAATAGGAGATGTATAGAGCAATGAGACGAGACGGCGTTTACAACGAACAAGAATTCGTTAGGGGTTTATAGAATGGGAATGAAGAGAGGGAAAAGATTAAGAAAGAAAGAAGGAACGTGGAAGAAAGACGCGTAAAATTGTTTTATTAGTTCCTTTTATTGGTTTGTAAATCTCTGGCCCTTGATCCGCCTTCTACGAGTACTTCTACTCCTACTCCTACTTTTACTCACCTCTTTTCCCTCTTATCCTTTTTTTTCTACTTTCTCTTTTGGCAAGTTTTTAAAAAAATATGAACTCTTAATCTCAAAAAAATAGGCAAAAGGTCTAGTAAATAGCTACAAAAAAATGTTGACTTTGTATGATTTTTTGTTTGTTTATTTGTTTATTTTTATTTTCCTTTAAAAAAAAAAGACCTTGACAACAATCCACTAAACCTTCATTCTGATTCGGTCGAACGTGTCCGGAATTGGTTGATTGGTTGATCGAATTACCTGAATCGTTTTTCGCTGTTCTTGGAGCTAATCGTTAGCGTTGAATCGCTCGAACTTGACGAATCGGAATTCCTACTGACTGTAGTCGAGCCTACAGGCAAATTACTCCAAAAGGAGAATTTATCTGCGTTATGACTTTGCCACCTCATTTTATAAACTGACAAATCGGCGAACTCTTCCTCTTCCTCGTACTTCCTCCTAATTCGTGATACATGAAACCAACCGAAAAAACTAATACCAAACACAGCAGTAACCGTAGCAACAACTATTATAAAAGTTAATCCATTGGCTAATTTATCATCTAGTTTATTCGTCACTTCCATCCGTATATCGTTGAATCCTATCCTGCCAAATTTTGGGACGCAATCTGCTTTAGATGGAAACGGAGAATTACACAATCTAATCCTCTCTTTATCCACCGATTTACAAGCCTTTTGTGGGCATGGATACCACTCACTCCAAACTCCCCAATTACCAAAATAGGGTCTCCAGCAAATAGTTGGCAACCTCTCATTACAATCAGCAATCGTATAATTATAATCACCGTTTATAGTTATTCGAACTTTAAAGCAATATTTATGTAAATGATTAATCTGTGCTAAATAATTAAATTGTTGATTATTGGTTGAAATTTTATGATTATCTTTCCAACGTGACTGTTGCCAAGTCCATTGTTGAGATTTTTGAATAAATCTTAAGCTAGTCCACACGTACACCGGGGTCTCTAGTTGGCTAGAAATTAACTTTGTTAGAGCTTTGTGTTCCTGGTCTATTTTTGCCACGTGCATACCGTAGGCATGACATAGTGCAACCGCTTCATAATAGGTTCTATCGCCTGTGAGCATGATGCAATCGTGCGATTGTTCATCATAGGTTGTGATCGGTAAGAGCTTCTTCTTATCCCAACTACAATGGTGTAATATCCTAGTCTGGGATTTTAGTATGTAATCCGCTTTTAAGCAACCAACAGGAAAAGTACGTATATATTTAGTAGAAGACACCCATCCTTTTATTAGATCACTACTCATTTTCAAACGTAAATGATCCTTTTTCCTGGCGCATACTGATTGTGAAATCTTGCATCTTTTTGCAAAAAAGGAAAATATTTGACAATTTTTCATTTCTAAACAATCCCTTAGGCATTGATTGACATCCTTAGAACTCCTTGAGTGCCCAGCATTATCTATTCGTAATCCATATTTGCATAATTTGCAATTGTATCTAACAAAATTAAATTCTAAGTTGGTATTTTTATAAAAGAAATTTAACGTCTTTGTAGCTGGACGAATTTCTCGTGTAAGTCTGTTAGATAATTTAAGGGATTGTAACCTCTCTAATAGATGTGAGGAGTTAATTGATGCATTGTAGATAGACAGTAATCCATAGAAAGTAGTAAGCAGGATCGTAAGTACAAGCAATCGATTCCTATTAAACATAAAGGATACGAGAACAAAATATAAGGGAACTTTTATATTCTTTGTTGTTTACTTGTCAAAACAATATGCAGGTATATGTATATACATAGACATACAACTAATACTTTTATATACTGTATATACAGTATATACGTATTGTACATAAATGTAAAATCGCACTTTAAACTACTACTAATGTAGTAATATCATGCTCATTTTCGTACTTAGAATATGAAGCTAACAATGCAATATTTAAAAAGTCGAAAAAAAAAACATATTTAGGCCTATGCGAATGAAAAAAATCCTTTCACTCTTTCTTTTTGATTAATAAGGAATAGGGTATACTTTTGTAATAGGTTGGAGTATGTTAGATAGACAGGTAAAGAGAAGGAAAGAGAGAGGTCTTACACTGCTTGAAGGAATCGAGAAAGCGTAAGTAATAGGGTGAGTGAAGGAGAATTAACAGTATGGGTTAATATGGAGGAGTGAAGGTCGAGGAAATGAAGAAGGAAGTAAGATGAGGATAATAGGGTAAAGAGGTCAAGCAAATTCCTCTAAATACATTCGCATTATATTTTATCCTTCGTATGTAGTTTGTTAATAACTAAATTAAGGATATTTATTCCAACATAAATATAAACTTGTTGTTTGTCTTTTGTTTAAGCATTGGGGCACTTAAGATCTACTTTATTAGAGTCGGTAAAAAGTTTATCCGTATAGACTGTCGAATTAATCGGAACAGCTGAATTGAATAAAGAGGGCGCTTGCAATAGTAACGACAGACTACAAACGCAGACAAGTGATGTATAGACGAGAAAGAAGAGCCTGTCGATAACCAATGCTACGTATTTCCATTCTTCTCTTTCCTAAATAGAAAAAAAGGGGGAAAATTAAAAAAAAACATGGGAAAAACGTCATTACTAATTACGATTAATCGATAATAAACTGTCGGTAAAAATTCTCTTACCAATCTTTGGGAATCGTCATCCTTTAGATGTTTAGTGACAAATAACAAACCATCGATCGCCTTTTGCACGTTCGCCGGATAATTGCCGCGCCGATTCCTGATTGGAACGTTACATTCTTTACACAATTTATTCGCTAACTGGATTCTTTCCCGGGGTACTCCAACGAATGTTGAACTAACTCTATTTAGCCCATCCTCCTCGTCTACATCATCATCTCCGTAGACAATTTCCTCTTGCCTAAAGCGGCGATCGTGCATCCGCTTTCGACCAAGAACATACTCTTCATCTTTCCATATAGATGCCTCTTTCTTTGATCTAGGGCGTTTCATTAAAAGTATTGGAGGTAGAAAATCGAGAAACACTGCACTTATCCAAGGAGGCATTGAATGAGACGTTGGTGAGCGATATCTTAAATTTAAATTAATAACTGATAGCACTATAGACAATATTAGTAGAACCATAGTAAAGAGTAAATATTTCCCCATCAGAGGTATACCGAATCTGGACGTTGGAGGTATCAAATCAATTAGGAGCAGGAAAAAGACAGTTAAAGAGAGCAGGATGGTAACAGAAACGCTTATCTTTTCTCCACTATCCGCGGGGAGATAGAAGACGAGAACTGTAAGAATGTTGATACAGACGCAGGGTATAATCAAGTTATACGTATAAAACAGCGTCTTTCTCCTTATCTTTATCCAGAAGGTCACGTCCGGGTACACTTCTGCGCAGCAAGGATATTTACTGTAAATCGAAAAAAAAAGCAACCCCCCCTTAAACTATAATAATTGCTGATACGGAAAATATAATAGGCTAGAATAATTGTTACATGCGAGTCTTTTTTGCAGGAGCGCCCATAAGATCCCATTCTTGATTAGGGTAATAACCATCTAGATCTACTCCGCTCTTTATACAATCCTCTTCTCCTCTGTGTAATAACTCAGTCCAAATATGCTTTAAATCTACTTGGGTTCCGTCATACGACCATATACCAAATTTCAATTTGCAGACTTGCTGATCGAACGGAAAGTATTCAATATTAATCTCGCATTGGAATTTAAAGACGGCCGGTGGCTCCCAAAGTATAGTACCGTCCCATGAAACGGTTGCTTTCGTACGTAGAGTAATTGTGTAGTCGCCATCGGCGCTGTTAATACGAGTACGATTATTGATTATTGAAGAGAAAACGCTTTATCCTATTTAGTATTTATATGAATTTCTTTTTACAGTATATATACTGTATTTATATATATATATATATCTGTTCTACAAAGGAATGTATATAAATATATAGGAGGGAATTCGACCGCAAATTACTTATTGTATAAGACGATATCGGGTAGCCAAAGATCTTCGGACGGTATATTTATCCTCGTTACGTTGCCGTATTGGCTGGGATTCCATCCCAGTTTCGTATCCCTCCATTCTTGTATAAGTAGGACGTTAGCAGTAATGATTTGATTCTTTTCGTCCTGTATTTATGGTTTCAATTGTACATAAAGCATAGAATGATCAAATAAAATCTATATATTAATTAGTCTATAAGTTATTTCTGTTTTTTATATATTTTTTATTATTCGCCTCGCCCGATTGGTAGCGGAGAATAGGTTAAAGTCGGCCTCCATCTATCTTTGTTTACGCCCCTTTTTTCGCCTATATTATCGTCGTCGTCCAGGGCGTTTCCCTATGGGCTAGGCAACAACCGTCCCGTTGTAGGCCTGCTATGGTAAAAAGGGGTGGAAAGGGAAAGAAAGAACGATTTAGGAGAGGGCCGAACTATGGGAATGAGGGAGGGAGTGACTGAGCGAATGAGTAAGTGGCCAGACGATGCGAATTGCAGCTGTTTCGTACACGTTTCTCTCCTCTTCTTGAGAAAAATAATCGAATTTAAAGTACACCTTGCGTCTTTGAATATATGTACATATATATACATACGTAAATATATAATAGTCGAATAGATTATAAAAACGGCTGCCTTAATCGAATCGGCCTCGGGGATAAGTAAAGCGTTTCGGTTCTGCTTATTTACTCGCGCGTCTTAAATAGGCGGACGAAGAACGCGTTCCAACTGAATTAAACATGCGTAAAATAGCCCCAAGACCTCGCGAATCTTCACTCTCCCACCCATCCCATATTCCCTATCATTTTCTCTTTAACTCGTTCTTCTTATTGGTTCGACACCTCCAAATCTTTTTATCTTCTTCAAGTCTCGGCGCTTGTTATCCTCTACTTTATAAAAGGCTTAATAGTGGGGGAGGGAGGCTGATTGCGAAATTCGTCCAGGGGAGGGAGAGAATAATAATCGGGTGAGGCGGGCGCTTATGTACTCACCACGTCCAATAACTGAGCCAATCGAAGTCCCACTTTAATATCAAGAATATCAGTTGAATTTCTCACTGGTCTAATTAAGCGGTTGTAGTCTCTTCCTTTCATCAATTCGTCAAAAAGAAGTTTAGCAGCGTTGTGAGCCACTGACCGATTAACGTAGACGAATTGGAGTAGGAGGAGTAATATTATGCTCATTCCGTTGCTCCTCTTTCCTCCTTCAAAGATTTGATTCTTAAAATTTCAAAAGAAAAGAATACGAGAAAGCTGTATCTTTCCCCCTCAATGTTTTTGCCGTCTTCGTCGTCGTTTTTCTCTGCTAGTCCTTTTTTTACTATATTCTGTCACTGCTGCTGCTGCTGCTGCTTTCGGTTTTCCTTATCTCGCTCTTGTTCTCTTCTCTTCAATAGTGGTAAGAAATCGAAAGAAAGAGGAGATATATATGAATATATATATATATCAATATATAACAGATAGATAACATAAAAGAATAGTATACAATATAATTATCTTAACATATATATGCAATATTTAAATACATAAATAGATATTAATAATTATATTTATAAATATATATATATATATATAAATATAAATATATAGTTATATTTATACTTCTATATATAAGAATTCACATATAAAATCGAGATATAGAGATTCAAAAAAGAAAGAGATAGATAGAGCGACAAATAGACAGATAGAGAGAGAAAAAAAATAAAAAAAAGAAAAATTCCTCCTCGCAGCTTTAGACACGCATGCGCAGGGGGCAAAAGACGAGCGTTAAAAAAATGAGAGAGGGAGAGAAGAGAAGGCTAGAGCACGGTCGGCTGGCCGAGTTTGAGTGATGGTCAGTTGCTCGGCTGCCACCAATTGCTGTACGCGGAATAAATCAACTACTAGCAAACAAACGCCTATTCGCCGACGACTTTTTCGCGCGCTTTTCTATATTTATTGTACATATAGCGGAGAAAGACGGCTAACGCCTGCAACACCTCTGACTGATCTACAGTATGCAGTATATATAAAAAAAACTATTTATTATATATATTTATATACAGAATATGTATTACCTTCTAACTTTATGATGTTATAATACAGACATCTCAGTAGAATAGACGAATAAAGTGATATAAAAGCAATTAAACAGCGGGCACGCTTACCGTTGAAGTTGAAAGAAATCGATGGTAAGTGTGTAACATCTGTATGAAAGGAGAAGAACAAGCTTGGAAAAGTCGAACGTTAAATTGATTATAGAAAAAAAAGGGGGCGGGCGGAGAGGAAAGGAAGAGCCTTATCTGAAATTGTTACTATTCCGTCGGTAATGGAGAGCAACGTTCCAATAAGGATAAACTGAAAGATAATACTGAGTTTGCAAATGTCAGAGCAGTCAGATAGAAGGCATGCTATATCTTTTCCTACACCTGGCGTAAACTTCTCAATGCTTTCCTATACCGTGCTACTAGTGTTTCTCCTCCTCTACTCCCTTCCAAGAGCTGTTCAAGGAAGTGGACCAAAGTGTGAAAATTACACTTTTCCAGGAGAGTCAATTTACAAGACAACAAAGAAATTATACAGCCATTTATTCAATAATCGTTCGTATAACAAGCTAATAAGACCTGTGGCGAAGGAGACTGACGTTCCCCGTATCACAATTGAACTTAAACTTACTCAGATCATAGACGTCGTAAGTATCATATTCTTTGACTTTTGAAATCAGACAAAAGAGAAAGAGAACGGGATAGCCAGTGAGAAAAAGTAAGAGAAACAGAGGTAGAGATAGAGACGGAGACGGAGCGAGACTGAAAAAGAAAGAAAGAAAGAAAGAGAGAGAAAGAGAGAGAAAGAGAGAGAGAGAGCGAGAGGAAGGGGAGGGTGAGAGAAAGAGAGGAAAGAAAAAAGGAAACGAATGAATGAAAAAGAGAAGAAATAAAAGAAAAGAAAGAAAAAGTTACCGTTTCTCTTTTCCTTTTTTTAACCCACCCGTCGCCCCATTTTCCCCATGTCCATATCCATTTTTTTTAACCCTAAAAAACCCTTCCCCATCCTAGAACACATAATCGTATAAAAGAGTCAGTCTCTTTATAGAATCATTCATATAAAGAGAATTGTATAAGAAGAGGAAAAAAAATTTTCGTAAACGTCGATAAACGAGCTGCGGTTCGCCGAATGGCGAGTAAATATAATTGAATAGAAGAACGAGCGAGAAGGGGACAATGAGTCAAATTGCATCAAACAGAAGCGTCGTCGGGACGCTTCTGACGTCTAATAATCAACGCCGTTGACGTCTGATCGCGAATAGCTTGTATGCTATTTTTGCCTTCTTTTTTTTTTGACTAACTGCCTTCTGTTAGCGAAAATAACTCAAATGTTATCGTACTTTTGTCTGGTTTCGTCTGCTAGACAATTAATTTGGAATTACTATAAGGAACACTAATAACGATAATAATGATAATTGATAGGATGAAAAAAATCAAATTATGACAACCAATATTTGGTTAAAACAAACTTGGAATGACAGAAGCTTAACGTGGAATCCGGCAGAATTCAGACAAATCGAACAACTAAACATACCGATCAAGAAACTGTGGACGCCGGATATAGTCGTCTTTAACAAGTAAGCGTCCCTCTCACTCTCTTTCAGACCTTTTTCCTTTTATAAATACCCTCTCGCATCTGTCGTTCCTATTAGTATTTGACGGCGAAGAAAACTTATGGATCTCTTAGGGCCTAACAGTAAAACACCTCCTCTCGCCCTCCCTCGACTAAAACGCCTCTTCCCTTTCCCCTTTTCTACTCTTTCTTTCGTTCCCCCCATCCCTCCCCTCTTTCTCGATTTATCCGATTTATTTACTTTCGACCCTCTTTTCCCTTCTCTTGTGAGTTTTTGCTACTACCAAAAAACCTCCTATATACTCGCGATCAATTTAAGAAGTAAAGTAGTTTTTTCGTTTCTTTTCGCCCACACCCTCGACGTTTACTAATGGACGCTTTTCACGCACTAAAAAAATAGCGCTGACGGCAATTACGAATTGAACCGGGACACGATCGCCAATATTCACTATCACGGATTAATCGAATGGAACGCCCCAGCTTCGGTAAAGACGTCCTGCAATATGAATGTCAAGTTCTTCCCGTTTGATGAGCAAGAGTAATAATAATTTTCATTGTTTTTAATTAATGACTAATTAATTAATATTATTCACAAGCTGCGATATTTTCTTTGTATCATGGACTTATAACAAGAACGAAGTAGATATACTCCATGAGAAACAAGCGGAAAATTCTAGCGACGTTAATGAGTTCGATACGATCCAACCAGGAATTGATTTGTCCGAATTCTACGAAAATGGAGAATTTGATATAATGTCGGTAAGTTTGTCTTTCTTGTGTTTGCTTTTGGGGAGGGAGAATGAAATCGGGAGGGAGAAAAGAGGGGGGAAATCGAGAGCCGAAAGGCAACAATCGATAGATAAGCAAATCTCTATTCGACGCAGGTCCGAGCGGTTAAAGGCTATCAGACTCTAGCCGGATCGGAGGAAGAGTATCCGTATTTTAGATTTACGATCGAACTACGCCGAAAGTATCTCTTCTATCTCATGAATCTAATAATACCGTTAGGGGCTCACGCTTTTCTTACTATCTGCGTCTTTTATCTACCGAGCGGAAGTAGGGAGAAGGTGGCCCTTTGCATTAACATCTTCTTCTCCTTAACTGTCTTCTTCTTATTGTTGAGGGAGATAACGCCCCCATCATCTCTTGTTGTGCCAATGTTGGGGAAATATTTGATATTTACGTTAGTGATAGTGACTACAAGCGTCATAGTGACAAGTTTAACTTTGAATATACACTTTCGGGCAGCGTCTCAACATATGCCCGCCTTTTTAAGAAAGTTCTTTATATATTGGATGCCTAGAATTCTAATGATGACTAGGCCAAAAATTGAAAACAGTCACGATCTCTTATTAAAGAATCTAAAGATCAGCGTCTGCTCGTGCATGAAAGGATCTAATAAAAAGTTTGATCGGGACTCCCCAAATTCGTCTAGGAATTACTATTCGTACAGCTCGTCTCGTTCTAAGACGCAAGTCGAGTTAATTAGGCTATCGGAAGAGTTGGAGAGTGGTACAGCTAATGGTGGTCGACATCTTCGAAATCGCCACTTTCGGCACGGAAGGCCAACCGTAAGAGATACGATTGAGAGCGCCATCTACATAGCCGATCACTTGAAGGAGGAGGACGATAAAAATCGGGTAAGTGTACCTCTTTCCCAGATCTACACAACCATTATTAAGTACTCTTTCCTTCCTTTAATTAACGCGAAACAACCAGGCAAAGGAAGATTGGAAATATATTGCACTCGTTATCGACCGCCTCTTCTTCTGTGTCTACATATCAACGGTAATAGTAGGAACTTTGGCCATACTCCTCCAAGCTCCCCAATTATACGATTCTCGAACTCCTTATTTTATAGAGGGCGTCACTAACTTTAAGAATTATACTAGCGCCAATTCGACTTATGACTACAAGTGCCTGGGTGAGCCTATTAGTGAACGGAAAACTTAATCAATTCGCTTTCTTTGTGTGCATTGTATGTTAGAAGAAACTATACAATATACTCCACAGTATATATTGTATTATACTCTGTACTCTATATAATGATACACATTGTATATATACTTTATATACATATAAAGTATATATATATATATATATATATATATATATATATAGTATTTATACAATTTCCATGAAAATCTACCTCCATACTCACTTTGAAATTAAATAATAATAAAAAAAAGCAAAAGAAAAAAAGAATGAAAAGACGCGAGAAGACAAAAGAGTAGCTTCTTCTAAAGGAACTTTCCTTCTTCAAAGGAAAAGATTGAGGTAGTTTCAACCGTTTTTACCATTCTGATCGTAAAAATTGCCCAATTTTTGTCATTCTACTTATCTTCACTCTAACAAGTAGGAAATTCGTGAGGATCACTCTAATTATTATGGAAAAGAAACGTCTGAATTGTACTACGTATCGTATATGCCAGTCTTTTTTAGTTTTCTTTTTATCCTTTTCCCCTTTATCCTCCATTCATACAAACAAATACAATTACTATCTCAAGATACGTTAAGAAATAATATATATGACACTATCATTATTTTGACGAAATTCCGATTGTTTGTCACAATCGTCATATTACAAATTGAACGATCAATGAAATAATTCTCTTTAGAGATTTGTCAATGTTAAAAGCTATACGAGGCGGCTTGTCACCACTATTGAATAAAATACCATCTCTTACAAACTCTTCCTCTCTTCCTCTCTCTTTCTTTCTCAATAAACAAGTTTTTCCAATTTTCCACAATTCTTTATCTCTATTTTTAAAATGTCCATCTTTCCCGAATCTGCCCCTTTCCTACCGTACTTACATTAACCTATTAACCTTTGCATTAATGAATATTTATTTTTCTTAAAACTTAAGACAAGACTGATGAGGTATCATTCATTTAACTTTACCGACATCTTTTAAATCACTAGCATTAGTTAGCAAAGATTTTCGAAAGGCATCCATCCTAACCCATCTATCGAATGGTCTAGGGAAAATTTGACGTTACGTCCGATTCTATTTGTTTTTTTTTATCTTCATTTATCTTCTAGGATAAAACGTATATTTCATACGTAAAACGATATTCGAAAAATAGGAATGAAAAGGCCAAATCATAGCAATGAATCACGGCTGTTTCTCACTTCTCTCTTTCTCGCTCATTCTTGCTTTCTATACTTTCTATACTTTTTTTAGCCACTTTTCCACGAGTGGCTGTAATTACTAAACGGAACTACCGTTAGAATATTATGCATATATACACAGGGAAACGACTAAGTAACTTATGCAAAGGAATTTCTTCCATATCCGTTCAATCATACTATTACGGGAAGTATAAGATGAAAGATGAGGGAGGAGGGAGGATGTAAAAGAGAAATGATAAAGGAAGAGGAAAGATGCTAGAACAATGAAACATTTACAATGTTTTCTTTCTATACATATAAAAAAAAGACTTTCATTCGCTTTTTATATCTTGAATCGGGCTCTTATCTCGTTTATCAATAGAGCTAAAATTTTACGTTTACTTTCCTACTTTTTAACTTTTAGAGAATACTGTTTTTTTCTGATTTGTAGATAAATCTTCACTCTGTTCCTGTTCTCTCTCTCTCTCTCAAGTCTGTATTTATATCTATTTATATATATATATATTTTTCTATTGCATTCCCACTCTTTTTTTTCCCCCTCTTTCTAAAGGTTAAATGTTAATATAGGTGAAGATTATTAAAATAATTCATTAATCTTTCTCTATATATTTAATCTTAGACCAAAGCTAATCTTTCTCAATAGATACATCTTTTATATATTTTCTTAAGAAATTATATTCGATATCAGAGTTTTGACTAGTGAATTTAGCCTGTACACGTATACAGTATACAAGAATGAAGGGGCAAACCGGGTGGGAGGGGAGGGGTTAAAGTTTGTATTTAAAAGAAAAGTTGTGATATTTGGGGAGAAGGGGGTGAAAAATCCATTTCCCTAACTATAGCCGCGTAAAAACAAAATGTAGTGTTACATTTGCATATATATCTATATCTATAGGTTATATACTGTATATTTTATCTTTTCTTAATGAAATAGGACGAAAAAAATCAGAAACGATAAAAGTCAGAATATAATACGAGGTTGATTAAAGACTTTTCTTATTCTTAAGTTTAATCACGTAGAGAATGGGATAAATTATACTTCAAAAAGAAAGAAGAATACTACGGCAGTAACGGGCCATTATTCTCTAATAATAATTTCTTTAATCATCTTTACCATTGTTCTTGGTTGTTGCCGCCGCTCTTTGCACTTTTTCAGACGTATAATCAATCTTAAAACCACTTGGCTCTCTAAAAGACCCGCCTAATCGATCCCAAAAAGTTGTATATTGACCGTAGTTGTAATTGTAAAATAGATGGTGGTCCAGGTGATGGGCCGCTCCGTTAATTATTGGTTTTAAGCTGCTGGGTACCCGGAAATGACCGTCGTGAATGGAGACAGTCCATACATTTACCAAAACATAAAGTATCATATATAAATACTTGTGCATTGGAAAAAGGAAAACATAGATATGATACGGTGAAGATTGAAGAAAACCATCAATGGGATGGAAAGCGTGAGAGGCAAATGGAGTTGGTACCTTCCACCAGTGATGGGGTTTATGAAGATGTTTATAGACTAGACGATGGTGTAAACCGCGATGAATCCAATAGATTAAACAATCGGTAAACAACAAGAAAGCAATCGCAGAGCAAGCAATAAGACTCCAACCTTTAAAATGCAAATGAGGAAAATATTAATAGATCTGCTTTAAAAACTCTATTCAATTTAAATATACCGTATTTAGATTCGTCAACACTATCGTACAACTTTGAATAACCTCTGACTTCTAATAGAAAACATAGGCAAGTTGGTATACCCATTCCAGGAATTGAAGAGAGAGCATAAGTTATTTCTCTTCGTATTTGATTCTTTAAGATGTGAGGATGATTTAAATACTTTTTATCGAATATGACAAAATAACTGAACGTCGCCATGGACAGGTAGAGCAAAGCTCCTCCAATGTCGACAATAAAATTCAAGCTTATGAATTGTCTGAAAATAGTGAATTTTTTATAATTTTTTTTGTTATTTTGAGGTTTTATCGATCATTTTATTCATTTCCCCTTATCATTTCATTAATCACTGACCTCCATATATTGTCTTCTTTCCACCAATCTGGATAGACGTAAGGAGTTAGGAAATGCTCGTCACACGCGTTCAGAACAACGTCCATGACCAAATGTCAGATCTAATCAATCAGACGATAAGAGGTTATCAATTATCTAAGGACAAATTGATGCTAAGCTCTGAAAATCTTTATATTTTTGCAGAAATAACATTAAGCCTAGGACTAGTTGGTCATGTGAAAATACAATATCAACATGGCGTCTGTTACTGGAACAATATTTCCTTCAGCGTCTATAAAACGGGATTTAACAACTGTTACCGATCAAGATGGCTATAGCATAAAAGTTTGTATATGTCCATAAAATTTTCAAATACTAAAGATTTAAACATGAAAACTCAACAACTTTGTAGAGTTTATCATCGATTTTCGATAGGTATTTTAAATTCGTTTCTCGCATTTTCAGTTCGATATTAGGGAAGATGAGGAGCAAAGCGTAAAGTTAAACAAAATCATTGAATATTTGCTAGCAGCTGGATACTTTCGGGCACGGATTAAGGGGTTGTCCGCATTCGATAAAGTAAAATGTCTATCAATAGTTTTTTTTTTAAAGCTGGGAGTAACTAGTCTTTTAAAAAGAGCTCTTACTACTTTTCCAGGTTGTCGGTGGTATGTCCTGGTGTATAACAACTTGTAATGTTGATTTAGATGTGGATCTTCTCTTCCAAGAGAATTCAACAATTGGACAAAAAATGTAATTAACATAATTTCTATAAATAATTATATAAGAACAATTAAGGAAGGGAAGGGAGGAGAATGGGAGATAAAGAAAAGGGGAAGGAGGCAGAGGGAGGCATCTAAACATTAGACAGTATACTAATATAATCAACTTACAATACGTTTATAGCGCCCTAACAGAGAAGATTGTAAGGGTTTTACCGAAAATGAAGTGCCCTCATAGAATTGAACCCCACCAAATTCAAGGTCTTGATTTTATCCACATTTTCCCAGTTATTCAGGTTTGTCCTAAGCAAAAATATATTATTTACTCATTATTCGGTTAAGTAACTTCGTTTTTTTATATATTAGTGGCTAGTGAAAAAGGCTATAGAAACTCGAGAAGAGACTGGAAACGTTCTAAGGGCTTTTTCTGTTTCCCAATTTAATAAGAGTCACGCCTTATCCGAGGTCCTAAATTTACATTTTCTATTTCCTTTAATAACTTTTCCTAATCGTTTTGATTCTACATTCCTCTCTTCTTCTTTGTAGGAGGAAGAGAATAAATTAAAGAAATCCTTATCTACTTTATCCGAAACAACTGTAAATATTAATTTTCATATTTCAATAATTAATTATGATATTCTTTTTTAAAATAGCAAAATTATAAACCTAAACGAGTTTACAAAAGGAGGAGAAGAGATAAGGATCAGGAATTATCAACTCGAGTTCAATTTACATTACTTGAATATGGACAGTAAGTAAATTTAGTTTTTGTTTGAACTTCTTCAAAATTCTCCTTCGAAAAGTCGATAATAATCTCTAACAAAGCGACATAGACCGATAAAAGAGTCATATTTGTAATTAAAATGGAAAATCTTGCGACGTTTGCAGATTCAATTTAGATAGTAATAGGCTATCGAAACGTCAAGAAAGTGGGCAATCAGAGGCAAAGAAAAAGGCTATTGCGGCCGGTTTGGAACAGAAAGAAGAGGGAGATGATAGTAAAGAAATTGAGAAGGTTGTTATTTTCAAATTTACCTATTAAAAACATTTACATTGTAACCTTTGCATCTTTTTAAATTAATTAAGGAAAAGTTGAAGTCTTTAATGGAGGAAATGTCCGTAATGGAAGGTAAAGGTCGTTTATCTTCTGCAATCGTTGGAAATTTAGTTAGTAGTCAAACGAAAGAAATTCATAAAATTGTTTCCGAATACGAAGAAAAGGTATTTATATAGAAAACATAACAAAATAGATAATATATTCTTTCACTTTTACTCGCTTTCCTTCTCTCTCTTTCTCTCTCTTTCTCTCTATCTAATTATCTATCTCCCAAATAGAAAGCCGAATTAGATCATTTCCAATTCAACAAAGTATCTAAAGAAGAACAACAAAATCGACTAATAAATTCACTGAGGAAAGAAATTATAATATCTAAAGATAATTACGAAAAGGTCTATTTTTTTTTTAAAAAGACAAAATCAAGTATGAAATTACCGAACTAACTATGCTGTTTTTTTTTTCTCTCCCCTTTTGAATATTCATGAATATCAAAACTAATTATACTAATAGCTAAAAGAAAAACACGACGAAATGAAAATTGTTTACGATGAGGCTAGAGAAGAATTTGAAAAAGTAATACTAATAAATAAATAAATATTATATATAAAAAGAAAACGGCTAAGAATTTTTCCTTCCTTTCTCTTGTTGTATAGAAACAAGAAATTAATGAAAATCTTGAAGAGAAACTTGTTAAATTTCACAAAATTGAAGAGGGACAGAAAGGAAGGTAAAAGAGTTTTTGTAATTGGATTGAGAGAATGAAAATAAATTTCCCCTTTCTTCTTTAAAATATAAAACAGAATTGTGAAAAACTTAAGTAATTTGGTTATTGAAAGTGAAAATTTGAAAAGGAAGGAAGAAGAATTTAGGGAAGAATGTAGAAAGGAGAAGGATAATTTAGAAAAACAAATAAAAGAATTGGAAGAATCAACTGTAGATTTTGAAGATCCTAAGGAGAAGGAGCATTTATTAATGATCGAAGAGCAATTGGGAGTCGATAATAAGAAATTGCATAAAGCTAGATTACAATTGGTAAGTGAATAAAAGTTAATTTACTAATTGCGTATTACAAGGTTTTTTTCTCAATTTTTTTTTTGTAGGCAAAGGTAAACAGAGATATTTCATCACTTCAAAGGAAATTAGACGAAGCACCATCAAGAGCCGAATTGGCCCAATATCAAAGAAGATTCGTCGAATTATATAATCAAAGTATGGTCTATTTTTTTTATCTTGAGGGCGTTAAAAAGAGATTGTAATCAATGTAATTTAATTTTTCCTATTCAGTTGCTGCAAGGCATAAGGAAACGAAACAATTTTACACATTGTACAATACTCTACAAGATTCAAAACAATATTTAACAAAGGAAATTAACCTATTAAATTCAATCTATGATAATTTTGAAGAGTAAGTAATATTAATACTAAAATGATATTTGCATATAATTTACATATTGATTGTAAAATTAATTAAGAGCGAGAATGAGTCAAAGTGGCAAGGAACAATTTCTAAAACAGTTTGAAAATATGGTAGATGGAGTGAAACAGAATAGATCTAAATTGGAAAGAAGGAGGGAAGAGGAGAAATTGAAGAGAGATAAACTTAATGAAGAATTTTTAGAGTTAATTGATAAAGGTCGAACCTATTTTAAACTAATAAGGGATTTTCAAGAAGAATGTAGAAGAAACGAACTATTAACGAATCAGCTGGAAAAATACGTTTAGAACATTTCAATTTGGTGCCTTTTTTATTTCAAATGAATTTATTCAGCCATAGCTGAGATAGTCATACAAAATGCAATAAACTTTCACAAAATTCCTCCTTTTATTAACTACTAAACCAGTGGAGATAAAGAGTGCATTTTCCCCTTCATTTCTTGCACTAGCGTTTATCTTTTCGGCGCATAAAGGTTCCTCGTTACAACTGCAATTACTAAATGTAATTAGCACCGCAAAACAGCGTATAAAAATCAAACTTTCTCCCATAAAGAGATTAGGCTTAGATTTGTATAAGGAATAAATGGGGGATTTTATTTTATTCTATTTTCTAGGGAGTCCTATAAGGGAAGGCAAACTAAGCTTTTTGTTAGCAGGGAATTTTTACGAGAATAGCCTTAGTTTAAAAGCTCACATTTTTAACAACAAACTTTAAAGGGGTTAGAAGAGGACAATAGGATAAATTAGGCAAGAATTTTCTCTTGGTTTTTCATTAAGAATACCAAGTCTTAATCAATAGTCTAAATTGCTTTAGCAAATGTGCTTTAAATGGACCATAGAGATGTAAATTAGATGACTTTTATTCAAAATATTGATTAACACTTTCAGAGATTATAGCATCTGTTTATATTGGATTATCGAATATGAAAAAATTACTAGAAATATGAAAAGAATTTAAATTATTTATTATATATTTATAATATTTTAATGTCTTTATTCGATATATCGATATAAACCATACGTACGAGAATACAAGCAATTTAAATAAACTCGTTTAAAGTTTATAATCGAATATATAAATAACGTAATTATATTATCTTGTAATGATGATTTTATTAATATTCCCACTCAATTGCATAAAAAAAATTTCCATAATCCGATAGATGGAGTTTAAGATTGTTGTTTAGACGTGAGAAATGAGTTTTTATACAGTAGGGATTTTTGCCATAATCTTCAATATTCTTTATTAAACGATTCGAAGAATGAATAACTGGAAAGATAGTGGAAAAAGTTAATTTCAAAGATATTAGATTGACATTTAGTGAGCGTCCTTTTCTTCCCTTAAATAAGTGGCAACTTGAGGTTGATCTGTAACTTTTAATCTCCCACCCCTCCTGGTTCCTTTATAAACTCTGCCCCCTGAAGACATATCCTCGTAATCTTGAGTAGTTTCTTGTGAACTATTCAATTGATTTCCGAAATCCGGAAAGAAATTGCCCATGAAAGGCTGTTGTCCATCGGGCATAGTTTGCGAAATACCTCCACTCTGACCTAATAGTAGTTGTAAAGGCATCATTGATTGTTGTTGAAGTTGCGTAAGATCGTATGGATTAAATTGAGGAGATAGTGGTTGTCCAATCATTATTCCCGGTGCGCTCATAAACGATGATTTTCTCATTTGATTTTGTAATAAATTTGATATATTCATAACGCTTTGAGCTAGATAATTATCATTCAAATCGGCTTTGTTCAACTTCATTTGGCTGTTGGATATCTTAATATTTCTTGCAGAACTCTTCTTCAGATTATTATTCTCATCATCTGCTTTCGTCTTTTGCATACTAATCTGCGATTCTTTCTTTAGAATCGGCTTAGCTGCCGGCTCTGGTTTCTTTTGTTCTTCTATTATTATACCATACTTACTGATTGAAACTTTGGGCACGTCACTATTCGTCGCCGAAGAAGACATTCGTGCTCGTTCACTTTGATTGGATGATGAGGTAGAAAATTGCCTTAACGAAGCTGAGCCTTTAAATAATGTATCGAACAAACCAATTTTGAAAGCAAAGTAAACAATACAACTTTAAAGGTTTGCTTACAAAAGGAGGACCCGTTTAATTATAACAAATGAAACAATAAACTCTCCCATAAGAATATCATTTGTAAGCATACCTTACTAAACTAATGAAACCGAGTACTGATAATATTATTATAACCATATTAAACATACTCCCGCCGTTGCTTATATCAGAGTTTGTCGTAAAAATTACTATATTTTTAACTGTTTTTCTTGTAGCTGTTGAATAATAAATTGCAGTATTTTTTGCTGTTGTATTTATTATATAATTAACTATAGTATAGTTAATATTTGACATAATTTATTCCAATAGATATTTGTGTATATATGTACTATATACATATAAATGTATATATATAAAATATATATATATATATAAACACATAGCACATATAAGAAGATAATATTCTTATAGATATATACATTTACATAAATTTGAATATTCAAATTTACAATAATAATTATTTCGTTATTTTTATAATATATGGTTTAGTTAGTTCATCGTTATATTTTTCGTATTTAGCTATACCGAATCTCTCTGAAATTTCATTCACTTTATATTCATTATGTACTTTTGAATAGGATTTTGGTGTATCTTGTAGTTTATGCGATTTTCTTTTAGGTATTCTTAACGTAGTACTCCTCTTAGGTAATGACAATAATTTTGCGTAGTTTGGCAATGGTATATTTGTTAATCTTAAATCTTTTTTTTTCCCTATTTGTCTTATAATTTCTTCATTTCTATAATTTTCTTCTCCTTCCTCTCTGTAATCCTCTTCCTCTTCTTCTTCTTCTTCTTCTTCTCCTTCTTCTTCTTCTTCTCTTTCCTCTCCTTCTTCCTCCTCCTCCTCTTCCTCCTCCTCCTCCTCCCCCTCTTCTTTCTCTTCTTCTTCCTCTTCTCCGCCTTCTAATGCTCGACCATGCTTTACGTTTTCGACGTCTTTTTCAATAATATTCCTCTTTCTGACAATTTCAACTTTGATGTCTCCATCTAGCGGTATAGCACGATAAGGTTGATTATTTTCGAATGCGGAAAACTCCCGCCTCCTATGGACGTGCAAACATTTTCTTTTATACTCTACATTACCAATTCCTAATGATAATTGACTATTATTATTTGTAGGATGTTCTATTAATTATCAAAACAAACCGGAAGAAATAGGATTCTTTGCCTTTTTATCGTAGTTTTTATAAGGATCTTTACATTTACCCCTCTTCAGTGCCATCTCTATTTCAGCTAGTTTAGCAATGGTCCATTTTTTTTTTATCTCTTTCATTTTCCTACTAAAGCTACGAAGAGAATCCCTAATTGGATTGCTACAAGGTACGCCCTCCTCTTCAATATCAGCATTTTGCAGCTTGTAATTGATGCAATTTGAGAAGACATGTATTATATCATTCTTATGTTTAATTATCACTTTTTTCACTACAAGTAATACGAATATTGTTATTACACTTGTTATAATAAATAGATGAATTATTACAAAGATTTCAGTAGATTTGTAGTATTCCAATATGTCCTCTCTATTAACCTTTTCCATTTCATTTATATTATATTAGAATATTTGTATAATTAAAATGTAGTCGTAACGTAAATTTATTTAAATATATAAATATAAATTATATACATTGAAAGTAAGTAGACTCGTCCGTTTGCTACTTATTATTCTTGTTTTAGCCTATAAAACTCCCTTTTTCTTCTAATAACAATATAGCTTGTATACGAACGTATGAAAACATAGAGAAACTGTCATTGAATAGTTTAACAGGGGCTATAAAAGATAATCAGTAATAATCTCTGATAGTTTTCATAGTTACTTTATTCTTTTGCATTATACTTTTTTCTAGTTGAGACAGATAGAAACTAACATCCTTTTCCATTACTTTGTTTTTATAAACAACACCCATTTTTTTAGAAACTACATCATCTGGATAAAGAAAAAGAAGAAATGAAAGAGTAGATTGGGAGACAGAGGAGTAGATACGATTTTTATAAAAAATATGTTGTCATTTCTGTTAGGTTTTTTCTTTTGTTCGAAATACTTTTTTAAGAGACGTTTAAAGATTTAGAAAGAGTTTTTATGCCGTCGGCTAATCTATTTAATTCTCCCCATTCATGAGACTTTAAACTTTTTTCGACAACTTCTAACTGCTTTAATCTCCTTTCCATTTCGAATAGTTTAGCTTCCTTATCCGAAATCTGAAAAGAAAGATTGTTAGTAATGGAAAGAAAGGTTAAAAGTTCTTACTTGAACTTGTAAATCGGAAACGTGTTCGACAAGAGATTCCTTTTCTCTTCGTAGACTTTCCGTCTCAATTGTAGACTCAGTCTGGTTCCTTTGAACCCTCTCCGATTCTAGTCTTAGTTGAGCTTTTGTTCTGTCTAATTCGTCCTCGAGTCTTCTCTCTCTCTCTCTTGTAGCTAAGAGTTCGGCCAATTGTTGAGTTCTTCTCTCGTCTGCCGCCTCTTTTTCACTTCTTTCTAAATCCAATTTATTCTTCAAGTCTTGAATTTGTCTCTCTAGTTTGCTATCGTCATTGTTTAGTGATTTCCCTAATCGGCTCCTCAGAGCTTCATACTGTTTTTCCTCTAAACCTTGTAAAGTGGCCTCAACCTTTAAGAGTTCCGACCTCTTGGCATCCAATTGACCCGCAAGTGTCCTATTTTGATCGTTGGTCTGCTCCGATTGCAAACGCAATAGCTCAATTCGCTCTTCAGCTTTTGATAGAGCTTCAGATGTTCTCTCTGTTTGTTCACCAGCCGCTTTTAATTGAGCCTCTTTCCTAATTAAATCTCTCTCTGCAGATTCCTTATCCCTTCTCAACGAGACAGCTTCATCCAACAGCAGTCTTTTCTCTCTGGAATGCGAGTCTTGTTCGGTTTTTAGCCTTAACTGAAAAAGAATAATATCTATAATATTTCTATTGACTACTAGGAGCAAGAATATACCTCTAAACGTTCTATAGTAGCTTTTCCAACTTCTAAAGCTGCCTCTTTCCTCCTCAATTCGGATCTTAGGCCATCTATATCAGTCTGCATTGTTCGAAGTTTTGACAGCATTCTCTCCGCCTCAGCTGTCATAACTGGCTGCATTTGTGTAGCTTTACGTCCTTGCTCTCTCCTATTTAATGTTTGTTTGTTTGGTTTTTATATGTGTATACAAGAAAAATGATTAGCATTGATAAGTTTCTTATTGATACTCTTCCTTACAAGTAATTTGCTTCTAGTTCTAAAAAGTAGATTTGTTGTTGCAGGTTTTTTATATATTCGGCCTCTATACTGGCACTGTCTGAGAGGTTCTTCGTCCCCAGTGTACTTTTCCTTTAATGAATTGATTAGAATAAAAATTAATATATTCAAACTACTAAATTTGAAAATACCCTGCAAAACTGGCAGCAAAAGCACCATTTCTTGAAGCAGTTGACCTCAGGGTTCCTGAAATTCATAACGATAATCACTTATAACAAGATACGCGCCAAATAAGCCCGAACATGTTGACTTGGTAGAAAAGGACGATCGAAAATATTCAATTGGTTTTGTTTTTTTAAAGATAAATAGCAAAGTATCATATCACCTGATTTAGTTGAATTTAGCGATTTGTTCATTGTATCCTTTTTGGAAACAACTCTCGACATTTTTACCTAGTCAAAAATACAACGCGTCTACAAAATCAATGAAAAACCTTGTAGGTATAATCATTACAGCTCACTAGTGCTGCAGAACAAGTCACATGGCAACCACTATAACAACCACCGAACTAGATACCACACGACGAATAGGCCTAAGTATAGGCCTTTCAATTCTACATTGACTAAATACAGTATGTAATACATCCCCGTCTACTCGATTCATAGCAACAAAAGAAAAAGTAAAAAACAAAAAAAAAACTTTTAAAATTCATTTTAGTAGAAATTTAAATATAAAAATATTATTATTATTCTTTTATATATTAATTTATTCATTATAAATATTGTAAATATACTAATATATATTATTATATATAATATCATTTAGTTATCATTGACCTAAATAGCTATAGATTATGTTTAACTCTATAAAAAAATTCCTCTTCTACCTTAACTAAAATAGATAAGAATAATTATTATTTAATTAAAAGAAGAAATAAGAAGATTCTATAAATTCTTAGTTCTATTTTTATTTCCTGTTATTCTGTTACACTTTTATTATTTTTTTGCAATAAAAGAGTAGTTTTTTAAATGAAATTTAATATAGAATCTATTCGAAAGATAATATCCAGGTAATCTATAAATACATTGTATTTCTCTTTAAATATTATCATTTTAGATAGCAAAACAAAAAAACAAAATAAGAAAATATTAAATAATAATACAAGTTTTAAAAAACAACTGCTTAAGTAACTCTGTTATATTTCTATATAAATAAATATATATTGTATATATATATACTGTATATATATATATATATATATAATTAATCAAATGATAATTTTACGATAACGATCCTAATCGTTTTTAAAGCATCATCTAAATTTTCAATCGGTTCTCTAAAAAGAACAAATATGTTAAAGTCTTAATTTGGAAAGAGGGAATCGGGGAAAAATCTTAGAAATAGAAGAATATTTATATATATATAGTAAATAATGTCATATCTATATATATTTTACTGCAAAATAATTGAAGCCTGACTAGGATATAGCCTTATATTTAATAAACATTGTCGTTAATTAAATAAGGTCTTTTGAAAAGGAAATACCATTATAACTTTAGACTGACTGTCAGTATTTGTAGTTGGATAAATTTGCATACATATCTGACGGGAAGGGGAAAATATAAATAGATATATATATAGCATATCTCAAAATAATTTAAAGATTAGTCTATAATCTATGAGAATGATTATACCTTTAAAGAATATTTGCATGAAAAGGTATTATATATCCACTTTTTCTATAGTTATCATAATTAATTCATAATTATAATGTGACCCACTTATACTTTCAATGAATAGGTTATACGTATTCATCTATAATATTAAATCATGCATAAAATAGTTATATTCTTTTAAAAGGAAAGAACATGGAAGTTAGAGATAACGACAAAAAGTTAACTAGTGTTAAAACAGAATAATAATAATAAGACAGTATTAAGAAATTCTATATAAACTATACATGTTATATAATTTACAGATATAAATACTAATAGATATTGTAGTTCATATTAAATTGTATATAAGCATGAATATCTATTGTTACGAGATTCAAAGAAATATGCATAACGATGATTTATCATTTGCGATGTCGAACACGCTTACAAAAAAATTAATTAAAATTCCTTCTCCCTGCCTCTCTCTCTTTTTGTACATTTCAGTTGTAGGTAATCAATATTTTTTTCCAAGACCCACTAGCATACTTTCCGTTCCTATGAATATATATTTTTTAAACAGAGAACACAGCGTAATACAATTGTTCCATTGATAAATATCATATTTTTGTAATTGTTTTGTATTTCTAATTGTTGACAGACAAGTAACGAAGCAAATAACATAGAGTATATAGTTCAACTATGTTTTTTTAATATTAAATGTTAACTGTTTACGTGTGTTTATTTTAATCGTCGTGATGTTTTGAATCTTTACCACCAAAAACTAACATTATCAAAATAGCACTAACGAATAGAACGGCAAAGAAGAAAGCAAAAGCGAAAAATGACCTTGTCGCAAATTCTATGACTGCTTGGAAAGGATGGCGTAAACGTAATGATGTTGTTGTTAATTCGACGCACTGTTTGTCCGTTTCCCTTGCGTCGTTCCATTCCAATTGGGAATCGATTGCACAAACAACGTAACTACTTGAAGGCAATAGATCAGTTAATATGAATTCCTGCTTATCAGCCATTACGCTCTCAACCTGCTGTAATTGTACTTTATATCCAAATTGTCTATAGACTAATGATATTCGACGAACATCCTTTCTCAATTTGCTCATCTTCCAATGGACTTTTGCTGAGGTATCTTTCACTTCTGCAACGCCAAATTTCAATATAGGACTTTCAACAAATTCAAAATCTTTGTTTTCTTGACTAGCATTGTCTGTTTCGTCTTTCAAAGAGACGCAATCGAATACATTATCAGTCAAATCATTCCAGAACTCCTTGGCCAAATGCGAAGGATATTTACATGTTGGGAGCATTTCAGCAGCGTCAAAGTCACTTAAGTATTTTAAAGCCCACTTTCTTCTGTCGAACAACTCTTTCAACCACAATATCTTACAATCGCATCGAAACGGATTATGAGATAGTAGAAGTACGTCGATTGGCAATAGATCAGCTTTGTGAGATTTTTCATCAACAGTTTCCAATGTATTATGGGAAATGTCTAACCATTCAATACTTAAAGGTAATTTGGAGGGAATGGACGACAGTTTATTGTGTCCTAAGTATAAATATTTCAATTTCTCCATCTTAATTAATTCATCCGGGGAAAAATTTGCAATTTCATTGTGATCCAAATTCAAAAAGCGAAGATTAACCAGTTTATAGAATGTTTTTGACTTAATATCAGTAATAGTATTTCCCGCTATATTTAAAGCTTCCAGTCCACTTAGAGTCATGAAAGATTGCGGTAAAATGGTTCTTATTCTATTATTATTCAGTGCTAAACGCTTTAGTCTTTTTAAGTATTTTGAACCTGCTGTGACAGCTAAAAATGAATCCTTACTTACGAATTCAAGTTCGTTATAACTCAGATCAAGAATTTCTAGATCATGTAGAGGCTGAAGAATCTCTCCGTCTAAAAAGTGGATATGATTATGGCTAAGATTCAAATAGACCAAATGTTCAAAGTTAAAAATAGGTAAACGCTTTAATGAGTTCTCTGCTAAGTCTAACTGTTGAATTTGTTTCAACTTGAGTAATGATTCTGGTATAGTTTGAATTGAGTTGCCTTTTATTGATAAATGCGTTATATTTGAGAAGGATTTCGAGGCTAGAATTTCAAAATCTTCAATACGGTTGTAAGATATATTTAGACTATTCTTTTGACCTGTTGAGATTATAATTTTAAATATTTTACGCCTTATTTAAAGATAATAGTTTACCAATTAGTCTCCCATTAGATGGTGAAGGAATTCTGTTTAGATTCCGATTTGAGCAATCTATTGAATTTGTGTGACATTCACATAACTGACACAAGTCCTTCGCATTGACTCTTAAGATAAATAAAAATAATATCAATCCGAAAAATTCTTTAATACAAAATTGGACGCGATAATACATGGTTCGAATTTATAAATACTATACAGCTCGATTTGTAAGAATGGGAATCCCCGACAGGAAACGGCAACCCCAACTATAAATAGATGTCCTCATTCTGGAATATGGTCTATACAGTCAAAGGATCTTTTTTAATTTCTTTTAAAAGACGTATATATAAAATTTAGGGGATTTTAATGAGTTTTGATTAAGAATCTGTCGTGAAAATTGTATCATTATTGTCGATTGGCGTTGACGTTAACCAACAGTTCAGGGACAATGACGTCACACAAGCTGGAGCAAAAAACACCTGTAGAAAAAAGACGAAATCACATTTTCTACTAAAACATATTTTATATAATAATATATAATACTGATGTAAAATATTTGGAATATTTTTTATCTATTTAAAATTCTAGATACTATACGATCCCAAAGCTGTTTGGCCAATCAGAATATTTCTTTCTCGTCACGTGACTCATAGGCGAACGACGGAAAGCGGCATGCGTCAGATAGACTGTCGGCGGTGTTGAGGTTGCATGTATTGTCATGTGATATTTTACCGCTTTTAATCATTAATCAAAAACCATTTTTTGTTCATAGTTTCTCGCCCGTAGTACTTGTCAAACATGACAATCATTTTGTTTCTCATAGATAATTCTGCATCTATGAATCAACGTACGTACTTAGGTACGACGTTTCTTGACACGGCTAAATCAGCTGTAGATCATTTCATGAAGGTAGGCTGTAAGAGAGAAGAATTACCAGACTTTTCGTGTGCGCTGATTTATCGACAAACATCTCTTTACAAACTTGCTTTTTATCAGTCCAGGGCACGCGATCCACAAGCGAAATGGGACAGATATATGCTGTTGACATTTGAAGATCCCCCCGCAAATATTAAGGTTTGTTAAAAAAAGTATTGTATATGAAGATTTCTCCAATCTTGCTTCGCGATTCGTAATTGTTGCGGAAGTATTCTTAAAGGAAAATCAGTTGTTTCGATAAACACTGAACTTGGCGCTTCGCTTATTGCGCCATCTTCTGATCAATTCGCTTTTATCGTTAATTCGTCTTCCCTCATCTAAATATTCATATTTTCCAGGTGACGTCAAGGAATTCAATCTATTAGGGTTTTCTATGGGACAGATTGCATTCATAAACATTTTAGTTTAAACATAACCCTGTCTTATATTTGCTATGGTTGCATTATAGTGCAACCTAAAAAGTCCCTCTACTACTGCTGAACGTCGCCTTAGAATAAAAATACGATGCATAGAACATAGTTATTTAGTTGAAATCTAGGGGATCCATTTAGGTTGCTAAGTTTTGCTATTGTTATAGGCAGGGTGGAAAGAGACGTCTAACACTTTCATGAACGAATTAAAACTGCTTAAGGCTAATGGATTAACCACTTTGGGTCCTGCTCTAAAATATTCATTTGATCTATTAAACATTAATAGAGCTACATCTAATGTCGAAGGTTACGGAGGGGTAAGTCTGATGCTTAAAAACCAAAATAGATTCTAAATAAATTGCCATTCATAGGGGAGATTTCCTTTCTGCCTCGAACCAGCAATGATTATATGTATTACTGATGGACGAAGTATTACATCGACCAATGGAGTATCCAATGAAGTAAGCTTTTACCTGATTAGACACCTCTTCTTTATTATTCATTTTTATATTATTCCTTACTTAAAGCTCATTCTACCGATGAATTCGAGTGTTCCTGGCAGTGAATTAACCGCTGAACCATTTCGATGGGATCAGCGTCTATATGGTGTTTGCCTTAAATTACAAGCTTTACCTCCTCAAGAGACATCTCAAACTAATACATATATACCATTAGCAGAAGATTCACCTATTGATGCAATGTGTGATGTCACTGGAGGTAATTTATTTTCCTGCGCATTCATACATACTTATTATATTTTTATCTCAATCAAAAGGTCGATCATATTCGGTAACGAGTCAGAAAATGATGACTCAATGTATGGAATCTCTTGTTTCAAAAGTCCAGTCCGGGGTTATTGTACACTTTAAGAAAATTGGCCCAGATCCTGTACCAATAGGTGATGAAGTCTCAGCCAGTAATGGTCAATGGCAAAACTGCAGAAAAATGATACATGTACAAAGAAGCGCTCAAAAAGGCGGCTACGCCCAGGGAACGTGGCCAATCCCTGAACCATTTTGGCCAGATCTTGGTGCTCAGAGTTTAGTATGTATTTCATTTTTCTTACTTTAAGAGCGCAATTAACGATTACCGTTATTTTTTTAGCCTGCAAGAACAGCTCAACCCGTGCTTAATTTCAGCTGCACACCCTCAGAGCCTACTATTTTAGAAAATTTTGCATACGATCGTTATGAAATTGAACCGTCTCCCCTAACCCAATTTATCTTATCAAGAAAGCAGCCAAATGTCGCTTGGCAGGTAATTAATCATTTAATACTTCATGATGTAGACATGGAATAGTATCTCTTCACTTCAGGTTTACGTGGCCGGAAGTGCAAAATTTGCAGACAGTGGCCAACCATTTGGTTATATAAAACCTTCATCCAACTTACAATCTGTATATTTGTTCATAATGCCCTATAACTATCCTGTTTTGCTGCCACTTATTGGTGAGTGCGCTATGAGATAAGAAGCATATTTATTATAAGTTAACTATCCCACAGAGGAAGCTATTAAAGTTCATAAATCCAAAGTAACACAAACCTGGAGGCAGCATTTTGAGAACTATCTGAAGGGTATGCCTTTGTACTACGGAATGGTAAGAAATTTAAATTTAATTACTAGATTTATATGAGATCTCCTTTGTAGCCTCTTCGTAAGGAATTAAAAAGAATTGGGCTAAATATGTTGCCTGAATCCATTGATCAACATAACAGCTACTCAGTCATGGCCTACTTGAAAAAAATTAGGAATCAAGCCAAAATTGAATACGATAAAATTGTGTCAAGCGTTAATCAAAAATCATTCGCTCCTGAATGCATTCCAGTAATTCCAAGGTATTGCCTTCATGAGCATTTATATATATAGTACATATACTGTATGAGTATTTACTTTTATTTCATAGATCTCCAAGCTCAATCATCAGTCGAGAAGATTTTACTTCTATATTACAGCAATATGGAAGCGATTTAAGTATGGTTCATCAACAACTGCAAGCGTATGAAACTCACACACTACCTATGACAAATACAAATGTTCTTTTACAAAAATATCGGTATGAATGAATTTTCATTAAGTTTATATCAAGTTCTCTGGCCAACTAAAAAAGCGAAATAGTAAAATCGAAATTATTTCAGAAATCCATTTGACATATCCCGAAAATATTTAATAAAGCAGTTAGCGAGAATGAAGGAAAATTTTCTTCGACCTATTCAGGAAATTAAAACAAAAGATAATGGTAGTTTTATTAATTTACTATAAATCAAAACATTTATGTATTTGTTTTTGTTTTTTCATAGATTCAAATCATACAATACCTATCGGTAAAATGGGAGATTATCATGCTTACGTAGAAAATTTACCACCACCCTTGAGACCTCTTGAAACAGCCCCGGCTCGAGTTCACACTTTTGGTAATCCTTTCAAAGTTAACAAAAACTTCCAAATGATTGATGAAGCGGACGAGGCTATGCCTGGGCAACAAAAAGCTTTAAAACGAAAAGAAATACCTAGTGAATTAATGACATTTAATTCTAAAAAAAGGAAGCGAGGGCCTATTCCAAAACATTTTTCGATAAAAAAGCCATACGTTTCGTTAAATGGTTATTCCTCAGATTCAGAATATAGTTGTGCAACTAATTCATCAGATAGTGAGATGAGTGATATGGAAATTCCAGTTCTAAGAATGAATGGAAACGTGCCTAATGGTCATTTAACATCAGGAGAAGCTGTGCCCAGGAGAAGGTTGTCAAGATCCGAGTCTATAAGTGGAAACTCAAGAGAAGACGAGGAAACTGATGAAATAAAAAGTTTACGAGAAATCGACGAATTCAATACTATACTCAAAATAGATATGTTTAGAGACGTTCGACGCCCAGGAAACGATTATAGCTCGTTATTTAAAAAATTGGAAAAAATCCGCGGTGATACAGACTTACGGTGTTTAGTCATAGAAGCAGTCATTCACGAGGCTGCTCGATTTCGACGCCGACGGATGATGCAATTACTACGTCAATATCACTCAGCTCTAAAAGATCAAAAGAGACGATTCGAAGCTGATTTAGAAATTGTGGATGTAGAACCTCCTAGGAGTTTAATAAGAAATATAGGAAAAAGTTTCGAATAACTTACAAAATATGTCATGAATTATTCATTTGGTTGGTGCTATACTTGCAGATCCTGCAGATGAAATTCATACACTTCTACATAAACACATCTCACACACTTTTTAATTATTTATTTCATAAAATAAATTTTCAAAATTTCCTAACTAAATTTGCACATAATCATACCAGCCCTTAGCTCTCTTCACTGCTTCTAGCCATTTTTCATAAATTGGGATTTTTTCATCTTTATTGTTACTTGGAGTTAATATTTTTCGTTGTTGTCGAATGGAATGTAATTCATCAGTATTTTTCCAGATACCTGCCCCTAAGCCGGCTAAGAAAGCAGATCCTAGGCAGCTCATCTCCATATTAGTTGGAAAGTCTAATTCGCAATTAATCAAATCAGCGATTAGCTCCATCAAGAAATCGTTCTTACAAACTCCTCCATCACATCTGAAATGCAAAGTAACTACAGTATGGAGGTATTTTGAATACTAGCTAACTAGGACATACACCACAGTATTTTTCATTGGCACTGGTGATTCGCTTTTAACACAGTCATATAATTTTTTAACTCTATATGCAAGTGATTCCAGTACGGATCTAACTATATGCTCTTTCTTCGATTCGTGAGTTATTCCAATCATCATTGTTGAAGCTCTATCATCATTTATTGGCGCTTGCAATCCACTAAATGCAGCTACAAAGAAAACACCTTTGGTATCGGAAACTGATTTAGCTAGATCCGATGACTCTGAAACGCTGTTCAGAAATCCAACATTGGTTAACCATTCCATAACTCGTCCAGTATCGGCAATTATCCCTTCCGCTAAATATACTATTTTATCACCAATTTTCCAGCCAATGAGAGGATAAAGTCCTATTAAGAGATCAATTTATTTATGAATGCTCATACTTTTTTACGATGAGTCTTACCTGTAATAGAAGCATGAACGATACTGCCAGTATTAACTGTTATACACGAAGCTGTTCCCATTGATAATTTGCAATCACCTTCGCTAAAACAGCATTGACCGAATAGAGCTCCTTGTTGATCTGCAACTACAGCCGTAATAGGAATTTTAGCGCCAAAGATTTCCTCTTCACAGTCTCCAAAGTAACCGCTTTCGATTGAAATTGCTGTATTAGAAATATCATAAGTTTAAAATGAGCAGTTATTACTTACGATGTGTCTTTTATAGGTGGGAAGATATTCATAGGATAGCCAATAAGCCATGAAAGTATACCACTCCAGCATAACTTAAGAGAAGAGTAAAGTAAGCATATAAAATATAAATTTTTTTCTAACAATCTTACTTGGTACGTGTCAAACAGACAGGTGGAACTGACGCATGAATATTCTGTTGCAAAAACTTTACCGCAAGTTAGTTTCCATAAAAGCCAAGTTTCAATAGTTCCAAAGTAGACTTTATTTTCAGCAATTCTTTCTTTCAACTTAACAAAGAAACAATTTTTACAAGCTAAATTGATAAAATGAAAACAGAACGTATAAATATGTGAATTATGAATTACAAACCCCTGGAATATTCTCATAAACCCACTTAAGCTTCAATATTACCATGACAGATTTAAAACTTAAAATCGATGTACCCAAAAATCGATTACTTCTTGTTAAGTAGTATAAAAATTGTCCAGTATAATTAAGAGTCTAGATCGAATGGATGAAACAGCATTAAGGTAGGATGGAGAGAGAAGCAGACAGACACTAATAAATATTGAAAATATGAATAATTAGAAAAATTACCCTTAGTTTCAGTGATCTATTTGTCTCAGCTACGTGTTCGCTTGCCCTTAAATCTTGCCAGGTGATAAAATGATGAAAGGGTTTACCAGTTTTTCTATAAATAGATTTATTTGGCTATCAGTTAAAGCTTATATAATTAGTGACATTAGCTTACTTATCCCACGTAATAAAAGTATTGCGTAGTACACATATTCCAAGACAGCTTACATTTTGTGGTTTGATATTAGCTGATTTTATGGCGTTTTTAACAACAGTTTTTATTTGTTCGAATAAAACCTCCTCATCAATTTCCGTCCAACCAGGGCGGGGTCTTAATAATTTGATCTGATAGAAAGGAAAGTTTTATTCTAACAAGTTTTAAAACTGGTTAGGTGATAACCTTGTCCTGATCTTGTCCAATAACTCTGGCATCCTTGTTATAAACATGAGCACGTATATTCGTTGTTCCTATATCCAAACTTAGTATGTATTTCTTTTCTTCAGATTGCATTTTATCGCTCAGATAGGTAAAATTCCTTAACGACAACTGATAGAATATATTAATCACAAGATTATTGGGAGGATATGGGTAGTATATGTGAGTTGAATAAAATGTACAATATTCTCGTATCTTGCAATGACCTCGATAATAGGCAAAACAGATAAAAAACAGATTACCAAAATTATGGACACTACTGCGCTATTTGGAATATTGCTCGATATACACTATTATGGAAGAGCGCCTTTATTCTAAAATAACTCTATTACCATAACTGTTAATCCTAATGGGATATTAGCTTTTGTACGTACTTAAAAAAAACCCCACTGTAATAACAAGGTAAACTTGTTATAGTTGTATAAATACTTAAGATAACAAAGGAGAGATATTCAAGATTAAAATTTCTGTCTGTTGGTCATTATTTTAGAAGATATATTTGTATAGATAAAAAAAAACATGATTTATTCCTTCTTGGAGTATTATATAATATTTAAAATAAATGCCAATTATTTTCAGGAGAAAAATCCTTAAATTCTATTAAGATAAATTATGGTAAAGGTCATAAAAAGTCAAACGAATTATTGGTTATCAATCCCTAAGAGTAATTAGCTGCCGTATATAAAAAAAAAAAGAAAACATTAATTAATATAATATTGATTCTTTTCAGTGATATTCTACAGTAAAAAAGAAAGAGAGAGAAGAATACGTTAATTGATAATAGAACAACGTAATTTATCAAACTGTTCTAAAAAAGAACATTTTTTTTTCATACTATTAAAAAAATGAGAATTACTAAGTATTTAGAATTAAGAGAAGCTACACTGTTTTTGTGTCGGTAACATCAAAAAATGATAATAATTTACATCGTATAGAAAATCTATATGTAAAACTCTTTATTTCAATCAATGGAATTGTTTTCCCTCTCCATGTAAATATTAGATATAAAAGTGAAAATGTTAAAAAAAATGAGGGAATAATAACAAGTATTATTAGTTAAGATTTAGGGAATACATACTTAATGTAACTGTTTACTCTGAAAGAGTAGAAAGAAAGAAAGACAGAGAGAATCTTTACGAAATTCTCTCTTTTTTTTTTAAGAAAAAAATTTGTGTAGCCTATAAAGCAATGAATAAACCCTTCCCACCACTTGCATAAAGTATATATATATATAATATATAAATGTAGTCAGATATAAGTACAAGTCTATAGGTGGCGTTACTAAAACTTTTTAATGATTCTTGAACCGCTCCTTTCTCTTTTCTTATGTAAACATCTTACTAATGATTAAATAAGAAGATAAAGCTATAAATAATAAAGACAAGTTAGACAATAATACGTCTATTAAATTTTCATTTTCTCTATTTTATTTTATATAAATGAAGGTAAGAGGAGAATTCTTTCACCTTAGATAACAAAATATAATCTTATTTTATCACAGCACCCAAAGTTTAGCAAAGTTTATGGGAGATGCGTCCATTTTTCAGAGAGAGCGAGAGAAACAGAGAGACAGACAGCTAAACAGACAAATAGATAGACTGAGAGACAGTGAGATAAGTAAAAATTTTAAAAGGTTGAATTGTCTTTATGAGAGATTCGTACACTTATCACATCCGCCTCTGTTTCGTCGCCAATCGATTCTGTTTGTTCGTGAACTGAAGGGGTATCTTCTTTTACGAATGTTACTTGATCCTTTGTTAATGTATCTAATCCATTTTGCGTCTGTTCGCCTATTCCATCGTTTTCTTGTTTTTCTTTTCGTTCTCTACTAACTGGTTCAATTTTTTCATCCTCTTTCCTATCAAGAGAAGAGTGCGTCAACCCCATTGTCTGTCTTTTAGGCCTAGATTGAACAACAACTCCTTCTATAGCTAAAGTAGATTTGTCCTTTTCAGCATTTTCGTCCGTTGTTTCAGTGACAAAAAACAAGACGTTTTCAGATTTAGACTTAGAGGGATTATTGTCCAATCGATTTTGAGTTCTGACTGTATTAGTCTCTAGTTCAATATACTCCGCGGTGGTCGGGACGTTGATTGGTGATTTACTGATGCCGACTACTTGTAAAGCATCTAACTCGATATTCTTTAATCTAGGTGATTCGGTCTTGCTTGATTGCCGTGCCAAATGAACGTTTTGTCTAACGCTGGTGGTAATTTCTGGCACGGCAGTCTCCTCTAAAAAAGGCTGAGAACCTGGTATGGAAATGTTCGTAGCAGTTGTTCCCTTAAAAGGCCGACCTAATAAATAAATAAAATAGTTTCTATAATAAAGTAATAAATACTTCTTATGAATTTATATACGCCTTACCTATCACGTTCAATCCCTTGTTCATAACAATGAGATTATCTAATGGCTCAGGACTCTTGGCGGGGGCACTTTCTGACCTTGATAGCTTTTCAACCGTTGGGTTAAAGTTTTTTACCTTTTGATCCTCATCGAAACGGGGCGTAGAAGGGGGAGGTGATATACCATTTTCCCGATGAAGAGGAATAGGTGATGGCGGTGAAGGAGTAGGCGGTGAGGAATATTGCGAGTTGGATGTACTGATTTCTAAAATAACAGATATATTTAAAGAATACAAAAGGGTTGAAAAACTACGTAGTGTTTATACCACAAGGACTTGACGGTGGGGCTTCCGACCGTTTCTCCGTTCTAAGGGAAACAGCAGACTTTGGTCTATGGACGAAACAACTCTGTGGATTATCTCTTGGCATATAAACGCCATGATGAGAGAAACTTTTAAAGTCGACAAAATGAGCCCTGTTATATCTTGCACCAATAAGGAATGCATGCATGCTTTCGCCATCCGAGGTGTCGAAGGTGCTAATGTAAATAAAAAGGTAAACAAATAGAAAAAAACAGTTAGTTGAAAAGTAAAAATTGCTTAAAAGGAAGTAGGAAGGAACAAAATGAAATATGTATGGTTATATTTACGGTGTGCAATTTCCTTTTATAGGCCTAGTCGCCGAACTCTTGTTGTCTGGTTGCAATTCTATAAGCAATGAACGATAGAATTCTTTCTGAATAATTGAAAACTTTAACTATACAAACGTTTCATTATTTCTCTTCGATATCTGTAGGCATTTATAGGTGCCGAATTGCATCTTTGTTCTGCTCTAAGTAACCTAGAATATATTAAATAAAAGGATAAAGAGGGACAAATCGTCATTCTGTTTTATTTAATAAAGTCGCTGTCGACTTGGCGTAATCACGTAAATAAATAAGCTTAGGAAAAGGTGTCATCGATTTATACTGAGACGAAGTTACTGTGATATAAATATACATAATATTTACCATATATATATATTAAGTTGGTAGATATACTATATGTATAAACATATACTAGATTTACTAGGTATATACGGCTATATATAAAGTATGAAATATTCGATATAATTTCTCAATAAGCAATCATGCAGACGGGATCAATCTTTTCGTAAAAGAATAATAAGCAGGGAATTAGTATTGATTATCCTTAAAACTATTGTTATCTTTTTTTAAACTTATATCTGTAAGAAAACTTACGTTGTTCTTGTTGGTCTTCCAAGATGGTCGTTTTCTTTATTACCATTGCCGCTTGCTGGGAGATATTCGTGAGCGGTATTCGGTCTATAATATTGTCGTTTTGTCGATGGAGAAAATCCCCTTGTTTGTTTAACAGGTTGCGTATCAGTAGCTTTTGGCGATAATAGTCCTTTTGTAAATAAAGGAGATTCAGCTGCTTTACTATGCTCCCTAACAACTCTTAAGGCCCAGGCTGGACTAGTGGACGGACGAGCTGGAGTTGATGGTGGCGGGCTTGGCGGTGAAACGCGTTCAGCTTCCTTCATTAGTTTTAAACGATGATGATAGTCGGAATCTTTATTTACAGAATATCGGCTAGGCGGAGAGCCTCTTGTCCCTCGGTGACCTCCGTGCGGTCGTACTCCATTTGAGAGCGGAGGTGTGAATTGAATTCCTAAATTGAGAACTTTTAGAGGTTTTCTCTCTTCATACAGTTGGGGATTGGACTCTGTGCGTCTAATGCTGTAAGTGGAACGTTGTCCAGTTGCTTGTACGGCGCTATAGGGCCGAGACATTTTCTTCCATCTTCTTTTCAACTTTTTTTAAATTCTTAAAACTTTCTTGAAACGCTCCAACCGGCTTTAATGTATTGATTGACTAGGCTACGACCGCCTTGTTTACGATTGTCGTTAAGGTCGAAGGAGGCCAATTAAGCCAATATCACAGAAAATTCGCACACATATATATATTTAGTATAGCGTACTCTCTATTCAAATAATTTTTACTTATCGTTCAAAGCGCCATCCAACTGCAATAAATATTTACAGCGACATCTGCCTGCTATCTAACTGAGGCGAGAAATAAAAAAGAGACAGATGACTGGAAATTGTTATTTAATAGTCGTAAAACTTCTATAAAAAGTTATAGTTACTAGCATTTGATACGCTTTGTTTAAGAGGTTGTAAATGATGTGTATTCCAGAGCAAACTCCCACGGAAACTTATAATATATCTGTTACTGTTAAGTAAAAAAAAACAACTTTACTTAAAATTTTTATAACCTATCATAATACATATTCAACAACTACTTAGTAAAAATAAAGAAAAAAAGGAAGGGCTGTGGGCAGGCTGAAAAGAAGAGGAAGACAGGAATAAATATGTTGAATGGGAGCGGTAGTAAGGGTTTATAAATAATTTTTTATGTGAATTATAGATAAAGTTACGTCTTTAGCTTTAACCCAAAAAAAAGTGACATAGAAGGGTAGGGTAGGAGGTGAGAATAAACTATGGTGGAACGGAGATAGATATATATAGATAAAGGCGAAGAATTTACCAATGAAATAAACTTATTTTCTTTTTATTTACAAGATGTCGCTGCATGTACTAAGGAATTTAACACTATACTTTAAAATAAAAGTGTTAATAATGTAAAAAATAAAGGAGTAATGCATCTTATATAGGCCTACATATTTTCATTCTAATACGATTCAAGACATACGCTATCACTCATTTTTATCAATATATAACGTTATAACTTTACTCATTATATTCCTCTTTCAAAATCCGTTATCTTAACCTTATTCTCAACAATACATTGTGTCGCTTTAAGCCGTAATTGAATACTATAACCTCTTAACAAATATTTCTTTCCTCTAAAGTAACTAATTAGCTATTTAGTTAGACAGAAAAATATAAATATTAATAAATGTGTAGTTGAATATTTTTCTGTTTCGTCTACTCTACCTTCTCTATCCAATCACTTCTCACCGCTCCCTCCAACACTCCCCTATCCTTCTTTCCTATCTGGATTTTATTTTAATATTTTATGCAGCCACACAAAGAACTTATATTTTTTAATATTAATGTATTGAAGAAGCGTCTCTTTTTTTCTACCTTTTTCCTTCTCTTATATCATTATTTACAAAAGCAATAATTACCTACAATTATTTTACTAATTCTTTCATTTTTATTTATACACTCATTAGAACAAGTTAATTATAGGCTGACATTAGTTACGAAATTTTATTGTCCTTCCTTAATAATAGAAATGGAATAAAAATAGAGCTGTTAGATTATATAAATGTATAATACCAAATGTAAACAGTATTGTGAAAGTACAAGAGTACCCATGCCGAGTACTTATGACGGTAGTTATTAAGTTATTATTTTTTTGGCCTAATATAAATTTTTTTTAAAATAATGGAGTAAGTTTTTTTTTTTTGACATTAAAGGATAAAGATTGAAGACTTTAAGGGCATATGATAAAAGGAAGAAGAGGAAGTTGAAGACGGGTGAGAACCGGTTATGTTAGGAATAAATAGAATATATACTTCTTATAAATAGTAAATATTAATTTATTACTAATTTTTGCCCATCCTTACTTTTAATCCTTATGGTCGACTCAAAACTTGGGGGGAAATTAATAGATTATTATTATTAAATTATAAATGCATACACGCTTATTTATATATATATATATGCGCATGTTATTTAGAAGAGAGGGTAGAGGGAGGGTGCGTGGAGGGGTTAAATTTTTATGTAAAACCTTTTTTTTAATATATTAAGCTATGTATCAATCTGATCAATATTAGATCGTATATATGAAATATTTAATACTGTTGGTTTCGACGCTGTAACGGTTTTATTTTAAATTGATTTATACATGGCGCCCTCTAGAAATGCTTTAAGTGTTTATATCCTTTTCCCTTACCCCCTTCATTCCCTTAGCCTTTTCACCCCCCCTCCCCTTCCTCCCTCGCTCCTACCCTACCCTCCCTGTCTATCGCTGACTGTTTGCACCTTTTACTCAAAAGTACACACATTTATAGAATTAATTAGAGAACTTCAAAATTTTTTTTTAAATATAACTAGCCAAAATATTCATTATATGTCTTTAACCGTGTAATAATTTAGAGGTCATTGCAAATGACATTTCATTAAGGGAAGATGTTATAACCTATTCGAGAAATTTCCTGAGAAAGAACTACATTTTTAGGAAAATTCTAAAGAGTCAAATTACGATTAGTTTCCTGATTAGTCGTATCCGTAGATTTCCTTTAGTTTGACTTGAGTAAAAGTGATGAAATAAGAGAAATTACAGCACACATAGGTCATTATACAAGTAAACGGTTACCAACATATACGTGTATTTGTTTGATGAAGGACGCTTGTAATAAAACATTTAAGTACTTTTAAGCTTGGATTAGAGACGTAGCTTAGTATTGCAATCCGATGTCGATAACCTGTCGAAATTTCATTAACAATCTAACTAATCAGTCGCTTTAAAAGAATAGATCATATTTTAGAGTGCGTAATGATAAATATGTAACAGTATAGTCTTTTTTTTTAAAAAACCGTTTCATTACGTTCTATCTAATCAGCGACTTGAAAATGTGTCAGCTGTCTTAGTCATTTAACACAATTCGTAATTTAGTTGCGAAAAGGATAAAGTTGGTTTAGTGATGAAAATGAACACATTTCAAATCTTTATACCTTTTCCATGAGAATTGGAATAATCATTCCTTACTTAGAGTCTTTTTCGTTCTAGCTAGGGTTCTTTATTTAATATTTTCATTTTGTATGGAGGTACACTTATTCTTCTATTGTACACAAATCATTATCAGATGCTACTTTGTAGATCAATTGACTGCATAACTTCTAAAAAGGTTAAGGAAACTGGAATAGAAAATTACGTGATTCTCGATTATTCAAAGTCGTTATTATTGAGGGAGGTGGGGAGGCTTTATTCATTTATATATATGGAAAAAAATCCCTTAGGGTTTTCTGCTCCTTTTGAAAAATATTGTATACTATACTAATTTACTGAAACTACTCAATTTCCAAATATTTCACTACAAACAGAAAAAAAATCAAAGCCATAATATTGTATTCATTTGTTTTTTCTCGGTATCTAATTTCGAACTGTCGCAGTTTACGTAAATATACATATATATCTATATGTATATATGTATCCTTATACATATTATAATCCCTTTCATTTCATTGTTTCAATTTGGTACTTTGATAATAAGGATTATATATTCATTCACTGAATAAGATGTTTTTCTATTAAGAAACTTTTCCACATAGAAGAATAGAATATGTGGTAGGATAGACTTTTTTAGAAAGTATATCTTATATAACAAGTATAATATATTATATTAAATGTAAAAACAATGATTCTTTCCTTATAAATAGAATTTGAATATTCAATATTATTCTCATCTATATATTTACAAAGAAATACGCTTCATACTACTAGTACTTTCTCCTTACTATAAAAACTACTACAATTAACGGAAAATCATATAAACAAACTCCAATTATCGCTCCCCAGTGGGAAAGAATCCTATAAATTTGTTGCAGATTTTGCTCTTTAAGTAAAGTTATATGATAAAATATCAAATTATCAATTGTTTCATATAAAATATTTATTTTAGTTGATACAACTTTATAAGATATTTGGCCGGTAAAGTAAATGTCAAATTCGAGACACCGTAAAATTTGAATTCGAATCATCTTAGTGTGAACGGAATCGCGGGCTCCTCAAACGCGTTAGTGCTTCGTCTTCGTAAGCAACTGAAACAAGCTTTTCCCCCGTTTTTCCACATTAGAAAAGTCATCTTTAACGATTATTATGGGTAAGTAGTCTCAAAACGTGGAAAGGATGAGTATAAATGCGTTTTTCGGCAAAATTTATTTCTATAGGAATGTACTGCGCTATAGATTTCATTATAAAATGTTAACGGCCGCCATCTTGAGCGCGTTCTCCCCTGTCGGCCGGCAAAATTTTCGACCAGTATGTCGAAAAAGACGGTTATAGAATAGAATCTGTTGAGTGCAAATGGTCATTATTGTATGGTTCTAATGCTTGAATGTCCCAAAAATGCTTTAGTCTGTTCGGTTATAGCATTTTTCTGACCGCTTTAGTTTTATTAAAGAAAAGACTAGGCGACTGTGTAAGCTATACTGAAGAAGCCGTTCGGCCATTTTGCTGTTTTTCGACGCGACGCCATTACAAAACGCACATTTTATACCATAAACCTTTATATTTTAACGTATTGCAGGGTTCCTCTGACTTATTTTCCGATTCGTAGCGTTTCCCGACTTTTTACAGTTTGTAATGAATATACTGAATACTGTATAGAATAACGTATATAAGCTACAGTACTTGTATAAAGCTATGATAAACGTAGAAGGCGACATACATTATATATACAGCGCTGAACTTTTTCATACCGTTTTTTCGGTTAAGGGACCGTTTTATTTATAATTTTTTTGGGCGAATCTTAATATAATTATTGATTACATGATTTGTAATTAAAAAATTTTAATTTGCATAATTAATTAAAATTTTTTTTTTTTGAATGTCCTTCGCAGTTCGTTCTGTTCTTTTCGCGCTCTTTTTTTCCTTTGCGATTTTAAAAGAAATTTTCCCTCAGGTCGTCCTAAAGGTGGTGCGAAAGGAGGTAGAAGAGCAGCGGAGAAGGATCCAAACAAACCCAAACGTCCTACGTCTGCTTACTTTTACTTCGCTCAGGTAACTTAAATAATTTAGAGAAATATAATGAAAATTTTTAAAAAAAAATTTTTTTTTTTTTTTCTGAATAGCACAAAAGAGAAGAATTAGCTAAGGCCGGAACACCTATCACTCGTGTTGCTGACTTTACAAAACAAGTTTCGGAAGAATGGAGGAACCTGACGCCTTCGGCTAAGAAACCTTTCGAAGAAAAAGCTAAAGTTGACAAGACCAGATACGACAGTGAAGTAAGTTCCTAAAAGAAATATCTTCATAAACTTTGCTTAACTTTTCAATTTTTTTCCAGATGGCTAACTACAAAGGACGTAAGACACCTTCGAAGGATCCAAACAAGCCAAAGAGACCATGTTCTGCCTACTTTTTATTTTTGGCTGATTTTAGAAGCGAGAACAAAGAGAAATATTCGGAACATAAGGATTTGATCAAGGCCGCTGGAGCTGCTTGGCAAGATATGAACGAGGGAGAAAAGAAACCTTACGAGAAAAAAGCCGAAGAAGAGAAAAAGAAATACAATGAAGCTATGTCTATTTACAACAAGGTAAGAATTTTTATTTGGAGTGAACGCATTAGCTTATATTATTTTGTTCTAGGGGACTAGCGGAGGTCCATCAGCAAAGAAAGCAAAAACTGAGGAAGAAAATGGTGACGAAGATGATGATGATGGCGAAGAAGATGACGAAGATGATGATGATGACGACGAATAGATGAACTAAACGTTTTCCATGTAGCCGTAAATATGTACTTGATCTCTATTCGTTTCTTACAATAAGATGACCAATCAGAAGTCTAAATTATATGTATTGTGCCGTAACTAGACTAAAAAAAAAACATTTCTCTGGAATAAGAGTTTTAGGTGTGTCAACCTATATGTATACCTCTCTATGTAATATATGTTTGTGCATATAAAGTTCCATTTAACGTTCCTTGCGTATTTTATAAAACTTCTTAAACTTTGTTTTAAGTAGCTTTTAAGTACATCAGGCAATGTTCCATGTATTTAATTTTAGATGCCTATGTATTTAATAGCTTATTGTGTGTACAGTGGTCTTTTTTTTTCAATAAAACGTGCTTAGACACAATTATTAGTTGGTATTTTTCACCCGTTTTCTTTGAGTGAATGTACTTCACTTATAAATTGAAAACTTTCAAATCCAGAACACTTTTCATGTAACAGTCCAATTTGTACTTGAAACAAAAGGGAAAAACAGAAAAAGTATAATATCCGAGTACAATGAATTCCTCGTTACAGTTATTGCAAGTCTGTTGTGTATAATAAGTATGAAATCATTTTGTACAGTACTATGTAATACGTTTACCAAGTGGTTTAGTACTCGTTAATTTTTAAAGGATTCCGACGCAGCACCAATTATTGAGTTCTAACGGAATGCTTTTAATATTCCTTAATAAACAGTCAACGATGAAACTGATATTGTTCTCTGATGGCTTGTGTATCAGATACAATATATTCTTAGGATACCTATTTACAGTATATTCTATATAGACTGTATATATCTTTATATATGTTTGTACGTGAAATACGTAAGCCTTGTTCTAAAATTTCACATGAATACTGTTCTATTGTTTTATGTAAGCACATACATATTGAATGTTACTTATAGCCTACAAAACAGTGTATAATAAATATTCCTAATTTGAAAAAAATCTCTTTGCTCTCTAACTTAGTCTGATTCTGATTGGTTGATCGTTAATATATTTTTATTCCTGTCTATGGTTTATTATATGTGGATACCGTACTTCGCAAAAGTTATTCCGAAGAAGGCGCAACTTCGTAAATGTTTTTTCTATTAAAGATATATAAATTAATTATTATAAGATTTCTTAAAACAGTCTTTTTTATCAATTATTTGAATAATATTTCGATTGATATTTGAGATCTCTCTCGAAAGAATTCCCCTTATTATTTATTTATTCCGGAATCGTTGATGATTATTTTCGAGCGATAAAAGGTAAAAGGTTCTTATTTACAACTGTAGAAATGTTCTTTTTTTGTTAAATTATAACGAGAAACATTTGAGTAGCTTCTTTATAAACTCTTTTAAACCATTAAAGGAGAGGGAAATGGTTTTTATAATTGAAATTATTTAATCCTTTTCAAAAAATATCTCTAATAATTTAGTTACTAATTCTCTAAAGCTCGTTCTTAATTCTGAAATTCCAATATATATAATGGTAGAAATATGATAAAAGATTAAGCCTAAAATAAGCTTACACAATCTTTGGGAAGTTTAATTCTTTTGTAAAAAATAATTTATCGAGTTTCGTGAAGATTTTGAGCAAATCTTCTGAAATACTATTACTAATGACTTAATCTTTATAATGGCATTCAGTGCATAATTTCAAATAAAATGTACAATAAATTTCTTACTTATCTTTCGATGCTATTATTACTTTATACAAAAAGAGAACAATGCACTTTCGATAAGACGAAATAAATGATAAGAAACTCTCTATTTCTTTATTTACAGAAGAAATTACATTAGCTTGGAAATTTTGGGAATTTTTCGCTTTTCTACTGATAAAAATTAAAAACGCTTTGTGATATTTAAGAAATTTTTGCCTCTTATTGTCGAAATGTCAAAACAACACTCTAGTCACAGTTCCACTGATTGTGATAAATGGCTAAGTGCAAAAGAAAAGAAAGTAAACTAATTACCGTTGAAAAAAATTTCCATTATATTAATATTTAAAAATGTTTTTGAATAGGTTTTGAAATTCAACAAACAATTAAAAACGTTAAGATTTAAAACAAATATTCACCTTACCCAAACTTCACCTATTTCAAAAATACGACGAAAGCAAGCGAAAATAACATCTTTCATCCGAAATGATTCTAATACCAAACGAACTAATCAAAGAAATAATTCGGATGATTGCGTTATTGTGGCGTCAACTGAATCTGTGGTTAAGAGTCGACCGTTCGAGTTTGATATAAGCGATACAGAAGAAATGGATGAAAGCTGCGAAAAGCTTCAAGAAAAAGCTCCAGAAGATCGTGTAATTCGTTTATTGGAAGTGAAAAATGAAGAAATAAGTAATGTAATCAAAGAAAACTATCAAAGAGAAAAATCTCTTAATAGTACGGAAGAATGCCTTTCTACACAGGATAATAACACCTACACCTTTCACGAGCCAAATATTGACGATTTGGATGAGTTTACTTTTCATTCGGGCTATAGAGGTTACACCCTTTCCGATGACTGAATATTTCTTGTCGGATAGATGGCAGCATCACGATTTCTATCAGTCTGAAGCGAATTTTAAAATCCCCCATAAATATTATTTTATCAGTTTATAAAACAGTCGCTTAACCTCTTAGCTTAGTTTTAAATTGGCTTAATTACAGAATTTTGCACCAAATATTTAAAAATTTATTGACTCTGTCCTCTTTAAAAAATTTCCTACTCTATATTTATTATTAATTGAAGGTTTCAAGTTTGACATACTGCTGATTGATCGCGGGCAATATGCTCTAATATGTTTTAATGTTAACTGTATAAAAAATTGAGGCGTGGTGGCCTAAAAGCCATTTGTGACGATTACAGCAAATAATTCCATATTTATTTTTTACTATTGTCCAGCTTTTTTTTACCTAACAAAAACATTCAGTGTATTCCTTAAATATCAATTTACTAGATAGAAATATGAAACGTGCGAAAAAAAAATAAATATAATAAAGTCCCATAAACGTAAGTATTATATGAAGGCTTATCGTCGTCTTTCAAGGCTGATAAATACTAAAACAGAACAATTAGTAACAGGTAAACTTTTAGATCAAATATAGGCTTAACTAGAGAAATATATACAAAAGGATTTTGGTTCGATTCTTCTATTTATTCAAACTCGAAACAGTTGAAATTTTTACAACGTTAAACCAGTAGTAATAGTATTTGAAAATCAACCGTGAAAAGGCATATTTTATTTTTGTACTTATAAATAGATCAGGAATGCCAAAATAGTATTGGCATAAAAAAATATGTCGCAAAAACGTGTTAACTTTATAAGTTTATTTGCTTGAATTTCTGTCCGACTAGATCACAAATTTTAAAAATAAAAAAGTTTTGTCAGTTGATCAAGAGATAACAAGTGTCATAAGGAATATATAAATTACTCATCTTTCGTAGAAAGATAGCAAAAAACTAAAGAATTGATAGTAAACATTAACGAATATTTCTGGTAATAAATTAATCTGTTAATTATATCAGATAAAAGTTTTACGAGACAGTATGTGTATCTTTAGTTGAGTCTGTTGAATTATTAGAGGAAGAGTCTGTTTGAGCTTCACTAAACCCCGATTCAGAACTATCTTCTCCTTCTTCCATAAACCTTCGAACAGCTTCGTCATTTTGCAGTGCAATCAGATCATTTCCTACTTCCAGCTCAAATATAGGATTGACTAGGATGTTGTCTTCGTCATCTTCGTTTTGTATTTCTTCAATTTCTCCCTGTTCTGCTTGTTCTTGCTGCTGCTGCTCTTCTTCTTCTTCTTCTTCTTCTTCTATTATTGGATTTTGTTTAGGTGCGCACATTGTTTGTTCGACGGAGGGTTTAAAATTTTGTCCAGTATGCAAGAATTTTGTTCTAGCTAATGAAGTTCCCGCTTTGCGAGCATTCTGTTTTCTTGTTTTCTCCCTCTTGAACTCTTTCAAAGCTGACTGCACTTTGGCATGAAGGCCCACTGCAACAGCTTTAGCTTGAGTTTCAGTTTTACATAAAAAGGCGTGACACCTTAAATCGACTTTCATTTTTTTCCCATCGTGTCTATAGACCCAAATGAATAACCTAGGGTAATCCGGATGGGCAATACAATAGGAAATCCTATAGCTTCTATATTCAGTTAATCCTTGTTCCTTCGTCCGTGCCTTTAAGCCCGAAGAGGTTACTGATAGAGTCATTTCTAAGCCAGCGGTTTGAGAGTTTTGGACGTAATTTTTCCATAGCGTATCAGCAGGTTTATCGACACAACCATCCCCTTTCGTCAATGATGTTTGTACATTCCCCAAATAACGTCCTTTCACTTCTATATCTTTTTCGTTGATGATGAACATTTTCTTCTTCCGAGAAGTTAGACGGCGTATAAGCATAGACATAATCATTTGTGCGATGACGATCTGATCCAAAATGAGTCGGTCGTATTGCACACCTGAAAATTTATTTACTTAGTCACGTGATCACGTGCCAATCGATTGGCACTTTATCGATGATCGACAAGGGGGATCTTCCTCAAATACTTCTGTTTTTTCTTAATAACACCACTTTATAAACTCTACACTATGAACGAGCCCGTACATGCGTTTTATATTAAGGTACGCGCTACACCTACCACAGTTCGATCAATATAACTCTTGGCGCCATCTGTTGGGTGTTACGTGAACACTTTCAACCATTTCACTAATTGATGATCTTAGTTCCCAGTAGTATTTTTAACCGAGAGCTTTCATCATTTCCCACCTATCCGCAAGAATTTTGCTTCTTTAAACACGATTGAAGCATAAACAATTCGTTAGAAAGTAGACAGAGCAACTTAAAATTGATAAAGTCTCTATAAATAGAGAACGAGGGAGAACAGAGAGAAAAGAGAGAAATAGAAAAAGAAATAAAGAGTACAACCTACGTAATACTGTAAGATGGCTTGATTCTTCAAAATTGGGGAAGCAATTAAAATGAAGCTAATAAAAAACAACTTATTTTTCAAATTAACAGTCTAAGGAAGCCTTCTCCCATTTTCACTCCTCCCTTTCCAACAATTTAAGTCTCGCCTCCTAGTAATGAATTAGTCACGAAATTAATTTTTATCGGTTGCACCCGTCCGTAGCGCTTTATCGGCTACGGAGAATGTGCGTTGGCTTAATCTTTTCCGAGCCGCTAAAGTCTGTGGATAAACAATAAATTTTCTCCCCTCAGTGTAAGTTTTTCTCTTCAATCTTTCTCTATTCCTCTAGTTAAACTTTATTTTCTTTTTGTGTTTTTTCTTACATTTATATATTGTTTTACAACAAATTTCTATATTCTATTGTATTAATACATAATAGAACAAACCCATTAACCAAGGACAAACTATATTATACATAATTTATAGATAAAAAAAGAAAAGGTAAAAGTGCAGGGTTTTCTTTTCTTTTTTTTAGTTAAACAATGAAATTATGCGGAAATTATATAGAATTTTCAGTAAATTATCCAACATATCTCAATAAAAGTATGGTGGCTATTCAATTTGCAGTTGGAATTATAAACGATCAGTAGTACAGATGTGTAGGGTATGAATATACATAAATAAGACTCTAAACCTTGTTTATGAAAGCTTATACATGTTCTTATTCTTATTCTTCTTCTTCTTCTTCTCATTTTACACTCTGCATACAGTTTTATTTTTTAGAGAAGTATTTGTTTTTATTATGTATTTGTCTATTAAATCTTATTTATTGATTTAGTTATTATACCCTTTCATTTATGATTGAATGGAATAAATAGGGACTTAATCAATGGGGAAAGAAGGGGGTTGGTGTGGGGAGGGATTTTATGTTTGAGACCGCTCTATTATGTCGTTAGATATTATATATAAATATATGTCTATAAATCGATTGCTACGAGGCAAAGAAATCTTAGAACGCTTGTATCGTCTATGGCACTTCGATTATTTCAATCTACAATTTATTATATTTACGGTAAATAGTATATTTTATAGCTAACGGTAATATAAAGTAAAAACAATCGGTCGTACACAAACCCACTACGCCTAATCAGCCTACAGCAGCACAGTTGCTGCTCTATGTTGCCGTCTATCAAATGCTTGCAATCGGCGCCTCTATACAACACATTTTATATACAGGAAAAGTGAAAAAGCCCAGCGAGGATTAAAAAGAGAGGAGAAATGCTTATAGTTGTACTATTCTCTTTCTTAATGTTGGCGGCGTTTCGATGTAAATCTGGTTTGTAATAATTCTTTACTTTCGTATAAAATGTACATATTTTCTTTCCTCTTATGCTTCATTGGCAATCTTTATATATTAGCCTTCAGAAGCCTACTTTATTTTTTTCTTCTTATTCTAACCAGCTAAAATGGTTCTATTCCCCACCAAATCTATATATCTATCTATTCTATTCCATATTGGCTTGTTCATTTTTTTACTATATATATGTATTATTTCATTTCCCCTCCCCTCTCTCCTCCTTCTATAAACAACGCTCTTTCTTTCTTTCTTTCTTTCTTTCTTTCTCTCTATCTATCTCACTTCTACAAGTTTTTCCTATCCTATTACCTTCGCATATTATATTTCAAGATGTAAAAAAGAAAGAAAGAAAGAGGAGTAAGCTCTACATTCGGACTTCACTTTATTTGCTTGTATTTTATGCCAATCAATTTTTTTTACACCGGGAAAACATATGTGAATTACATATATGCGTGCTGGTGACTGATCAATGATTTAGATTAGCATATAGGATAGTCCCTTTCTCCGCGTTATTTTACCTTCTTTATAGACCTTCCCTTTTAACTATATGGTACTGAATATTTTTATTATCTTCATTAATTTAGAAGTTTCTTCCAAGTATAAAAGAACTTCAGAGGAAGAAAAACTACTGAAACAATTATTTCAGGATTATAATCCTAGCGCCAGACCCGTACTTAATAGTTCGGATACAGTGGTGGTTCAAATGAAATTCTCTCTTATGCAAATCCAAGAATTGAATGTGAGAAATCAAGTGTTAACTACGACCGGTATGTTAATATTTCAGTGGATAGATGAAAGATTAAGATGGGATAGGAACCTGACCATGCTAGATGAATTGGTAGTAAGCGGTAGTACAGTTTGGACACCAGAATTTGCAGTTATTAATGGGTAGGTAAAATTAGACGATACCGTCATCTTTCCTTAATGTTTGCAACCGGAAAGATATTTAATTAATTCAATATATCTCTAGCACATCTATCTTTTTTTTCTTTCTTTCTCTCTCTCTCTCTCTCTCTCTCCCTCTCTCTCTATATTAATCTCTTTTTTACTTTTTTTCGTCCGCAATACGTTTGTCTTTTCAATTTCTTTCTTTATCTTATTTCTGTCTCTTTTTTTCCCCGGCTTTATTTAGGGCTGACGCAATCATTGGCGACTTTAGTCAATTTTACGCGACAATTCATCCGGACGGTTCGGTTCGATGGGAACCTGGGGGAGTGTTCAAAACTATGTGCGGAATAGACATCACATATTATCCATTTGACGAACAAAATTGGTATGTAGTACGATGTAGTAGGATTAAAAGATCAAGAAAAGATTACTGACTAATTAGGTTTCCTAATATAATTTCTCTTTTCCATCCTTCCCTTTTAGTAACCTGCGATTCGGAGCTTGGACTTATCCTACAAATAAGATGAATTTTACTTCTGATAGAGAATCTATTATTGTAGAAAGCTTCGAAGATAATGGCGAATGGAATATTTCTTGGACAGAGGTAGGAATTTCCCTTTCTCTCTTTCTCTCTCTCTCTCTCTGTCTCTTTTTTTACTTATCTCTTCAATGCTTTCAAATATAGGCGAAAAGACACGAATTTAGCTTTAAAAATAGTCCGAATGAACGCTTCTCTTTTATACGATTCTCAGTTCATCTGCAAAGGAAAAGTGCCTTCTATATAATGAATGTTATTCTCCCAGGAATACTAACCTCGTGCGTCCTGCTCAGCGTATTTTTCTGTACTCCAGCTCAAAAGGTTCACATTGGTGTAGCTGCTTTACTATCTTTTCGTCTTTTTCTTTTAAATGTTGCCGATACGATACCCAGAACATCAGATCACGTGCCTTTATTGGGTATTTATCTAACCTCTACCATGGCCATCACAACGTTGGCAATGGTCTCCACTGTGTTTGTTCTAAATCTACACCACGCTGGTGAAAGACCTGTTCCAAAGTGGGCAAAGAAACTTTTCTTCGTCTTTCTAGCTCGTTTATTCTGCATGTGCTCTTTCTGTAAATTGCCGCCGAGCCAGGATAGTCGGAAAGGATCTCATTCTGTTAGAAGTAGCTATGCAAGTTCCTCATCCGACCATCAAAGAGACAATAGACCGTCCGTAGCCCAAAGTTTGCCGTTTGTCCTCTCTGTTCCATCGAGAAAGAAAAGCGTTGCAAATTTTGATAGGAAGTTATCGAAAGAAGGAGGAGAAAAAACTCCGGATTATTCAAAAGATTGGAAGAGATTAGCGGAAGTATTTGATAGACTCTTTTTCTTTATATGCCTAATCGCTATTATCGCCACGACATTGGTACTCTTTCACCCGATAACGACAGCTAAATGGACTAAAACAAGTAGCTAAACCTCTTATCTCAAAATAATAGGGTAAATAATATGATTTTTTATTTCTATCATATTTTAAATCTCTCTTTCATTCATTCAATCTTTTTTCATTTATCCATCCATTCATTCATTTATTCATTGTTCCTCTCTCTACCGATTCCCCTATAAATAAATTAATCATTCGTATCATAACATTTATTGTTTGAAATCCTAAAATTTATAATATTCTTCAGATGAATCGTCATAGTATTTCTTTATATACCTATCTAAAAATCAATCTGAATCGTTTACCCAATTTATTTAGCAACCATTTCGTAATAAATCATTAAAAATATTGGCAAAAAATTTTCCTTGTCTATTTATATATATATATTATATATATTTACTATTTAGTTGTTTTTTTTCTTCTTTCTTTCTTACTTGCGTATATTGAAAAAAAAAACAAATCACTTAAAGTATGCAACACGCTTTTGACGTTTTCAAAGCGACACTCGAACTGGAAAAGGCTAAGGCAACAGCCTGTGCTTGCTGAACAGGTGTTGGTATCGCATTGCTTTCTCCGCATTTGATTATATTCTTCAGCATATTATTGGGTTTTATTAGAGCCATGTAACTGATGTTTGTTGGTGTATATATTATGTAATCGAGATTAGGATCAACATCCATATGTTTAACAGCGCCGTGAGCGTGAAAATCAGCGATAGAACATTTACGTTCGTAATCCCATAAGATTATTCTTTTATCGATTGAACAAGTTATCAGAAATCTTCCAGAGCAGGAGAAGAATATCTTATGTATAAAATTCGTATGGCGTTTTAAGGCGTAAATTAGGCTGCCTGTTTTTGAGCACCATACAAGTATATTACGGAAGGAAGTTGTTAATATATGCTTCTCTTTTTCGGCAAACGCTATATTGGTGACGGAGGAATTGTGACGCATTTGGAAGCGATATTTGCTCGACGGACACTCCAGAACCTGTACAAATATAAATAGTCCTATATTCCATTTGTAAGAGAATATTACGTTTTTTTTTTCTTTATTTATTTTTATTTTTTTTTTTCTTACCCGAACTGTTCCATCCGTGCTGGCTGATATCAACATTTTATCGTCGGGACTAAACTTAAGGCAAGAGCACGAAGCCATCATCGTATCCGGCATTTGAAATCCACTATTATCTTCATTCTCCGTGGGAAAAATCATAGGAAAATCAAATATAGTTGTTCCGCCCTGAGAAAGTTTTGTAAAATCAGATTTTGTTAATGGATCTTTTACCTTAAATTATAATAATATATTAAATTAATTAACTAACGTATTTTCCGTCCGAGGTAATTGCTGCAAAATTAAAACCATACAAAGTGTCCTGCTTTCTTATGTACTTTCCATCCTCCACGGAATATATATGTCCTATCCCCTCCATACCGCCTTTAGATATTATAGCTATTCCGTTTGATTCTACTACGTAATTTACGTTCTTACATTCTTCCAGTATATGTCGTAATTTACCTGACAAAAAGTTGGAGTAAGATTGAGAGGATTAAGGTCAAAAGGGCTTTAGGCCTAGTGAACATCTCAAAGATATAGAGCATTAAAACTAACCGCTGTTCGCATCGTATACGCAGCTCTTCTCTCCTGCTGTAATAATATACTTTCCATCTTTTGTAATGGCTAAACTGTTCACACGGTAGTCGAGTTTAACAAAGTATCTTTCTGTTCCGTCATTCAAGTTATAACAGATTATTAATTGATCTAGAGTCACGACCACTGCAGTTCCATTAAGCCTATTATAGGGAAAACAGCAAACATATATATAACTATTAGTATATACACCAGATATACAGTATATATATACATATATATATATATATATATATATATATATATATTTAATATATAAAAATTGTCAAGACGTCTAATATAAAGAATAAATATTTTCGCACGGAATATAAGGCGTAATAATGGTATATATATCTATATATATATATATATATATTATTGAATATGAATGGCTAGAAGGTTGGAAGATGGAAATAATCACGAACCCATTAATCGCAACACCGCATACATCCATAGCCCCTTCTTGGAATTTCAAAGGTCGCTGCAGCATCTCCATTTTTTGCAGTTTTATTTCTGCTCTACGATCTTCTTGCATATAATCTTCCACTTTGTTTCGAATTTCGGTGAGAATTCTATTAGGTGCATAAAAATAGAAATGGTAATAATGGTAATGACAATAAAATAAAGCAAACGAAATATGATTGACGATCATCAATAATTGAATTCTCACTTTTTATAATCCCATAGTTTGATGGTATTATCTAAGCTAGCGGTTATGATTAGACCCTTATCCTCTAGAGCATTGAAGAAGATAACGGTGCCATCATGCGACGTTATTTCAAACATAACTTGAGGGTCCGGACATGGATCATTTACATCGCCTATGTACCAGAATTGAAGTACATGACCATTGTATAATTTGCAGGTTACGATATACGATGTTTCGAAAAATTCCAATAGAGAACATGGCGTTCGTTCTTTAATAGTCGTATGTAATTTCCCACTTTCCAAATTAAAAATCGAGACAGCTTTCGGTACTTTGTTCGACGTCACAAAAGAGGCCGATGATGCCACAGCAACTAATCTCTCAGTTGGGTCGAGGCTTACAAAGTTTAAATCATAGTCTCCACCATTTAGTATCCAAACTAATTCGCCGGTTTTAATATTTCTAACATACAATTTTCCTTCGTCATCATATTTGAAACCAGAACTTAGAAAGTAACCATTCGAAGTTATAGCCTGACTTTGACTTAAAACAGCCAAATCGCCCTTCGAATTCTCAAATCCAGTAAAAGCATTTTCGGCATCGTCTACATCCTTCCATAGGTGTTGATATCTATTTCGGTGTGGTATTTCAAAGAATAAATATACTGGAAGATCATTTTACCTCTTTATTTTATATTATTTTCTTATTGCATTGCCACGCAAATTGCAATATAAAGAAGATAAGAAAGATTAATACAAACCTAGGCTTTCCCTTATAAATCATCCATACACCATGGGCATTCGCACTTGTTATTATAAAATAGGAATCATCAAAACAAAATTCGACGCCTCGTATGATTTTAAAATAATCTGCCTTTTTTATTGATATGGGAATACCTGACTGGTTTGCATTGTTTTCATGATCAATCAAAGAACCGATAAATGTTTGCGTTTCATTCTCCGGTTTGCCATCTGTTTGTTTAGCAGGAAATATTAAATATCATATATTCATATTCTGCTTAAGGAAATATTATTATTAAATATATATATATACATTTTTACTGTATATATCTATAAAATTTATATATATATATATATGTATATATTTGAATGTACACGTACTAAAAATCCCGGGAACTATGGAGCATCGACCCGTTTTTGAATAAAACAGTCGTTTGGCGCCAGATGGCGGCAGAATCTCATCCTGCGTTCTTTGGTCAATTATTAAGGTTGAGACGATAGGATCATATTCGTCTCGTCGGTCATAAGCCGTAATGTTTATAAATTGATCATCTTTTCCTCTTAAATCTATTGATTTTACAGTCTTCGTGAGTTGCGGAAGGGATACAACATTTCCTAATTGTTCCAAATGGAATATCTTAATTATATCCCCTTTAGAATGAGTTCTTTCGCAAACATATAATGATCGATGATCGCTTGATACAACCAGCTTGCTTTCATTACTTTTAGGGTCTAATTGCAATATATTCATAATAATTATTATAAAGAATATGCTTTTGAATTGTACAAATATCATTTACCTCCCATATAGAAAATTGTAGAATCTATATTCATTAATAAATTGAAACCAGGAGCAAGAAGGCATTGTGTAATTGGTAGCATAAGTGGAATTCTAACTCTTTCAACCCATTCTGCAGCCTGTTCTTTCAATGCTGCTAAACACCTTGAAGGAGGTGGAACGTCGACGAACTGCCCTAAAAGCTGTTAATCAGAATATTCTATTACTACTAGTAGTAGTATGAAAATAAGAGGTATACGACCAATACTGATGGATATATTTGAGACAGTAAAAAGAAACTTACGGCAATCGCTAAATGATTAACATCTTTCCTAATCACATCTCGGTTCAAAGTGAAAGCATTCTTCAAACTCCTAACCTCGTGTTCGCAGTCTTCAACCGCAGTTTTTGACTTAATAAAGCCTTGGCCAAATTCTATCAAGCTACTTGCACTTAATGAATCTGTTTCCATATTGACTGTCATTAATTGAAATTCTCGTATAACATTCAAAGCCAAATCGAGATCAAACATAACTTCGTCTATGGACGTTGCCCTTATCTTAGAGTATAACCATTTAAAATTGGAGCAAATATCTCTAACGAATGCATCGAATCGAAGTGCGTGTATAAGATTAAAAGGTAATTCTTGTAATTTTCGTAGATTATATATCCCTTCAGCGAGCATTATAGGCTGCTCAGGCGATTGTCGACTACAATCTGAAAAAGTTGCGATCTTTTTCTTAAAGAATTCGATAGGCTTGATACAATTTGCCCATTTCCCTTCGAAGTAATCGGCAATGGATGAATGGAGAGATCTTAATTTTTCTTCACAAGCGTACCTGGATGTAAATAAGGGTGATAAAAAGAATGTTTATTTTTCCTTACTAGAAAACTTTACCTTTTCTGAGCGGTTTCCTGGAAAGTTCTATGATACCAGAAGACTACATCCTTTCCATTAGCCCGTCTTTCAACAAGGTATTCTCCTAATGAGTGGCGAATTCTCTTCCATAGGAGAGGGGGAAGACGAACAACCTAATAAAACACTTGTATAATACTATCTGAAACTTAATCAGTATCTTACCAAATGTAAATAGAACGAAATAAAAGCTTATCAAAGAAAATAGTGGTAAAGTGCATAAAAGCCATAATAACATTCGTGCACATAGTTTAGCATCTGAAAATAATAGTGACGTGTTTTTAAAAAAAAACAAAAGATTGTTATAAAAACGTTATTAAAAACATTAAAAAGACAATAATAAAAAAGCAAAACAAGACAAAGAAAGATATACGTGTGTAAACATATATGTATATATATAAATTTATATATCTACGTAGTAGTCGATATATTCTCCCTCTTTTTTAAATAATACTATACATTCTATTTAAATAATAACCTTAGGATCGGGTGGTAAATGGTGAATATATAAATCTTGAAGTACATCGTCATCACAGCTTAAAATATCTTCCAATTCAGCGTCGGCAAGTCCACTACGTGCAACGGTTAAGTATCCTGTAAAATGAATATAATAAGGCCTATTTGAATATACAAACACATTTATCTTTTTAACCTAATGCCTTAGAGACAAGAATCTCTCCATGAGTTTTTTCTAAATTACGGAAAAGCCTTTCTATACTTAATTCAACACTCTTTTCAATACGCCAATCTTCTCTAGGAGTGAAAGAGGACCATTTGACAGCTTGTTCAAAAGCTAATTTCAAATATAAAGGTTGTTCGCATTGCTTATACCATCCAATAACATATAACTCTTGTTCAGGTGTTACAGTCCTTCCAACCGCCTAGTAACAATAGCAATAAATATAATTAAATAAGAGATTTGAATGTTTCTAAAGATAAATACTTTAAACCACGAATCTAGGATAATTTGAGCTGAATCTTTTGGTAAATTAGTTATCTCAACGAATCTGTTATTCATTTAGAATGGTTAAATGATTATGTTTTAATATTTATTCAATTATTAAAGTATTTCCTAGCTAATACACACCTATCGTCTTCTCCTATCCTACTTTTAGCAATTTCAAGGCAATCTTTAAAATCGGAGATAAATGATATTATCATAAAAACTGTAGGTGGCATGAATCGAGGCAACCATTGCAAAGAGTGAGCATAATTGTCAGAATTTAATTGATCAATTGAGTCAAGTATAATCAGTAGAGGTCTATTGGACGTATCGATTCTATGGAGGAGTGCTTCAAAATATAATATCAAGTATGAAAAATCTGCACTCAAGTCCAGATCAGATGGAGGATTTACGCTATAGTTAAACCATATTTGTTGAATAACGTTTATTAGTGCTTCTTTAATATTATAGCTCTGGGGACTAGTACCAAGAAACCTGATTATGCGTACTACTTTACCCCCAAACCATTTCTCACCCATATCGCAAATTTTAGCCATCAAAGCGGTCTTACCGCTACCGGAAATTCCATGCAGAATTAACGGTTTTCTATATTCATTTACATGCTCGTACAGTAATTCTTGCTGCAAACTGTGATCTAGGGGCAAATCGCTGTGTTCTTTTTCAATAACAACTTCTTTCAAGTGTTCATATTTTGTTTCATTTATCTTTTCTTTTTCGTCGCCCCCTTGTGTCTCATCATCATCCTCATCACTTGCACTAGCAGTACTATCCTCAGAAATTCCTCCATCCTTTTCTTTCGTCTCCTCAACAGAGTTTTGATTAAAATGGGGATTCGGTTTTATCGTCTGTAATTTGTCTTGTACCTCTCTCAACAAATCTTCTCTACCATAGAACGAGACAATTTTTTTAAAACAGAAAGTAGAATGATGAACTATTTCCGAGTAAAGAGATTTAGCAATCATAGCATTTGTTTTAAATCTCTCATCAGAATCTAATTTTCTCCGAATTAGCCCTATAACACTTTCTGCAAAATCTTTACAGAATTGCTCTAAATATTCAGAGTGTTCGACGTAGCTAGGATCAACTCCATGTTTTGTCCATTTTATGTTATATTTAAAAATATTTTTTGATTTAAAGACGCTGGGTAAAGTTAATTTTTTTAAATCATGCAATAGACTTTGGGCGTCAACGTCAACTTGTCCACCTTCTACATCAATGAATCGACCTTATAAAAGAAGAGAGTTTCTTTGTTAAAAGTGCATGCATGAATATAAAAAATGAAATGAGGGCTAACGTGCTAAAGGATCATCTATATTAACATCTTCAAGCGTTCTATAAAAACATAGGCAATTATTGTCTGAATCGTCAACGTTTTTCAGAATTCCTTGTATTATTTCGTTTTCAGTTACTGAAAGTAAAATATGAAAATATTATCTTTTATTTATTTTTGAACTATAAATCCTTTTTAAATGCCATTCATGTGCAAGTTATGTAACATTGTGTGTCTATTTGAGGATTATTCATCGCTTGGTCTATTTGGCATCTTTGTTTGAACAAAGAAATGACCGATAGTTGACCCATTGAATGATTCATGGGTTTTCCATTTCTCATCAGCGTTGGTCCATTATTGAAAAGTGCTATAAATAGGGATTTGAATATGGGTTTCTTCACAGTGATCGTCAAGATTCGAGAGCATGAACGTCTTCAGCGTCCTTCTAGCTCTTTTTACTAGCTTTTGCATTGGGGAAACTCATAGACATAAGATTACCAACCTATGCAAGATTGTCTATAGAAACGGAACGGAATTAGAGCTGAAAGAATGTGAAGAAAATGAGGTGTGCCTACCGCCAACAGATGTAAAGCTGTTCTTTTGCAGCCGAAATATCACTCAACTATGCAGAATTGAAGTATTTGGTGACGTTGTACGAAGTTCAGAATGCCCCGTAGAAAGTGAATGCGTAGAAAGATATAAAAAAGATCCCAGAGCTGAAAAATGGCGATGTCAATGCGAAGATAGCGAAGATGAAGAATGTCAAATGAAAATGAGACTTAGGGCTCGAAAAGAACGTCATAATAGGAAGAATTTACGTCGAGTTTGCAAAGTGATACTTCAAAATGGTACCGTTAACGATACAAGAAGATGTCCTTACAGTCACGACTGTCTACCTCCGCCCGAAGTAAAATACTTTTGTAAAGGAGCAAATAAAACAACTGATAAAGTGTGCAAACTGGAAGAATTTGGCGAAATAGTTGAAGAAGATGACTGTGACGAAGGTATGGAATGCTTACCAAAAAATTCAACAAATTGGCATTGTATTAAAAATGAGGACGAAGATTTTGAAAGATCAAGATTTTACGGTAAAAGTAAAAAATGGGGTCGCAACCAGAATCTTTTACAGAAGAATAAAAGCATTTGTAAGATTGAATATTCAGGAAGGGGCTACAGGAAAGTAATTAAGGAGTGCCCAGAACCCTACGTTTGCACCCCTCCAGCTGAAATCAGATTTTCAGTTTGTTCAGATGTTGATGATGAGAATTACCATCCAATCATTTGCAAAATAGAAAAAGGAGGAATTGTTTTGAAAGAAAAAGATTGTCCTGGAAAATCCGAATGCGTTGAAAGTGAAATGAAACATAGAAAATCTAAAATGTGGAAATGTAAATGCCCCGAAGATATGGAAGATTGCGATGATAGAAAAAAGTGGAAGAAGAAGAAGGGAATGAGAAAAATGAAAAAGATGTTACGCCTTCGTAAAGAAGGAAATCACTACAGGCTCGGATTAAGACATAGACCATCAAAGTGAATTTGATTTCTTACCAGAGCAAAAATATTTTTGTTTCTTTTCAGCATTTAGTTTTCCAGTAGCGTAAGCGTAGTTTGCTGAATGTCTTAATAAACTTGTTATTATATCACAAACGGCCATCCATTCATCATTCGCCGCTTTCATTAATTCGGGTTGATCTATATTGTTGTAATCAGGAATAATGGATGTGATTGGTTTCAGAACGTATTCTTTTGGTACTGCATTTTCATCCAATTCAAACCACTCGTCTAACAACTTCGTATTGCGTGCCTCCATTCTAGCGCAACGTTTTAATAAATCCATTTCATCTTTATTGATTTTGTTGGGAAAAGGTCGATTGCCGTATTTATCGCCTAAAAGAGCCTATTGAAAAGGGAAACTTTTCAAAGATTGACTATTTCCATAAATAAATTATATAAAAGAGAATTATTTTACCACAAAACAAGGTCCAACTGATAAATTTCTGCAATTTTCTACTTCATTTAAACATAATTCGGTAGTTTTATGATCAATTTGGGCTTCTTCCCTTACTCCCCATCTCATATCGACAACTTGAAAATCTAAACCTTTGCTAATGCAAAATTTCCTTATAAGTGGAAAAGCTTCTCTCATTAAGACATTTCTCTCCTCTTGCATATCTGGTTAATTAAATTTAATTTAACTTTTCTTTGCAATAAACTCATTATTAAACATAGGAAAAAAAAGAAGAAAATGAAAAAGTAAAATGTTCGCGCGACATTAGCAACAGTAAACAAACGGTTTAAAAACTATTTAAAGTTTAGAATTACCAGTAAACGTTGAACTTAGAAATATTCTTATAACGGATGATTGTTGTTTTGGTATATTTCGAACATGTCCACTTAGTACACGTTCTAAATCATTATCTTTTAAATTAAGATTCTTTCTATATTCCGCCATTTTCATTGCCTGGATACCGAACCCGGCGGAAGTAATAGGCTAAATTTACAATAGAACATTTTTCTAATTAATTTTTATGAAATTATGACATATTCGTATGTTTATCTAATAACTAGTAATTTCTATTGAATAAACATATCAAGTTCTTTCCTTCTAATATAATTTAATAAAATTGGATAATATTTTTGATTATATTTGAAAGAAAAAGACAATTTTTCTACATGACAAGGTTCCAGGCTATATGCTAATAAGTGTAAAATTGGATAAAAGTAAGGAGTTAAAGAAGCTATAGAGCATACAAGGCAATGTGCTGAAGGGGAAAGACGAAGACTTTCCATAAAAGAGTACATGTATAAAGTAGCTTAACTCCAGGATTTCTCTATCTATCTAGATGTTGTAATTCTATAATATTACTATTATTCTCTTCATTTCTCCACTGTCCCTTTCTTGTTTTATAACAATATGCATATTGAGAACATTCTTTTTCGAAAAATGAATATTTCTGATAGAAAAGAACTTCTACAATTAATTAGATTTATAATAAGGATAAATTGAAAGAATATATAGAGAACTCTTTGTGCCTCTTGTTCATTTGGTGTTTCTAAATGATTTATAATGACAAGTGTAGAAAAATATGAGTGAATAAAATGAAAAGGATATCAGCAAAAGATCTATATATATATATATTATATATATATATTGTAGTTGTATAAGATAGATTAGATAGATAGATAGATAGATAAATATCCTTATTTGTACTTGTATATTTGTTTTCTAGATAGATAGGAAAGGAAAAGAAAGAGTCAACTAACGTTCATTACAAACACTCACACGATTACATACATACAAATCTACATACATACATATTTATGTAAAAACTAAATATTAATAAATTGAATAGTTCTTTGCCGCCTTCATCATCATCATAATCATCGTCATCTTCTTCCTATCATCCTTCTCTGTCACTTTAAAGAATTGATTCAATATCTTTCGATGAACCGAAAACTTTTCGTAATTGTTTTTCGTATGCTTCTGCATTTCTCTTTAAAATATCTTGACAATTTCCTAAGAGTCGATCGAAATCCTTTCGGGATAATTTGGCAACTTTGGTATCGCCTGTAGCGTAAACACTAGCTGCTCTAGGCTTTTCAGAAAGGAGAGCTAGTTCTTTGTAATATAAGTATGTAATGCATTAAAAAAGTAAAAGTTCTTAGTCGAATTATAATGCAAATTGAAGTATATTTTATCTTACCTCCAAAATATCCTCCGGGTCCGATTTTACTTACTTCTTTCTCTCCTTCGATTTTATCCTATTAAAATATTCCTTTATTAGCGGAACGGTATAATGGACTCTTGGCAATATCCCCACCCCTCCCTTCCTCCCCATTCCCTCTTACCTTTATGGTGCATTTTACCAATCCTTTCTCGACAAAATACATTGAATCTCCAGGTTCTCCTTGCTTTAAAATGATATCTTTGTCTTTAAATTCTATAGTTTGTAGGGCGTATGCAATATTATTTCTTTCGTAATTTGTTAGTTCATTAAACAGTGGAACTTTTTGTAAAAATTCCTCGTATTGTTTCAACTTTTCGTGAGTTGATTTAATTATTGTTCTACGGAACGTTTGCCTATCTAGAACCCATAATTTTCCAGGAGATCTTGAAATTATGCAAGCAGCCCTAACTGTATTATACATTAGAGCAAGTTCCCCGAAGAAGCCTTCGTTATCGTAAACTTTTGGCGGTACAGTCCTAACATATTCGGCTTTGCCATTTTTACCTTTTTCGTTCTTTAATAGTAACGCTTCAAATTTGCCTTCCTCAACAACGTACATATAATCTCCGTAATCTCCTTGTTTAATGATAAGTTCATTAGTCTTCTCTACCTTCTTTTCGAACATTGCGCCTATTAATAATTTTAGCTGATCACTATCCAAATGACGAAAATAAAAGCAGTTTTTTAGCGTTGATCTAAGACGTTCCTCCTGCTCTTTCGATTTGGGATGGATAACGGCTGGACCATCGTCATCCTTTTCCGGATCGTAATGTTCAGCCGCAATAGATCTCCTTCTCTGTTGATGAATCGACGTTGACCCTATATCATATCTATTTATATATATTTACATAAAATAAATACGGATATACAAATTAAAAAAAAAGTGGATTTGTAAACACTGAAACAATTTCATAACGATCTTATATTTTTGTATTTATTACCGCTATCGTTAGCTTCAGACCGACATTGACAGAGATTTTTCAGTCTCGACCCAAGATTGGAACACGTTTGAAGCATGGTACGGTAATTTTTTTTTAAATTCACTACAATGGATTTCAAATTTATTTATGATGTTTTGAATATTCAAATTAGCTACTACTGCAATTAATTAAGACGGTATATTATATTGAAGAATACACATATTGAGTACAATCCATTGTATTAAGTGTTTTATACTGATTTTTTATGCATACTATTTTAAGGAGAAGGAGGAAATAGTGTAATAACAACCCTAAAACTACTTTATTATCATTTCTAACCAATTTCTGGATTTGACAAATGAATATGATTAATACATTGATCATTTCAATCAATAAAATTTATCAGGAATTATGCTCCAAATATAAAATTATATACGAAGAAGAAAATCAATTTTTAAAGGAATTATCTCAAGCTGAAAATCTATCTTTAGAATATTACAATAAGATAATTAGAAAGGTTAAACGGTACGAAGAATTATGCTTTAAAATTCAAAAAGATCAAGATAATTGTCGAGATGAAGCGACAAAAGAAGCCGCTAAAATTTTAACATTTTTTATAGCTAATGATATACAGAATATCGAAGCAATTTTAACAAAACATTTAAGTGAAATTCACCAGGTAAATATTTTTGTAATACGATCAAAATAGATTAAATTATCTACATGAAACTTTCTTATTGTTTTTTTTCTCTCTCTCCCCCCCTCTCTCTCTCTCTCTCTCTCTCTCTCTCTATCCTGTAATCCTATTTAGTTAATGTACAGTGCTATGCTATTGGATGGATATTACATTGGAAAAGAGCACAAATCGTTATAAAAATTATTATAGAATACTACGTTAAGAAGAAATTTTTTCCTTAATTATCATATTGTTTTTTTGTTCTTCTTTTTTCTTTGTAAATATAATGCTTACATATGTGTCTATTTGTTTTTGTTTAATATATAAATCAATCCATACCACTACTCTCACTCTCTCACTCTCTCTTCCAATACCCCTCCCCACCCCACCGCGCCCATTTTTTAACTTGTACAAACAAAAACTGTACGTGGTGTTTTTAAAAGTTAATATTAACTATCGTATTACAATTATTCACTTTCTTTAATATTTATATTTTAAGATGACGTCACGGCTACGTCATCATTATTAACACAGAAAAAGATTGCTTTTAATATCAAAAACATTCTATAAAAATTCGTTATTAGTGTAATACAATATATTTTTCATCATACCTTTTTTTATATGAAGTTGAAAGAAAATTAACTTGCTAACTTAGGAACAAAAATGTTCATACTACAAACACACATCATATAATTGATAAGTTATTACCTTTAACTTGTATATAGTCGTATATTCGTCGTCTAATAATAAATGAGATACTGTTATATGAGGAAAGTAAATTTATCAAGTAATCTTTTTTCTATGTCTTTTTTTTTTCTAACAACTAATACATTGTATAAATACACGGTTGACGCCGTACACTAATAGATTAATTTATTAAACAGTTAAAAAAAGGTTTCTTTTTTATTATATGCATAATATAAATATGAACTATATTAATAAAACAATACTTTATATTTTATGAGTTGTAAAGCTCTGTTTAAAGATTGTATTGACTTTCTTGAACAATCGTAAATCATTGATACATAGATAATAAATAATTAAAATATCTATTAAACTATTAACGTACGCAGTCAACTAGATAAAACATTATGTTTTCTTCTTTAATTATGTATACTTCTCTATTTATTCTTTAGTAAGAATAGTTGAAATGAACACCATCTAGCGGTTAAAAGTTTTTAGATAGGAGGAGGTGGATGGAGGGAAAAGAACTATATATATATATAAGTATATAAAACAGATACATTATTGACATAGAAAGAAAAATCGTTTCATTCTCTGAAGGTGATTGTACTTTTGTATTAAATTTTAAATTCGACTTTGGCATTGAAAAGGTAATATTTAAACACAATTGAAACCTTCATGATAGACGGATGAAAAAAGATCATCTATCGCAAATGAGAAGGGTGGTGGCTCTCTTTCAAACGAACAAATAGAGTGTATCCTTACTAAAGCAAATACGATTATTTGTCATTACCACTTATATATGTATAAATCGTTTAAAGACATATATCTGCAAATATATATACAGGTGTATTTTTACATATTTTTCTTTGTTCTCGGATGAAAATATCCTTTTTATATAAAAAAAATGAATTGAGCAACGTTTTGCATCAAATATATGCACTCGTAGAGTATTTATAGCTTAGAAATAGTATCGTGTGTACTATGAATAAAAGTTTTATAATTCTTGGAATAGCACGCTCTGTGACTTTTCTTCTCTACTCAATAACTCCTAAATCAATAGTATCTAATCTTAATAGGAATTTCTATAACAAATAAAATTGAGTAATTATTTACATTGAGCAATACTTTTCTCCTCTCTTTTCTTTAACGTGTTTTGTTTCATCTTATCTTTTTCTTCTTCATATTCTTTTTTGAATAGAAATAATTGTTTGTATGACTGATAATTGTTTTACTTTCTATATCATTCTCCTTGTATTTGTTGACCTTATTAGTATTCTAATTATATTCGTCCTATTTATTAACATATGTGCTATTCTAGAGAAATGTGTTTGATGTTTTCGTTTTCTTCTTTATTCGAATTGTCCGCCATATTTTTGGAAACGAACATTGAACCAGACAATTTCGAACAAGTTTTATTCAACCACATTTTACATATTCTAGTTGAAATTTAATTGAATTGTGAATAGGCGTTGAAAAATATTCTTAAAAATTGTTTATATTAAATGGAACTCGTTACCAGTCTAAAAGCAATGACGTCAATATGCAAATCTAGTATCGAACCTGTAGTTCGAGAGATGATTGTGGACGATCACAATGGTATTTTTTCGTTAGAAATATGAGTTGATACGAAGAATCCGGAATACATTGGTTTTGAAACTTAATATTACACAATACTTCATCATGACAGAGAGAGAGGAAAAAGAAAACGATATGAAAGTCTTATTTATAACGACCAACATAGGCTCAATATTCGAAGTGCAAGAATCGGATTCGGTTAGTTTGTCAGGCCATTTTTTTGTTATAATTTTATAGAAAATCAATTGTAATCTCGTATTATTGGTAGTGATAAGCTGTTCGAAATTTCTAATATCCGCTATTACGTGTTTTTATTTTTGACCCAATATTTTTTTTTCTTGGACGATATTCGTTAAATGGTTTTAATATGCCCTTAAGCCTATAATGTGATAAACCACGCCTTTTTAAGAAGATTATATGGGCAAAAAAAGGTCCATCCCCTCATAAGGTAATAGATCTGATCTCTCCGAATATGACTTAATGTATAGTCGGATTCCTACATCGATCCTATTATCTTTTAACGTGACATACGTTGTCATCAAACGCGTTTATTTGTCTCCAGAGATTAGCCACAGATTAGAAAGTGTCCGAATAGAATTTATATGTGTAAATTATTGCTACTTCCTTATACTGTACTAATTCCCCTCATTTTGTATTCTTCGCAGGCCGACAACAGTAAACCGACAATGATGGATAAGTGGATCGAATGTTTTATCGGAGTGAGCATTTTTTTTTTCTATTTTCATATTTATTATACTTTTATATTTCTTCGATCGGTTAACTTAAATAAATTATATTGCATCACTTAACTTTTCTAATTGACGATTAATGCACTGAAGGAAAGAAACGCTGATTAGATTCATCACATATTTATAACATTTTTATTACCTGCTAAAGGGAGGTACATAACAGAAATTTTATCTTTATTGGTCTCCGTAAATATAAACTCGTCTCTATGGTTACATAGAATTGGAGATACTTTACGTAGTATGCAATAAAATGATATTTCTGTCTCATTAATCACACTCGAAACAAAAAGAGAGACACGAAAAGACTTTTATTGAACGTTTGCTGTACACTTTTTTCTCTTATTATTTAGAAAATACGTGATATCGGAGCTCATTTTGTGGCAATTCACTGCCAAGAAGTCGGAGGGAAGGATTATGTCAAAACTATCAAATACGTGGATAATTGGGCAAAGTTCGTATTGCATTATATATTTTGTTTTTCTTGTATACTCCTCTAGCAAAGATAATATTCTAATAATACATTACATATATCTCTAAATAGGAAAATACTTAATAAAATGATGGAGTTAAATTACGACAAATCAAGATTATTTCTAGACGAAGATTGTTCTGCTCCAGATAAATTTACTGTTTGTATAAATGTTTTTCATTACTTAAATACTTCTTCATTTTTTAATCTTATCCTATCTCCCCCACCTCTCTCTCTCTCTCTCTCTCTCTCTCTGTCTCTTTCCATCTATCTATCTCTATTCTTTATTTATCTTTATACAGGCTCTAGGAAATCTCTATTTTGTACATAAAGATGTTGTTAATATCGACATTTACGACTTTGCAAGTATGCAACTAAAATAATATTCAATAATATGCCGAAATCCTATTGTAATTAAAATGAATATTTTTTTTCGTCATTCTCTCATTCTCACATGCAACGCCTACTCGAAAATTATAGCTTACAATTTCACTGCAATTGGTGCGAATGACCACGAGATACTCTCAGGTAATATAGAAAAATACACCACGAAGGAGAAAGCGAAATTTCCCCAAAACTACTTCCCAGACGTATGTATACAATCAATTGAATATGATTTATATTTTAGAAAAAAAAACGCATTTAATTATCCATTTCCAGTGCAAATGGTCGCGAAAAGGCTTTATGAGAACACGCTGGAGAGTGAACAACAAAGTGTAAGTATTCCGCTCTATTTCTCAATAATTAAAAAGTAAAAATCTATATTCTACCTCTCGTTGTCTTTAACTATAGAACAACTAGTTTTGTTTTTCGTTTCTTCTTTAAACAGGGAATTCTGTTACTTACATTTAATTAATGGTCTTTTTTTTCTTCATTAACCTTACAGGGTCTACGACCTCGTGAATATTCATCTCTTCCACGATGCTAACAATATCACTGCTATGGAAGCTGTACGTCGGTTCGTTGCACTCGTTGACGTCGTCGAATTGCGGTTCATTTAATTGCAGAGTCCGTCGATCTACGCTAAAAATAGAAAAAGGGCCTTACAACATACGCTCGACCGGTTCGAGGAGGATGAACATCAAAAAGCGCCAATGTTTATCTTTGGGGATTTTAATTTCCGTTTGGACACTCACTACTTAATAAAGGTTGGTAATAAATGAATATTATATCGACAAAATACTGTGATTATCGGTGTATGACTAAGTTGTTGTTAAACACATTTTGTTTATCAACAGTCAATAACGGGCGAGACGAAATCCAGAGAAGTAAGAAGTAAGCGGGATGAAGTGACAAAAATCGATTACCTGTCGACTTCAGATCCTACAAAGGGGGAGGTAGATAACCTTTTGATATTTAATTCGTTTCGCACATATTAGTATTGAAGATAAATTTCAAAGATACGATAAAACAATAAACCTATTTGCTTCGCTCAGCATATTGTTATATAATAGATATGTTTATTCATATTATGTATATCATATATTCAGTATAAACCTAATGTATAAATAAATTGCATAATGTAATTATTGGTATATACAAACATATAACCCTATACGACGTAGATATTTATGCAATATATGTGTGTTAAGATATATTTATGTGTAACTTTTCAGATCGTTTTAACAATAGAAAAGAAGGGTTTTGAACATTACAATCATCACGATGTATTTCTATACAATCACGGACAATGGGTTTGTTTTATTAATAAACGGCTTTAGATGGCAAAATTTCTCTTTACGCCGTAAAAAATAAATTAATTTGTAGATGAGAGACTTCGATAAAGAAGCCAGAGAGTATGACAGACTTGAAGAGTTTCCGATAAACTTTTCTCCATCTTACCCTTATATGGAAAATATAAATGATGGAATGTCGTTCATGAAGTCAAGAGTTCCCGCCTGGTGCGATCGAATCATGTACACAAAAATGGCAAAGAATCTTATGGATTATGATTCAACATTCCCCCTTATTTATGATCTCATTGGTGCTGATACCTGTATGGGTGACCATAAACCCGTCTTCCTTTTGTTTAAACTGCGAGCGACTGGTGCAGGTAATGTAATTTTATTCATCTTTTATAGATTTATGTGTTTACGCTATATACACTGTTTATACACTGTGTATATATTTAATCAATCCAAATTTTTTTAAAGAAAAAAACCAATATATTGAGTGTTCTGTATGAAATTTTTTATGCATGTCTCGAACCCATATCGTAAACAGTATCGACAGGCGTTATGGATAAAGTTGTAGAGAAGGAAGGCCTGAAAAAGAAACTGTCGATCAACGGTGAGACTGTTACAGTAACGGGTGACTTCAATCAAGTTAGCATACACGACTACGCTGTTTTTGAGCATCAAGAGCAGCTTCGAGGGGAATATTTTGACACGATCAGACGGCCGTCGACTGACGAGCAAATCGTTTCTCCAAATGCCCCTGTTCCCATTCCCACGGCTTCTCAATCTAGTGATAGGAAGCTGATTAGAGAATCAAGCTTCTCTAAGGCAGTTAGAACAGTTATGAGGTGCAATAATGTTTTGAGCTTATTAAAAAAGTACGACCATAGAAGCGATACGGAGCCTGACTCCGAAGATGAAGAGGAATCAGAAGTAAAAGAGGAGGCAATCAAACCAAGTGTAATTCTTCAGGAGCAGGTAGAAAAAAATGAGTTGCGCTTCCAGGCAGAAGAGAGCACTGTTAAGGAATTGGATCACGATCATGTTAGGTTGTGCGAAGAATTTGTTTCCAAAACTGACGATAAGGTGAACCAACGTCGCTGACATCTCATGATAAAAAGCACTTTAATCAACACGGCTATAAATTGCTTTATAATTTTACCGCTGATTCTTTTTGCTTCCTAATTGATTTTTTGCTTACAAACTTGCATACTAGCAAATTTCTTATATCCTACCTTCATTTAATTGACTAATATCTGCTGATACACAATTTTCCTATATTTTATATTTGTTATTATCATATTAACCTTGATTGTTTGATTTTCTCAATCTTTTTTTTTTATTCTTTTATTATTTATTCACAGCTTTTTTTTCCTATCAATAATTCTATTTGTTTTCTTTTATTCCTCTTTTAGTGAAAGTCGAATCAGGAGCAAGAGTTGGCGTTTCAGTTCCTGACCGTCAAATAAAAATCTCCGAATGTGACAGTACAAAACTAATTCACGTACGCCAAAACGGTAATTCAGTAGTGAAAGTGTTTCGTGAAACAACAGTCTAAAGCAAAAATTAACTAAACTAATCTGTAACCTATGTGTAACGTAGTTTTCTAGTTCTTTTTTTTTATTGTAAAAGAAATGATTGTTTCTTGTTTCATTTCTAGTCATCAAAAAAAAAAAACTAACCTGTTTTTCGACTCTTTGAAAATGAACTTTTTTTTTCTATTATCATTATTATTATTACTATTCTTATCCTCTCCTCTTTTCTTTCATTTTCTTAAGTAATTTGTCATGGTGTGTATGTATATTAATTGTGTATGTACGCGTTTACGTTTAATATTTTGTTTTTTTTTCAGTAATTTTTATTTTATTCCTCTTTCTGCAGATTTTATTTTTGTCTCTCATATTTTATGTTTTTTAGTTTTTTTTTCTTTGCCCTGCCCCCCTCTCCTCTCTCTTTCCTTAATTGCTATTAAAGAGATATTTTCTTGTCTAATTTCTGTCGCTAATTGATTGTTTGTTTAAAAAAAAAAAGAAGAAGAAAGTTATAACTGCGAAATTATATTTTTATCGTTCATTGTACAGAAACTGCTAACAATTGCCCAAAAAATCGGATTTCTAAAATTGTAAATAAACACTTTACCTCTGATAATTTAATTTGATTTTTTATTCTCCTTTGTCTTCTTTAGGAGATAGATTAGGGAGAAAATACCGTAGATAAACGTTTGAAAAGACCAAATTATTCTTAAATTTTTCTTTATTTTCAACGATCTGTTTAAAAAGAAAATAAAATCCAAATTAAAAATATCGTTATCTTTGCTTTTCTTGGTGTTTTTTTTTAACACTTACTTGCATAGATGATAAGCGTATATAGCTTCGAAAACATGCATAGACCATGCACTAACAGCTCTGTTCAATAATCAGTATACAAATAATTACACATTTTATGTATACATATAGAAATTTAATATAAATATGCATTGTCATTATAGCTTATATTTTATTAATGACAATACATGAAAATCAAATTTATCCCTTATCCAAAAACTTACGTTATTGTCATCAGTGTAGAGTTGCTTTTTTCCAAATTACTAAGAAAGATACCCAGTGGTCCTAGTATTTCAACTCTTAGTAGTTCTGGAGCAAAGGCAACCACCTATTGAAAAGACATAATGTAATCAAGCTACCCATCTTAACAGTTGACTAACCGTCGTAAGTGCCATACCAATAGGTACCAAAATGGCACTAAAGATACTAGGGAATCGGTAATAATTTTCGAAATTTCTTGCCATGTTGAACTCCAAAGTCTTAAAGCAGTGTCCTTATAATTGGAACGGACTTCGAGTCATCGATAACAGAACGTATTAGGCGGTAAATCCAATTAAAAGAGATATTTTTAGCTTTAATTTTTGCTTTTTATTATATATTCGCACTTGTCAGTTGCGACGTTACTAGGTCGTTTTACACTCTTAATAATAGATATTTGTGGTTTTGTCATGCTCTCTCAAAAAGAAATTACAAGGACTTCGTATGCACAATGTTCCTACCATTAAATTGTAATAAAGGAAGTATTTGTCAAGGCGGAGGTAATATGCCTTATTTAAAGAATCATGGCAAACAAGAAAATCTGAAATAAGTGGTAGACTGCATGAGTAAGAAAGAAAAAATCGATAAAAGCTAAAGCGAGGAAAACCGAGGAACACAATTCAATACGCTATAGACTTGTTTGTCATAGTATAAACAGAAACTAGTTATAATAGATATGCACCAAAACATTAGAGCTGTATTAAGCGGCCATAAATTATTAACAACCTATTGGCAGAAAATAAATTTCTTAGTTTCCGTAGATTGCCCGTAATTCAACTTCTTCTTTATGACCTCTACTTGCTAGATGAGCAGTGAAAGGTCGAGGCCCGTTTAATTGCTTATCACATATTTCACAATAGTACGTCTCGGGTCCCTTGTTTGCGGCCAACTCAGTTAGCCCCTTATGATTGTAAGTAGGCACGTAAGGTGTGGCTGTTGAGAAATAGCGTCACAAAATACATTAGGAAGTTTCGGCAAAGAAATAAAAAAAAAAACTCTCAAGCGAAGAAAGATAGTTAGCCTAACCTTTTGGGGGTAGCGCTCCGAAGAAAGGCGTTTCGTTTGCCTGCTCTTCTCGTTTATTCTCAAGCCAAGGAAGTGTTGTAGGTTTTTTATAGGGAGTAAGCCTATTACCTGGCACATAGCCACATGCTCCCTCCTCGTTCGTAACTTTCCACCATCCTTCACAATTAGGATGCTTGCTCACGAAAGTGTACAAGATATTACCTTGGAGATTAATTTCATCTCCAATGGGTGAGCCCAGGTTCCTTTTGTAGGAAGCCAAGGCTTTGAATTTCATACCAGGTCTTTCAGCATTTTTCGATTCGTTATCTGAAAGTCAGTAAGAAGCCTTATTAAACGAAAAAACAAAGCTGAATAGAAACGATTACTGTTCTCGTTCACTTTCAAGTCATTCATTCGTTTAGAAACGCCTTCAAAATCATTTTGCATTTTTGGCTGCGAACACTCGCGGTGACTGGTAGCACCACCCGGCCGATTTTCATGGTTAGCCGCAAGGTCTTTGTACAGAAACGTCCCCCTTCCTCTTCCTCTTCCTCTAATTTTCCTCTTGATATCAATTTCGCTAAAAAGAAACAAAATTATCTGTTTGAGAGAAGTTCATAAAATTTTCTTCATCAGCCGTCTAACTTAATATCGCTCGAGTGGTGGAATAGATAATTTGGGTTAATAAGCAACACTTGCCGACTACATTAATTATTTGAATAAGAAAAACTGTTAAAGCGTAAACTAGTTGAAAGCAAGTTAGTTTAAACTTTCTAAAATAACTTTACCTCATATCGTAAGGTTAAGTTATTCAACTTAGGTCTAGCGTAACAATACCCTAATTAGCACGTGCTAACAACGGAAATGGGTCTCAAATAGCTCCATCTGGTGTGTAGCGAATTATTAGCACTCATAACCTCCCTCAGTTATTTCGTACGAAACAATGCCTTACCAAAGCGAATATAATTATCTATCTACCTATCTCATTCTATCTCACTTCATTCTTATTCTTCCTTTGTAAATTCAATTTATTAACCAAAAAGAAAGACAGAAAAGAATCTCGAATCATAAACAATCGATTTTTCTTTTCTCTTCACTAATATTATTATCTTAAATGAGTATTGGAAGCGTAATTTCAATAAAACCTTTTTTCTTATACATATTATAAGAAGAGAACTTTGTACTTGCGCAAGATTTTTCTTTCTATTTCTCCCTCTCTTTACGAACTAAAAAGTGACTTTTAAAAAGATATATACGTATAATACGCATCTATTGTTCATAGACAATGGCTGTACCTTGCTTATATAACAATACATAACTAATGTAAACCAAGTTCCTGGATGATCTTTCCTAAGGCCATATTATCGTCCACATAACATTATTTGTTCATAATTATCTGATGACCTATAAGTTTAGCAAGTAATCATTATATATATGACAAATTTAGACTACAAATTAGAAGGTGATTCTACTCAATCTATAAATATATACTGTATGTATGATAGATTATAAGAACAGTCTAACAAAGGTGTGTAAAATACTTTCAAAAGCTTCTTGAAGTAATTTCAATATATAACACCATTTTTCATATTAAATTACAATGACTATACAAGCAGAAAACACCAAAATTATACAATGTATACTGTATATATAAGAAAAGATAGAAGGATTTAATGTTATTTTGTGCTTTTCTTCTTCTTCTTCTTCTCCCTTCTCACTCCTCTCCCACGTCCTTTTCTCTCTTGAAAGACAAATAAGCTTAGACAAACAGTTACAAAATTATTTAGGTGCCGAGAAGCATCAAGAGGATTTGCTAAGCAGTTATTTTTGTCAATAGAGCCAAGTTTTTTTTTCTCCAAATACCGGAAATCTTGTATTTCCGCTCTTTCGGAAACACTTTTGTTGCTGTTGCTGTTGTTATTATTTATTTTTCCTTCTTTTATGAAGTATTTAAATAATAATAAGCATTTTAATATATATATATATATATATATATATATATATATATATGATAAGTTATTATTTTGTAAGATAAATGAATAGGAAGAAAAAGAGAAAGAGATAGATAGATAGATAGATAGAGGGACACAGAGACAGAGAATGAGTGAGTGAGAGAGAGGAAAGAGAAAAGGACGTTTATTTAATAAAGATAATTTCAAATGTTTATCTCTCTCTCTCTCTCTCTAGATATATATATATATATATATATATATATATATATATATATATATACTATATTGATGTTTCCGATATTAATTAAATGTTTGACAAATGCTCTAGGCCATATCACTTGATTACAGTTCTGGCCTCAATTATTAGTTTAAAGGTTAAACTATAGATGGCGTCTTCACAAGAATTTTTTTCTACTGTCTTTTGTCATAAACAAACAACAAAAAAACTATAAAAAATAGTGTTTTAATGGGTGCCTAAGAATAAATAAAAAAAAGAATAATAATTGAAAGATAGCATATTAGTTAGATAGAAGGAAATTAACGTAAATGATATATTCGTTTCCCTATGAAAAAACAAAACGCGCCCCATGATTAATTTTGTATTTAACAAATATAAAATATTCTTCCTCTTTTCTCTCTCTCTCTCTCTCTCTCTCTCTCTCTCTCTATATATATATATATATATATATATATATATATATATCAATATATCTTTCCTGCTTTCTCTTTACTGCTTTCTCTCAATAGATATTTGTTAGTTAAATTGTTTGTTATTAATCGAACGTTCCCATCTCCATGATATATTTCCTTATAAGTGATGTCAATTTATTGAATTTGCAAAAGAAGTCTGGAATAGAGAGTAGATGTTGCAGTATATATATATATAGTGGAGAACAGTATATTGCGGTTTAAACAGCATATAAACAAAAGAAACTTGGCTTTTAATCTTTATTAATTTACGACATTTTTTTATCTAACTTCTGCTTTAATATTCTGCGACTTTATATATATATATATATATAGACGACTTAGGCCTATAATTTCCTTCGTCGGCGACAGATGTCGGGGAAATTAAGCTATAGATGAATGAAAAGACAAAAACGAAGGAACTAAGATTTTTTAATATCCGTTTAAAATAGGATTGACATAAGAAAAAAAGAAGAAAAAAGACAAAAATTCGTAAGAGAAGTATGAAATCTAAAAGGAAAAGTAAACCAAGGCTAAAATCAAATTAATTAAAAATATAGATGTAGAGAATAGAGAAAATTTAAAAGATAGATGTTTACAAAACATCCTAAATTGTATTTGTAAATCTTTCAATACGTAGTGAATATTATCAAGATTCCCCTTCATAGTACTTATACTACACAATGTGTAATAAATCTCTAGACTGAGCTTTTATTTATGAAATATTACCTTATTAATATGCATGATATGTATAAATGTATAATAATCTCATAATATTTTATATTATGAAATATTTCGATGTAAAATATTTAGACAACTTTTAACATTCCCGACTTTCTACTGCCACTCTGACTTCTTCTTACAAAGACACCAGCTTCTGAAGTGGATTTTCTCATCTGTCTCTTCTTTTTCTTAGTTCTATCGATTCTTTCTTCAGATTCTCTCTATAGTTAAAGGGAAAATATCGTTATTTAATACTCTTTCTTTTAAATAGAATTAGTATTGGAACTACGGAAAAAGTGTATTACTTGGCTGGGAATTGAGAGTTCTTCAAGTCGAGTATTTAGGTACAGGATTTCCCTCCTATACTCATCCAGTTTGGCTTCCAGATGCTCCCTCTTATTCCTCTCGTACTGCAATTGAGCTTCCAACTCATTTATAGTCCTGTTTTGGTAAAAGAAAGAGAAAAAGGATAAACTTTGAAATAGTACGAAAGGATAACGGAAAAGTAGTTTTATAAAAAAAAGCATAAACTTATCAAGTTTCTTAATATAAATCTATATAAACACATGTAGATTTATATTAATATACGCATTTCATCCACATCCCTCCTCTCTCACTCTCTCTCTCTCTCTTCCTTTAGACCTTTTAAATACCTTATAATGCAGACAAAAGTGAATATTTATACAACGACGAAAATCTAATAAAGCGTATAAAAGTCTAAATAGATAAGTTCATAAATAATTATTATCATCAGTAGAATGAATATTGATTCTTATTAAATTGATGATGGAAAGAGAGGAACAAAATGAAACAAATAAAGAAGAATCATCAAGATTACCATTGCTGCCATTATTACAATCATCGTTATCATGCACGTATACGAAAAGAGAGGTGATTCATTTTTTTTTTTAAAGGGAATAATGTGCTCAACTAAACATCTATAGCAATTATAACTGAGATGGTAACTTTTACAATAGAGCAATATATGAATAGTATTTGTTTGTCAATGTACGAATATATATATATATATATATATACTTGTATATAGGACGTTATCGAGAGAAATAGCCTATACTTACGGAGATGAACTGTAAGTAATAACAAAGACTAGTTTAAAAATCTTAATCATTTGTTTTGGTTGAGTGAGTTAACTAATTCATAAAGAATATGTTGCAAGATAGTTTTTCTAATATATCAATTGTATATATTTGTTAATTATTTACCTTTTACTATCTCTGTCTAGCTTTAATCGTTCCCTCTCTTCCGGCAGTTGTCCTCCAAGTTGTGTATAATTCTTCTTTGCAATTAACAAAAGTCTTTCCAGTTCATCACATTTTTTTTTCGCCCTTCCTACTCAATGATAGCGCTTTTTTTTGTTTCTTTTTATATGATGACTTATTTTTCACTTACCTCGGGCTTCTCTACGTTGTTTGGCTGTAAATTCCATATTTGTACCCTCTGTATTTCCAGCTGGAGGGGGAGAAATAAATTCTTCTTCTGCTGCGCTTTCCTCATCTTCTTCGTCTTCTTCATCGTCCTCGTCTACACCATCGTTCTCTTGTTCTTCTTCAAGCTCTTTTATATGTTGCACGAGTTCTTCTCTTTCTAATTCGTCGGCGTCCTCGTTTTCTTCCAGTTCGTCGAGATCCTTACGTAATTCCTTTATCTTACTTCGTCTGCCTCGTTTCCTTTCTCTATACGCCTCGTATTTTTCGCGGCGACGTTCCTCTCTCCTCTGCTCCCTCTCCTCTCGGCGTCGTTCCTTTTCCCGCCTTCTTTCCTTTTGTAAGATTCTTTCCTGCATTCTACCATCGCTGTTATCTTCATCCTCTTCGTCCAGTTCATTTGTGTATTGCATGAGTATTTTGACCGCTGCCAATTGAGCGAACCTTCTCGCTATGTCCAAGGGGGTTTCACCAGCTTGATTAGTTATTTTTACATTGGCGCCCATTTCAATTAGCCACTGAAGAATTTCTACGTGACCTTGACCAGCTGCCTTATGCGCAGGTGTTGCTGGAATTAGATAAATGAAATATCGTTTATTAATAACTTTGTTAATTGAAATTTTCTAAAAGCCTAATACGAACCTCCTTTATCGTCCCTTTCATTGATATTGACAATACCATTGTCAATTAGCATTCGCAGATGGTCCAAGTCTCCAGTATAAGCCGAGACGTGAGCAGGGAAAGTCAAGTCTGTAATGTAATGAAAGAAATTTAAATAATCCTACTTTTGTATAAGGGTTTGGTAGTTTTTAAACTTACTTTCGGCCTCTTCTGGATGGTCCCTTTCCCATTCTATAGCGCTGATATATTCGATTATATTTTCCTTATAAAATTGTTGCGCCAACATTTTAGGAGTCTCCCCATTATCATTTCTAGCACCCAACACGTGGCTAGCTGTCATGCCTTCGCTAACTAAATATTTCAGGCAATGCAAATGTCCTTCCATAGCTGCTAAATGAGCTGGGGTATTTCCGCTATTATCCGCTTCTTCGATATTCCCACCCCATCTTATGGACAATTGCAAACATCCTAAACGACCGTGAAAACTTGAACAATGGACGGGAGTCCAACCCATTTTATCAGTTGCTGTAACGTCCTAATTAAAGAATGGAATAGAGTAGAAATGAATGTAAATTATTTACTGTTTTCCTATACTTACAACACCAGCTCGCAAAATTGTATGCAATGTGAACGAATTGCCATGTACAGCAGCTAAATGAGCGGGTGTAGCGTCTCTGGCGTCTTTAGCATTTAGATTAGCCCCATTGTTGGCTAGAGCTTGCATACAAGCATCTTGACCTCGAATCGCAGCGATATGTGAGGGGGTCCATCCTTTTGGAGTCTGTACAGTCATATCCGCTCCATGCCTGCGAAAGAAACCATCCACATGTTAATAATGTGATGGTAAATGAAATTTATCAGGCCTACCATAACAACCAGTGAAGTACTTCTAAGGCACCTTTTTCACAAGCCCAGTGCAAGGGTGTAAATCGATCTTTAGTCTTATCCACTTCATTCACGCTGGCACCTTCTTTTACCATATATTCAACTTCCTCAACAACACCCAATTTCACGGCATCGTGTATAGAACTCAGCTTGGTTGCTTTTGCCCGCATTTGCCCTATAATACGTAACGTTATTTATTCATTTTAATAGCCTGTCATTGCCGGTTTATTTCATTTATCGGCTTTGGTAGTAGTAAGAATATACTTCAAATATAATGTATATATAACTGAAAATTTGAAAGTATTTACCTGTCGGTGGCATTTTGCAGTTGTTTATAGCAGTTGATATGGTGACAACAGTCTCGCGCCAAATGTTCTACCAGTTTTTAATTTGAAAGAATTTTACGCGCGTTTATATGGAAACGAGTAAAGAACTATGGATAAAAATAAGAGTAGTCGACAAAATTCATCATTAGATAAGAAAAGGCGTTTAATTAGATCGAAAGACTCATCGAGGGCCGAGGATGAGTTTATGGCCGCCGCTATCGGCGATGTAGAGTGGCTTAAGCAGTCGCTGCGCCTGAATGGTGGTGAAATTAATTACGATAAAAATGTTAGTCGAAAAGGACTTTAGCTTATTAAAAATATGTTATAAAAAATTGTTTTCTTAATTGATTATCACAGGGTTTCGCTCCAATTCACTTGTCTGCCATTCACGGACGCTTAGAATGTCTTAAATTTTTGATTGAAAAGCAAAACACGGATGTCAATTTGCCTTCAACAACAGGATGGCGTCCTGTACATTTATGCATCAGTAATCAAACTGGGAAGAGAGCGTACAATTGTTTGACCTATTTGCTTACGAAGGGTGCTGATCATTCTGTGTAAGACTTATTAAGTTTATAATATATTCCATTCACGAAACTGTGAATAAATTGACAACAACAGGAAAAATGATGATGGATTAACACCGGCTCATCAGGCGGCTAGTGAAGGACATGTTCAGTGCCTGAAGGCGTTAATAGAATGTATGGCGAATGTAGATGAACGAGACAATAGGGGCCACACGCCAATGGATTTGGCAAAGCTTTGGGGGCATAGGCAGTGCGCTAGAACACTAGCTATGGAAGTTTGGCATCAAAAGAAGGAATTTCAAGCTAAGGAATTACAATATCTACAAAAGTTAAAAATGGCTGAAGTATTAAGAGAGATTGAGATTGAAGAGAAGCTACTCTTCGAGAGCCAAGGCTTAAAAAAGAAAGAGATTAAAAAATCTGACGAACAAAATGTAAAAAAACAACAAACTGCTGCAGAGAATCAACAAAGTCCTTATGACCCGTTCGCTCATAAAGACCGTTTAAATTCAAAAACCGGAAAAGTTTCAAAGCCAAATAGTAGAATTCTAAAACAACAACGGAAGGAAAGGCCTCCTTCCGTAAAACGTCCAAACCTATCGAGTAGACAAAGCGGTCGATCGGTTGTGACAGATAGTAGCGATACGGGCTTATACGAGCGTAATCAACCATCTGTTGAAAATCAACCCCTAGAAGAGGGAAACTTAGAAGATGGCTGTGAACTTGGAAGAACTGGTTTCTATAATCCTAATTCGTGGAATCCATCTACGCACATCAAACCAAAAGATTATTTAACGGATTTAGCCGACGATTATCCTCGCGATGAATATACTAAATTACCGAGATTGCGCGATCTTCTCCGCACTCCTGCTTATGTTGCATCGATCAGAGAGAAGGCAGAGAAATTGGGTGTGGACGTTGATAAGTTGAAAGACGAACTAATGAAGGAAGAAAAGGAGAAGAAATGGGAAAAATCTGTGCTCCATAAACCAAAAAATATTGAATATTCTCAGACTAAACGAAAATATGAAACTCCATTCGCGCTAACATCAGAAGCTCCTTTTCATTTGATTGGAGATTCGAATAGTCTTCTTGTCCGCCTTAACATAATAGAAGAGCGTATACCACCTACACCGTCGACAACCCTATCAGCTCTATCCGTAAATCACGTTTCAGATTCAGATGATATAATTCGAGAACAACGCGACAGAATAGCTAAAAGTATGCCGAAAAGAGGTCAAATAGGTTATTAAAACATTAACAATTGAAGAAGAATAATATCTATATAATAATAAATAAATAATCGTAAAGATGGTTGAAAAAGTATGTTATAATAAATAATTATATTGAAAGAACAAATCAGCGCAAAAATATATTTCTTAATATGTTTCAAACGCAAAGCAAAGAATCATTGCACTAATTCAATTCTTTTTGCTGCATGCAAAGTGAGTACGAAAAAAAAAAAGAAAAAAAGAGATAAGAAAAAAGAAATATATAGGATAAATATAAATAAATATATATATATATATATATATATATTGACTTATATGCGTTTTACAGGCAAATTGTATAGAAAAGAGAGAAAAAATGATAGCAATCGTAATAATAACAAAAAAAAATGAAAATAATATTTTATCATTTCTCTCTTCTTCATTTTTTTTTAACAAAAACAAAATAATAAAATACAATACACAAAAAAATGACTAGCAGGTTAGTCGTCTTACGCTTTTACATCCTTTTATATTCTTATACTTATACATTTAGATACATACAATTTTCATTTTCGCTTCCTATCTCTATATATAAGATTTTTAGCTGTTTGTTTTTTTTGTTTTTTTTGTTTTTTTAAAAGAAAAAAACTGCATGAACAAGCCAAGTTTTTTTTTTGTTTAAAGCCATAATAATAAAGTAAACTGTTTTATACATATAAACGTGTGTGTAGATATGCATATATATAAATATATAGGACTATACATATATATATATATATACATATATATATGTATATTTGTAAAGCATATAAATAAGTATAAACATATACGTAATCAGATGAGTATATATTTATGTATATTTATACTTCTATATATTATATATATATAGATATATATATATATATACATAAATATCATATTGGTATTTCTTTTATCGATTATCATACGTTGGCGTAGAGAAATAAACGCACGTGCGAGAAAAATATGATGTCTTTTTCTTTTATCTCTTCTTTTCCCATTATCTTCTGTTAGGCTTCAGCCTCGTCTCCATCGTGTCCTTTGAGTCGAAGTCTAGCGAAATCTTCGAATATGAAATCATCATCCTGATTCGCGTAGTATCCTTCGCCGCCACTAGAGAATTAAATGAAGAATAGTTAGAGAAGGAACAAATCAATAAATAGAGTTAATAATGACAAAACAGAAACCAAAACATACTTGGTATCGAGTTGAATCAAATTTGTATCGACTGCAGCCTCCGCTGGTTGCTTATTCTGTTGCTGCTGAACTGGTGGAACTTCACTTTCAGGCCTGCTTGGAGGAGGCGATTCAACAGGTTTCGGGTGTGTCAGCGTAAATGGTAACTCGACCGACAAATCACCAGAAGCAAATCCGAGTATTAGCCGAACTTTTACTTTATATTGCACAACAATACCGAGGTTCTCTTTGGAACTTGGATCCAGTACGCTGAAGGGAAAAAAATATAAAGAGTGCATTAAATGCAGAAAATCGACGCGCACGCAACGTCGGGCAGGGTTACCTGCCGTGATTTTTGTGCTTGCCTTTTCGCCGGTGATTGTGATTTGAAGTTGATGAGGATGATGAAGAGGTGGAGGACGGTGGCGTTAAATGCCTGCGCAAACATTCTCACACGTATATCATGCAACAAAACATTAATGGTATTTCAATTTGTTTTTTGTTTTTGCAGTTTATTTATTGCGAAGGATGGAAAAAGCGAAAATAGTAAACGTTGGAACACTAAAATATGCTTACCCTCTAATTACGACGATTGGTACGTTTTATGGAATTATTTTGATATTTTATGTGTTTTGGGAGGTCCAAAGGAAACAACGTTTAAAGTATAATTAAATTAAAGAACTTTTTAAAAAATATAAATAAATGCATTAAATATTGATAGATAGAAAGATAAATAGAAAGATAGAAGGAATAAGAAAGAGAGAATAAAGGAGAAAGTAGATAAAATCAAGGCACTTACATCGTACTAGACGCCAAATTAGTATCTTCGTGTTTGAGTTTGCCGTCGAGCGCTAAGCCTCGTTTGTCGCGATTGTTGCTAAGTAACGGCGTCAGAGAATAGACTTTACAGAAGCCCGTCTGACTGGGGTGAATCGGAAATCCGTCCCTGTTTTAGTTAAGAATGTACGGTTAGAATATCGGAAGTTAGGAAAAGAGAACAAAACAAACAAGTAATTTGAGATCAAACTAATAGAGTAATAGATCATTAAACCCAAAAAAAGAAAAAAAATAATATTAATAAAAAGAATATAAGCAAAAAGAAGAAAAAAGATAAAAAGAAGAAAAAAGATTATTAAAGAATATAAAAATAGAATTTACATACAAACAAACACCAGAAGGGGTGTGTGGGAAAAAACTTTAAAATTGACTAATTATTAAAAAAACAGTGCTTTTGTAAAATAAAATAAAAAAGGAGGGGAATGGGAGAGAGAGAGAGAGAGAGAGAGAGAGAGAGAGAGAGTGAAAGAGAGAGAGGGAGGGGGGCAGAAGGCAGGGAGGGGCAAAGATAGATAGAGGTTAAAAACTATAGCACAAGCAGTTTTTTTTTTTTTTGGCCGTACTTACTCGCTCTCCAATTCGGCAACAGTGCATTTATACTGAGCAGTCGAAAACAGGCAAATATCAGCATACTGGCGAACTGGAAAAAATGTGGCGGAAAATTTTAGTTAGGTGCACAAAAAGCAAACTATATATATATATTCTCCATTCATGTATCTACTGTGATAAAAACAATGAGAAATATTCCTTTTGTGCCTGCAGCTAGGACACTTACGTGGTTGTACAGTCGTACACAACCGTGTTGTACACGGTTTCGGCAAACATCATTATGAAAGCTCTTTGTGTGACTGTTTTAAAATTCTTTTACTATGCATTTTTTACTCGTAAATTGAAAGAGTAAAGGGAGTTGATAAGTTCTTTTCTTTTTTTCCCATTTACTTAAGTACGTACCGGAAATTTTAATCTTCTTTACTGTCTTGCTAGTGTTGTTATCCACCAAAACATTCACTGATATTGATTCACCGTGATAATATTTCTCTTTATCCAAAGACGCTTCAAGTCTTAAGTGTCCTGGACTCATCATGAAATCCTTTGTAGCTTCGGCACTCGGCTGAGGTGCAGGCTCCTCGGGAGCATATGTCAATTTTCGGATGGCTAACCTCACCGAGTTTCGCTTATGGGGCTTCTCGTCAATACTATCGGCGACATACGTCTTCAATTCGTAGTCAACGCCGCAGGGTTTACCAGTGTCGCCAGGTGCTGGCTGAAGAGTAACGCTTGCCGGGCACACCTTCGGTAATTCAAAGTAGAAGGGGTAAGCGTTCGTGCCCAATTTCTTAATAAGCCTTTCTTGGAGTCGCGTAAGGGGCTTTTCATTCTCCTTCAAAGGCGGATAAACTTGAGTCGAGGCGAGGAATAAATCTTTACGGAATGTCAGACCCAGTACGTCGAGATCTTCACGTCCGTATCGAAAAGCTGCAAGAACATGGGCGAAAACTTTTCTTTCCTTCAAATAATCCGGATCAACCAAAACGACGCCATCTATATGTGTTTAAAGCAAACAATTAAATAAGAGATATTGAAAAAATCTTACAGGGGAGCCAGAATCTGGGATAAGTAAAAACGGAAATGTTTCGAATGCAAATAGAAGAAGAGAAGGAAAAATCATATCATAAAAACGTTAGGATAATTGAAAAAGAGAGACGATTTAACTTACCTATAGGATCGATATGATCAAGGTAGTCGATGAAATCCCGCTTTCCCAGATAGACGGTAATCTGTTGAGGGAGAAATGCAATAAAAAAATAACGAATAAAGCCCTAAGGACGAAAAAAGTAATACAAAAGCAACCGCGTCATTTATTTGATGAAGTTGGCCTTGAGCAGGAGGAGAAAAAAAAACAACTAACCTTTGCATTTGGACTGCTTTTCTTGAAAACTCTGTTAGAAGGAAAGGAGCATTAAAGAAAGTAGAAGAATATGTAAAAATTAAACAAGTTATATATAAGGTATACCGCAGATAGAAAACATGAAAGAAACAGTCGAAATTTTTCATACTCAATGATTATTTTATAGTAAGATAAATGCATTCTTTACGTTTATACATATTTTATATAGTTTATATATACATTTATAAGTAAATACGAAAAATTCTTTTCAAAAGAGATTCCTTATTAATTTCACCATCATGTTACACATTGAAGATAAAATAAGAAATGATAGCATATATGTTATTACAGAAATTTGCAAGTTTCCTTCAGTCTCGAGTCCTCCTCCTCCTCCTCGTCTAAAGACCCTTTCATTTATTCCATTACTTTTCGTTTACAGCACTTAAGTAAAAAATTGATGATGACGAATAGAAATAGACGTAACTTAGATGATAGAGAATTACGAGAGAAAGTGAAGGGAGAGAGAGAGAGCAAATCGGTTAGGAAAAATGACAGGAGAGCGAACAACCGACAAAGACGCGGACGACAGCGTCTCTACTGCAATTCAGGAAAATAGGCGCACTCTACCGACAGCCCACATAAATAATGATGATAGGGAAAAAAAATACTAAAAAAGTAGAATTCTTCTTCCCATTAAAACCGATGCAAGAACGGCAACTTTTTTCTACTCATACTATTATTTATTATGTATAACAACTGTTACTATCGATACATAAACATATTCAGGTATTCCAACATTTTGTCATGGCAACATTTCGTAATTATTGATGTTGCTTTTTTTTTTTAACTGGCCGTATTATATTGACTTGAAAATAAAACCGTCTAGAGTACTGTTACTCTAAAATGTATACATTAAGTAGAGTAACAATATCTTCTTCGTATAAAAGAATATACAATTAACACTTTTAAAAGAGTATTTATTTATTTATATATACAGTACAGGCCGAATTATTACGGCCCGTAAAATTTCTCTTTCCACGCCATCTGTCGTACTCACTTATTCGAAAAGGAATACCTTTCAGCCTCTTTCATTCTGCTTTTTAAAGGCAATTGACAAATATACATGTACCATTGGTATATATAAGCCGGGCTGGACTAAATCGGATTTAGTTCTTAAATGACCACGCCCATTGCGGTATATCGTAGTTACAAGCTTTAAACTTTCACTTTCCTCTTTTAATTTAAATTCACTACTATTTAGTCGTTTGAAAGGGAAAAGTTTAAGCCCCTTTCACTTGTTTTATACTAGTTTTTTTACCTCTGATTACATATCTTCGATATATAAAGATCTTTGTCTCCACAGCAAGCTCTACGAATTGCCGCTCTCTGCATCGTTTGACTGATCAAAGCCAACTGATTATCAAATTTTTAATCCCGTTTGCATCCATGAAAATACACGCCTAATGTAATACGGATAGAACGATTTATCGATTTCATTTTCTACTACATAATTGATCAGCGGATAAGATAAGGATTTTTATAAACGATGCGCTTTGGAACAGCATTCTTGGAAACTCACCTAGTTCCCTGCTTCTTCTGAGCATCGTCGTCGAGCGGTCCATTCAGTCCTGACGCCATTCTCTCTTGATTCTGTGTTTTATCTGCGAGCGGTCGATTGATTTATACGCTGCATTAACATTCGTACACGAAATGTTGCGCATCTTACCGACAATTAGCGTAGGTTGTTAACTATATAGCATTTCGTTGCTATATTCTAAGCAAGTGACTGATCTAACAGGAGCTGGTAGCTTTAGTTCCTCTACGATCTCTCTTAAACGCCCGAAAATCAAGGAAACACTCGTATTGTACAGAACAGATCACGTGATCACGCGGCTAATTCATGCACTACGTCATACATATATGGGAAACCTAAACGGTTTTAACCGGTTTTTCTCTTTTCCCGCCATTTTTTCGTGTATTCTTTTCCTATACGACAACTTTACAATCTACTTTACAAAAAACGAAAAAGAAATCTAACATTTACATTTCTTTTGTACATTATTCACACAGTTTGTGCCGGTTTATGGCACCTTTTCATATAATTTATACGAATTATTCGAAACAAACAGTTTAACACGTTTTCATCTTCATCACCGATCTTTCTTCTTTACTGGCCTTTTACTATGATTCTTATCAATTAGTTCACGAACTTTGTTATGGTGTTGATCACGTATTTTTAACAAAGCACTTTTAGTGTCTTTCATTTGGTCAACAATTAAACGTATCCGCTGCATATTTCCCTATAATCATTCTAAATTAGTATTTCCCTTTATAATTTTATATTTACTAACTTTTACAATATCAGCTAACACAGCCGTATCTTCTTCACTACTTCTCTCCGTGTTATGCATCGTTAGCAATTTTTTATCCAGTAAAGCAAGGCGTGGGATAAGATCATTTTCACAATCAGACTGTCGCAAGAAAAAAACAGTTTTTATATATGAAATATGGATATAACATTTGTTATCTAATTACCATATCTTCAAACTGTGAAGCAATATGATAAAATCTCCAACCAGTTGCTCGAACATTGGTAGTTTTAGCACTGGCCAATTCATTTACTGTAGGTCGTCTCTCATCTTTTGGTTTGACATCACTTCGTCGCATAAAATGATTTGTTCTGCCCTTTGATTCATACTGGCAAAAGTTCATCAAATTTACAGTTGAACGTTCTTTGTCCGTTGTCCACCGATATCCATCTTTATCAACAAATTCACTCTCTGACACAAGAAAGCAGACTAATATTACCTAACCTCATATACATGAGAAACACAATACTACCTTTCTCTAGTGAAGCCTTAACTTGTTTAACAAAGGTTTCTGTTACTTTGTCGTCTACGTAAGCATTTGCCAAAACAGCATCGATTTCTATCAAATTAGCTTTCAATTCCATATCTTTTATAAGAAAACATGTCAGAAATAAATTTTTTTCCACCAAACTCAACAAACCTTCTGCTGAATTTTCTTCTTTCCGTCGTTCTAAATGCAGTCGATGCTGCTCCAATCTTTGTGCATTTATCTTTTCTAATTCAATCCGTAAATTAAATTTTATCACATTGATTGTATCGTACTCTTCGTCTGTTGATAACTGGTCAGGTATTTCTCCCCTATTGCTAAGAATATTAAACCTTTTCAATAGAAGCAATTAAATAATTATTTATAAATCAAAATTTCATACAATATCTGCTTTCTTGATCTCTTTCGAGGTGATAACTCTGACGTAGGTGAATTATTACCGTCATCTGCCTCCCTTTTTAATCGTTGCAAGTCAATTTGACTTGGCGTACTTTCATTTGATGTAGCTGTATCAGTAGACGATTGACTGTTTTCTCGATTCGGATCTCTGGAGTAGATCACATTTGTAATACTTGTTATTTAAACAGAAATAGCTCTTCAAACTTACAGATAAGCCGCGGAAGCGGTTTGCATTTTGGGCGAGCAGCTGACGACCCTCGACTCTAAATTATTATTTGCTTCCGAATGAGTAGTTGATAAATTGGAAGAAAGGAGGTTCTTTTTGGCCGATTGCATAGATGGACTATTCAGATATAAACCTTATTATCTTGATTTTGTTACAATATATATATAAGAAATAACAACCTATCGTGTGCTGGTCTTTTACGTGTAAGTATACTAGGTTTCGGTGAAGACTGCAGTGTATTTGGATGATGAGTCAATTGTTGGTTCGTTGTTACTGTAGAAATTTTAAATTGCATTTCTTTTCATTAACATTTCACTAAAATATTTGTAAGATTATAATATTTACCAAAACTGCGAGCGTTCGGTAAAGTAACTACATTTTGAAAGCTCGTGGAATAGGTTATCGGATGTCTAAAAAATTTAAATTGTTTAATAAAAAATAAATGCATCAGCGTTATTTTTCTTACCCATCAAGTTTAGAATCTCCTGACAATCTTATTTGGGTCAACCCAGGTTGTAAATTTGTTTGATGTTCATTATTAGAATGCCTATTGGGTGTGATCTTAGCTGTTGATTTAATAAAAATTTAATTTTTAATTCTTAAAAATTGTAAGGACAAACCGATTGCTTTTGCCTGAGATGCGTTAGTTGTTATCGCTGTTGGATTATTTTGAGCAACGCCAACTTGTATGGCTGAAAAGCCTGGTAATTGCGAAAGATATTTTAAGAAGTTTTATATTTGAGATAGTAATATATATATCTACTACCTTTAACATTCTTATTAATTGTTGAAATGGTAGATTGGTTGGGATTTGACATTTGAGAGTGGTGTGAAGGGGGTGTAATTGTTATACTCGTACCGACTGGATTTGTTGAAATAACTCCTTTTTTTATGATGTGATGAGATGATACAGAAACTAAGAATTTTATCCAATAAAAAATTTTTTTAAATTAATAAATTGTACATACTTTTATTAATAACGGATGGTGCATTTATCGTCGTCACTGTTGCAGGAAATCTCTGGATGGACGACGTCTTCAAGTTGGTTGGTTGTTGTATAGATATATGCACGTTGGTAGTTCCTATACTATTATTAGTTGAAGTAGTGGCCGTTGTTCCCCTTAATCATTGAAATAGTGATTGTAAATAACTTTTGTTTTTACCCAACAGTTAATTAATATTTACCCCCCGTGTAAGGCATTTCCAGCTGCAATAGTTACTGACTGACCCGGTAGTTTAGTTACAGTTGGAACTATAGCAGTTTGTTGTCGAAGTGTTTTTTGTGATGTATTTCCTGAAAGGGGAACTAGTAAGAAAGAGTAAAAACAAAAATTATTTAAAATCATTCTAATTTTATTTCTAGTTACGTCTACTTTGCGCATGAGGAACATAGGTCGCTCCCTGATGAGCTGCAGGAGGCGTTGCAATTGTTGGTTGTCGGATAATAGAAGCCATTGGAACCTACAAATTAATTATGAAATTAGTTTATTTATTATAGTATTATGTATTATAGCTTACCGATAAATTATGGGCTATTGTTGTTCCCGGAGATACTAAATTAACATTAGTATGAGCAGCAGGAGGAGTAATTGTGGTTACAACATTAGTATTTACAGCTTGAATGGCTAATGTATTACCAGTTAATGATGAACTTTCCACTGAATAATTAGAACTTTGTAATCCTTCAAACGGGAAAACATCCGATTTGTATAATAACAAATCTTTAGGATGACAGATTTTTAATTACTTACGTAGTGTTTTACCAACTCCAGCGTTTAATTGTCCTGCTGGTAAAATGGAGGAGATTGCAGGAGCAATAGGCTTCTGTATTCCTTTCTGTTATGCAATTATTAAAATCAGTGAAAAATATTGCATAAATATAAAGTTTAATAAGAAACCTGGAAATTTAGCTGTTGACTAAACCCGGGGAGTTTATCTCTTTCCGCATCTCTGTTGTATAATGTCTTACTCGACGGAATTCTAACTTCGTCGTCCGATCGAGTTGGATGTTCAGGCGTTGCCCTGAAAGAAACACATATCTATATATGCACACCTATATCGGGGAAACACCAATCATATCAAAAAATAGCCTGTCTAAAAATATGCGGAATCGCCTATGACGTCAAAGGAATTCCCACCGCGCTTCCCCCAGCGAAGCACTGTGAACTCGCTAAACTTCGCGTCTAAATTTCGACACAAAGCAAACAACAAAAATTAATCTATTATCACTATTCCATAGTACAAAACCTTCTTGTTCTTTATCGCAAATCTATCACGAAAAAAACGCTAACATAAACTAAGAATATGCTCGTATAACATGTAACCTGTCTCGTACCAGACAGCTGAGAAATGCCTCTTTTAAAGGCCGATATTAGAAAAACAGTAAAGTCAATTATATTCATAGACGCACATGATAATCTATAGAGACACAATTTCCCTATACTTACATTCGCAATAAAAATATTAAACGTATTCCAACGATTCTTTAAAGAATTCTCTTACTATACCACACAGCTCCACTCATAACATACAAGCGGTCGTGATTGGCTGTAACAAGTCACGTGATTTTACACACTTCCGATCGGAGACAAAAAGTCCGGCTAGTGAGATTAATACGCACCGATCACAGTGGGCTTTCGTAAACTTTGCACAATATTAGCCATTAGAAGTTTGCGAAAATTTTTAAAATACATTTTCTTGGTTTTTAATATTGAAATACGCTTAATATAACTACTTTTACAGTATTTCTTTTACAAAGCCAGCATATTTTACGCGTAGATGTATCGTCGGTAATAGTTGTTATACGGTTAAGCGCTAAAGGGGCGGCGGGAACAACGGTTTTGGATATTTTCTCCTCATTTATCAAATTAAACCAGAATTTAAGCATCAAGCCTTAATGAAAAATTATTGATATACTTCTATGCCTCTTATGGCAGCTTTTTGAATACAAGATGAATGCAGAACGTTAATCAATATTTTGTTGCGTAATCGGAATTGTAGGCTACTGGAAATTAGCCTACATATTGATATGGTTGCGTCTTCTCTCCTCTTTTGCAGCTGTCCAAAGAATATTGGGCTAAGGGAGTCGCATATATATATATATATATATTCAGTATAAGCATATGTATATATAAATCTTTTTCGCATACCGAAAAGAAAACGCAAAATAATGAAAACATAAATCAATTTTTAAAACCCAACAAAAAAACACGTGCTGCCTATGCATCATCTCCAGCCGGAAACGAAAGAAGAACTGCAACATTCCCTCAATTCTCTTATCATCGCATTATTTGAAAAAAAGAAACTTTCACTGAAAGATTGACATTTTTTTATTGATTTTAATTGGCTACTATATTTGTAATAATAAAAAAGAATTAAAACGGATCAAAGAATATTAAATTAATTGATAAATTAATAATTTACAATGATTTTGCCTTCGATCTTAGATTATCTTACGCTTCATCTTATACTTGACATATTAATAATGTCCGTTTTAATCTACTTCTATCAGTTAAGATATTACGCAAAATAAGTAGAGATCACCCGCGATTCAGCAGCCTACTTTAATTTTTTAACTGGACTTTTTCTTATTCTTATCACTGTCCTTAATCGGTTTATAGATAAAATACCTCGGTAAATAACAGTCATTTAAAGTCTGTTTACCGTTTTACGCACTGATTTAACTACTTTCGCTAACGGGATGTCATGTGCGGAGGAGACTTTTACCGATCAATGTAACAATGATCTTAAAAATGGTCTGAAAGAAAACTCATTCTCTAAACTTGATAAGAATGAAAAAAAGAATATCATAAAAAATGCAGTAGTTTGCACTCTAGCTTATTTTCTTCTTTTCACGAGCTACGTTGGACTAAGTATCATTCAAAGCGCTATAAATGGAACTGTTGGAACAATTGGATTAGGCGTCAGTTTTGCTACATCAATATTAGGATGTTTGGCTTTATCACCTCTGTTTATAAAGCTTTTAGGTTGTAAAATGACTATGGTAATTGGATTTTTTGGCTTTACTACATGGATGATTGCAAACTACCATGTTGCATATTATACTGTTATACCGGCTGCAATAATAAATGGTTTGGTCTTTGGACCAGTCTTTTCAGCGCAGGCTGCCTATTTTACTGATCTAGGTTTAAGGTATTCGATGATCACAAAAAAAAATGCCGATGAAGTTATATCGTTATTTTTTGGAGTATTTTTTTGTTTCCTTTTATTAGGTAGGAATTAAAGTGACGTAAAATTACTCGACTAATCCTGATACAAGATATCTTATCGTTCTTTAATACTCTGTTTCAGGAACATCGTTTGGATGCTTCTTGACTTCTGTGATAATGAATAGTGGCGGAGGCGGATCATCTGCTGAGACTATTCCTGGTACAATACCAATGAGCTTCAATGAAACTTTATTAAATTCAACAATGACTCCATTTGAAACAACAACAGCAGCTGCTCCATATCGAGGACCCTTGCCTCATTGTGGTGCTGGTTTTTGTCCCGCACCAGTGAATGAAACAGCTGCAGGAGATGGACCTGCACACGGAAGAGTAGGTAACTAACTTTTCCTTTTCCTTTTAAATAAATATCATCCTTTTTTACTAGATAATGGTGTTAGTTACCGTTCACAGTTGTGAAGCGCTTTTTGCTGGCTTGCTTATACTATTCTTCGTTGATAAAGAAAATAAAATAGCTGAAGACGATGGCAAAAGTGTTTTAGACAATATAAAAACTAGTGTTGCGGTGACGTTTAAACAAATCATACGAGCTAGACAATTAGCGATGACGTTCCTAAATATTTATTCAGGAATGAGTCAAAGCTTTGCTCTGGCAGACTTGACTTTAGCGTATATAGGTTGTTCGCTGGGGAGCGGGGTTATGGGATATGCACTTATGACTTATGGTATGACTTCGTGTATTATTTCGCTAGTTTGTGGTTTTATAATGGAAAAAGTCGGTCGAGTTTATGTCTTTACAGCATGTTTGTAGCTGCAACAATATCGTTAAACGTCTCATTTAATTTTTGTCTCCCGAATTTTAATACGTTTAGGTTTCGTTGTACGACTAGCGACTATAACCTTTCTGCTATTGTGGGTGCCAGATTCTACAAAGGGAGCAGTATTTTTTATAATACCATCTTTATGGTCTTTAGGTGATGGAATTTTCATTTCACAAATGAATGGTTAGGAATATATATATATACTGTATATATAAGATAATATCTATAACGATTTTAATTAAAATTTATATATGCAGCAATGTACGGAATAATGTTCAGTGACAATCCTGAAGGAGCCTTTTCAACTTATAGATTCTGGGAGGCTGTTGGCATGGTCATTGGATATGTTTATACAACATTAATTTGCGTTTCGACCAAAATTTACATTCAATTAGTTATATTTATTCTTGGTGTAATTGGTTATTACATTGGAGAATACATGCATAAAAGATATTTGGAGACTCATACACAGAATGATGAAGATGTTGATCCTGACAGTGCTAAACCCCTTGACAAAAGCTTAAGTAATATTGTTTATACAGTTGAAGAAAAAGAAAGTTCAATGTAAAACTTTTATATTTGATTGTTACTATTAGAAATTAGTGAGAAGTAAACATCTATACTTAGAGATAAATATGTTCTTGTTATATCTTTTTAAATATATTTCCCATTCGTTCTTTACTTTCTTCATAATCTTCAAAAATTTCCCTCTTTTTCCATTCAAATTGAGCGAAAAATACACGTATAGGGGGCGTAACTGTTTATCGGTTGAGCGATAAAGAGAGTTTACTCTATGGATGTTGTAAAACCTCAGATAATTCGTCTTGAAAATAGGTGTTATCGCCTAAATCCAACAGGATTTTCAAATAATTTCAACGAAGATGAAGATTATCAGGGAAAATGGTCAGAAAATAATGTGTACGAGGACGAATGTTGTGATGCTGATTCAATAACAATTGAAAAGACTGAAAAAGGATTTAAAACAGCTTTAGATGTTCCAATTGATTGTTATAAGTTTATTATAGGTAAAAAGGGGGAAACTAAAAAGCGTCTTGAAAAAGAAACAAATACACGAGTGACAGTACCCTCTATCGGTCAAAATGGACAAGTTAGTAAGTAAATACACGGTTAACAACTATTTTAACACAGAATTAAAGACATATCAATCTAGAGAATGATAATTTAAGAATTAAATAGATTTCAATTCTCTTTTTTTTATATTTCTATCAAGTAGTTATTTAATCTAAGTACCGAACGAGTGCTCTATATCTTTTGTAGCTTGGATTTGTTATCAAAGTCAATACTAAAGATATACTCTTAAAGAAAATACATTCTCAAACGCACTATAAACTCTCTTATTGTATTATTATTATTTATCTAACAAACTCATTGTTCTTTAAGTCTTTTATTTAATTCTTCATTCTTTTCAGTAATTACTGGAATTGAAAAACGAGGTGTAATTTCAGCAAAAACTCGATTAGAGTTAATTCTTAATAATGCTAGACAAAAACTTCAATTTACGCATTTTCTTTCAATGTCAATTGCGAAGAATAATGATATTAAATCAAGTTTTAACAAGTTTAAAAATTCTGTTTTGGAAACAAAGAGAACAGTACGATAATCTCTATTTATTTAATGTTTCCATATATTTAACTTGTATTATTTACAGTCGGACTGTATTGATGAAAGTCTATTTCAAACGCCGGATAAACTGCATATTACGTTGGGTGTCCTAGTACTTTTAAATAAGACAGAAATTGATGAACTGACGGAAGTACTCGATGAATTCAGAGCAAACTTTCTTCGGTTTTTATTTATATTTACATATATACTGAATTAATCATTTCTCATTCATTCTTTTTTTATTATTATCTTATTTTAATAAATAATTAATAGGGCTAAACCCGATCAAAATGGAATGGAAGCCTGTATAGAAGGTCTTGAAATAATGAACGATGATACGAATGAAGTAGATGTTCTTTACGCTAAAGTAACCGAATGTGACGCATTAAAAGCGGTTGTTGAAGCTCTAATGGACAGGTAGTGTTAAGATGTAAATTCAATTGTACCATTATAGAATCTTATATTTCAGATTAAATTCTACTCGCTTTATAAAGCAGCAATATGACCGAGTGAAAATGCACGTTACACTAATGAATTCCTTATTCCGATCTACTAATAGTACCAGAAAGTCGTTCAATTGCAGTAATATCTTATCGAAACTTGGTGATTATCCGTTCGGTACTTTGAAAGTTGATTCGATATTGTTGTCAAAGCGATTTTCAACCGACAGTGATGGATATTATGAGACAGTGCACAGTTTAAGCCTAATATAGAATAATACAATGTTCTTTTATTACCTAGCAAGAATAATAAATTATTTTCCGACAAGAAAATAAATTGAAATATAATAAATTTATAATTAATCCGGGTTATTTGTCTTTGTCATCTTCCATTCAGTGTGTCGCTAGGTTTTCTGCTATTGTTAACATTCGCCTCATCAGTTATCACATCTATATTTTCGCAGGATGAATTTGGTGTGGATGAAACTGAATATACTGCAGAGTCTGATTCATTTACAGATAGTTTATTCATTGTAGGTGTTTCGTCCTCTAGTCTATCTGCTTGAGGTATTTTAAATGGTGGGACACTGCCAACTCTTCTAGATACGGATGCAACTGAAATTCTTCGCTTCTTCTTCTTTAAAAATCGACGTTTCTGAGTGTGAAGTATAAGATATTCAGCTGTTAAAATCAATGTAGCCACTCCTATTCCTGCCGCTAAGAGAGCAAATTGTCCTATACAATCTCGGAAGGATATAACATTTACATGAGCTATTTTTACAGTTGCCTTACAATGTTCAGCAGGCCAGTGTTTCTTCTTCCACCTCTGGATAAGTCCACCTTCAAGTATACTCATAATTCTAAAAAGAAAGAGATTAATTATGAAAAAGCTACTCTTTTAATTGAAAAATGACGAAATTTTACGAACTCCTTATTAAAAACCTCTCCGTAAGGATCCCCATCCTGAAGAGCAAATCCAAAACCAACCTTGAAAAACTCTTCAGGTAGTAAAGTTATATTACAATCTGAAGCCATTTCTGCTTCTATATTCGTCTTCTCGCCAATATAAATGTATTTCTCGTTTTTTGCCTTGACGAGGCCTTCGGTTGTATCTTTAACTAAAACATCATCACGATGACTTGATATTCCTTCCCAGACTCTTTTATAGGTTGGATTTGAAGATGTCTAAATAATACAAAAAGTAATCTTATGAATAGCGCAAACAATATGACAAACAATGTGTTACTTTAAATAGCATCATTTGGACAATACCATCTTGTAACCCGTAGGCATACTCCTTTTGTTGCGCCATCTGCTCGAGTGTTGAAAAAGGTAATTTTGGGATATTTGTAGTAAGGAACGCAATAAGATTTCCTGTGTAGGTAGCAACAATAACCAAGACAAAAATCCACCATGTACCAACAATATATCTTCCAGAACTACTCTTTATTTCACTGACGGCTCCTTGCTGAGTTATACAACCATAGCAGTACCATATACAGTTATATAAACGATTTAATGGATTGTTAGAAGACGCTTTGTGCGTGATAGTAAAAAGCCATAAACATAACGAGACAAGAATTAACGACGCATAAACCGACAGCCAGACTTGCCAACTCAGAGGCTAAACAAATAATGAATGAATTTAATAGTGAAAGTTACTTTTAGTTTATTACTACCTTGAAAAAAGCAAACATATCAACTGTTCGGGTTGGTTCACGGATTACTAATACGGTAGGTTCTTCCCAATATGGATGCGTAAAATCTACAACATCTTCTCTAGTATGAGTTATAGTTAAGGCTCCCGCTACAAGATCAACTTCTCTTCTTTGTAGAAGGCCAATTAATCCATTCCATTCGCCAGATTCGTTAACTTCGATACCAAACGTCTTATCAGCCGGCTCCATAAGATCGTATGTAAAATTTAGCCGGTTTGCCAAAGCATCCAGCATCTCAATACACATTCCAGTATAACTCAAGATATTTCCGTTTGAATCGAGTTGTCGTTTAACAAATGGCGGATACTAAAATTTATAAAGATAGTTGTAATTTGGAGTTTAAATACTAATAAGTACAGAATATGAAATCAATAAATCTACTATTATTTAAACTTACATGTAAGGTCGCCACTCTCAACTTTCTTTTATTAAATCCTTCAAATTCTTCGGGGAATAATTTCTCATCTTTTAACATCTCAAATTGTAATTTGTTATTTCTTAACTTAAATAGAGCAGCGTCGTATAGCCTTATTTCTTTATTATTACATCCATAACTACATTTTTTTAGTTTATACGGACAGTCGTCTGTTACCTTTTCCAATTCTTCGTTTAAAAGTTGTTGATACTCCTTTAAAAATTTGGGCAGGCACTGATAATCCGTAAATGAGTTGTTCTCACCAACCTCTACAATCGTCTGAGAGCAGCGAGAAGATATTCTCAGATTAATTATTCTTATGTATAACAATCATTAAATATGCGTACATTATACTACTTAATAATTATTGTAAAGAGTGACAAAATAGAGACTGTAGGAGCAAAATGGAAATGGTTGGTCACGTGTTTATTCACACGATCACGTGCATGCTTTTACATTTGCACAAGAGAATTATAATGAATTCCCCTTTTTGTTTTCTCTTTTCTTAGCAAATGAGAATTCCGAAGAATTAAACAATACAATTTTTTTTTGTTCGATTACCTCAAGATACGTTTTTAATGGCCATCTCCTATCGGCTCTCGTTATCATAGCATTATCTTTACCATCCCACAGATTGCGAGCAATCTCCTCTTCTGACTCCTCATTATATTCTTTTAATATGCTCAAGTCAATTATCCACCGAAAAGAAGGTCCAAGCATATACGACGAACGCAGCTGAGTTAGTAATATATTACCACATAGGATATATATATATCTATTGTATCTTACTTCTGTTACAAATTCGAAAATTTGTGTCGCATTAGACGATGATGCTATAAAATGTCGATCTCTTGAACGAAATTTGATATTTAACAGCTTTTCTTTCAAATTCACAAGCGACCAATCAACAAACAATGATTTCGTTCCGCCCAAAGCCTGAACTAAGCTCGTCAAGTATTTATCTGTCGATTTTTTTTACCACTAGTCAGTTATTTGTAAAACAATATGGAACATATTATATATCTATTTATATTAAATTATACTGTAAATATTGTTATAGACCTTCTAATGAACGATAAAATGCTACTGTTTCCATCCATTTCAGGTGATGAATCAGATATTTAATGGCAATGGGACGGATGGCGGCGTATTTACATGGACGGACTATTAACTGACTATTTAACGTATCGTAGCACAGACAAACGTGTAGATATGGCAAGTAATCGTCATCTCTCACTTCCGAACAATCCTTTAATAGGACATATATAATTGTCTTTTGGCATGGTAATTTATACAGATCATAAAAATCCGGCTGAGTAACTGTCGTAAAAGAAATCTTTTCGCTTTGTGACACTAACTTCTCCAAAATTTCAACCTGATGGAAAACTTGAACATCTGTTTAGGGAAAGAAGAAAAAATAACGAAAAATAAATAAAAGCATTGCATATACACTTGTATTCATAATATAAATCATTATTAATTCAGTCTGACTGTTTGCGGACGTGCATTGCCAACAGATCGTCTCAAGAGGCTTTTTTTCATAAACGCGCACTATTTTTATACAGGTATTGAACACAGAAACTTTCTAATATTTCCTTATTTTTTGTCTACTTACGTAATAGAGAAGCCGAGTTTGACAGATAGAGAGTAACCACTAAAAAGTTCAATTTTATAATTCTGTACATTCCCCGTCCTTTGCAGTTAAGAGAAAGAAAGCAGTGTTTTATTGAGGGTGCGAAAGTAGAAATTGCACCAGCTGGCTGTTTTTTTCGGTTTATCTGTTAATCTAAATAATACAAACTTCGATTCAAAACCGTACATATGACTTTCAGTTAAATGAGTTGTTAATCGATAAGTGGTTTGTTCGAAATGAGATCGATGGTAAAGCCTCAGTTATAGGTGGCGTACTATCAAGTGTTTTTTCACGGGTAATTTTTCATAATGTATTTATTGATGAGTAGACTTTTTACGTATGTAACAGTTATAATGTTAACGTAATTAATATTTATATAAACATATATATATATATATATATATATACATTATATACATATATATATCTATACATATATTAATACATACATATGCATATATATACATATATATATGTATATGTAGACTATATATAGATTTTGACATAAAATAATAAAAAATAAAAGTAAAAAGAAACACAAAAACATAATAAGACTTAAAGAGTAATAAATACGAAAACATAACGTTTAGCATTAAAATAAAAAGTTCAACGCAGGCACAAAGTCCGATTCTGTAACAAACAGTATTTACATTATTACTTCATCGTCTGTCTAGGATAGAAATTGGACTTGGCTAGACGATCAACAAATTCATAAGAGGTTGCTTTAAACGATGAACGATGTTCTGCATGCAATCACAATGCAGTCGTAAATAATGAAAGATAATTTCTTGTAATGGGTATTAAACCAAATATATTATTTAAGTTTTCTGTACTATAATCCGTTTATGTCAACAAAATGCTTAGTATAATTTAAATAAACTTGATTGACTTAAACAAAAGAGATTTGATGGTCATTTATTAATTTGATGTTATATCAATAGAGTGGACCATCAAATACACGGAATTTAGAAGTATAGTACAATATTTATAACAAAACGTTTTAGTTGTAGGAGGTTGAAACAACTTCCCTGTGGGAATTTACTAAAAAAAGAAGAATATTGATATGGGGACATTTGACTTAAGCGGATTATATTGTAGTTTATTTATACATATTTATATCTTTTTTTATCGACACTTTGTGAATTATTTTCCAAAAAAATCCTAATAAAATTCGATAAGCAGATTGTTTGGTGGAAAAAAAACAATCGACAGACAACAGATAACAGAGTTTTACAGATGGTTAGATGAGGTCCGCTACATTCATTGGCATCTCCTCTATTTGAGTGTTATAGAAGGTTTCGATGTCTTTTAATATTCTGGCATCGTCATGTGTTACAAAGTTAATTGCCACACCTTTACGGCCAAACCTTCCTCCTCTTCCAATCCTATTGTCAAGTTCAGTTAATTAAAAAGAAATAAAAAAAAATATTTTCATACCTGTGGATGTAGTTTTCTCGATTTGTCGGCAAATCGTAATTTATTACTAGAGAAATTTGTTGCACGTCAATACCTCGTGCTAACAAATCAGTTGTAGTTAGCACCCTACTGGAGCCTGATCGAAACTCTCTCATAATGATATCTCGCTCTTTTTGATCCATATCACCGTGCATGGCGGAAACGGTAAAGTCTCTGGCATGCATCTTTTCAGTCAACCAATCGACTTTTCTTCGGGTATTGCAGAAAATTACTGCCTGAGTAATTGTTAATGTCTCGTACAAATCACACAATGTATCCAATTTCCATTCCTCTCGTTCAACTTGAACAAAAAATTGACGAATACCTTCCAAAGTTAATTCTTCTTTCTTTACCAAAATTCTTATCGGTTCACGCATAAAACGTGTAGTAACATCCAAAACGTCACTTGGCATTGTAGCAGACAACAACACAACTTGTAAACTAGAATGGGGCAGAGCTCTGAATACATCATAGATCTGCTCCTTGAATCCTCTTGACAACATTTCATCAGCCTCGTCCAACACAAACATCTTAATGTCTTGTGGGTCTGTAAGGTAAAAGGTCTTATGAAATATGTGTGACGCATTGGATTGAAGCGATAGCTTTTAAATTTATCAACCGCTTCACCTAAATGCGAGTCGCTCTCCTTCCGTTAGACGGCTATTCCAATCAAAAGAATAATTGGAATAGTGCTTTGAGGAAGTTAGAAAAAAAAATTATTGTAGACTCACCCAAGGCTCGTCTCTGCAGCATATCATACACTCTACCAGGAGTGCCGACAACAACATGAACGCCTGCTTGAAGGGTAGCCATATCATGACGTACATTAGTTCCTCCAATGCAAGCATGGCATTGTGTTTCCATGTAGTCTCCAAGGGCAATAACTACTTTCTGGATTTGTTGAGCCAGTTCTCTAGTTGGAGCCAGAACAAGAGCTTGACAAGTTCTCTTGGTCATGTCCAATTGCTGCAAGATAGCAATAGAAAACGTGGCCGTCTTTCCAGTTCCGGATTGCGCTTGGGCAATGACATCGTGTCCTGTAAGATAAAACATTGAAAAAACAAGTTTTATGTTATAATTGAACACATTACCTTTTACACAGGGGATAATGGCTCTTTGCTGAATAGCAGATGGTTTTTCGAAACCATAGGCGTAAATACCTCTAAGGAGTTCTTCTCTCAAGTTCATATCGTCAAATTTTTCAACAACTTCATCCCAGTTGGATTCCAATAATCCATCTTGTACACTAAGGTTTTCAGTAGGTCCCGACGAAGGAGGCCTGAAAAAACGTGAATTCAGGTGAATTATATGTAAAATGTCACCAGTCGGTAAAATGCGGAAAAGAGTAAGATCAAATAATGACTGCAATTCGCCATTAAAAATCATAACATATTTCTCTAACAGTTCGGACCAAAGAAAAATGATAATTTCACCCTTTAAAAGTAATTACAAAATAGTACTTTTAGTAAAATTTGGTTTCACGTGTTTCGGTAGTCGCCATCTTGAAAATTTTCAGATGGAAGATTGCAGTCACGTTTTACATTTTTAGTGCCATAATTACACCAGTACAAATTTTCATTTTTCGTTTAATATAATAGTATTCCCAGACAAAAGTATTTTTGGTTGTTTCTAACACTCTACAAAAGCTATGAATGAATTTCTTTACCTTTTAACATCATTTTCGGCATTAGACATGTTGAGAGTAGACTATACCGCGTATAGAAAGAAAGGTTACGGCTACTTCCGCCTAGGTTATTGCGCGTTAAAAAGTGCCGCACAGCTAAAACGCAAATTTTTCTATACATAAATAAGTATATATCCTAATATTTATCTAAATTTTAATATAAATTTTATTCAAACTGATTTAAATCAATTAGAAAAAAGGTTTTTAATAATCTGATAAAGAAATAGTTTCGATGTAATCATATCCGGTGCATATCACGACTTCCGCGCGCATTTAATAATTTTTTTAAATTTTTCTACGCATATATAAAATAATTCAAAAATTCAATAAATTTAATGACTGTCGTTTAGTAATGGATTTCTTCCAATATACAGCAATATAGTATTAAGAATCGTACCTTTGAACGTTAATGCTCGCGAAAACATCATTATTGCCGCTATCAGGCAAAACGCTAATTATTTTTCCTTTTTGAGTCTTGTATTTCATATTGTAAAGTGAAAGACAGAATGATAAACTATCACTTAAATACTAAATTAATTAAGTTACGAAATATGAAGCGAAAATTTCTGAACGTTTTAAATTTCTTGTAATGATTCTCTGATATTTCGTAATATTGATTCATTTCTAATTATAGTCTTTAGAGAATGAGGGGAATGTGCTATTATTACGTAAGTTTAAAGCTCTATGTACCGGCTTATTTACATATTCAAGCCAATTGCGTATTTATGAAATTTGAGAAAAACTTTATAGACTAGCACTGATAAGTGAATGACACTGAATAGAGTCTGGTGACATCCACCTGCCGCAGCTGTACAGACTCATCTGACGTTTACCGCTTCTTTCCATCAAATTGTTCAATAAGGCTACTTATCCGCGCAACATTTGCCGTTGCAAAAGAGTAATCCGGTAAAGCGTATAAAATTTCTGCCGAAATGTATGCCTATTGTTTTGGATTCTTCTTTTTTAAGTAATAATAATTCACCAAAGAACGTCTGATCAAATAATACTTTCCCTATCAAACAGTCATACGATTTTCGATTTTGTCTGCTCTTACTTAATCAGTAGCGATGCCTGAACAAACGAATGCGTCTCCACTTAAGAGATACCAACTTCTTGGTCACGTGTTTAGCTCCTCCTCCTTATTTCCCTATTAATTTATAAACGAGGGATGACCACTTTGTTCATATATAAAACTTAATAAGTTACTAATCAATTAATTTTCGTCAGACATTTTTTATTGCATTTATATATTAAAAACGAATGTTCAGAGCAATATTTAACATAAATTCTGGGAATGCATCTCAAAGAAACTCTAATAGGAAATATGCTGACACCCCGCCCATCTCTGAGATTCTCCAGTATTTTCTTAATTTATGCTGATGCCTGTCTTCATTTATAAAAAGTTATCCTAATCTAATTCTATCATTCTAATATTGGACAGCAAAAATATAATATGGGTAAGTATATCTTTATTTCGTGTTCTAGTGATAAAATATTAGGCATATTAGATGTTACAGATTTTTTTTTAAACAGCTTTAAGAATCAATTTTTTTTTAATTTTCTTTTTTTTTCTTTTCCAGGAAGAACATTACCGATTCCCGTTCCGTGTAAAGTTTGTGGAGACAAAAGCTATGGAAAACATTACGGTATGAAATATGAACTACTTTTTATACTTAAAAAAAATGTAGAACATATTACATATACTATTTATATATGCGTACTATAATCTATTAAAGTACAACTTTGCTGTCATTATTCACTTGAAATTTGTTTCATGTAGGAGTCTTTTGCTGCGACGGATGTAGTTGTTTTTTTAAGAGAAGTATTCGAAAAAAGATGGCTTATACTTGTATAGGGGCTGGTAATTGTGTTATTGATAAGGCACGAAGAAATTGGTGCCCTCACTGTAGACTTCGAAAATGCTTAAGCGTTCGCATGAACAAAAATGGTAAGAATTTTTTACTATATACCATCTCTCTATATACTAAAATATACAGTATATTCAAAAGTGTTGAATATTATCGATAAATTCTAGCTGTTCAAGAGGAGAGAGGTCCTAGAAAGAATAAAGGACATAAAATGAGAAAACCAGAGAGTGTCATTCCAGCTTCCTTTTTATATCAAAGTCGTCAAGTTCCGCAATTAGCGGCAACTCCTATTTTCTCAGTGCCCTCGATTTTACAAGCCAGACGAGGTGGGTCTGAATGTGGACACAGTGAGGAAAAACGGAATATTACAACTAAAACCTTGCAGAGAGAAACTGTGGCAAAACAATTATCCGTTCAAATTCTCTTAACAGCTGTTAGAAAGATTCAGGCATCCTATTTTTTTTCAAATTTACATACATTTGACAAATCTGTTCTAATGAGAACGACATGGAAGAATTTGTTCCTTTTGCATGCAAGCTCTTGGTCAATAGATATAGGAGGCTTACTTATTCATTGGTATGGAACTTTCGGCCAATTGGATCCCAAAGTAAGTTCGTCTTTATCATAAAGACTGAAGCGCCATCTGTGGCTTTTATTAGAAAATAATTCCTTCCATCTCTATACGCCCCCTATTGACAGGTTTCTGAAGAAAGTATGGATAAGATAAGACAAGCTATAATTAATTGCCAAAATTTGAATTTTGATTCAATCGAATTTACATATATAGAACAAATTCTCTTCCTCGATACAGGTTCTATTGATTATAGAAATGATTATTAACAATCATTTAAATCCTCCTCCTTTTTAATAGATGCCCAAGTTTTGGAAAAAGATCGAATAAAAAGATTACACGAACATTGTTGTTCATCTCTATCTAATTATACTAAAGAGAAGACTGCAAACGACACAATGAGGATAGGAAAGATTCTTTTTTCGGTTAACCTTCTAAGGACAATACCTCACGATTTTGTTAAGGATGCTTTCTTCAAGAAAATCTTTGGAGTGAATTTAAATTCTCTCTTAGGGCTTGCTTGTTATTAATCATTGAGTAAATAGAACATTGTAACGAGAAAACGAAATTCTTCTTTATAAATCATTTATGTATATACAGTATATATATAGATTTAGTAGTACACATAAAAAATTTCATTTTATATTCATGAATATCTACTTGCTGTACATGAAATCTGTAATAATGCATAAACGAAAAGTCCTACTTCTTATCTTAAGCTGTTGTGTGCCACCTTAATCCGTTGTCAATGGAATACATTACTTGGTCTTAAACAGGCCTATGCGGTCAATATCCTTTTTCGTGTCAATTATTCGTGTATAGATACGTATAAAAATGTTTTGATACTTGCATGGTCACTGTGATCCAAGGAGTCTAAGCCCATATTCACTTTAATAATGGCTACTTAAGGAACGAGTAGAAATATAATGGAACGTGATAGATCTCTTACCTTATTATTATTTGCATCATTGTTATATTTGGGTAGGTAAAAGACAGCTTATATTAACTCTTTTTCAGGATTGAAAATATATAAATATTAAATTTTCAGCATCCTGTCAAAATTGCTCGGAAACTGTTAATGCTACTCTGGTTTTACAATTGAATAATACTCATTTTCAATTATCAGTGTCAAATTATTCATACGTTATTTACGGTCGATATAATAGGGACGTCCTAGATTTATACTTTTCGAAAAACATACTCATCTATTACGATCTGTTAAGAAGGTTTGATAGTATTTCTTTTTGTTTATCTATCTTTCCGTATCTTTCCTTTTCCTTCTCCTCCTTCTCCTCTACCTTTACTTTTTCATTATATGATTCAATATACTGTAATAAATTAACGGTCAAAAAGGCGACAGAGGCAACAATCTATTAATGCATAATATATTAATTATACAGAAATTTAATATCGATTGAATTACTCGAAGAAGGAAATTTTAAGGAAGAAATTTTAGACGATAGTCCCAATTTAGAAATTAGCAGTCTAGTTGTTGATCAACAGACTGGTAATGTTTATTGGATAGAATCATTTTTCTTACAATTAAAAGTTACACGACTAAACAATAACAACAAACCGAAAAGATCTCTGATACTATTTATATCCGTTCCACCAGCAACAAAACTGATTATAAATGAATATAAAAGGTAAATGATAACGATTTTATATTATTTCTAATCAACTATATAAATTTTACTTTGTAAATTACATAGGTTTCTATTCTTCTTGTCTCGTACTGGTAGAAGTATTCTCTCCTGGCCACTCAAAACTAATTCGAAAATTCAAGTTCTTTACACTCATAACGAATCTATATCATTACAGTCTTCCACAACCGAGGGGTAAGAGAATCATTTCTTCTCTTATTGCAGTTATACGTATTTTTTTTTATCTTCTTTCTTTCTCTGTTTTTTTTTTGTTTTAAACAGCTATATAAATCAGAAAAGTTTAGATTCCACTAATTAAGTTAGATTGTTTATCTAGGTTTTCCTTTTTTTCCCTTATTGCGTAATGAATCCTATTAATATACTGTTTTCTTTTCTTTCTTTCCTTTTTTTTTCAATAGATTTATCTTTTCGGATCAAAGAAATATACTTTTTATGAACATCACAACCAACACAGTTCGAATTATTAAATTCAATAGCATTAATGTAAAATCAATTATATTTTGGCAACTCAGTGTCAGTATTTAATAATGAATTATTTAAAAAATGTTTATAAATAAAGTAAATAAGAGAGAAACAGAAGAAAATAAAAAGTAGAGGGAGAAAGTAGTAGATTATAGATGGTTAAGACACAAGCTAGAAGAAGAGTGAGAATAGAGGTGTTTTTCCTGATTAAATTAGCTCAGGGAGAAAAGTCTCCGCTTCCGTTTCTTTCTTAGCTTACTTTAAACAACAACAACAACATTTTTGCGATGAATATCTGCTTAATTCACTCTTGTTTACAGGGACACCTATTGGTAACTGATGAAACTAATCATGTTCGTAAAATAAACGAAGACAGTATTTCTTTCACGACCAAAAATGAGTCGATTAGCAATGCGGACACGTCGTACGAGTTTTGCATAACTCCCAACGCAACTCTACTTGGGGAATCTTTCGCAGTAGGAGGCAAAAATTTGTCTGGTTAGGCCTATATTTAATATAATTACTATTGATTGTAATTTCTAAAAAGAAATGTTTAACTGCGAATAAATTAAAGGTTCTTCAGGAAGATTATATATATATATATATATTTATATTCTTTATACAGTTAATAATGGACAAATTTGCGGTCAGTTATTACTATCGAATTTTGAGAGTGGTCAAGCGTGTTCCTGTGAAATCGGGAGTTATTTGACTGCTGACGATAAGAGTTGCAGTAAGGAGAAAATTTTTCCTATACCATATAATTTATTAAAGAAAAATTAATTGAATTTTCCCCATCGGAGCATTTCTTTCATTTTCTTTCTCACCCACCCTAATAGGTACTTTTGGATTGAAGAATTTTATGAATCAGACCTTTATTCATTATACGAATGGAAAAAAAATTTGTTCAATAAGTTTGAATCATATTTATCTGTCCAATGAAACGAGAATAACCGATTCTTGCATTGGATATAGTTGGCCTAGAGATTATACTTTTACGACAATTGCATCGAATCCCTACAAGAGTAGAATATACCTGAGTATTGAAAATGTTTTCGATCCTTCTCTCGATAGATTTCACTACAGTTATACAGATAGAGTCTATTCTGGCCGTATATCAAGAGGAATAGCAGCTATTTCGGGTGAGGTGTTAATTTTTGTTGTGAAAATATATTTTCCTCAATAGAAATAGGAAAATAGCCTCTTTAATTGAATTTCTTTCCTTTACAAATATAATCATTATTAGTCAATGAATTTGTTTATCTTTTTAATGAAAACCAATAAAATTATATACACAGCAATGGCAACTCATTTTGAATCGAACTGTGTTTGGTTAATATCGCCTGCAACCAAATGTATTCATTTACACAACGAAAATAACCAGAGGAAGGCAATCATTTGTAACCTATTTAAACCCAAAAGCTTAATCGTCGATTACAAATTCTAGTAAGTACATAGACTTTTTTGTTATTAAGAGAAACAGTACTATTTTCATCTTCCTCCTCATCCGTATTCCTCATTCTATATCATTCTTCCTTATCTCTTTGATAATTTTATCATTTTTTTTGTGGATATTTATTTTATATTTTTTAATTTGCATATAGCCGATTAATTTGGGTAGAAGAAAACACGATAAAAACATCCACGTTAACGGGAAGTGATATTAAAGTTTTGTTCCAGGCCGAAAGTGAAATAAGAGGATTAGCTTTAGACTATTCGGACGACAGTCTGTATTTTTCAGTAGATGAAAAAATACGGAGTCTGTCCAACAATATTACTTTTCATGTCAAGGAAGGATGGAATGTAACCGATATGGCTTTCTACGGGGTATTTATTGCTTTCAAAAATTGAATATATAGGAAACACTTTTGTGTTTCATCTTATTTTCCCTCGATAGAATTTGCTGGCGGTTGCTGTAAAAACAACGGCGGCGAGGGGTTTGATAGTCTTTATAGATAAGAGGACCGGGAGGGTTCTGAGAGAGCATAGCAAGGAGAACGTTAAGGGATTTGGTTCGTTAAGTATATTTAATTACAACGGTTGGAGAAGCGATAATATAAGTAGTGCACGGAGTTGCCCGTGCCAGCATATCTGCGTTCCTTCGTTCGATTCTTTCGAGTGTGTTTGTCAGGATGGATATCAAACAAATCCGGAAAATGGAAACAAATGCAGTCCAAACACTTTTAATGATACAAGCTATCTGTTGATTGCAGACGATTATAAAAATGCTATTTATAAAATATCCCTGGACTTTAAAAAATATTCCCCAGTACTTAATCTTCAACCTACTTTTACTAGGCCGGTTGGTTTAACCTACGACTTGCGAAATAAGAGAATTTTTTACTATGATCTATCATACGGATATTTACGGATATATTACGAGAATGGAACAGTTACGTCAATTCGACAACAATGTAAGACAAAACACAGTATTACACAGAGTTTGTGAATAGAAAAAACATAAAAAACAACCTCTTTTCAGTTACTCTTTATATGGAATACGATATTTTTTCCGATTTATTGATAACCAACGAAGGGCGCCGCCTCACACTATCTTCAACGGATGGAAGATACAAAAAAGTTCTATATAGTAGAACAACTGTTCGTCAACTCTCTATCGAATACAAATCTAGGTTAATTAATATAAATATAAAACACTGTTAATTTAATTAATAGGTTGATTAATAGTTTATATATACAGTATATATATTTTTTGTTTTTTACAGAAAAATTTATTTTGTAACCTATGCAGAAATTTATAATATTAACTTTGACGGAACTGAACTTAAGTTACTAAGAAAAGGAAATTTCGGATATCCTTTAGCCCTTGATGAGAAGGAAGGGAGACTATATTTTAACAATTTCATGGACAAATCAATATCATCCATAAAGACTGATGGAAGTGATTATAAATTCATATCTGAAGCCTTTGACTCGTGGATGTTATTTTCTATAATTGTAGTTGACGAATATATTTATTTTACCAATTGGCGAGTTAGGGGAATAGGTAAAGCTCTCAAGAGCGGTGGCTTGAACAATACTCATGAGCTACTGAGACAAGATGTCTTCAGTATGATGAATCAAGTTATCGTGGTAAATTCTAGCAATAATCCCGGGAGGTTGGAATGTCCAGTTGGAATTTGCGAGCAACTCTGCGTAATTTCGAATTGTCTTTGTAGTGATGGTTATCAATTATATAACGAGACTAATTGCAAGCTTGTTCCTAAGCCTACATTACCCTCTACACCTTCTCTTCCTTCAACAACAACAAAATGGCAGAATGGTAAGCCTATTTTCTTGTATTCATTTAATCAATATTGATTTGATCGATATATCATTGGTTTAATGCCAGTGAAAAATTGTGTCGTTGAAATCTCCTGAACTGTGGTTGTTCTATTATTTTATATATATATTGAAAGATTTTTCGAGGAAGATCTTTACCGAGCCTTTGATAATCGCAACAAAAAGCTCGCTACCCCCAACTTCAAGAGGGGAAGTAACGCCTACAAAAACTACTCTTGTTAGAGGGACGCCAAAGATGACTAGTAATGTTTCGAGTGAGTCGATCGATTCGTGACTATAAAGGAAATCTAAGGCTGTTCTTTTAAATTAGCAACTCTTCAAGCAGTAAATCCGAACTCCTCTACAAGCTCCAATCCGGCTCTTTTAGAATCTCAACTAAATGGTATAAAAGTTAATTAGACATTATTCTATCTTTTAGTCCATCTTTCAACTGGCCTATCTGTTTATCACTCATTCTTCTCTCTCTCTCTCTCTCTATCTCTCTCACCCTCTTTTCCTCCCTTCCTTCCTTCCTTTATCTTTTGTAACATTACATATATTTATAAAAAAAAATCTTCTTCTCTTCTACACAGATCGTAGAGATCAACTATCAACAGCCGAATTAGTCGGAATAATAGTCGGAATTGCAATTGCATTGATTCTGATAATCATCGCTGTTGTTCTTTTTAAAAAGTATTCTGATAAATATTTGTATATTATGCATTCTTTTCAATTTATTATATATTGTTGTTGTTTATTATTATTATTGTATTTTTCCTCTTTTCATCAGATATCAAAACTTAAGATTCTGGCAACGTCGAAGAATGAGTAAAATAGAACCAACTAAATTCCGTTTTGAGACACAACTATCAGTTTCAACGCATGTCTCTGAAGACGAACTTCTCAGTACGTTATCGGATAGTGGTGTTTTTACTTCCAGTGACTTTTCAAACGAAGTTGCACAACCAGTTCGAAGAAGTTCATCCAGACCATCTTTTGAACGCCATCTATCGTACATATCTCAGGATATGAGTGAACCTTGAAAAAATACTATTATTAAAATTTTTGAACTATTACAAAGTATTAAATTTGATATAATTGAAAGAAATATAAATAAGCGCCTATAGCTTTAGGCAAAACAAGAGCTCGACGAACCGTAAGGCAAATGCTACACAGTAATCGTTGTATAGTAAAAGTTCATGAATATCTCAAAAACTGGCCGGATACAATCGATCTACTTTTTCTTAACGTAATTCATTTGAATGTTCCAGGGAACATGGTCACTTGAGATTGGCGAAGGGAGGTACAGAGGGGTCTTGGAAAAGGCTAGTAGAGAACGGGGGCGGGAGAAGTGGATTATTGAAAAAAGGGATTTTACTTTGTTGACGAAAGAGGGAGGTAGAGGAAAGTTTTATTTTGAATTAAATAGAAACACTCTCTTTGACGGTAAATGTCTTGGAATAAGAAATGTAATGATAAAGAAAAGGAAAAAATCATTAAATTTCCACTTAATCCGCTAATAGACGAGCCTTTGTTGGCGTTTGATTAGCGCTTGCACGATCGGTAGAAGAAGAAGAAAGAAAAAACGTCTCTAATTGACGACCGAAAACGCTAAGGGGGCGTCTGGGGTGTAGAAATTACATTTTTATCGGTCAGACGCTGATTGGATGATTGTTCGCATCGCAGCCGTCCGATATTATTACATTCGTGCCGAGTTTAGATAACGTTTTTATATACGCCAAATTTCTTTCCCCTATATACATTGAATATATTATTATTAGAGTAGAATATCTTATGAGGTTTATAGGCCTTTGGGATTGAATACTATTTCTGATGGCTGAAAGTGTGCAAAGGTATAGTGCAGAGTTACTGAAAAGGGCAGAAAGAGAGGAAGAAAAAGGGTCGCAGGTGTTCCTTCGTTCGCCTTTATAGACTCATTACTACGCATTAAAAGCGACGAAAGCCTAAAAACAACAACAGCGCCGCTATACTTATTTCCTAATTGCTGTCTGATTAAATTTTCCACCCAAAACGGCCATCCATCGAAAAGGTTTTCACATATAATATCTGCCTTCAAACATTCCGCCCCTCTACCCTCTCTACCACACATCTAATCGATCGGAACCAATCAGTAGTCGGATATTGAACTCCTATCAAGCGCTCGTCCACTCTTTTTCTCCTGCTTATATAAACGCTAAACCCGACGAGAGCGCCGACTACTCAATAATTAAAGACGCTTCGAGGCCTATATACAGAAGGCACTGAGCGTTTATACCCGTCCCGAGCGTCATTCATTATGTCTCATTTTGCATTCAATTACGGGCATTCGTTGCAACGAGAAGAAGCCGACAAGTAGAATTTAAAAAAAAAAAAGAAAGTCCTTTTTTCATTATTTAACGTTTCTTTTATTATCATCTTAAAAATTCCAGTATAAGAATATAGAATATATAGAATGTATACGGAGCTAAAAAATAAATTTTAAAAACAACAATATTCAAAGCAATTTCAGTTAAAATATCTCGTTAATGCAAAGAGACCATCTATGTATACATATATATATATATATTTACATACATATATATATATTTACATACATATATACATACTTACATATATATATATATATATATATATATCTTCGGTACATGCCAATATATACACATACATCTAACTTATTCATCTCATTATGCGATCTAGTTAATTCTTTTTTAAGTATAGAAAATACTTTGTAAAAAAAATGACAAAGAAACAGACTCTCTGGATAAAGAGGTTTAAAAGTTGCATTTAAAAACCGATGAGGGAAGAACAACTGCTTTTTTCTTTCGATAATTTCTTCAAAAATTTTAATAATCTCGTAGTTTTCTAATAAAATCTCCATTTTTAAATCTTTTTATAATATTTTTTGAAGATAAATTCCATATTTTTTTTTTCTTTTGAATTCAGTAGCGAAAGTTTTCGTCAACTGCAGGCGAGGAGGAGCCGCTACCGCTTCCCATTGATGATGAGGAGGTTGGCCAAGTTGAATCAGTGCATAGACTATGCAAACCAGAATCCGTAGACCATTTTGGACTAGAACACGAAACTCCTTTCAATGCACCGCTAATCGAATTCAAATCGAACACGTCGTCAAACTGAATAGGAGTAGGTAGAGTAGCTTCGCGCGAGCTATTCTCCATTTTCATAGACTCGAGAGCCTCTTGAATCTTCCTCTCAGCAAAAGCATTTGACAAACCAGCCAACGTTCTTTCTTTAATATGTCTTTCAATTTCTTGAATAGCTAGGCGAACATTGGCTTCCGTCCCTTCAATTTCAAATTCAGGCGGAGCAGTTCGAGACGGAGTTTGTATATAAGTATTGGTCATTTGCTGAATTTTTTTTATCGTGGCACCTTTCTGTCCAACAACTAGGCCGATGTAGCGGTATGGCACGTGGTGTTTTACCGATATCCTGCCCTCAGCGGTACCGTTCATACCACTTAAGCATTTTCTCGACGCCCTTACTTTACTGAAATGTTCGGCGGCCGAGAGAATCATCATTTTCGCTTTTTCCACGTCCTCCTTCTTTCCGGTAACGACAAAAACAGACTCTTCACCTCGCATAGGTGTTTTAATATACGTCCGTGTTGTAGAACGAAGCGTCTTTATTTTATTACCTAAGCAAATTAAGAGGTCACATGCAATAAACAGCTTGATATTTGTCAACAGGACGTAAGCAATTTTTTATGCGATTTAAACTCAAATTCGCCTAATTAGCTTGTTTGTATTTAAGATATTTACATAAATTTTTTTTGAAAGGCGTCTAAAGTAGATAAAAGAATACTGATATCGACTACTGAAATAAAAGGTTACCTTGCCGTCCAACAATTTCCGCCACATGCTCTGAGCTGGGCACTGGAACGCGCTCAGTCGTATTCGGACTTACGCCGTTTAGGAAGTGGCTGTTAAAGGACGGCAGTAGTTGCGCGTATGAAGAAGATAAAAAGTCGGTTTCTTGCATTCCGAAGCTCATCTCGACGTCAAATGTTCTCCCGTCAAACTTTTCTCGGCGAATGTACCAATCAATAAAATTTGACGTCAGGGGCTACCCACAATTCCAAGCCTTATAGGCATTGCTCAATTATCATTGGTCCATTCGATTTCGTGCTCTCAGTTCGAAAATATTCACTCAATTATTTATATATCTACTCAGCAATGCCTTTCATTACAATACTATCGTTTTTATTCGCCTAATTAACACAGTTATTGCTTTTGATTTTCCGAACATATCGTTTGTCATTTGCCATTGTTCCAACAGCAGATGGCGTACTTTCGCTTTATATACACAAGTTTATTAACAAACAAGATCATTAATTGACTGTTTTTTTTCTACTTTCTAAATAAGTGTTATAATGTTCTGGTATCGATTTGAATTTGAGAATCTTCTTTCGAATTTGCTTGGGCGTGTCTTGATAGTAATTCTTCTTATCCATAGCCATAGCCTTGATTAATTGTAGAATAGTTAATTCAATCTTATTAAATAAATAATAAAAAGTTATTTCTTACTTTATAATCATCTCCGTGCTTGTCAAGCATGTGTGTACAAAAATCAATTTCGTTATCTGGCAATCGAAATACTCCTTTATCAGGAACGTTTGCTTGTTCCTCTAATTCTGTAAGTAGTCAATTTTGCAAATCAAACTAAACAAAAGCAAAATAAAACAAACCCTTAACAACGTGACCTTTCTCTTTCCTTATTTTTTGTATACTTCTAGTTGACACCTTTTCTATCACTTCATCCTCGTCAAAAGCTTGTCGTAATTTAATAGTCGCATTCGGATCAGCAGAAATACCCATGTCTTTTAGGTTTCTTTTCACGGTTTTCTTTACATTCCAATTTTTGCGTATTTCATTACTAAAAGTCATCATAAATAATTAAAATAGATTTATCATACTGTCTCTAGTTTGTTTATGATAGAATCGGAATTATCACTAATGTCCTAGGATTTCATCTGTTTCATATATTATTCAGAAATATAATAATATAAAATGATGAATCAATAGAAAATACAACGACTGTATAAGTTTATTGTTATCTTCGTTTATCCTTGATATATATATATATGTTTAATTATTATTAAGATGAAAATTATGCACATCGTCTGTCATACTGAAATTTTAGTTTTAAAACCTGCTAAAAAGAATACCAAATTATTCTTTTGCCGGAAAAGAAAGCAATTATGGGCTTTTTTAGCGTCTTTACCTAATTAGGCACATTGTCGGGGATAAGTCTTACAGATTCAGAGTGTCTCAATTAGGGTATCTTAAAACACAGATACCTTGCTTCCATTCTACATGAGCGTCTTTAATAGCCATCGTTTATACTAACCATTCTATGTGAGGAAGCTTTTGCGCCTTAAGATTTACTTTTTTTCTGTTTTTTGTATAATTATACTTCTTAACACGCTTTTTCGGCTTTCCCATAGTAAGCGATTTCCGTTAAAAAACTATTTAGTTAATTAACGATAAAACAGTAGTCAGAAAAAACGTGAACTTATACAAAATATAACCGTAGTCACGTCTCAAAAACTGGTAGCTTTAACCTTGACCTTGTTGAAAACATACGAATTCGGAACTGTGAAGCAAGAACCTAATATAATGGCATCTAACATAACATCAGATAGTTCTGATAAGAAAAAAGAAATTGAAGCTTTAGAAGCAGAGTTGGGCTACATTTCGCAAGCACCTTCACAGTTTCACGCGCAAGAGACTTTCAAGGAAAAATTTCAGAGAAAATTCAAAGAAAATCCTCTTGTACCACTTGGTCAGTTGAAAATGATAATATTTATGACGATGATATTAACTTTTTTATAGGGTTGCTGGCAACTACAATTGTATTGGGTAGGGGAATTTGGACCATGAAAACTGGCGATAAAGTCAAATCCCAAAAGATGATGCGAATGCGTGTATTAGCCCAAGGTTTTTCAATGATAATCTATAATTCATGAATAATGAAGCGAATTTTACGATTTATATGTTATTTTAGGTTTAACCGTTGTTGCTCTAATAGGAGGAGTTGCTTTTAGCGCATTCAAGAAACGTGCAGTCAGTGAGGAAAAATAATTATTTTTCGTATAGTTTAAATTCGTAGTACACAATAAAACAAATTAACTGAATAATTTAGGACGATTTTTATCCAACAAACCAGCTTGCAACATAAAATTGCAGCACCTATATAAATATATATATATATGTTTTTATATATATTATATATATATTAAATTTGGAACTACACACCCAAATATTGTTGATGAGACATACACTTAACCTTTTATAAACGCCCTATGAACCGAGTTTCAAAACACCGTCAACATACAAAGGAAAAACAAAGCAGATTGGAAAGCGCCTTAAGTAGTAAATAAAAAATAATTTAAACTAGAAAGTTTTTCTATGGATAGCTCGAACGCTTTCTTCATTGTACTCTCGTTTAGACACCCACATCCTCTTGAACGTATCGAGTGACGCTAAAATCGAACCTCTGTTTAAATAAACATAATAGTCTTGTTAAATATTAATTTCTCATTTGGAAATTTAATAAACAAACCCTATCCATGTAGAGTATAATCTCTCCTGTGGAGCTGATATACGAATTTTGATATCCTTTGGTGCTAATTTTTTTATTTCGCTCAGAAGTCTGTCACCAAAACCTGTAAAAACACCATGAACAATATTATTTTTTGTGAGATGGTCCCAAAATGATGACAATTTACAACGTACCCTTAAATAGAGTCGATCCACCGGATAGAACAATATTCGAATAGAGAATTCGCCGTAAATCCATATCGCACTTTTGGATTGAGAAGGATAAAACTTCATGAATACCTTCATATTCTTCCCCAATTAAATCTGGTCTAAACAACAATTCCGGTGCTCTAAATCTTGCAGGTCCGATCTGTTATTAAAAATTTTATAATTATTCTTGGCGTGTATTTATTAATATTCATTTCACATATTACATCAAGAGTACTGCCATCTGGCAAGGTGTATGTCATTTTTACTGCTGGAATAGTTTCCTCTTTCTGAGGATTATTCGAAAGATAGCAAGCTCTCTAAAATAAAAAATTCCAATTAGAATATTTAATAGTGTTTACTTTAAGTATTTGTAACCTCTTTGATCGTTTTTACTATTTCCAATTCCGCAGAAGTGTGAAAGTTACATCCTTCTTTTCTTAGTAATAATTGTAAGTATTTAGTGACATCTCTACCGGCGACGTCTGATCTCATAATGCTGTGTGGCATTGCAAAACCTTCATAAATAGGGACTGCGTGAGTCACACCATCACCCGAATCAAGAACTACTCCGGTTGTTCGGCCAGTTGCATATAAACTAAGAATCGCCTGCATAGAGATAAACAAGGCAGGAACATTGAAAGTTTCAAAAAATATTTCGGCAGCTCTTTCTCGATTTTGTCTGGGGTTCAAAGGGGCTTCGGTTAATAGGACAGGATGTTCTTCAGAAAAGGTATGCAACTGATCTTTGGAGTAAACGTATGACCAGATTTTTTCCATATCATTCCAATCTTTTACTATGCCATGTTCCATTGGATATCTAAGAGATAATAATCCACGATGTTCTTCTGCTCGGGGTCCGAGAAATGTGTCACCTTCTAAAGCACCAGCCATTACCCGGACATGTTTAGGTCTTCCGATGCTGTTGTTAATATTAGAAATAGTTAACATGGCTGCTCATCACATAATTTAATATTCATACTAATTGGGGAAGTTATATTTCGGCAGTTGGTCACCCGCAAAGCCAGCTTTAATCATACCTGACCCCTGAAAAATTAAAAAGAGAAAGGTTAAAATCGATGCGGCATCTGTCAATTTTAATGATATTTTTGAGAGGTGTAAAATAACGTTTCAATTTATGGCTAGAAATAATATTTTAATTACATTATCAATGACAACAGGTTGATTAGCGATAACGTCGTATGAATCCATATTTGTTGATGCAATTAGTGATTTTAAGCTGACTTTAATATAAATTTCATCTGCTATATTTTGTTGCAGATTCGCATTTGGGTATGATTAACTTCCGTATTTCCGTAAACTCAACTGGTAATGTTAATTCATCTTGAATTCTAAAAATAAACTCTTTTAAAAGTGTTTTATTTTTTAACTATTAATATCTAAATTAACAGAAAGAATTCTAAAAGTACAGTTTTAGATATATAGCTGTATTACAATCTCTAAAGAAGCGTACTTTTTGTATTTGAATAAGTTTGGGTTTTAATTGAATAATTGGATTTATTTTTATAATATTAGTGAAAAAACTACTGTAATAATCTTGTTGCTTGTTTCTGTTATTGTTAATTTTAGCATGATTGTGTTAAAAAAAAATACACACACACACATACAGTGATTATAGGTTCCGTCAATTTGTTCTTTCTTTAGTAATACCGACACGTTACGTAGTCTTTTTGGTAAAAAAAAAAGGAAATTATTTTTAGGTTAACAAATTTTTAAGATTTCCTTGAACCTAAGACCGTCACATTTATTTATTATTCCAGTAATATAAACCAATGACTAATCTTGTACCATTTACCCCTGACCTAACATTTGTGACGTCATAAATTTTCGACGTTACACATGTGCTTGTAACCATCCCGGAAATTTAACCTATTAATATTTGGAAGAAGCTTAATAAATTAAAAATATCGAAATATTTTACAGTAGCAACTGTAAGAAGCCGATCGACTAAAATAATAGTATTCAATAGCTATAAGTTTTTATATATTTGATTTGGTATATATCTCACTAGTAAAAGCATCAAGGAAACTTGAAGTAATAGCCCATAAATTTCTATGCGAGATGCATTTGGAATGATTATCATGAAATAATTTCAAAATTTTAATTGTAGTTATGTCATCACACGACGGAGAATCCTCTAGTGCCGACCGAAATGTCGAAATATGGAAGATAAAAAAACTTATCAAAAGCCTTGAAGCTGCCAGAGGGTAAGTTTAACAATGAATTACTAAATTCTATCAGAATATAAAAATTATGAAATTAACATTATAGGAATGGAACCAGCATGATTTCCCTAATTATTCCACCGAAGGATCAAATTCCGAGGATAGCCAAAATGTTGGCTGATGAATTTGGAACTGCATCCAATATAAAAAGTCGAGTTAATCGCTTATCAGTGTTAGGAGCTATAACATCCGTACAACAGCGACTTAAATTATACAATAAAGTACCACTAAATGGTTTAGTAATCTATTGTGGAACTATTGTAACAGCGGAAGGAAAAGAGAAGAAAGTCAATATAGATTTTGAGCCTTTTCGGCCGATTAACACGTCATTATACTTATGTGATAATAAGTTCCACACGGAAGCATTGACAGCACTTTTGGCCGATGATAATAAGTTTGGATTTATAGTAATGGATGGAAACGGAGCCCTATTCGGAACTCTATCCGGTAATACTCGGGAAGTCTTACACAAATTTACAGTAGACTTACCAAAGAAACATGGTCGTGGAGGTCAATCAGCCCTTCGTTTTGCTAGACTGCGAATGGAAAAACGTCATAATTACGTCAGGAAGGTAGCTGAAGTTGCAATTTCGTTATTTATTTCAAATGACAAAGTAAACGTTGCTGGCCTCGTCCTAGCTGGTTCTGCCGATTTTAAGACTGAATTGTCTCAGTCTGATATGTTTGATCCTCGTTTAGCAACAAAAATTATTAAAATAGTTGATGTTTCATATGGTGGGGAGAATGGTTTTAATCAAGCTATCGAATTGGCTAGTGAAGCTTTGGGAAATGTTAAATTCATTCAGGAAAAGAAACTAATAGCAAGTTATTTCAATGAAATATCTCAAGATACGGGAAAATATTGTTTCGGAGTTAATGACACCCTTAGAGCTTTGGAAATGGGCGCCGTAGAAATGCTGATTGTTTGGGAAAATTTAGATATTGTCCGTTACGTTTTGAAAAATCATCAAACTGATGAGGAAAAAATTCTTTTCTTGCGTCCCGAAGAAGAAAAAGATAAAACTCACTTTCAAGATAAGGAAACCGGTATTGATTTGGAAATGTCAGATAGTCAGCCACTGCTTGAATGGTTCGCAAACAACTACAAAACATTTGGCGCAACTTTGGAGATTATTACCGACCGATCACAAGAAGGTAGCCAATTTGTTAGAGGATTTGGTGGTATCGGTGGCCTTTTGCGATATCAAGTTGATTTCCAGAGTATGGATACCTATGATGATTTAGGCGAAGATTTCGATCTTGAATCCTACTAGCAACACAATATTTACATATTGGTTGTGTGATGATTCAGGGATATAGCTAGCAGAGGGAATCAATTTTTGCAAACTCTACTTTTTTTCTGATTAATAAATCAGTGAATATATCCTTGGACATCATAATTGACTTGTTCGAAGTACGTTAAAGGAAACATTCGAATACAATGTCGATTAATGTAATTGTTTATTCATTTTATTATTAAGAAGCTTGCAACATTTAATCAAAAATCTTCAGTCCTCTATAACGTAATCTTTCAAAGATAATTACCAGCTCCTTTGCTGTAAAACAAATATTAAGATCTTAAGGTATTTTCTAAATAAATTTGACAAGAAAGCAAAGATGCTAATTGATAATTTTGATAAGTTATGATTCAAGGCCATATTCTTTAAGCGAAATTTCTCAGAATAGGCACCAATAAATATTTGACCTACATTTAAGCAACATAACACTATGGCACTTTGAATATCTTCTTAGGTTAGCATGAAAGGCATATGAAACATAAAAACTAAGCCGTTTATTTGTAGAATATAAGATAAAAAACCATGCTTTTTTGAGCGATAATAAGATTTTTATACATTTTATAGCTGTAAGTTAGTTTATAACTAATTATGTTTTTGTGTATAATACACAACGAAATTATATACTTAAGTCAATAATAGAAATGCTTAGGTGTATTGCTGACTGAGTAAAATACTAGGTAAAGGTAAGATAAATATTGGCGGGAACGATTTATGAATATCAATATATTTGTGTGTAGAGTTCTCATTAACATTCAGAATTTTATAATATAAAAAGTCCACACTACGTGAATGAAGATTATATAAAGACGTTCCAGGCCAATACGTATTACGAGCAGAAATTTAATATTAAGTTCGAATCTTTTGAAACTGATTATATGAGATCATATGATCATAGGAAATTCACTCCCCTTTCCACCCACCTTCACAAAACACAAAACTGTTCAATATTTATTACATTAGAAAGGAAATGCTATAATCTAGAATAATACGTGTAATTTTCCTGCTGTAACGTATATTTTACAAGGTAATAAACAAGTGTAGATTAATTCTTTAGAAATCTTAATGTAATCGAAAATTTACAAGGTAAAATATATCATTTCCTCACTTTATTCTTTTAAATATATGAATATAATCTTAGTTTTGTCTTTTCTTATCCGATGATTTTGTTTTATTGAAATAGTGGAGATTCTAAATTACACTTTTCTATAGTATTTGTAACGTGATTGTTCAAACAAGACTTTTTTTTGTATACATAAAAGAAAAAAATTCAATATGATATGAAAGTTGCTTTTCTTTAAAAATTGAATTCTTACAGTTGAAAAGTATTTTCTTTTAATTATTTTTTAAAGCCTATGTTAGTTATATCGGTCTGATTAAAGTATAGTTTTGGTACGGAATCTATCATTTATATTTGTAGAGTTAGCATAAAGTGCAGAAAATGTATTATTATATCTGATTGGCTAATACAAATATATGCATATTCATTAGCATATATAACACTACACCAAAATACAAGTTTTTTTTATTTATAATGTAGCAGACGACGAGACGATATTTCGGAAGTAATAAATGTAATTTCTCAACCGCCCATTATTTGAACATTTACAATTTTGTTAAAAATGATGACGAAAACTCTGGGAAAATACTTGTCATTCTTGTTTATAGTTTGTAATGTGATTGTTCGAGGAGAGTTGGACAAGGAAGTTCAAGCAGACGTCCTTGCATCGAAAGCTTTTGGAGGATCTTCACCCATCGAATCTTCCTGCGAAGCATTCATCGACAAGTTTGCAGAAGCAGCTGCAAACTTCACACTTTGCTCCATTCTTTTTGCAAGTCCTATTCAAATTTGCCAGAGTTGTAGTAAGCAATATTTGTTAGCAAATGACTATTACCAGACAATTCTTCATGGATCCCCCGTTGACTGGAAAAATCGGCCGTGCCGTGATGCAACTCTAAATTTAGATAGGGTTCATATAGTCAAACAAACAGGAGATTATATAAATAATTTATGGAATAATTGCTTCTGTTCAAAGTGTTTTGAAAAAGCTCTAATAACAAAAAACGGGTCTCTGGAGATTATTGTTAGCAATCATACAAAGCATTTTCAGAAATTAGCCGATAATATGTTGACGTGTGAATGGAATACAACTAGTGGAAATCTATCAGTTTGTTCGCATTGTAATCAACAATATACGGCGTTGAACAAATTGTATGAGGATTTGGCTGAGGATACGGGAGAGATTTGTATGGATATAGTTGACGCAGTTAATCGGTAAGGACTACTAGATGAAAGGACTAACTATGGATTATAATTAAATTTAAATAATGTAATATACAGTACACGACAAAGGTGGAGTAAAGATTATAAATGTTCCATAAGGAAAAGAGATCATGTTGCAGTTATAATAATCTCTGTGATTTTTGCACTTATACCTGTGGTTTTCTATCCAGCTGTCTATATTCATTCCAGTAAGAAGGAGACTGACCTCAATAGACGTAAGTACAAGAAATGTAAACAATAATATCAAATCCTCTCCTTAATATTTATCTAACATACTGTATATATTCGCCATATACTTTTATTTTGACATTTGTATAATTTAACAAAGAGAAAAAAGGATTTTATATATACAGTATAATAAAGATTCCAATTTTTTTAATAAATCGTAAATCATCTTCATCTATCTTTTGTGCTTAACAATTTGTTTCATGAATATATTAGGAAATGTAAGGCAACAATCCAGACGAAAGCGATTTTCATTGTTTTAGTGGTAAGGACAAAAATTATTAAAAATCTGACGTGGTTTTTCAAGGAATTCTCTTCTTTATTATTATTTTTTTTAAGTAATAATCTATCATTAATAAAGCTGATTATATACACACTACTACAGTATACAGCATATTTTAATATGTATATATTTTAAATATGTAGTAGTGTATATATATATATACAGTATATTCATATTTCTTTGTAAACTATTTTTCACTACTTTCATTAAACTTTCCATGTTTATATATATATATATATATATATATATATATATATATAGATAAACTGCATTAGCGATTTATATTCTTTATGCTTTTTTCATTAAAAAAGAAAGAAAGAAAGAAGGAAATTTTAAAAACTAAAAAATAAATAATAATCATTCTCTTTCCGATTTATTCTTTAGATTAAAAATTAACTTCTTTTTTTTAATATAGATAAATATTTGGGCTAATTTTCCTCTTTAAAACAATATGGAAAAATAATATTCAAGCATGAATTATTATGTCTCTCCTATTTTATGTTTTTTCCATAACTTTCAGCATGAAGTTTAATAAATTTAAGTTATTTAGAGGGATGTTTAACGTATATACACATATATATATATATATATATATATATATTTTAAAAAGAGATCAGCGAGGAAACCTACACAATTTTCTAATATATATAGAGTTTAACTTCTTTTTTTTTCTTCCTCTTCTTAAATAATTAGATACTTTTAATACAATTACCTATAGAGACTTAAAACGAAAGGTGCTATATAATCATTCTAATGAATCTTATTTTCTCGTTATATACTGATCTATAATAAACAAGAATATTAATAATTGATATTAATATTTAAATTTATTCAATATTTTGGTTGTTTACTATTTGTTTTTTTTTTTTCAACAGAAAGAGAACATCAAATGACAACAGAAACTCTTGTTAGGAATTCGCATAGTAGCCAATCGTAGACAACCGTTTTATTTATCTTCTCATCTTTACCTTTTTTGAAAGTTTTTATATAGAATATAATGAGAAAATGAAAAAGAAAAAGAAAATTTAACAAGATATATTTGCTCTTTTAATAGTCGGGAAATAAATTAGAGATACTCTATGAGAAAAAACGAAAAGGAAGGAGGAAACTATATAAATTAATTAATCTTTCCCTTTTTCTGAGCTTTTTTGAGAAGAAATGGACGTAGAATTTATTTCCTCTTGGATAAATCAGAAACTTTCTCTCTATTTATCTATCTATCTATCTATCTATCTATCTATTTATCTGTCTATCTTAATCTCCCTCCCTTCCGCATAAGCTGTATACAACCGCACAATTTAAACGGAAAAATATTGATCAAAGATTTCTTTGAAGCTCTACAAGTCAGTATTTTTATTTTAAAGACGGGATAGCAAAAATATCTTAATGAGGATAAGAGAAAAAGAGAGATGCTTGAAACCTCTTATTACGTCTCTACGTTCTTTCTGTCTTTTTACAATTAAACTATTATTATTGTTGACTTTTTATATGTTGAAAAATTGAAGAGAAGTAAAAAAAAATCTCTACTGCAGTCTTTTTTCTTAATCTTTTTCCTTCTATTTAAACAGAATCAACTAAAATGATTATTATATTATAGTTTTAGAGATTTTTTACCCATATTTTGATTAGATGCAGTATGTGATTATTAATATAGTATTTTACAGTACTACAATACGAAAATGTTGAAAAAGAACTTGTAAAGATATACTGTTAAAACCTTTCTTTCTCAGAGAATAAAACCTTTATTGATCTATATTCTTCTGATATTAAAGGATGATAGATACACTCACATGTACACACACGGACACGCATAAAACTCATAACTTGTATTCCTCAACTTGGTTTGATTGTTTAAAGTCCAATTTAGACTTGTTCACTATAAAAGCCAATAGTTATTTAACGAATTTCTTGCGTGTTTCTCTTCAAATCAATCTTCTCTGCTGAAAGATCTTTTTGAAAGTAAAATATAGAGGATTTTCTTTTTTTATAACCTAATTTATATAATTAATTAGTTAATCTTGCATTATTAACTTACTTGGACTATTTACATATAGATTTTCTACTATTGTTGCATTTGCGGATAATGAAGATAAGAGACGATTAGCTTCCATAATAGATTTAATAATATCTTCTCTTAATTTATTCATTTCGAAAAATTGGTAAAGTTTACAAAATTCCCAAGAAAATAAACTTCTGTCTTCCATTTGTGAAAATATATTATCTTCGTAATGTTTAAGGAAAGGAATCATTGATTGTGATGCTTTTGAAGCATTGATTCTAACTTTTGCCAGAAGAGTATCATTTTTAGATTGTAGCTCTTTTTCGGCGTCGTAATCCGAAAGAAATTGATTTTGTTCTAATATTTCTGTTCTAGTTTTTATCCTTAACGTTGAAATTCTCTCACTTTTTCTACTAACCTTGCTTGCAGTACTTTGAATACTCTGTATTGACTTTGTTCTAGACAGTTCCTTTTCAACCTTCTCCTCTAAAAGTTTCCTTTCCGAACTACTAGAAAATTCATCTTTGCAACTATTTTCGTCTAGATCTCTCGCTTCAATTAAATTTGATCTTGTCCTAGAAAGTCTCGAATCACTTAGATGTTTGAGTCTTAATTTTTCATTTTTATTCATTTTTTATCCTATTTTTAATTGTTGATAAATCTTTTAATATTATTATTATTGTTGTTATTATTCAAGTTTTAACCTATATTTTATTCAAACTGTTTAAAAAGTCATTAATGATTTAATTTAATCAATTTACGTTACATAGAATATTCGCATTTCGATAACAAAACAAGTAATTATCACGTGTTTGTTAAACAGAGTAATAATACTATCTGTATAAAGAATAATAGAAGGGAAATAGTCAAAATGAATTGTTAATTGCTTCGTCAATACTTTATAATTGGCATCGTTTAATAACTAAGCTAAAGTAATTGATTATGAATAAACAACGAATTGCAACTACTTAAATAGTATAAAAGCGGCTCTGTTATCTTTTAATGAAAACATCTTTGCAATTCTAATTGGGGAATTTCTTTATTTATTCTTCTCCCTTTTCCCCAAATACATCTTTCATGTTCTTCTTCTTCTTATAAATAATAAGAAACTTCTCTCCTCCATCAGAATTATTTAGGGAATAAAAACGATTGGGAAAAAAAATAAGAGACTCTGGATTTAAATAGGTTATATTCTATATTCAGTATAATTAAATAAATCGCCCTAGTATTAATAACCATGGAAAATGATTTAAAATTCCCTTTTATGTTGTATTACGATGGCTGTCGTATACAAGTTATAGTATAATTCATATAATTACATTTTTTTTTATTATAGCCTTAACCCAAAAGATCATTTATGCGATAAATTTACTTATCCCTTAATAGGGAATATAAGATTGATGCGAGAAGATTGTTTTAGGAAGCACTTAGAAGAAAGAAATACAATGTTTTCATGTTATATTTTATAGATTAATTAAATTTTCGCTTTATTTTATAATTGCAACTTTTTTTAGTTCTCCTTTCCATAACAACAGCACGAGCAGCTTAGACCATATTTTCCATTCTCTAGAAGCATATTGAAGTACTATTATTGGAAAATTGAAAGAATGATAAAGTACCTCTTAAGATTAAAAACCCTGTTTTCTTAAACAATGATTATAGATCGTTCACCTTACAGATTTATTACCTGTTATGAGAATGACGATTAATAAGATTATTATTATTAGAGATTATCACAATAAAAATAAGTTTATAGACTGAATATATTATGATTTTCAATAGTAGATAATCTTATCAAAAGACTAATAGGCATTAGTAAATAACTATATTATTTATAAAAGAGTTTATCAAGAAGAAGAGAAGATAAAGTTGAAAAATTCTAGTTAATTAGAAATACTAGCACTTTTTTCTAAATGTATTGCGAAATTTACTTTTTTTATCTTTTCAATAATTAAACATATATAAATATTTCAATATCTTTTGGACAATAATTACACACGTATTGCATATATTAAATATATTATTTCTATTCACATCTCTATTAAAAACAATTTAACAGCAATGAAGCTGCTGTTCAATTTGAGCCAAAAAAAAAATTTTTGTCTTTCCAGCACCGATTTAAATATTATAAAAATTATATTTAAATATTAAAATTCTCTTTAATTCATAAATATTTCTATTAAAAATTTCTCTTCTAATCTTTCTTTTCTCTACCGACTTTATATAGTTTTTAAAAGATATCTTTTCATTAAATTTGAATAATAGTGCTGCTATTACAATTCTTTTTCCCGTTTTTTTTTCAATATGTTGTTTCTTTACTCAAAAATTCATTATTTTAATTAAAATAAAAGCAAAAAAGAAAAAAGGAGGAAGATATTTTAAATAAAGAAATAAATTGTCAATATTTTTTATACTGCAAAAAAAAATTGCTTTTGTTTGTTTCCTTTAAAAAGATATTCGAAAAGTTGATGTCACCGAACACCGCTTTCCCATAATTTTGTCAAGTTTGATACAGTTGATCTTGGCTTAGATCCTTTTGTATCTGTAGTTTTCAAGTCTTCCTGAGGCGGTGTACTACTCTCCTATATTTAAAGAAAAAAAGATCTATTAATAATATTCATGATAATTGAAAAAATAAAAAATATATAAAGCAATTAAAGGTGATAATCATAATTACATCATTTTCAATCAAGGCTAATCAATAATGCATATAAAATACTAGAATCATATTTACATTGCAAACTATATATATGTTAATAGATAAAGAACCTATTCATTTATTAATAATCCCCTTCAAAGACTTGAATTTGTTGTTCAACCTAAAATTTCATGATAAAAACATTCTTAATGTATTCTTTCAAAAGTACCAATTTTTGTTTTATGTTTATAATTTTCCAGTGTTTTTTGCAGTTGAAAAGTAATATTTAAAAGACAAGTTTAAGAAAATTGCGTAAATATTGATTTTCGACTGAAAAAATATCAGAAAATATAAATAATTTACCTTCGGCTTATTTTCTTTGTTCGCCTTATCAGCGGCTGGTGAATCACTTTGGGTATTTGTAGATGAATTTTGGCTTGTTTTAGTCGTAACTTTTTTTAAATCACTAGGCTTAACTAGGTCTACTTCAGAGGAGCCTTTAGAAAAAACGTCCGCCCTAATTTCCTTTGGCACAAATACCGGCTTAGGTTTATTTATAATCGGTTTCTTATCCTCATTAAGCTGAATTCCATCTGATTTTCGAAAGACCGGCTTATTTGTTAATGTCTTCTCGTCTGCTGTCGTCTCTGCGACAGCGTTATCAGCTTTTGGTGTCGGAAGTGTATTCGCTTTCTTTGCAGTTGAAGGGGAACGTGGGGAAGCTGCAGGTTTCTTCTCTTCAATCTCCTCAAATTCACCCGATATTGGAGAATTATCATCCGGATCTTTCCATGTCGAGGCTCGCTTCTTAGCCTCGGCTATCCAATCCGGTTGCCTCTTCCCGCCTTCTGTTTGACCTTTAGCGGTTTCTTTTCCAACTGAGAGAGTTCTACGAAGAACTACAGGCTCTGTTTCAGTTGTTTTCATTTCTTTTTCACCAGATAATAACTCCTCTGCAATTTTAGAGCAATTTTCCGGATCGACTTTTTCTACAACGCTTGAATTACGAGATAAAATTTTTGATAGGTTTTCCTTATTAGCCGCTACATTTTTATCGACTAAAGAGATCCTTTCCTTATCTGTACCTTTATCTATATTTATTTTCTTATTTTTTTCTTCTATAGCTCTATTGACTGTCTCACTAGAAGAATTTTGCTTTTCATTGGCCGCTAATACTTCGATATCAACTGATCTTCTTTTAGACTTATCAGCTTCAGGGCTGACACGAGTAGTCTTCGTGGTATGGGATCGTTTAATATCACAAACTTTAGTCGATGCTAATTCAAATGGTTTCTCATTACTTGATAACTTTTGCACTGTTTCCACGTGTTTTGAGGGAAGAGGGAGCGAGGAGGATTCTCCTAATGACGCTCTCGGTTCTTTGAACTCCTTTGAAAGTCTTGGCTTTGGAATAGGTGAAGGTTCCTTTGGCATAGCCCTAGGTTTCGGAACTGGTACCATATTTTCTGATACTATTAAAGCATTATTAGAGTAAAGAATACTCTTGTTAAAGTCTTACCGGAAGTAATTGGCTTTGGACTATGTATGCCTTCATTTCCACTACCCGAGTTATTTCTACTTCTCCTACTGGCTCTTAATAGAGGAGTTGGAGACTCGGGAGTCTTTTTAGCAGGTGACGTCGAGTTAGCCAAAGTTTCCGATTTCCTAGTGGGAGGGGTTTTAGCATTCTCTTCGGTTTTTTTAGCAACATCCCCTTTTTTTTCCACCTCATTACTTTTCTCAATCCCGCTTATATCCTTAGATTTAGACGAGTTTTCTTTAATTAAAGATAAAGGCTTGGGAGGTGGTGTCCTGGGCACTTTCGGGCTTTTCTCACCAGAGGGTATTCTAATTTTAGTAACCTCTTTTTCTAATCCTTTAGAAGGAGAGTCGGGGGGTAGCGGAGCCTTCTAAAGTGTAATAAGAAACGATTTCAATAATAAAGGAACAATTATCCTTCTGTTCCCTAATTTAATGCAAATAAAGGTTAATTCATCGAATAACAAACCTTGCTCTTGGCCTTCCTATTAGCCAATTGAGTTGGAGGTCGAACTTTAGGCCTTATTTTTAAACGATGTTTATGCCCCTCATTGGCCAGTGGTTTAACTTTATCTAAATCATCTAGACTGCAAGACCAAGAAGGAGTTTTATCAGGATCAAATTCCGTAAAAACGGGGGTAACGCCTTTGTCCTCCATTGAAATTTCTTTCTCAACTTCAGTTGACGACTGACGTTTCTGCTTCATTAAAGACAAAAAAAAATTATTATTATTATTATTATTAGTATTACAAAGCGCATATTTTAAAATCAAGCTCTACTATTTGTACAGTACACTGCAAACTATTTTATTCTCTTGTTTTCTCATATTACTTATGTATTACACATAAAAATTTACCCGAGTACTATATAAGTGCAAAATTAATATAAAAGCTATAAAAAAAATACTTGAGCCTTACAGGTTTTATGTATTTAAATAATAAATAAAACCTGAAATTACACATATATACATACAGTGTTTACTGTATATAAATTCTCTCTTTTAGTATCAATTACACTGAATTTTAGACACTTTCCACTAACAGGTCGCACCATTACTTGCTTTTTTTCTGCCCCGTCTATTCATACTTTATAATATATACAGTATATATATATATATATATATATATATATATATATATATATATATGTTCGATGGATATTCTAGGATTAGCGAATCGTTATAGCAAACATACGTTTTAAAATCGATATAAATACTTCACAACTAACAAAAATGCCCAATTTATAAATATGTTTTTATATATATATATATATTATTTATTTATAATATAGTCTATAGAAATGAAAACAAACGAAGAATGAAAGGGACATAAGAAACACAGAAGGAGGAAATAGAAATAAAGGCATAAAGAGAGTGGGATAAAAGTCCAACTCTCCCTCTCTCCCCTTCCCCAATGATCATATTTGTTTTATTTTACAACGTTTGGATTTTCTATTAAGCGAATCGTATAATTATAGGACTAAAATCTCAGTTCTTAGATAACATTTAAAAGTTAGAAAGGCTTGTCCCATAGCACAGAGAGATAAAATATCTTATTAATTATTTTATATTGTTGAAAAGATGTTAGAAAATAGAAAATAGAAAGCAATTTTATATGAACTAGTATTTTTTCTATGTCGACAAGGTACATATATCAATTCATTCTTTATAATAAATAGTTTATTAATACATTTAAGTATATTACATATCTAAATTTCTATAATACTATTGAAAATGTATAGTAAATGTATATACTAATATATATATATATATATAAATTATAACCTAAAGGGAATTGAGCAATCTATTAAACAAATAAAAAAAAGTAGTTTTAATATTACAAACATTAAAAAAAAAAAATAAGAACAGATCTTATTGAAATGATGAAATAGATTTTGTTTAAAAAAAATTCTAAACAATGGTAAGAATCGTTTTCATACTTAAATAGATACTTTCATATTGAATATTAATAAAAAATATGTGAGTATAAAAAGTGATAAATACCTTTATGTGAGGATTTACAACATATTCGCATTTTTCTTCTCTTTCTTCTTTTTTAGATGGGAAACGTTTAGTGATTTTTTGAAATAATTCATTCTGTAAAATAGAAAGAAAAAAAGAAAATAAAGAATATATTCTTTCAGAAAAACAATGCCAATTAGGCGTTGATTGGCGAAATACTATCTACTTTTCCATATATATTCTTTTACATAAATATTAGAAATATCACAATTCAAATATTAATAGGAATATTTAAGTAAATACAGATTCTTTGTCTAAAAAAAAACTTTAAACAATACCATAAAATTTGCCATTACAACGAAATATAGAATAAACTTAATACTACATATGATAGATCAGCATTAAAAGCAGTTAAATTCAATATTCCATTATCTCTTAACGATAAAAGAGATAAAAAAAATTTTAAGAGTTTCGATAAAGACAACCTGCCTAGGGACGAGTCCCGAAAAAAAAAACATCGCATGGGTACACACAAAATCCTTTTGAGCCGTCATTTTTTTGCAGAGTTGACACAGTTTTACAATCGACCGCACCCAGCACCAGAGGGCGTCTATTTTCAAAATAATACAATGTTTATTTACAAAAAAACAAGAAGAGAAAGTTCATCACTTAATTAGATAAATAGTACTCGATATAATTGATAAATTTCGTTGGCCCTTTTTCCATAAATGACAAGGAGAAGGGTACTTAAATATTTTGTAGCAGCAATGAGCAATAGCCAAGAACGTTTTAGTAATCCTGCTTAAAATGGCAAGCAATTAGTCTTGTCTAAATTCTGTTTCTCTAAAATTCCTACTGAAAAGCAAGCGACAGTAGAAACGATTTGCACAGTCTATCTTCCTCTCTTCGAGTCATGAATACGGGAAATCGATTTTATTTCATAAAGATTTCTCAGTTGAAGGTAGTTTTACAGCACATATTGTATACAACATAGATGTATACATGCTGAGTTTATATATATATGTTATATATTAATGGAAAGTAATAGACACAGTTCTTCTACAATATCAATTTAACGTTTAAGAGAAAAAAAAATCAAATAAAACCTCTCAAGACCGATAACGAATGAGGTTTGCAAATAGAGGAAGCAGAAGAGAGGGGAGAAAGGCGGGCTAAAATTTCATGATGAAATGGGAAGGGAGGAATGAAATATAGCTGATTTTTACTAAATAAAACGAGAACAACTAAAGCAATAACGTTGAAAGAGATATAACAAATAGAATAAAAATTAATCATATAAATAACTCATTCACCTGTTATCATAATGTACAAAATCAGTGTATATTGAAAATTAATTGAGATGTTAAGACATCAAAGAGTCAAACAATGGTGCAAAAGAAAAGCCTTCAATTTACGCAAACAAACAACTTATATGTGAATACAAAGTGAAAGAGAAAAAAAAATTAGAGACATAACACTGTAAAATAAATGATTTACTGTAAAATTTCTAATCGATTCATTAGCTGGTTTAAACACAGTTAATACAGGACATGTGTTACCGTATATACTTGAGGAAAATGTAACGCTAAATGCCGTAAGAGCTAAGGAAGAGGAAGAAAAGTAATCTTACTGCATAGTTTGTATCCAGTCATTCTGGTGTGTGTTTATTGATTTCCATATACGTTGAGCGCATGTTAAGGCGGGCTGCCTGCAGAGACGCCGCCGTCACTGCGTGAGTAGCGCCGTTGGTAATTTCTTTAATAAAGCTATAGAAAGCTGAGATTAGCGCGTGTCTGTATTAATTGTCTAAAACATCCTTGTATGTCGGTTGGGTAACATTTAATAGAAATTCTCTCTATGAAATTATTCGTTTACTAATTGATATATACAGAGTTTGGTTATTTAAACCGAGACAAAGAAGTAAATATCGATCAATGACACAACTTTGATTGATTGACTACTTTTTGAATAAATTAATATAGTTGAATGTATAAACTAAAAAGACTAAGTACATTAGATTAATACGAAATTTGTAAAAGAAATGGTTTAAAGCGTTTCGTCTTCATGCCTCGCTTGGTTTTCCACCTCGTTACGCGGTTCATTGCAGACTACTTTACAATAATTACTCCCAGTAATTAGACTGACTTTTTCACGATTCAGTCCAACTTTTAATCGGGATAAGTATGTTGCAGATTGCAGAGTTTGACAATATCTATCTTCTAGGGCGTATAAACGCATTTCATTGCAAAAGCATTCTTCTCGTCGTTGCATTCTTCTTTTCAAAGCTTTTAGCAAACCTTTGATCGTTCTTATTTCGTCTAGAAGACGAAATATAATTAAATCAAGACGTTTTAGGAGGCGTTCGATTTCACATAAGCGCGACGCCGTCCTTCTCTCTTTAACAATGCTTTCATCTATCGGGTCTAAAATCGGTAAATCACTGGCAAATGGCTCATTCAATGGCTCTCTATCTCTTTCCTCATCTTCCTCGCATTTTACTTTCCTGGACTGAGCTATCTTCTTTAGTATCTCTTTTAGAATAAGTAAAGAATAGGTCGACCGCCTTATCAATTTTAATCCGGGAGAGGTTTCAGATTCGTAAACAAATGGCTCTCTATCGTAATCTTCCATTTTCTGCTCTTTCTAGTCACGATCTAATTTTCGAATGGCCACCTACAGAACTACCAGCCTACTAATAGCCTCAAGACGAAAGTAATAGGGGTGGGAGACGCCAATTAAGCGTATTGTTTAAACCGGAATCAAACACGGCCAAGAAACGTTCGCCAACGTGAACAATGAAAAAGAACAATTGTAAATGTTCAAAGGCGGTTAAATTAGGATGTAATCCAATTACGAGTTGACACACCTAATAGAACCGTATGAATCGCGCTAGGACGCGGTTGAAAGCCAATCACAAATAAGTAGAATTAATAACAAACAAATCTCACCTGATGTTCGCCTTTCAAATCCAGTCCGTTAGGGATCTCCATACCTTTCGAACTTAGCAAACATTCGACAGATTTGGAATGCCTTTTATTAGCTAGTAGCGTGCTCTCTCTATATATATTAAGGAAAAATGGAATTCCCGTCAAGTTGTATTTAATTCATTCGGCGTGTACACTTTGCAACAAACCTTTTTACTGGAATGTCATCATCCAGTAAATGTAATGCACCAGTCGATCTATTTAGGCGGTCATTTTTCGACGTTGACGGCGTTGCCTCGTTCAGAGCGTCACGCGACTTCCGTTTTCGTCTGAGAAATTTTGGTAGGAAATCTTTCAAGTTTGGTAATTTGATTCTATGCTTCGTTTTCGCTACGTAATAAAATGGATCATTTAGTAATAATAGGACAGACAATAAAGAATTAGTTACGAAGAATTTCTTTATAATGTTAAAGTTTACGTAGGTGTTCAAAAAGCCTATTGTCAAAAATCTATTGTGAAATATTTATATTTTTGTCACGTAGAGAAGCGCCATCTAGTTGTTTAAATTAACATCAAACAACTGAGAAGACATGCGTAAAGTATAGTTTTCCCGAGTGATGTAAACAGAATATATTCATTTTCCTAAAAAAAAGTACAATTTTTATACTATTTCTCCTTTCATTCTTTAAGATATTATATATCCAGACTATTGTTATCAGAGAGAGAGAGAGAGAGAGAGAGAGAGAGAAAAGGGAAAACACCAAAACAATATACGCATAATTCTAGAATTCGATATCGTAGAAAGAAAATACTCTATTAGAAAGAAAGTTTTTTTTATAGTTATTAAGTTAACTTAGATTTTTTTAGTTTATGGTAAAATTTTAAACTTCAATAGAATGAGAAGACGACTACTTAAACACCAAATATAGGAGAAATTGATTAGTTTTTATAGATCAATTTTTGACTTTAAGCTCAGTCAGTTAGTTGATCAATAGGAATTCCTCAATAATAATAATAAGAAGAGAGAAGTGATATACGGAAAAGTGCTTTTATGAATATTCATGCTATCTTTAGCACAAAAAGAAATCCGTAATGAGTGCCCCCATCCTACGTTCTTTGTTTGCTTCTCGGGTTATAATGACGTACACATGGCGCGTATCGGATAAACAAGGAGATAAGAAAAAGAATTATTGGAAAGCATGAGCTATCAAATTGGGAAGAACAGTAATTACTTTTAAGAAAAATAATGAAGAAATTAGGCTTATTTCATTTTGCGTTCAACACTTGGAAAGTATATAAAAAAGTCCGATAAATTGTTAAACTTAGTTGATTTTGAATGTTTCTTTAGCATCTGTTAACGGATGAGTAGAATTATTTTGAATAAATTAATACTAACTTCCGCTTTGAACGTCGGCTTCCTTTGCTGAACCATTCATCGTGGAATTACTGTAAAAGATATATTTTTAAATCCAAATTGAGATATTAACTTAGTAAGAAATGGAGATATATTAAAGATGTAGTCCATGACGTATAAAATTGAATACAGGATATCATTATTGTCGGTTAAAGTGCGCACTTAAAACACGCTTTTATAGCTATTTTGCTTCACATATTACCTTAACAGTATATAAATATATTTACTTGTATATGTGATTCAACCTAATATAATATATAACAGAAACAAAATAGCCTTTATATTTATCAGTTTTCCTATCATCGTCTTCGTTGTTGGCATACGTAAAAAGTATTATTTATTAATTTATTACACTATAGTTAACATTTTTTCATTTGATAATTAAAAAGAATTGTAGTTGATTTAATACATTATTTAAATGAATTCATATATAAATAGCTAATATAGATAGAATAAAAACCGTTCGATGTTCTTTTCAAGAAATGTTATTTTGTTTTTATTCTTTTTTTTTATTTAGGCTTCTGAAATATGTTCAGTTTTTTTTTTTATATACTTTAAAGAGAAGATAAAGTGTAATAGGATAGCTAGGAGAACGTGATAGAGAAGACGAGAGAGGCATACGCTATAGATATATAAAATAAAAAAAAGCTATTCTTCTTATCCAGTTATAGTTTTAACAATTACGCAATATATATTTTGCATTATCTACAAGAAAACACTGTATATTAGATATATTTAGATATTATAAATTTAATCTCTATGATAAAAAGCTTCAAAAGCACACGATTATGAATAATAATTTCACACTGAAAAAGTGCTGTACTCGTAAAACGGATGATAACCTATTATTATACTATAATGTTAAAAAATGTTCAAGTAGTGTTATGAGTCAATAGCCACTTTTTTCTTTCGATTTTAGGTTTAATATCCGTTTTTGAATAAATTAAAAGCGGCGTAGCGCACTAATTGTAGTTGTACTTTGTTAATTATTTAAAAGAGGATACCTTCCTCTGTGTACGGTTATAAATTGTGTTATATTTACCTTTAAAAGAAAAAAGAAGTTAATATAAAATAAATCCGTTAGAGGAAAATTTACTGCACATAATTACATAGATAATTCCATTCCGTAAATATAATTGTCTTAGAGTATCCAACGTTCACCAAATCGTAGTACAAACAAACTGCGGCGGAAGAACGGAAACGGAAGTACTCCGATTGAAACAATTGTCACGTGATTATACAAACGCAAAGTTTGAAAAGACAATTAATTATCCAGATATCCTCCTCTTTATCAGAGCAAAGTAGATGCCAACTTAAAAAAGTCAATTATTTTTCAAACTCACGGAAATTTAATAGTATTTTAGATTGATTCAACTGCTTACTGTGCTAACCAACAGGGGGAGTACTAGCACCATGTCTCCATCTATCGTTAACTTTAAAAAGATTTCTTACAAGAGCGTCCTTAATATAGATGAAGAGCGTCTATATTTATGTAAATTAAAGTATTAAAGTTCACAAGGAGTAGAATTTCCAATTCTAATCAGTTTTTATATAGTTATATAAATATAAAGATATATGAAAATACTGTATATTCTTGTATATATACTGTATATACTGTATATAAATAGAGAATACCGACGACCTAAAAAGATACTTTCTTATAAAGTTACGTACGAAAGGAGAATATAACCTTAATATAACTTAATTTTGCCTAATGCCTTGAATATACTATACACTCCATGTAGATTAACTGTAAAAGTAGATTAAGATAACGTAACTCTATCTTATTTATTGACGGCCTACAGCAATTGAATTTATAAAATGTAAAATAATTCTATAAAAGAGAATCACCAACTTAAAAAGAACAAATTTTCCCATGATTTAATGTAGTATTATTGGTAGATTGGTAGAAAAAAAATAATACCATTTCGGTCTTATTTCGGTCTATTTTCAATGAATAAATACAAAGATAACTTTATAGTAGAGAAATTGATATTTTTTTTAATAAATAAAAAAATCAAGCTATTTAATAAACAAAAATTAATTAGTGAAATAATATCATCAAAAGTATATGGAAATTATTGAAGGATATAAAAGAGAAACTTTCCAATTTGTAGCCTTTTGAAGTTGAAAAAATGAAAAATTTCCATAAAACTTTGATGACAATGAACTATTCGAGTACAGTTAGATCGAAAGATTTATAGACGTAGATTAATAGATTGATAGACTGATGGATAGATAGAGAAAGAGAAACTAAGAAAAAGAATGGGTGGAGGAGAATGTAGTAAAGGGAGGATGTCAAAAGAAAAAAAAAAGGGCGTGATTAATCATTCTAAAGTTGTCTCTTTTATTTATGATATTTATCAATGGTAGAAGAAAAAATTATATTAATAAAATATTAAAAAATGACTACCTTTTCGGCTTTAGAAAATTATGCATATGCTCAAGAATTGACTAATTTAAAAGAAAACAGCAAATATAGTCAGCTTCATCTTTCCAATAATTAATTTTATTTACAGTCCTTCTAAAAATAGAAAGTGGGCTATATATTCTTTCTGTTATCTTTTATATATAAAATAGATATATTTAGTGTACAAGTACATTGCTTTTTAAATAGTATTCTATGAATTTACACCTAGTTCATCAACCTTTTAAATCACAGTATGAATTAACTCCTTCAAACAAAATAGAGAAAGAATTAGCCAAGTATAGATTAAGTATACGGTATACAAAAAAATGATACTAAATATAGAGTTAATGAAAGCAAACGTGATTATTGATTAAACCAAAATTTACCTAATTCCGTGAAAAAAATATCTATATGTCTTGTTCTATTTATAAAAACGTATTGATAATTAATGATTTTAGGATGTAAAATAATTTAATATTGTCATTTAATCCCCTGAAGATAAAAGAGTAATATATTTATATTCTTTTATTTCGAAATGAATACATTATTTGCATATTTGGTATAAATCAAGGTAATTTTGTGTTGTTTTTCAATAAACATGTATATTATTAAACTTATACATATAGTTTATGTTTGTATAAGTTTGTTTATCTTATACCAAGATTTTTAATTTATATACGAATATGGACAGTAGATATGTTTAAAAATTATTGATTTTTCCGTCTAAAAAAGATACTTCTACTACTAAAAGAAAATATATTCACAGATGTTTTCTTTCATCATTATAAATTTAAACGAATATTCTACTTTTTATGCAATTTGGAAAATTATGTCTTTTTTTTATATAAATGAACTAATTTCGTAATTAATAAGAAAATGAATTATTAATATTAATTATATCTTTGAAAATTAAATATTTTTCTTATTTACTTTCTGTCTTCCGTTTCTCTTTCCAACTGCTTTTCCTCTTCCCCCTTCTCCCTCTTCTCCTCTTGCCCCTCCTCCTCATTCTTCTTCCCTTTCTGCTCTTCTTCTCTTATTATCTTTATATTCTTCCAATTTTTACTAGTACAGATAAAATATGATGATAGTATACAGTATGTTGTGTGTAGAGACAATGGTAAATAAAGAGCTATATGTAATATAAACATAATTTCTATAAATATCGGTTATATCCAGTCTTTATCATAAATACTGTATATATACAGTATATATATTAAAAATGTCTCTGAGAGGTAGAGAAATAAAATTTATAATAATTCGTCTTGCTGCTAAAATGCTGATTTAGTAGTCGAAAGAAAATGATAGGTAGCTAGAGATGGTTGAAAGTAGTCTCCTTTAAGATTATAGCCTGTATATGATGAGTATCTCGTCTTTGTCAAGATTATGATATCCCATAAGCAAAATGACCTTTTTTTTTTACTCCTCCGCTAAATCTTATTTGATAAAGAATCTCTCTTTGACGATTGTAACAAAAGTAGAATCATTCTGTGAAAGGAAGAGACGACTTTATAAAATCCTAACAAATAAATTATAAGACCTTCACTCTCTAAGACGTATTACATTTTCTTAGCAACCGTCACCTTTCAGAATTATATTTGGTGTCTTTTTTTCATGATAATACTTCCGTAACTCATTCTTTAATAGATCTTATACGATCATCAATTTGAAGTAATGAAATATAACTATATTTTATATAAATATACGCATATTTAATGATTACTTCAAGAATTCGTTTTTATTAGTTTAAATATCGTACAAGACTAGCGAATATTCCATAGATTAATATTATTTTTGTGCTGGTTTGCATATAATATTGAAATCTATAAAAGAAATTTTAATCTGTAATTAATCTGAATGATTTATTATATCTAGAAAAAAGAACACCTTCTCCTTCAACTTTTGAGCTTTTTTGTCATCTTTTATTTTCTGACTTAATAAGTCGACATAATTAAAGATGCGCATTATTATTTCACTTTTTTACTCTATAATCAAGCTTTCTAGCCATAGTCTTAATTTATAAAAGGGCTTATTACCCACTAATTATTTGACAATAATAGGGAAATTACATAATATGTGAGCTACATATTATTAAAAAATATTAACGTTTTGAATAAGTAAAAGTGTAGGCCTTCGAAAAAACACTATTTTCGGTGGGAATAGTGATAAAAAAAAGGCGATAAACTATATAGTCCACCTTCTCCTTCTCCTTCCTTTTCCTACTCTTTCTTTTTTGTTTATTCCCTAAGGGCTATTGGAAAGAGATAATCATGATAAAAAAGAAAACATTCAACAAAAGGGGAAAAAGAGAGTCTTTTTTCCGGTTAAACAGACAGTTTCCATTTCTCTCTCTCTCTCTCTCCCTTTAATTTAAACTTGTAACAAAAAAAAGTAATGAAGGGCATTCCCTGAACGATCATTCGTTCAAAGTTTATAAACGTATCCCATTCTAAAAGTCTAATGCGTGATGCTACTATATTATTATTAATGTTTATTATTTTTTGTTTGCTTCATTTTTTTTCCTTTTTCCTTTCTGCTTTTCTTTCCCTTCGTTCTTTTCTTTTCTCGTTTAATAACCAAGTCTTTTTTTTTCCTTAAAAATAGATTATAGACAAACGAATATTGACTTAATTTTAAGAATAGATAGAACCACTTAATTGAATGAGTATCGGATGCAAAAGCCCCGTCAAAAAAGGGAAGATTATATACTTTGAAGAGATAGAGATTTTATCAATTGAAGGGAAACGTTTCCTTACGCTCAGTTAAATGGAAAAGCTTTTCTAAAATATAATATACTGTATACTTAATCATATTTTGTAATGCTATATTTGGTGACAATTTTCCCCGTCTTTGCTAAACAAAATCACGTTACAAATTAATTACGTTAAGCCAAAAATATATTTGATTCCTTTCAACCATTAAAATCCAACTTTCATCAATTACAATGTTTATGTAAACAAACCATAACATTGTTTTTACGAAAAATTCTTAAACGCGCTTATGTTTTTGGTGTCTTAACAAAATATTTTGTTCTTTGTAGCGTCTCTTTGTCGAGATCCAATACTTTTTGTTAAATTCCCTTAATCCGCACGATCTCCAGTGTATGGTATCACTATCGCTTATTTTCTTTTGGCTGATACTTGCGCAAAACGTTAAGTATTCCTTATCTATTTAATTTGACGGATAACATGGATTCTTTTGTCTTTAAGGACTATGTTAATGGGAACAGCTGTCATTTCTCCATAAATACCATTTCGAGTTGTTGTTAACACCGCTCTCGTACTCTCTCTCTCCGTCTCTTTGTCTCCCTCTCTCTCTGTCTCTCTAACTCTAATTCTTACTCTCTTCCCTCTTCCCCCTCGACTCTGACGTTCCAAACTAATCTTACTCATAGTACTTTTCTATCTGCTGGGTAAGAAAAAGAAAAACGTTGAGAAACAACAAAAAAAAGAAAAGAAACTAGGTTACCGCGTGACGAACGCAGATAAATATAAAACGTAAACAATAAAAACCTTTATGAAAACTCTTCCTAATTCCTTTCCAATCCACATTTTCCTTTATCTTATCTGTGAAAAATAGGAAAATAAGAAAAATCTTCTCAAAGCCTGTCTTGACCTTGTAGAAAACGAAAAGTGTAATTATTGTTTGATAAAGAAACTATAAAGCATTAGTGTTTTATTATCTTAAACTAAAGCTAAACCAGATACTGCGTCATTGATAAAAAAAAAAAGAAATGTATAAGGAAGGAAGGAAAAAGGTGTTGATGTTTTAGAAACAGAAAAAAAGCATTAATTTGTAAAAAAATATAAATTAACTCGAATCGAAGGTGAAAATGTGATGAACGAAAAGCCACTTTTCTCATGTAGCAGATATTTAGAACACTATATTTCTACACAGTCTGTTGAATTGAAGTAAGTGTACATTATGACCTTTTATTTAACATCATAATATGAGCCTATAAACGTTTAAATGAACTGACGTTTATAATAAAAAGATAATTTATTTCCATCCAAAAGTCCAGCTTTAAATGCTAACTTATAAGCTTTCTAAAAAAAAAACAGCTGTGGATGAAGCCATATTTATAGCAAAACTGTAATAAAATGGGCTGCTCAGATCTAAGTATTCAAAAAAAAAGTATATAGACTATATAATGTATATAGTTTTTATTAAATTCTTATCCATGTGTGTTTCTCTACTATATTTCTCTCTATTACACCTAAACATACAAATACTCTCTTTCCCTCCACCCTGTTTCTCTCTCTCTCTGTTAACGTTCAATCTCACTTTTTCATCTTCAAATCATCTACTGTCTAAAATATGAATAATATAGTAAAAATTTTTAACTAGATCAATTAATAATGAATATTTTATGTAAAGTTTGTTTACAATAATTAAATGAAACTCCCACAAGCCAACTTTTTCTTTTTATACAAAAAAAGACGGCTAAATTCTACATAGCACGCCGTCTGTATTTCCTATTCCACAATATATATATATATATATATATATGCTGTATATTACGAGCACACATGTACGCAGGGAGGAAGCATACGCTCTTTATAAATATAAATATTATATTCATATATAAATATTCATATTTTTTTTACCAAAATATTATCTTCTTCAAGGTAATAAAAAAGGGTAAAAAACTTTGTGATACGAAAAAAAAAACGTAGGCTAGATTAACAAATTACTTTTCTATTCATTTAAATTGATATTTATGTAGTCATAGTATATTGTGGCTGCTGTAATATATATAGATGTACTAATATATAAATTGATATATTAGTAATATATAAATATATATATACTAATATATCTATATATATATATACATTAATATATTTTTATAACAGACAACCTAAGATAATTAAAATCTGTACAGCTTTTACAATTATTTAAGTACTTTCCAAAGTACATCTAGTTTATATAAAATGTTAATTTTTTAAGTTTATGTACCGGACTAAAAAATTTTCTAGCAGTTAAAGGACGCACATCGAGCGCTGCAGTAGGAACCGTAATTTTGCAGTTGCTGTCTTATTTCTTTATCAGTGCTCCTACTCTCTATGTCTACTTATTGCGCTTAATATTGTTACTAATTTTGTTGAAATTGGCTACTTGGACTCTTAACTTTGGAAAATAAAAGGAAGCGATCATTTCCTTTCCTGCATCCGACAAGAAATAATCAACGATTATTAATCGCTTATCTAAAGCTGTTAGTGAAAAAAAGAAAGAATTCAATTAGGCTTCCTGCTGTTCTATAAACGGAATAACGGTCATAGGTCGCATCGCAAAGGCTTTTTAGTCATCGATAGAAATTCTGAAACTATAGAAATGAACTCTTCTGGATTAATCTACGACGCCTCCGCCTTACAATACGGAGCTTGGGGTGTCTCTGGATCCCTTATTTCAGCATTAGGACTTTTGGGAAATGTATTATCTATAATCGTTTTATCTGACCATCGATTTAGATCGTCAACATCAGTTTATCTTATTTGCTTAGCTGTCGGTAAGTGTTTCCTCGTATTCTCTATTCCGACTAATTAGTAAAAAAAAGAGAGAAATTTGTTTGTATTTGACACATCCTTATTCCAGTTGATATGTTGGTTCTGGTTTCGATGCTACTCTGCTTCTCATTACCTGCTATAAGTAATTACACTGATCAATTGGATTTCTATAACTCAGAGATATTTCCCAGAATGAATCCCTACGCTTATCCTCTGGCTCTCACAGCCCAGACTTGCAGTGTGTTCATAACTGTTGCTTTCACAATCGAACGTTACATAGTCGTCTGCAAACCCCTGAAAGCAAACAAACTATGCACAGTAAAACGTGCTCGCAGATATGCTATTCTCGTTATTCTTATCTCTTTGATCTATAATGTTCCAAGATGGTTCGAATTTAAACTTAGCGATACAAATGATAATAACACCACAGTTCAAATGCTAACAGCTTTAGGAGATAATCAACTATATAACTATATTTATAAAGTTTATATGTACACCATCATAATTGTTATAGGCCCATTCCTTTTTCTACTTTGTCTGAATGCAGCTCTTGTTAGAACTTTGCACAGAGCCAATCGGAACATGCAGCAATCTAAGCACTCTGCTCAGGAGCATAATATAACTGTTGTTATCATAATTGTTGTTGGAACATTCCTTGTCTGTCAATTGCCTTCGATTCCTGATAACATATGCGGAGCGATATACTCATCGGCGGAAGTTCGTGAAAGTCCTAATTTGATTCGACTACATACGCTATCAAATTTAATGGTAATAAGTAACTCAGCAGTCAACTTCTTCCTTTATGCTGTCTTTGGAAAGAAATTTCGAAGAGTTTTTCGGCTGAAACTTAACTTTTGCTTCGGAATTCCAATAAAAAACCAACAACACACGGATTTCACAACTATTCCCATGATAAATACAAACAATGGAGCCGTATAAGCAAGATGAAAACGTGTTTGTTCTTTTTTTGCATATTTTTCGCCAATTACTTGAACAGAATTGGCAATTAGTTGACGCCGGAACCTATATTAATAGACTGCCTTCCGAGGGCTTCATCTAACCCTATAAGGTCTCTATTCGCTTGCATGTTTGAGGAAATAAGAATTTAGGCAGACTTTGTTTATTCTCCAAATAGATGTATGTAGACGTTTTATATTTTTTATATTTTATACACTATATTAAGCTTATTCAATTCACTTGCTGTAGATATTATCTGTAAATAAAGTCGTCCCTTTTTGATTATACTTTGTCAAAAGTCAATTTACTTTATAAGTCAAATAACTAAAAGCATTCGCAATTAAGTACGAAATCATAAGAATATTGAAAGATCGTAGGGCAAGAGAGAGAGAGAGAGAGAGAAGCGGAAGGAGAGAAATGGAAAGGCAAAAAAAAAAAAAACAGGAATGTTATTATTTTTTTACCATGCCTTTAGGTCTTTCGGTTACGGTTAAAAATGTATTTACGGAAACAAAAGTCGTTCAAGTCTTGCGTACGCTTTCCTTTTTTGTCTTTTCATTGTTGTTGTTGTTATTGTTTTTTTTTCTCTTTTTTTCTCTCTTCTAATCATATAGCATATGCTGCCATTCGATGCGAAAATAGTAAAAAATCTCCAACCTCAGCGAAATATTATACGAGAAAAAAAGAAATGATTTAAGAATTTAATTACTTCTCCTATTCTCTCAGTTTTGTTTCTCATACTAATTTATAGCTTTCAATGAACAAAAATACTAATTTAGTATACAATATATACAGTATATATATATATATATATATATAGAATAACAAGAATGGAACATAAAGAAAATGACCACTATATAGTTTTCTTTACATAGAAAATGAATACTCTATATTCAGAGCGTATTTTGCATGTATCAATGCATTTATATTACTAGCTAAATGTAGTTGGTCTATTTAAATTCATGCTTTTTTTAGATATATGTATATATATATATATATATATACAGTATATATATATATATATATATATAAAGAGAGCTATTTAATTGTCTATAATATTTCCTCTTGTATAATGAAGATTATGGGGCAACTGTGATTTTCTCCTCTCAACGATATTAATGAAAATCATTACCTTCGTAATTGTGAAGGAAGAGAAGAGAAAAATATTGCGTTTTCTAAGATAATTTCAATTTCTTGATATATCGATTCTAATAATTTTCTATTGAATGTAAGCCTTCGGGAATCTTCTTTACTATTTTTTAATTTACAGTTTTTTCGGTAAATCAATGATTTTTGTAGACGCAAAATAAACTATGAATATTAAATAAAGTTTATTGACTCAAGGTCAAAAAATAACCCAAAGGTGAAATCGTTAAAACTACTAATAAGCAATTACTATGCAAAGAATAGCTTTTACCGATGTTGGCCAATTTCAAGAGCATACTACTTTATATTTTATACAGCAGATGGCGTTACATATACAGTTTGACAATATCATAAGAACATATAAAAAATGCAACACTTATTTACACAAATATACAGGTCTTGATAATCAATAGAAATAGTAGATTTCTTTTTTTGAAGAATACTGAAATGATCGTCCTATAGGCTTATAATATTTATGAGATAAACGACAGCTCGATGAGTTGAATGAGTAAACAACTTGTATAATAATTGACTAACGACTTTCGTATAGATAATTAAGATCTTGTAATTAACCTAGTGATGTCTATCGGCTTCTCAGCAAATTTCCATTGGATGAAATTGATATAACGATAGATATTTTATTAGGTAATATAACATAAATGATAGGATATCAACTTCTATCGAAAGTAAATTTTAAAACACTCAAAAATTCAGGCCCAGTTCTGGTACTTCGAACGCAAGTCATTTTCATGTTAAATATCCTCATTTTCTCTTCTATTTCATCTATAACAAAGCCAGTGTCATTAAAAATCAAACGGAGGGTGCTCTTGTTTATTTTTAACAAACCTATATTATTCTCTTTAATGACTACCATATAGAAAACACCCAAGGGTGACAGCATGTTTGGAACGTGTGGCAAAACTTTATCAATAATTCTTCTGCCTTTTTCACCTCCAGCCCATGCAGCCGATATATTTCTACCACCTACTTCTTCATCGGGTGTAACAACGTAGGGTGGGTTAAATAATAGCAAATCGACCTTGCCAGAGAGTCGATCCTCTAAAGGTGAAGCCTAAGGAAAGAAATAAATGTATAATATAGACGATATAATGTTAGAGGTGAAAGTCATTAAAAAGACCGTTCCCTCGGATAAAGCTTTTATTTAATGGGCTATTCAAAAGTTTCGGCAAGGTCCTCAAAGTACACAAACAACTGTTCATTAGACTATACCAACGATATTGACTTTGGTAATCCTTTTGGCTTAATATCTATTACTTTAAATAATTCTTTAAGCCTACCAAATTGCAAGTAACCGCATTCAGATCCACCAAATTACGTGCAGCGGAAATCACAGCAGCCTTCGATGCTGATGAGTTTATATCCGTGCAGCTTTAGAAAAATAATATATAATAAAGAATAATTGAAAATCACTCAATTCATAGCTCTAATACTCACATACAAAAACTAAATGGAAAGAGGCGTTTAACAAATGTACTTATTATTCCACTCCCGCAACCGATTTCCAAAACGATTGTTGGCCTATGAAGGTCGAAAAGGGCGAAATATTGTCTATTTTTAGAATAACATGACGTACTTTATTTTGGCTAAGTAGTCGAATTCATCTTCAAGAGAATTTAAAAATAAAAAAGAATCTTCTGCTGGTTCGTATACTTCAGAAAATTCTTTGTCTCGCAAATGACTAAAATCTGGTGTTTCGAACATTTCTTCAATTATCGCTTATGTGTTTTAAATGGAAAATTTTTAAAGTCATATAACAGAACACATTGGAAAGATATAAAAGAATTTATTTGGAATTCGTTTATATAGCAAGATCACTTAAAAAAGACTTAAATTTTCACAAACAGGGAAGAAAGAGGCACGCTTTCTTTAATAAAAATAAATTTCTAGGGAAAACACACTTGAGCTAATACCAGTTTACGCGACAATTATTTGCCGCCACTTTTATATAACAATTTTTTCTTACGTCCCTGGATTATTGATATCTCGTAAAAAAATCCTCTAATTTATTTCCCATTTCGAATAATATCGAATAACGAACAAATAAATAAACATTACATATGAAATAAACAAAATATTTGAAACCACACTGAAATGTATGGACGATGAAGGAAATTCGATATGCTCTTTTAATTCTATACATTTGCACACTAATACTAGAAAAAAAGAAACCGATTTGATTACTGGACAACACGAGTTGACTAAATCAGTCTTTTTGGCAGGGCGTGCTCGTTAGAGATATATAAAAGACTTAAAAAAAAAGAACACGGAAGGGTGTGTTCTTAGGATACATCACATATTGCATACGTCTTAAATCCGAATACGTTTTTGTAAGACAAAAAAAATTGAGGGGGAATTGCTCCAAGGAAAAAAATCAAACTTAGTCTTTTTGAATAGACTAAAACCTACGACAAAATTAGGCGTTGTAAGTATTCCTAAGAAACACACCCTAACAACTGGCAGAACCATTGTGTTGTTCCGGGCTAGCCATAAGACTTTGCCTTTCACTTTCTTCTTCACCAGAAGAGTTCGCGGCGTGTAACTCTACGTGAGCAACACCAGAAGAAGTCTGTTGAAACTGTACAGATTGATTGAACTGTTGATCCTGGCTATCATCCAACTCCAAAGCGATTGGTTCATGCATTTTTATACCTAGAACCTGAAAACCATACGCTTTAAGTATATCTAGTTTACACATAGGGCAAGAACGCTGTTCCAATAGCCAAGGATCTATACAGCTCTTGTGAAAGACGTGATGACACGGTAAAGTTCGGACGACTTCCGATGTTTTGTAATATTCGATACAAACAGCGCACTGGTCTTCCGGGTCAGCAGACCGAAGGGTTTTAACCGGCATTCGACCGATTGCCTTCTTTGCAGCCGACATAAGACGCCTGGAGAGGCGTTCCTTTGCGTGAGCATATCGGAATCTCTGAATGTAGTAAAAGACTAGCCATGCTAAAGAGATGATCATGAGAACGATGAAAGATATTGAGACGAAGAGGACACTTGTCTTATTTGACGCGTTACGACGAGCTTGTGCTTCCGAATTACTTTCGGACACTTCGACGTAAATTTCTAGAGAACTATTTTGAAGTATATTTGCCAGTTTTTCACCCTCTTCCTTATCTAGAAGGACCACTGTCTGTGAATAATCAGCTTCGTCGTTGTTCCTCACTTCATGCAATTTTGAAGGGGATTCTACATGAGCAACGCCTCCTATCCTAGGAGGTTGATTCATAATGGCATTTGATTTATTAGCGAATATTATTAACGCTGTTGCATTTGAGCCAGTTAATGTATTTTTCACTATAGTCTCCGTACGACATTTTCCTTGTCGAGTGTAGGCAATCCATTGGCTCTCCGATGTCTTCTTATTTGGAAGACAACCATCATAGATGCCATTTGAAGACTCTGCTAAGATAAGTAAGCCTTTCTTCTCATCACGTTTTTTCCCCAAGAATCTTGCACCATTTTTCTTGATTTCGTACCTTTCGGATATACCACTATCCTTATTTTTAATCGTTATGTTTAGGGTTGCGTAATGGTGCTGTCGCACCTTAACACTATTTGTTCGGGGACAACATTCAGCTACGATGAAGAGGAAGCAGTTGATTATCAGGTTCTTGTACATCATAGCTTCGCCTTCCCTTCACTCGTCCATTTTTATGTGACGTAAAGCGAATAAATTTCCACAGGCTGCCATCTATCGGTCAAATTTTACTTGTGAATGGCCGACATCTATTGGGAATTGTAAAGAGCTTTCCTAAAACATTAGCTAAACGTAATGATAAATTTTCAAATAACAAAAACCTGGAACGGAGAACCTATTGATCATCCCCCCATTCAACTAAACTTAAAATCAAGCGAGAATGGACTTTGTTTAACCGTTGAAGCACCTTTTTTCGATGATCCTCCCCCCGAACATGAAACGAACGTCTCAGATGGCGCTTGCGATCGATTATGGGATTTCGAAGTCGTGGAAGCGTTTTTTTTAAACGATAATAACGATTATTTGGAGGTGGAATTGAATCCGTTAGGCTAAATCAAATTACATTTCTCTTTTATTAAATTTTTCTCACAAAATCTTACATTCAAATATTTCTCTTTACATCGTTAATTAGAATTTTCTCACCAATTCTTTCCTTAATACAGATACGACAAACACTTGGTTTTGATGTTAAAAGGACAACGAAACTGCATTAAGGTAGTATAAATTGGTTGTATCAGCTACGTATAAAATAAGAATGACTCAACTGTTGATAACCAGGACAAATTACCATTAAATTACAATGCTATAATATCAGATGACAAGAAATACTGGACTGGTGAAGCATTAATACCTTGGTCATATTTTCCCTATAAAACTCGAAAGTTTAACGCCTTTGCAATTCACGGCGTAGGCGAGTGTCGCGTCTACGAGGCACTGTTTCCGGTTCAGAAGAGTTTGTACGAGAAAGTTGATTTGTGAGTAAGATAGATAGAATTTTTATTCCGTATGACGCTTGTAATAATTCTGATTTCCTTTCTTATTACTTCCCTGACAGCCATCGTTTAGAGGCATTCTCGTATGTTGATGAGTTTGAGAGTGTTTTTCATAATGCCTCTGGTGAACAATGGCATAAAAATAAATAGGCCTAGCTAAATCACAGTCGTCTGCCTTTGTAAACTTGGGCTTCTGCATTTTACTCGGAAACTAGACCGGCTGGCGCCAGTTGGTGAATCGTTAACATCGGAAGTAGACGCTGACGCCCAAGCGTCGAAAGCGTCTCTTTGCGCCAATTTACAACTTTCATACATGGCCACGGAATTACGAGAACGCGATGACGCTCCACGGCTTGGGGCGGTTGGTGTCAAAAAACCTCTCTTGGCACGAATCCTCTTTTTTAACCTCCTCTTTACTTTGTCAATAATGACACAGGCTAAGAAGCCCACAAGCATTGCGAATAATGTCACTGCAGTTCCGTAACCAATTTTAGGATCGTATTGAGAGACGAAATTCTTTGGTAAATAATGAGAATGACCCTTTCCGTATATTTCATACCTAACACGAGATCCAGCTTCCTCGGCACATAATAAATTCTTCCCGTGTATTTGATGCAGTCGTTTGCCAATGTGTTGTTCAGGAGATCTGCAACTAGGAGAGTTTGCACTTGTCAACACCATAAGTTGACGCAGTGAGGACAGAGCACAAGTACAATCCATAAAATTACCAGTCAAATTTAGTCGGCAAAAATGTAACGCTTCACTCAGATCATTATTGAAAACAGTTAATTTATTATAGGCTAAATCTAGACGTCGTATATCTGTGCGATAGCCAACCAGGTTTGAAGGTAAATCTTGTAGACGGTTGAATGATATGTCAACGTAACGTAGATTGTCTGCTTTAGCAAATAATCCTGATTCTAAGTGCTGTAGCATGTTAGATCGAAGGCTGAGGGTTACTAACTTTGGGAGGGAAGATAACCATCTTGATTTAAAATTGGTTAGATTATTGTAGCTGAAATCTAATGTCCTTAGAGAGCGTAAACCGTTGAAGACGTTGTCGGGCAACGTTTGAATAGAATTCCTTGATAGTAATAAAATATCCAGTTTCTTCAATACACTGAAAGCGGAGGCTTCGATTTCAGATAAATTGTTCCTCGATAGATCGAGCTCTTTTAATCTATCTGCATTTTTAAAATTTATTCGGCCTATGGTCTCTATAAGATTTAATGACAAATTCAACACAGTAGTTATTTTCGAGGAAGTCACGTTGAAATTATCGAGCGATTTTATTGATAAATTCGAGTAGTTCGAAACAACAGCCTCAGTATAGGTAAATAAGCAGAATATCGGCAAGAGACGGTACATGATCCGAAGAGAACGGTGTCGCTCCGTCAATAGACGTCGCCCTGCGGCAACGTCACGAATTGTGTGCAAGTGACGCTTTTCCAAGCGAGTAAAAAGTGCACAGCCGAAATTCCTGATGAGATTAGAGCGCCGGCTGCTTTCGATCAGCAAAGAGACGCTCTCATTGTACATTCAATTTTAATATATTACTTATGAAGCGAGATTTTCTTTATACATACACCTGCAAAATTTCCGTTTCCATGACAACCGTTAGCGCGGGCAAAAATGTTACTGGTTGTTGTGTTTTCATGGTCCAAAATAAAAGCCGATTAGTAAACTGGTCGATAATGGATGTATAATTTTCCGGTCGGTAAGATAAAGAAAAAACAACGTAAATTTAAAAGTTCCGGAAATAACGAGAAATTTTCCTGCTCTCTTTCTTTATGTATTGTATGTATCAAATGGAATATGTCAATGTCAACAAACATTCCCCTAGTAAAGCGGATAAATTGTTATTTATAAAAAATGTTAAGCTACTTGCTTTTTAGTACCAAAGGTTTCATAATGCTTTTACTACAGATAGCGTCATCTACCGCTTATCGTTTCCATAATAAATAAATAAAAGAAAAGAGAGCTTTCCAAATAAAACGAAGGTAAAATAAAATAGAAACAAAGTCAACAGAAAACCTTCAAAGCTTTAATCAAATTCACACTTGTCGTCATAGTAACCTATTCGGTCCAGAAATTCGGCATCTTCAGGCACTTCAGTAGCATCATTTAACAAAATTTGATCATCATCTCTTAACATAGACGGTAGCTTTTTTATTGACGTTCTCGTTGACCTTCTTACAGGTGTTACAATTTTAGAAACATCTTTTTTAATAATACTTTTTCTTAATCTAAAAAAGGGACGCATTTATCGATAAATATTAGCTCCTTCAACAATAGTTACCTTGAGAAATAAGGCGTATTAAAATCCTTTACTAAATACTTTTTCATACTGGATAAAAATATTGTCGTTTCTGAAATATCATTGCGTCTCGATTTTCTTTTGAGGCATTGATCTTTCTTAATAGGTTCGGGAAGATCTTGGAATTTAGAGTTGATTTGCAAAGTTCTTATAAATTTAGATATCTCTTCAACCAGCATTTCACAAGGCTAAATTACGTTAATAAAGGCACAAATTACTTTTGATGAAATCTCAACAAAAAAAAAACTTATGCTTACGGCTGCTTTGGCTTTAAAAGCATTTTCAAAAACAGCTACAGTCGATATAAAATCTCCCTTTTTCTGCTCGATTAAAGACTTGCATATCCAAAATTGAGCAATCGATGATACAACTTCTGTGAAATCTCTCTCGATTCCATCAAGCATTTTTACTGCATCCAAAAGGCTTAATTCATTCTATGAAAAAAAAAAAATAACAACTAAATAAGAATGTTTCGAAGAATTCGTTAATTACTACTGTAAGAATTCACTTGTTAAGGCGGTTCTAATTGGTTATTCGATTGGTATATGCTTCAAAATGTATAATAAAAAAAAAGATGCGTACATTATCAAATTGAATTTTCCACTGAGTTAACAGTTCCGTACATTTTATCTTCTGTTCTATCCCATTTTGTTTATCATCAACAATTTCGCTCTCATTAAAGGAGAGCCTGGAAAAAAGTGTATCAGCCATTTCTGTAATGTTATACAATATATCCTTCTTAGCAGTTTCTTGCTCGTCAAACCGTACTGGCTTTTCCGCATCTTCTTCTTCTCTTAACATATCTTTGTCCTCGTTATTAGTCATATCTCTTACAAAATCATTAAAGTCAACCGGTATGTCTTCTTCTTTTATTCGATTATTTGATGGTTTCGGAGAAACAACGGGTTCAATTAGAGATATATCGACAGGATTTATACTGGAGCAAAGTTCAGCCGTCTAAAGCAAAATTATCCATAAAAGAGCAATTAATAAGAAGCAAATATATATTAATCTCAAAGAAAGCTATTAACCTTGTTCCGGCCTTTCAGACCGGTGTCGATTTTACTTTTTACGTTACAAAAGCTCCGCGATAGGCCTATTTGTTTTGCAGTACGATTATTTGAAGCATTTGGATATGTTTTTGTGGCATGTTTAACAGTTGAAGTCTGTGCTGAATTAGCCTTCATATTACTCTTATAATTTTCACCTTTCGCGTCTCTACGGTCGATTTTATTTAAAGCGTCTCTCACTAGTAGTGGGTTTATTGCTTTCGGCATTCGGACTGATGCTGTGCCCTTTTTCATTGATTTCCCGACTCTCTCCACCTTCTCTTGGGACGATGTAGACGCTTTTTTACAAATTCCACTCAAATGTTGATTAACATTTGACTGCTTGCCATTAGAGATAGATGAATTTCTGCTTTTAGTAGCAGCTGCATTTCGTGCTTTGTTAATAGCTTCTTTGGCTTCTTCTTTTGTAAAAGTAGATCTTCTGGATATTCCTGCTTCTTCTTTTTCATAACTTTTTTTATTGCTTACTCTTCTTGTTTTGCTCTTGCATGTCGGTATAGAATTGATTTTCTTGTCAACTGCTGTAATATTATTATGACTTTGTTACATTCGAATAATATAAATACAAGCATGCAACAACAAAGTATCTAAAAAAAACAATTTTTCGAATGAAATTTAATACTAACTCCCAGTGGCAGAAGTAATAAAACCTTTGGATAAGTCATAATGAACAACTCCTGAGGGAATGAAAGTTTTTGTTCCTTTTCCTCTATTTTAGATAATCGATTTTAGCCATTAAAATAAAAAACAATTAAACATCTATGCTTACTTTTGTTGTTTTAGCTGCAGAGCACGTTTTAGTTTCCACTCTTCTAGTTTAGCCCTGAAAACATTTAGTTATTTAGTTTAGTTTTTGAAAAATTAATAAAGGAAAAGTAATTTGAATTTTTTTGTAACTTTCGCATGCTTTGGATGTTTACCTTCTGTCCTCCGGGTTCTCTCTTTTTTTTCTCTCTACTGTCTTTGTTTCACTTATTTTTGTCGCTTTCTTGGATTTTCCATCTTTTATCCTGCTTGTTCCCTTATTTTTTACCTTTTCTTCATTTTCTCTTTCAGTTTTCTCCTTTTCTTTTTCTTCTTCCTCATCCTCTTCGTCTTCCTCTTCCTCGGAAAAGAGATTCTTTTTTACTGCCTCCTTTGCCAATGCTTGTTCAGGTGACATCGGCACAAAGTCTCTAGGTTTCTTTACATTTTCTTTATTCATTTGAGATGGTAGAATTATTCCCATATCCTTCAATTGTTTAAGATATTCCTCTCGAGGTATTCTCTCGTACCCATAGTCTGACGAAGCTTTAGCAGGAAATAGATTACGAGTTACTGAAACTTTAGGAGTTTTAAAAAAGCTTTCAGGTTCGGCAAAATTAGAACGAGTTTTCAAGGGAACTTTAGAAGTGGATTGAGAGCCAACTAAAATCCTTTCAGGCTGAGCAGGAGTTTTAAAATCATCTTCTACTATTTTACGAGCTGTTTTGTTTTTAAAAATAACAATTTGTTTACATAGTAATTGGGCACAGAGCGAAAATATAGCATATAAAACGGTTTCGTGTTAAAAAAGCACTATTATCAAAGGTTATAAAGTTTATTACTATTCCATATTGTTTATAACTAATATAACATACGTGTTCTTCCAGGAGTTTCTGGTAAATTATCAAAATCCATCAATATTGTTGTTAAAAATACGGTTTATTTACGAAAATCCCGAAAAAACCGCCGCTCATACCAAACTCAAACTTGATTGGTTTAAGAAAATACGAAAACTAAGTGAGCGAAAAATAGTAAAAAGCATTTAAAAATAAATAAAATTACGTGTTTAAGATCAAATTAATATTTGAATTAAATTATTTGATCGAGATTATTTTTACACCTGCTTAATTGAAAACGAACGTTAAGCATATGTAAATATATGTAAAAGCTGAAAAACAGAGTCCGAAATTTTCTCCCCTGTTCCGCAAACAAAGATCTTCAGACAAACCTGGCAAACTAAGACAAACTGCGCAAACTCTAAACTACTTGCGCATGCGCTGGCTCATTCATTGCTTGAACGGCCATGGCGGATTAGTGGCGTTGTTGTTTGCATAATTAGAGGAAATTTTCGTTTCTTTTCAACTCTTTTCGCGCCTCTGTCTATCGAATTTACCTCCAACGATGAAAGGTATGCATTTTTGAATCGTGTTCAAGCATTAAAGCGGCGTGAATCGTTCAGAAAGAGCGAGACATCTGTTAATGTTATGTAAGTCCCTTCTTTTTTCAGACTTAACGAACGCTCAAACCGATAAGGAACGATTAAAATGCTTAATTGTTCAAACTTTATCGAAAGTTTGCAAACAAACTTTAGCTGCCGAAAAATTTACGATGGAAGGCCTGCTAGGTATAACGATGCCAAACAACGAAGTTATGTTAATTAGCCTCAAGGAGGAAGTGACAAACAACGACGTCGATAAGACAACGGCTGCTGCTGATAACGTTATCAACTGCTCAAGTCCCAGGTAAAAATCTTTTTATGATATATTCCGTTTTTATATTTAACTCTTCCGGTTTTTTCATTATTTCTTTTCAGTTGCGAAAACAGAAAACGTTCTATACACAATGTCTCTGATGGAGATGACTTGACGGAGAAAAAGAGTAGGTTAGAGGGAATAGTTAGGGAACGTCTTCAAGGGTCAAGGTCGTCTAGAAAGAATCCGCATCCACAGCAGCATATATCGGCACCTGTCTGGGTAGAGGATGGTCCTGAAACAGGGGAAGGCAGTCGCAAAGAGAATGGAGATGTGGATGTTAAAGTAGAAAACTCCCTAGTCATTCCCATGGAAGAAAAATCCGTAAAGCAGGAACCGGAAGAAGAAGAGGAAAGCGACAAAGCTGTTAGACAAATGGCTGAACTAGGTTTAAATATTGATGACTTTCGGAGTTCGATTGACGCAAATAAAGATGGTATAGTCACAGTTGAACCAACAGATCCTCCAATAAAGCCTATCAAGAAGCACAAAAGTCCGGTAAGCTAGTCTGAAGGTCTCTGCATGCTCGTTTTATTTTAAATTGATTAATTTTATTTTTTTATTAACGTAACATTATTTAAGTTCGCAATTTTTGGTCCTTAAACGTTTATTTTTGCACGTTAACCCTTCCCGAATGCTTTAATCCTCTACAACAACCAATCTCTTATAGATTTCTTTTACCATCTCTTCTATTCTTCTATTCATTATTTAATCAGCCTATTTGGTTGTTGAATTGGATTTTGCATTTGAAATCTCTTATACATATATATATTATTTATTTCTGCATGTTTGCATGATTAATCACTGACAAATTTGTCGTTTTCACTAACTGCACTTCCGCTTTTTGCCAAAACTCTTAGCTCTCTTTTTTTATTTTCGCTTCTTAAATCCAAAAAAAAAAAATTCTAATTTTTGGAAATAAGACAAACTGGAATCATTTCACTCTATTTCTATCGCGTATTTTATACGCTCTCTTATATATATTTTGGGAATATGCGATCACAACGAAACTGGTGAAGGTCACAGAAAAAGGGTCACGTGTTATATTTGAACGATTTAAGGACCTTTGATGTTTTTTAAGAACGAAATATAATTTTGCGTTCGTTGACCTTCGCAGGATTACATCAAACCAGACCTCTTCTTAATGAATTACGAAGGTTTTCAAAGGTTTTCTTACCGAAAAAGGTATCTATTTATATATATACATATAAATATCCTGGTTATTGGGCTCAAGAGTATCACTTTTTTTTGTCACTGAAAAACAAAACATCCAAGACAAACAAAGAAAGTATTAAGTTAAAAATTTCCGATAAATTGACCTCCGAATTTTTTTTTAAAAAAAAAGAAAAACTTAAGGCACACACGAATTTGTGGCATGTTGTAGCGAGCTGATGAAGACGGGGAAATGAAACTGTTTCAAGTCCTTTAGCCTGTATATTTCGCGATAAACGAATTATTAAATGAAAATCCGTTAATACCAGTACGCATGCGCAAAAAGAACGTTTGTTTTTTAATAGTTCATACGCATGCGCATCTGTAACTTTCTAAACCTTTTTTACCAATTGGGGTATTTTTTTTATAATCTATCTAAAAATCTTATGTTTATTATAATAAATGAAAGTGTTCGCGAAATATAAACGTCCAAATAAACGGATTTTCGATCTAATGCGGCTAAATAATATTGGTCAAAGAGAACACACAATGGAATAAATTTTGACCAATATTCAATCCTGTTAGAACTTTAATCCGTAATTTTCAGTTCTTCGTCTGAATCGGTACGATTCCCTTTCACTAAACCACCCTGCATGCAACCGCCAAGAAAATATGGCTGTATAGTCTCAATATATATATATAAATATATATATATATCTATATATATATCTATTAACATATATAATAATATATATTTATCTAACAAAACCGCATGAAAATACACTAACGACGGAACGAATAATCATTAATTATGTTCACACGGCACACAGTTAAAAAAATATATATATACTTAAAAACAACGAAGAAAAAAACAGTACGAATAAAAGAGAGAACAGTATTTTCTATAAACAAAAGCAATTACTATTGAATAACACGGCCATATTGCTTGGTGTGTTTTTGCAGGGCGGCCGTCACAAGTCGACCGTACCACCACTTCCGGACGACTACAACAGTCCGAATTGCCCGATATGCGGCAAGATGATAGGCCTACGATCGGCTTTGAATCGGCATTACATTACGCATACTGGTGCAAGGCCGTTTTCCTGCGAGATTTGTGGAAAGACGTTTTCACAGAAAGGCAATTTGAAGACGCACATGTGGACGCACAGGCCGGATAGGAGGTACAGTTGCGCCACCTGTGGCCATCAATGTATAACCAGGTCTCACCTTAAGAGGCATATGAAGAATAATCACGGAGAATCTTTGCAGTGGTTAGTTTTCCCTTCTTTCAAAAGTCAAGGATAGAATTTTTTGATTTTGGGGAGAGTTGCACATCAATTATCTTTTTCTTTTTTTACATTTGCAGATCAAACGAAAGTACAAGAAAAAAAATCCAAGACTTCAAGACATGTTCAATTTTTTCCTTCTCTTTTCTAGCTAGATTTTTTTGGGTTTAAAAAGAAAAACTTTTTATTTTTTTTTAAAACTGCAATGCGTTCCCTTTCGTTTTAGCGTTCAAAGTTTTTCATGCATAATTTATTGTTTTACGTTAACTTTTATCCTTTTTTTTTCATTTTTTTTAAAGTTTATTTAAAAACGGTATCAAAAAGTGACATGACAAACAAAAGTCGGTGAAAACATGTTAAAAAATTTAGACCTGCACCGAAAAAAACACATTATTCGACTTCTTTTTTGCGTGTTTGTGAGCGTGTTTAAGAGTAAATGTGCTTTTTAAAACCTAACGTATAAAAATCAGTGTAGTTTTTTCTGTAAAAATTTTTGTGCCAAGTTTCCAGTATTCAAACATTTCTTAGCAGACTGCCAAAAAAAAAACAATGTTTTTCACATCGATAGCTGCGCGTTCAGAAAACTAATTATATATATTTATATAAATATATATATATATATATTTATATACTTATATACATGTCTATATACATTATTTATATGTATAACTTTTCTTTTTTTTGGTGTATAGATTTATTAAGACAAAAACAGTATTTTGTTCTTGTTTATTCTGCCATGAAAGAAACAAATTGTGTCGTTCAGGAGAGACGCGTTCATGTAAAAAGGAGAATGTTCTCTTTTTGTAAACACAATTGAAATTGCTCAATGAAATGTTTTAAAGAATTTCAATTGTGTAAAAAAAAGAATTAATTGTATATAGCGTGTTTGAAAAACCCACAAATGCGTTCATGATGTTGTTAAGGTGCTTTGTGCATAGGGTAGTTGTTTGTAAAATTGTTTGTCACGTATAATTACGTCAATTGAAAAAAACGAATAAAAAACGTGTTCAAAGGTCGCTCATGTGCCTCTTGTTTGTCTTATTAACCGAACGGTTAAAAATCATTTACAGACAAATTCTATATTCATTGGGTTTGGGGTGAGTCATTGGTTAGATGGTTCCTTTTTGAAAATGAAAGCTTCAGTAATCAGTTTGTGATCGTTATGACTTTTTCAAACCGAATCTAGTCTGTCTACTTTTTTTTTCATACCACGCCCTGATTGACGTCAATTCGTACTCTGATAGGCTTATCATGTTTGCTTAATTGTAAAATTACTGTGTTCTTTTTTACAGAGAAGACGGAGATCCGTCGAAGAAGACACCGTTCCCCCACTGCCAGACGATCCTTCTGTAACAATTTGTCCAGTTTGTGAAAAATCTTGGGACGCACATTCGAAGCTAGTGGTTCATTACCGAGTTCACACTGGTAGGCGTATAACTCTTTATTTAAAATTGTTAATTCTAATAATAGTTATAATTAAACCAACGCCCAGGCGAACGACCGTACCAATGTCCGCATTGTTCTCAACATTTCACGCAGAAAAGTAGTCTACGACGTCACTTAAGAAGATATCACGGTATATTTACGGATTACGTTCCACGAGCGTCCAAGTCACGTTCTTCTTACATAGTTTCGGCCAATTTTGCCGAGGATACTGCTGAAGATTCAGAATGAAAAACATTTTCCAATTAATTTCTCCTTCGTGTCGTGCTATTCTGATTTTTCTATGATTGATGCATTCCCGATTATTTATAAGTTTTAAAAGGCATTACTAAGCTGTTGACCCTTTAAAAAGAGCTGCTGTGTTCTTTCCTTTCTGATTTTTTATCATTTTATTTTTTGCGCTATTTTTATTTTCTTCGTTGTGCCAAGTGTTTACTAGTCGTAAATTTTAACAATAAAATACAGAAAATAAAGTCAAATTATATTCAAAAACTGGCGCGAATTGCAGCTCGAGAAAATTTGTGCAGTATTCGATTCGCTGCCTTCGAATCGATTATCTAACGGTGTAGAAAATGTTGGCGCAGAGGCGCCCTAGTCAATTATGCTAAACAAGGATTAACTCAGTTTCGCTTTTGTTTCATTAGTATTACTTGCTAATTAAAATTTTGTCATATATATTTATAATCGTTGGATAGATTCTGTTGTAAAACACCAGGGCTGAATTTCTTATAACGAAAAAGAACAAAATATTTAAATGAAGTCAATTTTAAAATGACACTTATGATTAATTAACCGACACTCCAATCACATGAATACAATATTTGAAGATGCCAGGAACGAAGAGGTGAGTTGTCATTCTTTGGAATACAAGAAAATTGCGATTTTATATTTTATCGATTTATGGACAAGCGTTTTGTAGGCGTTTAAGCTTTTTTCTCTGTACGTTTTACTGATTCCATCTTTCATCGATCGGTTTGTTTGCAGAAGGAAAAGCTCGCATCCTAAAAGAATTATTAAGAAGCCAAATGTTCTCCCGCCAAACGAATTCGAATCGACTGATTTAGATGTGGAAAATGTATGTATATATAAAAAAAACAATGGTCTTTGGCTATAATTAATTAGGGAATAGGCTTTAATTAAAAATGCCACCGCCGCCGTCTAATTAAATGTAATTACAGAGAACTGTTAGATATATTCTAAAATTCGTATAGTTATTGGAATGTCAAAGCGCCATCTATTTCACCCCATTAATGTTTGTTTCTAGGCAGAAACCGATACGCCTTTAGCTAATACTACAAAGTTTTCCATCTGCCATAAACTCCGAACACAACGCTCTATTAATACCGATCGAAAAATTGACATCGAAGAAGAAAATTCAAAAAAGGAACCGGAAACTGATGTTTTCCCGCCAAATTTTTCACTGGATGCCGGCTTATGGTTCCCTCAAATAAACGTTGAACCAACAAGGCGAGGGAGAACGCCTGCAAAACCAGCGGATCCGACCAAAGTTCGCCAATGTCCGATCTGTTTTCGAACGTTGTACGACAAATCAACTTTAAATCGACATATGTTAGTTCATCGTGGTATAAAGCCATATATCTGCAGCGTTTGTTATGCGTCTTTTCGTCAGAAGATTCAATTACGAAAGCATGCTTTACAGCATCATGAAAAACATGTATTCCAGTCTGCTGTAGAGTGAATTTTTTTTCAATTTCTGTCTTTCACGTTGTGAGCCTAAATATTTCTGCATTCCTAAAAATTTTACTGCATTTTTTTTTTTTTGTTTCAAATGATCATGGTAATATATGAGCATAGACATGTCTGCTTTAATTCGCTCTTAAAAAGTTTGAGAACCAGCTTTATCGTTCGCCTGACAAACAAATCTGTTTTTGCTTACGTTATTTGTATGCAACACATTCATCAAAGGGCATTACAAAAAAATCGAATATCTATAATATATTATCTATGGTACGACCTCTTTATTGACAGTACATACAATACATGCAAAAAAAATAATAAGCAAAACTGAAAACATCTGTTACGACACGCACGAATCAGATACATCGAATGCAAAAAAATCAAATGCATATACTTAATGTAATCTGGGAATGTTGTTAAAATAAAATTGGAATGTAGAAATCAACATAATACGGCGCCAAAAAAAGTTGTAAAGAAACGAAGTATATGAGCAAAAGAAACTCTTAAAAAATATAATGCAATTCTTAAACTTCCTTTGCAAAACAAAAGTTATTTTAAAAAAATATATTTTTTTCTATTTTTCTTGTTTTCCTCTTTTCATCAATGTTTTCTTTTGAAATTATTTTTTACCCAGTGCTTTTTTTCTCTCCTGATCTAGTTTGCATGCGTATGGGAACCCTTGCTGGTGGTGTGCGATCTGAATTTTTTAAATCAATGACCATCTGTTCTGGATCACTTTCATCTGCCTGGGACTCTTTTTCTGCAAACTTGTTACGCATTTCTTCTGAACCTGGGTAATCTGGTATAGTGATATCGATATCGTGTCTACCGTCTGGATAACGTATCTGTAAGGATAACTTTTCCGGCATTGCTACTGGATATGTCGTTTGTCGCACGGTCATGGCCGTATCTGCTGGCATTGGATCTGAAAATGTATTTGCAGATATAGGAAGACCATGTTCTTTCACCCGGTGCATGAACACTTTTCTCTGGGACTTGTCCTTGTAACCGCACAATTCGCAAGCTTTTTTATCCACATTAAAATGAGTAGCCATATGACGCTGTATTGTTTTTATGTTATTTTATAAATAATAGACTTTTTTCTTAATCTTTGGACTATACCTGCATAGTTATCTTTTGTCTGTAAGTTGTGTGACAAATGGGGCACTTGAATGGTTTTATACCTTTATGAATCAACATGTGATGATTTAACGACGATTTATCGTATAATTCCTTCTGGCAAATTTGACATTCCACTCGGCCTGGAAGAATGCAATATTAATGAAAAAAATTTGATTTAGGAAATGCCCCGGGACAAAGATCGCGACTACCTCTCTCATTTAGAATTGGTTCCATTTTAGGAGATGGAGCAAATATTGATTCAGTGTTCGAATCATTCAACGTCGAACTCCCATCTGATTCGTCGATTTGTGGGCTCGGCCAAGCGATTAGATTGCTATTGCTGTCTGTTTTCGTTATTTTCTTATAGAGTTCATCTTCTACGGAAACCTGTATTATGACTTCTAGTTAGTAACATCGTCAAATTATAAACAATTACAAAATTCTTCTATTCGATCATGCTTTAGAATAATAGTTTCAATAAAAAATATAAGTAAGCAGGAACCAAAATATTGATTATAACTGATATATGTATATATATATAAAAAGTAAAGGGTAAGTAAAAAATAAACCATGCATATGTATATATAGTATATATAGATGAGATTACAGTGAGACTTTTTTACAGAGATGCAAAATGGTAATAAAAAAGATATTGTATATATATAGTTTTTATTATAAAAACGGTTATTATATAGGAATAAGTTAATATTTCTTAAGCATTCCTTGTTAGAGACTTACCATATCCTCGATTTATAACTCTATCAGTTTCGCGTGAAAGAAAGAAAAGTTATATTAAAAAGCGAAATTATTGGAATTATTAAAAATTTTTTAAGGGATTGAGGGAAGGAAGGGAATTTTTATACAGTAGTTAACCACCTCTGCCAATTGTAATGTTGTAAAATGATGCTTACCTCCTTCCTTGAATCAATATTGTCCCATCCATCTGAATCCGAAGTACTCTCTCTACTCTAAAATCAAACAGAACTACCGATTAGGAACAACTGATAAAACGAAACGCTTTCACTACCAACCACAATGGCATTGCTGTCCGCCTCAACTTTGGTTCTTTTGGCATTGTAACTACTTTGCAGAGGAACTTGTGATGGAACTTCGAACACAGCCGGTGAATCATTTGATTTTCGTCTCTTAGGCTGTCCTTTTCGTCTATTCTTGACAGAATTTGTGGTAGGTTGGATCGAGTCGATAACACTTAAGAAAATTACAAGGGTCTATAAGTATTTTTAGGCGCATAAAAACTGAGGTATCTACTTGGATTTTGTTGATATGCTGGAAGATGATGAGCTTGGGAGACGTAAAGAGGATAGGCTGTCCAAAACGGGAATCGGATGAATGATAATCGGTTGATTAATCGTTTTAGGTTCGATTTTTGTAATGTTGCTAATCGGAATCTTATCGGAGAAGTTCGATACGGGAGTCTGTAAATTCTTTATCTCCTGTGATACATTTACCAGAACGACCTAGAAAATTATAGGAAGTACATTTTTGAAACCAATTAGAAGATGCTTGTTATTCAAATTAAAATACATTAGAAATAATGAAATCTTACTCTTTCTTTTGGTAGGGTAAAAGCTAGAAGACCTTGGACATGGCAGTCCTCGTCAGCAAACACCTTGGAGCAAAATTTTCGAACAAGTTCAATAAAAGAACTTTGTATAGAAGAATTTGTCGGAATGTTCTTCATGGCCGTGAGTGTACCTAGATAACAGGCCAAACAAGTATGTAGATACGTATTGAACAAGTAAACTTGAGCACTATATAGGCCTGAGAAAAAAATTGCGTCGATAAACAAATCCTATTCGGCGCCTATTGCGTGCAAACAAGCCAAGACTTATTCAAAACGCGAGTAAGAAAGAAGGCCAACTGAACAATGATGAATGGTTTACCTGCGCAATATATTTTAGGTGATTGAGACAGACCGCTCAGCAAACTAAAAGTTATATTGTTTATGGCGTCGAAAAGTAATGTTTGCCACAAAATATATCACAAACTTAAACTAAAAGAGAATTGGCACTGAGTAAAGCGTGTCAGTAGTGTTTGCTTTGTCACCGGCCAAAGGCCCGTTTGTGAAGGCGCCAACTTGAGCCGCCATCTTGAAAAGTTTGTAGCTCTGGTTTACCGTCAAAAAAGTCATTTTTCATCACGAATCAAACATAAAAAAGTTGCTTTGAACAAGTCTTACGAAAGTTTGTTATCTTAGTTAATCGCTAATTTAATTAACAGTAGCCGAGTAGGCTTAAGTTACGAGAAAATGGAACAAAAACACACCAACCCACTTACCTCATGCGGTTTACGGAACGAAACGGTTAAGATTGTAATGAAATGCCATCTATCGGTCAATTTTTTGGATAATAGATGGCGAGTAGTATTGAAAAGTTTTTAATATGGTGTACTTTAATATTTCAATAACTTTTATTAATCAAAAATCAAAGAATAATCATTTGATGTGGAATAAGAATACGAGTAGGCATACATGTTGGTATACAATTTCACAAGTATTTTCTTTATGTATATAGAATCATTTATATCCAGATTAAAATGAACACGCAAAAAAAATGCATAGTTGTAAAAGAACTGTAACTTTGGAAGGAATATTGCACAATTTGCATAAGTTAACAAGCGTTTCTAACTGATGGATTAACATACGTCTAAAAAGTAAATGAGAAAATGGCGAAAAGTCACGTGTAAGGTGCAGAATAACGTTTTATCACTACGACCAATTATGTACATTTGTTTATGAAACATAATATATCACAAAACGTTAAAAAAATAATAATTTGCAGCCATATTATACTAATTTTTTATCACTAAATTTTTTTTCAAATTTTTACTGTTTGCAAAGTTTACCAAGGCACTTAGGGTGACTATGCCAAAGTCAATTTGTAAAACATTTTTTTTTTAATGTGAATAAACCTTGAGATAATTTTAAAGATAATAAGACTAACGGCTAAGGAACTTGACCAGATCTATAATTCTCTTATTCCCCCTTTTCCATCCCTTCTTCAGAAATAATCAACCGTATCATATGTGATGTTGAGCCGAATCTGTCTCCGGATTCGAGTCAATTTGATCAGATGGAAGTACAGACTCTTCCTCATCATCCTCTTTCTTTATTTGCCCCGCTTCGAAATTATAATCAGTCATTGGTACCAGTTCATCCAAACTAGCCGGAACCACCTGATAGTGGAGATCCGGCATGTTATGCTTGTTTCTGCCATGAGCCTTTAATGAATGTCTTGCAACGCACTTGAAATCACAGAGCGGGCAGCTAAATGGATACTTCTTAGTATGTGTACAAAGATGGCGCTGCAGGTCCGTTTTCTGTCTGAACTTCTTCTCGCAGATTGTGCAATTGTAGGGTTTCACGCCGTCATGGATGAGCATGTGCCGTTTTAAGGCGGTATTAGTTGATAAAGTAACTCCACACTGAGGGCAAATGTTTGTCAAATCTCCCGAAAGTCCTTCCGATTCGCTGTCGTTCTCATTCTAAATATACGGTCAAGTGTTTGTTTTTGGTTTGTTTGCGTTTGGTTCAGTTTATGCGAATTAACATTGAAAGCGTTAGATTATTTAAGAGAAGGGTTAATAGTTTATAGTTTTTTGCATTTTTTTGAAGTTATTATTTCTAGCATCTACGTGAAGCGTTGTTGACATCTTTGTGCGTGGCGAGGTGGCGTTGTAAGCAGCCGGCTTGTCGGAAAGTTTTGCTGCATTTCGAACAATTGAATGGTTTGATTCCTTTATGTATAAGAGCGTGCCTCCTCAAAGTATTGTTATCAAAAAATACCCGACCGCATTCTGAACATCGCACGTTACGTCGTCGACGACTCAACTCATTCCTACATCCTGGACGCACCTGGTCGACAAAACGAACGCCTTAAAGACAACCAGCCCGCAGCGCGGGTACAGTACGACAAAAAGGCAGAAATAAAGAGGGGGGAATATATAATGAAAAGGAAACACTGCCAATCCAACAGGTGCAGTCGAGTAATCAGTTATGCATGAAATAAACACCGTATGGTTACGGACCATAAACACACTGCCATGCAAAATATGTAAGCAAAGAACAGCAAAAAAATAGAGGGAAACATCGACACCCCTAACCTTCGAACGCTACACCCTCTTCTCCCTTCTCAGTCATGTGGGCCGATTTGTCTGTGTAGGCCTGTAGATGTCGCCGATCTACTTTCCAAAATGTAATCAGAATAGCCCTCTTTAATTGCCAAACGTAATAAATTTGAAACCCACTCTTACAGCGTTAACCCTCCAGCCCATTCTAAGAGTCATAATAAATAACAAGTTACTTTCACAAATAGTTTTAATATACCGCGTACCCTGTCCCTTTCCCTTCCCTCGTAAACACCCCGCCCTTTTTGCAGTGACGCTGGCACTGGGCCAAGGCATGCAGCAGTGTGACTGATGTGTCGCGTACAAAGTTCGAAAGCAGCACGCTACGCGTGCTCTCTGTTCCACTTTTCCTATTCAGCATAGTTTAGGCATTGTATGTATATATATATATGTCTCTCTATACGCTTAGATGTATATAAATGTAGGCGATAGGAAAATGTGCGTATAAATATATACACAATAACTGTACATATTTATGTATTTAAATGCATGCATATATAACATGTACCTATTATGTATGCATATCGCTACATTGATGTGTTTGTATTTACGTAAAACACATATTTTGAATAAACATACAATACATGTACGCAAGTATGTATATGGATATATACCACAAACACGCGGAATGTTAAATGCGCAACTGCATATGCGAATGTTGTAAAAAACAACAAACAAAAACAACAACAAAGGTCGACAAAAAGTAATAATGAGAAAGGGAGAAGAAGAAGAATAGTGAGGAGTTATGGTTAGGAAACTAAAGATAAATAAATAAATAAACAAGAAAATAATAATAAAAACAATGTAGGTTTAAAGAATTTCGAGAGAACAAAAGAACAACGTAAAAACGTCCACAAGATGCGCAATAAATAAAAAAAACCGTAAAGGGAGAAGGCATGCTTTTGTAAAATGAGAAATGAATAGAACGCAACGCAGGCCACCGCACTTTCACCGACATGCTGGAATTTTTTTTCTCTTTTTCTTTTTGTTCGCTCTCTATATATAAAAGATAGAGAGTGATACAGATAAAGAAAAAGAGGGGCGGCAAAGAGATATTTATGATTCTTTGTATATAAGTTATATACAATAAGGAAGAAGGGTAAAAATTACACTTTATCTATATTAAACAGTAATTGCTTCATTTAAATATTTTTACCCTCTCTTTGCCCCCTATACTGACAAAATTGCTGAGGGACAGACGGCGTGGCAGGCAGGAATAAAAGAGAAATAAATACGGAAAAGAGAGATAGAGTCGTAGATAGATTGCAAGAGAGAAGAAAATCTCGCCCCGCCCTTCAGCAATCTTTACAGCTGCACACTGTCAAATAGGCCATTGCTGTATAAATTGGTGCAGGCTGCTGCTCTCTCTTGTAAAAAAAAACTGCCGCCACCGCCGCCACCAGCCGCCGCTATTGTTAAATTCTATAGCAATTTTAATGCAGCCGAGTCCAATTTGAAAAGCAAATCAAGCGGCTACTCTATATTGCATGCCGATGCATATAGCCACTAAAATCAGATAACGTGTTTAAACGTGAATCTTTGCAGTCATAGATAGATAATAAATACTTATCGCTCTCTTTTTATTTTTATGTCTAGATTAGTCACCTGCCTATTGTTTACTGCAAAAATTCGCGTCCAAAGCTATTATCGCTTCGGCAAAGGCCGAGGAACACACCTGCTTGTTGACAATCGGCTCGCATGACGAACTCCTCTTGATCTCTTCGCCGCCGTTCGATCGCGTAGTCTTTTTTTTGAAAACCAAAATAAATCGTATTAAAATATTAAAATTCCTGGAGTGTAACTCACCCTCCATACCGCTATTTTTTCAGTGAAAGGACGGTATGGAGGGGTCATGGAAAGGAATATCACCTGTTCAATTACGGTTTGGGCCAAAAGTTTCAATGGCGTTGTCTTATTCATATTCACGTCCGTTTCTTCATAGTCATCAGGTTTTGTCATATCCAAAGCTTCAGCTGATTTATCATCGTCAGGTTGCGGGGACTGGTTTCTTGGGGAAGAATCATCCTCTGAAAGACCCGGATATTGCCTCGAGGTGAACATAGGATGTTGGAGAGAAGGGCGGGCAGCATTCTGGTTTGTTTCAGACAAGTTTTCACAACGTTTAACAATGTCTCGGTTCTTTTTAGACCGACATTGCAAAAGAACAAAACAACAACAATGAGGGGAAAAACACAGATATACTAGATATCGCTATCTAGTATATCTTTATCCTAGAAAGAGAACATACCTGGAATGATCCATTAAGAAATGGAGGTAGGACCAAAGATTGTGGTAAAACCTGTGAATACCATCCTGTTAAAGCTTCATTAGGTGTCGCTAATTTCCTTAAAGCATCCAATTCAGGGGGGTCATAAGAATTCCTGATTCGGTGCTGGGGCGGCAGAGATACCCTAGAGCGTTTAACTACTGGTGAACCAGATCGTTCACTCTTTATCTTGTCCGATTTACGTTTCGACGACGTTTTAGCCGGTTCACTGAAAGAAAAAACAACCAAGTCTGTTTTAAGTTGGGGGGGCCGAGAATAAATAAACGTACTGTTCGAATTTCCTCTTAAGCGCCTCTGACACGTCGTCGACCGACGAAGACATATTGCGTTTGTCTTTTGCGACATTCTTGGTCAGTTGGTTTGAAACGTTTTCTTTAACGTTAATTAGCATAACTTCCTTCGATGACAAGGTTATTCCGACAAGCGCTTCAACCGTAAACATTCTTTCGTCAGGCAAAGCGCTTTTACAGGCCATCGTTAAATGATCCGTAACGAGTTTTCGTAGGTGCTGCTTGTTAATTTTCATCTTGGCCTTTTGTTCGATCTGTATACGTACAAATGTTCACTGTAGTCGCCTAGTACAAAAATACTAATAATTATTTCATTACCTCTTCGAGAACTTTGGAATCCATAATTTGAATGCGGGTTGGGAAACAGCCTGTAATGAACAGAATTGCAGTATAAATTGCAGTGTTACAGTTGAATAGAACGAGGATCGTGAACGCGGTATTCAACATGCGGCAGCTGCAAGGCACGGTGGAAACAGCTGCAATACTTTTATAAGCAGCTGTTGATTTGAATAATGATATTAATGGGACGTCTGTAATACTTTCGGGAGAAATTTTTTAAAGAACGCGACCGTTGGGCGGGAGCTGCACAATGGCGCACTATACCTGCTGCTGTCGCAGCGCAATACTGCAAAACAAACGACGATTATTTACTATTTCGTACAGCAAAAAGTTGCTATTCACACTATAAACGTTGAGTGATTAGATAATCGCTTACCAAAACTGCAAAAATCGGCTAGTCAAAGCGCGAAAACGACAGAAAACGACGATAACGTAAAGATGTTCGGTTCGAACTGCAAAGAGCTGTAGCGGGGTGCGTATTCGATTCGTGTCGCGCCGAATTTAAACTGCAATATTGTAAAGGGGGAAAAAACTTGGCGCGCTCACTACGAAATCGAGTACACAACAAGTTCGTTTTTTACGAGAAATATTTGGCACGCGGGACCGTAAGTAGATTTGATTTTTAATTATCTGAGACGCAGTAATATTTTTACTAATAAGAATCGGTTGATTACTTAGTAATCAAGTAAAAGCATTAAATTATTTTACTAGATTTTTTCTAAAAATTGAAATATGCAAGATTATATCAATAGGGGCAATTCTCGAATCGAATAGCGCAGCTGTGTAATTATTTTTTTTATTTACGAATAAACCTTTTTTCAGTTATTAAATAACTTGAATAGAAAAATGGGTGATAGAGAGCTTATAATCCGTGAAACGATTAATCAAAAATTGGAAGAAACTGGTGAAAAGGAAAAACTAAAGAGATTACTTCGCATGAGGTTGGTATTTTGTATTGTTGTTTCAAAACAATCGAGCGATTTTATAATAATTGTTAAAAATATATCTAGGCTTGACGAATGTGGCTGGAGAGAGAAGGTACGAGCTTATTGTAAACAAGTTATTAGAGAACGTGGAATAGAAACGGTATCAGTGGATGATTTGGTCGCAGAGGTGACGCCGAAAGGTCGTGCACTTGTTCCGGATACCGTAAAGAAAGAACTACTACACAAGATTCGACAATTTCTCACTGAGCAAGCTAACGTCTGATTCAGTATCATGAACTGATTGACCCTTTAAAACCTATGCATAATTTTCTACTAAATGTTTTTTTAAACTACTTATACGTCTTGTACTTGCATGTATGTAGTTTTAGAAGTTTACAATTCCCCTGATAGATTTATGTATTAAAAGTAGGTCGAGTTATTGAACGTTTAGATAGGAGTGTTCAATCAATATTCAAACTGCAAAGCACTTATCTGTCTGTTGTATGTATGCTGTTCAGATAAGATTATTGATTCATTTTAAATTGAACTAGACTTTTTATATCAAAATTTGCCGATTATGCTTGGAAAAAAGGTAAACAATTTTGTGATTTGTACACTTGAAAATAAAAGAGACTATTAACATCTTTCAAATACTTTATATAAATCTGGTAGGCTTGCCAATTTGATAAGATGATTTGCCATACTGTTTGTTGGTAGTAATGTGTTTCTGAAATTTGGAAAAAGAGTATATTCAGTCATCCACCTCCAATCTTTTTCTTGATGTTGATCTAAGTGCTCATAGCCATTACCCATTGCATAAAAGTCACTAGTTTCCTTGCATACTCCTTCAAAACACTCCTTCTCTGTCGTCCAGTCAACGTCTGACGCCAATCTCAAAATATACACAGGCAGACCTTGGAGTGGTGGTATATAGTTCTCCAATAAATAAGGCAGTGATATTATATTTCCTTCTTTATCGATTTCCAATGAGAAATAATCAAAAAGTAATTCAGCATGAGATCGAAGAACAATATCGATCTGTTGCGCCAATTCGACTTTAGGTCCATTTTCTATAGTCCAGCCTATCTCTGGAAGGTCTAAAGCTATTTTAGCTAATTCTATTATATTAGCAGGCTCCTCTAAAGAAATAGAGCCGTAATTGCCAAAGTCATAAAGCATAATCTGATAAAATAGCTCTCGACTTAATTCATAAACGTCCACCAAATAAAGTTCTTGCGCGTGCTGCATTAAAGAAAATTTTCTCTCCACACAACCAACAAATTTATGTTCCTTGAATATCTCTCTCAAATTGATGTTCAAGTCACTTTCAACTTCTGCACGAAGGCTCAAAACACTCTTGAGATGCACTTTTCGTTCTTTCTTCGTACCATTACATGTTTGATCCGAGGTTATAATATCTGACGACTGTGACGAGATGAAAGATTCTAATTTTCTTTCTTTACTATCAGTTCGCACTAAATTATGATCATATATTTTTTCTACTTCCTTTGGTTTTTCTTCTTCTTTTTGGCTTACGCCAAACGAAGAGGGGAGAATAGCTTGCGTTAGAAAAGTCCTACTTTTATTTGAATCGAGAAGAACGTTTTCTAAAACTCTTTGCACAGATTCAATTATGGCTTCTTCATGTAGAAAATGAACTTCGTGCTTTGTTGGATGAACATTAACATCAACATTTTGAGGTATAATTTCCAAACTTAGATACATGAACGGGTGGCTTCCTTTAGGGAGATAATTGGCGTAAACGCTTTCCAATGCTTTCTTCAAGGCTGATGACTCGACAAGACGATGATTGATGAAGAGTAAAAGTATACACTTTTTGGCGTTATAGTTGGCATTCGAAACATGACCTTGTACCTTAAATTTGTACTGTTCGTCGTGATGTTCTACCTTTATCAGTTCTCTACTAACTTCTCCTCCATAAATATTCTGAATATTATCGACTGTACTACCTGATTGAGTGCGAATAGCAGCATTTTCTCCATGTTTTTTCAATGTAAAAGTAGTTTTAGAATTGTGAATAGCATATTTGCTGATCACATCGTATAATTTATTATACTCTTCTGTGGCACTTTTTATAGCTTTCCTCCTTGTAGGGACATTGTAGAATAAATCTTCAACAGTTATTTGTGTGCCTTGGGTACCTGCACATGGTTTAACAGGCTCCTTTAATTTGCCGTCAGAATAAGAACCCTTGAAGGCGCATTGAGAATTAGCAGTTTTACTTGTAATTGTGATATGTGCTACGTGACTTATGCTTGCTAAAGCTTCCCCTCTAAAGCCATAAGTGGAAATTGATGACAAATCGTCGAACGTGGTTAATTTACTTGTAGCAAATCGTTCGCAGACAGCGTCCATGTCGCATTTATGAATGCCTTTCCCGTTATCTTGAATCTGAATCAACTTTAGGCCTCCCTGTTTTACGACCACTAATATATTAGTAGCTTTGGCGTCTAGGCAATTTTCTATCATTTCCTTAACAGCATTCCAGGGCCCTGTCAATACGGGAAAGTGAGCGTTTATTCTCTAAAAATGGGTTGGGCGTACCTTGTATTACTTCGCCGGCGGCTATACGGTTTATAACTGCTTCATCCAGCTTTTTGATGAGCCGCGATGTTGTTGCCATTTTAAAGAACTGCGCGATTTTTTAAAAAGTTTTAATTTGCACATCACATTTAATCAATAGTTACATAAGTGATATGTTATGGTGGTATACCTTTCATTAGAAGAGTGCAAAATTCAAATTTTAAGTAAGAAATGACTAGATTTTGAAAATTATTTAACTTAGTGAAAGCCCGGTATGTTCTGCAATTTCCGCTTCCGTTGTTAGTATTGTATACTATCCTGAACAACTCTTCCACTCCAATATTTTAATTTTTCTCCCTCAGATAGAATAATTCATATTTTCAAACATGGCTCAGTACAAAGGAGCAGCTCAGGAGGCTCAACGTGCTAAAAATATCCTGAAAAGGCGTCAGAGAGAAGTTGAAGAATTAGAATTACGAAAAAAGAAAATTGAAGAAGAAAACAATGTAGGGAATATTATAGATAAATTTGCTTCTCACTATGATGCTATCGAACAAAGACTAAAAACAAATACTGTCGGGCTAGTAACCCTTGATGAGATGCGTAAGAAGCAAGAATGTGCAGTTAAAGAACGTGAAGCTCAATTAGCTCAGGCTGCCGCTGATGCCAGATTAGCTGAAGAAAAAGCGGAAGAAGAAAAAGCAATCAAAAAAAGAAAGAGGGAGGAGAATAAAACAAAGCTTTCATTCGACATTTATGAGGATGATGATTACGGAGAAGACGACGAAATAGAGGAGCCGGAGGAGAAATTTGTTGAAGACAACACTGATAAAGAAATCGATCCAAAGAAAAAGAGATTTGGAAAAGACCCTACCGTTGATACAAGTTTTCTGCCTGATCGAGATAGAGAAGAAGAGGAAAATAGACTACGAGCTAAACTTAGAGAGGAATGGGAAGAAAAACAACAAACAATTAAGAATGAACTTTTAAACATCACTTATTCTTATTGGGATGGCTCGGGACATCGAAGAGAAATAACCGTCAAGAAAGGAATAACGATCCATCATTTCCTACAAAAATGCCTTGAAGTTTTAAGGTTGGAATTCAATGAATTAAAAGCAGCCTCTGTCGACCAATTGATGTATATAAAGGAAGATACTATTATACCTCAACATTATACTTTTTATGACTTAATAGTGACGAAAGCTAGAGGAAAGTCTGGTCCACTATTTTGCTTTGATGTTCACGATGATGTTCGTCTGGTACATGATGCTAAGGTGGAGAAAGATGAATCACACGCTGGTAAAGTTTGCCTACGATCTTGGTATGAGAGAAATAAGCATATTTTCCCGGCAAGTAGATGGGAACCTTATGACCCCGAGAAAAAAGTGGAAAAGTACACGATATCCGACAAACTTCAATAAAAATAGAAATCCATTTGTAAATTTATAAATATACATATATGTGTTCAGTTAATAAACATTTACTTTCATATAGTGTTGTAATTGAATGAATTTTGGATGACCTCCACCTCCGCTAATGAATGGATGTCTCATATTATACTCTAATTTGTAGCATTTTATCTCTATTGAACTACGATGAGAAGCGATTTAAAAGGGCCTAATGAAAGTTCATATAAAGAAAGAAAAAGTTCAGCAAATTATCCAAATCTAAAAATATTAATCTTTTCTCTAGTTTAAGCGAAAGATTTGCTATGACGTTCAAGAATTTTTTGCGATAACTCGTGTTAGAGCGATAAAGAGGCCTAAGTATTTTTTCAATTGTAAGTGAAAACAGTTCGATTCGAGAAAATTTTTACAATACTTCTAATCTTCGCAATCGAATAGGCTAAATTGCAGCGTTAAACTGTGCATTCGTACCAAAAACAGTGTACTAAACGCGTATGCAAATCTGGAATCGATTCACTGAGCGATATACAGCCTGCGAGCAACTTTGCGAAAGTTTAAAAGCGTGCGTTTTTCTCGATATTGCTGGTAAGATTAAGATATTTAGTAATCGATAATAGTCGACAGACTATCGGGGGATCATTTAGCGTTTATAACGTAAAAAATATATATCGATAAGAGGTCGGAATTGACTGACAAACAGGGCGGCGTCACTTGACGCTCTCCTAGATTTTGGCGCACAGCTGCGATAGCGTCGATTCGGTATACGTGGCGTCATTCGTTTCTGCACACGTGTTGCGCTAAGAAGGTTTGTAAAGAATTTAGACGGCGCCATATTGACGCTGATTGATGACAGCATTGGCCAATTTGGCCTTAGTGGTACCGTATAGCTGGCCTGTCGCGCACCATTCGTTCAAAGTTCATTCCTGCATAGCGTCATCAAATATCTCGGTTTGTATGGAACGTTTTTCTCTTTGTGTTTGTCGCTCTGTTGTTTGTCAAAGCGTTTGGATGAAAACGAAGCTTGTCCGAACTCGCCTCGCCCATTTTTGGCTAAGTCCCGACCTCGTTTCGCAGCGACGCCTGTGCGTCTGCGCTGTTTTTCATCGATTTTTCTTTCTGCCAAAAAAAGCCGCCGTCGCTCTTTTTTCTCTTTTATTGCGTACTTTATCAAGCCTAACCGAACGCCTTAAAACTCTATTCTGTTATGTAACGAGGTTAGCCGATTCGTTCGTAAGTAAACGCACTAGATATTTTTTACTATTTTAGATTAATTACGAATAACCGACGTCATGTTGACACTGACGATCTGATTACGTAACATGGAAGATTGATAAATATACGTGAGGGTTCTCGACGCTTCTCGATTTAATTAGGCGGCGAAGAAAGTTCTTTTCCTCGTATATGCTTTATTTTGTTTAGTTCCTGTTTAGACGTTTTCTCTCTTTCTCTCTCTCTCTCTCTCTCTCTCTCTCTGCCAACCGTCGGCCATTATTTATAAAAGAACGTAGAGTGTATAGAAAAAAAGAAAAAAAAACCGAGTGTACTAAGTCTATTCCGCCGCCGGATGTGGCCTAAACGCTGCTATTTGACTATTTGCTAGGCGTTTGCGTCATTAATGACAGGATTCATAATTAGCTGTACGCGTTCGAACGCGTGAATATGTTGTAATTATAGGCCTATCATCTATTGTTCTATGACGGGAAAGAGTTTCGTTTTTCTTTGTAGGCGTATACGTATTTTCCGTCTATCTCGCAGGGAGATAGATATAAAGAGTGAAGGTGGAAAACCCCCTTCTTAGTTTGGATACGCCACCTGCAAACCGTGTGCAGGCAGCCCCGGCCGGCGTCTTAAAAAAGCTCCCAAACACATCAAAAAAGTTTGCTCGACCCGCTCCGCTAACCGTCTAGAGATAAGAGGTAGATAACGCTTTAATGCCTTCTCGCCGGTTACGGGCGGTGCGTGTTCTTTTCTATGCCGAGCCGATTTTGAAGCGGCTAGGCCTAAAGACCCTGTGACTCGGTAGTGAATAGAAACGTTTGAATAGAAAAGCGTTCATGAGTAAAGAACGGCGGCGGTATTATTTGAAAGGCGCTTCTGGAATGTTGTTAGCTGTCGGCCGGCCCCCGCATATAGAGGACGCCTTGTTTTCGGATTTTGTTTTTCTTTTATTGCCCTATAGGTGGCGTTCTTGTTTCAGGTAACGCTCCGGGTAGAAAATACCATTACACAGACGAAAACGTACCCACTCTGCAAGGATGAGTACCACCCTAGCTAAGGAGAGACTCAGGGATTTATTTAGCGAGACGCTTCTAACGCTCTGTCGCTCTAATATGATTACGGATATGTTCCCCAATTTTAGGGTTGAAGCTCTCATAGGCCTTACTTTGCATACAACAAATAAGGAAGACGACGTCATATTGATCAATATTAACCAGGATATTAAGAGCGGAAAGGCTAAGCATAAACAAACGCCGACCCGCAGTAAAGGGCCCTATTCTCTGTTAAGCGGAATGCCGGCTGACTACTCTTATATGCATCCTGTGACGGATGCGGGCGTTCCTGAAGGATTTTACACACAGAACGTGAGCGTCACTGATCCATCGGGTGGTGAACGAATAGTGAAAGTTGAGCAATGTGAACCTTGCGATTTATCGACGCCGCCCCGTGGCACGCCCAAATCTAATAAAGAAAAGAAGTCAATTGACAAAGTTGTAGAAGAGTTAAGTGAAAAGAAAGAAGGAAATGATAAAAGTGAGGAAGCAACGCCCACGAAGAACGATTGTTCATCTGATACTAGTTCTGAAAAACCTACACCGGCTAAGGCTAGAAGCAGCAAAAGAAAGGCCATGCCAATGAAAAATATGAAGACTGACCAGGAACAAACACAAGAAGAATCTTCGACAAATGTTTATGCCGCGTTTAATTCGACTCCAGTTTTCCCTGGACACGACTTTAACGACAATACAATTGACAAGCTTAACGGTCCAGGTAAGTCGTCTGTGGAATGCGTTTGAAATGCAATACATATATTTTTCTTTTTTTATCTCTTTCTCTGGCAGCGGGGCGACCGATGACGCCTACTCATCAAGAGCCGATGGAGCACGACGTTGAATATTCACCAGAAAACATGCAATTTTTAGCAACCTATGGAACTGGAAATCAACAAGTGTATCCGAACTCTGTAAGTAATTCGTTTTTCCTGTTTTTTCCGTAATGTTTCTTTCGGTTATAAATAAATATAGGTATATATATAGATTATACATATATGTATACATTATGATTTTTTTTTCTTATTATAGGAGCTGCTAAACTCTGACAGTTCACCAGAAGATATAGAGAGATTTCGTAAAATGTCCCCAGGAAAAGTAAGTATAGTCAGTTTAGACACTAAGCTAAAAACAACTCATCTCCTAAAAAGCTGGTATAGAAACTTTAAAAAAAATAACTTTTTTGCATTACAAGGCTTTATCGCTTAACTGGTATTAGCAAAAGGTTGAGGTTCTTACTAACTAAGCTAACTCTTAATATTTTACCCCGTTTCAAAGAATGCTGAGGAAGAGTGACACAGGTTTGGGCTTTTGTGATGCATGCGCCGTGTGTGTGTGTGTGTAATTTTTTACGTTCCTTTAGCCCTCGGGCGTCACGTGTCTTTTTCCGCGTCGGATTGTTGCGATTTTTTAGATGTAGCATGTTGTGCTTCCCTGCTCTTTTCAAACATTCACGTTATTCCTTTATTGTCAAATATTTTTCACATATATTTGTTACCATATTAAAAATGTTTTAGATGATGTGCCCTTAGGATTTCAAGAATCTTTATTAAATTTTTCTATAACATTACCTAAAATTACGCCCATACAGACCAAGCTCGCACAAAGGCAGCTGAGAATGTATGCATGTAAACAGTGCAATAAGACGTTTAATCATTCGAGTCACCTTAAGGATCACATTCGAATACATACAGGTAAAGCCACCATTGATTTTCGATAGAAGACTTTTATAAGCCATTTTTAATCGACGTAGGTGAAAAACCGTTTGCCTGCCAAGTATGCAGAAAAGGATTTCGACAAAAGCAGCACCTGAAAAAGCATTTGCAAGTTCATAAAGAAGAAAATGCAGCAAACCAGACCGAGAATCCTCCGACTTCAATCGATACAAATTCGGGTGCTATTGAAAATATGGCTTTTCCGGCCCCAGAATTAGTTGATGCAACTATAACCTAAAATGATTGGATTTAAATATCCTGTTTTTTTTCCATGGGACGCTCTCCGACGTGCCAACTTTCTATTAATTACTTTCGAGAAACGCTTGCTCTATGTAAAAGTTTTTAATTAAAGTAGTGGAATTCTTATTGAAAAAAAAAGCGAGCGTTTAAGAAAATTTTGCTAAAATATGCCTTATATTGTTTCGACTCAAAAATTGATCGTTAATGATCATTTTGTTAGAGAGGAAAATTGTACATAAAAATATTTTGTTTCTGTACGAAGTATAGCAGCGTCACAGCGTCTTTTACAAATAGTCACATATTTACGTAAGTGTTGTAAATTGACTAGCGTTTTTTTGGACAGATTAATGAATGAATTGTTAAAATCTTGCATATTTTCTAGTCAGTAGAAAGACAAATTTCTTTGTGTACGTAATATGTGCGAAGCGTTTTGGTTGTTTCACATCTTTTTTTTCATCCTCCAATACTCACGCTGAATTATTAAATGTGTAAAATGTAGTATAGTTCGTTTTTAGCTTCTGCCAAAGTATCGTTAAATTCGATTGTTGCTTTTTATCTGAAAATGATTTTTTCTTACGCTCTACCAATACACTTTAACGTTTATATAATCTACTAGATGGCGTCATTATCAATTTAATGGTTTATATGATGGATCAGTAATTAGACTGGCCTATACTTTGCCAAATAATTACAATTCATTTAATGAACACACAATTATGCAATTATTACGTCCCTGTTTTTGAGTTGGGAATGGGAAGGCAGGCGGAAAATTCCTAAAGATTATTCATGCGTTTCTTGTTACATATGCATGAAGTGCGGTCACGTGAGCAGTTTGTTTATGAATAGAGTATAAAAGCGACAGCTGAGCCATAACTGCTGGAACCGTCCGGGCGTTCGTTTGTGTAGGCCAAGAGTAATTAGAAGGTAAATTTTATTAATTTATGGGATTGTTTATCAAATAATAATACATTTTCTTATAGGACAAGTAATCGGTGAAGTAGAGGGGTGCTGAGTGGTTTTGGTTACTTATGGCTAACTCGAATGATTCGACCCTGACAAAGGTCGATAGTAACCAGTACATTAAACATTCCGATTACGACTCCGGGGTCTCGAGTGTTGCCGAGCTCAGCGAATCGTTAAGGGACGGAGAAGAGCCTAGCAAAGTTAATTTTGGAATATGTGATAGTGGTGCTGAATCAGACAAAGAGGAAGTTGAATTTAAAAGACCCAGTGTACTCATACCAGATCTGAAGTGGAAGAAAAAGTTATCAGAAAATGCCCAAATATCGTGCATTCAGGCAGAAAAAACAGATTTAATCATTGTTTATCAAACTCCGGAAAAGCATTGCGTATCAGTGGTAAACTTTGATGGAGAGTCTCGAAAAACATTGTATACGGGGAAGTCTTTGAGTTGTGTTCGATTGAAAAGTGGCAACTTGTACATAAGTGAAGACGATGATAGTGGTCTTATGACCTATTCCTTGAAAAAATGGAAGAAAACAGGTAATTTTAGTCAACCATGGGGTTTGACGTCAACAATCAATGATAATTTAATTGTTTGTGACGCTGACGCCGGTAAAGTGTTCATTTGTTCAGAGAAAAAACCTTGGCATATTAAAAAGACAATAACGAATAAAAATTTCAAATCACCTTGGTTTGCTTATGGTTTAAAGAACGGAGGATTTGTCATAACTGACAGATGGGCGCATAAATTGTTTATATATGATTCGAATGGAAATTTCCAGAATGAATTTGGCTGCTGGGGTAGGTTTAAGGGAGAGCTTCGTTATCCTGCTGGAATTTGTGAAGACAAAGACGGCTACATTTTAGTAGCTGATTATGGTAACAACCGAATAATAAAGATAGATGGAAAGGGACGATATATAGGGCTGCTGTTAGATAAAAAGGATAATATTGTTCAGCCATATTCTATAGCTATAAAGGACAATGAACTTTATGTTGGACAAGGCAACGGTAGTCTGAAATGCTTTACGTATTATCATAATTCTGACTATCCTGATTTGTGATAAGCCTAACCCTTTTGACGTAACAAAAAATGACACCCACCAAATGATACAATTCATATGGATACGACGTATCAGTCTTTTCACGAAACTTATCAACGATATAACAACTGATTTATGACAACTTTTATTTTTATAGTTATTATTATTATTATTATTATTAACATCTGTATCATTTTTTTTTATTATTGTCATTCGTTAGAAACTTTACTCAAAGCAATGAAGGTTTTTTTTAAATACAAGTTATACCATAACGCTATGGTTTCTAATGCTGGTGATGACGTCAATCCCTTAGGCCTAACTAGTGCACTAACGCAACGTTTTATGCAAGAAAAACAACGGACCGTGTTTAGCGACACACTTTTTCGTTGTTTATCGCCTAACATCGAGAATGAGTTCATTACGAGTTCAACTGCTGCGTATTAACAACAACAACAAAAATCCTTTTGAATCGTAAACAAAATTTATGGAAAATTTCAAAAACACACTCGTAACAAAGCTCAACATCTATTTTAAGTAAAATATTTTGATATCTATGACAAGTTCGTTGCCAATTATATCTCTGATAACTGGATTCATATTCTTCCTGAAAGGTCATAAAAAATGAGGCTATCCCAATAATTCGATGGACTAAAAATATACAACGTTCTATATATATGCATAGGAATTATACAACATGTGTATACTGTAAATATTTTCTGTTAATTTCTTCAATTTCAAACTTCTTTATATAGTCTCAGAACTTTATCGTTAAGCTATAACATGTTATACATTTGCTACTTGTAAAGTTTTTCTATTAGAGCTATAGTAATTCGTAAATAAAACCGCCGAAATTTTTTTTTGTTCAACTTATTCATTTCTAACGTTTTCAACATTATACAGCCTATACAATTTGTAGTAAAAATATTCTTTACGACAAAAGAGATATGTGATAGAATAGCGAAAAATATTATTTCTATGGTCACATCCTAGGCCTACCTATTCTTTTTAGTATAAAAATACAAAAACAAGGTTGAGGTATCAGCTGGATATTTGATTATAAATAGTTATTTTTCAAATACCACTCCATGTTAAAATGGTCCGAATAAAGTTCGAAAAAATCGATCGAGAGCAATTGGCCCACTTTCTTTCGCATTGATCACGAGTGATCTTTGCGCGAGGTCGTGCATAAACCTATAAAAATTTCCATTACCATTTGATATCTTTCTAAGGACATCGTGTGTTAGTTAATTCTATTCACATTTCTTCAACTCAAAAAAAAAAAAATATATAATAATAGTATTGATAGTTCATTTCTTAGGGTTAGAAACGACAAATATTTTTCCTAAATCTTCTTAAATCAAGAGAAGAGACGGTTTTTCGATTGCTTTCGAAAAGGCATCTAACCATTGGGCTCCAATAGCTCCATCGACAACTCTATGGTCACAGCTTAACGTGACTTGCATCTGTTGAACGGTTTTGTATCCTTTGTCATTATCTGCGGGTACAACTGCTTTCACTCCCGACCCAACAGCTAATATACAACTTTGAGGGGGGTTTATAATAGCGGAGAAGTTGGTAATTCCAAACATACCCAAATTTGAGACTGTTATAGTTCCACCTTGATATTCTTCCGGTACCAGCTTGTTTTCTTTCGCCTTATTTGCTAATTCTCGAACGTTATTTGCAATATCAGCCACTGATTTTGTACAAGCAGCAAATACTATAGGGGTTATCAGTCCTTCTGGCGTTGCGACTGCAACGCTTACGTCAACTCGATTATGACGCCTTATAAAGGTATCATGCCAAGCAGAATTAGCTTCGGGAACTTGTTTACAAGCAAAAGCTACAGCCTTAATAATCATATCATTGAGCGAGACTTTATTTCCACTCGATTCTAAATGAGAATTAATATCCTTTCGAGCTTGCATTATGGCATCCAAGGTTATTGTTCTTGATAAATAATAATGGGGTATGGTAGTTTTGCTCTGGATAAGTCGTTTCGCGATGGTTTTTCTCATATTCGACAGAGGAATATCAATCGAATCAACGCCAGGTGCAGCCGAAATTGTGTGAGGATAAGCAGAAGGGCTGGATGGTTGATAATTAATAATATCTTGTGCAATAATTCTACCTGCTGGACCAGTTCCTTGTACAGTCTAATAAATAAAAGTTGACAAGTGAATCAAGAAAGTCAGGAAAGTGTTATAAAGCTTACCCTTAAATCAATTGACTTTTCAGCTGCCAGTTTCTTGGCATATGGCGAGACGAAAATCCGTTCTCCTGTTCTGGGTGTTGGGGAAATACTAGCTTGTGTTTTTGGGGGAGCATATTTTTGGGCCTGCTCTTGAAATGATGATACGGGTGGAGAAGAAGTTTGGGATACAGTGAAAGGTTTAGATGATTGCGGTTGTTTCTTTGATTTGCTTGGCGTTGTATAGTCCTTGAAGGCATCGATGTCATCCTTATTTTCAACAATGATACAAAGTATCTGATAAAAAAAGTTATCATAGTTAAGAATAGAATGGTAGATAATAAAAATATTTTTACTAACTTCTCCTAATTTTACATCTTTTGTACCAGATTCAATTAGGATTTTAGCTAGATAGCCTTCATGTGGAGTTTCAAATTCCATTGTTGCTTTATCTGTTTCTATTTGAGCTAGAACATCTCCCTCTGACAATTCATCTCCAACCTCTTTTGACCAACTGGTCAATGTTCCAGTTTCCATTGTGGGAGACAGAGCCGGTAATTCAACTAATTAATAAAACAATTGGTAATAATGAAGCGTACTATCCTAAAAATCAAACCGAACCTTTCATATGGTTGGGGTAGTTAGCCGACGTTGCAGAAGTTTCTGAATTTTCAGCTGAAGTATCAGCAGTGGTAGCATCAGGGGCCTGAGAGTCACCTTCAAGATCCTCTGCAGTATAATTTTTAAAAGCTTCCAAGCTACTCTCGTCGGGAACGATAATACATAATAGCTTTAATATTGGAATAATAATATCATTTTGGTTTATTGAGTGAATTTCAACAAAAAACACTTACTTTTCCAACTGGAACATCTCTGACTCCGCTAGGTATAAAAATCTTAGCAAGATAGCCTTCCTCTGGTGTTTCTAATCCCATTGTAGCCTTGTCTGTTTCGATTTCAGTAAGCAAATCCCCTTCTGATATTGAATCTCCTTCCTTCTTGGACCAAGAAACAATGGATCCCATCTCCATAGTTGGAGATAAGGCTGGAAGATTAACCTTAAAATGGGGTGGCAAGGTATCATCTGCAAAATAAATTAGGTATGAATATGTAAAATTTCTGTTTGTTGACTAGAAATGGTTTTAAAAAAGCTTCGATGGATATATTGAAGCAAGGTTGAATCCTTACTTGAATAGAGACGTTTTTGAATTCTTTCAAAGCATGTTTGCTCGTATGTTTTCTTCGGAGCAAGATTGATTCTTTTAAAGCATATGTAATAAAAATCTTATTAGATAACAGAGAAAAATTTTGATTAAAATAAATTCTCGACCTTGACAGATACTTACATTTTAGAATCTACTGCTGCAACTACAATTGATGATCGGGCAAAATGACTTCTACCCCTTATTAAATATCGTGACTTCCTTGTTGAATTAATTAGGGGACGAATTATGTTATTAGAACGGTGCATTTTACCGCTATATTATCATTTATGTCCGTAGACTTCTCGAACCAGATTTTTGACAAAAGTTTTTCGTAAATAATTTCAATCATTAATTTTGCAATTCTTCATTTCATTCTTTCAATTTAATTTGTCAATAATATTTAAATAGGAATTTTCAACACCTACGAAAATAAATTAAAATCACGCATGCGCAGTAGCTCAATAACAAACATTTCTGGTGTTAATTCTAGCGATTTTTCTTCAAAATGCCGTTGTTTGGTTCAAAATCCCTATTTGACGAAGATGTCGGTATGTATAAATTTATGATTATTGTAATATGCAATTTTTTTGACAAAATATCACAACAATGGCTAAATTCAAAAGCATATTGACATCCGTCAGTGTATATTCATTCCACGTAGTAATAGTAAATGCACTCTGTACATCTTATTTATAATTAAAGACGACTATTATTATTCGAAAGAAGTTAGTCATAAAAAAATAAAGGATAATTACTCATCTACAAATGATAAGAAATTACCTTGCTGCCATGAGCAATTGAGTCATCGGCAGAACGGGTGTCATTGTGAAACTAAAATTCAATCAGGAAACATGGCTCCTGGACATATCATTGAAAATTCTGATAATTTAAATTATTTTATAGAAAAAGCGACAAGTGAGAAGAATACAACAGAAGATTTGGCTCTTATTATGGACATAGTTGATAAAGTAAAAGCCACATCCAATGGGTAAGCTCAGTGGTACCAGTGTTTTTTCTTTTTAATTTTTTGTCATGTGATGCCTTAACAGACCAGCTGAGTGTTTGAAATCTATTGTCAAAAGACTAACAAATAAACATCCACATGTAGCAATGCAAGCTCTAACGGTTTGTAAATAGAAAATACTGTAATTTTTGTCATAATTAAATTATTCTTCAAATCAGTTATTGGATTATTGTGTAAACAACTGCGGGCATAAATTTCACTTGGAAATAGCGTCAAGAGACTTCGAGAATGACTGTCGTAACTTAGTTAGTGGGAGCAAGGTATAAACTTCAGTTAAAGATACACACAAATTAAGATTAAGAAATTATACTCTGCTTTCTTAAATATTCAATATACTGAATATTTTCTCTTCAACATCCCTTTAATTTTCTAGAAGAAATCTAATAATGTTACCAGTTTTTAATTATTAAGAGTACTCTAAAAATTAATGTAAATAATACAACAGACTCATCGAAAAGTTGCTCAGAAATTAAGATTTTTGATTAAAAAGTGGAGCGAAAACGAATTTAAAAATAATTCGTCTTTAAGGTAACTTTCTATAAATAGAATAACACTCGAAATAAAAGCTATTTCAATTTTTTTTATTCTATCATAGTTTAATTCCATCTTTGTACGAGAGTCTAAAGAACGACGGACAGGATTTTCATGACCCCGACGTAAGTAAAAAGATATTATTTTAGTTTATTAAGCTTAACATGTCATGACTATAGGAGAAACCTCAATCTACAAAAGAAAGGCAAAGCGACTTACAAAAGAAGGAAATGGAAGACTTGAGGAAAGGTAATCACAACTTTAATAAGACAATTAGTTAAAAAAAATAATTAAGCATGAATTAACTATTTTAGCTATGGAAGAATCAATGAAAATTGAAAATCAAAAGAAAAATCAAACGAGTGCTCCAATTTCCTCGTTATATCCTTCTTTTAATACACCTGGTGCACCAAGTATGTATTATTGACTTTATTTCTCTGAAATAATGGACCTATGTTTAACTGTTGAATATTTTTAGCTGCAACTGCTCCTGCTCCTACTACAGCAGCAGCAGCAGCAGCTGGCGAGGATCGCAAAGTTCGAGCGGTATACGATTTCGAAGCGGCAGAGGACAACGAGTTAACTTTCAAGGCTGGCGAATTGGTAATTTTATTGGACGATTCGGATGCCCATTGGTGGAAGGGATCAAATCACAGAGGCGAAGGACTTTTTCCGGCAAATTTTGTATCCAAAGATATAAGTGAACTGGTCTCTGAATCTGGTTCGGGAAATACAAAAAAATCTGTGTCGTTTAATGGTGAAGTTGAAGTTAAGCAATTCGAAACGGAAGGTCAAACAGCTGATTCAAAGGTAATTGAAACCTATGGACACCAAAAATTTGTAAAATTCTTTTTTTGTTTAGACAATTGAACAACCCACTCAAATTGATGAAGGAACAATTGATAGAGCTTTATCGCTTTTACACGATGCTGACGCAGGCCCTGACGGTGTTGATACAGATGAACTAACTGAAACTGAAGAAAAGAGCAAGATGATGACTCCCCTAATAGATAACGAATTAGAAGCTGTTGATAGACGATACAATGCTCTTTGTGAACTTAATTCAACGGTTACAGCTGCTATGCAATTGTACCATCATTTAATGCGAACGGCTCCTAGGCCTGGAGCTTTCGGTGGAAATGTTCCTACTCAACAATCGCAGCCACCAAATCAAGTTGCACATGCTGTTCAAAATGTTCCTGCAGGTCCCAATAGTGCATATTTTCCTCCACCTCAACAGCCGCAACACCAAAATATGGAACAACAACAACCGCAGTCATTGAACTATGTTCCTCAAGCATCAATGCCACCAGGGGGTGGTCAGTCGAATAAGTAATTAAATTGTATTATTAATATTTGTAATATGTCAAGCTTAGTCAAACTTTCAGTGATTCATAATACTGGAAAGTATGCAATTTAGATAATCAATGGGCATTGTTTTATTATTGTTATTTTTTGTTATTGCGTAATTTTCACTGTAAGTATTATTAATATAAATAATTTGTTGCAGCTTTTCACCTCAACACCAATATTCGTCCATGCAAACGCCGGCAAACTTAGAACCCCAACATTCGATGCCGCCCGGAGCTTTTGTCCAGAATCCTGTGGCATCACAGCCACTTCTCTAAATGACTATTTATACTCAATTATAAAAAAAACTTGTGTAAAACTTTGATTTATAAAATTATATTTTGAATTATAACCGCAATAAATAGGAGCTTTTAATGTTGTTTATTACATTCATATAAATATTGCAATCTACTCCACAGACCTTGACAAACTGCTAGCAATTTATCATCTTTTAGTTTAATAGCTATTTCGTATTGTTTCCTGAGTAGTAATTTGGATCGTCTTAATAAACCTCTCTGCATAAAACTCTGGGCCATATACAAATAGCATCTACACTTGACTACTTCGTCTCCGAGAAGTAGAGCGACTTTGAGCTGATAAAGGGAGATCTCTCCCGCTTTTCTTGCAAATGAACTAAAATAGTCTCCTAATGCTGAATAACCGCCTCCCAGAGTATTTAACCAATTCATAGCATCATCCAACTGATACCTTTTCAAAGCTGTGATAGCCACAATTTCATCCCATTTCCTATTAAAATCTGTTCTAACTTCAAGTAGTGTTATGTCAATGGCACATATAGGTTCTTTGGCAGCAAAATTCTCTATATATTTAACAAACGATTGTCGAAATCGAGGGAATCTCTTACAAGAATACCCGATGGCAGAGGCTAGACTAGCTGGATAAACAATAGCTACTCGATGCAACGATAATTGACGTTTCTTGATTTTCCATTCAATAACGTCGTATTGAGAACTTTTTATGACGCAAGAAATCGTAAAAATGGTCATATACTTGTTTGATTGACCGCTATTCAACAATCTTCTTCAAACACTTTTTTGTCGTCTGCTATTTGCAGCTGTATTCGATTTACAATTTTCGTCACAGGTATATTATTCGATTATTAGAGAGTTCAAGGCTAAAAAGTTTACTCTGATCAATTTTTATATGCAACTATTACATAACGAAGATTTTTGAGAATCAGATGGCTAAACAGCTGTCATAAAATAAAGAAAATAAATAAACAACAATAGTCTATCTGCGTAGGTAGCATATGTACTTAATCTAAAGTCGTCCCTCACCTATCATGGAGTTGCAATATTCTGACGTAAATAGAGAGGGTTATGTAAAAATATTCAAAGAATTTGGACCATTTAAGGTAAAGGCTATAAATAATGAATTAAAACTAAGTGCTTTAAAAATGCTTTAACTAAATACTATAGGTACACTAAGATATATATGCTTATATATTGAATAAAAGCAAAATTTTTAGGCATATAAAAGGAAGTGGATTATTCTAAGAAACGAATCTAGCAAATGTTTTAAGAGGTTAGAGATATACTCTTCGTATAAGAAATCTCGGCAGAAAAAAGCAAAAAAAAATGTATGGTTAAGTAATATTGTTATACATCAAATAACTTATTCATAAACGTAACTTCAGATAGATTTATCGACAATAGAGGACGTTCGTACAGATAGTAGTGGCTTCTTAATTAATATATACTTTAAAAATGAAACTAGCTTTGAATTTTTATGCGAATATGGTAACCTATGAACTATAATAAACTATAAAACATTTTAATTCCTTCTATTTCTTCACCTAAAAGCCATAGAAGCTAAATATTGGATTGAGAGTTTAATAAATTTAAGGAATGATAATCTCAAATATAACAACGGCGAAGGTAAATTGTTCAAGTTCCCAAAACAATGTTTAATTTGACCATTTCATTAAAATGAACAATCTTTGCTCAACTATAGGCGTACGATTCTGGTGTGCTTACTTGTTGCAAAACTCACTTGATTTTTATGGAGAATGTTTAGTAGGTATCGATGGCGAGAAGATTGTAGTTAAAGATGTAAATAACTGTAAAGTTCTTATTGAATGGGATCTTACAACAATAAGACGATTGGGGGGTTATGAAGGAGAGTTTATTATTGAAGCTGGACGGTAAAAGTCTATGCATTAAACAAGGTTCTCAAAAACTTTACAGGTATATTTTATTATCTTTTCCAGGAGATCTTCAACCGGCGAAGGAATATTTACCTTTACCTCACGATTTTCAGAAGAAATCAAAGATATAGTTTCTCAAATTATTAATAAGCTTATGTAATGTAATATTGCATAATAAGGGAGGGAATTGCTTTAAATACAAAGAAATTTATTCATATATTAGTTTCTTCAGTTATTTTATTAATATAAACTTTTGAAAGAGGTGTTTCTTTTTACAAAAGTATTTATTGTAAATGATAACTTGTATGCCTTATTAAATTACTGTATGTCATTTTTACTCTGAAAGAATAAAGATTTTATTAGTAATTCATATCATTAAATTATTTTTATATACTCTCTCTTACTAATTTCATGAAATCCATTAATTTATCTACATCTGTGCCTGCAGATAAATCAAGAAAATCTTGAGGAATACTACTAGAACAACGAATCGGGTTTGGTTGAACTGAATTGTTGCCAGTAACAAATCGGAAACAAGTGTCCTGTTGTTTAAAAAAAACATTATTACCTCTATAGGCTATAAGAAGTATAGCAATAAAAGATAAATTCTTACGTATTTTATGTAATCTTTCGGTAATGTAAATTTATCTAGGAACTCAGGATCTTCGATTTCATTCCAGTCAAATAATAAACTATCTGTCACTGAACCGAAAGGATTAAAATCGATAACGTATTTTTTGTTTGGTTGAGGTCTATAAACGTCAAAAACATCTGAAAATTCAAATCTTTTAATTACATATTAATCAATAGGATTATAAATAATTTTCGTACAATTATCTAGGTCAAACCTCTCCTTTATATTATTTTCAAAAAAACTATGTAAATCATTCATGATGGCCTCTCTTTCCTCTTCAATATGGGAGTAGAACGTATCACAATATCTTTGACTTATTGCTAAAAATGTGTAATTTCTTTATATTTGCTATTATGACATTAGTCAGTGTACAAACCAATAAATTTTCTCTTTTTAACAAAGCATCGAAATTCACAAGCGGGATTTAACTCATGATACCTTTTTAATATAAGGTCAAATTTCTCGCGAGGTTTCGTATTCTCATAATCTTCACATTTGATATATCTACAAAATACCGAAATATAACGTTTTATATAAAATAAATTCATTAAGAAATTAATTACGCTTCAGTCAAGTCTCTCATTATAAAATTAGAGCTTTTTAGAGCTAGATAAACATCACTTGGATGATAGCATTTCAAACTATTTCCGCTCATCATCCAACAGGCATCTCTTGGAGCACTCCAATTTAATTTTGGAAAGACTGCACCTCCCAAAGCTTTGATAGCTCCCCGAATTTCGTTGTCAAAATCTGGAAAATGTGGCTGATTCTGAGATTCTTTATCATCAGTTTCCTCTTCATCCCACGACTGTCGATTCAAAAGAAAAATGAAAAAATATATGATCCATTTATACTATTCTTACTGTATACAAACACTATCTGAATCTATTGAAGCACCATCATAGGTGGTCTTGGGTCCACACGATCCCTTAGGAAGAACAATTCCATCACATAGCAAATACTGATATACCTCTTTCGGCAACTGAATAATCCGGCTAATATGAAAACAATAGGAAGAATTGTAAGAATTAAATAGAAGAGATCCAAAACGATTGATAATATTTTTACTACATGACGTATAGAGGTGACTTTAAATATCATTTAATTAAAAGTATTTAATGTGAGAATCAACTCACGTGCTCATTGAAAAATATCATACCTTCGAAATGTAACATTCTTAAAATTGTTATACCAGGACGAAAAGCTGCATGAGTTTACTTCACAAACTTTCATAGTCTGTGCAGAGATATAGGTAATAACTCTTTCTCGTCCACTGGTGATATTTGATGAAATTGTGATGAAATATAACGCAATATCATACAAAATTCTCCAGCTTGTGTTTAATTCAATGAAGCCATCTACTGGAATAAAACAAAAATAAGGTTATATTTCGTATTTTGTCTTTTTAAAGACTGGTCATTTTTCTAAAAGGTTATATCTTTCCACATTTTTGGTATAATTTCACGATATATCATGTTTTTATACGAAAATATTTTTAAATGAAAATAATATGAAATGTCTACAATTTCAAGGCAATAGTTTAACCTATTTGAGATAACCAAAGACTTTAAAGATATCACAATAATAATTGTACAATTTTATGTTGACGTATTGAGCAGTTTTTCGTCAGATTAATTAGATTAAAAGGTAGTAAAACCACTTTTTATCTCTTTTATGTCTTATAAACAAATCAAGAGTTTTGTCAAGATTAGACAATGTTAGCAACTTCATATTATTATTTTTCGATCTGTTATAGATAAAATCATATTCTAAAATTATTTACTTGGAAAATAGGTTTGAATTCATTTCTAAAGTTGCTGCGAGGCTATAATTCTCCGCGACTGTGAGCGATAATCCAGCAATACAACCACGTTTTTTAATCACGTGGGGAAAACATGCCTAAGTTTGCAGCTAACAATAAAAAAGTAAGTAATATAGTTCTTACTGTCAAAACAAATAGTCTTATATCTAAATTTTTGCAATTGTAGAGAAAAAATGAAGAAATTAGCTCAGATTCAGAGTCTGAATCAGATGGTAATGTAGATAATGCAGAAAGAGAAACTGCTGCCGAGAAACGCCTGCGATTAGCCAAAAACTACCTTGCACAATTACGAGCGGAAGGTAAGCTACTAGAAAAATGAAATTAGCTACATACCTCTAAATATTTACAAATTCACAGAATTATCTAAAAGAGAAGAATCTGACAGTGACGAGGATGGAATTAATACTACAATCAATAAACGACTAAAAGATGACAGGGTATTTGAGAAATTTAAAATAAACATTAATTAGTCTAATTAATCTGGAATCTTTCAGCTATTCAAAGAGGGAATTCTCCAAAGAAACTTGGCTGATTCGGTAAGAGTTTCTTTTATTACTTGTAAGATTTAACAAAAATAAATAGAATAAACTGACAATGAATATTTCAAAATGAATATTTGACTTCAGTATTCAAAAGAAACTGAGGTGCAAATACTGAAGAATGGGCATATGAAGAGCGTTACCTGCATTGAAGTAACAACAGATTTATCTTATTTGTATAGTGGAAGTAAAGATGGACTTGTTATAAAATGTAAGCTAATTTGAATTCTTTTTCATTAAATATATCTGAGGAAGTACATTTACAGGGAATATAAATGACAATTACAAGAGAGAAAAGAAATATAAATTGTCACATTCAATTCTCTGTATGTCTTTAAATACACCAGAGGATACCTATTTAGCAGTTGGCGGATGTGATAAGAATTTCTTAATTCTAAATACGTCAGACTTCAGTTTAAGGCATACTTTTATGGGACATAAAATAGCAATTACTGCTTTGAAGTTTAGAAGGAACTCAAGTCAACTATTTAGTGCCTCTCAAGATAAGCTCATTAAAGTATGGAATACTGACGAAATGTCCTATGTTGAAACGTTATTTGGTCATGAATCTGCAGTTAATAGCTTAGACTCTTTAGTTAAGGAAAGAGCTATTAGTTGTGGAGGTTATGATAAAAGCATTAGAATATGGAAAATAATTGATGAATCCCAATTAGTGTTTCATTATTCGAAGTAAATAGGTCTTTTACAATCTCCGATTAAAATAATTAATATCAAATTTATTTTTACGCGGACAGCTGCACAAGTATTGAATGCGTGTCTTACATAAATGAAGATTATTTCGTGTCAGGTTCTGATGATAAGTAAGATATTAAAATGTTTATAAAATACTACATTAACCATTGATCCCTTTATATTTTCCAGCTCAATCCAATTATGGTCCGTACTAAAAAAGAAACCCATTTACGTTCATAAAGAAGCCCATCCTGGACCAGAGAATTGGATAACTTCAATAGCAGCTTTAAGCTTTTCAGATTTGATAGCATCCGGATCGAAGGATGGATTTATCAGATTATGGAAATGTGGGCCCGGCTATAAAAGCTTGGAAAATTTGTTTTCTGTTGAAATAGTAAGCAAAGCAAAATATTGTAAATCTCATCTATGTATATATATAAATATATTTATATATTAAAGTGACTTTTTTTTCCTCGAAAGCAGCCAGGTTTTGTTAATAATTTAAGATTTCACGGCGATAGTTTGTTAACTGCTGCAATTGGTCAGGAACATAAATGCGGAAGATGGTGGAAAGTTAAAGGCTCTAAAAATTGCTTAGCCGTAATCAAATTAAAAAATTCCTTAGAACAAAATTAACTATAATTTTCTATGTTGAATAGGAGTATTTCTGTACTATATGAATAAATATTTTCAGTAATTATCAAGACAGAGACTATGTATAGACAATATATATAAAGTATATATATTATGAATATCCACAATAGAAAAGAAAAAATTGAATACCTTGTTAATAAACTTGAAGTATATTTGAATAGACATCTGAACTTTTACAATTTCTTTTAAACTTTAATGGAAGATCTCTGTACGCTAACAAGTGATAAACTTGTGGCTTTGAGTTGGTAATGGTTTTCAACTATCAAGTGATATAGCGAAAATCATAAAATAGATTTAAAAAAAGCGTTTAATCCCGAAAAAGGATGGATTAAAGTAGAATTTTGATTCAGAATTTAGACATTAATGAGTGATAACACCATTACTTACTAAAACTTATATTTGCTTATCTAATAGTATATGAGTTAAATTTTTGCCGATGACTCATTCATAGAACTATGCAAAGTTGATGACGTAACGGTTGAATTTCTTGAAACTACTTTATTAATAAAACCACAAAGTTGCTAAGCACTTTCTTAAGTTGCAAGGGTTAATAACAGTAGACATGATGGAAAATTTTAAGGGCAAGAGAAGGATACGCGTTGCTAGAAAATCAATAACCGACCCGATTATCGGATATAATGTAGGCATACTATTGTAGCAGACTATTCTTGAGGATACAATTAAACACGAACGTTCGATGAGAGAACGGTTTTTTCTTCCCTTGTACCTCCTAAAATAGTAGGATAGGATCTAAATATTTTTATGAATGCTTTAAGACGTTGCTATAGAGATATATCATCTAACTCGATTCAAAATGGCTTACAATGGTGCACCACCACCATCTTACGAAGATGTAATGGGCCAATGCTCACAAACGATATCAACAGATCTAAATATTGTTGACTTCCTACCGGGACTTGTTTCGGACGACGATGAACAGTATGACTGTGAAACATTCAGGTAAAAATTAATAATTTAAATATACAACCTTTCTAAGATATCTTTTAAAGTGTATAATAAACTTAAAATTCGCAATGTATATATCGAAGAGTTAACAATTAGTAGTGTAAAAAGCACAAAAAATAATTCACTTATTTTTGTTATTTCCTAATAGTTTTCAAGGTAAAGTATCTTATTTAATTATTCATTTATTTGTTCTAGTGGATTAGTGAGAAAAGCTAATAACTGGCTTCAAAGAAATCGAATGTTTACCGTCATTAATTGTGAAACGATTGATGTAAAAAATAGCGGGGCGGATGCTTGCCGAAAGACCGTCTTGAAAAAGAAAACTGATTCAGAAGGTTCTACTCTACATATGAGAATGTTAAGATGCCTGAGGTATAATAAAAGAAACATTTATATATATATATATATATTGTATTTATTTTGCGTTTTATCTTCATTTTAGAGTTTTCGTTAGAATGAAAACTCATGCTGATCCAATGCAACCGGATAGAATAGGCTATTTCAATTTTCCTCCTAATTCGCAAGGCTCCTGCACAGATACATTTGAAAATTTTTCAGTAACAATTGGTAGATTAAATGATCGTTTAAGGAGAACTCCTATTGATGGCCGTATATTAAATGTTGAAACTTTGAGAGTTAAATGCAGAGACGGTTGTATCACTGATTATAAAATGGAAAGATCCGCTTGGACGGATTATACAACTGAAAAACTTCGTTTTGTTATGTTTATTAGGCTTTTTTATCTATACGGAAATTCTCGAGCAGAAACTATTGGTATGAAACTAATTTCTTCGCTTTTTCTGTCTTCTCTTCGCTAATTATTACATGTTTTTTTTTCATTAGCTGTAAGGGATTTTTTACCAAATCAAATAAATTCATCAGTTATATTGTCAAAATCCCAATTTGACTCTTTTCATGCTTTGATGACTAGAGTTCGACTTTGGTTGAGTTGTCAGAAATTAGCAAGAGTTCTTAACGTTCAAAGTATAAATATTAAAGTGAAATCATGTAAGTTTCTTATTACTATTTTTCTTCTGGCTTATCATTATCTAATTACTCTTTAATTAGCCGACGAAACTGTAATAAGCGAGCGAATGTGTTATACAAACATCTCCACATCAACAACGTTTGTACGAATAATAAGGATATATCATATTTTAGCTGAGGAGCAAGCGCATTATAAACCAGTCATGATCAATTACAGGTGTTTTACTTTATTGTTGCATAAATAATGAGGAGAATAATATATATTAAGACACTGTTTTCCTTCTATCAACTAGAACTTTTGTCCCGGCTGAAAGAGAAGAAATTCAAGAGCTGATGGAGAGAGAAGTACAACCTTGGGTTAAATATAATAAAAGTAATAAAACATATAAAGTCTTAGCTTTCTTCGTACACTTTAATTAAGCTATTAGTCTAATAACTTTAATATTTAATTACAGACGCTCGTGTTCTTAGCTCAGAAACAATTCTATATCGAGCAAAAACAACTGGAGTTGATCCTAACGACACAATCACCCAAAATAAGGGCAAAACTACATTGTATGTACACTGTCTAAGGGTCTACTTCGATGGTCCTGTATATCAACCACCTACAAACCTACCACTACCGAGTCAGACGGCACCTGAAGAGTGTTGTTCATTATTATAATTGTTAAATGATTCTTTCTAAGAGGGAAAACAATACTATCCTATTTGAAAATGACGATTATGCGTCATTCGCTATTGTTGAAGATATTGCATGCAACTAAAAGCTGATTTGATGTGTAAAAATTTGCAACCAGCTTCTATACAGTATATATTCTAGTGATAAATCTATTGCAGTTATACTAAGTATTATGCTATTACATCTTACAATCAATTGGGTTGAAAAAGCGCTTTGATATATGCTGCCTTAAAATGCTTAACAGAGAAGAAAGAGATACTTGTGTATTTATGTGATAGAAAAAATGTGTTTTATTAATTCCGAACCCGATTTACTTATCAATTATTAATAAGTAACAAACGATTAGAACGCTTCAAACTTAATAAAATATTCCTTTATTATACCGAAATTCACAAATATAAAATTCTTTAACTGAATTAAACTTTCATATATTTAAATTTTTTCTTTTATTTTACAAATCGACTTATGCTTTGACCTATAACAAAATGTTATATAATGTTACATAACAAACTTCAATACGTCTTCAACACTGTTTGGTATTTTCGTTGCTGGTGTAATATTCTTCTTTTCGATATTTTCTTCAGGAATTTCATTCATATCTATTTCACTAGTGACATTAGAATCTTCAACAACTGATCTTATTTTGTTTGAGGCCATTAAGGCTTTCTGAAACTTTTCTTCATCAATTTCAAGATTTTTTAAATCAAGCGATATATCTTCATTTTCTGATGAATTCGATCTGTTCAATTTTGAGAAATATTAACAAAACGTCAAGTCAAATGACAAAAATGCTTACTGTAATTGCTTCAAGGCGGCAGCTTGCCAGGAGGGCGAGATATCAGTTATAAGTAAAATATTATTCGATACAGAACTGACCTGGGTGATTTAAGCACAAAAAATAGAGTTTATTGACAAATAGTCTAAGTATAACTTACAGCTCGTAAAAGTACGTTTGATGCCGTTTGCTCACTAAATCTGTCAATTCTTTTATCTTGATTTGACGGGTTTTTTCGAGTGAAAGAGTGAGTTATTAATTCCGCTAATTTATTCTTTCTTACATTCGAACTCAAATTAATTCGATTTCGTGCCTTAAGTAATTCAGTATTTTGTCTATCCACTAAGTATAAACCTTCTTCCTTAGACCAAAAATATAATTGAGATTTACAGGTCCATTCAGGTAATTCATCGTTTGGTTCTTCTCTTGGCACAAAAACCATTGATGAGACTTCTGATTTGCATATATTAGGTAGAGAAAATGTTGGCTCAATTTCGGATGGTTGAATAATATATACTGTTAAAAAATACATATACATTCTTATAGTACATTATAAATTAAATTTACATGGCTGATACTAACGTTGGTTGTTTGTTGATAACACAGCGAAATATTCTGATAAAGGATCAGAAGCTAAAAGGCTAACATTTGTGTTAACTTTCCATAGAGCCGAGCAGGTTAATAAATCCCAGGAAATTATTTGACTATCGCTTGCAGATAGTAAAATATGAACGTATTTAAATTTACAAAATTCACAAAATAAAACTGAACTTTCATGTTCCAAAATTGCACGTCTTTCAAGTTCTTCGTCAAATCGCCATAAAGTAAGATAATTCCCAAAAGAAACAGCTAACAAAGATCCATCTTTACTAAAATCAGCTACAGTTGATGGAAGAGATAGATGCGATCCTTTTCTGTGAAATATCCACTTCGATTCTCCACTATTCTTCCAAATCTTAAAACACTGATCTTCACTAGTAGCTACTAATACCTCATTCATTATAGATTTGCAAAAACGTAAAGTATTAACTTTTCCGCGGAACGCTGAAATAAACTCCACGCAAAGAACAAAAGTACGATCAACAGCAGACCATCTCCAAAATTTCAACTTAGATGGAATACTTAATGAAACATCATTCCTTCTTTCGTATGTACATAGCCAAGTTCCAGTTGAATTAATCGCTGCAGCCTCTATCTCTATGTATTTCAAAGGCTTATCCAAACTTTCAGGTGATATATAATTTTGACCCACGGCATCTATGTAATATAATTGCTTATCATCTTGAACTTTATAAAATTGTAGGTGTCCTGGCAAGCCATTTGTTATAATGGAACGTGATCTAGGATCATATAATAATTTTACTTTATTATCATTATCGGCCATACCAGAAATGACATTCTGAACTAGTAAATTGTTTGAAACCAGAGTCAAAACGTTATTATCATGAGATAGGGCGTATTGTTGGTTATTCCTTGAAATTCTAACAAATGTCAGAGGCGCACCGAGTCGAGGAAGAAATCGCTTTTCTTCCGTTGCAATTGTCCATCTTACTAAAACACATTCATAACCAACACTCAACAATTCTGTACCATGAGAATTCCATGCTATATCACAAACGGGTAACGAATGCCAATGTAACTTTAGTGTAATAGGTGCATCAGAAAAAATGTTACGCCAAATATATATGGCACCTTTAACATCTCCTGTTGCGACAATTTCGGCTTCAGGATGACAAGCTATGCATCTTAATGGGCAATTTACATAACTCCTACAAAAAGAAGGTAGGTGTATTTATTCTAATATAATTGAAAATTTCTTTATTTACCATCTTTTAGGTTGGTTATTTTTGTCATTTAGTGTCATAACAGTGCAACTCCAGGCATTAACAAATCCGAGAAAACTAAACTGTAGAAGAAATCTTATGAGAAATTGAAACTTAGGAATTAAGAGAACGTACTCTATTGCCAAAATCATAACGCTCTTCCAAATTATATCTTCCTTCAATATTATGTACCTTTTCTATGTTAATTTTATCACCATTAAAATTTAATTTTACTATGTTCTTTTTCTGATTTCCTTGAATGGAATATAGCGATCCTCTTATACACTTTAACGTCTTGCAGTTTTTTACATTGTACCCTTTGATAGCAAGACCTTCCAAATAATCCCATTTTATTAATGTATCATCTGCTGAAACTGTATAACACTGAAAAGTACATAATTCATTAAATTTATAATTGTTTATTTATTAATGAATGATTACGAACGTATTTAGATGGCTCGTAACAATCTAAATCAATTCCAGTTATTGGTTCTGTATGGCCATTTAGAATTTGAACAACTTCTCCTTGGAGGCAATTAATTATCTTAACTAAAGAACCCGAAGCGCATAATAGAAATCTGAAAGAAATTAATGAGATTTGGTGACGGTATTTATGACTAATATACTTACTTAGAATCATCACTGAATATGGGTTTGACTTTCTTAAAATTAAAACCACCGTGAGGTCTAGGAACTATTTCGTCCTCGATTGATGAAGTTTGAGCATTAGACGAACCCTATATAAGCAAATGAATTATCATTGTTATAGTAATGTTGTTCAAGGGCCAACTAACCTCATTATCTTTAATAACTAGGTGCAAGATATCTTTATTTTTTATTTTACTTTTACTTATAGTGTCATCGTCCTCAAGAATTTTTCCGGAAAATACCAAACGAACTTTTTCAATATCAGCCAAAAACAATTGAGCAACTTTTTTTCGTAGCTGTTATGAAAAGAAAAACTTATTTAAGAGACTTCAACTGGGGCCTGAAGAAGAACTTAAGCAAATAATATTTCAAGCAGTATAAATCGTGACATATTCGTGTTAGAAAATTTTACAAACCTCTTTTACGGTTTTTTTCTTTGGAAATGTTAGTTCTTTTGTATCCTTAGACGTTTTAACGATTACAGTTAGGTTGGACATCTCTCGCCTATTTGCCATGCTTGTCTAAGCAAAACATTACAAGTCAATTACCAGTTTACCTAAAAGCGGAAGTTGTTTTCATATTTCGAATTTTACTTAAAAGAATAAATAATTTCAGTTATAATACGTAAAATTTATATAAAATATTTAGTAAAATTTTATAAATAATAAAAAGATACTAAAATTTTATACGAAAGTTTCTCTGCAGTGTCATAAAAAAAACCTATTATGGATAACATCTTTAGTTTTAGAAATAGATAGATATAATTCAAAGATAGTGATAGAAAATTATGCCTCTGGAGTTTAATGTTCGTGGTATATTCAAAGATTTTAATCCTAGGTAGGTTTTATAGTTATCTAATAATAATTGTAAAAATTCACATTGACAATTTGTAAACAAATAAGCAACAACAATTTTATAACCCTGATTCTCTAACAGCAAATTCGTTGTTTATGGATGTCTACTCGTGTTCTGCCTTCTACTTGCATTAAAATTTGACAATAGCGTGGAGTGGAGTTATTGGATTGTCTTTTTACCATTATGGATTTGGAAAGCGCTAGTAATAGTTGGATGTATCAGTGGAACAATGATTTGGTGGCGTAATCCATCCTATAGGTTAGAAAATGGAGCATACACACATTATAAAGCTATGATCGTGTCCACTGGATTACATCTTCTCCTTTTAATGTTTGAGCTCTTAATGTGTGATAAGCTAGAAAACGCAGAGTACAGGAAACAATTGTATTGGATGCTAATCTTTATTCCTTTGGTATTTTTATCACTTATATCATTCGCCGTTTGTTTCTGGTCTATTAAAGTTGACAGGAATTTTGAAGTAGGCATTTTTTTTCTTAATTTTATGGTAAATTCTTGTCTACTACAAAAATTTATTTTCAGTTAGAGTTGTTCTGTTCTGTCAATGTTCTTCAATTTATTTTTATCGCCCTTAAATTGGACAATTTTATTAAATGGAAATGGGTTTTGGTGTTTATTCCTTTATGGCTTGTAATGTCTGTTGCTCTTATTGGGGTTTTATACGCTATCATTCTAGCTATAATTCTCGTCAAGTCTTCAGATATTGTTCCTGAACAGAGAAGAGGAAATTTATTTATTGCTATAGGATATACATGTATGGTTATACCACTACTAGTCTTCCAGATTCTTTTGACGAATAAGGAAGATGGCTTAGAAAATCATACTTACTTAGCTGTTACACTTCCGTTACTCATTTCTTTTTTTACACTTATGATAATGTCTTTCGAATCACGAAGTAGTAACTTTTGTAAGTTGAAAATGAACAATCATTATTGTTATTATCTTGTTTTAAAAATATTTCATTATTTTAATAGGGTGGTTCGGCTTAAGAAAAGACTTTTGCTCATGGTTGCTTGGTATATGTCCACTATTACAAGAATATGGAAATATATCGTATAAACTACCACCTGAAGCTCCAATCATTGACGCATCTCAAAATTCCAACAGACAAGAAAAAGGGAGTTGTGCACATATAAAAATTAAAAGTATAGACGAATCTCCGAAGCCTGTTGTACCAATCATTTCTATTGACGCTCCCGATTAGTTGCACTCCGAGGAAAATTATTATCATTTAAAAAAACAGCCTTTGGGAATAATTTACAGACTTAAAACAAAATAACACTTTGTTGAAATTGTTCAAATTTTACAAATTGATAAATTCAAAATATTATTATTAATGTTATTGTTATTATTATTCTATATGAGGTACACTAAAAACACTAAACTAAAACGTTTATAGAATGAACGCTAATGATCTATTATCCTAAAATTAGAGATTTTACTTTTTTTTTCACACAATTGTTTTACAGCAGCTTCTAGTTCAAAGAGATGGTCGTCCGTAAAATTCGGAACCAAATTTCTTGTAGCATCCGCTAAATTGAACAAATATTCGATATTTTTTCCACTAGGTCCTTCGCTTGAATAAATTTGCTGTGCCATACATTCAATTGGACTTGGTCCCAAATAGTTTGGGCTATCCTCTGATCCAATATAAATCATTAATGGAAAAGGTTCCCCTTCAAAAGGATAAAATGTAACTTCAACATTGCTATAATCTTCTCTTTCCCTATAATCTAGTTGAGCCTTGACATCTTCACCTGGTAATTTGTATGCAATGCCATATACTTTTTCCTATCATATATTAATACAGTATTTAACAAGTTATCAGAAAAAATGTTCAACTTCGTTAAAATAGCTTACATTTATATTTTCTGACCGTATCAGCGTTACAACTCTACCTGGCTGAAAAATAATACAAATATATTCTGTTCTATTCCGTCATTTTCGAATACTATCAACCGACCTTGCCAGGTATTCCCCTGTGAGTCGTACTGCCTTGCCAAAATCTTCTTGAAAAGCCTTGTATGTATCCTGCTAACTTTTCCTCGTACTCAAAATCAACTTTCCATATCAATGACCCATATCCAAAAACCCACATTTTTTACAACTAATATCATATGCTTATTTATATCTTCGGGAAGTAGCTGTCTGCTAGAAAATTCTGTCGTTGCTACTAGCAATTACGTAAATATTTTCCTAGAAAACTCTAATATAGATATCATAAACGATAATTTATAACGAATTAGTAATTAAAGAAATGTTTGCATAGAACAAGATATCATTTTTTGTACTATCAGTTCTGCAGATAAACTTGCGCTTAATTGAAAGTATTTCATTTAAATTAAAAGTTAATTTACGAGCGATAATACGACATGATAGAGCCTGAATTCGGATATTCTTACCATAATGGAAGAAGTTATCCTAATCGTGCTAGAACTGGGAGTGGCTATGTATATGGTTCAAGAGAGAATGGATGGTCAGTTAGAACAAAGCAAGAAAAATCGAATCAGCTGTATGGACACTCCTTATTGAATTTGGATAAGAAAACTCGTAAGAATATTGAAATTTTGGAGGGATCTCTATCAGATATAGATCCCTGTTATGCATTCGGTATGAAACATTGGCATCCGAAGGATAAAACTGGTAAATTTTTAAATAAAATACTTTTAAAAAATTATAAAGTATAGGACTACTGAGCAACTAGTAACTGTATAACTTTTGTAATTTTCATCATTTAGAACCAGAAAAACCTCTATATGTGACCAGTGATAAACACTGGGAAAGCTGTGGTGTTTTGTTTACAAACGACGTTCCTGGATGGAAAAAGAAAACTTATTCTTGGCAGTGTAGGGATGATAATGAAAAATCTTCGGCAAGGAGCTTTTGCGATCTCTGTGATTATGTATCTGAACCAAGAAAAGTCTTTATGAAAGTAAGATTCTCTTTTCTTAAAAAGCCTATTTTTGACATTCTGAGAAGACAATCAATATTATTTGATTTAAATATTATCTATAGCACTATATAATAGAAGTATGAATATAAGAATGCGTGGGTGAATAACAGCAGATTAACACCAAACTATTTTTCCTTACAGAAAGGTAATGAGGTTATTGCGCCTCCAAAACCGAGGACAAAGATTAAGTATATTCCGCCTCCTCCTATAGTTAAAAAAGCTCCAAAACAACCGGAGGAAGTATGCGATACTTTGTATAAGGTAGTTGTTAAGACTGGTGACATAAATGGAGCATCGACTAAAGCTAAAGTAAATATACTGAGATAACAAAATGATAAAAATTCACAGCATTCTTGTATATTAGGTATCGATTACATTAAGAAATTCTAAATACTCTATGAAAAAAAGGAATCTCGTAAAAAATGGACTTAAAAATTACGGTTTTGTAAAAAATTCAAAAGAAACATTTCATTTTAAAGGACCAAATATAGGTCCATTACAATACTGCATTGTAGAGGTAAGCTGCTCGATTAAGATTTGTTTTTCACCTAAAATTTATAAATCATAAATAGCACGACGGTGAAGAAGTTAAGGATAGTTGGTGGTTGGAATACATAGAAGTAACCAACCTCCGTAGTTTCCAGACTTTTATATTCTTATGCAAAAATTGGTTGTCCCTTCACCATGGTGATAAGAAAGTTAAAAGAATATTATCTGGTGAAGAAAAAGTTATCGAAAAAATAGGTAAAAGGTATTTTTAAATGTGTTGATTTCTAATGGTTTTACTGTCTTTATTTTAGAGTATAGAATAGTTGTCAAAACTGGTGATGTCATGTTGGCAGGCACAGATGCGAATGTATTCTTGACTATTTATGGTTCAAAAAATGTTACTCCAAGGTTTAAACTAAAGAATAGAAACTTAAACAATTTTGAAAGGGATAACGCAGATGAATTTCATTCTCAATTTGACGATTTGGGTGTTATTAGCAGGATTCGAATTGAGCACGACAATTCTGGTGCTGGACCAGGATGGTTTTTGGATTATATCTTGATAGAAAATCTTGAAACAGGTAAAAGATACTCGTTCATGCTCAGAGATTGGATTGCAGAAGATGAAGGTGATGGGACACTATTCCGAGATCTTTATCCTGAGATGAACGAAGGTGATGGAGGAAGGTCGAAGAGAGGAAGGGTTAGACATTCTTTTACACCGAAAACTAAATACGAAGTGCAAGTAATCACTGGTAACGTATACCAAGCTGGAACTGACGCAAGAGTTTTCATAACGATCATGGGGCGAAATGACCAAAGCAGGGAGGTTGAATTAAATGATGACAGTGACAACTTCGAGAGAGGCAGAATCGATACTTTTAAAGTATAGTACTTTACAATTTCAATAGTTCAATATTATATGTAGAATTGTGACTGAATTTAGATACAAGCAGAGGACGTTGGTCCCTTAAAAAAGATTCGAATAAGGCATGATGACACGTCTCTTGGTCCTGGGTGGTTCTTAGAAAAGGTAACCGTAAAATATACTCTACATTCTAATCTTAATGTTTATTTTCATTATAGATAACTATAAAGAGATTCCTATCAACTGAAGAGATATTAGATAGATTGAGATCATTAGAAAAACATTTAGATGACAGACTAGAGGGAAAGCTAAAGGAGATATTCAAGGGGCCAAAAGGGAAAATTGTAAAAGAAAAGTTAAAAATGAAAGACGATGGCGTAGAACGAGGAGAGAAAGAGATTCTATACGATAAAGATGACTATGAGAGAGAAAGGAGTAGAACACGCTATGACGATGATGCTACTGAAAAGGAATACTCTATAGAAAAGCTTAAAAAGACTTTTAAGAAGTTGCCATACTATGATGAGTACGTGTTCCATTGCGGAAGATGGTTAGCAACTGATGAAGATGATGGACAAATTGATCGTATCCTTGAGCCGAAGTCAATAACAGCTTATTCTCAAACATTTCACTAATAATTATACCCTTTCGATTGTTTTTAAACTCTAACCCAGCTATTAGTCAGGATATTATCGAATGTTGTCTACAACTTTTCCTTTTCAAAGTTAATCAACTGAATCTCCCTTTTTCTGGAGTTTATTTGCTATATTCTCGTCAATCAAATATTCTATAGTTCAAGTAGAGAAGTAAATACATTTAAATGTTTATTGAAAACTGTCAAAAATAAAAGAAAATAAGAAAGTAACAAAGAGCAGAAGATATGGTAAAGAGATAGCCTAAATTTTCATGTTATGCATTGTCAAAATTGTAAATATGTCTAGTAATACTTCGTAAGATTACAGCACACTTTTACTTTCCAATTAAATATCAAAGTTTAAGAGTATATGTACAATCCCGATAAAAAGTCTCTGGCAGGGTTGTTCAAATTGCGGAAAAAGTGAATTATTCAACTAAAAGGACTTGTTTAATTATCTTTTTTGTTTTCGAACTTAAATATAGAATTCATTTATTTTTTCCTTTTGCCGATTTAGTCAATGGTTTTACCTTCGCCACGCAACTTTTGAAGCCATATTTGCAGAGAATCTTCTTGGCAGAAGATAAACTTACCTTATCTGCCATGCCCCATTTGCTATAAACTTGTCTCGCTGAGTAAGAGGGGTTTTTCTTTTTTATCTTAATAAGAATTTTTTTGTCTTCTTCGAGTATTTTGTTGGGGCGACCAGATCTGGGTCTGTTTTCCATTGAAGAATGTTCCATTCCCTTCTTTATGTTGTACCGGACAGTACTTCGAGCAATATTTAGTTTTTTGGAGATTTTAACTTGGCTTAGCCCTATTCTATCTAGCTCTACAATTTTCTTTCTCATTTCAAGGCTTATCTTTCCCATTATCAAATGTTTTTATATCTTTTATGTTACACAACTATCTAACACTACTCAGGAAATGTCATAAAAAAATTTTAATTGGGTGCCATTTAATTATTATCTATTTTTTTTGGAAGGAACAGGTAACCTGCCAGAAACTATCTCACTGTCTTATTCATAAGAATTTGTAAATAAAAATTGATTAAAAGTAAGAAAAAATTTTTAAACGAATTCTATCTTTAAACTTAGTTGTATAAATATCTTATCTTTCATTTTAGCCAAAAAAAAGACAATTAAACAAGTCCTGTTAGTCAAATAAGTCACTTTTTCCAATATAAGAACAACTTTTTCTCGGGACTGAGTAAAATTCTCAACAGTTTTAGTATATATTAGAATACGGTTTCACAATATAATAGCCCTTATTATCTGATTCTTGCGTCCAAAATGAATAATCTTTTGAAATATTAGTAACAAAATACCCAAATGTGGAGACTGGCAACTGTAGAAATAAAAACAAATCGTAATACGTTATTGAAATGTAAACAATGATTCATTACAAACCTTTAATTCTGGACCTTCATCCCAACAGAATGAGTCGTCCTGTAACTGTTTCAGTTTGTAAATGCCAGCAACAAGTCCGTTAGCTTGTTCTCCGCCTATTATCCATAAAGTTTCTGCATATTTGACGATTCCTTAATAAATTAGATATGTGAATTACTCAACACATTGACTATTATATTTAATTACCATGTCCGCATATATCGAAAGGTAATTCTGGTCCAAAAGTAATTTTGTTTGTAATGGGATCATATATCTCAACGCTACTCAAACAATTTGTTGCCATATGTTCGGTCTTCCATTTGTTTGTTACGGTAGAGCAACCACCTAATCATTATTTAAAAATAACTTATAAAGACTTTTAAGAGTTATATTTATCCTGATAAAAACCTGTTATCCAGATTTTGTTACGATAAACAACACACGCGGCTAAGCTCCTTGCACACTTCAATGACAAAACTTCACGCCATACGTCTCGCCCTAAGTCGTATCTAAAAGGTATTTATTGTTGTCATCAGTTATACTAATATAATCACAGTAAGGATATTAGCACTTGTAAATGCTTTTAAATACTTGATCACCATCTTCCCCACCAAAGACATACAGCGCGCCTTTAAAAGATACTGCTGCTGATCCTCTCAATGGTCGAGGCAGAGAACGACGAGTTGTACTCTTAATACTTGTTTTATCTATATTTTAGATTTAGAAAGCTAACAATATGATAAAAATACTTTAAAGCCAACCTATAACAAAACTTTCGACGCTCGATGTAACGCCATCATTAGTATGACCTCCAACAGCAAAAATGTGTCTGTTTATGATATCAATAGATGATGAGATAAGTAAGAACGTGCAAAATGCATTATCATACCCGTCAAGGAGACATAAATTGAACATAGCGCGTTCAGTTTGTAGCTCTTCTTCGCATACTATCAAGTCTAAATATTGAGATCTTGTATTGTTGTACATTATTTGGATTTTCTTTGAAACTTTAAAGTCTCCTTTAGCTGTACAAATAAAATTTATTGAAACATTTGAAAGCTAAAAAGAAATAGTGATTTTTTGATGAAATACCAAATCGTTTTCCTCTGTTAATAGCTCCACCAGCAATACATATATGACCATCACCAGTAACGCAAACACCTGGAAATTTGTAAATATTTACTTTCTTTTTTTTCTCAGTTATTGAAAACTACCTGGTAGGAAAAGAGGATTTGATAAACTAGTTATTTGTGTAGTCTTTCCTGTTTTCACATTCAACCAATCAATACCATCACCAACACCATCCCTATCTGGATACATTGTATGATAAGGATTCGCTACCATTAACACGCCTTGTTCATAAGACATTCCAGCTCTTGGTACTGAATTTAAATCAATTTCATGCTTTCTTTCTCTAACCAAATTGTAATATTCAACTTGTTTTACAACGGTTCTTATTTGATTATGTTGTTGTAATAATTCGTTGTTGGCAACATTATCACAGAAATAGTAAACTTCAAGATTGGCAAAACGAACGTTTTGCATTAATTCAACTGTGTATTGCTTTCTAGTTTGAAGATCTTGATTTATCCAAGATAAACAGGCTTCATAAGCTATTCTTTCATTGTCGATATTTAATTCATCTCGTGATATAATATCAATTACCTTATCAAAAGGTAAGTTCAAAAATTTATCTTTCTTCGATATTTCAGTAAAATGTTTACAAGAAAGCATAAGAGACTGGTGGGCTAATGATTGGCATTCGTGTGCTTTAGCATAAAAGTAGGTTTCGAGACAGTTGACTTCCGTAATATGTTTTTCCATAAATTTTGCACATCCATCTTTAAGTGCATTTAGCTGCAAAAAATTTGCAGCTGATAATATACTTTGCACATTTTCGACGTCTAGCTGAACACTTCCGGAATAAATAAAGTCTAGTATTGATTTTAGTGTGCTACTTTCAATTGAGATCGCAACATCATCGTTTAAACTTTCTTTGAAGGAGGAATTAAACATAGTCATAAAATAGGGACAAGAAGTTGCTAAAATGGCTTTATGACAATAAAATTTCTGACCTCCGGCAGCTAGAGTTACATCGGTAAACTGCCGGTCTTTATACAGTTTTTCCAGTCCCCTATAGATAATTGAAGCTTGGTTTGGATATTTAAAAACAGTTATGTCGCTCTCCAAAACATCCTCATCACCTGAAGCATCAGTAGAACTGCTAGAGATGTTATCCATTAGTTCGTTTAGTTCTCAACAGAGGATCAAATAATCAAGTAAGAATTGAGGAATTTGTTCTAGAGCAGCCTAAACATGGACAATTCTTTAATGTAATTTTAATCCATTAAATGCAACCGAATTTGAATGAAGCATAGAATTGGCTATTTGCTTTCTGCCGAAAGATATGCAGCTTCTGTTGAAATATAAATTCATTTCGATGACTCTACTTTCAAGAGATTTAATTATTAAAGTTAATGTGAACATAGATTGTTTTAAACGCAATCAATTCCATTTATCTTGCCTATACCCTATAATGAAATTTGATAGTTTAAAAAGGCTTACGAATCTTGACCAATTTCAAAATCATTTCTGTTGACATTGGAGAGATGTACGTACAAAAAGAAACAACAACTTGGTTACCGGTTCCCACCGGTTTCAAGCAGAATGTTATATATTATATACTAAATGTGTTTGACCCAGTAGTTTTCAACAGAAATTGGTTGTAACATTAATGCTCTATAAAATACGAATGTTTAATTATAAAAATAGATAATTATTTTTATTCAGATCAGCCTTTTCATTTTATTTTATATTACGTTGAGATAGCGCCATGAAATGTTACCCAATCACCAAGTGCTAGACACTGTCTTTCATTTAGAGTCAGATAATTCTTAGGAAAAATTAATTTTTAAAATGGCGGCGCTACAAAAGTATAAATAAGCTGCCATTTTTTAAAAGTATAACTATATAATCTGCGTCTAGAACTTGACCTTTTGCGGCATCACGCCACTTCGAAACTTATCTGTATTACGCCACCTTCAAAAAGATCCGAAGTGAATCTTTAATTCAAGGTAAGAAAAAAAGATTTTTCTAATAGCGATAAGGGTTATCTTTAAGAATTATTGTCTTATAATCTTGTAATCTGTCGAATTTTCAATTCCCTTCTTGATACCATATTCGTCTCACGTGTGTTAATAAATTATATAATCTGTGACTGTATAAAAGACGCTTTTAATAAGGTAATATTTCTGTAAGGGTATTAAAACGATGGTAATATTTAATACAAAAAAAGAAAACGACATTAAAGAGAAAAATTGACTACGTGTAACAATATGTACTTAGACATTAGTTTGTTGAATGTCTGAAGTATTTCATCATCTATATGTTAACGTATATTATTTCGAAACAACTATAACTTGAATGTCTTCTCTTTATAGTTAGAAAATGCCTCCCCGAAATTTGGAAAAATGTGTCTACGTGACAGAAGCTGATCAGAAAGATGAATTGGAAGCTGTAATAGAACAAAATCAACCAGCTAAACAACCTCCAACCAAAATTGTTTGGCGAAACGTAATTTGGATGATATATTTGCATATAGCCGCCCTTTATGGAGTTTATTTAATGTACTACTGCAAATGGCAAAGTTGGATTTGGTGTAAGTTATATTTTTTTAATAGGCTTAATGAGACGTTAGAATAGACTAGATAATGTCTGCAAAAACAGAATTCAAGATCTAGAACAAGAATTATTATAAATTCAAATAGACTAATTCTATTTTTTATTTAACTGTAAGAGAACCATCTAAATAAATATTATTCAAAACTAGTTTAATATTTATGCCAACACCATATTGAATGTCAGTCACATATCTTCTTACCTGGCGAAATTTAGGGAAAGATAAAAACAGAGGAAGCTATTATATATTTAATTACTTATTAAAGTTATAGGAGTATATAATGTAATAACTATATTTTCGCTATTATAGTTATTTGGAAAAATTCCCAAAAAGATATTTTTTTATATAACATTCATTGTACAAGTTGTCTGACCTACTAAAAAAGAATACACTTAATATTTTCTAAAGCCAAGGTCACTTTATCATAAAACAGTAAAAGTTCACTAACTCGACGCAAAGTAACTCGTTAAAATGTAGGTTTCTTTTCTTCAAAAGAATCTTTTACGAAAAAGGTTGATCTTTTATTTTAAAATTTAGAATGCTTAACGATTTTTTTTGTTTAAGTGTGAAGTTGGTTCAGTGATCTTATATCTTATTTAGTATATACCGCTTCCCTCATTATATCTATAAATAAACACAAGTTTAATCAATCATTTGTCAATTCCCTTTCTATTTTATCTCAAAATACCTCTTATCAGGTGTTCTAACGTGACGTAACTATGATCGTATTCCTCCCTCAATATTTATATTTTATGTCAATATCAGTAAGATATGGTAGAATTTTTAAGATGAATTGAATATTTTACAGTTGCCGTCACATATGGTATGTCCGGTCTTGGAATAACCGCAGGAGCTCACAGATTATGGGCACATAGATCTTACAAAGCTAAACTTCCTTTGAGAATTGTTCTTGCAATATGGAATACAATGGCCTTCCAAAATGATGTCATTGAATGGTCTCGTGATCACCGCGTTCATCACAAATATTCTGAAACGGATGCTGATCCCCATAACGCAAACCGAGGTTTCTTTTTTTCTCATGTTGGATGGCTATTGGTCAGAAAGCATCCAGAGGTTAGGGCTAAAGGAAAAAGAGTTAATATTGATGATCTGCTAGCCGATCCTGTCCTTGTATTTCAAAGGAAGTGAGTAATTTTAGTAAATCAACTGAATAAGCATTTTAAACTTATGAATTATAATAGTTCTAAGAAAATTCACACAGTCAATTTAATTCTTATCCGTAGGATATCGATATATTACCTTTTATAAAATTATTACTAATCAATATTTCGTAAATTAAGATTCGTTGTAATAACTCAATGATTACGTGAAGTACAAAAATAAAGCTTAACTTTTATAATCTATATATAGGCTTACAAGTTCTAGGTAATCTATTGATATAATATATGCTCACTATTTGCCTTCGAATAATTTTATTTTATTTATGTTTATTTTTGATTATTTCAGAGTATACCTTCCAGCCATGATTTTTACCTGTTTCTTCTTTCCATCTCTTGTTGCTTGGTACTTTTGGGGTGAATCTTGGTGGACAGCATTCTTCACCGTTGGAATTCTTCGTTATACTCTTGTGTTGAATGCAACTTGGGCAGTTAATTCGGTTGCTCATATGTTTGGTAACAAGCCCTATGATCGCGAAATTAGCCCAGTCGAAACTCTAAGTGTTGCTGTAGCTGCTTTGGGAGAAGGTTATCATAATTACCATCACACATTTCCCCAAGATTATTCTGCATCGGAATTTGGTTGGGGAAGAAATTGTACAACAGCGTTTATTGACTTTTGCGCTTGGATTGGACAGGCATACGGAATGAAAAAAATTAGTCCAGAAATGATTAAAAGACGAATGGAAAGAACAGGAGACGGATCTACAGGTTTTGGATATACGAATCCTCCGAAAAAACTTGATTAACTATACTTGATCCAGTATTTTTCTGTTTTGTTTATGCCATACAGGAGTTCTAAATATTTAGAATGAATTAGGTATCTCTGTAAAATTTTGTTCTTTATTCTGCTCGCCACAAAATATGTTATAATGAAATTTTTTTCATCAAAACACTATCGATATTAACAAGAAAATATATATCATTCATCTAGAATGTCTAATAGCTTTTTCCGTATCTCCTTAACGATGGCAATCATTTGGTACAGTACTTAAAAAATAGAATTCTCTTTGTCGAGTTAACTTTAAAATATTCAAATTGAGTTTTATCACGTTAAAAAATATCTATTTACAGAGAAGATTTCTGCACTCTGGGCTTAGGCAGTGGAAATCCCAAGTTTGCAACATTACATTTAATCACAGTAATTGGTGTTTTTCCCATACTAAACCTGTTTAAATGATCTTTACTTAATCTGTCATTTTCTTCCATGGTTTCTTTCACTTCCAAAGGTGGCACTTGTCCATACAAGTCCAAGTCTTCAATTTTAGGATAAAAAGTATCTCCAGGAAGGCAAGCTGTAATGCCATCAGCAGTAGAAATTCTAACAGGCATCCATCTCTCTGTACCATGCTGCTGCCTATCAATTGCAAATTCTCTAAGATTTTTAAACTTTGTAAAATTTGCTAATCTTGAAAGTTCATAAATTTGGGGTGGAGGTAGAAATAGCTCGCACTTTTCGAATTCTTCATTTACTGATGTTGGAGTTACCCATTGGCAAAGTTCTACTTCCCTTTTATCGCTTCCCTTTGATATTAAATATTCATCTGTAGCTGCAAGATAAAATGCGGTATCATATCTTCTGTTTTTAACACCAGGGTCTTCAAGGTGATTAGGTGTTAGCCAATTACTCCATTCGCTTAAGCAATCAACGTCGGGAACAACGGAATATTTTTTGCATAGTTTCAAAAAGGAAGATGGACTCTCATTGACTTCTTTCCTAAAATCCTCTAATTCATCAGTTGAAAGACTTTCTTCTGTTAACTTCCTACAAATCAGAATACCACATTCTTCAAACAGTTCTCTAATAGCTGTAATTCTAAATCCAATCACAGGCGAAAGCCTATTGTTATCAAAGTCCGTAAACATTGGCGGTCTAACGCCATTTGCTATTTCCAGATGTTCAAGATTATTTGTCGAGGAGAGGAAACTCGACCACTCTAAGTTGAAGTCGCCTTTATCTGATATTCCACCAGGAAAGACGTAAGCACTTGGAAAAAATCCACTTTTTAGGCTTCTCTTCATCATTAGCACCCTATAATCATAATCATTAGACTTCGGCCAGCCAGGGACTACCTTTTCATTCTTAAAGCACTCTTTCAATCCAATTCTTGACTGTACTGTAGGTTTCGACGAGACAAGAATTATTGTTGCGGCTTCTCTCCAAGATTTTAATGCTGATGACATGATGTTTTGTAATCGCATACCTTTAGAATATTAAACATAGATTATAATGTGTGGCATAATATTTTGACCTTCGAACCTATTTGGTTTTAATAACTTTGTCCTGTAAAAAAAAATCAGATATATCACGAAGGGTAGTCGAATCAGGAACCAGTCATTTACCCAGTCATATGGTAAAATTATCGCTCAGGCTTACTCTACCGGTTTATTTATTCTAAGGATAAATATAAGCGTCCTAGCAAGAAATATATTTTAAAACTGAGAAAAGATATATTAAAATAAAAATCATACATTAGTATATATATATATAACATTAATTCAATCATTTATTTGTTGAAATTTATCCAACTTGGGAATTTTTCTTCTTTCGTAAATATAAAAGTAACGAAAATTTGAATTTTCAAACTCTCCTTGAAGCGCTGGACTATTTCGTTTAAAATGGCCACCGCTATGAAGCACGTGAATTTTTTGCGGTCTGCGGCAAGCAAATTTAGTCTTCTTAATGCTAGTTTGAACACAAATTTTGTTAGCAATTCAAGCAAACGTTATCTATTTTCTGGTGAAATACTTGGATTGGAAAATTATTTGCGCCATAGAGACCAAACGCTACATCGTCTTGGAGACCTTCAAACCAAATTTGGGGACAGAATGCGAGAGTATCTAAAGTCTGAAAATGAACAAACTATCTTCACTGATGACCTAAAAACAATAGTATATGCAGCAAAAGGAGTAGATGACTTAGAATTGACGAAAATAATGATTAATAAATATCATAAACAATCGGAAGAATTAAGATTTAGCACTTTTCATTTTGGGCCAATTGTAATGAGATTAGCTCACGTACTAAATAATCCACAATTTGCTTGGGAATTGTTTAATGATAAAAATTTGAATGGTTTCTTCGATCAAATGTCTAGCTTTGTAATTCTTATGGATTTGCTATTCAATAGTAAACTTTATGAAGATTGTCTAAAGGCACTGCAAATAATAGCAGATAAGAATTTAAATGGAGTTAAATATCCTATGGATTGTGTGACAATAGCTGCAGCTGCTTGTTTGAAATTAAACACACCCCAAGCTTTCAAAGTTTTATTATCCATATTGCGAGAGTCTAAAAAATTGGGATCATCAGTTTCTATAAGATCATTGGTTTATGCAGCCGAGCTAGCTCTTTTGCAAGGTTCGCCAGAAACTGCATTAGAAATTTTATCAATGCAAATTGTTAATGAGGGTCGAAGAACGCCACTTGCATACGTTAATACGAAACTAAAAGTTAACATTGAACTAGGCAGGTTTGAAGATTGCTTAGCCTCGATTAAATCGTGTATTCTGATGGAGGACTTACCCGAATCTTATAGAAAGAATGGAAAAGTGTTTGAATCAATTATAAATAGTTTGAAAAGTGGTTTAGAAGAAAAGAACGATGTCAATTTAAATATGCAGTTTACTTTAATCAATTCAATGCTTGAACAAGGAGACCATATTTCCTCCTCTAGCTATGAAGATTATTTAATGAGACCTGTTATAAGGAGGAGAAAACTGCATGATGGTTACAAGTCTAGAGAGCGAAGCTCGTTTCCTGGTGAAAGAAATAATAGAAAGGGCAACCGTCCAGGTCTACTAGAGGCCTAGTTGAATGACTATTGTTAAAATTTTGTTATGAGAAAGAGCGAAATGTCAGTAGGAACTAAGAAAACACAATACACTCAGTTTTCATCAAAAATGTATTTGTCTATCTCATATTATATAACTTATCAAAGTTAAAGACCTTAAAACGCAACTGAAAAGGGAAAGAAAAAAAATTTTCAAAAAATAACTAAATGTAGCCAATCATCACTATTAAAAACATTTTGACTTCATATTTTTCCTATAAATCTTTATAGCCTATGTCATCACTGGCTTATATTATTACTTCTTTCCCGATTCATTCTGAAAGAATGGGCTCTCTTTCTCTTACCTATCGTCTGTTTTACGATTGTGAAAAGTCAAGAGAGTCCTCAACTTCAAGGAGAAATGGCTAATAGAGTAAGGACCTGGAAATGATTGTAAAACTTAAAGTTTTGAATAAAAGATGAAAGTTGAAAAAACCGAAACTAAGAAAATTTTGATAATTATAGCAAAAAAAAACTAAAGACATAGTTTCTTTTTCACAAACTCACAATATATTTATTAATGTTAAGCTTTTCATAGTCTCTGAATGCACTACAACTATTAGAAAATTCGTAAAACTGTGAACAATCGTTGTTTAAATCTATAGGTTGATAACTTAAGACTCCTCTGTAAAGGTAAATACTAAGGTAATTTCCACCCGAATCTTGTTCAAAAGCTGCTTAAGTTACCAGCAAGACAGTATAAGTGAACAACACTTCCAACCAAGGAAACAATGTTCAATAGGGCAGAATAGCCATGATATCTCATAAATGTTTTATAATGCTTCTTAAAATCAGGTTCTTTTTGAAACAACTCGTCAAATTGTGTTTGTGAAACAGGTCCAACGTGCGTATCTAATCCATATTCTTTCTCAATCTTATTTTTTCTCAGGGCCACTTCACGAGTAGCGGGTAGGAAGTAAAGAAGATTTGCACAGTTTGATAGCAGCGATAAACCCATGGCAGAAATCTTAAATAAAAATATTAATTATACAGTATATTGCTATTAAATTTATATAAAGGAACATTTAAAAATCACCTGGATAAAACCTCTGGTTTCCAGATTATTTATCGAATGATGTAAGAAGTATGTGCATATGCAAACTGCATTGCTCAACACTCCAAAAGAAAAATACTTAGGGAAAAGTCTTGATTGAACATCGCCGAATAAATGCCTGGGTAGATTATGGAACATAGTCAATCCTAAAAATGAAAATATTTTCAGAATTTTTATAATTATCATTTTCAGTTTAGACAATACCCGCGACGAATGTTACCCAGATTTGGGTTCCAAACCATCCTCCAGTTGTCAATAGGTGAGTGACTGATAGGGCAGTGGAAGGATAATCAAGTCTAACGGATCCTTTTCTGTTGTAATATACCGACATAGCAACAATTGCAGACGATGCTGCCGCAAGATGAGCCGGTTGAGAAAACCTATTGAATTATAGAGCATTCTGTAGAATACTTGTATACTTTCCTTACACTTGCTCAAGAGCGCTAAATGTCGGAGTTGTCACGTAGGCTTTTTTTTATACCTGTAAGTTGGAAGATAGTCCATCAATCCTTTCTTTTCATGTTTGCTTTGGGTCGACATTGCTGTTTAATTTAACTTCTGATTGAAAATAAACTTGTATAATCAGTAATTTCACAGATATTTCAAATTCCAGGAACCTTTTTAATATTTTGAAACGAAAATCAATTCGTAAAATGAAGACACTACACCACATTGGAAATGTTTTTTTGCAGCATATTTATATTATAAAATTTAACTTTTCTCTTATTTCACTATCTTTTATTAATTTTTTAATTAATAATATCATGCATTATATTTTATCTAAACTAATTAGTGGTATCTTTTTTTTAATTTTGTAGTTATCCAATATTTTTGATGCTCTCTACACAACGTATCTATTTAAGACAAGGAAATTTAGTCTCCAGATATAAAGTGAATTATTACATTGCTTTAATTGAATATTATGGCTAAAATATCAATATACTTAAAGTTGTAATTAACATTTAAAGAATATATTTTTTTAATGTGATTGTGGCGCCATCTTTGTTTGAAGAAGTTTCTGGAAAAAGATAGAAAATTCTAGGCAGTTTAAACCTTCCCCAAAATTAACATATATACAGTATATATATATCAGATATATACAATGGAAAAGCTCAGACTTCGAATAGATCGACTATAACACGAAATTCGTCGCAATCAATATGGATAGTTATTTCAAACAACTTGTAGAATTTAATACAGGATTCGACGATTTTTTTACTACTTATCCGTTCTACAACGAAGATTCACCAAGGCTGCTTAGATCATCTTTTGGACGATCTCCTACTTCTAGGAGAGGTTGGAATAAGAAAAGAAAGGCTTTTTATTCCCCCCTCTACATTGAATTTGACTCGGAAGATGATGAAATTAGTTACAATGATTTGAATAGGAGAAAACAACTGAAATGGAACAAAACAAAAAAAAGAGGAAATGCTAGAACTTTCTCTCAAAGTCTGGACCTGAAAGATTACGATCCCGAAGAAGTTGAAGTCAAGATGGCTAATGGAGCCGTAGAGGTTTCTAGCTCTTCTTGTCAAGAAAAAGAAGGACACTTTAGCACGAAGCAGATGTATCATCGCTTTACTTTACCTAAAAATGTTTCAAAAGAAGATGTGAAGATATCATTCAATGATAGCGGAGTTCTCTCAATAACTGAGGATAAACAAAAAGAGTTGAAGAAAATTAAATCTTATGAGAATACCAAAGCAACAATGGAATTAAAAAATGATGAGAATGAACGAGGTAACGAATTGAAAACAATAGAAAATAAGTCTATCTTTAAACAAGAAGTAGATGTCTCAGGATACGATCCCTCTGAATTAAGTGTTAAGCTAATAAATGGAACAGTTGAAGTAGCCGGGCTTTCTGTAAAAGAAGAAGATGGAGCAAGATGCGAAAGAAGAATACGGAAAACTTTTCCCATTCCTAAAGATGTTCATGAAGATGATTTGCATTCCTTTTTGGATAATAATGGTATTTTAAGAATAGCTTCGGAGAAAAGTTGTAACGAGGAGCCTGTTGTTCAGAGATTTACGCTGGGGGAAGAGAATAAAAAAGAGAATGTTGAAATGATTGAACTAGATGAAAAAGAGATATAAATACTTAATATTTTTACAAATTTGTACATTATAGGCGCAATGTTATAATAATGTTTTCTAACCTGTACATTTCTTAAAAATACATATAATAAAATAGCTTTACAGACAGAAATTATAATAAAATTATCGGAAGACCTTCACATTAGATATTCAAATATTTCGTTAAAACTCTGTGTCTTTATGATTATATTATAAAAAGCTACTTCCAAAAAGTTATTAATCGATTAAAGTTCTGTTAATCGATTGAAAAGTTCACTTGCAAACTTCCGTAGCGCATTAGGCTTAAATATATTCTGCGGGATTGATATAATAATTTAGCTTACGGTATAAATTTATAAAACATATTATTATTTACAATGCTTTATCAGAAATCGCCAAAAAAATGTTCTTGTAAAAATACGAAAATAGGTTTACAATTATTATCAAGATGGCTGCTTACAGGCAAGTTATAGGAGTCACCAGAGTTACCTCCAGATTTCTCTGTGATCTGCTATTCAAGTGAGTTTCTAAAAAATTCCTATATATTATGGGACTCTTGAGAAACCTAGAACGATTTTAACTGATCTCATCAATACTTATAACCAAACTTTTTTAAATTTTTTTGTATAGATCTATTCGAACTAAAACATCAGCTCGTCAAATTATGACTTTATCTGCTCGAGGATATCATTTTAAAAAGGCGACACCAATAAACTTTTCCCAGAGTATTTACTAGAAATGTAATTTTTATCGAAGAGTTTAACACTTCTTTATTTTAGAAAGATATATGTTTATTCAAACTCAAGAAACCCCAAATCCGAATAGTTTAAAGTTTTTACCAGGATGTGATGTTTTAGACTCGGGAACAATGGATTTCCCAAATGTTAGAGAAGCTCATTCTTCACCTCTGGCCAAGTATGTCAACGTAGGATTTTTACTTCAAGTGTCAATTTTCTTTGATATCATTTCAGATTGCTTTTTCGGATAGATGGAGTAAAAGCTGTTTTCTTTGGAAATGATTTTATAACAATAACAAAAGAAGAAGATATTGATTGGCAAATTGTCAAACCGGAAGTATATGCAATTGTTATGGACTTTTTTGCATCAGGATTACCAATATATACCGGAGAGAAAGCTCCTAGTGATACTGAGGTACATCCGGAAGACGATGAAACTGTAGCTATGATTAAAGAACTACTTGATACAAGGATACGTCCGACAGTTCAAGAAGATGGTGGAGATATACAATACGTTGTAAGTAATAGAAAATTAAAAATATAAATAATATAAACGGTTTTAAGTATTGAATATTTAAATATAGGCATTCGAAGACGGAATAGTAAAATTAAAAATGCAAGGTTCATGTGTTAGTTGCCCAAGTTCAACGGTTACATTGAAAAGTGGCGTACAAAATATGCTGCAGTTTTACATACCCGAAGTTGTTGGGGTAGAACAGATTGAAGATGAAGTTGACGAAATAAATAAATCAGAATTTTCAAAGTTTGAAGAAAGATTAGAAAATGAGAAACAGAATAAAAGTTAAAGCATTTTTAACAAATCAATATAAATACTGTATGAAAAATGTCAAAATAATATTACTTCTGTGTTCTTATATTTTGAGGAGTAACCTACTAATTGGTTTTGATTTTAAGTTGTTGACAAAATGGTTTAAATTAAGAAAGAAAAAAAGTTTATAAATATAGACACATTGTCAAATAAATATTTAAAATTTAAACAAATCTAATAGAAATAAGAATTTGTTTTTAGTTGAAATTATTTAAGTCTAAAAAGCTTCATGTCAAATTCAAATGATTTAGGTGATAGTGAAATTGACTTTAGCGAATCTTATGTCACTAATGATCAAGATATTGAAACTAGAAGGGCCGAAATTGAAGTATCTACTTCTAGTGGTTTTGTTTTTGACGATATAAGAAAAGGTTATAAAAAAAAAAAGTATAAACAGAAAAGAGATGATCGCGCCAAGCACCATCAAAGTAGAGGTAAGATTGTTTATTAGAAAAGTTTTTATATCTAAAGCTTTACAAGAGTTTAAACTTTAAATCAAACTTGATAGGTAATAAAAAGCGACGCGAGGGTCGATGCCAGTGTTGTCAAACATCCAGTTTGTCTTCTGACAATTCTATCAAGCATAAAATACAGCAGAAGAAAAAACACAAGAAAAAATCTTATAATAATATTTGTCCTTGCTTCGAGGCAGGAATGAGAGCTATTTTGAGAAATTCTGGAAATTTCAATCAAAACCCTTACTTCAACCATTCGCCCATGAAACCAAGCGCCAATACATTACAAGTAAACCTTGTTAGATTTTAATGTTAACAGAGATTAATAGAATAATATTACAGCCACTTCGACGCTGTTGTTGTCCTCAACCTTCGGTTTGTCCAAGTGTAAATCAGAGAGATTTCTCGTGCTTGCCAAAGAGGAACAAAGGAATCAAAGATTACGATGATGGACCGGTTTTAATGACATTGAGATCAGCACTTGATTAAAACAAAAATAGACTCTAGAACTATTAATTATATTGAAAAGTATTTAATGCTGAAATATTAAAAATCAATAAAGTAAATTTGTATACTTATAACAAAATTATAAGAAAGGGTTTTATTTTTCAAGGATAACAATCACTTGCATCGAAGAGTTGGATTAAACTATCATTTTCATATAAAAATACATTACTCAATAAGAACGCGAACCTCTTCAAGAGGCGTTCGTATTCTCATCAATTTTTCAGTTAATAGGTCAGTAACCAGTTGAACACTTTTTGGTACTAATAATACAAAATCAGTATATAGGATCTTATCAGGGACACACGATTGTAGTGATCTATGAAAAATCTTTTCAACATTTTCCGAAGTCTTTTTCTTAGCTGTATAGTACATTAACATCCTCCAAATAATGGTACTTCTTGGACATTTTGCGACTGCCTCCTCTAGAACAGAAAAAGTCCTTTCAACATTATCTGCTTCGATTTCTAACAAAGCTCTCGTTACATGAATCGTCTCAATTTCGCAATATTCCTTATTGGAAATTAATTCATCCAAAAAATTCCTTAAAATTCTTTCGTTTTTAAGTTTTAAAAAGGCACAATGGTAATCGACTTCTCTGGGAAACTTTTTAATAGCTTCAAAAATGCAAGAGTTTAAAATTTTCGGAGCGGCGGTGGGATCTGTAGACAAATAATGCTGAGCAAGGCGAACTCGTAAATCGGTAACAATTCTAAAATGATCCATATTATTTTCATAGACTCTTAGACGAGCTTCAAGAAAGTCAAAGGCGGATTTTACGTAATCAATCGCATATAAAAACATTGCATATGAAATATCTAGATGAGGTGAAGTAACCGCTAAAATTCTCTCTTCAAACGAGTTTTTAGTTCTCAATATATCAATATCTGTAGCAACTCTCTCAAAATCAACAACTATTCCTAAAACATTTCTGGCCTTTTCTTTATTCATTTGCCCTCCCAAGATGCCCAAATAAATTTGTGCATAAATATTGCAACATTTTACGCAACGCCTTTTCGTTTGCTCAATTACTTGTTCTGCTTCAATTCTTCTGTCGTGTTTGCATAATAACTGAGCTAATTTCGCCCAAAAGAATGAGTTAGATTTACAAAATTCCATACATAATATATTCTTGGCTTTTTTAATAGATTTCTTATCTTGGCTGCGTATTAAATAATCAAACCATTTTGTTATCCAATATTCTAGTAATTCATTATCAAAATTTTCTAATATATTGGCCATGTGTTCTAAAATGAGTTCAGCTATTCCGCTCATCCACGAGCTAACGGGTGCCATTTTAAAATTCATTTCAGTTATAATGTCGTAGGGAGATGGAGATATTTCAAAAAATTCTCCAACGAGCTCCAGGATTTGCCTGAAAGAAGACAGAGTTAAAATGTAAATTCGAATAATTAATAAAAGACAGATGTTACCTCTTATCATTATTTATAAATAAGAAATCTTTTACATCATCGAAAAGTATAATGCGTTCATAATCATCAACTTCATCATCCTTCCGACAGCTTAGGTAATGAGAATTTTCGCGTAATTTTTCCAAAGCTAACCATACTCGACTCTCTCCCTTATTTTTATACTTTTCAACTAATTCGTCTTCATTTAAAGCCGCAGATGGCTCTACGACACTTTGATTAGTACTATTTTTCCAACCTACAGAATGCTTCTCTCCTATTCGAGGTACGCCTGAATCCCAGAATTGATCCAGAAAGTAGAATTGTGTGTTTAAGGCAGAATTTACTAAATTATCTGGACAATTAAAGTTGAGTTCTAAGAAGGCTTGCCATGTTGCGAGTGCTTTTTCGGACGATCCACTCCTTTTTAACACTGAGCAGTACATTGAAAAAAAAGACAGCAAGTACTTATTTGCATCTTTTCGGGGAGGATGAGTTAAGACATGGCCGTCTAAGATTCTTTTAAAGTCTTTTATACATTTTGTAAACACGTTGGCAATATTTCGAATGTTAAAACTCATTTGTCGATAAGTATTATAGTTTAGATAAACTTGCCAAACTCTTTCGTCATTCATGTGATTGAAGAGTATTTTTTTCCATTCTTGATCATCTACTGTTTTCTTTCGGTTAAGGAAATGAGTAAGAATTTCAACGTTAGCCGGATTTTTCTCTCTAGCTTTCTGTAAGACACTTTCCATCATATCAAGTTTTGCATCTTCATTTAAAACAGCTTGATTTTGACTATGAGCTTCGGCCAACTTAAACCAGGAATCTATATCTGCTGGATCCGTTTGTACTTGATGTTCGAGTTTCCTTATTAAATCAAATGGTTGAAATTCTTGTTCATTATCACATTCCCATTTAGAAAATGCTATGAATTCCTGTCCTATAAATTTAAATCCTTTATCAAGCTTGACCGATTCTCCATCTTTTTTAATTAGTTTTCGTATCTTTTTCATATGATAACGCTCCAATTTTGAAGAAGGAAAATTTTTACGACTTCTTACACCGAGTGTATAAGAACTAGGCCTCTTATATTTCGGAACGTCTTTTTCATATAAGCAACCGAATTGCAGAGTATTTCTATCAGGAATTGTATCTTTAAAATAATCCTTAGGCTTTTCTCTCTTAGTTGACGGCCGTTCTCTTTTAGGGGGGGGAGATCGTTCTTTCTTCACTTTCTTGTGCTTAGCCTTTTTTTCTTTCTTCTTCTTTTTCTTCCTACGTGGTTCGCCATCTAAGCTATTGCTTTCACTTGATTTTTCTTCGATTTCTTGGCTAGGTGCAATATAGCTTTTACTATTTAACCATTCCAGGGAGCTGTCCTGTATCGTATTCTCTTCTTTATTTGGGGATGAATTCTGATAGGCCGCAAAGGCCGGGAACATAATTTTCGGTTTATGGCTCGACGACATCTGAACGATATTTAAACGGCACTAAAATACTTGAAAACAGAATACAATGTCAGTTTCTTCCCTTGACAAAAGCAAGACTAAGAGGATGAGTGGAAACTGAGAAGATTGTTACATTTTTGTTACAAAACGTTAAATTTCTTAACAGTTATTATCCCTAATTAGTGATGGAACTTTTACTTTAACACCATTCACCAACGTTTTTCATTCATTAATCTGGTATCTGTTCCGCCAATAAAAATTGCAGTGCGTTTAGAAATTCGAGACGGAACCAGTGTCCCTGAATAATAATATAAAATGGCGCCTTTGCTTTGCTTGTAAACATTCGGCGGGTTAATTAAATGACCATCTAAATTCAGCAAATTGTCGTCGATTTCCTGAGATTTCAACTATATAGGGCCGTGTTATTCAAACGATGGCCACTCCAGCCGTCATCACTCAAGAATTGTCTCCGATTTACGCATCTTTATTAGGATTAGCAGAAAAATTTAGGACTACTAATCCTCCAAATTATAAAGCATGTATTCAGTGCCTAAGGAGTATTTTATCCTTCAAGTTACATCCAAGATTGGAAGCACGGACGAATTATCAATTGGGATCAATTTTATTTAAGCAAACAAATAATATCGACTTGGCGCAAAGGCATCTAGAAACTGCTGTAAGTTATACTTAATTATCACTGTTTGTTAAGTAAATGTTATTTTTACGCTTTTTCAGTGGCAGCTAAGCCAAAGTGTATCCTTTATAAAACACATTTTTGCAATATTTTTCCCTTTTTAGTACAGTAAGATATGTAGTTGATGATGGTATATTATTTTTTTAAATATTAGTACAATAGGCTTTTAATATCCATCTCTTAAACGATAACGAAATTTTTAATAGCACGCCACTACTATCAATATGAAGTTATACGTATTCGTAAACGTCAAAATACCTTTCAAGGTTGCCTAAAAACGCTCGGCTACATACGCTGGCTAATTCTTTTATCCCCCTAAATCCATTTATAGATAATTGAGTATACCTTAAATTTTCATTAATCAATGACATAAAATGAAAGTTACTAAGGGAAGCTGGAGAATTTATATCCTTAGCTGTAATTAAGTCGACAAAATTGCAATAAACCTATTAGATTTTCATCTCAAAAGCCTATAATATTCATATTAACCTCTTTTATGGACGTTTTACAATAACATTAAAAGCTTCAGCTTTTTCCAAATTAATCTCATATCTATATTTATATAGCTTTTTCTAACAATCATTCAGTAAGTTTGAGTTTTATTGGATCGAAACAAAAGATTGGATAGTAGAATTGATTTACTACATACTTGAAAGTAAATGATTTCCTTAACATAAATTTAGGTTTTAGATGATAGTGTAATATTTGAAACTGCTTCGACACTTGCCAAACTGTACATTTCTCAGGTATGATATAGTTTTGGATATTTGCATAACATCTGCGTAATATATTTAATATATTGTTTATTAATAAAGGGAAATACTGAAGATTCTAAGGCAATTTTAAGGACAGCTATTGATAGATCTGGTCAATTTCCGTATTGGCATTGTCTACTTTTGCTGCAGGTGTCGGTAAGTTTTGAAGAATGCTTTATTACAAATGATATTAAAAAATTGACAATTCCAGGAAAACTTTATAGCTGATTATCAGTATGATGTTGCTGTTCAAATGCTGTCAATCGGAAGTGATTTCGCTGCATCTCATAGATCGTTTTATACTCAAGGCTTGTTTTTGTTAAGTAAAGCTATGGTTAGCTTCCTTTTAATAAATTTACACTTGATAAAGTCTAACATTTAAAATTGTCTATATAACATTAAGGTACTTCTTATGGGGAAGAAACTGGATCAAATTCCAACTGCTATGGCTGCGTCTGCTAGATGTATTGAGCAAATGACTTCCCAATATCATCGAGAGAGTCTACGTACTTTTTACCTCTTTTTGGATGTCTATCAATATTTAATTACTGGAAAGGTTTGTAAATTATTTATAGGACTTTTGTGTTAAATTATTAATCAATTTTATTACACTGAAATTTCTTTAAAATATATAATTAACAAGCATTTTTTAGGTAATCAGTAATAATTTCCTTTTTTAGGTAAAATCATGCAAACCGTCTTTAAAGCAACTGCAGCAAACTATACAAACTTTAACTAATATGCCTGAAGAAGATACAATGAATTATAATCCAATTGACAAGTTTCATTGGATGCCAAAGGATCAAATATGCGTTGTTGTATATTTGGTAACAATTATTCATTCACTGCAAGCCGGTTGTGTAGAAAAGGCTTCGAAGTATACCGAAAAAGCCCTTAGTCACGTAAACAACTTGAAAGGTAGTAAAAGACAAAATTGTTCGTAATTTATCTCTATAATCCGATTACTTTTTATCAAATAAATTCCAGCTGCTGGAGCAGTGGATAGTCCTTTACTGAAATCAATGGAATTGTTCCTATTTGAACAAGTCATACAATGTAAGATTATATCTGGTAATCAATATGAAGCAATTAAAGGAGTAAGTATATATTATATATATCTTAGATGAATTTGTAATGTATTAACGTTTACTATATTTTCATTTTATAGATCATGCACGCCAGTAATCATGTTTCTCAATCAGCTCCAAGATTGTTTCGCACTCATAGTTCTCAACTTCATACTTTAATCGTTTGTTTTAACATTTGAATATTTTATAAATTTATATTAATTGATCTATTCTCTACAGGGATTATATGCGATGTCAATGAATTGTATGGATGCTGCAGAGGCTCAGTTTAGTCTGGCTATTAAAGTAATTAACCTTAATTATCTATCTATTTATTAATTTAATTAGCAAATGTATTCTTTCTATAGAGTGCTGATAAAGAATTAGCAACGTTTATCAGACTAAATCTAGCTATATGCTATTTAAAAATGAATCGTCAAGCAGAAGTTGTAAGCTTACTAGAGAAATGTGACAATCACGTTGCTTGCAATCAAGAGTTTGTATCAATAGCTCTTAATAAGTATCCTAAAAATCAAAGTAATTCTTTTTTATTATGTCCAGTAATCAAAGTGTCAAAGCCTCAACGTTATACGTCAAAGGTTTACAGGCATTTTTTGAAAGAAGATACCACGATGCTAAGTATGATCGATAGTTTTTTCTGAAAAACATCAACTTCTAAACAAGCATTGACTCCTATTTAAAAATATGTTTCTTTTAGACGAGTTCTAAGGGAATCAATCAAGATTGCTAATGGCGAGGAATTAAACCGATTAACTGCATGTGGATTAGTTCTGCTTGGTCATATATTTTGTGACCAAAGTAACTCTACGGTTTGTTTATTATCAATCACTCTACAAGCATAGCTTATGAATTTTTATTTCATAATTATAATAGGAGGCATTAAACATGATTAATCCAGCAATGCAGTTAGCAGCGAAAATACCTGATAATCATGTCCAGCTATGGGCATCTTTTCTACTTAAAGGTAAAACGAGGAAGTTATCTTTAAACAAGAGAAATCCAAATTAATTCCTTCCATTCTATAGGAATTTATGAAAAATGTGGAAATCAACAAAGTTCGATCGAATATAGTAGCTTGTACAAACAATTCAGTGAACTTTTATTAAACGATTACTTGAACGCTGGCGGGCAACCTGAACATAAACTCATCGAAGTAAAATTTTGTTATATTTAATTTAATTATATTAATTAAATATAACGAAAAATTTATTTTACAGTGGCTTGATGGTTCACCCCCTGTATTTACATCTCAGCCTATATCAACTCATCAAAGCGCGCGTCCATATTAACTGGAGTATTCTTAAATAATACTACTGTTTTTCGTTGTTGTGGTCAGTAAGTTAGTTAATGTTTTGACTCGAGCACTCTTTGTAGAAAATTCGCAGTGGTCATATTTTTTTCTTCTTTAAAATCCCCTCCCCTCCTCCCCCCCCCCTCATCCTATTTCCTCCTTTCCTCCCTCTGTACTCAAGTATAAATTTTTACTTTTTACAAGAATATCAATGTTTTATTTTCAAAAAGATTAAAATATATTTTCTAAAGATATTACCGTTTATTAACTATTTACTATTTATCTATTACTGTTTGTCATTTTTCTTAAAAAAAAGAAAAAAAAGCACATTATTAATGATATATCCTAACATAAATGAAATATATTATTACACGTTTTATTTATTTGTTCTACGTATTATTAATTATGAGCGAATTGTATTATTAGTTTTTTAAATATAGGGTATTTTGTTAAGTACTAAAAATAAACTAATTGCTCAAGTTGAAACATTTTTTCAATAGTTCTTGTTTTCTTTTATTCAATTTTAATAAGTTAAAACTTTTTCAATTTTTATAGAAATATTTTCTTAATTTTTGAGCTTCTGCTTCCATTTCTTCCATCGTCCTTGCTGGTCTGTTTTCATCTTTATCATGCTTTTCAAGCTAGACATTAAATAGAAAGTGAAAAAGAGTTTTTTTCTTTATTTTTTTAATTATCAAACCTCTGTATAGACGTCGTCAGTTCTAGGAAAGTCACCGGATTTACGAGGAATAACGTGGATGTGAACATGAGGGATAGATTGTCCAGCTTCCGGTCCATCTTGTATTGCTAGTGTCGAACTCTCGGTTGCATATTCGGTTTCCATAATCTTTTGAACCTTTTGGGCTGTGGACCATAAGTCTGATATCTCCTCAGCTGAAAGATCTGTAAATTTAGCTGCTATTCTTTTAGGACTAATCAACACATGACCAGGCCTAACTGGTTTAAGATTGACAAATGCAACACATCTGAAACCACCATTATATTTTTATAATCTTTTTTGATAGACTATTAAGAATTTACCGTTTTGTTTGGAAAAATAAACATCTTTCTTCAATCTTGATATCAGGTCCAAAATTAAAATATCCTGATTCTAGACCTATCCATTGTTCTAGCTCTGACGTTTTTTCTGATTCGGAGATAATACCGTAAGAACCATATAAGTCATCTCGTCTATGAACATCAACAGGCATTTCGATTCGTTTGGTATTGAGGAAGTCTAAATCAATATCAACAACACCAAATGAAGGTGTTTTTGTTTCTAAATCTACTAAGACAGAGCCCCATGGATCAACAACAATCGAGTGTCCATACGAGCTTCTTTTCGCATTATGCTGGCCTTCTTGAGCGGCAGATATAACATACGACTGAGTCTCAATAGCTCTGGATTTCATTAAAGTATGCCAATGAGCCCTTCCAGTAACAATCGTAAAAGTTGAAGGATATGTTAGTATATGGGCTCCTTGTAGTCGTAACCATTCAGATATACCTGGAAATCTTACATCGTAGCAATAATTATCAGTTAAGGAAAATATTTAGTTCATTTCTCTTCACTGATGATAGACACAGGCTGTACGAAAAAAGGATACGATTCCCATCCCAATTGATCCAGCTGGAGAAGGTACTGGGAGGACCAATTTTTCACCCGGTACCGTGAAATTGGTTTCTTTTAGTTTGATTTTCCCCGGTATGTCCAGATCAAAAAGATGAACTTTATGATAAGTCGACACAATATCGCCATCACTGTTAATTATGACATGGCAATTTGAAGTTCGTTTAGGGTCATCTAGTCTTTTCTCGTGTATCCCACCTAAGGACATCCAAACACTCAGCTCTTTTGCTAAACTGTGCATTGATAATTTATAAATAGGAGAATAATTAAACCAATTACTTACCTCTTATACTTGGTTATTAAAGGTCCATCTAAGGTTTCTGCCAATTCCAGAGCTTGCTCTTTTGATTCTGATACGTAGTCGCAGCACTCCGGGAGAAAAACAACTTTTGCACCCTGACTAGCAGCCTGTTTTATTAAATATGATGCACTATCATAATTAGCATTTTTATCTGCAGTACATCTGAGTTGTATAATGCCGATTTTAGCTTTCCCTTTGGAATATGATTTATTGGCAAACATTCTTTTACAAGAGAGTGGTATTAGTCTAAGTATAGAAGATGTCATTAATTAGTAATCTTGAAATAAATCGCAATAAATAATTTTGGTGGTAAGTGTTTTTGTGATTATTTAATTGTTTTAAAAAATAATCAACAGACGATCAGTATCGTCTGCTAGAGGAACACTTTCTTATTGGTTAACACGATCGCCATATTGAAAGTAATCACAAACTTTATAAAGTATTATACTGTATATTTGATAAGAGATTTATTAAATAATAATGAGACTTTTATTATCTTGCATTCAATATAATTATTTTAATTAAGATAACAATGCATATTAATGAAAACTCTAACTTTCTATTTATTGTTAAGACGTTCTTTCCAATAGTTATAAAATTCAAAAAATGAATACGTCAATTCTTATTATTCTGAGGCAAATGATAAATAAAAGAAGTGTATGGTTTGCGTTTCCCTTTAGCAATAAAGAGGTTTCCTTCGTCGCTTACGTATATATCAGAAGGCTTAATCTCCAAATTTAAAGTTTTCAGCCTATCTAGATCGTTATTAAATGAGTAAATCTGTCTATTTCGTTCATCAGAAACTAAAAAGCCGCCGCCTGCAACAGAGCAAATACCACTAGCAGATTGAAAACCTTCGTAACCACCAATAATCATCTTTATTCTCCTTCCATCGTTACCAGATAACTTAATGATACTTTTATCAGTTATAACTACAACGTCAAAAGTGTTCAAAACGCAAGCTTGAGATATGCTCTCCTTGAATTCTTCAGTCCATATGATATCTTCTCCATCAATATAAGTAACAGTCTGGGGTGAAACTTTAATTGTCGAAATACAAACGATAACTCGGCGCCCTTCATTAGAATAATTACACAATTGCCAAGCGTTATCAACTGTAGCCAAAATTGGAAATTCGGATACATCTTTTTCCCCATCGCTGGTCTTATTCATATCTAATTGAATAATCGATCCTGTATCCCTCTCAATTACGAAAAGTAAATTTTTTTCCCGATCTCTAACTAGATGAGTTAACTTCTTAACTTGACTGTAGAAAATTCTCCTGGTAATCTCTTCTGTATGAAAATAAATATCTGACCGAGTATTTGATTCTGTGCTTTCAACTGAATCGTATAAACCGCTATCGTCAAAATATTTCCATCCACCATCATGTTGAATTTGCTTTAGAAAAGTAAATCTATGAAGTTCTTCACAAATTGGGGAAGTATCTCCTGCGTAATTCATAATCTTCTTCTTGTAAAGATATTAGTTCAACTAACAATTATAAACTAAGCCGAAGTATAAAAAACAATATTTAAATTTCGAAAGTAATACATTGCGTTTTTTCTGGGCGAAACGAATACTTATATATATAAAAAAAAAGAGAAACCGAAACCTAAATTTAAAAATAGAAACATTATATCTCCCCAAAATTTGGTTTTCCCAAAAAGAATGATTAATTGCATAAAGTGTATTGTGTGTATGGTATAGACACCATATGTTTTTAAAAACTGAAATTTAATAATTTTGATAGTCATCAATAATTTAACTTTTCTACTAATTAAGCGTACGTATTAATCATTGTATTTTCCCAAAAAGAATGATTAATTGCATGAAAGTGTATTGTGTGTATGGTATAGACCATTCGTTATATGTTTTTAAAAACTGAAATTTAATAATTTTGATAGTCATCAATAATTTAACTTTTCCACTAATTAAGCGTACGTATTAATCATTGTATTTTCCCAAAAAGACACTATAGTTTGTATTTTCAAAAGCTTATCGATGTATAATAAAGTTTCAAAAACAAAATTTGTTCCAAAGAGGGTATCCATATTTACCTACTTGAATTTTTATATATAAAATCAGAAAATCATAATGCTTCATGAACTTTTATTTGCTCTGAATGGAAAAATTGGAGGTGTTTTTGTTCAGAACGAAAAAAAAGAAGTTAAAGTTAGTAGCTAATTTTTTTTGTAGTTTCCCGGTAAATCCTAATATGCACATTATCGCTCACAGATAATTAAAGATCTCCCGTTTTTACAACCATCTGAAGCAGTGTTGGCAGATAGACTATGCCAATTGGCAACATATTATATTAAATTTTTAAATCTCATTAAAACAAGAACATCTCTGGTCGACAATGAAGAAAATACCGGCATCTATATAAGATCATTTTATGCTTCTTTGGATAAAATTCTGCAACCTTATCGAGATGCATTAGTTATTTTAGAAGAAAAATTATATAAGGATCCTCACATATCTGCAGCAGCATTTCAAGCAGAACTTGAAGACGTAAGCAACTAGAATGTTCCTAATAATATCTTAGTTTGTAACTATTCTCAATATTGTAATTCTTTTTTTTCAGTACCAACTGATCTTTCCAGCCCTCAGCAATGTAATAGATCAAATCGAAGAACAAAATGTAAACAATATATATATACACTTTATTTTGATTTTCACTTTATAATTATGTTACCATTTGACAGGAAAGAGGATGTCAAATTCTCTCTGTCTTATCCAGCGCCGCAAATATAGGTTCCCCAACTATAAGACGATATATGATACAGTTAGTATTAAACAAGACGTATTGCTTTATTTTAATATTTCCAAATAAATTGTTTTATCAGGATGCTTCAAATCTGCCATTGCGTCTTCTATCGACAATTGGCAGCATGGTTGTTACATGGTCTCCTAATTGATCCTTACAATGAATTTTTCATTCAAAAACGTCAAGAAAATGAAGACGAAGAGAAAGATGAAGAAGAAGAGCCAGAATTTGAAGAAAGAATTGTTATTCGAGGAATATCCGGCACTGAGCTAAAGAAAATCTTAGTATTTAGGCATTACTTATTTAAATTATTATATCATTGAGTAATTTTTCTACAGCATACTGCTTTTTCTCATAACGAAGAAATGATAAGAAAGAAAGAGTATGGTTTGCATATGAACATGCTACCAATATATATTCCGAAGAGAGTAGCGGAAAAAGTATTATTTGTTGGAGAAAGTATTCAAATGTTTGAACAAGATAGGAGTCTCAGCGATCTTCCCGAATTAAGAAATATTCTTGAGGATAAAGAAGAGAACTTTACAAAACTATTAAACAGTCTTGCCGAAGAAGAGGAGTTCAATTTAAGGAAATTTGAAGGTTTCGTTAATGAAGTTAGAACCTATGTAGCAGAAGTAAACTTTACACATACAAATTAGTTGATATATTTAATGAAAAATACGTTCTTCTTGCAGCACTTATGGAAATTAATTGTTCAAAAATCTAATCTCATAGGGAGACTGCGAAGGATTAAAGAATTTTATTTATTCGGTAGAGGAGAATTATTCTTAACTTTTATTCATGAGAATTTCAATGCGTTTTCATCTCCTCCAACTGGAAGTTCTAAACATGGTAAATTTCACTTTAATTGAAAGTCAGATGCTCTTTAGCAAGATTTTTTTATCCATGCAGACGTCAATCTAGCTTTACAACAAGCAACAAGAAGTGTCCTTCTAGACGATGATCAGTTAGAAAAGTTCCGTTTGACAATCGATCAGCAAAAGAGTATTACTGAATGATTAGCTAAACTAGTTCTTTGTAATATGCTTTATCTTTGTAGCGAATTATGCAAGCGAATTGACGGCAATCGACGAACTAGAAGCAAACTGTATTTGGAATTCCTTAAACTTGGAACACACTGTGGAATGGCCATTACATATTGTTCTCACTCCAACAGTTATAACGAGGTTTTTATTATTAAAATTAAAATTCTATTCGAACAGTGTAATGGTATTACAATTTCCTTTTGTAGATACAATATGATCTTTAAATTTCTACTAAGAGTTAGAAGAGTACAAACCGCTCTACATAGTTGTTGGGTTGATTCAATGGATACGAAATCTTTACCTGATCAATTTTGTAATAATACTAGATGGTGGTTACGTAATCATATGAATTTTATTGTTAATAATCTTCAATTCTATCTTCAAGTGAGTGAATTCTGTTTCTCCCATAAATATGTTTAAGATTTTTGTTTTAAGGTTGACGTCATTGAGTGGGAATTTAGCGAATTACTAGAAAAAATAAATAAAACAATGGACTTTGAGCATGTTAGCGTCGCTCACGACGCCTTTGTAACATCTCTTTTAACAAAATCATTTCTATTGACTAAACCGGTAAGGAAATAGTTCTCTTTTATGACCTCAGCGAAAAAAATTGAAAATTCACTTTACTCCTAGATATCCAACTGCATAAGAACAATACTCGATTTATGCCTAGCATATACAAAATTGATTAAGAAAAGTGGAGAATTTGTGACCGACTCTGATAACGAATTTTTAAGCAGTATAACAAAGTCATTTGAAAGACAGACAAAAATTTTAGTTCAAATTCTGTCTGATGTTAGAAATCATGGTTCAAGTCCTCATATACGTCAATTGCTTTTACGAATCGATTATAATCGATTTTTTTCGTCTGCCAAATAAGCTAAATGTTTTAAAATAACGTATATGTTTGTTACTTAAATTAGATTCCTGAGTAATGCAATACGAGAAATTTTTTTGAACAGTTTTTATATATATTGTCATCAGTTCTCAGAAAAGATATGGAGGTCGTATAAGATTAAAAAGAGTTTTATTCCATACATGAGCTATACTCTTACATGATAATAAACATAGAAAGCGTATTAGAAAAACATCAAACGGATTGGTATTATATCCTGTCAAATTAATATATAATTTATAATAACGAAAAACCCTTCGATTGCATTGCTCGGCATCGCTCTAGATAATAATTTCTAATAGATAATACGAAAGCCAGATTCTGTAAATGCGGTAGAAATAAAAAGTAACTATATAGATTTGACAGGAAAAACTGAATTAATCATTTCTATTATTGAACAGGAACGTAACGTATTTCAGTGTACGCATATCCGTTGAGCTCTGGACGATAGTCAATATCGCCCATCTGGTTGACGTTCTCCATATTATAGTAAGGTATCTAAAAAGTTCACAAATCTATTGAATTATGCTGGCTTATTTTGACATAATTTTTTAATTACCAAAGAAAAAATAGGCATGCAAAAATTTTAGAAAAAAAATTTAACAATTCTTTTTGCTATCTTTGCTGCTGCTTTCTTCATCCGGCTCTTTCTTTTCAGTTCTGACCTTTCGAATCATCTAAAAATATGATCATGCAAAAAGGTTTAATCAAATCTTTGTCTTTACTTACGATGAAATGGAGAACATAATCTGTAACATAACTGAGATTCTCATGTACTTTTACGAGGCCATCTTTAGAGTTCTGAAGAACTTTATGGGGTAATTCGTCCATACGCAGAGTCTGAATAACAATTTATGATTATGTTAATATATAATCTAGAGAAAGTGCAAAATAAAAACAAATACCTTCAGAAGAGAGAGCACAAAGTCATCAGTTACTTTTCTGGTTTTCTCAAAGGGTACATAAACAGAGGATGGGACAAACTGAGTTGGAGAAAACCAGGTTACCGTTCTTCTAATTTGACGACAGGTGACAATTATTCTCTTTTCGATAACTTTTGAGGTCGTATTCGTTTCGTTTTCCTTTTTCTCAGTTTTTTCTTCGTCTTCCTTTTTATCAGTTTCTTCGTCCTTTTGAATTTCACTCCACACATGACGTACTTTACCGTCGAAGGCTTTCGCGTATTCTATTAAATTTACGGTATGTGTCAAACGGTCAACAGCGTCTTGGGATCTCTTCTTCACACTTTTCACTTGATTCATAGCTCGCAAAAACATTCTTTGACGAACTTTAGAAGAAATTGCAGCAACTCTATCTTTAGTTTTAACAATCTCATCTGACTTTTCCTTTGGTTCCTGGATATCTGATTCTTCCGCAGGCATATAATAATCAACCGTTTTATCTGCATATGCTAAAACGGGATCGACTCTTGGAATGAAAGATCCAAGTTTATCTGCTCCATATTTCCTGACTACTCCATAAGCCTTGTAAGTTTCTGAGATAAGCTGTCAGGTAAACAGTGTTTAGCAGAATAACAATAAACGAATGACTTATAAATACCTCATTTGGGGCAGCCTTGATAATTGGATACTTTTCTTCAATCACATCCAACTTAGAGCATGCATAATCATCTAGCTTACAAATAGGCTTCTCTAGCTTGTTAACAACTGGAGCAGCAGTTTTAGCAACTGCCGAAACCCCAGTTTCAGCTTTTTCTAAAGTAAATCTAACGATAGATGAAGAATCTTTAGTTCGTTGATAGAACGTGGATATGGAACCAAAAGCAGAAGCCACAACTGGAAGTGTTCCAACACGTTGGAAAATCACGTAGGATTGCCCGTCAGAAGGCATTTTTTCTGTAATAAAAAGTTGTTTACTAGAATATACTTTACAAAAATAAACGTTTTGTCATTCTATCAGGTTGAAACGCCCATTTAGACAAATTAAAATATTTGTGTATATGCCATACTACTTCTTTGTTCTTTATGAATATCATTGTTAAAGTTTGACTTTCAACTTACCAACTTGACTCAAGCGAAGGTGAGAGCTAACTGAGAAACGGAAAAGTTTTTCAAAGTATTACAAAAGATTACACGTAGATGGCACGTGACTTTAGGTCAAAGAAAGTGACATCTACAACATTTGTTGAGAGATGAAATAAACAGTTTAATGGCGAATGGTATGTTTTTGTCGTCTGCTAAGCTTGTAAAAATGCGATAAGAATTTCAAAATGGCTTCTCTGATGTTCTCTTCAGAAATCCATTTTGGAAAAACTACATTGTGTAGAAGAATATAATTCGAATGCTTTTCGAGTTTTTACTACTTGCATTATCCAAGAGGCTGTTCAACAATGCCTTCGAAAAATAAAAGGAAGAGAAAAAGTACAAACAATGACGAGGTTCCGAATAAGAAGAATAAAGAAGAGTTTACTGTTATTCACTTTAAATTTGAATTGCGTGATCCCAACACAACATTTAAAGGTAAATAAAATAAATTGTTTATTATCGCCCAGCACGTGTTATATGTGAAATTTTTTTAGCACTTGAAAAGTTTATAAACGAAGTTAGAAACAATGAAAGTAAAAAATACGACTTAGTACAAGAGTATTGTACGTCGTCCAAGCAATGTTCTGAAGTTTTAGACTTACTTCAGTTCAAAGGGCGAAAAGAATCGGAGGTAACATTCTTTTTTGTGCTTTTTTTCCAGTTAATGACGTGAAGGGTCTTATAAACATCAAAATTTATAATTTTTTCTTCAATCTTAGGTTGCTCTAATAATGGAAACTATAGAATGTATAACAGAAAGGATAAGCACTCACTTGCCTCATTTGAGCCAAACGGCTCATGATGTCTTCAAGCATCTTTTGAACAATCATTGCAATTTTTTGGTTTCTCTACTCAGATTCCAGAGTAAAGCTACTCTGGTCAAGTCCATTCTTAACGTATTTCGATACTGTATTGAAGATAATGAAAAATCACTTCGTGAACTAATAGTAAAATTTGATTGGAATAATAAGAATTTAACGCAACTACTTACCAGAAGAAATATAAAAGTAAAAGACTCTTTTAAGCAATATACAACTGATTATTTACAATTTTTAATATCTAGGATCAAGAAGATGTCAGAGCAGTGTACATAAAACTCGTTATGACTGTTTTAGAAAAAGCTGAAAATGATGATTTGAAAACTTTTTTACAAGCTCAAAATGTTATAATTCCATTATTTGATGATATAAAGACGGATACTGTTGAGACAATTGAATTGATATGTAGAACGCTTAATGAAAAGGTTTGTAATTTAATCGAAATTATTTTATGCGTTTAGTTTCACTTATCTTCAGATTATTATGAACCCATTTCTTGGGAAGAGTGATAAAATACGAATCATACGTGAAAAGGTTCTTAATGGATTATTAAAGTGCTTTAAATGGACTGGACCTGCAGGATTTAAAATATCATTTGGCCAAAAACTAAAGATGAAAGAAACAGCAGCTGCTACCGAGGTAAAGTCTAGAAAATGTACACGTATATTATACAATAACTTTTATATGTGTTATTAGATGGATACTTCTGAAAAAATACCTGTCAATCAGGAAGATTTGGAGAAAGTAACTAAATTTGTTCTTGATTTCATGATTAATGTATGTACTAGCATTAAAAATGGAATTATATTTTTTGATCCAAATTTTGGGACCTCTACGACGTGAGTTGATTGATTATTGTTTAATAGCATATATAGCTCATTCTCTTTATCATATTTTTTCAAATATTCAGCAATAAAAACCACTTGATGACAGGTGTTCTTAAGTCTTTGTACCGTGATCAGGAAATATGCAGAGATTTAATATGTAAAATATTAGAGGCTTGTCCTGATCAACTAATGTGGTATTTGATATCCTTTAAAAGTATTATAACTCCTAGGGATTTAGAGAAGTGGCATAACTTGATAGACTTGGTTCAAAAGGTACATATATTAGTTAACTAATAGTTCATCAAACATTGATAAATAAATATTAATGTATTTATTTCATTTAAGATATATGATACACAACTATCATATTCTCCGTGCTTAAAGAAAATTGATATCAGTAACAAAGAAGAGATTTTACCTCTCCTCTCAGCTACTCTATTTCCTCCCAAAGAGTTATGGAAAAGTTTAACAGAAAATATAAAAGTAGGCACATATTTAGTCTTTTGACATTTCAATAATTTACTTTCTTGTTTAGAATGCTCCTTTGAAAGTTCGTCATAAGATTATTAAATTATTCAATTGTTGCATTAAGAGAAGTTTGAATAGCGTGGCCAAAATTAAATCAGAAAATCTACCTGAGGAAATAAAACATGATTTGGATTTAAGTGCTAAAGAAGAACTTTTTGGATTTGCTATTCCTGTTGATACGCTTATGTCACTATGGGGCTTGACAATTGATAATTTGACTGCCATGCAAAAACAAGAGCAAAAGGAGGAAAATAAAGAGTATTTTTATATTGAATAAATCTTATATTGTTCTTTATGAGAATAGTAATTGCAGAGAACCTGTAGAAGAGTATATTACCACCTTACTGGAAACTTATTCAAATTATTATGAATTTTATTCAAATATGATCGAGGTGAAACCGTTTGATATATCAGGTCTTCTTGATGGAATAAAGAAAGTTGAGGAAGTATGTGGAAATAAATCAGAAAACATAGAATTTAAACTTGTACAGTTATTATCCAAATATCAATATTTCTCATGGTTTAAAATGGTAAGATCATAGAAAATTATTGTCATTTTTCATCTACTATTTTTACATCGTTTTTAGACTGGTAAAAAGACTACGTTATTCCTTCTTCTGGAAATTTGTCAATCATTTGGAAAATATAAAGAGTCTGAGACTTCCTTAGCGTACGGTTGTAAAACTGTCGTTCACGAGGTAAGTAGTGTTCTGGCTTAGAAAAATTTAATCTATAATATTATCTATTAATAATACTTGGTTGTAGTTATTTATGAGGACTGAGATTTTCTTTGAACATGCAACTGAGCTGGATATCTGGCTAAATTCTCTACAATCAACTCATGATCGAAAATATCATGATACAATTTTATCATTTGTTGAGAAAGTATTTACTAAAGTATTACGAAATCCTTTCTTGTATAACGATGTTGTAACTGAATTAATGGAAGAGTTTAGTTATGATGACGATGAAACTAGTAGCAGAATCGATCCAATTGAAGGTAAATTATTTAAGCAGTTTTTTTTTTCTTAATCCTCATCTTTAATTTTCAGAAATTTTGGAAAATGATGAAATGGAACTAACGTCATCGGTCAATACCGAAACAAGGTTTATTTATCTTTTATTTTCGGGCTATTAATACTAACTTTTTTTTTATTTCAGTTGTGTACCCTTTTCACCGCTGTTGCCAGCTGCATTCGAAGTTTTAAAAGAAGAAAAATATAGCAAAAGTAAGTTTTAAATAGTATTATTCGAGCCAACAGTCAAAAATTTTATTTTTTACTTTCGAAATAAAGAGGTCCAAAAATTTTTGAATTCTATCATTTGCTGTCATCTTGCTACAACTAAAAATCCAGAGAAATTATGTTATTTGTTAAATCTACATGAATCATTCTTAAAATCTTCAATCCTAAGAAGTGCTGTTTCAACTTTTTCAAAAGTAAAACAACTTTTCTATCATGTTCCTGTTTTCATAGTTAATTTCATTACAAATTTAGAAACACAAATCCGATGAAAATGGGCAAGATGAAAGAGAGGACATCACACCTACTTTACCTCAATTTGCCGCACAAGTGTTTGAATGTCTATCTAGCGAAAAATTCGATGACTTGAAAGAATATGAAGATTCAAATTTCAACTCCGTTGAAGAGATAGCTTGGGGGCTTCAACAAATTATTCAATTAATTACATATTATATTCGGAAAGGATTAAATGTTTGTACTAGGTTATTTCTTATTATTGATTTTCTATGAATATAACGTTTTAGGGAAAAAAGCTTAAGAAATCAATGAAAAAGATTGCTTCATTGTTCAAAGTTTTGAATGAATTAGTGAAAACTTTCATGAAGGCATCTGAAAACATTGATTTGAATGGTAATAAACAATGGATATTCACTGACCTGAAGAGCTACTTGGAGCATGAGGATATAATTCAAAATTTCTTATATAGTAAAAATGATTTGCAACTTGTTGAACTTGTTACCATATCTACTGCAGAAATATTGAAAGTTTTGATACCAGAAAAGAGAGCTCGCTTTCTTTTTAATGCATTTATTGTGAAATTAGAGAATGTTGAAGATTTTAGGCTAGATTCACGGTTAGCTATACAAGTCTATCGTGATACAGGGAAATTTCTATCTGTCAAAGCTCTTCAAACTGTGCTGGAGAAATCAATGAACGTTGAAAAAGATAGCTTTGGAGAATTTTTTCAATTATTGGAGAACTATATAGCCAGATCTCAGAATGATGAGATTACTATATCTATATGTGGAGAGAGCTTAGCGAGAATTATTAAAGAAGTATTCAAGGAACAAAATAATTTAATTGAAAAAGGAGAAACTCTGTTCAACATTATGAATCTTTCTCCACACTTATTCCAAAATATTATAGATAAAGATGGTAAATTTCTTAAAGATATTCTCAATTTAAAGGTTAAAAAACTGGAAGTTATATGCATTAATATACTGAAACGTCTATGTGAATTGTCAACGGAGTTTATTGAATGCTTTGAAAATATTTATTCTGACTTTCTAGAAGCTAAGAAGTCAAAAAAGTTTGTTTTTACTTTGTGCAGTAGTTACTGTCAAGAAGAATCAATTGATGATAAAGTGAAAGAAACCGTTGTTGAATTTCATAACAAAGAATTTAAACAATTAATTAAAACTGAGTCTGGAAAATTTGACTACGAAGATATGAAGAACTTGGCTAGTATTGCGCGCTATTCAGGTATGCTTATACTTTGTCTGATTTTGAAATATTTTATATAAATGTTTGTTTTCAGGCGAAAAGGAGAAACTTTATGGAAAATTAATAAAATGGCTAAATAAGAGTAGAGAACCAGATGAAGCAATTGAAGTTCTATTGGAGTTTGCCAATGAGGATGTTAAATATTTGTGTGAAATTTTGATGCATTTAATTTCGATGTCCCAAGAAAGAGATGTTAATCTTTCAATCGACAAAACTTTGACTGTTCTAATAGAAATTATAGATAAAAAAGGATGCTCTCTTGAAATTATTCGTTCTCATATGTCGGACATTTCTTCTTTTATTTGGTTTGTTTCTTTTTATTAAAATTTTCATTTATCTAATTGTTGATATATTCATACAGCTCCGGATTTTATCCTCCAAAAATAGTGCAATTTCTAACAAAATGTTTAAAGGATGAAATGGAGCCAGAGCTTAAGAAAGATTTAGAATTACCTTTTGCAAATTTGTACAAATATATTCTAAATTCACAAGAATTCTTGGAAATGCTGGACAACAATACCGGAAAGAGTAAGTTTTTAGAAACTGTTGCCAACGTTTCTTTGTTCTAATTAACTTTTTTCTTAATTCAACAGCTTTCAACGATTTAATTCATTTGTTGTTTATTCTGTCAAACAACTTATCATCTGATTGTTATGAACAGTCTCATGTTAACATTTTTTTGCGTTCTTATACAGCGACATTATTATTAACAGGTATTTTTGTCTTTCTAATTCTTTGCGAAGCGTTTAAATATGTTATCCTCATTTTTTAGATAGAAGAATACTGTATATTATTGCTAAATATGAGATGAGTGGTGTTGATTTTTCAAGAATAAGGTATTTATTAGAAAATGTATGTTGAATACAGAATAAGATTTTTAAAAAATTCAGACCATTACTATGGGGCCGCAAAGGAGATATTTTAAAGGAGGATAGTAATAAAAAAACGCTTAAGAAGACACCATATGCATCCCAAGTTTTGCAATTACTGGATGAAGAGATTTTACAATACAGCTGTGTAAACTTTCCATTGCAGAGAAACCTTCAGGTAAAATTAATTCTTTTCTCAAAAAATAAGAATTATTATTACTTTTCTTAAATTTTTAGGATATTGTAAACGAAATTCCGATGAAAATTAGGAATGAAGACATTAATAACAAAGTGTATGATCCAGGGTTTTTGTTGCCATTGTTTGTGAATGTCTTAGGCGCTGGTAAGTTTTACTTAACTTTTACTTGATATCAACTAGAATATTCTGTATTTTACAGAAAATGTTGTAAATTGTAAAGACTTCATTCTAAAAGGATGTCTCTCATACTTAACTTCTGCTTTAAGTAATCACAAAGAATCAACTAGGAATTGTGCTTACTCGGCCTTATCTCTATTTTATGGGCATTTAACGAATGAAAGATTTGCAGAAAAAAAGCATATTATGCATTTATTAGATGTTATTAAAAATTCTACAACTAAGGCGAATGAAAAAATACCTTGTATAATTACAAGATTTTTATCAATTGCTGGAACAACGATGTTTAATCATGGTTTGTCTTATTTAATGAAAAAATTACTCTTAAATTATCACTAATATTTCGTCTTCTAGGCGATCCGATTTATTCAAGAATTCAAGCTTTTATATTACATAGCGAAAAGATGGATTTAAATGAAATTCCAATGTTTTTCAGTACTTTTCATGGTGCAAAAAATGTAATTTTCTAATTTAGTTGCTTAATAATCTAATCTATTTAAGACATATTTGTACATTTAATATTGATCCTTACAGAATCGTGAACGCAAATGGGCTTTACAACTGTTAGAGGAAGGGATGCGCGAAACGAGTGATTTCCGTTTATTTGACAAAAGACACGGAGTGGGGATGCTTCTTTCTTTTCACGATACTCCCAGTATATGTGACACTTCTTGTCGGGTTAGTTTATTATTCATCTTACTTTATTTTACAAGACCGTTTCATTGATTATTTTCTTTTATAATAGAAACACGTCATAAGAACTCTTCTCAATATCTGCTCTAATTCGAAGCGAACCGTAACGGTTCTTTTGAAGGACTACGCTCTTATATCATGGATTGGTAGGAAATTAGCAACCGAAGACGATCTAGAATATATATCTATTTTTCAGGCAATTTTTAACTCTTGTTTTTTTGATGATCAATCTCCTTCATTATATGTATTAGGAGGACTTTTCACAGCTATTTTGGAGCCGTTAAATTCATCACGAAAATTAACGGACGAAATTTATATTTCACAATATTGCAGCTCTTTTGAAAAGCTATTAGAATTAAGCGATAAAACTAAATTAAATGATTTATTTATACCGCAACAAATCAATCAATCTTTAGAAAAAATTCCAGACTTTGGAAATTCTCTAAAATTGAAAGAATCTATGTATAATATATGTAAAAAATGGGGTATAAATATATAGAAAAATTGTACTATTTATTATTATTCCCTGGTTGTTAAATAATTATGAAATAAATTGAATTATTTTCAATGCAATTAAGCAAATTAATACTAAATGATTATTGCAGGAAATTATCTAGATGTTGTGCGCATATCTAATTCCAGGTTTCTCAGCTCTTCAGGTTTTAGTTTTCTTTCTATAGCAGCCATTAATAATTGATAGAAATTTTTATCAGAAATTTGATGGGGGTTTAGCAGGTAAATATCACGTCTAGATTTATGAAATTGATTAAGCAGTTCAATAAACGCCTTGTCACCGGAAATTACAAGGAAAATAACTCTTTTCCTTAATAATTCGTGAGCTTTCCCAACATGAAGTGTTAGTGCAACATCCGCAGCATCCTTAGTTTTACCACATTTTTCGTGTAACTTAAACATTCCCTTTTCTTTTATGTCGTTAAAAGACGTACAATGAGTTGGTCCACTCCAGTTAGAAGAACCACCGTGAAAACCCCAAACAAAAGTCCCAGCTGGGAATTCATTAGGTACTAATCTAAAAAAATGGCCACAATTATCTAAATCGATGTAAATAACACAATTGGCTAATTTTAATTCTTGAAGCGGAACATTTTCAGATGAAATTGAAGAGCTTTCAGATATATCATTCTTTTTTGCGAAGGCCTTAGGTACCAAATTACTAAGCCTATATGGACGATTACTTGTTGATACGATATGCAATGCTCTTAATTCTGACATAATCTTGATCAAATATTTATTATCTTAATCTTTAGGAAAGTAATTTAAATTCTAAATATTACGTAATGGAATACGTATAAATATTGAATCATTTTCCAATTTACTATAAACCATAATGTTTCGTTAATTTGAGTTGCAATCGACTGCTGGTTTATGTTAAATTATCATTTTTATTAGAAATAACCTTTGGATCTCCTTTATCATCTATCAACTCTTTATACTGATGAGAAAAGAGTGGTAGAGAGAGAGAGAGAGAGAGAGAGAGAAAGAGATATTTTTCATATCTTCAAATTATCTTATGTTGTATGTTATATATTTACCATTGCTATTGGATTTAAGAGTTTCTGTTTATAAGGGATGTTTTTAGCAAGATTGATGGGGTAAACTTCATAACTTATTAAATATATCATTAATAAGTACCTGTATTAAAGATATCTTCTTTTGCAGTTGCGTAGAATTGGTAAAATTTCTTGATTTTGTAGTTTGCGTTTTACAGTATTCGCCTGTTCGTAGTTCAATCATTTTGTATAATTCAGAGCATTTTGCTGGTGCGTAAACTCTGCCATTTAATAGAATCTCTGAAGCACTAATTGCCCTACCATAAAATCTGAAAAGATTGATATTTATAATAAAAAGTATAGTTGAAAGCTTAAAGAATGGAGATATTAAAGGCAGATGCTTTTTTCAAATTAATCGCACTCTGTGTTAGCATCTCTTCTTTCCAAAAGAATGCTTCCTTCAATAGAACAACCGATAAATATTCCCTTTGTTTTGGAATAGGTAAATACAGCTGCAAGACTATTTAGGGATATATCAATTTCAACATTTCTTCCAATAGGTCCTACGGCTAAAGATAAATTTGATCCTAACGTTAAATTTCCCGATTGGGCAAACGCCCTAACAGCTGATTCGGTGTTTAGAATAATAACAAAATCTGTCAACTAATGAATAATTGTTATATATAATTGGAGCATTTCCCCCTTTTAAAAAAAGAGTAAAACGGTAAATCTTGAAGATGTGTAGCACCTCTGCACCTATTTCAATTCCTGCACCAACGCCTATTAAAGTTACTGCACTAGGAGCCGACCATACTGTTAGACAGAAAGTAATTAACGTGTTATTCTACGTATTAATAGTAGAAATTAAGAGTAAGTCACCAACAATTATTTTTAAGCTTTGTAATTATAATTCCACTGCCTGCCCTCCCCGTCAAAAGAAAGCCCATTCGTACAACTCTCAATATAGCTAAACCTTTTGCATTCGCAATTATTCCAGCTAAGTAGTGATATTGTCAGGAGAAGAATGGTAATAAATGTAGGATTAGAGTTTTATAACGCAAATAACCGACTGTTAATCCAACCTGGTATTAATTTATCAACAGGATTTTTGGAACCAACCATTGTAAATTCTCTAAGTATTTTAGCCGCCATTTCAGCTTCGTATTTCAATTTGGTGGAAAAAGATGGTATAAACATAGCGTGATGTTAAAAATTGGTGACAAACTAATAAGATGTATTAAAAACACTTGAGATGATGTTATTGTTACATTATTTTAAAAATTTAATTTATCCTATATACAACATCTTTCTTTATTTCTTTTTAATTTATTCAAAAAACTGTTATCGTCCTATATAGGTGAAAAGAAAATAAAAGAAAATTGCTTCTCTTTCATAAGATTGACAAACATTAATTATCGATATCTACTCTTTTAGCAAACTATAAAATAGCTGAATAAAAAAAACATATAAATTATGCCTGATGGAAACTCAGTATTTGCTCCTTCTTTTTGTCTTCTCGCTTTCCTTTATTTAATTTTTTAAATAAGTTTTAAATACACTGTGCCATTTGTATTTAGTCACAAAAAATTACATTCCTTAACATAAATATGTGCAAACCAAATCGATAAATAAACATTAGAAGCCGAAAAAGCGGATGAACACTGTAAATTTTTTATATAATAAGAAATAAAGAAGTAATTATCCTGGTATATAACAAAATTTTCAATAGCTAAGATGATTGTCCTACATTATCAGTTTCTTTGGCAACTGCTTGTTTATTTGAAGAAGTATCAACATCAGCGTCTTGTCCTTCTTTACAGTTATCTTTTACATCTTTTTCGCCTTTCTTATCTTCAGTTTTTTTTTCAGCGTTACAGTCCTCTTTAGCTTCAGTCTTAACTTTAGATTCCTCTGGCTTTTTATCTATATCTGTCTGAACTTGCTGGTTTGTAGATTGATTCTGTTCTTCATTTTTCCTTTTATCCTCTCTTTCTTTGTTCTTCTCTTCCTTTTCTAGTTTCAACTTAAGCTCTCTCTCTCTTCTTTCTTTTTCTTCACGTTTTTCTCTTTCAGATTCTCTCTCCCTTTTGGCGTCGTCTTTTGATAGAGCGTTAGCAAGTTCTGATCTTGCTCTATCCAGCAAGTCGTGAGATCTTCTGAGCGAATCGACTAAATGCTTAGCCCTAAAAAGTTGATTGATTAGAATTACAAGCAATATTACATTTCGTGTTGCACATTTTTAGTTAAAACCAACCTAGATTCAGCAAAATCTGTATTTCGCTTTTGTTCTCTTAATCGTCGTTTAACTTCTATGACATCATTTTGCAGTTGACTGTTCGCTGCTTCTTTATTAACTACGGATCGCTTTAGAAAATCTAATTCTTCCTTTACGGTAGAGAAACGTCTTTCTACTTCTAGTCTGCCCATTTCTGACGTCTCCAAACGACTAAGGATTTGTTCTATATCAACTACGGCTCCCTTATGTATTATCAAATGATTATCACCACCATCTACTTCCTCTATTTGAGCTTCACATTTGAACTCTTCAATTTTAGGTCGGTTACCTAAGATATTGGATATTGAAAGAAAAATGTATTAATTAATATTGAAAATAAGAGAAAAATTATACAAACCCTTTCCAATTTCTTCGTCACTTGGTAAAGATTTATAAAATTGAGCTTCACTAGCTAGTCTTGCCTCCTTAAGAGTCTCACTATCTTCTAAAATTTTTTCCTCACCCTCCTGAACGGCTTTGTCTGTTAACTTCCTATAAAATATTGTATCTCTTGAACTGACTTTCTGAACGATTTTTTTGATTTGCGATCTAGATAGATGCAAACCAACTGTTGAAAAAAAAAACAACAGAAATGGATTAAACCGACTAAAATATTTAGTTAGAATCTTACTTGTATGGATAATATCTTCGCAATCTTTTTCTAATAAATAACCACTATGGTTTTGATCGAAATACGCAAAGGCTAATAGCAGTTTAGGTATAGCTGTATAATGCTTAACATTTTTTTCCGGAGAACTTCTCCTCTCTTCTTTTTTATCTCGCCGCCTTCGTTTTTCATCATCTTTTTCATCACTTTTAACCGAGGTATTGTCAGCATCATTCGATAAATTATCTCTAGTTTCTTTTTCCTTTTTATCTTCTTCGCTTTCAGTTTTCTCCTCAAGTTTTACTTTTTTACTCTCAGGTTCCTCAGATCCATTTTTCTCTGTATTTTCCTTCTTCTTTTCAGTTTTTTCAGGTTTGTCTTCTTTGGGCTTTTCAGGAGCCGCAAGTAACGATTTATAAATCATAAATCCAAAATCCCTAGATAACATTTCATTAAACAATTCAGCAAATAACGAAACTTCAAAAGAGTGCTCCTTGTTATCTTCTGGACGATAGTCTAATAAAACAGATAGAGACATTACTGTACAATCAAATTTTCCATTTTTAGCAGTTGTTGATGGATGACATATAATAGCAGGTGAATCGGGTAGAGTATATCGTCTCTCTAATTGAGATTTTTCTCTCTCTTCTCTTCTCTTCTTTTCCTCTTCATCCCACTTGCTTAATTTTTCCTCTTTGCCCTCAGGGGCTTCCTGTGATGGAGATTGCGACATAGCTGACTCTTCTGCCATATCTTTAGCATCTGTCTCTGGGGGTGTTTCAGATGCAGGCTGATCGTCTTGATTAGAAGCTTCAACTTCGCCTTCATTTTTTAAAGCCTTTGTAAGGCGAGCAATTAGCTGAGATTTTATACCTTTGCTATTAATATTTCTAGACTCCAATTCAAGTTGTAATTCAGTCAACTATAATAAAAAAAAGTAGTATGAATAAATTTCATAAGATTTAAAAAAAAACCGACTTTAAGAGATTTTAGATCCAATTGCGATGAGTCAGAAGGCTGTAAAACTTTTTCTTCTTCGTTATTCTCTGCGTCCATTTTGTTTTCTTCTTTTTCATTTGTAACATCGACCTAAGTAAGACAATAGGATTTACAAGCTGATACGGTAGAAAAATAAACTAGTGTTTAAACATCCACACAACTAGGTCTGTAAATATTGTACGTCATATATTCAACAGTGCCTATAAAAAGAAACCATTCAGCACCATATTCGCACTAATTTTTATCCTACAAGGTTATAATAAAAACAAATGCTATAAAGACAAAAAAAAACTACTAAGTATGTTAAAAGAAGAAACGAAGCATTTCGGACAACCGTGGAATAAAACAACTGCGGAAATTAGAACGAAATTAAGTGCCTGTTCAGTAGCCTCTTCAGCAGCAAGCTTTTCGCCCTTTAGCTTGAAATCCAGCAATTCCTGATACGATTTCTGCGTCTTCAGCCAATCAACAGCGGACGGCCTACATCTCCAAACATCCGGAACGAATACGACGACGGTTTCGACTCGTTTGGGTAATGTTTTCCCCCTATGTTGCTCTTCTGCCCTCTGATAGCGAATTTCTAGAAAACGGTACCTGCAGGAGTGGCCAAGTTTACACACGCTAAAATCGCACTTGTCAAAATTAAAAAAAAAAGCAAATAGGAAATAAAAAGTTGTTAAACGACAAACGTTTAAGTACTACAATTTAGTTATTATTTTCCTTAATAATATGATAATCGGATTAGAAAGTGCCATGATTTTGTTTGCTTGTTTTACAACACAAAAAATCTCAGCTGTGTGGGACTGGGTTGTGGAGGGGAATTGAAGCATCTAAGAAAACTTTTTATATAGCTCTTTTTTTTAAATAGCTTTTTGTTCATCGAAAGGATACGCAAGATCCTCGCACTCCTCAGAATTGTACTAACCACTGAGTACACATGCTCAAGTCAATCCCTGTTAAGGCCTTTGTCGTTCTTATTGCGGTGTTGATAAGAACTCGGGGATCTTTTTCAGGTTCCTGACCATCCAAAGAAGGACTCCATGCACCTCCTATAGCCATAGGCTCGGTTTTTCCTATTTTACATAATGAATTATTTTAATAAAGCATATTTCTCATTATTTAAGCTGAATATAAATTACCTTTCAATCCAACCAGAAAATTTATTAACCTAGTTGGGTGTTGATGAGAATTTTCCGAGTCTTCAGCCAAATTACATGCTTTTCTATATAAATCTGGAAGGGGAGGACAAGCCAATAGCATAACTTTAGCACTAAATCGATAATCGACGTCATTAGGTTCTGAATTTAGCGCTGCTTTGCAAAATGTCGGCAAAGGCATGCTAACTTCTTTATGCATAACATGAAAGGAACAGGGATGCGACAGACTCAATGGTCGATGAAGGGGAAAAACTTCAGACCAAGTGAACTTGGCATTGAAAAAATCTGACGGTATGTACAAATTTTGATATCTTGATTTGAGGGATATAACATTTGCTTGTAAAGTATCCAATGACAATTTCGCAACAGTTACATGGTATCTTGTAGAAGCTCTGGTTGATGTATTGGCCCCTCCAATTGCTGACCTACGAAATGGGCGGACTGGACTGATAGTTCGCCTCGGAGAGCGTGATCTTGGTCTTGGTGACCTGGATTTGCGTCGAGGTGGTGGAGATCTTCTTTCTCTTTCTCTATCCCTACGATCTCTTTCTCTTCGATCCCTGTCCCTTTCTCTATCTCTATTGTAGGAGTCCTGATTTCTTCCTCTGCTAGAAGGCGTTTGTTGAGGTGTACTACCTTGCCTTGCTACTATCGAAAATGGATATTTTATGTATTAGGAAATTGCATTCAATTACGTTCTATTTACACAAAATAATAGTGAAAATCACAAACCAGGAGGTTGAGAATTCTGGGACATTACTCCACTACCAGTCGATTGACTACCCTTGAATCCAGGGATATTTGTCTGATTATTGCTAGAACACTGATTAGGTAGCACCTGAATTCTAGAAGCATTCCATTTAAATGGCATATTAACATTGTATGAAGCCTCAACCAAAACCCTATCACCGACTTTAACCATTTGTCCTTTTACAACACTACAAAAAAAAAAAAAAAATTATTCATTTTGCAGTCTAAAAAAGTGCAGAATAAAAGCATTGTCCGTGGTATTTTATTTTTCTCGGAGTAATTATTAGTTACACATAATTGCCTATTTTTAGCGGGATTAGTTCAATCTATGCTTTAAAAAATACTTATAAAGACTTATATAGTTCGTCTTCTCCTTTGTAAACGAGTATAAATAAGATAAAGAAAAGTCCTTCATTTAATTCTTAGATAAAACAATAATTGCCAAACGGATTACTAACGTTAATTGAAAAAAGACATCCTCGTCAACAAAGCCGAAAGAATCGTGCAACTTTGTTACTGTTCCAGTGAAGAATCTGTCCCTTTGAGGTTTATTCACAGTATTTTGAGCGTTGGTTGTTGGTACCGCTGGTGCAGCTACTGCTGGTCTAGCACCTGCATAACTGACAGTAGGCATCTGTTTTTTTAAAAATATAGAAGAGTCAAAATACATATTATTTAGGAAGAGTTTATTAAATATATAGCATTTATATTGTTTATAAATCAGAAACAGTTGTTGAACTTTACTTCTAAAACGCGTAATATTTCTCAAACTTGTTAATTACGTGAGATTAAAGTAAAAAAAAATCTAACTTTACCATTATTTCAAAAAAATTGAAAATAAAGTAGGATTAAATGAAAAATTATATATAAATATAAAAATAATCTGAATCTGATATAAGTATTTTAATTTTAAGGATTAAATAACAAATTTGTAAGCTAGGCCTAAGAAATGGATTATTACGCCTATATAGGCAAAATAATTCGTGTATCGTTTGAAATACGCAGGTTGGAATTATATTTTAAATTTAGCTGATAAATCTAATGGCTTTTCCATTAGTTACAATATGAAACATAGTAGCCCACTTATGATGCATTGATTAAGCTAATATTTAAGCGCACGTATATCTATATATTTATTTATCTGCATAAAAGCAGCGATATAAATATATGTGTGATGAAAAGCCAACGACAGATTCTCACGATAAATATCCCCATAAATGAACAACAAATGTTGGTAATACTTTTTATCGACAGCTTACTTTTCAAGTTTAAATATGTGTACGAAAAACAAATGATTTGAAGTACTATTGACTGAATATCTTCAAATAAATCAAGTTTAAGTGTTAAAGCTGTACATACCGGAGGTAGCACTGCTGTGGCTATAGGCTGTCCTAATTGATTTGCAACAGCAACTTGTTGAGCAGTATATTGCTGAGGTACCATTCCAGGTTGAGAGGTAGTCAAACTATAAATACCTCCCGCAGGAACAGCTCCTGGAGCCAACACAGCTCCTCCAATGTGCTGAGGAGGTATTCCTTGGGTAAGGGAAACTGCAACATTTAAATCCATTGAATTGAACGAGTTTTGCTGAGGAGCAAATGCAAAAAACTCACGATCAGGTCTTGCCCAAGGCGGATTTTTTCCACCAAACTGAGCCATATCTTCACCGACTGCAATAAATTATATTGTTCGTGTTGCAGTACATATTGCAGTCGTGTCTACTTACTATCAAGATATTCTTTTCTAGTATTTCTTTGATGAAATCGTAAAATGGCGAATCATCGTTTAACGAAAATTGTTGTAAAATCTTGTAGTTTAGTGTTGCCCATAAATTAAATGAGCTAGAAAGAGATTGTTTGATTCAAGATGGCGTCCGGTGTCCGGGGTAGCCACTTTAATACATTGTCGGGTATAACTGCTCTCTAACCGATGCGAAACCGGTGAATATTTTAAAAAATGGAGTATGACCGGTTGACAACCGGTACGCGTTTTCTGACCGATATTATATAGAATATAGGGAGGTTATACTAAATGCTAGAATTAGTTTACAGTTTTAAAATATTCTTCATTTGTCCATAGAATCATGCTATATCGGAAAGATATAAAATATTTGCTATGCATTTTAATGTATAATATTGAAATATTCATTTTCTTTGACTGGTCGTTCTATTAAAGTGATTCTCCAGACACTTTAGTTATTTTCAGTTTAATGAAGATATTTCGAAAATGCAATTTTAGGATTTCAAGTTTTTGAAGAGGACTAAAGTAAAACCTAGAAAGTATTTTATCTTGTTAAGTTTTATTTAAGTCTTTAAAAATAAAATTATTTTGGCCAATTTACTGTATTAAAAAGAACCACATCAAGAGTTTGCTCGTCTCTGAGCGGAGTTTAGACAGCCAGATTACTGAAATATTCCGACGCGCACCAGTTTTTCCATATTTTATAGTTTTTTTAAAAAAAGAAAACTGTAAAAATGGTAAGGATATATATTGTGTATCATCATTGTTCATATCCAAATTACTGGATTGGTTTTATATAAATAATTTGAAACATTTTTTTATATATATTTCTGTGAAAAAATACTTTTCTTTCTAATTTTCATTACTGCATCGTCACGCCGCTTATTTCAATCATTTATTATCGTTCTGACAGTCCCGACGATATGATACTAGAACAACAATCTTCTCCCCGGAGGGTCGCTTATATCAGGTTGAATATGCAATGGAAGCTATAGGTCACGCTGGAACATGTCTAGGGATTTTGGCTAATGATGGAATTCTCTTGGCTGCCGAACGTCGAAACACAAATAAGCTTCTTGATGAGAGTGCACAAAGTGAAAAGATTTATAAGCTAAATGAAGATTTAGCTTGTAGTGTAGCAGGCATCACCTCGGACGCTAACGTCTTGACAAACGAGTTACGCTTGATTGCCCAAAGATATACTCTGCAATATCAAGAGCCGATACCTGGTGAACAGCTCGTTAGTATGTTATGCGATATTAAACAAGCCTACACCCAATTTGGAGGAAAGAGACCATTTGGCGTGTCCATTCTTTATATGGGTTGGGATAAACACTACGGATTTCAATTGTATCAAAGTGATCCAAGTGGAAACTACGGTGGATGGAAGGCGACTTGTATCGGGAACAATAGCAGCTCAGCTGTTTCAATGCTTAAGCAAGAATACAAGGATGATTTGAACCTTAATCAAGCATTAAAATTAGCTGTTAAAGTTCTCAGTAAAACTTTGGATACAAATAAATTGTCCAGCGAGAAAGGTATTTTATAAATTTACTATTAATATATGTTTTAATAGTTGAAACTAATACTTTATGCCTTTCAGTTGAAGTTGCAACGTTGACACGAAAAGATGGAAAAACGGTTTTAAGAAGTTTGCCTAACGAAGAGCTCGATAAATTGATAAAGGAGTTTGAAGAAGAAGAAGCGAAGACTGAAGGTGAAAAGAAATCGTAATAAAACTGTTCTCTTTTCATTAATTTGTCCATTGTTATCTAATCTAATTATATGTATAATGAGTAAAAGCTGAAAATTTATATTTTCGAACATGATTCTCATTTTCCAAAGACTGCGAAGGTTACATAACTATAGTCAATGAATGAGAATACGATATATGGAACTTTGAGCATTGTCCCCTAAAGTTTTTTTCTACATTCAGCAATCCTGGTAACAATTAAAACTTTGTCCAGGAAATACAATAACAAATATATGAGCTTTTTCACTCTTCTTTTCGTTTTCATAGTTTTCGATAAAACGAGCTGGTTTATAATTTATAACCTGAAAAACATGAATCAATAGTTTAAGACAATTCTTTAATTTAAATTATAGCAAAACATACATACACAATGCAACTAATAATTATTTGATACAAATCCATATTACTTTACAAACACTTCTGTTATTTACTCTTCGGTGGCTTAGTTTTATTCTCTTTTTCATTTTCCTCTCTAGACAAAGCATACATTTAATAGAAACGATAATTTTAATGCTTTAATTACCGCTCCAGTCGTGATTCATAACTTTTTCTAAATGAACTTGATCGTATTTTATCTTTTTTTGATTTTTTTGACCTAAATTTCTTTTTAGCACTACCTTTATTGTAAAAATTGAGCTAGTGTAAATTTTTAGAATTCTAATTTAAACTTACTTTTAAATTTTGCTGCTACCCTAATCTCACTTAATTGGGCCTAAATTGAATATATTTTAAGAATAGTCAAAATATTAAGATTAGTGATTGAAAAAACAACCACATACATACCAAATATCTTCTTTCATAGTGGCATGATGGATCAAAGATATAAATAAAAATGGCCAAGAGGATAATTAATGATAATGTTGTAAGTATGCAAGTCCATGTATATTCTTTTAAAAATATTTTTAGGTCATTTGTCTTCAAAGATAAGAGTATATCTTTTAGCCTCTTCATGGGTCCTAAAGTAACAATATCTCTACATCTGTTGAGAGAATCGCAATAGCCAATTTCACCGTTGCAAGGAGAACCTAATGGATCACTCGTTTTTCAAAAGATTAAACAATAAGAGTTTTTGCTATAACCTGGAAGAAGTTGAACACCATATGAGTCATTTGAAAAGATATTATTAAATAATTGTCTAAACGTCTCCATATGCACAATACTAGAATTAAAATCATCTTTGTTAACGCAAATATTAGGATATTCTTTATCTAAAATGATTTTACATGCTTGACTCTAGCTTTTTGACTTTTATATAAAAACTAAATAAACTTTACGAGTGCAGGATAACAAGCAATAGTATCTCAGATCAACTTTTTTCCTTTTTATAGTCTTTACACATGACTTGAATCCATTAATTTTTTCACAAACACTCCTGGAGCATATCTATTGTTATTTTATCTTGATGATTACAGAAGAATAATACTATATTATTTATGGTCTGTCTATTTACCCCCATTGAGCAAAAATGAGTTCTATCTCTGCACAAGATTTCATCGGCTTTTGGAAGAGGTGCTGGACATTGTGCCCCAAAATAACTTCTGATGAAGTTTTGGGAATTATTGTTAAAAAAATACATTATTTTACGAACTCACGATTCACCACTTTTGTTGCTAATGATTTAATCGTTAAAAAGATCACACAAGAAAAATTATAAATAATTTACCAACCAATATGAGGAAAACGCGCAATCGCTCTCTTCTCTGCACTTAAAGCCAGTTAATTGACATTGCTTATCGCAACATGGTCCTTGTGAAATGCTATTAAAAAGGATACATTTTCATTTTCTTAACACTTTTAGCGTATTGTATTTTGATTTAAATAATAACACACTCACTCGCATTGAACTTTCCTTTTTTTCCCCGAGGCGACATAATAAGGCTTTAACGTACATCCTCTTTCATCATCACTTGAGTAGCAGCAATTGCAATCCTTCTTTTGCCATCCACAGTCGCAAGTCTCATTTATCGAGTCTGTTGTTTCAATAACGTAATTTCCGCAGTATGCCTCCCCAACATCTTTTTCGATGGAAAATTAAGTACTATTAATGAATTTCAATAAGTTATTCAATAAGACAACTTTTAAAACAATGATCTTGTTGGTAGAGATTACTTAATAGACGTCCAATAGCTTTACGACTGGGTATTCGGTTCTTTTTTAGTGAAATAGTTAGTTATAGTCAGAAGATACCCACCTACATAAACTAAAAATTTCATTGTTGGGTTTTATTCCTGTTCTAGCAGAAGAATACATTATATATAGTCCATCTGGATCATCTTTTATACACTTCTTATTGAAGTATACTGATGAGTTGTCATTGTCATGCTATAAAAAATAGTAATCAATTTATTACCAGTACAAAAACTTGGAATATTTTAAGTTATTCATTTTACCGGAGACCCAAATATATGTCCAATCTCATGTGCCAAAACAATATTCATCATTACAATATTTACAGTTTGGCCATAATTTTTATTTGTTATAATTCCGACATTCGAATTTTTGCTTTTCTAAATCAACATAAATATTCCCTATCTATTAAATGAATATATAAAGTTTGAAGCTTACATAGCTAAGGGCGCAAGGACCAGAGAATCCTTAAGAATAAAAATTATAAGGAGATATTTTGTAAGGAAGAAACACGCGAGCGTGTAAACCTACTATTTTCTGGTGATCCTACGAAGGCTAAACCTAACGTTCCTTCTTGAAAATCTCTATGACTAAATAATAAATTTATACAAAAATCTTGTCCATTCTTTCTATTTTCCTTCAAGATTTGCAGAACAGAAGCAGCACCTAAATTCTTTTGACATAGTTCATTTTTTAAGGAATCTAAACTCTTTTCACAATCGCTAATAATTTCTAACTTTCCAAGAAGTAATTCTATTCCATTAAAGGATTCGCCAACCCCTTCAAATGCAGTTGCTTTGAAAATTTGAGAAGCCTACATAAAAAGCAAATTATTTCCGGTCGGAACTTAAAGTAAAACTTTAAGTATATATAGTCATTTACTTTCGATACGATTCTTTTAACATAATCAACTATGTATGCTGTTGCTTCAAAATTATTAGATTTATTTGTAAAATATTCCCATAATGTAATATCCGTTGTTATTTGCATAACACAAACTCTTTTTCTATTATCCGATAGCCTTTTACTTCTACTACGAGTTAACTCGGACTGTATGTAAAAAAGTATTCTAGAATAAAGATGTTGAGAAAGATAAAACTTTTCTTACAATATTTTTTAGATAGTTTTTGAATTCTTCTTCCAGAAAATCTGGATTTTCAATTGCACACGTTGCAGACTTACCATTTCTCCTCTTGTTAAATGGATTAACATTAACATCCAATTCATCATAGATAATTGCAAACTTATTCGAATGTGAGAAATTCAAGTATTTTGTAGCTCTTTCAATTTGATAACGACTATTAAATGCATTAATTTCTCCTTCAAACGTACTTCCAGTTTTATGACCGATAACCGATGATTTATTATCGCTGACAACGAAACCAGAATAAAAGTTGTCAATATTTATATCTTGAACATCCTTCTTAAAGATTGACAACTTAAAATCTTTTGTAAGGATATTTTCTTCACTTCTTTTAAGAATAATTTGAAATTGTCTAATTTTTTAGAAACGAAATGTTGCAAAAAGAAGAATGTTTAAACATAATTTAAAAGAATAAAACCTTCCAAAGGCATTAAAATCCCAATATATTTCTGATTGTTGATAAGAAAAAATAGGATATGAAACAAGTTCGTAATTATTAATATAAGAATCTAATTTCTTCCCATCTGCAATATTAATAAATTATTATTCTTTTAAATCATTAGAATTTTATTAAAACTTTTAAAATTAAACATTCTATGCTATACTTTACTTATAAAATCATTAGAAATTAATAAAATATAATTGATTATCAAATTTTTCTTAAGCATTTAATAAAAAATTAAAAAAAAGGAAATCTGTAAAGATATTGGATCACGTGATCATTTAAATAAAAAATATAATAACGTTAATTAATTTAAATTGATTTTGTCAATAAAAATAAATAAAATAAATATAATTTTTATGATGTCTTCTTATTGGTATTATTCAAATAATAGATTATATTAAAATATTAAAAACGTTCTAAAAGTAGTTATATAGCGCCATCTAGTTAAAAAAGAATAAAAAGTTTTATCTATTACAAAAGTTGAGTAGATAATAATATTTATTAAAAAAGTGAATGCAATAAATTATATAAATATATCTTTATGTTTAATGAGATTGAGCTATATCTGAAAAATAAATTAGGAGCTCTTGTATCGTAAATTCTAGGGTGATTGTAGAACCTGGATAACATTTAGCAATCAGTTTCTCAATATCGTTATATTGTTTAATAAAATCTTCTTGCATTCCTCTCCAAACAACTTGTAATAATCCTGCTTCCTCGCATAACTGTTTTTCAACTTTCATATATAAATTCTGTAATCCTTTTTTTACTTCTTTTCCAGGATAAAGTTGAATTAATCTCCTTAACTCAGTTTTACCATACGCCAGCTGATATCCTACTTCTTCCTCTCTCATTCCACCATCAACTGATGCTTTTATTTTTTCAAAAAACGTCTAATGAAAAAACATAAAATTTAATTAGTAATAAAATATCTGATTAAAACACATAGATAACAATTTAATAAATATCTTACACTTAATTTTTCCATAGGCCTACCCAAAAGCATACTAATGTAGAAATGTAAACTTTCTTGATATTTTACTTTTGCTAATTTCTTTTCAGTGTCTAGCAACGATACTTTTAAACTTGATAATATATCTTTAAGAAAGAAAAAAACAAGAGAAGCGTAAGTTTCATTATTTATTATTCATATAGTATACGTACCGTGCATCCAGTGAAAATTTTCCATCATTACTACATCTTTTGGGGATTTCGTACTTTCTCTTGCTATTCTTTCAATATGCTCAAATATAGCTGTTACTAAATCTTTGTAAGCTTTATCTAAATCGTTTCTTCTATTTGATTTTTTGAAAATTGTTTCAGCTTGTAAGCTAAACGTTTTGAAGTCCTTAACGAACCAGATAATTCCGATTCGTTTAGATTTTGAAACTCTTTGTTCCCGATATTGCAACTTCATATTTTCCTATAAGGATAACGTTACATCAGAAATGTTAATATAAAAATCAATTTCTAGACTAACTATTAACGAAGAAAAACTTCTTTTTATGAGCACCAAAGCTGTTGCAAATAATTGCCCTAAGAAGGAGCCAGTATTTTCCATTTTTTGGATATGATTACTCATTCTGACTAGCATGTATAAAGAATTCCTAAAATATATTTATAAAAGTCAATTAATTCTAAATTTATGTAAATTATTCTAATTTAAAACAATAATTACAAAGTGTCCTGTTTATCTGCAAACTCGATAAACTCCTTTAAATGTTCTTCTAGCTTTGGGAAAATGTCGAGCATGACATTACGAACTTCTTCATTAACTTGTTTGCTGTTTGATTATTTAAAAATAAGCAAAACAATTTAAAGCAAAGCATATTAAAGATGGATTTTAGCAGAGTTTGTTAATATTTTTCAAGAGTTCATACAAACTTACAAGCTATGCGACATTCTTCGAAGTTGCAAGCCCGCACCCAAATTGTCCACTGTTAGTCTTTAATGCAAAGCAAACAGCCAAATGTAAGGTAAAACAGTAAAAACTTATTAGAAATCATTTTAATAAGACTTATTTGGAATATTAGAAAAATTTGATAATAAAAAAATTAAATATTAGAATGCTCAAAAATCTGTGTTTTCAATTAACTCTTAAAGGAAAAATGCTTTAATAAAATAAGGGATTACACGACAAACCATTCATAGTAATAAAGAAAAAGGATTTTTAACAAAGACTTACAGCTTGGCTGATGGTTTATGTATAGGAGAAGATTCAGCAGGTGATCTAGTGCTACCACTAGAAACATCACCCTAAGAAGATAAATTTAAGAAGAGTAAAAGAATATTTAAGTATTTAGCTCACCTCTACTCCTTTGCATAAATCAAAAAATTCAATGCAAAATTCTTGCTCACGAAAACAATTCGCTTGTAGAACATTCAAAACTTGATCGAAAGTCTTAAAATTATATCAAATATTAAACTAATAAGCACATATATTTAATAAATAATTTACCTGATCGAATTTAGCAGCTTCTTCGTGAATAGTTCTTTCTAAAGTTCCTGTTGCACCGGAACTATGTTGACTTAATCCTAATTAAAAAAAAAACTCAATTTTAATAAGAAATAACAAATTATAGAAAGAAAAACTATTACATAATACAAATATATAGTGTTGCAAAAGAGATAAAAAGTGTTTAATCAAATATACTATTAGTTTATAAATCTATTGGCTATATTAATATTTCCGAGGAGTAAAAAAAAAAGAAATATATAGAGAAAAACAAAAATCAATAATCAAAACTTCGGCCGCTAAATAAATGCTATAATATATAAATATGTGTTATATAAAATATATATATTTCATATATGTATATAATAAATATAAATTTCATGCTGCATAATCATAAAAGAAATAAAAAGTGAATAAAAAAAATAATTGTAATAGAACCCTACTTGACTTGAGATTTGCTGAAAATGTTTATCATTTAATATTTCACACAAAACAACAAGTAAATTATAGAAAAAATTGTTTTATAAGAAGAAATTAACTATCTATACAAATAATAAATTCAATTTGATTTATTAAAATATTTATCTTTGAGAATATTCACCTCTTTTATCATTTTTCATTCCAATTGATAGTTTGGCAACTTCAAATATACATTCGAATTCTTTATTATAAACGTCTCTTATGTGTTTCTTGTAGCTCTATTTAGTAATTCTTTTAATAAATATACTATATACTATAAAATGGAATGCTTACATTATACATTTCATCAAATGCACTCTTATTAACGTCTTTTAAGAAAGACATTAATTGAGAAAATTGTAAAAGAATTCTATGCATTTCAGTATGTCCTGGTAATTTTAGGTCAAATTTACCGCTTTTTAAACTATCACCTAATCTATTTTGCTATTAATATAACAAAAAAATTAGTTAGAGATGCGTATATTCTTATATTTTAACTCAAACCTCATATGTAATTGTATTATTTAAAGCTCTCATAAGATTTTGGCAGAAGGTAGATTGAATTCTTTTCAGTTTGTTTAATCTGTTGGCAACAGCTTCCATTTCTTCTATATCTGTTTATAGTTATATTCATTAATACTTAATCAATTTGATTAATTGTAAAATTTCTACTTACGTTCTGGCAAATCGGCCGTTAGACATCTTCTCAATCGTAGAGCTGCTTTTGTAACGCTTGGAATTTCTGACAATTTAACTTGTTCAAGGACATCTATCTGATCTTGTGGAAAGTCCAGTAAATTCTAAGAAAATATATTATTAATCAACAATATAATGTTTTACAATAAAAATTCTTACTATAACAGAATCTAAAACTTCTAATAGTTTAGCATGATTTGTTGATCTGTATATAGATTAATTTTAAAGCGATTAAGTTGATTATTTATTAGACAAACCTAATAGTCAGCAATCTCTGCTTGTCCTGCATTAAATCTACTAATTCTCTAACTGTTTGCAATTTTGAATCGTATTTATCAAGCAGATCTTCAACTTCGCTGGCTTGACGTATCGAGGCATCTAAACTGAACATCAAATTAGCAACAACATCTTCAGAACTCATTATTGAAGTCATATTTTCCTAAAAGTAGTAGACAATTATAAGATTATATCTTGTATTGAAATGATTTGAAAAACAAACTCTCTCTAATTCCGATAAATCATCTTTCAATTTATCAACGAAAGCTTCTGCATCTGACATTGAATTTTCACAATCTGAAAATATCATTATATCTTATATTAACGTGTCTTTGATGGAAAATTTCTAATTTCTCAACCTGATAATAAAAGACTTAGAGAATCCTTTTCTTTGTCAGAAAGTAATTTATAATCAGCATCAGTATCTTCCAAAATAATTTTTCTATCTTCTGCTTCCTCTGTATTTTTTGTTTCTTCATAGGCACTTTCTGTAATTTTAATATAAAATAATCATTTAACATTGGATATATTCAATAAGAATTGAAATATAGCTTACGTTGCAGTAGCATTCCTGGTAAATTTCTAAATATTCCATCTGGGTTACCGTAACACTTTAGAAAGAGATAAATAACGCAATGAGCATATCAATTGTAATAAATTAACTTTATTATAATATTTACCGCTATCAAACTTCTTAGAAATTGATTTTTTTCTGAAATTTTTCCTACTGTCCATTTATAAGGTTTTTCGAAGAATAAATCCAATTCAAGAGAAACCTAATCAAATCATAAATATCAATTTAAAACATTGAACTATTTTAATGTAGTGAATAGCTTACGCTTGCATCTTCATCAGAATGACAATCAACTGCTTTTAGTTCCTGTAGTGGCCAGGAATATTTTATCTTGTAACTATCATTATGAACATTTTTCTTGACTAAATGAATCATTGTCTGAACATGTCTAGTATTTGAGCCTGTTGAGGGAATATTGTGATTTAATACAAATGTTTACATAGAAGGAAGTGTATCCTTATCAAACTTACTCGTTAGACATAAATAGCTTCCTTGATATTCTTTCGATCTTTTTCCTGATTTAGTGACATATAATAAGGATTTTAGAGTTTCCTGATTAGGAGTGAAAAGGGTTCGTTTTAGCTTATACGCTAAAGTTGTCATCTTTGATAGAAAATTGTAGGAGGAGTTTCTCGTTTAACTATCAGATAAAAACTGTTTTTAGTAGCAGACGACAAAATCTTTTCATTCGTATTTTTCGTGATTTGAAACTGCTATATTAAAGCCATGTGTTTTCTAATTCTTAAACATTAGTCATATAAATCATATTTTTTAAATTATCTGTTTAATAGTTTTAAGTATGGCTTAATATCATGTTATTGTTAGGTAATACAGAAAATATAGCGCCACCTCTCTGAAACAGTAGTAACTATTGGCCGGTTGAGCGATAAAATACTCAATCGTTTGAGTTTTCTTCTTTAATGCCATCTTAGAGAAACAATTTTTCAGAAAAATTAATGTCTTTCCCTAATAGAGAGCCATTTCTACGGATCAACTTTTTATATCAAGTAAGCTGGGACTAGAGTTGAATTAATTTTTATAGTAAAATTTTTCAGTCAATGCATGCCGTTTTGGCAAACGATCCCAATAATACGGAATTGATCAGATTCTATGGTCAGAATATAAAGGCGATAGCAAAAAAGCATGTATTACGACTGTAAGTGATGAAACGTTTCGAGATAATCTGTCCAAATTCTTTGTTTACTATTTCAGTGAACCAAACATAAAAAGAACATTGTGTAAGAAATGCTACATGTTACTTATACCTGGAATAACAGCAATGGTACGAAAACGACGTCAAAAGCAAAGACATGTTGTTGTTCACTGCTTGGATTGTAAAACAATAAAACGATTTGTTACTGAAACTGATTATAAATTGTGGATAGACAGTTTTGATGCTCAAACAAAATAGGCAGCCAATTGCGCCATTTTGTCCTTTGGCTTTTTAGGGCCTTTCCTTCTGGGCCTGCTTGATTTTTGACCACCTTTTCTTCTCCTAAGTGCGACAGCCCGTTTTATCTCAACCAAGGGAACAAGAATTGGATCGCAAAAGACACAGCCAATGTGAGTTGTACAACCGTTATCTAATGGAGTTTTATTCTGCAGGAAAATTGTTATATTTAATAAAATATGAAATTGTTTAATGATCATATATTGTACATACCTTGTTGAATTCGATCTTTAATATTGTTGATTGGCATTCGTCACAAGAATCGTCAGTCAAATTAATTTTATGGGCATTTTCAAACATATTAATTACAACATTGCAACGATTACAGCACATTCTCCATTTAGGAGCAGAGGTAGGATCAAGAACGAGAGTCCCATTATCACACTCTAGACAATTTGAGACTCCAGTTTGTTCTAGAGCATGTTGACAAGTAGGATGAGTACACTCATTGCAACCCATACCTTTTTTCATATCAGGAAAAGGGGGGTGATTAAGGCAGTAGGGACACAGGGGATAAGTTTTGCCTTTTCCACCAGTTGTCCATAAGACTAACTCAAAGTCATCCAATGGGCACTTTAATTCTTTGTACAATTTAATATTTCCGTTTTGAGGTACGTTGAACGTCTCATTACAAGTAGAGCAATGGAGTCGAGCAGGTTTAGCAGTAATTAGTTTCATAAAGCGTTTACACTTTCCACACCTACTAAGTGGTTTGCCAGTTGCGGCTAAAGGCGAAAAGGTTACTTCGAAAAGTTCATCCATGTCTGCAATATTTTCAACAAAGTATTGAAATTTCTTTACAAATACGTCAAGAGTCCAAGAAAGAACTTCATGAAAGTCAGCTTTGTTTTGCGCAATTAAAGTTAATTGTTCTTCAATTGCAGCTCTCATACTTGGCTTAACAAGATCAATATCAATCTATAATAATAATGTTTTAGTCAAAATGAGTTTTTTAATTAATTTATTAGTAATGAGAGAAGTGTTAATGCACCTTTTGATATCCGTGGACGAGAACAACACCCAATGCAGTAGGTTTTAACTTTCTGCCAGATTCAATTGTCACATAATTCCTTTCGCAAATATTATTAATATGAACAGGTATGCTTGCATCAGTGCCGATACCGAATTTTTCCATCAACGTAATCAATTCGCTCTCTGTCAGATAATCTGGAGGACTAGTTTGACGCTCATTGATTCTGACCTATAAGTTATTTAAATTATCCTATAAAATAATATAATTATTTCCTAGAATATATTGTACAAACATCTCTAATAGGTAAGGTATCTCCTGTCTTAAGACTTGGCAGTGATGCATCCGGACTCAATGATTTCCATGACATGATACTGGTGAAACCTGGCGATATTATTTCATTTCCAGTGACACTGAATTCTTCTTCTCCGATATTGAACAGTATAGTGGTTTGTAGATATTTGCAGTCATAATCAATCTAAAAATTGCATATATTACAATGTTTCATATTAAAAGTTGAAGCAATTACCGTTGCCATAAAATATTTAGTAATAAAGTCGTATAGCCTCCAGGAATCTCTATCCAGAACATCTTCTGATGCTGGTTTCATTGGGGTAATTGGAGGATGGTCACCAGCATCTTGTCCTTGTCTGAAACCAATAGTTTTTTATGATAAATTTAAATTTTGCACTATTTACAAACTTTGGTTTATTAATTCCATTATTCAAAAGTTCTTGAGCGTAAGATCCCCATTGACTATTTGAGCACTGCATTCTTAAAGTTCCTCTAGAAAAAGCAAAAGTATTATAGTACATAGATTATATAAAGAGACGACAGTACTTAAGATCAAAATTTGCCGGATATTGCGTTGTTTCTGTACGTGGGTAGCTTATGTAGCCTTGTGTGTAAAGCCGTTCAGCAATTTGCATAGTATGTTGGGGCCCAAATCCTAATCCTGAACTAGCTGTTCTTAACATTTCCACTGTGTTTAAGGCAACGGGTCTGGCCTTTGATTTTTGTTTCTTGTCAATTTTAACAACACTGGAGAGATTTTAAAGATTCAATTTTAAATATTAGACATATTACATTCTTTAAAACTGCTTACATGGCATTGTTATGTTGCTTAATTTCAGAATGGAACAATTGAATAACTTCTCTGTCAAAAAGTCGAACTCTTTCCCAGTCTATTTGTAGTCGCCTATCTCCAGGTAGTAGCAACTTATTTGGAATAGCAGAGAAAATTATACTAAGATATATTTAAGATGTGAAACGTTTGAGTAGATCATACATAAAAAGTGATCCGAAAAAATAACTACCTCAACGTTTAGAATCCAATAAGTGTCAGGTTTGAATGATTGTATTCTATCATGTCTTTCAACGCAAAAGCCCAATGTTGGGGTTTGACATGGTCCAAATGAAATAAGAGTGCTGTCTAAATCTCCATATTTTCCCTGAAAGAATTTTGTTTGGAACCTAGTAAATGCGCATCCAATTCTCAAATCCAGCTCTAATCTTGCATCGACTGATCGAGCTTCGCTTTCATTCGGCACACTTAAGTTGGCCATAGCTCGTTTAACATCGGTATCAGTGATAGATGAGAAACGAGCCCTAAAAATCTGTTGCTCATTTCCTCTAGGTTTTGACATGGAATATTTTACGGCGTCTATAACTTCAAAGCAGATATTTTCTCCTTCTTTATCACAATCTAACCATAATACCAAAAAGTCACAGCCTCTACCCTCTTTTTCAAGAAAAGCTGGCATTTTAAGTTTTGCTGTAGCTTCTTTTTTTTCAGTAGTAGCAGCAAACAATTCAGCCTAGAGATAAATATTTCAGTTGCCGGTAATTAAGGAATTTTTGCATAGTATTTTATCTACTTACCGGATCAACCTTGTCCCAATTATTATAAGAGGGTAAAAAATCTAAAGTCATAACGTGCCCGCAAACAGAAGTAAATTTAAAGCGAACGTTTTCGCCATGAAATTGTCCAGTATATTCATGAACAGAGCAAGCCCCATTAAATCCTTTACGGCTCGTTGCAGAACCATTTGAAAGAATTTTAGCCAGGGACTGAGCTAGAGAGGGTTTTTCAGCAACCATTAATACTGTCCTCATCTTAAAGAAAATTATTTTTAACAAAATAAAGAAAAATTCAAGATACTGTTGAGATGCCGATGTAAGGCACCCGTTAAAACTTGGAGTTAAAGATGTGGTTAGTATTCCACCATGTAAATGTCTTAAAGTGCGGGATTTTCAAATAGAATAAAAAACTGCAAAATCAATATCTGATCAACTAAGCAGTGCAGTTGGAATTTGCAGACGAAAACGCTGCATAGTGATTCGTACGTATTTCGACTAGAAAATATTACATACATTATTCATGTCTCACAGATGTTGAACTATTCTATATATAAACATATATAGTTATATATATACAAGGATATATAGATAAATATAGAGTTTTTTTTTAATGGAACAGCTGTGAAAATTTAAATACAAAATTTTCTTTCTATTGCAGAGAATGAGAAAATGGCTACCAGCCACAAACCAAGTCGATTTAATTTAAAAACTCTTGATTATTATAAATTTAGAAAGTTAGTAATTGATGGAAACAGAGATGATTTCAATCAGTGTTCAGAAGAAATTCAAAAATTATGTAATGACGTACAAATGCTATCGTCCCGAAATATTCATTTCGACGAAAAGGAAGATAAGGAGAGATTACAGTATGTTTACAATACTTATAAAGAGATGTTAACTGCTAAAAGGTTGGACCCAATGGATGTCAAATTGAAAAGTGGCTGGTGGGGAGAACAAAAAGGTATGTCAGTAGGAAGAGCAAAAATGGCTAATTTACGATCGAGGATAGTTGATAAGGTTTCAAAGACAACAAATGCTGATAATTTAGATGTCCCTGGTATTTTTGTAATTAAGCACAAGACTAAGGCTTGTTGGCAATTAGTAGAAGTTGCTCCTTCAAGTGTTCTCTCACAATGTTCAAGTCGGATTAAGACGGCTTTTGAAGGAAGCTCTGAGGATCACCTCTCTACTCTAATTGCTATTTCTACCTGCACAGACTGGACCATTAAAGTTCGCACAGCTATTCCTGGTGATCCTTTGTCGCTTTTAAGCATTATACAAAATGATTGCATTTTACAAGAAGATAGTTTATGGCCTAATGGCTTAAATACTAGACTTACTATTCAAAGTGAGTTGGAATTAAAAGAATTTCGAAAGTCTGCTCAAAGGTATAATTGGCCTTCAAAAAAAGACGTTGGACCCTTAGATATACAAGAATTGAGACGAAGTCTGTTAGTGATTACTAGTGATCCAGATGAAAATGAAAGACCAATAACTCCTCCTACCGAGCCGGCAAATTCTGACGATTCTGGTGGAACTTTTGTTATTTCATCATCAAAGTCAGATTCATCGACGAAAACTTATGTTGTAAAATCACAACAGAAAAGTGACAAAGCTGACTCGAAGAAACGCGCATCGCCCCGCCCAAAAAAATTTTAGGAACTTTCATTATTCACCTTATTTGACTTAATTAATTTGAATATGCTTTATTTTTTTGTTTAGCTATTTTTTAATCCTTGAATTGGTATTATCTTGTTCATTGAAGACGAAAATACACTGCTTCTAGTTGAATTAAAAAAAAGTTTACTAGTATTACAATCCATTTCCAACAGATGTCACTATTATTGACATTCAAAAGAACCATAACTTTATGCCTGAAAGATAAAACAATAGAGTACTATATATAATACTGAAATTTATTATAAACGAATTATAACATAAGAAAAACAATGTTTTTAGAATAATGAAATTTCTATAAAATAATAATTCTATAGTCATAAAGGCTGAAATATTTACAATAAAATCAAATTATTTAACGTTTGACCAATTTTATGCCATTTGTTTTGAAATAATTTACTAAGTTATATTATTTAGTTGTAGAATAACAAGTCAGTTGTCAATTCTTAATGAAAAGCTGGAGATCTGCTGGCTTATTTAACAATGAGTCGTCTCATAGCTATCATTCTCTTTTTTAATTTATCCGTTTGTCAAGATATATATATGACAGTTGACTTGGCATTGAAAAAAGTAACTCAACAATCTTCTACTTCAGCTGCGAAAATAAGTTCTTTTGCTGTAGATGGAAAGTTCAATCCTACACCAGCTCTTTGCAGTGAAACTTTAGTTGAGAGTAATCCTTGGTGGACAGTTAAGTTTCACAAAGCTTTTTTCGTAAGGACAGTCAGAATTTTAAGCCCTAGCACTAAACCTCAAAAATTGAAAAATATTACTGTGAAAACGAGTTTTTTGGAGAATGCAAATCCGATAAACGACGAATCATTTAGAACTTGTAATAACTTTACAGTCAGTATCAACCCCAGTCAATCAGCTACTATTTACTGTATCCAGCAATATTATGCAAGAAAGGTTCTTATATCATCCACAAAAGAAGGTCCAGTTAAGTTGAATTTTTGTGAAGTAGAAATTTGGAGTATGAGAAATATAGCGCTAAACAAGCAATCAAGTCAAACATCTAGTGGTTGGAGTGGAGCTGCAACGATAGCAAACGATGGTCATACAAATGCTCTTTACTATTCGAATGGTTTAACTTGTTCGCATACACACAACCACGTTTATTCATGGTGGAAAATAGATCTTAGCGAACAAAGTAATATATTCGCTTTAACAGTCGTCAATAGAGTAGGATTAACTTTTCGCTTGAAAGATATCAGAGTCTCTGTATCTGACATTGACTTCACACCAACCATCTATTCTCAAACGGAATGTTCCATTAAAGAGACTTTTAACAGCTATACAACTCTTAGATCTAAAAAAGATTGTACAGGTCGATACCTAGCTATGCAGATGACTAAAAAGCACGGTTCACAAAATTATTTGACGTTGTGTGAAGTTTCAATCTACGGAACGCATTTTAACTCTGAAATTACATTTGTGCCTGTCATTGTAAATGAGACTTATACTTGCAATACTGTTGCTATAAAGAAGATAGATTGTAATGGAAATTCCTTTTATAGTATTAATTTGTTAGATTTATCAGGAAACCAAATTACTGTGGATTTAATGAGCGTACTAATCGGTAATGAATGCGCAAAAAGCAGTCTCAAACTTTTTGCACATTGTTCGTTAGATCATTTTGTTACTGGTTGGCAAAGTAATGTTGTTTTAAATGAATGTGAGTTAGAGAGTGTAACTGATGGATACTATACAGAATTTGATATGAACGATATATGTTCATTTAAATGTCGTTGCAATGAAGGGGAAGCCAAATATTTATCAGTTTTTATGATGGAATCTTTTCCGTTAACAACTTATAAAGACATTTATTTAGTTATCAAATTATAAATCTTACTTGAAAAAATACTTGCACTATGCCTTTGTCAAAAATTAAACAGTTTCTGTGTATTTTTTATAACTAAGTTCGGTGAATGTTTATGCAGCATAAATAAACCTTGTACCATAGCTGGACTAATTGGTTTGTTGTGAGATAATGCTAAAGAGGCAAATTCCACTGCACTCTCTTTAGGTTCATCCGGATAGAAATTTAAGTACATTTTTTCCAATTGCATTTGTGAACAATGATCAATCAATAACTTCATATCAACACGTCCTGGTCGAATAAGTGCCGGGTCGAGTCTACAACAAATATACGGATTATTTATGATTTGACATTGTAACATTAATTTAACCGATCAAGATAGTTTGTTGTCATAAATACAATTCTTCCTTCTGAAGAGGCAACACCGTCCAGTGCGTTTAATAGACCACTAAAAGTCAATCTTCCCATTCCTTCATAAACTGTTCTATCTTCAAACAAAAAATATATATGTTATATACTGTACATGAATTTTTTTTATCTATATATATATATATATATATATATATACTGTATGTATTTATTTATTTACTTTCTTTCTGAAGGTCTCTACTTGCAAAAGCTGCATCTACATCTTCGAGAAGGATAATACTCTGCTGTGGGGCTACGCTTAGCAGATGATTTAGTCTGTCATCTGATAGACCTTTTTCACTTAAATTTAAAAGGCATATAGCGTATTCAAAATGTCCCGCTAAGGCTGTTATAAAACTGGACTTTCCGCACCCAGGTGGACCATATAATAAATAGCCTCTTCTATATGGAATACCTCTCCCTGTATACCAACTCGAGCTGCAAATAAAGTCATTCACATCCTTCACTATACTCTCTGCAATACCTTCTCCCAATACGACACTTGAAATAGGCCTACGTTTCCTTGGATATCCAAATTGCCGCCACTCAGCACCAACACCGGTATACATAACGGTCATGCCTTCAAGTTCGTGCAGAGCTTTCTGACGAGCTTCTTCCATTAAGTCAAAATAGACCGTTCTATCTCTTCCAAAGGCAGTGAGAGTAACAGTTTCAAAGGGTGAACCACTATGAAAGTCCATCATTTGTTTTTCTCGATTTCTTTCTACTCTCATCCAGGTTCCGTTATATTTTAAGAAATGAGTTCCAGGACTTGGAACAAAATCGAAAGCTGTACTTATTTTACCAGTTTCATTTTGTAAATAAGTTGTTTGTACGCTTAAGTGTTGCATTCTAACTCCCTGATTAGATATCCAATTTAGTAGCCAATTATAACTTTTATCCCTGCTAGAAACCTCTAGGGTCATCATACAATGTCGGCGAAAGTAGACCATACCAACCTGTAATTGAAAAATTAATATCTATTTCTCCACGAGATAACTTATTATTACTTGCGCTCCTTTCCGAAGTACTGTTAATCCAGCCCCCACTCCAACTAATCCAAAGCCTGCACCGAAGTATGGATTATCCTTCAAAGCGGCAACAAAATCAGAAAATCCCATGCCTTCCCTATTTTCGCTCAAATTTTATTAGTAGACTTCAGGCTTTTCCCTGATATTTTTTAACGAAGCATCTAATATATTATGAAATGGTCATAAATATCGACCACATAGCTGAAATAATTATTTAATCATATAATTCGATAAAATTTGCTGTTTAAAAGGTCAGGAAATGTCACAGTAGCCTTCAACAGTTTGATAGAAAAGGGAACATATAGCTATGAACTTAAAAAAGTTGGAAATATTAGAAGAAATGGACGAAGAAGATTTTTATCTCATGTTTGATTAGTTTTATACTAAGATTTAAAATATAAAATTGATTTTTTTTACTTTTGAAAGTAGAAATAATTCTTGCCGTTTGATGGCGTTAATTATATTATTGAAGAGAACCGCGACATCTGGTGCCAAATGATTAATACTATTAAGAAAAATCGGCCTGTCAGATGGCGCCCCGCCCACTACAGTATAAACATAACACCAACAAGAAAGGAGCAGCAGTGTATGTTTGTGTTTCAACGAATATTTTGACGTCTACGAAACGGAAAAAGAATCAAAACATTCCAATTTCTCCTCTGAATTATTAGCAATTCTTTTTCTCGAGGACTAGCGTCAGACTGCTTTAGCTAAATTGATCAAGCAAAGAGAGATATGGGCGATAATACCGAGAATTGATAGGAAAGTAATTGATTTGCTATAAACTGCAGTGCCTTTCCTCTTTCTCTAGATGGTTTGCATGGGCTGATTCATCACGGCATCCTTTTACTCAAAACATACTTTGTTGTTGCATTTCCGGGTCGAGATAAGCTCGTTAAGAAATTATGCGATTTTTGGTGCTAATGACGTTATTTTTCGTGTTGAAATGTGATAAAAGGAAGAGATCGACAGAAGAATATGCAGTAGAGATAAAAGGTGGTGAAAAAATTGCCAGAAATTTGGCTAGAAGATGTGGATTTATCTATGTTAGAAACGTAAGGTTTTTCTGTTTTAGATTACGTAGATTTTAAACTTTGGCAGTGATTAGGAACATTCTGACTGTTTGCGGTGCATAAGTGAGTTTATACGTCTCAAAAAGCTCTCTATTACACGTCTGTAAGGGCGATTGATGATGTATAAAATTCTAGTGTAACATTTGGTAAATAAAACTTTCTAGGCAAAGATCATATGATGATCATCAATTTTATTATCACCTTTGAAAAACTACTTTATTTAAGGCTTGTTATTATTCCCTTACGATATTTATAAATATTTTTGTACTTGATTAACAATCGATGTATGATACGGAAATTCTATTCTCATTTATCGAGTATGCTTTATAGTTTTGTTCTGAAAGTTTAGTATACGAACTTGTAATGTAATTCCCCATCGTCTATTTATCGATCATATTTTATTCACCTGTTTTAAGTTAGATAAAAAACAAAAACTTACCCTAATCAGAACTATTTTTTCATTTTTAAATCTTATCTCATCAACTTTGACGACTAATTTATCTGTTTTTCTTTCAAGATATTACTAAAGATAAATGATTAGAGAGATTATTTGATAGTGAAATCATTGTGTTTATTTTATTTTTTAAGTAAATAAGGATAATTAATAACGTTAATTGATGTTTATTTATTTTTTAATTGTTTAGCTATTCGATGACTTCTACACGTTTAGAACGAAAAGAAATTTCAGACGTTCGACCCGGTCATCAAATCCTTTGGATATGTTATTTCTAGAACCAGACGTTTTGTGGGCTGAGGCTCAGCAACCAAAGATAAGGGTAAAGCGATCAAAGAGAAAAAGGAGAAAACGTCTTAGGCAAACGTCAGCGCGTTATGATGGTTTTAACGATCCAAAATGGGAACGAATGTGGTATCTGCACTCTGATGTACGTGACGAATAGAATAATTATAATCCTTTTATTGTTAATTAAATGCTAAATATGGATTTTACCCCACAGATAACTGCTAGAAACGATATGAATATTCAGGGTGCCTGGGCATTAGGTTACACTGGAAGAGGAGTTGTAGTTACAATTTTGGACGACGGAATAGAAAGAAATCATCCGGATTTAAAAGAAAATTATGATCCTTTGGCAAGTTACGATGTAAATAGCGAAGACGATGACCCTCAACCTCAGCTGGACCGTAGTAATACTAATAGACATGGAACCAGGTTAAGAATTGATCTTGATTATGTTATTCTAGGAAAGGGAGGAGGGCGGGTTAAATTAGATAATGTAAAATAGTAAGGGAACAGTTTGTGTATATTAAGAGATAACGACTATCGGATTCACGCTATAGTTTCTTTTTATAAGGCTGACGTAGTGATAAAATTTTGTTATTCTTACCTCTTCGGAATTGCTTACGTTCTCCTCACTAAAATAGATAGAACACGCCCTTTTTATCCCCTTTTCCACCCGCCGTTAATCTAGACTAATCGAGTAATAGTTGAAGCGTCTAATTTATTTAAGTGCGCAATATTTTTTTAATGACCTTGTCAAAGAAAACGATTTATAATTGTCTATTTTTTGTTGTCCCTTTCGGCAGATGTGCTGGGGAAGTGGCTGCCAAAGCTAATAATGGCGAATGTGGACTAGGCGTTGCTTACAACGCCCGAATTGGCGGTGTTCGAATGCTAGACGGTGACGTTACTGATCAAGTTGAGTCGAGAGCTCTTGGTTTTAGGAGAGACTACATTGATATCTATAGCATCTCTTGGGGACCAGACGACGATGGTGTTACTGTCGACGGTCCAGCAAGATTGACGCAGGAAACACTATTAAAAGGCGTCACTCACGGTAGGCGAGGTCTAGGATCTATCTATGTTTGGGCGTCCGGTAATGGGGGTAAAGTCCACGACAGTTGTGCTTGCGATGGATATACAAATTCTATTTATACGTTATCTATATCGTCAGCTACTCAGGAAGGTCGTGTCCCTTTTTATTCCGAACCATGCAGTTCGACGCTGGCGTCCACGTTCAGTTCGGGAGATTCTAGAAATTTACAGATAATTACCACAGATCTTCGTCAAACATGTACAGAAACACATACTGGAACGTCTGCTTCAGCTCCATTGGCTGCTGGTATAGTTGCTCTCGCATTACAGGCGAATGGCGAGCTAAGCTGGCGTGATGTACAGCATCTTGTTGTTTTAACTTCACAGAGGGGTAGTCTTAAATGTCCGAAAAATTATAACAAAAGGGAGTGCTGGAAAAGAAATGCTGCTGGCAGGGAGTATTCTCCTTATTTTGGATTTGGCCTAATGAATGCACATGATATGGTCAAAAAGGCAGCGAATTGGTCGACCATACCGGAACAGACTATTTGTGTAATTTCCGATGATTTAGTTAAGGCAGGTGTCACCCTCGATTCTAAGACTGAGATAACTATGGAAACGTCAGCTTGTGCAGGATCGAGGAATGAAACTGCCTATTTGGAACACGTCCAATGTAGAATAACATTATCGTCCAACTGCCGAGGGAACATTTCAATTAAATTAAGTTCACCTAGCGGAACTCAGAGTATTATTTTGCCTAAACGTCGAAAAGACAAATCAAAAGTAGGCTTTAATGATTGGCCTTTTATGACTGTAAGTTTTTGGGGTGAACGGGCCCAAGGACGTTGGAGTCTTTCAATAGAAGCTGGAAACGATGCTCTTCCAGCAGTACTCGAGAGCTGGACCTTAGTTTTATACGGGACTAATCGTCATCCTTATCATGCTGTACAAAGAAGACCTAGACACAAGGAAGCCAGAAGAAAGCACCGCCATAGACATTATGATTTTCCTATATTAAGTAAGGGCTTTATTTTATAAATTAATCCGGCTCCTAATTATAATTGGCATAATTATCATTAACAGACAATCAACCGGAAACGTTTATTCGTTATCCTACAAGATCACCAAAAATTTTAGCAATTGGGTCTGTAGCCTTTATACGCCCATCGACGCTTCTAGTCAATTTAGTAATATTAATTAGTCTCTGTTTTCACATCTGACTCGAATACTCAGCGCTTTCTTTGTTCTCTTTTTTTTCCTGAACGAAAAAATATGTTACGTATAGAACGCAAAACGAAAAAAGTGCGAATCGTTTAACTTCCCCTAACCTCGCTTTCCGCCCACTCCTATTTTCCCTTATTTTCTTCCCTAACCCTTAAACCGTTCATATACTTAACTAAAAAAAAAAAAGAAAGACAAATAACAAAATAATTACAGAGAAGCTTACTGTCATATTCACAGATACATTTTTAGTTGTTCTTTTCTTTTTAATCTTTTTTTCTTTTAAATCCCTCTTTATTATTATAATTTTTTTTTCAAATAATTCATTCTATAGGAAATTTTTCATTGGCTGTAGATGTAAGAATGAAAAGGGAAAAAAACAGTTCTTAATAATTTATACAGTGTATAAATATATATATATATCTTTATAAAATTCTCTTTTCATTTTCCCACTCTACAACCCTGTGTACCCTTTTCTTAATCTGTTGTTTTTTTTCTAGTACAAAACAATCAGGTCTACTTGTTTTTCCCATCATTTTATCTACTTCCATCTATTTTTTGTGTTTTTTTTATTCTTGTTAAGTAAACAACCATATACTAAACATGTAGTACGTAATACGCTAATTAACCTTTTACTCCGCATCCTCCTCATCCTCTCTCTTCCCCTAAAAGCTCCACTTTTTTCTTGTATATTCTACTCCCAAAAAAAAGAAGAAGAGAGAAAACTGAACAGAATCAAAAAACAAACAAACCAAAAGCAATCGAATCCTAAAAACAAATTTTACGGTGCTTTTTTTTTTCTTTTTTTAGTGTTAATTTGTAGATGCGAAACAACACAAACGATAGATGATAAGATGAAGAAAGGCTTTTTTTTATTATTATTGCTCTTATTTTATTTGAAAAATAGGTGTGAAAAAAAAAGAAGGTACAAACAGCCAAAAAACAGTAACAAATAGCCGAAAATAAAAAAAGAAACGAATTTGTTTTTTTGCACCAAAAAGATATTTTATATTTGTTTTTTATCTCTTATTTCTTTTTTTACAAACTGATAAAAAAAATTGCAATTAATTTAAAAATAAGAAAGAGATAGGGAAGAAGAAGAAGAGAAAAAAAGAAAAATCATAAAAATTTAGGTTAAAACATTTTTTTTCCGCTTATATTTTTCAATTAAGATATAATAGCTTTCTAAGAAAAAAAAAGTCTTTGGACAATTGTTTAGTGAATCTATTATGTTGACAATTTTTGTTTGTTTTGTAGTTTATATACAATATATACAGCGTATTGTAAAAATATATATATATATATATATATATTTCTGCTTATTCATTCTATTGGCAAACAAGAAAGTCACACAAAATGATATACAATGTTTTATTTATTATAATAACACACTATTAAACCTGTTTTCAGTCTCTTTTCAATGAAGAAGAGGGTAATAAATTCAATTTGGTAAATAAATGTTCTAGTAATAAGATATTAATGCCTTCTTGTAAGTTGTTTCAATTGCTCAGTTGCCTGAGGGAAGAAACATGGCAAAATTTGCGAGGTCAATAAACAAGTTTGAAAGAAAGAGGAAAAATATATGGCGCCATCTATTGCGAAATCTGAAGAGAATACATAATAGCATTAAAATAAAATACGTTGGAATCGGTTTGTTTCTCCTAACATATGAATGAGATTTATATGAAACTAGAGTAACATTATTTAAATAAGTAAAGAGACAGTGATTTATTTACTCCACTTACATGAGTACAATCATATGTAGTAAACAACATTCAAATCACGTTTGCTAAAATAAGCGCCAATAACATGACTTAATTCACAATACTTTTTTGCATTAAATAGCTTCTTGTTTTTTATTTTTTTTAACCCAAGATGGCCACTGCATACTTATTTATTCGTTTATATTTACTAAGGCAATAAGATATCCAGGTTCCCTTCCTCTCTCAATTTATTTCTTTTGTACAGAGTAGTCACGTTAAACTAATAGCCCCAGTATCGATTAATAGTTTATTTATAGAGAAATCAAAAAACATAGATTCTCAATAAATTATTATTAATGTAATATTTATTATTGTTGTCATCTTTCTCTTTCCAATACATATAAAAACAGTATATAGAAAGAGCAAGTACAACTTGTTTGGTTCTATTCCTATTTGTTCCAATTACAAATTGTCCTTTGGTTGAAAAACAACCTAGAATGTATTTATCTTATACAAAGTATTAAAATCTTCGTTATCAGATGTTATTTAGATTTATTTTGTATTGTTCGTCTTTAGCCAATTGTATATAGTTTTCAATTTTATGTATACTTTATACATTCTCTTTCGTTTTTTAACTACCAGATGTATTTTGACAAGAAAAAGTACTCCGGGTTCCTTTTCTATCTGAAAATACTCTATATGTGCCTTTTTTAAACGAAAATAGCCATGAAAAGTTCTCGATTTACAACAAAAGCCTATATTATTGTATATTTATAGAGAAAATAAAGGAAAAGTACAGAAGACGTTAACCAATGATTCAAGTACAAGTTCATTTAATGATTAAATTACAATTTGCAGATTGCAGAATAGTAAAAAGAAGTAGTTGGAAAATTTAAGTGCTTCTTTTATTGATTAATTTATTAATGTTATAATAAAAACTAGATAATTAACTAATCGTCGTCATCATCATCGTCTAATATTAATTTTTTCCTTTTCACTGAAAATGTTTCAACATCCGAATCGCTATCTTCACCTATTCTTCGTTTTCTTATCATTTCACTAAAATCCATATCTTCGTTTTCTTCGTCAGCGCTTTTCTCAGCTTGCAGTGTATCTGAGATTTCTTCCAGATATTCTAATGATAATTCTGCTGGAATTCTCCAGTATCTCTCTTGAATTAAATCCGGTTGTTTTAAACCTATTTTCTTTAAAATTTTTGAAAAATTCTCATCTTCTAAATATTCTTCTTCTTCTTCTCTAATTGGTACAACGGCCATAGATTCAGGATTTAGGCAATCTTTTCTGCTATCGATAGCCTTTCTCAGGAAGGTCGAAACCCAGTCTAAACCAGGATAATAATCATTTGTTCTACTTTTATAGACCTTAATAACATCCTCTAGTGTTTCTGACGCGGGTCGCGTCTTATTAAGTAACAAAGAATCAATTTCCTCTCTAATTCTTAATCTCTCCTCCTCCTCTTCATCACCCTCGTCATCACTAGCACCAATAAATAGTCCACGACCCAACGTGGACGGCTCTGTGTCCGAAAAGCTATCATCTAAAAACTGCCTGCCTTTTAATATGTCAGCAACGTTAATATCTTCAGGACAGTCATCCTTTTTAACCTTTACAGTATCGCAGCACTCTTCAAGATATTCGCAAGAAAGGTCAGCAGGTATTCTCCAATATCTTTCTTGAACCATATCTGGTTTTCTAAAGCCAATTTTCTTTAAGATTCTCGTAAAATGTGGATCATCTAAGCATTCCTCATCTTCATCTTTTAGAGGAATGATAGCAGTTGCTTCTTGATCTTCTCCATCGCCTCTGTCATCAATAGCTCGTGTCAATAGAGAAATTACCCAATCTAAACCAATGTCAGGATTCAGAGATTTTCTTTGATAAGAAGTTATTATATCATCCAAAGTGTCAACATCTAATTCGTCTTCTTCGTTATCTTGCTCTTTTTCTAAAACGAAATTATTCTTTTTCTTCTTTCTTCTTACTTCCTTTCTATCAGATATGAGGCCTAAGCTCAGTAATTTATTTATTACTGCCGCTTTTGATCTCTTTACTTTCAAACTGTCGAGAATACACCCGACAATGTCATCAGTCTCTTTAAACTCGTTAAAAGCCATACGAAGCTCTTCTTCTTCATCTTCGTTCCAAGTCCTTCTTAATTCGTTACCGCCCTTTTTCTTTTTCTTTAAATCGCGAGCACTTTGCAAAAGACCTAGATGAACTAGTTGACGTATAATCTGTCGTCTTGTTCTCGGCCTACCCGGTAGCAATCGAACAAGTTTGTCAACGATATCATCTCCAGCAGCTCCTCCTTCACCATTTTCTTCTTCTTCTTCTTCCTTTAAAAGTTAAATGATAATCAATTGTTAATAAAAGTATTAAAAAACCTTAAGATTTTCAAACATATTCTTCAATTGTTCCTCTTCTTCTTCCGTCCATGCAACCTTCTTATTACGCTTTGAATCCCTCGGTGTGAAGCCATCAATCATATCCAGTGCATCATTGGTACTATTCCAAAAAAAGAAATTTACAAGAATTGATGGATTCCTCTGAACAGCGTCGACGAATTTTCTTATGATATGAACACCAAAATTTTTCAATTCATCGAATTCTCTCTTCTTTGATAAATCATTTATGTAGAATTCATTAAATGTACGAAAAATTCGGGCATGAAATAGAAGACCAGGAAGATTACACTGAAACGCTATTCTATGTAGCATTTTTAAAATTGCGTGATTTATAGCGGCTGAATTATCCCTCCATTCTCCTAATAGAATTGAATATGCCCTAACGACCTGAAAGGATTAGATTTTCAATATTTGACTTATGATCAATTCACATGGATTAACCTTGCTATTAGCAAACTTCGATATAAATTCTTTAAAATCAAAGTTTATTTCATCTCTTACTATCACATCTTCTACATCCTCTTCGTTGTCTTCTTCCTCGTCGTTTTCAACTCTATTTTCACTTTCTTCTATCTCGGCCATTAGAATTTGCCTCAAAACTTCATTCTCGTTTTCTTCCCCTTCAAACTCTTCAGGCCAAAATTCCTTAACAGTATTCCACAAGAGGATTGCTGTACCAGTTTCCTTCTCCATTAATGCATTCTTAATTCTTAACATAGCCTCTTTCTTCTGCTCCGAAGGTTCAATTGAACTTGCTGGATCGAAAACTCGAACTTCTTCTTCAGGTAGTGGTATCTTTAAAGCTAAATAATCATCAACGTCAGTACTAATTGATTCCCAAATACGAAATAAATCATCTTCCGTTTTCTTGCCGGGCTTCTTTGCAATTTTCTTTTTCTTATTTTTCTTCTTTCTTTTACGTTCCACCATTATAGTATTACTTCCTTTGCAGTGTGATTCTAGAATTTTAAGAAAAATATGAGATGATTCGATAAGATCTCTTAAGAAAGATCTTGATTGTCTCGCTTCATCAAAAGTTCGTAAAAGCATTACAAACACATCTCGAAATTCAGGAACGTATAGTATATTGCTTTTAATAACTTTTGCGCTTCTTTTAACTACCAAGTCCGATGATGATGACATCCAATGAAGCGTTCTATCAACACACAAGATAACTTTATACATATATATATATATATTTATAGATACTATATAGCTGCATTAGCCTTATATCAATTATTGTAAATACCTTAATAGTTCTTGATAGGCTTTTAATGCCAAATGAAGTCTTCTTGACCATAGAATGGCGTTTTTCTTATCAATGGTTATTGTTTCGTGATAGTTTATTAAATGAGTTTCTACGTAGTGAAATGTTGACATATTCATAGTTTCGCTTACGAAATCTAATTTCATATTCGCGCATCTTGAAAATTCCATAAAAAATCTCATTGCCCAAAGAAAGTATGTATCATCGTTCTCCTGAGCTTTTGAACGCATGAGAGCATGATTGGCATTTCTCATAAGTGTATTGTAAGCATTTTCTAAGAATTGCGAACAGAAATCCTTCAAAAATAATCGAATGCTTAAAGTTGATCTCCTAGATACTTCTCTATCTTTAATAGGTGCTCTATTCTTAGGTGCTCTTCTCGCAGTTTTATGCGCATCAAAGTTTATATCCTTTGTATGCTTAATATTTTTATGAAGTATCATATCTTTGTCACTGATAGATTTAAAATTTTTTATTATTACTGTTCCTGCAAATCGACTATGCCTCGATCCTAATTTCGCTAACATCTCTTTTCTCTTAGCCTCTTCGGTTATTCTAAGTCTGGCCAATTCCTCCTCTTCTTTTCGTTTATGAATTTTACTTTTATCTCCGCCAACTGTGGCTAATTCTTTGGCATTCTGTTCCCTGAACATAAGTGAGACGATTTCAAGAACGTGCATACAGAAACTTTCTTCATTTGCCGAAGCTAAATACAATAGAAGATCTTCCATACCACTCTTGTGCATAACCCATAAAAGTTGATCATGAATATTGGCGTCGTCATCCGTGCGAATATCTGTTTTATGATCTATAACTATGTGTAAGACGTTTCTTAACAGGAGTAATATGCGCTCGAGCAAGAGACGATCGTTCTCTCTTTGACTTTCCCAATCCAGGCTTATTATATCTTGAAGTGTCTCCGACAAAATTGCCATTACTGCCTCATCACAAAACGATTCTTTATATCGATTTAAGTGAGATTGTACCTCTATATAGTACTTTAAAACCGTTTTGTGTGTTGGAACCTGAAAAAAAAGTTATTTCAGTAAATATCAATTACATTCCTACTTGAAATTACTTACTTCATTATCAAAACAGCTTACGGCTGGTTGAGTTAGATTTACTAGAAGCCTTATAGTAGTTTCCAATAATTCTTTATCTCCTTTGTTATATTTTATGATAGGTATTAAATCTGTTTGCACAATTTGACATTCTCCCAAAAAACGTCGAACATCGCAATACTCATTTTCACGCTTCAAGAATCTAATGAGATCTTTTACTGTTTCCAAGCAATCAGGTTCTTTGTGATACCCATCCTCTTCTGCACAACCTATATTATTTTATAAAAAGCAATTATTTTATTACGAATTAAATAGATTGTAAATATGCTATTGACAACAGGAAAGTATATATTATCTTACCTAGAGCATTACAAGCTGCTTGAACTTCAGCAAGAAAAAAGTTTGGAGGTATTGGATTATCGCTCATTATTGTAGTAGAGATCAATTCTAATCCCTTTTTTATCCAGATATTTCAATACGTATCTTTTATCTGAATAAAAGCTTACTGATGGAGCCTTAAAATACTTGTTTTAAGTCAAACAACACTATTTTTATGATAAGTTGCACACAAATTATGCTGTACAATTACCCGCCAATATTTTGTAGGGTTTTTTTTATAAACCGGTAAACAAATGTACAATTCCATTTCCTGTTCCGTAAAAGTAAAATTTAATCTTTATGGTATGTTTACATACATACTATCGGTTTATTGATTAAAAAGCATATGTTATTAGTAGTGGTAATTGAGTTTTATTACTACCGAGCATAAAAGAGGGGGAAAAAACCAGGCAAAATGCCACTTTTCCAGTAAAAGTGCCTGTGTAGGCCTAAAACTCAAATTTTAGAACTTTTAGATCACCTTCATTATCAGTTCTTTCATAAGTATATAAACACAGACACACACGTTCACAACTTATCATACAGTAAACTATTGTCTTGAAAAAAATCGCAAGATAATTGCTAAAAACATATCGCAAATATGTCTTATACTATAGAAAGGTAAATTCTTTTTCCATTAGAATACAAAAATGAATATTAATAGAAAATTTTTTCTCTTTAGTTATCTAAGTGTAAATATTAACGAAACCATTGAAAAGCTATTAAAAAGACTAAGTAAAAGACTAAACTGCTTTGTTCAACTTGTACCTGAAAATGGTTAATGAAAACATTTTGTATAGCTAGTTTAAAAAATAATATTAAGTAAATTTCAGATTGCTGCAATGATATCAGAGAATTAATTGATGTACAACACAGGAAACATGATGAGTTTACATTTTACGGTTAAGTTTTCTAACCTTGATTTTTTAGAGGAGATTAAAAAAATTAAAAATTTCGATTACTTTTTTTAGACTATCCTATCGAATATCAAAATAGAACAATTGGAATTCTTCAAATAGGCGATAATACAGAAATTGAAATAATTAAAGGCTTTCAAACTCTTATTAATCAATTAATTATTAATCATTTTAAATGGAAGAGTATAAAAAGTTCGAAAATTGTTCAAGTTGACAATATTGATGAAGATTTAATAGAAAAATTCATTAAAAAGTTTGAAGAAATTAGAAAACGACCAACTGTTGATAAATGGTCTAGTCAAGAGGCAAGAAGCAACTTTAAAATTAAAGTTTCAACCTACGCAAAAAGAAACTTACCAATACCTTTTGTTTTACTTGGTTTCCCTTTTAAATCGACTAGCGACGAAAAGGTTATAGGCCATTTACCTGACATGGGAGAATACGTTTGCCTTAAAAGACTAGAAGACTGGTAATTTAAACTTAGTATACATGATCTTAGATTAGTGAATATTCTTTTATAGGTGTGAAAGCGTGAAGGAAATATACCCTCCTGGTGTTAGATTCGTTATTTGCAGTGATGGTAGAATCTATTGCCGGCTTTTAAATGTTGAAGATTCTATTATTTTTCAGTATAGACATGCTGTTGTTAATCTTCTTCCCAGTAATGTAACTATTGCAAAAATACTCGTTATTCTACAAATCCTTTTTTCTCTTTTTTAATAGAATATATCATGGGTTGGATTAGACGATTTCTTACCTAATGAAATTTATAATAGTGATGCTAAAAGAGAATTCCTTGATCTAGTTTATAAACCTAGTTTAGAAGAGACAAAGAAAAATATATCTGTAAATAATTAATCATGAAAATCAGCAGAGTAATATTTTGCTTTTCTATTTTGTCAAAGGAGAATGGAAACTTAAAAGTTGTATTTGAAACTTTTAAACAATTTGTGAAAGAAGAAAAGAAATTTGCATCTAATGAGTCAGACGATAAGGAATGCGATTGTATCACTTATAAAATGGTATAAAAAATAATAAATAAATGATCCTTCTAACATATAAAATATATTTCCCTCTTTCTCATTCCCAGATGCAAAGAAATCAAGTGTATAGTGATTTTATGGAAGATTTATTCCCAACGCATATTCGCTTGTCTATCCATTCACACGATTCAATTAAGAAAGTTGGAATTAATCTACTTGGTGATGGAGATACAGCAACACCTGTAACTTTACAATTCATAGTAAAAATATGAATACCTTTAATTAAAAAGTCTTTAATATTTCAGTGGCATAATGTAGCTGTAAAGAGAGAAAATGGACAGTGGCAGTTAATTAGAAGGAAAGAAGCTGAGGTTAAAAATTACCGCTTTATAGGAGTAAAAAATTCTTTAGAAATAAATAAATTACCTTTTTATTGTGAAGAATAAAATTTTAAGATCTTCTTTTTATCAATACATAAGCAGAATAAACTGTGAGTTGTTTATATCAGAAATACCAATTGGGCTCTAGGAAATCTTACCCGCAAATATATCCTGGGAGTTAATTACCGTAATAGAGGATATTTTTGAAATATAGGATATTGACATAATGAGCTTCGGTGTGATAATATGTAATTAACATAACTGTATAGAGGATACAAAGCATTAACACTAAGGATATAACTGAAGATAATTTCCATTTAAGGAAATAGAGTAATTGCATCTACACTTTTCGTAATGTATTGCGCTTATCCCTCTTATAATCTAGGAATTTTATGTTTTATTCCTAATTAATTAATTAGCTAGCAAGTTAACACAAGCGTATTTTGCCTAATGAGATTAATACTTATTTTTGTACGAAATGATTGCTAGCGAAACAATAGATGAGAGATTTTATGCTTTTTTTGTATTTATTTCTTCTACACAGTGATGAAAACGTGTAATTATTTTAAAATATCCAAAAACATTAGCGATTTATGATGTATTAAATGTTCTCTTTCTTTTACTTAATTGACTAATAAGCCCGATAATGAATGCTCTTTCTCATAGCCATACATTCCGATTCATCTAGGCACAAAGCTTCGCCTTTGAGTTGAATGTCTTCTTCCAAATCCAGTTTCCTTCTCTTTAGAGCTTTCAAACTGTCTATAGTTTTGGCTCGTCTATCGTGTAAACTAGCCAAACTGGCGTGCAATTCTCCAACCTCTTCAACCAATCTGTATTGGGCGCTATCTCTACAATTTTCCACATTTGGTCGTTCTGTTCTGTAGTCCAATCTTGTTTCGGCTAATTTTAGAGGATTTTCCTTTTCGTAGATTGCTTTTTCCAATCTCCTTTTGTTATCCTCCATTTCGCGAATTTGACCGAAAACTTTGTTTAAATGCTCCTCCAATTTTTCTTTGGCCTGTCGAACCTCAGCAATACGATCTTCATAAGCTTGATTGGTATCCCTTGTCTGATTCTCTAAATCATTAGCGACAGCCTGAAGATAGTTGTCTATTTGAGAACGAAGCTGCGCTGAATTTTGTCTTTGCTTTTCAGTGAATTCGATATTATCCCTGGAGAAGCTTTGCCATTGTTCAGGATCAGTTGTACTGTAGAATTATTTTAGCATGTGTTAATAAAATCTACTGATTAACATTTTCAAAAATTACTAACTGTCCTTCAATCCTTGCGGCTCCATTCTTGAAACGAATTTCAGAAGAGTGGTCAGTTAATTGTCGATTATGTTTATCAATCGACAAAGCTTGAAATTTATCAGCCAAATCCCTTTCCAATTGCCTCTCAGCCTTTCGGTTCAATCTGATTTGCAAATATAATATTCATGTTTCACCAATAATATAAACATAATGAAAATCTCTTATTTAGTTTTAAAAGAATATTATAGATAGATGAATTTCTTTGGTTTTCTTACTAACCTTAGTTGTTCTACAGTTTGCTCTTTCAATCTGGTTAATAATTCCATAACGCCATGAAGAACTTCCATTTCTTTAATTTGATGCTTTTCTGCATCATCATGAACTAATTCGATATTCTGTCTAGCTCTTCTCTTGGCTAAGCAAGCTTCAGCAATGTGTAAAGGTTCCTTACAACCCAAGATGGCATTATCAATCCTGGCCAAGAATGCGTCTAGTGCCTCGGTTTCTTTCTTCATCTCATCCATCTTATCATCAACCTCTTTGTTCCAATACTCAACATCGTTTACTCTTTGATCTGTGAATAGATAATGGAAAAGTAAATTTAAAAATTCAAACAATTTTGATTTAGAGCTGTCAAAATCTTATAAAAAGCTATAGATTAAATTCTACAAACCTAATTTCTTGTTAACATCGGCTTGGGTTCTTTTTGCTCTCGAGTCAGTTTCCTCTATTAACCGTCCACTCTCATCAAACAAACGTTCCGCTGCCGCCCTTTCAGCTTCGGCGTTGGCATATTGGGTTTGGTTAGAAATAACCCATTCTGGATGCGCAAATTTAGTTGGAGGGGCTACAAGTCGAGCCATATTATCTTCTGGAGGGCTTGAGTTCCTTTAAAATCTTATTTAAGAAGATATAATGGTATTTCTTAAACTGAAACCTTTGAAAGTGGTCAGCTCTTTCAAAGTGTTTTCTGCTTAGCAACGGTTGCTATGTTATTTCGTGGTACCGCACTTTATTTTCCATGTTTTGTTTGCTTTTTTTGCGCGCGAATTTCTATACATAAAAAAATATGAAAAAATGAATAATTCAAATAAAAAAGAGACAATTCGATTAGCCATGTTGATGAATTCGCTGTTATTTTTCGACAGAAGCCGTAAAATGCTAATTATTTGTAATGTAATTATTTGATTGGATTATCTTCATGGCAACTAAAGTGATAGATTGAAGATAGTTCAAATAAACTTGAGAGTACTCTTTCGTGAAAGATCTCACGTATAACTTTGTATATTTCTATGGAAGTTATTCATTTAAAGCAACAGAGTGTTCCTTTCACAAGACAGAATTTATAGGCTAAAAAAGTGTTATCAAAACTTCGACCATTTTTTTTATTGCAAATGTTCGAAAGAGCATGTGAAATAGCTGCTGGCAGAAAATATGGTTCTCCGTTCCATATAGTAGAAATTCCAACTTTCGACTAAACCATTTCATTCGTTCAAAGTGTAGTTACGCAATACAGAATAAATTCTGTCTTGTCATTTTACTGGATATTGCAAGATGGATGTTAACCAAGAAATTTTGAAGAAATTGTTAAATAGAGATAAAATTAAGCTCTGGGAGGAGCCTTATACTCTAAACGATGGTGAGCTTGGAATATTGCCCGAGGTAGATTGTTGAGAATTCTTGTTAATTGCTTTTTTTGTACATATAAATGAATATCTCTAAAAGTAATATTCAACAGGAATTGTGTTCGAAATACGCAGCAGAGACAAATTTAAAAACAGAAATTCTGATAGAATGCTTGGAGAATTTAAGACAACACTCTTACAAAAAATTCATCGCCAGAAAAAAGTTCCAGGAAACGGGTGTTGCTTGTCTTGACATTAAGATTACTGACGAAGCTAATATAGTAAAAACTGAGCAATACGAAATTAATTTAAATAATCATGCAATCGACTTGAAGCAAAAAATAGCATCAAAATTGGGAAAAGATATTTATTGCTTAAAAATGATATGTAGTGGAAGATTGATAGAAAATGACCTTAGCTTACGTAACCAAGGAGTGCAGGTTATTCTACAAATCTATTCAATATTTTTAATATTTTTAATAGGCAACACTTTTGAACTTTTACAGAATTTCAGTCAGATAATGGTGCTTATTGTTCCCCAATCTGTCAGTGAAGCTGAAAAGAGTTTTGCTCTACAAAAGGATGTACAGATGACTAGGGCTACTGCAGAGTTTCTAGCAGATCATGAAGCTGCAAATGCAAACTTAGATATTACTGATCAGAACGGAAAACGTTTAAAATTACCTGAAGATGAAAAGAGGGTAAATACTCTTTCTTTACCCACGGAGAAAAGAGAATAAAAGAACCTCAAGGAAGTTCGAAATTAATAAATATTTTTTTATTTCAGAGTCTAATATTAGCTATGAGTTTGCAAGAAAAAGGGAGGACTGTACTAAAGCGGAAGGAATATTCCCATAGTCTTATGTTACTTCTTGAATCTGATGCTGAATTTAAGTATTAAATTTAATAATTCAATTTTACATTTTATCATTAATAAATAAAAACAATTAGAAAATGTAGAAGCGAATTACTTCAAGTTGCTGATAACTATGCAAATCTTTGTTTGGATATCGTATGGTGTTATTTGTGCTTGAAAAGTATTAAAGACCTTCCAGATGCTAAACAACGTTTAGAAAAGTGTGAATTATGTTTTAGAAAGAGCTACGGTCCAAATTTGGAAAGATTATCATTACTCAAAGTAATATTTAAAATTGAGATATGGTGCTAAAAAAGCTATATTCTTTGTCTTACCCTCAGGGATCAACAGGAAACGAAAAGGCTCTTTATATGAGATTGCATTTAATGCAAGGTATTCTTGCTTTTCATCAAGGATTTTACGATGAATCAAAGTGCAAGTTATCTCAGGTACAAAATTACCGTATGATTGATTTTATCTTGGAGCAGAGAAAGTTATTTTATAACCATTAATAAGACCTCACTTGTTAAATTTAGGCTCAGAATGAATGGTCCAAACTGCACGTAGAGGACTCAAAGCTAACAGAAGGTATTATGAAATATCTATATTATTTTTCATTAAAGATTATGTAAGAAATTGATTGAGAAAGCATGCTTGATTGTATAATTTGTAAAGTGAAAATTGCACGTGATATATATACTGTATATATATAACATGCATCATTTTATTGATTAGTCATGTCTATGGGTTTCACGGAAAGAGAGGCGCGTTTGTGCTTAAGAGACGCCGAAGGGAATATGAATATAGCTGTAGAGAAGATCATGCAGAAAAGAGAGAAAAAAAGAATGAGACAAATTGAAGCAGATAAAGAGGACGAGGAGAGAAAATTAGAAAAACTGTTGGGTAAAACTGTAAATGATATTCAGTTAGTTGAGAAGTCGTATTGCAACGGCAAATTTTTTCACTGACCTTTTTATTTTCTATTAGGATCAACGCGACATTATATAAACAATTGAAGGGAATCGGTATACCGAATGGAGCTGCCAAAGAGGCATTGAGAATAACAAATAATAATTTTGATAAAGCTATTCAGGTATTATTATCAAGGATAATGCTACTCTTTAGAAAGAATAACCTTGAGCATCTTTCTACAGATACTTCAAGAAAAACGAAACGAATTATATTTTGTCCCCGATCCTGAATTTACTGAAGATTGTATTAGCACTCAAATGATCGAGCAGGTTTCTTTTCTTTTTATAATAAATAAAAACTTGTCCAAAGTTTTTACAAAATATTATTATTTTCTCCGCTGCAGTTAACAAACATTCTTGGAGAAATTGACGAAAAATTAGCCAAAAGCATTCTGACTGGGGTCGGTGGAAGTATTGAAAAAGCTGTTGAAGGCATTATGGAGAAAGGACTTGGACATTTCGCCTGTAAGCATGAGGCATCAACGAGCAAACAAGCGGAAAAAGACGGTAGGAAAACAATTTGTCCACAGAATATTATATACAATGTACTTAGAATATATAATGCCGCATGCTACTGACAATTATATAGACAATGCGTACGTACGATATGTAAAATTAGACATCGGTACAGGTGGCGATAGTGTTCTTTCAATAAAAATATATTAGTAAAATTTGTTTTTCGCCTGCAACAGAGAATAAAGAAATGAAAAAAAGAATATACGAAGATCTCCTCCCAGATATATCTAGGGATGCAGAAGACTATCTAGATTTAACTTTAGAGGAAGAAGCAAAATTTTTGGAAGAATACACAAAGAAACTTTCTTTGATCTAACATATTTTTTATTATATATCAGCTTTTGCTTCGTCATTCGTCAAATAAAATTAAGTGATATACTTGAAAATGTTATTTATTCTATGAAAGTAAAAATGCCGTAATTTAACGAAAAGGTTTTGGCAAAAATGATCTAAAAAAGAAAATTATTATTTCAATTAATGCCTGAGATAATTAGAAACTCTCCTAATGATCTATGCAGATACGTAAGTCGACTTGTTGAAGCGAAAGTAAGGTTTTGTACTTACTTCTGGTGTATCGCCAGCAACATTGCAACTTAATGAATAAGTTCCGTACGGAGCTGTGCGTACTTTTCCCACAAAGAACACTCTAGGCGTCTAAAAGAAGAACAGTATGTCTTTTTATATCGCGCTATTTACAGAAATTATCTCTCATTCCTCAATTCCGAAAGTAACTTTCCTTCAATTGCCCCCCAATTATATAACGCATGCAAGAAGAAAACAGATAAGTAATTCGATTTATTAATGAATAAATAAATAAATAAAAGACATTGGAATACAACGATATGTAGATATATATACAGTATATATATATATATATATATATATATATATATAAATGTATGGTATATTTAAAATATATTATTTTCTTGTGTAGAAAGAACAAAATACAGCATTGTCATTATTAAAGCATATGCATTTGTTAGCAGCAATTCAGTCGTCGATTATAACAAACGCCTGGTAAGAAAGAAAACCCGACTGCTGGGTATGATAAGATCAGCAATCAGATCACCTTTCTGCCGAGAGCCAGTCAGAATGACGAACGTTAATTAAAGAACGGTGATTTTTTTTTTGATTACCAAAAACTAAAGCTCGTTCCAAAAAAACACCAGTTGTAGGGCTATTTTCCAAATACAAAGACTTCACAAAGTATTACTTATAATGAGAATATAATTACAATATCTGTGTTATTCAGAGTTTAGAGCTATATTAAAATTGCTTTAATGAAAGAGAGAATTGATAGCTAAATTTTATTGAGCTCTACTTCCTTTCAAGATCATTTTTCATTCATTTATTATATCTTTATAGTATAGAAATAGGAAAAATGATAATTCCTGTAGTTGTCCTATAATTTACGACAAATCTTGCCATGATTTAAATTTTCACGTTTTTTTTCTATCAAGCTTATTTAATTGAAATACGAAAAAAAACAGGAAAAAGGAATTAATATAGAAATTAAATTAAATTTAGATAAGAAAAGAGGAAAGAAAGAATAATGCTTTTCTGTTCGTTTATTATTAGCATCTTTATTTCTTTTCCTCTTTTTTTATGTAAGAGAGACGAAGAGAAAAATTTTACCTAGCTCTGTTAACGTTCGGCGTCGTGCTGATAATGTAGACGATTCCACGGCGATGGTGCTGCACTCTAAATATTAATTAAAATGCTTCATTAAATAGCTTATACTAGCTTCGAGGTAGGCTTTTAATTCTTTTTCTTAAAAGAAGAATATGCTTATGACATTATTGTTTCTACGTCAAAGAGAAAGGCCTTTAGATTATATCAGGGAAAAATTGTAAGGAAAATGATTTTGTCATTTTTTCATTTTGGAATATTTAATTTTCATTTTTTTTTTTGATTTTTCTGCGAAAATAATTCTATTGGGAATTATATTTTCTTAGAGTATTTTGTCGCTTATTTAAACTGTTAACAAGACGAGAATTATGTCTAAAAAGGTTTAGTGTATATCGGTGCTTATATAAAGACAATGTAAAATACACGAACATGTAAAACAAAATGATTTTTCCATCGTACTAAAATCTCGTGTAAAATGAAGCCCTTTATAAATTGCTGTTGATAGTTCATAATTTCCAATCGATTGGCTCTTTACCATTGGCCTTCAAATATTCGTTTGCTTTCGAAAAGTGTTTACAGCCCATGAACTTAGTAACGCTTAATGGTGAAGGGTGGGCCCCTTTCAAGACCAAATGCTTTTCCTCATCAATCTGTTCGCCTTTCAAGTGAGCTTGTTTTCCCCATAACACAAACACCACGTTGGTGCACTTATCACTGATCAACTTTATCACAAGTTCAGTGAAAGCCTGCCAACCAATTTGAGCGTGAGAGTTAGCTTCGTGTGGGAGGACAGTCAAGACTGTATTAAGTAGAAAAATGCCTTGTTCGGCCCATTTCGTCAAGCAACCAGAATTTGGTGCTTCAAAACCATCAATGTCTGATGAGAGTTCTTTATAGATGTTTTTCAACGATTTTGGAATGTCTACTCCCTCGGGTACTGAAAAAGCCAAACCGTGAGCTTGTCCATCATCGTGATATGGATCTTGACCCAAAATTACTAGCTTAACTTTATCTAAGGGGGTGAGGCTGTTGGAAAATTCAATAAGTAAAACACCAAATATTAATTTAAAAATTTACTTAAAAGCGTTGAATACCAATTCCTCAGGGGGGAAGAACTTTGAGTCTTTGATTTCTCCCAATTGGTCTTGCAGGCATAGAAAGTAGTTCCTTTTCATCTCTGAATCTAAAGCTTCCTTCCAGGTTTCTTCCGTGAGGTATTTGATGATATCGTAATCGTTTTTTCTAGTGTATTCTACGTCGTCACTTAGAAGCTTTGGTGCTCTCTTCCTCTGAACTTTAGGCTTGTCATTACCATTCTGCTCTGGTTCCTCTTTTTTTGGTTTACGAGATCTTTTCTCTCCTTTGGCTGCCTTTTTTGAATCTTCTTGTTTTTCATTTTGATCATCTAATTTTTCATTGTGAGAAACAGCTTCACTAGTTTCTGATTCTTCTTTTTCTATCGGCTTCGCTTCTTCTTCAACAGTTTCTGATTCATGTTCACCATTCTCCTCAGGTTCTTCCTGAAGCTCGCGTGCTTTTGGTCTACCTCTCTTGCTTTTAGGTTTGACTTTCACTTCTTCCTCTCCAGCTTCTGATTCCTTGTCATTTTCTTCAGTTTCTTCCTCAGGTTCAGGAGCTTTTGCTTTTCCTCTTTTACCTTTTGGTTTGGCTTTAATTTCTTCCTCAGCTATTTCTGGTGATAACTCATCGTTTTCTTCTGGTTCTTCAACTGGTTCAGGAGCTTTTGCTTTTCCTCTTTTACCTTTTGGTTTGACTTTGCTTTCTTCCTCAGCCATTTCTGCTGCTAATTCATCATTTTCTTCAGATGGTTCGGGGGCTTTTGCCCTTCCTCGTTTACCTTTTGGTTTGGCTTTGGCTTCTTCAGCCACATCTGTCGCCAACTCATTATTTTCTTCGGGTTCCTCGGAAGGTTCAGGGGCTTTTGCTCTTCCTCGTTTACCTTTTGGTTTGACTTTTACTTCCTCTTCAACCATTGCTGTCCCTAAATCTTCATTTTCTTCGCGATCTTCAGATGATTCACGGGCTTTCGCTCTTCCCCGTCTACCTTTGGGCTTAGCTTTCACTTCTTCAATTGTTTCCAACTCATGGTCACCAGTTTCCTCAACTTCTTCCTCAGGTTCACGAGCTTTTTGTCTTCCTCGCCTACCTTTTGGCTTTGGTTTGGGCTCTTCGGCGATTTCAGATTCATTATCACCACTTTTCTCATTGTTTGGGTCGGGTTTGGCTTGCCTGCCTCTTCTTGCCTTGGGTTTAGACTGTGGTTCTTCATTTACTTCAGCTTTTTTTCCACGACCTCTTGGTTTTTTTATTTCATCTTCTTTTTCGTCAGTTTGACCGTTCTGTTCTGGAACATCATTTTCTTCTACTTTATTTCCTTTCTTAGGTGCCTGTTTATTAGCCTTACCTCGACCTCTTTTAGCTTGAGTCTCTTCGTTTACCCCATTTTGTTCTGATGATTTTGCGCCTTTTCTAGCAGGACGACCTCTTTTAGGCTTAGCTTCAAGTACTTCGTCATCGATGTCTTCTTTTTCGTTGTTATCTGAGTCGGCAGTGTCACCTTCGGTCTTTTCAAAAGTTCTTTTCGTGGTTTGGCCCTTTTTTGGCTTTACTGCTTTAGTACCGTTCTCTTCATTTTTCTGTGCTTTTTTAGGTTGTCTTCCTTTTTTTCCCTTTGGAGGAGGTGTTTTTTGATTTTCCTCACCTTCTTCAATTTTATCGGTATTTTCGGACATGGAATCTTCGTCTTTATCAACTATCTTCTTGATTGTTCTTTTAGATCTTTTCACTGGGCTTGTTGGGGGTTCTTCTGTGGCATCTTCATCATTCTCATCTGCTTTGCGTTTGATGGGCTCATCCTTTCCATTTACTTCCAATTGTATTCTTGTAACAACATTCTCGTCCATTTCTTCTTGGGAACCTTCTCCCGAAGCGTCGACATTCTCTGTTACACCATTCTCTTGTTCCTTGGACAGTTCAACCTCATCTACTAAAGCTTTACCCTTTACTTTTTTTACAGCTTTTGAAGGTTTAACAGTGGTTTTTGCGGCAGCGCGTCTCGGCATCTTAATCTGAAAATAAAGAATTTTTAAATGAGAATCAAACTTTGTGGTATCATTTTGTTTTACTAAATCTTTAAAACTTGAAATAAAATCTCAAATGGTTAAAAAAGACTTTTCAGCAGTTATAATAAGTAATATTTACTAAATATCTTCAAAATATGAATAAAAGAATGAAATTTGCTTTCGCAATCAGCTTCCTAACTTCAAAAATGGCCGGTTGGTTTAGTGAGGGTGCAGATTCCGATTCACTAGGGTAAATTAAATCTAAGGTTGTGATAGGGAACCGATCTTAAAATAGTCCTTTTAAAAATATAAAATTTTTAGGTGCAAACTAAAAATGCTTTTATTGTTTTAATCGTATAAAAAAAATTATAATATAAAACAATCTTTTGCTTAAAAAAGTTTTTAAAACATTCTCTCTTAACCGTTATTACTTCGTGCGCTATAATACAAACGAACTATATAGTGCTCATTTTCGTTCTCATTACGCGCACTGGTTACTGAAGTTTGGCGGGATTTTTACATTTATTGAAAGCGTAAGTTTTTTTTTATTCTTAGGATTGATTTTAAGCTGAAGTTCATTATGTACTAAATATAATTCAAGATAAATTGCAATAATTATGCACTTAATTGAAAATAAGAAATACAATGTGTGAACTAACTAGATAGAAAAGCCACCACGACGTCTCAAACGTGCACTGCTTTCACTTAAATACTATTTTATACTTTTAGCAGTGACCCAATTTTTAATGAAATCGTTACATTACGCCGAAACTGCGGCAGTGAATAATGGCATATTTGATAGAGGCGTGTCTAGACTTTGACTGGGGTTTAACCCCTGAATCCAACATTTTGTTAGTAAATGTGTTTCAAAATTGATTTTAGTAAATTTATTCATAGTACTATACTCTTAGTATTTGACAAAAATATTAAATATAGCATAATAATATTGAAATAAGGCTTCTATCCTTGAAAAAAAAGAAATCGAAAAATAGTGGTAGATACCTCTTGATTTGATATTATGGTAACATACGGAAATTTCGTAGCAAAGATTTAGTTTATGCGAATTTCGTTGTTATATTCTCAAGTGCAATCGGTGGAATGGAATGAAGTTTGAAACATTCTATTGCCCTAAAAACCCTAAAGGATATCTTCCCCTAGGAAACAAGGTTTTGATAAAAGTGACAAACAGTATAATGGGGATTAATACCATTGTCTGCTTACCAAAATTTATCCATCTTCTAGCCTTACTAATGTTTCAATAAAAAAGAATAAGGACTTTACTGCTTAATTGTTTTTTTTATTAAGTATAATAACAGAATGAAACGACTTTTATCAAATTATATATAGCTCTACTATTTATAAAAGTACATTATAATTTTTAATTCATAGACTATTGGAAATAAATAGAAAAATTACTATTTAATTGACATACATTCTAAATTGTACTGTACAAACTGACATCCTATTTAGAGGTTTTTCGTCTGCTCTCTGTTTTTTTAAAAGAAATTATACTGAACCGATAAAGGGATAAAGTGTAAGATTTATAGGGGTGGTAATGTTTGGGAAGAGTCTATTTTTTAAACTGATAACGATTTCCGGTCTTATGTAACAAACACATTGTAATTTTACTAAGGCGGTTGTCAAATTATTCATCAATTTGGAAGAAGCCGGAACACAAGCAGCTGTTTATATATATTTTATTATTGTTTAAGGTAGCCAAATAGAATTATATATGATATTTATTAAGGGCTTTTCTATATTTTTTCACTACTGGTTGATGACCAGTATAAGCCGGGTCTACTGGACGTAATTTAATTTTCCATTTGCCTACAGACACGATGACTGGGCGAACTATTATTGTGACTGGAGCCAGCAGTGGAATCGGCTATGAGGTAGCGAGATACCTGTGTGAAGGTGGAAATGATACAATCTTAGCTTGTCGGGATGAAAACAAGGCTAAAACAGCGATTGAAAAGATAAAAAACGCCAATCCCAATGCTCTAGCGACTTTCATGAAGGTATATACAACAATATTTCACCATACCCCTTTTAGATAAACTGACGTATTCTTCACACGTGCTAAGGCGTCGAGTACACTTGTAGAAATCGACTGCAACTTGCCTTTGATTGCTAGGGGGATAGCTTGCAACAGCTGTAGCGTTTCATATTTTTATTTTAAGAAAGATGGGTGGGTAGGAGCCGAATAGGTAGAAATAGAAATAGGATATATTTAGTATCGATTTTCTTTAAACAATTTCTTCTCTGTATTTTTAGGTTGACCTATCGGATTTCTCCAGTATTCGTAAATTCGTTGAAGAATTCCGGTCAACAGGCAAGAAATTACACGTCTTGGTTAACAATGCGGGTATTCTGCTCAATAAAAAAGACTTGGACAGGCAGTTTAATGGGGACAACATTGAATTAACTATGGCTACTAATTTCTTTGGACCTTTTCTTCTCACTAATTTGCTTTTGGAGGATCTCAAAACTACGGGAGCTGACAGTGGAGATGCCAGAATTGTTAATGTTGTTACAAGACTTCACGATGTTAATAACTGTAGAAAACAATGGAATGTACAGCCTTTAGATTTCGAAGATATTCTTTTGGCTAAAGAAGGAGCTTATAGCGGAATGAATGCATACAAAAATTCTAAGGCTTGCACTATTATGATGACATACGAATTGGCGAAACGATTAGAAGGTACTGGTGTATCTGTCAATTGCGTATGTCCGGGTTTTGTTCCAGCAACAGATATTTCTCGCCAACAAAGCACAACTGTTAGACTGCTACATCGTTACGTAATTGGTCCCGTTTTACGTGTTTCTAAACAAGCTAAATCTGTAAGTCAAGGAGCTGCTGCTATTTACTCACTGGTACTCGATGAAAAATTCAAAGGTATGAGAAATGAAGTAATTAATTTAAATTGGCTTATTAATTTATCTATTATACAGGCGTTTCTGGAAAGTATTATCAAAACAATACTGAGGCAGAATCGTCAGCTGAGACTCAAGATAAGGAAAAGTGGGAGACTATTTGGAAAATCGGCGGCGGCTACAGCAAAATGGACGGTTTTGAACCAATAGAGGCTCCCATTCCACCGCCTCCCGAAGAGAAGAAAAAACTGGAAGAAAATGGAAAGGAGGAAAGCAACGAAAAGGAAGAAGAAAAGGAAGAAAACAAAGAAGAAGAGAAGAAAGATGTAAAAAAAGAACAGAGCGATGAAAAGAAAGATGGTATATATTTGTATATTTGCACTGCCGTGAAATATTGTTTTAATTAATCTACTTTCAGTTGAGATTGAAGAACCAAAAAAAGAAATGGAACCTGAAGACAAAGAGAAAATAAAATCAGAGATTATTGAAGCTAAGCCACAGGAAGCATAAATAAACTCGCAAAACCTGTTAATTCTCGGTGTCGCTTATAACACTGATTTTTAAATGCGATTCTAATCTGTTTGCTTGCGTAAATTGTGTTCATATTCCTTTTTTTTTTCTACGATGTTTACTATACTTTTGAAACGAGCAGTAAAGGTTGTAGCTTATGAAATTATGAAATTAGAAAGATTTCTTTGCTCCTGCCAAAGCAGTATATTAGTGTTGTTCAAAGTGTGGCTTATATATTTATAACATACTTTTTTTTCTAAAACTTGTGTTAATTAAACTGCTATAAAGTTTATTGCTTGATATCTCTGAATATTTTGCAACGTCAGTGCCTCCTATTTCACTCATTATCGTCCGGTGTGATATCTATATATTTGTGTTCATACCTTGCAAGTTTTGTAACTTGAAGCGTAAAAACTACTTACTTTTTTGTATATTTAGCAGCTAGTTGATGTAGAAGTTGTATTTAAGTAGCTATGCATTTAACTATCAAATTTCCTTTTTTTTTTGCTATATTGTCGTTAAAATTTAAAACGTGCAAGTAGTAAAAACAGCTGAAAACTTATACTCAACTTATAACCTTTGTTTAGTTTGCTATGAAAAACAACTTAAACAACTAATGATTGCGAAACTTGAACGTACCGATATCGTATCTAAACGACAAATATCAACAAAACAAATCAATGATTAGATCCTATTAGTCTAAGTCTCTGAACAATTTCATCCTCAGCGTGAACCGTAAAATCTCCAAATTGAACTGACGGACTTCCTACGAAGTCGCTTAGTTTCCGACTAGAAAATCTAATTTGTCGTTTTTTGCCCCTTTCATTATCGTCTTCGTCTCTTCCTTGACCTCTTGGACTTTTGGCTCTTTTAGTCGCCTTTTCTTTAGTGTTGACTTGAGCGGGATTTTCTATGAGTTTCCCATCTGTTTTAGCTTCTCTATCCTTCTTACGTTTAGGCGTTGCCTCCTGCTTAGTTTTAGATTCTGTAGTTTCCTGTTTTTTATGAGCTCTATTCAGACTTTTACCTTGTTTTTCGTCAGCCGTAGCTTTCTTTTTAGGTTGCCTTTCCGCGTCGGTTGTTTTCGTTTCTTTTAATTTTTGACGATTTTCTTGATCTTTATGCGGAATTTGTTTCTTCTTGTCCTGTCTAGCTTCATTTGTCGGTTTCTTTTGAGTAGTTTCCTGGGTTGCTTTCACCTTACTTTTAATATCTTTTTGCGATTTTTGTACATTTGATTCCCCTTTAACTCCCTTAGACGTAGGAGATTTTTTTATCTTTTGGTTTTCCCCCTCTTTATCTTCCTTCTGAACTTTTTTAGAACGATTAGCTTTTTTTCCCTCAGTGATTTTTCCCACCTCCTCATCTTTTGTTAAATCTTTCTTTTTTTTTGTCTCCCTATCGGCTTTCTTGTCACGATGTTCATCGGTTGTTTTCTTTAACTTCTTCTGCTGGCCTTGTCTTTTTGATTTATCGGTAGTAGTTTTTATAGTTTGTTCTTTCTTCTTGCTTTTCGGCGTTAACTTCTTTTCTGTGAGATCTTTATCAATGTTGACTCCGCCGTTCTTTACGTCCTCTTGTTCATTATCGCTTTCGGGATCTTCTTTTTCTTCTTCACTATTGTCGTGACTTTCTTCATCATCTTCGTCATCATTTTCATCCTTGTCACTTTCTTCCACATGGTCAATCTCTTCTTCATCTTTCTGTTCTATAGATTCATCATCAACATTTGACTCTTCTCCCGATATTTGAGCTTGTACAGCTTCTGATTCAAGCTCCTGAGCGAGTCGTAGTAATTCTTTATATTTGTGGTTTTCATCTGATTCTTCGTTTAATCTCTCCTTAAAATCTTCTTCACACTTTTTAATGAAATTCGAACATTCTTTTGCAGTTTTACAACCTAAATTACTCATGACTATTGCTAATGTTTCGCCTTCACCGAATATCATACTCGGATCTACACCGGCTTGTTTACATAACTCATAAGCGTAAACTTTACTAGCGTCTTCTAAAAGATTAGGAGGCGTTGAACCCCAACCCTTAAATATGTAGCCATACGCTGGATCGTCGGCTGAAAATGGTAAGTCATATTTACAAGCTTCAGTTATCGAAGTTTCTAATATTCGCTGAAGAAGAAATTTGATGACCTGTATATATAAGGTGAAGAGTAATGGCTATAGTATTTATTAGTTTTGTAACGAACTGATAAAGCTAATAGTATGCCTATATAGCATTTGAAGGGGTAAATAAATCTATCGTTCATGTAGGAGCCTATTATTTTTGAACAACCGATCTGATTGACAGAGACTTTATTGCCATTTTTCCAATTATAACCAGTAATGATCCCTGGCTCAACAACATTTTTATTGATGCAGGGAGATGGAGCGTCTCTCATACAACAACTTGCTGGTACAGAGTTTTCTATAGTTTGGAAAATATTTCCATCCCTGGCAATAAGAACTTTAAATTTAATTTATTAAAAGTGACGTCTCGATTATATTATTAAATAGTATGATGGATAGTAAAAAACTTTGACACTCACTGTTGCAGGGCCTCTTGCCAACCAACAGTAAACCATTCATCTGGGCTATTTTTACCGCAGCATTGATGAGTAAATTGCATTTTATCTAATACAGGTTTCATTTTTAAATATTTGTCAGATTTCATTCCTTTTTCAAAGATTTCATCGACAACTGTTTGAACTTGATCAACAGCAACAGTAATGACTATCAGGAATATTAAAAGTACGATTATGTTTAATAATTCAGCCCAGCTTAAAAAATAATTGGTACGAGCCCAGTTTCTTCTAGTCTCACCGCCCTTATAGACAAAATAATTGATCCAACTACTAAATAGGGTTAGAGTCATTTGAAATCCAGCTAAAACTCCCATGAGAGTCGCTAGATTTACCCTTTGAGCAGTTTGGAATTGAGGAACTTTTAGCGCCTCGTTCAATTCTTTTCCAGCTATAGAACCCCAAATTATTTGCACAAGGCTAAGAAGAAAAAATATACCATTGCCAATTAATAGTAAGAACAATAGATTCGTTCGGCCACTTTCAAATATAGAAAAGAGAGGAAGTGGTTTACTCTTCTTTAGAGTTTTACCAGCAAATTTGATGGCTTTTTTACCTTTCTTTTTCGCTATTTTTTGAGCTTTTTTCCTAGTTTCCTTAATATGTTTTACGCCAGTTTTAACGTCCTTTTCCATAATAAAATTATTGAATAAATAAATACAGAACAGCTAATATTTGAATTTGGTTAATCTTTTTGAACACATCATTATCTTCATTTTGTTTCTCATATGAGTTTAATTGTGTGATATAGTCAATAAGAGCTTTATATATATATATATGCAATATATAAAAAATAAATTATACAGTATATAGAAATATATTCTCGTATCAAATGATTGATGATTTCTAATTCAGATAATCTCTACGATATAAATGAACTTAGAACCGTTTTAATGAAGCTTTCTTTCATTAGCTAGATTTTCTTTTCTATGGTTTATTACAAACGAAAATTACTATATATTTATATTTAGTTTAATTAATTTATGAAGTTTTATTCAAATGTTTCTTCGTTTATAACGTCCCAATGGAGTATTCTTGGAGGTTTTCTCTTATACGAACCGTAATAACCTGATGCTGATTTATTAAAATAGTTTCTAAACTTGGATGAATTTTTTATAAAAAAGGCAGCTATCACTATTGACGTTACGGTAAGAATTACAAATAAATAGATTGACCAGTTGGAAGAGACTTCAACACCTTTTTTTTGAGCAAGGAATTCTTTGCAGATATTTTCATCCATTTCACAAATATTCATTTCTATTCCTACATATATATATATATATATATTTAAATATACTGTATATACAATTACAAGTGATTTTTTTCGTAGAAAATATAAAGAATATCAAGGAAACACCGACCTTTTGATAGAGACAACGTGTTGTTTGTACAAATAACGCACCTTCTCATATTATTAAAATTACCCTCTGTAGCATCTTTCAACTTTGTTATATATTCTATTTCTCCATCGAATAGAATTGTTCGAAAAGGCGCTAAAATGGTTAAATTATTCGATTGGGGATATCTTTTGAAGAATTGTTCAACATTAAATTTAACAAGGCCTTTTGTCTCTTGATTCGAATTGAAATTTATATGAACGTTATTGCTGCCGAGGGGATGGCATTCATCGTCTTTCGGATAAGATAGAAGGCTATTATCAAACAACTCAATCTGCTCGAAATAGGAAAAATAGTGGAGATTTCCTGATTTGACAGCTTTGAAACATGGTTGATAAGCGAAGAATGATCTACTTTGTATATTTAGTCCATACTTTCTAATAGTTCCAGTGTAGTTATTTCCATTTATATAAACTTTTGAGCAGTTAAATAGAGTTAATGAAATTTCTAAGAAATCATTCAATTCGATATCATCTTTGGCATAAATCTCCACTTCCAATTCTCTAGCTTTTTCCGTACAATAGACGTTAAGATTTTTACATTTCATAGAAGAATTATCTTTCTTTAATACAGAACATATATAATCTTTGGAAGAGTAATTCGCCTCATGTTTTAAATCTTTGTCTAAAGGTTTTAGTCGAATGGAGAAATCTTTTTGGCAAAATGAATATTTACATGGGATTTGCTCAATTGTATTACTTGAAGATAGTACTTTAACTATTACTCCAATTCTTAGATTTTCTTCTTCTCTATTATCATTGTTTATATTAACTACATCATTATTTAATATTACTGATTGTTTATCAATCGAATAAGTTGATACAATAGATTGATTAAATGATACGGTGTTATTTGTTCCTGCTATTGAGTATTTGAAAAAGAAGATAAAAAGGAAGCTTATCTCTATCATGCTATAATTTTAACTTTCATGGTAGATTTTTTAAATTAAAACACGAAAATAATTAAAAAAAAACTTCAAAAAAATATTACGTAATCATGCGTTTACTCAAAATATAAAAATTAATTAAAACAAGGCAAAAAACGCTTAATTACCTTTAAATCTTGAGATGTTTATGATATTTACTAATCCGACGGTTAATTTCAGTTATAGTGTGTATGGATGAATCAGTTGTAGTATTTCCATACCGTATTTAGTCAAACCTGTCTTGTTGAAAAATCTAGTTACCTGGGCAAGTGCGCATGCGCGACTGATGAAAGTACAGGTGAGAGAGAAGGCAAATCTAGATAAATGTGAAGTATAATATAAAGATATGGAAAAATCACTTTATCTTTTCACATTGTTGATAACATTCGGTAAGTGATATGATTATACTGATAATTTTAGTATGAGATTAGAGAGATCCAAGTTTTTTAATCTCTTGTATAGCAAGTGCTCAGGATCCAATAGTTCGGATAACAAGAACAGAACCGGAACAACGAGGAAACGTTATAAGAGCACAACGAGGAAAAGATATAACAATATGGTGTCACGTGGAGAATTTACGAGAAAACATAAATGTTAGATTTGAAAAAGAGTTCTCATCATCTGTAAAGTCTATTTCAAGAAATGAATATCCTTCAGATAATACGAGATATGGTACGCTACATTATCTATTAGAAATATATAAATTAGTAATATTATTCCATAATTAGCAATCGAAAAACCCAAGGAGTTTACCTGGAGATTAAGAATAAAGGCTGTTCAGCTGACAGATTCTGGAGTTTATATCTGTCATGTTTACCTAGACAAATACTCCAAAAGCAAAGCATACGTTAATGTCTTAGTTAATGGTATGTTTAAGATATTGTTCGATTAATTTAATAAACAAACAATAATTCCTATTTCTTTCGTCATCTTTGCAGCTGCACCCGTTTTTGTTAATGACCAAACAACTTCTGATTCGATATATAAGAACGGCTATAAAGTTATCTTGAATTGTTCAACTACAGGCTATCCAAAACCTTATATTGAATGGACAAGATTGGGAAATGCTCTATTGCCAATAGGTAGAGAAAGATTCCAGGTAAGGGATAATTACCATTCAGCTATGAATCATCTTTAATAAATTATTTATTATTAATGACTTTTTATAGAATTCAACATTAGAAATAAAATCAATCAAACCTCAAGATAGAGGAGTGTATCGGTGTAGATCGTGGAATATTATGGGAGAAATAGCCCGAGATATTACAGTAGGAGTTCGTTTTAAAGCTGAAATCAGGGTCCAAAATAGAATTTTGAAACAAAAACTTGGATACGTCATCGAATTGCAATGTCTTGCTGAAACAAATCCGTATCCCATTGGTTTGTCGTGGAAGAGGAGGAGTGGAAGTACACTTCAAACGTTTACGGTCAGCAGTGGAAGGTAAAATAGAAAAATCCAATAAATTAACTATATTGAATTATGTAATTTGTTCTTTAGATATGTTGTTAATGCTGTAAAAGGGGCTTTTAATCGATTTATCTATGAGCTAATAATAAATGGAGTACAACAAGAGGACTACGGTGAATATACATGCGAAATTAATAACGTTGAAGGAAAATCATCGGCAAAGATATTATTGGAGGAATCTGAAATTCCTATGCCGTCTATAAAGAGGGGTATACCAAGAGCCTCTGCTAATATAAATCAATCAATTTCTTCCATCTCAATTACTCTTCTCACCTTCTTTGTTGCTACTCTAATTCATTAGAGAAATCTATCATGTGAAGAATGTATATTGTTTTCTTTTCTTTAAAAATTTTATACTTATTTAATATTGTTTATCTACATAGAAATTTAATAATTGTTTATTACAGTTTTATATGACAACTAGGTTTTTTATAGTCTATTATAAAAAGGATGCGTTATTTTTTTTATTTTTTCATTGTATAAACTATAAAAGTACAGTTTGTTTTATAATACAATTATTTTCTTTTTATAAAAGCTTAAATAAGATTTAGAACCAAAGGGATCATTATTAATTGGAAACGGATTATGCTAGCAAGTGCTGCATTTATATGTTTAATAGACGATTTTTCATTAGTCTCTGCTTACTGAGTGCAAATAAATCCATGATGATATTTATCACCTTCATCATATGTAAATCGAATGTCAAAAGTTAATTCTTCAGTTGTTTTCTTTTCTTCGAATTTGTTTAGTCTCTTATTAAATTTTTCCAATACTAACGGACCTTCATCCGTTTGTGTTATCGGTATCACATCTGTTACAGATGTTACATACGATCTCATCTCTAACATATCTTTAAATAACCTTGGAAGTTTAAAATTGTTTACAAGACTTTCAATATTGTTTACAAATGGCCTTTTCATTGATCTTCTTATCTGGCAAATTGCTAAACGTTTAAGAGACAGAGTTTGCCTGAAATCTGAATAAATTTTGACTATTGAAGACCAAAGTTTATTATCTGCGGCGGATGCTAACAAAGATAGCGTAGATGGATGATTCCGTAAAAGTTCTAGTCGGTCGCAGATTCTCGTCGAAAAATTGTAGCCGAAAATTATCAATGTTCCGATAATAAGATTACACAATTCTGAATCAAGATTGAAGGGAATGTTTAGTAGTTGCCTTAGAAATTCCTCGTTTAGACCATCTCCTATATCGCTTGTAAAAATCAAGAGACCCAAAGATTCTATTGTTGTAACATCAAAGGATAAAGAAGATAGTTGACAAGCGCAGAGATATGATAAAACCTTTGAAACTTCAGTTAGACTATCCTTAAAAATAGGATGAGATATCATTTTATGAACAAAAGTCATTCTTCGCCGAATTATTGACTCTTCGTAGTAATCTATATCCTGTGTTATACTGAGAAAGTAGGTTCTGAAAAAATTCGGATATTTATTAATATAAAAGTCAAAATTTTGGCAGTAAAGTAAACAATGAATAACATCTTCTTTTTTAAACCCAAGACCCGTTCTCTTAGAAATTTCATCAACTACATCAACTAGATGAAATTTTATTAGATGTTTCATACAATCGTAACGATGATTTACCATAAATTTCTCAAATGCAGTTACAATCTTTGCCTCAGTAAGTATTGTGCAAATCGTATCAAAAGGAACATGATTTTGTAGTAGGAGAAAGACAACGCCGCAATACTTTCTCACAGTATTTTCATTTATTCCATATTGATTTAATATGGCGAAAAATAATTCAATTTTCTTTTCGTATGTTGAATTGACGATTGTTGCTAATAGAGGATCTGTATTTGGTTTTAAAAATTGATTATGTCTTATTAGCAATAATAAACAGCCGTATCTTTCTTTCTTTGTTGTAATCTGTTCAATTTTTATCCATTCTCCTCCGTAATTTACGTATTTGTTTATAAAACTTGAATTAATTATGTCTTTGAAACAATTTAAAAATAATTCAAGTAGATCGTCTCTACCATATCTTATTAATTTCCTTATTATTGGAAAGACATGCTTTATTCGTGAGTCCCGTGATCTGGGTGATAGGTTTTGATGACACCCATTTTCCGAGAAATAATAACATATAGTATGAAAATAATCAAGATTTCTCCTTTTCACGCAAATACTATCAATTGAAGTACTTAAAAAAGACTGCCTTTTAAATATTTAAATAAATAAGGGGTGAAATATCTTATTTTATTCACAATTGTTTTGTCTTACTAATGACGGATGAGAATTTCGCAATAAAAGGTCACGTGACTTTTTTAAGTACCTCAATACTTTAATTATATTAGTTTCATCCAAGTTTAAATGAAGCTTTAACAAATCTATCAGCTGATTTTTCTCATTTCGTTCAACCAGAGCGCAAAGAAGATCGCTGATAGTAGAGAGAGCTGATGGTGCTTCGTAAGTTTCTTCTTCTGAAGATACATCCGGAGAAAACTGCATTTTGATTTATTTTAGGCTTATATATATTTTTACAAAGAATTGAGTAATTTATGTTGTTTTTTATTCTTATTTACAAATTGCAGATCTTTACTCAGTTGTGGACACCGAACTGATATAGAAGTTGTTTCGACTAGCAGATTAAAAATTTGGGGTGTTGCAATCTAATGTTTTTTTTACTATAAAAAGCATAATTCTGCAATATACTTACTTTTGCAGTGATTTCACCCATTTCCAGCTTTTTAGAATTTTATAATAATTAATGGATAGGTATGTTGAAGAGTGGTAGTAATTTATTTGTTTCGAGCGATAATTGCAGGTTATTTGAAAATAAAACATCGTTTTTCCAACGATAATCCTGCTACGCTTTATTACGAAAGAGAATTACATCAAAAGTTGATTTCTTTATTTTCTGTTAGACACAGAAAACGTCGTTTGTCGCCAAGGCGTAGTAGATCCCCGTCCAAAGGCACATATCGACGTAGTCGATCAAGAAGTCATGATAACATAAGAAATAGAAGGAGCAGAAGTCCCCGCAGACGTTCTCGGGATAGAAAATCAGGAATTTCATCGTCTAGAAAATCATTAAAGGAAATAATCAAATCTGGAAGTTATGAAAGTTTCAAAGTAGTTAGGAACAGGTTAGAGGAGTAGTAAACTTATACAATAGTAAACGTTTTTTACTATTATTATTGTTTAAACAGTCGGCAAGAAACAAGAAAGAAACACACAACAATGTCCTTTAATGAGCGATTTTCTAATTCAAATAAGGAAAAATTTGTCGCTCAAGATAATATTACAATTGGTATCGAGAGAAACATTCAAGGAAACTTTCCAGCCGTTATTCCTCCGTTTATTGACACTTCAGCCGTAGTTGTCTTCCGAAAGAGAGACGACGGTGATAAACCTTTATGTAAAAGACCAGAATTTAAAAATGATATTGAAGTTGAGGATGAAAAGCGTGCAGGAGCAATAGATCCAACATCTGTAGTATCATCTGTTATACACTCAACCGGCGACGGATGGAAAGATAGTAAACGAGAAAATAGGTTAGTAAGAAGTTATAATATCAATTGAAAATACTTTATATTTTTTGTTTATATAGAAGGAGGCGTTTTGATGTTAAATTAAGGTAATTTGAATATAAGTTCATAATAAATTAAAAAATTTGACTCGTCGTTTTACTTTAAGCGAAAGACAGAACTATCCGTCTAACAGGAGAGGAAATCTGCCTGATTTTGGAAAGAGACGTGACAAAGGTAGGGTTGAATCTTGGCAATTGAATCCAGATGTTGTGCCTAAGGGAAGAAGTTATTATGAGGTACTAACAAACAAGAGTATTTCCATATTTAAATTTTTTTGTTTAACAGCATGATAATAGAATGGATTCAAATCATTCTCATCGAAATAATCGTGGAGGTATGAGATCTTGGCAGCCGAGAAACAATATGAAAAGAAGATGGAATGATTCAAAGGTCAATACAAAAGATAATGACAAATGGGCTCACGACAAATATGGTGAATTGGAGCATGACGGTGATGAAGAATCGGCCGCTCTTTAATTTTTTAAATTAGATTATTAGATCTAATATGCAAGATCAATTTTTTGTCGCTGTTATTTCTAATATATTAAGAATCATTGAGAAGGTTGTTATTCCTGCATAGAAAAAGAAGAATATAGATTAAACAAACATGTTAACAAAAGTTAGGAAGAAAGTACTCTTAATCGTTAGAAAAAGGAATAAGATTTTGTCAAAATTTGAAGACATTGAGTTTTAGAAAATTGATAATGGCAATAACAAATCAGAATTATAAAACAAAAAATTTGTATCTAAAAGATTCTAATAACATTTTTTCATTGCTACAATCCAATCTTCCATTGAATGATTTTCCGAAAGTGCCATTGCGGCTCTACCCATTTGATAAGCTTTAAAGGGTGGGATAGGTTTAGATATACCCGAGATTTCCTGCTGCATCAAAAGGTCATATAAACGATCAACATCACAAATGGAATGACAAAGGACATGTTTTAGAAAACTTGATCTGGTTGTTGCACCAAAATTACAGTCGAAGCATCTAAAAGGTGAAGTAGTATCCAAACTATGGCCTTTCTGGTGTTCAACAAGATCACTTGAATCAATTGCTATATAAGGGCATAGAGTACATGCCTGAGAAACACCTGTAGTTGGTCTGCTATAGACTGAACTATGTTCATATAGCTGTAGCTCGTCATGAAACATCTTATCATCTTTATTGTATATCATAGCTCTCTTAGCGGCATTCTTTAAAGCTTCTATTGAATGAGTATATACCAAATGATCTGAAGGCTTTGAATGCAATTTGCTATGCTCCTTCAGAAATTGAATATTGACGGAGAAGTAGCTGCAAAATTGACATCCATATCGTAACGACGTCGCACCATGCAACGAACAGTGTCTAATAATTCTTTCTTGAATTTTCGTTGCGTAAGGACACTTTTCACAGGCAAATTCACCATTGTTTGCGTTAAACTCCTTCTCATGAAGCTTCGAATGTTTCGTCAGGTCTTGTCGTGATTTTCCTGCATATGAGCAATCGCTACATTCAAACTCAGAGGCAAGCTCGTTTTCATGACGCAGTATATGATCTTCAAAAGCTTCTGCGTCGATGGTTGAGAAAGGGCAATTAGAGCAATATTGCTTTTCAATTTTTGTTACTTTTCCAATTGTTCTAGCTTTTGCTCTTAATCTCACTGAGAATTGTTTAGAATAACCCACTTTATCATCTTCATCCAGCTTTTCAACAGAATCTTTATTTTCTTGATATACATCAGTTTCTTGATCTTCATTCGATTCTTCCTGCTCCGTATCACTTGTCGTGTGAAGTTGCTCATGAACATACAAAGCATATTTTACTTTAACGTTATATGAGCAATATCTGCATTTAATATATCCTGGAATTTTCTTGTGCAGTTCCTTATGTTTTGAGAGCTGTACAGCCGTACGAGCAACAAATGGACATTCTAGGCAGTTAAGATTTTGCTTTTTCGGACTTAAGTCCTCGTGCTTTGTGATTAGATTTTTATTGTTGTTGTGCTTCGTTCTGACATGGTTTAAGGCATTAGAGTAGCAACCAAATTTAACTTTATAGCATAGTTTGCAGCGAAAAAAGTCCCGGCGTATATTATTAATCGATTTTTCATTAACTTTTTTCTCATCCTCAGGTTCAGAAAGTTGCATTTGAAAGTTAAATACATCATTTTGATGTAGCTCGTTATTTGAAACTTCTTTATTAGGTGAAGATTCTTCTTCCTCTTTCTTCAGATTCTCATCATTGATATCTTTCGTTGCCTCCTTTTTATTTACATCTTCCTCGTTGACTATACAGACAGATGAATCTGGTCCTAACTGAATACCTTTTGATTTGTGATATGTATTGTAATGCCTTTTTACTACGTATTGCTTAGGATTGTTAAATGAGCATTCAATGCATTTGAATTGTCCTAGACCTGGTTGATGATTGCTCTTATGACATAAAAAATTAGACCAATTCACACTTGAATATTCGCAATACATACAGTGAATTTGAGTTGTTGCTTCTTTGGGTCCAAATTGAATTGAATTACGCCTTTTAGTCTTCTTATTGGGTTTTTTCCCAATTTCTATATTACAGCTTTTTCGACGTTTTTTCCGTAAAACAGTTCCGAATTCAGCTCTTCTAGTTATTGAACAAAATTTTTTGTTGGACGTTGAAAATTCCGTCGGAGATCGCCTTTTCTTTGGAGTGACAGAGCTTTCATTTCCAGTCTCGTTCGAGCTACTGTAGTTACAAGAGCCATCACCTTTGTTTTGAAGATGTCCTCGAATATGTTTGCGAATTTTGGTAATATCACTCGTTGAAAATTTTTCACAATATGTACAGCTAAACTTCTTTTTATTAATATGGTTAGGTTTAATATTATTATTATTATTATTGGTCATCAAATTATTATGAGGAATTCCAATGAAATTATTGACGGTTTCTGACGATGAGGTATAATTATATTTTAGGTCTGTATGCTTTATACTCATATGCTTTTTCAATGAATGTTCATATTCAGATGAGTAATTACAATAATGGCAGTGGTAGATCTTGAGCTTTTCTCCATGATATTCACTTTTATGTTCTAGATAAGCTCTAGAATAAATAGTATCAAACTCACATTTGTCACACTTGTAATTTTCAGTAGCAATTGCATAATTCATACCAGGAATAGTAGTCTCCGATTTAATAACTGTAGCCTTTAGAGAAACCTCCTCACGAGATCCTTCCATTGGAGAGAATGATATGATGAGCGATATTTCGAATAATAAGTTAGAAAAGTCTGAGAATTGAATAACATGTAAGTAGGACAATGTTATAACCTGAGTTTTATTATTGATAAGCTTTTCATAAGATTATATTAATAATCTTCCAATCTTATATATAAAGTATACTGGGACGGACGGTGGCGCTGGTGCCCCAGAACAAAAATTTCCCTCATAGAATTTTAAAAACATCTTCGTATAAAAAATATTTTTCTGTTTCAATGACTTTTAAATATATAAAATCAGCATTTTTCCTTTTTGATTTAATGGTTTTACGAGAATAATTGAAGAGCGAGGTTGCGTGGATAGTTTAAGCTTCGAGTTTATGGGCAAAACCATGTATGTTTACTCACCTTAACAGTTAATTATCGATAAGCAATTTTTGTACTTTTAGCATATATCAAAAATTATTCTCTATGACTGGCTGTTAGTGAGTTGTAGGTCATTTTGTACTTGCTATTTGAAGTAAATATAAAATAAACTGGTAACTGAAAATTTTTACTTTAGGTCAAATACGTTGTGGACGGTAGTCTTGAAAAACTGTCCCATATATTCACATTGTCTGCTTAATAGTCTTGTTTAATACATATATATATATTCTTTTTGCAAGATTTATAATATTTCATTGACTTTACCCTCTACTGATTTTTCACTAAATAAACATCCTAGTAACAAAGCGTCGAAGATGTCTATGAAAGAGTTAGTTGATCGAGATTGCGGTGGAGCAAATCCACTAATGAAGTTAACCTCTCATTTTACACAAGATTTAGCCAGAAAAGAAGTGAGTTATTCTAATTAATATTTCAATTGTTTTTAAAACATTCTGAATAAATTATAAACTATTTGTTTCAAAGGATTTACGAGGGGCAAGAGGCGCTACAGCATTTGTACCAAAGCCCTTTGGCCAAGCTCATGAAGAAGAGGTAAATTCATTTTGCATTTAGTTTATTTAGTTGCTTCTTTAAATTCAGTCATAAATTTGTTATTTAATCAAATTAAGCTTTATCAGACATCTGGTTATGCTTTGAAATATGAATCATTGGATTAAAAAAAACTATATATACATATATATATAATGTATATTTATATATTGTTTTGTTTTCAGCTGGTCACAGAATTTCTTCACAATGAACGGGGTAGTCATCCAATGGCACCTGGTACATTTCACATGGGAGAGTTAATGCGTCAAGTTCAAAATCTTGATCACCCTAAACATTTTAATCAACCTGTTCAATCATCTCAATGGGTTGATGATTATCTGAGCTCTCGACCAAAGTCTTCTAATCAAGTTATTAATCCAGGTGCAAACATAAATGCTATACAACCTATGCATCATGTATCTCCTATGCCTGCGTTTCAAAGTCACTCAAATTGGGAAAATGAATATATCCAAACTGTAGGATTAGACGATGAAAAAATAGAGAGCTCTGATCCCACCGAATTGCAAAAAGCTGCCTTGGATTTGGCTCAAGGAATGAAAGATGAAAGATTCGAATATTCTGAATTTAAAAATTTTTTAGAGAATAGGGTTGCAAAAGAAAGTGAAGCTGATTTATTAAAGGAAACTGATTGGAATAAAGAGTTTTTGAAAGGTCAGGAAAGAGAAAGTGATACTTGGGCTAAAGAATTCGAAAGTAGTCAAAAGGTAGTTCAAGTAAATTATTCTGCATGTTATAAAGCATCTATGTTTATAAATCCTTTAGGCCGCAAGAGAAATGACTGAACCTGCTGATGGCGCCGCCTACTGGGATAAATTAACAAAGGAGTGGGATGATCTAATGAAGTAGTTATATAAAGAGCTTGATTATATATATATATATAATCTATATTTTAATAGGTCTGAAGAAGGAGAACATCCTTGGTTAAACGAATTTGAAAATTTTGAGCCTGCTAAATACAATGAGTATAATTTTGAAGAAGATAACCCCCTCTTAGAGCATCCTGCTCCATTTGAAGAGGGGTTGAAGCGACTAAAGGAAGGAGATATCTCTAATGCTGTTCTGTTATTCGAAGCAGCCGTTCAAAAAGATTCAAATCATGTTGAAGCTTGGCAATATCTTGGTACAACAATGGCTGATAATGAACAGGAAGTAGCTGCTATAGCGGCTCTGAAGAAATGTTTAGAAATCCAACCTAACAATTTAACAGCCCTACTAGCTCTAGCTGTTTCTTACACAAATGAATCTTTGCAATCCAAGGCTTGTGAAGCTCTAGAAAGATGGCTATTTCACAATGAAAAATATCGTGGTTTGGTGCCCGAGTTAGGAGATCATAGAGACGCCAGCAGCTATGTTCCTTTGTAAGTATATCTCGTCTTGTTTATGCTATAAGAATAATAATTTTACGTGTAAACTTTTTACAGATCTAAGAGAGACAAGATAAAAAATTTATACATTCAGGCCGTTAGGCAAAATTCAGCTCAAATCGACCCCGACGTACAAATAGGCTTAGGAATTATTTTTAATTTGACTGGTGAATATGATAAAGCTGTAGACTGTTTTCAAGCGGCTTTACAAATTCGCGACGGAGATGCTCTATTATGGAATAAACTCGGAGCAACTCTGGCAAATAGTGGGAAATCTGAACAATCAATCGAAGCTTATAGTAGAGCATTGAATTTGGCTCCAGGGTACGTTAGAACAAGATTTAATTTGGGAGTGGCCTGCATAAACTTATCAGCATATAAAGAGGCAGTTGAACACTTTCTAGCAGCATTAAATTTACAACATAATTCAAAAGGACCCAAAGGTGAAAGAACTGTAACAAGTGAAAATATTTGGACCACTTTGAGATTGGCTGTTTCCTTGCAAGGGAGAAGTGATATGTATGAAGCCTGTGATCAAAGAAAATTAGATGTCTTAAATAAGGAATACGGAGTTAAAGAATAATTTTTCATATATTTGTTCTTTATTCTTCTCTTTGAAGATAGTGAATTTATGTTTGGAAGAGAATATATTCTCTTTTTCATTATTTTATGTTAGACAGTATTTTTTTCCTTTTTTCTATATACTGTTTTTGAAACAAATAGAAAGAAAATTAATATTGATTAATCATTTATTGGTCTTTTTTAATATTAAACAAAACACTTAAATCACTGCTCTTCGATTATCTCTTTCAATAAAACCTTATCAAGAGTTCACAAAGTGTTATATACATAAATTTTATACACTATATATATATATATTTATGTATGTGTTTATAAGCTTATCATTTAGATATCTTATTCTTAAATCACCAGAGATTACGATAATATATGAAATATTGACTTCTCAAAGTATTTCGTACGGAATTATGAGCAGTCATACTCGCCCTTTGAAGGGATTTTGTGACGCTATATCAATTGCGGGAAGCATTTCTCTGACTTTTTTAGTCTCCGGTGCCATTATATTTCTAGTTAGTTTCTCTAGTACAACATGGACAATAGGGGAGAGTCTTGAACGGATGGTTAATTCTGGAGTTTGGAAGGCTTGTTTTCATGATAAGAAAACCTCTCAAAATATCTATTGTAGCTCTATACAAGAAAGTGAAATAGAAATAAGTATGAAAAATTTAATAATCGACTGCTCCAATTAAACTTATCTGTTTTTAGAATTTGCAAAAAAATGGGTTGAAGGATTTCAGGCAACAGTAACGTTATCCCTTATATTTACAATAGTTGCTAGTTTAGTCTTTGTTAGCTACACATTCTCTAGAAAGTTAAGAGGGTATTCTGAAATGGTTTTTTTTACTTTATGCTGCAATATTGCTGCAGGTAACCGAAATAAATTAATATGAAATATTACTTTATCCTATGAAATTATTAATTTACAGTGTTTTTTGGATTAAGTGCCGTTATTATATATGCAGCAAATGGCAAACAGATGAGACCAAGTTTTTTTGCAGAGTCATTTAGTTGGGGCTTCTATATGTTTATCGCAACAGAAGTTTTTCTTACTCTCTCAGTCGTGTTTCTTCTAATAGAATTTCCAAGGTTTATAGAGCTTAATAAACGACTTAAGTATCAGATACAAATAGGAAATAGGAACTCAGGTGTTGGACAAAGCCCCATCAATTCATCTGATAACAACACCCAAGAAAATACATCTATACAGCTTCAGGAAGGTATAAGACGAATTTCTAACCGAGAAATACCCACAAACTTCCTAAAGAGAACGAATAATTCTACGTAACATTCTATATTAAATTTACATTAAATTTTACAAACTATACTATCTAGGTGAAAAAAGAGAGTAAAATTTCTTTTGCGTAAGTATATAGTAACATTAATGGAAATTCCCAAAATACTTTTGTCGGCATTTACCTTTTGTGAATAGACAGTTGGATATCATTTTACTTTATAGATTATTTGTAAAAGTTTTCTAATATTCTATTAAAAAAATAATTAATAGAGGAAAATAAAAATATTTTGACAGAATGAACATATGAGAATATAACATTTGCTATATTTCAAAATAGATAATAATGTTTTAATAAACGTATAAAAAGGTGACAGACGTTGGTGTATCTCTGCGCATTAGAGAATGAAGTTGCTTACGATTTGTTTAGCTTTTGTGGCTGCGGTTTTTGCCGCTCAAGATACACCAGACTACGAAGGGTAGGTTATTCAAGTCTTCTTTCATCTATTATTTGTTTCATTAATATACTTATATTATATAGATATCATGTCGTCTATGTGATTCCTGATACTGAACATCAAGTTGAATGGCTGATGCAATTAGAAGGAAAAGATGGAGTACGCTATTTTTCTTATTCTGACTTTTTAACCATTTGAATATATTTGACTTTCTTTGCGATTTATTTAGATTGACTTTTTGAAAAGCACTCGCAAAGTTGGTGTTGCCGCTGAAATTATTATTCCCAAGGAACAAGTTTCAAGCAGCTACAAACTCTTCTCTATGCTCGAAATGAGATACTTTACAGTTACTGAGAATGCTGCTGCGTAAGATTTACTTTTTATCCTACCTATCCATTTTCACATAATTTTCATTTAATATATCAAATGCTTTCTTTCAGTGATTTGAAGAGAAATTTCCTTATGAGAAACGATAAACCAAGAGTATTTGACATCAACGATTTCAATACTTTTGAAGACATCCTTGCTGGTTTGGATGATTTCGTTGCCAGATGCCCAAGCGGTGCTTCCTGTACTTTGGAAGATATCGGTAATAGTCCCCAAGGAAGACCAATCAGACTTTTGAAAATTACTAAGCCAGGAACTCGTAAAATTGTTTGGTTCGATTCCGCTATCCACGCCAGAGAATGGTTGGCTCCAGCTACCAATTTGAAATTGTTGGACGCCGTAAGTCAAAATTGAATGAAAATTAGATTTCCAACGTTGAATCATATTGGTACAATTTAAAAAAAAACAGATAATTTCCCAACAAGATTCCAACGCCGTCTCTCTATTTAACAAATACGATTTCTATTTCGTCATTGTTATGAACCCAGATGGTTACGTTTACAGTTGGCAAGATTTCACTACTGTTTGTACTTTGATATATTTACAATTAACAATCATTTTCCATGAGATATTTTCATCTTTTAGAGATTCTGGCGTAAGAATAGAAGCCCTAACGTTGGATCTTCATGTGTTGGTACTGATTTGAACCGTAACTATGACGCCAACTGGCTTAGTAAGTTACAGCAGATTATTAATTCAATAATTTAAATGTTCACGAAAATCTATTTATTATAAAGACGATGGAACTTCAACCAATCCATGCTCTGATACCTATGGTGGATCTTCTGCAGCTTCTGAAGTTGAGACTCAAGCCGTTCAAGTAAGAATTTTCAACTTATTCAATAGTTATTAAAATAATTAAAACATATTTTTTCTTCTCTACAGAACTACCTTCGTAACATCGGTAGTAATATTATTTCTCTTACTACAATCCACACAACTGCTCAAATGATCCTTATCCCTTACGGACACACTGATGCCAACGGAGAGTGTGCTTACCCATCTGACCATCAAGATCAATTGGCCGCCGCTAATGCCTTCGCCGATGGTATCGAAAACACTTTCGGAACCTCATGGGATAGAGGAACAGTATGCACTACCATCTGTTAGTATTCATGAATACTATTATAGGGACTAAGGTTTTCATGGTAAAATTATATTTACAGATCCAGCTTCTGGTGCCACTATGGATTTTGCTTATGATACCGCTGGAATTAAATATTCTTTCACTCCTGAACTTCGCGGACCAGGATTTGATCCACCAGCAAGTGCAATTCAACCAAGTTTTGACGAAGTTTGGAATGGCGTTGTAGATCTTATGGCCCAAATTGAAACACTTGAAGGTAAACAATAAGTAAACCAATTGGTGTTGTATTTAAAAAAATAAAAAACTGTGATAAAGTATTTATATAAAAATGTTTTCATTAAAAAATTTATTCGCTATTATTTAAAACTTCTTCCACTAAGTGACGCTCGTTGATCAGCTCTTGAATTGATGTTTGAAACAAGCCTTCCAACTCTTTCGGTATTGTTAGATCTTTTATTATTTCGAATTGAGAATTTTCTTTCACTTGAACTGGTAAGGAACAAAATAGGTTCTTGGGAAAGGAATAGTATCCTTTAGATTCGACTCCCAAGGTAGTCCATTCGCCCTAAAATCACCAAAATTATTAGATTTATTATCTAATTAAAACCTCTTATCTTACATATTTTGATGGCCTCAATAAAGTTTGAATTTGGTCTAGAACAGCTTTCGCTGCGGATAAACAGCTGGGCTCGCCTCTTGCTCTCAGCACATTTTGTCCCCTGAATCTGACAAACTAATAAAATAATAAAAACTATAGGGAATTTTAGCAAACAATATGAAACTATTCAATTAACCTCAATAAGATCTTTTTTGAAGGTATTTATGTCATATAATGAAGGCAATTCAATTCGACTAACATCAGTTCCAACACTCTCTGAATGATTTCCCCATAAAGTCAGTTTATTTAAGTCGAGATGGGCATTTGGAAAAGCTCTTAGAATCTTACCCACAGCTCTATTGTGTTCAATTCTATTCATACATGTTATATTTTCTGTTTTTATATTTGGAGCGAATTTCCGACAGACCATCGCCAGTGTATTAGTAGGATTAGAAACAACTATTATCTTAGCATCCTGTCTTGCGTATTTATTTAAGGATATTGCGTGCTCCCTAAATATTAAAACATTCTGCTTTAAAAGGTAACTTCGCTCAAGTACTGTCTTTGGTTTGGCAATTGATGCCATCATAATAATCCAATGACTATTTCCAAAGGCCTTATCCGGATCATCAGTCACATATACTCCTATAAAAAATATATTTATGTATTGGTTAGAGATGAGTCGTAAAGTAAGTTTAAATATCTTAACCTCTAATAGAATTGAAACAGCAATCTTCTATTTCCATTTTAATTGCCTCTAACTTTTCTACAGTACCTTTTGATCCAAGTAGAGAAAGATACATAGGCTAATTGTTAAAAGAAATGAATATAATATGACGTTTCGTTACTTTCTAAGTAAGAAATATCTAATATAAAAACCTTTTCAAAAGGATTAGCTTGAGCTAATAACGGAATAAAAGAATAAGCAGCATTTCCAGCTGCTCCAGTAATTGTAGTATAAACACAATCTTCCATTCTTTCTTTTTTGATCTATCTACTATCGAGATCCTCTACCAAGTTAGAGTTAGAAGGTTAGACAATTAATTTATATAAAGAATATTTTAACGATAAAGTTAATTGCATTTGTGAGAATATATGGAACATCAAAATGTAAGCCTAGACAATGAAATTACTTTTTCACACAGGTATTGTTGAGAGAGATAACATCTCTTATAATTTCTTTTATTAAAAAAACAATAGCAATCATTTAGAATTCGAAAGTTGTTTTTTTTTGCACGAGAGTTATACGAAGAGCGAAACGATGATATTATTAAAGATCGATAACTGTACATAGTTTATATACATATAAATTGGACTATTTTATTTAAGAGAGAAGCAAGGAGAAGAAAAATGAATTTAATTAGTTGTCCGAATGAGTTTAGATAAGGTTAATAGAACAATGCACAACAAAGGAGTCTATTTGTTGTTTATTCTTTATAAAGAATAATAGAAAGATGATTGTTCCTTATCTCGATAGCGTATCGTCTCGATATAGACATAGTTGTAAAGAGATCATGAATGTTAGGATGATGACACAGAGAACGTTGATCTTGATCGGCAAACTATTAGAGCAAGGCCGAACTATCTTTATCTAGGCAATAGGTTCATATTGACATTTGTCTCAGACTAAAATCTATACAGAAAATTTATAAAACAGATTCAGTTATAATAGAATATTTATTTATATCCGCTAGGTGTCATCTTAATCGATTATATTTCTTAATAAGATAGCTATCATAATTAATATAATTCAACGGAAGAGCAATTATAATTAAGCTAATTTAGCTAGCTACTTTTGCTCAATTTCCTAGAAATAGTCTGCCTTTCGAGCTCAAACATCCTATTCCATTGGGATATCTTTTTTCAGATGTCTCCTATTGTTATCTCAGCTTCTAAACGATAAAATTAAGTCTTTTTGTTTGCGTAACTGATAGTAGCTTAAGTTTTTTTCTTCCTACTCTTAGCCCGTCATCCTCATCCCCTTTCAAATATCTAAAATGACGAAAAGAAGGATGAAAAATATCAGAGAAAAAGATGAAGTTAGGGATATTTAAATATATTGATTGAACTCAATTAACGTGTATTTCATGAAAAGAGACAGATTACTCCCTTTAATGACCTAACAGTGACTTTCTTTTGTTAATGTTATACATTTCTTTTTATAATATTTTATGATTATTTATATAAGTATTTGAAAGGTAAATAGTAATCAAGTAAGGTGACTCTTATTAATTAACTAGCTGTTCGACTGTACTTTGAATGTTTCTTTCAGTTAAAAGTTGATAGTATTTGTATTACCGAGCTGTATTAATAATAAAAAACATGTACATTCAATAGATGTAATTATAGTCAACAAGATATTCAGAATATCTTATTTGAATATTATGGGATAATCGATGAGAGAAAATCAATATTTATTGATCTCTTTGATCCATTCATGCAGGTAAAGTGGTCTACAAAAGATAGCAATAATAGATTACTTCAAGCTGTATGCTCTTCTTAGCCAACAAGCCAATAGCCTCTAGTCACGTGATATTAGTCATGTGATCCACAGCGTCACGGTTTCTAAGGAGTTCAACAAAAAGATTTGAACAGTTCGAATACAAAGTTAAATGAAAATAGATTGAAAACATAAATAAGAGGATGAGGGATAAAAAACCAATGACTACGGCTCTTATTTCGTCGATGACGGAAACTTATGATAAAGAAAGAGCAGCCCGTTTATCAGCTTTTGAAGATAGGCAAAAGTCTGGACCAGTAAGGTCTAGGCAATTCGAAGTTTACAAGAAGAAATTGGAATTAGCCGCCCCTAAACCTGGTCCAGCTATGCAGAGAGTAAAGGACGCCCCAGAAGCTCGATTTAACAAAAAGAAAAGCCGACCTCCACTGATAAGTATTGACACAGCTAAACCTGGAAGTGATTTTCAACAATACGAAACAATGAACTATGTTCAACCTCGGGTAAAAGGTTTATTATACGATGGTATTTCAAAAGAATCTAAAGGTAGGTGGTTGTACCTAAGAGAGAGAACCATACCAGGTCCCGATGTAAAATATCACTACCAAGTTTGCTCGTCATGGGAATATGGTTGGAAAATGAATGAGAATATACCTAGTCCACCGAAACCAATACATGGAAGAACCTGCTTAGTAAGGGATACGTTTTATTCACGTTCTGGAATACCCGGCTTAAAAGTTGAATCAGCATACTAGGTTTAAATCCCCTACGCCACCCTTCCACTCCCCCCCTCCTCCCCTCACAAACACTCACAAAAAGAACTCACTCCCCGTTTTTCAACTCTTCAAGCCTTATAAATTTTTCAACTTTTTATTAATAAATGTTTTTTTTTTATTAAAAAAAAAGCAACAGAAAGAAATAATGAAAAAGTATCCTCTCTTTCTTTTGATTTTATTACACTTAGTTTTTTTTATATCTCTATTGTCATAATTCATTTTTACTGTATCAGTATTAGTCCTAAGTATTTTTTCATATAGAGTTCAAAACTATAAAATATAAAAAAAATACCAGAATTAACTTGATACGGAGGAATTCTACAATTGAACTAAATATATCATTTGTTTGTTTAAACTAAAAAGAGAGAAAGAGAACTTTTAGGTATGTGAAATACAATATATGCAAATTTTTGTTTATCTATAAATCCTGTATTTTTACTTCCTTCAGTATTAATCAATGTTAAAACAAAAAGATTAAGTAAATATCTCTTTTATATAAATATATAATAAAACAATGAAAATACAAACATTTTATATTTCGTGCTTGTTTATATTTACTCTATCTTCTTTCATTATATAATAAGCGTAAACAAAAATCGAGAGTTCATTTAAGAGAGAATAAAACTTTGTATACTTACTAAATTTCAACCTATATCTAGTTCATCGAAATTAAATTAAGCTAATTAGATTAGGTTTATAGTTTTTTGTTTGTTTTTTTGTTTTACTCTTGTTTTATTATTAATTAGAATGATTGACATATTTTTAAATTAAGGATAATTTTTTCCAATATATGATTTATGCTTATACTTTTAATAGGAACTTATAACTTGTAGCTATGTCATACGTTGATAAGCGATTAATAAATCACTTAAAAAATAAGTCTAAATGAGTTTTTACAGCCGATCGTTGTTATATTTTGACAATAGGTGATTATTAGTTTGTTTTTTTGCAACTATACTACAAACAAAACATAATTGTTAGGCTTATAAATAATCTCAATATACAAGTAAATCTAAAAATAGAGCAGTATCTTTGTAAACTATATATAAAAGATCATGTAACTAAAATACTGACACTCTTTATTCAATTAGCCTATTATATAGGCTTGAGTAATCCTTTCGGTCTCTTAATCCTTTAACCAAAAATTTTTTAAACCTGCCATATTTTTCAAAGCTAAGTTAGTTAATACTGATAATATTTATTTTCTTTAAGTGCTTATATATATATATATATATATATACATAGTTTGTGAAGATTATAACTCTAGTTTATTTTAGCTACTTGATAAGTGAGAATAAGCAATTTATTAATAAAAAATTTAGATGATAATCAATGCTAGATCATTGATTTTTTCTTGCTTTAGAAAACTTATAGTTTGTCAAACGCTAAGAGAAAAAAGAAAACATGAAAAAGAGCCTTTTTGTGTATTATCATTTATGATATTGAAATAATTAATTCAAATGTTATTATATATGTTTTATATAGGAATATTATATTTTTTCGTGACAATACTGAAAGGTTTAGTGTATGAATTAAATACAACTAAAATCTTTCTCTCTTTATATCCATATTTGTCGTTGGAGAACTATTGTAAGATATATAATTTTCAATTTACATGATATTTTTAGAGAGAGAGAGAGAGAGAGAGAGAGAGAAAGAGAAGGAAACGAATATACTCAATAAATCAATGAAAACAAAAAAAAATATATATAAATTTATATATACACAAAGTTTAATGCCATCTTGCGTACAATATATTAGAAAATGTAACATTTTTTGTTCATTTATAACGTAACCTACTGCATTTTCCTTTTGTTTTTTCTTTGCTTTCTCTCTCTACTACTTTCTTAATTAAGTTGATTTATTTGAAAATATCTTATAACTTCTGATAAGTTCTTATTTAACGAAGTAATTATTTCTTTATATTCCCTATGGTTTTTTATAGCTAGGCTATAATGTTGAATATTTCTATCTTTTCATTTATTATTATTACAATTTTATGATAAACAAAAGAATTCTCCTCTTATAACCAAATATATTATTGAACAAATTAATTAGGAGAAAAGATAATTAATAAATTATCAATAATAAACAGATATGGATAAAGAGAACGTAAAATGTCATAGATAAAGGTTATTGTGAGTTGATTGGTATTAGATGACAACGTCTTTTGTATTATAAAGGTTCCTAAGGAAAATTTATCAATAGTAGTTTTTATTCTTTTACTTGTCATTCATTATATCAATAAAATTTACAGTCTGTAAATGAAATGAATTGATAATTGAAGTGTTTTCTTCATTATCTAGATCAGAATGTTTCTGTTCAAAAAGAGAGAAAGAAAAAACATGTTAGGAAAATATACAAGAATTTTTTGGTGGAAGGAGTGTTCTGCTTAATTTGAAATCGTTTGTTCGATATAAATCGGTTGGATCGATTTTTGTATCGCTAATAGAAATATTAAAAAAATTATCCCCTCCACTAACCACTTAATTTATATTTTTTGAGAAATGACAAAGAGGTGAAATCGAAAAGCGGAAAGGAGAGAGAGAGAGAGAGAGAGAGAGCAAGAAAGAAAAAGAAATTGAGGGTATATAATAGTATATGTACTTATAGATACATCAAGAATATATAATACACACTGTATATACGCTTTATATACGCGATATAAAAGATAAAATATTAGTACAAAAAGGGTAAGAAGGAGAGAAGGGTAGAGCTGATGAGGATATGTGGCATTTCCTTGTGAAAATATCCAGGATTAAGCAAATTTCTCCATTTTTCCCCATCAAGTTTGTGCTTTTCATAAGAAAATTAACAGTTAGATAATTTATCTTATGATTTAATATACTACAGTTGAATATGTTATTTTTACGGCCTATACTACTCAACATGAAAAGGAATATTTTATTGCATCAATTATCCTTGAAAATGTTAGAAGAGTTTATAATTGATAGTCTTCTCTCAAAGTCAAATTTCAGTACATTTTTAAACCTAAGGGTGTGGTAAAATTTGCTATTTTGTTCCTATTTATTATTATTTCTCTCTCTCTCTCTCTGTCCTCCTGATTGTTTTCTATTACTTTGTTTAACGTTTACATTCTCTCTTCCTTTCTCTCAAATTCAAATCTTTTCACTAATGTCACGAATATCAAAGACTCTTAATTAATATAAAAAAGAAATGAATAAATAGTTTATTAATTATTTTATGTAATTTATGAAAATATTGTAAACAATGTAATTGTTTGATTTAATGAAAAATTGATTTGTTTGCCGACTAACATGAGATTATTTCTTAGTTTTATTTTTTTTGTTTTTTTAAAAAAAAATAAATGAAGAGTAATAAATCAAATAATAAAATATGTATATATTTGTATAGTGTATATAAAAACATTAAATGTAGATTTTATATTGTGTAATTTCATTTTTGAGCAATATTGACGTATGTCTTTTTACTTTTGGGTGGAACGTCTTCTTCTCCTTTCTTCATCACTATCTAATGTCGAGAGATCCAAATGGGGAATACTATGATTTTCTTTTGCAGCATTTCTTAAATATTGGCTGTCCATTAATTCGTTGTTGGCACTAATGGAAGATTTCCTAGCTGATCTTATGTATTCACCTTCGAATGAGTCTATACTGGCTATTGTCCCATCAAGTGCTCTCGCTAATAGTGGATTTTGAGGTTTTGGTTTAATCTCTCTTAAACTTTCAGCACTACCGGAATGATAATCTTCTGTTCTTATAGCTTTTGGTGGTCTTGGAGACGGTGAAAGATTTAGCGGAGGTACCTTTTCATATCCTTTCGGCGAGTAGACTGTCGACACACCTGCATTATATTTAAAAGAAAAATTGATGAATATATCAAACGACCACTTCAACTGAAAAATTAGAAGCAAATAATAAAAGAAAACAAGCATTTAGAATCAACAATTAAGCTCACAACATTGCATTCTCATAAAGAAGAATGACGTATTTTAAAGTAGAATCATCAATCCCCAAAAATATTAAAGATGAAAAGAACAGTACATTATTAAATTGTTAAAGAAAATTCCTAGGAATTTTCCATTATTAATTATTAAAATTAAGTGTGTTAGTTAAACAATTAGACTAAAGAAAAGAAGATGGCGGGAAGGTTAAAGATGGAAAATTTTTTTTGATATATATCTCTTTTTGGAGAGTGATGCTAATAAAACAATAAGTTAAATAAAAGGTCTACGGACAGATAAGTGGGAAGAGAGGAGGAGATAGAGAGGGAGAAACAAAGATTATGAAAAAGATAAATAAGTTTGTTGTTCTAGTTGATATTGTTATCTCTGTGCAAACTGAATAATTAGCATTTACTAGTTGCTAACCTAACGAAGAAGATATGTCTAATAGTTTATAAGAAATAAGATTTATACAGATAAATACAGTATATACTTGTATCTGCCAGTAAAGTTTTGCACATACAGTGTATTTTTAGTATTAGCCAGATAATCATTAAGCTGAGTATAGATCTCTTTAAAGCTATAACAGTATTAGTACACTTTTTATTATCCTTCACCTGAGTCAGATCTATTATCTCCGCCTGGATTAAGAATCGTCCTTGGTGGCTGAAGGGTAACTTCCCCTTCACGTTCACTTTCTGTATAGTTATTCTTGTTTTATATTCGCTTTTTAAGTAAGAGTTGCGTAATAGAAAATTATAATTATCTAATTATTAATTGGATACGAAGGGAAGTTAAAATGCGAAATAAATATATAAATATGTAAATAACATAATACAGATATTCAATATTCATATTTGTAAAGGTATATAATATAGATACATACGTAAGGCAGGTAAATTTGAAGCTACTATATCAGGAACCTTTTTCTTCTTCCTCTTCCGCTTTTTCTTTCCCTTGACAAGCACTTTACAATCATCATTAATCTCATTAACTATTTCAGTTTCCTCGACCTTGTCCTATATTAAAATATACATACATATGTATCATTAGAGGATAATTAGCTTTTGCATTAGCAAATTTGACTTAAAAAGGAGGATATTTTTTGTAAGTATAATACAGAAATAGTCATTATATATAGAAAGAGATTTGCTATTTCCATTCAGTCACTTACATTGGTCTTTTTATCAATGATATCAAAATTATCGTCCATACCCTTCTCATCTTCTTCTATTTGTTTTTGTTCCCTAAAAATACTCGCATCCGTTTTTAACTTTGGTCTATTCCCTGTTCTATATTTCTTAGATATTCGCGCCGTTCCATCACAAGTTGTTTCATCAATACTTGTCTCCGGAACAACCTTATTTTTCTAAGGAAGAGTTGTATAAGCGTAATGAACGTGATGTGAAAATCAAGTAGACTTACTGGTCGTTTATTCATTTCTAACTCGGAAGCGTTAATCTCAACGTTCTTCTCTCTAGCCTTTTCCTCAGATTTTTTCCTTTCTTGTACAATATACTCATACGTAGATAAACCTTTACAGTATAGGAAGACATGAAAGATGAAAAGATGACTGATAGATGCTATTCCAGCTATTGTTAAACAAGCCGTTATGGCGATAACTGATAACCAAGCAGGACCCGGTACTTTCGCATAAAATATTTTAAAATCATCTAGAAAAGAGTAGAAAAAGAAAACAAAGTGAAAATTAAACAATCCATTCCTCCCATTTTATATAAAGGAAAGCATTTTCCTTTTCAGGTAAGTATACGCCTTGTATAGTCTTTTCTTTCAAATATCATTAAGCTATTTTATCTCTTTCTTATTTTTTCATCTTGTTTTTTGTTGTTGTTGTTTTTTAAATATACACTTTGTTATATAAACTATAATTTTCTGTCATTATATAGAAAGATATATTAAAAAAATCCCTTTTCAATTGAAAACTATCTCCATTAATATATAAATACATATATATATATTAGTATATATATGTATGTATGTATGTCTTTTATTTTTATTCGGATTACTTACATTCTGGGTTACTTCCATTAGTTATATTCTGCGAAACGCCATCTGCTGCAGGGGTAAGGATATGGGTTATTCTTAGCAATGAGAAAAGATTTTTTAATTATATAGGTTTAGTTAAAAATATTTCTAAAGAATACACGAACAGCGTTTCAACACTGCCGAATCGATATTAGCGTTACCAGCGACACTTTCTGTTAATTAAAAAGCAAATCATTTAAAAATAAAGTAAAAATGTATTTCTTTTTTTAAAAAGCAAAAATTAGCAAATCAAAAAAAGAAGAAAAACAGAAATTTCCTAAGAATTTGTAAATAATAAAGAAATAATTTTTATTACCAGCGTAAAATCGAAGTATTTTGCCTTCTCCTTTATCCGTAAAATAAGCAATAAATTGGAGCAAACAAATTGCGAATACGTATAAACAACCAACAATACTTGTAACTAGCACCACGATAAACAACCTGTTGTAATTTATTAGTATTAATAAATGGTGACATAATATATACAGTGGATAAGTTATAACAAGTAAAGTCTAAAAATATGAAATCGTGTCTAAAAAACGTAAAGTATTTTACAATATAAATATTATCTCTCTTTTCAATATTTCCCACGTTCCATTAACATAGTACTACTTTTGTTTTTATTAAGTTTTTTCACCTTTATTCTAATATTAAAAGACATAAACATTTGGGAATTCAATTTCTCCTATACGCTTAAAGATATACTGCATATAAAACTAATAAAATAGACTACTAAGTGCTTTTTTTTATTATTCTCGCATACTTTTCATAGAGAAAGGAGTATAATGAAACGTATAGAGAATAAATTTTTTGTGTATACATACTTCTAAGATGTGTAGGCCTACAGTTTAAATTTTGTAAAAAATGTAGACTATATTATATTAGATATTAAGTAAATAATTAATTAAAAAGTGAACTAGCGGTTTCACATTCATAATTCTATAGCGCAAATATGGCTGCCACGGATCAATTGAAAATTATGAATTGGAAGAGTTGAGTTATTGTTGAGATAAATATGATAATATAATAAGAAAAATATGACAAACTTGTAATTTCGATCTCCAACACAATTATTCAACCATTTGCACTGTTTGTAAAAGAAATATAAAACTTGTACATAGTCGAGAGAGTATAGAATGATTACTTACGTGATGGTCAAAATCGGAAACGCATTTGTTGCATGCGGAACAGTGTTTACTCTTTGAACCTCTGGAGAGAAGAATGTCGGAGAAAATAAGTAAGTATTCGATTTATAATTTCTCCTTTACACTGTATAATAGCTAATTTCAACTTACACTTTTGTTTCGCATAAATAACAGTAGCAATTTTCTATTACGTGATTATGAATCTGCCTATCAAAGCTACCCGGTACTTCAGTTATATTCCTCTTTAATATTGCCGGATCAGCTGGATTTATTGTACAAGCGGCAATATGAGAAATGATATGTCCCACTAAGAAAACTGAGAATACCTAAAATGACAAATTCATCATTGATATTTTATAGCTTTAAAGATATTATTATCTTCAAAAATTTTAGGCCTACTCACTGCATATGCTGCTGGAGACCACCTTTCCAGGACTCCAGGAATAATAGTCAAGTAGTAAACTAAGCATAAATAAACGACAGATATCCATGCAACGAACTGTAATGGATGAAGAGGCCAACTCCATCCATTTCTTCGATTTTGGCGGGCATCGGGCTGTTAAACCATTTGTTTATGAATGAAATGATAATACATATATATTATCGTTCACGTTTGTTCAAAAATAACGGTGAATCCATGATTGATAGAACTTGTAAAATAACTTACCATTTTAAAATGCCTTTATAACAGACAAGAAAATTAGACAACAATAACATTAATCTTAATTCTGAAGTAATTGATTTAGAGCATATTCGAATTTAGATGCCGCATTACCGTAACATTCCGCTAGATTTTTAATATAGTGCACCATACCTTTTATACTTATATAATTTTTCGAAAATATAAGCATTTACAGACAAATGAAAATTAAACTTTTCTAGTTTTTTTAGTACTTTTTAATTTAAAATTTAGACAGAAAATATTCTATCAAAAAATAATATACAAAGCGGAGTATTACACTAGTTGTCATGACAACATCTACGTTTTCTTTCCCGCCATAAATATTTTCAATTTAAAGCCTGTTCAAAAAAGCTATCATATTATAAAAATGTTAAATTGATGTAAAATGTTACAAAAATTCAAATAATGTAAATTATTAAAATATTTCATTAAATTAAAAAATTCCTTTCACATATTCCTTAAAAGATAACGTCAATATTTCGTTTGTGGAAAAATCTAATGCTCCTTTAGGTTATTAACATCTAAATTTATATATATATATATAGGCTTTTCATCATCATCATGAAGCTTTTTATAGAGTATTTAGTAAGAAAAAAGAATTTGGTCTTTTTGGTATTTTAGTCATCAAAGTAAACTTCAAAGGATCTTAGTTTGCTTTTTTTATGATCTATATTCGCCGAACCAAAGTACCTAAGAAGAATACCAACTCATTAACGTTAATTACTAAATAACAGGAAACAAATAGACAAATCTCTTGGAGCGTGTTATTATCTTATTTGATAATATATAATGCAAGAAGATTATAGCTCCATCTATCGATAAATTAGAAAAAATCTAATCTATTCAATTTGAAATAGGTAGATATAAGAATCCATGTAAATCAATAAATACATATGAAAAGAGAAGTGTAATGATTCTTCTACGTAATTACTATATTTAAGTGTTCTTAAAAGAATATCTTTAGTATGGTATAAAGTTTATTTTTCTTCTATTTATAGATATTAAAAGTTTTTCAGTTCATTGATTCTAATTCTTCGATTTTAGCAATAGTAGCAACAACGCCATTCCAAACTTCTTGGAAACTTAGTTGGATTGCACTTGCTGGTGGATCAAATCCAGGTCCACGGAGTTCAGGTGTGAAAGCGTATGTGATACCAGCTTTGTCGTAGGCGTAGTCCATAGTTGCTCCAGAGGCCGGATCTTTAAATTATTTACAAATTAATAAAGATCTTATTGAAAAATATCGAAATAAATTAAACATACAGATGGTAAGACAAGCTGTTCCTCTTTTCCTAGACAATGAATGAAAATATTGTTTTATTAAAAATAAATAAGGTAAATTTTACTTAACATTACCAGCTGGTGGAAAAGGTGTTTTCAATGGCATCTGCAAAAGCATTGGCTGCACTCATTTGTTTTTGATGATCTGCTGGAATAACACACTCTCCGTTGTCATCAGTGTGTCCATAAGGGATAAGGATCATTTCAGCAGTTGTGTGAATAGATGTCAAAGAAAGGACTCTGCTACCAATTGATCTTAGGTAATTCTGAGAAAAACGGTTATGACACATTTACTATTATATGAATATTTTAGTAAAATTAAAAGTATCAAACTTGAGCGGCTTGAGTTTCTTTTTCAGATGCAGCAGAAGTTCCACCATAAGTAAAAGAACATGGGTTGGTTGAAGTTCCATCGCCTATTGAGTTTAGTTCAAATTTAATATGATATTTGTATTATAAAGTGTCATTACTCACTAAGCCAGTTGGCATCATAGTTACGGTTCAAATCAGTACCAACACATGAAGATCCAACGTTAGGGCTTCTATTCTTACGCCATAATCTCTAAAAGATGAAAATATCTCATGGAAAATGATTGTTAATTGTAAATATATCAAAGTACAAACAGTATCGGAATCTTGCCAACTGTAAACGTAACCATCTGGGTTCATAATAATGACGAAATAGAAATCGTATTTGTTAAATAGAGAGACGGCGTTGGAATCTTGTTGGGAAATTATCTGTTTTTTTTTAAATTGTACCAATATGATTCAACGTTGGAAATCTAATTTTCATTCAATTTTGACTTACGACATCCAACAATTTCAAATTGGTAGCTGGAGCCAACCATTCTCTGGCGTGGATAGCGGAATCGAACCAAACAATTTTACGATCTCCCGGCTTAGTAATTTTCAAAAGTCTGATTGGTCTTCCTTCGACAGTATCACCGATATCTTCCAAAGTACAGGAAGCACCGCTTGGGCATCTGGCAACAAAATCATCCAAACCAGCAAGGATGTCTTCAAAAGTATTGAAATCGTTGATGTTAAAAACTTTTGGTTTATCGTTTCTCATAAGGAAATTTCTCTTCAAATCACTGATGAAAGATTAATATGATAAGAAGGAGAGAGGTAATTTATAAATATAACAATTATATATTACTCTGCAACATTGGTTGATGCAGTGAAGTATCTCATATTGGTCTTAGAAAAGAGATAATAAGTTCTTGAAACTTGATCTTTTGGGATGATAATTTCAGCGGCATTACCGACTTGATGAGTACTTTTCAAAAAGTCAATCTAAAATAAACAGGATGGTGTTGGCAATAGAAAAATAATGATATGAATAAGAAAACGTACACCATCTTTACCATCCAAATAAAGCAACCATTCAACTTGTTCGGGAGTTTCAGGAACTACATTCACCAAATGATATCTGAAAATTATAATTCAATATGATTGAGAATCTTACAACAACACTCTTCAACTAACCCTTCATAATCTACTTGGGCGAGAGAAGCAGCAAATAAAGCTAAACACACAGCTAAAACCTTCATTGTCAATTTGAGAAAGAATGACTATGATTGTAATTTCCAAATTTTTTAAAGGGAGAAGGGAGCCTTATCTGTAATCTTTGTGCTGGTTAAGGCAGATGCTTTTTCACAACAAATACAAAATATGCGGAAGTGGTAGAAATTTTGTGGTAAAAGAACAATTTTATCTTTCAAGTTCTCTGAATGAGTTTTTATATGATATACTGTATACTAATAAAATGTATTTTATAGTCTAATTCTTCATATTTATATTCTGTATATGATGAGGAAAGAGTTCATGTGACACTCTATAAAAATGAAAGGAGCCAATAAACAGTATAAGAAATTAAGCAATTCGTGACCTTTTCGAATATGATAAAGTAATATAATAACTTGGATATTATTAAGATTATTAAAAAAATAGTAAAAGGTCAGAGGAAACGAGAAATATAAATCCTTTTAAAGTCATATTCGTTTTTCGAACTTTAAACTCTTATAGAACGTGAAAAATTTAATTCTATAAATAGCAATTAAAACTACTGTATATGTTTCGTGTGTGAAAGCAGCCAATACATCTTCATTATACTTTCAGCATAAAATCAAGATAATTTACTACTAGTATTACAAGTTCGATTAAAGTTAAATTTGTTTTGAGAAAATAGGAAAATTAGCTGCAACTGGAGAGTAGCTTTTCTTAATATTACCAATAAAATTGCAGTATGAAGTAAGCTGAAATATTTACTGACTAATTGATATTATACTCATTTTATCTTCATTTAACAACTCAATGATATTGATCAACTCTTCTCTTTTTTATTCTCAAAAAAACTATCAATTATATACATGAACGTAAAGTTGAATTATTGATAAAAAACTCTTTAAATATAATTTTTCTGATTGAAAAGAATGGAGGAATATTTTCCGTTAGTAAATTTACAATACAATCAGTATTACAATTGCTAGGAACATAGACAAGTAGTGACATAGTAAGTGAATTTTTTTGTTTTGTTATAAAACTGTTGAAACATTTGTTTTCGAAGTTTCTGTCGCATGTGATTTATCACTAGCTATACCAATCATTCGCTTGAATTCATTTCTGAAAGTCGCTCCCGTTAAACAATAGAGGTAAAAATTTAAGGCATTGTTGCTTGCCGCCAGGGGTGCCAAATATCCAGAATACATAACCCATCTTAAATCCGCTTCTGAGCTAGAACTCCAGGCACCACTATAGTACTGTGAGACGTTACTAGCATACAGTGGCAATGTAGAGAAGACGTAATACAAAGATATGCTTACTAAAGTAATCGTAAGCTGAGTAAGTTTTTTAGATTCTTCTTCCGTATTAGCTGAAGATACTGTACTTCTCGCTTTATTTGATTTGGCTAAGGTGACTATAATTGCGGAATTAACAATTATAAGGAGTGCAGACGGTATTATAGATCCGACAAACATCATATACTGCAACATAATAGTATGTCCAAATAATGTGCCTTTTTCCGATGTTGCCTGACAATCATAATAGTAGAGCCATCTATTTTCTTTATTTATAAAGTATGACATTTTTCCAGGACCATATAGGGGATAATAGTAGATAAAAAGGAAAAAATTAATTACAATAACTGCTCCACAAATTAATTTAGCCCTAAATCTAGTGCAAATCTTATTTGCCTTCAAAGGTATGAAAAAGTAGATACTTCTGTCTAAAGTCATAGCTACAACCAGCCATGCACTAGCTACCACAGTAAAAAATGAACAATGGGAATAGAATACGCAATATAGATATTTTAAAGTAACTTTGTTAATGTTTTCTCCGAAAAAGCCAAAGTATAGTTCAGACGGTTGAAAAATACAAAGGAAAGAAACTGCAAAGATGTCAAAAACGGCGATAACTCTTAAATATAGTGACATTGTTGTATGTTTAAGTTTTGGTCTACCATTTACTAAAAAACACATAATATTTCCAAAAATTCCAAGAATCCATACTAAGGAATAAAGTACAGTAACTGACACATTAATATGTTTAACATGGCCCAGCAAATATGATTCTGATTCAACAGTTTCGTTAGTGGAACCGTTTGAAGAGTTGTTCATCATTTAAAGAGTTCCTTGTAGAAGAAAATATGATAAAGAATTAGACGAACGGATTAATTTTTATACTAAACTTCTCATGAATATTAGTCCAATAAGAATTGTTATAAACATAGGTGTGGTAAAGCTAAAATGCGATTTCAAAGGAGTGTCATTAACTTTATTACGTTAATTAGTATTCTGAAATAGAATATTTTAATATATTTTTTGATCACAATGTACACAAGAGCAGTTCTTTTATCTTCGATTAATATAATATTGAATATACAGATCTTAAAAGTTTAAGTAAAAATATTGTCAACAATTATTGAAAGAATCTTTACATCTTCTACGTTTGCATCTCTTGTAAGTCATTGACTCATATAGAACAACTTTATTTAGAATTGAAATTTTACACTGTTATATGATAATTCGTTTGTTTTTTATTAAGAAATTATGAAAAATTAAGATATTAAATAAATCAAAAGTATTCCTTTTACAGAAATAATCTTATCTTATAGTAGAAGTTATACGCTTTAACAACATCAGTATTGGAAAAGTAGAAAAATCGATTTTATTCCATTTTCAAGCTGTTTACTTAACAATTTACTTTACAATTTGACTCTAAAGATTTATCTGCTTTGGTTGTTACAGGATAAAACGTTATTTTATGGGGTGTGCTTATATAAAGTATTATGTCTTTTCAAGTTGTATGTTTGCAAGTCAATAACAATTTCTTCAACAAAGTATTGAGTTGTTTTAAATACAATTTTGTATTTAAGAGGTATTTAAACAAGTTTTTCTTTGCAAGTAATATCGCTTTCGCTAACTGATGTAACGTAATGTTTTAGTAATACAACTATAGCTGAACTTTGTAATTGATAAGTTAAAAAAAACTGGAATTGATAGACAACTAAACAAAGTTTCTTTATAAAATTTTCTAATATATGCATTATCTCTTAAACAAAGTGGTTTGAGATAACTTATATTGCCATGACAATCGTATAATGCAAGATTTTTTGATTGTTTGTACAGAATGTAACAAAATGCTGCTTGTCTGTTGACACTGTAACAATCATCATTTTCTGTTAATCATGGAAATAGCATAGATTTCAATTTTTTCTGTCAAATCGACTTTCTACCATGCATTTCCACAAAAAAGCGACATATAAATGAGGTCAATAGAAAGTTGCCAATTTCTGATAGAGCTCAAGTAACTTGGGTGACTGACTGAGCTATGTAAGAGAATTATTAGCGCCATTTTTATTCTTTTTTGTGTTGACTACTTGTTAGAAACTTTTGGAATTTTCGACTTTGTTCTATTAGTAAGTAAAGATATTATTAGTTAATTAACTTAATGATTTTGGTATCAAAATCAATATGGTCGCCGAGAGTAATTATGAAAGTAACATTTGGTTTGAATAGCCTAGCTTTTTGAATCCAAGATGGCCACCTTAATAAACTTGTCAGTTATCTCATTATCAAGCTAATCAATGAATTGTCTATGTAATCCATAGAAATCATCTTTAGAGAAAATGGCCGTTGTTCCGTCTTTAGAGGATTTGAGCATCGAAATTATTCGATTGAATTCACATAAGATATTTAGTTTAAAACTGGATAATTTACTTACTCCGCTCTATTATGCTGATAAAGTATTAAATAGTATATGCGCAGAGGATGAGGGAATTTCCGAAGATTATTTACAATATTTCAAAAAAGAGAGATGCCTCCTACAAAATGTGATGATAAACTGTTCAAAAATTCACGATTTTTCTACAATGTCTTTCTTGAAAGGGCACTTATTAACTAATTTAGAATTAATGCACATAGAAGATGGCAGTGTTCGCCAATGTTTAGAATACGTAGAACCAAACGATTTGAGCAATTTGACTTTAACTAAAGTAAACTTTTATGGTGCCATCCAACAAGATGATAATATGAATATAGTTATGGATGTCGATTGGATAGGAAGATTTAATGGAGTAACTACTTTGAATATTAGTTTTTCGGATTTCGATGATGAATATTTTCTTGTTGTTTGTAAAGAATGTAAAAATTTGGAAAATTTAAACATTTCCGCTACAGAAGTGACAAGACTTGAATACATGGAAAATTTGAAATATTTAAAGTATATTAATTGCTCAGCTATGTCTAAAACTCTTGTTCTTAATATTCCGGAATCTAATATGATAGAGGCGATGGTTATGCTAAATAATGAGAGTTGCGATCTTGATCCTATTCTGAACAGAACGTACTTAAGTTTAAGAATTTTGGTTTTAGCAACATGCTATGTTGTTAAATCGGAAAAATTCAAGTAAATATTATTTGACCTACTAATCAACCAATTCCTTTTTTATAATTATTTCCATTTTCTAGATCTTTCGTTGATAGGCATAATAGACTTGAATGTTTAGGTTTTGTTCAAGGCCACGAAGATTTTCCGTTTATGAATCCTGAATCGCCCGAGTATAGGCCTAAAATCAGTGTAACGTATACTACAATAGAATTGACTTGAATATATTAAGTATTTGTGTTTTTCTTTTTTTAAATATTAGATTCTAGGAGTTAATGACTTTGTACAACAGTTGAACACACTTGCTACTTTTAAGGAATGCCTGATTTTTGAGCCTAACTTTTTCAACTATATGGAACAAGAATTGAATGAAAACTATGACAGTATCGATAAAACTTGTCTTTTAAAAATTCTTAATGTAACTATAATGCATTAAATATATTTAATGTTTATATATTTATATAATAATAATTATTGTTATTGATATTCAATCAACAGATTTTACTTGAAGATATTACTTATTTGCGATTGGTTAACGTATCTATCAATGGAGATAATGCAATATTTTCATGTATTCATAAAATTATATGTCATCTTGGACCATCTATAAGCAAATCTCTTATGAGAAATATAGTAAATAAGTGCATAAAAAATATGATTATTAACACGGATTCTTTTTTATGTATTCTAGAAGATAATATTCATCTTTTATCTGAGGTAACGATTTCTTTTATCAATTTCTATTTATCTTTTAGAAAACGTACAAATAATGTTTCTTTTTCTCTTTTTAACTATAAATCTAACAACGAATAGAAATATCATTTATGTTTCATAAAGTTTATCTTGCATTTACCGGAAATTAAATTAAGCAAGCGAAACTTTTTTGAAAGTGAAGAATTTAAGATGGGATGTCAGAGAGTTTCCGATATATTTGCTGATTTTTGTAAAATTTTTAATGAAAAAACTGTAATTATTTTAAATACTGTATATATTTTATATAATATTTATATATTCATTACTTTTAACAAAGCTGTTAGGAAATGAAATAATAGAAATTGTTGAAGATGTTCAAACTATTTTTTCGTCTTTTGAGGGAAGTAGTGGGATATTAAACATTTTTAAAGATATGTTGAATTTACATCAGCCATATAATGAGCATAGTAGAATTACTGAAATTCTATGGAAAATGGAATTATTGTTTCAAAATTTATTACGTATTACTGTTGATAGTCCAAAGATAGCAGATAATTTTCTTCGGAAAAATATAAGAAATATTCTCTTGGAGATATTAAAGGTAGAAAGGGAACTTTTATGAAAATTTCTTGTTTTTATAACAATCAACTTTTTATAGGTTTTACACGGTCGAATAAATTTTTTGAGCTTAGTTGGAAATGTACTTGGAATTTTGGTAATTTGTTTCTTTAGAGTATTCTATATTCTTTAATTTTTTTTCTGTAATTTAGTATAACGCTCTAGTTTATTCCAATTCGTGGTGGGAATTGATTAACGACGCTGAATTATTATTTTATATTGCTGAGACGCTTAAAAGTAATAAAGTGTCAATTTCTCACGCTGCCGGAGGGATACTTTCACACGTTTTGGTATTACGTAAGTTACAAATTGAACTTTTAATAAAAGTTGATAGTTTTAATAGATAAGCAATAAATATTTATTTATATAGGTAACTTAAATAGAGATAGGAGATTACCTTCTGAATTTTCATATAATAAATATGAATATCTTTTGGTTTGTATTATTAAATCTTTGGCATGGAGAGCACTAATAATTTTAATAAATTGTTTAATAAAGCTACGTAATATTGAATTTTGGACAAGCGATATTAAAGTTTTTGTTTCGTACAAGAATTTCGATTGTCTTCTCCCCCTATTGGATTCCGATGTAAAAGCAGCAAAATTATGGGCTTTGTGGACTATACGATACTTTTGCAAAGATAATAGTAATTATATAACTTTTATATGAAATTCTTTGCCATTTTTAATTGTATAACACTTTCAGGTAAAATCTACGTTCCATTGGCAAAGAAAGCTGGAATTATAGACAAGCTGAAGAAGGATATGAATGAAAAATCAACAAATCACGATGTATTCTCTCTTATTATTGATATTTTGGAAATTCGTTAAAAATCATTTTTCCTTTTTTTTCTGATTTAAAGTCAACGTTTTTTTGTTATTTTGTTAATTATATTCTGTTGCCATTTAACAAATTTAAAGAGACAAAAATTTAGTAATATTTTTTTTTTCTTTTGGCAAAAAGACTAAACTTTTCCTTTTTTGCCATTCAAAAACTTTGTTTGCTTTTTTATTAGTTTGTTCTTTGTTCAATATTTCTAGATTGGATAAACAACTTCTTTTCAGTTTTATTTCATACAAAGTTCAATAGCAAATTTTATAAGTAAAATTGTATATCTTTATCCTCTTTTTATGACAGACGATGTAGTATAGCTCTAGAGAATATTTAATACTGTGGTACCATAATTAGTTCGAAGGTTATGGACTTTACTGAGTACTTTATATTAAAGAAAAACATTTTAGCATTGACTTGAAAAGAAGGAAGAATATTAAGATTTTCTAATAGTTAATATTGTTGCAAAGCTGATAGATAATGCGTTTACCTCCAATATTTCGACTAGCTGTTTTGTCAGTAAGCGTACCTATCATTATACTACTGCTTTATCCACTAGATTTAAATATAAACTACTTTAGAAGCAAATCTGTAAGTATAGAAGGTATAAGTACATAAAGGTATACGCGCTTGCTGATTATTGTTATTGTCGACAGAATAACTTGAATATTATTGAGAGGGACGTGAAACTCCTGATGCAATCTGTAAGTTAATTTGTAAGGGATGATAGCTTAAGGTGCTAACACGAAAAATAGATAATAATTCAGAAACATAAAATGGATTTTTATCTTGATGTAAACTCCATAGCAATATGAAGATGATTCTAACCTCCAATAAAAATGTATAATATCACTAACCTAGACTATTTAGGTTAAGATATGTTAAACGGTTTTCATGTTAGCGTTTTCAGCCATCATTCTAAATAAAATTAATAATTTCAATGCTCCATACAAAGATTGAAAATAACAAATTTCTCGACGCTTTAAGAAGTTTCTCAAACGATAAGAAAATCACCTTAACATTTGTTTATGACAATAATAGTGAGTTAGCGGAGAATTTCTATTATTTTTCGATTAAAGGCAATAATATTGAGAATTTTTTGTTAATATGCTTAGAGGAGAATGTTTGTAAATACTTTGAAAGTAAAAATATTCCTATTTTTCATTACGAGACTTATAGTAGCTATTCCAACGAGGACACTTTATTTGGAAGTGATTTATTAATGAAGATAAAATTTAGAATCGTTTACATAGCAATAAGAAATGACTATGAAATAATAATAAGTGATGCCGATGTTTCCTTTCTCAAAAATCCTTGGAAATATATTTCTTGTTTAGATTGCGATTATATTATTTCTCTTGATGGTAGTAAGAATTTCCAGAGTGGATTTTATCTTATTAGACCATCTAAAATTTGTAAAAGTTTGTTTCATTATATAGTTTTTAAAGCGAAATTTGAAAAAGATCCAAAAGAAAGTATTAATAAAACTTTGAGTTTATTGCTAAGAAAAGGAATTATTAAGTTTCTATCGTTTGACGCTAATATATCTCGTAATGGATTCAACTTTTTTAATCTTTATCCTCTCTATCGTAAAAACATATGCCCTAATTGCATTCTCATTAATAACAATTGGACGAAGAACAAGCTGAATAAGATTTATAGACTTAAAGAACATTTAATGTGGACATTAGACACTGACAGCTATTATTCAAGTACAACAAACAAGTATTTAACCTATAAGAATCTTGCTATAGATAACCAAAAGAGAAATAGTGAAATGGAATTTTTACAGATTTTGAATGCATTAATTCTCTCTAAAATGCTTGGAAGAATTTTAATATTGCCCGAATTCTCTTGTAAATCATATTATTGTACTCAGACATCAGAATATATTCTAAACATTAGTAAATTTGATATGTATTTTAAGGAAGATTACAGAGAAAGTACCTTTCTAGAGAATCAACTAGTATCGGCAATTGTAAAGAAAAGTCAATCATTACCAATTTATATAAAAAGTAATGACTTTATGCAAAATGAAATGGTAAATACAGAACTTGTGAATAAAATTGAAATAATACCAAATAATTTGAATACTGGAATAAATTATCAAGAAGTTGTGTTCAACTTCAATTTACCAGAGCTATTTAGCGTATACGTTTTAAATTTTCATGGAATGGTATTCTCAAATAATAATCTATTACGCACTTCAATTGGACAAGAAGTTTTGAGAAATCTTAAAAAATGTAGTAACACTTAGAATTAGCAGCAGCAAAAATACAACAGCAAAACTACAGCAGCAATAAACAAAACATTATATAAAATATATAACTCTTATTGTATTTCTAATAAAATTATAACATTTTGTAACACTGTTTTTTATATTCAATAAGGTAAACAATCGAAAAATATACTGTATTGAATGAAACTTAGAAAGATAGGTATTTCTGTTTTATATTAGATATTGATTGGTATTATATCTGTTCTATTGTTATTTATATATATATTTATATTCTAATAATATAAACACATAACTGGGATTCAATTTTATGTTAGCTCGTCTTTCAAATAGTACAATACAGTAGAAATTATAACATTTCCTACTGTTCATACGTACAGAAAGAATACTCAGATACTCATTTTAATTGAATATAAGAATTTGAAATATTAACTTTTCAGGAGATATGTCTACAAATCTTGAGGTATTTTCTCTTCAATTTTCTTCTTTTTCAGAATATCTACAGTAAATAAACTGTTACTGGATAATTTGTTATAATATATACATTTGAATAGGTTAATTCAAATTCCAAGAATCAATGTAAAGGATCTCCAAGAAAGAATTCGTCTAAAGTAGTACCATTAGAATTATCTGACAATGATGACTTGCATGGTAAAGATAAAGAAAAAGTCTTCAATAGAAGAAGAAAATGTTTATTAGCATTTATAATATTATCTATATTACTTATCAGTATAACGGTTGTTCTATGTGTCTACTTCTTAAAAACAGGTTAATTTAGTTTTGTCAACCATTTAAAATGATCTAATAGGATCTTTTTATTTCATCAGTTTCACTTAATGACGAATATCTAAGAGAATATAAAGGTATACAAAAATTATATTACAATAACAAGTACAACTACTAGACAGGCATACGGATAATAAAAAATTTCACCTTTTCGTAAGACTGGTAGGCGTTTATGGCCATAAGCAATTTTAGTTATAAGACAGAATGAACTAAGGATTAGAAAGTTTGAAAAAAGTTGAGTATAATTCAGCTCCTACACAATATCTTTTCAGACAAATTACCGCCCACGAATCAAATTGTTGTTCATAACTTTTGTTTGTCCAGTAGTTGTGCTAGAAACCGTATACATGCATTTCAATATATATTTGATCAATATATACAGCTACTGTCTGGATGAGAGTAACATTTGATAAAAAATACTCTGAAAATTTAAAATATTTTCATACGAAAGAGTATAAAACCTTTTCACAATATCTAGTTGACTCATTATTTGAAATAATGAAAAATACCAATAATAGTAAGCTACATAATCTTATTGGTATTGAAAATATACATTTTAAAGAAGGAAGCATCATATCAACATTTCAAATGATCTTTAAGAATAACACAAAGGAAAATGTTAATATTAAAAAGGATGAGATTGATAATTCCATTAAACAATCAATTCCTAAGAAGCAATATTTAATCTTTAAAATGAAAGTGATTGATTATAATATTGAAAATCTTGTAGTTAAAGGTTGTGTATTACTATTTTATAATTAATAATCAAATTATATGAATTTATTAATTAATAACAGAAATTTTTACCTATAATAACAATGGAAATTATTTTACTCCAACTCCTTTTAATTCATCAATGAACATCAAGAATTTTGTCACTTGTAATTTTAACAATGACCTATGTGGTTATACAATATTAGATCATTATAATAACCGTTCAAATTGGATAAGAACTAAATTAACAACAACTGAATACGACTCCGATGAAAATGACGAAATATTTGGTTTCAATCTATTCTATTTATGATTTTATATCCCTAAACTATAACGTTTTACAGACGAAAATTATGCTCTTAAAATCATTCCAAGTAATGATATAAATGAAAAACCTACTCGTCTATTATCACCCTTTATTAAAACATCATTAAATGTAACAAAATGCCTTACATTCGACCTCTTCTCAAAATATGGACCTATTACAGATAACTGCGCATTAGTGGTGACAATCTACAAGTAAAACAATAGATTATATTAAGCCTATATTTTTGATTTCTTATTTGTTACAAACATACTTTCTCATTATTTTAGCCAAAAGAATTTTACGAAGAGAATCTTATTGTCTAATAAATTTATTCAACTACCTCAATTTACTAATCGAATATCATTTGAAAGTTATTTTCTCGAGAAGAGGCTAAAGGAAGATATGTATCTAGATAATATTAAATTATCGACAAATCCCTGTAGGATAAAGACAAAGAAACTGTGCGATTTTAATTTGGATAATTGTAATGTTGAAGTTAAATTTCAATATGAAAAATTTCAATGGAAAACAAAAAATGTATATTTCGGTTTGAAATCATTTGAAAAATGTATAAAATTCATATTTATTCATTTATTTATTTAATTAATATTCATTTTAATAATTCAGGTGGATCATTTTTAATTGCTGATAGTTCAAGTTCAACTAATCTGGTAACTGTTGTAGCTCTAAAAGAGTTTATAATTCACGAAAAACAATGCATAACATTTTCTTATAGTAATTTTAATACACGCTTATCGGTATTTATTATCATAATCTATGATTAATTATTCATGAATATTCATTTATTTTAACTTTTTTCCTTAGATTTATATTTATAAAAACAATGACGAAAATCCTATTATCCTATCTGTTTCGGATTCTGGGAAGTTTTTATGGAAGAAGCAATCTTATATCTTTTATCCAAATCAATATAAAGTAATATAAATTAATCATAGAATACAATTAATAAACAGTCACTCTCTCTCTCTGTCTCTCTCTCTCTTTCCTTCATTTTCCTTATTAGATTGTATTTAAAGCAATTCAAACAAATCGTTTGAAAATGAGAGTATCATACGCTGCGATTGATAATATATTACTTCATTTTAAATGCAGTACAAGCATTTTCATATCCAATGCAATTTCCGGTTTGTAATACTATTTTTAATAAATCTGTAATAACTTCAACTTTTTACAACAAAATATTCCAGATTGTAAACTTAATGATGTATTTTGCGGTTATAGCTTTAAAAATGACATATTATCGCCTTTTCAATGGGAGATTAATAGAAATTTGAAAGGTATTCATAAAGATTAATTAATTATCAATCTCTTGAATTCTTATCCTCAGATAATCTATATCAATTCAATTTAAATGGATATTCAAAATTGGATGACGAAGCTTTACTAATAATCCCAAAATTAAAGACAACCAAGGCTAATAGATTGTGTTTATCATATAAATTAGATTCTAATATGGAATTCGAATGGAATGTTGTGGCAATATCATTAAAAAGTAAATCGAAATCTGTATTAAAAAGGTAAACATTGAGTGTGTTACATAAGATTTTTTTAATATCTTACTTTATTACATAGTCACGTAATGGATAGATTTCATAGAAATACATGGATAACTTATATTAATGATAAGGCTGAAATGGTATTAAGGAAGAAATAGAAACACAATCATTTAAAAAATTTATCATTATCTTCTCATAGATATACTTCAATGCAAAATCTCCAAATAACGACCATTTTAAAGCAACTTTATCATTAATTAGCCTATCAATTTCCAATTGTTCTACAGGTATTTTTAATAACTTTATATACTTTATACTATATAATATATACATTTATTAAATTATAGCTTTATCATGGTTTTTTAACGATAATCTAGACGACTTAAAGATATTAAATTTAAATGAACAATCCCATTTCAAATGGTTTTTGCTTGGAGAAAACTTGAGAAAAAGAGGTGAATCATTAAAAAAAATCACTAAAATTCAATATTATTTTTAGAATATTAACATTAACAATTTTATTCCAGAGAAGAGATATTTAACTGTTAATACTTCTCATTCAAACATGGGTGAAAGTAGTTTATTAATAACGCCAAATTTGAATAGAGAATTACGATGTATCAATTTTAATCTAAGTATTTTTGATGCTAATAATAGAATAATTCAAAATTGCGGAATGTTATCAGTAAGTGAAAAAAACTTATATTAGATTAGGCTGGATTATAAATATTCTGCAATAATCTTAGATATACTTTAAGAAAAATAATAAGACAATTCCTATTATCAATCTTTCATCTTTTAAAAGAAACGAGTGGAAAAATTTGCAGATATCTATCTTGTCTAATACTGGAGATAATCAATTAATTATTCAAGCTATTTCAAGTCTATCTAATAGTACAATATTCAAAATAGCTGAAATAATAATTGATAATATTAATTGTTCATCACCAATAAATCATCCAGAGAGTAAATGTTTATTATCTACCTTATTTGCTTAATTATAGCTTTAATTAATACGAATAGAAATCAACGTATCATGTAATTTTATGAAAAGTTTATGTGGATACTATATGAATAACGGCGACTATTCTGAGAAGGGAATAGATTGGCAAAGATTATCAACTAATGAAAATGGTAATAAAACATGTTTAAATTAGTTTTTTAATTGAAATTAATTAATTATCTATATCCTAATACTTTATTAGAATACTTACTTATGGGTAGAATTAATGAAAAGAATGATAACAGTTCCAAAACTCTGTATTCACCAATCTTTAATAATAATTTTACACAAAGTTGCTTAAATATCAGCGTACTTGAATTATCAAATTCAGCTAGTTTGTCGGTGAAAGTTAAACGAGATTCTGATAAAGAGTTTAGGTGATAAACTATTTTTTTTGAAATATCTTTATGTATATATTTATTAAATATTTTATTTAAATAGATATCCTACCGATATAATACACTGTAACAATTATATTCTGTTCAATCTAGATAAAACTATTAATCAGGTAGTTTTTACTAAATAAATAATAAAGAATTCAATATTATAAAACCTCTTTTTTGTTCTTTTTCAGTTTTCTATGACAATATTTAAGAACGAAACTAGTATTAATAACTATATTCTTATATCTAAGATTAAGATGACAATTGGATATTGTATAAATAAAACACCTGATACAATTTAAGTTCAAATATGTTTATTTATATTTTTAAACCTTTAATATAAATATATTTATTATAATAGTTTGAAATTTTATATTTTAATATTCTTCCTCACCGATGATGGTCTTGATAAATTGATATCTTTACTTTTATTTGGCATTGTAGTTACTTAACTAACTGAATTTACTGTTTCATTCTGTAATACGGATTTTGTGGTTGTTGTATTTATTTGAAGTAAATTTGTTTCCGTATATTGTTCAGTTGTTGACGAATTTGTTGTATTTATCGTTGTATTATGACTTTCGTTTGTAAATTTTCTTGTTGTCGTCTCGTTGTTTAGAGGAGTTAATGTAAAAGATTCAACAGTAGAATGTTCTACTTCCTTTTCGTGCCATTTAGAAGCTTGACAACCACATCCAACGACTTGCTCATCCCAATAAGGAACATATTTTGCAAAGTTATTTTCGCATTCACCATTCTTTACCAAAACAAGTACTCTAACTGCTATAGGACCGCACTCATAATCTGAATCGGTTCGACTATTTTCTCTAAGGCAGCCAGGAGTTTTGGGAGAGGAACAACGACACCGCACTTCGGTAATCGATCTCGGAAAGCGCTTTTCATGATAACTGACAACGTTAAAAATAGGACATGTAGACACTCGTAAATCTACTTTCTGCATTTTTGAGATATTATTCAGTTCTTGCATATGTTCTTGTAAAGAATTAGGACAAGTTGCATTCGCTCTTGAATCTTTAAGAATTTTCTTCTCAAATACTATTTTATCAATTTCTTCACTAAATTCAGCTACTTCTAAATCATTTTCAGTCCTAAATCTCGTAAGCCTCTCTACCAAATCTGGTGGATCGAACGACAAACAATCCGATTTTACTTCAGCTCGTACATAGAAAAAGCATAATATTAGATATAATGAAAATAGTGGAAAGTTTTCCATCTGTAAAAGAAGTATATTAAATAAATACTATTTATAATTATAATTAATTATTATTACTTTAAAGCGAAGTTATCGTTGGTTGAGTGACTGTTACGATTGCCAAATTGACTGCTACTACCGCTACACACTCAACACACATATATATATATATTCTGTAAATATTAGACAACTTGGAAAAAACGACAAAAATAAAATAAATTTCCTTATAATAAGAAAAAAACTACGCTGAAAGCCTTCGAGCTCGCTCGTTCTTTTTCTTTTTTTTACTTTTGACATATAGGCCTTTTTTAAATCTTTCACGATTTCTCGTTCAATCAATGAAATTGTATTTATTCTTCCTGTATGTTAGTCACTAACAGCGAATTATATCGTAGTAAAAAAAAAATTTTAACACGATGTAGAATAAGTTACAGAAAAATTTGTACAACATTAGCTATATTTTACTTTATTGAATAACCATAATAATCACTTAACACGATTCTATTATTTGCTCATCCTGAGTAAAGTAAAAGGTGAAATTGGAGGTTATAACTACAATATTTTTATATTAGACTTTAACTATGATTTTTCTTTGAGTATTAACTTCTCTGTTTGAGATAGTAATTTAGAACTGTATGTCTTTTTAATGATATTAAAATTCTATTAGTTTTTGTATTATTTGTTATAATTGCTAATATTTTATAATAACAGTTTTAAACTTAATTATAATTCTTAAACGAACAGAGATAGATAAAATAACACCACTTTTAACATTCATATTAAGTTTGTTCGTGACAAATTAAGGATTTTCTATGTTTTTTTCTTTGTAAATATTGTCAATTGATAGTTGTAACTGTGTTTTTTTGTTTTTAGGAAAGACAAGGTAATGGAGATAATATGATGCTTTGAAAGTATAATTCTTGGTTAAAAAGATCTGGAAAGGATTCAATTTCAAGCATAATTTGAATGGTAGTTTCCTTTACAGGTATAAAATTTCTCGAAGATGTTAGAGTAAACTGAGTTTTGCTGTAGAGGGATAAACTATTAAAGAGAAATTATTAATAATATACAGATATTAACCTAAATCCATTCTTCGGTTGAGCATTGATATATATTGATATGTAGAAATATTTCATTAAATAATCGATATCTTCATTGTTTTTTCCAATTATATTAAAATATAGACAGTTGTCTTTCAAACTCGATTTTCTTATAATAGGCGATACTATCCTGACAATATAACCAGTCGATTTTTCGTTCCTTCTCAGTTGCAAACCCCTATTGGACTCGCCTTCATTTTTTCGATAAGTATAAATAAAAGAAATGTAAGAAAAGTAAAAAAAAGCTATAAACAATAAAAACAATAAATTTATTACCGGAATATTGAAATTCAAATGGCGACTCCAATTGATTAATTATTCTATATCCGCATAAATTAGTGTTGAAATTGCATGAAATTTCATCATCTATTTCGTCAATTGAAAGTTGAAAAGCAGTTTTATATTAATAGAGTATTTTTATAAAGGAAATTATATAATATTTTTACTATCGTATCCAAAATTTGAAGGATTGTGACATTCCGATTTTGATATAATTATATTATCAATATAGATATTACCGGAAAATAGTTGAAATTGAATAACTTTAAACAAAACCTATAGAAGGAGAATATTCATTATCATATATCTATATCAATAATTAAACTTATTGATAATTACTTGATATATTCGCTTAGGTTTTAATATTAATCTTTCTTTTATCCAATCATCGTTTGTAAAGTGATTATATGATATAATATAATCTAATTCTTTATTTTCGTATTGAATATATACCTATTAATATGATTTCCTTGTAGAAAATGTATAAAGTTTTAAATTCTATGGAACTTACCGATAAAGTTGATCCTTGTAGTTTATTAGGCATTTTATAATCAAATATAAGACAAGCTTCTTCGACTTTGTTTATTAAAGGCGACCTTAATACTGTAACCTCATTCGGATATCCATCAACAGAATCAACCATCATATACGAATTGTTACCTGAATTATGTAATAAAACGTTTATAAATTAGTCTCTTCAAATTTATTTCTCTTTATTTTGTTCTAACATAGCAAATTTGTCTTTGATTCGTGATTTTTCCATTTCAACTTATCAATTGTTGACCTTGAATGATAATTTTCAATTATAAAATTACAATTATCACTTGAAAAATCGCAGTAATGCAAATCATTCGTTAAATCTAAATGATATAATATTTATTTTAATATTCCTTATGTAATGTTACGATACTTGAATAGATATTACCATTTGGGCATTTTGAATAGATTAAATTAAAATTGTCTAGATGAAGTGTAATTTCCTCTTTTAACAATTGTCCTTGAACTTCAAATGAAAACTAGAAGATTTATAGTTTATTTATAGTCTAAACGTTTTATTATATGACTTACTTGGACGACATTTTCTCTCAGTTGAATAAAATGATTGCATCCTTTATTCGATTGGATTTCTGAACTATAATTCAACATTTCAATAAAATTTTAAATAGTATTAAAAGGTGTCTAAACTAGTTACAAAAATTTCAAATTCTCCTCTTCGCTTGTTCTTTGATAAACGTATACAACGAAAAATGGAGAAAACTGTTGATCATTTTCAACGATATGATGCATTTGAAAGAAAAGACATCTCTCCTCTCTAGATGGTTGAATTTTTGGTGAAAATAGTCTAATTTGTTTCTTTTTAGAATTATAGACATTTATTAAACGTATTACAGAATTCTTTTCTAAATAAAGACAATATTATTATTCTTTATAAAACTATTAACAAGAATATTGAAAATACTTTGAGTTTCAACTAAATGCCATTCGATTGAACTTGAAAAATCTACTTCAAATTCATAGCCACACATTCCATTATTAAAATCGCAGGATAGTGAATCATCTTATAAAATATATGAATGTAACTAGTATGCAATATTCTACAATTATTAAATACAAACTTTTCTCATTTGGCCTAATAAGGTTACAAGACCTAAATTCAATATCATCTATCATTACATTACTGCCGTATTGTGCGTATAGAATCGATTTGAATATAATCTAAAATAGTAAAGTTAATCCATATAAATTTGTGTTAATAACGGAGTAGGATAAAATTAAATACACTTATGTTTCCACTTGGTAAATAGGTTTCGCCAGCTTTCCAATTTGGAGCAGTATTTTCAACATGAAAGTTAAGGGGAGTTATCTTACCATTCTCTTCTTTAACATAGACCTATAAGGAGAAAACAGAAGCGTATAGTTTATTTTGTTATTCTTCTTATCCTTGATAAAAAAGATAAAAGACAAACTGTCAAAGAGATTTTAGAGTAGTAGGAAGTCAATTGATATTTATAAAATAAGCATAAGTTTCTATCATTGTTAACAATTGGTGTAGTTGCTGTTGTAGTATCGCCACGAGATCCTACAAAGGATCTTGGAGCTAAAACTTTATTTCCTCTTGAACCTAGATTTAATTAGGGAAAATTTGCATAGAAGATAATAAAAATAAAAGATGTTATATAACTAACACTCTTCAATTTCCTTTATTTCCCAGACGAATTTCTTACTTTCTCCAACATTATATTGAACGATGGTATAATTACATAAGTCTTGTTCAAAAGTACAAAATAAATGATCTATAGTGAAATAATCCAAAGCGTAAGACAACTTGTATAAAAAAAACATATATGACAAACTACTTTGGTGCATACAAGGAACATTTCTTATCTTAATATTATCAATAAAAATATCTTCTCTAAAATAATTTGACTTTAACTTTGCCTTGAGTATTATCTGGGTAACATTTCCACCAATTGACATTTTTACATCCCAATTACATAAATTTCTATATCTACAATTTATAATTTCAATGTGTACACTATATTTATACAATACTACAGTATATACTTTCATACTTACTTTCTTATCTTATCATTTTCTTTTACGTATAATTCATGAATAATATTTTTTAAGTAAGATAATCGATTTTTTCCATAAATATTAATAGAGAGACATTTTTCATTTTGAGATGGTTGAATTAGTGATGATAAAATTTCTGTCACAGATTCAGAATGTCCTGTGAAAGAAGTTAACTTTAAACCATATTTGTTCAATTCTGTAGAAATTTTCACATATTGCCATTCAAATGGACTTTTTAAATTGTTTTTCAAACTATAACCGCACATTCCATTTTGGAATTCACAGTCAATAGAATTATCTAAAAGATAAACCAGCTTTATTATTTGGGAAATCTTTTATATGATAGAAAAACTACCTGTACTAGTTAATGGAGAATTTGGACATATTCCTTCTCTTATTCCAACTTTATCTAATAAGATATAATTAGTATTTTCATAATTTAATGATGCTTTGAAGATTATCTTTAAGATATAAATGAATAATTTAATAACAAAGGATATCGTTTTTCTTTTCATTCTACCTTAAATTTCGAATTATTATTAATCCTAATCTCGCTTTTCTTCCAAAGATTATTGGTATTCTTATCAAAAAATATTAAAGGAATTGGTTCATTTTCGTCAAATTTGATATAAACCTATATTTATAAAATTTTCTTATCACTTAAACCAAAACACTAAGTAATCAATTAGTAATTCTTACTGATAAGGATACTGTTGAGTCGACCAACTGCTTAATCTTATACTTAAAAATTAAGCATAGATCTCCTATAAGGTCAACAACTGGTAGTTCAGCTAGAGCAACACTCTGAGCGCTCACTTTTAGTACTTGAGCCATTAAGAAACTTTCAGGACCTATTTTTAATATCAAAATGATGTTTTAAATTAATAACATTCGTATTACATTGTTCTTTTCTTACAATTGTCTTCAGCTTGAGTTACGGATCTTGTCCATTTGACAATATCATTATTAGGGTAGCTCTTCACCACAAATCCACAGATAGAATCGTCAAAGTCGCAAAACAATAAGAAATCTTTTAAAAAAAGATATGTTTGCCATTATAAAGACTCTGCTAGAAAAGTGCCAATGTTACCCACCTTACCTTTAGGAATAACACAGCTTTCGGTACATTTTAAATCTCTGTCAATAGAGCGATTTATCCATTCTAGATTGCTTGAAATATGAGAGTAAACATTAAAATCCCATTCACATATTGATGGAATCCAATTTTTTATGCCAAAAAGTAACCATTTATCATTTATCAAACAAATTAAAGGATCTCCAAAGCCTTTGACCTTTGTAAAAGTACTTGAATAGCTAATGTTTATCATATTATCACTGTAGTACTAACTTTACAATAACTTTCCGTAGTTTTATTAGAAGGATTCTTTGAAGAGGCACAAACAAAATTTGGTCTGTCGGTAGTATTACCCATTACTCTATTACATTCATTTCGCTCAATGACTTTTCTCCAATTGATCAAATTCGTTCCATTGTCTATTTATAACGTAAAAAATGGTGATGAGAAACAATTACTTTTATCTCTACTACTACTTACTCATCAATTCCACGTGAAAACACTGAGAGCTTTCATTCAGTAAGACAGTAGTTTTTGGTAGGCAAATAGGATTTATTGGAAAGTTTGCTATTAAAGATCTCGGTAACCTTATTATAGCAACATTAAGAAATTCATATTTAGAAGCATAAAATACTATATCTTTCTTGTGGATAACCTCAACAGGAATGCTTGATTTTGCAAATCTAATGATTATTCTATCGGTATTTCTACATTAAATGCATTAAAACAATTACTAATTGACTGTACTACATAGTATGAAAAATATAACAACAAACCTGCTAATACATTTGGCCGGCGTTAAAATATATCTATTATGAACAATTGTACCACTACATTTTTGACTGAACGACTCATAATCTTGGAGTTCCAAAGATACCTTTTTATAGCATTTATGTACTTATTAAACCTACTCAAATTGTTTGTAAACTAGATGATTTACCTGCCAAGATAAATCACTCGATTGAATTTTATTACTTCCTAATGTAAGTTTATCTTTCAAACTATCTTCTTCGCAATTTCGATTGTCGGAATAGTTTCCTGTGTTTTATAACTAGGTCAAATGACTTTAACAATAGTAGTAAGAGCTTACCGTTACCGTTGCAATATTCTACATTGATGGTATTTAATGTAATGATATTATTTTTAATATCTAAAGATTTAATCTCCAACATGACCTACAAAAAAGTTTTATTTATTTTTTACAATGAAAAACAAGTCTACTTACTTGTACGACAGGTTTGTCAATATGGTAATAGATGATACTATTAAAATTGCATGAATCTTTATACTTTTGTTCAGGAATACTGTCAATTATTTAATACAAAAATTATGTTTATCTATTAGAATAGAAACCAAATGTAATCACCTCCAAAATGTTTCATTAATAAATTTAAAGTATGTTTTAATAAAGACTTCGCTATGCTTGTATTTATTCTTAAGGTTAAGGTACAAACATTTACCCTTTGATATAGGATTAATCATTTTCGGAGAGATTAATCTAGCAATTTGATCTGTAGTATCATTATTATAGCCTTGAATTCTGAGGTGATGGTCTAAAATTTAAAGTCATTTTTAACAAACATATGATCATCTACAAAAGTTTCCTGGTTATTACTTTCGCCTATAGCATATTTAAACCAAGAAAATCCTTGATAAAGTGCTTCGTTTGTAGAATATCCGCACATATCATTCTGGAATCTACAATCTGATTGAAAATTTTTTTTCAATGTTATTATCTCTGAAATAAAACTATTTTTTTGTTTAGAAAATTTACCAATACTATTCATATGATTGTTTGTAAAGTTTTGGCAAACTTCTTTATCGGCAAATTTCAGATCATCGATAGCAAAAATTTCGTCTTTAAATCCTCCTTTAACAGCTTTAAAGTGAATCTATATGAAATTATTAATCGTATTATATATACTGTATATACAGTATATAAAAGCAATATTTAATACCCTAAATGCATTAGTTTGAGGTAGATCCAGAATATATCCAACTTTCCAAATTTTATCTAACTGTCTCACTCTATACGAACATGAAACTATTCCATTTTCAACTTCTATATAAACCTGCATATTCAAACGTTTATATTTAGTTTAATATACTTATATATGTTAATAGTGAGTAAATATGGCTACCATCAACGGTCTTTGATACCTTCCTCCATGAAAATTGAAAGATATGCAATGATTTTTCGTTGCATTAATATAGCTTGTTGTCAATGTTGTAGCTGAATTGATACTAGCGGAATTGTCTCTTACAGATATTATCTTGTTACCTTTTTTTAAATAAAAAAAATTGAAATAATAAAGGAAACATTCTTTTTAACTTGTTTAAAGTATCTATTTTACATTTTAGTAATTGAAATCCGAGAAAGTCACTTTCATCTTCAATCTTCCATATCCAGTTATCATTATGAGTTGTTTTAACAGAATATTCATAACATATACCATTTTCAAAGGTGCACATAGCTTCATTTTCTATTAGTAAACATAGTATGTAATAATATAATAAATTGTTCAAATTAGTTAACTAACCTTCAACGCAATTACCAGTTTTGAACAAAATATTATCGATAAAGAAAGTTTCCTCATTTTTAGACACTGATGTAGCTTCAAAAATAATCTATTATAGGGGAAAACAAACAAAGAAAGGATTATAGTACATTTAAAACGGATTGTTAAAACATTTTGGAGAGATTACCTTTGAGACGTGTTTCGTTAAATTTATATAATAACGTTTGTAGCAAGTGTTTCTTGAAATATTTAATCTAAAATGATAAAATATATATAATTCTATATAGTTAATTCCTTTAAAGAAAGAAATATATACATATTTTCTCGATTCCTATTGTCATCTAAAAGTTGATAAACTCTTAAAAAGGTTTCATTAGAAACAATGTACTTTTCATTGATGAAATATGTATCAAAGTAGACGCATTTATTTGAATTTTTTATTCCTATTTCTGGTGATATTAATGTTGCAACATCTCCTGAAGTATATTCTGATTGGACAACTCTTAATGCTATGTTATCTAATTTAAATGTTTTATTTTTTTATTACATAGTAATTATAAAGAATATTTAAATATTTCTACCAGTTGTTGTATTTAATTTTGAGCGATCCCATTCAAAAGAGCTTTCTAACTTGTTGGCTAATTCGTAGCCGCAAAGATCTTTGTTGAAGTCACAAGTCGGGGAAACTATATATGAATTATAATTAAAATACTATATATTTAAAAAATATCGGTCTTCAATTTCTTCAAAAAATCTTACCTTTATAATATTCATCTTTGTAGCATCTTGATCTGCTTGTACCAATATTATCTATTCTAATATGTGCGTATCTTCCTTTAGATAAAATTGCCGCTTTTATAATTATCTGTTGATAAGAATAAATACATAGATTATGTATGTTATTATTAAAAGTACCTTGTAAGATATATCTGAGAAAATATCCGTTCTTTTGGTATACCATGCGGAATTAGTAGCCTTTTCAACCGATGAAAGTGTTCTAAATGTATTATTACTATCTAAGATATTTACCTATTAATTAGATAAAGACATAAAGATATATTAGTATTTGAATAATAAAATTATTTATAATTTTATAGTTTTATACAATATAGACGTACAGAGATTGCTATTATTGTATTATGAACTGCTGATATCGTATAAGAGTAATACAAGCAAGTATATCCTGTATCACTTATTAAAGGAGACTCGACAATAGCTACGTCATTCGAATGCACTCCATCCTGAGCATTGGCAAGTAAATAAGCTTCAGTATCTTTACAAATTAACATATTAATCTACAGTAAACGTTCAAAATGTTTATATTAAAAACTTTCTACTTGGAAAATATTGAATTTCCTTTCTCTGGAAAGCAAAATGCCTTGAACCCGGTGAACGCCGGCTTGAATATGATAATCTAAAATTACATATATCTTTATCAAAAGAGCATAACTTCTTTTCAAAAGTTGCATCTGCAAAAAACATGTACCTTTAAAAAATTGAACATATATTTTCAATTCTATAAACCATTGCGCTTAACAGGACAAGAATCATTTAATAAAGATATAGAAATAATGAATAACAAACTAGGTTTGTCATCACTTTTCAATGGTGAAATGCTAAACTAAAGAAAGATTTGATCGTTAATTAAGGTTATTAAAAAAACAATAACTATTGAACATACTTGAACGTAAATCTTTGGTATTTCTATATAACCAACTGTATCTGGTGTATGTTTATTAAAAACGATATTTTTCAAAGGCCTTTATATTAAATGATATGTTATTCTTTTAATGGAAACAATTCCTTTATAAAGCTTACGCTGAAATTCCATTTGGATTGTACATATTAATATTCAGTATTATAGTTGCCCCTTTTATTCTTGTACCAGAGATTCTTAGGCAATTATCTTTATGTAATTTAAATTTAGGTGAATATAATTTAGTTTCAAGAGATTCATGAGTCGTATATAAAGGATAAGCAGCTAGTACATATTGACCTGTTCAAGGAAAAAATGAATAATATATGAAAGCTAAAGTATGTCTATGTTTTATTGGCAATCTGCCTTTTTTATTTTATTTTTTATGAATGTGTAAATACCTCTGTAAATATCTCTATGCCAAGTAAGGCCGGCTGTAAGTTTATATGAAAACTGCGTATAATATCCACAAGTGTTCAACTTGAAATTGCAATTAATATTATTCAATTCTGTAGAAAAAGTAATAGAAGGTTAATTAATTAGGTGAAATTGTTCAAAAACCTATTTAATTAACCTTGCATATCATTAGATGCTCCATTACAAAAGCCTTTTGAATGAAATTGAACTTGATCAATACCAATATTTACTTTAATATTAGAATTAAAAGTCTTTTGCACCGTAAAGACAAACTTAATAAATAATAAAATTAAATAAGCGAAACCTATAGATAACGAATGTAGCTTACTTGAAATTCTTTAGGCAAATTATTAATTCTTATTAAGTTCCAAAAGTCATTAAGATAAGGATAACGTAGAACCGGCAGATACTTTTCATTAACCTTTATACCAATCTGTTTTCGAAAGGATAATAATTATTAAAATTAATACAATAAATAAATATTGAATGTAAGGCTATTTACTGAGAATATAGTACCATTGTCAGGATTAGAGATGTAATAATATAACGATGAACAACTATATAAATTTTTAACAACTGGAGTGAGAAGAATTGTAAACTCGTTCGAAAATGATTTATAACCATTGACATAGTACAAATAGGAATCTGTAGAATTCAAGTACTATTTATGTTTTTTTAAATATATATTAGTGTTATGAGACCTCTTCCAACAAGATTTATTGATTCGGATACAGGAAGAGCACGTTTTAATTCATTTACTGTCATCCTCTTCCATTTTAAAGTTGAATAGAAACTATTTCCAGATATTATTGAAGTATCATCCAATTCTTTTTCGAATGACCACGTTTCTATATCTAAAAATTGATAAAATGTTTTTAAAATAATACTTATAATACAGATTCTATAGAAAATTATATTCACTGGGAGAGGGTAGTGTCGACTGCAAAATCGATTTTGTACTTGTTCCTATATAAATTAAGGCAATTAAATAATTTAAATATAATTAAACAATACTTACGACTTGTTGAAGTTTGCACGGTTGTTGTTGGAATAGTAGTATCAACTACTGGACTTGTCTTAGTTGTATCAAGAAGTAAAGTTGTTGTCATTTTTTCAGTTGGTTTTACAGTAAACATTTCTTCAGAAGAATCAGATATTTTCTTATAAATTATTAAGATAATCTTAAAGAATGTCAACTTTAATTTGGAAATTTGTAATATTTCATTAAATATATTTTCAATCTCTTCAACTTTAATATCGCTCTCAGCTTTATTATTGCTTTTGAATAACATATTAAAGTTTGATATTATACTTCCAGATTTAAATTTTATATTGTTTATTGAAGTTAAATAGTTTAGTCTTTTATTTTTGGAATTTTTCATAAAATCAGTAAATGATGATTGTAGTTCATCTGATAAATCATTATACTCCTTTGAACTGTTATCCTTTAAATTATCATTATAGGATTTATTCATATTAATTTCCATTGAGACAATTGCTACAAAATTTTGAAATTTATAGTCATATTATTTAAGATATTAATTTATAATTAAATCATAATACTTTCGTAATAGACCCACGATTCTGACGAATGATTATCGTTTGTTGAAGCTATTTGACATGACTAGTTTAAGCAATGGTTTAACTATTATTCTCATTATACTTTTAATCGTAAATCCAAGTATAATTCCAATAATAATGGATATTAAGAGAACAATTACAATTATTAAAATAATTATCATTAGTTTCCAGCGTTTCCAAATTGATTTTTCCTCCGCAGATTCTTTACGCTGAGCCTTTTCAACGGGATAAATAAGTGGATTTTCATTCGATTCCTTTGTTTCATTATTTCATTTGATTGACAAACGTAAATTGATTAATTGATTAATGAATTAATATACCTGTATGTCTAATTTTTTAATTACTTACAGGTTTTATGATAACATTTGGAGATGTTTTCCTATAAGAATCACTTATTTTAACCCTTTTCATTTCCAAATGTATGCTATTTTCTTCGATATCTTCTACAGCTTTTGTAGATAATAATTATCATCAATTATAATAACGCATTAAAAATAGATATAAATTATATAAATATTGAAAGAGAGAGAGAGAGAGACCCAAAAATTGACACGAATTCAAACAGAGCAAACTGATGAAATATTCAACATTTTGCGATACGAATATCATACCTGATAACTTAGCATCCAAATAATTGTTCATAAGTTTGATGATTTTCACCAACTGATTAAATTTAAAGGAGGTTTATAGGTTCATAGACCTTTAGCAAAAAATAGCTTTACAAGTAAATGGCCTACCTGGACCTATTGTATACATAAAAATTTTTGAATTTTGCTTTCAGAGAAAGGAGCTTACGGCCCACGGAATAGCATTGAGAAGTCTAGATATGTGACAGTACAATCAAGAATCAATATATCTTGCAAATTTTTCCCTAGAAATTTTAGGAAGTCTGTTCAAAAGCTTGTCTCGATATGTGTCTTTCTCTTCCTATTTTACCTCTCTCTTTCTCTCTGCATTTATACTAAAGACTATTAGTACTATTGTTTTTTTCTCCATAAGCATAATATAATATCCGTATATTATTAGTTTCCATCAATCAAAGAGATGAGAAAAGAAGAAATATTTCTTTCATCCTTAGAATATAGTATTCTTTCTATACATTCTCTATCTTGGTAACCGGAACATATATATATATATATATTGTACAAAAAATATAGTCCACTCCTAATAAAATCCTATTAAAGAATAGAAATCATGTTGATATATAAGATCTTGTTTATCCATTAATGTTAATAGTATGGAATAGTTAATGTAATTTTTTTCTTTAATAAGTAAAATAATATTTTGACCTAGATTTTTTCTGATTTGTTATTATTATACTTTCCCTTTTTTATATATAAATACTATACGCGTATCATGTTTATAAAAAGTTCGAGAGATAAGATGTAGCCGTTTCCTTAAAATAGGGCATTATTAGATTAGATATATACTATATATAGTTGTAGGTTTATAGTGTAAGAACATGAAATTAAATAGAATTTTGCTTATTTTTTTTAATGTAACGTAAGTATTACCTCTCTACAATAGTATTGTTTATTTTCCTTCAATAGGCCTAAACATTTGTTTAATCTTAAACTGACAAACATCTATGTATAGTAAATGTAAATATATAACATAAATATATACGTAGTATGTTGTCTTTTTTTATAGGTTATATAGATTTCCTAAAATATACTGGCCAAAAGGTTAACTTTGATAAATTGTTTGAGTATAGAAATATGGAAAGTGTAAAGACCGTTCAATTAAAGGAATTGAAAGAGAAAGGAACGATTTTTGAAAATAAAAAGAACGTTCTTTTTTTCCATATATCTCCGTTTGTTTGAATAAAAAGTCCTCAATTGATAGTGCTCAACGTTTTATTCCTTTCTATTTTCAGTACAAATATCAGTACGCTCAGATAACGGGACGAGGATTTTTAAAAGATCATCTGGATATTTGAAGAAAAAGAAAGAACGGAGGCTTAATAGATTAATATAGAGATTGTAGAGAACTTTGGTCATTTTTTTTCTACTATCAACTTATAAATTTCAAATTGGTACATAACTAGATGTCAGTACTGTAGATAATTGACATTATTCATCTATTGTGCATGGATTATTTGAGAAGTTATTTCAGGTTAATTGGATAGTTTATTTGTGATTATTATTCAGTTGATTAAATACGAAAGGAACATATACAATATATTAATATGTCAGGAGATATTACACAATTTAAAATTGACACACTGCAAGATATTTGTTTGATTTTTATCAAAAAATACTGGAAACTGATTTATAGAGAATATTTACAGTCGTGCGATTTTTTTCATTTTCCTATTACAATATCAGAGTACTTATTAAATATTTTGGATGATGAGGAGATTGGTATTACGGATGAAACTTTAAAGGTATTTAAACCAAATCGTACATCTCTCAATTTCATCAAAATGCACGGCAATAGAATTCAAGAAAAATCTTCCATACTTAATTTAGTAGGTCATAATATTACTTCGATCCAAATAGAATACTTTAGACATTTTCCTGCTAAAGAATGGCTTATTGGATTTAAATGTGAAAATATCACTCATTTAGGTATTTCCGGTTGTATAATTAATTCTAAGAATCTTGAAAGTGGAAAGTATACATCGGAGTATAGAGCTATTGACTTTTTAACTGAGTTTAAACATCTTCTGAGCTTAGATGTAAGCTTTACAAACTTCAGTGATACAAACTTAGCTTTCCTTGTGGAAAATTTACCTTATTTAAGGAAATTAAATTTAGCAAAAACTTTTATAACTGACCTTGAACCTCTGATTAAAATGGTTAATTTAAAAATTTTAAACTGTTCATTCAATCAATATTTCACAACATTATCAACTTTAAATCATCTAAAAACTATTGGAACACTTAACCATCTTGATGTATCTAGGGATGCTTTTAATACAAATAATCCTATAGATTATTTAAATAACTTCTTAGAAGGAACAATATGGCCAAATATGATTTATTTAAATATTAGTGGCAATTGGACTTGTCACGAAGTGATTCTTAAGTAAAATATCAATCTAATTAATAGAATTATTATACTAGTAATAACTTCATTTCTAGGAATTTCATTCAAAGACATCCAAAGTTAAAATTTTTAGGATTAACTCTAACCAACTGCGAAGATAAAATGGCGCAATTCAGCAATATCAATGTTTGTATTTTATACTAATAGATATAATAAAGATTAACCATAATGTATATTTATATATTATATAATCATTGATAATGTAAATAAAAACATTTAGATAACGGGAAGGCAGTGTTTAAAGAATATTTTGAATTGCTTAAAAAACAATTCATTGAATGTAACGGCAATTACTACATCTTTAAAAAGCCTCTGTACTACTATTCTTAGAATTGATGATGATGAATCGAATAATTCAATATATATTGATATTTTACAGGTAATTAATTAATTATTTAGATAATTAATTAAACTAATCTATTTATTTATTTTAAGACAATATGTGATATATTAGAAAATTGGAAATTCTATCACAATTATAAGAAAACTGAATCTTATCACCTAATTGTACATAGCCTATCAAGTATCGATGCTATTAGTTGTTATAAAAAACCAATAACGAAATTGCCAATTAGCTATCGAATAGTAAAGCTATGTTTCAAAATTCTTGAAAGTTTTAAGACTCATTCTCAAATTGTTAATCTATGTTTGGGAGCAATCTATAGGAATTACAGAGGATTAGGAGCGGTATATTTCGAATTTCTAATTGATCTATTCTAAAATTATATATTTCTTTTTTACCTATCAATCTCTTCCTTATACGATTTAAGGTTCAAAATGATTTTCATTCATTATCTATAATACTTGAATTGGGTTCCCAAATAAATGATGATTCGGTTCTTAGGCAACTTTACGTTGCTTGTATGACTTTTTTCTCGAAAATACGAATCCATACCGTAAGTTTTTCTTAGCATGTTTATTTATCTTTAATTAAATAATTAAATAATTAATTAATTTTTAGATAAAATTCACTAAAAGTCAAATTGAGCTAATTGAAAATTTTATTACATCTCTATTTCGTCATATAGAATATTATTTACAAAATTTTACACAACATGCTTCCTTTACCCTTTATTCCTGTTTGAGAATACTTACCTGTTTAGCGCATTCTTCGCTATCGCTTACATTCTTTTCCGAAGGACGATACGAAGTATTTAAAATGATATTGAAGGTAATAGATAAATATCTTTATATTGATAAGTACATTTATATGTAGTTATATATATATATATATTAATATATATGTATATATCTATATCTTTTATTATTACAGACAATTAATCCTCAGGATAAAAATGATGTTCTTGCACCAATTGAAGGACGATTGTTTACATTACTGGTATTCTATTATCTAAGCTTTGTTTACGTTTAAAATAACTTTATTTTTATTACCTATTTTAGTTCCTCTTCCTTATGACTCAGAATACAAAACAAATAGTAATGCAAGATCGAGATATTATCTCTCTTGTTTTAGAGAGAATTGAAAAGCATGAATTTCCAGTTTCACAAACTGCTGCAGCTAATCTAGCTCATATTCTTATTATTGGTTAGCTATTTTCATTAATTATTAATAACTAATTATTAAACTATTAAAAGAATCTGAATGTTCATCAACAATCTACTCTAAAGAAGATGTTAAGATCTTGCAAACTGCTCTGGTAATTATACATTAGTAGGACTAATTAATTTTAATATATTTTCAATATATTAATCATTCTAAAAGCTGGACAAGGTAAATATGTGGGGAGATGAAATTTATCCATCTTTTCATATTTACTCCTCTTTCAATGGACTCATACATTTAATTAAATCGAATATAATTGCTGTTAAAAAATGGGCTTTATGGACATTAAGAAATTTATTGCTAAACAATCGTTCGTAATGTGTTTTTAGTTTTTTATTTAATTTCACTTGACCTAGAATTATCTCTCTACAGGAAGGAAATATAGTACATTAGCTATTCGGGACGGTGTTCTGGAAGTCCTGGACGAAATTATTGTTCATCCGGATGAGCATAATTTAAATAGAATTGTAACAGATATTTTAAATATTCTTGTTAAAAAGCCTTAATAGTTTATTTTCTGTAAGATTCAATAAGCTTTATATCTGCCATTTTACTCTCCTACAATTTTAATGTATTCATAATAGAGAGAAATTGGTAGATAAACCGATCTTAAACAATACAATTTCATCTCAATAATTTTACTCAAATACTGTCCTTATTTCCAACATTTAAATTTGAAGAAAGTTTGTAAATCTGGATCGTCAACCGACTTTCCATTAACACCAGCGTAGACGTTCATTAACAATTGATTCTTGAGTTTATCCTCTAACTTCTTAACGTAATTTTCCAAAGCTCCTATTTACGAAGAAGATTTTGAAATTCAGTTTTTATTCATTAATATATTCAAATTTTAATTATTTACCTAATCCTAATACTTTTCCCATCCTTATAAGATTTTTTTCCAGTCTTTCATCATCGTACTTCTCTTCTTTCATTAAGATTCGAACTATTTCACCAAATATGAACGCATCGTCGAAACTTGGATTGTCACCAACTGGAAATTTGTTATAAATCTCCACCGCTCCCATTGGATCAGTTTTTACAAGCATCTCGCCACTTTCTATATATGCATCGTGGATGTCGGGAGCCATTTTAATAGTCTCATGATAATATTTCTTTGATTCCTCAATCTTGTCTGATTTCCTTGACAAGGCTCTAGCTAAACCCAATCTTGGCAAGTACGATTTGGGATTGACTCTATCATCTTCAACTTTATCTTCTTTCTTTGGGATATTTGTACTCTTTTCTTCAGGAGCCTTCTTCTCCGTTGGCTCGCATGAATGTCTTCTTACTTCTGAAGCTTTTGCAGTGGCTTTTGCAGGTGGTACCTAATAAAATTACACTATTACAACAAAAGACTACAAATATAATGCTTTTGTCACTTTGGATGTGGGTGCCGCTGGCTTGTTTACTGTTCCTCGTCCTACTGGAGCTCCTCTCCCTCTTGTTCCTCTATTAGCTGCAGCACCCCCTTTAATACAAGCAAATTAAAAATGTCACCAAACAATGCTACTTTCTACAAACTTGCAACAGTCCCTCTTCCTGATACAGCAGCTCCACGACTTGCTCCACGAGCAGTGCCTCTTGAAGCCGGAGGTTGGGTCTTACTGGCTGGGGTGGCTGGTTCAGTTGCTTTGTCTGGCCTCTTTTCGGTTGTATATGATTTAAACCATTCTTGACCTATTATTAATCCAAAAGTAAAGATTCGTATAAATCATTAAATAATTTAGTACCAGATATATCAGCTGGAGCAGGTCCGCTAACTGATTTATCTTCTAGATTTATACTAGATTTAAATGATAATATAGCATCTTGGAGGGAAGAGTCTTTGTTATTTTCTTCGTAATTACGATATTGAGCACTTCCCAGCAAATATAAGGAATGCGCATCACAAGGTTGAATGTATACCAATTTCTCTATTGTCTATAAAAAATAAATAGAATGAAAAGGAATTTTGAAAACGAAAACTTTATACTTTTAGTTGAACTGCAAGAAGATTGGTTGTCGAAGTGATTGAGCATTGACTTATTAAAGAACTCAATCTCCTACAACGTTCAGCAATAAGGGAATTGTCCTTATTTTCTGACGATAACAATATATCCAAGAGGTTCGAATGGGCATCGATGATGACCCATTCTAGTTGTTGATAGGAATCTCCCTTTGAAGTAACTGGCAACGCTTGAGAAGCAAGTAAAGCAGCTGCATGAAATATGTCCTCAGCAGAAGGGCACTCTTTGATAGGTTCCTCTTTAAGTAATCTGCCAAGTTGAATAAAACTTCTTAGCAGAAATCCATTTGACGCTCTCGCCCAATTTTCAGCTTGTAATTTGTTTCTGCTTTCACTGATTAATAATAAAACTATAAAAATTGTGCTTATTTCAACAGATCTTTATATACCTAATACTGCTATTTAATGCTTCGTCCGTTAACTGAGTTTGTAAACTCTCTAAACATTCCACTAAGTATGCTATAGCTTCTTTTTTACGATCCCCTGGTCCTTTATCTCGAAGAACAAGGGCAGCTCCTAAGTAGTATCTATAGATATCATAAATGTGTTTTACCGAAGAATTTCAATCTAAAAAATTATTAACCTCGCAACATCCAACTTTGCATTAAACACTAAAGCAACTTCAAACCTATTTATGGCTTCTTCATAGTTTCCTCTTATAGAAAGCATTCTAGCTAAGTGGAAATGTGTTGAGGATTTTCCGTCATCTATGGATAATGCGTCTAGATATTTAACGTATGCTTGTCCAAGAAATGACATTTCATCTTCTACTTTTTGTGCTAAGCGACCTTCTTTTGTTCCTTGTTTACTCTTCCATGCATATAATATTTGAACATGATCAGCCTTAGGTCGTTGTCCACTGTCAACTAGTTGCTTATATTCAGCATCGATAGCTTTCAATTTTTCGGATAAAGGTGCGCTTTTTGAAACGCCTTTCAATTCACAAATAGCATCGCACTCTTCTTCTTTTGAACTTTCTCTAGCTTCGAAATTTGCACCAGGTTCTTCGGCCTTTTTTGTATCCTTACTTAATCCAAGACTATCCTCTACAAAGTATCTCTCTTCTAATAGCATAGCTAAATTCAAATGAAGAGAGCCATCTTTTGGTTTGTGTTGTATAGCTGTTGCATAGCAATAGATAGAATGATCTAAATAATCTAAAGGAGATTCACCAGAGATGAATGTCGGAGTTTTATCTATTAAAAAGGTTCATTAGGAGATTTTAAGTTATTCATAATTTAAAATTCTCTACCTATCAAAGACAAGGAATTAAAATAGCTTTTACGGCTTTTTTCAGCCATTTGTAGTAATTTAGAAGAATCTGTTTCATCATAAATCTGCTGTAAAGATTTCTCCCAGCTCTTTTCAACGATTTTATGTGATAGAGGGCATTTATCATTAAACTTTCTCTGAGGAGCCTATTTACAAATTCAATATGATTATTGATTGAAAAACTAATTATCAAGACAAAAACCGAACCTTAATTGAGATTTTACCGCAAAATTCTTTTCCCTTATTCAATAGCTGAGATAATTTCATTTCTTCCGTATAGGTTCCATCACTCAAGGGAATCTTTGCAATGGAATCAGTCAATTTTGCTTCAATTTCTTCGTCTTCTATTCTCCAATCCAATGGCAGAGGTTGTTCATTCAAAGGGTCAACTTTATTGGTCTTTGTTAATTGATTTATAATAGGAGCCGAATAGGTATGCTTTGGTTTCGAATTTTTTATAGTAATAGGGCAATATAGTGCCGAAAGGGACAGAGGATCTTCAAATTTCCAATTTAAACCTTTATCAACAAATATAATATGCCTGGGTAATTGTTTTCTAGTAACCAGTACTTTGTAATTCTGTTTAATTGATGATTTTTTATTATAAATAAGGAAAAACATTCCTTATAACAATACAAAAATACCGACTTCCTTATTAGAGCCGTCGCTGGATGTTACCTCCACCATTATTTTTGTTTGACCAACATTCAAAGGAATTGGTTTATCTTGTTCGCTATCGTTTACAGATATCTTCATATTTTTATCATCAACACTAGCTGAAATTTTAATCTCTTCCTTGTCGCATGACACATAACCTACGTGTAAGTTTTGTTAATAAATTGAAAAACGAATTGCAATCTTTAATTACATACAATAATATTCTTTAACATCTGGAGAGAAGGACGGATCAAATTGACCGGTTGAACATTTCAAATCGGCCAGGGAAGCGTCCCTGGCTGATAATCTTTTCACTTTGACATTATAATATCTAACAGTCTTGCCATCTTCTGCTGTTACTTCAATTTTTATCTCATTGATCTTTCCCTCTACCAAATTTACTGATCTTTCACCGTTATTTTTCTGCAGAATAATATTAAGGAAAATTATGCTATTAGATACCGCTGCAGTAGGAAAGAGTCCCTAGTAACCAAACGTAAAACTTACATAAACGCACCAGGAAGCACCGCTATCTCTTGCAAATCCATCAAAAGTTATCTTATCTACTTTACTCGGTACCGTAACCGAATAATCAAGTTGATCAACACCAAATTTTGGGTTTAATTTTCCAGGTTTTACACTTAATTTCTCCAAACTGCAGTCATTCATTTTTGTCTGCGGTCTGACTATTTTGGCGGGAAATGCGAATATTTTAACAGAATTTCAGCAACGAAGAGCAAATAACTCATTCGTTTTGGTCAAATTCATTTTCAGACGCATATACAATCCCTGTCAGAAGAAAGCTAATTAATTACATAGGCTAAAACTTAAAATGTAAAAATTATGTTTTAATATTTCGACAAAAGCTGTAAACATTTCCATTTGCATTTTTAACGTAATATATATTATTATGTCCAAGAGTAGAAAGTTAATTTCAATATCCAACGGAGTGAACATTGATAGTGCAAAAAGTACTTTTAACAAGAATTGTAGGCTTATTCTTAGATGGCGGTGGATCATTACTCCGCAAATACTGCACACGTTATAAAATCGATAGGAAATTGATTGAAACTGGAATCGTTGCTTAAATTTATTCAACTGTTCGTAGAAGATATAAATGCAAATTTCATATCTCAAAAAAATTGAATTTATATACAAAAATAACCGTTAACTATAAATTAGTTTATTGCATTTCCAAAGCATAAAAAGTATGGAAAAGAAACGATAATGTTTAATCAAGCTAATATTAGTCTCAAATTGTTCAATTTTACAGTAACTTCATTTAAAAAAAAACTCTTTCTTAAACTCCAGTGTGAAGGGAGAGTAGATAAATATATAGAAGAAATATCGGATAGAGTAACATAGTTCGTTTATGAGATAAGCTTTCTTCACATAATAGAGATCCTGCGCTATATGTACACCATGCAACTCCCAAAATCTGTTTTCATTCAGGTATAGTTTCTATAAAATTTCGCAACATTTTCTACTAACCTTAAACAGAAATCCAATAAAGACCATTTGAGAGAAAAAGGGTAAAACTAATCCAATTAAGACTAATGGTAGTAAAGAGTATCCAATAACACCAAGACATTGTGAATAAGTAACCTATAAAATCAAAAAATAGTAATTTATTAAAATTTTATAAAACCTTTTTAAAAAATTAACTGACATTAGCTCCAAGAACTCGGGCTAGTAGGAATATTAAAACTGATCCAAACAACCAAATAGTAATAATCCAAGAAACAACCTTTATATAAAATATAACCATGTAGAAAAATTTTTGCTTCGTTTTACAAAAGTACTACTATTTACCCGAAATTGTCCGTATAATGATACCAGAGCATAAATGAGAACTACAACTAAAGGGCCCCAAAAATCGGGGCTATCACGAACAATTTCTGTATTGTAACCTAACTTTGGCCAAGGTAGCAATACGCAGCGTAGTTTATAAAATATGTCCTTGGGATTAATATCTAATTCTTCCCTAGAAAGTTAATAGTAAAAAAATCCAAAGATAGTCAAGATGCAAACTAAATTATATAATAAATACATACAAAAGTGGCACTTGGTGCTCCTCATCAGCATCATCTACTTCAAGAAGCCAACCAAAACCTTTCGTTTCAAGAAAGGATGATGCAGACGACCTGCTTTTCGTATTTGAAGTATTTGGATTCATATTTCCAAAATAGCCTGAATTGATAAAAATTACAGAGTTAAACTTTAGTTCAAGCGATACAAGAAGACATAGTTGAGGGGACACAATTAGTTTATACCTATAGACTCTGTCATTTTATAATTACCTTGGTTTTCTATTGTGCTTGACGTGGTAGTAGAATTTGAATAGGTTGCTTCAACAAACTGAAATTCCTTATCATTAGGAACATATGCGCTTGGACTTTGAATAGGGTTATTGCTTCTATATTGCTGGTTGTCATCAGATGAAAATTGTCTGTTATCTGGAGTTTGATAATCCAAATTTACTGAAACTGGTTTATCGCTTGCCATGATGGTGTAATATCGCCCAAAGGAAGTTTCTCTCACTTTAATCCTTTTATTGAATTCTGAAAGTTTTCGAATAAATGAAATACCAACAAGTTATATTTTAAAGACTGGGTACATAGTATCTGTCTAAATAAATGATAATATTATTATAGAATCTGTAAAATACGAAATTACTTTTACGCAACTTCCGGTTCGTCAGCAAGTTGCTCAAAAATAATGAAATCGTCCGCTTAACAGCAGATTTATGTGAAAAAAAATCATTTTATTATTCGGTAATCATATAGACCTTGAAAATGGATGACGGAAGTATTCTCACAACTCTGAAAATACTTATTATCGGTGAAAGTGGGGTGGGAAAATCAAGGTTATTGCTAACTAACACGTTTACTTTTTGCTTTCTAAATTTATTTAATTATCGCTTTCAACAGTCTTCTATTACGATTTACTGAAGATACTTTTGATCCTGAACAAGCAGCAACAATTGGTGTCGATTTCAAAGTGAAGACAATATCTATTGATGGCAACAGAGCCAAATTAGCTATTTGGGACACTGCTGGTAAATATTTTCGAACGTCTAAATGAAAAGTGTAGGCGAACAAAGAAAGCAATCATTACCAGTTTATTTAAAATATTTAACTTTCTCTCTGTTTGATTGCCTGATTATTAACATTTAATGCGTTTTGAAGAATATTTATATACTTTTGGTCTAATTTCAGGTCAAGAACGTTTCAGAACGTTAACTCCAAGTTATTATCGAGGAGCACAGGGCGTTATTCTCGTCTACGATGTCTCTAATCGTGCTTCCTTCGACCGTCTTGAAGCTTGGTTATCAGAGCTTGAAACTTTCTCCACAAAGCATGATATTGTTAAAATGCTTGTTGGTAATAAAGTTGATCATCCTCAAAAGCTTGTCAGCAGAGATGAGGGTTTAAAGTTTGCCAGAAAACATCATATGCTTTTCATTGAATCAAGTGCTAAAACCAAGGAGGGTGTTCAATGCGCATTTGAAGAATTAGTAGAAAAAGTTTGTTTCATTATAATTGATATCAAAATTAGGTTAATTTATTAAAAATTCTCTCACAACATAGATCCTTCAAACGCCTGGTCTATGGGAAGCTCAAGGACAAGGATTAAATCTCGCTTCTAATAATTCACCTGCATCATCTAATTGTTACTGTTCAACTTTATAAAAATTTTGCCTTGAAAAATATATTTGTCCATATGATTATTCTACAAAGAGAAGCTTTTTATATCTATTTCCAGAGATTATTATATTATAATTATTAAAAAAAGCGATCAATCTAACTGATGACCAATGAGATTTCCTCCAAAGAGTAGGCCTATAGTCCTGCAATTGTGAAATATCTGCCTATCTTGTGGACGACTGTTACAGTATCTTTATTAAGATCCATAAAATATATAAAAATTGCAAAAACTATTACTTAATTTATGAATTTTCACTATTTTACAATAGCTTTTAACTATTAGTATAGTATTTTTATTTTTTGATTTAGATATTTATAACTGCTAAAACTAACTAAACTTTCAATTAAATACATCTAACTGAATTCTAACAAAGCAAAGAGAAAATTTAACCGAAAAGTCTTGTAAACATATTTTCAGTATTTGTAATGTAATAAACTTAAAAAATTTCATTATAGGTTACTCCTAAAATCTTAAAATAATATAAACAAAAACGTTGTTATTATTTATAAGAACTACTCTGATAAATCAGAAACGTCACTCATTTCTTGCCTCTTTTTTATTTTTTCTTGTCTACTTTGTAAAGTTCCGGCCTGTTAAAAAGAAATATAAAATTGGATTACATTGGAAAGTTATACTAAATCTAAAGCAGAAAAAACTTACAGGCCATGGCAGAGGTAATGATCGTTCTAAACACAATTCTTCTAATTGTTGAAGTGGTTGAACCCAAATCTTTTCATCTTCTATACCCAAATTTCTTGCTTCCTTCACGTAACTAACTGCTTTTTCCACTTCTCCTTCGTCACAGCTCAATTTGATGAGCTGCCCAAATATTGGAGCAGTTTTGTTTGCTCCATACGGTACTAATAGATCTTTCAATTTCAGTAGAACATCTTCTCGTCCATTTTCTCTAGCATTTGTGATAGTTGACAAATATCTGATGTTTTTTTGAAGAAGAGGCATATCCTTTAAAGAATAATTAAATATATTAATACAAACAAATATAGTTGATGAGTAAAGAATATTTTACCTCCAACAATTTTTTCGCTTTATCCAAATTATCAGTTGCAACAAAATAGTTAAATAATTGATTTAATACTTGTGCAATTCTTGCGCCTCCTCCTTGATAATACTTCATAATTAGACTTTCAACTATGAGATTTGTAATTAACGTACATTTAGTACTGCTGTGTTTCTTTCAAATGTATATTTTATTGTACAAAAAATACCTTTCTCCATGAGACCCGGAGACTTTTCATCCATCAAACAGAAAGCATGGGTACTTGTGAACTTTGGTAAATTCGATAAGTCATCTTCCATAAGTTTTATAACATCTTCAGCATTTCCCCTAAAAATTTCACAAGAAAGTTTGTAAAATCGTAATTAGCAATCGATTTAGTTTCAAAACCTAGCAATTGCTGCCGTCGTATATCTCTTCTCGACAAAATTTTTCATACGTCCTTGAAGAAATTCAGAATCTAATAATTCAACTAAAACATCATCTCTTCCTTCTTCACTTAACTTAAATACAGCGTCTTTGAAGGCTTTAATATTAATAAAACAGAATTAACTTTTACATAATGCGTGTAAATGATATTTCTTACAAGGTGCTTTATATTTCAACAAAGCTAGTAAAGCCTTTATAATAAAATTTGTTGACAATTTTCTCTCCCGACATAAATCAAAGAAAGCAGGCATATTATTCTCCCTTAAATAGCTGACAGCAGATTGTTCCTGTTCGTCGGATGTTTTAATATTCTAATGAATGAAAAAATGAATATGTCATATACTGTATAAAAGTTTGCTCTTTTTTATACCAAATCTTCTGTCTTTTTGTTTTTTGGCTTGTCCTTACCACTCATTAATTGTGGAACAGAAAATGGAACTTTTTCTCCTCTACCTTCAAGAACATTGGCTAGATATCTTAATGTTCTGGGTCTGGGCAAAACATTTTCTTCCTCGTACAAAGAATAAACATCTAAGAGTTCTTGACTATTATCTTTATCTAAAGCTTTAGTTTTAAAAATGAAATAGCGAGATTAGCATATAAAAAAAGAAACAGACTACAAAACTTACCTAGAGCTCTTATATACTCAAAGAGAATTTCGTCTCTGTCAACGTTAAACATATTTTTTGTACATTGGCACAAAATTCTAAGTTCTTCAATTTTTCTTTCTGAGGACAACATTTCCGCTTCACGTTTTATTAGTCCTCTATTTGCGGTAATTCCCTTTACCTTCAAAATGAAATTTTAGATTAGAAAAACAACTGTTTTACAATATAACTGTTTCCATATTCATACCTGAAAAACTTTTGTTGCTTCCACAGATTTATTCAATCGAACCAGAGTGAAGCCCAAATGATGAAGGGTTTCTGAAAGGCCCATAGACTTTGATATTAAAGAAACAACAGTTTCCAAACTCTCGAGGTCTTGTTCTTTCAATATAAATTTGAAAACATCAACGAATAATGGTGTTCTATTATATTTATCAATACAAAACTCTAATATTTTTATTGTGTCTGCTACATTTTCTCTAAAAACAAACAATATAGGATAATTATAAATATGCCAACGTGAAATCGATATAGAGTATTTTTCAACTAACCTTTTCAAAACATTTCTTACAAGCTGTTTTAGAATAGAATAAGTTCCCTCTTTTACATACCCATTCTCAAATACAGTTTCAACAAACTGTGTCTGGTCTTCCAATGAGCATTCAGAGCAAGACTCTAATATCTTTTCTATACTTTCAGCAAATTGGAATTCATAATTTTGTCCCTTTAGGTATGATCCATTTTGATTGGCATAAACTCTCAATTCATTTATAATAGCTAAATATTAATATAAGTAAGAAATAACATCTATATATGTTTTCCATTTGAAATCAAGATGGTTGAAAACTAACCTGTGAGATCGCCTCGTTTTGCTAAAGCATTACAAAGTGAGAATAAAACGCCTATATAAGATGAATACTGAGGATTCTTTCTTTTTCTGTTATTGAAATTTTAATAGATTATCAGAAGGTGACTGTTGAAGATTCTTAAATATTTACAGTTCATCCAAATATAACTTGGCATCATCAGGGTTATTATTGAATTTTGCTTCCATAAAAGCCAGTTGTCTGAGAAGTTCTGGGCTGTAATCAAAGTCTAAACTGTCCAATTTCTGTTTTAATTCTTTCGCCTTTTCTACCTCCTGTCAAGTGTAATATATTAATACAAAAACATCAAAATTTTTAATTTTAAACTTACTCCAGCAGAACAATATTTCGATAGAAGCCATTTTTCGATTTGCCTAGTAGGTTGATTTGATTTCAAACGATCTTCATAAAGTTTTTCTAAATTGGCTACATTCATTTGCATTAGTTCCTAAAAAAAAACAGATTGTCTTTTTTAATGAAAGAAATTTTATAAATAATTCTGTCTCTTTACATTAACTGGCAGTTGTAAGCTCTTTGATTCTCCTTTTCCGATCCAAAGATCATCCAATTTCTAATTTGAAAAAAGTAAGTAACTGAATATTAGACAATTGAGAAACCAATTAAAGACATACTGTCATCAAGGATTTCTCATCAATCAACTCTAAGGCTTGTTCAATTCTTCTTTTGTATGTGTTATTTAACTTGATATTCTAATAGAAATTAAACTGATGTTCAAAATGTAGTCACTTTTAACACAATGAAACTTACATTAGATTGAAAATTTGCTATAGCATTTTCAAAAAATTCTTTATTTTGTTCTGTTCGCCTAAATCTTAACAATGTATTTAGTACATCTGCAGAAAATTCTCCCCAGTTTCCATCCTTTTTTGTTATTTCTTGTAACATCTATAACAAACAAAAATGTGATAACTACTACTTTAGTGTAGGCATTTATTATCCTTACTTCAATAATTTTCTCAAGTTCAAGATTTTGATTTCTATACCCAACAGAAAAATTGCTTTTCAACCATTGTATGTTGGTGACGAATTGTCCTGATTTTATGATTTCGATAACTTTATCAATATTTCCATTACTCAAATATGTTAGAAGACTGCATCCGTCAGCTATTTTAGGATCGACGCCGAATTTCTTTTAAATATATTTATAATGAATTGCCTTTACGTTGTTTTAAATGTGAAAAATTAACTCGCACCTTTAAATTTTCATTGATAACATCAATATTCATATTAAGACGCTTTAGACTTTTTACACCATGACTATATATAGTTTTAAATCCTTCAAAACTGTTCAGTGATGATGAACTAATAATGTCGCAAAGTCTATAAATACCTACAAAATGTAACAATAATAGTTTATGTAATTTTTAAAATTTAATTTTGTTACCATCAACATCTTTTGTTTTTTCGAATCTTTCAAAGTGAGGCCAAAAAACCGGAGGAGCAAAAGTAGAATCAGACTTAAAGTAAAAACAAAATAGAATTACATATTCCGTTCGTAGATATAAAACTTACTCCTCTCTCAGCTGCACTCTTTATTTCATCAATAAGAGCTTTAGCGTAATCTACATGTTTGAATTAGTTATTAATATACTGTATATAGTTATACTTAAACTTGTCAACGAACCTGCACTACAAAACTTCATTGCCCAAAAGCCTAAAAGATGAAAGCTTTTATCTATAGTGTTGCTTTCTTTTAATTGATTGAAAAATTTCATAACTTTCTTAACAGGTCTTTCACTAATAACCATCGCTCGCAAGAGATTAATACTTCCCACAGCATTGTCATTATTCCCTAGCTCCGGTCGTTGCAAACGTTCATGTAGTTTGAAAGCTTCCTCGTCGAACCCGCTGGAGATTAATCTAAATACAGTATTGATAATGTCGTGATTACTTCCAAAATTTTTTGGCAAACAATCCATCATCTGTTTTGAAAAGCGTTTACATTATGGTATTTTAAATAATAATTAAAAACAGATAAAAATAACCTCCATCATATATTCGCTATGACCATGCGAAACTAAAACAAAGCTGGCTTCACAAATATGTCGAGGAAGTAGAATAACATCTTCTTTTTCGATATTTACCAACAATTGTCTAATAGATTCCATATTACCATGTTCAGCATAGCACAGTAACATGTTCTTAAATGTATCAGCAGATGGCTTTATTTTTGCTTCTTTCATTTTTTCTATAACAGCTAATGCTCCAGCTTCATCGTTTGCTTTCATATGACCCATTATGAAGCTGTTGAAGATAGTTTCATTCAGAGACATTTGTTCGGCTTTCATTTGCTCCAAAATTGTACTTGCTCCCTCTAAATTTCCTTCTTTGCAATAAACATGAATTAATAATTGGTATGTCATTTTATTTGGTTTTAAATCAGCTTTTGCGATTTCTTGTAAGAATTCAGTGGGTGAACAAATTTCACCGTTTTCGAGTTTAACCCTAAGTAAGGCATTATGGTGATTCGTTGAAGGTTTTAATCCAAGTTTAGCAAATTGTTCCCATATTTCATGAAAAAGTTTCATTCTTTTCTCTGGGGTGACTTTAACAAGATGATTACCACAACCTCGGAGAAGTATCAAGCTCTGTTGTTCAGAGACCTTACCTAAATATAAAAAATAACTATCAATTATAGGTGATTGCGTCTAATTATTATTTATAGTAAAAAATTTTTAATGGAAATTAACAAGACTTATACTATGACATACATATATTTGTACATTAATTCTAGTAATTTAACTGAAATAAAACTTTATTACAATTCAACAGAATATATCTTAATTTTAAAAATATGGAATTAATACCTTCTTTCATTATTTTTTCCATGATATCAGTTATATTTTCTATGTCTAATCTGCCCCAGCGTCTAACTTGATTGTCAAGAGCGTACAGTTTTTGATCTATAGTTTCTGGTACACTCGTATTACGCTGTTGCCTTCTTAAATCGGCTGTCTTTTGAGATGTCGAAGCATATCTTGCAAAACTATTGAAAAACATTGAAAATGTAATATAAGAACTTAACGAAATTGGAAAAGAACATAGTTTCGAAACACGTGTATAAGGTATTGAAGAAATAACTACAAACTTGCAATCAATATGTAGGTTAGATTTAAGTGAAAAATCATTTCCTCTTCTACTTGAGTTTATTGCAGATAATCTTAAAGGGAATCGCCGAATAACCGGCATGCGCCAGAGTTTCATGAAGGTCGCCATTTTGAAATGGAAGTACATAGGAGCACGTTTAGAAAAAATAAATACATCATACAAGTGAATATTAATTTTTAAGATGCCAACTATTAAAAAAAGAAAAAAATTTAAAAGAAACTTTTCGAACTTTTAAAAGATTTCTGTTGTATGAAAAGTTTTGAAAAAACGTTTTGCCAAGTGACTAGACAGGACGATAAACGAGGGAAAGCGCGAAAGCGAAATGTTTTGTGTTTCAGTTAATGAAAATTAACGTTAACGTTGATTTTGTTTACAATTTATTAGCGTGAAGAGTTTTAACATATATTTACCGACATGGGTATCTCGGGACTTTTACCGTTTTTGAAGAAATCTTCAAAACCGTGTAATATTTTAGCTTTTAAAGGACAAACTGTTGCAGTAGATTCATACTGTTGGTTGCACAAAGGCGCTTTCGCATGTGCAGATAAACTTGCTCTTGGCGAACACACAGATATGTTAGAATTAATTTTAAATGCTGTTGTATAGAATAAAATTATGCATTGTCTTTGACACAGGTTCGTACAATATTGCATGAAGTATGTAAACAAACTTCTATCGCTAGGCATTAAACCGATTATGGTTTTTGACGGTTTCAATTTACCGTCTAAAAAAGAGACTGAACTGCAGAGAAAAAAGTAAGTTAATAATGAATTTATTTTTAATATCCTCCCCCGATGAAAAATTATGATAATTTACTTATATAAAACTTCTAAACATTTTTCCAAATAGTAGAAAAATATATTAACTTGATCTCTTAAAGCTAATTAAAGGTTGGCCTTTAAAAAGAAATGAAATTTTATTTCCGAGTTAATTATTAGAAGGCGTTTAATGATGCGAAAAAATACAAGTTAAATAACTAAAGAAGTAAATTATTTGCTGTAGGCTATTAATTTTGATGTTATATCCTTTAAAAGGTATAGAGAATTTACTAAATTTAGCATCTAATGGAGCATAAACAAGACAATAAACAATTCTCTTGATTTACTTCACCTTTTATATTCAGTATTATTCTACTTTTTTATAATTGTGAATATAAAACACTTAGGTCTGTTAGTATGCAATATATTTACAGTTCTTTTCGAAGAAAAGGACAAGTTCTGTAATGCTGCAAGGAGTAAATCTTAGAGAAATGGATATTTATCCTTCAATGGCATTGTTATAAAAACAGCTTACTTGCCAGCTACTAATTTTGCATTTGCGCAATTAACAATAGCATGCACGAAACCATTCAATTGATTTTCCATGGAATTCTTCTTATATTATAGGTCTATTATATTAAACTTATATTCTATAATTAGACGTATAGCCTACTTATGGAAGAATGCATCCAGACATCTACAAACTGTCCTCTATTGAAATAACTGTTTGGTATTTATTTTTCAGTAAACGAAAACAGTATAAAGACAAAGCAGCATCCCTTATAAGAGATGGAAAACATAAAGAGGCTAGGGAATGTTTGCAAAGATGTACCGAGGTTACTCCCGAAATGGCTTTTCAATTAATTCAAACATGCAGGGATGCTGGTGTTGATTGCATTGTTGCTCCCTACGAAGCAGACGCTCAATTAGCTTATTTGAATAAAATTGGTGTAGCTCAAGTAATAATAACAGAGGATTCTGATTTAGTTTTATTTGGTTGTGAGAAAGTATGAAAATATTATTAGATTATTAACATACAATTAGTTTTAATAGTTTATTAACTTATTCCATAGATAATGTTTAAAATGGATTTAAATGGCAATGGCGTTATAATAGAAAAATCTCGACTAAATGAATCAATCGGGTTAAATTCAGCATGGTATACTTTTGACAAATTCCGTTATCTTTGTATCTTATCCGGATGCGACTATCTTGCATCTCTACCTGGAATTGGATTAGCCAAGGCAAATAAAGTATTCCAATTAACAAGACAAACCGATATAAGAATTGTTCTCAGGAAACTTCCGTTAACTTTAAAAATGTCTTCTCTTAGTGTAACTGAAGAATATATAAGTGGTTTTTTAAAGGCAGACAACACATTTTTATACCAAATAGTATTCGATCCCTTAACTAGGAAATTGAGACGGTTGAATGACGTACCGGAACATCTTCAGGACGAAGATTTGAGCTATGCAGGATCGTAAGTTGTTAATGGCTTAATCAAATTTAAAAAAAGGAATTTTTTCTCCTATATGTTTTTCTTTAAAGATTTATGGAAGAAAAAAAAGCACTTCAAGTTGCTTTAGGGAATATTAACGTTAATAATAATGAGATTATGGATGTATACGATCCAAGAAAATTCAAAGTTTGTTTTAAATAATAAATATGCTACTTTTCTTATACGTAGCAAAAAAAAGGGCCATTTTTTTCACACTTTTATAAATGAAATATCTTTTTAGCCTAAATTTAAGACGCCTTTTACGAGCATTTGGCATCAGGATTACAAATTACCTCGACAAAAGAATGAAGGTAATGAAATCACGGATAAAACAGAACGAAATTGCATGAAAACAAAACGAATAAGCGTTAAAATCAATGGTTTAAAGAGATCATTATCAGGTTTATTTAACAAGAAATTCTAATTAGTTACTATCTATGCATATTTATATTATTTCTATAAAATAGAGGATGAAAAAAAATTTTCTGATAGTGAAATTAAATTGGAATCTTACCTAAATCCTAAAAAGAGTAGAAAAGCTGAATCATTTACTGACAGCGAAAAAGAGAATGAAACTGAAAAAGTGAACGTATTCGATTTAAATTGTTCAAAATCATCTCAGAATCGAAATAGCGTGCTGGATAATAAAGATAGTGAAAAGATAACTGTTATAATGGACAGTCCATTAAAGTCACCCCCGAGGAATATGTTTGCTAAGAAGATCAATTCACCGAATGAATCGTTTAAGAGTAGATTTTTTCAATCTCTACCTAATTCGAAGGAAATAAAGGATCAAAACGAAGACAAGGATTCAGTAAGCTCAAAATTTGGTAGGCCTTCTATCAACTTAATAACTTCATCAAAAGCCAAAAAGGCCTTTAAGCCTGTTTTACCCCTGCGACCCCGGACGGAATTGGAAAAGAAAAAGGAAGAATCCCCAAATAAAGATGTTTTGGATAAAAGCGAATCTAAGACATCCGATACAGACGACTTGGTCAATTCTTCTTTTAATTCTCACGAAGATACGGATAAAAGAGACGTCAAGGAATGCGAAAAAATTGCAGTTGTTGAGGTGAGTAACCGAACTACTGCATTAAACACTTTATTCACTAATTAGGAGCTAGCAGCTATGCTGACAAATTATCCAATGCTAAGAAACTCAACTTTAAAGAGCTGTATTCAACACACATTTTTCTTTCCTCTTTCAGCCTCCCGAAAAGAAATATTTACAGAAGGCGATCTCGAAAACGGACACCCTTAGAAGTTCTAAAAGTCTACCAGCATTAGATAGACAAAAAGACATTTTAGCGTATCTGGACCAATATATGAAGTAAGTAATAAATTATTACTAATTCTTAATAATATCTTCCATATTTAATGAAAGAAAACATATCTTTGACGTTTAATTAAAAGTAATTTTTATATTACTAATATAAATTTTTTTTAAAGGAGTCCAGTGGATAAGATGAAGCCCCTGAAAAGATAATATATTTAATTAAACTATAATTATTAAATGTTTAATATATCTTTTCTCATTCTCTATTGATGAAATGCTAATAAACATATTATTTTAATAATTATATGGATGAAATATATAGTGTATTTAAGCCATTTATTCTTTTCTTACTTCCTCAATATGTTCTATTAATTTTAAAATAAACTGCCTGGCATGGCTCCAGAAGGAGAATAACAAGCTGAGTTTTTCCCATCATACTGAGAGAATAATGGATGTACTGGGAAAATTACACGAGAGCAAGGAAAATTTTACTGATACATTTAATTACATAAATTTTACCATTATAGACTGTTTTTTCTGTGTAAATAGCATATTTGTTGTTTTTCTCAGCATCTAGTTTAAGAGTTTACATTAAGCAATTAAGGAATAGAGCGTATAAAACAATTTAACATACGGAAACGGATGTTGACATCCTAGATATTCGATTTATTCCATTTCAATGTTTGTTGGTGAACTACAAATAGTATTCAGGGTATTTTATAGATGTGCAGTTTATCAAATAAATACATACACATCTGAAACTTTATTTGCCTAACATTCTTAAACGACCCCTGTCGTGATTAGTTAGAATTGCAACTTTCAAAGACTTATCCACTCATCTATTCACGTGCAAAGTTAATTGAGTATTTATTTCATATCATATTTCTATAGCAATATCACTAAATTGTTACAAGTGCATTTGACAATTAGAATTATAAATTAAGCTAATTAATTTAATTAATTTATATATTGTATATAAAGAGAAATTCGGCATTTAACAACTATACTTCACTACTTTGTATACTTTAACAGTAAAACTATTTTTTATTCTCATCTTTACATAATTCAATTCTGGAACAGCGTCATCAATATTCATACATACATATATACATTATGCTTGACTGTATATATACAATAAGCAATAGCAATATAGAGGATTTATTGATATATTTTATATTTTATTGACTATCAGAATATACCTTTATGTTCTCTTCCATCCCATTCTGTCTTTGTTTCGTACCTTTAGGTAATTCTACCAAAGAAAGTGTTCTATGATTTCGAAGCCTTTACATATTCACGAAATACTAACCGTTACCATTGATCTTTAGTAAGACTCAAACTAATCTAAATTAGTTTCCACTAAGCAAAGGAAATTCAGTTGATGGATGCACTTTCTTTCTCCCCCTCTCCCTCCCTCGTCTTTTTTATATTTACCTATACACTCTATATGTATATACATATTTAACATATTTATAACTATTACATTTATTGACAGATCGAAAGGACTGTGGTACAGGCTCCTCAAGCAATATAATTGTATTCTTGTAAAGCTAACACAGGACTTAGTAATTTTATAATACGGAAAGAAGGACACTTTAGCTGAAGGTCGGTAATATTCCAAGAATACTACTGAAATATAATAACAAAGGACTTTATACAGCAATTGTGCATTTCAGGTAAGATATATTCAATTTTAGTTATTATAAGAATATTTATATACTGTACATATATACCAGCATTGTACAATATTGCATACAATGATACGTTACTTCATTGCGTTATTAGTTATTTAGAACTAGTATATAAACAATTTTCGCAGATGATAAAAATCTTTAAGATTTACCGTTATGACTTTTATAATTAATCATCATATGATTAACAAAGAGACTGAGAATGATTTTATATACTTTCCTCTACAACTATTCTTCAATTAGGAAAAAAATACGTCACTTTAAAATTAGAAATCTCTACCTTGGATAAAATTTTCAATGAAATGATACCAATACTTTTTTCTTCACAGGAAAAGTTAATTAAACAAAGGAAAAGAGGATTTTTACTTGTTTCCTGTAACAGTTTCTTTCTTATTTAAAACTTTGATTTCGCTGAGTAAATAATTTAATTATACTTTATAAAAGAACATATATTATATCATCAAAATTGTGCCTTTTATTTATATATTATAAATAGTTTAAAGAACCGTCATATTATTTTAACGCAAGAAAATTGTCTATTTATAATTTTAGTACGTAATTAGGAATGTCGCAAGGGAAAGGTAATCGATGAACAAATGCACATTTATGCGTATATATTAAGAGTATATTAATTGTGAAAACTTGTTTCCTCATCATAATCTAAACTAACGAGTTCGTTTTCACTTCTTATAGTTGAAGTTTAAAATTCAGGTAAAGTAGACGTCTTATTTATTAATTAAGACAATTAAAATTAATTAGCATCAATATGAATTCAGTTAATTCCTATTATAATTTCTTTAAATATTCATATATTTACAATATTTAAGAAATAATGTAAATCAAAATTGTATATTGGCTTATTGTTTATAAAGTTTATATACGAAACTTTTCGTATTTGTAGTACTTAGTTTTATTAGCAATAAAAAGTAAGAAGTCTTTAAATCCCTTAGGATTCGAAATGCTGAATGGATAAACTATTGAGGGATAAGTTGAAATAATTTACAATAAACTGTTTATTAAAATGTCTAATACTATATATATATATATAGTATAAGATTAATTTTTATTTAATTAATAATAATAATTAATAATATAATATCCATATAAAATTGACTATATCAGTGAGAATATTTAAAGGGAAATCTGAGCGCCAGCCCATCTAATTTATCAATTATATATTGAGGTAATTTGTTAGAATTAATCGGATGAAAGATGTTTTAGATATTAAATCTTTCACGAACGTATTTAAAAAAAAATCTATTTTTATCTATCAATTTCGATATTAAACAAGGATTTAGATTTATTTAAATGTAACGACTGCAATTTAATTTTATGAATGTTTTTTTTTTTCAAGTATTTTGTTATGTCCAAAACAATTTTCAGATGGCGTTCTTTCTATGCTGCCGCCGTCGTTTTAAAACGCAAGTGGGCGTCCTAATTCCGGCAAAGATTGCCTATAACGAGGACAAGCCGGAGGGAGACGTTCCGGAAGACACTAAATTCGGCTGGATGGCGTGTAAGGATGATGAAGAAACGAAGGAGGGTGACCAATTGCAGTTATCCACATTACAAAAGACGGTAGCTTCAATCGTTCAACCGTCTGTAAGTCTTATTTGATCGATTTTTTCGTAGTATCGTTCTTTCTGTTTGTCAGCCTCGTTCTTTTTTCACCTATCCCTTCCCTACATATCTATATCTTTTCCTCGTTTTTATTCTCTATACCTCCTTTCCTCTCACTCTTCAATTTCTTTCAACTTTCCTCCTCTCTTCCTATCCCATTGATTTCTCTTTTACTATTTATTGTATTTTTCCTTCTTGCTGTATTAATTTACAATGAGCTCATAAACACTCCTTTTTCGCTCTTGAAAACTGGGCATTTTTATGAAATTTCATCATTTAAAGTCATGTTGGAGAAATTTACTTTTAACAGTAACATTCTTTAAATTGAAATAGAAAACATTCGGTTTCCGGCTTTCCTAATGAGAAGTCAGTTCATTTGCATTTCGCTTTTTCCCTACAGTTAAACGACAACGAAACAGCAGAAGAGTATTGTAAAAATTTTGTAACCGAGCATAAACAAAGAATAAGGTCGATTGGATGTTCAATTCGTCAATTAATATCGAATTTAAACGGTCTAAGACCATCGAAGAGCAGTTGTTCAAATTCTTTTGTTTGTTTTAATCATGACTCTGATGGAAGTTTTTATGTACGAGCAAATTTTATAGAGGAGAAATTATCCACTTTCTATCAGCAATTCTTCATTCATTTGGCAACTTTCGTTTTCGGAGAAGAAATTGACATGAAAATCGCCGAAGACAAGGAGACAGTTGTTGTCTATAGAGTAACATGCAAAAATCGCCCAAAGGACAACACTCCATCAAAGTTAGACTATCCCATTGATATGGCAACAATGTGTGAAATACTACCGTTTCATCTCATGCTCAACAAGGATCTCTTAATTGAACAACTAGGATCTGCTTTGTCTAGAATATTACAGCTCCACGACTTTCAACATCAGGTACACTTTGCTAAGTATTTCTCTATCGTTCAACCTCAAATTGATATGATCATACCTCAAACGATTGCGTCAAATACGAATGTTCCCTTTGAAATACAACTTCGATTTGGTTCTCAAAGCCATCTTAATTTCAACTCGGAAAACGGTCTTGCCGTTGTTGCCCAGGTAATTTGGTCATCATTGATTGACAAATAAATCTAGATAAGCTTGTAAATAGATAATAAAATTTTTCTTCATTCAAAATCTGAATAGAAATTGAAGTTGAAGGGTCAATTCCTTTTTGTTGAAGAATGCGACAGCTATCTATTTCTTGGTTCTCCCGTAGTTGCTGGATTAGATCAATTGATTGGCAATGGCATATTTATATCGGATGTACCTATTCATGACGCAACAAGAGATGTCATTCTCGTAGGGGAACAATCAAAAGCTCAAGATGGTCTAAAGAAAAGAATGGAGCGACTTAACGCCGAAGTAGAAGAGGCTTGTAAAGCGGTTGAAGTGGAGAAAGAAAAGAATGTAGAATTATTAAATTTAATATTTCCAGAGAATATTGCTAAGGAATTGTGGCTAGGTGAGTAGCACCACAATTTTTTTGGAATTAAGTAGAAGAAGTAGAGCAAACCAATTTCCTTTTTGCGCTGTTCGTCCTCTTAATGAGGGAGGAGGAAGATTAAGATGATAAACGTATTCGGTTCTATATTCCCAAAGGAGATAAAAGTCTTCTCTCTTTCCTTTTTAACTTGTTCTTTCCACCTATTCCCTTTAGCTATTGGGGATTTTAAATAATTAACTCCAATGAAAATGGTTTAATCATTAAAACTAAAAACAGGAAATGAAGTTGTTCCATCGAATCTCGAAGATGTAACAATGCTTTTCTCAGATCTTGTTGGATTTACAAGTATTTGTTCTACAGCCACGCCTTTTCAGGTTATTCGAATGCTCAGCGCTTTATACACTCTATGTGATGCTGCTTGTGAAAAATTAGATATTTATAAAGTATGTATGCTATAATTTGCAAATGTATTAAAATTTCCCTTTTCTCCTGAAATGCCTATAGTCATTGATAATAGTATAGTGTCATAAACTTTTAGATAGAAACTATCGGAGATGCATATTGCGTCGCCGGAGGTCTACACAAAACAAGCAAATACCACGCACAACAGATTTGTTGGATGGCTTTAGAGATGCTCAATGCTGCCGGCAAAGTTAAAACTCATGATAGTAGACCCATCAGGGTTAGTTCAATACACATTTCTTATTCCTTTCACCTCCTTTCTCGCTCAAATTTTACGAATTAGACTGTATTTGTTTAGACGCCACTGATTATTCCTTATAATATTGCCCAAGGGGAAGGAGCGATTTATCTATCTCCTTCCTACTGTATTCTGCTGTAAACTATTATACTATATATATATATATATATATATACTGTATAGACTTTACCTATCAATAGGTTTATTTTATTTGACATTAGACTTGACATTATTTATGCTCATCATGGCATTTTAGTCTGTAGATTTAATTATAGTTAAAATTATAAATACTAATCTAAAACATATTAATTTGCTTTCTATTGATTTTAATGTTTTTCACTAAGTTCCTATTAATTAAATATCTAATATCTAATAGGATATAGATTAATTTTATCAATGCCACCTAATTATGTAAATTATTCCGACAGATGCGCATTGGAGTTCATTCTGGACCCGTTATGGCTGGTATATATTAGTATAAATATGTTTTAACTGTTTTAAATTAAAAATAAACAAATGAATTTAATATAATTTACCTATTAAAGGTGTTGTTGGAAAGAAAATGCCTCGATATTGTTTATTTGGTAATAATGTTACTTTAGCAAACAAATTTGAATCTGGTAGCGAAGCCATGAAAACAAATGTTAGTCCAACGACTTATAGGTAAGGCTATTATTTTTAAATAAACTCGTAAAAAAAACGCCCACTTCCATTAAAAATAATTCCATAATTTATACGAAAAAAATTGAATTATCGTTCGATACCCAAATCATTTTTAATGATCTGCATTTCGTCAAAAGGATGTTAAAGTTCTTTTATTTATCTTATTACTAAATATCTACAATGAAAATTCTATGCAAACAGACTGGTAGAAAATACAAAGGGTTTCTCGTTCGTGCCAAGAAGAAAGGAGGATTTACCAAAAGGCTTTCCTGCAGGTGAAGGTATAGGTTACTTCCTTCAATCCTACAAGCATTCTACGGTTTCGGATGAAAGTTGTATTGAACTTCACACTGAAGCAGCAATGAAAGAGTACTTCCCAATATCATAAACTCCTTAGATATAGTCTTATATTCGATTTTGTATGAAAAATAAAGAATGTCTAGTGCACCTTGTAACAAAAAATACATATTCATCTGTATATAAAGATATATAAGTTTCTAATTCTCGTGTAAAGTATCTTAGAAAACGAAAGTCTTATTACTTCACTTTCTTTATTCCGCTTTTTCCTGTCTTTAATTACGTTAATTAGCAATCAGATACATTCGATATTTCTCCACTCCTCAGATTATCATTTAAAGGAGTTATACACCCCTCTCTTTCTCGCACTCTCAACTCCTTAAGTTCTAATATCACTTAGCACATAAAAAAAAACCGAAAATAGACAAAACGAGGAAGAGAAAGAGAGAGGAAAAAGAATTACAAAAAAAGCTCTCTAGAGGGCGTTTCCAAGCTATCAAACGTCATATAGACGCAAGTCGTTGAAGAAAGTTATGGTACGTAATACTTTCTACTTTCTAACTCCTTTTATCTTTGGTTATTAATTAATTAACTTTATTTATTCCATTGTTATTTCTTCGTTTTTCCAATTATTAGTATGGCTTTGTTAATCACGCTTTACAATTGCTGGTTTTGAGAAATTTTGGAGAAGAGACATGGGAGAAGATAAAGAAGGAGGCAAATGTATCCATGGAAGGGGAATTTCTTCACAGGCAAATATATTGCGATTCCATGTCCTATAATTTAGTTGGAGCAGCCGAAAAAATACTAGGTAGCCATAAATAATAGCATTTACTTCCAGGGACCTCCTTATTAATAGAAGATTCCTTTTTTTTTTAATGATTAAACAACATTACTATAATCGTCTATTAAGAGTAATTACATTTTTTCCTATGTTTCATTAAATAGGGATATCAGCAAACAACATTTTAGAACTATTTGGACGAGTTTTCTTTAAGTTTTGTCAAGAGCAAGGCTATGACAAAATATTGATGGTTTAGTATTAAAAAGAGACTATAAATTAAAAATTTACACTTATTTCCTTTCTCATTAATAATAATAAGCTTTATTCTCTCTCAAGGTTCTTGGTTCGACAGTTAGGGACTTCCTGCAAAATCTTGATGCCCTCCACGATCATCTGGGTACTATTTATCCGGGGATGAAAGCTCCTCATTTCAGGTAATGATGTTCTTCGCTAATCCCTCTCCACAGAGAGTTACTTGTAAAATATTAGTCCTTAAAAGAATACTTGATCATCTTAAAGCTGAAATTAACATCAGAATGATCAACGGCTCATGATGCTCTTTTCCTCGAATATTTATCTGCTTATTCATTTCTTTCTCAGGGTGAGTGAACGTGAATCAGATGGCGCCACAATACTACATTACACATCTGAAAGAGATGGACTGGAACATATTGTAATTGGTATAGTTAAAGCAGTTTCAGAAGAATTACATTCAACAGAAGTTGACGTAAGCATTTATAAGGCAAAGGGAGAAGATGGCATAGATCATGTTCAATTTCTAATTGAAGAGAAAAAAGACGGTAGTACAAGAAGATTATCGAACGCTATGGAGTCTGAATTAAAAGCTCTAGTTGCACACAACAAAAAAATCAAAGGAAGAACGATTTGTAATGCTTTCCCTTTTCATTTCGTAATTGATAATAAGATGAGAATCATCGAAATGGGTGACACACTTGCCAGATTGTTTAAAAAGTACATTAACAAAGAAATATTTCACTTATTCGAGATGATCAGACCAAATATGAATTATGACTTTCAGTCAATCCTTGCTCATATAAATACAGTATATGTAATGAAAATAAAACAAACAGCAGCAATTGACAGTCAAATATCTCAAATAGCGGATTTGCGGATCAAAGGTCAAATGACATATATTATTAAGGAAGATTCGATTCTTTTTTTGGGTTCACCATGTGTTGCCTCACTTGATGATCTTTTGAAGAAAGGTTTACACGTTGGTGACATACCTGTTCATGACGCAACCAGAGATCTTCTTCTTTTGTCCGAGAATTTTCAGGCTGAGTATAAACTTACCCAGAATCTAGAAATTTTAACTGATGATCTTAAACAAGCGAGAAGAGACTTGGAAAGCGAAAAACAAAAAACAGACAATCTTATGTATTCCGTTCTCCCACCGTCGGTCGCTAATGAACTTCGGCAACAAAATCCAGTTGAACCGTATAAATATAATCTTGTAACTATCTTATTTAGCGGAATCGTTGGCTTCGATGAGTTTAGTTCAAGAAATTCGGACGTAAATGGTGCGGCAAAAATAATAAAACTATTGAACGATTGTTATACAAAATTTGACGAATTAATCGATCCTTTAAAGCATCCAGCCGTATATAAAGTTGAAACAGTCGGTGATAAATATATGGCTGTAAGTGGACTGCCGGAAGAATGTCCTGATCATTCAAGGAATATAGCACTATTGGCATTAGATATGATGGAAACTATAAAGAATACAAATGACCCGGACGGTAAACCTTTACAAATTACTGTCGGTATTCATTCAGGTGAAGTCGTGACAGGTAAAAGGTTTTTTTTAAACGCAAAAGTTTGAATAATCTTCATTATGTTTTTTCTGTCCTCATTAAAAAGGTGTTATTGGAACTAGAATGCCTCGTTACTGTCTTTTCGGAAATACAGTTAACCTTACAAGTAGAACAGAAACAACTGGAACTAAAGGGAAAATAAATGTCTCGGAAGATGCGTACAAATTATTACAGAGCGAAAAATGTTACGATCCAGATTTCCAGTTCGAGTATCGCGGGACAGTGAAAATGAAAGGAAGAGAAAATGACATGAAATGCTGGTTCCTAACAAGGAAATCGTGGAAAAAATAATCATTATGAAACAAAAAACCACTTATTTCAGAAAACAATGAAAAGATTGATATTATTACGCACAAAAAGAATACTTTCTCCTATTATTTCTCTTTCAATTATACCGTTTAATTAATATTTAACGTTGTTATTCCTCGCACGAAAATAATATGGCACTTCAGCAAAAAGATAAATTCTATAAACGACAATAATCACAAAAATCTTTGTTGTCAAAACAATTTAAATTAGAGAATAGTCGCACATTGAAAAATAAATTAAAGATAATTATTTCAATATTAACTGAGCCGCTTTTTCTCCTACCATAATACAGGGAGCGTTAGTATTACCAGACGGTAATGTAGGCATAATTGAAGCATCTGCAACTCTTAGGCCAGTTATACCTTTGACCTTTAACTCTGGGTCAACAACCACAGTGGGATCATTTATAGATCCCATTTTGCAAGTTCCAACTGGGTGATATACAGTAGAAAGCTCATTTCGAATATGACATCTCCAATAATCATCCGAATCGTATTTCAAATGCTGTCGGAAAGATGTTAAATGAATAAGACATTTAATGATATGAAACCCGTGTCTTACCTCACAGCCGAATGTTGGCGTATTTATAATTTTACCTCCAATTTTTTTAAAAGATTTCGTTCCGACCAACTTTTGAACTAATCGAACGCTGCTTAACAATACTTCAACGTCTTCGTCTTCCATCAAACTTCTTGGGTTGATTATTGGATAATCGAAAGGGTTTGCAGACGCGAGTTTAATCGTTCCTTTACTTTTAGGATGTAAAAGACATGGAAATATTGAAACTGCATTTTTATTTAATAAATTCTTTGCATATTGTTTCTGGAAATCTTTTCCGTGATTTATGTTTCGAAACCATAGCTTCATTATTTCTTCATTTGCACCAAAATGTGTACCAAAGTAATGCAATTGAATTAGCGGCGGTTGTTTAGCAGCTGGTAAATCTGTGAAAACAGCTGCTTCAAGACCAGGACTACCTAAATAGCCTTTTCCAAAGAGCTTATAATTTAAGGTGGAAAAGATTCCTTCAGCTTCTTTCAATTCGTTGCTTATGGGTTCGTCGACTCCAACTACAATTGGAAAGTGAACGTGATCCTGGAGATTTTCTCCAACAGGAAGATTTTTAATAACTGGTATTCCTAAATCTTTTAGATGCGCTTCTGGTCCCACTCCAGAAAGCATTAAAATGGTTGCTGATCCATAAGCTCCTGCACTCAATATAATTTCCTTTCGAGCCATTGTCTTTACTATTTTGCCATTTTTCACGTATTCAACACCTTTTGCAACTTTTTTATCATTTATAAGAATCTTTGTAACATGTGCTCCAGGTAATATATGTAAATTAGGTCTAGCAGATGCCTGTCTCAGAAATGCTTCGTCCGTTGAATGCCTTATCCCATTTTTAATTGTTCCCTCTAAGGCCCAGACACTATTTTCCTGGTATTCTGCATTAAAATCCCTCTCTACAAATCCTGATTCAACTGCAGCGTCTATAAAATGTTTACAACCCTCTCCTCTGGGAAAATCACCAACGTGAAGTGGTCCTTCCCGACCGCGATATTTTAATGAAATATTAGGTTTTGTGTTACTCTCAGATTTTTTAAAAAGAGGTAAAACTTCTTCGTAGCTCCAACCTTTGGCACCATTCTCTGCCCATGAGTCGTAATCAAGTCGATTTCCTCTAACGTAAAGCATAGCATTTAATCTTGAAGATCCACCTAAGCATTTTCCTCTCGGGTGGAATGTTTGTTTGCCTATATGAGGAGAACCGGAATACTGTTGAGGAGCTATTGTAAAATTCCAGTCATAAGATTCTCCCTGCAAGCGAGGAAAAGATATAGGGGTTTTAGGTAAATCCTCGTTTGATATATCCTGACCGGCTTCTAAAAGTAAAACTTTTATATTCTTGTTCTCGCTCAACCGATTAGCCAAAACACTACCTTTATGCGAAAAGAGGATAAAAAATACGATAAACGTATAAACTGTTGGTGTTAAGTACTACTACAAACCAGTCGATCCAGCTCCAACAACAATATAGTCATATTCATCATCACTAGAGTCTATAGTTTGTATTCTCTCCTTATAATCTACCAATACATAATAGCCTATATATGCTATAATTAAAGTAGCAATTAGCGATTTCATTTTAACCCAGTCAGAAGAAAATATTGAGAAAGAAACTTGCTAAATTTTAAATTATTTAATTCCAAGGTCTGAATGTACCAAAAGCCAGAAAGTAGGTCTTTTTTTTCAATGTCATATTGATAAAGTCTAATAAAACTAGTTTTTGATCAAATGGTATGATCTAAATAGATAGGCTTATAACGATTCCCAGGCACTAATCTAAAAATTGAAAGAGTGTTTTACAATATCTCATTCTCTATTTATAGATTATGTTTTTCAAGTATGCACCAAACTCAATTGTATATTGATTCAAAAATAAGAAGAAAACTAATAAAATTGAAGTAACGCTCAAAGTCAACCAAACCAGGACTATGTCATTCTAGAAATGAGATGACGTAATTAAACATACTCAACAATATTTGTAATTTTTGGGACTAAATGACCAAACAACAACAACCAATGGAAGTAATAAGCGAAGATTGATCAAATTTATTATATTTTTAGCCTATTCAAAGATTTTTTTTATTTATCACGTAAAAAATTTTTCTCAATATCCTCACCATATCTGGCTTTTATATTGGTTTTCTATCTACAATGACAATCTTATTCTTCCCTATCTTCTTGTTTAAACTTGTCCTGTATATAAGCTAGATAACAATAATGAAAAATGAAAGAATATTTAACAGTTGATTAATATGAATATACATGAATAGATTATTATTTTCATAAATATAACATAAAAAGTCATAGAGTTACACTTTGACGATAAATTGATGTGAAATTTATTAAATGAAAGAACAGGCGTAGAAATATAGATATTATTTACAGAATGTTAATATGACTGTTTGTTTGTCTTTTACAGCAATTTATAGTTTTAGAATATAAGACTCATTCTAATAATATATATTTTATATCCAGTATAACTCTGTATCTTAAGACACTAAGTAGCGAAATTTCTGAAGATATTTACTCTAATGATATATTTAAGATATGATGATTTTATGCTCTACTGTATGCGAGGCAAGGTATAGGCAGCTTTAACTAGTAACTCCATCTACATTATTATAGCTTTCCACAAGATATGTAATAAATATTGGTAGAAAGATTATGATACATCCTGAAAATATTAAAAAGAAGAAGCAATAGGAGAAATAAAGGTATTGTAATCGATCCCTTTGTTTGATTTTTAAACATTTTTTTTTAAAAAGAACACGAAAATTCATAAATTAATTGAGATATAAAAAAGAACAACAGAAGGGAGGGGGACAAACCAACACGGGAGGAGGACAGGTGTCGTATGATATTTGAGGATAGAATTGATAACTATGATTAAGAGAAGGCAAACACAACCATCAAACACTTAATTTTTTTTTCTTTTTTTTTAATACAAACCAAACACTAACCCAAAAATCAGATTAGTTTTTTGTTATAATACAGAACATTACATAGAAAACTGTTTTATAACAATTTATAGGATAAACATTATTGAGTAAAATATTTTAAAAACTATACAAAAAAACTTATGTACAACAATACAAATAAATATTGTACAATGATAGGCAGAAGAGCATAAATAATTCAAAAGCTTTTTTCGAACATTATTTGAAAAAAAAAGGCGCAAAAAGGAAATTAAAATATAAATAATCTCTCATAAATATAATGTAATAAATCTTTATTATTTCTTTTCCTCTCATTTATTTTTTTTTCCTTTTTTTTTAATAATTCGATTTGTTTTCCTTTCTTGAATATCTTTTATAGTAAACCCTCGCGGTCTAAATTGTCTATGATAGAACACATTAATTCATTTTTTAATTCTGATTCATCTGTAATAATAGAAGGTTTCTTTTCTTCCTCAACTTCTGTTTTTATAAATGTAGGATAGATGCTATTTGTGGCCGATGTTACGTTTACATTGCAAATTGCTTTATTTACAAAATTAGCAGCTTTATTCATAACTCTTGTTATTGATAGGACAGCTTCTCTTGTTGCTTTCACCTGCCTTTGCATCATTGCTGCAAGCGCATCCCGCGCCTGCACTGGCCGAAGTTCATTAATTAAATGTTGCATATGTATGAGTATAAGATAGATATCGCTAAGTTTCTGTGTCCTTTGAGGGCTATCTGCCGAAGTCACTAAAATTTGCAACAAGTCTAAAACAGCACAAAGAAGAGAGTGATTCATTTTTATCAACTCCCGTCTATGTTCATAATTTTGCGGGTGAAGCCTCTTTACGTTTTGAGTTTCCAATGGCGGCACTATTTGTCCATCGTTTGGTCCACCGTAATTAAAGCCGAAGCACGAATAGGGCTCGTAAGGTTTAGGTGGCCGTGGGGGTTGTGGGGCCCTTCCCTTCTCAATATTTTCATTTGTATAGCCTTGGTAGAAAATCGGCGGTAGAGGAAGGGCACTGACGGCTTGTTGTTGTTGATTAACAGCCATTTAGATATCTGAGTCCCAAAAAACACAAAACAGTTCAATTTTTCTGATTATCCCTTTCTCCCTTGTCCTATGTCGTCTGCTTAACTTCAATAAAAAGCGGTAACCGTTTACTCTTCGACCGGTGACTGCCAGTTAAGGTCAAGGTTGCTTTATCGAAAAGACCTCGTGAAAGATGAATCTTTCTATTCGTCAACCTTTACGATTGCTATTCGCTCGGAATAGATGTGCTAGTTTACTAAAGCATTCAAAAAGGGTAAAATATTTTATCTTTTTCAAAAAATTATCCGATAAACTACAATTTATACATCCTTTCTCCTCAGACCACCGTTATAGTTGAGAGAAGGAATAAAAATCTCGATCGCAAGTTTAATGACATAAATGTTTGGCCAAATTTAGAGACAAACTACACGAATTTGCTTTACGATATCATAGAAACGACCGATGACAGTGAAGTTGAAACTCCAATAGATGTCGTTCTTCTAAGGCACGTTGAAGGTTTGGGATATGCCGGCGATATTCTACCAGTTGACAGAAACTTGTTTAGGAACACGCTTTCTCCTACTAAACAAGCTATATATGCCTCTGAAGAAAACATAGAAAATACACAAAAACTTAGAGAGGTAAAAATAATTTTTATTTCTTTTTAATTGTTTTAAAACAGCTGTTTATTTTATTCTTAATCTTGTCTTAGGAAAACGCAAATATACCTAGACAAACTCTCACTGGCCAAGAAACAATTAGATGGCTTAGAAGGATGAACTTGCACGTCCCTATGAATCCGAAAGTAACTTGGACTCTTACAAAAGAAAATGTGTTTGTAGCTTTTCGATGTGCCGGTGCTCAAGTTCCTCAGGATTGTATAAGCCTACCAGATGAACCTATTGTAGAGCCCGGACAATATACAATTAACGTAACAGTAAATGGAATTGATACAATCCCTATAAAAATGTTTGTGTATCATCATTACTTTGATGAGCGTGAAGGAAAAAATCCTATTCTCCCGCAAGTTTGGAATGAATTTAAATTTGAAATTGGACAATTACCAGAAAATGAAACAAGTTGATTATTCTATACAAAACTAATAATGATATATCAATACTTATATAGGAATACATTTTATTGTTACATAATCTTTTTAGACTAGTTAGAATTCATCAATTAAGTGTATTTTAATGGCGAAAGGAAAGAAAAAGTTAAAAATTTCATCTGATAAAATGCACTAGATAAAGAGGGACTGAAACAAACTAGAACGGGTGGGTGATATATCAGAGTCTGTTATCAACAAAAATTCGATCTTGAATCACAAAGCAAACATTTTATCATCTTCATCCTTCTTTATTTGGCGTTCAACAGGTCGAGAACCTACTGCTGCCGGAATACCCGGAACAGTACCTCCTGCCTTAGCGGCTAGGAACTGGTCAAATTCTAATAGAACACATATATATATATGATTAATATTTTCTTCATTATACAATATAGGCTAACATACCTAAACTTGTAGCCGCCTGATTACCTCCCCCATTATTTTCCATCCATTTTTCCATCTCTTCAAGATCTTGCTCAGTGTCAATTAACTACATGAAAAGAAGTATATTTAAAAAAAAAGTCTAGCTTTCTACTAAAACAAACTATCCAAAATGTAAAGGGATAAAAACGTCGTTGATTTAATTTTTTAAATAATAAAAATTAAAAAATTAGTAGCTTTCTTTTAGAATAATAGCTAAGAAATGCAAAATTTCTCATGCCGTAAAATGCAATACTCTATACAAAAAGAAATTATATAAACTTTATTTTAAAAAAAATAATGTTCACAATCTACGCCGCAGATGGCGTCACTGGAACAACGTCGTTGATGCATTATGTTTAAAGGCCTATTATATTTAAAATGAATATTTACTACCTCACTAGGAAACTCCTAATAATAATGGCAGCAAATGTTAATTTATAAATGAACATTGAAAAGATTTATTGATCAATGCCGTCCCAATCTTTTCTCTACCCGCCCCGTTTACAACCACCACTATACCACTCTTAATTTTGTTAATTAGAACTTACGTCTGGTTTTTCTGCCGTTAATGCCACACCCATAGCTCCAGCAGGCGGTCTGTGTGAATACGTGTTTCTTTTTTAAATACGATTTTACTTTAAATGCAAAGAGATTTTAAAAAAAAACAAATGCATCATACAATAAATGTTTAAATAAATACTAACGGGCCTTGTCTAGACTGAGCTAGCAAATCAAATTCATCAGTTTCTGGTTTCTTGTTACTCCCACCAACGGCTAAATAAAAAAAAATAACAAAATAATAAATGTATTTCAAACAAATAGAAGAGAGTATAACAATGAAGATCCCTTTTTTTTGTTGTTATTAAATTCCATTATACAGTATAGGTGGAAACTATCAATTATTTGCTTTAGTCTATAAAGTGGGTGTGAATACGCATATTTTCCAAACATAGATATACATATAGACACAGTTGAAATAAATATATATAGATATAATTTAATACAACTTTGAAATAAAATATATATATATAAATATATATATATATAAACTAAACACAATTGTTCGAAAATTAATAATTGAAAATTAATATTTGAAAATAAATAAAATAAAAAATAGATTGAAAAACTAAATAAAATTAACTCAAAAAAAGAAAAAAAAAGAAGAGTGTGTGACTCACATAACCCGACAAACTGCGTATTCAAATTGGGTGGATTCGTAGTATTAGTATTATCGTCACCTAAATCAATCAGTAAGTCGGTCGTTTGATTGGTTTTTGCTGCTCCATCCCCAACAACTGGAGGAAGTGCCTGTCCCTATTAATTTGTTTGAAAAGAAAGGTATATTTAGTAAAGGTGAAAAAAAACGTTTTTATAGGATAAAACAAATCTTTAATTTGTTAGCATCAAATGAGACAAGAAACTTATTATAATTCTCTTTCAAAATTTAAGATTATTTTTAATAGCTATTTAAAAAAAACTATTAAATTTACTAAGTTAATTGATTAGTTAAAATAATTTGGTTTGGTTTGGCTTGGCTTGCACATATTTATATATAAGTAGCTAAATTAATGTTATCTTTTCTGTAAACAATTTGCATGTACGTGTTCGCTTGTAATTGTTTTTGAGAATTTTAAAATGAATAAGTTCTTTCTCGTATATTCGTTTTGTTCTTCTGTCATTTACATTTAATTTTTTTGCTTACTGTGCTTGGTTGTGACGCTGATGATGATGAACTAACTGCCATTCTTTGATATCTATCATATCTCATGAATAAATTATTTAATTCATCGTTCAAATGTAGCAAATCTACGGTTATTTCCTCAGCCGATATTTGATTAAGTAGTTCAACGATTCTCTCTTGCATTTGATGACAGGTAGCATTCAAGTCCTGCAACATATTATATTATATAACAAATAAATTCTATTAATAGAAACAGTAGATTTATATTTTTAATTCAGCATTATTATATTTACCTCCATCAGTTTTTTATCATCCTCAGTACCTTGACCGGGTTGGATTCCGGTTAAAAGTTCATTGAATATTGTGATATGGTGTTTAACGCTGTCCAAATCCTTTTTAATTTTAGCCTTAAGATCTTGAACAGCTCCAGGAGCACGGTTCATAGATGATGGTGGAGGAGGATGATTTGCTACAGGCTGATAAAAAATTATAAAATCATTTTATCTTATCCATTAAATATTCATTAAATAAAATTCAACAAAACGGTAAATTTTAAATACAAAATTGTACATTATAATTAAGTGGCACCACTCTAGTTTATCATCAAACTTAATAAAAGAGAGTAAAAATAGAACAGTTATAAAACAAAACATGTTAATGATAAATAAACATAGTTATATCTCTAATCCTAATATGGAAAATATGGTTTATGGGTTTGCATTACGATATTCTGACAATTTTTCTTATGACCTTTTCAAAGATTTTACGAAAACAGTATTATTGTCTGGTTTCCTGTTTTTTGTGGTATTATAGGCTTAACTCTAAATTTTTAAACGATTTTTTTGACACAGTCAAAATATTAATTATTGATGTAAATGTTTTTTATACTCATCATACTGTGCAACAACCCAAATAGATAACAGTACTTAGGTGCTTAGCATTCATTACCAAAAGGATATTAATATAAATTTTTTAATCGGGATATAAAATAGATTATGAAAAACACATACCATTCTTTGGGAGGCAGGCCTAGCTTCGATGTTATGAGCCTGAAATGTATTTAAGCAGATTTAAAAATGAAAAACATAGTTCATTAAAAAATACTTGTTTCGTCATATCCGTTTCTGATATGGGAAAATCCATTCCCTTTGATTTTAAATCCCTATACAGTTTTTCAACTTCTTTCAATTCAGGTTCGCCAGTAAATGCCTCCGACCAATTCTACAAAACAATAAGTGTGCTAGAGTATATTTTCTTTTTATGACAAGATTATAATTTGAATGTATAATGACAATCATACTTGAATTAATTGGTAAACTTTTTCTTGTACCTCCAAAGAAGGATCATTCTTTGGTTGGCATATTTTGTGCATGTCCTGCAGAAAGTCCTTATTTGCAACATGAATATGGAAACGGCGTCCACAATTTTTAACGCATGTTTCCAAAACTACTAAAGTGTATATCATACATTTGCTGTTTTTACTCTGGGATTGAAATCTCTTTCTAATAGCCTTTATGGCATCCTTTCCGCTGAAAAAATTGTAAACATATCAGCTGTGAGTTTTTTTAGGATATTTTTAGAAATTGGCAAATTCCTTACCCTTCTTCAGTACCATTAATGTAATCACATATTTCCATATTTAAAGCCCAATTCTCACTTGATATGGTTGGATCTGTAGCTTTTTCTGTAAGGGTGATGATGAATCATACTTATTTCTATTTTGACCTGCTCTAAAAAATTTAAAGTTTTCCAAGAGGAAAACCTTTATTTACCAATTCTTTGACCAATAGGGTTATTAAATGGATTTCCGGCTAAAAATGACTGAACTCTTTCCATTTTTTCAAGTTTATTGCCGTTTCGTACAACCGGAAGAGACAAATTTCGACAACATAAATTACGCACCAACTATTTAATTCATAAAAAAAAGTTTGAACCAAGAAAAATTTGTTATCTTATTTATTAAATATTTTTTTATCGTTTATAATGTAAAATATTCTCGCTAGTTTCATATTTGATCACCATAGTAACCGAATGCGACCCTAACAAACGACCGTCCAATATATAAAATTTAACTTACTCTACATGAGATTCTGTGATACTATCTGGTAAGCAAATTAATAATACTTAATATTTGTAAAAATCAATTTGACATGGCAGAATAGATTAATTTCTTTCACTATTTTAAAACTATTTCATTAGAATAAATGCTCTAATTTTTGTGTATTCTTTATTTTCGTAGAGAAAAAATGAGTCGCTTATACGATACAATTGAGCCGTCAGTTATTGATGATGAGATGCTTCAAAGAGCTGTCGTTGAACAAGGTCCAAAAAATGAGGCTGGTAAACTAGCCAGAGAGGAAGGCATCGATTTCGCGGACGTTACATCACTTAGATTGGACTTTAAAAGTAGGCCGAAAACCAAAACAATGCTCTTAAAATTGTATAAATTCTATCCCCAATAGATATTCTGAAAATTGGTAATTTATGGAGTTTCAAAAGTCTTGTAAAACTACAATTAGATAACAATATCATTGAAAGAATAGAAGGTTTGGACACTCTTGTGAATCTCGTTTGGCTTGGTATAATTATATTTTTTAAGTGAATAAAGAAAATATTCTTCTTTAAAATATCATTTTTTTTCAACAGACTTGTCTTTTAATAATATAGAAGTTATTGAGAATTTGGATAATTTGACTTTATTAGAAGACCTGACACTCTACAATAATCGAATTGAGAGAGTAGAAAACATGGATAACTTAACAAAGTTACACGTTCTATCTGTTGGGAACAATCAATTAAAGGATTTAGAGAATATGAAGTATCTTCGTAAATTCGATAATCTACGAACATTAAATCTAACGGGAAACCCTATTAAAAATGATGCGGCATACGAAAGTTATATAGCAGCTCATCTACCCGATCTAGAATATTTAGATTATCGATTAGTAGATCAGAAAACGGTAATTTCTTTTAATAAAATCAAATTATCAACTTTATTTTAATTATGACTGAATAAACTCTCAGAGAGAGGCTGCTAAAGAGAAGTATGATATTGCCCTTCAAGAACTGGAAGAAGGCGAGAGGAACGCTGCTAGAAAGAAGGAAGAGGAGATAAAAAAAACAGAAGAACTCGAGTTACACAAGGTAGGATTTTTATATATAGTAATCGCCAAAGTATTTAATTTATTATTTCCTTTTATAGGCTGCTTATGTAGAACATTTGAACGACTCAACACTATTCGATAGTTTGTACGCTGAAGATCCGGAGGGAATGAAATTAAATAAGATTCCGACTGTTGACGAAATGATCTCAAACTACAGAGAAGAATTTAACGAAATTTGCCGCGAAATATTTGAATTTGGGTTAAAGATGCATGTGGAGAGACAAGCGGAAGTGAAAATGTTTTGGGAATGTGTAAGAGAAGCAAAGGAAACAAATAAACAACTGGGAATAAATAAAATAGAAGAATTTATGGAATATCGAAAAAGAGTACTGCCAGAACTATTGATCGAACCAGGAGAAAACCACGAGGAACAAGAGGCTCACGAAGAATATCAGAAGACAATTGACAAATTATGGGATGCACTCATGATTTATGAGATGCAGTTGGTCGATCAGCTGGAAGACGTTATTAAAGAATTCGAACGTGCAATGTCCGATATGGTGGCAAACTTTAAAGAAAATGTTAGCGCTTTATTTAGCCGAATGAGAGAACTGGAAAACCAGCACAATGAGAAATTATTGGAAATTGGCCAAATGACCTTAGAAAAAATTGTCAAAGGTGAGGTAGATGATGATATCCCTGATGAAATAAGAGATCTATTCGTTGATAAAGACACTTTAAATAGTGCGGTATGTATGTCACTCTCAAAGTGGAGCTTATCAATTACTATTTTCGTTAACTATACAGGTTACATCTTCCCACGATGTACACTTAATGAAAATTGATAACCGCGAAGACGATTGTACAACCAAAGTAAATACTTGGTTAACTAATCTGACTAGAACTATACACGAACAAGAGGAGATTGAAAGAAATCGGCAAAGGGTAACAGAGATCAGCCATTTAATAGACCATCTAAAAGACGATTTCGAAAATAACTATTCAGCAGAATTCTAACCTAATAAACTTCTTTTTTTTTCAATAAAATTTTAAATATAAACGCCCATTATAAGAAAGAATCGTGAACTATTTGTGCTCTAAAGAGAAGGGTATGGATGTCTGAAGTACAGTACAATGATGTTACGCCCTTCTAATTTAAAAATTTTACGCACTAATAGCTATGTACTGAGCAAGCTTAATTAAAGGATCGTCATTGAACTTTTATTCATCCATCTTAGGCTGCGTCAGCAATAGTAACCTCAACCTCGACACCAGGTTCAATTGGTATCGAAGTTATCTGTTTAACAACTTCAGATGAACTATGAAGATCAATGAGACGCTTATGGATTCTCATTTGGAAGCGATCCCAAGTTTTCGAACCTTCACCACAAGGGGTTTTTCTTGTTGTGATTCTTAGGACTTTCGTTGGCAATCTAACCGGTCCTTTAACCTTCAGAGACTTGTCTTTAGCGCTCTTGATCAAATCTCCGCAAACTGTCAGATAATATTGATACTTAAAATAAATTTATTAAAACTAGAAGTTTGTATTATACCTTTTTCCAAGCTCTTTACATTTTTGCTGGTCAAAGTGATCCTGATACGGTGAACAGGAGTTTCCTCGGTGGTAGGCTTAGTTGGTTTTTCCTGTTAGTAGAGGAAAATTTATAAAATACATTTTTATAGACTATGTTAAGGTCATTCTTGAAAATTTACATATTGAATGAATAGATTATTATAAATTACATAATTGTTCATACCATTTTAATAATCTGGCCGACTTATTCAACTCGAAAAGCGGTGAGCCAGTAGATTTACTGTATACTCCTTCACGCTTTGGAGAAAAAAGGAAGCGGAAACGGCAAAAATTTTCGATATGACTAATATCCGTATGGAAGTAAGAATTACTGATTTTTGTAGAGAACGAAGAAAGCCAAAAATTCTCAGAGTGCAAATAATTTTATTTTTGTAAAGAGAACTTTTAAAAACTGCTTCTATTTGCTATTAAACAAATACTTTAACATATCACTTAGTTAATAGAACACTTTATAAATGTAAAGAAACAACAACATTTATCAAATTACGTCTATTTACTCAAATTTTACATAGCTTACACTAGTTTTCTTGTTTTTACTTTTTACAACAACATAAAGATAAATAACAAAAAAAATTTTTGTGCTGAAGTGTTAAGAGACAAATTAGACAATAAGATTTTTTAGTGTTCTGTAAGATGGAGGCTGTTCACTAGAATCTTTATCGTCAACATTTCGACCCCTAATAGTTTTCTTGTATGCTAGAAACATTATTACAATAACCAGAAAGAATAATACTAAAACAAAAACTATTAAACAAACAAAGGCATAAACAGCCAATTCTAATTTAAAAGACTTGTCAATCACTTCATGGTAACTTATTTTAAAGTTTCCTTCAGAATGAAAATAAATATAAGTGATTCGCTCTTTAGTAAGAAAATTAAAATGACGAACTACATCAGTTTTATTGAATATGTAAGTTCTACTAGACCTTTTAACACCCCCATCGCTTATTTCCAAAAAGTCCTCTTTTTCCTTGGCAAAATTTACTCCAATTATTTGCAAACGAACGCGACCAAAAACAGTCGACGGAGTTATAATCCAACAATTGTATGCAGAAGATGATTCTAAAATTTTCGGAGTCTCTGACGCGTTTAGATTGCGACAATGAGCAGACGTCGATACTGTTGAAAAAACAATGAATAAACGAATGTTAATAAACTATATAAATTGACTATTAAATTGAGTTTTACCATTATTTATAACAAATCCCAATAATAAAGGAAGAACAATTAAACACTGTTTCATTGAGATCATAGTCTTTCCTAAAAAATAAAAAAGGGTCCATTTTATTCAAATATTTTTAAAATTCGGCCTAACATATCATGGGAAAATTTAGACTAGCTCTAAGAAAGAGGATTTATTAAGCGGTTTTTACAAAAGCATACTTACGTTATCAGCAAGTAAATTCTCTTGGCTATATTGTCCTCTCTTTTTGAGTTATCTATACGGGAATATAGTATATTAATACAAAATTTTGGTACTTTCTACGAAATACTTCATTAGCTATGAGTATTATGACAATTTTTTTTTAAGGGATTACCTAAAGCCCTATAAGCCTAGGTTAATTCTACAATAGAAGCCTGGGTCAATAAAAAATTCGCCAATTATAGATATCTACTTTCAAATTGTTTTCTAGGGATTATATTTCAACTTTAAGCTATAATATTATTTTACAAGATTTATGGTTACTTGTATCACGAAATTAATTAATAATTTCGTTACAATTTATTTTTAAACGTTCGTTTGGCTCTCACCCTGTACTGTCACATATTTTCCCTTTTATACCTCTCACAGTTACTCTTGTCATTTAAGTTGGCGCTTGATTCTACTCATCTGGCTGTTGACTTTGTCAAATTCGCGATCTGACTTGATATCAAGTCAGACCGACTTTATGAGTGTGACTTTAGGTCACCCGCCAGATACGACAGCATTCACTGACACACACACGTACACTGACACACAACATTGCTGGTACACAATGTTTCGTTCAATTATAATCAAATTATTAAATATTTTTAATAAATATATATTTTCATTGACCCTAATATTTTCTCATTGATAAATGTTTACTTGTAATGTTGATTCAAAAACTACTGTTCAGTTTATTTCACAGAGATTAACTTAAAAAAAAAGAAAAAAAAAAGTACCCCAGCTTAGAATCTGTTGAAAATTGAAGAAAAGTTAGACCTATATATGTTGTTGTTGTTTTTTTTCCATTTGTTACTATATATTAAAATATCTACTTGAGAAAGTGTACAGTATAATCAATAGATTATATTATTATAAAGGTTACTAACCAATAATTAGAAATTGTTATTCAAAGGCCATAAAAATAACGTTCTAACGCTAGATGGAGCTTATTTTGGATAAAATAGTTTTATCCAAACGTTTTACCAGTGTGTCATATTGCATTAAAATATCGATTTAGTTAAAATAAAATTGGAAAAAAATTTCTTTTGAATATTAAAACTTGATAAAAAAACAACATCATTCAATTTTTGTTTTTTAGTTTTTTTTTGTATTAACCATATTTCCAATATTTTATATTTTAATGCAAAAAAAAACATGACAAACGATACACCAGTAAACTCTAAAATATCTTTGGTAATTGATAATCAGACGTATATTCGTATTGTATCTACAAAATATTCTGTTAAACTTTGGTGTGCTTCCTTAGAATTGACGGACGAAGAGAAAATTGCAGGTAAAATTAATTTCTTGGGTAATTTTTGCAAATATATTTTTATTGGTTTTTATATTTTGTTCTCTTTTCGATAATGTTTTATTTTTTAATATTTTTTACAAAATGTTTCTTTTTTTCCTTTCTCCTTACAACTCATTTTCATGTAACCTTAGCCTATTTCTCTTACCTTACTATAGAAAGATTATACGCGGGGGGTTTTGCCTATTTTTGAAATTTCAATATAGGCTAGAGAATATAATTGACCAAAATAATTAATGGCTTATTATAACAAAAAAAGAAATAGCTATTATTGCGTACAGCCGTTGTAAATTAGGCCTGTATTTGTGAAAATTTGCGTTATGCAGTTAACCTTTATATTATTTTATTTATTATTATATAATACGGAATTATCTTAAAATAGCGGAGGGAAACATAATTGAAGCCGTTACGGTAAAACCAGAAAATGATTTATCAAATAAAGTTAAAAAGGACAAAATCACAAATATTGACTATCCTCCCGAAGTAACAACAGAAACTGAGCAATTAGATTCAATTGAAGGTGAAGAACAGCAAACTTTTCTCATTAGAAGTGTTCAAGATCCTCAGGATAAAAAGGAAATTTCATTGTACGATGCAATTGAAAAAAAGATCATTATACCTGAAAGTGGAATTTATAGGTCTACAAATGGAAAGGAGATACCTATTCCAATAGCCATGACTGAGGGAAAAATAACTGTTGAATATCAAAAAACAATCCGAACTAAAGAGACGAAATCTACACTGGGTATAATAACGTTAAAGACACTGAAAGAAAGCGAAGAGACTATTGAAACAGTCATAGATGTTAAAAGTAATAAAGTTCTTTCGAAAGAGGATGCACAAGTGAATGGGATTCTTAACGAAGATCTTGGACTTTTTCTAAACACCGAAACAGGTGATAAGACATCAATCGACGATGCCATTCAATCCGGTTTTATTATAACAACAATGAGAGAGGCTGAAGAGATAACAGAAGTTTACGCAATCAGGGGTATAGTCGATAGAAAGAGAATGAAAATAATTACATTTCCGGAGGCTTTACACTGCGGAATAATTGATAAGGATAACGGAGTATTCATCGATACAAGTACAAATGAAAAGTTAAATTTTCCAGAGGCTTTGGCTAGAGGTTTTTTAAAAGCGAATAAAGTTGAAAACCCTAACAGTTTAGAAGTGGAACCATCCAATCGAATGGTAATTGATAAGACAAATGTCATTAAAAAGAAGATATTTGGCAGTTTAAAAGTTATTAAAGCTTTTAAAGAAGCATCTAGAAAGGAAGAATAGGCCATCTAATTGTTATTTGTACTTAACCTTGTATATATTAGTATATATATATACAGTATATACTGTATTTATTATCATCACGTAATTTTCGTTTAATGGTAACTCTTCTAATTTTCTAACTATACGCCAAATCAACATACTTTCGTAAGGTGAAACTTTAATTGATTTACTCTTTTCTATCTCTATTTGTCACCTCATTAATATAAAATTTTATTAGAGGGTGGTTAAAATATGTAAATAAATGTATATATTTTTTAAAGGTGAAGGTCATTTATTTACTTGTAATTTATTTTTGCTTTTTATTTTTTAACAATTTTAATAATTTTTTTCCTGACCTATTTTTAATTAAAAAATAGTTATATTGTAAAAACTTGAGTCAGCCTTCGATAACTTATTAATATTAAGGGAAAAAAATTGAATTAAAATACTTTGTTCCCTCTAAAGAAAGGTTTGGGAAATTTTTTAGGTAGAATATTAAAATATTATTAAAATGACATTTGGAAGGAAATATTGTAATAAAATGCTACTTAAATCTCAATTTACCGTAAAATTCTTTTATATGAACAATTTAGCAGTAAGTTGATTCTATTCATCTTGTAATTCTATTTGAAATGTTCTTTTTTATAGTTGTCAATAAAAATCGAAAAGTTCCATAGACTATAGATGGCGTAACATCCGTCTGTATGCAGTGTTTAGCCTAGACCTGTATTTAACTTAGAAATAGAGTATTATTTATATAAAATTCTATAAATATAAATATTACAAATATAATATAAAAATAGGCAATAAAAAATCTGTAGATTTAAAAATATCTTCTATTTCCATTATAAACCTTAACAGTTTGAACAATAAGTAATAATTGCTTAAGAGATTGTTCTAGACGAGAAATATGTAAAACTTGAAAGAGAAATGTTATTTAGGACTACAATGTGAAAGAGAATTAATAGTTTACTTAAACTTTTTACTAGAATACTTAAAGAGTATCAAAGTGAGAGAACGGTAACTGATAGGCCTCAATCCACAAGTATGATAAAAGGGCCCACAGCTATAATTGAATGTAACGAAATAGTATAATATAATTAATGCTATAGACCAATACACTAAAGCGCTGTTGTGCTAATCCATAGGCCTAGATAGGAAACTTAAACCATATTGCAGCTGCCCTGTTGCAGTACAGAGAGAATATGCGCAGCACGCTTGCAAGTACAGTGTAAAAACCTTTCACAAACATATCGAGACCTTCTTTTCGTAGTTTTCGCCCATTCACAACGTGAACAATGTGCTCTTTCAAGGTATATTTTCGCATTGAAATCGCTCATATGATCTACCCTTAAACAGTTCAATGACGTTCTTCGTAAAATTATAATGACAGATTTTGAGTCGGTAAGCAGCAAGATTAATAAGAATAACTGTGTTTCGCATTCTGTTGATAATATAATTATTGTTTATATACGAAAGCTTTGTAGTCTAACTATTTATTATTTTCTTTAACTTTTCATTTCTAGGATAACAATACACTGAATAACAATGTTTACCTATTACACAAGCAACAAAGTCAAGTATGTTACAACGTCTTCCTATTGGTTAATATAAATGTGTATCTTTATTTAACCGGATGCAATTTATGCAGATAGTCACCACCTCCTCTTCTCCACCTTCTTCTTCTTCCTCCTGCTCATTGCCATCGTCCCACCCAATGGATAGAATGGAAATAGATGAGGTAAATAATTTATTTAAAATGTAGTCTATTATGCAGTATATAATGATTAATATATGTTAATTATTATTATTTAGTCTGCTTATTTCACTTTAGCTGTTGGCTTATAAAAAATTTTATAAACTTGTTTTTTTTTTCCTGCTCCTTTATTTTTTAGAAGAAAATTTCAATGCCAATAGTTCGCAATGAATTGCCTATTGTAAGTTTTATTCTGCATGCTTTTTTCTTTTTAGACTCATTAGTTCCTATATCTAATCCCAAATATTAATTTTTCTTCTCTCTCTTTGTATATTTTGCTATTCTGTTGCACTTTTTCAATATATATATATACAACTAGGCAAATTATCAATGATTGTTCCAATTGGTGGACAACAACTGATATCCTCCAATAACAATAGATTAACTGATCTTTGATAATAAAACAGAATTTTTTCTTTCACCCTTTTTACGATACACCCTTGAATATATTACTATATATTTGAACAATATATTATAATAAACAATAATAAAGTAATATATTAAATACAATCTTTAATTTATTACCTTTTTCAAGGTAAAAAAAGAAAAAAAAACTCTCCCTCTTTTTGGTCTAGAAATCGTGAGAAAAATATCTTTCGAAATATTACTAATTCTCTCTTTTTGTATGAAGAAAGTTTTAATATTTAAAAACATGTTTCAATAGAAAATATATGAAACATTTTTCTCTTTTTGATATAATTATTAAGTTTTTAAAAATCTTCTTTTCAATAGGAGACAGTTCAAGAATTCTTTAAAGAAATAACAAAATGCGAAAAGGAAATGAGTTCAATTTTAACAATCTTCACGCCTGAAAGAGGACAAACTTTTCTCAATTCAAAATTCCTTTTTGATAGTCTTCAAACTCAAATTAAAAGAACGAATGATTGGCGTGACAAGGTTATCGAGTTACGTGAAAGGGGACAGTGTATTATGGTTTCTGGAGAGCCAATTATACACAAGCGTTTTCTCAGCTTGTGTTCAATAAAAAGTGGAAATGTTCAATTGTCTAAAGGAGAGGAGTTTTTTATTGAGGAAGCGCAAGGTGAAAGAGTTAAAGTAAAAACCTCTAAAGGTGACGAAGGTCTTATACCCGCTCTATCTTGTATTATTCCATCTCCGGACCTGTCCGCTAAAAATGCTACAGAGAGGTTGCAACTAGTCTTGTTGGCAGTCTTAAACGATTCTTGGAAAAGGTTTCGTTCTGCGCTCGTTCAGTCAGTCGCTTATAATTCAAAGCATACGGCTTATGATTGGAAGAGAAAAGTAAAACCTACTAAAGCTGGAAACCGTGACAGAGTATCAAGAAGATTTAAAAGATTGAATGAAGTCGTTGTCAAATTTCCGTCAAATTTCGATATATCCAAATTACACAAGGCTTTGTTCAGCTTAGAACGAGAATTAGTTGATTGTAAAGCAAACGAGAATATAATAGAGACTATAGCCTATCTTGACAAAGCAACATTATGTTTTGAATCGTTCACGAAACAATACGATGATTATAAATCGTCCCTGGCTGAGTTATCTAAGCCTATTCTGGTTGTAGAACATTTAAACGATTTGCAAAAAGATAATAGGAGACGAAATATTAGATATTTAGAGATGAAAATGACTTTGACGGAAACGGAAAAAGTTCAATTTATCACCTATAAAGATAAAAATGATATTGGCCAATCAACAACATCTCTACGAACAAGTGAAAGTAAAAATATTATCAGAAGAAATTCCAAAAAATATTTAACTGAAAGAAGTAAATTCTTAAAAAGGTTACAGAAACTAAATAATATACCAATCTCTACGGATAAACCAAAATACGTTAGATTTGAGACTGCATGTCCTAAATCCAAAGCAAAACTTGAAAACTCTCACGAACTAAAATCTATTAAGAAACGGAAAAATTCTAAGCGCGTGCGTGAAATGATAAAGGAAGACCTAAAAATGGAAAAGAAATACCCTTATTCCGGGATTAGCTCACGTAATACATATATAATCAATGATCAACCTAAAAAAGACAGCGGCAAAGATCAATTAGAAACGAAAAATATTATTTACTCTCAAAATAAAATGGAAGGTTGGAATATTTCAGAAGCTGTAGATACCGGAAGTAATGGATTAGATTTAAATATACAAGCCAACAGCACGAACAGTAATGGGAGCTACTCAAGTGATGGATTCCTAGACAAACAAACTGCCAATAGAAGTGTTCATAGCTTTTCTTCAGATAACGAAACTGAATCTCTTCTCCCGAACCAAGATAGTCCAGATAATTCATCGACTGATATACTAGTTGGAGATGAATTACCGATACTTAGTCATTGTCAAAATACTGCATTTAAGAATTCTTCTGAGACATATTCATCTTTCGATAATGAACAGGCTGACGTTATTGATATTGTTTTAAAAGCAAACACTATTGAGCCAGATATTGTTGTGGATAGTGAATATTCAAAAACTATTCAACTTCCAAGTCCTACTTTGAAACTAGATATTCCAAGGGAAAAGGTTAATATTGATACCAACGAATTTAAAGACGACCATTTGACGAACGAGAATGACTGTCAAGAGCCTGAATTGAACGCAGTTAATGATCAAGATAAATTACCTTCAGAGGAACAGAATGCTTCTATTTCTAAGAGTCAAATCGATGAGAGCCCATATTCTATACTCTCGGATAGGTCAAATTCGATCAATTTGAAAAGAAATAGAAGTTTCGAGTCGGCACTTAAATTAACAATCGAAGAAGATAACGACAAAATACCACTTAATAGTAATAACTCGAACATATCTAATGTGGCTAAAAATTCTTTAATCTCATCGAACATTGATCATCAAGAACCATTTAACTCCAATAAACCGGAAAAAGAATCCGAAAAAGGAAAGAAAAATGATTTTGCAAAAATTTTAAAAGAGAAATGGAAAAAAACCTTCTCAAAAACGAAAAACTCGGATAAAGATAAAGATAAAAAAAGGAAAAATAATTTCCCCTTCTTTAAGAAAGGAAAATCAAAGAAATTACGATCTAATGTTGAAATACCTACAAACGAATCTCCAAATGAAGAGCGTAAAGATACTGCTAGACTCGATGATGACGAAGATCGATATCAGCGATTAGAATTAAGAAGAAGTAAACTAAGAAATAGCTGCAGTAATATAGATAAATTAACCAAGTCGAAGTATTCGGAACACTCGTTAAATAGTTACAAAAAGGAAACTACTTCTGATTTTAAGGAGAATGATAGTTTGCAAAGGATGGATATAAGTGAAAATAAAGAAAATGTTGAAAACTATAGTAAAGAGTTTTTGGCAGGTAGAGCAGACTTAGGCAGTAATATTATGCATACAAATGTGGATCCCATAGGTAATGTCGAAAACGAAACCCAAAACAAGGCTAACACCTTGTTTGAAGATGGAATACAGACAAAAGAGAACCAGGATTCTGGTAAGGATAAGAGTTTTGAAAATTCGATAGACAGAGATGGGGAATTAGATAAGGGATATGATAGTTTATCTACCCAAGATTTTAGTGATAATTTTAATAATCATATAGAAAAATTAGACGAGTTAAACCCTCGCCAAAGTAGTACTAATGAGGAAAAAGAGCAATTTAATCGTAGTATTCATGGTTCAAATGTAATCAATTTTTCGGAACATAAATCTGATTCTAATGCCGAAATCGAACAATCTAATATAATTGAGAATCCTTTAAAAATTTCAATATCTGGAATTGGAAGAGAGCTTGCCTCCGAAGTATCGAGTGTAAGCGACGACTACGTGCTTGCCAAAGAATATTTAGACTCACCCATGCTAGGATTCAAATCGTCCGCTTATTCGACACCATGTAGCCATAAAAAACTTGCACTTGAAGATTCCTCATTTAGAAGAATTGGTAAGAATCATTTATTAAAAGGTATTGAATCGGAAATCTCAAGTACGAGCGACGAATACGAACAAGCATTGGAAAGTCTTACAAATATAAGTAGTGATTCAAAAGTAGCTTCCGAAACTAAGCTAACAAATAATCATAGACTTTATGAAACTGGAATGGTATCCGGGAACTCGACTGAAAAGATTGTTAACGTTAATAAGCAAAACTCTAAGACAGCGAAAGAAAACGATAAAAAGCATAATCTAAAAAAAAATATACTTGCAAAGCAAGGAGTAAATAGAACGGAAAATGCAAAACCTACAACATTCCAATCAGCTGATGTTGATACTCTTTTAAAAGATCAAAGTAAAGCACAGACTATTGATCTCAATCAAGAGGATTACAGGTGTTGTATCGATTTTACTGATGAGGATAAAAAGATTAAGCTTGAGGATAATTCTGTTAAGAATCCTGAATCTATCATAGATTCTTCAAAAGATCTCTCTCTCAATGATTTTAACGGCGTTAATAATGTAATTAAAACAACGTTTAATCATTCCAACACTTCTGCTATAACCTCAAAAACACTTCGAGATTCCAGAAAATCTCAAGTTTATTCCAAGACAACTGCCAATGATGAATTGGATGTTACTGACGGATCGGATGATCAAATAGAAAACGCTTGGCAAGGAGCGATAATTATACGAGATTTCCAAAATAGATCTTCTATTCGGCGAAGAAGATCGAAATCTTTACCTTCCTATATAAGAAAAGAGCATAGAAGTAGACCGACTCCGGTTAAATCAATGAATTATAAAGCAACTTCAAGCACCAGGCTTGATTGGAGAATTTTATGTTCCATAAAGCGTCAACTTATAGCGACAGATAATTTGAGATCAACCAAGAAAGAAACGGAAAAGAAATTCGTTATTCGTGGTATTCTCAATCCGAACAATGCCGTGGAGGAGTTTTCTCTCGAGGAAGCAATTAGTAAGGGTATAATACACTTACAAACTGGAAAGTACATAAACCCCGAGAGGCAAGGTAAAAGGTTGTCAATGACTATACAAGAAGCCGTTAAAATGGGACTGATTCTCTTGAAACAAGTAGACGAGATAGAAGGTGCAGAAGAGAGTAAAGATTTTGGTCTGGTGACTATTCAAACTTTACTAGATTGTAGAAACTTTCATATTAAAGAATGCTTGCATAACGGAAAATGGATAGGGGCAGATGAAGCAAGAAAACTTCACATTTTAAACGAATCGGAAGGAGTTTATCAGACTCTAGAAGAACAAATATCCTTAGAGAAAGCAATCAGAAGCGGTTTAGTTTCAATTGAGCACGAGGAGTCAAACGATACTCATACGGAAGAAGAGGCTGTTGAATCTTATTGCATTCGTGCAGTAGTAGATCAAAAGAATAGAGTTTCTGTTCCGTTCCAAGAAGCTATTGAAAGAGGTCTTTTAGATCCTAAGACCGCTGAATATATTAATAACAAAACAGGAGAAAAGGTTTTCCTAGTTGATGCCTTAGCGAAAGGATTTCTTAAAGTAACGCAAGTCAACCATGAAACTTCTCTCGAATCGATTGATCCTGACAAGAGACCGACAGTTGAAAAAGTTATCGGTCTTATAAGGAGATCGGTTGTAACTCCAATTTCAGTCTATAATGCACTAAAATTACATAAAAATGAAGAATGACGCTATATTTAATATTTTTCTTTGAATATATTTCTTTTTTTTGAAAAATACAAATTATTCTATAAAAAATTAAAAAAAAAACATTGTTTGTTATCTATTGACGTCTATTTATTTTTAATATTTTATCCGGTTAAATATTGGTTAAAGTCTCCTTTTTCTATTTAGTTTGTTTTTAACAATTATTCTACAACTTTTTTGACTTTCTTTTCTTTTCCCTTTACTCTTCTCTTCTTCCGTTTTTAAGTTCAATCTTTATAAGGAAAATATATTAATTTATTAGAAATGATATATTTTACTTAATATTAAAAAAATTTAACCTTATATATAATATAAATTATTAATATAACATAATTTGTTTATATTAATACTATCCACATCAACCAGATGTCACTATTGAAATGATTTTCTTTTTGAATACTCTACTAGTTTCTATTTTATAAAGCTTGTCATTGACTAATTTTTAAAAAAAGATGATTGCTAGAAGCTTTTTATTATTAATAATAAACTGCTTAATTAATAGAATTAATAGTGACCTAAATAATCCGGATTTAATATTAAGCTCAATTGGGAGAATAGTAAAATATTCTACCTTCTCCTCAATCCCTAGTTTACAGAAAGAAAGTGAATTTTATACAACAGTAGACAATATTCGAACAAATGGAAATATATATTCACCTGATAGGCTTATTAATTTAAATATTACCACAATAGCTAATAAAGAAACCATTAAAGGTTTTCCATACTATCACTTTAATTCGAATAGATGGAAAATCAATAAGAAACAGTTAAGCTGTAAAGAAATATGTCAGTTTCTATATCTTAACGGTAAAAATTGCGATTCTAAGAACTCAACTGGAGAAATAACATGTACATTCGATAAGAAACGATACCCGCACAAGATTATCAAGTGATACAGTTACTTATATAATTAAACTTCTAATTATTCATAAAAATGTATATATATTTGAATATTGAAGTTTAGATAAGAGAAGGAAATTTGAATTGTATACTCCCGGGGATGGAAGTTGGAACAAATGCTTTTCAGGAGGGATTTCGCTAGTTAAAAGGAAGAAGAGTAACAATGAATTAAATATTGAAGAATGTGCAAAAACTTGTAAGAAAAATTGTACAGCTTTTCTTCATAAAGAAAGCTCAGGGGGAGGAAGTTGCCTTAAAATAGAAAAATATTGTTCTTTGGATCATTTTAATCATAGTTTCTTACCTCCGGGAAATCATCTCTACGTGCAAATATTCCCTTTTTGCAATCCGGGTAATAGATTTCTTTATTCTAGATATTATTACGATTTCTCCATAGATTTATGCTTTATTGTTGGTCCAACTTTGCCTCAATCTGCAGTTTCTAATTATTGTGGAGAAAGAGGCTATTTCGTTTGTCAATTCGATAAGAGGTTACAAAGGGGCAAAATATTTCTATCAATATTTCAAGAAAACGATAAAGTTTGGTTTACTTTCAATAACAAATTAAACGTCTATAAGTTTATAAATAATAGTTTTGTAAAATTGGAAGTTTTATCCTTATCCATGTCCCTTTATCCAACTACCTCTTTTAATTCAATATCATCGTATTCTTCGTTTTCATCTTCTATCTGGACAATTTGCTGTAAAAATAGATTTGACATAAGTTATCATGTAATCTCTTTATCTTATTAATTATTTAAGGTATTAATAGAAAATTTTCTTTTTTTTTTTCCATTAGGAGTTAGATTATTTTAAAAAAGGAAAAAGCTTTTTACAACCTATTTATACTGTTGATACGTTTAATCTCAGTCACTCTATAGTACCGGAAGATAATGATATTAATCATCTTTCCAATGATAAAACCTTAATGATTAAAAAAAATATGAAAACTGAAAAGTATTTTATTAGCGGTATTTTATACGCTAATACTTATAGTAAGCCTAGTCCCATTTGCCCACCAAAAAATGCTAAAAGTGACAAAAGAATTATGAAAAGCATCTGTCAAATTTTTTCATCTACTTACGTTTACCATAAATCCGTTTTATTAACTGAAAATGACAACGAGATAGATGAACAGAAAATGTATTTTCAGGCTTCTACTTGGACTAATAATCCGAAAGCATTTTCTCATTTTTGGTCAATTAAGCCAATTAGATTAACTGGTAGAGAATGTTTTATGGAACATAATTATAGACTAATGGTTCTTTATATTAAATGTTCGAGTAAATATAAGATTCAGCTGAGGCCGTCTATATTTTTTGATGAAGATTATCACGGTAGTCCATTTCTTGTAAATTATAAAACTTATTCACCAACTGATAACCTATTTTGCGCCCCTGTTCAACTTTTATTAAAGAGGAAGTATAATAATGCCAGAAGTGTTCAAAATTTTACGGAATGTGCTCAATTGTGTACTCGAAACACTCACTGTGTTGCTTTCCTTTTTGCTACATTGAATGTCAGAATGTATAAAGAACCTTTAAAATGTTTACTATCAACGAAATACTGTCATAGTTGGAGAAAACACGCATTCCTTTTACCAGGTCAATTCGTCTATTTGAAAACGACATTTTGTTCAAACTTAGCTACAAGTTCAAAGAGCGATATTATGTTTATTATGATTTATCCATATTGTTTTTTCATCTCTTCAACACCAATGACAATTAGAGAATCTATAGAGTTTTGTTCTCAAGCATCATTTAATTTACCGGAGAGATTGCACCAATTCTTTAACAATCTTAAATTTCAAAGTTTATTTATTCAAGAACGTAGTAGATTTTGGATATTTAAAAAAAAGCAATGTAAAGTATTCGATATGAGTAAAATGACGGGGGAAAGCGTTCCAAATTGCGCTGGTAAACATTTCGCAATATGTATTAGTCCGATAAAGGTATCTTTATATTTATATAAATACACTGTATATATTTTACAAAGGAAATAACTAAAAAAACCTATTTTCTTCGAACTTTTAAGAAAAAAATATCTACTTCCGGTATATCTCATCCGGAAGCAAAAAATTTTCAGGAAATAATTATTCGTGGTTTTCTTACATATATTCTACATTTGAAGACAATAGGAAAATTGTATACAAAAGACCCTATATGGACTGATCCTTTGACGAAAAAACAATACTTTTATACTACGGATCGATATTTATTATTAGAAATTATTCATTTAAGTAGCAGAACTATAACTGGAATTGTTAAGTCAAATATAGACAATCTTTTACCAATATGCATCTTAAAAGGACTTCAAAGTGTAAGGCATAAAAAGATGCTACATACAGTTTTCTGCCGATCCTTTAATATGGAAAAGCAAGAAGATAAAGTAATGTTAAAGAATAGTTGATAAAACTATTTTACTCTATTTCTTTCTTCCTCCTTCTTTTGTTGCTAATGGATTTTTTATTCTTTATCTAGATGCCTACATATAGTAAAGTTAAAAATAACTATGAGAATTGGACTATTTTATCAGATTTTCCAACAATAAGTAGATTAAACTCATTTTGGAGAGTAACACATTTTCTTACTTTAAATCCTCTTTTGGTGAAAGGAAGTAGTTGTTCGGACGAGAATGGTATGATAACTGAATTAATGATTAATTGTCTAAGAAACAAACAATATAGACCGCAAAATCTTATACAAAGTCGTATTTTATATAGTTTTCTAAGGAATTATAATTATAATTTTACATATATTCTCTATGAGCCCGGAAGTAGATTTTGGAAAAAGCGCTGCCCCCCTCCAAATATACTAGGCTCATATAAAACTGAAGCGAACTCTTTAGAAGACTGCTTAGAGAGATGTAGCAAAATAGAAAGCTGCACAACAATTATGTATTATCCAACTTTCAATGATAAATACATTTGCAAAAAGATAAAGAAGGTTTATAATTGTAATCAAAATCATATTAAACATTCTTATGTTTTACCTAAGATATATATCTATATTAAACAACCAACCCTTTGCCCTATGGATTCTAGTAACCTTTCTTTTTACTATCTATCAAATGGCGTCTGCATTACGATTTTGTTTAATCAAACATTCGATTCGGCTAATAAACAATGCTCAACAATGAATATGGATCTATTAAGAGTTGAAACAAAGTCAAATTTCAGTATTGGTAAGCAAAATTTAATGAAATATATATTTGTAGAGGATGAGACCTTTGTTTGGTTGGGTATTGGGCTAACAAACCAATCATTAAAATGGATTTCAAATCTCAAAGATCAAAACGAAGTCTCTAGTCATATCCCTTTGGTCATTAACGAAGTTAATGGAGTGAGTGATCTCTGTTTTGCTGCTGTTTTCAATAAACATGGAATTTTAGTCAGAGTTCACCAGATGTTGTGTAAAAATAGGCTAATAGCTATTTGCTACAGAAATATTTTAGGAGAATGGTCAAATTGGGTTCAATCAAATAGTAAAAGGATTAGAAAATGTAATAATCCAGAACCCCTTAAGATATTTCAAAAGAACAGTATTTATTGTAATACAAAAAACTATATAGAATACTCAAATAAATCAGAATCTGAAGTTGTTGATAACATTGATTTCTCTTTTATAAACACAAATTTAAGGGAATGGAGAGATATATGCTCTTTTACCAATTCAAAATCCATCCAGAGACGATCACTACTACTGCCAAAGAAAATTTGCCAAAATGAATGTATCAAGGATGATTTATGTAATGGAATTTTCATAAGGAATGGAATATGTTCATTTATCGGTTCAATATGTAACGTTCATCATTTATTCAATTATGATAGACAAAATATGAATATTTATCTTAAATCCGCTACTTTTTGCAATATTACCAAAACTAAGATCAATACCAGTGTCTCTTTTATGTTCCATGCACCAAGTAGTTACTGTTTTGCCCTTATCCATAAAAAATTGAATAGATTACAAGCACTTATCGAATGTCAAAAATTGAAAATGTCTGTCCTTAAATTAGGTAAACTTGAAGCTAATAAGAATATAAGTACTTTTCTTAATGACGTCATTGATCGAACTGAGGTATGGATAGGATCTGGTAAAAGTACAAGAAGATCTTATCAAGTAGAAAAAACATTAAAATCTAATTATAATGCCATTGATCTTGATTGTTCTACTATATTCATAATGGGTAATATGGAGATCGTTTATCAAACAATCAACTGCTCTCAAAGTCTCAAAACTATATGCTTTCGGTCAACAAACAGTGAATGGTATCCTTGGCAACAGTATAGAGAATGTAAATTACCCAATCGTTATAAATGTAAAGATAACCATTTAATAAGGATGAGAAAATGTAATAACAAATTCTCTCAAGGTACTTGCCAAGGACCTAGTTTTGAGATAAAGGCAAAAGAGAATAACCATACAGCTTGGCATTCAATATTAGTTACAATCGTCATTACGGTTGCGGTTATCTGTCTAACAATCTTCTTTGTTTATATAACAATAGAGAGAAGGATGGAAAGTATATTAAAGAGTATGGAGGTTGAAACATCTTCAATAAGTCCAAAGTGTGCTTCAGTTACTTCCCAAAGCCAAACATTACAAAACGATAGATTATCAAATATAGTTTCATCGAGCTAGCAATAAATATGGCGATTACATAATTAAGGTCTTTAAGTACTGTTCTATTTTTAGAAAATAGAAAAAAAAAACAATATTTTTAATAGCTAAGATTTAAAAATGGTTTATTAAAAAGAATTCTAAAATCGTAAAAAAAATAAACTATTGACCTGATTGTACATACAAGTCACTTTTTATCTCTCTCTCTCTCTCATTCTCTCTCCAACCCAATCCTCCCATCCCATCCCCCTCCCTTTTTCTCCACATATATATATTATAGTAGTTTGATAGAGCCGCACATAAAACGATAAATACAGAATGTTTATTGTTTACAATACCTTAATTTATCAACTAAAATAGTAGCAATAAAAAAAAGAGACAGAAATTTATACTTTTTCTCTGTTTACTGAAGAAACAAAGATGAAGTCATATCTTTACATATAAATTATTTTTCTTTAAAGTTTAACGCTTATATTTTGTCCTTGTTTTTCCTGTTTTCTGTTTATATATACAATATGAATGTATGTTATGAATGTATGTATGTACGTATGTATGCATGCCTGATTTTTAATATTTTGTCTTTATTATTAATAATATTATTATTTTTCTCTCTTTAAAACTTTTATAATATTAATATTATTCTGTTAACTCTTAGTATTGTTAATCCTTTTCAAAATTTTCAGCTTCTTTTACAAGTACTTGTTCATACATCGACATCCACATATGTGATTTGTAAGGATAAATTGCCCAAAATATTTGCGCAATTACACAACAAATAAGAGTTAAGATACCTATAGTTGCAAAGAAGAAAAAGAGGAGAAAAAACAATTTTCTTATTAGTAATTTATTACGTAATTAATAGAATGCACTATATATTTTTTTTATTACCTGCACTTAGGGTAAACCAATAGCACCAACCATATTGCAACCCCACTATAGTTCCATCTACAGGTAGGAGTAGTTCATGTCTTGGCTGCAGTAGATGATATAAGCAACATGATCCTGACATCAGTATACCAGTTAATGTTCCCATAAATGTTCCATATTTTAAAATATAAACTAAATAAATATTAGCCATGAGCCAGGAAACAAGAGAACTCCAAATTAGCACCCTTACGAAATTACCAGCTAATCTTATATCTCTCATCCATCTTAATTCTCCCGCATCAATGCTAAAGTATTCAAGAATTTTAATAATTGCAACCGGTTTCGAATTACTATAGGCACTTAAATACAGCAAACTGGGATCTTCAACTAATAAGTGGGAAAATTTTATAATCGTTTTAATTATAAAGATACAGAAAGAATTTTATATAATTAATTAATTTTTTATAATACCAGATTTCCACGTTATTGTTTCTCTATGATCTACAATATCAGAAACATCTTCACCCATTTTTACTTTGCCCTTCAATCGAACATCAACCATTTTAAGGCCAACCGATACTGTTACGCTTCCATCGACATTTAACAGATCGCACATAGGTATATACTGACCAACCGCTTTAACTCTTCCCGTCATCCAACAATTACTAGTTAGCGATACTGTAAAGGTAGAAAGTGACCAAAAAAACCGTTTTAGTTAAACAATTTACAATAGAAATAGTTACTTTAGCTAATTAACGGATCTTACTGAGAATAGCACTTCCACAAAATAATGATAGAAAAGCTTTAAGAAATGTCATCCACTTCTATAATATAATTAAAATTCAATGCTATTTAGAACAAAATTATAAATCACTTCATAAACCTCTTTTCCCTTTGTCCCAATAACCAACATTATTATTGCTACAGCTGACAAAGATCCAACTAGTATGATTGCAAGAAATTTTACATCGACCATTTCAACATCCTTGAGTTCGAACCAACTAGGCTCCTTATGACTCCTAAAAGCGTCAAACCAAGTCATGATCTAACGAAGAAAAAATATCCTTTAAAAACGTTCATTTTCTCCTAAGCTATACAAGCATAATCACGATACGAATATACATACCCTTTAAAAGGGAAGAAGTATTTTTGGGGCGTCCTATATTATTGCTAACAATCTGGCGACTGTTTGCTCCTTTTTGCTCTATGTAAATTGGCTATCGAGTAGATATCAAACAGTTATTACTCAACTAAAGTAAATTGAAATCAGTCAAACACTTAGCAATAATTGATTATAGTATTACATACAATATGTACACAGTGTATAGATTATATAGGTGTCCCAATCTACTGCTGTAAAACGATATTGCATTTATCGAGAAAAGTAACTTTTTAAACTACAATAAAAAATAGTAGTCTTGAATCAATTCGAAATTGAAAGAAAGAATAGAGGTAAAATTTAGTTCACTATTTATTCAATACGCTAATACGCTATTAGATGCGATATATATATTAATTATATTATATTTGTATATATAGATTATATAGTATTTCTTATTATTAAATCAGCCATTCATTCATTCACTTCTGACTCTTCCTCAACTCTTCCATATCTATCTACCTACCCATCTATCAATCTATCAATCTATCTTACACTCTCTGCCTCCTTGGTTTTTGTAAATACGCCTAAACGTGTATACAGATACTTTTTATATCAAACAATACGGAGCAGTATTTTTCTACCCCTCCCTTTTCATCTTAACCCGATCCTTTTTCAAAACACTCCACCTATACTAAAATAATTAGTTTTAGTTGTTTTTATTTGGTTTTTTACTCTTACTTAAAGTACATTCCCCTCTCTCTCTCTGTTTGGTAAAAAAAAAAAGAAAAGTGAGTACTTTTAATAAACTAACTTCTTAGAGCCAAAAATAATTGGCGGAGAATATTCAGTTGACAGTAAAATGCCGTTTCGGGCACCAACTCTGCTTTTCTTACTCTTTATAATTGGTAATTATTTTTTAGCAGTTTCACATCAGTAAATATATCTAATTTTATTTTAAATTTAATAGATATTTGGAGTGTGGAAACACTAAATGAAAAAGCTGCTACTTTATCATTTAGCGGTTGGTATAATAATCTGTTTGCACCTAATTCTGGATCTAAAGGTAAGTTTTTTCATTAATTATAGGGTATTTATTAAATATCTTTATTGTTTTATGTATACAGGAAATCCTCTTTGGAAGAAATTTATGAAAGCGCATATTAACGAAGAGGAACGGGATATTAGTGAACCTAATCCTCGTTTAATTTCAAATGCTATTTTTCAAACAAACTCTGGAACTTTAGATGTTAGAAATCGAACTTTACTATTCGCTATATTCTGTGAGTTGTAATCTATATGGAACTTTTAGTATAAGCTTTTGTTAATACTTTTATATAATTGTATAAATAACAGCACAATTTGTTCAAAACGAGATTGTGGATATTGATGAAAATTCTTGCCCGAATGAAGTGGAAAAGATCAAATTAGCCAAAAACGATAAACTTTACGCTTCAAACTTTAAATACTTGCCATATATCCGAGTTCACTACAAATCCTTTCGCTATCATACAAGATGTCATCCAAATCAGGTAACGTCGTGGATTGATGGAAGTGCTATCTATGGTTCGTATGAAATATGGAATAACTGTCTTCGAGAATATAAAGGAGGGAGACTCTGCGAAGAAAAATTTGGAGAACCTTGTCTGAATGTAAAAGGTATACCCTTACGAAATCGTGAATCCTATCGGACAAAAATCAAATCGAAACTATCTGCCTTATGGGGTAATTAACTTTATAACTTTGAATATATTTCTTCCTGTTAACATTAAATAATTTGGCACTGGGCTAAAACAAAAAAAAACCACAAATACCAACTGTACAATACCTAAGTAAAATATATTAATATTCATATCTTTCAATCAATTATAGGCTCTTAACTAGTATTTTTTATAAATGGAAATCTTAACCTTGTTAGCAGTGATTGGCCTTTACTATTATCAATTGAAGAATTATTGAAGACAACAAAACTTTAATATTAAACCCTTCCACTGTTCCAAGGTACACTTACCTTTTTATAAAGGTAATAGACCTTCGTAAATAGCTATTGCTGTTGTCAAAACAAAACTACGTTATCGAGAGAATAAAGCAATTATATTTCATTGGATTTTTTTTTATATAAACTTATCCAACTCTCTTTAGGTTATCAAAATTGATTTATTTTTTTTTAATCTTCAAAGCTCAGTGTCCAAAAAAAACAGAGAGAGAGAGAGAGAATTTCATTTTCTTTATTAAAAGCCCTTTAATTCTTTCGATAGCTATCGGTAATAGGAATGGTCATGAGAATCCTCCACTATTGGCTATTTCAATTGTATGGTTTCGTTACCATAATTTAGTTGCACGACGTTTAGAAACTGCTCATTCGAATTGGTCGGACGAAGATCTATTTCAAGGGGCCAGAATAAGAACAATAGCAGCATTGCAAAATGTTATATTCTATGAATGGCTACCTGCTTTATTAAATGAGCCTGTACCGGCATACGAAGCGTACGATGGAGAGAAAATTAACGAGGTTACAAATGATTTTGCAGTAGCTATAAGATTCTGGTTAAATATGCTGCCAACTGCCTTTATTATAAGGGATAATAAATGCAATCTTATAGGTAAACCCCAGCGTTTTTGCAATACCTATTGGGATTCCCAAAATTTAATAAATCAAAAAGGATTAGAGAATATTTTACTTGGAATGTGTTCACAAATAGCTGAAAAACTAGATGATAAATTTGTCGAGGACGTTATAAACTGTTGGCATGGTCCTTTACACAGCTCTCGTCAGGATGCATTGACTATATCAATATTATTAGCTAGAGATATAGGTCTCACAGATTTTAATCACATAAAAAAGTCATTAAATCTTACACAGTATAAGGATTTTAGAAGCTTCCTTCAAAACATTAACCGATTGGATGTATATGATGTATTAAATGCTACATACAATGGTAATTTTGATCATTTTGATACTGTTGTTGGTGCATTGTTGGAGAATGGTAATTCTGGTGAAATTGGTAACACTTTTAAAACAATAATAAAAGATCAATTTTTAAGATTAAGAAATGGCGATAGATTTTGGTTCGAAAATAAAGATAATCATTTATTCGACAATGACGAAATTGAAAAGATAAAATCATTAAAATTTAGCGATATTTTAGCTCAAGTGTCAAATGGTTTAGACGATAAAGACTATCAGGAAAATGTTTTCTATTTTAATACCAGTGATCCCTGTCCTCAACAGGAGATACTTATATCTGAAAAACTTGAAAAATGCTTCCAGCATGAAAATTACGATTACTTTAAGAATAGTGAAATCTATTATATTATCTCTTTTGCCTTTCTATTCACATTTCCCTTTATTCTTGGTTTCATTGCTTTTGTCTTAGTTAAATATTTTAAAAGATCTAAGGCGAGAAATATTAATAAAATGATAGAGATTGAGAAATCTATAAGGGGTATTGGACAATTGGACGGTTACGAATGCGTCAATCAACAACATCAGAGACCAGTCACTATTAATTTATTATTAAACAGTGACAAGCAATTAGAGATGAAATTATATAATGAAAAGAGGAAGTTGGTTAGAAAGATTGCCATTAATGTTGGACACGATCAAATATGTCTAACAGAGACTAATACTTACGGCCATTGCGGATTATATTTAAAATCATTCACTTGTAATGATGTTTATTTATTATTCGAATCTTTAGAACAAAGAAGAGAATTGGTTGAATCGTTCAAAGCAAAGCTAAAAGAATTTCCTAATATGGAATTTTCGTATGTTCAAGTTGCAATGTCGAAAGTATTCGATACGTTTATTAGTAACGAGGAAAGAAAACGAACTTTAACTATAGCATTTAAAAATTGCTTTATGAAAGATTTAGAAGAAACGGGAGTTTCGAACGATGTAAAGGAGAGAATGCACCTTTGTAGGAGTGAACTTGCCGAAAATTTAGGCATGAGAGCTGATTGCGAATTTATAAAGCGTCTATTTAGATTTGGTGGTAATTGCAACGATTCGGATGGTGGAGAATTTCTAAGTTTAAGCTGTATATTAGACTTAATAAGTGTATTATGCGACGAAACGAATCCTGAAAAAATGAAGGTTTTGTTCGATATGTACGATTACGATAGTGATGGTTGTTTAACGCAAGATGAATTAAAAAGTTTAATAAAATCCTTAATGGAGTTGTCGGTTGCAAGAGAAGTAGATGAGGAGGAGACAAACAATTTAGTAGTTGAATTATTTGGTCAAGATAAGACAGATGTTACAATTCAAGAATTTCAAGAGGTTTTTCCAAATTTAACAAATGCTAGTTTAACCTTATTAGATAAGAATAAGAAAAGTGGTTTACATAGGAGAATGAGATCAAAATCATTGATAAGCGATAAATCTAAAACGCTGGAAGAAAGATTTAGATCTGTTGTATATTCAACTATACGTATGAAGTACACCAAACGTACATTTATACGTTTTAGACATTTTATTGAGAATAAACGACAACATATCTTCTACCTCTTACTATTTTTTGGTGTTACTGCTGTAGTCTTTGCTGAAAGATTCTACTATTATCTTGTTTCGGAGAAACATAAGGGATTATTGAATATAATGAGCTATGGAATTTGTGTTACAAGGGGTGCCGCTGCCGCAATGAGCTTTACTTATTGTTTATTACCTTTGACTATGTGCAGGAATACTTTAACATTTCTTAGAGATACGTTTGTACGGCATTTCCTGCCAATTGATAGTGCAGTTCCATTTCATAAGGTTTGCGCCTGGACAGCAGTTTATTTTACAATCATGCACGTTTTGGGCTATTGCTTTAACTTATATAATTTAGCAACTCAACCGTTTGACGCCCTATGTGTATTTGATGAATTAGTCTTCAAAGATAATCTTGAAACTGCAATGAAATTTTGGTTGTTCGAAAATTTAATTGGAATAACTGGAATTCTTTTATGCATTATCGTATCTATTATCTATATCTTTGCAGTAACTCCAGTAAGGAGACATTGCTTTGCCCTCTTCTGGAATACTCATAAGCTTATCTATTTATTATATTTTCTTACTATACTCCACGGTGTAAGTAAGATAGTTCAAAATCCTTATTTTCCCTATTATTTATGGTAATTTGATAAAATACGCGTAATTGCTCACATAAATTTTATTAATTTTTATGATATTCATTCTCTAGTGGACCAGCAATCATATTTGCACTTGACAAGACAGTTGCTCTAACAAAACGTCAGAGGGCGACAATGGTATTAAAATGCGACCATCTGCCATCAAGTAAGGGTTACGAATAAATATTGAAATTGTAATTGAAAATGACATCTTTGTTTATAATTCTCTTTTGAATGTTTTGTTTAACAGACGTCCTTAAATTAGAGATCAAAAAGCCACCGAACTTTTCCTACAGATCAGGACAATACGTTTATCTTAATTGTCCAAAAATTGGAGAATCTTATCATCCTTTTACAATAAGTTCAGCTCCTCATGAACCAACTATACATTTACATATTAGATCTGTTGGACCATGGACTTATCAATTACCGGTTATATTCGATTGCGATTCAAGTGAATATCCGCCAGTTATAGTTGATGGCCCTTACGGAGGGCCTCACGAATATTGGAAAGGACACGAAGTATGCGTCTTGATTGCTGGTGGCGTGGGAATAACGCCCTATTCATCAGTCATTAAGGATCTCGTATACAAGTCTAAACTTGGTCAGCATATCAAGTGTAAAAAAGTGCATATTATTTGGGTTACGTCATCTCAATATCAATCTGAATGGATCCTCGACATGTTTAAGGAATGTGAGGAGAATGACGTTAAGAATATTCTTGATATTAACATATTCATTACTCAATTTTACGACCAATACGATCTGAGAACTTCTTTCCTTGTAAGGGATTTTATAGATTTACTTTAGCTCTTCCTCTTTCTCTCTTTACAAGTTAATAATTAATGTTATTAATCAATCTTCTTTGTCCTTTCGATAGTTCGTTTGCGAGGATGCTGCAAGAAAAAGTACCAACAAAAGTCTTATAACGGGCTTAAAAGCAAGAACTCATTTTGGCAGACCCAATTTTGAAAAACTATTCAACAATATCGCACTATCTGCTATGAATTGCAAACAAATTGGAGTTTTCTCATGCGGACCACCAGGTTTAAGCAGAACTATTGATAAGAGTTGCCATAGAGTTTCCAGAATCAAAGGAAATCCGAACTTTTGTCATTTATATGACAACTTCTAAATTTATATATTCAATCATTCTATTTAAGAGTGTTAATTTACACTTTAAAATCAATCGACAAAAATTTTACACAATAAATATCTTGCTTTTACATTCAAAGTTTACTTTAATTTGTTTCTAGTCTTTAGAACTTTTTAGAAGGAGATCTAAAAAATAACACACACAAACACATTAAAACAAGTGAAAAACTATAGAATATCAAGAAGGTATTGTAAAGAAATTGATCAAATTAATTTGGTATTCCTTCGGATTGGCGGTGATTTTTCAACGCATTGGCATACCAATCTAATTGAGTAATGAGTTTTTTCGCACCACTTTCCATATGGCTATCTTGAGGATTACCCGCCTCATCGAATGCCTTCATAACTTGGGGTATGCCGAATATATTTGAAATTGCTAATGCCCCAATTTCTCCTAGAAGGGCTCTTGCTTGCATGGCTGCGCGCATGCCTCCATAGATACCTGAACGTAAACAAAACATTATTTGATTAGCATGTCTAGACCCTAAATCAAACGATTCGATTTGAGAGCGAACCTGCAGAATAGCACACAATAGCGCTTGGTTTCCAGCTGTAAACTGAGCTACCAAAATGATCGAGCATGTTCGTTAAAGCTGGCGGCAACGAATGATTATATTCTGGTGTAACAATGACGAATGCATCCGCTTCCTTTATTTTATTTTCAGCGGCAACTAACCATTCAGGAGCTCCTTTCCTCTCGGGCCCGTAGTGAAAGACGGGTTTCGATAGCATAGTAAACGGCATATGTAGCGGATCTACAAAATCAAACAATACCTACTCAAGTTAAGCTTGTTTGATGTGTACTGTGTATTTACCAAACAAAGTAACATCGTGGTTCGTTCCTTCTAAAAACTTCTTCATAAAAATTCCAACTCTTTCGCCATAACGATTATCTCTTGTAGACCCAAGAAATAGGATGACCTTCAGTTTATTCGCTGCAGACATAATATCACGGAATAAAAATACTTTGCGAATTTGAGAGATTCTCTATTGTTGTTGAGTCGCCTTTCTGCGTAATTGAGTAGATCTAGAGTAATGAATAAATAACGATACAGAACGTCCAATGTATTAAAAATAAATGATAAGATTTATTTATAAACTGATAAATAGGACATTTAGACAGCAAAAACAACAGCAGCCTAAAAGTATATGACTCTACCTGGAGGAGTCACGTGATATAGTGTGTGATATAAACAACATTTTTTGTTTTCAAAGAAATGTTTCAAGGGTTAGAATTCTTGCATTTAAAAATTCTCAACCCCTCTATAACCTTAAGGATCCCTATATTTACACATTCTCCTCTTTTCATCAACGAAATACCCAATGAATAAAACTAATACAAGATAATGAAAACCTTATTTCACAATATATTTTATATAAAACATATTTAGAAACTGTTGTGATAACTGCTAAAAACTTTATACTATTAAGTCTAAAACAATTCAGGTAGAATAACATTCACCTTTCTCGTTCACTAATTTCAATTGGCATTAGAAAGAACATATTGAAATTCAATATCAGAAGGTAAGAAGGAGAAGACGTACAAAGTAAATTACCTTTAACCTTTTACATTTCAAATTAAAATACTTATTCCGCCAATTAGCCTATCACAATATTTAATCAAGATAATTGATAAAGTGCTTTTGCAGTTTGTCACGGAATATTTCAATCTTTTGTTGATATACAGTATAAGAGTTGAACTAACTTTTAATTTCCTGTATAGGTTACGTTGTAGTCAACAAGAGTAGATCGAAATTTTTTGTAGTTGAAAAGTTTTACCAATAACACATAGTTTGTTTAAATCATTCGGTAACTATAGTTACACAAATGTTACTTTCCTGCAGCTATGGAGTAGAAGTTTACCAGGCGTATATATTGGAGATGGAAATGAATCGAAAGAAATTAATTACTCATTAATAATTTCATTAACAACTAAATATAAACTTATAGAGTGTGTAGTCATTGAATAGAATAGGGCGGCCAGATGTGTGCATATTCTTTCTAAGAGCTATACCTTAACGTCCTCCTTCTGTTTAAGTATCACTCATGTGAGAAAATTCCCCATGGAAAGAAAAACATTTTGTTTAAATTAAAAACTTTTAGAACATTGAAATAAAGTAAAACCTTATCTGTCTACTCTTCAGGGTCTAGGAGCTCGTTTCTTTGAAGTAGACTTTTGAAATCCTTGTACATACGTCAAATAATTTAACAAAGGAATATGATTATAGACAATATTAAAAACTCTTCAATATTCTTACTTGAATCGTATATAAATATGATATATTTATTTTTAAATTATTTTTCTCAACCTTCTTTCCATTCCATACATAATTTTATTATATATTAATATAAGGATATTGTAAGGAGGAGGAAATCCTATTAATTAATTCCTTTATGTACATAGTAATTGTTTATAAATAACAATTTACCCTTTTATATACTTACGTTTATTTATGTATTCAAGTATTTTGACCTTTTGACTTTTTACTTATATAAGTTATTTTTGAACGAAAAGGTGTTATATCAATATAAATAATATTTTATAATTGGTATTATTATACTAACGTAACAAATTGTAATTTCCGTTTTTTTTTAATATGTCTACACTTTTCAACGCTTTTAAAGATCTTTTAAACTGTTTTCTGTTACAATTACTAGTCTGACAAGTAGTTGTTATGACGTAATAACAGGAAGCTTAACACTTTTCTGAATAATAATTGATGACTCTGAGATTGGAATTCAATAGGATATAAAACAAGTTATTCCTTTTTCTTTTTTATTCTTATTTTAATAAAACCTTTAAATTAACCAATTAATAATATTAGCACCTACTTATTTAAGCTTATTAGAAAAAAATGCGCCCCTAAAATTAGTTAGCCTAATAATGTTCACCCTTCTTTAAATAGAATCGAATTAAATTTTCGAAGGTCGTTGATTGGTTATTCGATAAGCATTCTATTACTATATCTATGGAATTCATAAATTTTATAAAAACATATAGAAAGCTTATTTTTCAAAAGTCATTCAATTCTTTTATTAATGTGATTCAGTTTGTAACCAACTTATACAAAAACATTTTTGTTTACCTGTTGCTTTGATCATAAAGAAATATGTCAGCTATGCGGAAAATTAACTTTTTAATGTCTCATACTTGTAGTTTTAAAAAAAAATACTTAAAAACTCTTCCGGCCGTGATTCAATCAGTTTTGATTTAAAGCTGGGCTTTGTTTTTTTTCTATTTCCTTCTCCTTATTCTTTTCTGTTCCCAATTTAAAAAAAAAAGAAATTCCTTGGATTAGCTTTATTTTAGGATTATTATTCTCAATGAATTTCAAATAAACCGATTAATATAGCTTTGGTTTTAAATATGGAAATACTTCAGATATATATTTCATTGTTATAAGACCAGAATAAGTGTTAATTACTTAGTTTCGACTACTCCAATTTGAAATTGTGCGCCATCTAGGCGCTCCTCATTTTGCCGATGTCTTCCTAACATCAACCTGTTAAAGGGCACAAAAATAAAAATAACAATGCTTCACTCGGAAACTCGAGCCTTTAGCAACCAATTTAAAGATTATGGGGAAGAAGATACAGTCATTGGATCTAACAATCGGGTATAACTTTCTCGGGATATTGTATAGTAAAAATACTTTGAGCGATAATAAGTCGATATGTCCACAGCTTACAGATGATTTTCTACAAAAGCTAAATTCATGCATCGGTAAACTTTTGTATAAGCTCGAAAAAGAGTACACAGGAAGTAACATAAACTGGAATGATTGCTCAGTCTACACTGGGGTATCGGGCATCGCTTTACTTTACGTCCGGCTATACGATATCGGTATCCGGCCGGACGGACTGCAAACAGCACTGAAATTTGTCGAACCATGCCTACAGAAATTAAAAAATGCCAAGGCTAGTTTCCTTTGCGGAGACTCGGGCCCCTTGTGCGTCGCTGCCCTGGTTTATAAACGCCTGAATAATGTCGATAAGTATGAATCTTGCGTTAACCAACTGATAAATCTGCGTGCAATCGCAATGAAGGGTGATACGCCCGACGAAATTCTCTCTGGTAGAGCCGGATATTTGTATTCTCTACTGTTTATCAAGGAACGCGTGACGAGTGTAGACGAAGAATTAATAAGAAGCATTGTTAAAGAAATTGTTCGAAGCGGACGTTCATATGGTGATCCAGACAGCTTGGGCGTTTCTCTAATGTTTGAGTGGCATGGTAAGAGATATTTAGGGGCAGCCCATGGTGTTTCCGGCATAATTTCAATGTTATTCAAAAGCGGTCTAGTTGATAGCCGTCAACTGTCGAAGGAAGTGGATTGTTTGAGAGCTTTGCAATTCAAGTCGGGAAATTATCCGAGTTCCTTACCCATAGGTTCTGACAAATTGGTTCACTGGTGTCACGGTTCCCCAGGCTTTACTTTTATGTTTGTTGAGGCGTACAGGAAGACAGGTGCCGAATGCCATTTAAAATCGGCCGTTGATTGCGCAGAGTCTATTTGGAGAATGGGATTGTTGAGAAAAGGATACGGTCTGTGCCACGGCATTGCCGGAAACGCTTATGCACTGTTGACCGTTTATCAAACGACACAGGATATCAAATATCTACATAGAGCGGCAAAATTTGCAGAATTCTGTTTCGATTATGGAAAACATGGTTGCAAACAGCCGGATAGGCCTTATTCCCTATTTGAAGGTTTTTCTTCTTCTTTCCCAATTTCCGAATGCATAATTAACGCTAGCTATTTTCATCCCAACAGGTTTGGCTGGCACAATTTATTTTTTGGTCGAATTACTCGAACCAATGAGCGCTAAATTCCCCTCTTTTGACGATGTCTAACCTCGACCCTAGCGTGATGTAGGATGGATAAAGAACGCGCGAATAAGCACGAAAAAGAAAGTCAAATTGAACGTGATACAAATAATAGCAACCTCAATGACGACGTTCTTTGTGTAACCTTATGAGGGTGGTCTTACTTAAGAAGCTGTCTAACGCTGGGCGGTAGCAGTATGCTCATGACCGAAAATTGAAAATTCACTTATTACAACTCTATTTAATAAGCTGAAAAAGACTATTCTCTTTCAAATATTACATTATACAATTATATCGACTTTTTTGAAAGATTTTTCTGTCTCAAATACTCGTATTATTACTCTGATTTTTATTTTATTTGCATGGTCGATAGTGTTGCTTAAAAGTTCCTAATTAATAACTACACGTTTTATAAATTGGCAGTGAACTGTAAAATAATATTGAGTCTGCTTAATTTCACGTATATTTAACCGTTATTAAGCAACAATGGCTACGAATTACACAGCTGTTCACGTTCTCGCCCTGCTTTATGTGATATTGCTTTTCAAAGAACACTTGTATAATGGCGCATGAAAATACTGTCTATATAAATATGTTGTTTTTGCTCAATGTGACATTATACTTTGTAAGTTTACGCAGTAAAATGTCGTGAAAGTATTCAAAGATAACAGAAAGAAAAGCCATAACAGCGTAGGATAGACGGAAAGAGCTAGAAACTATTTTACTAAAACGAATATTAAACGATTTCGTGGGATTATCCTATTTACAGTAAACACGAGAAAAGAATGGCTTGGCAATTAATTCGAGTGCTTAGTTAATCGGCTCGGACTATCGACAAACAAGCACCTCCCTTATCCAAAAAGGAAAAATTCTTTTAATGGTCAGTTTTTTTTGTGTACACAGGTGAAATAGCTTTTCTCTTTTCTTTACTCCCCTCGCTCACCCCCCTCCCCGCCACCCTTCGTACAAAACACATACTTGCTTTCAATACTTGCAAACTCGCCCACTCCACATCATTTGTTGTTGTTTTTTCATCTAGCACTTTTTAAAGTTTGTTTTCAAAACGTGTCTGGTACAACGATTTTGACGTGAACATTCGTCAAGTCTCAACTTTATCAGGACCCCTTATCATCCAATTTTTTCGTCGTTACGAGCTAATTTCCGCTTGAACTGTTAGATGGTATCTAATACGTTTCAATTAAGCAGGTGTTGGGACTAGTAGAAGGAAAATTTATAGTCTAATAAGCTTCAACGATTATTGTTTTTATTAAGACTTCTTGCCCCCCCTTGCAGGACGCCCGGTTAAAGAAGATAAATATCTCCTTGATTCTAGATACATTTTCATCTGTTACTGGTGTTCGTTTAGATAAAGATCGGAAAAGAAAGAGTTTTGTATATTATTTATAAGTTATTGTGTATATTTATAATAGAAAAAAGGTAACAACAAAGAGTGAGTTATTTCGGCTTGAGGTGAAAAAAAACAATGTTTAACGTGGACCATGGTTGAAATTTTCCAAATCCATTCAAACGCAAAAAAGACGTCAAATTCACTTGATCGATGTCCGATGGTCTTTTGTATTCGCATTGCCGTCTATTGTCAACTGCAAACGGCATTTTTGTCTGATTGGCTACGATTCCTTTCTTCTTTCCGTCCAACAGCTGCGTATCACTAGGAAAACGAGGCGTTGGCAAATCGATTAGGATCCACTTTAATGGGCACTAAGGAGAAAGAAGCTTCATATCTTTATTATTTACTCTTTGATAGATTCGTATAAATAACATCTACATCGTACACAAACTTTATATATATCTTTACGGACCCGTCATTAATCATTAACAATCTCACTAAATTTGCCGGTTGTTATGACGATATTCCCAATACTAATTGATGATGGTCGGTGTAGTTGTCTGTAATCCGAATTTCCTTTGTCATGGCGATAAAGGATTAAGAGGGGATAAAAACTTAGCCAATAACATTAAGGAGTTGAAAGTAGTTCAGAGGTGACGGCTGTATCATACTCGAGAGGTTTTTTGTTCTTTTGTCCCTTGCCGGACGTTGGTGAGAAACTTTCTTTAATCTTTACATCTGCATCATTTACACCCCGCTCCAATACTTACAACTAATATGTTATGACAAGTTTTTTTACGCTCCATCCCATCCCATCGTTAGCGGCTTGTTTAATTTAATAAAAATATTACTAGAAGGTGGTCGCGAGGAAAAAAACACACTTAAGTAGGCCTACATTGAATAAATAAAATTCGAGATAGATACTTTTTTTTACTCTATCTGGTTAAATTCATCCAGATATCTTGTCGATTATTTATTGATAATACACCCATCCATATAAGTACTATTTGATAACTGCTAGCTCGCGGTTTGTTGACGTATAGGCTTCAATACGATAAGCGGTTTGGATGGCAATTAGTGTTCAACGTAAATAATTTACAGTAATAACAGTTAATGTATAATAAAGTTCATATTACAATAGGATTATCTGGAATCTTTAATCTATACTCAATATATATCTAGATATATAAATAAAAAAAGAATATTCGTATATGAATAAATAAGAAAAAAATCAAATACTTGGGGCGAAATAATATGTGAGGCTTGGGCTCTCAAAGAAAATACTGAGTGTAAGAAAATATCAATTTTTAATAAATATATGCTTAAGTACGAAGTATACAGATATTCAACTACCAAATGACAGTTGCCCAAGTTTGTTCGGAAACAAAGTATACAATTTCTGACCCGCCCATAAATTCTGGAGGTAGTGATCTGAATACAGCCTATTACTGTTGTGAAGAGGGGGAATAGTGATTAATCAACTCTTTGAACATTTATATTCCATATATCAACATATTGTATATAGTTATATATAAATATATATATTATAATACAAAACTTCAAATTATTGACCGTGAATCATATAATATTTTTTTAAGAGAAGATAATGTCTTCGTATAAATGAAAACATTGAATTTCTCATAACGTATATTGATATATGTTGTATATGTACATATATATTTATATTATGTTGTGTATACGGCATGTTTTCATTTTGATTTGGCAGATTTGCACTAGTACATATATATACACGCATTCATATTTAGAGGAAGAGATAAAACTGTTCTCCTTGATACATATCTATTACGTCAATAGGGTTAAATTTAACATGTATGAGGCCTATCTGGGTTTAAAAAGTATATGTACAAGGGCTTTGGCTTCTACAATTTAAGTTTTTCGTTTTTTGTATACACTATGCTCTCCTCTTTTGTAATCTTGATTTTTCAGTTATAAAGATAGGCGAGCATTAAAATTCTCCGCTATCCGCTCTGGGAATTTGCTCCTTCTCTGGTTAGATAATTTCGTGAATCGCTTAAACGTGTATAATTCAGATTCTGATTATAATTGTGGCTAATTATTACTCGTTTTAACGAGAATTAATGATAACAATCTATTCGATCTTGGTAGGAAAAAAGGCGTACTATTCGATTATTCGCCCAACTATTCAATGCCCTTTCGGGTATTTCTTATCATTTCCATCATTCATTCTCGAACACGCACGAATTCTTATTTGCGTTAGCGATCTCCTTCGTTTATTTCTGGATTTTCCACTTACGAACGAAAGCGTAATGTTTTATTGATTTTCCTATTTATTTCTCCTAGATTTTGAAAAGATTTTGAATTTCGCGCGCCACTTTTGACTGATAGCGGCCTAATATTAGGTTGCACCGAATCAATAGCTCGATTCTTTCATTTAATTTCAATCTTTCCATTCGAGTTGTTTAAACTACTTAAATTTATATTTGTTTTTACATGGGATACAGCCATCTATTCAAACTTTGAAAGGATTTCTATGCCCGCTAAGTGTGCAACCCAACTGTGACACCGTCGCTAAAACTTCAGTCTCACGGCGGCCGTTGAAGAGTGAGCGTATTTTCTCTATCCCTTCGTTTTAATTGGTTTTCCTGGAAAGTTTTTAAGAACCTTACAACTTTATATTTAAAAAACAAATAGGATATACTAGTTAATTAAAGTGGATTTGTCGATTACTGGTTTAAAGAAAATTCTTAAAGATTTTTTCACCCGGCAAAAAAACATTGGACTACACATCGTGCACGGTATGGAATCATCTTTATTTCTTTGCATGTGTTCTTTTTAGCATATGAAAAAGATTCCTTGTTCGATAGAACTCTTTTTTTTTCTAATAAATAGGCCAACGACTTTAGGGAATCGCGTAAATACATATGACAATCCCACTACCCCGTTTTCACAAGAAAAAAATACGATATGTGTCACAAAAAATAACGCTTAGGTTTCGAAAATGGCACCTGTTCCGGTGGGAATTTTGTTGCTAATTAGCGAGATAAGACGATATATAAGAAACGGCTGTCAGAGATTAATATAGACTCTTGGTTGAAATAAAAAGTCTCCAAACTAGAGCTTAACTTTTTTTTTCAATACTCAGGCCTAAGTAGGAGCTAACTAGCTAAATATTCAGCAAATAGATCTTATCATTTAAAATCTGAGCTGTTCAATGTTGATAAATACGGATAAATTGATATTATCTGACCTTATTATATCGGTCGACCTAATGATAAAATATTGGATATTCGAGTCATTCCTGTCACGTGACAAAAAGACATATGCGTTTGTCAGCTGGTGATCACCAGCGGACGTGAGTATTGTTGCGTAATTCAGACGCCACTGTCAGAATAAAAATTACGCCCATCGAACGCCCCCTTTTCTACCCCAATTGCTGTCGGCTAACAAATCAGCTAAGTATAATGTATGTAAACTAAGATATTCACTCTATACAATAATAACCTATAAGATTCCTTACCACTTCTGACGCGATGTTAACATCCAAGGTCTAATAAATTTGCTAGATAATAAAGATGGAAGTTTTGTTTTTATCAATATTGACCTAAATTTAGTAAAAAAGATTGTGTAAACGCTTTTCAAACTCGGTTTGTTTGTCCAGATGGGACACGTCGTTCTAGTCAGTCATCGAGCAAGTTTGTTAATCGTTGTTGGTCGACGAATACCATTCTCTAATTTTTTTTTATTCGCACAACAAACTATATATAGTAGGAAGTTAATTATAGGAAAACAAGCTTTGCAAACCTTATACTAACTAAACCTTGCCATTGTTTGCCTAATATAGTATGTATAAAAAAAGGTAAGGAAGAGAGAGAGAAAGCGAGTATGAAGGATTCGGATAAAAAAAGAGAGAGAGAACGAAATCAGAGAGCAAGGCAGTATTAAGTTGAGTAAAAAACGTTGGCAGAAACGCGCCGCAGCATATTTATTGCTCTTTACGGAATCCGATTGTTGGTTTGCAAAAAAAATTGACTGTATAACGTTTAAGCGCCAACCGTTGAATGGAACGAATTGTATTTCGATCGCACGGGGAATGCTGAGAAAGTTCGCTTTCTAAAACTTATAATGTAACGGTGGAATGGTTTTATATACGGTCATTTCCAATTGACTACTTTTTTAGGCTTGCCGCCAGACGTTCATTCTGATATACTTAAAAATCGTCAATACTACCATTCCCCTCTTCTCTTATTAATTAAATTGTTAAAACTTTATATTGACTTATTATAGGCCTGTTATATTAATGCTACCTCTTACTGCATCAAATCCATCAAACTCAGCTTCGTTTGAACTTTTTGCAGTTGGTAGGTTTTTCTGCGCCTAGGCACGATTTCTCTGCCCGTTGTTGACTAGTGAATGAAGTCTAATTCTTAGATAAATAGTTTATCCGACCTTTAATCGACGCCCCCTGACGACCCGTTTGACGTTACCAGTTGCGCCAGTAGATAATCTTGTAAAATTGCACTGAAAGAAACTTACAGAATAAGAGAACAGGACAGAACAGTAACATAAAAGGAGCAATAAACGATTTTGAATAGGGCCAGAGAAAAATCTCTTTTTAAGTGTTAAAGGAGTTTTATTTAATGAAGGAAATGCATGGTCAAGCTGTTCGACTCGTCGTAAAATTAACAATGCATCGATTGTGGCAGATTTTAGTAGCAGATGGATGTGTGGCGCCGGTTCCTTCCTTATTTAAAACGTCCACGATTGAATTAAATGTAGCAGAACAACTCGACAAAGTTTGAAAGGTTTACTTAACAATCAATCTTGAAGCGTATTTTCTTTCTTAGCAGAGCAAACTGAAAATTCCTTTGTTTCCGAAACCTTTAAAATCAGTATCGAAAGGGTCAGTTTTATGTTATATAGAGGTTTGATAGACAGAAGAACGAATAGGGTTAAAGATACTGAAACAAGAAAAGGGTACTTTGTTACGAGTTATGTTTAGACAACTCATTTACAATATATTAAACTAATTACGATATTCAATATAGTCTTTACGTAATTTTTAAAGTGTCTCGTGTGAAAATTTTCATCTTGCGTTCAATGACAGTTTAACTAAATTAGGAATAATTTGTGACATTCAGAAGTGTCCCTAATCTCATCTCGTCAGTCCATTTAGAAGGGTCTCAACACGTTTGTGTTAAAAAGAAAAAGAAGACAAGGAAGGAGATGAAGAAGGTGGGGGGTAAATGGAAGAAAGACAGTAGGAATTTGAAAATAACGCTTGAAGGTAGAAAATAACAGGGAAAGGAAAATGATTGAAAAGAAATTTTTGAAAACTTTTCGCCTTCCACATCTGTTGTTTGTAGCATCCATCGACACATTCTTCGTCTAGTGTGAGAGATTGATTTAAAATGCCTCTACTCTTTTTCAGTAACCCTTAACCTCGGTCTTTTTTTCGTAAGTCTCCTTCTTTCGTTTCTCTATTCTTTATACGTCATCGGGTCGACGCCTTACAGAGAGATTATTTACACAAACTATTAAAGCTTTGAATTCAAATACCGTCAGGCACTAAGCGCACCTGGGATTTTTTTCCTTTTGGGCTGTATTAACTTTTACAAAGTAAAAGCAGGATTTCTTTTTTATGGATAATAAATAATTATAAAGTATCTAAGCTATTTTTGGCCTGGAACCAGAAGGCATGTAGTCCGGTTGTTGGCAACTGTCACTTTAAAGTCAACAGGGCGGTAGCAAGTTGAATAAAAGTTTTTAACATCTATTCTAACAATGTTCAATACTGTTTTTTGTTGTAACTAAAGTATCTCTGTAACCGAATACGATGTATGTATGCTTTATTTGTATCAATAAGAACGTCTTAAAAAGTTTTTAAGCAGCGTAAAATTGAAAAGGCGTACAAAGTTTGTCTTTAATTTGAAATCAGCTTTACTACTTTATTAGCTCTACAAACAGTGTTCGTGCTATGTTCTTATACATTATGTAAAGCTCCTTTGTTGTATATCCTTCGCCGCACGCCATTTGTAAATCAAAACGTTCGCGTAAACCGTCTGACAAACAACAGCATGTAAAATTTCTATATTAAAAAAAAGGGGAAGTTTGTTCTACATTCATCCAACACGTTTTCTTTCTCTCTATCTTCCAACTTTTCCTGCTCTATCATTCTATCCCTCTTATTCACTTCCGTTTTTCGTTTTATTTTTTATTACAGCTAGAGCGCACATGTTTGGATTGCGGTTTCCATAAGTATTTTATTTATATCGTAGGCCGTTGCAGGTGAGCTTTAAGCTTTTCAAGAAAATGGTTGCCTAGCGTAGATAGTTGAGACTAGGGGAATTTAGCACTAAATTTACCAGCCTTACGTTATTTACGTAAGAGTATGTAAGGCCGTTGTTATGGAGCTAAATAATGTTGTGTAATTAGCGTGTCGGTGATCCTTTGATGAAGCCTCTATTGGGGGTTAATTTTCCGCTAGCTCGAGCATCCTTCCGCCGTTAGGCAGGTGATTTTTCTTCCTTTTTTGTCTCTCTCTCTCTCTTCTGGCTCTCCTCTCACTTTTATTCACTCGACATCGGATTACAGATAAGTCTATAGCGGCGTATAGCAGGGCGGGTCAGTGGCGTTACGTAAATAAAACTAACACCTATGGAATACGCCTTTCAATATTTATACGGTAACGCTGATTAAACATCGTTATATCACGAATGTGGGAATTTGTGAATATTGTAGACCTATACCAAATAATATTATTATTACTTCATATTATTATTTTATTTAGTTTTAATCTACAATTGCAGGAATGTATTGGCTCAATAAAATATGACGTCGGCGTCGATTCAATACTATACTGGGAGGCCACCGGATGACTGTGCACTAGACGCATCTAGTTGCCTTAGCCATGAAGCACGTTTAAAGAGCGGTCAACGTCCATCGTTCACTGTAAAGGCAACTCCTAAAATCGCTACAGTTAAACCCATAAGGACTGTGAAACCAATGAGAATAGAAAAGGAACAGTCTAGTCAGAAGACACTTTGTAAACACAAGTGCACTGATCCAATTCTCTGTAAAAATTGCATTCAGGATTTATACACCATTAAATCACCATCACAATTTAATGATCATAATAAAGATGATGATTTTGAGGAGAAAACCGAAACCGAAATCGAGCGAGAAAAGAGCGCCAACTGTTGGAATAAAAAATACAAAACGACTCTGCTGCCTTCTATAGCAGAAGATTCGAATTGTGATTCCGAAAACGATGACACTGTCTTTTCATCAAATTCATCAAGTAATGGACTCCATTCAGCTTCATCGGAAGGGTCTGAATATGGTGGAAATTCACTCCTAGATTCACTTCATAAACGATTTTATCCTACTCAATATAATAATGCTGATTATAGATCGAGACTTGTAGATGATAATCTTTCATCAACATTATCGCATTCAAAAAGTGACGGTTTCGTTCAAGTTACTTCGCCAAAACTGATAAGAAGATTACCGCAATCTAAATGCGTTTCGTGGACAGCAGATGACGATAGGCTGGCAAGTATTTCCTACATGATAAGCGAAAATATGCTCGCCAAAGCTCAATGTGTGAGCCATGTGAATAAACTTAATGAAAAATTCGTACGATTTAGCTCAATAACCGTCCGGAAGGACAGTAATAAGGGGTTCCTGTTTCCGATAGATGGCGCAATCACTAGAGAGATTTAATATTTTGCAATAAATAATATTTATGGGGGGAATGAAGTAGGATATTAGTTAATGGGAGGAATAGTTTAAAAAAGTAAACGTTATATAAATATATTTTTTGATTTTTACAGGTCAAGCAAACAAACGCCAGAAATGAGGCTGCAGGTTTGTAATACTATTTTCTGTCTATATTTTCTCTCCGCAATTCGACAATTATATTATCCTCATATATGACTCCACCTAATTTACAACTGGTAAAATGACCTTTCTATGTTTTCATATTCAACATTTGTATATTATTATACTTCATATACATATACCCAGATACATGTAGGTTAAAAGTATGTATGAAGGGATAAAAATGAACATGGCCACTAAACAATATTTATAGCATAAATATGTATATCAGTGAATATATGTTTACCTAGACATATAGATACGTTTATATCGTATTTATATATATATATACATAATTATATATATATAATATTTATATATAGTATAAGTGTATGTTGCGTAGATGTTTGTTTACATATATGTTATCCCTACATAGCTTTATATATATATATTTACATTTTATGTATATATACCTTCTTATATCGTAAGGCTAATATATCCAGTTTGTTGTTACAAGAGCCGAAACATGGTGTTTAGCGCCTAACTTATTTGTTGATTCAGATGACTCGATATTACTACAACTAGTTTCTTTCGTAAAAGATAAAAAAGACGGGTTTACGTAAAGGAAAAACCTTAGGCAGGTGATATAAAAGAGTAGAGGTTGAATCTGGGGACTTTGATTGGGATAATTGCTACTAGACCTGAGGCTTTAACAATTTGCGGCTAATGTAATCACGATACCACGGCTCGTCGGTAGCCTTTATAGTTATGCTCGTTACCATTTCTTTGCTAAAAAAATTAAGACGGGGTCGACGACCGTGTGAATCGCAAAAGTCCTCTCGACGTTTCCTACACAGTTGAAGTGGCTTTAATTAGAAAACTTACTACACGGATATCCTCTTAGAATAGGATCGTCGTTATAGAGCGTCTATACAAATGCAAAGCGAATGCAAAAAAACAGCGACGAACTTAAGCCGATGGATTCGATAACTGACGTTTTCATGTTATTGGCTTGTTATGTAGAGGTGTAACTGTTTTTGTTTATATTGGCGAAAATATAATCCGAACCGCACTGACAGTCTGTTTTGACGTGAGATGTTCGCTGTTAACGGCGGCATTTTGCTGACTAAGAACTAACAAAAAAAAATTCTAACTTTTATATAATCCAAGGAAAAAAAATGCCCGTTTTGTTTTCTTTACCGAGTAGCAAGCGTTTTTTTTTTAACAAAAAAAACCTCGTCATTTATTTTTTTTCCCTCTATTCACTCCCTATCGAAATGAAGGTGTTTAGCAGAGAATATAATTCTAGTTACTATGAAAAAGAATAAATGCATCGAACGAAGAAAAATAAGTATAGATAGTATTATTCCCGACGACCGCAGTCATTGCGAATGCCTGGCGTCATTAGGTGCACTTTGCTGCGCGTTGCCGCCGCGCGCATTGCCGCCGTTGCAGTTGGTGAGGATGCGAGGGAGCGTTTTGTCGGACTACGAATATGCTATGTGTTAGCAAGGATAAGTTGGAGGTGAATGGAAGTACGTCGGTTAGATTAAAAGAATTCAAATGGGCCAGGAGTTTTAGCGAGAGATTGAGAGGCGCTAGGAGTAGTACTATCGATAAGGTTTTTAAGGGCCACAGAGAACGACATCTAGCAGGTAACTACTAATTTCTAATGTTGTAAATAACCGAGAAAAATATCATCTATACCCGTGAGAAATAGTCGATCGAAATGTGCACACAAAAAGATAAGTTGTATGGTAGACGCTAATGGATAAGCAGCAAGATTGCAGGGAAAAAGCAGGGAGAGAGAGAGAGGTGGCGGAAAATTCGCAATTATAATTAGTCGTCGAGAAAACTTCTCCGCGAGAGGGAGTGGCTATACGATTCTTTAATTCAGAGGGGTCAGAGTTGATCGTTTAAACACGATCCATGTGCCAGGCGTAAACAAAAGTGGCGCTGTACGCCGCCAGTCTAACAGGCTAAAACGGCGAGTGTTGCATGTCGCGCTGGTCGCGTATGATGAAAAGTCCGGAAGATATGGGCGAATTACTCGTGTATCAACACCCTCTTTCGAACAATAGCGAGCTGGAAAATAGAGAGGATAATACTACCAATAATTCCCAATATTTTGTCTCTAATAATTGCAGGCCGCCTACTTGGTTATTCCCGCTTACCTTCGCCATTTCAGGTATTCGCACTCACATAGTATAGGTCTAAAAATTTTTTTTTACTATGGCATTCCCTGAGAGTTTTATTGCGATAAGATAACAGTCGAATAGATTTGGGGATATTTTTCGACTTGAAAATAAAAAGGCTATAGGGAGTAAAAGCGTGAGTGGTAGTGTATGTCTGTGCGAATGCGTGAGAATCAGGAGGTTATAGTTGAAGAAGAAAGAGAATAGTACTTCTAGATGAAAATAGTACAATAAATAGCTTTTATGCCTTCGTCGGTGGTCGGTTCGAATCGTGTTTTTTTTTCCATCATAGTTCGATTATAAAAGGAAGCGAGAGACAGTAAGAAAGGGGAGGCGCTAACAGAATGTTGTCATGTAGATGGCGCTTCACTACGATAGGTCATTTGGTGGAAGAGGCTGTTAATGAGTAACAATTTAAGTAATTGCGATGAGCTTCAACTAGGCCTAATCATAAATACTGTGAAAAATTATTCCGTTCTGGTATTTTTTCTCATGATTTTGCCCGTTGCCGGATGATTTTGTTTTTTGAGACGCACTGTAGCAGAGAGACCGAAAAATTCAGTGTACCAAACCAACTAGTTACCTTGGAAACCTGACGTCACGCGGGCGTCTACCCCGTCTTCGCATAACATTCCATCGCTGAGAAGAAACGCTCGAGCTATATATAGGGTCGTGACGTCATTCGTTACACCGATGACGTCGTCGTCGATGTTAGCTCAGTTTATTCTGCATTTAGGACGTGATATGTTATGGGAAACGGTGAATCGTCTTGTTCTTGGAGTAGACGACGTTATAAGCGCAAACGTCGTAAGTTATATTGGATATATAGGATTCCGTTTATGTATAATTAATGTCGTTTTGGTTTCGTTTTCTAATTATACATACCGTCTATATCATTCTACAAACAGAAATCGAAGCTGCCGAAGCGTGCAAGTGGCTGCGGGCTGCCGGTTTTCCTCAATACTCTCAATTATATGAAGGTATGTGCATTATTTCATGTTTTTTATTCTTATCATACTCTCTCGTGGCCTGAAAAATCATCCTTAGTATCCATCCCCCCTCTTATATCAACCTATCCTGCACATGGTATATGCTTTTCTAAAAAAGCGCCATCTGTCTTTTGCTTATACTCGGCCTTTCTTATCGGAAAAGGGCCGCCGGTTTGGAAAGAGCCTATATCGAATTCAGATGTAGAGTAAATAGTCGAATTAGCCGGGGTCGGTAGATGGTCAGACGATTATTGAGGAATGTTCTTGTCTTAATTTAAGCCTATCTTTTAGCAGTTAGGGGGTGTCTAACGAAGACAAGGGTTGTAGAGAAAAGAAAAAAGGAAATGCCGGTAAAAATTTACGCTTAACTTAATTGATGACGAATGTTAAGTTGTCAGTTTAAAATTTTCAAGTCAGAGGGATGTTAAATTAGACAAGATAAAAAAAGAGAGGTAAAGAAGAAGTAGAAATAAAGTGAGAAAAGAGCAAGAGAGCGCGATGCCTGTCTGTTGCCCGTCTGCCAGCCCGAGCAATCTTTTACGCTCGCTGCACTTGTTCTTCAGACGGCGGTGGTGGAGAACTATGTGGAAATCTTTGTCCGTCTTCTTTCCATCAGTTAAAAGAAGAAAATTATCGAAATCAACCTTTCGTAAAAGGAAAACTATTGTCAGCGATGGAGGTTAGGCCTATGGGTTTTGTAAGCCAAAAAAAGCGTTGAATTTAAAAAACAAATCGTAAAAGGAAAACCTCTCTCTCTCATTCGTTGTCGTCTCTTTCTATTTTTGGGTTTGACGCGACTGCTGGCTATTAAGAGTTCGATAAAAAAAAGAGTGTGTAGGCCTATAACTATGAAGGCTCACGATTGCGTATTGAAAAGAGTGAGAGGAACGAGAGAGAGAGGACTGTGCCTTGTGCAATAAAATATTGGATTTTTAAGAAATTTAATGATTATCATGCGGTAGATACAGTTTACCGTAATCAAAACAAAACATGCCCACATTGTTTTGTCTGTCGATTCTTGCTACGTGCACAAGAAAGAAGAAAAATTACAAACTTTCGCATTTTCCTCCAGCCGCCGAGTTTCCGATAGATTTATCAACAGTCGAAAAGGACCACGAATTTTTGGATTCCGTTGAACTTCAATCACTATTCCGGTATGTAATTTAAAAACTAAATACATAATATATACTGTATATATATAAACATACAATAGATTATTTATAAGTTGATATTTAGAATTAAATTCCCTAAGGCTTTATTAATAATATTTATACCACTTTACAAACAAATGTACTATATCCACTTAATTATTTGCTAACTATGAAAGGGGAAACGATCGGTAACAGACAAATTTAATGAATCTGATATCCAGTTCGGTTCATCCCTCGTTTAACCCCGAGAAATGTTCGTCCTTGAACTGAAGCGTCTATAAATCCAGGTCTTACTTATCAACTTTCAAGAGGAATAGGGGGAAAATGGGATTATATGTTTTGTATTCCTCTAAATTTAACTAATTTGTCGAGGTTTAATAATGTCGAGAAAGATATATAGGCCCACTGATAGAACTGAGCCTTAGGTGTGCCGGTTTTTAAGTGCAGCACTGTAATATAGCGACCTTGCGAAGGGCTGATAGGTGTCGGTGCTGACGTACATCCTCATTATCGAAAATTGTTTTAAAGCAATGATACCAACGTCTTGCAGGCGCCTAGAGACACTCAACAAATGCGCTGCTATGAAGCTGGATCCGACTATAAAGAAAAGCGTAAGTTAATTAAGTCTTTCATTTTATTTCCAAATTAAAAAAAGAAAAGTAAACTGACCAAGTTCATCGACCTAAAACGTTTATCTAATATTATTTAAATTATTTTAACTCTAGTCTTCTGACTCCGATGAAGAAGATTATGCCTTATCCAATAAGTGGACCTTTGAACGACCTTCTAGGAGGTGGTCAAGAATGGAAACATCATCTAGTGGCGTTGAAGTTCTCAGGAGTTGTAGTAGCCGAGATAGTGTATCGGCAGAACAATCGTCAACCCAGAATTCCCCTACAACTCCATCCAAAACAGAGTTAGTTGTTCCTGAAGTTGTTCGAGAGTCCCAAAGCACTGTTGGTAGCCTTCTTAGCCCTCGTCTTCGGAGAGCGGCAACTGAAAAATTAAAAGGAGCTAAAAATATATTAAAAAGAGTTGAATCGTTACGCCATTCTAAAAATAAAAAAAAAAAGAAAGAAAAAGAAAAATCGGGTAGCAGTTCACCAACGCCTGAAGCATCGCCGTCTAGTCCCATTCATCAACTTGTAAATACCCCTAAACGAAGTAGTCGACCATTTGCAAGCGATTCTTCGTCTTACACAACCGCCTTCTCTCATCTATCTATTGATTCTCAGGAGAGCGTATTACATCTAGACCCCTCCGCTGAAGTAGTTCGACGACCCGATCGAGGGCATACCGAAGTATCAGATGAGCAAAAGAGGTCCTCACTTTACGACAATCTCGAAACAGAATCAAATAACACCCAAAATCAATTTGATATGATTCTACAAGATTTACAACGTGACATAAACGCCCTAGATGAAAGCTTGAATGGAAAGCAGGCAGCCACAATGCCAATGCCAAAAATTACTTGCGATACAGGAAAAGTTGAACAAGAAATTGATAGATTAAGCGAAAAAACCAGCGCGTCTAGCTACACGCCATCTGGCGGACAAGATAGTAGTGAAAATGACACTCAGCATTCGCCTACAACTGAAAAACGAGAGCGCCGTGATAGTGGTGTCGGTCTGTCACTAACAAGAGCACCTAGGTAATAAATACTTAATTATTATTATTATAATTATTATTACTAATTATATATCAAATTATTAGTGCAAGAAGGAGGCAGGCAGCCATTTGGCATAGTTTTTTAGGTTACGCAATACAAGAAAAGACAGCCGATTTTGTTGATTTAAACTCGCTTGGTGTGGGTCAATTACTAGTCTTGAAAAAAATGGCCATGTTGAAACTATCGTCTAGAATCGATACTCATGCTCCTCCAGGAACTCGATTAAACTGGGATAGGTAGGTAGATTAGATATAGAATAGAATTGTAAATAGTTTTCTTGCATTCTCACATAACTAACTTAAATTTACCTTCAATCAGTTTCGTACCAAAATTTATGCGTCGATGCAAGTCAACTACATCTGCAGCTCAGAAGCACGTTTTCGGCGTCCCTTTACACATGATCGAACAGCGAACTGGTGATCCTCTTCCACAACCTATTTCGAAAGCAATGTCATTTATACTCCAGCATCGATCTAATTCATATGCAGTAGGCTTATTTCGAAAGAATGGCCAACAAACAAGAATACAACAAATGAAAAACGAAATCGAATGTGGTGGCGGCTACCGCGATCATTTTGAAATTAGCAGTTTATTGGATACTTGCGATCTTGTCAAGTCATTTTTTCGCGAGATGCCAGAATGCCTTTTTACAAATCGATACTCGCCAATGATCTTATCCATTTTTAAACGTAAGAGTATTTTTACACACATTAAACCCATATTATACCTAGACGCTTTTAATAAAAAATACTTTCTATATAGACCTTCCAAAAGACAGTTGGCTAGAATTAGCCCAATCCTCAATCCTTCTTCTTCCAGACGAAAATCGCCGAGTTTTAAGGGCTTTAGCGACATTTCTTCTTCAAATATCTCACCATCATTTATCAAATGGAATGACGGAGCATAATTTAGCCGTCTGTATTGCGCCAAACTTGTTTCCACCTTTAACCAGCTCCACGGTGCATGGTAAAACGATGGCTGATTCCAAGGAAGTGCAAGACCAAAAAGCAGCTATCGACTGCGTAAGATTTATAATAGAAAATGCTGAACAGCTCTTTACAATTTCCAAGGCAACATTTGAAGAGAGCTCTGCCAAAGTTGAACAGTGCAATCCGTCGCCTTATGAAGTAGTTAGAGATTGTGGTCATTTGAAAAATGCCGTTGAAGTCTTATTAAAAGAGCATATTGATAAATGGAAAAACTATGATAGTGCCGTTCCAACGATGCGAGCTCCTGGTGTAGACATTTCAATGAAGAAAGTCAGTGATGGTTATCCACTTAGGTTATGGAAAAGCTCAACAGAAATAACTGCGCCCCCTAATGAAGTCTTAGACCGAATTTTACATGAGAGGCAATTATGGGATGAGAGAATACTGGAAACGGAAGTATTGGAAACTACTGAGAATGATAGTGATGTTATACGTTATGTATTAGAAGGATCTCGAACTATGCCCCGAAATGTTATATGTATGATGCGATATTGGACAAAAGATATTGGAAAGGGAGTATGTGCCCTTGTTTCAACGTCTGTTCAACATCGCAAGGCTAAAAATCAAGATGGTGCAGAATGTCGAGTGGTTTTGGCCGAGAGATTTTTAATAGAACCTTGTGGATCGGGAAAATCATTAGTGACTAGTTTATATAGAGTAGATATAAAGTAAGCAAATTGCAGTTTTTAATTATCCTCTTTACATTGTTTTATATATCATTTTTTTAAACAGAGGTCACTCCAGTGACTGGTATAAACGACAAGGCGGAGTCGAAATGGCACACTTATTGTCAAATCTTCGCGATTCTTTCCGTAGTAGAATCGAAGGTCCAGAAACAAAAGTGTAGTTGTGTTCGAATGTATAGATACTGTCGTTGTTGTTCAATCCTGCATAGGGACATTCCAGTGTGAGTGTTTTTGGCATCGTCCTTGGAATTTCAGTCGGTGTTCTCAATTTTATTTCATTGGTGCGAAAAATCCAACACAGTGAAAATGGATTGACCCAAATATCTTTACTTTATGAAAAACTATGTTGTTATATGTTGATACACTTTTATTAGCGAATAAAATGTAAACATTTTCATATCTTGCGTTTTTTTTATCTTATAAAAAATGAATGATTTAATAGTGTTATAATAGAATGAGCTAATAATAAAATTAGCTTAAGTTAATCCAGCACTTTATTTACATTAAGTAAAAGTCAAACAAATAATGACAAGGGGAAAGAAACTAGCGGAAAAGACTTTGTCATGTGACCTCTCATGTGATGATACACCGGTTTGTTTAACCGGTTAGAGAGTGGCGACATCTAGTCAGATCGTGGATTTACAAAATGTTTTTCGCATAAATATGCTGATAAACGTTACCAAATACGACCGAAATGGCTCAAGCAAGGAGGGTTGATCTAACGACGATATCTACGCAAAATGGAACCTCAAAGAATAAAGAGAATAAACATATTACGCTCAGATTTGAAGTGAAATTAGAAAACAATGACGGCAAATCTGAATGCGAATTTTCATGGCTGGATCTCGTACAGAAGAATCAGGTAAATATCTCTGATTTTTCATGAAAGTGTCTAAAACGATCAAAACTAATAGTCTGTAACAACAAAAAAGATTTTTTTATCAGTTTTGGCCTTGTTCGGTACTTTGATTAAGTTGTTAAGTTTTTTCTAAGTTTGTGATATCGCGTTCTAGAAAATCGTTATTTGCTTGTCGAAGTAAGCTTTTCTGGTCATACGACGCCATGTTGTTCGAATGCTAGCCATTTTGGACGTTCGATAGAGTGGTAGGAATTGGTGTACCATATAAAAGAACAAGGTCACAAAAGAGAGTTTGAATTTTGTAATACACTTATTTGTTCTTAATCGCTTGCCATTCCTAAAGTTAAGGCTGTCTGTAAATGAATATTTTTTTCTGTACTTTCAAACAATCCCATTACCTAATGAAAACATTTGATTGCTCTTGTCAAATATCAGCAGCGCGCAAAATTTTTTACTACTATCAGTACTCTCAATGAGCCACGCATATAATTTGCATGTATTATCATAATATTTTTAAAGAATTGTTACATACTTAAATCGGTCAAAGGGTGATAAGTATTAATGATAGCGTGGTTCCTACTTCCGCGTTACTTTCACTGATGATATTCGTCGCTGAGGAAAGGTAATTCCAGACTAATTTTTTGAATAGAATGTATAGTGATGTTCTTTACTCACATTTGGTGATGATGGTAATAATGATAATCGTTATCGACTTTCACGCTTCATTTAATTTTCTTGGCGCATGCGCTCAGTTACGCGCGCTTTTTTCGAGTTTGCTATTTCGTATATACTGTCACAGAACTGGTTTAGTATTTTTTTTAGCTACAATGTAAAGAACTAAAATAGATTTTAGACAAGTGATTCTTCATTTAGATCACACGGGGTATTACTTTATTGAAGATTAAAAAAATTTTTTTTGAAAGAATGGTGACAAAATCGACGATCTCGACAACGACGATGCTCATCTCAATGCCATTGCTAAACGCTTTGAAGAAAAATATGTAAGTTAATTATAAAAAAATATAATAACTTGATTTGTAATATCATTTCCGTGTTATATTAATTTATAGGGTGAAAAACCAAGTGCTAAAAAGAAGAGAAGAATTATGGACGATTTCGTTGATCTCGGAAATGGTTATGATTTGGAAGATTCTTTCATTGATAACGATGAAGCAGTAAATATTTTAGTTCTTCTCATTTCATTGGATTAACATTATTTAATTTTATTAAGTACGATGAAGTTGTCCCTCATAACTTGAAAACGAAATGGAGTGGTTTCTATATAAATAACGGACAACTCGATTTTAGAGTAGACTCAGATGACGAAGAATTAATAATCACAAAAGGAAAGAGAAAAGGTGCCGTCTCTTCGAGTAGCTCGGAAGAAGAATCTGACGAGAGGCAAAAGATGAGAAAGAAAGTATCAAAGAATGATCTCTACTTGAAAAAGAGAAGACAAGCTGTCGATAATTTGATAAAAGTGAAGAAAAAGAAAAGGTATACTTTTACTTATCTAATACATATATATCTTTTTTTTTAAAGTTTGCTGACGAAGCTAATGTATAAATAATAAAAAAGGATAGGCCTGTAGGCTGCACTACAGTATATAGTGTTGTTTTTTGCTGAATCCTAAAAGACTGTTTTTTGTGAATCTCTGTAAATCAAATATCAGCGTTATTTTGATTTATCGTTCCTTCACCAACAGCATGGGTCTATCATTAAAAAGAAAATTAAGTGAAGGGAAGGCTACTAATGATATTGAGGAAGTGACTGATGACAATGATAACGGCAGTGACGATGGTAACGATAAAACTAGCTCTCAAATAACAAATGAGGAGAAAGAGGAAGGAACTCCGAAATGGAAAAAGGATCAGAATCCTACGAGTGCACCAGAGCTTCCTTCGTTTATTAGCTCAGATTTACGATCTAGTATTGATAAATTAAAAAGGGTGAACATTTTGCTTTTAAAAATTACTCGTTTTTATTCGTTACTTTTTAATAATTAGTTGGCTGTTGAATCGAAAGCTGGAAAATGCTTATTTTTCTCAAATGAAGAAGTTACATCTTTATTACTGAAGTAAGAATATTTTTTGATTGTTTATCATATACTTATCACTTTTTTTGTCCAAAGAATATGGATGTTTTGTAAAGTAACTTCAGCTGGAACAAGACGTATTGTGTTTGAACACCTTGCGGCCTTCCTTCCATGCAATAAGGATACCTTAATGAAAAGAGCAAAGAATTTAGCAAATAATGCTACTGAGAAAAAGGATAAGTGTGCTGACTTGATTGAAAAACTTAAAGCTGAAGTTGCGAAAACAATGCCTGAACAAGAAAAGAAATTTTTGGAAGAGAAAGAAGCGTAAGTTTTACATGGGTTACAATTTTTATTGTATTATTCTTTTGTTTCGTCTAGTTGGGCAGCTAAAAACAAGACTGAGGGAAATGGTCAAGAGGGATCTGCCTCCAATGTTCCTGGTGGAAATAACGAAAATAAAGTAACGATGACCGTAAGAAGAAAATTCAGATGGACCAAAGAATTAAGGTTTTCACGAATATCCGTAACATATTGTTTTTAATTTATATTTATTTTTTAGATCTATTTTAAATGACTTAATTGAAAGTAAAATGAAAGAATGGGAAAATATGGAAACTAAATTTCTACCAGCAGATGAATTTCTAAAGAAGTTTCTTGAAAATGATGTAAAGAAACTATGGCCAAAAGGTTGGATACAAGTTAGAACTCTTTTTAACGATACAAGAATGGTTCATAAAGATTTGACGGGAGGAGACTGGATGTAAGTATTAAGTATTATTTTTGAATATTTAAGAAAAAGCATTATTTGCAGACCGAAAAATCAAAGAAAAACCTCTGAGGCTACAAATAATTCTATTAGCTCTGCTAATAATACTTCAATTTCTATTCAATCTCCTAATGTTGATTCCACTAATATGAAAGGATCGAAATTACTAAATTTTGCTACAGATAGCCTGTTAGCCGTCGCTCGATCGAAAGAGAATAAGAGGAAGTTAGAATCAGAGGAGAAAGCGAAAAATAGCGAGCTAGCAAAGCCAGCCAGTATTTCGATCACTAATACCACTGAAACTAAAACAAGTCCAAGTAAGCAAACTCCTACTACAAACTCGGAAATGTGTAAAGTCTACTTGAAAGGCTCATCAATTTCTGAATCATCATATTACGAAAGTTTCAAAAAATCTTTTCTAACTGCAGGTTTACCGATAAGTAAGGCAACCGATTTATCTGCTCAAATTTCAAAGAATCTAGTAAACAATTATATGTCAAAATCGAAACAAACTAGTCCGAGTGGAAAATCATCAACTGCTACCACTACTTCTACTCAACCAAATTCGTCTTCTCAAATTCACTCAGGTTACAGTAATATGATTTCTTCTTTGGCTAAAGTGGTCAAGTCGAATGAATTGTCTAAAACAACGACTTCAAATAAATCTTCCAATGAGGTCAAAGGTTTTTCTGCAAAAATGCCTGAGGTAATCGATTTGTCCACTGGAGCAACAAACAAACCGAAAAGTGCCAACTCGCTTGATGAAGCTATTGAAACTTTAAAAGCTTTTAATAGTTTCTCGAGCGGTCAAGACATGATTAATAAACCTATACAAGTTGTAGAATTACAACAAAAGAGTACTGTTCCTTCTCCTGAACAGAGAAAAGTTGAAGAAGCAAAGATTAGGAAAGCGCGAAAACTCGATACGAAACTAGCTCAACTTCAGCAGCAACGCCAGAAACAGCAAGCTATAAGGATGGAAAAGCAATTTAATAAACCTAAACAAGAGCAAAATGCTTTTCCTTCAAGTATTGATTGCTTTCTAGTTGACAACAGCAAGACAAGCCCAGAGAAAACTACAAATATATTAATACCTAAGAGAATTTCACCGTCCAAGAAAGATATTTATGTACTTAAACCAGAGGTTAGAGACAATATTATTAATATATCACCTGTTCAAGCTAGCTTATTGATGTCATCTGAACAGAAGAGATTAGTACATGAGGAAGCAAAAATAAGGGAAATGGATGATCAAAACTTTATGTTTGAAATGGAAAGAAAAGACGACATCAAACGACAAGATGAGCTAAAGCGTAAGTCTATTGACATGATTAAGAAGCAGCAAGAAGACCTATTAAAGAAGAGAAGAGAAGAGGAGGATGAAATGATTAGAAAACAGAAAGGGGAGCTTCTTATAAAACAACAGGAGGAGCAACATCGAAGACAAGAGTTAATTAGAAAGCAACAGGAGGAGCAGCAGCTCAGAAAGCAGAAAGGGGAGCTTCTTAGGAAACAACAAGAAGAACAGCATCGAAGACAAGAGTTAATCAGAAAGCAACAGGAGGAGCAGCAGCAGCAGCTCAGAAAGCAGCAGGAGGAACAATTTAGAAAGCAACAGGAGGAACAACTTAGGAAACAAGAGGAACAACTTAGAAAGCAACAAGAAGAACAGCTAAGAAAGCAACAAGAAGAACAGTTGAGAAGAAAGCAGCAAGAACTCCGTCGAAAGCAGCAAGAAGAAATGAGAAGAAAGCAGCAAGAGGAAATTCGAAGAAAACAGCAACAAGAAGAAATGCAAAGAAAGCAACAGCAAGAGGAATTGAGAAGAAAACAACAGGAGGAAATTCGAAGAAAACAACAAGAAGAAATGAGAAGAAAACAAGAGGATTTGAAAAAGAAACAAGAAGAAGCATTAATAAAAAAGCAACGAGAAGATATGTTAAAACTACAGGAACAAAAGCAAAGATCTCAGGTTTACTCGACGTGGAGTCATTCAATTGGTGCTTCAGATATTACAACTGCCCAAGCAACGTCTACTCATTCTAAACCTAATGTTGTTTGGAGTCAGAATCAGAATTTAACAGGTTCATATCCCTCTCTGACAATCAGTGACTTTTCTCTGCCTGATTTATCTGCATCTGATGCTCTAATTCCTCGTTAGTTATCCTATAATACTTATTGAGTAAAAACAAATCTAATCAAGAATTTAATAACTTAGAAATGGAAATACAAAATCAACAACAACAACAGCAACAACAACCCACATCTATTGCATTCCAGCCATTTTCACCCAGACTTACAGAAGCGAGTAAGCATACAATTCTATTCTTCTAAAATTTAGTGCCGATTCGTTTTTGATGGATTTCTCTCTACCTTGTTTTTTTTTCTTACTTTTTGCATTTATGCTATATCACCACAGTAGGTACGTTACATCATCAATCAACAGTCAATCACCATTCTGTGCCGGCTCTTCACGGTCACATGTTTGCACCTCATTTGTTGCAAGGTACAGGCACAGTGTTGTTATAGCTTAGAATAATACGGAGTTCATGTTACTAGCTTCCCAAAAGTTTTTTAGGGTTCTAACGAATTGGTTAAACAAAACGATCAGTCGACACTTGACTAAGATATATTTTTGCTTCTTTGTTTTTGAACAGATCCGAGATTACGACATCAACGACCTTTTTAATAGAACGAAAATTTTTTTATTGTTTTGTGGCCAAGTCAGCTGCAGATAAATTTTCAACAGACAGTATTTAAAGAATATATTTTTGTTTGAACTTTTCATATTTTGCTGTAACATTATACTTTTTGTTGGTCCACTTTATTGATCGCACCGATCAACTATTCCAGGTCCGCAATAGAATAAAAAAGATTCCAACATAACAAAATGCAAGAAAATTTATTAATTCATAGATCATTAAATAAAACGATAATAATTCGATTTGGCAACATATTAAAAGGACGGAATCGCTAATGTACTGCACTGTAAAGAACTCACTGTAAAAAGTATGAGGTCTGTGTTTGTTTATTAATATTTGTCTTGTTTTACTCTCTCCACATATCCTTTTTCGAACGTCGGCGAACGAGACGAATATCCCGACTAGAATTAGTTGCTGAAATGTGCGTATCATCATCTAAAGCAGTTAAATTTAACGGCGAAACTGCTCTGTTAGAATCAAAGTGGCGAGGTGTAGTGTTTGTATGCTGATTTAAGTTTAAAGGTTGCAAACGCTGTGGTGCGGGAAATGGGAAAGTTATCTTATTATGGAAAAATAATTAGTGCTAACTTTTTCCACTGGTGTTTGAGTTAATTTACGCAAATGAGATGTTCCCTGATTGCGATCAGGATCTCGAAACATTAATTCTCCTTGTTGTTGTAAAAAGTTCTTCTTTTTCTTCTTTTTTCTTTTTTCTTTCATTGCCATAGACTCATTAGGTCGCCTGTAAAGAGCAATTTAATAAAATATTGAAATTAGGAGACGCGGCAAAAAATTAATTACCACAAGGATTGGACGTTTTGTAATTGAGAAGCTTGTAGGGAATCATGATTGGGCTGTTGATGAAAACGAGATGGTCCTCGACTAGACGCACCTTCTCTTATTGTCAAATCTGTAAAATAGTCTGAAAAATGCAACAAATATAGCAAATCAAATCATAAGTAAAACAAAAAAGACATAGAAGCACAACTCTCTCACCGAATAAAGTTCAATGGAAAGATAAAAAAAATACATTTGCTGGAAATAAAGCAAAAAAAAAACAAAACAAAACAAGCTACGTTGTTGTGCAATTAAAAAGTTAAATAAAAACAAGTAGAAATAAGAAAAAAATAAAACTGTCACCACAAAATTGTACTTCTTTTTTGTTCTGTTTTTATTTTTTTTATTTTTTACCTGGATTTTGACTAGGTTCGGCCGAATCTATACGTAGGATAAGATAAAAAAATATTCATAAACCCGGATAAAGGAAACCAACATATCATAAAAATTAAGAGTCAAAAAGCTAAATTCTTATCGTTAAAAAAAAAAGGAATAAAATTAAAAGAATAGTTTTATCTATTCAGAATGGCCACCTATCTATATAATTTACTGTTCATTTAATGGTCATAATCCTTTGTATATTGTTTCTTTTTTTTACAAGCCTTGTTATTATGCTTTAATAACTTGACCTATTTTAAAAAACATTTCGATTTTTCTTTGTAAACCGTAAATGAATTCCGTCAGTTTGAAGAGCTCTTAGATTTCTTAAAATGAAATTTGTTATATAGTTACCAAAGAATAAATATCATGATTTTTTTATGCCATAAAGGGAATTCTTTTATGTGCTATACAGAATAGGTGACCATTTCACATATGGAACTCTCTTTGTTTATATAACAACAGTTTACAGAATAACTATTTATATTTAATCAATTATAAATTAAGAAACTTTTGTTTACCGAAAAATTGGGTTTTGGCTCGGGTGACATGGTTCATGTGGTGAGGAGGCTGAAACGATTTCATATGCCTAAATCCAATTTGACCTTCTGGTTGCTGTGTTGATTTACAAAATTTAGTTTTGACAATAAGAAAGGATATTAATACGCTAAATTAAAAAAATATATACTTTGTCGGCCAATCTTTCCGCAATGAGTTTGTTTTGAGCCGAGGTGTCCCTATTCTTTTTTCTAACATTTGACTGTATTCTAGATAATTCTTCTTGATGGGCTTGATTTAGGAATTTGTTTACTCGTGTATCGTGCGTAACTAAGGGCGTTTCTGGCGGACTATCACCTTGCATAGTAACTGTTGTTGCTCTGAGATCGTCTTTGGGACGTCTATTTTCAGACATCAATTTAGGAGCTGCATGACGTTTCGAGTCAATTTTTGATTTCGAAACTGGGGTAGCAGTAATATTAATTGTATAAGTCGAACTTGGTTTAACTATTCTTTTGTTTGGAAAATCAATTGAGGGTTTAGGCGTATGTCTATCGTCTTCCGTCTCTGTTCGCTTTCTTTTTTCAATGTCATAAGCTCGCTTCTCTTCTATATCCTCAACTTCCGATTTAGTAGTCATCCTTGATTCAGATCTATTCTCCTTCATTGAGGATTTTCTCTTAATGTATTTGGATTTGGCACGAATGCTCTCTTCCTTTTCATTCAAATCCTTTTCCGTGTCTCGATCGTTTATGGATTTTGGTCTATTATCTCCATTTGGTAACTCTATTAAATGTTTCTTATCATCCTTTTCATCTTCATCAACTGAAGAACGACGACTTTTGGCGGCATTGGCATGATTCATTTCTAAGTCAATCATCTTTTGCCTAGATTTGGTTCTCCTAACATTATCATTATAATGGTGATGTTGCTGTTGGGAATAACTTCTTTCTACATTCTCCTCCTTTTCCCTAAAGGAAATAAATGATATAGTAGATGGTTTAAAAAAATAAGAAGCTAGTGCTATCATTTTTTTATATTCTATTTAAACAGCCGATCAAACTTTATAGAAGACGAAAGCAACAAACTATACTGTATATAAGGTAAATACTTATAAATAAATAAACGTACTGCTTATATTTGTTCATCTGCTCTTTACGCTGCTTATCGAGTAGTTTATTAGCAATTCCATTTTTGTCGATAATCCGTTCGGTTTGAAAGGCCGGATGTGTAAGGCACATTTCTATCGTTGATCGATCGGCAGGCGACAGTTGCAAACATTGCTGTTAAAAAAATATCACGGTTAACTTATTTATCTAGATCAAAGCACCAAGCGTGTTAATTAAATACCTTCATAAAATCGACAAAAACGCTACTCAATATTCCCTGATATCGCCTTTCTAAAGTTAAAGGTTTGTTAGCCATCGGAAACTGTAAATAATTAAAACTTTTGAGTGAACATGGTGTACATATTAATTTCACTTTGTATATCACCTTCAGACCGGAAAACCTCGGATTCGAATAGAACATATTCATTTGATCACGTGGTAATGGTCCTAATATTTTTTGTATGATATATAACATATCTATTTCTGTATCACCCTGAAAAAGTGGGTGTCCATCGCTTAGCTCTCCCAAAATACAACCAATCGCCCACACATCGACCGATTTTCCATAAGCAGCACTAAAATAACGATTATAATTTGAACAAGATCATTAAAATCTATATCTAATTTACCCTAAAAGCAATTCAGGAGATCTGTACCAGCGAGTAGCAACGTAATCTGTATATTTAGCATCACCTTTGCTACTTAATGATCTTGCAAACCCAAAATCACACAATTTCAGAACGTCATCCTTACTAATTAGCAAATTTTCCGGCTTGACATCTGTCATTAATTGAAAAGGTATTGATTTACTAAATAATAAATAAAAAATACAACTCAGTCGCCTACAAAGGATATTCACCAAAGTTAAGTAATCAGACCCGTTCAAACACAAAAAATAAATCAATAAAGCTCTTAAATGGGCTAAGAATTGGTATAGAATCGTTTTTATTCTATTTTTTTTCCTTCCTTTTTTCTATACAAAAATTTCAACTTTTTTTTCACGTTCAGTTTAGCTTTTTTTATTCTTATAAAACATGAAAAGAGAGGATAGAAAAGAAAGAGATCTATTTCAAATAAATATCTAATTTTCATGGAATATTAAGTATTTTATTACTATTGTTATGGTATTATGGGTTATTACTGTAAGCAAAAGCTAGCAAAGGAAAACATACCTCTGTGAATCACTTCGTGAGTATGACACCAATAAATAGCTTTACATAATTGATATACATAGCTGCGGGATTTTTCCGAAGGTACGCCATTGGGCATTTCTTCAAGCATTTCCAGCATATTCTATCAAGAAAAAAAATAGATATATTCAAATTCAAGAGCCGAAAGCAGCTCAGAGGGGGAGCGTTTGGCGGTATGAAAGGATTAGCGCAAAAGATTAAAAGAACTTCTTATTCGACTTTAGAAATAAATAAACAAACCCTCTCAACGTATTCGAAAACCAGATATAATTTGCCTTTTCTCCTGAACGCTTCTATGAGGACGACAATATTCTCTTGTCTAAGATCCCTAAGCATGCGTAGTTCACGCATAGTTGTTCTTTTAACGTCATCATTGTCTAAAAAAGTTTATAATTTATTGAAGATCTCCATAATAAATATACAAATAAGTCGATATATTATATGAACTATTATGTATCGTTTAGGATTATGAATGTCTGAGGAAAATATTGAATAACTCGAAAAGATATTGATTTTCCTAATCAGATTACGAATTACAACTAAAAAAATTTTTCATTCTAATAAAGGTCATAATAATAACAGTCGGAATAAGAGATTGAAAAAAGTAAGGTGTGACAAGTAATTTAATTATAGGAATCTTTAATTGAATAGGAGATCATAAAATTCCAAAAATGAAATGTTGAGACACTAAAATGTGTGAAATATAACAATTTTATTTAAAAACAACCTTGGCAACTAGCGTTTAATGGCCTATTGGGAAATCAGTTGCTCGATGATTTATGGGGCGCTAATTAAGTTTACAATTTAATAAGACAACCCCTTACCGTTGTTTGTAACTAATGAGAATCTCCATTTTAATTACAGCAAACAGAAAACACGCTTACAAAGATAGGCTTTGACATTGACTTAAAATAAAATCGATCAATAATCGGTTTGAATAAAAAGACGAAATTCAGGAGTGGTTAGTTTTTTGATAGAAGTAACATGTTAATACAAATTATCTTCTATTGAATTTTAACAGATTATACGTAAATATTCACATATGTAAGTATATACTGTATATATAGACAAAGATTATATACTTTTTAATGTACTAGCTAATATTATGCGTACAATGATATCGAATATTCTAATATAAAGCTCATTTTTTCACATATATATACATACATACATATATACATATATCTGCTTATGTATGTATATATCGAATATATCCGAAGTTCCCTTGCATAAACAAATGTAGCCAAAATTTAAACAATCTATTATTTGTTGCCCTTCTATATAAATATTGACTAAGTCACTCAAAACTATACATAGATTATATTTACTTATTGACTAAATTTTATCTTAAATTAGTTCATATAAAATACTTTCCTTAAGAGAAGAATGGCTTACCTTCGCTATCCTTGAACTTTTTTATAGCAACGTATTCGCTAGTTTCCTTATTTTTAAAAAGAAAAAGCAAGTTTTTTTATTTATCAACATTTAAAACAAAGTTTCAAACAAATTACTTACTTTGTGTTTACACTTGAGCACTACTCCATAAGCACCTGTTAGAAGAAATTCTTGTGAGCATTCAATAAATCGATCTTAAGCAAGAAAATTCTTAGTGAAATATTACAATTGACAAACTTACCTTCGCCAACAACATCTATTACTTCGTACTTATTCATAACATTATAAGAATATCCGTTTTTGAGTAAAAAAAGACTAAATTTTTCCCTTCGAACTCTAGGCTACTAAAAGGGAATTTCTGACAAGTGATTTCACTTGGATCAGTTGCACATGGCCAAATCAACGACTCTATAATCCTTTCTGCTTGATAATTTCCTCCGGCAGTCTCAATGTTTTCAAAAATAGATCAAGCTTCCAAAGTTCTAGAAACTACAAGCACGTTCCTAATAACAACATGTCCCAGAATGCAACGTCTGTAACGCAGACCACGTGACTCAGGTAAATTGTTAATCATGCCATCTATATGAAAAATCTTTAAAAGTATATAACTATAGGAAAATATGTGAAATAAATACTGTCTATGCAATGTTCTCGTTATATAATTATACCGAGGGGATATATTAAATAGACTATTTCTACGAAAAAGACGTTATTAAAAATTCTAACTGTAACTCTAATCATTTTACGAATACATTATCGTTCAAATATCATAAGATAATGAATATTTAAAATGGATATATTACACCAGGCGCACTTTGAAAATGACTAACTTTTGTTGAAAATAAGTCATTATTTTGGAATAATCTTATCTCGAAAATGTAATGGAGATATGTCAAGAAAGTAAGTTTACAGAAAAAAAAACATAATTTACACCTGTCTATATTAATAATTAATAAGATTTATTTGGCTGAGCATAAATTATTTCTTCGAAACGCAACTTATTAATTTCCTTTTTACTCAAATACTTACACATATTGTTAATTTATGAGATTTTGATTAATTTTTCAATTAAACCAAACGGTCATATTTCTTATAATTTATGAAAGCTGTTTTGATTAATCGATATAAACTTCAAGAAGGTGGTTAAATATACTGTTAGTAAAACTGAGTCTATACTTAAATTTACGATTAGCATATGTTGCTACTATTTAACACCTTCAAATGACCATTAATACCGCCAAAATATATAATTTTTACATTAACAAGATTAATCATAAGTTAGAGCTGCTTTAACGTTTAAACCCAGAAAAATATATTAATTCTTATCTCTACTTTGAGATTTATATATGCCTGTGACTATTTTAGAAATGGTTATATTTTTTCGAATAATTTTAAAACTATTTTCGTATAAAACTTAAAATGTTTATGTTTTTTTTAAAATTTCTTTAAAATAATTTTTAACTTTAATAGTTTTTACGAGGACAACTGGAAAGGAAAATACCTAGAACTTAGACTAACCGGAAGTATGCTTTAATTGTTTTCGTACGAACCACACAAGCTCCTACCATGATTGAGTAATCTAGTCCAAATCCAATAATACATCTTTTCGTACGGACAGAGGCCTTAAAATTATACCTAAATAAGAACTATCTGGCCTTTAGGTTTTAATGATTATATCTCTCATTGATTTGGTATTTTAGCGTCAGACCAGATGAAAAAGTCCAACAAAAAGTAAGTGCAACTAAATGTTTCAAATAATTTTTTGACAAAAGTACATTTTTTCAGATACGGTCTTGTTAACCTAAAGGAAGAGAAGGCTAAAGAGAAGCAAAAGGCTCTTATTCAAACCTTTCAACCTAGAAAAAATATTTTTGAGGATGAAGAGAGTGATGAAGATGAGGTAATGCCTTTATCTTATCATTCTGAATTAATTTTTAATAAATTACTCGCGTGTTTATTCATTGTAGCCTAATCAAGGACCTGGTCCTGTAAGGGGAGCTCTTCGTGTCGAAGTCAACTCAAGAATCAAGCAGAAAGTTTGTAGCTAACTTTTATGTTTATTTAAATCTAATAGCATTTCTCTTTAGACACAAATAGCAATAGAGAAGGCTCTAGAAGAAGATCCAACGGTATATCAATACGATGAAGTTTATGACGATATTCATAACAAAAAGGAAGCCGAAGCTGTAAGTACTACTGAGGAGTATCACGTTGAAAGTAGTTGCTTATGTATTTTTTATATATAATTAGGCTAAGAGAAAGGCAGACAAGCAACGAAAATCGAAATATATAGGTCAGCTTATAAAAACTAGTGAACTAAGAAAATTGGAAGATGAGAGACGCAATCAAAGAATTTTACAGAAAGAATCCGAAAAAGAAAAAGACAAATTCGCCGACAAAGAAGAGTTTGTTACAGAGAGCTATAAAAAGCGCGTGGAACAACTTAAACAGGATGAAGAAAGGCAAAGGCAGCAAGATTTAATAGACGGTAGGACTGGTTAATGGTCATAAAATGGAATGTTAATGTTGTTTTATTTCATATAACAGAGAAGAATGATGTTACAAAACAGGACGATCTATCAATGTTTTATCGACAGCTTCTTAACAAAGAATCTACCGAACCGAAGGCGGAAGAAGTGGCTGACAATTCCACCGAGAAAACGTAGGAACTATACTCATTCCTTTAAAGAGCTATTTTGTATATCTTAATTTATTCTTCAGAGGTAAAAATGAGAAGCCTGGTTTACCTGAAACTAGCAGAAGGAAAAGAGTTGACGAATCCTCCTCAGAGTCGTCATCTGATGGTGAAAGGCCTGAGAAAAAAGACCGTAGCGAATATATACCCTTCGAAAAATTATACAGAGAAGCTGCAATTAAACGTCAAAAGAGACGAGAGGAGGAGGAGAAGCTAAAACGAAAAGATATGGCTGAAAAATACAAAAGAAAAGCTGATAATGAAACAGTTTCTGATGCAAAGATGAGATACTTGATGAGAAAACAGCAAAAGCCAAAAGTTATTATCGAAGATAGCGATTAATCTTATTTATGATACTTATGTGATCTTTATTATATAATGCTTCATTTAATTGAATTATTTTTCTTGTTATAATTTACTTTTCTATTTAATCTTATATTATTTACTAACGGGAAAGAAGTTTTGGGAAATTATTCAGTCAATTTTTTCACCTTAACTTGTTACTAATATTCTTTATTAATTTGTAAACTTTTGCTTGTAAATTAATGTACATATTTATATTTACTTTATTTATCTTATTCATTTTGTACATTTTGATATATATATATTTATTTATTTAAATTTATATATTATGTATTGTTCTTGTAAGTACGTGTACTAAAAATTTCAAGCCTCGCGAAATTTTCTCAAATTGATGTAAATAAAATTTGTACAGTAAAAAAAAACCAAAACGTGTATTTTTTATCTTCTTAATCAGCTTTATTGCTCGATTAAGTTAATTAATTTCTTACATGCTATCTTTACTAGGTCTGAAACGAATGCCTTTCGATATGATGAATGGGCAGAAATTTCTTTCAAATTAAATCGAAATGTAAGTTTTTTCTATTACTTATAAATTGTTGAAAGTATAGATATTAAAAAAATTAATTAATCAACAAAAGGACGAAGAAACAAGTAACAACGTCAATTATATAAAAATCTTATTAATTGTTCTAAATTTTTTTTTGTTTTTATGGGTAATGTTTTTTTTATTTTCCACCACCACCACCGCCACCAGCAGCTTGTCCTTGATTGGGATCGTTTGTGAAAACCATCATTACAACTACAGCTGCTACGATAAACATCCACTAAAAGGAAGAAAAAGATTATCGTTTATATTTAGGTTTTTAATCTTAATTGATGGTAAAATTATCTTACATATTTGCTAAAAAAGGATCTTGTATCCTTTTCGCCACCCTTGGCTCTCTGCGCTTTTTCCTCTTCCATTTTTTGTATATATAAATGAGTATCAGGCCTATAGAAAAATAGTTAATAACTTTTGAATATAGCTCCAACTAAAAATTGTATAACGTACACAGGAGCTGGAGCAGAACTGTCAATTTCTAATGTTGTGCGAAATTCATTTAATGAAGAACGTGGAGTTTTAATAAATACGCCATTTAATCGTCCAGAGTTGCTAATTTTAAGCTTTAGAACTTCGGCCAAACCATTTTCGATAAGCAAACGCTAATATAAATTGTTTTAAATAACATTATCATTTTTTAGTTCATTTATATTAGCATTTAATAACTCACTGCACGTGTCTGAGAGAAAACTTGAACAGATTCATTGAATACTCGAATTTTATACCAGCCATCAGCATCGGCACATTTCTGAAGTTATAAAAATTGACTATTAATAATATTAAGATTAATTGTAAATCGATGAAACCTTTAATAACTTCATATCGTGGTCACTAAATTTATCGACAGGGTTAAAAAATCCATGAATTTTTTGACCAACTTTCACGTTAATTTTCCCCTTAGGTTTAAACGAATCAACGTTATCTAAAAAAATAATATGAATAGTACAAAAAATTTAAAAGTGAAGTTTAATTTTACTTGGTTCGAACGAATGTTCTACATCCCAAACATATGTAGGAGGAACATCGTAGTAGGGGCCATCGTCGAAACTCTAAAACCATAATATCGCTCATAAATTATAGCGTTTAAAGAGAAATCAACTTACCGATATAAGAGTAGCACAACTTAGAAGCGAGACGAATATTGTTAACGTAATCATTTTTATAAGAATAATTGTTTCACAGAACAACGTTTGATGAGGTTATAATACCAGATATCAAATTATTTAGCTGAAAAAGAAAAACCGAAAGTCTTTCCACCAAAAGGATCTAAGACGGAGTCCAGATGAAATTGATTCTGATAATGATCTAAAATTTAAATAAAAGTAAAAAATCATAAGGGACCATCTAGGGAAAACCAAGATTCATCAGTAAAGATTACCCTATTGTAATCAATTGGCAGTTAAATCCATTTACATATTACAGCTATTCTAGTTCTTATAGCCCATGCTGACAGCATGCAATATCTAGATAGTTTGCTCCTTGTTCAATAAGAGTTCTCTGGATCGTTCTTCATGAGACGTCCAGACCTAAATTGTACATTGTTTTGTTGGCAGTTGCTAACTCCTTTTTTGTTTGAAATCTAGCACACTCCTTTTTGATCCCAGATTTTGTTCTTTTGATTAATTTTAATGGTCTTCCCCTCCTATCAAGTTATCCTTTCCTTTTATTCTCAAAAATGAAAAAAACTAAATATTGTGTTAAATTATGTAAAATACCCTTTAAACAATATATTTCTATTTAAGAAAAAAGTTTATTCTTGAAAATTAAAGAAAAAGAATATTTTGAAAAATATTTTTACTATTTTTACCAGTTTCCTCTTAATGTAATACTTATATTTTGCCAATTTTCTTCAAAAAAAAGTAACTGAGGATAAAGTATGTTTTTATTTTTTTTAATGATTCTTTAAGTATTAGTCTCTATTTTCATAACAAATATCATAAAAATAGTTTAAAAAACTAACTAGACCCTAAATTTTAATTTGTAAATAATGGAAGAATATTACTTTTATAAAAAGGGAGTTGATTTAATTATCTATCAATTTAGTTTTATATAATATGCTAATCTGCTAAGTCAAAGTTTGAATAAAAGCTTCTATTTTGCTCTAATTTATAACACAAATGTTAATAATTATTAACAATATTGTTGTATAAATTGTGTCTTTCTTGTATATGCATATATGGCTATTAAGGGAAATGGGAAGGTGACTTTGGATTTATCTTTTAAACTAAAGGTTGCAAGTGTTCTAGATTTATCACGTTTTCAAAAATTGTCTAATAGATATTACCATAAAAGTTATATTTCAATACTGATGTCTGAAAATTAGATCAAGGACTTTCGGTATTTACAGAGTAAACTATTCTATTCAAACTTTGTATTAAATTATTAAGCTTATTATTGCAATTATTCTGAATATAAGTTATAAGATAGTTTTTAAGATTTACAACTTAAAATTATCAATTGGAATATTAAAATTGTGTTAAATTAAATCCATAATTGCAACCCATAAATATAAGAATAGCTGAATTGTATATATTAGTTTCGGCTTATTGAACTGCACAGCGCATGCGTGACATATAAAATTTTAACATGAGTATACCTTCTCTCTTCAAAGATTACCAGCGAAATGGTTCGTGCATACTATATGGATAGTTCTGATGCTGATCAGCGAGAAGATCACAGGCTCAACGACGCCGATTTGAGTCTTGATGAGTTAAAGGCAAAAACTGGCGTAAATTACTTTTACTTCGAACCAAATAGTGAAGAAGATATGGCTAAACTTGCAAAGTTAAAACAAGAAAACAAATATACATTTGAAGATGAAATCGTCATTGACGAAAATATGGCAGAGTATGAGAAAAAGGTAGGTTAATAGAAAGTATTTGTTTTGTATTGATTTATGATATTTATTATAAATCCTTTTATTCTTTTCATACTTCAAGATGTTTTTTATATATTTCAATATTTTCAATAGATCAAGATGTTCTACAGAGAGCATATTCACTCTGACGAAGAAATTCGTTATGTAGCAGATGGCTCTGGCTATTTTGACTTACGGGATAAAGAAGACAAGTGGATAAGGGTAGCTGTTTCCAAAGGAGATTTACTAATTGTTCCAGCAGGAATTTATCATCGATTTACCTTAGATACTAATAACTATATTCACGCTAGACGTTATTTTGTTGGAGAGCCTGTTTGGACTCCAATAAATCGTCCATGCGAAGATCATTCAGCTAGAATTGAATACCTGAAATCTATGGCTGTCTAATGATTTATTCTTTATTCTAGAGACAAAAAATAAATCTTAATTCAAGATATAAAAAAAAGTCTTGCCGCGTTGATAATAGTTATTCTAGTTAAAAAATATTGTACTAATCAGTACAAATATCTCGGTAACAGCAGGTAAACAACTTCCAAAAGCAAAAATATACCAGAAAGAATCGCATTCCCAAGATTCTAAAATATACATTGATAGAGACACAGCACCAGCGACATGAGCTATCGTTGAAAAAAGAGATTGAAGGTACGAAAACATTGTAGCTCCTGACATAAAGCCAATAAGCTCTATTAACACAAGACCAAGTGAAACTGAAAGTCCAATGATGAGGCTGAAATTAATATTTTATCAGAAGAGAGTTAATTAATTGATTTTAAAATATATTTCTTACTTTTTCTCTTTGGTATCATATTCACTTGTTGTATAATCATCAGGCAAACAAGACTTAATATTTATGTCCTGTTAAAATTTTCTTTTTTAATTAACTATATAAAACTTTTGTATTTAATTTTTCTTAATGAATAACTTACCTTAGCCCAGAAGAGAACTATTAAAATTACTAGATGAGCAACTATCGTTAAGAATCTTGCTGGAACGACACTAGATATACCCATTTGAAATATCTTCTATTGGACTATTTGAATTTGAAACTCCTCTCTTAAAGCCAAATTTAAAAAAATTTTATTATTCGATAATGATGTGATAAATTCCGGTTTAGTTACGCATTCGTTTAAAGTGAAATTTCAAGATTAATTTATTTAATATAAGATATTTTAAAACAAGTTCGAGCGCGCCTCCTAACAACAAAAATTCTAGAACACTACAGAAAGATTTTCAAAATGGTAGAATTTGTATTTCTTAACAGCCATTGTGATTTCTATATTATGTGTCAATGTCACTTCGTATTCTAACAATATTATTTGTTATCGATAATGTGATTGGATAAAATACAGAAAAGATTAATTTTTTTTTAATGCAGCTTAGAAACAAAGAGGCTAAATAGAAAATTTTTTTAAAGCACAATTCGCTTATAAAAGTATCTGAAGTGACAACTCCTAATTTGCAATAAATTTTTGTGAATCATACTAACAAATGCTACTAAACACTTTCAAAATGGCGAATTCTCAACAAAAATCTTATACGCCATAACTGCTTCGACTTAAAAATTGATAAAGTAGTATGAGCCCGTTTACAGTAAAATCTTCCGGTCTGCGCGTGCGCACGGGCATTTACACGAATCCACGTCGAAGAAGAAAGTTGGCATTTCTGATAAAAACATGGTAAGTTCTTTAGATGATGTTGATTACTCTCCTTTATACCATCAATCAATGGACTAATTTTTTGAACAAAATTTCATGTAGCCTCTTCGTCTGGACATAAAACGCAAAGTCTCAGCTCGTTCTGATCGGGTCAAATGCTCCGATCTTCATCCAACGGAGCCATGGATGTTAGTCAGCCTTTATAATGGACATGTCCACATTTGGAACCATGAAACACAGGTATTCTTTAGATTTTTTATACTGACTTAATGAAACATATCTTAAAAGTAAAATTTAAGTTGAGCTCTGACACCGTATAATTTTCATCTTTCTACTTGATTAACTCACGAATTTTTAATAAACCAGTACTAAGCCTTAATGAAGATCATCTAATAATATTCAAATTTATTTAACAATTATAAATTAAGGATATGTTGCACAAAAAAAGATTTTTATTAGTTGTCCACCTGCTTTAGTCAATATACTGATATAAACATTTACTTTCAACACATAGACCCTCATCAAAACCTTCGAAGTTTGCGATCTTCCTGTCAGGGCAGCCAAATTCGTTGCCAGAAAGAATTGGATTGTTACAGGAAGTGATGACATGACTCTAAGAGTTTATAATTACAACACATTGGAAGCAATTCAACAAGTGGACGCTCATTCTGATTATCTTAGATCAATAGCTGTTCACCCAACTCAATCGTATGTTTTAACTTCAAGTGATGATATGTTAATAAAATTGTGGGATTGGGATAAAAAATGGACTTGTACTCAAGTTTTTGAAGGCCATACACATTATGTCATGCAAATAGTCATCAATCCAAAGGATAATAATACTTTTGCTTCGGCATCATTAGATAGAACATTAAAAGTTTGGCAACTAGGATCTTCAACACCCAACTTTACATTAGAGGGCCATGAAAAAGGTGTAAACTGCGTCGACTACTACCACGGTGGTGACAAGCCATATATCATTTCTGGAGCTGACGATCGACAGGTTAAAATATGGGATTATCAAAATAAAACATGCGTTCAGACTTTAGAAGGTCATGCTCAGAACATATCAGCAGTTGTTTTTCACCCTGAACTCCCAGTGATAATGACAGGAAGCGAAGATGGAACTGTTAGAGTTTGGCACGCTAATACCTATAGGTAATTTTAAGTTTGGACTTTAAGTTATTTCTTAATAAAATAAAAATCTTTGATTTAGGCTGGAATCGACACTAAACTACGCAATGGAGCGAGTTTGGACGATGGCTTGTCAAAGGGGATCTAATGCAGTTGTTATCGGTTATGATGAAGGTTCAATAATGATTAAATTAGGACGTGAAGAACCAGCAATGAGCATGGATGCAAACGGTAAAATCATCTGGGCGAAACATGCTGAAATTCAACAAGCTAACATTAAGAGTGTCCAAGGAAGTGACATGAAAGATGGAGAACGCATTCCCTTAACCATAAAAGATATGGGACCAAGCGAAATCTATCCCCAAACTATCGCTCACAATCCAAATGGCAGATTTGTTGTTGTATGTGGTGATGGAGAATATATAGTTTATACTGCAATGGCTTTACGTAATAAAACTTTTGGACAAGCTTTGGATTTCGTATGGTCAAATGATTCCACTGTTTATGCTATTAGAGAAAGTTCCAGTATGGTAAAAATTTTTAAAAACTTTAAAGAAACGAAAAACTTCAAACCTGATTTTGGAGCTGAAGCAATATTTGGAGGTCAATTATTAGGAGTTAAAACCGTCTCCAGCCTTTCGTTCTACGATTGGGATTCCACTAATTTGGTAAGAAGAATCGAAATCATGCCAAAACATGTAATCTGGAATGAAGGCGGCGAATTAGTCTGTATTGCAACTGAAGAAAGCTTTTATATTTTGAAATTCTGCACTGAAGCACTAGAGAATGGCGCAGAGCCAACGGATGATGGTAAGTTGCTTTTATTGGACCACTTTAAGTCTTTAAGCTTTAATTTATCTGAATATTTTTTTTAAGGAGTTGAAGAAGCTTTCCAGTTAATTGGAGAAGTTGACGAAGTTGTTAAAACTGGCTGTTGGGTGGGCGATTGCTTCATTTACACTAACGCTGTTAATCGATTAAATTATTACGTTGGGGGAGAAATTGTAACAGTGGCCCATCTTGATAGAGTTATGTACTTATTAGGATATTCACCAAGAGACAACAGAATTTATTTAGGAGACAAAGAATTGAATGTCATTTCATTCGGTATATTATTATCTGTGCTAGAGTATCAAACAGCAGTTATGCGTAAAGATTTTGATACGGCTGACAAAGTGCTACCAACCATACCCAGAGAACAGAGGACGAGAGTAGCTCACTTTTTGGAAAAACAAGGATTTAAACCCCAAGCTCTTGCAGTTACGTGTGATCCAGAACATAAATTTGATTTAGCTTTACAATTAAATGAATTAAAAATCGCCTATGACCTCGCATTAGGTTAGTTTTTTTGTATTACTTTAAAATGCTTTAATCTATTTAAAAAATGAACAGAATCTGACGCTAGACAAAAGTGGATGCAATTAGCTGATTTGGCTGTTAAACAATCTGAATTTGGTTTAGCCCAAGAATGCATGCATCATGCTCAAGATTTTGCTAGTCTTTTAATGCTGGCAAGTAGCGCAGGCAACGTAGCAATGGTTGACAGAGTAGCAGAAGCAAGTAGAGAGGCAAAACAGAACAATATTTCGTTTATGGCATATTTTATACGGGGAAAGTTGGATGAATGTTTAGAAATTCTCATTGAATCACAACGTCTAACAGAAGCTGCTTTCTTTGCAAGAACATATTTACCATCGAAAGTATCAGACACTGTACAAAAATGGAAGGAATTTGCTGCCAGTCAAAGCAAAAAAGTTGCCCAATCTCTGGCTGATCCGGCTGATTATGAGAATCTCTTCCCAGAGATGAGCGAACATTTGAAAACTGAAAAATATTTAAAATTACAGTATCAAACTAAAATACCGGCTGCAGCTGCTCTTCATATTCCTCCTAATTGGGAAAGAAAACCTGTTGAAGAAATGATGGAAAGTTTAAATAGCGGCAAAATCAGTCTTGATACTTTAGAAACAAAGAAGCTCGAAGAACCGGAACCTGAACCACAGTCAGCATGCGCACAAGAAAGCAAACCGGAGCCAGAATCCGTTCCCGAACCTGAACCTAAACCTATAGCCGTGTCTGAACCTCAAACTGCTCAACAAAGTATCGAGGAACTAGAAAAGGAGCTTGAGTTAGATATGGGAGATTTGGACTTGCAGGATGAAAATATTGGTTCTGAGGTCAATTGAATTTCTTCACACATTAATATTTATTAAGAATTTAGACTAATACATTCTGTAACTAAACTGTAAATCTATTGGTACAAGGTTACTTTTCTTAAGTAGAATTTAACATAAGTCCTAGTTGAATAATATAACATCAAATTTTATTTACAGGCTATTACCGATGATATGGATGACTGGAATTAGAATTTTTGCTTAGTATATTAACTCTTCTTTGTTTGTACATAATTTATAATTATTATAAAGTTGAATGAATTCTATTTGCGAATAATAAATATTTACAAAAATTTTATGATGCTTTTTATTGCAAGTGCCTTTGATATCTACTATAAATAATTTAAAGAACATCTGATCTCAACTAACTTAACTATTGCTGTAATCAACGTTAATTACAAAGCAAGTTCTGTAAAATAATATAAAATTCAATATATTTAAAATTAAACAGCATCAAATTCAATTTCAACAAGGAGTTTTATAGCAATTATGTAGTCCTGATGTATAATTACCTACCAAAGACTGTTTGTTACTATTTGCGTAGCTGTGATGAGATAAGAATATTAACAAACTTTAAATACGGTAAGAGAAATATTACTAACGATTTGTTTCTTTTACAATTCAAACGTTCAAATCGAAAATTTTTACTCCTTTCCTTTGCTAGCAAGGCTTTTAAAATTCTTATACGTCGGCGATATACTTGGCAGTTATGACAAATTTTCTTCCTATACATGGCAATGAATAGATTATACCATTAAAGGGAAAAATCAAATAACCGTTTCAAAGTTAATCCACCGTTAGCATTCATCTCCTCTAATGATGATATTACTCCAAATTGGTCTATAAATTTAAAGTTTTTCTTTTTCGAAGGTGGACTTCTCTGAGGGAAAACGACTATTTCAACAATCCCTGATTGTGAATCTTTCTCCTGTTAAATAATTCCTGGAATATTACCTCAATACTAACATGAATAAAACAAAACAATACCGGATCGTCTTTCATTTTATCTTCCCCATTTAAATGGAGAGTAGGTATTGCTGTTGGAAGTAGAGATGACGTTGAACTGTCCGATGGATTGTTGTACATTCGTTTCTCAAAATGTCGTGAACAAAGTAATTTCCTTTTCAGAATAACGTCTGTTTCTTTAGGCAGATGACATATTTCTTTCCATTTATCACGTCTGAAAATGAAATTAAACATTTAGAAATGTTTGATTCGAATGTTGGTTTAGAGCTCATGAGTTTCAAAGTAGTAATAAACTAAGTAAAATTCATTCTTACAAAATTATTTGATCACTTTATAAGGAGTAGTGATACCAGGTATGAATAAAAAGTTTTGATTACTTGCTTTAATAATTAATTATGGACAAAGAAATGAAAGGGAAACAAATTTACTTACAGAGTTGAATCAAGCGGAAATCTATGCATTCTCAATCCCTTATTTTTGTCATATCGCCATTTACATAAAGCACAATTTGTTGGCATATCAATTAAAGTTGGGATTGAGTTATAGATACTAAAAAATTATAAATTTGTGATATCGTCTGCTACACTTAATGTCAATTTCACTCAGTTCGAAAACGGATCGAATTAAACTAGAATGGTGCCCATATGTCAACCAATAGCAAATTGTAATAAAGTCACATGACCTCCAGGATTTTATTTTATAAAGTTTTCGTGCAACAAGAGTAGTATTTTTAAACAAAGAGTATCTCTCCTCGATACATATGGTACAAATTTTAAGGAGCGTATACACTTATTAACTTATCTATGTATAAAAGTTGTGTCAGATTACTATAAAAATCGAATATAGCCTATAGTGAATTTCAGACAACAATCTAAATCAAAAAGTTTTTATTGTTTGTAATCTATGCAAGCACGTTTATAATGTCTTCTATTCGGATTATTTCATTTTCTTCAATTCTCTGAATCCTTCTTTGCCGTTACAGACTACTTTCTGAAGAAGAGAATTCAGTTATGCTCTTAATTAATATCTGAACCAAAATTAACTTACTATATTGAAATCGTCACCATTCGGCATAAAATCAGTGTGAAGTTCCACACCGGTATCCAAGATTTCCACCATATGAATTGAATTGTTTTGCTTTTTCATACAACGCTGTTGGGAAAGAAGTGCTCTTTATTTAGAAAAAGGTCTCCAATGTTGGAAGGTGGCCTACCTTAACTGGTAAATCATTTATGAGTTTTCCAGTACACATCTCACCATCTACAACGCAAGAAAACTGATGAATAATCTCGCCATTGCTATCTACTTTCAAGTCAACTTTTTGGGTCTGGATAAGAACGTTGGTATATAAACATATCATAAAAGTTATAAAAAGAATAAAACCTGGGCATCATAACTACCAATTAGAAATGATTCGCCAAATCTTTTTTTTAGTCCATCCAAGAATTCATCAGTAAAGCCTGTATAAAATATAGATGTACAATAGGATTAAGATAACAGTATAGCACTTTTACCCGATTCTCTAAGAACATTATCATAATTATCGCAAACTTTCACAGTTTTCCAAACACCGTTAAAATTCTCCATCTGTTGTTTCTTGTACGTTATGTTTCTATCGAATAGTAAATTTGTTGATTTTATATTTGAATGTGGAATGACGTAGAACACAATATAAAAAGTAATTAATAATACTGACAACGATAGGTTATCTTATTTATAGGTCTTAACCAATAAAAATTTTTTATTCAAAGTTATATTTCTTAGAATTCAAATACGCAAGTTATCTCTGGATAAAATCAACTTTAAATGTTCTAGCTTATTTGAAAAACCGTTAGATTTGGAAAGTTAAGGGGGGAATTACGCAATTAAATTTTCAATACGTAAATTAATAAACCATAGAAAAAAAGATTTCTATACAAATATTAAAACTTTCTCGAGACTTTCCCAAAGGGTAAACTTTTGTGTTCCAGAACAAGTGAATACGATTCTGTTCTATTTCGGATAGAGTAGGGTGTCCAGAGACGAACCAATCATAAGCAATTGAGCGGTCACGTGAGACGTCACATAAAAGCGTGCAAAACAATCAATTTAATTCTTCAGAAATAGAAGAATTATTGTATTTTTTTGGTTTTATGCAAATTTTTACGGATTGTTTTTCTGTTGAGAACTTTTTATATCCTCATCCAAGGAAAAGTTACATTGAACTCTCTTATACGGCTACATTCTTTGTCACGAATATATGAACAGTTGAAAAATGGCCACCGTGAGAAAAAGTTTGGGACAGGTGTGTTAATTAAATTGTGATTTTTCTGGCAAAAGTATCTCAATTCTTAAAATCACGGAAGCTAAAAGAGATAAGATAAACAATTGTACGTCGATTTGAAGTCTACAGACTACTTATTGATGGAATTTTGAAGCTTAACAGGAGAAAAATGTTTAAAAGCTTTTGTTGGTTGTGTATTGTCACTTTCGTCCTCTTTACAAGGATATCTTCAGATGGTTAGTACTTACATTATTTTCAACGGTCAGGTTTATTAATTAGGACCGGGTTATTTTGACAAGTTTCTATTTATTTTCCTAAATTACTAATGAGAAAATACTACTACACGGTTTATTTGTGTTCTGTGCATTTTTAAGGTAAACTAATTAAAGAAAACTTAATATGATTAATGCAACAGCTGTCGTTTCACTTTGTATTATCAATCATATTGAGGTTAGACAGATTAAACGGTTCCGACAGAAATATTCTGAGGGAAATTTCCCCTTTTCTGACAATGATAATCAAACATCTGATTCATGTTTACGCTCATATTTGATAACATTTTGCGGAGAAGAATGTAATACTTTGGGGATTTTATAACAATAATATGTCCAGCTATAAAGTTTCTTCATTCTGTTTTCGTTTCTTCAATATGTCATGAGTAATACGGTATTCATAGCTGTCGACTAAGAACCACGCAAGATTGCAGAGAAATACATTCCATTATAGTCACTCAAAATAAAATGGTATATGTAGGCAGTATTTATTTTTTCTATATTTCTCCTTATAGCCTATTTCTACTACTACTATTATTCATTATCGTTCTTTAGGTTTTTACATAGGTGAATTGGTTATCGATTTGTTCCGGTTTTAAACAATTTGTCGTTTAAAATTTACAAGCTATTAGTAGATAAAACGCTATACGCTTCATCATTGAAATAATTACCATTTATCTTTTAATAGTGTATTCCATCAAAGCTGTTAATAGTCAGTTAAATATGTATTTATATCTTAATTATCATTTTCTACTTATGTTCGCAAGCAAATTATCAGTTTAAAGGGAAAAAAACTTTTACCCTTTAAAAATATCTTGTAGTTTAGAATTGCAAATATGTAATAAAAGTTTTAGAGATTTTAGATACTTATCAAACTTGAGCAATTCTTTTCAATAGAAAAAAGTACTGGAATTTATAGTTCAATATTCCTTGGTCAAGTTTTTCAATACTTATACAATCCCAAGTGACGACTTTAAGTAATCTAGATTTATTAAATTTCCTATCATAATACTTACTACTTACAATAATTACCTTTTCATTAAAGGTAATGGTATAATTTTTTATAATCTCTGCTTTTAAAATCCAAAGCAAGTGTTGTGCAGCTGTTTTATACACCTTAAATATTGTTTGATCTTTTTTATAATACTTATTTTAGCAAGTTATAAAAACTATCTCCTATAACAAAATAGACGATAGTAATTAGACCCTAAGGGTTTATTACCGTAATATCTCATATATATGTACTTTATGTTTTGATATTCTCTTAATGGATTCAGTTCTTCGCCCCTTTTTCGAACAATAACTGACCTATTTTAAGTTTCTACAGCGTGTGTTTGTCGATATAATATAGAGCCAGCCTGTGTGTCCATTTGGAGTCCAACGGTAAAGTGTAAAAACTAGAATTTAGATAAATAATGTCAATAAGGACATACCTCTCCTTATAACATTACTGACTTTGTGGGAGAGTGTCATTTAGAGTTCAAATTGACCCTATGCGATAAGAGAAGAAAAGGTTTCTTCAGCTGCTCGCTTCTGATTCCATAGCTTGTATATATTTGCTTTCGGGAGTTTAAGATTATTTTCATGATCAACTTTTCATCTTAGCCAAAAGGCAATGAAAACATTGCTATTGAAAAATATATTTTGTATATTTGTTTACTTAACGATAGTCACTTTTAAGATGCCTAATTGGGCAAGTGAGAATGTAAATTACTTTTTCTATATATCTGGAGTACAAAAAAGAAATATTCTTATTAACAATAGATAGAAGATAATTGGGAAAGCAGAACGCTTCTCAACTGTCAGTTCCATCAACGTATAATTCAAATTTACGAACTTTATACATTTGTAATCAGGAGGCGTTGGCTCTAAATTAAACAAACTTATTTTATAATCTTATTGAAAGTCTGTACTAATTTGAGCCGTTAATAACGATTAGTTTTAAAGCTTTTTTTCAGTTTTGTAATTTCAATTCGGTACAAAATCCTTTATAATGTCAAATTTAATTATATACTGTAAAGGAATTTTCGTACAAGATGCAACAAAAGGTTTTCATATAATTCGCAGGACATTCTATGCTATATTTTTATATTTTTAAAAGGTTATTTCATATTGTATTACTTTTTTTGAAAAAAAAAACGAAATGTTTAGTTAGAAAGGATTAATATTTACTCTTGATAACCTTGTGTGTTTAGCGAATAGATCAGTTTTAAGTACATCGTCTTGAAGATAAAGAGATGATATTTTATTTGTATCTCAAGCCTTTGAGAGCTTTGTTTAAGGCTCAAAAGCTGAACTTTTCTAACCCAAAGTGTCGGATATTCGCCTGTCTAGAGATCTTTATTTACTCTTCTTAGGAAGAAATATTGTTCTAAGGACTCTGATTTCCTCAGGACTTTACGTCCTGAGTTTTTTTATCTCTACTTTTCTCACTTTCAAGTTTGTACGAAAGAGTTTTTACGAGCCAACTTCTCTCTATTCTCACGTTTTGTCATCAAATTTCACGTAATAATCTATATTATTTCGTAATATAGATTTGTATAAAACTAAGGCTGTTCTTTTGAGATAGCGGAAAACTTCCATATTCTTCAAATAGCTCTTATCTCGGGCATTTTCTCTTAGGGCACTCTATATCTTTATTGCTTTTCCGGCAGTGCCTCCCAATTTAACCTTGTTAACTACTTTACCACTGTGTAGATTAATCCCACTCTTTCATCATTGAAGTTCCTAATTTGCAAATATTTCTTGACCAGACTTACTGATATAGCTGGACTACTAGCCACTACTCGTAATTAACTCGATATACAATCAATTAATTCTCACCTGTCTTATTTAAATTTCAAGTTTCTCAAACGTTTTATGATTATGATAAACATTTGTTGTTTAAAATCTTATATTTTGACAGAATTTAAACAATACACGGAAACGCGTTTTTAGCACGTTCCAATCAGTTGTATGCCTAGACAAATATGCGGATCTTACACTTTTACTTAGGGTGTGATATTGCATTGTCGAATACGGTCGAAATCTTGATCTAGAAAGTTATTACGGGTGCTTGTGAGGCTCCGTAAGGGGCACTTTCTTTCTTGACCCATAACACCCTTTCAATACTTGCCGCCGAAACGGCCGGTTACACATGAACTATCTTTATAGATAGAAAACAGCTGGATGTTATTTTTACTAGTATTTATTAAATATTTTGGAACTTAATAACTTTATTTAAATGGCGGTCAAGAATTGTGCAACTTTGGTATATTCTCGAACTGCTTCTTTCCCGTTAACCTTTACTACCTGTGCGAAAAGATTATTTGGTATTAGTCGAATGAAATAACGTATAAAGTTACAATGCTAAACTAACCATAATTAGTTTCTCTTCAGCGGTGAACATCTCCGTGACGATTTCAATCTCACCACTGATTTCTTTCAGAATCAGTTTTCCGTCCACATATTTCATTGTTCTCTGTAGCCAAAAGTGAATTTACATAATTAATTAGTGGAACTTGAAGAAAAAGAACTTAACAATAGCTGGTCTTCCATCCACCATATTTCCGTCAAAACTTTCGCCTCCAATTTTACCGTTTATGAGACAAAGCTCTTCTCCGTTCGCCTCAATGGAAATTTCCATTGTGTTTTCCTTTAGAAAAAAAAAACAAAATTAAATTAAACTTTTGTGATTTTCTCTTTACAAACAGTTGGATTGTAGTTGTAGGTTACTATGTTCTTTTCAGTTTTATCAACCATTTCCACAGTAAATTCTGATTATAGATAACAGATTATTAGAATAGTAAGATTGAAATTACATATTATATAGATTAGTAATAATTAACTAAAAATAAACTAACTAGCTTCTTTTAAGACATCATTATAGTTGTTACTAACTTTGACCATTTGCCATTTTCCATTTAATTTTTCCATTTCGCAAGATCAAATCTAAATTCTGACTTGTTGTAAGTTTAAATACGAAATGAAATTATCTATCTATTGATAAAAGTAGACAATTTAATTTATATGATTTATGGACTATTTTTAAGTGAAAATCTAATACCGTAAGATCTTAATTTGTAACTTAAGGATTGTCTTATTTCTTTTTTCGCTTTTAACAATAGAAAGAATTTGAAACTAGCGACTTTTAAAACTATCAAAACGTCAATTTAATTAGCATTGTTAGGCCTTTCAAATATTCATGTAATATACAGTGCATAAACTTAAAATTCTCTTGTTGTTATTGAAAACTTTATTTTGTATGTTTTGCACTGTTAAGCAGCTTTATGGCTTGCAAATTGAACAAACAGATTCATAAAAATGAAATATTGCTTTACTATTCTTTAAAAAGGTTTTATTAATATTTAATGATATAATAGGGATATGATTGTTAGCTTACCTCATCATAGCTTTAATATGCTAATAGCTATTTACAAAGGGTTCTAACTTTAGTATGACCTTAGGTGTAAGTCTCTAATATCATATTATTAAGCATAGTAAATACTGGTTATAGTTCATTAATCATATATGAATTTATTAGATATGACTGAAGGCAGATACGAGTAATAATAGTAGTTAAACAAAAACAAACAGCTCTTATGTCAATTGTTACTATTCTCAAATATTTTTTTGCCATTATAATTGTTTGATCACCCCCTTCCTTCCCTTCGTATACAAAGCCTTAAAATTTATGTGCAAACGCATCCAAAACAATTGACATTTACAAGAGTAAGATAAACGTTTTATTGTTTAATCGTTCTCATCTATTCTAAATTTTTGATACAAATGTGACAATACTTGTTGTAACTTCCCCTGGGTTTTATCTTACACTTGTCATTTGCTGTGAAAAATGCCTTTAAATTACACTTAAAACCTTAAGCCGGATGATTAAAGACCATCGCTGAGAAAATTCTTTCGTTGATGTACAGCGTACCCTGTTTTATATTTACGTAGATACATATGTATGCATTAAAGCAAACTTGTATCAATACATCATTCTCTCCTCTTTACATCAATAGTTTTAGATTTAGGTTGTTGGAGCTTTCCCACAAGAGTATGACTCAATTTATCTTAAATCAAGAAAATATCAGCAGTATTTTACCAGATAGAAATCTATAATTAATCTTGTATCTAACAGTGCGTATACAAAAACAATTAATGACGTAGTTTTGGTCTGATTTTCTGACTGATAAAGACCACTTCTATTAAAGATATCTTCTTTTTTATGATGTTACCAAAGTTAAAGAATGGAAACGATTAATTTCACATAACGAAAAAATCTTTCGAAACAAAAAATTTTTTTACTGAGTCATAAATAAAGGTTACTTTAGCGTGCTATTGTTGTGACACGGTATATTTCAAGTCTTTGTCTTGACAAAAAAAATGATTTTACGAGCGAGATAATAAACAATACTCTTGACTATTCCTTGACAAATCTTGTTTATTTTCGGTTAATGTTGTTGAAAGTATGATATTAAATTTCACATTCAGAAAACATGCATGCTCTGACTTGCCATAGTTTTCTTCAAGTATTCTTTTATTTGTTAAATAAGTATCGCTTTAATACTCAAAGCCGTAGAATCTTAAGTCTAATGCTCGTTTTATTGTAATTAAAACATGCTTTCTGTAATAGAAATTTTCCCTTATTTAAACAATCAAATGGACTGTGCAAAATCAGATAATGGTCAATACAAGAAATAAGGTTTCATTGAAGGACTCGTAGTCTGTACCTGGATAAATCGATTGGCTTAATTTGATTGATTGATACCCGGTGCAAACTTTCACGCTTACAGTTAGTTCTCAAGTAAAAGAAAGGTAACCTTTTCAAACGTATCAGTAAACATACGACGACCATCTGTTTTCTTTCAATACTAGGTAACATACCCCTTTTTTGTTTAGAGGTAGACCTTGAAAAACCTATAAATTATAATAGGCTCTAACCTGTTTTTCATAAAAACATCATGCTTTACTTGATATTTAAAAAAAACTTAATCAGGTGTTTAATAACTTTTAAAATATTGATATTTATTTACTGTAAACTCATCTTACAGATAATTCAATGTTTTACTTAAAATTATAATTACTGACTTAAATTATTTTTTACAGATGTTGCGCCTACGACTTTCAAGTCTTTGCCCAAGACAGATGAATGGTATTATCAAGATGCTAGCATAGTCATTGAATGTGAAGTTGAAAGCAGTCCTCCGAGTAAAATGGAACTGTTTGTCAACAATTCGTTAATTCAAGATATTTCGGGAGATAGTGGCAAAATAACCTATAAATTTTCCCTACAAAATTATCAGGTCAGATCCTATGTTTGTAAAGCCACAAACAGATTAGGATCTTTACTGTCGCCTCCTGCTACTATTAGAATAGCTCGTAAGTCTTTTTATTATGGAGAACCACTGGTATTGACTTATTTTGTTTCAGCCCTCATTTTCATGTCTAATGATCGTAGGCAAGTCAGAACAAAAGAAGGAGAATACAGAATCATTAAACGTCCAATGAAGGATCATGAATTTCTGAAACACTGGGAATTTTCATGGTATCGAATTCCATCTGGTATCTATAAGTCGACCCGTCAAACTCTCGTATTTGAACGTCCAGATACATATGTGACCTTACATGGCGATTTAATTCTCTTAAATATACCTCTGAACCACACTGGAGTAGAATATATGGCATCAGCTGTCAACGAATACAAGAACGAAAAAACAACTACTCGAAGTAACACTTTTACTCTCATTGTAGAAGGTATGCTTAACTAATCTTATTTTGTTCACACTTATGAGCTGTTGTATTTTTGGAAAATAGATAATGAAAATTTGAGTCCAACATTGAAACCTGAAATGTTGGTAAAACCCAAGAATGTATCGGCCAAAGTACTCGAAACCGTTTTTTTTGAGTGCGTTGGAAGTGCAAGGTATGGTATCTAAGCATGTTTGCAAACCAAAACTGACCCTTACCTTTCTAGACCTCTTAACCGGTTGAAATATCGTTGGTTTCGTGTGGTAAATGGAAGGGAAAGAGATATACACAGTGGATTTAATAATTTTAAGAGACTGCTACAAGTCACAAAGGTTGATAGTAGTAAAGCGGGTGAATACGGTTGTGAAATCAGTTACGAAGGAGGTGGTATTGATTATCCATCGGTCAGACACACTGCTTGGCTGACCATATTAAGTATGAATCTTTCGAATATTTTATACTATTCCTTCAAAGCTTAATATTTGCTAGATGAAGTATCCGAGATTTTCCATCCGTGGCGTGATGAAGCATATGATGGCGGTGACAAGCAAATAACATGCCATCTCGAAAGAAATGCCAATCCAAAACCTGTGATCAACTGGTACAAAGATGCTGTTATAATACCAAAAACTAATCAGCGGTTAGATTTAGTTATTTCTTTTATCACCATTCTGTGAAATTTTTCTAAATTTTAGATATCAAATTATTGAGGAGGGATTTTTCTTAAAGATTTCTACCGTATCACCACAAGATAAAGGAGTGTATCAATGCGTTGGTCATAACGTTTTAGGTTATGCCTACAGTGCAGTTTATTTGGATGTTAAAAGTACTATATTTAATTCAATATATTATTAACTAAAACATTCGTATTCACAAAGGTGAACCGGCAAGAATTGTTACCCCACCAACTAATAAAACTGTCACAGAAAAGGAATCAATTTCCTTTTATTGCGAAGCATATGGAGCTCCTATACCAAAAATTAGATGGTTTAGAAGTAAGTAAAGTTCACAAGTGCATCTCTTTATTGTTGTGAACTGATTTTTCTACTTTAGAACGCAAAACTGCACCAGCGACAGAGGAGTTGACTTCCACTTCAGAACGAATCGAGGTTTTGGGAAATACTATCAAGTTGAGAGATACTGCTTTAGATGATATGGGTACCTATATTTGCAACGCCTCCAACTCCAAAGGATGGGATACAAAGAGTACCTATTTGATAGTGTTTAGTAAGGACAAACTATTTTTTAATAAAAATTATTATTAAAATTCTTAATGTGTTTAGAACGTACTATCATTATCAAGCCACCCACAACTAATAGAGTAATTAAAGGAAATGAAGCAAATTTCCAATGTGGTGCTAGCTATGATGATAATATCCCAAAGCCGAGGTGGACTTGGTACTTTCGAACATTGAGCACCGATCCATTTGAGAGGGTTGACATAAAAGGCGTATTTACAATTAGTACAGAAGGATCATTGATTATAAAGCATGTTGACACAAAGCATGTCGGGAGGTAGGAAATAAAAGTATATTACAAAAATGCCAAGTTATTTACCAATTTTGCCTTTTACAGTTACAAATGTGAAGTTACCAGCATTTCAGGAAATGAAAGTAGGATGGCAGAGCTGATAGTTATCGAAACTCCAACATTATCAATAGAAAAAATCGAACTTTTACAGGAAAAATTTGTGAATATTTCTTGGAAGATCATTTTTGATGGAAATAGTCAAGTTCAAACTGTTTCAATTCAAGCTCAACGAGTATCTGATAGAGGTGCGAAATTTTAATTTCTTCATAGTATTCTTAATTCATCAGAAAAATTTTGTAGGTGAAAACTATCCATGGGAACACTTAGTTCGAGATGTTCCACCCTCCCCTAGCTGGTATCAAATAAGGAATTTGAAGCCAGCTACTACTTACAAGTTTCAAGTAAGAGGAGTGAATGGAGCCGGAGAAGGAGAAGGCTCCCGAGAGAGCAAGACGATAACGTTACCTCAGCAGCCACCATCAGAACCACCCCAGGCTGTAAGCGTTGAACCCAGAACTTCTACAGAATTGATTGTAGGTTGGGAAGCGCCTAATAAGGAAGGATTGAACGGCAAATTAAAAGGATATATTATAAAATATCAGCTAAAAGGCTATCAAGACTGGAATCTAGAAAATATTACAAAAGTAAGCGAACAGAGGAATCTTTATTCTCTAGATGGCCTTACTGTCTTTTCTACATACAACATTCAAATTGCTGCTTACAACGAAAGAGGCGTTGGAGTATATAGCAAGAGTGTATCTGCTAAAACGAAAGAGGGTACTCCTAGTAGACCACCAACAATTTTGGAGTCATCTAAAGCAATATCATCAACAGCAATTCGCCTTGAATGGAATCCCCCGCCCGTTCCAAACCATCACGGTGTCATTCTGGGCTATTATATTGCTCTATATCCGAAGCCAGCCTCAGATTATGCTAGATTTTTAAACAAAACATACATGATACCACTAGAATCTAGATATAGGAATCAATCTTATACTGTAGCCAACTTGGCAAAATTTACTTCTTATGACATATCTATAGCCGCATTCACAAGCGGAGGTATTGGCATGGCGTCTGCTAATAAAACTATAGGAACCAAAGAAGACAGTAAGTTAATGCTGATTTACAATTTTCAGGATTTTAATAAAATTTTTATCATTTTTTAGTACCAGATGCAGTTGAAAATTTATCCTTTAACTCTTTGTTGGATACCTCGGTAAACATTACGTGGAGTCCTCCTAAACGCATAAATGGCATATTAATCGGCTACTTTATTACTTATCAACGGAAAGACTACAACTTAAGTCAAGAGTCAAAAAGGCTACCTCCATCAACTCGATCATATGAAATAAGCAAATTGCAATCCCTAACAAGTTATGTAATATCTATACAAGCCCAGTCCAGAAAAGGCTTAGGTATTAAGAGAATAATAGAAGCCAAAACGGGTGAACCACCAGAACTACCCAAGCCTCCTACAATATTAGGAATCAGCGATTTACAGGACCGATCAGTCCAAATAAAGTTTACCCCAGGTTTTGATGGCTACACATCAATTAATTTTTGGATCGTTGAGGGTCAAATAGATGGTCGAGAAGATATGGACTTTTTCGTTATTGAAAAGATATCGAGTCCAAATTCTCAAGCCATTACAGTATTCAATTTGTTACCTTTTACAAAATACCGCCTAAGACTCTTGGCTGAAAACATAAAAGGAAGCAGCAGCCCTTCACTTCCTACTCGGTGGTTCACAACTGATCAGTCTATTCCTTCGTCGTTTCCAACTGAAGTGACAGTAAGAGCATTTAATGAAACCTCCCTCACAATCAGATGGACTGTAAGTATTGGCGAAGACTATTTCACTAAAGTTTTAATTAATTTAAACATTTCAGCCCCTTGACGAAAAGCAATGGAACGGAGATGAAAGGGGTTATAAGATTCAATACGGCATTAATCGCACCTTCAACGAAAAGATTGAAGTTAAAAACGACAACGCAAGTTTGTACACAATACACAATTTGAAACCTTGGACTGAATATGACGTGAGAATTGCTGCTTTTAATGCTAAAGGCGATGGAAAATATAGCCCACAAGCTAGTGAAAGAACCTTCGAATCGGGTTTGTTTATAGACATATAAGCTCTTTAATATTGCATATATTAATTTTTAACATAATACAGTTCCGGGAAGGGGACCATCCAATGTTAAAGTGGTAGTTTTAAATTCTACAACTATCATAGTTTCATGGGGTGATATACCCAAGGGTGAAGAAAATGGTTTAATACTCGGTTTTAAAGTGAGTTCTTGAGTATTTTTTTTATGATTAAAAGGGTTATATATCGATAGGAGCGTAAATCTTGAAAAAGTCAGTAGTATAGCCAATAAGATTTAATCTTGTTCTACAGTTTTTTTTCATATATAAACTTGTAAATTTTATTATTTATAAATTCTTCATCAGATTAAATACACCAAGGAGAGGGAAAGACGTAAACGATCAGTAAATAAAGGAACCGATTTGGATATATTGAAAGTTAATAACCCAAATGCTAGATCTGCTTACATATACAATCTTCACCCATTCGTCTCCTACGAAGTTGCTGTAGCAGCTTTTACTCGATTAGGTGACGGAGTGTATATGAAATCTAATTCTCCCGTCGAAACTTTTTCAGATGGTTTGTAACAATATAGTTACGATTTTATCTTATTTGTTGATTTTCGACAGTTCCGAGCATTCCAAAGTGTTTGTATTTCCCAACTGTTGACATTGGCGGTATAACTGCCCAATGGTGTCCGCCTGAATTTAAGAACGGCAAAGATATTAGCTATAGTCTAAAATATCGTAAATTGCATTCTGGGAATAGTGTCGAATTTTCTGAGGATGAGATTAGAGGAACATCTTATGTGGCAAGGAAAGAAATTGATTCGTGGAATGTTATTTACGAGTTTCGCCTTTCGGCTAAAAACGAAAATGGAACTGGTAAAGAAATTTCGGCGAAAGTAACGGTTAGAGAAAATAGATTGAAACCCGTTGCTCCCCAAAATCTTAGAATTGAGGATTCTCAGATAAGAGCTTATAGTTTGAGTCTATTCTGGAGTTTTAAAATGGTAGACTATTATGAACTAAGAAATTACACTGTACAATCCTGCCTCGTTGACAACTTTAATGAGTGTGTATGGAAAGAAGAAAATATTGATATAAATCCCTCAGACACTAGGGCAGTTATAAATGGCCTAAAACCGGTTACCAAATACAAATTTCGAATTGCCGCAAACAACGATGTAGGGAGAAGTGTCTTTAGTAAGAGTACTGAAGCAAAAACAACAAGTCCAGCTCCACCGACTGCTCCTCCAAGTAATATTATAGCTCAACCTTTCACTGAAAGTTCAGTAAGAGTTTCTTGGCTTGATCCCCCAAAAACCGAATGGAACTCTAACAGAATAAGCTCTTACGTAGTTAAATACGGTCCGTTGCAGTGGCCAACTTCGGAAGCTGGTAAGTATTTATTTTGGTCTAATTAAAAAAGAAAAACATGAAAAATTTACCTAATTAAATTTTTACAGGCTATAATCAACCTGTTGTTGATAATGCAAAAACTATTGAATTACAAAATCTCAGAAAGCATACACTTTACGAAATTAGAGTCAGAGCTCGAAATTCTATGGGAGATGGCCCATGGTCACAGCCGATAGATATTTATGTAGGTGAAGCTATTCCGAGCGAAAGTCCTTTGGATTTAACAGCTGAGCCGATTTCCTCGACTGAAATTCAGCTAGCATGGAAAGCACCTCCGAAACGAGGACAACATGGTAATATTTTGGGCTATAAGGTTCTCTATTGGATAGCTGCCCAAAAAGATCGTACGGTTTTGGCAATTAACGTTCCATCAGCAACTCTTAGGGCTTCTCTAAAAAATCTGGAGATGTATACTCTGTATGATATAGCTGTATTAGCTTTCAATGCTGCTGGCGAAGGACCTCAAACCCCTCCGGTTACACAGCGTACTAAACAAGGCCGTAAGTCAGAAAATAATCTTTCATTGATGATAATAAACATTTAATAAAATTTTCTAGTTCCTGGGAAGCCTGGAGAACTCAGTTTTATAGTAACTTCTCTGTCATCATTAAACTTATCATGGACTCCGCCAGAAAAACCAAATGGAGTTATTGAATTATATAAAATACAATACTCGCAAACTGGGTTATTCGGTAAATAATAGAAATTACTTTTGAATGAATATTTTTTATAACGCTAATCCACCTTTTTTAAATTTTAGCCTATGGCAAAGAAGTGATCAACCATGTTGACTATAAGAAAACAAGTCACGAAGCAAAGGACCTTGAAGAAAATATTAACTATATTTTCAGTGTCCAAGCAAAGACAAAAGTTGGTTGGGGAGAAAAAAGATCCAAAAACTTTACCATTGGTCCCGTACCAGGAAGCCCTAAGCCTCCATTTCAATTAAAATTGGACACATTTGACACCTATGCCAATCTTCGTTGGTTTAATGTACCATTGAGTTCCGAACGAACCCTTTCTGGATATATAATCCAGAAACAAGAATATGGGAACAAGAAATGGGAACAGTTTGAACGTCTAACAATTACAAACAGTGATATGATCGCTAAACCGATTGTAAAAATACCTTTCTACAGCCTCAACCCGAAAACCGATTATGTATTTCGCGTATTTGCTCTCAACAAAATTGGAATATCTTCCGCTAGTGAAGCATCTCCCATTTTGCAAACTCCTGATTTTAAAACCGAAGAATTCTATAAACAATGGTGGTTTGCTGCTATTATCTCATTAGTTGCTCTTATCCTGATTATACTCATTGTCACTATTCTCTGCTTTACCGGTCGAAGGAGTAGACGATTGAAAAAGAAGCACGCAGACATGATGCCTACAGCGGTCATATCACCAACATCAATGACGTCTATGGCCACCGTTATGACCAATTGTGACAGAGAAGATGAAGATGGTTTCGGTACAATAAATTCTAGGCGATCGATAAGATCAAGACATTCTGAGAGGTCAAGAAAGGGGGCTCGCAACGGCCACCCAGGCTATATACGTAGTCCGCCTAGACCATCACCGGCAGCTGTAAACTATGATGATGATGACGACAGCTGCCGTAAATCACAAATTGAAGATGATCGTAGTAGTTTAGCCAAACGCTCAATTAGTTCAGATGAAAATTCGTGTGGAAAAGCATCCACCTTAAGCGATTTTAGTGAGAAAAATGTGGATGATGAATTTCCACCTCCCTTTACAAGTGCAGTCAATATGAATAGAAAAAGCTGGAATGGGTCTGCTCAAAAATACAAATCACCGCCCAATATTCCGCCACCGTTACCGCCAAATCATCCGAGAAATAACTTAAATCAAAATAATATTAACCAAGCGGCGTCCTCATCTTCAATTTACAATTACACGGATAGTGAACCGTCCGAATCTCCTTACGCAATTTCTCTGAATGCTGGCCATGTTGTTATGAGTAACAAGGCTGGATCCCGAGCCCCTTTACCCGGTTTTTCATCTTTCGTCTGATATTATAAAACAGTATACCCTTATACGTGTATACCACAATTTTGTTCAGGTACTCTATCGTATGCAATAACTTTTTATTTTTTGTATAAAACTTGTTACTGCCAAATGTTTTCCTAATTTTAAGGCTTCTCTTTTATACGTAAAATATTCTTAGATTTGGGAATGAGATATTAGCTCTGCTTTACTGTTTATTGACAGGTAAAAGTATGCAATTCGATAGAAATGAAACATCACATAATCTAATATTCTATTTTCAATTCATGTTTTGTTTTCCTTGCTCCAGTATTAGGAAGTGGCACTAATGATTGAAATATGTAGCAAAATTGCACAGATTTGAATAAAGTATATTGTTATTTTTTTTGTATCATTACCAATCCGAGTGTAAATCTTGTAAATTGTTCAAACTAATGTAAGAGAATAATTTAAGGCTTAAAGCCCAATAGCTAAGGTAAACAGGAAGGATTATCTCTTTTATGACTACAACTTCCGTCAGCTCTGTGAAAAACTTTAAAACATAACAGATACACTAATGTTTTTAAAATCAACAGTTCGAATTCCTCTTTATTAATTTGAAATATAAATTGAAAATAACGATTTTCTTACAAAAAAAAAGTAGCACCGGCGACTTCGTAAGGAACGTTTTTAAAATCTACGATAAAAATAAAATTATCGGCGTTTTTATTCGACGCCATTGAATTTATATCCATGAGCACCACCAAGAAATATAGCATCCATCCAAATGGCTCTAGATTGAGGAGTCGCTGAGCAGAGTGTAAGAGTCCTTTGCTTAGTGAGTACGCAGAATGCGCTACCAGGCGATCCATTACTATTTTGAACGTATACTTCCGAAATATCATCAAAGCCAATTGAACTTCTAGGTGAAGATCTGTCATTACGAGGCTTAGAAGAATAATATGAGAGTATACGGCGTCTTCGGTCCAAAACGAACCATCGTTTCTGCCATCGTCTAGGGCGACTTCCTCCTAATTTTTGTAGCCAACCTTGGCAGCATATGTTGGTAACAAATACATCGGTAACATCACCAAGATGATGACCAGCAGATTCAAGGTGCTGTTTCAAGTCAAAAGTGGCGTCATCGGGTACAGGCAAGTAGCGCGTGAGTGGACGTTCGGGTTTGTTTTCAAACTTAGCAAGTTTGACGGAGTTATGGTTGACGTACTGTAAAAAAAACATTTATGAAAAATATTTTGCACCAAATTCTTGACGCGTAAGTTTTTGGCCTACTTCAACAGCCAAAGGGCCAGCGGGACTTTGCGGAAAGGCTCTTTTCGATCTCTGCTCAACTGCACTATGTAGTTGGTAAAATGCATCTGACATATGAACCCAACCACTTGCTGGCGGTTCAGAGGGGAGTTCAATATTTCCATTCAAATTCTGTATTATTTTTATTTGCATCATAATCACTGAATTATTACGGCTAATTTTATAGGCCTACCGGGTCCAAAGCGTCGCATTCCACCAACGCCTGAGCGGTTTGTTGGAATTCCAGAACGAATTGATTTCTTTCCTGCTCAAAATTCCTGACATCCTTCTCGCAAAGCGAAATTAATCCCTTTAGCTCACCGTCGATTCTCTGTACTTTGGCCTGTCCGATCAAATAACATATGAACAATGAACAAGGAAAAAAAAGGGTCGAGTACTTCTTGTTCTTCAACTAGTGCCTTGATTTCGCTTCTTTCCCTATCGATTTCTGAATTAACTCGTTCCCTTTGTTCCTCGATACGCGCTTCGATCTGAGTATAAACTTAATTTACTAATAATATTACGCTAATAACATTCAGAGTACCTCTAATAATTGAAATTCCCATTCTTCGAATACCCTTTGATGATGTTCTAAAGATTCCCTCTGCTTTTTTTCCAGAGCTTTATAATTTTCAAGTTCTTCGCCAGTTTGACATAAACTGGCTTCTTTTTGCGTTTGTGTGATTTCTACTTCTAATCGTTCGATTTCAAATCGCTCTCGTTCTAATTCAATGGCCACCTGCGATAGTATAATCGGATAGAGAAACAAACTAAATCAATTATCATCTAACTTGTTCGTTGTCAATTCTACTGCCTCTTATCGATTCCAATCCTTTCCTTTCTATTTCATCACAGCGATTGCGCAAAGCTTGTAATATTTCACTTTCTGAATTGCGCTCGCCTTCCAACAATGCTCTTTCCATTTCAAACTATTTAAAAAAGATTATAGTATTCTTATCTTAGACAATTATCAAATAATAGCTCAATTGAACCTTATCGAAAATCTTAAAAATATTCAACAATCCTACTTAAAGCAACAACGCCCCCTACAAATCGCAATCGTCTCCCTTGAGAGAGAAGCGACCCATCTAGGCTTAAATTTCTAGGAAGTATCGGTATACTAAAAATTATTAAATAGAAAAAGAAAAAAAATTCTCACGTCGTGAAACGATTCGCTCTGTTGAGAGTCGATATCTGCTACTTTTTGCTTCAAGCTGTTCATTCGATTAACAAGATGCTTACGTTTAGTTTTTATTTTATCCTGGTTATCCGTAGAAGAGACCTTGATAAAAAGCCAACATAAAAAAATGTCCAGACAGCTAATCGGATTAGTAAAAACGTACAATGGAATAAAAAAATCGTTTTAAAGGGGGTTGTAGAGAGAGCGGATAGGGAGGGAAAGGGGAGGATTTTTCAGATAGAAAGAAATATAGGGTGGTAAGGGAGAGAGAAGGAAATAACTTAAAAGAAACATAGAATAGGAAAAAAAAGCGAATACCGTAGAACGATCGAAAGTATCGGCCGAACTAGCCGATAACGAATCGCTTTTAGAGTCGGTAGAATTGTGAATAGAGCCGTTAGCTATTTTTATGCTTTCTTTGCCATTCAATTTGTGACCATTTTCCGGGGCGGTAAAATTATCGTAACCGTGTAGTTCGTCATAGTCATTTTCGTCTGTAGCGTATGATTTTATCGGTTGAGTAGCATCGTTCTTTAACTTGGGAACATTCTTCTCCACTTGAGACGATTGTTGAACCTTAGCAGGGGTAAAAGGAATATATATAGCATAAATATCAACATTGAATTAAAAGAGTATATAGATAGATATTTTGACAATAAAAATATAAATTTATATGAAGGATTAATTTGAATTTATTCTTCCTAAATAAGAAAAACATAAGAAAGGAAATTCTTAACCCAACTTTTAATGAAATTTTTAACGGGAGCATTAAATATTTACCCCATAATCTTCGAGCATACTTAAAATCTCATCAAGTCTCTTTTTTTCCTTAGCATGAATCTCTTCGTCCTTAATCCTCAACTCTTTCTGTTTCTTCATTTTAGCGACTAGACTCTCTTGTGAAGAAGTTATCGAGCTGTACTCGAATTCGCCGCTGGACGTTTAATAATTAAAACTCTTTTTCGCTATTGAATAACTAACCTAAGGTCAAGAGAGTCGTCTTGTTCATCGTAGACTACTCTTTCTTGTTGTTGCAACACAGGCACACGTTTTTCTTCCAATCCCACACTGAAAGCTTTCAACTCTTCTAGAACTCTGTCAAGCTCTCGCGTATCTATTTCATTATTCATTACTGTTTATTTTTCGAACGACATTGGCCTATAAAGATTCCAACTTCTTTGGCAGGTTTCCAAGTGATGCTTTCATGCGAATCACCAAGTTCTAGATGAATTGCTATGGATAAATAGATATCCGACACTTCAACCACGCCCTCTGACGGTCTACTCGATTATAAATAATAATAGGGTCCGATCAGCACGGATCGTTATAGATTTACATAAACTAAACCACGCCTACTCAGTGCTCGAGTTTACAATCGGAGGAAAGTATAGCCTAACAGCTGTGCATTCTGTATTCTTAATAAATTTAAATTTTTTTTATATCTAGAATTATTAGCCATAAACATAAAGAGCGGTGGAAAGATTAATATCTGGAAGTAAACCTATTTAGAGTAGTCAATCCGACAACTAACAAATAGATCTTAAAAAAGAGATAAAATTTTTCTTTAAAAAAAAGGCCAACAACGTGTAGAATAACAACTAGCACTCCTCTATAACTCAGCGGCCCTTGATTTGAAAGAAAAAGGCACAAAGCTAACTTTGTTCATAAAGCCGAACAATAAACAGATAGAAGAAAGCTATTGAAAATGAGGTTCCTCTTTGAGAGAAAAATCAAGAAGAAATTGAAGGCCTTGAAGAAAAATAGAACAGAATAGAGTTAGAACATTTTCAAGCTGTTGTTAATTACGTAACGAGAAAAAGTGTTTTGTTTAAATGTTTTCCAGTTAAAAATTACTCTGATAATAAAAATAACATTCTCGTTTGAAGTGTTCTACTTCAGAGTAATTGTGATGATTTAGGATCTATCGATTTTCCACCGTTTAGGCGCCGGTTTACATAATTAATAAATTATTTAATCGCTTTGATTTTAGAAACTACTTTAAGGATCAAACTTTTTTACAAATTCTAATAAAATTATGAAATAAATCTAGTTGTCATACATAACATAATTATCAATAATACTTACATTGAGCCGTTTAAAACTGAATTTTTAACAATAATCAGCTAAAAACTTTTGCCGTGTGTATCTACCGGATGTAGAATTAATCATCCGCCAGGTGTCATTAGTCAATTGAAAAAAATACAATTGACCACTCAAATTATAATATTTATTAGAATAAGCTAAATAAATGACAATAAGATAATTAACAAATTAAAAAAAACTATAATTTTATAGATGACGCTAGTATCGTACGAATTGTTTGCTAATGAATATTCAACAACCGCAGGACTTCACACGAGTTTCACTTATGAAACATTATTAGTATTAATTCTAATCAAGCAAGCGTAGAACATTCCATAAAAAGATTGCTACAGAAAGTAAACTTTTTTTTAAAAGAATTTAGCCACTCTGCTCGATTTGACATTTCTCTCTTTATCTGTTATCTTTGATGAAGTACGCATAAAACACGTTGAAAACTGACAGATTACGAAGAGAGTATATCATTGAGCGATTTTTATAAATATGAAGAATAAATAGTGCCTCGAAAACAGGTTAGTATTTGAAGTAGAAGTCACCTTATAGGCCTAGACAATAGATCGTTCTTTTACTTACAGAAAACTATTTCGAAAGGAAATGTTGTCCAGCTCGGACGCAAAAGCTCGCTGCTTATGGCAGATGCTGATTTGGTCCTTGGTTTTATGCTTCGTTTCTCAATATTCAAACATAAAAAGACATTTGGCATTTTATCTATTCGCCTTCGTCAGTATCATCATTTTGCCAATTCTCACTGCTTTCTACAGTAATTCGTCAGGAAGAAAAGGTGCAGGACTACTCAGAGCTGGATATGTACTTACGGATCCTATTCTGGCATGTTTAGCCCTTACACCTGTTGTTGTCCTGAATGACCTTCCCGACGTGGTTGTTCGCTTACATAATCTATCGGATATCGTTCGTTTCAATGCAACAGACGTTTCAAATATGGATTCTAGATACAAACTGATGCTAATACAAGCAACCGTCCTTCTTCCTATTATACTATTATTTGCTATGGGTAGAAGAACTCGAAAGATGGAGTTATCTACCTTTCTATTAGATTTCAGCTATTGGCTAGTTGTAGAAGTGGAAATATGCACTTTAATCGAACAGACTTACGCCTATTCGGATGCTGTTTTAACAACTTGTTCAATCGTTGCTATAGCATCTATATTAACAAATACATATGCAATAGTAACTCTGTGCTCTTATTTAACCCCAACGACGAAGGATACATACGAAACTTTCGATATACTTTTTAAAGGTGTTAACGCCTTTTCGGCTGTATGTTTTGTAGAAGTTCCTCTCATTGTCTGTAGGGTTCGTTTACTAATGGCGAACGGTACTATGAATGGATCGTTTTATGGTTGGTTTTTAAAAGATGGTTTTACAATTACGGTGATACTTGTTGTAATTATCGATAGTGATATTATAAAGAGAAAATTTTCCGACTGCTATACTTGTAGAACGAATCATTTTGAACCAGAAAAACGAGACGTCTATATAAGAAGAAAAATAAATGATACATATAAAGATATTGAAAATATAGAAAGAGCTCAAGAATTGACAAAAACTATTTATTTAAATAGTGCTGATAAACTAGAGGATGAAACAAAGAAAGAAGTTAATAAATCTACAAAAAAGAAAGTTTCGTTTAAATTGTGACAAACTCTTTTTTTATTTATAGAAATTAAGGTAACAAAAGACGTTTTTTATTTACATTTTATATTATATATATATATATATATATATCAGGATTGTTATTTATATGAAATGAGCATGCTCTTTATTTCGAAATTCTTCGCTAATTAACTCCTTGTTTAACCTTTAACCGAGAGCCTCTTTTCATTTTTTTAAATGATACCGAAATCCTATTACTTCTAGTCCTATTTACGTTTGATTGTTTAAACCTATTGGAAGAATAGATATGATTTGTTTCTTTGTTTATTTTTTTTATTGATATAACATCTAGTCTTTGTCTTCATCTTATTATCAAAATAAGGCGTCTGCTGCTAGCTAGTTAGTTTGTTTATTTGTCTCTCTTTTTTTCGCTCCCTCTTATTTTCCTTATTACCGTATAGTTTCTAATCGAACTAAAACTTCACCTACTTTGAACTATTTCCTGTGAAATTGAATATTTCATTGATAAACGGTTCAAAGTATCTTTTAATATTCCATTAATTTCTTATACATGTAATATTGAATAACAAAGTACAAATTTAGTACCTATGTCGAAATATCTAAGTAATTTTATCATACTTTGTAAGTCTTGGTAATAGATAGGCTTTTTTTAGATTCTCTTCAACTAATCACTTGAAATTTTATGATAAGCGATGAACTCCGTTCAAATAGAGGAATTTTTATAATCCTACAGTGTTCTAAGAACCATAAATTTTTAATTATTTCATTTATAATGAACGTAAAGTATTTCGATATAAAGAGAAGTTTATTTTTTATCGTTATGTGCCTTCTTTGCTTTGTGTGGTTATAATGCTTTAACGTGATAAAAACAAAGACTTTCATATAGCTTTTTCAAGGTTTTGCTTTCTATTTCCTTCATGGTTACACAAGCTGTTTACAATTTCGTTATGATATTAGTGTTAATGTTTGTTTGAATAGTTTACAAAAATATTAATTGACTGTTGGCAAATGCAACTGCAACTGAATATCTGGTTGAGATAGTAATAGTTGTAATGAAATGCAATTTATAATACAAAACTTGTATACATATGAAACTCATTCACTCATAAAAATAGTAAAAGTTAAAGAAAAAAATTGTCAGTAAAATACCTTTCACTTTACGTTCACTAATGTATATCTTATCATACATGAACTAGATTACTTACAAGAGTTTACAAATGTCACTGACGTTCCATAAACATAACGCATCATACAGCTAAATATACAGAATATGAAAACGAAGCACAAAGTTATGGTGTATCTATACTATAAAGTTTAGCAAACACTCCAAGTCCCCTTTTTTTGGAATGCGAGATTCGGTGGATAAATTCTTTGGGTGTTTCGTAGGATGTTTGAAAATTTACAGATTGAAGGGACTATCGCTTTCTCTTTCCAGCAGCCTTCGGTTTCTATTTAATAAGGGAAGTTTGTTGAAATTTTTAAGCTAATTAAATTGGAAAGTGTTTAAGCTTACAGTTTCTGCTTGCGTTTGCCTACCACTTGTTCTCTTTTTAGGCGGCGTCTGATTACTCACAGATGACCTAAAACAATATTACATTATTTTCTCGAAATTAGTCTATTTTACCAAATAAATTACCTAGTAATCCTTGAACCTTTTACTGGACTTGGAGACGCATTAGATTTTATAGGTGAAGCAGATGGTGTTCTCTTCCTCATATACTGATCCATTCTTTCTGTCACTTGCCGTCGCCTAGATGATTGCCTCAGCAGAGAATCATGAGATTCTTGGCTGCTCCTACTATAAACATTTTTACATTGAAAATTAAATATAGAAATGCTAATTATTTGATCTCTTTCTTTACCTTACTGGCGAAGTCACGGCGTTTCTTTCAGATGGCGTCGTTTTTGAGTTGGAAATAAGTGGATTTTTTGGCCTTCCCACTTTCCTGTGTCTAGTTGGTTTTTCAGGACTAGACTCAACAGATGTTGATTGATCAAGATCTTGGGAGGAAGATTTCTGTCTTTGTACTCTTTTTGACCTTTAAAAAACATTGTTGTTACACTATGTAAGACAGCTCAAAGAATTATATTTACCTTTTCGTTTGTTTATCCTTTTTAACTGGTGTTGACTTCTTTCTTGCGGCGTTAGCTATTCGTCCTCTCCCTCGTGAGCCTCGTCTGCCTCGTGCATCGTTTTCCTCATCTGAAGCCTTCTTGTCAATGTCTTCGTCAGAATCAATGTCCCCATCGGTTGCCTTATCATCATCTTCCTCTTTCTCTGGTTCATTAACAACTTCTTTTTTCCGACGTTTCCCCCGCTGACCTTTAACAGGTGTATCAGATGCTTTCCTTGTTCGCCCTCTACGAGGTTTGGGTGCGGGTTTTTCTTCAATAACGCTTTCCTCCTCTATTTCCTCTATCTCTTCCTCCTCCTCTTCCTCTTCCTCCTCTTCATTGTCTTCTTCAGAATAATCTTTACCCAAGGCAGGAGTTTTTATTTCTTTTGATTTTTGCCTACCACTTCTTGTGGGTCGAGGAGTATAATGCTCTACATCATCTTCCCCTTCAGCAACCTCTTCTGAACTAGAGTCTACTGGTTTCCAGTCATCCTTCTTTTGTCTCTTGACATCTGGTGCACTATCGTCTGACAAGCGTTTCTTTGCCTTTGGTTCACTATCACCATTTACTTTAACTTCTTCCTTAGCCTCAGTTTTGTGACGTCTGCTTATTTGTTTAGATGAGATCTGCAGCTCCTTTGGTAGATAAATAGTTGTATTTGTAGTCGGCTGAAAAATTGGATAAGAAATGTTTATAACGTTTACGAATAATTTATACAATTTTACTTACGACATCTGGTTTTTGAAATAATTTTGAAGGGAGAAGAGGTTCTGCAGGAAATTCTCTTATGTCTACCGTTGTGGGTTTTGTTAAAATTATATTCATCGCCAAATCACACACTGCGTATATTTTCTGAAAATAGATCGATTAGTTTCAGTTTTTCGCGTGGAATTCACAAGTTCAACATACTTTGTTCAAAGTTTCGTTCTCAGGGTCATTTGCATCTTTACATGTTTTTATTTGTTCAATCATTTGCCTATAGAAGGCAGAACTATACTGGTCATTTTTCATAATCAATGGTTCCATTATAAACCATAAACATCTGTAAGATATTATATTATTAATAAGAAAAATATGAATGTTATATAGTTACTCTTTAGTATTTTTTAAACTTTCTACATCTTCATTGTCTAATAGGTCACCATCGTGAGCTAAAAGATGTATAACATAAGGCAAAACATAATCCGGAAGCAATTGGAAAACAATAGCTTGACTTCCAGTTGTTTTACTTTTCATAAGGGTTCGTCGTTTCATTATACAATTGTGTAAATATGTCTTAATTTGTGTCTTAATGTCCTTATCTGGTTCATTTGCTCCGAGACAGAAAATCGCCATGTACGCCAAAGGTAGTTTCAAGGAAAAGAGTCCTTTAAAAAGTTTGTCTGCAAATATTTTTCTCACCTCTGGACAAGTATCCTGAAAGCATTAAAAGATAGAAAAAATTGCTACAAATGATCATATGAGTGTACAAACGTTCAATAGAAATGCAATCATGTTGAAATAACTGTTGCTAACTAATTCGTAGTAATTCCTCTCTTCTGCTATCTTTAGTATACAACAGCCAGCTTGCAATCGTAATCTAGCCATTTCCGGTTTACTAAGAAAAATTTGCGACATTAATGTTTGAGTAAGAAGAATTGTATATATATTTCTGTGTCTCACTTTATTTTCTTTTTCTCCATCAAGTCTCCGTCGTGTTTGATAACAGTGAATAATAAGCGTAGAGTGCTTGTGGCTATGTTGCTCTTATCAGATTGTTTTCCTTGCAGCCATCTTACCATCATCTTCATCCCTTCCATCTGTTTAAATAGGATATTGAAGTATTTGGCAATTTTGATAAAGAAAAAAATTTTCATAGAAAAGTCCTCAGATCTCATAATCTCATAACTCATAAAGACCACAAGCTACCATATCAGACAACTAATACTGTGAAATGATAGATGAAATATGTAGATGATATGACGTGAATATTAGTTGTTGATAGGTAACCCCGTCTCTCGCTTAATAATTTTCATCATTGGACAATGTTTTATACGGATAGAAAATTCTTTATACCTTGCACAATGTCTCGTAGGACACAAGATTATCGCTATACCAATTTTCATTGGAATGTCGTCCATTGCTCTAAAAACAAAAGAAGTTTTTATATCTAAAATGTATAATAAATATCTAACTTACTCGATCAACCATTAAAAGATCCTTAACGATAACATCAACAACTACTTTTCTAGCTCTTCCTGAATATTCTTCTGGACAAATGCGACTTACATGTCCCATGACAACAATTGACACCAAAAATGATGAAGATTCAACATCTAGATGTTTTTCGATGTGCTATAAAAAAAATTGTGTTTGTATATAGTGAATTAAGTAATTCAAGCTCAAAGTGAAAAAAATACTTACATCGAATATTGGGGCGTAAAGTTTTGACTTATTATTTTTGTCCATTTTTTCAATACACTTCACGGCGTATTTTGCTTGTTTCGCAGTTCCACACTTGGCAAATCTTTGCAATATGGGTAAGAGATCTCGAAAAACAGTTGGGAATTTCTTTTGCAAATCAGAACCAATGTCCCAGAAAATTTGTAAAGTCGTGCAAGCTGTAGTAAAATTGAGAAATCAGCATAATGAATATGAAACACGAATAAACAAACCTATATCATCATCTTCGTTTTCTACAAAAGTTGTGAGAAACTCAAGAACTTCTTCGTTTTTGAAACAATGAGGAAAAACTGGTGCTAAAGTCTGTAAAAAAGAAATAGAAGATGTAAAAATGCTTTTATATTAGATAATTGAATTACTTGAAGTAACTGTATTCCCGATTTTGCAGCATCTTTAACTCCCTCCAGAGCATCACCAGTGCCGTTGATAGCATCGTCCACCAAAGTGAATAATTCTTTCATAACTGTCGCATCGATCATCAACGAAGCAATTCGTTCAACGAAATTCTAATGTTAAGAACATGTTACAGTCGAAATCAGTATGCCTATTTTTAACATACCCTAATATAATTGTATAAATGATTATTTGGAACAGCATTGCCCATTTTTTTCAGGATCTCTCTCTGTTGATTGAAAAAGTAAATACTAAACTGTTTAAAATAACGCTTTCTTACCGTATATTCTTCACTCTTCTTGCAACTGCAGTCATCATCAAGCAGCTTGGTTATGCAATTTCGTAATCGGTTGTCAGCTTCAATCATTTTAACTAATTTTTTCAAGTAATCTAAAGTTTTGGTCGGTTCAGGGAGTTGATCTAATATAGCAAAATAAAGCTAGTTTTTTTCTAGAGATAAAGGTTTAGTGTACTCACTACTCAAAGTTTGTAATCTGGAATTCACTTCATGCTGTATTCTTTCGGTTTTTAAGCCATTCTTCAATAAGTCTAGAATTTGACTGGTGAAATCTCGAAATTTCTTTTGGGTTCGAAAAATTTCATTCAAAACTCTGTAGCCAAAGTAACACTTGTTTATTTAAAATTTTTAGAATAAATCTATTTTGCATACTTAATAGCTCTTTCGTCAACTGTTGCATAAAGAATATATAATCTTCTAGCTTTCTCTGGCACATCTAAGTTGTAGGGAACTAAATGCCCTTGAAAAGCTCTTTCAACTAAAATTTTGTCGTCGTTTAGCTGCTGATAGTACGAGTATAAAACTCTCTGCTTTATCCATGATAATCTTTCAATAGACTCAGAATCATTACTATTCCATGATGCCTTATATAATTGTGCGAGACCCATTAGCGCTTCTCGTCTAATTTTCATCTGTGAATTAATTTGTAAAAATAAACAGAACTATATTAAAAGTATTTACAAACTTTTTTGTCTAGAGTTCTCTCTTTAACTAAAACAAGGAGCTCGTCGCTGACTTTTTTAATATCTTTCCGGGCTGCTGATATGATCGCCGCCACTGTTTCATATCTAACTGTTTCGTCAGTGTCAAGGACTCTCTGAGATAGATGATCAGTTATTTCATCGATAAGATCTGGTTTATTTAGGATGAACTCTTGAGCAAATTGAGAGCATAGTTTTCTAATAGCAACTTCCTTGTCGTTAAACCTATATATGGATTTATTTATTATCATGGTGATAAGTTGTGGGGATTATAAAGAAACAGAAATATTAGGATTAAAACTTTTAATTGTCCTCAGATCTCATAATCTCACACTCACAAAGACCACTAGTTGCCGTTATCCTCAACTAATACTTAGAAATGAAAAATGAAAAAAGAAAATGATATGAGATGAATACTAGTTGAGAAAAAGGCAACCCCGTCTCTCGATCTATAACTTTTCGTCATAGGACAATATTCTAATAAGTAAACAAGAAAATTAGATAGAACCGTTTTTACCTTCCTAGAAGTGTAAACCAAAGATTTTTGTGATTTTCAGTCTCGTCATAGCTATTCGAGGAAAAAATTCGAAGTAACAGTTGAGTAGCTTTTTTTCTGTCTGAGTCATCCGTGCTCTAACAAAACACAGGTAATAATGCGATAAATTTATCTGTTTTCATATAACAAACGTGATTACCTTTAGCTTAAATTCAAACTGAGATAAGGCTAATTGAACAACGTTAGGGGATATGGAAAATAACTGGTAGAATGCTTCGTAATATTTCTCTCCAAGTTCTAAATTCGCTTTCTTTCCCAACAAAATGATATTCGTATAATACTGTAATAAATTTACTTTTTAAAGCCGTACAAAAATTAAAATAAATTAGAATACCTGAACCAATGATCTTGATAAGATATCATCACATTTAGTTACGACACTTTTTGCTATATTATATGACAGAGGGGCATTACTCTGTAAATTATATCAAAATTAATTTCTTTCTAAAAAATAAATATTGTAATGATGATGAAAAACCTTATTGGGTTCCACCAATCGTGTAAGGATTATATCAATAATTTCAGGAGGAATGGTATCAAATTCATTTAGTATTGTACCACATAATTCAATAAATAGAGTTGTCATTTGTTTACTATGTTGGCTTCTGAAGTGTTAATATCACTGAGATTCCGTTGTAATATACAAATGTGAATAACTTACGAAATGCACTGAAAAACGAATTTCAGAAGATTACAAAAAATTGGTATACAGCCATCGTATTCATGTAAAATATTCATTGCACCGGACCAAGTGATTTCCTTTAATTATAATATCAGTAATAAATAGATAGTCATTAAAACTATTGTTCTTACTTCAAGTAAATAAAAGTATCTTTTGTAATTCGGTCCATTAACATCAGCTAAACCTTTCAATTCTCTCACAAAGAAGTTAAATACATCCTTTAGAATAAATAGAACGTCTACTTGTTGATTACCAAAAAAATGTAATTACATACCATTATAACTCTGACATCTTTTAGAGGATTATTTGGAGCACTGATTCTTAGGATGTCGGCAACACTACAAGCAACATATATACGTATATCTCTACTCCGGTGAGACAGGAAACATTCACTAGCTAGATGTTCAGCCAGGCCATCGAACATTTGTGCGTCGGCGGGTGCATTTTCGTCTTCTTGCTCTCCAAAATCTTGCAAGGCTTTCGCCAGTACCTAACAAAATGTTCACTATATACATCGACACAAACAGATGCTAAATTTGCTTAAATACTTTAAGTCTTCGATGAAGTTCTTCTTCGCTCAAATCATCACTTATTTCTTTGCATCCTTCGGGATATTTTATCGAGAATGTCGCACTCATCTTCCGTTTAATTAGTTATTATCATCTAAAATGTGTAATATAACCTCTTTTAAAGCATCAATCTTGATTACAAAGTGCACCGAACTGTAAGACGCCATATTGCCTTTATCGCTCTCCGTGGCGCGAAATTTGGAAAATATTTTATCAACTACACGCGTTAATAGAGATGCAATAAGAATGAAAATTGCCGTTAATTTACTTACTCAAACTACATTACGTATTGACTGCATATAGGCGAATTTCCGTCTATAATCACTCAATAAATTCAACGGCGCGAGTTTCTTGACGCTATCCGCGGTAATGCTAGAACACGGACTGATGAATGGTTGCCGAAGTTTCATAAATATTGTTATTTACATATTTGTTTCGTACATATATTTTAAATTATAGTTAAGTATTAATAGGAATTTTTTAAGTATCTAAAATTGTTAAGTAGGTAAAATATCAGACTGTATATTGAAATAAACGATATTTCCTCGTTTTTCTTAACTACGCATTTAATTAGATTTTCAAAAGAAAGCAAAATATCGCAAAAAAATAAAACACGAAACTTCTAAGTTGTTATGTAAAACAGTTAATACTGATTATTAAATAAACTTTTTCAATGTCATCCTTGAGTAATACTAGAACTATATGCAAAAGTTTTATAAAAACGAGTGCACATTTCTATTAGTCAGTTTAAAATCATGAAAAGTTAAACAAAAGTATCTTTAAATTACTGTTAAAACTTATTTTTATACTTAAAAGTGTAAGAAAACCTCGAAAAAAAATTATATTAAACATCTAGGTAAACAATTATACAAATTAGATCCATTTTGGGGTTAAAATTGTTTTAGCAATTGAAATGAATTATATAATGAAAGTTAATCAAGAAACATTTACAAATATGGTAACTTACTCCCGTTAAAATTTGAATTTCGAATTGCGGAAATTACTATTACTGACTTGGTTTAGATATACCAGTCACAAAAATTTTTGTTATCTCAACGTTCATTGGCTAAAGTATAAAATTTGTACCTCAAAGATTATCAAATATTTGTTAGCATAAAACTTTTTGGCAATAACAGTATTTATTTTATTTAAATTTTAAAGCCTTGTAAAAATATTTTGGTAAAAGTTTGAACATGCTGCTATACTTTCGACGAATTTTAATTTTGAGCCAATCATATCGCTTGTTAGAAAAAAAATGGAGTCCGGCGCATGCGCATTAAATGCCATGCTTTATCATCAATTATTTTCTGACTATTTTTTAAGGAAGCTATGTTTAGCCAGTTTTTTACTCATAATTTAAAACCAGGTAAGCATTATAATTATAGAAAAATTTGGCTTTAAAATTGTTGAATGAAGTAGTTATTAGCTCGAAAGTAAACTAATACATAGTTTCATGAAACAACCCAAACTGTCGCTAGCTATCACACCATACAAGTTTTTACATTTAATCGCAATTTTTAGCGAATTATGAGCTGCAAGGGTAGCTATAAGGCCCTTTTCCGAAACATTGAAAAATATTAAGGAATATATAACTATGCCACGGAAACGAAATAAAGGTACACGAGTGCCAAGCCCGGATAAGCCAAATCTTATCGGTGCGAATTGGAAAAGCGAAAATCAAGATTCAGTGAAAGTTACTGCAAATATATGGACAAATGATGCTATTGCAGCTGGATATGATGCTAGTCGTGACGCATCATTTAATGATCTTCAAGAAAAATTTAAAAATAAAGTAGATGGGGAAGTAGTGTATTACGTTCTGCAAAACTGTAATTTTAATGGTGAGTGATATATATGACATTTGAACCTAAAATAATTCGTTTTTTATGAACAGTGGAAAAAGCCACTGAACAATTAGAGACAATGGCGGAATCAAACCTTTCCAGAACACCTGAAGGATTTTCCCGCCTTCCACTAAAACCTAATAAGGATAGGTCTCAGAATGACGATGAGTTACCTTTCTTATCTCCAAAAACTCCCAGTACTATTGTAAATCCATCCTCTTATTTTAACTCTCATATGAATACGGATTATAGTGATGCGTTAGCAGCATTCAACACTTTCGGTAAACCTTCAGCCTTCCCTTCCGGTTCATCATTATTTTCAGCTGACGTCCCAAAAACATTCGAGTTTAATACAAGTAGTAGTGCTGAAACAACTCCTTTTAGCTCTAGAAAGCAACTCTTTGCTGAGGGACAATCTGATTCATTTACTAGCATACATAATGCACAAAATGAAACATCTGACAGATACCGAACTCCTCCAAAGTCAGAGAAGTCGAGGAGGAAACATAATGTGTCTTTAGACCCACAAGAAAGGGAGTCCCTCGAAAAGTTAATTGAGGAAGTGATAACTCTCGGAAGTGATCAAGTAATATCTGCTGGGAACACTAGCTCATCTGACGGAGAAAATGAGGATGGTAGGTCAGATTCAAAAGATGGCCAAAGGCGCTCTGGTAAGAAAGATAAAGGAGCAGCACTAGCTAAACAGTATCAGTCTCAAATGAAGGTAGCTATGAAGCATATGAAAAATTTGCCACCAAGATTTGTAAAAAAGTTGGAAGTAGCAAAGCAGTATAGCCCTGAAAGCGACGGTGAAAGAATGAAAGATGTTTGTGGTCGAATTTCCGATAAATCGGATGATTCGCCTCCACAACATATATCATCTCCTAATACTGTTCACAAATCGAAATTTGAAAAAAGACGAAAAGAACGCCTGGTTGGCATCGATCAATTTCTAGATGAGGGAATGACGGTAAATCAATCGGATGATCGTTTACCTAATTCTACAGCTTCGCTCTTGCAGAATATATTAAGTGACAAAGTGTCATCTTTACCAAATAGCGAGCGCAATTCGAGATCGAATTCACCCCACATCTCTCAGAATGACGACTATGAAGAACAAACTACTTTTACAATGGCTGAAGATAAGACAACTTTTTCCATAACAGCACCAGAATTTGTTCCAAGAACTGCAACACCAGTTTGTACTTCAACGATTGTGGGTGGAGTAGGAGTAGCTACGCCGGCAACTCTGCACCCTCAGCCCTTTCCAGCGGGCCCTGCTACAAAACGCGGCATGTCTGCCTCGCACGTCGAGTATGCGAGACTCTCACCAGTGGCAGGGCCGATTGCCGGCCGCGTCTCTCCACACGCATCATCGCATTTTGCCGCCGCCACCCTGCTTACCGCCTACCCACCTGCCGCCCCCTTTTCCGCACCCATTCGTCCCGCCCCCTATATCCCAGCCTCCTCCTATGCTCGTCCATCGTTCACCAATACAACAACCAACTCGCTCCATGCTACCCCCGCACAATTCGCCTGGAATGCACTGTCAACGACCGCCCCCAAGCTAAATCACAGACTTCTGCCAACTCGATCATTTCCAGACCTTATCCAACCAGTTCTAACTGTTAGTTATGAGCGTTCACCAGACGTGGCAAAAGTTATAGTAGCTCAATATAAAACTCAAAACTTATTGGTTATGGTTATACTACGGGGATGTCCTGGCTCGGGGAAAACAACGCTTGCTCAACAAATTGTAGGAGATTCTGGTGTCATTCTATCAAGTGATGACTACTTTCAAAGAGGAAATCGTTATGAATTTGATCATAATAAATTAGGAGAAGCTCACGAATGGAATCAGACGAGAAGTATACTATTTAGAAAAATATAAATCGTAAGTAGTATATTAAAAATTTTACATTTTTAGCTAAAGTGGCGATAACCGAAAAGAAAAATCCGATTATAATAGATAACACCAATACTATGTCGTGGGAAATGAGGAGCTATATTGCCATGGTATGTTTTGATCATCATTTAGTAACACGCCTCAAGTTACTTTTTTGTTATTTTGTCAAATTCTAGGGTATGAAGTACGATTATCATATTGAATTAATGGAACCTGATACGCCATGGAGATTTAATGTTAAGGAATTAGTCCTTAGAAATAAACATGGTGTATCCAAAGACACTATTCAAAAAATGGTTGATCGTTATCAACATGGAGTTACCGTGGAAAGCATCATGGGGAAAAAATGGATACAGAATAACATATTAGAGAAGCAAAAGGCCGCTTTAGAGTAAGTTTATTAAACCTAAAAGCATTAACAAATAATTAAAAACATATTTTATTCCAGAAAAGCGAAAAAGAAGGAAAGTATCAAAGATCAATTATCTAATGAAAATAAGAGAGACAAAGGCAAGACTAAATCTCGTCGTGATAAATCTAAATTGATGGAGGATCAATCATCCGACTCACCACGACCAGCTGACTCAGGTTTTCATGAAAGCTCACCAAATGAATTAGAACAAGAAGAAATAAAAGACTCAAATCAAAATGTTAATCGCTTGTCTTGCTCTACTTGTGATGCTTCAATCTTAAGTCCCAGTGTTGAAAATGCAGTTACTGATCGCCTTATTGAAGATTTCATAAATGAGGAAGTGGAAGAAATAACGAAAAATGCTCCACCAATTGGTACTAATTTTCAATATGAAAGGTCGAGAAAACTTAATTTAACTGGATTCACTGATGAAGAATTAACCGAACTAGCAGCGCATTTAAAAATTGTGGATCGCGACAGTAGTTTTGAAGAAGAAAACGACAAGGCTATTGAAACAAGAGAACGCAGACAATCCGGAAGGAAGTACTCCAACGTAAGTTCAGCAAACATACTTCATGATTATAAAAATAATAAATCTTGCTAAAACCATAACCACAGGAATTTACCCATGACGAATGGCTTGAAGTAAACTCTGCTCATTCACCGCCGAAGCGGCATAAAGAAGGCCTATTACCAACAGAGTACCCTCCTTATTATGAAAATTCTAGTAAAACCTGCCAAACATCTCAATTCGGAATACACGAACTCGCTGATAAAACCATGAAAGCTCACCCACGCTGTATAACTAAAGAAACTAAACTTCCGAAATACCGGGACAATCAATCGAATAATTTCACTCAAACTGGTGATTTAAAAGAAAAAACAAATTTTCTTATTTCTTGCTATCCAGATTTACAAGAAGAATTTTTGGAAGACCTTTTAAGGAAATGTGACTTGAACGTCGATGAAGTCTGTGACATATTGTCTGAAAGTAAAAGCCAAGTTTCCAAGAAGGTTCGAGACAAAGTGTTATTAGACAAAAAACGAAGAGAAAAGGAGAGACGTGAGGAAAGTGAAAAAAATCACATTCCTTCCTTGGTTGAATTAATTCATGAAAATATAAAAAAGCGAAAAACGGAAGAAGAACTAAGAGCAATTGAAGAAAAGGTGGTTGAAGTTAATCATAAAAAGGTTAATCTTCTTTTAGAAATTGAGCAGAGTAGATCCAAAAGAAAACCTGCCGTTAAAGTGAACTCGAAAAAACCGCAAGAAAAAAATGTAGTCATATCTCCTAGTCCAGATCAAAAGAAGTCGAAACCCCCAAAAACCAATCAACCCAATAGTGAGTCTCAACTGAGTGATATGATTTTCGTTTTACCTAAAGATTTAGCTGCACAATTGCTTGAAAATTTTGGCTCAGTCGGGTTCGAAATTGATTTGGATAGTATGACAGCCACTGATATGCATGTCAGATTAAATATGAAAGCAGGAAAATGTCTCCATAGGTGCTGGAGTGCTTCCATAAGAGAGCAAATTGGCCTTGACCAATTTCAATCCATTAAAGGGCTCACAGAAGGTAAAATTAATTGTTTTCAGCTAAAATTGTAATTATATGTTAAATATACTTGCAGAACCGAATGAGAGCATATTAGAAAAATTTTATGGCAGTCCATCTAATGAATTATTACCCAAAACAAACACAAAAACTAATGCTCCAAGACCAGCATCTCCATCACTTGAAGGTGCTGTGGGAGGTATTGATATTAGTTTCAGAGAAAAACAAGATGAGGATGCAGCCAGAGAAGAACAGGAGAAACAACTGGTAAGAAATTGATTAAATTGTTATTCAGAATAAAAAATATATTTTAACAGAGAATGAAGCACCAAAAGGAGGCTGCAGGATTGGAGAATTTAATGGCCACGCAATTAAAGAGAGATAAACTGTACGAAAAATACGCAGTATTGGACAAGACATTGATTGATGATGTTTTTGAACAAATGAAATATGATCTTACAAAAACTGAATCACAAATTAATGCAATTCTAGAGAATATGGAAGGAGCAGAAGATGTCTTTACACACGAATACAAAGTAGCTCAGGAAAAAAAGAAAAAGCACAATTACGTTTTGATGCAACAAGATGAAGGTGAAGACTATTTATTATATCAGAATTTAGAAGAACCACAATATAAAGATTTTCGAGCTGAAGCCGCAAACTATAACGAAAAAAGAAAAGAATGTCTTCAGAAAGCGCGTGACGCTCACGCACGCAACGATTATCACACTGCTCAATTCTACTCTGAGCTTGCTGAGAAGTGGGCACAAGATTTAAAAGAAGCCAATGTTAGAGCTAGTCATATGATAATTGATAATAGAAAAGAAGAATTGGAGCAATTTAATCAGGTATGTATTCTACTATAATAGAAATGAACAACTTAACTGCTCGAATATGACAATTAAATTCTTATCTAAAGCTGGACTTGCATTATTTACACGTCAATGAAGCAATCGAAATCCTCAGTAATGTCATAGATATAAGACGAAAAGGTATTAACAATATATAAAAAATTATTACCTATTTAACTGTTTTTATATAGAACTTCAAAGAAGACAAGATAAAAGGAAGCGACATCTTGTAGTCATAACGGGTCAAGGAAACAATAGTAAAGACCGTCGAGCCAAGATAAAACCTGCTGTCTTAAACTATTTGAAAACAAGAAAAATTAAGTTTGTCAATTGCAGTTAAATATTTATTAATATAATTTAATTTTAATTTTTCACGCAGTTTTAGTTACGAAAACGAAGGAGCAGTCAAACTTCAATTGTAGAAATTAATTGAAGAAGATTCATCTATTTTTATTCTGAATAACTGTTATTTTCTGCATTATGTACATATTCTGCATTGGTATTTATGAAAAATCAAAAGTGGCTCTTTCTTGAAAGTGCATATTGACTGAATACGAACTGGTTTATGTACAATTTTTGGAATAGTCGCAAACTGCATTGTATAGAGAATATATTGTTTAATTTTTTTAATTTCTGTAATTTTATGCTCCTTTCAAAAAAGTAACAGCTTTATGTTTTGTTCTAACAACATTCCTGCCTGCTTTATGCACAAGAATGTAACGATTTTATACAAATTTTATGATACGGATAATAGTGTAAAAAGAATACGTGATTTTCAAATATTACCTAATATTGGTTCAAGTGTTTTTTATTTGTATAAATACGGTACTGGTATTTAGAACTAATTGTAAACAACTTTGTACTGTATTTTTTGCTAATGACTGCGATCGTCATATATATATAATAAAATATCGAATTAACGGATTATTTATTTATGTCGAGTTTCTCAAGGTCTTCACATTCGTCCTCCTCATCCTCATAATCTTTTTCGTCTGGAGAATCTTCTTCATCGTTGTCATCATAATTTGCCGCACCCATATTGGGTAGATAATAGTATTTATTATCTTGGTCATCATCAAACTCAGTCTGCCTTCCGAAATTATACGATCTCGCTGGAAACGAAAATAAATCATGTATATACAACTTGTACTTTATATTACTGAGCAATGTACATACTTGACACAGAAAATGCTTTTGTTTCACATGTATCGTGACCGCATCTTGGGCAGGGTGGCTTTCGAAATCATTCATTTTTATTTCATTTCTTTATATGAATTAATTTTATACCTGATCCTTTCCTACTGGCAATTTTACACCCTTTCTTTTCACGTGGTCGAAACAAAATGCAATTTTACATCTCATACAAGTGTGTTGGCCATTTCTATTACATGATACACACTTAAAATTTTCAGCGTCTAATCTGTAAATTAAAAAAAATGATTAGATTTACGAGTTTTTTCGGTAACACTCTGCAAACCTCTGACATGAGGCGTGATGTTCAAATTGATCATCTTCACACAGAGGTCGATCACAATAAGAACATCTGAAAACCCTACCACCGTGATCCCAGACACCTCTATCACACTCTAAACAGTCCATATCCCGACAGGGACAATTACAAGCGTGATTTTGTAAGCATTGCCTGCTGTGGCAAACCCACGCTTCACAAAAATCACATATCGCTCCAACAAGAGCCATTCCTGTGGCAAATGACGTAGGGTGCTTAACTAAACAATCACCGCTTTTTGACATGCATTTTGACTTTCCACACTGGGCACAAGCTGGTAATCTTTGTATAGAATAACAAAAGTAACAAAATGCTCGATTCTTCTGACGCCTAGAATGAATAAAGTTAACTTTTTTTTTAAATCATAATAAATCATACCTATTACACTGGTCACATTCCTGAAAGAAAGTTTATTAGAACAATACAGAAATATTTCATGAAAAAGGACCTACCATCGTTCTATTACTAGGATGGTCAGCTAATCTTTTTTCTGTAGCAGATATCTTTATATTTTTTTGTCTCTCTTTCTGTTTTTCTGCCTTTTTACGCTGACCAGTTTTCTTTTTCGGCATGATGATTTTTTTTAACTTGAAACGTCGAAAACGTGTTCAACACATATAACAGTTTCCGCGAGTTTAGAGCAGACGATATTCACTTATCGAATTGTAAAAACCCTTCAAAAATTGGTAGACATGTTTTAGCGCATGCGTGCTTTGACAGGAAACACAAGAATCGCAGATTTCTGTATTCTGCAGGAGGATTCAAAATGGCGGATGCAACAGAAAAGGCGCAAGAGATGGACGATGATGCCTGGCTGTACGGTGGTAAGTTAATATAAACTTTACTTCAAAGCTTTAGTACAAGAGGCACTTTAGCGTCGTATGAGGCAGTATAAGAGAGTATGTATGTCCTTAGTGCCGATTATTATAACAATTAGCGTGATATGTCTCTCATGCCGGTTACGTTCCTCAAATTCGAACATTAACTTTAATATAGTCTTTAAATATCCCATAAATAAATGTGTGATATGAAACATCAGAATCAGGCAGCAAACCTACAGAAAAAAATATTGACGATGGCCCGGAAGATGCCCTTCAACAAAGGTATATGCTTTATGCCTATGTGTTTCAGGTGATAATCTAACATTTTGTTAATGCTCAAACAGCAATCAAAGCAATCCCATAGAAAGCTCAGGATCTTCGGAAGCGGGTTCTTCAATGAATGCAGTTGAGGAGAAACAAGAGGTAAACACTATGCATTCTTTAAAGTCCTTTATGACTTCCTTTTGCTTCATTGTTTTTTTTTTTAAATTTTATTTAAAAAATTATTTTGTCAGATTGAACAGAATGCTACAAACGAAGCAGCAGAATTTAACGGAACTTCAGAAGATCATGAAAGGCCGAACGGTACTCCTACCGAAAATGAAGAAAGCGACAAAGAGGATGAAAAAGATGGTGATCAGGACGACGAAGACGATGACTCGGAAGATGATGTTCGAATTGTAATTGACAACATCCAAAATAAGCCTCAACTCGAATGTGTTAGGCCAACACCTACAACCGTTCATCCAACAGCAACAGGACCAAAGGGTACTATCGATTTGGAAGCGCCAGGTAACATAAATGGTTCCGCTGTTCTGGATTATGATTTGGACTCGAGCGAAGACAAACCTTGGAGAAAACCCGGTGCTGATATAACAGATTATTTCAATTATGGCTTCACAGAAGAGACGTGGCGATCTTATTGTGATAAACAAAAGCGTTTAAGAAATGATAACTTGATGATTGGTAAATTGGCGACAAATTTGGTTAACTTTGCTACTCAACTGCGAGCTCCTAATCCAAATTTAACTATAGTAGGTCAAAAACCTATGATGATGTCTACTGGGTCGACTGGTGTTACTACTGTAACAGCAACTCCAGTTATCGCTGGCATGACGAAACCAAGTCAGAATACAGTTCCTTTAGTGGCTACTCCAAGAGATGAAACACCACCGCTTTCACCTTCTCCTGATGACGGAGACTCTACTCCTCCACCACCACCCACAACAAGTATAGGAGCGTCTATGCAACAACCTTCTTCAAAACCTCTCGTTGTAAATGCAATAAGGCCAACAATATCAGCATCTATACCTACTATTGGCGTTCCAACACCAGATTTTAGTATACCTCCTCCGGGTTTTCCTCCACCTCATGGACCAATGCCTGGGTTTGCACCTCAAGGGGCTGTAGCTGCTGCAGCACTATTAGGAAATCTTGCCAACATGGCTGCCTTCAATCCTAATATTCCTCCACCAGATAGGCCCCCATTTGGTTTGCCATTTGCTCGCCCCCCAAATCCTAATCAATGGCAACAGGTTGTTCCACAAGCCAACAAATCTCCTAACGCTCGTCACGATATGACACCGTCTCCTCCTGAACATGGAATTAAAGAAATCACGTCTCCCATTATAGTTAAACCATATGACAGGGAATACAGACGGTCTCGAACAAGAAGCAGAGAACGAGAAAGAGATAGAGATAGAGATAGAGAAAGAAGATACCACGAAGAGAGAAGATACTACTATCACGATCGAGAATATAGAGATAGGTACAGGGATTACGACAGAGAAAGGAGAAGAAGCAGGGATCGTGATCGAGACAGAGAAAGAGATCGTGAGAGAGATCGTCACAAAAGAAGTCCAGAACGACCTAAAGACAGAGACAAGGAAAAGGAACGCAGAAAGTAAGAGCACTGTACTAAATTAATTAAATTACGTAAAATATAACTTTTCTTCGTAATTGTAGACGAGGATTAAGTGAGGAAGAGGAACGATCCTCAAGGCACAAAAAACATAAAAAATCAAGTAAAAAATCTAAAAAGGAAAAAGATTCGGAGCGTTCGTCTGATCGGCAACAATCTCCTAGTGGCACCCGAGAAGTTACTCCGAGTTCAGACACAAAATAATTCAGTTGTGTTGTACATACAGAAACGGATTGTTTACGTTTTTGCTTGTTTTTTTTTTAAAAAGACGTTACTATTTAGAATCGGTACTATAAAATTCACCCTTTATTTGCTGTCTTTTGTATAAAAATTGTTAAAAAATTTGAACATCTTACTTAATGGACGATTTCCTCTTCTCATCCATTAAGCATAAACTTTCTACATGTCATTCAATACTGACAAATATCGTCGATTATAGAAACTTGAATGTGGATTCAAATGTAAATAATCAGCAAAAGTCTCAATTCTTTGTAAACTTTATTTAATTTTTCTCAAAGAAGCTTATAATTAATATTGGACGTAATGAGCGATTTCTAAGTTACTTTATGTTGCAGACAATTTTAAATTCAACATTTTTATTTCATTAACATTTCAAAGTCAATAATAATTTCCTTTTTTTTTATGGAATTTATTAAAATTTTATAGGTTGATCGTACTTTAGTAATCGTTTATATGCAGCCTTGTCCAACACACCAGAAATATCTATGAACAAAGGTTTCCCTTTTGCTTTAACATGCGAGAATATTCCTGAAATTTCAGGAACTTCTACATCATCGGGTTTAAATGTTAGTTGTTTCTCTTTCAATAGTAAACTTAATGTAGTAGCTGTAAAAGTATCCTTCTCAGAATCATAATACATATGAGTTACATAGCGTTTGGTTATAGTATGTAATAAGAGGGGTGTCGCCAGAACAAAAAATCCTATTCCACTTCCCATCATGACTTGTAGCACAATAGGTAAAGTGCTCAAACCTTTAAACACTAAAGGCTGTAGAGCAAGTCCTAGGGCACTAGTTGTAACTGAGAATCCTTTAACTAACTTTACTTGAACTGTTATTTTGCCTTCATATACTAGTTTGCCATCTTCTGTTTGAGGGGGAGGAACGGAAAGAATAGATAGAGACCGCCTGCTTATCCTTAGTGAATTTAAGTAAGGACGAGATATAGCCAGACGAGTTATTAGTGACATTGGTGAGCGATATAAGATGATTCGGTGAGAGAATTTATAAACAGGTTACCTGTACTTTTTTTGAATATTTTAAAAGTTTTCAGAATTAACTCATATAATCATTCCTATGCTTTCTCCTCTAATAAGTTTTAAAAAAAATATCTAATAAAATTGATAGGTGCCAAGAAGCAAAGGATGATGAAATTTAGAGAAATTTTTTAACAGTAGAAAAGATCATAGAACCATATTAAACTGAGCCATGACTTTTTCAATGCTTGAAACAACTGATGAAATATAAACAGAATTGTTGAAATTATGAATTTGAAATAGAAGTAGAAGGTTATTGGGTTTTGATAGGATTTATTAAAAACTTCAAGTGAAAAGCATTCATTAGCAAAAAGATGTTACCTGACTGTAAAGCTGAACTGTATATTGCTCTTGCCGATGGTCTAGTCTTTCTGTGCAGTTCATTGGGTTTTTGGTCAAGTAAAAAAAAATATTCGCAATTAAAAGAAACTGAAGACTTCGTCGCTGATGAATCTCTGACGAAGAAATTATTAGAAACTGATAATGCAACGATCAAACTTGTGTCAGTTTCTGGAACTGTACGCGCCCTTGAACCACCTCTGAAATCGTTGTACCACCCAGAAATTCAAGGTGTTATAAGAAATTCTCTCAAGAGGGAGCATAAGACCCAGAAAATACAAGGATACTGGAGTGATAGAACATCTACTCTTCAAGATAAAACAGAATTCTGCAAATTCGGCTTATCGAGTGGTACAGAAGCTCATATTGTAGTGGAAGATGCTTTTAGGGTAGACGATTTAAAAGGCGTTTTAAGGCAAACATACGATAATTTTATTAGACCTGCTGACACTGGATTTTTTGATAAGGTTCTTTCTAGATTTCACGGAGAAGTTAGCAAAGGCTATCAGGAGACCGAATCCATGCTACCTCTCAATTCAGCTCTTGTGGTAATAGGTAAAGCTAGTTTATCTCCGGATGGAAAGAAAGCTATACTTTCGCCGCCGGATAATTTTCCTTTTATTTTTACACAATCATCCAAAGAGCAAATAGTGCAAGAATATTCATTTTGGAAGGGGTTTTGGAAAGCAACGATGGTAATAAGTGCAATAGTATTAACTGGCGTTGCTATTTCTGCAGGAAAAAAATATTATAGGTACTGGAAGGAACACAGAGAAGCTGAAGACCTCAGGAAACAAGCATTTGAATTAAGAAAGAGAAGACCAGACCAAAGTGTTGCAGCTGACAATTCATGCACTGTTTGTTTGAGCAATCCAAGAGATTTGATAATTTTAGAGTGCGGACATGTTTGTATATGTGTTGAATGCTATGAAGCGTTACCTTCGCCAAAACTCTGTCCAGTTTGTAGAAGTTCAATAGCCAGGGTAGCTCTTGTCTACAATCCTTAGAGTTGGATAATCCTATTTTTTAGGAATTTTAAAATATGTTGTTTAATTTATTAAAATAAGTTTTTTAATCAATTTATCAAATAAATATTAATATCTAAAAATGTTATTAGCTTATTCCAGCCCAATTTAATGATATATAGTGTACTGTATAGTCGTCTTTAAGGTAGGATAATAAAATTGTCTTTTTAACGATAGTTGCTAAACGGGAATAGGTTGAAAATTGTTGAGGTGATATTTTGGCATGATTTTCCAAACAGATTACAACGTAATGTGAATGATAACGACACGGATCGCCTATTAATAAAGAAAAAAAACTATAATAGAATCATTATTCTTTATCAATTATTTACCTGGATAAACTAGGAAGTCTCCGCCAAACTTTGAACCATTAGTTAGGAAGTATCCTCTATCGTGAAGATCTTCGAAAACCCTAATTTTAGTTTCATCCAGTTTGTCGGTGATTGCAACAGTATTTATTTCTTCTGGAGCTTCAATTAACCTTGTACAAGCTTTTAAAAAGGTGATAATTGAAAAAGAACAGTCTTAGCATTTTGATATATTTTGTCAAGTAACCTGTAGGAATTTGAAGCATTTGAGCTGATTCTGGTAAATTGTCAATCCGTTTTTCTAAATTTTTCATTTTTTCGTTAACATTCTCTTCTAATTTTTCCGAACTAATGTTTGAATCTTTTTTAGCCTTTCTTTTCATACCCTCGTAAATTCTTGGTCTAAGTTTTTCAAGTTCCTTTAATCTATCTTCCTTTGCCAAAATATTCTACGAAAATACATCACTATTAGAGTACATAAACTTCCTTTTTTGGTAAATTATCTTTTTAAAATAGTACTTGCTCGTGATACAGTTGATCCCTTTTGATCTTGAATTCTTCGATCTCTTTGTCATCCGGATTGGTTGGTTCTGAAATTTCTTTCAGAACTTGACAAATATCTCTTTTTATTAGTAAAGCAGCCTCCTCTCTTAGAAGCAACAGAGGCCTTCCTAATTGTTGATTTTGACGAGGTATGCGAGGTAAACATCCGATTAGACTGCCAACTATTCTATGTTTGTTTCTCAACTCTATAATATCTGTTGTAAATTATATTCTAAAATATATAGTAATATAAACAAGTAAAAAGTTTAAATTAACCTGATGCATTCCAAACCATGTAGTTTTCGTCTAGTTTTCTAATTTTTATTTTGTTCATAGTTACACCATTAAAATGTGTGTTAGATCTATGAAAGTATAGCAGCGTGGTCCAAAAATCTTTGCTGAGTATACTATATTTTGGTAGAATATACGGGTACCCATGATTTTTACTTGAAAACTGGTAAAGAGTAATAAAAAATATTATGCGTGACTACTCTGAGAGAGTAATGTAATGAAACAGTAAAAAGCTTAATTTCATATTTTCACTTCAATAAAATGTATTAAACAGTTTGCAAGATTCTACTCATTAAAATACTTTGAACTTTTAGACAAACTTCATTGGCTGTTAATTTGAACAAAGTTAACATTTTCGATTAACTCTCAGCTTACACGAACGATATTACATTATTTAAATAAGATGCGTCCAATTTACTTAACTTTAATTGCATTTATGATTGTGATAAGTTGTATTAATTGTGCTCAAAAGAAAAAACGTTCGGACAAGACACTGCAATCATGCTCAAAGCTTACTGTCCTAATGCGTAAACGTGATATGGCAATGAAAAATTTAAAAAAGCAGATATCCAATATAGAAAAGAATAAAAATCTCGGTAAAGCTATGAAAGATTTTCAAATTCAGGTGTTTCAAGTTTTTCACAGAGAGTTGAATAACTCTGGCATAGAGGTATTGAAAAATTAATTAGTTAATATACTTTATAACTAAAAAAAAATCCATGTGATGCCAACACAACAGATATTTCAATCAATTGCATGGTTGGATAACGTTCTAAAAGGCGACATAGAGAATATTATTTATATTGAGAAATCTTCGGAGAAACGATTAAATAATCTTCGTTCGGCTGCACTGAAAGAAGAAGTTGTTTATAAGCAATTATTACAAGCTGAAAAAAAATTTGATAGAATGAAAGTCTGTTTGAACAAATTAATAGTAATAATATAAATTATTAAAGCTTTAATCACTTTTTAGGATTTGAACCAAAGACACTCTAAGGTTAAAGGTGTTATTGTTAATATACTCAAAGAGATATCGAAAGCGGCTGATAAATTGGAAAAGAATTTGGATGATCACGTTTTCGATATTGCTCTCTTTGAATCTCAGAAGGTAGGATTCCATTATATCTTATGAATTTCTTGTTATATTTGAAAAAATATAGAATCAAGCAGCTATGGAAATGGTTGTAAGATTAGCTGAAAAACAAAATGGACCAATGGCAGATCACGAAGAAGCCCACTCCCTTCCAAGATTAGTTGACGCTTATGACAATCAATTTGTTTTGTCAAGGCCAGCCGATACAACAATTCCAAGAGAAGATCATAATTTACTTCACGTAACTAGTCACTTGTTAAAAATTACTTAATATGATACAAAGATAATTACAGGATTTAGCTTATTTAATAATGTTAAGTGGCATTTTCGGTTGGCTAACACATCTTTGCGGTTTACCAACTCTATTTGGTCATATGGCGGCGGGTGTATGTTTAGGTCCGGGAGGGTTCAACGCCATATCGGTAAATATAAAATTTACTTTAATATCTTGTTATTATTATTGTTGTTATTAAATTTCAGTCTCTAGTCCAATTGGAAACTTTGTCTCAACTTGGAATATTTTTTATACTATTTACAGTTGGTCTTGAATTTTCACCAGACAAAATAAAAAAAGTAATCTATATTTAGATTTGTTTGTTTTTCAAGAAAATAAAATTATTAATCTATATTTTATTGCTTAGGTAGCGAAATTAGCAAGTTTTGGAAGTGGTGCTCAGATGATATTGTTAATTTTGGGCGGTGCTTGTTATAGTTTCCTATTTAAAACATCAGTTAAAGAAGGTTGTTTCGTTGCTGCGTGTTTCGGTTTATCTTCTACTCCATTAGTGGTAAAATTTCTATCGAAACAGGAAGCGGAAGGTAAAGAAAATTCATTAATATATAATTTTTTAAAGAAACGAAAGAGATCTATCCCTTTGAAATGTTATTGATAACCTTTTTTTAAAAGATAACAATAGTTAAGTGTAGTACTTGATCAAAATTATGTATTTTAAAGATAAGCTTTTTTAAGCTTTTCATCCAATATTGACTCGAATTATTACTATTAAACAAGAGATAAAATACCATTTTTTTATGGTTTTATTAAATATTTATAATAATTAGATATATATTCAGGTTTAATGTAAATAATCAAAAAGAGATTTAATCTTTAAAAGAAAAATATAGGTCATATTTAATGAGATATATGTATAGATTATAAGTTTTATATACTAAATTATGCATATTTATCACCTATAGTCTAAATTACATTAAGAGAAGAGATGCGTGACCCTGGAGAATAGATTTGTTTTTTTTTTATTATTGTATTTAGCTAGATACTGTATTAAGATATAAAAAGAAATGATACAACAATAGGATAGGCTATTGGGATATTTTATTATTCATCTGGTATATTTTGTTAAATGAAAGGGAAAGGAGTGGAAAGGTCTCCTTTTTTTTGTTTTCTCTGTTAAAAATTCATTGTTATCAATTGTCTCCGAAAACTTCATCGATTGATAGTTCTCTTTCAACGTGACCTGGGATGCGGAGGTATCTACATTCCTTTAGATAATCTAGAGAATTTGGGCCAATAATTTCCTCCTCTTCTTCTTCATTAAGGGAGCTACTTATAGAAACTCTTCTTGATGAATGATTAGCGGCACTCTTGGAGCTGTCTTGACTCTTTTTTAGTTGCTCTCTGCTTCTGGCTAAATGAATAGCTGGAACTGATTGCCTTCTATTTCCACTTGAAATATCAACAATCGAATTTCTTTTTGCTGGAGATCTAGGCGTATTAGTATTAGAATTAGGTGTGGAAACTGTAGTCATACTAGCTCTTCTATTTGAATTCTTTGACTGGGGAACGAGTAGACCTTCACTACCACTAACGCTTGATCTCTTTGGCGTTAGTGATTTTGAATCTTCCAAACTAGATCTCCTACTAGAAGCTGCATTCTCTTGTTCATCAACTAACTGATTAGCTTTAAGTCTAACTTGACCAGCTTCGCCGTCAATTCTACCTAATTTGTGTTTAAGTTCCTTGGATAGATCTTTTATTTCGCTTTCCAAATGATGATCTGTACGCTTCATGTATGAGCCTACCATCTTTATCTTGCTTGTTTTTAAATTATTCATATCACTTTCATCGGAATTTTTGCCCATATTTTTTGTTTTATGAATTTCTAGGTAACAAAAAAGATAATTATCAATTTTTTATTATTATTTATGGCAATTTTTAACTAAAGTCTTTTTGGAAATGGTGCTTATGTCAACACTTTATTCTCTTTCGATATAGATTTTAAATATGTCGTTTAAGCTACGATAGAAAATCAATTTTTAATTCTTTGAACATAGTCTTTTGATAATCAATAATTTTGTCAAGTAATCCCTTCCCTCTATTCATAAATGAGAAATAGTTTAGCCATTCTTTTCAATTAAACAATTTACTTTTTAGTAATCTTTAGTATTTACTATTAAACTATTGCTGATGCATTTCCTACCTCGTTTCTAGACAAATTTCAATTACTTTTTCCCCTTTTTTTTTTTAAGCGTATTTTTTTTACTACAATTGAAAAGGGAAAGGTACAAGCTTTTGCATTCATTCGTTCATTCATTCATTTCTTTCTTTCTTTTCTCTATCGTCTAGCTTAATCTAAATAATAGATTATTGGGTATACAGTATGCACAGTACAAATATAATATGCATGCATTTATACTGCCTATAGAACAGAGTATATAGATGATATAGATGCATAAAAAAAAGTATAAATTAACGTACCAAAAACTTTATCCTGATTTCTGGACAAGAGAAACTAGACGATTAGGAATATTTACATATATTGTTTATATATATATATATATATATATAATATATATATATTTTTGTTTTAATGCTTTATTTTTACAACTCTCTCGCTAATCGATTTGAAAAGGAAACAGCAAAAAACGTCTAGTGTGGACGCTATGAATTAAACAATACTTTTGCTGCTATTTTTATAATAAACCAAGCTTACGGGAGCGTCACCTATACGTTAAATAAAATATTTCTAATTATAACTATTTTTTTTTTCTAGGATATAAAAAAAAAATATCAACAAATATTCTTTACGTTTAATGTAACAAATCTAAAAAAGAAACATAAAAATCTATATGCTTATAAAACCGTAACATTTAATCAGTAATTAACGCCCAAAACACGTAAAAATCTCCTATAATTACTCTTTAAAATTATAATATTCAATAGAATTTCTATATATAAATATTATGTATAATACTTATATATATATATATATATTTATAATCTCTTATTCATTTTTCTTTCTTTAATTAATTATAAATGTTTAGGCCTATATATATATATATATATATTCTGTATACTTCTTACCGTCTTTCTCTTCCTAACACTCTCACTCCTTTAATTTTTTTTTGTCATTCCTCTTTCTCCGCCTGTTTTAATCATTCATTCATTTACTTTAATTTACTATAAATAAATAATAATATTGAAATACTTAATATATAAGATTTAATGGTAGATTGTAATTATCACGTAAGGTAACAGTTTATTTGATAGGATTAAAGATTATTATATTGAATTAATATTTACCTTGATTTTTTTAATATACGGTATATGTACAATATATGGATGTATCATATGTAAACAAGCTGTAACAATCCGGCCGGTATTCGAATGAATTTTAAATGCTGATACGAGTGTTTATATCAAGGGCAATGTCCACTTGAAAATTTATAATAAAGTTAAAATTGATGTTGATAATTGAAATTTTTCAGGAATTTTTACTAACATTTCTTAATAATTAATCATTCTTCTTACGATTATTGTACTTATAAAGTGGTTGTATGAATGAAATAAAAGCGGGTGGGTGATCTTAATAGTAAACAAATGTAGATTTACTCTATTCAATAATTATTTAATAAAAGAAACAGTTTGAAGTATGTTTTTATGTTTTTTTTATTCCATTGTTTCTTTCTTTATTGAACATTTTTCCCTTTTTTTTTCTTTGTTAAGGAGCTTCTACCGAATATTCAGTCCTACTGTTGGGTATATTAGTTATGCAGGACGTTTGGTTATGCGTTCTTGTGGCTCTCTTACCAAGCTTGGCTGAAGGTGTTTCCGAAACTAGTAGCGTAATGAATGTGATAGGTTCCTATTCTATAACATCGTTAAAATTGTTGGGATGTAAGTACAGTAGATTATCTTTTAATTTGGGGCAAGTTAAAAAATAACAAAATATTAATAATTTCTAGATTTTATTGTAACTGCTCTCGTTGGATGGATTATAAATAAAGTTTGTCTTACTCGTCTCCTACAAAGGTATCTTAAAAGAAATAACAAAGAATTACTATTAGCATTCGTTCTTATCTTTGTCTTCTTCCTCTTTTTGGTGAGTGTCCTTAAAAATCTAATAGTTTATAATTGACTGATTAAAGATAATCGCTATTGATTATATTAAAGTTTCTATTTTTATTAGAAAATAGAGTATTTGATTATAATCTTACTCATTTACAGCTAACGGATTTACTAAATTTATCAATGGAACTTGGATGCTTTGTTGCAGGTGCTTTAATCAGTTCTCAAGGTAGATCGAAAACAGGCTAAAAGCTTATCTAATATTCTAATAATATCGTTTATTAAAAGGTGAAGAAACTCAGCATTTTATCGATTCTTTATTTGGCCCTATCAAAGATCTATTTTCAGCATTGTTTTTTGCCTCTATAGGTATACAATTTATAACTAAATTCTATATAAGCATATTGTTTATATTGAAACAAATATGTTACTTTAAATAGGTCTACACGTTTACCCAAGTTTTCTATTGTGGGAATCAGCAATGTTACTAACATTTACAATTGCTATAGTTTTATCAAAGGTTTGTTAAGTGGATTTTTTATACGTTTATATTATATTGTGTACATTATAAAACAGTTTGTAATAAGTTTCGGAGTTCTTTATTGTTTATCTAAAAGTTCAAAGTTAATTATATTCAAAGCGTCAATTGGCTTAGCTCAAATAAGTGAATTTTCATTCATTTTGGGCAGTAGGGCAAGAATTCTTAAATTAATTTCAAGGGAGATATATTTACTAATCCTTGCCATCACTTGTTTGAGTTTAATACTATGGCCAGCTCTATGGAGATTTGTTCATTGGAATATGACAATAGGCTTAAAGAGACGATCGAATAGTCAGAGGTAGTGTAATAATTAAAATTAAAACAAGAAGATAAGAAGATAATTACATAAACTATGATATATTAATATAGTGTTTTCAGACAGGTTGCTAGCGCTCAGTAAAGTTTCTGGATTGAAAATAGTTTAAAAAAGAGAAATTGTATTAATAATTATTCTAAAAATAAATGTTTTCACAACCAAATGTAAATATAAATTGATTTCAATTATTTTTTTTTGTATATAATTAACTTTTAATTAATTAATTAGTTAATTAATTAATTAATTGAGTTGAATAATTCATATACTATATATATATATATTTCTTCATTTCTTCATACCATTTACCCAATAGTTTTAAAAAGCAGATTGAGAAGATCTTAATAGAGTATACAATCTTTTTGGATGTTCTATACTAATTAACAGTTTATTCCTTGAATTATCCTCTTCTTGATCGTTTTTAGCACCAATAAATCTTGCTAGACGATCTTCTACTTCAGCTTTCCTCTTACTTTCTAGTACGATACCTTTATCGCTTAATGAAATATCCACCTAGTTTTTTTTTTAAAGAAAAAACAATTAATATTGAAATAGGAAGTTACTTTTTAAAAATTCAACTTACTTGTTTTCTTCCAAATTCTGTTAAAATTTGAAAAGATTCGTCAGATAGTATTATTATCTTATTTCTCGTTAAAATAACATTAATGATATCGTTAAAATTCTCTATTCTTGCTATAGTTTGAAATAAAACTTCCTCTAATAGAATTCTACAAAATCTATATTCTGTGTAGTTATGAATTTTGTTAAATTCTCCTAATATTCTTCCGCGAGTTCTTGATAAACCGGCTGTTCTTAAAAGACCCTTTCCCGATCTTGAAACTAGTTCGGCGGCTCCGCCTAATGGCTTCGCTATTACACCAACTAAACCTTTTCCAATTCCACTTATAACCCGACCAGGAGAGTTTGATCCGTCTTGTATTGGTCTTAAAGGTTGATCGGCAAGTCCAGCGACGGCGCTTAAAAGACTAAGTCCCAAATTACTCAGTCCACTAACAAGTGCACTAGTTACCCCATCTGGTAATGCAGTTCGATCGCTGGCCTGGCGTCTTTCGTGCTCCTCGTCCATAGCCAATCTATCCATATTCTTTGATACACTCGATGCAAAATTTGTAATTGAGGTTAAAGTTGCGAAACTGATGTTAGAAGCTAAGGAGGCAACTCCATGGGAGACTCCTGAAATAAGACCTTTGGCTCCTGACTTTGCAATGCCTTCTACAGGCAATCTTATGAAATCTGATACGCCAGTACCAATACCCCTCAATAGAGTTGAAGGTGAACCAAGAAGTTCTAGCGATGCTATTACGTGTCCTGCCCTAAATAGAGCACTCGAGGCGTAATGAACTCCAATATCTTGAATAAAATGATTTGCCGTTGACCTTACATTCAGCTTAGTATAAGGTGATAACTTCAATGCCGATTGATCAGCTGCAACAAAAACTTTAATTTGTGCATGAACACTAAGAAGAACTTCAATTTCAGCTATATTGACAGAATTAACAATAATAGGCCTAAAAGAGAATTTAGTTCCTCCGTCTTCTTCCTTCTGTTTCCGGAATTTTTGAACCGGTAATGAGTCTTTCAAATATTTTAATAGTCTGTATATAAGGGTATCTTCACACTGAACGATTATTGGCCGACAGACAATTGAAGCATTCTCAATGCAGATAGCCCGCTCGCATTCAATCAGATCTAATTTAATAGTTGCCAATCGTTCGCTCTCGTTGATTCTTTTAAAAACGATATCAAAATCGAAAGGTTCAATACCAAATCTATCATTTTCGATTTGAATTCCTTCAATATCCAACATAATCGAATTACGAATTTGCCATTTATAGGCATCGTTAGACTTCTCTTGAAATCTCCTAAAGTTCATATTAATAGCTTGACTCGTCAAACAGATAAGATCATCTCTATTTCCGCTCGTAGTATATTCCGTTAATCTTAATTGAAAATCGGATAGGAGAAATTCAAAATTGCATTCTAAAATTCTCTTTGCCTCGTCTTTTTTTATAGTTATGTGCTTTGCTGATTCATCCTTTGTAAGAGCTTCATCTTCATCATTTTTAATACTACCGCAACGTTCTCTTACTCTACCAGCTCTTATGTCAAATCTTGTTACTTGAGTTAAATAAACGAAAGACGTTGATCCGTGCTTTTCAATATGCAATTTTACATCACCGTAATGAGGTATATGAATAAACTTTATGGAGAGTTCATTGTCGCCTATTAATAAGATTGGTGAACTCCATGAACGATCTTGACCTGCTGACAAGGCGAATACAATTTTAAATGTTGCCGAAGTAAGGGACGGATAACTTCTATCAATTGATGATGGTGTATAATTTAATGAGCTTTGTCTGAGAATACACGGGATACTGTACAAGAGTTCTTGTTCTTCGTCAATTGTACCATCCTTTTCAACATGTTCTCCAACTAAAATGTTTACAGTACAATAGTTATGAAAAACTATCATTGGGCATTTGTTTTCAACAACGTTCAAATACGTTACTCCGTATCTTTGTTGCATATGAATTATTGATGGAGTACTATTAACCAATTCAAAGCTAATTATCCTTTCGGTATCTGGATTTCGAACGCGTAAAGGTAAAGACCAATCGTTAGACTCGGTGGCGAAACGCAAATAGAGAACGGGAACGTTGATGGTGTCTTTTTCTAAAACTTTCCAGAATGGTATGGAGAATTTTTTACCCTTCTTAAGTGTATACATAAAATTTTGAATGTCTATTGAACGCCCCCTTTCCTCCTTTAGTTCAACAGCTAAACATTGAACATTAACTGCATCTTCAAGACCAGATTCAAGTACGTAGGCATCTCTAACATCAATAACTCTTATTCCATTCCTTTCAACAGCTCTTAAAACTAATATAGACAACCCTTCATCCGATTTGATAATGATTCTCATTTGATCGCTCAAGTATAATGTATTATCGACTTTGTGTAGAAATCTTGAGCTAATATCGTAATCGGACATGTTTATATCTTGACTCCATGCAATATCCTTTTCAAGTTGAAGACCAATTTTGAAACTATTCCCTATAGGAGGTGCAACGGTACTATCTCTTAAGATCTCCATAACTTCATCGTTCGTCGAAAGCACCAAATTAAATGATGATTCATTAACCAAAAGATACTCGGGACTAACATCAATCAGAAGAGTTTTCAGTCCTGGATACATGGACGATAATCTTACTTGAAGTTTCACTGCAGGCTGATTTAGCATTGCAGTTTTATCAGATTGACACGGTGACGGAGGTTGGATAGTAAACGTTGATTTTATTCCAAAATTAAATTTAGGATCATTATTCGTAGGAGGATCGGAAAATGATAATTTGTCTAAATCCTCCTCACTTTTGTTCCTAAAATAAATTCAAAAACTCATTTATTATTCATTATTATTCATTTTAAAAGAGTTCCAAATAAATACCCATTATAAGGCCATATCTTTGCCATATTTTTATACCAGTTGTCAATTAGTTCCATTGTATTAGTACTAGCTAAGCTGTCACAAGTCGGCAAGAGATCGGAAGATAGACTGACAGCAGGCGAAGATGATGTTAAAGATGGCCTAAATATCATTTATCAGTATCATTTACTTGATAAAAAACAGTATATGCATGAATACTAACCCAGCTTTAAACGTAAGCAAATTTGCTTGATCAACAGCCATTAAATGCAATTGATAATCTTGACCCTTTCCTGATAACGTTATTTCTTGATGATCCTTCGATTTCTTCGTACAAACGTTTGTCAATAAAGGAGTTGCAAGATGATTCCTTATCACGAATAAAGGTGTAAAGAGAACAAAGTCAATAGTTTCATTTTGGCAAACTTTCTCAGCAATAAAGTGGCAGCAAACAGTTATAAAATTAATTCGATCTTGCAAAGGAACTTTAAGTAGACAGCTACTTCCCCTTTGAATTTTAAAATTTTCAGACCACAGTGTATTTGGACTTAGAAATCTGATTTTAAAATATTTCGTTTCCGAATCATTTATCGTTGAAAATCCAGATGAAAATGAATCAATTTTCATTGTTCTTTCAACATCTTGTACATCGGAACGAATTGATATTGGAATATCCAGTCGACTAGCAAATATAACATTTCCATCGATGATAATTTTTGATTGATAAGAGCTTAATCTGATTATACGGACAATTACGCAATCTTTCTCAATTTTTATACATTTCGACATGTATCTTCTAGATTTGTCGTTTATATCAATAAAATCAAGGGAGAAAGCTTCACTCCAATAGAGACGATCCAACGAGAGTTTTATAAGCTATTTAAAGGATGGAAATATATTATGAGAACGGATGAAAACTTTCAATAGTTCATTATATAGGTATAATACGTACAGGATATCCGTTACAATCATTTGTCCAAGAGAACGGGAAAGCTTGATGACTTTCAATGTGAATTGTTTCATTGGTATTTTCTTGTTTACAATATATATCGTGAATAGTGTTATTACATATTAAATGACATTCTAAAACGGGTAGAGTTTGAGCTGTTAGATTAACGGTAGACTCTTTCCATAGATTTGCAGTTGCGTAGATAGTATGCAAAATACTATCGTTAAATATTATTTCGTGCTTTCCCTTCATTTGAGCGGTCATATCTATTTTCTATTAAATAATAAAGAATGAATATTTTAATTAATAAATTATTAAAATATCAAGAAATAATTAATTACTTCGGCTTTTTTAAATACAACATTAAAATCCCAATTTCCTTCGAAAGTAGCAATTTTATTCTTTCTTAATCTTCTATATTCAACAACTTCTAAATCAATTTTCATTAAGTTAGCCGATAATTTATTAAAATTTCCATTCATTGATGAAAAAGTTGATTTGAAATCATTAATATTCAATACCATTAACGTTCTTGGATAGATGTTGCATAATTTCGCCATATGAAATATTTGGTTACTTTGTAAAATAGCTATTTAAAAAAGAAATATGTAAATTAATCGTTTCCGTTTTTTTCATTATGTGTTAAAATAATATATATAAATATATGTATAATTTAGAAAAACTGACAAGAATTTAATGGAGCATTATCATCCATTCGTTCAAGGTAATAGGAGTAATCATGTTCAAGTTGAAAACCGAATGTACGACAAGTAAAGAAGACAGACAGGTTTGAATCAATTTGATTACAAATACAGGAATTTAATTTTGCAGCTGCTACAAGGGTCATTGGATCAACAACTGGATTTTGACACTCGTCGACAAGAGAATCTCTTACCGTCCTAAAACGATTAATTAGATTACAATAAAGAATGAAAAGATTTATCTTTCTAACTAACCTTTGACTAATAGAGTAGTGTTCGTATCTAGGAGGAATATAAATTCTCCACGTCCTAGCTGATTGTAATTTTGATAGGTTCCTCTCTTCAACTGCCCAAAGTCTTGCATGACATGTAAAATTCTCACCAACATCGAATTTTGAATAATCTTCAAATTCCCTTTTCGCCTCATTATAATATTGTAATATTAGAGAAACTGAAATATCATCCCGATACATTTCTTCTAATTCATCAACTAACAAAGGTATAGGTTTTATTGTTAGTTGGCAAATTGTTCTCGGTTCGTCGTATGACCATAGAAGAGCCGCTTCGTTACGTTGTTTGGCAAACACAATTTTATTAGGTAAAGGTATGCAATTTAAATCTTCTATCTCCTCTTTCGAATATTCCATTTCACCATTTCTCAGATCGTCGTAAGATGTTTGAAAAGCGAATATGCACCTATCGTACTTAACATTTGCCTTATTTTCTAAATCTTCAGTTGGATTGTTGGACAATTTACTCAAAAATTCATTTATTTGCATTGTCCAATGAGTATAGACATTTAATAAACATTCATATTGATTTTCACTCATCTTGATAAGTATATCATCTATATGAAAACCAATATCTATATCCGTTTCAAACATGGAACATTCCATCCTAATTGATGTGGGAAGTAATAGGAGCTGTTCTTTCCTATTCTTAAAACATTTAATATTCATATCCAGAATATCGTATTGAATATTACTCTTTCGACTTTTAATATCGAAATGAAAATGACCAAAATGTTCAAATATCGTCAAAACAATCTTATTATCATTTGAGTCACTTCCGTAAAGTGCTATATTTAATTCAGTAGCTTTCAATTCAAATTCTTTAGCTAATATCTTTAAGCTAGAATCTTTAGTTTTAACAGTTTTTGACGTTTTCTCCGCTTTTGTTGGTTTAAAGTTTACTTCAAAAACTGGTCTTAGTTTTTCAATTGTTTCTAATAGACAGGTTAATCTCTTATCGCATAGAGAAAATCTTACTGGTCTTTCTATTCTTAATTCAAATCGGGCTAGAAATGAAATTAGTTTAATAAACTTGTAACAATTTAGAACAAAAAATACAAAAACTACTTACAATCCGTTGGAGAGAGAAAGTTAAAAAAGACCAATGTACATAAGGCTGGAGGTATACCAGTTTTTGGATTTAGCCGGCCCGTTTTCGTCTCCAACAGTGCATAATCAACTGTTTTTTCATTGTCTATTGAATATTTGAATATATATATATTACTGTATATATATATATATACTATTTCATCATATTAAATGTATAATACAAACCAAAATGTTGAACTATAAGTGACGCGTCAAAGCAACTTATTTCAACTTTTTCTTCGCCATTTCCGCTAAGTAAAAGTGTGTGAGGTTGAATAAAACTTGTTAGTATTTTAGAATGTGTATCAGATATTGTCAAATTGATCCTATTAGCAGTAATTAACGCTCCAATTGGTATAGAATAATTATTCGCTTCTTTGGCAATAGCTATCTTCTCTACAGATTTTTCTTCTTTAAGTTTCTCCGTAAAAAAATCGGAGAAAAATGGTAGTAGACTTACAAAATGTAAATTAGAAAATACTATATAATAAAGCAGTTTAATTTCAGTAATATTCAAATTAACGTTAACATCCGAAAGAGCGCAGCCTTCCATTGAATGACCACATACCAGTTGAGCAGCTCCTTCAGGAGGATAATAAACAATTGACGGAGCAAGTACAAGTCTAATATCCATCTGATTGACAATCGATTGAAGGGAGTTAGGATTGTCTGAACTGAAATATTTGATAAAATAATTAATACTATTTCTATAGAAATTACTCAAACAAATTAAAATAATGAACCTATTATATGAAAATAAATTATTCCATTCAAAAGCTGGATTTTGTATAGTTGAATCATCATCAATCTTTTCCGATTTCATTAATTCTTCCCAACGGCCGCACATTAATGAAACGCCGGAAAAGTCCAATTGATATTGTCTATCCTCAATATCACTTCCAGGATATAAAGTTATTGAAGCTCTAACAGCTCTCTTATAGAGTTCTTCGTTTACGACTATTCTTGATAGGGGATTTGTTGCTCTTGGGGTAACTTTAATACTACTTATTTCAATGACAGAGGCATCTAATTCTATAGGTGTAGATGACTCACAAAATCCAGAATCTGATTTATCATCTCTTATAGATTTATCGCTAGGTAATAAGAAAATTCTAGTATTTGATGTTTCAATATAAACTAGGGGAAGATTAGATGAGTTGATCATAGGTATTAAAGTTTCTGGCTCGGTTTTATCAGCAGTTCCTTTAAAATATTCTCCTAAACTTAAAAGTGAATACGTTGATGTATCAACATTAAATGTATGAACAAGAGTATGAAGAAGACGTGTTGCCAGAACCAAATCGCATGGTTGTAAAGTGACACATATTTCAGTGATATAAATTCTTCGACTATCATCCTTACAATCGGAATTCTAAAAGATACGAATAAGGTTTAAATTAAATTTTTTTTAAAGTAAATATTCAATTTATACCTGTTTCAGCTTCTTCTTCAAGTCCCTTTTTAAAGCTCTAGTAATTGTAACAACAAGAAATCCGCTCTGAGCGCACTTTTTTACTTTTAATCCATCATAACTCATTAGAATCATTCCACCTCGTTTATGTAACAACCATTTATTACCATCCTTATAAAAATGTCTTATTGACGCTTTTCCTAATTTAATATTTATCTTTGAAAAGACTTTTTGCAAATCGAATGAAGAAGTTAAATCTTCCAGTTCCGTAACAATACAACCATCTTTCGATAATAATTTGACAATAAACTTGGGTGCTGTTGCTTGTAACCATAATGAAATTTTTGCATCGTCATCTCTTTTTGAATTCGACGAATCTAAATGTTGAATGCTACTAGCTTCGGAAGTTTCGGTAAAACTAACAAAAGTACTTTCGTAATTGATACTACTTTCTTTTTTAATATCTGTTTGAATTTTAGGATTGATAGTTGTTTCGGTGAAAGACTCCTCTCTCTCTTTTTTCAGACATTTTTGTATGAATATTTTTGTCGTTTTCCAACCGTTCAATAAGCCAGACAAAATTCTTACGAATGAATCGTAAAACATTTGAATTTGATCGTGTTCCAAACGTAAAATAACTGGTGTTGCATCAATATGAAGGCAAAAACCCAATGAACTTACATCATCAGATAAAGCAGTTTTATACCTAATTATTAATTTTTTAAAGGAAATTCAATTATAAAATTTACGGGAAAAATTTCAAAATAAACAAACCGAGCAGATACAGCAACTGAACCAGTCAGGCAAGTTGGTTCGACCATTGTCGATCCTTTTCCTTTGTGAATTGAATATGCACTGGCATTCGAAACTTTCACTTTCCAGGGTAGTTTCTCCGATGTCAATGAATATTGAGCACCTTTTATTGGTAAGTCTTGAATAGCGTCACATTCTTTATGATCTTGACTATAAATTTCTATAGAAGGAGTAGCTACAACAAGAGCATCGGTTGTATTTTTTAAACGATCTATATCCGACATTATAGACTTTTCAGTAATTACAATAAGCCAATTTTTTATATTGACTTGTAAGTGTATCCTTTTTATTATATTGAAATAGCGTAAAACCAAATGATGAAAATTCCAATCACTGATATATTCCTCTTTCTCTGGTGAATCTGGACGTTTAATCGAAACGGATCGAGAATAAGTTTGACTTTCTCGAGTTGCTATTTAGGTAAAAAGAAGAAAAAAATTCAATAAAATAAATCTATTAAGCCTATAATAATTAAAAGAACAATTTTGTTTACATGAAGCTGAAACTTGTGATAAATTTTCATCTTTCTTTTCAATAACTGGAATAGTCTCAACCACCTCATAGGTTGGACTGTAAGCTAGCCATTCATTTAATAACGAATCTAGACAAACAACGGTTCCCTCAATATTCACGAACATTACACTTGGAACTGGGAGAGAATGCAAAATACTATATAATTAATCTATTGAATATTATTAATAAAATACCTATTGTATCATTAGTTAAATCTGGAAATTGAGCTGTAAATTTTAAGAAATCAGTACAATTTCTATTGGTAAAAGTTTGAGATTCAAGTAATCCTTTTTCTGATATTAAATTATCAGTTTTTAAAGGAGCTCTAAAAATTTCTGTAAAGTCTTGAAATTTTTTGCATTTAATTCTTAATAAAATAGATTCTAAACTGCCATTAAATGATCTGGAATTTATGCAACAGCAATCCCTAAATTCTAGGCCAGCGAGAGTAATTTCTAATTTCGTTTGAAGATGATCGTCTGAAAATTAATACTTATTTCTTTGCGCTGATTAAATCAATTAATAGAATAAATACTTTTAATACAATCCAAACGTAAAGTTGATAAAGGTATTAAATCATTTTCAGGTAAAATACGATTCCACCATGTAATAAATGTAAAATATGCCAAATATAATTGAGCTTTACTTATATGAGCTTGGAATTGACTCATTTCAAACACTATCTCCTTTTGAGCTTGTACAGGATTTTTCCTATAACATAAACAAAATTTATTGATTATTTATACTCTAATTAGTATTCTAAGAAAACTTCATTAACATCAATACATACCATGCTTCGGGATATAATAAATTTCTTTTATATAAAACCACACTAACTGGATGGATAATTGAACATTTTGAACATTCATCCTCCAAATTTAAAATGGCAGAATACAGCTAAAATAACATTATTTAATATAAAAGTTTCTCTATGGTTAATTTTATACAAACATATATATGTGTATGAGAATGGCAATGTCGTAGTACTTCTTCCGAAATTGCTGGTAAACGATAAGCAATATTGACAACGTCTTTAGCGTACATTGCTATTACAGTAGTTATTTGCAGTTTTTCGCAGCTCATTAGCCAAGAAATCTTTGTTGATTGATCTCTTGATCTAATTTGCACCTTTTTCGGTCGGTCATTCGGATATATTATAACGGACGGTTGATAAAAGATAAAATCATAAGTTCTAACTGGAATGTATGATTGTAGATAATGGATATCTTGTTGAGTTGGAGTTGAAGTTGGGTTGCTATTTATCGTATCTAAAATTTGGAATTGCAATTAATTTACCGCTAATTAGAGATTTATTTATTAAGCGTAAAATAATTACCGGTAAATACTTTTGAGTACGGTTCATAAGAGGGATCGGTTAAACAATCAAAGAAAGTTTTCATGGCTTGAACGGTTTTCGATGAAACATATAAATTAAAAGGACCAGTGAGGAATCGAAGATTGGAATTTTCTTTATTTAAATCCGTTTCCGGTTTATCAACGGAACTACCTTCTTCGTTTTCAACCAATTTTTCATTATAATAAACGTAATCGAACCAAAGACTAGAGAATTTTTCAAGGATATAACCTTCCGTATATTTTTCAAAATATACTGTTCGACCAGTAACAAAATACGGTAATTCTTTATTATTTTCGGGAGCTTGACTATCGAATAAAGAATTTTGAAGATGGTGACTTTCATCAGTAATCTCTAATCCACTTTTTAAGAGTAATCTCTCAGTTTCGCTTGTCTTATCATTTTCCTTTTCTTTCGCTAAATAAATTAACGTATTCGATATTCCAAAAGTGAAATTAATCCATTCGAATCCTTGTAAGACAGAATGCGCGCTGATGCATTGCCAAATAACATCCATACTTCCTTTGCTTATTAATTTTGGAGTGGGAGATTTTTTTCTTTGAACTTTCTCTCTTATCTATACGCAAGATATTATTCATGTTAGAAAAAGAGTTTTAATTAGAAGAGAATTTAAAAGAATATTAACTTTAAAAGATACGCAAATTTCACGACAAAACATTGCAAATTCAAAAATTCCTGGTCCTTTTCTCATGCTACTTTCTTCCTCGTCGACTGGTAATATTTGAGGTACGTAAGACCAAGCCCAAGATGCCCAGCCTTGGCCACCTTGCCCTCCTGGATCAATCTTGTAAGTTTCATCATTAAATGATATCCTTTCCATTTTATTTTCTATCGATAGTGTTCAATTATTATTTCAAAGCAATTATAAATCTATATATAGATAACTAATATATCCTACCTGTTGGTTCTGTTGATGATGGCCTTTTAAGATTTCCGTAATATATGGCAATACTTAATTCAATTAACCTATGTAGCATTGGCACCTAGTCAAAATTAGAGTTTAGTGCAATAAAGTATATTTGATGTTATTCATAATATCTTACCTGAATATTCGAAATAGAAAAATTTAATTTATCACAATTTAAATTGGCTTTCGTAATGTAAGGCACTCGCGCGCTAGAAGATTCATAAACCATATGAATACGGACGCATAAAGAGCATCGATAAAATAAAGGATCTTCGTATACTTCTATTTTACCACTAGCAGAACATTTATCTAAACATAAAGTCAAATCTTGAACATTTAATATTCTTTTAAGAACAAGATTATTCAAAGCTAAATCAACTATATCCGACTCCCAGTTATTGTTAACACTGCAATTTAATATGTAAAAACGTTACTTTAACCTTTTTAGAGTCTAAATTAACAAACCTATAGCATTCAACATTTTTTACATTAATACTGAGGATAATGTCATCTTCAACGAATTTCAATATCAAGTTATTTATAACAACAGTTGCATTATATATTACTTTTCTAACTATACTTTCCAAATATCCAGGAGGTAGTTCTTCTACGCTTTTCTGTTCAATAGTTTTAGAAATAAATATCACTTACGTATACTTACGTATAAGATGATAAAGGAGAATGTAACAATTGAACAACATAAATATATTTACATTTTTATTGGTCTCTGGATTTGAACTGGAAGAGCTGGATTGTGGTGTGTCTCTTACTTTGAGAACACATTCCATTGTGTTTATAGTAATTACTACTGGTTCTGAAGTTAACTTTGTCCATGGTACATGTATCCTTAATTCATGAACGTGGCCACTTTTTACTGTGATTGGCAATTGAATAGCTCTTTCTACAGCATCTAACCTCAAATCGAGTTTGTGCAAGGTAACATCGCCTCCCCATAATGATAATTTAAAGTCCTCCTGCTTTAGTTTAACGTATTTATCCACATAACTAAACAGTAAAGGTGTAATGTATGATTCAAGTTTGAACATTATTTTGAGGACGATAATAGATGAAAACTTTTTGCAGGCGTATACAATAATAGAGTGGTGATATTACATCTGCTAGTAAATATGTTTTGTAACAGCCTGTTGAAAAAAGTACCCGGAACAGGAAACCATTTTAAATTTATCGTTCGATTCTCTCACATATGTCTGTAATTGTATGTTTTCACAGGAAGAGGCTGTCCTGTTAATTTGGCGCGTTAAAATCCTTTTAAAACTTTCTGCATAACTTATATCTCGTTTTATTTCAAATATTGTTAACAATCTCAAGTTTAAAAAAAAAACAATTATTAACTTATTAAAAATCATATGTAAATAAATATACAGAATATTTAGCTCCTTCCATTTATATCGAAAAGTAGGTGTTTATTCAAAAACACGATCTAGATAAGTCCAATTATTGAAAAGCCTTTAAGTAATAAGTCTAGAAATTTTCTTAAAATGTTTAAAGGTCAACTTTTGAATGAAAATAGAATATATACTAATATGTATGTATAAGATTTATCTTCAATTGTTCATTTTAACCTTTAAAATAACCTGGTTCGTTTAATAAGTCTTATTGATTTGTGGATAAAACTAGATCTTTCAATAATTTATAACAAGGTTGGTTGGACAGCAAGTAGAGAGAAAATAAAATAAAAACTCAGAAAACAATCTTTAAGAACAAGTATTTTAACTATTCAGCTGTAAAGAAGTAATACTTTCAATGAAAAAGAGAGATCTGGGACAAAGATATACACACGCAGTCAGACTGATTTCCTTAAATCATGTCAGTATCCTGGGTTCAATAATAGTAATAGAAATAGGACGAATTAGTATTCTGAACCATGACTTGTTGCACTATAGCTAAAATTTAAATGTAAACATTATCATTTTGTAAATAAGATACATAACCTTTCTAATCGGATGTAAACAAGAAAACCACATTATAAACTTTGAACTCATAGTACAAAGTGAATTGTTTCTTTTTAACTGAAATGATAATGCCTGCATACAATAAATATAAAAATTATTAACTAGTTAATCAATATTGATTTTTTGAAATATTTGCAAGATTAAATAAAATAATCTATATAGTGATCTTTATTTAAAATGATTCATATTTATTTTCATTTTAATGTCTTAATGAATACAAATTTAATCGATTCAATCTATCAGATAACTTTATTTTCGCTTTTCTATATGTTTTTTACTACATTTATTCAGTAAGTCGCTTGTAAAATAGCATCTATAAGCTGTCAATGTGTATGGTACATTACAAACAGGTTATAAATATTTATATTTAGAACGAAAACAAAAACATTATATGTGACTGCCATTAATTGTTTACAATTGTCCGTTAATGCTAAAATTCAGTATGAGTATTAGTATTTAAGCCTATAAATGCAATAGTTCGTTAGTGGGTCAGAGAGATTAATGACTGCTCGAACAATCAACTTTGGGGAACATGTAACCATATTTATTTTTATGATTTCAACCATTCTTTAAAATATTGAAAATTGAATAAAACTTGATTAATGGTACTTTTATCCTACGTAAACCTAATGATACCCTTCGAAAAATTTACTATAGATATTGTCTGTAGACTTTCGAACATTACTGCTTTACAAACTGGAAAAGGAAACATTTGCAAAATAAGTGCGGGACTACAGTCGTTTTCTATATACTCTCTGTATAGTTTCGCATCTTATATCAACAATGGCGGTCGTCTGTGCCAATCGGATCTTCTCCAGTTTAAACCGATTTGGCCAAACTTGTAGCCTAATTCAGACCGGGAGTCAACGTAGAAAAATTTCGAAAATTGTAAATGAGGTAGGTTATAAAATTATGTTAAAAATGAACAGAAAATCAAGCAATTTTCTCGATAACACAAATTAATTGACTAGACTAAAATTCGATTTAATTTGTATTTTAGCATATATTTTTGTACTTTTAGCCTGGAGTTAGACCAGAATTTGGTATACTCTTCGATATTGATGGAGTAATAGTTCGGGGAAGACAAACTCTACCAAGAGCAAAAGATGCGTTTAGATTATTAACAGACGAGAATAGAGAGTATGTTTTATTCTAACAATTTTATACAAAAATTTTAATTATCAATCATCGACAGGTTTTGGGTTCCAACCGTTTTTGTTACAAACGCCGGAAGTGCACTACGTCAAGCAAAGGCTGCTCAACTATCCAAATGGGTAAATGCTGAGGTATGCAACATATTTGATTTATAATATGATTTTGTGCGGGAAGAGAATCAATTGTTGACAGGCTTATTTTGTTTTTTTTACAAAATATGCTTCTCAGAAATATCCTTAATGTAAGGTGTAATAAATACCTACATCCATCGTCTCTAGTGATCCAGAACTTTTGCAATAATATAATGACTTGCTGAAAATTGAGTAAACCCTAATTGTTCTAGTTTTACCCTATTTGAAAACTATAGCTATTACATTTTACAGGTAACGGAAAATCAAGTGGTTATGTCGCATTCTCCCTTGAAATTATTTAATCAATTATTTCATAAACACGTTTTGGTTACTGGACAAGGGCCTGTTAGGGAAATTGCAAGGAATTTAGGATTTCAACGAGTTACAACAATAGAAACATTACGTCAAGCCTTTCCTAACTTGGATATGGTTGACCATTCCCGACGGAGAGCTGCAGTAAGTGATTCTAATAACGCACAATACATTTCGAGTATTCATTGCATGCAGATTGATAGTATATAATATTTATAAAATCACTTAAAATGATTATCATTAGTTGATTAGCAATATTTTCTACTAAGACAAAAACATACAATGAGTGACCTTCAGAATCTCCAACTGCCCTCTTTCGGCGACCTATACTCATTTTAAGCTAGTATCAAAATACCCAATATAGGTGTTCTAATTGCATAATCAATTTTAACATCTCCATTGTTATTTTTTTTATATATTTTTATGTTTACAACTCAATTTCAAGACAATAATTTCCTAAGAGAAAAAAAAACTATCCATTGAAAAATTCCTTAACTCTCATAAGAAGAGAATATGTTGTTCTAGTGCGAATCTTATGCAAATAGTCTATATTTGTGTATTTACAAACCAATCAATTTGTACTTGCTATGACCTTGAACGAAATTTCTAGTAAAACCCTGGGTTTTCTATTTTCCACTTATATAAAAATAATCTTTTTTTTTTTGTTATCTTACATAAGATTGCAGAAAATCAGTTCTAATTTTTTTAGTTAGTCGAATAATAGGAGAATATTTATTTAATCTCAAACGACGCATAATAACTAATCCTAATAATTCATTTTAGATACTTTGAAAGAAAGAGATAATTTCTTTGATAAACAATTAACTAGACTGAATTAATAAATGATATATGAAGAATGTCCCTAAAGATTATATACATAAAAGAAATGGTATTTTTTAGGTCCATAGAACACACATGTTATTCTTTTCATATTCTAAGTATATTTTTCTTTACAGCCCTGTGCGTTTGAAAAGTATTTTCCTCCAATAGAAGCTGTAGTTCTATTTGGAGAACCTATTAGATGGGAAACTAACCTGCAGTTAATTATAGACGTTTTATTAACAAATGGTCGGCCGGATAAGGCACCAGAAAAACTACCAGATCCTCATATACCTGTTCTTGCTTGCAATACAGACTTGCAATGGATGGCCGAAGCTTGCATGCCAAGACTAGCTCATGGGTCATTCTTATTATGTTTAGAAAGTTTATACAAGAAGATAAGTGGAATGGACTTGAAATATACATCTTTGATTGGAAAGCCAAATGAAATAACTTATCATCATAGTGAATGCGTGTTACAAGAAGAAGCTCAAAAAATAGGTATTGATAAATCATTGAGAAGAATATACTTCATTGGAGATAATCCCGATGTTGATGTTTATGGAGCTAATCTCTACAACCAATTAATCGCGCTAAGGAGGCAGGGTCAAAAGAGAGTTGCTGGGGGAGAAGACATCATAGAAGATGATGACAAGTGGGTCGATGAATGTAATAGTGTACTCGTATGTACTGGTGTTTATAATGACATGAGAGACTATAACTCCCAAAGGGAAATCTCATATGTTCACAGAGATTATACAGCTGATCCAAGGTTAAGAAAACCTAAAATGGTAGCTGTTGACGTATATGAGGCAGTTCATATGATACTAAAAAAAGAAGGACTATTATAAACTAGCAATTTTGAAGCACTTTTTCTTACACTCTTGATTTCTCTAGTTTTTCTGTGTGCCATAATTCTGCAGAAAATATTGTAATCAACAGGATTGATAACATATTTTTCCTCTAAAGAGAGATCTTCCTTCATAGGGATATTTCAAACAAAAACTTGTTAATAAATCATTATCCTCATTCTCAAATCATGTTCTTTTATATCATTTGTCATTTAGAGAATTATTCGTTAAGTCAATTATACACAAGAATAAATTTACTCTGAATCACTGGCATAAGCCGTATAGATAGATCTATTCATTAAGTTTGTATTTCAGACAAAAAAACAAGTAGTAATCAGGTTGGAGTATTGATTTTCGATGGAAAGGTGACACTTAACATTCTGCATTGTTGATATTTACAGTATAAGTAGAACAAGTCTAAAGTATCTATATCATATCTAAACCTCATATCGAAAAAAAATAGTGAAGAAAAACTATGAAAAAGTTTCTTGCGTTGCCTCCCCATTTATCGTCTCTTGCGGTGTATGTAAGTACATTGCACAACTTCCATCGGCTAAGACTATTACTTCATGTCCAGTTGATAACTGATCACTAAGTTCAGGAGGCAGATTTACAATGATTTCTTGCTGATTGTTTGCATTATATTTTGACGTCGGTGGAACAAGGCCCGCTTGTATTGCTGCTTGAGCCAACTTATCATTGCCATTCTGTAGAAGGTAGGTATCTTGAGGCTCTTGTGAAAGTTGTGATTCAATTATATAAGTATTTGATTTTCTTGCAACTTCTGAGGGACTAACAATTGAAATATTATCTTGAATGGGCGTAGAAGATGAGTTAATAGGTAATTTATGAATCTTAGCATAATGCTTTTCGAGATTGTCTCCAGAAACAGTCTAAAAAGAAAATTTTTAAAAATTAGTGGAATTAGCTGGGAATATTCTTCGACAGGTTATAACTCTTACTGCAAAAGAACAGACAGTACAATGTCTCAATTTTTCTGGATGTTTCTTCTCGATATGCTTTTGCAAACGAAACTGCAATTGAGTAACAAAGGGGCAAACAGGACAAGAGTGTTTATTTAAAGCTGTTTTATGAGATCTTCTCATATGCTCCATTAGACCCCCTGCAACGTAACAATTTAAAATAAAAAGTTAATAATTATTCACTATAACTTGAACTAAGTATATAATATTCTTACGACGGGTAGAACTTTCACTTTTACAAATAGAACAGAAAAATTTTCCTGTGTCATGTTTTAATAGATGCTTCTTCATCATCCACTTTGTGATCGTTTCGTAATCGCAGTGACTAAAAATCGGAAAGAAAGCTAAGAATACATTGAGAATGCTAAATTTAAAACAAACGGGCATCTAATAACATCCTTCATTGCGACTGAGTGTACTTTAAACGTGTGCATTTCTTTTTCTTGCTTGTTAAAAAAAGTCAAATTGCAATAATCGCACTAAAAGAAAAATTCCATAAAAAACTGATTATTGATCTGAAAAATGACGGTCAATGAGACAAACTTTAAATGCAGTTTTCATTTGATGCATTCTTGTTATGTGCCTGGTAATTATTGATTTTCTATCTGCAACTAGTCCACATACGTCACACTTGAACGCCCTTTCAGATAAAGCTTCAAATAAATCTGAAGAATCATTTTTTTTACTACAACTCAACAAATGGCTTTTCATACTGCATTTTCTTATTTTTTGCCCACACAAATCACACAGCATCTGGTGCAAAAAAAAAGTAGACTTCAGTTCATATAAACATATAATTAATATTATATAAATTGGAGTTATATTTAATATCAAATTAATACCATATCTGATTTATGCTGGGTTCTTTCATGCTGTTGTAAATATTTATGAGAAACCGTCTCATACGAGCACTGGGAACATTTTAATAAAAAACAATATGATGGTACCGCTAGCTTATGAGATTTTATAAAATGATGAATAAGTTGTTGATAAGCTATCTGTGAGTACAAATTATTCTTGCTTTAGAGAAATTAACTGAAACTAACGTAATATTATTAATTAACCTCCATCCCTCTCTTGAGGGCGTTACCCTTGTGAAATCGAAATTGCCTGGAGTTGACACACAGAGTGCACTTCAATGCTTTGCGTTGGTTGTTGACAATAAGATGGTTTTCTTTTATATGCTTAAAAAATATATCTATTTTAGACTCACTTACATCTTACACAATTTTTAATGATATACTTACAGCTAACAGCTCGAATAGACTCAGATGATCAACATCAGAATCATCTTTCTCCATACATTTGCATATTGCACACAAGAAAGGTCCTTCATCTTTGTATAACTCCATTGTAAGGTATTTGACTTTTTCCTTGTGATTTTTATTAGATATCGAGTTCGGATTGGAAGAAAATTTGTAAATCGAATGACCATCTCTCTTTTCAATAGTTACGTTTGTAAGAGTTGATTTGTGAGACATCTAAGTTGTATAAACGTATAATAATAATTCTTAGACAATTCGAGATTATTTGTTACCTTATTATGATAGACAAAATCATCTTTAGATAGGAACTCATTGCAACACTCAGTACAATAAAATATTCTGACATATGTCGGAAGTTCCTTTTGGTGTTTTAAATATAAATGTTTAATTATCTGTAGAGAAAAAAAGGCAAGTAATTTTTTTAGTTGCCATTTAAATAATTAATTATATTCATACATCTAATAGTACGATTCCAATATGTTTCGTCTTGAAAAAGCATTCATCACACTCTCGACATACCAGAGCATCAGTTTCTGTTCTTGTTATTTTTTTGCTTATTTTTGTTCTTTTAACTAAATGTATACTTTTTACATGATCCAAAAGCATTTCCACACTCTCATATACCAAATTGCAAAGAACACAATTATAACTTGTTTGGATTTCGAATATTTCTTCTTTTGCTTTTCCTTCTAATTCTTCATCTATTCTTTCAACGCACGAATTATTTAAATTTTTATTACTCATAATTAGTCTTTGGCTTTTTCTGATTTTGTTCGGTGGAGTTTCAACTTTATCGATGGGAACTCTTGTTAATTTTGGTGAAATGCTTTTGGGAGCTTGTACATTTTTTTTTGAAAGTTTTGAAGGTTGTGAACTAACTTTCTCGATTTTCGAAGCAACATCGCTTTGGACGGTAACAATATCTGACAAGTTAGAAACAGAACATTCTTTACCATTTTCGATATGACTAGATATCTGATAACCATTGATACATCGGCTAAAAAATTGCAGTAATATAGTGTTTTGGAATTTGTGAGTTTTTAAAAACTTACGATGAATTAGTAAAGCAAGCAATAGTCTTTTCCACTAAATTAGATAAGGCACTTAGGACAACTTTTTGATTTTCATTTGAGCAGTTTGCCAGCAAACTCTCTATTTCCTTAAACTGTTTTCGAACACAAACAATTATATAAAAAAAATATAATTAAACAACAAACTTTATTGCACACTAGGATTGAAGTATTTGATATATTGCTTGAGTTTTCCTCTTTATCAGGCATTGTATTAAAATATCCCAATCAACAGTAGCTTCACAATTTAAATATTCCTATTATCGTTCTCTATTTCATTGAGTTTCATTTAAAAATCGCATCTCATAACGATATCAATGATTTGGGATTAAATTAAATATATGAACAGTGATTTTTTAGGATGAAAACAAAGAGTTCTTCAAGCTTATATTGAGATTAAATAGACGCTTTACCCTTTCTTAACAGAAACATAATACCCGATTGAAAACGGTTAGAAAGGTGTGTACCGGTTGTTACTCATGAGCGGTTTAATATAATCTAACATTTAACAGAATATTAAAAAGAAAATTTAGTAACATATCCACCGAAATTTTTAAAATTTACAATTTCCGAATGTTTTTGTGAAAATTTTGTGTACTATATTTTTGTTTTAGTCTAGGTGGCGTGAGTACCTTTCGCGGGAAAACTTCACTCTTATTATTTAACCTAAGTGTGAGGAACCGATTAAGAACTCTTCCAAAACAGGTATTGTGAATGAATATTTATTGCATTCTAAGTTCGAACAAGAAAGAACTACTAGAGTATTATAAAATATATACGAAATAGGCCCGCACTCGATATCTACTTTAGAGCGAAACATCGCCAAGAGAACTTATAGGATCATTGATACGAAGTGGATTCTTTTATTTTTAGGTTAAATATCATTGCTAAATCTGATGGATAGCAACGACGGTAAGAGATATTTTAATTTCTTGTATTTTTAATATTGTAACTGTTAATGCGTTTATTTAATGTCGGCCATGCTATTTTGATAAAAAAGATGATACCTTCAATTTCGAAGAGGAAGATTATAATTTCCCTGGTCGTGATGATATGATGGACGAAGTAGATAACCAAATATTAGAGAGCGAGGAAGAATGTCGAAACAGCCCGAAAACAAAAATAATATACAAAAGGCAAATGCTGAAAGAAGAAAATGAGAAGAGGCAAAGACGCGTTGCAGAACTTGAAAGATTGAGCGAAAACGACCGCGAAGTTTCACAATCAGGTATGCAAAAATTAAATTTTAAAGGAGCTTTGTTTTAGTCTTTCTTTAAATTGATAGATTTGGAAAGGCTAGGACTAAAAAAGCGGAATAGTGATCATGATTCTTCCATATCTGATGATGAAGAAGATGACGATGTATCTTCTAGCGATTCCCAAAAGTCTCTTCAACAGACTTCCGACAACGATGAAAGATCCAGTAAAAGGCAGATATCTCCTATTGAACCTCCAACGGCAGATTCAATTAAAAATGCTTCTGGAGATAATGAAGATAGAGAACAAGAAGTTCCCAGTAAGTTGATTATCTAACGAGTTTTAAAAACAGATCATAAAACTTCCACTCTTTTAAACAGGACAAAGCTCAAAATTGAAATATATTTTTAAAAGTGCTCGCTTTTATATGATGAAAAGTAACAATCACGAAAACATTGCCTTGGCAAAAGCAAAAGGAGTTTGGTCCACACCCCCACAAAACGAAATTAAACTAAATCGCGCATATCAAGATTGTCGAAACGTCATTTTAATATTTTCCGTTAAAGAAAGTGGCAAATTTCAAGGTGAGTTTAAAATAAACTCTCACATCATGCGACATCAATTAATTAACTTAAATAGGTTTTGCTCGTGTTCGAGGACCATCAGATAAAAATCATCCGCCTATAAGATGGGTTTTGCCTGGAAATATTAGCGCGAGAGCACTATCGGGCGTTTTCACTCTCGATTGGATAAATCGGTAGTCTATTGTATTTTTTTATAATGCTTACTCTATAGTGACTGATTTTACAGACGCGATCTTCCATTTAGTAAGTGTGCTCATTTGCAAAATACATGGAACGAAAATAAGCCAGTAAAGATTGGTCGGGACGGTCAGGTAAAAATTGCATTCTTACACTAGCATCTAAGAAAATCTATAATATATAACAGGAAATCGAACCTGTATGTGGGGAAGCTTTGTGTAGACTCTTTCCCCCTGATGAAAACATTGATTTACGAGAAATAGCTCATCGTGCCAAGTCAGATCGTAATGATTTAGCCGAAGAAAATATGAAAAGACGAGAAAATGGACAAGAGCACTTAAGGCAACCGGACAATCGTTATCAACCTGTTGACCATCCAAGTCGATATCAAAGTAGCCGCCATGTTGAAACTGCTCGATGGGAGGAAAGACGCGAACCGCGTGATCACGAACGTTACCGTTCTTATCGGACGAGGTTAGAAACAGTGACGATGATGATGATAAACTGCACAACTTAGTAGGGTATGACGTGAGGGAAGGGTTAACGAATTTCAAATCCTAAAGCTTTAATGCACGGACTTAAAAACAAATCTTTAAATTGAAACTAATGGACTATCTTTCAACTTGTTAGTGAATGAAGGAGAAAACCATTGCAATAAGGACTTAAGTAGTGTGAAAGACCTTACTATTACATAATGACTTAAAAATTATGTTAAAAAAGACTTCGTGTATGAGTGTTTTCCGGCAGCGGGGAAATCATTTCAAAATATTTTTAGGCGAGGCTTTCAACTTCTTGGTGTTTATGATTAATTTACCTGTGCCTCCTTTCGCGGACTTTGTAAACATATAGTTAAATATTGTTTCATGAGGTTAAGAGAAATGCGTATTTATTATCTTATAGAGACGATTACGGAGAGGAGAGATATCGTGAGGATCGTAGGCATAGGCGAACATCTGAGAGAGAAGACTACGACAGAAGACGAGAAAAAGAAAGATATTACTCGAGTAAAATAATTGCCATCTTAAATTATAATTCTATTTAATTGACATTATTTAAAAGCTCGAAGAAGCCGTTCGAGGGAAAGAGACAGGTATAATAATAGCAGTGCAGGGGTTCGCAAAGAAACTATGCTACATGGTGTAAGTACTATAGAAGATAAAATTTGTTTCCATTATTAGTAAATTAAATTTTCTTTACACAGTCGTACGAACAATATGTTAGAGAATATGAGCAGAGAAGTGGAGGATATGCACCAAGTTGGTCACAACCCTCGTCGAGTAGCTATTTATCCCATTCAAGTTACAGCTATCCTGATTATTACGTATCCTCTTATGGTGCACATCATTCTAGACTATTGCCGGACAAACAGGTAAACAAATAAATAACTAAGCCGCTATCTATCTCTAATTTTAGCCCAAACATAAGCACGAAAGGGATGTCGACCAATTTTTACGTTCAACTGGAGCGATTTCGTCACGTTGCCGAGATGACTCTCGTTAAGTTTTGTGAAAAGGACTATATCTTTGAAATTATCGTTTATTTGTGTTTATACCTCGTCTGAATTTATCTAGTCTAGAGAATGTTTTTTAAAGAAATATATATATATATATATATACGGTATATATATTAAAAACTAACCTTAATAATAAGTTATCATTATTATGAGACACGTACGCGGAAGGGTTGCCACTTTTTATTGAAATGTCCAAGATATTACATAAATTACCGTATTATTCATCAAAAAATACCCATATAGCTTACAGTCATCATTTAATGATGGTAAAATTATGAACAAGTTCCCTCAATAGTAAGAATCTAAAATAAATATTGTTAAAAAATTTGCAAATTTTGTTTATTGTTAAATGCTATCTGGGCAGTTTGTTTCTTAAAAATCAAAGATTTAGCTAGCATCGTTTACAGTAATAAAATTTCCAGTAGATTGAGTTTTTCTTTTTTCAGCAATAATACTTATCATTTCTTCATCTCTTATTAGAGAATCAGGTGAAAGAGGCTTTTTGTTCGAACATCCTGAAAAGATTATCTTTACATAGTTGGCAGTAGAGTAGCTGAATTCTACACGTACCTGCATGAGGACAAAAAGCCCTTTGCCTCTTAGCTTTTATATATTCTGCAATTGCAGATTTTTCATACGAATGGCCACATATCTTATTTTTAACCGGATTTTCCATTTCTTGCTGAGAATAAGGGCAAATAGTTGATTTTATTTCGTCCATCTGCACCACATCATCATTATCTTCACCTAAGAAATCAAATGCATTAGAATATTTAAAAGGAATCTTCTAGAGATATTCTTACAAGTATTGGTTGGCTCGTTGTTCAGTGTTTTTATCAATCTCGTATATTGCTCATTAGTTTTTGGATCCATTTTGCTAGTATTCTTTTTAAGCATTTTTTCAAATTCCTTAGAATAATCGAAATTTGTTTGTGTTTCATGTTCAGCCTATAAAATTAGTACATACATAATATATAAACTATAAAAACACAACAAATATCATACTCTTGAAGTAAATTCAAGGGAAGCTTTTTTGATATTGAGATTCTCCCTTTCTGCATTGATACACTCTATCATACCATTTGTTAATGATTCTTTCAGTTCCTTTCCTAAATCTTGACTTATATTCTTTGATTCTATATAAAATAAAAATTAAACCAATGATAGACAACTGCACTTCATCTAAGCGTACCTTCTGTATTTATTGATGCAGCTAAAATAATTGTATCATATAGATTGTTTATTGAATCAATAACTTTGCTACAAGAATGCTGATTTGTAGTTCGAAACTGTAGCATTTTTATTATCAGAGTAGTGAAGGCGATAATAAGTGAATAATGAAGCAAATTCTCTTTCAATTTGAATTTAATTTAAGACCACTTTCGAGAGAAATCTGGTCTAAATTCGATTGCATCGTAAACTTAGACGGGTACCAGGTATTAAGTTTAATTCATATATCTATAGGAATCTAATGTTATGTTTTATAATACTTATTAAAAAACAAAAATACCGACGAAAATGATAACGCAAAGGAAAAAAAGTGTAAAGATAAAGCATGCATGTACAATAAGAAGTATGAATTAAACAGCCAATTTATAACTCAATATTTAGGCTAATGAAAGATCCATTTTTAAACACATTAGTCTCTTCCCTTGATGAGATACATCGAGTTGTATTTTGTACTCTCCTTCCTCCAACCAACTGGGTATTTTAATCGATGGATTGACAAAAACATTGGCCTTCTTCAGTGAGTAATTTCCCTATAGATAATTAAAAAAGAGTATAGACTTTATATACTGCAGATTATTAAGTTCATTTTACAATTTAACCTTTAAAAAGGGACAATGACATGGTACACCCGCTTTAACAAAAACATCTGGGCATTTTCCACCAGGAAAAATAGTTTTAAGCATTGAGCAAACATCGTATGTACAGGAGCCAATTTTATCTTCACATGGAATCTTGATCCATACTAGAATTTTTTTTTCGATTTTGAGATCCAACTATATTAAGATTGTCATTTTCATTATTATAAATAAGTAAATAGAACAAAATATATAAAACTTACTTTTATTCCTGAAGTAATGTCCTCTTTCAAACTTCCCGAAGCCGATACCGTTACATTTCCTGGTATCTTTATTTTCGATGGTTGTATTTCTAGCTTATCCAATTTGATGAGATCTGATGATGAACCACAATTAGACCAAGACATTTTGGGATTTTCTTTTTCAATTCTTTTGATCCATTTAGGAATTTCAAGGCGGAAAATATCATTCGACTATAAAAAAAGGTGCAAAATAAATATTTTTTATCAACAAATAATGATAATATGCGTCGTACTTTTGACAAGCCAAATTTATCCAAATAATCTCCATCAACCATGGAATAATACAAAAATAGTAAAATAACAACACGATTCATTGTTTCTTCTCCGAGTTGGAAATCATGTACAGTAAAAACACAGACTGTATGGCTATTCCATTATCAACGTATTAAATAAAATAGGCCTAATCATTTGGCAACAGAAAGAAGACATTCGATTTTTTTTAGAACGGCATGATCGAATTATAAAGAATAGATTAATAGTCTTTTTTAAATATTAGTAATGTATAGAATATTTTACTTTATCATTAAAATTCAGATAGATTTAAATTTTAAATTTCTCAAAATACTAATTGTAATATTTCTAAGATGCTTAAAGTTAAACTGGGTAAATAAACAATAACAACAGCTTATCAATGACCAATGATTTTGCAATATTTTACTATTTAAGTTTATATCTTCTTTTAATAGATATATTATAAAAAGAACTTGATTAGAATATTAACGTCTCTATAGAAAGAAGAAAGTGATGCTAGATTTTATAAAAAACATACATTATATTTTAATAATCATTCTGGTAATAAATTATATTCTAAATATAACTTTGTCACATGAAGAAAAGGTTAAAAAGGCAAACTCTAAATGGTGTAAATTACTGAAAACTGACGATGCTAGTAATATTTGTAGTAGTGAATATTGTGTAAAACTTGCTGGATCAATGCTAAAGCTTATGAATTTAAATGAGAACCCTTGTACGAACTTTAATTATTTTTCATGCGGTTTATCTCCATTTAACGGAGACTCTGTAAACAATGTTCACGTTTACAATGCTCTAAAGTTAGCCTTAATTGAACAAGAGCTAAGCGAAAATACAACTATATTTAAACAGCAACAGAGATTTTTTCATTCATGTTTAAAATATTTTCGTAAAAATGAATCGAATCATTTGAAAGTGCTTTTAGACGAAATAGGAGTTAAGTATCTTACGTCAGAAAAATGGGACACACTAAATCTTAAAGAAGTCTTTCGAGAGACGCTAATCAAACTTCATCAGTTGAAAATATTCGTTTTCTTTAAACTAAAATTGACTAAAGATAGAATAGAAGTTTATAAAGACTATTTAACACTATCTAATTCTTTTAATGAAGATAATTCGATTCCATTGAGGAATATTGCGTCTCATTTCTTTTATTCTTTGTATCCTTCTTTGAATAGTGAACATCGTTCAAAAATAATTAATAGTATATTTAATATAGAGAAAGAACTATTGAAATTTTCTAAATCAAACGATAAAGAAACAGAAGAACCATTAAGATTAGATGATATTGCAAATAAATTTAATGGTCTTATTGACTTTCAGAGATTAATTAATAATATTTCACCGGAAATTTACGAATATATAGTCTTTAAAGATTTTTATAAAATTGATAAATTAATTGAACTAATTGAGAAAACTCCTTTTGAAGATTTACATAATTATCTAATTTTTAGGGCAAGTTTTGAACTTCGGCATATAATTGACTTTCAACGATCATTCAAGGCTAAATATCAAACAAGATGCCTTCACTTAACTGACCAATACTTTCCGTATCTTTTTAAATACCTTTTCTATAAAGATACCGAACAAACTACGATAAAATTAGACAGAGATACTATAAATGATATTTTCAATAAGATTAGAGGAGAGGTTGAGAATGTCTTAGGAGCAAGAGTTGAAAGATTTAGATATATCAATGTCGAAATTGACTTTGAAACAGTAAATTTAATCGAGAGGCCATTTAAAAAAAACTTAACCTTTATTCAAATGATTATTCATTTAAGAGAACAGAGATCATTTGACATGTCCTATACAAATAGTAGTCTTCAAGAAAATGATATTCTATTGGATGATTATGAGAAGAAGGCATTATTAATATCACCTGAGGCTATTGCTCATTTTTCTCCCTTAAATAAACTTCCGGTTTCTCTAAGATATGGCTATCTAGGAACTTTATTAGCACACCATCTGATACAAAGCGTCTTAAGAGAAAATGATTCTTTGTTTCCCGAAGAAAAACAATGTGTTGTAGGGCAGTTTAAGTTTAACGATAACTATAATAAAAACTTCATCAGAGAAGCGTTAGCGTTTAGACTAGCTTTAAGAATATCTCAAACAGTTTATGAAAGAGAAATGGAAGAAAATGGTACTAATTCTACTCTACCAGGGATTGCTTTAAATGATAATCAACTGTTTTACTTAGTGTTAATACAAAGTCATTGTAGGGCTTACACTTCTATTAGCCATTTATCTAGTGGGATATATTTACATCAAATAACCGATATAATAATGGGAACGTTCAGCAGTAGTAAACTATTTAATTCTGCCTTTTCATGTAATTCAACTCAATTGAATTCACTAAAATGTACAATTTCGACAAATTATAATAAAGATTAGTGTTTTTTGTTATCAGTTCTAAGTATACGCAAATAAAAATGACTTTTTCTAAATTTTAATTTTAAATACCATTTAAACATACGGGATTAAGAGTTTTGTTAGGTTATTACCAGTTCCTGACTTTGTTGTAATATTGCCCCTTGTCGAGGAAGTCGGTACCGCCTTTTCCGAAAAAAACGTTTACCGGAAACGGAAGTAATCTAGTTGGGAGTTTCCGTAAGTAATGAACTTGCTATAAAGTTTTATGTAATTTATTCTACCACGTCGAAACGACGTTGACTACCAAGAGGCAGTATGAATGAAGAGAGAGTCATACCTGATGATCCTGATGCTGAAATAGCGAAACTTAGAGCTGTATACCAGAAATTGGTCGACAAGAACCAGGAACTAAGAAAACGAGAGTTCCAAGAAGAAGATCGCTTAAATGGAACGTCATTGTCAGATACCGAGAATGTCTTAAAGAATGAGATTGACGTACCTCCTAGTATGATAAAGATCGATAACTTCCTTGATCGCGATCCAGAGAGAATTGATGATGGATTTATTGACTCTCATAATCACTCTCCTAACAAAGAGCGATCAAATTTGGAAGTTAGTAACTCTAACAATACCATCTCAAAACAGAAGAAGTTAGTAACGGAAGCCCTGAGTCAGAGAGAAGGTTCAAATTTTTGCTATTTTTGTTACTTGAGTGAATGGGAACAACCCTCTGGGTACCAACACGAAATCCAGGAAGATGATATGGATGCCGAAATCGTTGATTGGCTGGAGGACGCTTTAGACGAAACGTAAGCATTAGCACATATACAATATTTGCGTTTATTGCTTTTGTTGTGAAAGGTAGCAGGTGTTTTTATATGAGCATTTTTTTCAACATTATACAATGTTGCACTCGTTTGAATTTGTACTATTGCTAGATACGGTTACAATTCCGACGATGATCCTATGGGAATCAGCATGGATGTTAGATCATATTTGAAAAAATTACGACAATCTTGTTCCTTACCTTCTGATTTTCTAAAACAATGTCTTGTTGGAGGGGATGAAGTTGAAAATGCTGGCAAAAAGAAATCTAAAAAAGCTGCTGTTGCTGCTCTTACAAAAGATGTAACAAAGAAAGGAGCAAAACAATATAGTGAGATGCAAGAACTTGCTAGACAGCAAGAAGAGTGTAAGCCTTATATTAGTCATTATTTAATTAAAGAGATTCAAAATATTATCACTATTGCAGATTTAAGAAAAAGTCTTACAAGTAGTGAACTACGACAAAGCATGACGTTTAAAAGTCCCGGAGGAACAGTACTCTCTCCTGGTTCTGAACGATACCAAGAAATGCAAGACAAATTTCGTGAACAAGAAGAATGTTAGTAAATTCTTTCAACAAAATTTAATTAGCAATTAAATCTGTTCACTACTTCATCCAGATTATATTCTGAACTCAAGTGGATCAACACCGAATCGTTCGTCCAATTTAAATTTGGAAGATTGCAACGATGAAGATAGTTATACGAAAGGTAAAGAGACCCTCAATCTTTCAACGTAATTTTAATTTGTTTATTTTCTGAAGAATATATTGACGAATCCAACAACATGTCAATTATACCTAATGGTAGTAGAGGACACAGAAATTCAGAGGATCTAAGTCGGAAAAATGAAAAACGTTAGATTTAACATTTATGTATATATATAAAAAAAACTGTTTTTCTTATGGTAGATGTTAAGCAAAGTTTAACGGACTTTGAAATTCGGGAAAAAGTAAGAGTTAAGCCACCGTCACCACCATCGACAGGTGAATCATTATCCCCACCACCTTCCGATTATACTACTTCAGATATTCCTACAAACAAACCAAAACTTTCCGTGAAACCTCGAACCAGAAAAGGAACTTATGGTATTCCAGTGAAACCAAGTTCGATTCCATCCGTTGAAAATCTTTCAGACGAAAGTCAACAAGATCATTCGAATTCACAAGATTCCCTTAACTCGAACTCCAGTTCAAATAGAAGTCTTGAACGAGATAAACATCGAAGTTCATTACCAAACCTTAAACAAAGCGCTCAACCCAGTCGTTTAGGAGCAATAAGACCTAGAGGAATTCCGAAACCCTCTAGCGCATCCTCTCTGTCTAAAATACCTTCTGGTAATGCCAGTCGTCTCGCTAGGCCTAGTAAATATGGATATGTTAACTCTTCTAAGCAAACTAATGATGATACTTGGAATGACGGTTGCTATTAATTAGATATATTTTAATTCGCCTTGTTGCTTAAATAGAGCATGCTCGCAATGCAAAATTTTTAATGCTTTTCAATGTACAGTAATTTATTCTATTGAATAATAATAAACACAATTGGACAAGTCAATAGAATGAGAAAGAGATTGTTATAATATTCCTTTTATATCTGATAACTTTGATAATCTATAATGTAACTTGAAAGCGTTTAATAAGTTTCCACTCTTTCAACTGTAGTCGTAGTCTGAGTGGTAGTGACAGTCGTACCGGCTTGTACTCCTCTGGGACCCCCTGCAGCAGCAGCAGCTCGCTCGCTCCTGGTAAAAGAAAGAACTTTAAATGTTTGTCTCTAGTAAGTTTTGGCTTACTAACCTGAGGACTTTAAACTTGAAAAAGCAATCAACTCCATAGACTGCCGTTGCCAAGAAGCAAAAAAACTAAAAATAAGAGGACTATTATTTGCAAATAACTCAATAATTGCATCAACTAACCGCAGAGGCTGCTGCTGAGTCAAAGACCCCACCTTTAGCCGCTGATACACATGCCGAAATAAATAGGAAAACCGTATATACACAGTAGTAAACGAATTCCTGTGAAAATTAAATGAAGCTAGATTTAGAATATAAACACAAGTGTAAGAAAGAATCGCTTACCACCAGGGTCCAAGGCCCAGGAATACGTTGGTAGTAGTTCAATAAATAGAGTAGAAAGTATATGAGAGTTCCAATAAATGCACTTATGGTAGCAAACCTTACCCATCCAGCTCCAGCCCACGGATCAACCATGGAGGATATAAATGCTATCATTGAAATGACCTGAAAAATAAAATAACTTATTATCAGAATTTTACAAATACTTGTATACTTACCATCTGAGCTATTTTTAGAATTCCAGGAATAGTAGTAACATATTCCTTCTGAATAGAGAACCAAGATGACTTTTGGGCAGTTGAAGATTCATAGCTAGGCGGCATCTCAGGATCGTTAGCTTTCATCGTGGTTTAGGTTATGTCTGGAGTAAAAAACTATTTATAACAATAGTAGACATGAAATTGAGGTGAATATCCTAATGAGTCATGATCCCAAGGAGAAGACTTATTGAAAAGCATAATGAGTATTGAGATGTTTAAGAATGAAAATTAATACAATAGCAACTTTTTTAAACGCATAGTGAATGTTGGGTAAATGAAGGAAGCCATACTTTATTGACCAGGTCATGTATTTATCAAAAACAAAGAATTTCATTTTGGCGCAAAAAATAATTAAAGCTCTATAATAAGCGATTATAAAGTTCCTTATCTTCATCTTACTTAGATAACCGTACTTAGATAGAGAACATTGCTTACCTTATCTCACCGTTAATAGACAATAATTGTTATTGGATTAGAGACTGTAGTCCGGATCGAGTTTCAATTCCTTATATTTTTTTTAAAAAAAAAATGTAGAATTACAAATAAAAATAAAATATATTTTTTACAGTACATTTGTTAATTTATAAGTAAATTTTTACAAGAATTTCCTGCCTTTAAGATCTTAACGGAATGTATTATAGTTGGGTACGCTGTTCCAACACGATTCCAGCAGTGTGCAGTTATAGTATGAACGGGGTAGATTACTTTTTTAGTATTTTCATAAATATGTTATAAACTTTTGGCTACTTCTGTATTTCGATGTAGTTAATAATTGAAAACTAAAATGTCATAAATATCAGTTTTCATGCGCAATTCTATCTGTTGAAACAAAGAAATCTCTTGGTCCCCGTGTGTCACACACTCCTACGGGCCCAATCTCACAGTCGGCACACATTAAAAACTTGACAGTTCCTATTGTTTTACAAAATCCAACATTCTCAAACGTGTACATATCTTGTACATGCCAAAAGCTATTGACAGTTTCTCCCTCTGCCTCCTCCGCTTTTTGGTTCTTTTTTTGTTGAGGGTAGGGTAGGAATGTCTATTTGTTGTAAAAAAATTTATAATTTAAATACTATCTAATTAACTATTTAATCTAAAAACCTCTCTCTTGACTAAAGAAGCTGTGTCCTTATTAAGTATCAATGATTTACATGTAGAACAACGAATGGACTTAAGATTTTTGCCATTGTCCGCTATTAATTCCTTTAAATTATCTGGTACATCTTTTAATACTTCGTGAGACGGAAGTTTGTCGGAAGTGTTAGATAGGGAATTCTGTGCCATTGGCAGATTTTACAAAATTTGAAAAATTATATGTAATACACAACTGCACCGAAAAATAAGCACCGGTTACAATAGAATTTGTGGACATCTTATTTCAACTGGAATTTATTTCGGTTTTGAAACACGACCTTTTCGGAAAATCAGCAAATTATCTTATGTTTGAGCACTAGTAGTTAATACTACTGTTTAACAGTAAGTAAACTTCAATTGTAATAAAACAATGCAAAATAACTGGTCACTTCAAAAGCTGATTAGCATTGAAGTAATATAATAGTTAATTTTAACTTCGATAGCAAAGTGTGGACTTTGATTCCTCTTTAGTTTTGAAATCCTCTTTCAAAGACAGAAAACTTTAAGTGAGTGGTCTATTTTACTAAAGAATTCGAATACTTTTCCTCTATACTTAGAAGAAATTTAGTAGCAATAATAAAATATTGCTTTTAAGTATTCAACACTTATTTAGATCCTGAATAAGATTAATTTTATCTGTTAAGCTACAATAGTAGTAATATATGATATATGTCATTGGATTTGATATTTGATTATTGTGTATGTTTGTGATATAAACAATCCTCGCAAATAAGTAAAGTGTAGTCTAATAGTAAGACATTTAATCCTTTAAATCTAATCATAAGATAACTTCTAAATGTATATTATAACAAGTATAGAGAAAATAACTGACGATATCATTTATTATCAACGTTTATTGACGTGAACATTTCCTGTATTGTCGCTTTATGTTCAGGAGGATCTTTGTAGGGATCCATTTGGTCTGGCACTAAGGATCCATTTTTTGCCTCCTTAGCTTGTCTTATTTTGTCTATTTCATTTATCATATATTGTATAGACTTTTGAGGTCGACTCAGCACCAATCCAGCAGTTAAACTTTGAAATAATTCAAAGATGTCATTCTTGGATAGATACTCCATAGCTCTTTGGTAAGGGTCAATTCCCTTGAAATCATCTTCAATTTCATTTTCCTCATCTTCCTTTTCTTCGCCATTTATAGATTCTTCTTTAACGTTAATTTCTTGTTCATTTATTCTAACAATACTTTTCCTAGTATTATCTGCCGTTTTCTCATTACCATCCATTAATTTTAAAGTTTATAAATAATTTATATCTAAAATTGAGCAATTGGGCAAAATACTAACAAAGATATAGAACTTAAACTACCCAAAGTAATGAGATTATAGTGAATATTTTCATATATATTCACGTTTTAGTCGCTTGACAACACAATTGATTAGCTCAGTCGTCAAATATAGGCCTAATCTAAAGCTTGACAAATACGACTAGATAAGTTTTACCATTACTTAATAAACAAATCCTATTCAATAGCAATAAAATCTAAATATTAATATAATAGATTATTTTACAGGAAATAAATTCTAATAGAAACATTAACATTAAATAAAACGAAGGATAAAACTTCCCTATTTTCCGTTTTGCAATTTTTAAAAGTTTTTTTTCACTTAATCTTTAAAAAAATCAAGATAATTTTCAAGTATCAGAGTACAAGTATTGTTTCAGATAGTCCTAAGTAGCTTATCTTTTATGGTCTTGAATAGTAATTACAAATTTGTCTTGAGCTAAAGTATAAAAAGTCTGTATTTTAGTATTTGTAGATAATCATTTATTGTAGAGTGGTTGTTTCTTTAAAATAGAACAGTTTTTTAGCCAATCAGCTTTTAGATCAAAAATACCTGAACAAATCAAGATGTCTGCCGTACTAGAAAATTGTTGAACGATTTTTTAGCGTAATAAGTTTGATTACTTTTATATTTTAAACATTTGATTGTATCAATAATATATAAAAATAATCTTATTTAAGGTACACGTTTGTTTGTAAGCTAAATTATTTTATATTGTCTTTATTTTGATACTTTCGCTTTGTCGATAGAATAGGGGAATTTTGTTTTTTAATGCATAAGATTCATTTTTTTTATAATTTTATGATTATCGTCGCAAAACTTTCTACGTTAAAGCAATTTTCAAAGATGATTTAAATTATCTTTTCACTTTTTTTAAACAAGGAAGGTAGAAAACATTGTGAAATATCATTAAAATATTACACAAGACTCTCTCATCGATTAATGTTTATTAGAAAGAGATGACTAATACTTAAACCATTGTACATAAAGACTAAAAATATCATATTTAGATGACATTTTTGCGATTATAAGTTTCTTTTACAGTATATTTTTCACTGTGACCTATATTTAGTAGAAAATAATTCGTTTTTAGACATCGAAAGTCTGATTTAGATAAATTTATTACCTGCATAACAGAGAAGACTTCTAGTTGGTTAGTTTCTCATATAAAGCCCGCTGCCAATATTCCCGTGAATCACTCTCATTTCAGACTTGCATATTACACCTGAGCTACTGATGGATGAGCATGGTAAGTAAATTTTACATTACGTATTTATTAATAGCTATAGTTAATTGTTGATATTTTTAGCGATATGCGCCGAATATCCCTTTTCGTATCCAGAGCCGTACTTGGAGATAATAGAAGAACCTCGACAAAAAGGACAAAGATTTCGATATGAATGCGAAGGACGATATGCAGGTCATATTCCTGGGGAAAAATCGACAGAGGAGAACAAAAGCTACCCTACTATACGGTTATGTAACATGGGCAATGCTACGGAGGCTATAATTGTAGCTTCCTGCGTAACTAGGGATAAACCATACAGAGCTCATCCTCATTCCTTAGTTGGAAAGGAATGTAACAAAGGTGTTTGCACAGTCAAGTTAAAAAATGGTGAGACTACTTATAAATTTCAAAATCTGGGAATTAGGTGCGCCAAGAAAAGAGCAGTAAAAGATAAACTACAAGAAAGACAGCAAATTCGGGTAGATCCATATGGTAATGGTTTTGATCATATAAATGATCCGAGTAATATTGATGCTCATTGTGTGAGAATATGTTTTCAAGCTTTTCTGCCCGATCCTGAATCAAATAATCAATTCAGAAAAGTAGTTCCACCAATTGTAACTCAGCCAATATTTGACCACAAAACACCTGGTGAAATGAAGATTTGTCGAGTTAGTGCTTGTGCTGGTTCTGTGAACGGTGGCACAGAAATTTTCATGCTAACAGACAAGTTAACATCAAAAGATGATGTGGAAATTATCTTTGAATGTAAAGACTGGATGGATAAAGGCAACTTTGGGTCAACAGATGTTCATCATCAAGTAGCTATCGTTTTTAAGACACCACCCTTCCCTTTCCAAATAACTGAGCCGTGCAAAGTTTTTATGTACTTAAAACGAATGTCGGAAGATTTGAAGTCTGAACCAATCGAATTTACTTATCATCCTAATAACGACTACGAAATGTCTATAAAAAGAAAGAAGAAATCTCCACTTTTCAGTGGTTCCGAATTTCAGTGTTCATCCAGTACCGTTTCAGACAATGTAAAAGAAAGAGTTATTAAAAAAATAACTAAGGGCAAGGGAGCAACTCCGACACCTACCATCCCCGTCACTTTACCTACTTTTCCATATGAAGACCAATTGAATAATTATGATCGACCCGCTGGCTCAACTGTAGATCCAAGCGTAATTGATTCCAATCACGAATTCGCCAATACTTTGAATGACGATTCAAATAATTATGACCCAATGTTAGCAACTTTCACTGATTTCCTTGATATGGATTCCAACAACCCGAATTTTGGTTAAAACCAACCTTCCAGATAGTCGAGTTTGTTATTTGAAAATAATAGATATTAAATCTCTAATGAAGTGACTATTTTTTTTCAATTATCATTTATCTGTTGCGTAGCATAGTCATTTATATATTCTATATGTTTGAGTATAAGGGAATTGTACATTAAATGACACTTTGGATTTGCTGTTAAAGTGAATTGAGATTTCAAGAAGCTTTAACAATAATTTCAGATTTGTATTTATTGTAAAAAGACAGCGTGATTACATTTGATATACTTTTATGTGATGATACATTGTATTGTTTGTTTCTTATTAAATTTGTCAGCTGCTTCTATGCCATACAAAATAAGTGTTTGTTTTTTTTTGTTTATGTTGAAAAAAACCTTGTAAAAATTTAGAATAAAAGTACAGGAATGGACTAAAGCTATATATTTGGGAAATCCTGAGTTTCGTAAAAAAAAGTTTTTGTGGAAAGTTTTATAATATAATGTTCGTGTTTATTTCTATAACCGCCATAGATATCTATAAAACCTGAAACATAGACTAGCTGCTTAGTTACTGCTATTTTCAAATTATAAGTCGAAAATATTTTCCGTAGTTTTGTTATTAAATAGTATAGCTATTCGAAGTGTGTGGAACATAGAGCCACACTAAAAATAGGGTTCAGTATTAGACTCTAAATATACCAACATCAAATGAATTAGGATCACAGCGTATTTCAAAACAGTCGTCTACTATTTGTACCGCCAAAACTATCTTATTTGCTAGTAAAACTTGGCTTTACTGTAAACTATGAAACGATTTGCTTCAAAGTATCTAGAAATCTTGAATGAGTTGATCGACGACAAAGATGAGATTGTTAGTAAATCGCTGTCACATTTTTGTTTTAAAAAATTCAGTAGCTGTTATGAATAGAGCGATAATGGGATTTTTTGTTTTAGGTCACTTATAAAAAATTGAGTTGCATAGGAAATATTCCAGTCAATCACGCGAAAGAGTAAGATATTTCTCTACAATAATTCAAGAGAAAATGGAAAATAATAATATTTTATAGGGTACTTGGTGAATATGCTTCTAAAAGAGAAGATCTTGAAGTAATCTATACACTAATAGGCTCTGTTGAACAAAATCGCAAAAAAGTAATGTATTTTAAAATATAATAACACTTTTATTATTGAAAATTATACTTCAGGTAACTAAAATTCAGTTTTGTAAAGAGCCTTGTTTGGAAGACGTAAAACAGAACTACTCCAATATTTCCTCTTGCCATGTTTACAGTGTATCAAAGACGAAAATTTTGGTAAATAAAATCTTTTCACTTACAAAGAGTTAATATTGTTAATTTGTTTTATTTTCCAAATAGGGATATACTATGCTATATTCAAATGAAAAGTAAAAAACCATATACATTATTTTATTGTAATCTTCTAATAGTCAACATTTTTTGAAGAATCGAGCAAAATAATATGAAAGTATGTTTAGAAGGGGATAATAAAGGAACAGAAGCCGTCATGTCTGCTATTTTATGCGAAACGGGGAGTAGATGTGAAAATAAACCATTAAAGAAAGAAGTCGTTACGGAGGTTTTACCAGATATTTATTCTATATATAATACAATATTTATTCTATATTTTTTTTGCTTGTATCAAGTAATGATTTTTAACTTCAGAAAAGAAAAGAAGTCGTAAAGAGCGAGCAGGAAAAGAAGACAACTAATGAAAATAACGATAAAGAAAAATTGACAACAGCGAAGCCTAAAGTAATCATTAATCGAATTTTAACTATTCTGAAATGTTCAACTAATATTTTAAAAAACAGGAAACAAAGGCAACTTCAGCCAAACTTGCAAAGGCTGAAACGAAAACAACAGAGAAAAGGAAAGGATCATCTGACTTTTTTAAAGCAACTACAAACCCAAAGAAAACTACTCAATTGGTAAGATAAATACATATTTTTTGTAATTAATAAACCATTAGTTAAATGTTATTATATAGAATAAGAAAGATGAAAGAACGGCCCAAATAGAAGATCACAGTAGCGATGATATTGTCCCGAATAAAACGAAACAAAATTCCTTCCAAGTATGTAGAAAGGGTAGAATTTCATTATAATTTTTCACTATGCTATTTTACAGAGCAGTAAATCTTCGGCTCAAGATAAAGAGGAGATTGGAAAGAAACATAATATAAAGGTTCAAATAGCTTTTATGTTTATTTTGTCAATTATGGAAATTCTCATTACATTCCTATAGGAAGAAAAGAAAAAAGAAAATGCCAGAGGATCAAGAAAGAAGTCGAAGGGGGAGAGTGATTCCTCTATTAACAAAAGAAGAAAGCGAATAGCTATAGAAACTAGCAGTGAAGAAGAGGAAGAAAGCAAACCAGCACAAAGTGTTGAAGATTCTACTCAAGCATCTATCACTGAATTATCTCAACCAGTAGACGTCAAAAGAAGGAAAAGAATACGAAAACAAGTCACGAAAACGTTTGTCAACGATGAAGGTTATATGGTTACCGAAAAAGTCTACGAATCTGCCTCAACTGATGCTTCAGAAGATGAATTAAAGAAACCGGAATCAAAGAAGCCAGTGGAAACGTCGAAACCCAAGAAGAGAGGTAGAAAAGTTGCAGAAAATCAATCTACACTAATGTCTTTTTTTAAGAAACAATGAAAGTGTGTTTTAAGTTATACTATAAGTTATTTTAACTATTTAAGAATGTCATCTTTTCAAAGAGAAGTTTTAAACTACAAAGTGATGTTGGATCTAAATTGTCCTACAAACAGTTTAGTATAATAATGAAAAAAACCTCTACAAATAATAATTTATTCCATTTAAAAAAAAGAATAATTATGTAAAAACAAACACATTCTTAAAACTGTAAAGGGTTGTACAAATCACGTGGTTATTGGTCATGTGATGATCCCCGCGGCAACAAATGGCGTCTGTATCATTTTTTTTTATAAATTTGATTTTTTTCACTTTACTGGCAGTTGGAATCGATTGTGTAGGAGATATATTATTCACTGTTCGAGATGAGCCATCATCTACACATTTGATAAGATACAAAAATTTTAAAGAACACCTTATCGATCAGGATATAGCGAGCGATAGTGTAGTCTCTTTTTCCGAGTTATTGACCGAAGAAAGAGCATTCCTAATAATACCAGTTTTAAATGAAATATCAAAAAAAGTTAAGTATTCCAAAGCAAAGTGGGTTGTAGTATGTACAGAAGATACACGATTTATTACTCAAGAGCTTTCTTTAAAGTTAGCTAAATATAATGAGAAAAAAGCCATTTATTTTGGTCTGGGCTTAAAGGATCAGGAAGTAACAATTATACATCATTTCGATACTCCAGGAAAACTTATTTATCCCCTTCTATCTAGTGGTATAATATTTTCAATGTCTCTTGTCAAGACGCTTGGTAAAGACTACTCTAACTGGTTAAAGAAGGTTGATGACTTTACTATAGATGTTCAATACGAATTAGCTAAATACATATACAATGAAGGAAAGGGTCCTAAACTAAAATCAGTAAACTGGTTGTGTACAAAATATGTGAGTGCATGCGCTTCTTACTTTTCAACAATTAAAGCGGATTGTGGAGGAGAAACGAGCGATAATCATTTCTTTATCGGAATAAAAACTTGTCATCTATTTCACAAAGATAGAATACCTGTGATATTGGATACTTGGTATAAAGATATTAGAAATTCCAAAAGTGTGAGATTTTTTTCCGATCAAGAAGATAGTACAGTTCCAAATTTAATTTTAAATAAAGCTCCAAATACAGAAAGTGGACATTGCTCAAAGTGCTTTGAAATTTTTCAAACATTCTTCGAACTTCCAGATTCAAGAGATTGGTTAGTAGTAACAGATGATGATACACTTATCAACATAGCGGAATTAAGGAAAATATTAAGTTGTTATGATCCGAATGAAGCAATTGCAATCGGTGAAAAATATGGCTTTGGACTAGCAAAAGATTACGGGTACTCTTATATTACCGGTGGGGGTGGTATGATATTTTCCAAGCAAGCAGTAAAGCTTATCATGGAATGTCAAGATTGCCGCTGTCCATCCCACAGTTCGCCAGACGATATGCTAATAGGCTTATGGTTATCTCGAATATCGGCTAAAGTTGTTCATTCGCCACTTTTTCATCAGGCGAGGCCTATTGATTATGCTGCTATATTTATTAACAGTCAGATACCAATATCATTTCATAAGCATTGGATGATTGATCCCAGGGACGCTTATGAAAAGTATTTAGCCTCCAATCCCAAGAAACAAAGAGACGAACTTTAAAGATGATCTCTCCTACTTACCTCTCTGAATAATATTAGTCACAACATCAAGTTACTCTATTCTCTGTTTTTCTTTCGCTGATGGTTTATCATAATCAAGAAAGTATCCTTATTGTTTTATTTTTACGTTTTATTAATCTTTGAGAATAAATCTCTCTTGGAAATTTGTACTCGTACAAAACGTTTAGTGTGATAAAATGCCTAAGAAGAGTTGGTGCGAGATAAAAAAATACTATTTCAAGAAATTATCGTAATTTTATCACTTGAAAACACTAAATTGAAAAGCAATTTTTTTTACTTCGTAAGTAAAGTCTACGTTCTAACTTCCTTCGGCTTGGCAAAGTGTGTAAAAGGATGTCGACGTTCACTTTGTAGATATGCATCAATTCTATCTCTCTTTAACATTTGTCGGTAGAAATTAGCTAATTTAGGAGATTGCTTCAATATTTCTGTATTCTTGTAGGTTTTTCCTCCAAAGTCGTCAGCTGCATAGGTAATTTGCTGATTTAGAACTTCGAAGACAAGCAGATCAACCCATGTTATGCGGTTACTGGCAAAGAAGGCACCATCCTATAAAAGACATTACGAAGAGAGTTAGTACGTTATATAAGTAACTTGGAATAAAATTTTTTAGCGGCTGACCTGTTGAGTAAGTGAAGGGGCTAACTTTTCAAAATGTTTTAGCCATACGGGAAGAACATTGTCTATGAATTCCTTTCGTCGAGCAAAATCGTAATCGGCGTGTTTTATTAAGAGTCCAAAGTGATATTTTATATCCTCTGTAATATAATAACAAAACTATTGAATTCATTCAAAAGAAATTGTGGTCTCACCGATTCCTTGAACAAGCATTTCGCAACGTTGGTAATCTCTACAATCGCAATCTAGTCCAGTAGAACGAGCAACAAAATGAGCAACTACCAAACTTTGAGCTACTTTCGAGCCAGTACTTGTTATGAGAGCTGGAACTGAAAGGACATTTGGGTCAATCACCTATAGCTGAAGATCTCTGACTCAATATTTTTATTACCTTGGCCAAAAGGATATAAGCCGCTTTCAACACCTTTTGCTTTAGCGGCTGGCCATGTTGCTTTAGTAAATTTTGTTTCGTCATATGAAATGCCACCTTCTTCCATGATGAATCTAATTCCTTCAGCCTTTCCTCTATTGGTTCAATTTTGAATTATTAAAAGTAAGTTGATTGAATCTACATACCGCACGCCAAAGTAATGTAATGTCACATTCCCCGGATTTGGAAGAGGGATACATCCCGGTTTGCCGTAATAAATTTCCTTGACTTTTCTAGATGTATTTAAGTATTCATAGTCAAATCAATAGTTTATCGATAAGTGACACGTACCTGCAAATGCAGCAAAGATTTCCAGTATAGTGACTGACCAGAACAGCACAAATAACAACGAAAACAAACTGGAATATAAACTTGGATGACATTGCAAGAATTAAAGTTATCCTATAGTTGAACAGTCAAAAAACTTGACTCGAAAACCCAGGGCACCGGAAACGGAAATTGTTTTACTGAGTTGTACTCACAACTATCATTTTGACTGAAACTGAATTCATTGGAATAAATAAAAGATTCTGAATATATTTTAGTCATTTTATTTTATACATATTTTAGAGTTTTATAATTAGTTACGGGGCAGTCGCCGGAGCAGTTAATTTCCAAAATGGCGAAGTTTCCATCTGTAAATGAGGTGAATTTTTTATGATTTATAGCTGTCAAAAAATGTATTTTTAATATTTATAGGTACTGTAAAGCGTAAAAATTATGTTACCATATGATCTCAGTTTTTGAAAGCGAAATACTTTGAATTAGTTTACCTGCAATTTTGTTTATCTCTCACGGGCTATAGGCCAGTTAAAAAATATTGTCTTCAAATACTTAGCAGTAACTAACTATATTATAGTGGTTTCGATAGCATACTTGCAAACGTATTTGGATCATTTACAACTGATTAGACTATTGCAAATTTAAATCTGATCTCGGTCATTTGCCCATTTGGAAGCCACAGAAAGATTTTTGTATATTTATAACCTTTGAACAATACTTTCATCTTAATAACTTACTCTCATATTTAATTTTATTACAGATAGTGGGAGATCATCTAAATACCTACGATTCATTTTTCAGTGAGGTAAGTGACTTTTATAATGAGACTTAAGTTACCCTTAGCATAACATAATTAACTATATATATATATAAATTAATGAAAGTGTTACATATTAAATTTTATTCTATAAACATATACATATGTTTTTTTTTTTTGACATCTCAATCATACAAAACAGGATTAGGTAAATAAGACGATATTTTGTTGTTTTGTATATTCGTTTAGCGTAATCAACGGTTTTCATACTTGCTTAGATAGCACTATGGCTTGGAAAACACAGACCATTATATAACTTAAACATTTTGTATTTCATAGATTTATATTTGAGAATTTACCCGTATCTATACTTTACAGGCAGACGTGAATAAAACAGGTTGTGTTGGTGCGGTTGATGCAGCAAACTATTTACGAAAGTCAGGGTTACCACAAAATATACTTTCAAAGGTTGAAAAAGAAAATTATCATTTTCAAAATTATCATAATTAAAAGTTTGATTTTCTTCGGTTCAGATCTGGGATTTATCAGATCCTCACGGAAAAGGATTCTTAGATAAGCATCGCTTCTGTGTAGCTTTAAAATTCATGGCTTTACACCAAAGTGGATTTGACTTAAGTATGGCTAATTTATCTAGAAGAACACCTGCCCCTACATTTACTGTATGATAATAAATGTATTTGTTCGAGAAGGTAAACATAAATCATTTATTCTCCTTTTAGGATAGTCCACATAGTAGTCCAGCAAAGAGTATGTCTCCCGCATATGATTGGGAAATAAAAGTGAGTTCTATTTTAATTATGTATTATTGTTGATGGTTAAATTATCACTTTAGCCATCGGAAAGAAATAAATATAATGCAGTTTTCGATACGTTACAACCTATAAATGGACTGTTATCTGGCGATAAAGTTCGACCGGTATGACATGCAAATTCCTATCTGTTTTATTTAATATTTACCTAACAATTCGCTTGTTTCTTTTTATAGGCTTTCATGAATTCTAAATTAAATGTGGAGGTTTTGGGCAAAATTTGGGACCTAAGTGACATTGACAAGGATGGTTTTTTAGATAGAGATGAATTCTGTCTTGTTTGTATTAATTTATTCATAAGCTATGCTTGTTAATTTAAGAATTTTTAATGAAAATATAGGCAATGCATCTCATTTATCGAACTCTTGAAAATGATCCGCTTCCAAATAATCTGCCTTCGACATTAATACCTCCAAGCAAACGTCGACGGGCGCCCTCTCTCTCTGGTGCTGTTCCAGTATTACCTAATGTTGATTCTGGTCGGAGCAGTCCAGCGACACCTCTCAGTGGATCGATGGTAGATATTCACGTTGACGAGAAGTCATTCGTAATTAACTGTGATTTATAATATATTTTTTAAGTCATCCAACTGGGTTGTTAAAACTATTGATAGAGCTAGATACGAAATGAAGTTTAAGCAAATTGATACAAATCAAGATGGTTTAGTAAATGGTGCAGAAGTAAAGGATATATTTATGCAAAGCGGTCTTCATCAATCTGTTTTAGCCCATATATGGTAAACATAAAAAAAAGTGCTCGAATTAAATTTTGTTGTTTTTCTATTATTATCTTTTTATAGGAATTTATGTGATTCAAAGGGTACTGGTCAATTAACTTGCGAACAATTTATGCTAGCGTTACATTTCATTGAGAAAAAGACCCAACACGACATCGAACCTCCAACTGTTTTAAGTCAAGATATGATACCTCCTTCAATGAGGGTTGCTTCGTCTACCAATTCAGTAAAATTTTTCAGCTTAATTGTGTTTAATAATTGTAATTTGAAAGAGTTCTTTTCTTTTTAATAATAGTTAAACGAACTGGACTCTTTAACTCAGGAAATTACTATATTGAAAAGGGAAAAATTAAAGTTAGAACAGGAACGAACTCAGAAAGAAGCTGATGTAAGAATTCGAAATGGCGAAGTAACAGTTGCCGTAAAAGAGTTGGAAGCCATTAGTGCTACACTACATCAATTGGAACGCCAGAAAGGAGAAGCTCAAAAAATGCTAGACGAATTAGATGATAAAGTAAGATTCATTAGATTGAAAACCGATATTTCAGATAATTATAATTCTAAACATTATATTTTTTCACTTTTAGCGCTCAAAGCTGAACGATAGTGTAAATGAGGCAAAGGCTCAATGTGAAGCCGAACAAAGGGAAATTGACAATCTTAATTCTAAATTGAACAGTAGTGAACTCATGGTAAAGGTGCATGAAATGAATTTATTATTATTTTTCTTCTATTATTACTCACAAAATACTTTGTATTATTAGCTGAATAGTCAATATATAGTCGTTATTAGAATTTTGAAACATTGTTTTAAAGAGAAACGCTCAAATCTATTCATGTAGTGTCTTGCATTATTTAGATGATCATTATTAGTTTTTTTGAATTAGGTATTATAATTTAATAGATTGATGTAGAATATTATTTATTTAATGTTGGCATCGCTTTATTTATGTGTTTTTTATTTTTAAACTTTTTAGGATCAAGAAAAAGAGTTGAATGACCTGAAAAGAAAATTAGATTCATTAAATTCTGAAGAGAAAGATCTTCATTTCCGAATAAACTCTGAACAAAGGAGACTTGAGGAATTAAAACAAACTTTTACTAGTACAACTTCAAAAATAGAACAGGTGGGTGTTTTTTCTATAAGTTCAATCGTTATTGTTGCTCTAAGAAGAAATCTGCTTATTTTTATTTTTAAATATAAAATTTTTATTTTTAACCGACAAAAAAAAACCATCAAGCTGGCAAAGCTTCAAAAGACAGCTCTTAGCTTTAAAGCTATTTATTATGCCTTTTGCCATGCTTTTTTTTAAACAGGCGGAAGAAACGAAGAAAACGCTAGAAAATATTCACAAAATGGCAGAAGAGAGCGTAGAACAATATAAAAAATTGTTAAGCGGAGAAAATGGCATTAAAATTCCAGAAGCAATCGACTGGAGCATCGGGCAAGAAGTTCAGACAAATAACCAAAATAATTTTGCTTCAAGCGTAAGTACAGCGTTTAAAAACAATTTGGCAAGTTTCAGGCATTTTCCATAATGTGATTATTGAATAGCCTAATGATTCAGTATTAGCTTTTCTAGTTTTAAAATACTAGATACATATATATAAGTATTAATTTTTTTTTTATTAATTTTCATTGTTTATGATTTGTAAGAAATAACTGTAAAGCAAAAGTATTTAAAAGTTGATGTCAGAAAGTTCTTTCATTGCAAAATTTTCAGTTCAACATATATTTGAATTTGTACTGTATATATATAGAATATTTCCTTTCATTTCTCTGTTTTATAAAGGTAATATAAATGCTTTTATTGGTAAATATAATCACATTGGTACATATAGATAAAGGAGTAATAGTATTATCATTCTAGTATTTAAAGGTTAATTCTTAGATAACTAAATTGATAATTTCAATCCGAATGTATAATAGACCTTTTTTTTTTATTTAATTAATTTAGAATAATTCTACTGTTTTTCCAACGTCATTTTCAACTAAGAGCGAGACAACTTCTCTTTTTAAAGAGGATCCTTTTAAAGGAACTGATCCTTTTGCTACATCAGATCCGTTCAAGAATGAAGATCCCTTCAAAAATGATACTGGTAAAACTGAAGATCCATTTTACGAAGGTAAGAAAATATTTGTTTGAATGTTACGATATTCCCCCTGGTTAATTTTTGCTTTTAACCTATTAGCCGATCCCTTTGGTGGAAATGACCCCTTTAAGTCCGAAGTTTTGGGATCGTCCAATACCTCATCCAACATGCAGAACGGCACGTTCAGTTCAGGTTCAACAGCTTTTGGAAATGGTATGGCGGCTACGAGCACACCATCTAATACTATTCACACTGCGAATAATCGTACTGTTCCATCAAGTCTGATTAATTCTAATGCGCTTTATGACCAAGATGATCTTTTCGACAAGGCTTTTGATTCTGCAAAAACCTCTAAACCAGTCAATTCTTCATACGGTAGTGCTTCTTCTCTTGCCTTTAATTATCTTTCGACAATTAAATCCCTCATCCTTCCCTTCCTTTTCCTCATCCTAAACTTGCTTGCTACTTCATCTCAAAAACAATTATTCACTATCACCCAAATATCTTCTTGACTTATCTCATTTATTTCCAGACCCATTCGACCCTTTTGGCGAAGCAGCTGCAAATATAACATCTCCTGTTAATCAAGACGATCCATTCGGACAGGATCCTTTCAAGCCGAAAGCAGTAAAGAAGAAAGCCCCCCCAGTCTCTACATCCAACAGTAATACCCCTCCTCCAAGACCAGCCTTTCCTCCCGCTACAAAATCTGTAAGCCCTGCATTTCGGGATGCTTTTGGAGGGGCAGATCCGTTTGCAAGTATGCCGACAGATAAGAACAACGAGGTCACTGGATTCGCCGATTTTAGCAATCAGGTAAGTTAAATAGAAGTGGAATTATTGTTAAATAACATTTTTGAAATTTTTACTTTTACTCTTTCTTATTGAGTTTGAACATTTAGTAAACTAGAAACAGTAACAATAATACTATTAGAAATATAATGAATTTAGCTTAATTATGTCTATTAAATTTCCGAATAATTATATTTTTGATGTACTATATATAAGACGAAGAGTAAAGAAGAGGGCAAAGGAACAGTGAAAAACTTATCTTGGAATCAAGAATCATCTGATGCTTAGTTCTGTATGCTACCACTTGTTTGTTTCAGTTTTTTTTATCTTTACTTTTCATTCTTTTGTTCAATTTTTGCTAAAGAAATTTTTATTAATTTAAACTTCTAATATCAGCTTATCATTTTGTTATTACTATTGTTTTGGTTGACTTCCGCTTATTGGTACAAAAAAAAAATAACAATGAAATTAAGGGTAAAAGTGTTTAGTTGGTTAAATTAAGTTAAATCCTACGGAGGAAGAGAGATGATAGTTGAAAGAGAACATCACAAATTTTGTAATAATGAAAATGCAAAGAAAAAATGGATAGCATAAAAAAGACAAATAATATTGTTCTCTGTTTTATCCTCTCTTTCTTTTCGCTCTCGCTCATATTCATAGGCTTATATTAATTTTTTAGACTTGATTATCTATATATATCCGTACACTGTGTACAATGATATTTCACAATACAGAATTCATTTTCACCATCATTCACATATCCTGCAAAATTGGCTTTTACTAACGATGATAACCAAATGGCATGGGCGAAGAAGGAAAGTGAACAAAGCGAATCGGAGAGGATACGAAGACTTGCTGAGCAAGAAAAAGCTGATTTAGAATTAGCTATTGCTTTATCAAGATCTGATATGGGTACCTCCGATGCCTAAAGTTTTTTTATCAATGTAATAGAAGCACTCATCCATCTTCGTAAAAATTGTTTATTGTTTATTTTTTAAATATTATTTCGAACTGTTGAACTTGAACGTTGTACAAAAACTAAACAAAAATTTGGTGCATGATTTCTAACGCCCCTAGTCATCGTCGTTGGTGCATGACGATTTAGATTGTAGCCTATTATTCTTTACACTATAAGATATGACAAAAAAACATAACTGCTTAAATTCTGCAACAAGATAATTTCAAAACTGTATGATTTATGTTTTGTGTTTGTCGAATATACATATATGTAACAGAAACACTGTTTGTGAGAATTAAAGATAACTTCTATGTATTAACTGATTTATCTAAGATTATAGCGTTTCACTCTTTAAATAGGCCTACATTAAAATATACGAAAAAAACGTTCGATTAATCGAACATTCTAAATAACCTAATGAAATACTTTTCGGAATGTTTTCGGTTGACGTTACGTTTTCTTTTGTTAAACACGACGTTTATCTTTTTAAAAGAGTCATTTCCTTATTTATCACTAATTTCTTCTGCGAATTTTTGAGACGAGAACGCGGACTACTGACGTTAATTAGGAGAATCGACTAGCCTATTTGAATATTTGAATCTTTTGTCAATATTTTTCTTAATCAATTGATGATCATGTCAGAGGAAGGAAGAGATAGTAAGAATTTTTTTCAAATTTTTGAGTTATTCTCTTTTATCTTCTTAAAAAAAACATTTTGAATTTAAAGTTGTCTTTGAAACTTTTGAATTTTAGTTTTTGTATTGGGGTTTTTTTTATTCGTAACATTTTGTTTCTTAAGCGTCCATAAACCGAAATGAAGAGAGTACTTATCTCGCATCGTTTCAACACGATTCTTCACCTCCGCACGATCGACCGCCACCCGTTCCACATCCACCTCATCACATCTCTCATCATCCAGCTTATTCTCTATATCAACCTCCACCGTTTCGCCATGCTCAACAATTTTTCGCAATTGGTCGACCCTTTGCAGGATTTCCAATGAACGGGCGTCCTATTTTTCAAGCATTACCGAGACCTCCTCCCTATGGGCCACCACCGGGATTTTTGCCACCCCCACCCCCTCAGTTATATTCTGACACTCCGCTTGTTCCGCCTTGGACCGGCAGGCAAAGATCTAAGAAACGTAGTGAGGACGTTAACGAAAAACTGCAAGCTTTAGCACCTCCCAGACCTTCGACAAAACCTTGTAATTGCCGACGATCAAAATGTCTAAAATTGTATTGCGATTGTTTCGCACGTCGAGAGGTTTGCGGTGCATGGTGTAGTTGTGATAATTGTCATAACACCGATGCCGATGGTCACACTCACCTTAGACGAGCTGCAGTTACGGCTTGTATTGAAAGGAATCCAATGGCATTCCAGCCAAAAGTTCGTTCAAGGCTTCATTACAAAGGTTGTCACTGCCGGAAAAGCGGATGTCTGAAAAAGTATTGCGAATGCTTCGAAGCGGGTATAACATGTTCTCATTTGTGTAAGTGTTTAGATTGTGCAAATACAACTCTACCCGTGATGCCAAGGAGGAAGCCTCCAAATAGCCGAAGAAGTAAGAAAACTGCCAGTCCTATCGACCACTCTGATTCACAATCAACTCAATGGGTTCAGAAACAAAAGTGCCGAAGGCGAAGACGGGGTTTTTATCCACCAAACGACAGTGTATTGTCATCTAGTGAACCAAGTGACGATACATCAAGTGGTAGTTCAAGTGAATACGAAATTCCAGTGCAAGTAAAGAGTGAACCTTCAGATTTATCACATTTTGATGGAGAATTTTTAAATCTACACGATACAATTGAAAATGACGCATTTAAACAAGAAGTTATTGAAGCAACAAATAGTATATTGGATAAAAATGATTCGGAGAGTGAAAATGTGACAGAAGAAACTCCAAATGTCTTTGGTGAAATTATTTCTACAGCAATAATTATGTAAACTATCAAACTGTCTATTGTTTCCCTTATTTTTCTAAAACTTTCCAAGTTAAAATATCTATCACTAAGTTATTTTGTTGATTAATTAAAACAAACAATTCAACTATTGACTGTTTTCACGTTAAATTTTACCACTTTAAAAATAAATATCAGCTTAATAAACACTCATTGAAAGAAGTAGATGTTTACAAAAATAATTGAAATAATAAGAACGCATAGTAATAAACAGAATACAATGAAAATTTGAAAAGTATCACTGAAGGTAACGGTAACTGAAAACAATAAAATATATAAAATATACTAGTATAATATAATATTATTATAGAAATACTTTTGTTTTCTGTCTTGATTGTTTGTTCATCACAAAAGGCTCCTCTCCATCCGGCTATACATTTACATTTGTAATCTATACCATTTATATCAGGAATGCAATAGCCTCTAAAGCATTTATGATTGTAACATACGCTTTTCTTATGCACTTCGCAAGCAACTCCTATGTAAATAATGGATTTTTCAAAGAAATAGATATCTTTTGTATAAGATACTTACCTTCATATTCTGCGTCACAGACACATTTAGCATTAACATAGGATCCATTACTTTTCTTTATTTCACAGTTTCCCGAAATACAAGGTAACTGAAATGGGTCTATTAGTAATCTATTATAGCTAAATTAATGAAATTACACCAGTAAGCATTGGTTAGCTATTATTTGACAATATTTTCCAGTCCAACCACCCAAGCATAAACATTCAGCTGGTAATAATTCTTTGTTAATACTTTTTTGATGGCATATCCCATTTCTACACTTCATTTCATTGCAACTAATTACTCTATCACATCTCTTTCCGTGATAGCCTTCGTAGCAAACGCACTGTATTTCTTTGTTAAAGTTTTCGCGACAATAACCGTGACCTGAACAAGAATTTGGAGAACATTCTATCTCCATTAAGTCCGATCTCAAATTAATCTGACAGTTGATGCCATCGTATCCTTCTGGGCAATTGCAAAGGTAGTCATTTATAGGGCCAGGTAGACATATGCCTCCGTTTTGGCAGGGGTTATTGTAACACGGATTTAATTGGCTAGCACAAAACTTTCCTGTCCAACCCGAGAAACAATTACAATTATTTTCCTCATAATTTTTGTTTTGCAGCTGGCACACTCCAGCTATGCATTGCTTTTGCGGACAGGTTTCACTCTTTTCTACAAGCGATGGTTTTGGAGGTTCAGTTTTTCCAATATTAGGTAATAATGTTGTAAAATTATTAAGCTTAAAACCATCTGTAGTATATGAACTTTCTGGTATATTGTAGCATGAGCCAGAGCTGCCATCTCCCGTTCTTATGCACAATCCTGACAAGCATTTTTTTTTCTCGCAAGGATCAGCAAATGCCTCACATTTGTCCCCAGAGTATTTAAGATCGCATTGGCACTTGCGTTTCCCAGAAACAATAAGACATTTTCCCCTATTGGAACACAGCCGATTACCAAGTTCGCATGTGTGAATCTCACAGCGATTTCCTTTGTAACCCTCTTTACAAATACAACGATATGAGCTTCCCATTCTATAAGAAGTATTTTGTTAACTTTAAGTTATCAAAAAATGCATTATTACTTTTCGCAAGCAGCATCATTTTGACATAAAGATCTTAAACATGGATGTTCAGAATTTACTGAAAAGACTTGAATTTCTGATATAAACATAGCATAAAACGGATTTGATGTGAATGCATGTAAACTAACGGCTATCCCCTCAATTTGTCTGATACAAGATCGATCTACTACGCTCCAAGGTTTTTCAGGTATTGTAAAGCAACGGCGCTTATACCGGTAGTTTCTCGTATAGACAGACACGGCTAATACTCCAACAGTATTTTTTTCACCAGAAATTCGAACTCGACCTAAAGTTTTGATGTTTTCCAAATGAATAGTAACCCAAAAATTGGACAAAATTCTAAAGCCGCCGATGTAAGTTCCAGTACTTAAATCGCCATCAATCGATTTGCTATAATCGATATCGAGGCTTGAATCTACTTGTAATTGAGGATTGATTAAATTATCTATAGAACAAAAACATCCTCTTGTTCAGCAATTATTATTATTAGTGAAAAGTTTTTAACCTGGTAAAAACCCAACGTGAATATAGGGGTCGATCTCCGCTGTAAAAATTGTTTACATAATAATAACTTGATACAAGATTATTTTTCCCCGAAAATCTTAGTATTTCATACACTTACGGCATAGTATAATCTCGTCTTCTGGCTTGGAATTTAGTGTTGTGCAAAGTGCTGTTTCGCAAAGAAAAAAATGTAATTATGGGAAAACTGCATGAGACAATTCATGTTAATTCACTTCGTCTTTTATCTGCATAGATTTCAATTTCACAGAATCTAACTTTACTGCGTAGAGATACTATTCGAACAAAATTACTGACGCTTCCCGCAATATAAGGACAGTCATTTGTTATTTGAAGTATACCATTTGATGCTGTATCATTTATCCATCTACAAGGGAATTTGTGTTATGCAGGAATAAATTGAAAGAAATTATATTAAGCCAATAGCACCTTATTGGACATAGGATACGAGTATAAATTTTAGTTCCCAAACCCATTTTGTCAGCAAACACCATTACTTTTCTAATTAAATAGAAATTCTCTAGCCAAATAATGAATTCTTTGTCTATATTAACAGTATAACAACTTTGTAATGAAGTGTCGACTAGCTTCCAGCTATTAGCGATCCCTATGCCTTCAACAATTGCAGCTGCTGCTAAATTCACTAAAATATTTTAAAATAGTAGATTTACATTTTTTTATTGTTATTTTTAATTTTGTTTACTTTTATCAGAATCAAATTCCTTGTCGAAATCAATTAATTTATCATTTTCTAGGAAATAAATTAAATAAAGTATATAATTTTTGTTATTCAATAGATATATTGAATAAATATTAAAACAATAAAACCGAAGAATTAAACCTGATGCTGTGCTATACTCGCAGTTTGTTCCGTAAGACAGTTTTGGACAATTACAAATTTCATATTTAACGTCACATACGCCATTGTTTTGTGTACACAAGATGCAGTTAAATCCTAACAGGGAATATAAAGAGAGTTATTCAGAATGCAAATCCGAAATTAGTTTTCCTTAAAACACTAATAATGTACTGGAAAGTGTTTCACGCTGTACTGAAGAGAAACGAGTATAATTAAGTAGTACAAAAATGGAGCATTCATTATCTTACTATCACTTGTAATTGGAAATTCACATCTTCTGCCAAAAAATGGATAATTACAGGAGCATTCAACAGAGTTTTCGGAAACAAATGTGCATTCGCCCCTGGTATCACATTGATAAAAGTATTTGCATAGATTACCTATAATATTATCTTGTAAATATTTTTTCCCATTGATATTGATTATCACACCTGAATTTGAGTTTAGAGTGTAGATCTCTAATTCACATATCGATAGAAGAGAATCTCCAAAAAGACTTTCAAAAGTCATAAATTTACTAAGCGAAAAGTATTTACAACTGCTGTTTACAGTTACAAGATCACCATCATCTTGTTTACTAAGGATAAGAATAGTAGCACAATGTTTCACAGAATATGATCTCTTTCTGTCAATCGATAGAAATTTATTTTCATGTGTTGTTACATTTACAATATCATAGGCTTTTGGACTTTCAACTGAAGCACATTTTAATTCTGACAGTTTAGGTAAAGCGATAAAAAAATTATTGGTACCTTTTATCTCAGCTTTGAAGCCTGAAATAATTGAAAATTTTTCCAATTCAACTGTGACAAAGTAGTTTTTCTTTAATATAACTTTGGAAAAAGGTACACAAGATTTAAAATTGTTATCAAAAAGCAGTGTTGGTTTCTTAATAGGTATTATCTCTTGAAAAATAATGAATATTAATTTAATTATATTTTGGGAAGAAAGGAAAAAAGGGTTACTAGTTTGGAGACGCCAGTCGTTTTCATCTAATTTTGTAAGATATATTATCAATTTCAATATATTTACTATAAATACAAAACGAGAAAGAGTTATTACCACATGTTCTTTCATAATACTCAAGTGTGTTCTCCTCCTGGGGTAATTTAGTATCACTACTCTTTAAGAAAAGAAGTCTACACGACTTCTGGCCAAAAGCAATACCTCGACATTCATCCAATACTAAACATTGAATTTTACAGTCTGATTCAGATACTATACTCCATTTTACTAATTGATATTTTTCTTTGGCATTTGACTTTTTGAAATATGTACAAAGATTTCTTTTATCTATTTTAAAGTTTGAGGAGCAATAAAAAGAAATCTTTCGTATTTATATTACCTGAGTAGGCCTCAATCTCACATATTTTCCAGTTTAGCTTAAATTCAGTAAGCTTTATTATTATAAAATTTCCATAAATTGATCCACGTGTATTATTACATGACGCTAAATGGTGTATCTTTCGCTTATTTAATTTCCAACAGATTTGCTCGTTATTTATGGATTTCTTGCCTCTATAAAAAGAAAATCTTGTTTCTGCAGGGAATAATCTCGTCTAAGAATGTTGTACCTGTAAGCATCTTTAGATACAGCAGATATAATCAATGGCAAGGTCTCTGTTATTTCGGATGTCAGCCCAATACTTTTGACAAAGAATGGTTGCAAGAGATCTACTACAATCCAATCAGGCTCAGAAGGTTGTAATCCGAAATTAAAGCAAGTTACTAAATTGCCATCAGATAATTCTCTATAATAGCTATTGAAGTACCTTGGCGGTTTGTGCAAGGCTATGTTGGCTATTTATCAAAGGGGGAAAGTTACAATAGTTGCAATTGTATTTGTATATTATAGGAAAGTTTATAAAAGACCTACTCTTTTCCCACCTACTTTCATCTTTTGAGGCTGAAATACAGACAATATGTAAGGGTTATAATATGTAATTCATAGAGGACATGGAATCCTCCCATGGAAGCTATAGGGAGGCTTCCATTGAACAGAAAATTTACCTTTCAAAGGAAAGATATAAACTTCACATACATTTATACTACCACCTATTTTGGAGAAAATAATGACATATCTCCCCTTTAAAGAAGGTTTGCATCGAATATCAAGTTCAGAAGATACATGTGGCAAAAAATAACAATCATACAAGTCTTCATTGTCCGGCCAATTTACAGTGGGCTCGCTATAGCCAACAGAAATTCTTAGTGGACCGATACCATTCTTTCCACCAATTATCTTTACTCTTCCAATAATATTTACTTTACCCATATCAACTCCTATCCAAGCTCTTTGAAAGGATGATTGAACCGTAAGACAGGTTAATATATTATTATCAACTATTTTTGATAGTGTTATAGCATCAAGACCACGGAGACCGGAATAAATTATGCGTTTTGCACTCGAAATTGAGTTTGCTACTATTTTGGGATGTGATTCCAAATCTATCATACAAGATTTTCGCACATAATGAATTGAATTAGTGGACTTTTCATATCTTTTAGTTTGATACAATGTCTTGTAAAGTTTTCTACATTCAGTTTTATTGTTGTTCTTCGAAAGATGAATGAAATCGATGGCCACGCATTTTGGGTCGCTACTACACCAATCGCCGCATCTATCTATAAAATTTTCATTATGAAGAACCTTTTTTGCTATAATTTCCCTCTCGTCCATCTCGATACCCTCTGCGGCAGGCTTGTATTCGTAACAGGTTTCTGGGTAAATAGGAAAGATTCTGATGTTACATATTTCGAAATGGTGGTCCAAGCTCTTGAGAAGCGCAATCCTAGCTGTTATTTCACTAATGCATGCCATTATGAGTTTAGTTTCACGGTACGCGTCGGTCTTTGATTGACATGCGACTGAATCATCCCTACCTCCCTTTGGTTTATTTTCTCTTAAGCCTATATCGAGAGTTTTTATTCCCCTATTTGGACTATATATTTCGAAAATTCCTAAAACAAATGGATAGCCAAGGTTAATTGCTATCCATCTTTCAACTCCAATGTTACTCTCCAGCAGAACACACGACTTCAGTGAATCGTCTACTGCATATGATGGCTGTTGACTTCCTACAAACCTTGAGGAGAGAGTAGGTTTCAGTTTCGCTACATCTGCTTTTATTGGCAAAGTAAGAAAATCTTTTTCTTGGGAGAAAAAAAATTCTATTTTAAAGTTTACAAAAACTTTATAACGTTTGAAACGAACCATTTCTCTCATTAAGATTGAAGTTTCTTGTAATTCGCAAGTTTATAGGATTACTAAAATCTCTTTGGCTAGATGGTTTAAAAATAGCAATCTCACACAAGTGAACACGTTTTCCTTGTATAAAAATGACGAGCGTGTCTCCAACCAGTGTACTTTGTTTCGTCAAACAAGAAAAATGTTTACTTACAATACTGTTCCAGTTGCTAACTTCACAAAATCTAATATTAGATTCATTAAACGAAGGGCTCTCCTCTGATAGTTTGGAAGATCTATTGTAGACTCCAATAATAAGGTTAGGTATAAAAGGATCTAAAATATTTTGTTCAATATTAAAAGTGATGACAATTTTTAGGACTTAAAAGCTTACAGTTAGTCTGAACGACAACGCTTTTAATGGCTTCTATAGTTTGAAGGCCTACAACTATACGATGCAGCTTGTTTGCTGCGAAGTTGTGCGCATTTAAACAAGTTTCAAGTTTTTTATCCGTTAATTTGAGCACTCTTTGGCCTTCAAAGTAAATTTCGCTATTAAGCAAAAAAGATTCATTCTTTAACTTGTCTTGGGTAGGTTTCTCTGTTATGTAAGTTCACGCTTTCATCAAACAAAAGATTTTATAAATAAACTATACCTTCTTTTATAAAAATGCGTATATCGCATAAAATCATTTGAGAGCTTTCAGATGCAAGAGTGAAATAACGGCCATAACTTAGTCCCTCACAAGACGCATTGATATGATTACTTGTATCAGCTATAAATGTACACAAAGAAAATCCTATTTTCCACTTATTGGAACTACTATCTGGCCATTTTTTCGAAAGCCCAATAGTTAGAGCTGTTAAAAATTTACCTGAAAGAGATACGCATATTCTTAGTGAGATCCTATATAATTATTTTTATATTTTTATTTTACCAGACACGAAAAGTTTCAATAGATAGAAATTATCTTCCAGATCAACAGCTATCCAAGGGTGACGTTCCATAGAACTTTCTACGCAAGACGATACGTTACCATCGAAACCGTATAAAGCCTGACGGATACCGTTTGAATGTTTATTTTTAAATTTTTGCAATTCAACATTTCCTCTAAATAAATCTGTTTTATAACTATCTCTTCTTGTTTTAATATATGGTAAAGTCCAAGTTATTTCAGTCAATAAAACTTTTAAACTAATTAATAAATATAAAAGAGAACAGAACAAATTCGTTTGATTCATTTCGTAAGACAAAACTGGTTAGATAATGTTTTACTATTATTCTAATTTAAAAAACGAATTAACGATATTAAATACAACTTTTTATTAATATAACTTATTTTATTTTTTAAGATGCTATAGAAAAAATAAACTGGTGTTATATTATTTTATAAATAAATACTTTTGAAAAAAACTATTTAGTAATACTTCGTGAATAGATACATTTAAAAATTTAATGATTAATATAATTGGCAAAATGGTGTGTATTAAAGGACGGATAGGTGATTTAGTTACGAAATATTTTGAGAAAGACCTTATAATAGTTTGTAATTTTGTACTTTTGTAATTTCTTTAATCTTCTACTGCACTTCTGCAGAATGGACAAGCGTTATCTTGAAGAACTTTTAGTTCATAGTCGTCGCTGTGGAACAGCTATTGAAAAATGAAAGGATTAACATATTAGTTCTTTAAGTATAGAAGCAATACGTTACAATACCTTTCTACAGTCTGGACAAGAAACCAAAATTTGAACATCAGGCATGAAATTCTTGAAATATTGATTTCTCAGCGGTGGAGGCCACTTAATAACAATAATTTCGGTTCTCTGAAGTGATTTAAGTGCTTCTCTTCCTACTACTACTGGAGTAAACTCCGAGCTTCCTTGCTAAAGTTTAATAAATTCCATTAACAATTTAAATCGTACTATTTAGAACAGGCTAACCTCAAAAGACATCATACTAGCTGTAAATGGGTCTGCTATCTCTCTGCTCCCTTCCCCTTCTTCGAAAGCGCTTAAATCATCCATTCGTAGACTCTGCATATTGGCTGTTTTTGTTTCACTAGCGGTTTGCTTGTCTTTCTTCCTTGGAGCGCTTTCAATCAGTTGGACTGCTTCATCATCATCAATGCCTTCCTCGAGAAAGAATTCAACCAATGGTAATACCTCTGGCATATAGTAAATTGAATTATTATACTGAATCATAATTAATACCAAACAAGAAACGTTATTTTTATCTCATTTGACAATATATAATTACCAAATGAAATGAAAGAATGGACAAATGGCTGTCGACAGTTAATACACATATTTCCTTGATTATTCAGTAAAGGATTTGTGGTTGAACAACGATAACACATAGGTAAGCGATCCTAAAAAGAGTTTTTAAAAATTTTATGGTTTTTTTCTTCAGGGTATATATAATATGATCAAACCTCTGCATCATGAAAGGCTTTAGAACGTATTGTTATAGCTCCAATATCAACTATTTCTTGATATCTAGCTGGAATCTTTAAGTTCTGTAACTTTTCATATGCATGTCTAGCCAACTTGAAAGCATTCAATTGTTTACTTTGTTTTGCAAGTGTATAAAGGGTTGCCCTATTTTTTTTAAAAGAAGACATATGTAACTCGACTCGAACTTGTTTATGTCAATTATTTGTTAAACGTACACTTTAGAGACACCGTCCGGGACTTCAGTTGTTTGTAATTCATGATACAAAAATCTCGACATGTGAAAGAGATTCTCTGGAGTATCAGAAGTAAATGGCTCTTCCTAGAAAAGTGATATAATAAGGCATTTTATTAGATTACTTTGTCTCTTGTTAGAATCTTCACTCACGACAAATTTGAATATTGAATGAAAAACGTGGTAAATTGCAGCTTTCTTTTGATAATCCTTGAATTTCTTAATCATTATTGAGATTTTATTTTCATCCTCTAATTATTAAAGAAAAGTGATTAATAGAATTTATCTATACAAGTAACAAATTAGTTACGCTGAGCAATGTCGAAGCACTGCATCGATAATTTCCAATAGTAATAACTTGCATCGTTAAATCGATTTTCAGTAACAGCATTTCTAGTAAGTTGTTCTAAAACTTTGACAGCTTCTTCTTCCAAGCCAGCTTCATGAAAAGCTGAATAAAAGTTAAAATAGTAGTCATATTTCATTGCAGGTTTTTTAGTTTATCTAACCTTGTTGTGCTTCTTCAAATTTATCTTCTTCTGCTAGCGACTGGGCGTAAGGTATGTAAACATCATTCTTAAACTCTTTATGCTTTTTAACCAGCTCAAATGCCTAAATGAAAGATTATTTATTTTAATTAATAAATAACTCTGGGAATAAATATTTATATATAGCAAATTATATTTAGAAATTTTCAAATGCACTCATATATTACCTCGCTCCATTGCTTGGCTTCTACGTGAAGCAATAATAAAGCTTTCGTATCGCCCATTTTCATATAAGTTTCAGCTGCATATGCATATTGTTCATGCCTTTTTAAGTAAAAGGCACATTTATTAAGGTTTTCAGTGTCTGCTTTATCCAGTTTTCGAGCCAAATCAATTAACCTAAAAGTATGTAACATATAAATCTCCTTACAACGATTGAATCGTTACTAGATTTTCACTTACATATCAGCCCATCCGTGATCTCCAATAATGTCTATGGCTTTTGAGTATTCTCCAGCCGATATATACATTTCTGCAGCTGCTTTAGGTTCATTAATATTTCTTGCCCAATCGGCCTGCTTGCTGATTAAATTTTTCCTATCTGCTTGATCACCTGTGCCCAGGAATTCCTTAGCTTGATCGAACATTCTTAAATCAGTATACATATTCATGGCTTTCTGCTCTTGTCCAGCTTTTTTGTACATTTTAGCGGCTTCATTAAATTTACCCTCATAAGCGAAAATATCACCAAGGAAGACTTGAGGATCATTTTCACCTCTCTTTTTTCTTTCTTCTATATTACTTATTAATTCAAGATATTTTAAATTTTTTGTTCTAACGAATGCTCTTTTTGAAATATCTAAGTTTAAGCCTTCAAGAGCCTCTAACGCTAAGGTATTCCAATCTCCATCAGTGACACCCAAACAAGCGACTGTGTAAGCTCCCCTAAAATTAATTAAAGCTGATGAGAAATTGATTAGATTGGAAATTGATGTCTTACTGGTAGTTTTTCTTTTCAAGATACTGGTACATTGAGGCAGATTGTGGCACCTCTACACATGACATTGAATATACATTAAGGCAAAATATTCGAGACCCAGTAAATCCAACAACAAATCCTACTAATTTTTGCTGATGGACTGGAAACAAGGCTGCTTTTATATTTAATAGACCATTTCCACCAAAACATAACATATCTTCGCATTGCGTATTCCATGAAACGCTATTTGCATTTAGTTCTTGATAAAGTAATTCTTTACTGTTTACATCGTATACTAAGCAAGTGCTATTTTCATCGACGACAGCTAATTTCGTTCTAGACATTGACATGTCTAGACATCTCACAGATGTACTTTGAGTTAAGATATTCACAGGAAATGGATTGTTGACGAATATAGTAACAATCTATTTAGAGCAAAAGTAATTTTTTAAAAAAATTTTCAACAAAAGAAAATACTCGGCTTACTTGTCCGCTCTTCAAACCAACTAGAATTCCTTCTCTGCCTATAGGACCGCCCGTGACTTTAATATATCTTATTATGGAATCCATAGTCCATTCCCTTTCTTTGTTTCCAGCAAAAGAGAAGCATTGAAGTTTCTTCTCCTAATTAAATTAATATTTTAGGTCAATAAAAGTTAGGGGCCTTGCGAACATTTTTACCTGGCAAAAGATAATGTGCTTGGAACAGACAACTAAAAGATTACATTCAACTTTTTTCATAATTTTATCCGTCCATTTGTACTGCATATCATCCACATCTGCAGTTGCTAATTCATAAATAATAATTCTATCAGGCAGTTGAACCTTTAATAAGAATTATAAAAGTATTATTAGCTTTTTCTTTATTAACTAAATGTATTTATATATTTACAGCCAATCTTCCTCTGTAAACAGCTATCTTCTTTACTAAATCTCTGCACTTAATCCTCACTATTTAATTAAAGAGAATATTATTTTAAACGTTTTTTTATTGGGCTTGTTTAAGAAAAACTTACCTTTTTTTTCTGTTATTAAATGTTGTATAATAACATCCGTCATATTTTCTCGATAGGCATATCTATTCGTTGAAGGGAATAAGACTATTATACATAGAATTATTTTTAGTTATAATAAACCTGTCTTTATAAAGGCTATGTACAGTACTAAAGATGAGCTGATTACAATTTAAACTTCCATCTTGACATCCAACAACCTTGATGGCAAAGAACAGTCAGATTTGTAAAAAAAGTAGGCATTTGAGAGATAAAAAAAAAGTTAGCTACAATATAATTATTGGTCGGATCGGGCTTCATAGCTGAGCACCAAACCCAATCTTGTTGCTCGCAAATTGTTCCTAACTTTACTCCGTCCCTGGAAGTATTTCCTTTTATTCATCATTAATAAACTACATGCAAGAAATTACTGACTTTGTATGAAGAGAAGCCTCTTTATTTGACCCTGTTACTATTACAAACTCTCCATTTGCAAACCATCTAACAGAACAGGGATCATAGGTTAATTGCCTATCTTTTCCTACCTGTTGAAAAAAATATTGTATTTGTTATTATACATTGTATTATCTTCAGAAGAAAATAACATACCTGTTTTCCTGATAGTTGATAAAAGGCCAATCTTTTACCCCAATCAACAACAGCTAGAATATCCATAGGATCGTTCCTATAACATTGATCCATTATGAGAAATTAATATTGAATAATCATAAACGGTTATACTTATTCGGGTTCCATTGCAGAGACCAAATAGCGGACGATGATCCACCAGGTCTATCAATTTTTACTTTTTCTTCGCCAGCCTTTAAACAAATAGTAAGAAATAAGATAATGATTTCTTTTTTTCAATTATTATTACCTTGTTTCTAATACTTATATATCCTGTATACATGCCTAAAGCCATATATTGACCGTCGTTTGTCCAAGAACAACTGCATATTCTACCATTTACTTTAACTTTTGACACACTCTTTTGTTCAGGAGACCACAGGCCTATTGTTTGTTAGATCGGAAGGAAAACTATAGTATCCATAAAGTTGGCATAAATAAATAATAAATACATACCAAAATCGGTACAGGCACAGGAGAGTAGTTGATGAGTTATAGGATTGTAAGATAAACATTGTATAGCATCGTTATGGCTTTAAAAAGGTTGTCTTTCGTTTAATAAAAGTATTGTATTAAAAAATATATTTCAACTTACACATATTTTAAAATTCCTTCTAATTTATCTGTCCAAATAATCACACTTTTATCTGCCGAACCTGAGGCAAATCTTTTACCATCTTTTGCATAGCTTACACAATAAACTGTATCTTTATGACCTTTCAAAGCTTGAATGAGACTCAAGTTATTCACATCAACCGAATTATAAACTAAGACTCTTTGACTAGCTGCTATAATGAGTTCAGAGCCATCAGGTTTAAAAACCATGTCCCAGATGCTAAAGGAATAAAAAGAGACTTAAGAAAGAGTTTTTTTTGAGGTATCGTATTTTTCTGTTTATTGGTAAACATTCCAATTCAACAAGAGAATAAAATTGCTTATAATACATTTGCGTTGAAAGCGCTACTAAATTAATTAAATAAATGATGCTTAAAAGTGTTGCTGTTTAATAAGTTTGTTACATTTTAAAAAGGAATGAGATTGAAGGTAATTTAAAAAAGTGTACTTGGAAATTTAGAAAACATTCCAGAAGAAATCAATTAAAATTATTTAACTTTAGCATTCTTCTTTAAGTATATTTTTTTTATTATACAAAATAATTTATAATAGTTATTTTCTTATAACTTTAATACCAATTGATAAAATATAAAGAATTTTCAATTGCTCTTTCGAATATATAGCATCCTAAATATGAAAAGGTAATTTTTTGTTGTCATCAAGAGTCCTTAGTAACAAGTTTCATAAGACAACTTATTAATCATAAGTTTATATAACTTTTACATTAGGTTGTAACATACCATTGCTCAACATTGTCTCTATCTCGAATTTTATCAACCCAAACCGGTACTGTTCGCATTTTGAGTTTTGGAATTTCGAGGCAATGAATGCGCTTGCGCACCTAATTTTGTCGTAAAGTTGTAAATTTCAAAGTAATACAATAAAATTGAAAAAATATTAATTAATTATAGAATTCTGTTTATTAAATTTCATTTTGTTTTTATTTAATACGAAAATACGTAGACTTATAGACGGGTATAGTGTTCAGTATTAAAATATGTTTTCTCAAGATGACCCAGAATACTTTTTTCCGAGCTAAGGTAGAAATAACAATCGTGGTTCTACATCCGGTCCGGAAACGATTGTGATAAGTGTCAGCATGAATTTAAATTAATATTCTAAAATTCTCGCAGTAGTTCATCTGTTATTGACAATTAAAATGAGTGATAACGTGGGGACTGAAGAGTTTGGTCCTTTGACAGCAGCTGAAGAAGCTGATCCCTGTAAGTAATCCAGATTGCTACATTTCTTTCAATTCTAAATCGATTAAATCTTAAATATCATTTTTTGTGTGATTATTTCATCAATCGTCACGAATTTTGTTTCTATGTAGCCTCTAAAGCCGAAATCGAAAGTACGGCGATTGCTGATTTAAGTGTTGAAAGCCAGTTGGCTCACTACAAACGCAGAGAACAAGAGCTTTTGGAGCAAAACGCTTTAAATGAGGACAATTTTGGTCTTAAAAGAGCCCAATTCATGGATCTATTTAAAAACACTGAAGGTAAGTATTCAATATTCTTTATATTGAGTTTCAAAAGATTTTTTTCACTAGCTGAGTTAAATAAGCAATCGTTGATTAATGAAGATCTGTTGAAGAAGAGTCAAGAATACGAAAAAATTATTTCAAAACTAGAGCAAGAGATCGAGGATGTAAAAACTGCTGCTTCTTTAGCAGAAACAGCTAGAAACTCTGATTTAGAAGACATGACTCGAAGACACAAGGAAGAAGTTGCCTCAATTCAAATTCTTATGAATGACACATTAGAACAATTTCAAAGATCGGAAGAAGACAATGACATTATAGAGCTTCGTAAAAGAATAGATGATTTAGAAAACGAAAATATATCATTAAAATCTAAAGTGGAAAATCGGTGAGTTCTGCTTTTTACTTTCACTTAATAACTATAATGTGATTACTTTTATTAAATTGACGAATATCTTTATATCTAAATCTATCCATATATATATATATATATATATATATATATATATAAATTTATATACAGTATATGTATGTATTAACCTCTGATAGGGATGGCTTATTGTCATCAGTCGCCAAAACCTTTCAAAAGAAAATATCATTGGGTAGTTCTAGTAGTGAACCAGAAAATCTGGAAGATAGTATGAAAAAAGTATGCTTTTACAAGAAATAGAATAATTCTGAGAAATATACTATTAAGATAATTGCTTTACGTATAGGCTCAAGAAAATGCAGAAATCTTACGTTCAATTGTTTTACCATTTGAAGAAGAAATCGAGTCATTAAAAAAACAATTAAGTGAACGGGATAAGGAATTATGTCGACTAAAAGAAGGAGAGGTATAATCATCTTTCTTCCTTATAGGATAATGGCATGTATTTTTTTGCTGAAATGAGATACAAAACTTACTATTATATCATTTCTTTCTTTGCTATTTATAACATCTATTCTAAAAAAGAAATATTAATGCTTATATGTAAGTCGACACTGACCATTACTTATATAAAAGAAATATTAGAAAATTTATGAAAGAGGGAATAGGTTCTATGGAAGCAAATTTTGTCTAATCGAATTATTTTTCTGAAGACATACATTACCGAAGTACCTAGTGTTCTTTTTTGTCTATTTTGCATGCTTTTTTCCCAGAGATTCTTTCCCTAAGTCCTTTCATTCTATTTACTTTGATTCTAAGCCAAAATTTTTAAAATAGTCTCTTTAAGTTGGATGGGAAATTTTTTTTAAATAAAAACTTTGTACTTTCGTACATAAAGCAAGTGTAAAAATAAAATGAGCAAAAAACTAGACACACTATAACAGTGTCATTTTGTTTTTTACGGAAATAATTAATGTCTCAGTGCATTATTGACTTTGTCCAAGAGTAAAGCAAATGAAGCACTGAGAAATTCTTTTAGTGTTGTTATTTAAATATCATTTTTTAATTGAACCTGTTATAATTATAGATAATTGATGGTTCGAAAACGAACGAAGGAATGAAACTGAATGATAGCATGATCGATAAGGATACCTCTGGGGAAGATGTCGATAGCCTTAAGAATAACCTTCATGATATTTCCAGGGAGTTAAATCATATGCAAAAATTACATGATTTAAGTTTGGAAGAATGGCAATTAGCACAGCAGGTTTCTTCCACAGATATTCAAAGAATTATGCAGTTTATATCAGAAGAGCAGCAGATAAAAATAGAAGGTTATATGCATTACTTGCATTTACTTATGCGTAATAATTTTAATCTTTTAGAATCGCAAAAAGAGGATAAAGGTAGGGAATCAACGAAAAATCGATTAAATGAAATACGTGAGGCCAGAGCAAAATTGGAAAGCGAAGGAAATAGTAGTTTCTTGAATCTGAGTAATCTTGATCTATCCACTTCGGAATGTAATTATCAATTTTTCGTTAATCATTTTTCCTTATCATTTTGATTTATTTAGCCACTCTGGACACAAGTAAGAATATTAAAGATAGTGCTGAGAAATGCGCAAAGTGTGGTACAATTAGTCAGAAATTAGAGGAAGTGAAAGAAGCTGAAATGAAGGCTAATTCTCACGTGAAAACTTTAGAAAGATATTTAGACTCGGAAAGACAAGCCAGTGCAAGATTAAGATCCTATGCTGATGAACTAGAAGATAATTTAAAAGTTAAATCGATGGAATTTGATGAAAGAATATGTGCTTTAAGAGGAGACTTTAAAAAAACTTCGGATGCGTATAAAAGTCTGCGTCATCATTTCAATGAAATGAAAAATAGACTTTATCTAGAGTTAAATAAAGTTAAAGATGAACGAGAACAAGCCGAAATAGAGCTGCGTAAATTTCAAGCAGAAAATGAGTCATTGCTTGGAAAATACGGTGCTCATTCTGCTCAGCTAGCAGAAGCAGAGATATCACTGCCCACTGATCCAAATGAAATACAATTTTATTTGCTTCAAACTCGTGAAGAGCTCATAAAAGCTAAAGTGGCAAAAGAACATATAGAGGAACAGTTAAATTCCAAAATTTTATTTATAAAAGATCAAATTCACTCGGAACAACTTGAGAGATCTCGCGTAGAAGATGCTCTTAATACCGAATTGATGCAAGTAAGAAAAAAATTAAAAGAAGAAACAGACTCTAAGAAGCAAGTAATGGACGATGTCTCTACGTTGAGAATAAAAGTGTCAAGTTTACAAGAAGATTTAAACAACAGTGAGTGCGTCCAAAGAGACTTCGTCAAGTTATCCCAATCTTTACAGATTGAACTCGAACGTGAAAGGGCAAAGCAAACGGAAGTTCGTTGGCAAAACGAAGAAGACATAGACGAATGTAATAAATGTAAAACTACATTTACAGTCACTAGAAGAAAGCATCACTGTAGGCATTGTGGTAGAATATTTTGTGCTGACTGTGTTTCTAACACGGTGCTTAGTGGACCTCAAAGACGACCTGCCAAAGTGTGTCAAGTGTGTCATACTATGCTTGTGCCTGAAGCAAAACCATATTTTAGTCAAGATTTACCTGAACAATCTACTTGATTGTTGGTACAACTTCATTCTCCCTTTACGTTGTTTTACTTCACTTTCTTTGCATGCAGATAATAGTACTGAGAGAATGAAATGAATGAAATAAAAGTCATTCCGTATTAATTTATTTATATAAAAAAAAATCTAAAAAGAACTAAAAAAAAAGAATTTGTTAAAAAATTGTTTTATTTTTTTTTCATATTAATACAATCTAAATTAATAATAATAGAAATAATTTTATCAACTTTTGAGCGATTTTCGTTAAATTTTATTTTTTGAACAAGAAACCAGGCTATTTTAATTTTTAAGGGTCAAGGTTACGACTGTCCTCTAGAATATTATTTAAAACATGAGCTTGAAATTAGCCCCAATCATCCGATTAGTATGTATACTCTTTCAGTAATAAACTCTAAAAGAAGATTTCAATAATAAAATTTCCGTAGTTCACCATACGCCTTTCATCTACTGCCTCTTCGAAGTCTGCAGCGGGAGAGCCAGCCCAATCTGTGAAAACTGCAAATGCAGCCCAGAAAAGTTTGTGTTTTTTATGAAGAATAATTATGAAAATAGCATATAAATATTTTATTGATTACAATGCTAGCTCTTTGTCTATTTAAATGATAAATTGTTGCGGTGGAAAATGGCAATTACGCTAGATATCAGATTATCGCATTTTTTTAAAGAAAGCTACTTGTTATTAAAATAATAAGGATTCCTCATTAATTCAAAACAGCTAAAACCGAATCAGCTAAGCAAACTTCATCCTATCAACCGAAGAGAGAGCCACACGGCCTTTATTCATATTACGATTTGGATTCCGCCTGCGATCCACATAGGCAAGAACAACCGGCTAGTTTGAGGAAGTAATTCTGGTGTACTTTAAAGTGTTGATGTTGCAATGAATAGTATGACCTGAATCCGAAATATATTTCGTGTTTCATTAGATAGTGTAACGTCCAATCAACTTTCCTCAAATCCAGTGTCATTTGCTATTTTATAGATTCTACCAATTGATTTTTTCTTTACTCGAAAAAATACAGTCATAGAATCGTAGAGTTGTCGTTTAATTTTAATAATACCCAATTGTTTTGCAAATGACAACCTAGGCAAGGCAGAGACACCTAGCGAAGAGCGTCTCCACTTATTACGTTGTCGAAGGAGGGAAAGAGCGCACAAAAAGGTGAGTTTGTGTCTGCATATGTTCAAAATAAGAGATTTATCGGATATTAGATCAAGAATAACTTCAGTGGTGTAGACATAGAGAAAGAAAATATATAAAGCCAAATGTTATTTCAGTTTTTCATCTTTATATATAAAAAAAGATGAAGACTAAAGCCGTTGCTATAATTTAATTTACATGTATCAAGGTGTTTTCAGTCTACTTGTTTTAACTATAAATAGATGATGAATATTACGGAAAATAATTCAACAAATATAACGGCACTTGGATATCCGAAAAATTGGGATTCAGCAACTATCCAGAGCATTACTACAATTTCAATAATATTGGCTTTATCATTCTTCGGAAATGTTAGTATAATAACAGTCCTAACATGCATAAAGAGAAAAGTGCTGAATTATCGAGTTAATATATTCATTCTAAACTTGGCTATCGGAGATTTGACTGTTTGCTTTGTTACTATGCCTGTTGAAATATTATTTGTTGTATTCAACCGCACTTGGATATTCAGCGACGTCGCCTGTAGGATTTCCGTTTATCTGCAAATAGTAACGCTTGCTTCTACAACTTTTATTCTTGTCAGTATGAGTTTTGACCGTTATATGGCTATTTGTCATCCATTAAGTCCGAGTAATACGACACAGCGCGCTAAAATAATGATTATATGCTCTTGGATTTTAGCATTCATATTTGCTGCTCCTCAGCTTTTCATTTTTGTAAGAGTGAAGAAAATTAATCCCGATAACAACATAACTTTTTATGAATGCAAAAGCGAGGGCTACACAGCGCATTGGCAGCGTTTAGTATATTTCACTTTTCTAACGAGTTATATTCTCATTTTACCTGCTTTCTTCATTACGTTCTGTTACGCAAGTGTTGTTAGAATCGTATGGCATCAAGGGCGTTCAAATTTATTTAAGAAAAACTCATCTCATGTTGCGGCTATTACAAGGGCTAAAGTAAAAACAATCAAGATGACTATTTGCATTATATTTTCCTTTATCGCTTGCTGGACACCATACTTTGTTGTACATCATTTACGAATTTGGAATGGAGGTAAAGTGGGACAATCTGTCCAAACGTTTGCGGAGACTATGGCTTTACTTAATAGCGCAATAAACCCATTTTTATATGGGTTTTTTAACGTTAAATTTGGTAAGAATTGTAAAAGACGTGACGAATTCCATCCTCTAACTCAATCCAAGCCAACTAATACGCATGAAATGCAAACTGTTGTATACAGTCGAAGATGATTAATATTTTGACAAAGACATTTATCGAACACATTTTCCAGCAATAAATGCCAATAACAACGACAAAAGTAAGGAATATATGTTTTCTTGACAATTCAGATTGTCAAATATACTTCATTTCTCGGTTTAAACGTATTATTAACTACTCATCTATTATCTCATCTATATTTAACTAATTTTCTGGGATAATATAGTTGTTAATCAAGAAAATAAGAATTCAGCTTATACGATAATATCTTATATCGATTTATTTACGGATTGGACATAGCCACTACTGCTTTCTTGTGATAAAGTGAAAACGTCTCAACAACATTCCCACAAAGAAATTGCTTGTCTCGTAAGTGACGCAGGTTGTTTAGTTAAGTGCAACCAAAATATTGAATGTAAACTTATGAAAGTAATTTTAAATAAAGGGAAAAGACGAAAATTTTTTCTCTACTGAATTACAAACAAGAAAGATGTTCTTTATGAAAGAGCATTTAGCATATAAATATATTTTTTTTAAGATAAATAACACTTTCTTTCTATTGCTTTATATATATATATATATGTATTGTCAGTATATTAAATATATACATATATTTAAACAGAATATATAAGTTATGCATATATTTATTTAGGATCACTCCCTAGTTAATTGTTAATATCATACTACAGTTTTTCTTTTAGTTTAAAGCTTATTGAGATGATTGATGAGCTTTGTATACTTGAATGGACTCTTCGTCCAGAAACAAATATCTTAATCCATTTTTGCGCTTACCTTTACAAGCGACGTTTTTGTTAATTACCCAAGATTTATGAGATAAGCCTTTCCTAATCATGGTAAATCAGAAAGCTTTTCTCGTGTATCTTATCTATAATTAAGCACGCAACTTAAGCATTCATATATAATTTGATGAATATTTATGATATTCATTGAATCTTATATTTTCAGATAAAAAAAACAGAATTATTTTCCTCTTTTTTAAAGATTTTACAAAAAACAATTTAATATTCTTCCAATGTCATAAACTATTAAAAATGAGAGCATAAAAGGTTAAATTTTAGTATAAAGCCTTCAGCAAAATTGATGAACTTCTTATCCCCCATATTTATTTTACTTACATATAAGACTAATTAGAATAAGTCTGCTAAGATCGCTTTCGTTCTGTGCATTATTACGCAGGATAGATCTCCCAAAAGGTAAATTTCGATTAATATATATCTCTGAAAATTATGATAATTCATATATTAATAAAATGAGTAGTAATATAGATGTTTGCAATTAAAATATTATGGATAATAGCTGGGGTAAAAGACAATAGTTCAAGAATAAAAAGTATTATCCCGTGACAGGATTATAACTTGTCATTATAAATAATTATTTTGCTGGCCTCAGCTCGCTTAATGATAAGAAGACGAAGGCAGAAAGAGGCCTGCTTTTGCTTAATAATGATTCATTAGCAAGTTAATGATAACTTTATAAAGTCTAAGACGAAAATCAGAGTTTGCAATGCGTGGATAAAACAAGGAAGCTTCCATCCCCAATTATTATATATTTATATAATATTATGTACAATTATAAGGATTTCTGTCCTATTTGTTTGTTTAACAAATGAGAAGAAAGCATAAAAAGTAAGTTTTTTTTAGTAGTAGCTAACTATCTGCAAGTTTCATGTCTTAAAAGAGCTAAAAAATATACTTTTATGGCAAAAGGTTGTAAAGCACGTTTTTTTTTTTGTAAAAAGTCAAGTTGTCGTCACTTTGGTCAATCGTCGGCAGCTCGACTGCACGTTAACAAATGGCGAAGTGAAAAACGTTTCCTTGGAGATTTAGGGGATAAAATCTAAAAAAAGATATCATATAATATAAGAGTGATAGCCGGTAAAAGATTAGACTTTAGGAATATTTTCTTAATCTAATTTTATTGTATACCTCGGGCAAAGGTTCCCTCTCTTTCACTCCTTCTGATCCATCGGAGAGAATTGTATCGTCTAAGTCGTCTACACCCGAATTATTAAGTAAGCCGTTATCCCCATTCAAATTTCTATCTAGATTAGAATTCAACGGAGTGCTCTCATTTCCCAAATTCACTTCCGCTTGAACAACTTGCTCCTCAATTGCTTCTGTTGGTTCTTCAACTATTCCTTGACCTCTTTTAATCGTATAGCTCTTAACAGGTGTATAAAAACTCTCTAATTCATTCCTTATAGATCCTTTTTAAAAAGAAAATAAATAGACAACTATTACAATTTCATATAAATAGTTATGCAGTATATATATATTTGCTTTGCGCGTAATAAACTGATAGCTTATTTGTTGAGGCTCTTCGTCTCGAAAGCTTTTGTCAATACGACTTTTTTTCGTTAAATAAGATAATCACGTATTAAAATGTTTTTTAAATATGAAAAAAATAATTTAAAGTACAGTTTCCTTCTCCGGGAAAATTCTATACTTACCTGAATTCTTTACCCTTTTATCTATCAAATCAAACAATACTTAATTACACTTTTTAGCAGCTGGTAAAGGTCAAAAGTTTTAATAAAATTAAAAGCTAAAAAGTTTATTCAGTAAACACGGCCGATAAGCGAAAATTTAACCAAGATCGTAGTACTTGTAGGACTATAGGCAATTCGAATATGTCTAGGCCTCTTTATCGATTTTAAAAGGGTCGGTTAAAAAAAAACTTACGTGCGTTTATTAGTATATATTATCTGTATGCATACATCCGCGCATATGCTATATATTTTTATACAAGGCTGAGAATTTGCACAAATAAATAAATAAATACAAATATTGATGGACTATATCTTAAATGTTGGATGATAGTAGAGATTTCTACATAAAGTACTCGTATCTATATAAAAGCATATATACTGTATATATATATATATATATATATATAAATTTATATATATTTATAGATATAAATTACTCTATAGAGATACCTGTAAAATAAAGTATGCTGAGATTTCTAAACAAAAGAATTCATACATATATACGACCTGTTAGCAGCCTGAAAGGTAAATAATTCATCAATAGAACTATGAATGTTTACAAGGGGTGAATCAATCATTTTTCTTTAGTTTAGGTAAGGAAAAGGAGAAAAAAAAGTTTGGCCTAGTTTGAAAATACAGAGGGCCCTTGCAATTGACAATTCAGCTTAGATTGTTGAAGTGCGAAAGAAAATTTTGTGTTCTTTAGGATTTTACTTAATTATTTGATAACACATAGATGTTATATTTTTACTGTTTTAATCTATACTTACTATAGCTAGTGTCTAGTACAGGCAGTGATTTTCCCAGGAGAATCTCCATCGCCCATTGTAATTGTGTATCGCTTTCGTATTTGATCGGTAAGTTAACCTCCACATCTGTTGATTCATCGCCATTTTCCGAACACGTTTCGTGGATCATTGCTGCTTCCACCTGCTCAATATTTAACTCGTTCATCGTTTCCTCTACAGGTTTACCATCCTCTTCTTGTGTTGAATTAAGCATAATGCTTTCGACATTTTCGGCTAACGTTTCCGTTATATTTTCTTCTACAACATTTTCTTCGTTATCTGCTGGGGCGTTGTCCTTAGCCTCTGTTATTTGTTCTACGTTCATCTCATCCTCTTTTTCGGATATGCAAGATAATTCCCTTGTAAATCGACTATCACACTCCGATTGCTCTTCTTCGTCGTTGGGAGTTGTCTCCAAGCTTTCAATATGCTCTTGCTGAGATATTTCACACTCACCTTCGTTTACACTTGCCATAATTGGCTCGTTACTTTGATTAGAGACGTTATTATCTTCCATGTCTGAAGCTTCTTTACTGTCTCTTGATGATACTGAAGACTTTCTTGTTGGGGAAGATTCTAGGTTATTTGGTTCATTAGATTCCTCCTGCTTGTTAACTTCATCCTCCTCTTCAACCCTATCGTCAGAATTGAGTGATTCGTTGAGGTTCTCTTCTACATTTTCAGACTCTAGCTCAACATTGGAATTTTCATTATCATTTCCAGTTTCTTCCAAATCTACTTCGTCTCTTTCGCAAGAGTTTTCAGCCTCTGGCACTGGCGATTCAGCGTCAAGTGTAGACGAAGGATTAGGTGATTCCTCTTCTACTTCATCGGAATTGTTATCTGTAACCTCCTTTTTCTCGACACCTAAACCCTCGTCGTCTGATTTTGGGCTATCAAGACTTTCCGACCTAGTTAACTTTACATGGTCATCTCCATTCTCACCTTCATTCTGACCCGAACCAACTAAGTTTTCTTCAACAACAGAGTTATCCGCCATGTTAAGAAAGTTTTCGGCAGCTTCGTACCCACTATCTTCAAGATCGTATCCGTGCAGAGAAATGTCTATGATATCTCTCAATCGTTGAAATTCAGCACTTGGTAGAGGACGCGGCCAGTCTGAAGAGTGAACAATGTCTTGTATTTAATTACGAATGCAGGCCACTTTTGGCTTTTCGTGCCAACAAGGCCTGGTCGACGATATAAATTTAACTCGCCGCTTCTACCTGTAGCGGTTTAACTCAAAAAAAAACCTAACACTAAAAAAAAATGCAATTTTTTTTTTTTTACAACTACCAAATATATAATTTACGTAACAGACGATGAAGAGTAAAACGTGCTATATATATTAATACCCCCTCTCCCCCTACCTTTTTACTTAAGTGTGATACCAGTTTACCAACTAGTGATATTATTACATAAATTTTTTTTTATTACAAAAATATCTGATATTTTTCTACGCTGTTAGCTTTTAAACATATCTAATATATATATTTATATACAATATATATATATAGAGTGAGAGAGACAGAGAGAGATAGAGTGAGAGAGAATTCAACATATACAAACAAGAGGGGGGAGGGGGGAATTTGATGATTTTATTATATTTTTTTTAAACTTTCAGTTTAGATGTAGGTCGCCGGGTGCGGTCTAAATTATAAAAAAAAAATTATACTCATCATAAACATAGTTCTCCTATACAAATATTGAATTACGATTCGAGCCTATTGGCTATTATACGAAGTTTTACACATGGAAAAAAAATATTCGAGAATAATTTTAGAACAAAGTAATCGGATTCTTTAATTTAACAGGTTTTGGATTTGTTGTTGTCATATTTAAAGATATTATATTGAATAATAAATATATATATATATATATATATATATATACATTATACGAGTATAGTGTATTTATATATTTATATATGCTAACACTTATTATATAACCAGATTAATTAGATCAGAAGCATTACAATTTCACTCTATTTTCTATATTGAATGGAGCTATCCTATTTTCGATTTTGATTACTTGAGATTTTCTTTTATATCAGAATTTATACAATTTTTTATATAAATCGTTATTCGAATGATAAATTTTATAATATAAATTCACCTTTATGAGATCTGGACAGTTTTTTCGCACAAGAGCACGACATTCTTCATTAGCTACTACTCTTCTACTATAAATATATCTATCTTTTCTTCCCTTCGCTTTCGCTTTCACCTTCTCTCTCTCTCGCTCTGCCTATCTATCTATATATCTCTGACTCTCTGTTTCCTTCAGTTTCTCTTTCTCTTCTTTTAAGTATATCTCTCCCTCGAACGTTTCTTCCCCTCTGTCTTTTTTTACTCTATCTATTTCAGTTTTTTCAGTTTTTTCTTAGTTGTTCGAATGGTTATATTTCTCCTTTATCTGTGTACAATTTCATTAAATAGATTAATATGTATATTTCATTGTATTCCTTCAGTCCAGTGACGAGATCAATCAGACTTTCCCAACAGTAAATAATGATAATTGCTGTTTTCCAGAATATAAAGAATTAATACGCGTAATAATCTGTACGTACAAATAGTTTTATGCATTTATATATATATATGTATATACTAATACTGTATATATGATACGAATACTATTAAATAAAAATATAACGCATTACCAGAACATTGTACGTTATAATCCAATGTTGTTTGTTATCAAATTATAAATGAAAAGATGAATTGTAGAGCATCTATTAGCAGACGAGAGGGGTACGCGAGAGAGAATATAAAAAGTGTGTTGTTTTTCCGGAGTTGTGCTTGATTCGTCAGTTTATATCGAAATGCGTGTATATATTTAAACACTGTAGAATTAGTACAACTTAATTAATCCAAATTGTCAATTATAACTACAATTAATGGAATGTTCGCTTTAAAGCTTTATAGAAAAATAGGAAAAGAAAATTGAGACAATTATAATAAGAAAATCTGATTAAACAATTATATAAACCGATGTATTAAATTTCAACTTGGCTAGAAGATAAAAGATATATATAATATCAAAAATATCTTGAAACCAAGAGACAGTTTCTTTCATAAGGGTATTTAAAAATGTTTTTACCTAAGTCTAATCCATTGAAGAATAAAAGCTTTAGTGACTACATATACATTCATACACTTTTGTATTGTATATCCATATAAATATAAAGTATTTTACAATATGTATATTGTCTGCTTTAAAAGTATTACGTTCAAAATTTCAGGTATATAATCATAGATTATATATATTGTAAAATAGACTATTATATCAACAAGATATAAAGTTTTGCCTATTTCGTTATTTATAGGTAATGGATGCTGGTACGAACCCGTACTTACTCCAGCCTTAAAACTTATCTTTTACAAATATACTACACACGCGCATTCGCAACATACAGAGCCCTAGCCTATCATAATCTAGCACCGAGCTAATTTAGCTTCAGCTAAAGTAAAATTCTGCTTTTTATAATCTTTGGATAATGCAAAAAAAAATCTTGCGTCTAGCAAAAAATCAACCTTATAAATTGTTTAATAATTTGGTCCTTTTTAAGAAAAAACAAGAAGCAATACATGGGAAATGAATCATTTGTTTTTATTTCTGGCAAAGCTTTGATGCCTAAACATTTTTATACGGTACTTTGCAATTTCCCTCTCCCGCCTACCTTCCTACAAAAAAAACCTTAATTGCATTTTCTGAGTTACTAGTTTATAAATAAGTTTTATACTATATTTATACAATGCACCGAGTGATGAGAATATAGTTTTAAGAGAAATACATGTTAGATAGAAAAGACAATTTCCCCTTTATACTTCAACTAGTTTGATTTAATCTTCTTCCTTATTGTTTACTCAATTCTATACTTTTTATTTAGGTCGATCTAACTCAACAATTGAACCAGACAACATAGGCTAAATAGTTATCGATTTAGCAAACACTCATATAAATATTAAGACCCCTGTTTTACATGATAAGAATTAATTTATGAATAATTTACACATTTCATTTATAAGCATAAATAATTATTATGTTTATAAACACAGCTTAAAATTTTCAATACATCCTGACTACGTGACAAAATTTTCAAAACTTTATCATCTCGTAAATGTCTAAGACTAAAAAAACATTGGGCTGTGAAGTTGACAATGATGTTAGTTCTAATTTCTACTATGGATTGGATAAACCTACGCTCCCTCTAAAGAAATCGGTATTTCCACTAGAATTGTCTCGAACCTCTTTCTTAAAACCCAATTCTGCGAGCGTATCCTGTGTAGATGCACTGGAGGTTGAATTGTGGAAGTGGCTTAACAATGAACCTAAAGAAGCGGATTTAAATTTTCTCATTGAGTTGATTGGGAATGGTGTGTTGCAAAAAATATATTTTTCTTTAATTACTTACATACTTAACTGTAGATTATATACATGATCAAGAGGCGTCTTTAGATATGTATACAGTAGCAGCTTTCATTAGTGATCATGAGAATAGGATTCTAATGACAATGGACGAAGAACGTCAGGAGACATGGACAATTCCCGAGGATAAAGTAGAAGATAGAGAAACTTTAGTAGTACGTTAAAGCACACAAAAATCCTTTAACAGCCTATAAACACAATCATCTAAAAATAAACCAAAGTGTAAAAGCATTAAATATATTATTAATAATTAATTTATAAATAGGGGAAAAAATCTAGACTAATTGTTCGTTTTATAAATTCTCATTTTTCACAGAATTCTTTAAAATTAAAGCTTTCAACAAGAATAATTAAGTCAGACGATACATATAGAGATTGCCTTCAGTAAATTATAAAAAAATAATGAAACTTTATTATGTTAGGTCCTTTTATCTATACTTTTTGAATGCTTTTTAGATGAAAGAGTAGGAAGAATTAATCTTTATTTAAAGTTCTATATACAAAAGTGTACGGTTTATATTGTATATATATATATATATATATATTTAGAGAATATATCAATCCATTTGTAAAGATCTACGGATCTATTTATTTAAATATACGAGTACATAGGTATATATAAACCTACACAATATATGCGCGTAAACTCAACAACGGTGTTTATATATACTGTTTATATGAGAAATCCAAGTAAGAGAATAAATATAAGAGGCTATTGCCCTATTAGAAAACAAAAAAATGTGTTAATTTCGTTTCAGCAAGCCATAAAGAGGATTGTTCTGGAATTAACAGGACTTAAATTTGAACCAGAAACATTAATTAGCGTAGAAAATAAAAAAAGACTCTCCTTAAAGTTCATATTCGCTGGCAAAATAATTGGTGGTGAAATAAAAACAAAAATTAAGGATAAGAGAGTAATTGAATGTTCAAAATTTTTCGACTTTAAAGAAATTCATATGAGTGTAAAATTGAAAAGTTTAGATATTTTACCAATTATGGAAATTGGTTATAAATATACTGTAAGTGATATGATACCAAGAAATTCATTGCCAGTTTTAAACGGATATGCTCGAATATATATCCGTGCGATATTCATTAGGGATGATCCAGAACTTAAAGTTCTATTTTACGAATCCTGTAAGAATAAACAGGTCTGTCATGGACTTCCGGTTGTTGAACTTTATGCTTCCGATACTTGTATAGTTGTTCCTTTATTGAGAATACTATTACTAGCTTTTGGATTTGTCAGAGAGCCTAAAGTCAATGGAATAGTGTCAATTGAACATAATGCTAATGCTCATCCAAAGGAGAAAAACGATGGACTTTGTCTTACAATTTTATCTGAGCCAGACCCACTTACGATAGGTCAAATAAAAGAGCCTTTTTCATGGAAAATAATTAAAAGCGAATTTTTAAGGAATGAAATAAAGTATAGGTCTAAAACATTTGGATCTGTTCTATTTTATAAGAGCTAATTAACTAATGAAGATTTAGCATTTGATCTTTCACACCTACTGTATAATAAAGTTTAATATCGTATACTTATGTAATCTAATTATCTTTTTATTCTATTAGCCACTGCATACATAAATATTTGCAATATAAATAATCATTATGGGAAATATGTTAAAGATTATAAATACAATACTTCATTGAGGGTATTAGTAACAATAAACTATAACCTGATTAATGTATTATATTCCCCTAATATCATTCATCTTTGTCTTTCAATTTATCCTACCAAAATACTAATTAGAAAAAAAGAATGTTCTTGTTCTATTTTTGAAATAAAACTATATTCATTTTTAATGTTTTCGACTAATTATCTAGATCTTACCTTAAATCGATTCCTACTTTTTAGTTTTGTTAAGATAGCAAGCTTCTCAAACCAAAAGAAGTTAATTTACAGTTGATTAATTTGTAATTCCGACTGTCTTGATTTAATGCGGAACTGCGCTTAATGAAGAACGCTTTTTGCTTGTACTATAACCGATGAAAGTTAATTAAAAAAAGTTAATTAAAAAGATTTAAGAAAAAAGCCTTTCAGAATAATGAAAAATTTATAATTTTACTAGAAATAGTTTAGATTTGAAATCAATTTATTTTTTCATATCTATTTTGGAGCTTAAGAAGCTATCTTAGAGAAAAATAGTCATAGCATATGCTTCAATTTCCTTAAGAGGCTTACATTTTAATTTTTCAGCAACCAATAAGCATACCTTTTTCTTTTATAAGATGTGTATGTATATATGCTATTCCAAAATAATCTATACCTACTTTCTATAATATAAACTCTGAAAGAGAGTTAGCAATTTTATGAAAAATAATCTCTAAGGCTTTTTTCCTTGTCTCAGTATGCTTGTTTTTTCTTATTGATGGGATTATTATCTTTTCTTTTCCGGAATCTCGTTATTATCGAAGGGCTTGATTCGCTTAATTACAATTGATTGATATGTTTACTATATATATACAGTTTATATATATATTAGTATATTAATATATCCTCCTCCTCTATCCATTTCTTGCCTCATGTCTCTTCCAAAGCTGATTAGTTGATTGCCTTGGTATAGAATAATTTTTATTAAATTATTGTGCTATATTTCCGGGAAAACCACTTGGAGGCTCACTTGGTAGATTTTAATTGAAATGAAAGTATGTAGTAACTACAATGACAAAATTTAGTCCTATAACTTCTCTGCACCTTACAAGATAGTCTTTTTTTTATTTGACGATCCAATAGATGGATATTATATTAAAGGAATTATTAATGTTACGAAGCTTTAATTCTTTAATTCTTTCTTTAATATAAAAAAAAATAATTCTGTATAATAAATAAACATAAGCAGATATTTCATTAATAAAGTAGATACTATTTATTTGTTGTTAATGATGTCTCCATAATCTAGATCAATATTTTCTTCCCTTTTCCTTTTTCTTTCCTTTGTCATTATTTCCCAAATCATATCTGAAAGGCTGGTTCTTCATTGTTGCTTCTCGCTTATGGACTGACCTAAGAGCCTTTTGTTCCAATTCCGTTCTTGTCATTGGCCGCCTTTCATCGTCACTCACTTCGTTTGGATCGCTATCCAAATCGTCTCTGTTAAAATATTTTAAAAGATGTGATACGACTTTTCCCTTAAAGTTTTAGAAACTTACCCAACAGACGGGGGTTCAATTATTGGAAGGTTTTGAGGTGGTGCGGGTCCCTCACCTAATAAACTATGTTGTTTTTTGGTAAAATCTTGATCGTGATCCTGTTAATTGACAACGAAACGAAAGTAATAAATGATGAGCAAATAATTCAATTAGGAAAGCGTACTTTTTGCATCAAGACGTAGCCTTGTATTTTGAGAAGTTCATTTGTACGTTGTTCAATGGGACCCATGTATTGCATAATATTCTGTTCATTCATTCCCTCCTGCGCTCCCAGCATATCACCCAAAGCGTTCTTATCACAATTGATTTTGTCAAACAATGATTGTATGCCGTCTTTCAGTTGATCTAATATTTTCATAACAGCCTTATGTTTTTCTTCAAAGACATCTGCTTCTTTTGAGGCATTACGTTGACGATTTTCCAAACGTCTCATGATATCTTTCCGTTCCTCTTCCATTTCGGTACCTTCCTTCTCATACTTTCCAATATTCTCTTGTATCTAAAAGAGAATAACAATTAATAGTTAGGGAAACTCAATTATTTAGCAAACCTCTGAAATTTCGTTTTGCAACTGCTCAATTTGATTGTTTTGTTCATTAACATAGTTGAAAAGAGCGAAGTTTTTATCCTCTACTTCTATAAATTTTTTAACCAACATTTGAATATCATTTTCTTGTGTGATTTCCTTAATTCTCTCCATCGCTTGTTCGTACGATTCAACAGTGTCGGTTTGAGATGCTTTTCGTCTTTGAGCTTCTCTTTTTTCTATGAAATAAAAAACAATTTCAATATTAATTCTAGATGGCTATCTCTGTTTAATTCTTACCGATGTTTTGTTTCCAAGCTCTCTGTTGTGGGTCTTCCTCTCTATCAGCACCTTTAACATTCATAAACTCTCTCAGTTTTCTGTCGTGATCAATTATTCTCATTAATTCCTTCATTTCGGCATTGTGCTGTGCAATATCTTTATCGGATTTTTCCTTAAGTTGAATCATCTTCGTTTGAGCATCCTCTCTGGTGTTATAAATAAAGTTAAAATTTAAATTTACAAATATACTGTCAAACCTTTGATCGTAAGCTTGCGTTGATATGTCTATAACTTCTCCTGTCTCTCTTTTCAAATCGTTCAATTTTCGTTCTAATTTCTTATAAACATTATCGAAACGAGTTCGTTCAACTCTTAGTGACTCGATTTCGTTTCTTAAATTCGCATTCGTACTTAGCAACTTTGAAAATCTGCTATTTGCTTGATCCAATTGATTTTCTAGTTTTCCGATATTTCTCTGAACTTTAACATTGTGCTGATGGGACATATTTGACCCTCCCATGTTTTGGTTTTGCTTTTTACATTTAGCTTCCCATTCCTTAATTTCAGCTTTTAGATCCTCCTGCTGTCTAATTTCATCAACGATTGCTTTCTCCGTTTCAGCTATTACAAGAAAAAGAGGCAATTTGTAATTTATATAATATATATTCATTTGTCTTTCTTATAAATGCGAAATGAAAGGGGTTTTACTTAGTTTATTTCCTAAATCTGTCAGAGAGTTTACGTTTGTATCGTCTTTCTTTTTGTTGGATGTTGATTCAATTAGACGTAGCTCTTTTAGACACTCTTGAATGCTTTTGTCAAGTTGCTCAAGTTCTTGCCTAAAATACATTAACATTTTGTATTAACAGTGATATTTTGTAGTTCATCGACCCGTAATTAAGAATTCGTTCAGTGGAAAATACGAATATCCTCATGACAAGTGAAATAAATAACAGATCAAAGATTTTGATAGAAGGTTATCGTAAAATTTCATAAATATTCTCCTAATACCTCTGTTTACGGATAAGGGTTTGACTCTCATTAGTATATTGCTGTTTATTAACTTCAGTCGATCTGTAACTCCTCTTCAATCTTTGTAGTTCTTCTTGAGCCATTCCCTCTCCTGCATCGCTGGCATCCGATGAAGCTGATCGCGGTCTCGGCATCCTAAATTAACAAATTTACTAGTTCAAAGAGGTGTTAAACATACATTTTAACAAATTTTAATGAAGATTTAGTACTTGGAATTTAAATACGATAGTTGAAAGCCGCAACCAATACAATCACCAACTCGCTTGTTTAGTTACCTGTAGCAACGAGCTAACGGTCAATCGCTTTATCAGCACAATTCATATAACGTCGGAACCGGTAACCTATTATTATTGTTGAACGCCATCTGTATATTTAATTTTTTTACCATAAATATGACTAAATAGTTATAAAGCTACTTGTACGAGACAATTTTGTTTGCTTAAGAGAAGAAAAAGAGAATATTATTATTCTTAATATAAATTATCTAATTTTTAGTTAGACAAAAAGGTTGAGAAAAATGAAGAAATTGGCCTTAAAGACTACAATGTTATAATATTTCAAAGATAGTAGACTTAACCTTCTCCGATAAGTTTCCTATTAGGAAGGAAAGAGAAAGAAGAAAGAGAGAGAGAGATAAATTCAATATAAAAAATTCGGTTTATGACATAAATTTTCAAGAAAATTATTTCTTTTTCAAATATATCTACCGATTTTATTCTGTTAGTAGAAGAAATATGACTATAATATTACATTTTCTCCCGCAAATTTATAAATATCGACCAAAATCAGATTGTATTTATCTAGAAATATACTGTTTTGTGATTGTGTATATATTGCATGTTAAGACATTTTGAAAATAGTTAAATAGAGTACATTTCTTCATAGATTACGAGGTAGAATATTTAGAAGGATAATTGTAACAGAAAGATGCTGTTTAGAGAAAGAGAGAGAGAAAGAGAAAGAAACAATTTAGACCGAAAATTGTATTCTATTTAGGGATGCAAAGAAAAGGAGAAAGAAACAGTATATTGTGAAAATTAAGTCGTTTACAATTCATTATATTTACAAAACGAAAACAGAAAAAAAAATTATATTTATTTTTTGTCTTTTGTTTATTTCAAGACTTGGTTATACTCGACAACATCTTATGAATCCTATCTTCATTTCTTAAGATCGAAGATTTAGTTGCTGCAATTAAATCAAGTTGATCCGAAATTTGTTGATCGACATTCACCAATTTCGCTTTTAATGGCTCGAGAACGTCATTCGTCCTAGTTTGTTCCATTTTCAATTCCCTAATGTTAACTTCGTTCTCGTCTTTCCAAGTGATCATTTCTTTTTGCATAGAATCTAAATCTTCTTGAACGTAGTCCATCATTTTGCCAAGAGGATTTGCCGACCTAGTTAGAGTTTGAATAGAATTCCTGAGAGCGTCCATCTCTTTCTGAACTAATTCCCTCTGTTTTCTCTTAGTGGCATCCGATTGAGTCGTTCTTTCAATGGTAACCTTTCCACTCCTTTTAGCCATGGCTTCTTCTTGTTCTTTTTTTGTTTCTAAAATTTTCTTAACTAAACCTCCGTGATCCTCATCATCGTCTTCATCTATATCGGCTTTCCTCATTGGAGCATCATTCATCGGCATTGGTTGATCCTCTTCTTCCTTGGCGACAAAATCATCATCTGAATCGTCAGCTTTATCAACAATCACATTGGGAACTTTTCCAGCCATCAAATGTTGATTATCTTCTGCAGGAGGTGCATTATCCTTTTGTTTCGGCCGCGGGGCAGCAGGTCTGGCACTTCCCGGTCTAGCGGCTCGCCTATTAAATGAAAGATAGAGTAAGAATTTATCAAATAAAAAAGATTAGCTTTAGATAAGTTTCATTCAAGCGATTTTAATGTAAGGAGAAAGCTCCTTTGTTAAATAATTGAATTCGTTTAGCCTTTAAAAAATAATTATACTAACGACGCAGCAACTTGAGGTGGAATAACAGCTTCTTTGAGTTCGTTTCCCTCTTCGTCCACTGAAAAAAGAAACGAGATAAAAAGCTCGAAAATATAAAGAAAAGAAAAAAAAGGAACAATTTATTGGACTAAACATAAGCCAAGATAGAAAAACGGATAGAAGAGTGATATTTTTTGTTTAAAAATCTTTTCACAGACCTCCTCTCCTCCTTAATGGCTCATCAACACCCGAATCGTCATCTTCATTCTTCCTACCTGATTACAAATAACCACAAACCACACATAAAAAAGCACCGCAAACTTTTCGTAAAAAAAAAAATATGCGGTGAAAAATAATAAACTACCATGTCTAGGCCTTCGCCGACCCTTTGCAGAAGTGGGTCTAGGGGGTCTATGACCTTCTCGTTTTTCCGTTTCAGAGGAGTCTCCATTCTGCATCTGTGACCACAGGGTAATACACACGTGATTCCGTGAGATCACACAAACAACGAAGAATAATAAGAAATAGAAGCAGAGAATTTTCTTTTGCATCAGAAAAGGAGAAATTAAGATATTTCCTGAACTTTTATCTTACAAAATTACTGTTTAACCTAAGTGTATTTGTAAATATTATTTGTCCAGAATAAAAACCCAATGGTAAATTGAAATGCAAATGACCTTATTAAAAATGCAGCCAAACTTCATTTAAAGATACTCTTCTAATGCTTTTTATAGAAAATTCTCCATTTAGAAAACAAAAATAATACTAATCAGTACATTAATATATATATATAGTATATGTATGCATGTATATAAATAAGAATATATATATATATATATATATTTCTGTCTTTCTACAACATTTAATAGGGTATGAAAAAAGGAACGGATTGTGATATTTTGGCATTTTGCTTACCAGTCTTTAGGGAACTTGAAGGTTTTGGGGGTTTTTTCTACATTTTTTATACATTTTTTAATCAGTAAAATAGGTATTTCTAAATATGAATTTGGTTTTTGGATTCTACTCTTAATCATATAAATTAAATAGTAAGAGAAACGAGAAATAATAGATAAATAATTAGATTTCTTTCATCTTCTTTTAATTTTTTTCCTATTAAATATTTTAAAGGTTTTATTACTTTAGTTTAACGAAAAAAATTCGTTTTAAAAGAATTTTCTGGTTAATTTGAGTCTAAATCTGATATTGAATTACACACTTGACTTTTTGTTCTTTTCTTTACTTATAGGTTATTTTTCATGCTTTACGTATAATTAGAAGGGGAGGGGATTTCTTTTTAATTTTATTAATTTGTGATAATCTAATAATAATTACATCTTATAAATTTGCTTTTCAAAATAAAGAGGTGTTCTTTTTGTAAAGTTAAAAAAAACTTGTGTTTAATGTTAACGCGTAAATAGAAATACATACAGATTCGTGTTTCTCTTCGTTTTCTGGTGTTGAATTGTTTTCTTTTTCTCTCTCCTTTTCCTTTTCTCTTTCTCTCTCCTTTTCCTTTTCTCTTTCTCTCTCCTTTTCCTTTTCTCTTTCTCTCTCTTTTCTCCTCTCCCTCTTTTCGTCTTTATCTTCTTTTTCTCTAGACTGATCTCTACTACGCTTATCTTTATGCTTTCTTCTGCTCTCTTTCTCATCCTTTTCTTTCTCGTCCTTATCTTCTCTATCCCTATCCCTATCTCTATCTTTCTTATCCTTTCGTCTCTTATCATCATCCTTCTTTTCCTTGTTTTTATCATCTTTGGACCTAGCTGCAGATCCTTCTCTGTCCTTCTTTCTCCCTGAGCCTAATGGCACATTTGTCTCACATTAATAAAGATAATCATTAAAGATATTCGAAAAATTCTATACAAGCACTTGTATTATTCTCTGAATATAAATTATTCTTACCTCTTAATACTTTTCGAACCACTGACTCATTATCGGGTTTTTTATTGACAGCTGCCGCTAATAACTGTAGGAATTCATTTGTCTTTTCAGGTTCTTGGCCAGCAACAATTTTAGACGGTCTAGCACTCGGTTTTTCACCGGTAACCAAAGCTAAATTGAAATTTAAACAAAATTTTATATTATAAATTCCAATATCGTTTAATAGTTTAATTTAAAAAGACAAATGTTTCAAAACTTACCAACAATATCAATAACTTTCTGTAAAAAGGCTACTTTAGCATCTCTGTCCTGTGGAGAAATTAATAAATAGTTATTAAATATTAAGGTAAATTTTAGAATACATTAAATTTAAAGTGGTAATAAGTTTTATGCTGTTTTTTTTTGCATTTTTGAATATTATTAAGCTTAAGAAATTGATTTTCCTTCACAAGTACATCAATATGATTATTATAAATGCAATTGGAATGTTACCAATAACACACTCGTAATATAATGAGATTAATGATTCTTGTTTTTATTACATAAAATAATAATTATTTAATATTTTTTTGCTTTTTAATATACATAGCCAGAAACAGTATTTGTTTAGAATATGTTTATTTCATAATTCATTTTTACCTTAACATTTTCAGACTGCATTTCGGACTCATCGAATAATCCTTTCATGAACCCAGTGCTTTTAATTACCTTAAAAGAAAATAATAAATATTTATTAGAGATTTTTATCTAATTTCTTTTGATTAAAATTTTTACCGATGTCATTATATCATGCAAATAACGAAAAGGTGGCTTATTGAGTAATTTGTCAGTTAGAGGAGGGTGATTTTTAATAACTTTTCCTAAAGTGTCTTTAGTCTTTTTAACAATTTCGTCATTCATCTTCGATTCTGTTTGTTTCCTTTAGTTTATTTATAAAATCATAAAAACTCCTAAGAGTTGTTCAAAACAGTCGCTAAATCCGTCTGCTTTGGAATTTGGTTGGGCGCATGCGTAGCATTGTTGTCAAATGTAATTTCTATGGCAACGAAAAAATTTTTTAATAAGACAATTCAAGATGCATTTATATATTTATTTTTATCACTATGAGTAAAAAAATCTTTTTCACCATTCTTAAAAAGTGAAAATAAGAAGTAGAACCCGATTAAGAAGTGGTTTCCAGCGCGAAGCTTGATTACTAAAAAACTCTTTTCGAATTTTTGTATTTACTGTTATCAATTTTTGATGAATCGATTTCTACTAATAGATAATAATACTGTATCATGCAATCTGTTTGGGTAGCAAACTGTGAACTATTGACAATTCATAAGATTGTGATTGAAGAGTATCACTGGAAATTAAATGCGGACTTTATTGCTGCGATACTATGAAAATAAACGCGGCAACACCAGAGCGCGGAACTTAGAAGGGGTCAGGAGGGATGGAAATGTAGTCGAAAATACACGTAATATCTTGTTTGATAAAAGGATTTGATCGACATACCATAGGCTGGGTACATAAGATGCAAACATCATACGAAAGGAAGGAAAAACTAGGGGAAGGGACCTATGGAGTTGTCTATAAGGCAATTAACTCATTAACCGGAGAGTGCGTGGCTCTAAAGCGAATCGACTATAACAAAAATGGGTAAGCTAGATATAATTTATTATTATTATTATTATTATAAAATATTAAATGCTATAAACTTACAATTTAGGGAAAGAGAAGGTGTTCCTAGCACAGCTTTACGAGAGGTGAACATGCTGAAGCAGCTCGAGCATGACAATGTTGTTAAATTGTTAAATGTTTTTTGCGATACACCTCAGCAAGGGTCAAATTCAACTTACAAACTTTATTTGGTTTTTGAATTTTGTGACATGGATTTAAAGAAGTTAATGGAACAAAATGGCGGATTAGATTATGAGTTAACAAAGGTGAGTGTTCCCTGCAGCTAGACGTTCCTGAAGGAACAAAGCCAGGGATAACTTTGCTCAACAAATTATGTTAACAAAACCAGTGCTTATATAAACCTATACTATTAAAAGAGGTGAACATTTCTTTGAATAGAAGATCTATTTATTTTCAATAATTTGAAAGAACTCGCAAAAACTAGGCTAGAGTTAGATAGAACTTGTCAATACTTTATCGAAGCTTCTTAAGATTCGTAATTCCTTTCATGACGAAATGATTTTTTATGGTCAAGTCATTTTTCTGTTACAATTCTTAGCTTTTTTATTTATATTTACTATCTCTACATGGTTTATTAATCTATACCTCATTTTAGAGTTACATGAAACAATTACTGGACGGTATGGCTTTTTGTCATGGTAGAAAAATACTGCACAGGGATCTAAAAGTATTTTACAATCTTTTTATATTGTCAATTTAATAAAATAAAAATCATCCAGCCTCAAAACCTACTAGTAACTTCTGATGGTAAAATAAAGATTGCTGACTTTGGACTAGCTAGAATGATACAAATTCCTTCAAGAAAATACACCCATGAGGTAAATTTTATATTAAATAAGCTTTCCCTTTGGCATTTTCGACAGTTAATGCGATCCGTTTACACTTTCAGCTAGGCACTTAAAGTAAGAGTTTTATCTTCTTTTTCTCTTTTAGGTAATAACGCTTTGGTATAGATCGCCAGAAATTCTTTTAGGAACAGATTTTTATTGTCCGTCGGTTGATATATGGAGCTTAGGATGTATTTTTGCCGAAATGGTAAATTATTTTAAAACTTTTATTACATATTTTCTCTTAAGAGTTTTAACTTGTTTAGCCTACCGGCAAACCCCTTTTTCCTGCTGATTCAGAAATTGATCAATTGATGAGAATATTTAGAACATTAGGCACTCCTAATGAAGATATTTGGCCGGGTGTTACTAATCTTCCAGATTTTCAAACTAGATTTCCACAATTTAAAGTTCAAGAAATTAACATTCAGGGATTAGACAATGATGGCATGGATTTATTTCGCGTACGATTATTTTTATATTTTTATTAAAAATCAATTAATAATATTTGCTTATTTCTTCAGAAAATGATCATCTATGATCCATCAAAACGATGGAGCGCAATTATGTGCCTAAAGCATGAATATTTAAATAATGTCAATCTTGACGTTAAACCAGTTTTTAGAAAAGTAGAAAAGGATAAGTCAAATATGGTAAAAAATTTAAGTAGCATGTTTTAAAGATTTTTTATGTGTTCGTCTCTTATGTGTTCATTTGAAAAGGTCTTGCGTAGTATCTTGTGATTACGTCTATAAACCATTTATATACTATTTATTATTTAAAATGGATTTAAAAAAATACAATACATAGTAACTGTAAATTAATCATTTGTCTTGTTAATATCATTTAGTACACTTGTTTAACAAGTTACTTCTTTTTAATGGAATATGCCAACTTGTTAATTTGTTTAAGTGACAACAATCTAACAGATAATGTTTCAGAAACTACTTAATCTTTTAATAAAATTATATAAAATGAATGCTATAACTTAGATTTAAGTAGTGATATAGGCAAGAAATATCTACGTGATCTTTCGCCTAACCTTATACTTTAGAAGGGCTGTTTGCATAAGGTTAAATGTTATTTCTATCTCTGATATTAAAAACGGTTTGAGATATAAATCTTGAAAAATGTCGTTAACCGTTATATACTTATCTCTATTCAATTTTTACATATTTACCTGGAAGCCGATTAAGCGAAAAATATGCTTAACAGAGATAAACACTAGAGAATATTTTGGAACAAGGCAAAAAAAACATACATTTTCACATATTATCGCTAGTATATTACGATCAAGATACTTTAAAAAGGCAATGGCTTTGATAAATATCTAAAATAGTAGTAAAGTAATGTTTATAAAACCATAAAATTTATTTCAATTAATAAAATCATGTACTTAAAAGAATTTTTAATATTAAATGCTTTATATTGAAACGGAAATATCGTTTATGGCGATATCATAAATTGCGCTTCCATATTAAAAAAGGTTAAGAATAAACTCTCTCCAAAAATATATGATGAAAATTTTAAAATAATAAATTAATATTAAAAAAAATCATATAATATTTTTGCAAATTAAAGATAATTTAGACTTTAAACGTACGAAAACGTTAATTTTTCAATACTTCTTTTAACGCACCTAATATGGACGATTTTGCTCAATTTAGTGAGTTTTTAAATGTGATAAAGACTTACAAAATGTTTTAACTTTAACAATGATGATCTACGACTGCTAACTATTTCAAATATCATTATATAAATAAAACAACGCAGTTTTTAATTCTGTTTGATCACGTGATCTCTCGTAAAAAAAAGTTCATAGGTAAGCTCTTTTTATAAACATTTCATAGGCTTGTTTTATGAATTGAACATATGTTAATACGTAGCCAGTTAATTGTATGCATTATTTCAATTTATATTCCTAAATGGTAAACTATCGAGCAAGAAAAAAATGATTAAGCTCATAAGAAATTAATATAGGCCTACAACATTTAAAATTGTATTGCAAATTGAATACTGTCTATTTCGTATGAAAAAAGCTTGCAAGAGTAGATGTGAAAGAGATTTCCTCTGAATGAAGAGAAATAAATGTTAAATAGTACGTTTTAACCCTTAACATTCGTTTTTATTATTAACTTTTACCCTTAAAAAATTCCGTTGAATATTTATTATCTATTAAAGTTTCTATTTAGGTAATATATCTTGATTAGAATTGTAGATAATATATATATATATATATGTACTTATCCAAAAGAGTTATTTCATTATATATATGTCAATAAAATAAGAGGATCACTGGTTATTTGTTCTCTTAAATCCTGTGTTGATTAAATTTTAGCAATGCTCTTTTATTTAAAGAGATATTCATTGTCTTGTAATTTCCCTATCAGATAATTAAAAAACAGAAGAATTGACAATTAAACATCTGAACAACACTCCGTAATGGATGATATTGTTAGGAAAAGTAGACTATATAACGATAGTGGAAAATCATCGACTATTGATGCTAGGAGTTGTGAAGATCTAGATAAAAAATCCACCGTTGAATTTTCATCTATTTCTCAATCGCCATTTTTAAAAAAAGACACTAACAGACTTAGAATACATCGAGAAAAAGAAACTGAAAGCGATAGTAATGTTAAAACTAAGGATAAAAAGACTGAAGATAACGAAAGACGATCTCGAAGGAGAATTTATGGCAATAAATCTGAAAATGATAATCAAATATTAACGGTAAGAGAAAATTATAAATCTGAGTTAAAGAAAGTTGAATTACGTAAAATCGATAACACGGAGCCAAAGATTGATGCTAAAACCGAAATAGATAAAAATAAAGATGATAAATTCAGTAGCGTATCACTAAGAAAGAATATTTTTGAAAATTCTACTGACTCTAAAAATTCAACTGTTAAAGATTATAAAGTAACAACTGATAATGTATTTAACATGCCGTTAATTGCTAAAAAATTATCGCCTATGGATAATTTAAAAGACAATTTGAAATCGACACTTTCCTTGACGAGATCACAAATAGAAAAAAAATCAACACAATCGGATATATTACATAAACCAGAAAACGGTGAGAAGAGTGAATCTTTTGGTAATATTATTAAGAAAATGGAAAATAGCGAAGATAATAACGATTTGAAAGATGATACATTCGTATCATCGACAAAAATCAATTTAGAAAATATGTCTAGAACTCGACGTAGAGTTTATAAAGATTCTACAGGAGATAAGAGTTGGTCCAAAGTGAACATAGAAACTGTTAAGGAGTCTACCGAAAAATCATGCGATGTATCGAATGCGCCTGTTCGACGGAGAAGTAGGGTAAAAATTACCGATAATGAAGTAGGCCCATCAAAATATGACACAGAGGCCGATTGTATGACAACAAAACAGGCAGATAGCGGTAAAATTGAGGGAGAGGTTAAAACAATGTATAGACACGAAGTACATAGCGGATTATACGACAATGTTACTATCATTAAAAAGGCAGAGGAAGATAGCGAGAGTTACAGTACAGAAGACTCAGAGATCGAAGAAGATTCAGAAGAAGAATCTGAACAGAATAGACCATCAGAACAGTTAAAAAGTCAAGCCAAACAATATAGAAATAGCCCAGGAAAAAATAGGCATAGTAAATCTTGGCCAGGATTGACGAATACAGATGAGAATAATTCAATATTGAAGAAAACTAAAGAAATCAAAGTTGAATATTCAAAAATCAATGAAAATTCGTAAGTAAAAATATTTAATATAGCATTTATAATTAAGTTTCTTTTTTTAAAAAGATATGAACTAAAAACGAAAGAATAACTTTTTAAATTTTCTTTTATTCGAACTTTAATCAATCTATTCTTAGCTTTCATTCTTTTCTTCTTTTTTTCTTCCCTCACTCTCTCTCTCTCTCTCTCTCTCGTTCTTCTTTGTCTTTTTATTAGAAATAGCTTTCTTTTTATTAAGAATTATTCCTATTACTTTTAAATATTAAATTTCTACTAGTTTTTGTATAGTTTGTTTTTTGTCTGTTTACAAGTATATATATATATATACTGTATATATTGCGAAAGGTTTATAACTACTTATTATTATTGTTATTATTATTTCTATCGATTCATCATCTATAGTATTATTTAGTCGTTTAAAATCGATTTAATCTTATTGTTCTTATTCTAAAATTGTACTAAATCCTATATACAGTATATATATATATGTATATATATACTTTTATTATAGTTTTACGATATATTTTTATTCATTTACGAAAATTGTTAATATTAACTAATATTTAAGGCCATATTTAAGTAAATTATTTACAATCTAATAGACCTGATACAAATGATATGGATACAACAGAGGATAGTGTAAAAACAACTAAATCACCCTTAAGGAGAGCTGTGTCTGATAATTCACAGTCGACAAAGGATGGATTAGTATCCATAAAAGACAGGTAGATATTTTATTCTCTTTTCATTCTCTCTCTATTATTTATTAAAATTCAAACACGAAATATAAATAAAAATATTTGAATCATGATTAACATTTTCAATTATTCATACCGACGTGAATGAATGGATGATTTACATTTATAAATATACAGATGACTTACTATTTATATATTATTTTAAGATTGGCCGCTTTAAAGAAAAATAACGAAGAAGGGTGGAAGAAACGAGTTGATAAATCAACTTTACCAGATGATAATATTTCAGCTAGAAATAAAGGTAAAGTTATTAAACATTGTATCTTAAATTTCAATAATTTTTATTATTTCTTACAGTATTGAATAAACTCGAAAATGCAGCCGATAAATGGAGAGATAGAGTTAAAAATGAAGGAAGCGATATAAATAAATTTTCCGTAACAGCTATTGTTGCATCAGGTATAAAATAGACAGACAGTAAAGAGTTTTTTTTTTTATTAATCTATAAAATCTTTAGTCAAACTTTATGAAATTCAATTAGCAATTTCTGAAGAAAAAAAATAAACAAAAAAACTTATAAACAACAACAAAAAACTAAAATTTATTATATAATAAATTAATATTTCACTACGTTTACTTTTTATAGGACAGGCCAAATTGACCTATTCTCCACTTCTTGCTAAAAAGCAAAGTGATAGGCAAAGAGCTATTTCCACTCAAAAACGTAAGTTATTTATTGTTACTTTGCATCAATTAATAAATCATTTATATATATTATATATATATATATCTATATAGGTATATCATTACACTTTTAACTCTAGTACTCTATATTAATTTTACTTTATAACGCTATCTAGAGATTAATAGTAGATTGGTGTCAACAAATTTATCAGGTATTTTTAAACTACTAAATTGTTTCTTAACGATTCTATTTATTCTATTTAATATAAAACTTTTTTTTTATAGTTATATATTTTATTACAAAAAAGGGGCTTTTCATGATTATTCTAAAATTTCTCTTATATCGCTCTCTCACACAAGTGATTTAATATTTTTTAACTCTGGAAAATTTACACTAAACTTATTCTATAATTTAGATTTTTTTTTAAAAAAATTAATTCCTTATTTTCAATTACTTTCTCATTATAGTTTTTGAAGATTTAGTCTTCGATGATGAAGTTGAAGAAAAAGAGAAACAAGCTAACTTGAAGAAACAACCAGAGAAATTAAATAATTTTCCAAAGAATTCTAGTGTCAGAAAAGTATGTAAAACTTTATCAAATCTCTTAAAAATAATACATATTTATTAATTTCTTTTAGGTTAAAGTTGCCAAAATTGCTGATAGCGATTTTGATAATTTCTTTCCAAAGTACGAAAATAATGACGAAGTGTTTGAAACTACTCAGGAATATGATTTTGATAAAGAATTCGCAAACGTTCAAAGGTTTTTATTATTATATAACAATATATTTAAGGAAATATTCGATATATTATATATGTACTAATATAAATATATGTATGTTTGTAATTTTAAATATAGACTTAAAGTCATAAAAAGGGTAAAACCTAGTAGAAAACAACAAGGAACTTGGAAAGCTTTAAAAAGTGAATATGCATCATCTGAATATCATGAAACATTCACACCTCCAGAAGTAAACAAAAAGAAAAATTTCCCAACTGAAGTAAGGATCGCTGATGAAATTGCTAAGGAATTAGAAGGAGCTGCTGCCAATTTAAAAAAGTCTGATTCCTTTAATATCAAAGATACTGATTTACCACCATTTCACATTGATCAACCAATGTTGATATTAGTAAAAGGTAAGAATATTTATCATTTTTCTAGTTTCTATAAAGTATTAAATATTAAAAAAAGAAGACAGTATGTCCTTAACTTGTAAATGAAATAAGTATACAGTATAGCGTTTACTATACAGTAAATAGTTTTATATTATTATGAAGTTACTATATTATTTTACTTATTTAGTTATAAGAGTTAACATACGCGAAAATGATTAAAAAGGTAAAAATCGATTGTTTTTTGTTTCCCTAATTCGCGTAGTTATATTTTAAATTTTTTCACTGATATGAATCACTCATTGCAGTCAACATATGTTCATTTATATATATTTTAATATATAAATATATAGCTTTAGTGTTTTCTTTTATTTGATTTTTAATTAGGTAATTTATTTAATGTATTGTTTTTCTTTTTTGTTTTTGCATTTAATTATTTTTTTATTGGTTTGTCAAATAGATTTATCTTATCTTTGTTCGAAAAAAAGCAAAAACTTAGAGAAAAAGATAAGATAATTTAAATAAAAACGTTTTTGATAAAAATAAAAAAAGAGAGAGATTTAACAGTTTATGATTTACTCTTTTATTAGAGTAACGTTTGTCTTAATATTTACTTTGTTTATCTGCTAGAAGTAATATTTGATATGGTTTTATTGATATAATTAAAATTCTTTTTAAAGGTAGGAGAAAGTGCCATCTGAGGTTGGTAAAACCTATACCAGAATCAGTGAATAGTGGGGACTCTTACATTTTGGTTACCAAGGATAAGGTATTCGCCTGGCTAGGAAAATTATCAAATTTAATTGAACAAAGAAAAGCAACTGCTAAAGCCAAAGAGATTGCTAGGACAAAAGATTTATGCTATAGGGGTAACTTACCCGCTCAAATAATTAAAGAGACTGAAAAATTTTCTACCAAAGAATTTTGGCAGACCTTAGGTGGTAATACCAATAGTAAACCTTCCGATGCTGCTGAAAATGAAGAAGATGATTTCTACGAAGAGTGTTCACTATTAACCAATAGAATTTATTATTTACAAGAAAATAAATTAGTCTGTGACGTAAATCTCTCTTCCAAAGACTATTCTTGTAAAATTTTAGATGATACAAAACTTTATCTATTTGATTTTGGTTCTGAAATGTATATATGGTCCGGAAAATTATGCTCGAATGAAGAAAAACGGAATCTAATTAGAAAGGCTCGAAAATTATGGAAAATGGGATATGATTATTCAGATATGGAACTGAATCCATTTGATCCCAGAAGAGTTTTAGAAAGTCCTGAAAAATCGGAATCTAGACCTGTTTGGTGTCTTTTGGGTAAAGTTACCCAAAACACTGAAACTGTACTTTTTAAACAGAAATTTTACGATTGGCCAGAAGATGAAATAAATCAGGATGTGAGAAAAGATTCTGACCACAAAAGCGGTGATGACTTACGAGTAATTGAACCTCATAAATTTATCAAAGATGTTCCTGAAATATCATTAATTCTGGAAAATTTTAACGTTAGCCGAGGAGATAGTTTAGTCGAAAGGAGAGATGGTATTAAATGGGAGTATGTTATTAAAACTGTATCGATTAGCGAATGGATTATTAAAGATAAAACTACAGCTGAAGTTAAAGAGGAAAATTTCGGTTGTTTTAATTTAGATAGATCCTATATTATAAGATGGGTTTATAAATGTTCGGCTGTATTTAAGAGGAGGCAAGAAGTAGAAACAGGTAGAGATAGAATTGCTTACTTTTATTGGCAAGGACCATTCTCAAAAAGTGAAGAAAAGGGTTTAGCAGCTCTAAATACTGTTGAATTAGATACGGAAAAAGCTCCTCAATTAAGAGTTGACGGGAGAAAGGAGCCTCCAGTATTTTTACACTTTTTCAATGGCGAAATGGTTATTAGTTCAAAAGAAAGTGAGGAAAAACGAATGTTCTTAATCAGAGGAAGAAGAAAGCAGGAAATTAACTTTTTAGAAGTTGATTTTCATATGGAAAGTTTTCGAAGTGGCGGTTGTTTCCTTATTATAAATAAAAAGACGACTTCAGCCTACATATGGATTGGACTAAATGTCAATGACACTTACGAACAGTTAGCAACCGATGCTATTCACAACATACTGAAGAAGTATTATTTATTATCATTTCTTGATAAAGCATTATAGAAATTTACTATTTCTTTTTTTTTTGCAGTTGCCCCCATCGAATTAATCTTAGTCGAACACCAAAAACTATAGAATTATTTAAAGAAAAGCAGGAATCAACAGATTTTCTACGATTGTTTAACTTTTCAACTACCACTGAGAGACCATATGACACTGCAAACAAAAATTTATTAAATCAAATTACACCAAGAGCCTTTCGCTTATATAGCATTAAAGAGCCTCATACACCTGAAGAAATTTTAGCTGTCGATAGAATGGCTGATCAATTTTGTGCTTTACCTTTTTTACAAAGTGATTTTTATAATTTAAGTGAACATGAACCTGGTGAGTTAAAAATATTTTTCGCATATATTCAATTCAATAATTGATAAAAAATATTTGTTTTTATTAAAGCATTGGTGCTTATTGCCACAAGTGGCATTGTCTTTTTATGGCAAGGATGGAGAAAGAATGCTGAACATAAAAGTTCTTTTCATAAGAAGAGAAGATTTGCTTTAGAAACTGTTGCAAGATATTGCAAAGGTTTGTTAATAGTAATTTGTTTATTATTTATTATTTATCTAAATTTTCAATCAATTTTTAGAACAAGCAGAAGATGCTCAATGTAAGATAATATATGCTGGTTTCGAACCGATAGAATTTACAAATTTATTCCAATATTGGGAAAAAGACGATACAGCCAGAAAAGCTAATGAACAGGTTTGCGCATTAAAAAATATATTTACAAATTTTTTATACTTTGACTAATGCTTTTCCAAAATTCCAATCAATAGGATGGATTTACAAACGTAGAAGACATTTTTAAAATGCTAAAGAGTATGGAGCGAGCTAGGTCTGGATCCTATTCACTAAGTGAACTCATTGCAGGCAATGTTCCCGAAGGTGTAGATCTTACTAGACGGGAAAGCTATTTGACAGATAAAGATTTTGAAGATGTATTTTCTTGCTCGAAAGAAGCCTTTTATTCTCTGTCTGATTGGAAACAAAGACAAATGAAGAGACAATTGAAACTCCTTTGATTAACGAACTTCTTTGTTATCTCCATTTTCCTAAAATGCTTTTAATCTAATAGATTTTTTTCATATTTATATAATAATTTATATACGGTACATAGAATGACAGCATATACTATAATGTATATGTATATATTTTTTATAAAAAATCTAAATACATACAAATATAAATATTTATTTGTATGTATTATAAAGGAACTTGTGTATATAGATATATACAGTTATCGGACAAATATATGTATATATTTTTTTTCTTTTTACTAACTCTCTCCCCTTTTAAAAAGAAGATATCCGATGTTTTAAATAAATTGAATACCCTGATTATGAATTTATAAGCCAATTAAAGTGTAAAAGACCAATGTAATTTTAAAAATCACTCATCCCAATTTGCTATATCACTTGCATCCTCTTCGTAGCTTTCTAGTTCTGGTATCATTAGATAATTAATCATTAAGTTCGGTAAAGGTAGCATCTGACATTTTTTCTTTAATTTTACCGGTCCTATACGGTGTCTTATGAGAGCCCTTGATAATCTCTTTAACGATTGAGGTTGATTGGCCTCTTGCATTAACCAGGTTGTAAATTTTGATGGCAGCATTAAATCTAAAGGCAGTATAGCCTCAGCAACAGGATATGAAGCTATATGCAGTAAAACGAAAGATGTCAATGGTATTAATTCAACACTAAATGATGTACTGAAATATTGAATCATTTGCATAGCCAAATTATCAGGTGCTGGAGTGTGCTGTAGGAATTTGACAAGAACTCTGTTGTATTCGTTACGAGTCTGCTTTTGAACTAGTTTAAAGAGAGGAAAGACTTCGTCGCTATTTTCTAAAGTTGAATCCATACCATTAGAAAGAAGAATATCAGCAGTTTCAGCCGAATCTTTACTCTGCATAAAGATAAAAATAAATTTTCATTTCTTGAAAACTATTATTATTTAAACTACACTTACAGGTTCTGCTATACTGACGGTATATAGCAAATTATTCCACAAAATTCCTCCCTTATCTACTAATACTTGTAGAACTTCCGGAGCACTCTTCTGAACAGCGTAATCAAGAACTTCACAATTCGTTCCTGATGGACATTTTTGAACCTCCTTCCAATTAGCTCCTGCTTTTATTAAGAGTTCCGCACATTTACCAGATTTACCGTGACAGGAGAGCATTAATGCGCTAACGTCATCTTCATCGTTATCTGTTGTAGCTCCTCTTTCCAGGAGCTCTTTAAGCTTTTCTGGTTGACCTTAAAAATTAATTGCTGGTTTACTCAAATTGCAAACATATCTCTTCCGATACAAACCAGTCTCTGAAGCATATTTCAAGGCGTCCATTTTAATATTCTCTTCATTTAAATGAAAATGTTTAATATCAGCTCCCGCATCAAGAATTATCCGTAAATATTCTATATCTAGAGTTGGTGAAGCACATATTTGAAGTAGAGGTGTTAACCCATCCGCTGATTTTTGATCAAGAATTTGTTTTGCACACGGCATATGGCACAATTCTTTAACCACGTCGAGTTTATTACCCTTCAAGGCCGAATGAATGACTGATAAACCAAGTTTTTCCGTTATCTATTTTCAAATTGAAAACATTCTATAAAGTCTTTTCCAAAAAAATTAAAAATACGTTTTATAAGAAAACTTACCAAATTTAATTCTAGACCTAACGACAAGTCTTTTACAAAAATTTTAACAATACCAACATGGCCGTTCAGCGCAGCAAGACCTAAACTTTTCAAGTACAATAAATCAAAATTTCTATCAGTTTTCTCTTTCATTGCATATAGTAATATTTCAACAGCCGCTTCATTTCCAGACTCACATGCTAAATAAAGCGGAGTTTCCCTATTTTTTGTGTACGTTATAACGTCAACTCTTTTTAGCAATTCAGGAATTGCTTGGTCATAGCCCCCGTCCTTTACAGCCTCGTGCAATAATGTTGTTTCACAGCCATTCAACACAAATCTTCCGTTTGGTCTCATTCCTTTCGTTAGCAAAGATTCGAATAGGTTAAACTGTTTTCTAAATAAGGCGAGAGCTAATGGTGCCACATGCCATTTGCTATCTATATCTTCCCTTGTAGGAATCTGATCCAGAACATGAGGAACGTCACAGACTGTATGATTTCCGCATAAATCAATCACTTCTTTTCTCATACGATTAAATCCATCCTCATACAAATCAAGGGATAATTTTACATCTGAGATAAAGTTGTCCAAGTGAGCTTTTTGCATTATTCTCCCAAGCGATAATAAACGCCTGCGGGTCTTTGATAAAGTCTATGTTATATGAGAAAAATGTTAGGGTATTCACTATTAAAGACACTGTGCTAACTCTTTTTAATAATCATCTATATAATAATTTATATAATATATATACATATGTATACATATACAGTATATGTATATATATATATGTATATATACTTATATATCCTGTATGACCACAATTGAATTACTACTCCATCACTTGGCAACAATCGAAAGGGAAAATATAACCGACTTTTTACCAGTTTTCAAGCCGCTTTTTCCCTTTCTTTAAAAGAACTCTGTGGCGCAACAGTTATTCAATTACATCTTTGATTATGTATATAAGTAATATTTAAAGATTTTAAAAATTTGAAAAGGATTATATTCTATTAGAATAAAAAGAAGGAATTATATTACAAGAAAAACTCTTAAAAATAAATAAATAATGGAAAAGAGAAATAAATTGTCAATTTCGTCGAAAATTCTTACAGGATTCCAAACAGTTTCCATCGTAAATATTCTTAACTTATTTTGAACTAGACATTTCACTCTTAAATAATTGAAAATTGCAGGTTATTTCCATACTTTTAATAATAATTGCTTCAAAGGCTTTTTACACTTTTAAAAGGGATCGGGTAGCCATTTTTTTTTCTAAAGATTTAACTGAAGGAAAATTGTTTGATTGGAACATTCCAAAGAAATATACTTATTCATGCACTCTACTCATTATAGCATCAATTTTGACGATTTTTGTAACTATCTTTGGAATATTTTCATTCTCTAAGAAAAACTATTCTTTGTTAGAACTCAATATATGTCTATTAAACATCTCATTTATCTGTACTACATGCTCCGCAATATTTTGCGGTATTTTTTACAATGACGTAAATACTTTCTTAGAAAGTAGAATGAAAGAGTCTATTGTTAAATACGAAAGCGCTTCAGTGGATTTTTTTCAAAGTAATCCCATCTTAAAAATAGACCATTTGAGAAGAAATGAAATATCTATGATATGGGATCAAGTTCAAATTCATGTAATAAACTTTTATACATTAAAACCCAATGAAATTGAATGATTTTCTTGTTTTTCTTGTGCAGTTTAAGTGCTGTGGCATTGAGAATTATCAATTGTATAATTCGAAAAATAGAAAAATCATTTCCTACTATCCCCAAAATTTTAAGAGAATGATACGATTAACAAGTGAAAATCCCAAACCTGTTGAAGTAAATAATGAGATATTTATCTTAAATCTATTGAACCTATTAACCTTAGTAAAAATAATATTTTTCAGACAGACTATCCTCCATCGTGCTGTAAATTTGTAAATCCTTTAGCTTTTCCAAACTCAGTAAAGACATTGATATTTCAAAATTTCAAAGAGTGTATTAAACTAAATAAATTTGTTAATAAAAAAGGTTGTCTAGACCCTATTAGAAAGCATTTTAATAGTTATATTAAAGAACTTGTATTAGGCACAATTCTAATTGGAATAATGCAGGTAAGTTATATGATCGTTTATTTGATTTTAATAACGGTTAAAACATCTACTTTAATAACCACAAATAGGCGACTCAATTAATAACATCTTTAAAAAGACTAAGAAAAATCTAATAAAAACTGTGTTTTTCAATAGGATATGTTTTTTTCTAAATGACCAATCTAATTTTATCTACTGTTTACCTATCTATAAAAAGAATATGCTTTTATTTAAATTTATGTTATTTTAAAGCAACAGGGTTTGCTTATTCATTATAAATAATATATTATTTACCTTTAATAATCAAAAAAAAAGTCTTTCCTAATTAGATTGGCGGCTAAAGGTAGATATAGAAACTGGTAGTTGTTACTATAACAACCAGTAATATGGCGCTGAAAATAATAATCTAAATTATTTTCACACGGAATTTTTCAATTTTTTTTCAAGTAAAAGCAGGATAGCAAACTTTTAGAAATGTCGAGAGCTCAAGCTGAGAGTGTTATTAAGAATATCATCAAGGAGATCGCTCAGGAGTGTGCTTCTAAGGGTCAAACTGTTTCAGAAACTTTGGTCGCTTTTATGGTAAATTTTCGCAATATTATTACTTTTCAATAAAAATTCTAACATCTTCAGAATGATTTGAAAAAATATTAAAATCTGTCATATTGGAACTTTTTCAGGTGAAAGCAGTAGTTCTGGACCCAAACAATGAATTTAATGTCGATAGAACTCTAACGAAAGATGATGTTCAAAAGCTTATTAGAATATGCGTTGACCATCTTCTCGATCCTCGTTCACCTAGCCTGGAAACAGTTAAAATGCAAGTATATTTCGATATGAATTATACGAGCCGTTCAGAATTCTTAGCTGAGCACAGACGAGTATTAGAATCTCGTATGGTACCTGTTACGCGAGAGATTACAGACTCAAGGGCTAGAACTAGAGAAGAATTGGAGAGTTTATATAGAAAAATAGTATCTGCAGTTTTACTTCGGAGCGGTCTAGGTTCTCCTGTTGATATAGGCGTTGTTAGAGAAGCAACAGCAGCACTTCAAAGCGTATTCCCTCAAACAGAGCTAGGAACGTTTATGTCCCTTACGAAAAAAGATAAAGAAAAGCAACTTTATGAATTAACCATGATAGTTACTGGCATAAGACTATTTAATAAGGAATGCGGAAAGGGAGGGGAAGGAATTGATGATCTTCCTTCTATTCTAAATGAAGCAATTCCAGCTACTACTCAAAATGTTGATGTTGAAATGGAGCAGACTTTGAACAAAGCCTATAAATATGAAGCTATAATTCACTTTGTTCAAACTGAAATAGCAGAAAAAGGTACATGTCCCATTGATCCTAGTTCTTTAAAATTATTTAAAGAAGCATTGATAAATTCCCGTCAACACGAGGCTTTCCTCAGAGTTATTCTGGTAAGACAAAAATTTACAATTTCATAAATCAACATTATAATATGTCCTTTTTTCAGCATGATATTATTTCATGTGCAAAGCAAGTGGAATCATTAGAAGGACAGTTGGCTGCAAGATTAGAATCATTACAGGTAAACTATAGAATAACAAACAAATAATAATAACTAAACAGGCGTTTATTTACAATATTAGACAACAGTCCAATCAAAGACCGCTGTTCCAACAGCACATGTTTATCCTCAATTTATTCATCTGTCTCAAATATGGACCGCCTTTCAGGATGAAATGGTTCATCTATCTGTTTTGAGTAATATTCTTGTGTCTCTAGAGCCTTTCGTTCGCGTATGCATTATTGTTAAAAGTAACATCAAATTTTCTAATAGTCTTTATTTTAGACTCAAAGGGAAATATTCTCGGACGAGGTTATACAACCACTCTTGGAAAATTTAGAAGTTAAAAGTGACGAAGATAGACTAAAAGATGTAAGAGAATAACTTTTTCATATTTATATAAAATTCCATATTTATTCGATACATGAACCAATTTATCCATGAAAGATAAAGAAAACTTTGGCACCAAGGGAATTTAAAGAATATTCCAACATTGAAGTACTTTTACCTGATACGACAAATAATTATAGTCGTTTACCTATTCAGTATAAGGTTAGTTTGCAGTTACAAGTATTGTTATCTTCTAATCATTTTGCATGTTTAGGGATTTTGCCCAGTAACTTTATCAGATTTCGATGGTTATGTTCAGCCCGGTATACCAGAAATGGGTCTTTTAAAGTATAAGGATCGCTATTATTGTTTCTGTTCTCACAAGAATGCTGCAAAATTTGCGGAAAATCCAGAACAGTATGTCTCTTTCCTTTCAAAAAGACTTAAAATTATCATAAAATGCTCCTTCTTACAGATACATTCTAGAATGTGCACAAGCGGCAAAGAGAAGCCCTGAACTTATTCAGCTCCTTGAGTTGCACAATCAATTTGCTGCAATAGCGCCGTATGCCCAAGTAAGTAGCTAGTTATTCTGCAAGCTATTCTTTATACATTAACAAATTTTGGAATTCTTAGGGAAGAGAGAAAACAATGATAGAGAAGCCAATAATGAAAACAGATAATGGATGTCAGACAGACACGCATCTCATGGAATCAAATATCGTGAAGGATTATGAATGGAACGAATGGGAATTGAGAAGGAAGGCTTTGAAGTTGGCCAATCTTAGGAATAAAGCAACTCATGCCCAACAGACTAATTTAAGTAATTACAAGAGAGAAAATGCCACCCAAGTTTATCCTCTCAAAGAAAATGAAACGCAGACTCTGAAAGACGGAAAAAGTCAAGTGCCTAAACAACAGATTTTCCTTCACGGCTTAAGAGGTTGTGGTTTTTCGGAACCATCGAGAAAAACAGTTATGACCAAAATCGATCTAACAACTGACATTGATCAAAATTAAAAATCATTAGATTATTATATTAATATAACAAATATAAATTAAAAATTTCTTTTGAATTTCCCATTGACTTTATCATCACTTCTCCCCAAATACTGGAGCAGACTTTGGGTTATTTATCAAGATATCCCTCCTTCATTATGACTATAGTTAAAAGAAAAAAATATATGCAATAAAAAAAGCAAACAGCAATATGTAAAAAAAAAGATCAAACAACTGACCTATATTTATTATAAATATCTTTGATATTTATTAATTTTCTATCTGATCAACACATTTTCAAAGAAATAAAAAAAGTAATCAGTATTCTTTTAATCTTCAAGATGAAAATCTGTAAAATGTAACCACATTAGACTTCACAGATTATCATAATTTTAATAACTTTATTATGTAACGATAAAAAAGTAAACAAAGAAAATTTTTTTAGTTTTTCCTTTGTTGAAAGCTGATTAATTTACCTTTTAGCCTACTACCATGTAATATTAACAATAAACAGACATGATTTAGATCTTGAATGTAATATTTGCAACATACAGACACAGTCATTAAATTTCAACGAACTCTAATTTGATACAATTCGAATCCAGTTTTAAAAGGCAATGTCATTGAATTTAGTTGAAGAATATTTAGCTTCACCTATCAATTTCAGGTTGTCGTTTTCCTAGTTGCTTGTCCATTATTTATCCTTCTTAAGAGAAGTAACAATATTCTCATTATTAATAAGATAACAATTTGGAAACAAATAAAACTTTTAAAGTATATAACAAGGAATAATGTATGCTTTTGTCATTTAGCTATAAAAAAGAATCTTTTATTTTTTCTTTAGAAAATTCACAAATTTCCTTAATAGCGCCGCTGGCTGACATTCTTGAAGTTAAATCTAGAATCACTGGTTCCATGAGACGATGTATGAGATTTATGCTGGTTTTGATGTGCGGCTAAGCCCATTAACAGGTGTGCCATATTCGCATTATTAGAAAGATTTTGCATCGACCATTGCTGACCGCTTGAACTAGTATTTGAACCTCTTCCGCCACCTGGTGGTTTATACAAGACTCATTCTATCTCGAACATTATAGATTTAAAAGTATGTCATGGGTAAGATGCTTGACGGTTTTGACGAAGAATTTTCTTATATTGGAAATTAGTTGATAATACATGCTATGTTATCATTGAAATAAGCATTATGAAATCATTAATAAGAAAATATTAAGGAATTATATATAGCTTCTTAGCGTTTTATTTATTCCGATTAAATAATCTAGAAATCTAAATGAATAAATAAAAGACAAAATAAATGAATAAATACGGCAAAGAATCTAGGCCATAAATGTCATTTTTTTGTCAGTAACAATTATAAAGCGTTCGTAAACACTACCTTCTTGGGGATATCAAAATGATACTTAGTTAGATTGCTTCCTTCTTTTCTGATATTAGAAACAATCGCAGATTTCTTTTAAACCATTAAGAATTTTTTTGATAACGTTAAAAAGTTTATATATTGTTTAACAATGCAAAAGTTATTAGTACAAGGGTCAACCTTAAACCAACAATTAAAAAAGGAAAGCTCAACTTAAAAATTGAAGAGGATAACTCATAACGACTACACACACGTCCACATTCACCGTCAAGCAAAATAGCCATTTCGCCTCTTGAATTTATTACCTTTTTCTTGATCCATCCAAAATCCGTTGTCATGACGTCTTCCTGTTCCCGATTGAGGAGATATACGACGATTTCTTTCCCGGTTATTTTCCAATCTTCTTTTGTTATCCCAATCGTCTCGTGGGTTCTTTCTTGATTCATAATTTCTTTTCTGAGCTTTCCTCTGTTCATCTAACTGTCTCTGGAAATGTCTTAACTGCTCTCTATCTCTTTCTAACTGTCGTTCACGGTCGATTCTTTCTCTTTCCATTCTTATTCTTTCTCTCTCTAAGCGCTGCATTTCAAATTTTTCCCTCTCAAATCTTTCCCTTTCAATCCTTAATTTTTCTTTTTCTCTTTCGAGCTTAGCCATTTCAACTCTCTGCATTTGTTGAATTTCTCTTTGTCTTTCTTTCTCTCTTTGTATTTCCCTTAGCCTTCTTTTCTCCATAAAACGAATGCGTTTTTTCCTTTCGTCCTCCTCTTTCAGGCGCTTCTTTCTCAGCATTTCTTGATTCCGTCGCTCCTCTTCTTCTCGTCTTCGTCTCATTAATTCTCGTCGCTTTGCATCCCGTTTCTTTTCTTCCCTTTGTCTTTCCCGTTCGTACTCCCTTGCTTCTTCTTCGTCTGTTCTATAGGGAGGATTTTCACTACTAAATGAATGTCTTTGTTGACTAGATGAAACGGCTGGTTTAATAGACTGAGCCATATTTATTATTCTTGGGTTTGCTCTCTCAACGAACAAACTTCGGTTCATAAATTCAATTCCATTCAGCCCTTCTAGAGCTGCGTGCGCCTGCTTAACTCCTTTCATTACTATTAAACCAAACATTTTCCTCTCTTCGTTTTCCTTTTTCATAACAACCTTGGCAGATAAAACGTTTCCATATTTCGAGAATAGTTCTTTTAGACCGGTGGCTTTTACCGAATATGGTAAATTACTTATCCAGAGAGTCTTCAAGTCCCTGTTTTGATTTTTGGAACAATTTACACACCCGATTGACGTCTTTTGTAGGTGTAACATTTTTAAAACAAAATTACTCCTAAAATTATCTTACCACATAACCTTTGTTAATTTTTATCCACACTTCTTTGTTTCAGCTTGAATAACCGCTCATATTAGTTACACAAGCTCTTAATTTTATTTAGTTACTAACAGTTTTTGTTTACTCATGGTAAAAAAATTTTTTCCCACATGCATACTGTTATACATGCTAAATAGGGGAAAGTATTGCATTTGCTTCTTAGAACCAACCAACCTCGTTTCAGTGTCTTTCAGTTCTTCACTCGCTTTCATCGCCCTTTCTTCAATTTCAGGGGGCTCTCCTTTGTCTTCTGTATTATCCGCTGGCTGATATTCAAGTGTCTTTTTTACATCTGTGGCATTTCTCTCGCATATTTTCTTTGTACTTTTAAGATGTTCAGCATCTTCCAGTCGCCTGTGTTCTTGCCTAATTGCATCATCAACTCCCGGTAAATCAGAATCCAATGCATTCTGGGATGCATCATCAACTTTGACAATGAAAGTTTCCTCTTTACTTTCGTCGGTTAATTCGGTTTTTTTTACAATTCCTTCGCTCTCATCGTCATGAGCTGTTCAAGTTTCAAATATAACGACAGAACAAAAAACAATAAGTAAAAGAATAGGAGCTATATAACGACAAAGACGTGCATAGACTCTCTTCCTTTCAATACCAATTGTGAAACACCTAGTCGTCTTATATCAGAGGAATCATTGGCAAAAAAATTCAGCTTTTTTTTATCACATACAATAAAGTTAAAAACAGAAATCAAACATAAAACCGAGTCCATTTTTTTAAGTCGTCTACTTACCCTTTGATAATTTCCTATTCTTTGCTAAAGGCTCCTCCTAAAATAAAACATATAGATTATATTATATGAATATGATCTTTATATTATCCTAATAAAAAAGTCACTTACGTCTAAAACTCTTTCTTCGTCAGCATCAAAACTTATTGTAAGAGTATCTTCAACATCCGTTTTAACGACCTTTGACATGTCTACTTTCTTTTTATCATCACGCGCTGAAAAACAATTGATGGTTAAATATATAAAATATGTTCACAGGAAAAATAGTATAAATAGAACTACTAAAAAATTAATCGATCAACTTGAAAGGTACACAAGAAAGTTTTATAAGATGCTATATGGAAAAATTCGCTTGATAAGAATTAAACTTTAAGCTAATTACCTTGCTTCAATGAAGCAGAACAACTTGAAACCGAAGCCTTAGATAATAACGGTAGAGTGTAAAAACTTCTTTCATTTTATGTAATTGCTCTCAAGTTATATAGCTTGAGTTCTATATGCCTTTCAATCGCTAGAGCAAGGCTTGGTATGGAAATTTAGAACTACTTATAAGATATTTAAATATCTTATTTTATATACTGTATTTTAATATATAAGTTTAATATAAAAGTCTATTTTACAATTTAATATGTATATTCATTTTATCTTAACTTTATTAGTTTTTCAATTTATATACAGTGTATTATGTTCGTTAATTTATCAGTTATATTTAGATTAGACACAATATATATAATATAAGAATGTAAAAACTTCAATAACATTATAGATCTAGTGTATAACCTATTCTTAATAGTGTACTCATCTTTTGATTTAGGCTCAATAACAACTAATATTAAGATAAGTATGACTGTAGAATATTCTCTTGTTTTTTTAATTAATGCAACAAATATTAGATATTACGTTTAATTTCTAAGACTATCGCAATCATTGTTAAGAATAAAAAAATATGAATATGTAAAAATAATATTCTAAATTATTACCTTTTGAAATTTTCAAAATTTTGAAGTTTACTTGATCGATTGCCTTACCACTGATTTCAACACTCTGTGGATAGTATTATTGTCACTTTAGATGTGAACTTTATGATAGAGATAAAAAAACTTGTCGAAAAAAAGTTCGCCAAAGCTTTAACACTTAATTAAAAATAAATGAAAAATGAATAACCTCTTTCAAACGCTCCTTCTGACTCTCTAAGGTTCCTGTAATTTCTAAACCTCGCTTTTTTAATTCTGCTCTTATTTCAATACTATTTAGCTCTGAAAAAGTCTTATTCACAACACATTCGGTGGACGCCATTTTATATATGGTGAGTGAGCATGCGCAACAGACGAAAAATTACTAGAATATAACTTTATTTCCGGTTTCGCGCAATCTTTACTACAAAAGCAATTAATAATATATTGTTAGTGGAAGTAAAATTGAGTGTGTTATTTTCGTCTTTTCGATAAACAGTTTGATAATACTTCATTAAACATTCCATTAATTCCTTCTCCACTTTGACAAGAGGTCTCAAAGTATCTGAAAGAAAAGAACAATAGAACACATTAAATAGCTAAAAACACTATAGAATTAATCATTTTATTATGTCAACAAAATAATAGTAGAGCTTACTTGGATTTTCTGGATGAGGCATATCTTTTCCCCTCTGCTGCAGGTACAATTCTCTTGGCTCTTAAGTCAGTCTATTAAAGTGAGAAGAAAAGAATTTGATTGTATTCATAGAATAATAAAGCTATGGGTAAACTATCTACCTTATTACCAATAATATAAGTGTCAAAGTCATTTGTACAGTATTTATTAGTCTCTTTAAACCAATAATCGAGTTTATCAAAACTTTGTGAATTTGTAACATCGAATACAAACAAAAAAGCATCAGTACCATTATATAATTCGTTTCTAACTTCAAAATATTCATCAGAACCAGATAAATCCCATAAATGAACTCTTACTATTAACAATAGAAATAGATAGCATATTTCATTAAAAAACATTTATAAAACTTACATTCTTCATTATTAATATCGTGTATTTTAAAGCCATAATCAACTCCAACAGTAGGCTGATATGAAGTACTATACTATTAATATATGAAATATTTGAATATAATTGTTAAGTATTGAATATTAGCAATGTAATTACCTTACTCTCACAAATATGCTTTATTAAACAAGTTTTTCCAGCAGCTAAATCGCCAATTGCAACAATCTGTAAATATATTTTATTGAAAAAGGAAAGTTATTAAATGGCCATTTAATGTCAATAGATTAGAAAGTAATGGCTAAACAATGATTATATATATATATAAATACTGTATATGTATACTGTATATACTATATCTTTATTATTACAATTTACTCTATTATTGTCTTCTATTTTAATTATATCTTACCTTTATCCAGACTAGATCTGAAACTACACCAAGTACTTTCTTGTTTAAGGCTTCTCGATCCTTGTTCATGTCCTATTTTTAATCATATTAACATTTGTTATTAATGTTTTCTAACTATATTTTTGTTAGCCTAGCTTAAGCTTTATAATCAAGGAGTTCGTTTCCTTAGTGACTTAGGCCTACTGATATTGATTTGATTTAAATACAGTGTACGAAAAAAATTGCCAGTATGTTATACTAATATAGTATATCCTTAATACAATATGTATAAAAAAAATACTATTATATCGATTGGAATATGTTTAATAAACAATTAGGCAGTTTCTTACAACATCCAAAAAGTTTCAAAACAAACTTCTCTACCACTAGGTGGCAGTAAATTTCATTTTTCTTATCTTATCTCGTTTACCTGCGAAAGATTCTAAACATGTTCGATTACCTGAAACATTAGAAAGATGGCTGAATTGGAAGCAAAACCGGTTTCGTTTATAAGAGTTGTATCAGCAACTATACCGTTAAATTTTCTCATTCAAATTGCAATATTCGCAACTCCTTATTGGTCATACAACGGCAATCATATTCGTTCGGAGTATCATGGTCTCTGGTGGATATGTTTTGTAAAATGGAGGACAGATATATGTTTTCAATTTGAAGATGATTACTATCATGAAGTACCCCCAAGTAAAATATTCAATACACTATTTCAAATAACAATATGAGAGTAAATTAACTTTAACACTCCCACTGATACAGTCTTAGGTTGGTTTACCGGATTCAGAGTGCTGATGTGTTTATCATTAGCCTTCCTCTTCTTCGCATCAGTCGGTATAGGTATAGTTTGCATGTCAAAAAAGTCAGCTCTACCAAAATACATTTGTGGACTTAATGTTCTAGCCGGTAAGATTTTATCCTCTTTTATCTTTGACAAAAGCAATTTTTACAATTTACGAAATGTTTACTTTCTTCCCGCAGGCGTTTGCACCCTAATAAGCGTCATTCTGTACACAGTCAAGATACCAATTAGAACGTTTCATTTTTGCTACTCTTTAGCTATAATGTCTTTTATATTTTCATTCGTTTCAGCAGGATTTTCCTTGACCTAATAGCCTACCTTTTCCATTATTACATGTATATGTATATTTATACAATATATATACTGTATAACAAACTTTATAATTTTATAGGATATATAGAAACAAAACAAAGCATTTTATAAATAAAAGAAATTATTAAAAGGATTAATATTGTAACATATAAACAAGAGAATTGTTTTCCTTTCCTTAACGAAAGAAACTCATATCGAGTGCGAAATAAAAGTAGATCGAGATTAGAAACCCGAGGCGTCTAACGTCATATAGAGAGCATATGATGGATATTGACTTAACCAATTACTGTTAATTCATGGCTCACGGGTATATATGGATAAAGTAAATGTACAATATAAACGTGCCGTGTATAAAATATAACAAAGAAAAGGAACTACCCGCAGGGAAGGTGAAGAATAACAGAAGAGCACACACTTGGTATTCGGTTCACATTCCACCGTTTCTTCTCCATTACCGAACATATTTACTGTTTCTTTCATACGGAAACTAACAGGGTTATAATGATAATAATAAATATATAGCATATTTTGCGGGCTGTTGCAGTTGTACGACAGCATTAATAAGTATATGCATCATTTCTGCCCTTGTGGCGTATAATACGATGTATTGACAAAAAAAAGATAATTTTATTTGTCTTTTTGGGTCTTCCCTTCCTACTTTTAAAAATCGATATGAATTTTTCCGCCTTTCATCTCTCCTTCTATCTTCTCATTCTCTCTTCATTTCAGGAAAAATAGATATATTTTATAAACCAGATTGTGGTGGGCACGATCGTATTATTTGGTGTATTTCCTTGAAAAATTGATGATCCTTATTGCCAACCAATTGCAGTAGTAGGGATTCGGCAGTTGTCACGATCGCTCCTGCTTGCCGAATTCTCTAAAAAGTAAATTAGTCAGAAAAATTACAGACTAAGCGTGAAAATCTGCAGTCAATTAACCTCTAAAGCAAATTTTCTATCGACTGAACTCCGACTTGACGTGGCATCCGCAACGACATAGACTTCATAGTTTTTCTGCAATAGGTCTATGACAGTCTGCTGTACACAAACATGAGTTTCAACTCCGAACACGACTATGTGCTTTAGAGCTCCATCGCACAAATCAGGTAGTCTATGCTCTACCTCTGGTATCATCATACTAAACTTAGTCTTCTGAAAGACACCAACAGCAGCCTCCGTAGCTTCTTGTAGTTCTGATACTGTATTTCCTAATCCCTTTGGATATTGTTCCGTGACGACAAGTGGTATTTTAAGAATTTTTGCTGCCGAAACCAAACGTCTGGATACTTCTAATATATCGTTAAAATGTTTTATAGCTGTTCGAAATCTTTCTTGCATATCGCAGAGAAAGAAAACAGTCTTTCCGCTTTTTACATTTCCTAGCGTATTCGTGGATGGCATCCTATCGAAAGTTCTGTCGTTGTCTGTCGAGATAATAAAATGTGATTTCTCATAGATGGCGATAGTGTTGCCAGAAAAATCAGGGCCTTTAGACAAACTAATTGCTCTTTACTCGTACTGGGAAATAAGTAAGAGTCTACCATTAAGAACAAAGTATATGATTTTGTCAAGTGATTTTTTACCAAGATACTAGAGATATATAATTGTAATCGATACGAGTCTTATCGTTTCTTTTTATTAGTCCTTTGGAGGAAGGAATAAAAAAAAAACAAAAAAAAGAAACAATGATCGTTTCTTCATTGACAGACTTTTACAATCTACTACATTCATTCTTCAGTTTTCACTTTCTATAATTCTTTTGTTATTTATCACTTGGAAATGGAAAATAATGGGCTTAGATCTCGTGTCGGGGGAGCTCTACTATTTACCACTGAGGTATGAATAACTGGTAAAGAGTAGCGTCCAATTTTGTTTATTGCAGTTTTTGTAGGTGCTCTATTCATTTCACTCAAGATAGAATTTTTAAAGTCTCTTATAGTTACATTCTGCGAAGTTCCAATTGTTGTTTCGTCGACAGTTTTTATCCTTATCCCATTATCTGTTATGTTACTTTCATGAGGTTGCTTTGGGCTTTTCCCACCTTCTTTCCTATTTCTTCTGTATTTGTTTATCGTAAAGCACAAAATTCCTATCCCAAGACTTGATACAACAACAAATGCGATTGTGAAACCAGAAAAAATAGCTTCAGTTGGATACTCTTTTATAGAAGCCTTCTGAGCCTGGACAAGCGGACTTAACTTGTTACATCTAATACCAATGTAGCCTTTTATACATGCTCCTCTATTGCAGCTTCCGTCCATATAATCACATCCGATTTGACAATTTTTAGAGCATAAAAATAAGCAAAATGGTCCCCATCTCTGTGTTCCCTTACAAAATCCTTTCCATTCGTCTTCTAAACCTCTTCTCATCTCTGCCCAGAATTCCTAAGTAATTTTAATATTAACATTTAAAAATGAATAAACGTTCTTTCGAATGGACGTATTGTACAGTATTTGCGAATATTTACTCTAAATTGCGTCAGATTTTTATATTCTGATTCCTTTGGTAAAAAAGGTTTGAGATCGTTTGTGCATCTGATTTGATAGGCATAATCGTTTCTTCTGCATCCTTGCTCACAAGTTCCACCAAGTGGATTGCAACTATTGTTCAAACAATCTCCACATCTCTGTAAACAAAACGGCCCCCATCTATTCATTGATCTGCAATACTTTTTCAATTCAGCAGACCCTCTCTTTATTTTTGTTGTCAATATTTGCTGAACACTTAAATCGTATACTCTATCACCTGAAAAAGACATCCCTGATACCTCAAAGTTCTCAAATATCATGTACAAAAAAAAGTTTTTCCTTCAGATAAAGATTTTGCATTTGTTATTTCTCTATCTCATCGTATAACTCCCCTAGAAATTGATATACCTGTATTCATTTGCCAATAGTCACTATACATTAGTATAAAAATAAAGCAATTAGCAAAGATCAAGCAGGAAAGAGTATTTATCATATCTTCAAAAGATTGCACAGGGGCAGGGGAGCAGGATAGATATTTTTTTAATGGTGATAGATTTTATAAAGAATATTTAAATGAGAAAAAACACATCAATTTTTTTCTTCTCTTTTTCTCAGAAATTCAATAATAAAGAGTTTTTTTTAGTTGTATAGATCTTTGCTATTTATAAACCATAAATGTATTTTTTTTTATACACTTATTCTCTAATCTTGTATCCTGAGCTGATATGTTCACGTTTAGATTTTCCATGTAACTAAGGTCTTAATTTGGCTACTTTTTCGCATTGAAGATGCTGTAATAAGGGAGAAAAAGTGGTAATGTAAAGATAGAACGCCATTAGTTATGTTGTCTTTCAACCAAAGCTACGTCTTTTGCCAAACGACAATTTAGCTACATTTCTAATGGAAAAAATAGGGCAGGCTTTGTTTATAATTTCCCTTAAAATATGTACTGGAAAACCTTTCCTTTATATGAGAAGCTGTTAATAATTTAGCATGAAATAGCAGTAGGGATCGTAGAGGTGAGAATTAATTATAAAGTAATACATATAATATATCCTTATTAGAAAATAAACGGAAATTTTCAACATATCATAAAAATACTGTTATCTTTCAAACCGAATTGTATTTATTATTGTTATTCCCATCCCGGTAAATAAATATTTGTACTATAATACAATTGACCTTATTAAAAAAATGACGGTCACAAAACGAAACACAAGAATCAACTGTATATAAACTGTATATATGGAATGTGAAAACGTTAAGACTAGCAAGGTAACAGAATTTTTTTTTTCAGGTTGATTAATTTTAGAGACAAGCATAGCAATTAATTCAGAAAAAAAATATAAATTATACTGAACATAAATACTTGTATAACAGACACATTTAGTATTGTACTAATGAAATATTTTAAAAAGTCCATTAGGAAGACTTAAAAACCAGATACGTCATCAAGCATCACAAACAATCTAAAGCAGTAAAGCATGCACTTCAAGAAGAAACAAAAAGAAAATAAAGGAACAAATAAGAAGATAGTAAAAAGAAGAAAAATAGAGAAACAGAGATGAAGAAAATAACTTAATAGATTTGTTTGTTAGTTTTTTTTTTTAATTACCCATCTGCCTATATTTTATAGAAAAATCTTATGATTTTATTTCTATTCTCATCGCTTCAAGATTGTTCTAACCAAGAGGGATTTGAAGAATTGGGAGTTTTTAATTTTATACTAAATTGTTTCATTGTCTTTTCCAATGCTACCACATTTCCAGTATGGTAATGAGAGACAGCGTTGTGAAACAGTAGCAACTGTTTTTGCATTACTTTAACCTGTAAGAAAAAAAATAATAATTCTTTAGTTACTATTTTGTAATTATAGAAGTTGCAACATAATAACTGCTAAAATTATCAATTTCTAAACGAAAATCTAATTAATCGCTGAAAATTAAACCCAAGATTCGCGTCCCATGCACTAATAAAATCAAAAAATCTTTCTCCTAATAAAATAATGTAGAGGGATAGCGCCAGCCATTACAAACAACGAAACACAACCTTGTGTGAGGAGGTGTTGGACACACCGCATCGGCATTAGAACCGACCCAAGAAGCCATTGATGATTGCAGGTGTCGTAACTGTCGCACAGATACCTGGTACTGTGCCAACAAAAAATAATAAATGCTCTACCCCAAAGAATTAAAATTTTTTGAAATAAAACATAAAAAGCTAAAAGCTTTTAAAGAATAAATTGTTCCTTTGGCTGGATGTAAAATGTTTTTAACACCGACATTCTTTACATTTTTTTTTAATATACGGTAAGTAATTTTTTTGAAGTACATATCATTTTCAAATTGCTATCCTTATATAAAACTTACTCTATTCTCATCAAGAAATCTCATCTTGATCGAAACATCCCCTCTTAAACGCTCAAATTTTGCTTTGTGATAAGCATGTTTATTTTCAGCCTCCTTGAGTTTTTGCATCGTAGTTGCATCTCTTGGACGAAGCTGAAGCGACTCAACATCTAACCGGTAGGCATCATATTCAACTCTAAATACAACATGTTAATGTTAAAAAGATGAATATGAATTTTTTTTTCTCAATATAAATTACCTGGCTGTCTCATAATTTCGAATTGTTTGCAACGTATCCTCCATCGTTTTATGTGTTAAGGTATTAATGCCCGAAATGAAGAAATTCAGAGCTCCTATTAAAGATTCTCCACTTTTGGCTAGGTTCTTTTGAGTTTCAGAATTGGAGGCAAATTCTTCTTGTAGTTCCAAAGATTTTTGGGCCAAATCGCTAAATGCTTCACTCATGACTCTTTGGGTTGTAAAAACACCAGACAATTGATTAGCCAATAACCTAGCCAATCTCAGTAAATTGGAATATCTGGTAAATGTATTTAAGGAATAAAATCTCTCTATTCAAGTTTAGTTTAAATTTTCCAAAAACTTACCTTCTTTGTGTATCTCGAAGAACTTCAATTTGACTCTCTAATTCAACATCCACGGTTCTTGAACTGTTTCCAAATTTCTCCGAAATAAGTTGTTTTGTGCATTTAAATGTACTAATTGACCAGTCTTTTATTGCATCCAACTTGGATGAGGAATTTAAGTTAAGCTGTGTAACAGATGAACTGTGTCCGTTTACAGACGGTGAATGAGGAACGGATGCTGCATCTAATAATTAGACAAATCGATGACATGACTATTCATATTTTAAGGAAAAATATTTTAATACCAGGTAATCTTCCTTGAATTGGACCTGAGGCAGATCTCGGAACACTAGTCGAAGGCATAGACATAGGATTTGTGGAAGTTGATAAATCGCCTTGAACAGTGTCAGCAGTTGGACTTATAGAAGGCCCTACTTTAACAAGAATAATTAGAATGTTAGTGATAATGAATCAGTAGATAATACCACTAAATATCAATTGTTAAATATATATAATATTTTAATAAGATAATTTGAGTCAGCGTTAAGTGGTACTAACCATCCTTTAGCATATTTTTCAAATCCCTCTCAAATTGTTCATCTTCTCCTTTGTCTTTTTCCTCCATTCTTCAAAAATATCAATAAGTCGGATAAGAAAAATAATATATATCCAGCCCCTTGCAATTTAATAATTAACAATAAATTAATTTTCAAAGGTAAGTGCAACGGCTGGAGATAAAACAGTGGAATTGCTGACGATGAATCGTTCACGCCGCAAATCTCGCAATATCTCGTTATACTGGTTTATGTATAAATTTGGAGTTGATGAACAACTTTTCCTCGAATTTACATCCCTAATATTTAGTTTTATTTTTTAAATTATTTTTACCGTGATATAAGTAATTTTTAGATAAAAAATCGAATTTATTCCAAAATAAGATTGAAAGAAATTTAATTTTGTGAAGCAATCACAACGTTTAAGTGTCTACACATTGTTTGTTTTGATAATATTTTTTAAATTGATATCAATATGTCAGCGTCACTTGGTGGTGTTCCAGTAAACGAAAGCAATATTTCAAATGTATATTTTAATATAATAATTTTCAATTTAAAGATAAAGTTATTACATTATCGCTCAACAGCTCAAGGACATGCTTCAAACTTATAATCGTATTACAGAACAATGTTTCCAAAGATGTGCAAAGTGTTTTAATAGTATTGGATTGAATGAGGATGAGGTAATAAATATTACTTTTCTTTCAACTGTAGATGGAATTTTCATGTGTTTCTTTTCAATAGAAAATGTGTGTGGAATCCTGCAGTAGCAAATTCGTGGCCGGCAATCAAAAGATGATTGCCACTTTTGTTGAACTTCAGCAAAAGAAAAACAAGGAAGCAACAGATGAAGCTGCAAAACTAGCAGCAAAACAAGCAACAGATGAAGCTGCAAATTTAGCAGCAAAACAAGCAGAAACTGAAGAGAAATCTGATACATGATTATTTTCTGTGTAAAAAGAATCATTTTTATTATCATTATTATCTTTGTTCATTTAAAAAATTATTAAAAGTTACTTTTATTTATAATCGTTATTTAAATCCTGTTCTGTAAAATCCGTATTTGACTCTGCGCCACTTGTTGCACTTTCATAATGAATATCATAATTGGAAAATGATGTTCCAAAGAAGATATTCTGCTGCAGCAATGAATTTCGGTGCTCTTTTGAAGACGAAGGATTCATTGATATAGCTATAAAATAACAATAGTTACGATGGCTGTTTTAGATTACTGTTATATAAAATTAACTTTGCGACGGTGAATATCTCTGTTGGAAAGTTACTGGGAATACAGACGGTTTCCTATTGGGATGATTCCTTAAATAGTAGTCCACCCTTCCATCACTAGTTGTTGAGTCTATATAAGCTTTCGAGGTGCGCGGAATTTCGTCGAATTTGAATGTTTCGATGTTTTGCTAGTTTGTAAAAAGATATTCGGGCTGATTGTTTATAAATTGAGTTTATTATTTTTACCTGATAGGTGCATTGCTGATTTACTGGAGCAGCTTCGGAAAGTGAAAACACATGCTTCTCCTGCAATTTTGTATTATTATAAGTCACATAAATAATAGTCTAAAGAAAGAGATGAGAGTAATACTTGATCACGCATCGGGTAGTTAAGATCTAAGTTCTGCGATTCTGATTTTTCTAGTGGATTTAAGAATAAAGAAATGTGTCAAGATGCACATCTTTCAAATCAAAACGAGAAATTTACCTGAAAATGCGCACGAAGGAAGCTGTTGATATTGTTGTCTTACGCTTGATGCGCTGGATAAAGAACGAAAGGTTGCGAGTTTTGTTCGTTTTTTCTAGGAGATATATCCCTGGCTTACCTATAAACAGTATGAGTACCAGAGATAAACTCAGGTCTTGAATTCCATTGATTGTACGTAATAAAGTAGTGAGTACGTATCCAAATCCATTGTTGTCCCTTGGTTAAAAATCTATAAAAGTTGGATACGTGCTGTCCAACTTTTAGAACTAAGTGTAAGATAAAATAAAAGACTAGTAGACTGATTGATGAGTTATTTATAAAGATTGAATAGAATTACGTTGAGTATGTCCTTCGAAGACACTCAATATATCATCTGGATGACAGTACTGGTAACAACTGGTACCAAGCAACTCGAAATGCATGTAACCTATGAGGAAGGGCGCCCTGTAAAGTATTAAAACTTGTTTATATTCTAACATCTGTTTCGAATTAAGTTCAAGTTAAATTAGGAGAATAATTTCTAGTTTACCTCTGATCGATGTATAAAAACTTCCATTCTAAATTATATCTAGTTGAAAATTCGTTATTTTTTTCATCTACTACTCCCAATTCTCTTAGAGTAGTAGCGTTTAATAACCGAATACTACAGCTGAAATATCTCTCTTCGTTAATATCAGAAGGATTTATCGGATCCTGATACGACTTTTGGTTACCTATTAATTTCAAAACAATTTGGCTTTACTATAAACACATTATTAGTAATCCTGGGTTTTATCAGGCCTCGAGCAAAATAGCATTACGATTTGGAAATAGGCTACCAATGGTGGACTCATTTTTTTCGTAGATCCTAAATGATTACTATTTGAATAAAAAGAGCAAGACAGCTACAACTTAAGCCGCTATTTCGTCTTAGACAGAGCTTTTAGCTGGCAATTTTTATAGCTCTTTCATCCCTTTTAATCTCCAATAGATGTCATGAAAGTTCCATCGATCTGAGATAGAATTATCGAGTTGTGTACCGCTGTCGATATCATGTGCAACGTATCCTTTTTGTAGGAGGGTATGAACCATTGCTTGTATTTGAACTTCGGTGCAAGGAGTCGAGTAAAGGTTCCGTTTGATAAACATTTTATTCCATTCCATGAATATATAAGGTGTTTTCAAAAATCCTTCTGACCTTTCTAAGACTCTGCACTCAAAACCCTCAACATCTAATTTGAGGACACCAACTTGAGAAGGACTAACAATTGCGGATAAATGCTGTAGGAAGGTTGTTCTTACGTCTCCTTTCGGGGTACAGCGCTTAATCCAAATTCCACCTTGATTATCATCGTTTCTAGTCATTTCCGCCCTGCATATTCTATCAAATAGAGCATTCCGAACGATGGTCACGTTCGAGTGGAACCCGTTTAACGCAACTGAGACGCTTAACCTCCTAGCACTTTCTAGATTTGGCTCCACTGCAATAACATTGTGACCAAAATTAGCTGCCAATAATGTAAAATATCCAATATTGGCTCCAATATCTATTAAAATCGAATTCTTCTTGAAGGACAAAGCTTTAAGTAGACGCTTGCTCATACGTTTCTCCCACACTCCAGTACCTCTAAGGGATGCTGAGATATATTTATCTCGAGATGCTTCATAGACACATATAGAGAATTTTAAAGGCGTCTTGATACAGTCGAATTTATTATCTAAGGATGCATTGGATATTGGCAGAATATCAAATTGTTCCGACTTAAAGCGCTTCTTGATTAGGCCTAAGTAAGATATATTATTGTTTTCTTTTATATAAATATGCCTTCGATATTATATTTGCATATTCTCTTTGTAGCTATACTTCAAAGAGAGAGTTGATAAGAGAATTCAATTATTAATTACCAACCTAAGATAATAAAGAAGGTTAAAAACAGTAAAGGACCAACTTTATAAAATCGCATCTTCTCTTTCTAGAGGGAAGCATAGAATGAAAAAAAATTACGACGCCACAAGACGTCGCCCTAGTCAATCTTAGTGAAAAAACCCTTAGGGATTTTCTTAACTGTGCGATCTACTAATAGGAGTGTAGGCCTGATTGCCCAGAAAACTATTTCGATTATAAAATGGCATTAATTTTTTAATGAAAAATAATGATAATTATACTTATTGTAATAGATTACTAACGAAATGGGTTGTATTGCCGGAAATTACCGCTAATCCTAACCAATTGGAATACGGGTTTGTCGTTAAAGTAGTCATTATCTCTCCTCTTCATATGTAGCTCTACACATAATTGATTCTTCTGATTCTTCTCTGGTCAGAGCGAAAGAAAAAAATCAATTAATGATCTAAGAAAATGATGGAAGCGGGGATTGTTATCCGACTATCATAAAAGCAAAGTAGAAACAAACGTCAGATTCATTAAATATACATTTGATCAATTTTCTCAATAAGTTTTAATCTTTTTTAACTCTCCCTTTCTATTTACTATTCTTTTATTAAATTAATATAACCTGTCTCCTTGTACAGTGTAATGTCATCCAGATTTAGCAAATCGTATAATTTCTTGCAGTCGCTGGGATGGATATAATCGTAAACCGATTTATTTTCAATTTCACTCTGTATGAAAGTGTTTAGTCATATTTTTAAGTTGTCAACCTAATTACTTACCTGTGCAAAACCTAATAATCCAAAAATAGTTCGGGAAACGTAAAGAATAGTTCCAGATTTATCGAGGACCAAAAATATTGCGTCCAGAGCCTTTATTTATATTAAGTATAAGGGGATATAACATGGATAACACTAAACTTATTAAAGTATTAATGGTTACTTAATATTATTTAAGTTTTCATGTAAAAAAAAAAGTATATATAAAATAAAATCTTTACTTCCATCATAAATCGGGAGAATTCGACATCAGTGAAGAAGAACGGCTTTAATTCTTCATTGAATTGATCATCCTTTAATGTTTTCGATTCGTCTTTTAAAAAAAGTACGCGGAAAAAGGGTATATGGAGAATCTATTGTCTATTAAAGAGTATTACCACCGTGTTCTTTGATCCTATCAATAGCAGCTTTCAGTATAGATACTTTATCCATTTTCTCTCCGTTCGAAGAAACCATTTGCCATAATTCATTAATTAATAAATTGAACTGATCTCTTCTTTTCTTTTCGGAAATGTTTCTTGATTTTCTTTTAAACGCAAAAACAGATAGTCATATAGGTAATACATGTAGTTTGTTTGAAAATATTCAATACCTCCTTAGCGAATTATCGCTAGAAGAACTTTTCAAATCGTCAGGAATTCGTCTAAATATAGAAAAAAAAATAAAATAAGAATCCACTAATATAAAGATAAAGAATACATTACATGCATCTTAAACCGGAAAGAGAATTAGATGGTAAATAAGTATTAGACGATGGAGATCTATCTTCTGATTTAAAGTTCATGTAAAACTTTTAATTCCACCTGAATTGATTCCATTATAAGAAAATCAAAAAATTTAGTTAATCAATTATCAATTATTTCTCTCTCTCTCTCTTCTCTTCTATCCGTTCTGTCTTTTTTTTGGCATATATATATATATATATGTTTAAATCCGATTTAAAAAATTAACATAAAAAGTCAAAGGTTTGGGCGGCTCAATTAAAAAAAATTATTGTGTGTTTCCTAAATATAATCTACTTAATTATGTGGATTGTAAAAAGTGTTTGTTTTAATAATGAATTACTATTCCATTCTAAAAATAAACAATAACAATAACAATAACAAAATAAACTAAATGTTAGACTAAAGTTCAATATGTTCGAAATTTGTTTAGTATATTATGTAATGTCTGATAAACAGTGTAAAATATATATCTATTATGAATATGATATATTAGATAATATTTGCAGGATTCGAGAATCTATTAGAAAAAATAAAGAATGAAAATAGATAAAGATGGATTAATGTTAAAAGTACATCTGCTGAAAAAAAGCCCTCTTTAATTTTATTAATAACAATTTCTTTTTTAATTTAATGCATTTTAAGCGGATTTATAGGCATACTTACGATATATATATATATATATTTTACTTTTAAACCATAAGCATAAAGTATAATAAATATTTTCTAATTAAAGGAAAAATGGAAACTGGTATTTCAGAATTCACACATCTTGTATTCTTTCACAATGAATATACTTTTGACAATCATAATATAATAGATTGTTCTTTATAGAATTATCAACTTGTTTCAACAATTTATTGTAGTCCACTTCTGGGTAGAAAAATTCTATGTCTCTCTTTGCGCTTTCTTCCGAATCGGAGCCGTGTAGACCATTTCTTGAGTCGCTAAGGCCATATAAACCTCGGAGACTTTCTGGTTGTTCGTGGACTGTTTTCAAAACTTTTGTTGGTCCCATAAGGCTTCTCCACTCTGCTATGCCACCATATTTTGCTAATATTAAAGCAGATAAAGGTCCTGCCGACATATGATGAATTAGCCTATTGTAAAAAAATCGCTTCTTGTGTTCTTCGTAAAAATCCGAAACTGATTCTTTACTCAGCTTGACAACCTTGGACCTTATTATGTAAAACCCATTTTTTATCAACGTCCACTGTATATCATTCTGAATAAATGGTCGGGCAAAAGCACATGGCTTAATTAACGCCAAAGTTAACTGTACCTTACTACTCATTGACCTTCACCTTTAAGTAGAACTACCAGTTTTCATTACACGTCAGCAGACCAACTATTTAGAAGGGGCAAGAGAACAAAAAAAAAGACAAGGTTTTTAATCAATGTGCAAAGATAGGAATTGATAAGATAATTGATCATTTCGATAAATGGTCGATATTGGCACCGCTGTCCAGTCGGCACTTGAATGGCCATTGCCCGTTTTTCCGGCAGTATTTGGAAAAGTAACGGGGATGAAGATCGTTTCTTGGTCAGCCCAGATTGCCATGGTCCTGGGAGGAGTTGTTCCCTACATTCCTCAGTACCGTCAAATAAAGCGATCTGCAAGTGCAGAAGGCTTTTCCATATTTGTCTGTCTAACATTAATAGTTGCTAATATACTTCGCATCATGTTTTGGACAGGAAAACATTTCGAACTACCTCTTCTTATACAAAGTTTCGTTATGATATTTACAATGTTAGCAATTATAAGACTATGTACAATCGTCAAAAAGAGTGAGATTGTTCAAACAATACCGACAAAGCAGCACACTTTTTTAGGTAAATATACTGATGGTTCAAAGTTCCTCGTTTTATACGACTTTCTCTCTATTTAGATTTTGAATGGTCATATTTTTGGCAATGGTCTGACTTTATGAGTTATATACAGTGCCTGGCCACATTTTCTCTTCTTATGGGCCTTATTACATATCTGCTTATTAATGTAACTATATACATTGAAATTTTGGGCTTTCTTGCTGTTTTCTTCGAGGCATTATTAGGTCTTCCTCAATTCTATAAAAATTGGAAGAATAGATCAACCGATGGAATGAGGTATTTTATTTCCTTAATAATTTCTATACGTATTTACTATAACGTATCCATTAATTATTAATAGCATCAAAATGGTTATGATGTGGACCTGTGGTGATATATTTAAAACATGCTATTTTGTCTTGCGTCACTCTCCACCGCAATTCTGGATATGTGGGGCTATACAAGTATCATTAGATTTAAGCATACTTATACAAGTGGTCTATTATGGAAGCAGATTAGCAAAATTTTTCAAACCAGCAGTTCAATAATAATAAATAAAAACACTAATAAAAAAAACCACTCCATCCATATTTTGTACAATGCTGTAAAGGTATTAATCTAGTTAATGGTGACATTATTTTTTTTGTTATAGCTTAAACAAATTGATCTTTATGGCAATATTTTTTCTAGAGATATATTATATATGTAAAATAAATGCAAATGATGATGATTCAAGTACTGAAAGAAAGAGTTCTTTTTATTGTTTTTAGTAGGTTCAAGGCCATAATTTACATCTTCTTATTTTAGATTAGAAAAATAGTAATCTTATTTTTTTTTATGTGATTGAATTGATATTAATGAAAAGAGGAAATATAGATCATTTTTTAGCTTTGTAGAAATGATAAATGCTCCATTTATACTATATATTTGCGATATATGTAACGACTTTGTTTTATTTTATGTTCTCTTTGTAGTAGTCTCTAAAGAGGCTTCTTTTAACAGCAGTAATTATTTTGGCAGATATATTCATTTGTTATATGATAATTATTAAGAAATAGTAGAGGCTAGTTATTGTGCAAAGAGATATATTTGGTAAAACTCTTTCGAATTTTATAAAATATATAACCAACACCCTTTTGATAACGATTATTGGTATTCTTTAGCTTTCTAGCTAGCTGTTTGTAGTCAATTGAATCGTAATTAATAAAAAGCGTCAATTTATTCCAAATCGCCTGAATATTTTGTAATAGTATTCCTTAAAAATAACATTACCTCATGCAAGATAAATATATTGTTATCGATTTTTAGTTGTTTGTTTTAAAACTGAAAAGGTTGAGGCAAACATAAATAAAATTTCTTATCGCAATTTTTCAGCGATACTAATAATATCAAATTGTAAGTTTGTATGGAGGATAACTCATATTTAAATGAGAAATGATTAATTAACAATATCCTATTATATAATTTGTAGATTTCACCATTTATACAAACTGTATACAATGTGTATGTACTTGGTATGTGAAAAGCATCTAATTGATTTACTATTACAATTCATCTTTTCCTATAAACGTTCCTCTAAAATATTATAATCTATTTTTAAGATGCCAAGTATTTATGACATTTGTCATAAGTGTAATGAGTCTTACCACAAAAATCTATAAAAGCTTTTGTTCTCTTGTTACCAAATAGATAAGAAGATAACAAATACTATCAGCTGATTTAGAAAATAGTCCATTCTTTTATTTTAAATTTTGTATATTTTTACAGGTTAAATTTGTATAGTAACAATAATTTTCCTAGTTATCTATATCTATATAAAATCATTGTAGATTTTATAGATTTCTTCACTCTAATTGTTATTGCACTTGGACGACAAATGAAACAATGTAATAGATAAGACTAGATGAGTAAAATAACTTCATAATAACGTTAATCTCAATTATTTGCTATAGATGTCTGGTGTAGGGCGCTGGAACAACCGAACAGTTTTTCAAAGTGAGATACGTAGCTATCGCATTGTTCTCCTGGTGCGAATCTATCAGAAAGAAGAGAATGATGTTGACTGTAATTTAAAGTATAAAAAAAAAAACTGTAATTTATTATTCCAGTACCTTGGATCCCCCCTGAGTCGTAAATTTCTTTGTTCGAAGAATAGGAATGTAGCGTGAAAAACTGCGGGATCATTTGTTTCTACGGCGGCGTCTAAGAATTTTCTAGCGCTAATTGTATCAGCTAATCCATTCTTTCTAACATATCTTAAAGCCGAGATAATTTGACGTTTTTCTAACATAATTTCAATTAACTCTGGACCTCCTGTATTCTCTTTCGAAAACATATTTATAGCTAAATGTAAGGCTCTAGGATAAATATTTTGCAGAGATAATTGAAGACAAGCCTATTGAAAGAAAATTGGGAATAAGCTTTGTTAATTCTTTAATTCAATAACCGACCAAACGCTTAGATTCGCCCAATACACTACGCTCTATTAATTGTGACATTTCATTGCATCGATTCCCATCAACTAATCTTGTTATTAATTCTTCAAGTATAAAATCCTGTACAGAAGAAATATAATAATTTTTAATCCAAGTGATTAAATTCACTACTTACGCCTATATAAATGTTATACTGATTCAAGGAGCGAACAAACTCTGATAAAACTGCAATAGCATATTTATGACTAATATCCTGTATTAAGAGATAAAAGATATTAAGGGATTGGTTAAGCCATTTTAAAAATTTTTTTACTAACCTTTCTAGCCTCGAAGACTTTATAGAAAACACCTGAGTATAAATCCCTCTGATCTAATATTAGACTGAAGGGTAAAAATGGATCGTTAGATGAATTTCCCGTCTCAATAGATTTCCTATGAGCAACATAATTCCTATTTAGGGCGTCAAATACACGTGCTATTAAACCAATAGGATACGGTGATTCTGGAGATATAACTTCCCTAGAAAAAGAGATGACTTTACTATGGATGAATGATGTAGAAAGAATATATATCAATCAATTTTACGTGCAAACTTCTAGTAGTAAATTTTTTGCGAATCTTCTTCTGGAAAGTATATCTATAAGCTTTAGTTTATCTGTTATCATTTCTGCTAAAGCTTGTAAGTCTACAATTATAGTCCAAAGGTATCCAATTCGAGCATCAATTATTATATTTGGCGGAAAAACTAACCATGTAGCTAATTAATGAATAAAAAGAAATGTATGGTGGAGGATCTTATAAATTAAATTATATACCAACACATGTCGTATTTAAAATCTTTTGATGGTAGTTGAATGTCATAAGGTTGAATTGGAAGTGGCTCAATAATCGGTAATAAATGAGTTACACCAAATCCATCACTATCACCAGGTAGAGCAATATCAAATAATAAGCATGTCTAAAATTGTATATTGACAAAATATAATCTAACTATTTAAAAGGATGCAAGTACCTCTGTTGCTGGATGATGTAAAACAATAAGATTATCAGCGCTACTTAAAGCAAAATTCCCAGGTAGCTTTGTTTCAAGAATGTATAACTTCTTTGCAGGACCATCTCTAAGCATTTTTTATTAGTAGAGCAAATATTTAATAATGAAAAGTAATTAATAAGAATTTTATTACTTATTTATTAAATATAAAACTATTGTTATTGGTGAACTTTCAGATTTCTGCATTTTCTGATTAAGTACAGCAAGATATAATTGCCCATATCTAATTATAAATTAAAATGAATTAGTATTAAATAAATAAGAAGAAAGCATATTTACTAACAATTCTAAAAGAGAAACGTGTCTATCGAATAATACTAAAGATGGGGGTTTAACAGCAGCAACTTCAACTTCAATACGCGGAAGCTTTATACCTTGAGTTCCCTATTTTTTTTAGTGGTCAAAAATTGTTGATTTAATAGATTAAATAAAATATTTTACCTGAAAAACAAATGGATAAAGTACATTTCCAAGAATACCAGTTGAGAGAATTAGAATGGAATGTTTTCTTTCATAACAAAACCAGTTAACTTGGGCACTATGAGTTTTTAATGACCGGACAGTTTGTTTTTCAGCAACAACTTGATAAAGTTCCAACCCACTGTCAGTTACAAAAGCTATATCCGTCGTTGTTATCCAGTTAAACCCTCTGATCATGAAGGATTTATTCTGGGACATAAATATCGTTTAGAACTAGATATATATATTTGTATACTATGCATTGAATTTTCAAGTAATCTATTACTTTGCATGTTTGAGAATAATTTGAAAATTCAACAGGTTCATTCTTTTCGTTAAAATTTATAAATTCAACAGATTTTGGAGATCTTTGTATAGCTAATACGGTTAACGACGGGTTAAATTTCATCGCTATGATATTTCCTTTATCTTGCATCCTGGAATAAAGCTAATATTATTTAGAATATTTGAGATGTTTACAGTTAATATACCGAAAACTTCTGTATAGCTTCTTATCCAAACTATCAGCAACAACACCGAGAGTTCCTCCTGATCGAACCGCAAAGACCTTTTTAAAAAAGAATTGAAAAGTGAATTGATTTTAATTTAAAGTTCCATCACCTGTCCCAAAGTATCATCGAAGAAGACTTGATTGACTTCATTAACGGGTTCAAATCTTAGGGGCTTGTCGGATAACTTTAAAAAATGTTTGCAGCATATCTTATTGGAGGCCGCCATGATGCAATTTATTAGAGTGTCCAAAAATACATAAGATTTATATTTTTCGTAAAATACCAAATATGTCTCCTTTTCTTTTGAAAGGACTACTCCATTTTTGTATTTTTACATCGAAAGCAATGTTATACATCTGATTTACTAATATTTCTCTGAATGAATGAGTGGATCTAGCTCCGCATTAAATTTTCAGATAAAAATTTAGTGCGGAGAACAGTCGGGTACAGACCATCATTCACGTTGATCGTCTGTAATTTCGTTCCTTTTACTGTTTTTCATTTTTAGCTGAATTTTGTCCTAGTTTAGAAAGAATACCAACACAAGATAATATACAATAGTTTCTCCTATCACTGTGTTCCCTAATTGATAAAAAGGTACGTTTGAAAACCTGAGAATTTATTTGGGAAATGTAAATGAAGGAAGTCATTGCAGTAGAGTCACGTGGTTAACATGGAACAAAACGTTGCAGTATTTTCATCAACTGCCGCGACATATTTTGGAGCCCCTCACTTACGGTTTGCGGCAGGTAAGATATGGCCTAAGTAGGGTTTTTTGTTACTTTTGTCATTAAATTTTACAGCCGGACCAGTAGTAATGCCTAATTCTGCTGTACAAACAATGCAAATAGCGTCGAATCTCGGAGAAGTTCCCCTTACCAACACAGCTGCATTATCGCAACAATCGACAACAAGTTTATCAAATCCAAAAGAAAAAACACCTATGAGCTTAGTTAATGAATTAGCAAGATATAATAAAATAGACCATTGTTATACTTTGGTTGATGAGAAAGGTCCACCCCATGAAAAAGTCTTTTATTTCAATCTTCAACTAGGTGAAGAAGTTTACCAAGCCTCCGGTCCTAGTATAAAAAAGGCTCAACATAAGGCTGCCGATACAGCTTTAAAGTCAACTAAGTATCTCCGACCCACATTCAAATCCCGACCACACTCGAATAGAAATTCCACCAATACGAACAATAGTGGGTCAAATCCTGCAATAACGCCAACAGTTGAACTAAATGCTCTCGCCATGAAACGAGGAGAAAAAGTATCTTATAAACAAGTCCAATGCCACCAGCAGCCAAGTCCAAATGCTCCTTTTGTAAATGGACGAGGAATGTCTGCTCCGCGACTGTCACATACCTTTTGTATGTCAGTATGTGTAGGGCCCCGTGAATTTCTAGGAGAAGGATCAACGAGACAAGCTGCAAAGCATGATGCAGCGTCTAAAGCTCTGCGTCTTCTCAAGTCCCTTCCACTTCCTTCTCAAACGCCAGATAAGACTAATAGTAATACTGTTAATGGAGATTCTTCATCCTCGATAAAATCAAACATTTCTCAGTTGCATGAGCTTGCTTTAAAACTACATCTAGACTTAAATTTTAAAGTTGCCAACGAAAGTGGACCGGCTCATATGAAGTCTTTTACGATATTATGCACTGCTGTCGGTCAAACTGGTAACGAGAAAATTAATGAAGAAGTATCTGGTTGTGGTAATTCCAAGAAATTAGCAAAGAAAGAGGCTGCTAAAATGATGTTAACGCAACTAAGCAGTCTTCCGGTACCGGAGAGCTCTATAGTCGTTAGACCAAAGCGTAATACAAATAATGGTAAAAATAAAATCAAACAGCAGAAAGCATGCCCTGAATATGGACAAGAAGTAAATCCGATTTCAAGACTTATTCACATTCAACAAGCGAAGAAAGACACCGAACCTGAATATAATTTAATTAGTGAAGAAGGACAGGGTCGTAAAAAAGAGTTTACAATTCAAGTAAAAATTGGCCAAAATATAGCAATTGGAAAGGGTCCGAATAAAAAATTAGCAAAGAGGGCAGCTGCTGAAGAAATGCTTGAAAATTTAGGTTATCATCGTCAAATGGCGCAACCATCAAAACCGGCAATTAGAAACTCTAGTGAAGGACAGCATGATAAGAAAAACGTATCCTTTAGCGATGATAAAAAAGGTTGTCAACTAGCTCCTGGCTTACTATATATGAATAATGGAACAAAGAAAACGAAAGGAAATAGAGATTCTAATACGATGTTTCTTATTGCTAAACAATTAGTAGATAATGGAGAATCGGATGGCTTAGCAGATGTCTCACGAAAAGCAACAGCTGAAGAGAACTTAAAAACCTTATGCGACAGATTCGATATAGAAATGACCTACACAGATTTTCCCAGAGGAGGTGACAAGACCGCAGTGATTACTCTTTTGAAAGTGAATACATGTCCACCTCAAGTAATTACTTTTAATATTAAGCACTTACAAGAATTTAAATTTCTTTTCTTTCAAATAGGTAACACATGGATCAGCCGAAACCAAAGCCGAGGCCAGGGAAACGGCAGCCCAAATTGCATTGGAGAAATTGGCTGAAATGCTGCCTCATCAATTATCAACCGCCGTTGTTTCGGTGAGATCGACTTCAACAATTACGTCGTCTACTTCGACCTCAACTCCTACGTAGCACTCGATTTCACAATTTTAGTGTTCAATACAATTGTTTAATAACAACGGATGTACTTTTTTAAATTTTTTTTATACAAAAAACTCACACCTTTCCTATAGTTTTTACAATATATACGCAGTTAAATATAAAAACTAAACATACCCAAAAGTTCTCGTAAGAATAGCTGATAACAATTTCGATCTAAGTATAGCCCTAGACGAATACAGTGGGATATATAGACGAGAAATACAGGTATTAGCTGTGGGTAAATGAGCATCGTCTGGTGGTCGAATAGTAATGGATGGCATTGGCTGGAATCCTTCTTCGGAGGCGGGTAGAGCTGGACTAGAAGTCCAAAAGTAGACCAAGTCCTGTTTTTGCGGTGTTGTCATCTTTTCTACGACTGCCCAAAACCATTTTTTAAACTTTGCGACTTTTTCAGAATTATTTTCACCACTCTCATCTGTGAAAGAAGTGTATGATTGAAGTGTTTGCACGCATATGTCCCCTTGGCCGTTCAATAAAAGCCTGAGATCCTCTGCTGTTAGTCCTTCCAGAGAGGATCCAGGTAATACATCGTGCAATCCATCGGCTAAATTATCCAACTCTGCTCTAACATTATCTACGAGACGTCTCTGAGCGTAAAATCTAACATAATGATAAACATTTGCCGGGGTTACGATAACATCTTGAGATCCCCTATATAGCTCAATCTCTCTAGTTGGATTGTTGCTATCATCAGCTGGCGCTGTCATGCTGACGTGCATTTCCGTTAAAATCTTGTCTCCATCTTCCGATTCGGCAGCATTAACTAGCTGTCGGAGATTATCATAGAGTGGTGGGTCGAAAAAAGCTAAGTCATGCCAGGCTACTTTACGACATAGCATGTACTTTAGAACGTGTCGGCAAAAGTGCAATGGGAAAAGCTCATTTTGCAGCAAACATAGACCAGCAACTCTACCAATGCAACGCATAGCATTTAAGCGTTCGCTCGAACCATTTCCTGGACGAGGTGAATAGTAACCTCGTTTACCAGGTTGCCAGAACAAGGGGGCTCTATCGTTAATCTCCTCTTCCTTTTGAGATGATGTTGAACTAGATGGTGTAAAATTGAACATATCCAGATCTATAATATCTGAATGCATAGACGGAGGTAGCGTAAGAGACCTCGATGACTCTTGAGTGACTAAAACCTCAACAGCATGTTCTACTCTTTGTCTCAGAGCTTCCTCATTTGAAAGCAGAGCTACTTGACAATTTGTTGGTAAATCCATCAGTATACCAGTGATCTTGCTTGCCAGACTTGGATGTATTAAAGATACTCTTCTAAATAGTTGTTGTCGTCTATCTTCATATTCATGATCATGAGTGCTGGGAGAAGATTGAGCGATATTAGCAATATCAGCGCTGGTTAATAAAGATCTTTGTCGTCTTGGTCTAGGAGCACTTATTCTTCTCTGTTGGCGGATTTTTGTAACAATATCTGGATAGTTACTAGAAGTTCCCGAATTGGGAGGAGGTTCTAAAGCGGGTAATGGATCTAATGATAAAACAGCGTTTGCAAATGCTGTATAAAATGATCTGGCAACTCCACTTCCCTCGCCTGGTTCATCTTTAAAAGTTACTTTAACTTTATGAACAGCCAAAGGGGGAGCCGAGCCAGACGAAATAGACGAAACTCTTCGAGAGTAGGCTATGTTAATTTGTCTGATGGCTGCTACTAAAAATTCAGATGATGGGTTTCTAGAGACTTCAATTATTAAATCTCTTTGTTGATTTGTTCTTAATCTTTCTGTTTCGCGTCGAAATTTTACTTCTTTAACGGGAAAGCCTCCCAACTCAGATATAATTGATCCCGCTTCAGCTCCAACGTCATCACTGAAAACTCGGCCGAATAAATGTAGTGTATGACGCCATCTTCCTACCAAAGCCTCGTGACTTTGGGGAATAATTGCCTCGCTTGCATCGTATACTTCACTTTGCTGAGATAGAGACATTGGCGTCGGAATTAGATTTGAGCTGGTTGTTGTCGATGTGCCTGACCCAAATAATTCATCTCTTCGAGCGTGAGGGTGCAAAAGGTGTGGTTGGTCAGCCAATGGTAGGGCTGATGTCATTGGCTCTTTAAATGGATCTGGAGGAGTGCAACCAATTTGCATAACAGATGGTGATCGCTGGAAGAACCGGTGTTTTCTACAAGTGACCTCCGTCTCATCCATGTCACTATCTTCTACATCCTCTGAGTAACTGTGTTCCCCAGTAACACCTCCGACATTTCGAATATAATATACAGTAGCATCGAGTACATAAGCAACATGTTTAAGAGCCGCTACATCTAACGACGGTAGTGAGTCAGCGTGTTCATTATTATGTGACCTCATCAATGATAAGGCGTATGTGAAAAAGTCTCTTCTCGCAAACTGTGTATCAGATGTAGAAGAGCTGGGTGCGAGTACAAATCTTGCTGAGTTACCACTCCTTCTATTATTCGTAGACCTTTCTAAAACTTGTAAGGCGTGTATTCTAGCTTCTCCCAAAGCAGTATTGGCAGTTCGTCTGTTTGATTTGTTTCCTTGCGGAACGTCTATTCGACTGTTCAATCCACAGCCATACCTTAGCTGGGCTTCAGTAGAATCAAGAATAGATTTCATCCACAGCCAGGTTGGTTGAATTTGATTTTCAACATGCTGTTTCAAACGTCGAATGTCTTCGTCAGTATTTAAGTGAAGCCCTGGAAAGCCGTCAGCTTCTTTTCTAGGCACGACATCCGATAATAAATCACTAATCATTCTAATTACTATTCCAAATGCTCGACTAAGTTGTGAAATTGTAGTGGCCATTGAGGCAGAATTTGATGATTCAATAAATCCGGAACGCCTTGAAACTGGCCTAGGGCTGGTAGAGACAGCCCATTGCATAGAGGCAGGGGCAGACGCGTGACGGTTTGAAGCACTAGATTGTAACAATGGTCGATCATTGCTGAAGCTACCTGTGTCACTGTCTTCGTCATGCTCCTCATTGTCTCTCTGAGATTGATCGTCATCCGGGACACTCTGATCATCATCCTCTCCACCAACAACTGTGTCTTCTTCTTCATCATCTTCATCTGAGAAGAAAGCTAGGGCCTCTGAACCAGCTGTCGCTCCAGTAATGGCCGATTGTTGGACACTTGCTTCGTCGCCTGATGGGGCACATTCACTTTCACTATCTGATTCAACAAGTTGTAACTCGACATCCATAACATCTGAATCAGTTGGTGGATGAGAAGCTTCGTTGACATTTCCACTATCTTGACCCTCCCCGTCACTGTCTCGATCCGTAACTGGAGCAGTAGGAGGAACGGACGCTGCTACTGAGGATGGGGGAGCAGGAGGAGCTGAACTGGAGTCAACTGTAGTTGTTCTTCTTCTGGCCGGTAAAGGGTCTACCGAAAACAAGTCATCTGCTGCGTGTACTGCCTCCAGAGATGTTGTCAATAAAGAGAATGGAGCTGTGGGTTTAGCAACACCTAGTCTAACTGGCGTTATTAAAGCGTCAGATATTTCACACAGCTCCTCTACTGCTAATGGGAGCAGGTGCTTGAAGACACTTCGTGCTTTATTAATGGAACCTGAGAGCATACTATTCGCCAAAGCTGCCCGACTTCCAATACCTTTTCGTGATGACGTCGAAGGAGATGTTTCCATACTTATTACAACGAAAATTCTAGCAACAGATCTAATAAATCGACGAGCGGCTAATTTAGCTTCTTCTTGTGTCGTTGGATTTTGAACGTTCCTTGTTAATGTATCTAAAAGTATAGTAAGAGCATCATTGCCGCACTTTGTTAACAGTAGGTGAGTAAACCGATCGAGCCTAGTACTTCCCCATTGCTCTTGGACAAATCGTTCCTCATCAGTTTCCGTTTTATCAGCAATCAGAAGACTTTTGACTGCTAGCCACTCGCCTAAAACTTTTTCCAAGGCTCTTCTGGCAAATTTAGGAGGCTCCTGACCAATATCAACGTGTGCATGTTCTGCAGCTTCCTTGATAGCTTGGCGTTGAGACGACGATGTGCCTGATCGTTCAATAACTCTTTGATATTGTCTAAATTCGTGTTGTTGGCGAGATGCCGTTGCTGCCAAGAAGTATAATATATGTTCTCCATTTGAATTAGGTTGAGTGACCATCTGACCGCCTAATCGAAGTAGAGATGTTAAAAGTGTCATTCTATCGTTAAGACTACCAGCGACAAGAGTTTTACATGCACATTTTTCCCAACAATCACAATAGGCTGTTGGAGCTGTCTGTTTCATTTGACAGTCGTGTCCTCTGTGACAAACTCTTGCACATTCTGTGCAACAACAGAGTGTTCCTGTTAGACCACAGGTACGACATTCGAAAATATCTTGTTGAATGTGGTAAGCACCTGTCCAAGTAAAGGAGCAGGTATCGTTAGCGACTAGCATGTGAAGTGGGGATAAATCAGGGGGTGAACCTGGAGGAAACACCATTGACATGAGAATTTCTTCATCACGAGCACAAAGATTTAAAGCAATATCTAACAATAGCTGACTAGCTTTATAGGCTCGCATCCATACAGAACGCATTAGTGGTGTTAGACCATCAGCATCTCTTGCTTTCAGTAAATTAACGGCTTGTCGACAAAACGCTGAGCTATTTAAGATTGCCTTTAATACGGCTACTGCTTGTTTATGCCGTTCCTTATCTTCTAACTTAACTGGGGGTAGAGTATAAGCTTCTTCTTGAATTGCACACGAACTTGAGGAAATGGCTTTTTGGGCATTCGTTTCGTAACGAATTGGTAACTCGTAAAATTCTTCCGGTGGTCCTGGCATAGATGGCAATGGAGGTTGTAGAGCATTGTCTTCCGGAGGTGTATGTCTATTAGCTGGATCAAGATGATCCCTATATGACTCGAAAGAAGATCCTGATCTTGTGAAAGAGGCTTGTCTCATCATTTCTCGTATACCATGCATTTGGTCCCGGACCGCTCTTCTAGTAGTGAGAGAATCAACTGCACGTAATGGAGGGCCCGTAAATGAGTCAACATTTAATCGCATGCTTTCGCTTGCTGCAGACGGTGGTGCTTCTGCATCATTTTCTTTGGCTGAAGTTGGAGCCGACTGAGAAACGGCAGCGTGAAGTATATTTCGACCTCCATCACACATTTCTTTCATGGCCGCATCAGCATCTTCGGGTGATGCGTATTTAAGGAATTTTTCAACTTTTTCAGTATCACATCTCAGTATATGAGGCATCAACATCTGCTGCTCACAAACAATAGCCAAAAGAGCAACAGCAGGAGTTCCTGGAGCAGGTGTAGGAGCGGAAAGACATCGTATAGGGGGTAATCCTGGCCAGTTAGGTTCTCGAACACTATCTAAGCAATCAGGGGATAAGGGATAAATGGTATTATTACCATCCGTCATTAAACACCAAGTAGCTTGTGAAGAGCAAGCTGCCCATAGTCTGACTGAATACTGAGATTCCAGAAGAGCAGGAGTATGTGAAGGTAGATTACTACGTTGTTCAATACTACCCGAACTCATGTTATATATTACCATTTGTAATTTTCCATTAGACTTTAAGATGGCCGAGATATCAGTATCATCAATGCAGACACCCATAAGTTGGCCATCTGATAAAGATACTTTTCGAGGGGTTCTTTGAACTAATTCGGGAGTTCTTGGCGGAGCAGGACCTCTGACAACAATCAAATCTTCTTTTTTTAGTAATCTACAATCTGAAAGCAGTGCTGAAGCATCTTCTGATGTTCTTAAAGGTGCAGCTACACTTTCACCGTCTTTCGGGAATCTGACAGCCGCATAATTTCCATCAACTTTAAGGACTCGACCTACCGGCATGTTTCTAGCGTCTTCTACCATCACCACTTCACTCATAGGCCAATCTTCTTCTTCTCCTGCGCTGGCTCCCAGAGCAGCTCCAGTAACAACTTCTCTTACTGGTGTGACAGATCCTCCCAGACGCTTTCTTTTAAAAGCTGGAGACATTATAGCAGGTCCAGAGTGGTCGCTGCAGGTTGAAGAAGCAGGCGATGGAGGAGGGGGCATATCTGTTTTATCTTGATTATTACCAGAAGTTTTCTTTTTCTCACTACTTCCGTCAGCTGTCGGTGTACCTGCTCGAAGAACTTTAAATCGGCAGGATTCGGTCAAAGACCAAGCGCATTCTAATAATGAGCCAACTTTAGGAACTCCATTGTGAATGGTAAAACCAATAGCTCCTTGATTATGAAAGGGCGCGGTGCGCAAGCACACAGTTGCACCGCAAGTTATTTCAGCTCCACACCCTTTACTTTGTTTTTTTGTTGACTTGACTCTTGTCTTCTGCGCTATTTTCTTTCGCAATTCGAATGGCATCACACCCCACCAATAAAGAGCATCATTGTTTAACCTAACCAGCGTGTAAAGAGTGGAAGTATGTATTTCCGCTATTCCTGGTTCAAATTCTGGCCATGCAATAGCAGTATGCTCTACCCTTGCACTTGCGGTTGCGCTTGCAATACTGTCATCAACGAGAGTAACAACCTTACCCGAAGCAGTTGCTAAAGAGGCCCGCACAATAGATGCCGAGAGATGGGTAATCACATCTGAGGCTAACCCTAAAGCTGCAGTTTTAGGATGTAGTAATGATGGTGCAGCAGCAGAGTAAAAAGGCTCTGGATCAGACCATCTCCATTGACATAGTTGACCTTGTGTATTCACAGCAAGTAGCTCAGAATACAAAGACGCAATATGTGTGAAAGTGGGTTTTTTTCCGTCTTTATCAATCCAATATTGAAGCTCTTCACCATAAGATATAGCATTGGAAGAAGGATTCTTAGCTGCAGGTCTCTTGGTTGATTCTGATTCATTGCTTCCTGTACGTTCCTTATCGACAGTGCCACGTAGATGTGAATCAACGTTTCTTGATAGTATATCTGAATGCCATCTATGAGGGTGGTCTCTAGCTGCTCTTAAAAGTGCTTCACGCTGAGAAATTGAACGGGGACGTTGACTGAAAAAAAAAGAAACATTCAGCATTGTTGTAAAGCTGAAAAAATTAAATTCTCACTACGCTAGAACATCTTCAAGCATAACATCTGAATCAAACATAACTCCAGCTGATTCCATCCCAGCATCCAGTAAAGATATCAGATCATCTGTAAAAAGTTGAACAGTTATCGAATAATAGATTTGTCACTTATATTCTTAAGCTTACCTTGCATATAATCTTCGTCAGCCATTTCATCGTCGCCGCCATCGTCACGACTTAAAAGATTATTGACTGCTAAATTTACATCTAAATTGGTTTTCTGTAATTCTCGTATAATTTGACCTCTACTCCTATTTTGCAGCACCACTTGACACTGAAAGAAATCAAGCTATAGATATATTCAAAAAATTACAAAAACAGTACAAAATTTACCTGGTTAATCAGATCTTCTGGAACTTGGGAAGCTGGGACGACAGCTCTACCAACGATTACACCCGATCCTCTCGATCTTGATCCTGCCGTGCCGATACGAGGAAATCTACGTGAGATAGAGGCTCGCGGAGCACCTGAAGAACCTGCAGTGACAACGACTGCTCCAGAATTTGGTAATCTTACAATAGATACTGTAGAGGTTGAAATAATTTTTTTTTTCAAACTAATATTTAAAAAATCAAACATTACCTCCATTGCTGTTTGTGGTACCACTGTTATTATTGTTTGATGTTGTTGGAACATTATTGTTAAATCCGGACACCCTTGCAGATGATGCTGTAGTTGGCGTAGCTGAGCTAGTAGAGGTCAAACTACTTTGGGTGCTAACAATGGGCTTTCTGTTACAAGTAATTTGATATCATTACATAACTACCGTCTAAAAAGGTCGTAAACACATACTTTTTATTATCAACTGTGAAACTATTTCTTGTGCTCAAATCCAACTTTTCATAGTGAATATTCAACGGGATGCGGGCAACTGTTCCATCAGTGAGCAGAAAGGCAACATGTGACGGACCAATAACAACTTGGCAAGGGGCATTGTTTTTTAATTCCTTTAATTCGTTTGGACAAACAAAACCAAATTTGTTAAGCTTATCAGCTACTTCCTTAATTCTGTCATAAAATTACAATATTGAGTAATTATTGCACAAGAACAAAAAGTTTAAGGGTCAGATAACGTCCTGTTTATATACGTTATTTTAAAAATTTTACACGATAAAAAACTAAGTATTACTCCTAGTAGATTAAGACATTACATTTCCATCTAGCTAATCCAACTGTTAGATCACTAAATAATGATTTTTAAAAGTCTTCGAAGTTGTATCGTATATTAAAATGACAACATGTCGCCTAAAATTTCAACCGAGAATTATATTACCTGTCGTTTATTTGCTCATCCGTTCCAGGGAGAGGCTGGGCTATCAAATGGAAGGAGAGAATCTTCTCATTAACGTCCATAGTTCTTTGGAGAAGATAGATAGAATAATAGAATATGAATTACGGGATAAAATTGACTGTTCTTCAAAATCACTTTTCTGATTTTGACGCCATCTTATCGTTTTCAGCTGTTCTGCGAAACGTTTTCGAGTCTAAAATTTGAGGGCTGAAATGAAATAGCAATTTTATGTATAAAAAAGACTGCTAGTCTTTTAGATATATATAATTATTTGATAAGTGCTATTTTATTTATAGTAAACAAAATATTTAAAATATTTTTGATAAAAAAACACGTTTGCAATAACGTCAGGGCGGTAGTGTAGGTCCGGTCTTGCAAAGTTTTAAATAAATAGCCATTTTTGTCATAAAATATGGCTATGAACACCGCTCCCGATGTTACCTTGTGGGTAAAAGCCGAACCTTTCACCTACGCTTCTATTCCTGTTGCTCCTCATCCACGATTAAGCTCATCGAACATCAAGAGAATATTGACGTATGCTAAAACTAAAGGACCGGAAGGATTTCCCAGTTTATCGTACACAGTTTGGCGACATATAGCAGTAAATAAAATGCAGTTGACAGAGGATTTGGCTTGGATGTATTTTAAAATATATGATTTATTTATGCAAAGGACTTCGGAGGAAAAATTAAGTATAGATAAACTATTGACTAACTGTAGAGCTGTCTCTGAGAGAACTAGCCAAAAAGAGATGTTTTTCGTTCATACTTATACATTTGTCTTGTTTCTTTACATTCAACAAATGCATAAAATATCGTTACGAAATTCGTTTAATGCTAGTACGGAGGCATGGCCAACTCGACCACGATCCCCACCTGACTCAACAAGAAGTTCGTCACAATCTTCAAAAGCTTTAGATGAACAATCACATTTTCTCTTTGTTCAACAACATTTGAATGATATACTAGAATTACTAGTCGAACCTGATAGCGTTGGAGCAAATATTAATGATAAAAGACTTAGCGTAGAAGCGGTAAAATCCCTCTCCTATATTTTTATGGGATCTTTAAAAAGGGATAACATATCGTCTCCGTTTCATACTATTGCTCTGTATCCCCAAATACAAGGGATTAGCGGTTATTCAAAATTAACTCAGTCTTTCTCTTTACGAAATTTACAATTTTGGATATCAAAATCTCTAGCTATTGGACCATATTCCATTAGTTCATTGTTAAACAATGGACGTTTACTCAATTGGATAATACCAAAGCAGACTGAAAAAAATGATAAACTTAAAGGTCGCATAATGACAAATGCCAATATTGTGCCAGATAATCAAATGGAAGGAAACAAAGCGATTCTGATTACTCACGTCAATGGAAAAACAATAGCAAGGTCTAGCACAACTTTAGAACATTCAACTGTAAAAATTCATAGATGTAATCAATCTCAGTTTTATTTATTGAGCCCCTTGAGATCATCAACTATTGTAAAATGTCGAAATTCAACCATTGTTTTGGGAGTGGTAGATACAGTAGTTCATGTTGATAAATGCGAAAGAATAAAACTGATAGTAGCCTGTCGCAACATTATGGTGTCTTCATCCTCAAACTGTACTATTCATCTAATGACAACTACAAGACCGTTAATTCTAAGCTCAAATGAGAACATCTGCTTGGCACCTTATCATACTTATTATGCCACACTAGAACGTCATTTGCTTCAAACAGGACTCCACCCCAACCAAAAAATGTGGAATCAGCCGCTATGTGTTGGTCCTGATCATGATCCCGAAAGACAACCTGTTTGGAATGTTTTAATTCCCAGAGATTTAAACCATTTCAAAATTCCTTTTATCTTTGAAAATGTGCAAGAGCCAATCACTAGTGCATTGCCGTGTCCCCTTCCAACAGAATACGCAAAAGCTTATGAAGAAATGCAATCATCGATCACATCATGGAAGCGAAAAGTGAGAGATATGGGATTGGAAAATGCCGAGAGAAGGGAATACCAAGATTTTGTACAGCAAAGTTTTCAATTATGGCTCAGTGAAAGAGGTTTACAAACACAATTAGATCAATTATCTGTTAATGAATAAGAAGCGCTTCTTGGATTTATTTTTAGTAAATTTTTAATGATCGAGAACCATAATAAATTGGACTCGGTAGATTTCGTCCTTAATTTTTAATATAGTATGTCCATTAAGATAAATGGATTTTTTTCGTAAAATTTATTTTATAATTTTTTTAGCTAATACAAGAAATTTATCAGTTTCTTTCTTTAACTGCGTCTTAGTTTTAGATTTAGCAGAAAAAGCTTACATAAACTACAAGGAATACAAATGTTATATAATTCTTAAATATAATAACATAGTTTAGCTAGCAGTCGTTCATTGATTTGGGGACCAAATTCTAAATACTTGGAAATTATATGAAAGAAAATTCATGTTCTAGTGATAATCGATAAGGTATGCAAATTTATAGAATTACAGATTTATAATTCATAGAAAATGTTTAACATAGGTAAATTTAGAGCAATTCACTGTTTTTAGATAGTTTGATAGTTAAGAATAGAACAATTGACCTTGCTATTGATTACTTTTCGTATTGACCAAACGAAACTTTTTCTTTTTCCTACCCTCATACACTTACCCACAAACAATAAATTTTCTTTCTGAGTGATAAACAAGGTATATCAGACCAGTCTTAAGGGATAAATAAAATCTTTTAAATCTGATTAAAATACTATTGGAGCTTATCATATGATTTTTTTTGGACTTGTACTTTTTTTTGTGCATAAATATTTCTTACAAAATCCATAAGCAAGATCTATATATTATACTGAAAAAAGTCGACTCGGGGAAACAAATAAAAAATCTCCAAGTGCTAATTTAACGACTGCTAAAAACCATTAAATGACCTAGAAAAAACATTAGTAAAAGTCTTTTAATAGAAAACTTCATTTAAATCGTTTTTAATAAGAATCTAAAATACATCTCAAGCTTACTAGGGTAATTGAAAAAAAGCATTTCTAGGTACATATTTATTTCAACTATTAAACTTACTTTTCTGTGTTGTTTTACTTGTCAAAGCGTCTGTTAAGTTAAAAGTTACGTTTTAAAACGAGAGAGAAACAATTCTTTCGAACGCCATCTGGTGTTCGAAAAAACTCCGGAAACGGAAATATTTTATACTCAAATACCGTAAACAAGTTTAGGCGGGTGCTTTGTTTCGATTCGCTTAATTCTTAAAGAGTGGAAAATTTAGTTTTTTTGCTTTTCGATAATAAGGTAATATTACTTTTCTTATAACTTGAACTTAACACATATCTCACCAAAAATTCAACAGCCGCAGCTGCAAAATTTTCACTCGGTTTGAGTGATCGATAATAAGTGATCGAACAATTTCAGAATGCTTTCTAACGCCGCTACTCAACAAAAGTTTTCTAGCTTGAGAAAAAGACTTGATCAATTAGGTTATAGACAACCTCTAGGAATTGAGTCATTGCCTTTGGTAGAACGACTTTTCGCGGATCTTTTACATACCACTGACTCCCTGAAACAAGAGAGGCAATCGAAATCAAACTCTTTTAAAGATAGCAACACTTCAGGAGAAGTTTCAGAAATTTTACAACCTTATAAGAGTGATAATGCAAAGTTAGTACGAGAGACTAACGAACTTCACAAAGAGTTAATAACAGTCAAAGATCAAAGTGATAAAGCAATCAAAGAGCTAAAAGCAAAATTTAGGAAATCCGAAGCTGATAGAAAAGATCTTTTATTACTAAATAATCAGTATGTAATAAAAGTTGGAAATTTAGAAAGAGAATCAAAACAGAAGAGCGATAAGATTTTAAGTCTTCAAGAAAAAAATATGCATGCTGTGGTCCAGACTCCAGGTGGTCGGAAAAAGAATATACCTTTTAGAAGACAAAGAATGGAAATAGATTGTCTTGTTCCAGAAGCACCTGTTAAAGCGTCTGAAACGTCCCAAAAGACCATTGATCTTTTAGAGTTGGCCGATAGACAAATTTCCTCACTAACTTCCCAAGTAAAAACAGTTCAAGATGAAAAACAAGGTTTGAAAGATAAGATCGACCTCTATCGAAATCAGGTAAGTGGTTACATTTTTTTTTTTGCTAAAAAAGTTTATTATTTTGGGTAAATTCAAGATTGAAGAAAGGGAAAAAGAAATTGATCGCTTATACAATCAGTTGCAAGGTGGAAGACCCTATGATGTTGTCGCTCTCGAGGCCAGGAATAGATCTCACGAAAGACACATAGCTCATTTGAATATTCAATTGGATTATTTACAACAGAAAAATGATGAACTACTGAATCAGGTTTGCCTTGCAGTTCAACTTGAAGTATCTGTTACGATTTTCTTTATAAAAAATAATCAATAGGGACAAAATGGTACGCAACAAAGAGAACTATTAGACAATGAAGTTCCTACTAGAGATTCATGCACTCTTGTTAGTGAACTGGATAGAACAAAGAAAGAGTTTGAGATATTAAATATAGAGATCGAACATTTAAAAGCTGTGAGTATAGCCTCATCTTTAATGCCTGAGATCGTTAAACTCTTTCAATCTCTCTAGGAAAAAGATGCTTTGCTCGCTGAAATGAACGAATCAACAACAAAATGTAACGTAGAAATTATTCGCATGACTGATCTGTTAGAAAAGGTTTGGTTTTGTGAAAGATTCTTTATGCTCTCTCACAAATAATTGTTATTTTATAGGTTCAAGAGGACAAAAAAAATCTTAGCAGTAAAATTACAAAACTAACAAAAAGTGGTTTGTATTAGAGCTCTGAAAATGTCAGATTATTTGTATCTAAATGAAATGTGTTGAACAGAAAAAGATCTTATCATGGAAATCGAACGATTGAAAAAACAAAGAATAATACCAAAAAATGACAGAAATAGTAATAAGAATTATGAAAAAATTATTAAAAGTACTGAAGAAGAGAGGGATTATTGGAAAGCTGAAGTTGAAACATTACAAGATATTATGAAGAATGTTTCCTATGCACCAATTGATACTTCCCACTCTTTATCTAATAAAAACACGGAAGAGGTCTATAAAAATTCACATTTTCATTTATGTTGTGATGTATATCTAATTATCCAATCGATTTGTCAATAGGAAATGAAACAAATAGAAGATGAGCGAAATTTTTACAAAAGTGAATACGAATTATTACGATCAACGAAAGCAAATTCGCCATCACCAGTGAGGACAAATACATCTTCAACAACACAGGTTCGTTTGGATAGTGTAAACGATGATAAAATTAAAACTGACTGTTCTCTGTCTGATTCTATTGAAGTTGCAAACAATAATTGGTATGTCAGCATGTATAGCGATTGTCCCGATAAAAATAAGTCAACACAAAATAGTAACATTACTGAATTTAATAGTCAAATGTTGATAAATGAAAGTTTCTTAGACTTACCTGCAAAATTAGTTGATTTTAAAATCTTGGAAAATTATGGAAATTCAAATAAAGAGGCATTACTTAGTAGTCAACTGGGTCGAATAGGTAGCAGACGTTTAAGTGGAACTTGTTCACTAATTAGAAAGAATAGTATTCCTATTAGTGCCAGAAGTCGAAAATTTAGAGAGAGTTTTAGCTCTAAAGATAAGAATCAAAAGAAGTCAGCTCAAAGTAAGAATTCTGAAAATGGATCCTCATTTCCTGATACTCTAGATGAAAAAGATTTATTCGAACCCATTATTTCACCGATAAAACGTCAAGCTTCTAAAGACACTCAGTTTTTTCCATAAATAAAACATTTCCTTCATTTTTTTCTTTTATACTTTCTAAACCCTGTTTCTATTTTTCTCTCAAATAAAGTCTATTTTAGAGTTTAAATATCATAACATTTAAAACCTAACAGCTCCATTAATTGTTTTAGCAGTATATTGAACAAGAAAAGGAATTAGAAAAAGTGAAGGAAGAACGAGATAAGTTACAAAAAGTTCTAAATACTTTTGAGGAGCATATGGCGGAAATTCAATCAAATGTTAAAGTTCTTACAACCGAAAGAAACAAATTTTTGGAACTATACAACCAAACTAAAGCAGAAATCGGTAATAATATCAAGCACTCATATTTTTATAATACTAGATATAAAAATCTTTTAAAACTTTAGATACTATGAAAGATAACAGTACTTCAGCTAGAAGCCCCAAGGCTACATTAGCTACTCAAGCTGTTTTTAAACGTGTTGAATTGGAGAGAGGTTTGAAATACTTGTCATATGATCCTAAGCTTCACGGCTTATTTTATTTCTACAGACGAATCTCTTGAAGAATTAAGAAAGATTACCGCAGAATGCGAGTCTTTAAAAGAGCGACTCCAAATTGCAACAGAAACTCAAATTGCAGAGAAAGCAAGACTGGAACAGAAAATTAATGATCTTCAATCCAGTTTGAGTATTGCTGAATTGAAAGCAAATGAAGCTGTTAGCGCTTCCAGCGGAGTTCAAAGCCTAATTGATTCCTTAGAAAATAAAGTTAGCTTTTATTTGTACGAAGCGGGTTTAACAAAAATTTATTTTTTTCAGTTACGTGAAGAGGGAGAATCTTTAAACTCACATAAAACTAGAGCAACCCAAATGCGTTTGTTGGCTGAAAATGCTGAGAGAGCCGCTAACGATGCTGAAAGACAATTAACACGAATAGAAGAAGAATTGAAAAGCGAAAGAGAACGATCAAAACAATTAGAACGTGAATCCACTGCTTTACACACCCAGTTAAACAGTGAGAGGGAAAAATATCAAGAGCTTCGCAATACCGTCGCTGCTCTAGATCGAGATAAGGATACCATTCAGTCAGATGCTGATCACAAAACTGAGCTAATTTTATCGTTAAAAGAAGAAGTAATGATTAAAGATAGGGCTTTGGGAGACATACAACTAACTATTAGTGAATTGGAAGGTCAACTGTCTCGCACCAGAGAAGATTTCATGTCTAAGGATCACGAAATAAGGTCTCTAAAAAAACAATTAGATGATGCTTTGGTAGAATTGAGCGAAGTAGAAAGGGGTAGAGATATTACCATTAAAGAGAATCGGGCTTTGCATAGTGACTTAGCAACAATGACTAAAGAGCATCAATATATTCAAAATCAATTAGACCAATTCCAAGTTGACAAAGAACATTTAAAGGATGAAATAAAAAATAATATGACTCAATTGAAAAAGGCCGAAGAGCTGCTTATGGTAAAAGAAAGACAAAGATCAGACCTTTTAGAACAATACAAAGCGCTCTCTGCTAACGCAGAAGGAAATGAAACTGCTAAGCATGAATTAGAGAGTTATAATTCGTCCCTTCGTCTTGAGATCATGACCAGAGATGCAGAATTAAGGCGACTTAAAGAGCGTTGCGATGTTCAAGACCACCAACTGCAAGAGTTAACACATGTGGAAGCTTCATACGAGGCTCAGGTATCACACTTATCAAAATCTGTTGGCCATTTAGAAGAATGTGTAAGACAAGCCGAGAATGATAAAAGAGCAATGTCTAGCGATTTAGCTGCAGTGAGAGAACTTTGTGCTAAACTTGAGCTATCAAAAGATCAACTACAAGTTAGTTTCATATGAAAAAAATAAAGGCTGTTTAATAATATTTTGTTTTCTATTTCAGAGACAGTTAGCAGGCTTAGAAAGTCAAAGAGATGTATTTGGTCATAATATTGATGACGTTCAACGTGAAAACGATGCTCTCCGAGAACAAATAAGATGTGAACATGAGTCCGTTACTAGATTAGAGAGTTTATTGAGTACAAATAGAGAAAAAGAGTATCAAACGCAACTGTTCCATCACGAAGCTGAAGCAGAAATTCTTATGTTAAAGGACCGCTTGGCGTTGTGCGAGAGCAAATAGTATGTTTGAAAATTAATATCATTTAAAACCTAATTAAGTAATTGATTTAATATTTCTAGTGAAAGTCAAAATAAGGAAGTCGTGTCTCTACGCTCTAAAAATATCGAATTGGAAGGCGAAATTGATAAGCTCAAGAGGCAGGTCACAAATGAGAAATTTGAACGTGAAAGGGCTGCTCAAGAATTAAGAAGACATGGTATAGTTGCTCCTGGAGATAAATCAAGGTCCCCAGGTTCAAAAACACCCGTTTCTCAAAACTTCCCTGATAATAAGGAAAATGTACAGCATTCTGTATAGTTTAGTTATCATATCGAAAAGGACTGCAAATGAGACCGTAGATAGTTAATTGTATATTCAAGTTATTTAACAATATTATTTATCATTTTAAGAGCAATAGATTATACTGTTAAGAAATTTGACAGTTAGAATTTCTAGTTTCCCTTTGTCGGGTATTTGTTTGCTGCGGACGATTTCCAGCATCAGCTTCCATCTGTAAGGCCTTTGCTAATTCGAAATCGCGTTGTTCCTGTAATTCTTTATCGGATAGTGTCCTGCCTGGAGCATTACTTTCTGCCATACTAGCCTGTAACGCTCTTGCCATGGCTTCATCTTCACTAATATTCTGAGGTTGTAAAGAAACAGCCATAGGTCTTCTAGATTCGACTCCGTTGGTCAATTGAACATTTTGGTTCTTAAAAACCGATCTGTATTACAAGTTTTTCACTCAGTTAAAACTGTAAATTTATTAATATTTAGCTTTACTTGTTGGTTCTTGTGGGTATTTGAGGTCCTTGGCAATCGTGATCGGCTTCATGACGATGTTTCAAACAAAAATTAAGTCGGCACTTTGAGCAGGTTAGAGACATAAGTTCTTTTATTTTGCAGCCTTTTTTAGAGCATTTATTCTGAAATACTTTTTTCCGTCTACTCGCCAGATGAGACTTACAGTCATTGTCAATGTGCTGATTCACGATCATATCAACAGATGCGTTTCCAGAAACCGTTATTGCCGAATTACATAACGGACAAATGGGAACTTGTCGATTTCTTTTATAAGATTCTGGACAATTGTGAGTCGCATAGGTCAAGTGATCTTTACTAAATTTAAAAAGGGAGGTTGAAGTGTATTTTTATAAAATTATATATCATTCTCACCAAAACATCCGACTACAAGCGTCACATTTCATAGGTAAAAAATCTAAATAAATAAAATTATAATGTAATCGTTGTTATAAAGATTCTAAAATCAAAAATGTTTATTACCTAATTGTTTACAAGTTGCTTCACTGCAATTTTCTCCTAATTCTGGAAATTCCATAATTGAAGTCGATTTTCCGATATATAGTTAGTTAAATAAGACTATGAAGAGCTTAAGATTGAAAATCTAATTAATTACGTCTCAGTTATGATGAGATAATGTTAAAAATTGTACATCAATATGATGCAGCAGTTTGTTTGAATGAGTAAGGCAATTCCTATCTACGTCATTTAAAGACTTCGGATAGTCACGTGATTGGAATATTCCTGAATGTGAAAAAATAGTAACAAACGCTGATTGGTTGAGAGTTTTAAATTTCGCGGGTTTCGACTGGGGTTTCGAACAATTTGAAATTCAAATAGGCTGTAGTGTTAATATAATATATTCATTCATTAGATGATCAGCAGTTAATTAGCATGCAGTTAAATATAGTTATAGAAACAATTATATATGAAAATGTAACTCGGAATGTGACCTCTAAATATGTAAACAAAGCATCGAAAACTGAAAATTACTCTTTATGCAATCACAATAATAATTCAAAGATGAATTTTGAAAAATATATATCATTCTATGTACAAGTATTAGATATTTTACATGTTATAGTAAATTTTCGATATCTTTTATAACGAATTATTTTCATTTTTCCGAGTAAATTGCTCAATATTTCTCTTTTAAATGTAGACAATTGCGAAAAATGAAAATAAGCAAATAGAAATATTATTAAGTTATGATAGCACAATTATTTTAATTAAATTTTCAATTATGTTTCGGCAGTAATAAATGGGCCAAAAGTAGAACGCTTGTAGTATCAGCATCTTGAATAACTGAAAATGTAGAGGTTATTATTGATAAAAACAATATTAAACTCTTTCACTTCACTTACCAACAGGTAAATTATCTTTTTGACGTCCATCGGGAAGTTCGGGCAGAGCAGTATCGAAGGAACTAGCACAGAGTATATATATTAAAGATTGTTTGCGGTCCAAGCATGCAACACCCCAACAAAGGCTGCAGTTAGTAATGTAAGTCAAGAGTAAAGGTATGCTCCCGCATCCCGCAACTTTGAGTAATGGTCCCGGTGTAAAATATGGAAGCTTTCCCGAAACATTCGTGTACAAAAGACATGACAGAAATCTATCTCTGGCGCAAGTAACTAATATATCGTGTCTTGTACCACTTTCTAACTCTACAGTTTCAGTTTCTAATTCAGCATTTAGATAAAAAGAGCATTGTAATTTTGGTTCTGACTCATGAGTCCATCGATCTTCTGTAGGATATGAAGCAGCTTTTAATTTCAAGGCTGTAAATTTCTCTAACGTATAAGTAATTCTATTCTCAGGAGGCTCGTCCCTATTTTCTTCCACTAGTTCTGATTGATCATCAGTCACAGAGCTTTCTTCGATAGTTTTCTTTTCAAGAATATTTCTTGCATGTTTATGTCTAGTCGATGGTAACTTTTGCTCTTTTTTCTGTTTTAACAAACTATCTAAGCGTTGTTTAAATGAACTAATTTTAGATCGGCGAATTTTATTATCGGCTTCAGAAGAAAACTTTCGAGAATTTGCCAGGTTACTCTTCACAGGGGTTAATGGCTTATGTCGAGATTTTAAAGAATATCTTCTTTTTGCCGGTAATAAGGTCAAATTATTAGTTTTTGATGAGACTTTTTTGTTTAATTTAATTCGATCTTGTGCTAACTTCGCTAATTTCAATTGTTTTTGATTGGCGGGAAGATGACTAATATCCTCAAAGAAAGCATTCACATTGAAAGTATCGTCATTATTATTATTTATTTTCTTGTCATTACTTAAGATATAAGTTGGCTTTCTTTGGTTGTTAGAACCAGACGGTGCAGAATCGGAGCAGAGCTCATTTTTTATCACTTTAACATTTCGTCGTCGTTGAACAGCTAATAAAAGATCTGGCCTTCCTTTTACAAAATACTCATTGAAAAACTCTAGAACATGAGCTTTATATTTACTTGGATGAGATTTTTGCTTTTTGAAACCATAGAGGTTTAATTGCCTGATAAAAGATTTAATATTTGTTGTTTTGAAAACATTTTTCGTAGTATCCAAGTATTGGCTCTTAAAGAGATAAGGATCTATAACGATACTTTTCCCGTCATGAGTCCATTGAATACCTGAGCAGCCTCCCAAATTAACTAATGCAAATAGCTTCCTGGGAAACTTTTCAATTCGAATAAGACGATTGAATTGTTGAGGTGATTCTTCAACTGCTGTCGTTTCAATGGTCGTTTGCTGGACACTTATTGGTGATTCTGATATTTGATTTTCTTCTGTAGGAGATTCCATTTGAACAACAAAAGATTGTACTTTGTCCACATTTGTCGTGCATTCTTCCGGGCCTGTCGTTAATTTCACTCGTTCGTTAAATACGCTTCGACGGGGAAGAATTGATATAATATGTTTCGCTCCTTTTGTCGGCAACATCTTTCTAAACTACCTAAAGAGCAAAAGCAATTTATAATAAATTGAAATATTTGCTTAAAAAGCAGTAGTTATTGTCTTAAGCTACACGGAAAGCACTTCTTTACATTTTGATAGAAGTATTAGATTACTCTTTTATTTTTTGGTAACTTAATTTCCTGTAGAAGATGTGCTAAAAGCTCTATATACGTACTCACAAAATTTCACAGACATCAAAAAGGTAGTTTTTAAATCACTTGCTGTATAATAATTTTTGGATAAAATAAAATAAGTTTAGTGTTTATTGTATGAGTTGTCAAGGTAAATTAAGTATAGAAATACAAAATTTTAGACTAAATATATATACAATACCAAACTTACACTTAGTTACATGTTGAATAGCAAATAAATTCGAACCTAAAATTGTTTGGGCGATAATAGGTATAGCTTCGTTTAATTCGTGACAACAAAAATGATAAATACTACTTATAAAACGACTTTTTAAAGTTTACAAGTACCTCAAATTTTTCATGAGATTCAAAACTTTCTGTTGAACAGCTATTTATATGTTAATTAATACGAATTTTTAGAGATTTGGACAATGGTTTTCGAGATTATCGGCGCGTTCGTTCGTTAGTACGAAAATCAAAATGATACGAAAATAGTCAGTGGTACCAACATTATATAAATCTAGTACAAAAAATTTTTACTTTAATTTATTAATGCACAACTATCTCGACTTGAGCATTTAAGTTTTAAATTTTGTAATTTTCGGAAATTTATACTTCAGATATAATTTACTTCCGTTTCCTGTAACTTTAAACAAATGGCTTCCAGCTATGAGTCGTATGATGATTGCGACGGTCATGTGCCGAAACGACAGCGCACTGAAGGGGAATATGTATGTATACTATTTATTTTTTAAAACATAGACTTTTTAAGCCCAACTGAGATCTGAAAAAGTAGTTCTGGTCACTAGAAACCAGTATTATTCTAATGACGCTGCTTTTTCCGTTGTTCCCTCACGTCTCTTCCATCTGCCGTATTTAAATTTAACAAAAAAATGTATTTTTTTAAAATAATTTTCAGGAAGTCCGACAAGAGCGGCACAACACAAATCCATCAAAAGTCGTTCACGTTCGGGGATTAAGTGATATGGTCGTTGAAAATGATTTGATCGAAGCTGTTCAACGATTCGGTGAAATACAATATATTATAATGATGCCTAATAGACGTCAAGCTTTGGTCGAATTTAACGTGTGTTATATCTTCTAGTAATAACGTAGTTTATAACAATATTCTTTTAAAGGATATCAAAGAAGCCATCAGTTGTGTTGACTATGCTCAGCAAAATCAAATATATGTAGCCAATCAACCAGCCTTTTTTAATTACTCTACGAGTAAAAGAATTCAGAGACCACCTAACGAAACTGATGCAGAAGGGAACGCTAATAAAGTGTTGTTGTTTACTATTTTAAATCCTCAGTATCCAATAACAACGGTAATAGATAAATATCATTTTTGAAATATATGAAATGTCAATTGGCCATTTTTTCATTTTTAGGATGTTATGCATACAATTTGCAATGCAAACGGAAAAGTACTGAGAATCGTGGTGTTCAAAAAAAATGGAGTGCAATCTATGGTAGAATATCCTTTTTGCAAAAAAAAGACCACTTAGTTTAAAAAAATTTAAATTTTTCCGTACATTTAAACCTTAATTCTATCTTTACGTTTGATTCTGTTGAATCTGCTCGACGAGCAAAAAAAACTTTGAATGGTGCAGACATTTATTCTGGTTGCTGCACTTTAAAAATCGAGTTCGCCAAGGTAAATTTTCATTAAAAATTGACGATATTACTTAATTCTTTTTAATTACAGCCAACAAAATTAAACGTCTATAAGAATGACAGCGAATCCTATGATTATACAAATCCTAATCTAGGTAAGCTATAACTTGTATTTTATTATTTATAAGATGCATTTTTTTCGAAAACAACAACATACAGCGTTCACATGTTGCACAACATGACGTTCATGTATATTTCATATAATGTAAACATGTGTAAATTTCTGCATTGTCAAGTCTAGTTTTAGGCGTGTTCTACTAATACCTTGCTTCACTAGAACATTATTCACTTTTGATGTAGTACATTCTCCAAAATCAAGAAGAGACATAAGAAGATATAATAGTTAGAAACAAAGAAAGAAAACTATTCACAGTAACAACATGTATACTCATAATTACAAAAGTATACAGTGCATTCAAGAAACAACATGCAGTCACAAACAGGCTATAAACTGCTTTCAAACAATTTCTCATTTTTGCCGGAACTTTTACAGGAACTTTGGAAGAATGAAAAATTGCTGGAGCTGCTGAAAAATAAACTGTTAAAAATTCTATTCTATTGGAGATGGATGGTAATGTGTTTTTGACGCATTGCACCACTCACCTACACCAAGAGTTAACGAAATACCCTTGGTTAGGCACAAATCGATAATTAAGTCTCTTCGAATTAATAATATAATGTGAATTAACGATGTTGTAACACATTCTATTCTCATTGTTCTTCGGAAAGCAAACTAGATTTATCTGTGAGGGTGGACTCTTCTTACAGTGCAAACTAAAAGTTTTACTGGAGGTTCTGTAAGGGGAATGTTTAAAATTAAGCCCACAAAATTCAGAAATGTTTTGTAGCTTGGAATGTTTTTGCTTTTTATTTTTTATTTATTTTTTTTTTACGGTTGAGTCGGGGAACCCTTAGTTTGTACTGTATTTTCAGATGTATCATTAAAGAGAAGTGTTTGTGCTTCTTGCTCTTCCTTTAAGTACACATATGTATCAATTAATTAACTAATATATTAAAGGAAATTAATAAATATCACATCATCTTAGGTCAAAATGAACATCGCGGAAATGCACCCCTTCTTCAGGAACCTCGGTATGGATCTGGACCAACTCCTTATGGTGGACGTAAGTTTTTCTGTAAATCTTTTAACCTGACTAAAATTGTAACGCAGCAGTCTTTGTTAATCGTGTCTTATTACTTATAACAAGGGATATCGTATATCAAAAATTAAATTTTCTCCTTTAGGAAATCAAGGTTCATCTCAAGGCCTAGCAGGTCCTCCAAACATACCTCCTGGTCCAGGAGGACCTGGATATGGACCGCCGTTAGAAAATGATAGTAGACCTCCGCCAGGTGGAGGATATGGAATGGGACCTCGAGGACCAAATGGCCCTATAGAATATGGCGGTGGAGGCGGTGGGGCAGGAGGAGGAGGAGGTGGAGGCGGCGGCGGTGGTGGTGGTGGTGGTTACGACTATGGTCCTCAGTCAGGAATGGGTGGTAGCATGCCTATGGGTGATAATCGAGGTATGGGTGCAGGATATGGACCTGAGTACGGAGGTTATGATGGGCCACCAGGAGTCCAAGGTTGTGTTCTGATGGTTTATGGCTTAAATCCAGAAGTCATGACTTGCCAGCGAGTCTTCAATATTTTTTGCCTTTATGGTAATGTTATAAGGGTGAAGTTTTTGAAATCAAAGGAAGGAACAGCTATGATTCAAATGAACGATCCTTCTAGTTGTGATCGTGCGGCAAAAAATTTGAATAAGGCGTCCCTTTTTGGTCAAGAATTACAAATAGCCAAATCAAAACAACCGTATCTGCTAGAGGTCCATAGTAATTATGAGTTACATGATGGATCACCTTCATATGTAGACTATTCTTCGCATCGCAACAATCGTTTTTCAACTCGTGAAGCAGCTCAGAAAAACCGCATTCAAGCCCCTTGTCCTGTGTTACATTATTATAACGCACCACCGTCAGTTGGGGAACAGGAAATAATCAGACTGTTCAATAATCTACAGATATCTCCACCAGTCTCTGTAAAACAATTTCCACCGAAAAGTGACCGTAGTAGTTCGGGCGTGTTAGAATTTAAATCTGTAGAGGACGCTTTAGAAGCTCTTGCTCTCGGTAATCATGCTGCTATCGACAATCCACAGGGAAAGGCTCCTTACACATTTAAACTGTGTTTTTCGTCAAGCCCAAAATATTGACATTTCTTTTCTGTTGTGTTTATGAAATTTTTCAGCCGATTAATAAAACTAGACTTATTTAAGTATACAGTATGTCTTATACTGGTAGATATTAATTAAAGGATGATTTATTTTAAGTTATAGATTGTTGGATTGCTATTCAGCCATTCACAATTAAGGATCAGCTATAGAAGAGACAAAGAATTCATAGACGACATGGAAAGTCAAAATTAAATTGCCTGTAAACCCATGGAAGTTTTGTAATTTTTTTCAAACTGGCATAATGCCCTAAAGAAAAATAAACTTTTCTAATATTCTGTTTTTTCGATTTAATTTAACACTTAACACTCAAGCAGATAATTCAAACAAAACAATTATAAGCCGCCTGAAGAAGATTCATCCTTAAGGACATACTTCTTATACAGTTTATTCATCTGCTCCAGGAAGATGAAAGTTATAACTGTATGAGGTCCTAAACGAGCATAGTAAGGAGTAAATCCTTTCCACAAGGAAAAGAATCCCTCTTTCCTTATTACAGTTGAAAGGACATTCTGGAAAAATTTTTAGAATGAATTATTAACATCTGTTGAAATATGTCTTTAACTTACGAATGCTCCACTATATTCAGGTTTTCCATCTATTACCTTCATACTCTGAATTCTTGTCTTGGCAATATCCACCGGCATTGATGCTATGGTTGTGGCCAATCCACTTATCATACTTCCAACAAAGTGACAGAAAAGATCATCCTTGAAATATCTCGTGCTCAGAAGAATCTGTTTAGCTTGTGAATAAGTTGCCAACTGCACAGCATTAACGACCATAGCTCTACCAATGGTTGGACCACATCCTCTCCATAAAGTCAACACTCCTTCTTCCTTTGATATTCTGAACAATGCATTGAATACATTTTTATAGCCTCTTCTGTCTTCTACTGGAAGTCTCCCATCCGCTGTCATACGAATAAGCGACAAATCGGCAGGAGTGCCAACAAAAGATCCGATTGCTCCTGCAGCCATACCAATTGCAGCTTTTGTTAAAAAATTCGGTGGTTTGCCTTCGGGTGAAAATTTTTCGAACAAGATTGTATAAACACCAAGTCTGGTCGTTGTGTACGTCGCTTGTCTTAACAGACCGGCCGATAATCCAGCATAGAGAGCCAGAATTCCTTCATTTCTGAGAATACTCGTGAATGCATGAAAGCTTGTTTTATGAGCTCGAAGTTCTCCTCCAACACCGCTCAGCTGCATACGATTTTTAATAAGATCCAACGGTTGGACAAATAGAGTGGCTCCCATTCTAGATTAAAAATGACGTTCTTAATGCATAATTTTCAGAAATTTTGTACGCTTTTCCAGCAGAATTTCTTAAAATATTCTTTGGTAACTTTATACTTCATTTTATCAAAGTACAAGGGATTCACATACGTGTCTCGATAAGATAGAAATTGAAAGTCATTGTAAAGGTTGTTGCTAAGTAATTTTGTTGCTTACCCTGCTGATCCTCCAAATAAAAATTTTACAGCTTTAGGTATTTCCTTTTTTTCACTCATGTCTCTTAAGTAATACGTGTATTTTGAGAAAAATATAGCTTATATGACATTCAGAATGAAACTGTCAAGTTCCGGTAAGTAATAATGCCATCTACAGTTGAAGAACTTTAAAAAATAATTTTAAGCTAATATTAAATATTTTAAAGCATATAAAATATTTTTTTTACTATTAAATATAAAGTCTTTTCTTAAAATTTTAGCATTGAAATTTTGAAGAAAAGGTTGAATCATGCGATTTGTCCTAGAAAGTATGGTTCTTGTCTTTTTGTCTGCTCCCCGTCCAACACACATTTTCAGATTGCAGTACCTTTTCCAACAGCAACTAATCAAGATATATTCTCGCGCAATTTCCTTGAACAGAATACACAATGCTCGGAAGACGACTTTTACAAAAATCCTTTAAAAGTATTTTATTTCTTTTGATTTTGTTCAATCTAATATTAACCCTACCCCATACTAAATAGACAACTTTTTTCAGGTCATGTCCGCAAGTATGCATCTGTGAATTATCTGAAAAATGAACCGAAAAAACCAGATGTTAAAACAGCAATTCCAGGCCCGAAGACTCTGGCTCTAACGGAGAAATTAGGAAAAATCCAAGTAGGCCTATGCATAATTTCTTTTTTTCTCCTTCCTTTTAGGCTCTCTTCAATTACTGGAAAGTAGGTCATGCATACATCATTGTAGGTATTTAGCACGGCCACAGGTCTCTAATTTGTAGATAGTCTAAAAATTATTTTACAATGTTTTACCCTGTTTAACGACCAAGGCCGCATTAGTCACGTGATAATGTTGTTAAATAGACAGCTGTAAAATGTAATTCTTTGAGAAACAGTCATAACCCATTAATGTATAACAAGAAAAGTAAAAGCCCCCCCCTGTCGATTGACAAATGGAATTTTGTCCTAAATTTAAAGATTGTTTGTTATTCTTTTTACTTTACGTAAGAGGAAAGAAGAAGTGCACTAGAGAGTTTATTTTTAACTTTGTGACTTTAGGACTTGATAATCAACGCTAGATCTGGAGAGTAGACGATCACAAGTAGATGATAAATCAAGTAGAATTAGATTATGATAAAACTATAATAACTTGTAATGCGTATTTGTAAGTTATACCTTAATTGTGCAACTCTACTTAAAATTTTAGCACTTTCGATAAACAACCTTGAATTTTATTATTATTTTATCAAACTGGGTTAAAAAACAATGAATAAGAGCTGACATTTTCATTTTTGAAATTAAATTTGTTTTCTTTCTTATAGAAAAACAAGTGTTAAATTTGTCTTTCTCTCCTCTCTCTCTCTCTCTCTTCAATTTCTCTTCCTCTTTTATTATTTAAATTAAAAATTGATTTGCAGTTATCATCTTCAATTGAAATTGCGTTCTCTTTTTTAATTTACAGAATACTGGGGCCATAAATTTTTTTGTTAATTATGAAAAATCCATTGGAAATTATATTGTTGATGTTGATGACAACGTACTTTTGGATGTTTTCACTCAAATTTCATCAATACCACTTGGTTAATTTTACTTTTATTAGAGTATCTATTTTATATAAATACGTTTACGTAAATATATTATAGAATTTTGAATCTATTTTTGTTTTCTTTAGGCTACAATCATCCGAGATTTCATGATGTAATGAAAAATTCACAAAACTTGGTGAGAAATATATTGATTTTTTTTTTGCAGGCCTCTTAAATTGCTTCTATAAACAACACTTTTTTTGCAGTCACATTTCATCAATAGACCTGCCTTGGGAATTTTTCCATCAGCTGATTGGCCTGATAAACTAGAGAGGGCGCTTTTGTCGGTAAATTCTTTTAAAATAATTTCTTTATTGTGAGATAGATCAAAATTCTTTTTTGTTCTAGATTGCTCCCAAAGGCTTAAAACATGTTACAACTATGGCTTGCGGTGCTTGTTCTAATGAACAAGCATTTAAACTTATGTTTACCGCTTATCAAGTTAGTATAATACATATTAAATAAGAGAGAAAACTATTTTCTAAATGTACTTTCTAAATAAAATAGAGAAGAAAACGTGGTGAGCCAACAGAAGAAGAAAAAGAAAGCTGCGTTTATAACAAAGAGCCTGGATGTCCAGATTTAGTAATTCTAGGATTCGACGGAGCCTTTCACGGCAGATCAATGGGTAATTTAGTTCATATGGTAATGCAATAACATCGTATTATTTACTGTAAAACAATTGGAAGGTTGTTTAAACGTAACTCATACGAAATGGATTCATAAAATGGATTATCCTCATATGGATTGGCCCTGTGCAGCATTTCCAAAATTGAAATATCCTTTGGAAGAGAACGTTGAAGAAAATAAACAGGAAGAAGCGCGTTGCCTGGAAGATGTATATTTAATTTTCTTTCAAGGATAAAGAGTAGATTACCCTTAATTCTTTGCTGTAAATGTTTTTTAGGTTAGAAGGAAAATTGACGAATACAACGCAAGGGGTAAATTTGTTGCCGGCTTAATTGTAGAACCAATTCAAGGCGAAGGAGGAGATAATTCTGCTTCTGCTGATTTCTTTTGTCAAGTGCAAGCAATTTGCAAGGAAGTTAGTAACTCTCGTAGTAAAATAAAGATTCTTGACAAATCTCTCTTCGCTTAAATATATTTTTAGAAAGGAGTGTTTTTTCACGTTGATGAAGTACAAACGGGGGGAGGATCCACTGGAACTATTTGGCAACACGAACAATGGAATTTACCACATCCTCCAGACGTTGTTACATTTAGCAAAAAAATGCTGACAGGAGGCTTTTATGCTACAGATGAACTATTGCCCAGGGAAGCCTACCGTATTTTCAATACTTGGATGGGTTTGTGTGATTTATTTATCTACTTCCGTTCATAATAGATTTTTATTTTCTTTATTACAGGCGATCCTACAAAAGTGCTGTTGCTAGAAGAAATGGTGAAGGTTATCAAGGATGAAAATTTATTGTCACAGGTCAAGGTGACAGGGGAATATTTGAGAAGTAATTTAAATGAGCTACAGGTAAATTTAGATAAGTTATGGTGAAACTATTTTTTTAATATCATAAATATTTCCATTACGTCACAGAAAAAATATAATAAAATAATGACGAACCTTAGAGGTGCTGGACTCTTTTTATGCTTCGATTGTCCAACAGTAGAGACAAGGGATAAACTTATATCGACACTGAAATCCAAAGGAGTTCTATTGGGTGGTAACGGTGTTTCGTCTGTACGCGTTAGACCAACTTTGGTCTTTGGAAAAGGTCATGCCGACATTCTCCTAAACTCTCTTGAAGAAACTCTTGAAGAACTTCAATGAAAAAAAAGAAAGTCCTAAATTTTTTAAAAAGCACGATTTTCATTGTTTTTAACATAGATGTTTACATTGATCCTATTACACATTTACTGTTATCCTATAAATGATGCTGATATTTTAATTAATTTTTACTTAATAAATTTACTCTTTTCTAACTTTAAGTAGTGTATTGATAAAAGTAGAATTGAGAAATAAAGCAGTTTTTTCATATACAGAAATAATCTTATCTTGATAAATATTACCTTGAAAATATATTGATCTTAGAGTTATAGCAGCGAGTGGATTACTTTAGCATGTAGTATGTTTAATATAATCCTTGAAACACCTTTATTAATAGCAATTATAATGAAATTGCATCACACTATCTTTATCAAAAAAAGTTACAATCTTCTTTAAATAATATCATTTTGTTCTAAACTTAAAACAGTTTATAGATATAATTTTTAAATGAGCTTCGTTATTGATTAGTTCATCAAACTGAACAAAATCTATAAGTCTATTCCAATACAAGAGGATTTTTAATACTAAAGCAAACACTTCTTTATCAATGAAAAAACCCCTTCAAAACAATGTTAAATCATTTTAGTCATACAAATTATTTGAAATAATATGAAAAACAAGTTTAAAAGATAAAGAATAAAAAAAAATCTATTATTGAACAAAGAGATTTAAGTATATCAATTTTATGCTATTATAAGACTTTTTTAAGTAGATTATTGCTTATCTGTTAATGACACATAAGATAGAAAAAAAGTTCATATCAAAAAATGACCCTAATTTTATTGATAAACAAGAAGGGGAGGATTTGCAAAATCGATTAGAGCCAGTTTGTCAATCTGCTACACCGTGTTATTATTTAAATCCTTCTTCGAATCAGCCAATTATAATTTTACAATCTATACCACCTTGCTATTCTGCAGTCCAACAGCAATGTAATAAGGAGAGCGAGAAGACATTAAAACATGATAAAGAAAAAAGAAAAGAGAGAAATCTTAAAGAGCCTGTTGAAAAATTAAAAAAAAGAGGATCAACTAATGAAGGCAAACATTTAACATATCTATCAAAAGTATAATTTATTCATATCATTAGACTAATAAACGTTTTGATAAACCTATCTTTAATTAGAATAAAGGGGAAGTACATAATCAAACTACACAAACAAAACCTTATTCTAAAGAAGATGAAATTAATAATGTAATAGATAATTACTACATGAATATCAGATATGTGGTGTTTATAAATTATATATTCTAATTATAAATAGGTTAGACAGTCGAAAAAGAATAGGAATAAAAGTTTCGAAAGAGGTGAAACCAGTTCTAAGGTAGAAAATTGTATCTTTTTTCATTGACTTATAAATGATATAAAATGCAACAATTTACTTTTGAAAAAAAAAACAGATTAACCGGTTTAGAGAAGCTAGAGAAACTAGTGTTGAATCGTCTCGAAGGAAGAGTAGGGTAGAGACTATTAATACAAGTTTAAATGATAAAGAACGCAAAAAAGAAAGTAGAAATTCTGTTAGATCACAAATAAAATGCTGGAATAGAATTTATAGCCCAGATAATTGTATTGAATCTGAAGAATGTAAAAAATGTTGCTGTTGTATTGAAGCACAACGTTTAAAGAATAAATTAAGTAGTATACAAAACTCTATCATTCAAAGGGATGTAGAAGGGGAAATAGAAGATAATAATGACAATGATGAAGGCGAAGAAAACGATTCAAGTATGGATAATGGACAAACTAAGGATTTGGATGATCTAACGTCAGATAATAGCTCAGAAGAAAAAGTTGAATCTATATACAAGTCCGTAGAGACTAAAGATTCATCGAATCTCTCAAAGCTCACTACAAATCCTCCTGCTGATTTTATGACTCCATCAGCCTCTAAGAAGGCGGTTCATACTAAGAAAGTATCAAATGGTCGAAAGCCTTCAAGGCTTTTCCCCAAAGATTATATTCAACCTTTATCTAGTCCACCAAAAAATCCTATAAAACACAATATACAAGACGCATTACCTAAAAGTAATATATCTTCGGCTCTAGAAAAATTTTCTAAAGCTGTTACTAAAGCAAATGCTGTTACGCTTTTGTCGGGCCATCGATTGGAATACGTGCCCAAATTTGACAAATAGAATATTATGTAATAAAAGTTCTTTTTATCGAACAATTTCTTCTCACGATCGATAGATGGCAGCACCAATCAACGAAACAATAAAACTAATCTTGGACTAAACTGTTTTTTTTCTTCATTATAAAAATGTATTTTATCAATATAAAAACAAATAAAGAGGGATTTGAAGGGTAAATAATCAATCATCATTTTTAAAAACTTAAGGCATTTTTGGAATGTTATTTTTTCAATTTAATCATAAAAAATTAACAAAAAAGTCTCTAAGGTAATTCGCTTTCCAATTCGGGATCGTCAAGCAAAACTTGCTTGTCTGTCTCGTTCATCGGAAGGCCATTAATTGAAACATGATAGCTGGAATTATATTTGTGGCGTCGTTGAATTCTATACACTCTACAAGCAACCAAGGAAAATATTGAGGAGAATAATGCCGCAAAAGCAATTGATGCCACATATGTGATGAACGTCGTCGTTACGTGAAAAAGCTTTTCTTTCATAATAATATGACTGATTCTCGAAAGAGAACCGTTGTTAGGGTAGGGTTTAGCATCAACAATTTCACAAATTAAGGGATATATATCAACATTTTCAAAAGATGAGGCTGTATAGTTTTTCTTAAAAATAGGACCCCTTGCAACGAAAAATGGATGCATAATTTTAATACTGTTATTGTATCCGTGAGAACCCCTTCTTTCTAATAAAAAAAAAGAGAAAAAAACGAGAATTAGTATAATATTTGCCACTGTATATAAAGTATATACTGTGTCTACAGTTTATATGGATTTATATACAAAAAATAAACTTATATATTGTATAAATGCATAAATTTTTACAGCGTATTCATAGAAACAACAAACACGTTTCAGCTGTTAAAATGCAGTTTTTCATATGTCTTATGTGATGTAGAGCGTTTAAATATTTGTACAAAATTTACTATAGTTATAACTTACTCCATTTTTGTTTCTCTTCCTTTGTTTTTACAATATTCCAACCTACATCCGCAACGAGGACTATCGATCTTACTCGTATGTTGTTCCTATAATGAAAATGTTCTGGTATATCTTGCTTTCTATATACTTTCATATTTTGAACTTTGGATAAACTTTTGACAATTTCATCTACCGTTGAAACACCTAACAAAGAATGGAGAGATATAGTAAAGTACCTAAATTTTACAAGTATTAAATTACCGTCAATAGGATCTATTGAATAAATTGGACTGTCCATATAAGATGTATAGTCTACTTTAAGATAGTCATCCAAGACGATTACTTTTTCAGAATCCGATTCGGCCATTCCATGATCACTCGTGATAATTATGTTCATCTCATCATACATGTCTACTTCTTCCAATCTCTTTATTAAATATCCAATATATCCGTCTAATTTTATAATTTCATCTAAAACCTCATTTGAATCTGGCCCAAATTTATGCCCCGCAGCATCAGGCTGTCTAAAGTACAATAATCCAAGATTAATTGGACAATCTTCTGTATCGAACCACCTAATTAGTTTATCTATTGGTACTTTGTCACCATTTGCATATTTAAAGTTAAAAAATTCAAATCTCGTTGGCCTATGGTCATTTATTACAACACCATCTCCAACCCAATATAAAACTCCACTAGCACCTCCAGCCCGTTGATTGGTTACCCAAATTGGTTCACCACCACTCCCATCCCCATTATTATACCAAAAAGAATCGGTAACGTCAGCAGTTAAGTTGAAAGTCTAAGGAAATAAAGTTTAAAACGCTCATAATACAAGTAATAGCAATAATAATAAATAGAGTGTGTATAGTATTTCAATATTATGCCTCACATGATATTTATACATTGTAAAAACATTTCTCACTGACAAACATACCATTAGAATTAATCTATTGATATAATTTTTTTATAACAATTATAAATTATCTGCCTTTGTTCTATATTTAACATTTACAAAGGATTTATTAATGATTACATATTTCTTAATTATTTGTGATTTTATCTATATTAGTAATATTTAACAAAGCATTTTTTATTATTTTCCTTCTCGACATCTTATTATGTGATAAGTTATTTAATATTGTAATTTTAACGAATTTTTAGTAGTACTAAACTAATTAATCATTCATATGGAATAACGAATTTATAGGTTTTAGTATAGGGTTAAAAAAATTATGAAATATGTTTGCCAGATATAGTGTTAAACACCTTGCATTAGCTGCTTATACCATCTGTTTGTCTAGCATAAAAAAAAATATCTTTCTAAAAAGGTCTACGCTGTGTATAAAATTATTCATAGTCTAATGATTTATAAGTAAAAAAGTAAGTAGGAAGTTTATCTTTAAATTCTGATATCTTGATAATTTGGTATTATATATACCTGGTTTCTCCTTGGATCAAACATTTCATTTCCAATAAGACCATGACTTTCTTCATATCTCCCAGTAACTAAACTCCAATGATTGGGAAATGTTTTAGTAATAAAAGCGTTTGTTATACCGTCCTTGACGTAAACACCTTCTTCTATTATTCGATTGAAGTTAGGTGTAGAAGCATATCCTCTCTTATCTTTTACTTTTTCCAAATAATCATATCTAAATCCATCCAAGCTGATAAAAATGACTTTCCGACGAACCGAATGAAGGTCACCAAGACTGATAAAGAATATAAAACAACAAAATATTCCTATAACATTTAGTATTTTCATAATTATTTATTTATTTGGCAAAAGTGGCACATATAAAGTTTTCTCGCGTTGCATTTAATTTTTTTTGTCGTCTGCTATAGGGAACACTTTACATTAGTCTAAGCTACGCACTCAATTAAAGGCCACACTCTAGACACAGGTGGCGCTTTTAGCGTTGTAGAGTTTAAATAAAATTATGTGCAAAAATAGTAATGTTTCTACAAAGTCTGATAAGTAAGTCCTTATATGTCATTACAATAACGTTTTGGGGAGTGGATTGTCAAGTATTGATTTCCCGGGTAAACTAGAAATTTACTAAATCAGATTATTCAACTTTCTTTTCTTTTGCTTGATTAAGTAATCTCGAATTTCGTTAATATCAACAGTTTTCTCGCTTTCATTATTTTCCCATTCCGTTTGAGAAGCTTGATCTTTTAAGAAAGAAAACTATTATTCTATTCATATTTCATAGACTGGAAGAGTTTACCTATCGTCACTTTTGAACCGACGTGTTCTAATGTTCTAAAAAATCTAAATTTCTTTACATCAAGTTTTGTTACAACTTTTCTACAAACTGGACATTTAAACGAGTGAATGCTTTTTGAATTTTTCATTACTCCAGTAGTACATGATTCGCAGGTGATGTGTTGACATGGAAACAAAATTGGAGATTTATTAATCCAAGTTTCAAGACAAACACGGCATGTTAAACTCTCTTCTCGTATTCTATATAGGAAGTTTTCATTCATTCTGAAGGCAATTCTATGTTCTTTTCTCTCGATTTGATTTCAAATTAATGTAAATTCAAATAATATTATTACAATAATTTCATTTACTTATAGACATATTTTAAACAAAGACTATTAAAGCTTTTGTTAACAAAATATACAGGTTATACTGTATTTTCATATATTTTTTAATATAAACAGACAATTTTTCCATATTCAATAATGTTCGTAGCGACTTTAAAGCATATTCATGTAAAACTTCTAACGAAAGGAAAAAGTTTAAACGTCTAAATCATCGTCGGGATCTTCTTCATCAAAATCATCCGCTTCGTCCGGTTCGTAATAGATATTCCCCTTACCCGAGTCACTTTTAGGTCCTTCATCTTTTGGGGTACTGGAAGACATTCTCACGTAAACAATAAATTAATAAATAAAGTATTTAATTTGAAATACCTTTTGTTCGTTCGTACATAAGGCAGTTGTAATTTTCTTCGAGCTTCCTCTTCTTTTTCGGTAAGATTGAGATTAAAACTTAAATTTTTAGTCGGATCAGCAGCCTTAATGAACAATTATGTAAACATAACTTCATAAAAGACTTTATTAAAACAGGTACCTCAGTATTGTCTTGTTTAATACTTTCTATCAGGTTATTCGATAATATATTACTACCAGTTATTTTTTTATCAGTAAAATTGAAACCTTCTCGCTATTAAATAAAATTTAAAGTTTAAAAGTTATGGTGATTAATCAAGATTTCTATTTACTCACAGTATATTCTATTTTACCAGAGCTTTTCCTTTTTATGATATCACATTCGTATTGGTTAGTTTTACATTTAGGTGGTCGTAATTTTATGTGAAAAGGAAATATTGTCTGTATATCGTTAATTTCTATTACGTCTCTATGGCATAATCCGATAATGTAGGGTCGAATTTTTTCTTTAATTATATGAAAAGTAAATTAGAATAAATAATAGGGAATGTAATTTAATATTCAATTAACTTTCTCTATACCTTTCTGTCTCAGTATATACTTATTCAACACTTGGTTCAAGACTGTTGAACAATTTGACATGGGATCGAAGCAATCGATAATAATTAAGGTATTTGCTTGAAACTTTACTGATGCAATATCTTGAATGAATGATATAATATTCTTTCGAATTACATTTTCCCCTTCTACCCAAAGTTCAACATTTGAATGTAAATCCAAAATTTCTGCACTTAAATATTTCATAAATTATACTCAAAGGAAATGATTGAATTTATATAAAAATACAAACTTTTGAAATTCTATAAAGCTTCTATAAAAATCAGCCGAAAATTCAAGTGCAACAATAAATATATTTTCAACGCTGTTTTTAATAAACAAATTTCAGAATTTTTATAAATATTATAATATAGACAAATAAATTCTTACATTGCTGCTGTTTGTTTACTGATGGAAAAGAATATATTTTTTCCAGAGGCTTCCACTATATCTGTTATAATATCGCTCATATGTTTTTAATTTTAATACTTGTACCAAGAACTACCTGAAATTAGAAGAGCACGCAATTGTTTTAAATTCTCTTTGAGATTGTAATCTGTTAAGCTAGAGGACATTGTTGTGTTTTTACAAGTTCCCGTCCCAGGATTAAGTAATAATATATAGAACAACGTTTTAACTTGAATAGTAAGAAAAAACTATGAATAGTTTTTATTTCACATAGTCCATTTCGATTACAATGCCATCTGGTATCGTCTAGTACAATTTATGATAAATCCTTTAAAAGTTACTTTATAACACTTTTAATGTTACTATTAAATAATGGAATTATATTTAAGGCTCCCTTTTACCGTTGAGATCTTTGAAAGTAATTACTAAACAACTATATCTTGAATATATATTTAGATTTTACTTTTTATTGAAAATTGTTATTGCCATCTTTTAATAATACACCTAATGGCTTATACTACAAATTTAATCTCTGTTCACTTATGTAAAGTGCTAATATCAAGAGATTGCGTTTAACAATTCAAAATGAAAATATTATCTATATATATATATATATATAGTTTAAGAGCATACTTGGTCCGGTTCTTGCCTAACCGTTGAAAACCGGTTTACACACTTCACGAAATTGACTGGCCGCCAACCGGTTATAACCAATCATTGAGAGCTGCATTTTATCATACGAGGAAACAAATCCACTTCTCTCGCGATAAATTTGACTTTTCGTGTCACTTTGTTATAATGATATGAGAGATTAAATCAAAACGATATTTAGCGTTATTTGTATGTCTATCTGACATCTGAAATAGTTAATCACCATTGTTATTTTATCGCTTGTTTCACAATGGTCTCATCGTGGAAGAGATGGGTATTACGATACTTTGGAAGTAAGTTGCATAAATTTATTATGAAATCCACTAGTTGATAGATAGTTAAGCATTGCCATTTTCAATTTTGAATATGTATTCCAAAAAAGAAACATGATAGACGATACACAATATTAAAATTTAGCAAGGATATATACCGAAAAGATAAGATAAATCTGTAATATAGAGCATCGTCTAATTGTTTGAGTACACCTTAAAATTGTTTTACTATATCAATTTACTAGTTTGAATCTTAAATTTAATCATTCAAGAAAATTATGTACTACGGTTTGAAACGTGTTGAAAAGATAGCACAAAAGACTTAGTTCACTTTGAGCGACAATTCGTAGATCAATATTAAAATATTTTGAGCTATCATTGAATATTTTCTAGATTTATATGCAAACACGAGTGAATTTAATATTGATGCAATTTTTATTATTTTATACAAACGTACTGGAATTTTTAATTTAATAGCCTGCATTGTATGTTACTATTTAATTGATTAGTTAATTAAGTATCTCTATTTTGACACGAAAGAGATTAGACTAAAAATACAACTAAACTTACCTTATGCTTTTATCATTTCGAACAGGTACAAAAAATTTCTTGCTATGGATATTTTCTGTTCTGGCTGCACTTTACTTTATCGACCACTTTATTTTAACGAAAGATAGACTAAACTCATTGTTAAGGGAAGAAAATAGCAAAAAACCTGCAGATCATAATCGTTTTGGACCAGAACATACTATTTATAATAATAATAATATCAACCATCTAGCAAAGAGTGAACCTGGTTTGTGTGGGATAAAAGAAACGTGTCCAGCGGGGAAATATCGATATTTTATTAAATCAGGTCAAGGTGAGTTCAAATTTGACTTGTGACAACGTTTGTGTTCTCATATTGCGATGCTATCTCTCCGCCGCCCAAGTGAATTTTTATAAGAATGATATTCCCAAATCAGGTAAAGATATAGCTCCCAGAATATGCTTCAATGGAATCGAAGTGTATAACAACGAAGAAGCGAAAAAACTCGGGCGAGAGCCGGCAAGGGGAATTAACGTTGCAGTTTTTGATGAAAAGACGTTACGTCTTACTTTTGCTAGAACTTTTGATACTTATGAAAGTGATGTAGAACTAATAAGATTTTTCCAAATTGGAGGAATATCTGGTAATGCAATAGTTTTAGCAACCAGCTTTGATGAGGCATCGAAATCTTTAACTAAAGATGCTAGGGAGAATTGGAGTATGTTGGGTAGTACTGTTTTAGACAAATTAGACTTTAGGGACAACTTTGCAATGATAGGACAAAGAGGCTTAAGTCATGGTACTGCAATAGAACAGGTAACGTTTTATGGGTGATTAATGTACATAATGTTTAATACGAAATATATATACGAATATTCAGGTAGAGAAGGGAAATTCTGAAGTAGGAACATATGGAAATATTGTCACATTGTTCGGATGTATTTCTGTACCAATGGGACAATTGTTAGATCTACAAAAACTATACACAGCGAAACCTGCTTTACCAGGAAGTCAAATTGGTGAAACAATGAGTAACTGTGGCGTCCCAAAAGACTGTGGTAAATCGGCTTTTGCAGTTCATCTGTACTCTGGAAAAGGAAACGAAGAGTCACCTAAAATTTGTATTAATGGAAAATATGTATTTGCAAAGGATTTAAATGATGCTGGCAGAGGATTTAACATTGCTATAGTAAATCCAAAAACAAAATCTTATTCTCGAATTGGAAGATTTGATACCTATTTACAAGATAGCAGTAATTTAGAAATATTCCTAGAAATGTTAAATGAAGGAGATATAATTCTAGCAGTTGTTAATGATGATGCCTCTAGGAAGTAAGTACTCAAACTCAATAAAAGCAACATCAAAGTTTTGTATTCTTTTAATAACTTCACGATAAGAAAAGCTTTTATGTTGTTAAAAATATGCAGTATATGTATTTACATTATCTATAACAGTTTACTGGTATATAGAGATGTCTTTATTTATATGTATATACATATATATATATATATATGCATATATTTACATATACTGCGTATATCAATGTAGGAGCTTTAGATAAAGTTTTTTATTCGATATTTTACATATGCTCTACTACTTTTTTATAAACGTAAGTGTTGAATTCACAGTATACTATTTATTTCGATTTTATTGATTTAATTATCATGTTTAAGGATTTAATGAAATCGAATAAATAAAAAATAAAATTAACCTATTAATATACAAATAGCATATTTAAAATATTCGTTAATTAGCATGCTGATCCTCCATGCATGATTATATACAACACAGCTTAGGACAACACGCTATACATCTACTCGAATCGCTTGGAAGTTCCATGATTAAAAATTTAACATTCAGAGATTCAATGGCTTTCGTTGGACAGAAAGGCATTAGTGGATATACTTCTATAGAAGAGGCACGTTTCTAACATCTTATTTTTTTTTATTTAAACTTAATATTTACTTTATCGATTTTTGTTGTATTTCACATTATAGTTTTTTTTTTAGTAGGCATACATAGCTTTGTGTTTAAGTTAGGATATGTTTTTATTGTTCTCTGGTTTCTTTCTCTACAAAGAAACCCAAAATGTTCTAATCTACCTTATCCAATCAATTGTTCTAATTACATTGATTAAGAAGATAAGAAGATTAAATATTAAAATTCTTAGCCGGAAGATGTGAAAGTTATTTATTTTTTTACTACTTAAACAAATATTGCTACTGTTTTGAACTAGACGCTTTTACGTAGAAACGATTGTTGTGTCACCCTTTTGAACAGTTATCTCTTCTCCTAAACCATCAATTGATATCTATAGGTGTATCTTTTTTTTTTATTAACCCTTTTATCAGATTAACGGAAACTGCTCGGCGTCTCTTCTCAGACCTTGGAAGTGCAATGATTCAAAATTTAAAATTCAGAGATTCTTGGATATACATAGGGCAAAAGGGTTTGGACGGTTTCGGTGAAACAGAGCAGGTGTTTTTCAGTAATAGTATCATTTAAGTCTCACAATTCCGTTGATTCTTTCCTTTTAGTTTTGTTTAGAAAAAGTATTCGTATATGTAAGTTTTATAGTTTAAATATAGGCTTACGTTATTAACTTTTATATATACTTTACTTCTTTTTAAATACGTTTTACGATTGTTAAGAATTTTTTATACTTTTATTTTGTTCCTAAAAATTAACAACTGTATATATGTCGATATATATAAACTTTTTATATAAAAAAATAGGCTTTCTCTTTTTTTTTTTATACTTTTATTTATTTATTTTTTTCATTTTGATTATAGAATTTTCAATTTATTTGATTAATTTATTATATTTCTGAAATACAGCTGGAATTCGCTGGTCCTAATGGAAAATGGCCAAGAGTGATTGATAAAAGGCTATGCGTTTCTACAAAACGTAAGCGTCAAAACAATCTAGGAGTTTTTTAATCCTTTTCATCTCTTTATTTAAATTTCCTATTAATAAATTGAATTTTTACATCTCTTTCTTATTTATAATTAGTTAAGGGAACAAAGATTCGACCCGATCCAATGTCGAGGAAAAATGAGAAAAGACGAAAATTTTGTAGTAAATACGATGGCTACGAAGATTTCTGCGAAGGTAAGAAAATAGAAAACTATGTATATGTGTACAGTATATACTGTGGTAATACTGTATATTTACGAGTTCCTTATACTTGCAATCTTTACTCTTCACTGTTTCTTTCATTTATTTTATAAATTTTACTCTTTTGGATAGAATCCAGTTTATATGTCGTTTAATAATCTTGTTCTTATGTGATATATAATGCTTATTTTATTTGTAAATAAGTTAATATTTGCTTTATAAATATCACTTCCAGGACGAATCGATGAACCATTGACGCCTTCTCCATTGACCGATGGAACAATGGGAAATAATCCAATATTTGATATTCCAATAGTTGTTGTTCCTGGATTAAATCAGAATACTCTACGAATGCAGCTGGAAACGCTATTAATGCAACCTGGATTAAGATCTAACAAAGTAACAGTTATGTATGATGAGAAATTCCCCGAAGCAGGCGAATTAGCCGAATTATTCTCCTTCAAAACTTATAAATTGACCAGTAGCACTAAATATTCCGGTTTGTATATAAATTTAATAATGTAAATTACTTTAGTAGATCTATAATGTCTATCTCAATTCTAGTTCAAATACAAAAGGCTCTGGAGAATATATGGATTTTATATTCATCTGCCGTAAGCTTAAGTTAAATGAATGATATTTAAAGTTGATAAAATCTTTTTTGATTCTTTTCTTAGAAACATGTAATCATATTGGAAGAAGAAGTTATTGTTTCACCAGACTTTCTCCTCTTTCATTCTCAATTACTACCAATTTTGGAAAAAGATCATACTCTTGTCGGTACAAACTCTTGGAATCCGAACGGTTAGTTAATTATAAGAATAAAAGCCAATGAAATACACATTACTTCAATATTTATCAGGATTTAAAGGTCATTCTATCGCTAATAGTTTGGTTACGAGAAGCAATTTTTTTCCCGGTTATGGATTTTTACTTAAACGATCGTACTACGAAGCCTTTATGCAGAAAAACTTTGAAGAGTGCTGCTCCAAGAGATCGTGGAATACGTGGGATATTCAAGCAGGATATGAAGTACTGGTTCCTGATGTATCGCGTGTCTTTCGTCGACCTTTCGATGGCCTAAGCCAGCAGGCAAATATGCTGAGCGAATTTCTAAATCGCGATCGTGTAACGAATATGTATGTTTATAAGATAATTTATTTGTTATCTTTACTCCTAATCCAATTATTTTTTTATACAGAGAATCAAAAGTTACTTTAAAAAATACCGAGATATTACAAAGAAATGCTTATATAGCTTACATGAAGTCTCGAATCAAATCGGCTACAGTGCTAGACATAGCAAACTCTGAAGATTGTTTGACTGGCAAAGGTCTCGGTTTCTACATTCCCGCCAAAGGCGGAATATATACTATATACTTTGAACAAACTTCGAAACACTCACATTGGATTCTGAATCAACTATGCAGGTGCTTTGGATTATTTTCTGTAGCAGGTTACAACTGTCCTGGTTTACATGAGAATACACTAAGGTTAAACATTAATTTATAGCTCAAATTCTGTAATTAATAGTTATTTACTTTTTTAGATTTACTCAAGGTGGTAGTGAGATAATACTAGTCGGTTCGAACTCAATATACTACAGCTTAAGAGGATCATCTAAGGCAGTTCATTTGATTTAAAACTTTTTTTAATTGTACAAACTCTTTGCTACTTTCCAAATTTATTTTCAATATATTAAGTTACTAACATCACAACAAATTCAAACATTTCAGTTGAAAGTTACTACTCAGACTTTAAATGTTGAAATATCAATAACAAAATTTTGCTTATGTGCAACAGCATATAATCGTAAATAAACATAACGGTTTCTTTAGCTATAAGAAAAATTCAACTTAATATTTTGCCTCATTATATATGATCAATTATGATCAATTTAAGAGAAAACAGGTCAAGGCCATCTTTTACAACTAATAACTTCATTGAATAAGGAGTTTAAAACAAAACATTCAATAAACTCCACTAATCTCTATTTGCAGCTAAAATTAAAATAAAGTCAATATAAAATGCATATTTTTGGTTTATTTGTCTTTCTCAACAATATGTTAAACAGTACTAGGTGCCTGAGGTAGACACATGTTATATGTAACATTCTGATTCCAGAATGATTCTTCCTTCCAGCCACACCATCCTTTATTTAGAATGATATCAATATCTTCACCTCCAGTAAAGTGGGGATCTAATATTAGAAATTTAACTTGTCCTGTTTGCTCGTTGAAGTCTATTCCCAAGATTGTATGAGCAAGATTATTTCCTCCAATCATGACCGGAGACCCTATTTTATTAAAGTGGCTGGCTAATTCTCTTGCCCGAGATGCTATTTCAGAACCATAAACGCTTGATATAAACTTGGAAGACACACCTTTTTAAACAAGTTCAAAAGTTTGAGTAAAAAATTGCAGATCTAATTAACCATTATTAAATAATATTACCTAACAAATCTTCTATAACAAAAGAAACCTCAAAAGAACCAATCCACTGTCTAGAATTCACAAAGTTCTCAGGCTTATCTCCAATTTTTACAAGCGTCTTTTGAATATCAGTTATACTTGGAATATCTTTTTCAGTGTAAGATTGTAGCTTAAACCAAGAAATTAAAGTCTGCAAGGATCGATAAGCACAACCCCAACCACTATCATTAAAATTATCTTGCATATAATGATGATAAGTGTATCGGCCTTTAACAAGTGAAACATTGTGACTTGGATCTAGAGAAACAAACTATTATTCAATATATTGCATAACAATATAATTCATATTTTACCTATAGTCTTTTTAATAAGTTTGTGAGGACAGATTAAAAACCCTTTAACATCTTTAGTAGAATGCTTAAAGTCAAATTTGTTTTTCCATCTGAACAAAGGCATAGTTTTCGGAAGTAGAAAAATGTCGTGTAAACTCTCGCGATACTTTTCTAATTAATACATTTTATATAAATTAATATCTTATAATCTTTTAAATATTAATCAATATACTTAATTCTTCATCGTTAGAATTCTCTGGATAAAGCGAAAAAATTGGATAAATAAGTTGATCAGGCCAGAAATGAACAACTTCATATTTCACTAATTTCTCGTTCTAGAACAATTGAAAATAAATACTTTTTATTAAATTAAATTTTACTTACGTTATTAATAGAATCAATAGCTCTTCTATAAAAAGATGAAATTTGGCGTTTTAAACCATTCCTGAATATTTCACAAATATTTTTCAATTTTTCATCACGATGAACAAAGCATATAACATTTAAATCTAATGTATAAGTGTCGACAGCTAAAGAAAACAAAATACAAATAGAATATTATTATAAAATATTCTATATAAAATTTACATTTTTTTATTGGAGATATAACAGCAACTGAAACATCTTGTGAGATATTTGATTCCAAAATTTCCACAGCGTAGGGTACCTAAAATATAATATTTATATACAATATATAATTATTTAATTATTTAATTAAAATAATTAATACCTTTTTAATTATACGACTTTTATTCTTTTTCTTTTTGTCAACTATTTCAAATCCATCAGATTCTTCTTGAATTTTATCCAATATAGTTATTGCAGAATTTTCAGCTTCAACAGATATAGTTTTACCATTGTTTCGTAACATTATATCGCTTTGTAGTATATCATAAACAATTTTTGGATTATCCATTCGTTTCATTAAATTATCAATTTGGGAAGCAAAAGTTTCTTTTAAGTTTTCTGCATGAATAATAGATAGTTTTCAAAAATATAGGTTAATTAATTAACTAATTAATTATTTACTTGAGTCGTAAGCTACATTAATTGTCTGTTTAATTGAAAATCGAATGCAATCGTCCAATATATTTGATTTGGAAAATTCTAATGGAATTTCTGAATAGTTTTTCGTTTGATAATTGTACAAGAATGACTTTGGAAGTTCTGAAGCTTTAGAATTTTCATTATGCAGTAAAACAACCATTTTGTTTATTTGTTCTTGTGACTATAAGACAAAGAGTAAAAAGTTGTTTTATATGATGGAAAAATCAAAGAAACATGAACAGACCTGGAAATCTGGAGGTATTGCTAACTTGTTAATTTTCTCTATAAACTCATCGACATCCTCTGATTGATTCTGAGTAACACAAACTCCGCAGAATTTCAAATCTACAATTTCATTATTGAAATAAGTTCAAGTAAAATAATTTGTCAACTTATTCGACTTACTTGCCGGAAGAACTTCCTCGTTTTTTCGCCATGTAGCAAACAGATTATTTAAATAATATTCGAATACTTTGATACTTCCAAGGATATGGGTTTCGCCTTTCGAAACCTCATATCCAACTAGATAAGCCAGACATTTCTGCTGGTCCCGATAACTTTCAATAAGCCTCTATTTAAGCAAAAAAACAGCTGTTTGAGCGATATTACATTAGATATAATTTAAATTATATGTCATATATATTTCATACGGATTATAATTAAATACAATTGTGATAACTGAAACTCGTATAAATTTACTTCATTGGCAAAAGGAGATAAAAAAAAATCCGTCATTTTCAGAAAATCCTATAAATATGGTAAGGAGTACGACGAGAGACGAATGCGTTTTTTAGCAGACGAAACCAGACATTTTGAACGGTCACTTCATGGTTTATTTTTTAAAAAAAATTTAGATTGTTCAGAATAAAAGTTAAATTAGGATGCTAAATTAAGAATAAAAAATTAAAAATCCTTAATAATCTATTCTTTTTAATACATGTACCTTCTATGTAAAAAGTTTATTATTGCAGCGGCAAAATAGAATTTTCAAAATACCAAAGATAAAATGTATCATGATATTTTTAGTCTCAATCATATATCATTGGAGAAACCAATACGTCAGCTGTTTGATACTTTAAACGGTTTGACAAAATCTAATCTGATATCTGATTCAGTTCAATATAATTCTTTGTTTTACATTGAATACTTCAGCCTTTTGTTCATTCGGTAACACGTTGTCCTGTCTCTCTATTAACATATGGATGGCTTCGTTTCTTTTTCATTTCATTCAAGAGATTCATTGGCCTCTGATCCCATATCGTTTCATTTTACATATTTTGATTGACGATGGAACGCCCCATAGTTCATATTACTCCGAATTGTTTAGTAGAAGGAGGAAGAATTCAAAATGAGCAATTATCTCGAGATGTCGACTATTTTCTTGGTATACCTTATGGAGAAGCAGTTAGGTTTGAGAGACCTACCTTCGCCAAATTATGGGCTGGAATAAGGTTGGCAACGACTAAAGGTATCGGTCTTAAATATTCGAATGAAAATTGAAATTTATTTCAATTATCCCTCAAGGAAAGATATGTCCACAAGATTTTCAAATGTACAAGCACAACTTTCTCCCCCTTCCTATTCCCGACGAAGAGACAGATATGAGCGAAGATTGTCTATCGCTTAATATATGGAGACCATCCGATGTGAAAGAGGGTGAAAAATTGCCTGTCCTCGTTTGGTTATGTTCAGCCCATTTCAAGACAGGATCAGCAAATACTTATTCTGGTGAAGTATTTAGTTCAATTAATAGAGCAATTGTTGTATCTATTAACTACAGACTCGGAGTTTTAGGTTAATTGACTTTTCTATTGTTTCTTTTGTAAATATAATTAAAATTTGTTGTTTTTTTTATGATAACAAAATAAACGCAAAAATAGGATTTGCGTGTTCACATGATGGAGTATTGGAGGGAAATTATATGCTTCTCGATCATATTTTGGCCCTTAAATGGATTCAAAAGTATATTGAAGGATTTGGGGGTGACAAGGATAATGTTACCCTTCATGGAGTTAGCTCATGTAAGATTTTCTATAACCCAACTCAAACTGTACCTTTAAATATAAGACAAAATGATTTGCAGCATCAATTTTAGCATCAGTTCATTTAATTTCTCAAAAATCTAAGGGTCTTTTCCATAAAATGATTCTTCAAAGCGGATCAATACTTGGCCCTTGTACAACACCTTGTACTAGAAAATTTATGGCTGATCTTATTCTGTCGGCCGCCAAGCATAAAGGATACAATGGTTCTGCGAATGGAGAAGAACTAAAGTCTTTTTTGCAAGCTTTGCCGATTCATGAACTTACCCATATTTTGCATCCAAATACCATGTTAACACCAGTTATAGATGGTTACGTTATCGAAGAAGAGCCTGATTTGATCTATGAGAAAGAGCTATATTCAAAAGTACCTGTACTGGGTGGTGTAACCAGCGACGAAGGATTCGCCTTTTTAGCATTGCTGCTAAAAAAGGCCGGGAATAAAATAAAAAATGAATATCATTTTAAAGATTTAGTAGTTAAAATCTCGAGAATGCTTGGGTATAAATATTGCTCGGATGAAACTGGAAGTGAGATGTGCGATATGATAATGAAAATCTATCAACCCAAAGCAAAACTAAGCGAGAACTTTATGAAAAGCTGTAGCAAGGTGAACGGAGATATGGCAATTGTAGCACCAATGTATAAACAACTTCAGGTTCTTAAGGATTGCACTACCTATGCGTATGAAATACATTACAGGCCTTCGTATTATACGGGACCTGAATGGATAGGTATGCCACACGCCAACGATCTGTCGTACGTTTTCGGCGACCCTTTTCTAAGTAGATACTTAAATAAATGGACCGATTCTGATAAGCAATTTAGCCGAAATTTAATGGAAAGATGGGGAGAATTCATAAAAACTGGGTTTGTATTATTTTTAAAAAAAAAGAATCAAGATTATCTCAATTTTTTTTCTTTAGTGAACTTACTGATTGGAAACCCTTCAATTTGGATAATAAATCTATCAAAATCTTAAAAAGCGATGATGATAGAATGCCCAAGGAGGCTGTTTTTAAGAAGAAAAACATGAAATTCTGGAATAATGAAATATATCGCTTAATTAAGGATGATGAGTCTCCCATCACTGACGAAGAATTTAATATCGATGATTATATGTTTCTAGTAATCGCTGCCTTTGAAGGAGCAATATTTTAATTATTATTTGGCGTATTGTACATAATTAAGAGTAAATTACATTATACAAGCTTTCTTTATTATGAATATTACTCTATTACATATTCGAATCATAATTAAAAAGATGAAAATCTCTATGATATCGTTTCTTTATTTTTTGAAAGATTTCAGAATAATCTGACTGAAATTCTTTGAAAACGGTTTTCCAATTCACTTTTCTGATAATAGATTTCATTTCGACGTTTGTTGGCAAAAATTTTGCTATGTCTTTACCAACATTCAATTTCTCAAATATGATTTCGTAATCCCTCTTAAGTGTTTCAAATTTACCAATATAATCATATTTTATATCGCAAGGCCTACAAAGTTCATCAACTGGCATCCAATGCATTTCAGCTTGAAATCTTTTATTTTCCGAATGATCGATCAAATATATAAGAAATTCTGTAAAAGTAGGAATACTTGATATATTTGATTTTCTTACAGCTTGTACTATTTTTAAACCAAACAAATCTCTGAAAAAGTTGCTGTACGTAGCGAAAAATTTATCTGTATAGGCTGAATAGAGGCGAGTGTAAGGGTTCCTTACAAATATGATTTTCTTATAAGTCTTTAAAATATTCCTGGCTTGGCTTATATTATACGAATTCAGAGATCGGAGGACAGGAGACCGTCTTAAATGAACCAAATTTCGATCAATATGTGCCGGAATAATGCTCTTATTACCACTTTGAATAAAATAAAACATCCTTTTCAAACTTGTACTGGCAACTTTTGGTACATGACAAAAAATTGTTTCCAATTTAGGTATAACTCGAATATTAGGTTGAAGTGATAACGTATTCAAACGATCGTACGATAAAGAACCCGCGCATTTCATAGATAAATCCACTTGTCTTTTTTTTAAAATATCTTCAGGTCTATTCCGAAGATCCTAACAAAAGTGTAAAAGATAAATCATTGTTTTTTACGAAATACATATAACAATGGATCGTTCTTACCGTTATACTAATATTATGAATTTTCTCAGCTATATATAAAGAAAGTATTGTTATACTACTTATTATGATGATAGTACACAGTTTTTTCATTGAACATGTCGCTCTGATTATCATCATCAAAAATACAAAAGTGAGCTTTGGAATTGAAGTAGTTTTTAGTTCGCCTTATTTTTATAACATTAATCTATTAAAACGCCTATCTTTATCCTGTGGAGCGTGAATTTTACAATAAACATCAGCTGGAGTAAATATAATAGTTAAATTATGAAAACAGAATCGATATTACAGACGTTTAGAAATGCTGAAAGAATTTCTATTCAACAATGAAACAATCAAGATGAAATTTACAAAATTGTTTGTCAATCGCACTGCAAATTATTGAATTATATTGAAATTAATACAAAAAGTAGATAGTAAATATAATATGGAAATAGTAAAAGAATTTCTTTAAAACAATCATCATATTGTTACTTCGTTTCAAAACGTTTTAGTAATAATAGTCATACTTTCAAAGAGAATTCACAATGCTTTTTTCATATTCAAATGAGATTATTTAGTAAACTTTATGATGTGAACTACAACTGTTTGTGTTATGGATATAGTTATGGTCCATTTATTCAAAAACTTAATTGTTTCTCTTTAGGAACCCTTCCAACCATTTTTCAAATTTTCCCACATCATACATAAAAGGACCTTGTCCTGTTCTATAGACTATTTTACCATCTAGTAGGGCATAGATTCTATCTGGTTCTGCCGCGTATGTAATATTTGTCTTATCATCCATCGTATCCACACAAAAGTGAAATGTGCCCTCTTCACATCCAAAATTCCGCATATCTTTTAATAGATGACAGGACGCTTCAATTCTATCATTTAAGGTAGTAGGACTTTTAAATTGATAGGTATTAGCAGGGAAAATCCATCCTTCTTCCGGATGTGCTTCTTCAACATATATAAATACAAAATCTACTGTTTTATGATGCTTTTTAACTATTTGAATGAAATGATTAAGCTGTGCCATAAAAGGGGGTCAGGTACAGCTGCCAAAGTTAAGAATTAGCAATCTTCCTGGCTTAGCAAGTGACAAAAGTGACTTCTTTTCACTTACTCCATTAATGAGATGGATAATATCTGTGTCTGGTGCCGTATTGCCAACTTTACATTTTGGAGCGAAAATTTTATCAGCCAAAAAGTAGTGAAATGTTACTTTAAACATTTCCCACGAACCAAGAGTATCTTTGTATTCATCAATACTCATCTTTGTTTTATTCATATTTGTGTGATTATGAATATATTTAAAAGCTTTTTCTCTCAGACTCCCACGGAGAAGCAGAATAACAACACGTAGAAGACTGTTTATGACAATCGCTTTCAGCAGAGTCAAGATGACAAGCGGAAAGTGCCGTACATAAGTCCATTTTGCCACTTTCATTCTTGGTATGTGTTAACGAATGTAGTGCAGATTTGTAATTTATACCTTTCGGAAAACTTATTATTTTCTTGATCACGTGGTTCTTTCAGGACATGAGGGTCAAGCTATTAAAAAGCCTTTCGTAAGTTTTTATGAATTTACAAAACAGTGTGCGTATCTTATAAATAGAACATTTACCACGTATGTTGTGAACACAATATTACAAATGAAAAAGTTTCTGTATACAATTGAAAAGATCTTAATAGAAAAAAAGTGAGCGGATTTGTATGGTTATAAATCGGTCATGGTACCATGCTACGGTGAAACACACAGCTACGGAGGTCATGGCTTGCCGGAGAGGATTAACTAATGTTATTACATTGTCTAAATTAACGAAAAAAGTTTCGATTAGTAAGCATTATTAGGGTTATACCTTTTCAATAATTATATTCTAAAAGTTCAAAATGCTAACGATTTTGCACAAAAGTATACATAGTAGATACAGTGATCGATATTACATTTTAGGCAATCAGTACCGAACATATCTATCACCAAGTTATACGTGCACGAATTCATGGGCCAAACGATTGGAAACCCCTATATTAAAAGATATCAGCACTGGTTAGTTTAAATGTTCAAATTGTTAAATTAAGAAATTTTATGAACTTTATACAACTTTTTAGAGGATTTCGCCCTCAAGATTCAATCAAAACTAGACAAGGGAATTCGAATTGCATCTGTCGATATGGATATAGTAATAATAGTATTTAATTTAAAGATTATACTCTATCTTATTTCCTTTTAAACAGTTGGCTAACAAATTGGAGCTAATCGATACTATGCAATTGGATTATATGGAAACATTATTCTATAAATTTCGTCATACAGCTGAAGCAGTTCATGTAAAAGAATCAACTAATCATGCCTTTATTAGAGCACTTATTAAATTTGGGGAATTTGAAAGATTATTCAAAATCTTACAAGATCCAGTATGTTTCTTATGATTTTTTTATAAATCAAATGACTTTTTTAAATGTAATTCTAGATCAATTATGGAATCTTTCTTGATGATTTTACAAGCAGTCAACTCTTAGATCATTTTATTGTCAATGAAGATTTTCATAGTAATTACCTTTCATTCGCTCAAATTTTAATAGACTAATGAAAAATATTTTTAGGCGCTGCTCAGGTTGCTTATCAATTAATGCTCCAAGAAGAATTTTCTCATCCTATTAGTCGAATTTTGTCTCTGCATGGCTGTGATCAACACTGGAGAAAACACGACTTTTCAGCTACAAATGAAAATGACGTTGAAGATAAGAACGATGATGAAGAAGAGGAAGAATGGATCAGAGTAGGGTTTATAACGCCTCCATGGTTTGACGGTCATTTTGACATAAAAAATGAACAGTAAGTTGCATGTAAACTTGATTGTATTGGCATAAGATTATAAATTATATTTATGCTTTAGGTGGCTATTAGGAAAAACCTTCACATATTTAGGAAGAGAAATCGAAAGCATACTTGGTAGAAGTTATCAACTAATAGGACATGGCTTATTTGAAAAATTTGATCAAGGTTTAGAATTATTAAAGGCAGATAATAGTGAAAAAGTTGTTGCTATAGAAGCGGTAAGTTATATGTTAAAATTCCCATCCTTTTAATTCTTCGCTTTTAATATTTTTTCATAATTTTACTAAGATGGAAGCTTTTAAAATCCTACTTGAGAATTGCCCGACTAAAGAGGATCCTCCAAAAAAAGATTTGGGAGTTGTTAAATTAGAAGACGTTATACCTTACGTCCGGCCTGAAGAAAAAGAAATATATATTCAAGAATTTAATGTATGTATGGTAATCGTAAATTGCATTGAAAAGTCATAAAACATTTTTTCTCTGTACCTTTAGAAAATATATAATAACCTCAAATTAGAAGGTAAACTAGAAGATCTGGATTTGGAGAAGGAAGTTAAAAAATTGATGGAAAATACAATAGCCCAAACTGAGGCATACGACATTGAAAAACAGGAAAAGCTATATAAAAATTGGAATGAGATAAGAGAGGAATCTCTTAAAAAAGAAATAGAAGCAATGAAAGTAGATCAGGAGAAGAAAGAAATAGCTGAGAAACTAATTCAATTGCAAAATAGAGAAGAAAAGTTATCTTATTTTGAACAATTAGAGAAAATTAAACTAGGTATTCAAAGAGGTCCGAAAATTGTACCTATAACCGAAGTTAAAGAAGAAGAGGAATTTGTTGCTGCTCCTGGAGAAAGAGGTCGTAAAAAACAGTAATTGTTGTACATGCAAATATTTCTATTTGAAAAAAATCAGGACAATATCCAGTTTAAGGATAATAGTTATATTTTGTTATCTTCTCATACTGTATTAGCTATAAATATAATTCTACATAAAAAATAGAGGCTTTTGGTGTTTTTTTTAAAGCTAAATGTAAATTATCCATTGATCTTATGATCGAATCTAGTTACTAAAATTCCGATTCAATTCAAAAGGTGTATCTACTTTTTTCTAAACAATAAATAAAATTGGTTACCAATCTATATTTAGCTTTTTGTTGCAGCATGAAAATATTTTTAGTATTTTGTCTAATCGCTACATTCACGTGCCAGTTTAACTGATAATTTTTGATACCTGATTTAAGATTATCCCCACTGAAAAGAGATAATTTTAGTACAATAAAATATGAAGCTGATACAGGCTTTTGACTTTACTGTTTTTAACATTTACAAACAAATCTGTTTTTTACTATTTTACGCATGTGTGTTCAATATATAAAGGTATGAATATACTTTGAAATATTGACATATTCTTTCACATTGCCCGTAAAAACTAATGTAATATTGCAGATAAATTACAAACTTCCAAAGATAAACTATACATATACCAAGAGTAGGTAATCAATGAAGGAAACGGAAAAACTATTCAAGTCTTGCTAAACGATAAACAGTTAATGAAAATTCATTTTTAAGGCATTTAATAATATTATACGAAAGTTCTCTGTTTGTACAAAAATTTAATAAATGATATAAATTCGGAAAATTTTCCATAGTGAAATGTGGAAAGAATTTTTCTTCAACTAGACAATTAAACTCTTTTGAGAAAGATTTTATATTAATTGCAGATGGAGCTACTAATCTGAGATGGGAGTCTTGTGAAATTAGTTTATTTATTTGTTCGTGTGCAAACTGTTGATTTGATCCCATTAGATCAATAACCTTTAATTGAGGATTTTGGGCATTCTGGAACAGTAAATGTCTTGGTGGCATATAAGTTTTCCAGAAAAATATTGTTCCAGATGAATTTGATATCTTTGCATACTCTAAGGCTTGTACAACACCTCCCTGATGACACTGACTAAAGAAGATGGTCCCTAAGAGGTTGAATATAATCCATATGTAACGAGAGGATGAATTTTTTTCTCCAAATAGCTTGTGACCTAAGATAAATGAAATATACAATGTTGTATTATAGTAGGCATGATATACCATTATAGGTAATTAATAATATTTTACCATAAAGGAAGCATAAGAGGGGAAGGAGAGGTATAAGAAATCTTGCTTCTTGGTGAGGAAAGACTGATAACAGTAAGATTGGTATGAAATATATTAGTAATAGCTTTTCTCCAATTGTTGGCATTCTATATCTTTTAGATGCATTTAGTCTTTGCATAAATATTCTAAAAGAGTGTACAAGTGGATAAAAAGCTAATATATTATATAGTAAGGTAGTATTGCCAAAAAAGTGAGTTAAACGAGGATGAATTCCATGTTTTGCTAGATTCGTTGGTTGAACATTATAAGCAATAAAGTTTAAAGGAACATTAACCATATCTCTAATTAGTACTTGATAAAATCCTTTATAAGTCAATCTATTAAACAAATCCATAGGAGTTAATCCCTTATAGTAATAAGTGTCTAATAATGATAAACAAAAACTTGTTAAAACCCCAGAGAAAGCGGTTGATATTAGCTTTGGTGCACTCTTTTCAAAAAGTTCTTTCGTATTATGGAAATCGCTAGAAGAAAGCCATATAACAAAAGGCATGAGGGAAAAAATAACAAAGGTCGCTCTATTATAAAATCCTAAAGCTATAATTACACCAAGTAACAATCCAGTATTACTGATTGATGATGGAGTTTTTCTTCCATTTTTAAAGTTTGATATATTCTTTTTTGAGACAGATCTTGGTAGAATTGAAACAAACTCTCTAAGTGAGAAAGAGATAGCTTGTAGAAAGATAATCCCTGATATATTAAATATTAAAGAACTTACCTTGAAAGAACACAACAAAACGACAAGTACAAAAGAGCTTCAAAAGTATTAGTAAACGTTCTTGTGTAAAATACAATTGTTACATAAGAAGTTGCATAAGTTATAACGCAAGCTGAGGCATTTAAGCTAAACTTTTTTCCAACATAATAAATTATAGCATCACCAAGGAAACTGTATATTAATAACGTTAAGCGTGGTATCAGAATTAAGAGATAGGTTGATGGATTATCAAATCCCATTAACTTTAACAAGTGAAAACCTACATAAGTGAATACAGATGTATTGTATGTATATATTATTTAAAAAAATAGTAAACCTGGTCCGCAAACTGCATAAGGCACAGTTATTGTTCTTAGTGGGAAAGTTGAATTAAATTCCCATGCAGTAAATACGTCAATATTGAAAATCGATCCTGAAAAATTAATGATATACCTGCATGTATAATCTTTTTGAGCATATCTTTAATATTTCAACAAACCAGCAATAACTTCAGACGTTTGAAAGAATTCGTCTGGGTGTATATATCCATACTGAGTCTTTATTGTTAAGTAAATTCGTACAATAGCAACGCATATCCAATAAATAAACATCTTTATAGTTTCTATGTATCATTAATAGCTACTTGCAAATATCCTGATTTCAATGCACAATATTCACCATTTTTACTCTACCCTTACAATGCAGACAAGGTGTGAGTGATAATTCAACAAAAACAAAACAACTGAGTGATAATCACTTTTCCCGCCATTTTCTTAAAAGAAATAATAACGAAAAATTAGTTCTGCCGTCGTTGTTTTTGTTTATTTATGTTATATAAGACGGAAAAGTTTCGAAATAAAACAAAAGGATATTAACTTAAGAAATCTATAGCTGTTATTTTCTCAAAACAATAAAAAAGTCTAAATTTTTATTCTTAATCATGTGTTTATTGAGTGAGAAGAAACCTACAAATTATACAAGCTATGGGGTTTGTATAAGACAAAGTTGGCTGTTGTTATGTTGACTATGTAACATAAATCATAATATGGGACGATATGTGGCACCATATCACAAAGTACGAAAGTAATTTCAAAGATGTCTGCTATCAGCCGTAGACTTTGTCTTAAACATTTTCAAACTTCATACAACGTTGGAAAACGCTTTATAAGTTCAGAAGGAACAATGAAAAACATTATTACTGAACGTATGGGAAGCGTTTTTCTTGTATCAATCAACCGTCCCGATAAAAGAAACTGCGTTAATCCAGAAGCGGCTGATGAATTGTCAACAGCTTTCCGACAATTTGAAAAAGACGATACATTATCCGTCGCAGTGCTGTATGGAAAGGGTGGCAACTTTTGCGCTGGCTATGATCTAAAATCTTTATCTAAAGTTGACGAATCATTTCAGTTGCCAGACCATGAAAGTGGCTATGGGCCACTGGTAAGTAAAGTAGTTTTACTATAATTTAAGTTTAGGTTGTTTATAAAAAAAAAAGGGACCAACAAGGATGCTCTTTAAAAAGCCTGTAATTGCTGCTGTCTCTGGTTATGCAGTAGCTGGAGGATTGGAACTAAGTTTAATGTGCGATATGAGAATCGCGGATGAAACGGCTATTTTTGGAGTTTTCTGTCGGCGATTTGGTGTTCCCCTAATTGACGGAGGAACTGTACGATTGCCAAAGCTAATTGGATTATCAAGAGCTATGGATATGATATTAACTGGACGGCCGATAGATGCTAAAGAAGCTTTAAGTTTTGGTCTTGCCAATAGAGTGGTACCTGTAGGTACTGCAGTTGGTGAAGCAGTAAAAATCGCTCAACAAATCAGCAAATTCCCTTCAAAGTGTATGAAAGCCGATAGAACCAGCGCTTATTACACTACATATGCCGCTCGCGACTTTAGAGATGCCGTAACATACGAATGGGATCATTCCGTTGGTGTAGTACTTGAGGAATCTGTTAAAGGAGCTCAAAATTTCGTCAGTGGTGAAGGTCGTAAGGGAAATTTCGATTTGAAAGAATCAAAATTATAGAATGAACTTAACATTATATTTTTCCTTTTAAAATATATATACAAAACTAATTGTATTGTTAGACATCTAAGACAAAATATGGAGATAACTCTTTAAGTTTTAAGACTTTCATATTTCCCGCTCTCTGACTTACCGGTTTAAAATCCTTATATCATTGATCAAGAAGAAATGTAAGTTCTTTTTAAAAACAAGAGGGCACCATCAGTATTAGTCAGCGGTGCTCGCTTCAAATTTGATAAAATAAAACGTTTTACTTTCGTGACGTTCAAATTAATTGGGTTATTTGGATGAGTATATAATGCTCAACTTGGTAAGATTGAATTTCAATTCGACAAGACGCTTAGCCCAGAAAATTCTTTCGAGAAACTTCTCACGTGTGAGGCAATCGAATCTACCAGGAAACCACACAAATCGTCTGCCAGCGACGTTGCCCATATCTTCCGGTTACTTTTCAATACCTTCTAATATTTGTCAGCCTTTTTCGCTACCCATGTATAAGCAATTCCATACCTCCAACAAGATGAAATATCCAATCGATAATGTACAACTTCGGTGGGATTTATCTGCAAGTGAAATAGAAAAAAAAGCGGACGAACTGATAGAAATGGCAAAACAAGTTTACGATGAAGTGGGGAAATTAAGCGACGCCGAAGTTACCATTGACAACGTCTGCACTGTAAGCTTGAGCTATTGATCATATAAATAAAGCAAAATTTATATTATTCGTTTGTTTTATTTGTAGCGTCTAGCGAAACTTGACTCTATTTACGACACCCAAAGAAGTCAGTTGGATTTTTTTCAGCACGTTTCACCAGATAAAGAAATAAGAGATGCTAGTTGTGCAGCTGATAAAAAGTTATCAGATTTTGATGTTGAGATCTCCATGAGACAAGATGTCTTCGACTCGTTGGTTGCTGTTGAAAAGAATTTGAAACAACCTCTAACGGGGGAAGACGAGAGGTACTTGTCCAAATTGATAAAATTTGGTAAGAGGAACGGTCTACATCTCGCCGAGGATGTACAAAAACAAATTAAAGAGATCAAGCAAAGAATGAGCGCAATTAGCATTGATTTTAGTAAAAATTTAGGTGAAGAGGACACCGTTTTACTGTTCACAAAAGAAGAGATGGCTGGAGCTGCTGATGATTTCTTAGAATCATTGGATAAAAGTGATGATGGAAAATACAAAGTTACCTTGAAGTATCCGCACTACTTCCCTTGTATGAAATTTGTAAGAGTTCCCGAAACAAGAAAGAAGTTGGAAAACGCTTTTAATAGCCGTTGCATGGAACCAAATACAAAGATTATGGAAGAGTTGGTAGAACTTCGCGATAAAAGAGCGAAATTGCTCGGATTCAAGACACATGCACATTTCGTCCTAGAAATGCGTATGGCTAAGAATCCAGAAAGAGTTAAAGAATTTTTAGAAGATTTAGCAAGCAAGTTAACGAAACTCAGGGATGATGAAATGAAAATATTTTTGGAGTATAAGAAAGAAGAATGCGAAAAGTATGGCTACGAATTTAATGGGAAAATCGATGGATGGGATACAAGATATTACATGACAAGAGTTGAAGAAAAAAAATATGCTGTAGATCAAAATATTCTCAAAGAGTATTTTCCAATGGAAAAAGTGACTAAAGGGTTGCTAGAAATTTACCAAAACCTGTTAGGTTTAGTTTTTGAGGAAATTCCAAATCCACCTATTTGGAACAATGATGTCACTCTTTTTGCAACGAAAGATAAAGAAACCGGTGAATTGTTGGGTTATTTCTACTTGGATCTTTATCCAAGAACAGGAAAATATGGTCATGCCGCATGCTTTACTCTACAGAAGGGCTGTGATCTCGAAAATGGAAAAAGACAACTTGCCGTTGCTGCAATGGTGGCCAATTTTACTAAGCCAACACCTGAAAAACCGGCTTTACTAACTCATGATGAAGTTGAAACATTTTTCCACGAATTTGGTCACGTAATGCATGTCATTTGTGCTAGAGCAAAATACGCTCTTTTCTCTGGAACTTCTGTTGAAAGGGATTTTGTTGAAGCTCCTTCTCAAATGTTGGAAAACTGGTGTTGGCACGAGGACCCTCTCAGACTTATGTCTGAACATTATAAAACGAAGGAACCAATTCCTAAGGAAGTAATTGAAAAATTGATTGCCTCTCGTCTGGCAAATGCTGGTTATTTTAATATGAGACAAATCCTTCTTGGTACATTTGATCAAACCATCCACTCCCTAAGCAAAGTTGACACAGCTGAGATCTTTAGTAAATTATCAAAGGAACTTGTATGCGTAGAGCCATCAGAAAATACTAATATGCCGGCCACGTTTGAACATTTATCAGGCGGTTACGATGCTCAATATTACGGCTATATGTGGAGTGAAGTCTTCAGCTCCGATATGTTCTATTCAAGATTTCTGAAAGAAGGAATTCTTTCTGAAAAAGTTGGAAAGTCTTACAGAGACTGCATACTAAAACCTGGTGGTAGTATTGTAAGTATTGAAATAAAAAATTAGACATATAAGTCACTGATAGCAAAGTCTATAAACTATTTTTTTCTATTTTTAGGATGCTGATTTGATGTTGAAAAATTTCCTTGGCAGAGAGCCACAAACTGAACCGTTCCTACGTATGAAGGGATTGAAAATTGAAAATGAAAGTTAATTTTGCCAATTTTCAAAATTATATCAGAATAAATCAACGAAAACTATCAATAAACACATTTTACGTTTAACTTATTGCACCATGCAAAAGCGCATAAATACGATATTAACACAAATTTACATTATTTCTGTACTTAAAGATATATAACCATGGTTGTTATCAACAGGCATAAGCAAGAAAATCAAATAAAACAGGCGAAAAAGTAACTGTAAATTCTCTTTGTGTTAAATATTTAGATAGAAAACAGCAAAAAGAGAGAGAACAAGTTCTATCGGAGAGAATGTTCTACCTCCTGCCTAAATATTATACACTTTCACACAGAATCTTTTCACTTTAAGAATAGTTTAAGCAGTGTTCCCGCAACCAAATACTTAATTTTTGGTATATTTTAACATAAACTAAGTAGTACAAAGTTAAACTTTTTATCAAATATTTGGAATTTTTTAGCAATAATTGATTTGAGCTATGAAAATATCATAAGTTTAATTATAGAGATTCTATAAAACTTTGCACTTAGTTATTTTGAAAAAACAAAATATAATTAAAGATTGTTTTAGTAAAACATACTATTTGTGTAAAGTATTTGGAAAAGAATTATTCCATAATTTTTGAAATAATCTTTGGTTACAAAGGAACATCGAAAGAATATTTTGGTGGCATACAAGCATAATGTAATTTGACGTTATCCTGCAAAGGTGGTAATTCAGGTTTGGAAGCCCAATGAGCGATTATTTGCTGGTCGGATGGGCAAGTCTGCCTAAATATTGTATTATCATAAGCCGCTCTTAAATAGCACCAAACTCCTTTCATTTTATCTGGGATTTCGAAGCTTTTGAAAGCTTTTGATGCCACTCGTATATGCTGAAGTTTAGGTAGAACCAAACAATCGAGATGGCTTAGATTATCCGAGCATAAGTATTTGTGTTCATTTTCTAAGAGATATTCGTTTAATCTGTACAACTCAGCAATCATTTTGTCCGGGCCGTGCGAAACTTGCTTTATGAAAAAGGAAAACTTGGAAAAGATTTCTAAGGTGACATGACGAGCTCTAGTTTGTTCAATATCCAAATCAGGTAGTTCCCAGTTTCGATCTATGTAATCTAACATTTCATCGGGATCCGTTATAACCTGTTTTTTAAAATAAAATGTATCCGCTCCCAAAGACAACAATAGTTTAAACAATTAAATTGTTTCGATCATTGTTATTTTAATAATAGTGCATTAACCTGATCCTTGTGAACCAGAGCAGGCAATCTACCAAAATGAGCTCTTTGCTTATTAACATTTACAGTTGTTACTCGTACATTGAGGCTACTCTGTTCAGCTTTGATTAGAAGAACCATAAAGATTTGTTGACTTTTGGGACATCCTCCGTAACTTTCTCCATCGTCTCCGGCTTTTACAAATAATTCAACTTGGTCATCAACTTCCATTAGATGATTTTCTTCTTTTACATAAATAACGGAGGCCGCCAATTTTGATAGCTTGTTCTGTGACATGTTGAAATCATAAACTGACATGTTTTATCTATATTCTCATCTTTTTTTTAACAAGCTTTATTACCAGCTAAATATCACGTTTTTTCGGTAGGCCCAAAGCAAAAATTCTAGAAATTTGTAAAATTCCCCAAAAAATATTAAATTTACCTGAAATTAAGACAAATGCTTCGAGAAATTATTACAATGCCAGCATTGCCTATTAGAGTTTTTTTTTAGATGAAAATTTTAATTGATTATTTTGTATGCAAGCGCGCCATCTGAAACGTTCAATACTCTAAAAGGGAGCCATTTTAATTGAATTGAACACTTGAAAATTTATAAAAAGCAAAATTCTATTGATATAAATCCTTAATTAACAATACTAAAGAGAGAAAACTGCATAATCGATTAATTAACATTTTATAGACAAGCTAAACATTTAAATAAGAAAACAAAACGTGCTTGACACTTATTTACCCGAATTAATAAGAATTGATTAGTTCATATTTAATACTTTAATAAGCAGGAATACGTGGAAAAAAATATTTTTAATGTTACGGGGGCGGAAAATATTTTTAATACTCAAAAACTTTCACAAAAAACGGGATAATAACTATCTGACCTTAACAATATTCATTTTTTCGGCGTTTTTTTTTATGTCATTGCATGTAAAAAATCATTTGAACACAATGTTTCAACTGCTGAACATGAAAAAAAAAAACGAGTCTATTATGGTAATAGCGATTTTTTATCGTTACCGAATATATAAAGAATACATGGGGTAAATAGTGAAACAGCTGCCTAATAAAATATGCCCGCTCAGTACAATGCTAACTTTGTTCTCCCTTGTACGGTATCTATCCGGATTATTACAAGCAATAATTTTAGATATGCTTGTTTGAGTTTTCATCGAAATATTCCGAAAATTGGTGTTTGATTGACTAATAAAGTAAAAAAAAAAGTAATTTTTCAAGATTAACTGAAACGATAAGCTTTAATGAGAACAACTAACTTCAACATTGGCATGAGATATTTGCAGTTCTGATGCAACAAAAACAAAACTCTGATGAACCCGCAACATAATTTCCATAAGATCTAGTAGAAGGAAATGATTAAAAAAATGCAATAATTTAATTAAAAAGGCGATAAAAGAAGTTAACTACCGTTAGCCGTTAAGGATACATCTAGTGGTTTATTAAGCAACCGGTGACATATTTCATCTATTTGATTTTGGTAAACAATTAAAGTTTTATCACATTTGTCTAAAAAGTTTTCAAAATATCTAAGAAAGAAAGTATTAAATGATTAAAATAATTGTAATTATTTTCGTTATTAAAGATTTCTTACGCGTTTGTAATTGTACAAAAATATGGATAATCCTTTGGTAAGCTAACAGTATATTTCAATTGTTTTATATTTGAAAATTCTTCTATAGCTTCTTGTTTAAGAATTTCAGTATTTCTTTTGTTATGATTCAATTTAGAGGTCATTGTAGTTAACTTAGTTCTTACGGAAACGATATCAGACACAAACTTTCCTGAAAATTTTGAATAATTCTGAGAAATTTCCATTTTTGCTTTCTTCTCTTTACGAATAAATTCTCTATTGGAAAAAAGAATATATTGTTGTTGTTAAAATCAATAAATCAATGAAAGTTACTTGAAATCTTCAATAGATCTTCTAATTTGTTCTGGAATGTTTTCCGCCAAAGGATTCTTAGGCGTTTGAATATTAGAAATAGTTTTCAGATCTTTTCCACCTAATCCAACATTTTTCTGAGTATTCATAACTGGTGTAGACATTATAACGTTTTTATTTGGCACAGTATTTTCAACAGTACTATTCGAAATACTGTTTGAAGCTGATAAAAACATTAATAAAGAAGAAAGTAAACTGAAAATTTAGCCTATAAAGAAAATAAATTTACTTGGAAGTGTAACTTTACTATTCACCGTATTTTGCGTAGTGACAGAAGGTTTACTTGGTGTCGAGTTCATAAGAGAACTCATTGCTGAAATATATTTCATTTTATAAAAGAATTATAACTAAATTAAAACAAACTTAAAGGCCTGTCCGTCGTTGAACCACTTTCCAAATAGGAACCACTCTTTTCTCCAACATCTAATGATTGAACTCTCCTAAGATATTTAAGGGATAAAGTAGTTGAATTTTGTGGCATAGTCGATTTTTATGAGATACAAGATATTCACAAGTACAGTTGAATATTTATCAAGAAGACTCTAGAATTTTGATTTTTGCAGTTAGTACCACGGTTTCTTGTGTTTAGATCGAATCTTCGATAATCGATTTAAAACGATACGATAACAGCAATCGATTAACCGGTTTATTTTTCTGCAAAGAAAAATGGCGGTATTAAGTGTTCTACGATATGGCTTTTCTGCAAGAAGTGCAGCTCAATCCTTACTCACACGCGGAAAGCAACTAGCACCGTTAAAGAATAACATTATTTGTATGTGTTTTATTTCAAAATCTTGGAACAATTAAGAACAAGGAAAAATCGAGCATTTGTTTTTAATGACCTTTCCTTGCAGCTCGCTATGCCTCTCACAGAAGTATGAAAATTGTCCCATCTCGGTTTGAATGGCAAATATTTAAAGATCACTTTGTAAGTCATTTACTTTATAATAGTTTTTTTTAGTTTTGTCACTCATAGATTAATGTTTTAACTATTTTTAAAAGGATGACAAACCTATAAACCTTGCGCAAAATATCAAAATCGTTATCGTAATACATTCAGCATATTTTTTATTGATATATACCGTGACCATTTAGTATGTGTGAATGTTTATCTAAATACATTGTCTACTAAACAGCATTTCTACGTTGCTCTTGGTTTGATTCCTGCTGGACTCTTCATTTTCTTTATGAATGCATTTGTCGGCCCAGCAGAGTTAAGCGAAATTCCCGAGGATTATACGCCTGAAAATTATGAATATTTTCAAAACCCCGTGAAAAGATTTATGTGTAAACATTTTTATCCAGACCCAGTGCATAGATATGAAGCTAATCTGCACTATTTAAAACAATCTGACGAAAATCAGAAATTTAAGTAAGTATAAAGCAGTTTACAAATTACATACATGAAATGTTCTAAATGTTGTATATATACATTTATATATATATATATATATTATATACATTTTCTTCCTTTTCTTCTGCTACATCTGTTGATATATTAAGATTTGAACAGTTTACTAATTTCTTCAATAGATTGTTGGAGAGAAAAGTTAAAGAATTAATGAGTGAACGGGGTGACTACAAGGGATGGTATTATGTACCGGTCGATCCAACTGCAGCCTACCTAGGAAAAGAACAAAGAGAAACGGAAGAAGCAATCGTTCTAGATAGATAAATTTTTGACTGTTTAAACATTGAATTAAATTAAGATTTGAATATATATATACCTTTACTTCTTATAAAGAAAAATAGAATAATATTTCCACAAGAGCATATACGAGAGTAATTATCATATTACATCTTACATGTTTCCTCTCAGAAACAACAATGTTATCAATAAAGACAATTAAAACATTATTTTAAAAGTTCAATGACCTTAAATTAACAAAGAGCATATTTATAAATCGTCAGCAGCAAATTAAGAGCCCTACTAAAAATATATGATCCAGAGAAATTTTCAAATTTACCGCTTCCTATACAAATTTCTCTTTACAATAAATATCCGGGTAACGGTTTAAAAACGAAAATAAAAATAAGAGTCATTTTTCGAATACAAGAAAAATGAATGATATTAAAACGAAAACTCTTTCGATTTCTTCGAAAACAAAAGACCGAATAATTTCAATTGTCTATGGTAACTGTATTGGAGATGCTTTAGGTTTACTTACAGAATTTCTGAATAAAAAAGAATGTCATTTCTACTATTTAAAGTACCTCAAAGAGGGTCTTCGTTATAAACACAAAATTCCAGATAAACATAGACGTAGATGGGATGAAGGCGACTGGACAGACGATTCTGATCAAATGATTTGCATTATGCAATCTTTATCGCAAAACAATATGATTTCTGAAACTGATATTGCTAAAAAAATTTTTAATTGGTCTAGACAAGGATTTCCACAGCTAAAGGATACAGGTGGTCTAGGATTGGGAAGAACAACTTATCTAGTTTTATTAGAAACAGACTATCTTACGAAACCAGAGGAAAGCGCAAAGAGAGTTTGGATTAACTTAAATCAAAATGCAGCACCAAATGGCGGTGTAATGCGAACTTCAATTCTCGGAATTTATGAATTTCAAGATTTATATAAAGTTGCAGAGAACACAGTAAAAGTTTGCAGAGTTACTCATTATGATCCTAGATGTTCAGCTTCATGTGTAGCAGTTACTATTATAATTGCTAAAATGCTTCAGAGAATTGAAAACAAGAACCAGACTGAATTTTCTGATAACGATATTGAAGAGATATTAAATGAAACCTATGAATTTACGGATACTTTTGTATTTCGTAACAAAGAGTATATAACTGAGATAAGTTCAACAAAATTGAATCAATTCAGACAAGAATTCCAAAAGTACTTTTTTATTGAAAAATATGGTCTATCACAACTGCATCTGGATGAATGCGAATCAATTGGTTACACATTTAAATGTATGGCATCCGGAATTTGGGCATTGAAACAAGATGATCCAGAGAAAGCATTAACTGATCTAATAATGGAAGGAGGTGATGCTGACACAAATGGAGCAGTTGCCGGAGCTCTACTTGGTTGTAGATACGGTTTAAATAGGTTTCCTTCTTATTGGAATACCGAATTAGCCTCCGCGCCAAACGAATTCTTAAAAGCAAATATAAAGAAGTATGCACATAAACATTTTTTATATTATCTATTACTTCCCCTTCCTTAGGTTCTTAAATACATGCTTTTACAAGTGCAATGTGAAGGAAGAAAGGCAAATACTTGAAAGCACTAAGGTTTCACTCTATCCGAAAACAACAGACAGAATAACTGCAATTGTCTATGGTAACTGTATTGGAGATGCTTTAGGTTTACTTACAGAATTTCTGAATAAAAAAGAATGTCATTTCTACTATTTAAAGTACCTCAAAGAGGGTCTTCGTTATAAACACAAAATTCCAGATAAACATAGACGTAGATGGGATCAAGGCGACTGGACAGACGATTCCGATCAAATGATTTGCATTATGCAATCTTTATCAGAAAATAAACGGATTTCTGAAACTGATATTGCTAAAAGAATTTTTAATTGGTCTAGACGAGGATTTCCAGAGCTCAGTGATAATTGTGGTTTAGGACTGGGAAAAACAACTTTAGATGTACTGTACGATAAATATTTTCTTACGGAACCAAGTGAAAGCGCAAAGAGAGTTTGGATTAACTCAAATCAAAATGCAGCACCAAATGGCGGTGTGATGCGAACTTCAATTCTCGGAATTTATGAATTTCAAGATTTAAATAAAGTTGCAGAGAACACAGTAAAAGTTTGCAGAGTTACTCATTATGATCCTAGATGTTCAGCTTCATGTGTAGCAGTTACTATTATAATTGCTAAAATGCTTCAGAGAATTGAAAACAAGAACCAGACTGAATTTTCTGATAACGATATTGAAGAGATATTAAATGAAACCTATGAATTTACTTGTAAATACATATTTGAAAATGAAGAGTACACTGCTGACTTGAAGAGCGATAAACTGGATCAATTCAAAGCGGACTTCAAGACTTACTTTTTTATTAAGAAAGATGGTTTGGAGGAATTAAAGCTGGATGAACCGGCTAAAATTGGTTACACGTTTAAATGTATGGCATCCGGAATTTGGGCATTGAAACAAGGCGATCCAGAGAAAGCATTAACTGATCTAATAATGGAAGGAGGTGATGCTGACACAAATGGAGCAGTTGCCGGAGCTCTACTTGGTTGTAGATACGGTTTAAATAGGTTTCCTAAACACTGGATAAGCGAACTAGCTCGTGGGCCAGTGAATTTCTTGGAGAAAAATCTAAACATGTATGCTTATATTTTTATTAGATATTTTCTACAATTTAAATTTTTTCAGATTTCTTGCTTCTATTTTCACCATTGCCGTTTAAGGATTAAAGCTTATACATACATTATATGCAGGAAATTGAATTTTCCCTTCGAATAATGATGAATAATTTGGATTTTTTAATTATATTTACAATAATATCTTGTAGTAGAGAGATTTACTGTTCATTTATTTAATGTGTAGTATGATGCTTTGAAAATAAATTAATTCATAGTGATTTTATAAGTCTTTTTCTATCTTTTTCAAAGTTTTCAACAAAGGAGGGTATCACTAAAATAATGATCACTTATACGTTATGTTAGTTATACCCTCTAGCTGTAAGTAAGAAACGAGGTTTTTTTTTAATTGAAAAAATTGAGGAAATAAAAACTTGTTGAGTAATGGGAAAGAAGAAGAATGCTCCAAATGGTTTGGGGAAAGCTATGATTAAGGATCGATTTAGTAAAAATAAGAGGTCAAACCAATCTTTTGTAAGTGGTCCAATTTTCGTTTGAATTCTTCTAATCGTAATTCATATATGCTATCAAGCTTCACACTAGCGAGTTGAATGATGGATATGATTGGGGAAGATTAAATTTGCAGTCTGTTACTGAACAAAGTAATCTAGAAGAATTTCTAGCCACTGCCGAACTAGCAGGCACAGAATTTACAGCAGGTATTGCGTAGTTATGTAATAATATTATTTAATACAGACAACTTCTGTTTTTTTTCAGAAAAACTTAATATTAAATTCGTTCATCCGGACTTAAATGTTGGTTTATTAACTGAAGAAGAGCAAGAAAAGGTAGATGATGCTCAGAAAGAAAATAAAACTTTTCTCAAAATTCCAAGAAGGTGTATATCTTAGCTCAAGTTACTTATGTTTCTAACATATATATTGAATTCAGACCGAAATGGAATGAACATACGACAAGTGAAGAGTTAGATAGAAATGAGAAAGATGCATTTCTTGAATGGAGGCAGCAACTAGCACAGTATGTATATAAAACACTTCTATATTTTTATATTGAAGCTTAATTATATTAGACTTGAGGAAAAAGAGCACGTTCTTCTTACACCTTTTGAAAGGAATTTGGAATTTTGGCGTCAATTGTGGAGAGTAATTGAAAGAAGGTTGTATTTTTGCTATAAAGTTTCCTAAATTCACCAATTAAAGAATATTTTTTAATCATATTTCAGTGATGTGGTTGTACAAATTGTTGATGCGAGAAATCCCTTGCTATTTTGGAGTGACGATCTTAGTAAATATGTTAAGGAAGTATCCGAGAATAAAATTAACGTTATGCTCATAAATAAAGCTGATCTATTAAACGAGAATCAAAGGTAGGTTAAGTCATTTGTTTTCCCTGTTTTAACATTTCTGCATTCTTAATATTCTTTATAGAAAAAAATGGGTCGAATATTTGAAGGATAAAATGGAATATGTACTATTTTGGTCTGCTAGTCTAGAGGAGGAGAGATTGAAAGCAAATGTAATAATGTTTCTATTAAACATATTTTAACATAGATATATCGATATCTTTATTTTTTTAGGCAAAAGAAGACGCTTCTGAAAATGAGGAACATGAAAACAATGAAGACGAGGTTGATGATGATGATGAGAACGACAGTGAAGAGAGTGAGGAAGATGACAATACAGATGTAAGAGAAAAACAGGAGGATGATTGTGTTCAAGAACCGCCACGGATTGAAGAAAAGATTGTTGATAGAGCAGATGATGTCACTGTTGAAATTAACGATTGGGATATTCTAAATGGCGATCAGTTAGTCGATAAATTACGAGATATACATTCTGGGGATAAAATAAAAGAGGGAGTAACCACTATTGGATTGGTAAGTTGATGAATATCTCGAAAACTTCTCTTAGGTTTGTAAATTGTTTATATAATTTCAGGTGGGATATCCAAACGTGGGGAAAAGTTCAACTATAAATGCCTTAATGAAAACAAAGAAAGTACCTGTATCGTCTACGCCTGGACGAACAAAACATTTTCAAGTTAGTCAAAACGGGATATTTTAATAAAAAGTTATATTTAACCACCTTTTATAGACTTTATATCTTGAGGAAGATATTCTGCTTTGTGATTGTCCCGGTTTAGTGACACCTAGTTTTGTTAGCACTAAAGCTGAAATGGTAATTTGTGGCATACTTCCGATTGATCAAATGAGAGATTATCTAGCCCCAGTTTCATTAGTAAGTCAAAATTTTTAAGCAACAAACTTGTCTAATATCTTTTGTGTTGATAGCTTTGCCAGCACATTCCTAGAGAAGTCTTGGAAAATACCTACGGTATTATCCTTCCAAAGCCTGGTGAAGGTGATGATCCAAACCGTCGGCCAACTGCTGTAGAACTACTTACTGCATATGGATGTACGTATTCTTTTGTTTATATTGTTACAAAATTAGTTTACTAAAATAGATATTGTACACAGATATGAGGGGTTTTATGTCCCATAAAGGAATACCAGATATGCCAAGATCATCCAGGTTAATCTTAAAGGATTATGTAAATGTAAGAAAAATATTAAAAAAATAGCAAAATATTTGATAATGAACAACTGAAAAACATTCTAGGGAAAGTTACTACACTGCTATCCACCACCAGGAATTCTAGTAACAGATTTTAATACATACGATCTTTCAACCTGTTTCAAGAAAACCGATCAAACTATTAAAGCAGTTCGCGCAACTCAAGTAAATATTTATTTAACTAACATTTTCATGCATTTGGTAATATTTTGTTCTGTTTTTTTCATAGAAAATATTAGGAGGCAAACCGTCAAATATCGATTCTGATTTTTTCGATAAGGTAATGATATATATTTCAGTGTTCTATTTAACGATAAATATCATGCTAAATCAACATTTTATATATATACCTATTAATATTATTTTACTATGATGTTCATTTGCAGAAGGAGAGCCGAGTAGGGTCTAAAGGTGTCAAAGGAGTAATTAATTATACTAGAAGAGATGGCTACTCGCAACATCATTCTAGAGGAGCATCATCCGTAAATAGCAGCATGGCTTCGGGCATTAATGATAAACCATGGAAAAAGCATGGAAATAAAAAGAAAAAAGAAAAATTACGAAGATTACATAACGAATTAGACAATTGAAATGCTTTTATTTTCGAATCCTGATACGAAATTACAATTTTGTTTTTGTTTATAGGCTTATTCTTTTATATTGCATTTAATATATAAAGATGCCTGTTTTAGTTAATCTTCTATCAAATCTTCAAAGTAGACTTTAAATCTCTCTGATCTAGGTATTCGATTGATAACAACCCGACCGTCATAACTAATTGATGCAAAAATACACGAGACCGCTGATGACCATTCGGCTGCATAAACACTCTCTTCGTGTTCATCAAAAATCTTGATGACACCGTCGTGGTGTGTTGGATTATATTCTTTTTCTTCTATGAGAGCACCAAAAGCTTCACTTGATATAGACATGGTATTTGATAATATAACACGGCTATCAGATGACGCTGAGAGGATAAATTGATCGTGCAAATGATTAAATCTGACAGACCATACCCAATGAGAATGATCCGATAGAACTTTAACTTCTTTCTTCGTGTTGCGAATATCCCAAAATTTTACTTTACAGTCATCACCAGATGATGCTAGATAATACTGTTTGTTTGGATTATAGTCCAAATCTCTTACGTGATGTTCGTGCGCATTTTCTATTGTAAAACAAGACATTTTCGTACGTAGGTCCCAACCTTTTAGACTTGTTTCAGACGCAGTACACACCTGAGCGTGATTTTGATGAGGGCACCACTTGCCGCTAGTTATAGTTTTTTGAAGTTTTTGATCAATACTTATACTACTCTTGATTCTCGACTCAGCCGATCCGATATCCCAATACAGAATCCGACTATCCACCAAAGTAATAACTTCGTTATCATACGAATCTGGACTGAACATTACTTGACAAGCATCTCCATATTCTGAAGTATTTAAATCTGATAGTTGTATCAGAGAATTATGATTGCTTTCCTCGTTAGGAAGTTTCCATAAAACAGCATTAACCTTTTTCTTTCCTTTTTGAGTTTTACTAAATACTGTTGAAAACAAAGTTTTATCCCAACTGCACGCAGCAATATGCCAAATTTCCCCTAATTTATGAGGATATGATTTTGTTGTTAAGATATTATTAATGTCATCGTAATTGATTAGATACACTTGATTTTCTCTTTTTAAATTTTGAGTTCCCGCCATAAAGTTAACCAAATCTGTTTCTCCTAATTGAGGAGTTAAACATCTACATTGATATTCTAAACCGTAAATTGTTGCCATTTCATCCTCCATTTTCTGAGTATATCATTAAATCTAGAAATATTTACCTTTATTTAATTTGATGTCTAATAATCAATAATTTAAAATAAATCTCATATTTAACATAAATCCTAATAACGTGGACAAATTTACCTAAGCCTAGTAAAATTACTTTTAAACACCAGCCTGATATGTGATACTGATCTATAAAAGCTACAACTGACATTGCTCAATGCTTTCTACATGGTATTTATTAAGTATAGCTTAAAAGAGAAATGGAAACATCATCTTTTATAAAGCGTTTGCTAGTTGCCCAACATAAGAGAAGAACAAGTAACTCAGTGATTATGCTCCTTAAATATGATTAGATAACGATTAAGCTTATTTTTGAACGATATCTATACTTCTAGCAGAAGTTTCCATTAGTATACATTCCATATCAGTGATAAGATTTGTATTATCATGTCATAGTGAAAAATTTAAGCTTACTGAAAAGAAGCGATGGGTTCAAATTGTTCAGTTCTTTTGCACGAATCCGAATTGGAGGAGATAAAGAAAGAGACTGGATTCAGTTATAATCAAATAATTAGACTATATAGTAGATTTACTCGATTAGATAAGGGAAGTAAGGGTTTTTTGAATAAAGAAGATTTCTTAACAATTCCCGAGTTGGCTATTAATCCACTAGCTGATAGGATAACACAGGTTATAATTTTCCTCTGCTTTCAAAGTTTCATTGTTTTTTATATCAAAAATTCGAAATTATAATTTCCCTTCTGATTTAAGCAAATTATTAAATATTAATAAAATTAATAAACAAAATTAGGCATTTTTTACTGCTAACCCGAAAGCTGTCAACTTTAAGACGTTCACAAGAATTCTGGCAACTTTTCTTCCACATCCAAGTAAGAGAGAAGACAAACTAAAATTAATTTTCAATTTATATGATATCGACAACGATAAGAAAATTCATAAAGAAGAATTAATGACCGTACTGCAAATGATGGTTGGATCGAATATATCGGATAAAAGATTGGCTGATATTGTTGATAAAACTATGGAAGCATCAGATATAGATAAAGATGGTGATATAGGATACGAGGATTTTAAGAAGGTGCTGTAATATTCACTATTAATAAATAGATTCTAATTTTACTTTTGAAAATTGAAAACAGATCACTGAGCACCTTGATTTTGAACACCTGATGAGTATTAGATTCTTGAATTGAATAAACTTCATCTACTTTTGGACTAGATATACGTAACTAAGTTTTCAAATTCCCAATGTATTGGTAGTTGGTTACTTAAATTGTAAAGACTAATTATCCAAAAATTCACTAGACAAAGCCATCTATTTGCCTCTTTGACAAATGAGGAAAGCCTCAAAAAAAAAAGAAAAGTTCGTCCCCGAACGATAAATAGGTGAAAAGCAAAATAATCAAAAAGAAAAAATATACTAAAAAAAGCAGTTAATTTTCATATGTCTTGGGATCGGACCAATCCATTAAAACTTCGTTTTCTAAGTACTTTTCTCTTGCTGTTGATCGATTAGGTAAAACTTGTAGGCCAGCAAACATAGCACCTAAAGTTAAAATCAATTGACGAAATTTGAATTAAATGCTATTTAATATGTATTAATTACAAACCTCCCAACCACGCCGTGCAATTTTCATAAATAGGAGCTGTATGAAACTTAAAGGAGGATAAATGAATCGAGTCTGTATACTTGTTATTTGTTGATGCTAAATTCTTCAGTTCAGCCATAAGTCTTTGCCTAAATCCAGTTAATTGACAAGTCCCTCCAACCAGAACAATATTTTCCATTAAATTGCGTCGATTATCAATTGAGGAAAGCGTTAAAGCTTCAAGAAGTAGGGAAGCTATATTTTTCTCCTCCCCATCCAACTGAAAGAGTACTTCACAGGCCATTTCTCTATAGAAATATTGCTCGGATTGGCATAAGAGATTATTGATTTGAATGTTCTAACCTAATCTTTCCTGGAATAACCAAAATTCTTGAACCTTGTAACGGATAAATAGTCTCTGAGGGATGCTCAATATCAGGATCATTTACTCTATCCAGACGTGTAATAAAGCAGCATCGCACTATTTTAGGATTAGATTTATTTTCCAATTAAATTAATAAGAGAACTTCCAATTTTTAAATTACCTTTAATATCCTCTAATATTTCTTCAGTTAGAACATCAGAAGGTAGATTTGAAGCAGGCATTTCATTATTTCCCTCTCGTACAATGGCAAACTCTTTGATCATTTCTCTGATTCGGCTATTTGATTTTGAAATATGAAGAAAGTTATTAAATAAACACTAAAAGAAGTCGTTAAAGAGTAATACTTGTGTATAGCTTTCCCTCCAACTGGTAATGCTTGCCATGCCTTTAAGACAGGGGTATTATCACAAACCTAAAATAAAACCTATGCTATATAAATTGAACATATTTGAGGAAGGATCTTACTTACCGGAATTACTATTGTTTCTTTATATCCGCAATCCAAAACTAACCCAGTTGATATGCCTAATGGCATCAAACTAATTAAATGACTTGGTGCGAAAAGTAAACTTGGTACTTCAAAATGTTTGAAGAGAACATCTGCTATAAGCTTTCGAAAATCAATAGGTCCGATGATATTTTCAACAATAACTGCTCTTCTATCTTTAGCATTAACTTGCAGGTGTCTCAAGTAAATTTTTTTCAGGAAAACAAGAAGACTTGCTTTCAAAGTTTCATTGTTTTTAATATCAAAAATTCGAAGTTTAGTTTTTGTTTGCTTATCATAAATTTCGGTTGGAACTATCGACCTTGGAGAGCAGTCGTTTGCAAAACCAATTCTACGGAAAAAAGGATCAGAACGAAAATGGGAGAATAATAGAAGAAAAATATACTAACTTTGTATAAGCAGCGCCAATATCAAGAACGATGGCTTCTTTTTCACCTCCGTATCCGAATCCTTCATACATTGGCATCAATTAATTTATAAACTTTAGAAAATACACCAGTACAGCAGAATGAACGCTAGTACCAAAAGAGAGACTGCCCTCTGATGGGACTAGTTCAAACTACAACTAACGTTGCAAATTGCAATTTAATTTTAATGTTGAAATTCTAATCTAAAATTACTGCTGATGAATTTTATTGAAGCCTTATTTATAGATTAAACTTTTAGTTTAAGGGTTGAAAAGTTATCAAAACCTGTATCAAAATTTTAGAAATCGATTTAAAATAAACTAGATATCTATTTAGTGTCGGAAACTATGTATATTTTTAAATATGCAAATTGATCCATACATGGGTATAGTTTTTTGTCTCATAACTTGTATATTAGTATGCAAAAATTTCATATCTCCCGCTCTTTTCCTAGCGAATTTAATTTATTTTTGCGATATCCATTAAATATGTGCAGCCATTACGAAATTGCATGCAAACAGGAAGCCTCTTGTTAGATTATTCACAATGACATGCTTAAAAGGTGTCTTTTCTGGCGGTCCAAGAAAGTATAATATATCTCAGGTCACGGAAGAGAGAATTAGATCTATTGTCTACGGCAATTGTATCGGAGATGCTTTGGGATTACTCACAGAATTTATGCACAAACCCAATATTGAGAAAGTGTATGGAGAGCATAGAGCAAGTGGTTTGAAGTACTCTCACAAAGTGAAAGATAGACATAGGGGTCGATGGGTTATCGGTGATTGGACTGATGATTCTGATCAAATGATTTGTATTATGAGATCCTTGGCTCAGAAAAAAAATCTTGTTGTAACCGATATTGCTGAGGCGTTCTATGACTGGTCGAATGAAGGATTTCCACAGCTAAAGGATACAGGTGGTCTAGGATTGGGAAGAACAACTTATCTAGTTTTATCAGAAAAAGACTATCTTACGAAACCAGAGGAAAGCGCAAAGAGAGTTTGGATTGACTCAAATCAAAATGCAGCACCAAATGGCGGTGTGATGCGAACTTCAATTCTCGGAATTTATGAATTTCAAGATTTAAATAAAGTTGCAGAGAACACAGTAAAAGTTTGCAGAGTTACTCATTATGATCCTAGATGTTCAGCTTCATGTGTAGCAGTTACTATTATAATTGCTAAAATGCTTCAGAGAATTGAAAACAAGAACCAGACTGAATTTTCTGATAACGATATTGAAGAGATATTAAATGAAACCTATGAATTTACTTGTAAATACATATTTGAAAATGAAGAGTACACTGCTGACTTGAAGAGCGATAAACTGGATCAATTCAAAGCGGACTTCAAGACTTACTTTTTTATTAAGAAAGATGGTTTGGAGGAATTAAAGCTGGATGAACCGGCTAAAATTGGTTACACGTTTAAATGTATGGCATCCGGAATTTGGGCATTGAAACAAGGCGATCCAGAGAAAGCATTAACTGATCTAATAATGGAAGGAGGTGATGCTGACACAAATGGAGCAGTTGCCGGAGCTCTACTTGGTTGTAGATACGGTTTAAATAGGTTTCCTAAACACTGGATAGATGATTTAGCCCCATTACCAGTAAACTTTTTAGAAAAAAATCTAAATAAGTAAGATGATTATTTAATATTTAATCTTATCTATAATGTGTCTTTTTTCCAGGTTCATAAGTACTTTCTTCCTGACACCCGAGTAGAAAATGTTGTCTTTATTACAATATTATTTATATTACTTTCTGCCTACTTCCTGTACAGCCAAAGCAATGCTATTTTTTTTTGTCAATGAAAACAAACAAAATCTGTCTTTTTCTTATTTTATTTAAATTAACTTGTACATAACTTATTAATTTGAATTCTTTATTTTTTATATTTGCTTAAAAATCAAAAGAAATATTTCAACTGTATAATGAGCTGTTGTCTCTGTGTTCCTTCCTTAAGAGTTCGAAATAAAGAAAGAGATTTCAAGAGATGCTTACCAATTAAGCCTGATTTTGATATTATTAACAATAGAAATACAAAAGAATTAGGTGAAAAAAATGAATTGCTTTTTCTGTCTAATTTTCGATATTTCTTTATATAACTTTGAAGGTGAGACGCCAAAGAGGCTCTCGGATAAAACATTTAATGAGAAAATAGAAGTGCAAAGGCCAATTTTATCCATAATTAAAAGAAAATCACTAAAATCAAAAATTAGAACATCTACAAATACTTCTACGACTACTTTCTCTCAATTATCTGTCAATTCAAGTTGGAATAAACTAAGAAGAAATGATTCTTACAAGAGAGCATTGACTTGTAAAAAACCTTTTATAAATTAATTCAAAGAACTAACATTCTTCTGTAAAATATAATAATTACTACTATGATTTTGAAAAGTAGTCAATATAAGGCCCCGGACAAAAATATCCATATATGAAAAAAAAAATATTTTTGCAATAAAATAATTTTGTTTTTGGATTTCTTCAACGAAATTGTTTGTTTTTTTTAAATATTCATTGAAGAATATGTTATAAATCAGAAAATGGATTCGATTTGCTGAAAAAAATATTTTTATATTAAAAAAAAAGTTTTTTAATTGTATGTTTATTTATCATTAAAAAAAATCAGAAAAAAAGTAGCCAAAAATATCCATATAACATTAATTAACTAGTTTGTATGTTTCTTGTTTAAGAGTTACTTCTCAATTGTATTGCCTTTGCTAATAATAACTGTGTTAAAGTCAATTTAACTCTGAACCCATCCACCAAGTATAGCTAATCGTCTGCTTTTTTCTCCTGATGAGAGCGGGGGCACACCTTCGAATTAGACAGATTCTCTGTTTGTTGTTTTTTAAGGATCCTCCGGATGGTTCTTTTAGAAATCTTCAGGTTTAAATTATGCTTAATTTTGCTGGCAGTTATCAATTCTTTTCTTTCAAGTAGTCTAACGCACTCTCTTTTGATCAGAGACTTCATCCTGTCATCCACTTTGGGTGGTCTCCCCCTCCTGTCAGGTTTTCCTTCTCTTTTATTCTCACAGATATACTGGAGTGAAGATCTTGGGATATTCAATTCTGCCGCAAGTTCATTGTAGGTCATATGGGTTTTTTTCAACCTTATTAGCTCTCTCATTTTTGATTGATATTTCATTTTGACAAAGAAGTTGAAAGAATTGTCTGCTAAGTCAAAATTGTTCTAAATTCGAACGTTCCAAAAATAATTTTGACCAAAAAACATGTTTGTATGGATATTTACGACCGCTTTTAAAATATATAATTTAATTGCAAAACATACTTGTTGTCTAAAGTTAAAAAAAAGGTACTCTAAAAAGCTGAAAAAAATAAAAGTTTTATTAAATTACATAAAATACCCTTTAAACAACCTAATTCTATTTAAGAAAAATAAATTTTTATTCTTCATAATTAGAGAAAAATGAGTTTCTGAAAAAAAATTTCTTTTTTTCCATATATGGATATTTTTGTCCGGGGCTGTACAGTATTTCGTTTTTAGTTGAAAACAACTATACAGTGATTTGAAAAGCAAACTAAGTTATGAAATACCTATTTTAATTGAAAATGGCTGGGAATTTGTTTATGATATTTGTTTTTATAGAACTTAAATATATTAAATATTTAAATTTAAAAAAAAAACTCTATCTGAAGGCCGACAATGTTTAGGTTTACTACTGGAAGGTACAAAAATGGCGGCAAGGTCAGCTTATAAATTCGGACAAAATTTAAAGGAATTAAGAATTCATCTCTGCCAAAAGTCGGCAGCAAGCAAGGGTGTACGGTAAGTTTATCAGAGAACATTTTGTATATTTAATAATATATATATAACTGCTTTTATAAGTTTTTTAATAAAAATCCTTATTTTTCTGTGAGCGATAATATGTCTTTATTACACATTTTTCAGGGATTTTATTGAAAATCATTATGTACAATTGAAAAAAAGTAATCCGCAATTCCCTATTTTAATAAGAGAATCCCGAGATGTTAATCCTGTCGTTTGGGCTAGATATGGTAAATATTAATATTATTTGCTTTTTTGTTTACGTGTATCTTTTGTAAAATCATGCTAAAAGTACAAAAGGGTTTATTTAACGTCTGTAAAAATTGTCAATTATTATATTTAGATTGGTAATTTTTGTTAACAAAAATTTTTAACAACAAAAAATAATTACGAATTGATAGAAAATAGCAATTCATTTATCTTACAAATATCTTTAATTCATTTGCAATTATCTTTCTTCGTATATATAATAAAATGTATAAATCATGCGAATACAATTTGTTAACATCGCTTTAGAGATAATGAATGATTTTTTTTCAGCATACGGAAAAGAAACTAACGCTACTTTACTAAACAAGTCAAAAGATGAAGTTTTCGACATAGTCCAATCATTAGCGAAGTGAAATAACTGTTTGAATATTATTATGCACTGTTTTTTTGCAAATAAATAGCCTTTAAATTGCTTTTAAATAGTTTTCTGAAATGATTTTGAAATAGTTTTGAAATGTAGAAGTATTCCGCTATTCTAATAAGAACATAGCATTAGTTCTTTTTCTTTTCCCGGTAAACAGTTTAAAGTTTAAAATAATGATAAATGCTTTACCGACTACAAGTAAAAGAATCTAGATTTTTCGTTCAGAATTAATTGTAAAACAATATTTTACCATATTTTAATTAATGCGTGGAGTATTGTACCAGATCACTAACTCCCAGCGCCATCTACTTTACCGGTGCCTGACGTACCATAGAAAACTCCAGAATAGTCGAGCATGGCTGACGTAGTAAACCCAAGAACTTTCTTTGATATCACTATTGGAGGAGAAAGCGGTTGGTAGAAAGAAAATTTTAAGCTGAAAAAATTAATACTTCGTTTTCCATAGCGGGAAGAATCGTCTTTAAATTGTACAAAGATAAGGTTCCGAAGACCGCGGAAAATTTTAGAGCCCTATGTACTGGTGAAAAGGGTGTTGGAACCAAAGGAAAGCCCCTTCACTTTAAGGGGTCGATCTTTCACAGAAGTATATATTCTAATTAATATTATCTGATAAATTCTAACGGTTATATTAATATTTGCAGTTATCAAGAATTTTATGATCCAGGGTGGTGATTTCACTGCGGCAAATGGTACCGGAGGAGAAAGTATATACGGTGAAAAATTTGAAGATGAAAATTTTGAGTTGAAACATGAAAAACCTGGCCTCCTTAGCATGGCTAATTCCGGTCCTGGAACAAATGGTTCCCAATTTTTTATTACCACCACCGCAACACCTCACTTAGATGGTAAACATGTTGTTTTCGGTGAAGTAATAAATGGGATTGACGTCGTTCGTGAATTGGAATACCAGAAGACTGAATCGGACAAGCCATTAATGGATTGTGTTATTAGTGACTGCGGAGAATTGGCAGAAGGAGAAGATGATGGTTGCGTTGTTGAAGATGGAACTGATGACTCATACGCTAATTTCCCATCAGATTCTCAAATAGATTGGAAAAATAAGGAAGAATGTTCAAGAGCTTTTGTAACAATTAAAGTCGCGGGTAACACTCTGTTTAAAGGTGGAGAATATAAAAAGGCTTTGCGAAAATATCAGAAAGCTCTAAAGTATGTTAACCATTTTTGTGAAGAAGGTCCAGATTTGGATGAGGAGGAGGAGAAAAAAATAAAGGTCGAAAATGCCCTACCATTACATCTTAATTTGGCAGCCGTATATTATAAGCTTCAAGATTATGAAAAAACGGTCTCAGAATGTAACGAAGCGTTGGAATTGGATGGAGCTAATACAAAAGCACTATTTCGTAGAGCTCAGGCAAAACGTTTTCAGAATGAATGGGAGAGTGCTCTCACAGATCTAAACTTGGCAGCCGAAAAAGAACCAAATGATAAAGCTATAAAGAACGAAATAATCCGAATCAAAAATGATGTCGCATCGTATAAGAAAAAAGAAAAGATGACGTATGCGAAAATGTTTTCGTCTTAGTAACATTGATATATAAATTTATTATTTTCCTTTCATGGAATTTAATACATTTGTCCAATAAAATCTCGTTAGCTTAGCGGTATAGGGAATCGTATGGTCGAAGGCGTCGATTCTTCATCATGCTGCCCATGACTCTATTAGCACAATACGTCAAATTGTTGCAAAAGGGAGCTTATATGTCTCAGCTTACCTTTTGAACAAATTGAGGATTAGTGAGAATAGATCTGTCCATCGCCTGAATTTTTTCATCTAGCTTGATAAATTCGCCAATTCTTTTATCTATGTATTCTTGCATGTTTACTGTGTTAGACGATTGTTCACAGTCTAGGAAGGTAACCATGCCGTTGTGCTGATCAATTTTTGCATAAACTTGACCATCGCTTATCTATTAAATTAAATTTGAATAGTATTTGTAAAAAAGTTAAATTAGTACGAACCATTTGAAGTACATATTTTTCTGCTTCCCTCGCGTTTTCCAGACCTACTCGATTAGCCATATCACTCAATGATAGAGTAACAAATGTCTGATAAAACAATTAAGGATTTTCTGAATAATATTTTGCTTAATGAAATTGAATTTGACTTACTTTGGTTAGCCTCTGAATGTTTCGTTTGTACAACGATACAAGAGTTTGCTTAACTAGTCCAAGCATTTCGTCACGGACAAAGTCTTGCTGACTTTTTGCAATGACATTTGTAACTTGGTTAGGGTCATTGCTGCAGTAGGCGTGAGCGAGATTATGATAAGCCTGGCACAGTTGCTTTACATAGCGGGGTATGACATTGCTTGTGTACTTTGGTAATTGCCGTAATTTCCCATCAGCCAGTAAAGAAACGCAAATATACTTTTTGTACGCTTCAATGACTATGTGACTTACAGCAACCGCTGGTACAGTTATAGCCTATGTAGGAAAGATTAAGATCAATAAATACATTGAAAGACCGTTCAGAAAACACCTACATTTTCAAATAAGAATAGTGCTCTATCATAGTTCTTAAGTCCAGTATAAATCATTCCACCATAATAACAATATAACAGGAAATGTTTGACGTCAAACTTTTTCTTCTAAATATTAAAAGTTCAAAATTAACTATATGGAAAATAAAGAATTTAGATGTATTACTTCTGTATTAATATCATCTATATCGCAATCAAGATATCTAACCACCGGCTTGAATACTTTTGCTTGTAAACAAAGCTAAAATATTGAAGAATTATTTTCAGAAAATAATATAATACAATTTTAAAACTTACTAAGCATAAATCGGCGTGAGCGGAAGTGAGTTGGTTTTCGTTCGTTTGTAACTTTTCAACTGCTCGCATCAGCGGGCGTATTCCTCGTTTGGCTTGCTTTTTTCTAATCAAGGCTTCAGAATAACGGTGGCACACAACAGCAACTACAACATGTCCAACCAATAATTAACTAAATGAATAAATACTTATGGATTCTTACAATTGTCTGGCGAACATCGAACTTGTTCTCCATTACAGTTGACAAGAAATTCCGATGTCTGCGTAAGTAGGCTGTCACTATCAGATGATATTGTGGACACGTTGAATTTAATACATCTGAAAGACGGAAATAAAAATTTGAGGGATTGGACTTTTTTCTTTGGAATACTTACAATATTCCTAGTACTCCTAAGGAATGCTCTTGGACATTAAAGGTTGCCAATAAATTATCCAAGAGACCAGGATGTTTAGCTAATCCTTCAGAAAATTTAGAGATGGTTTCGCAAAGCTGGTCGAATTCGCCTAAATCAAACGAAAATAATAAACTGAACGAATTTGACTACAAAATAGAAATATCAACAAAAACGTCTGGAAATTAAGAATATATTTTATAGCTAAAAAGACATCTGTATTTGACATTTTCTAAAACGTATAATTGTTGCAGCTTTACCTTGTTGTGTAAGCTGACGGACATGATTAGCGTATTGTTCAACAACAGCCGACATCTTTACCGGTACCAAGTGAACGTTTGATTATTTTGATAGGTACCAAGGGTTTTTACTCTAAGTTACTAAAAATCGAATCAAGGTCTTTCTTAGTTTTAAAAGCTTTTGTAAAATGATAAAATAATTGTCTAATTGTATAATTCTAAAATTATTTCACAGAAAAGATAAGATCGTATCGCATAAACTGATCGATTGATTTGAACGGTGAAACATGTTCACTGCGCTGTCTGGTAAGAATCGAAACCGGTTAGTGTCACGGTCATATAGACTTATTTATCAAGCACGTTTTCTCTTAAAGTTTACTTTGACATGGCGCGTGCATCAAAATTGATGTACACATCGCTAAACTTGCTAACTAGGAGATTGGGATCACAAATCCAGCTTGTTTCAATAACAGGTGATTTTGTTTATGAGCGATAAAATGGTATTTATTTACTAACTTTGATTCTCTAGCCGGTAGATATTCCACCGAGAAACAGGCAACTAACGAAGATTTAGAGATATTACCAGATTTCGTCAATAGGAATCCTAGGTGAGCCTTTACAAGCTGTTGAATTTCAGAGTAACCTTAATTTAATTAATTTATAAAGATGCTTGGAATATCAAGGAATCGCCCGAAAAACAAAGGGTTGGACTTTTCAATATCCATCCAGAGAGTTTTATCATAGGTACTTAATATCTTTAATTTTAAATTCAAAATAATATACTGAAGATATATGTATTTAAAATAGATTGGTGATTGAAAAGACACATAGAAATATAACTGCTGATGTTGAACATTGTACTGGAAAGACGGTAGTGTCAGCTTCAACATTAGAAATGGCAATTGCATCTCAACTAGAGAGTAAGACTGATCTAAATGCTTCTAGATACGTGGGAAAAATTTTAGGTAGAAGATGTCAAGAAAGTGGTATTACATCTATGGTTTTACAAGATGGTCCTGCTTCTAATATAAATGTTGGTTCACAACGAGTAAGTTTTTAAATTTCTGCAAATATTTACAAGCTTAAATTATCCTGTTCTCTAAAATAGTTTACAGCCTTAATCGATGCCATGAAAGAAGAAGGAGTTAGTTTTGAAGAGGTTGAAGAAGTCAAACGCGAATATGAACCTGGAATTGACTATGACAATGAAGAAGAATTTAATAAAGTTATGAAAAGTCCTGTTAAAAAGAAAAGGCATGTTAAGCGAATTACAGTTTTCACACCTAGAACATGATATAGTTGTTATACAAAAAATATGCAAAAACAACTGTTATAATAATAAAATTGAAATTTTTTTAAGTTTGCTGTAATCCTAAGGTTATATATTAATTTTATTTATTGATATCACATCTTACAATTTTCCTTTTCTAAGATGAATTAGCTGTAGTCAAATAAGTTTCTTAACTAAGGTAATCACTGTCAGTATAATTTCTTACATATCTCTTTTTCTTTTCCACTAGTTTAGAATCATCTTTAGGTGTTTTCATTGCACTCTTTTTAACCAATACTGGTTTTTTTGGATGAATTTGAATAATATTAATAGAATTGATATCATTGCGCACGGAATGCAACAAATTCTCAAAAGTTTGACCGTTTAACTCTTTCTCAAGATAGGCATCGATATTTAATACTTGTTTTCGAGCTGTTGATCCCTCTAATCTTGCTCTAGCGACTCTTAGCAAATTTTTTAGACCTTCATTGTGTGCTTGAAGGTCTATATGATGGCATTTTAATGCTTCGGATTCAATAGTAATTGCATTAAGTTCGTCCGTAATTTGTGTAACCTATGGAAAGAAGTTACAATAGATTGAATAATAGATAATTACAAGCAACTGTAGGACGAATAAACCTGAGATTTTAGAACAGTTAATTCCTCCTTACTTCCCCTTATAGTATCTTTAAGATGTCGATTTTTTGATTGTAAAATTTTCAATTCATTAGCGGCTTTGTGCCTCTCCTCATATAGTAAAGATGATTCATTCTTCATATTCTTTTTTATATAGAATTCATCGCCAAACTCATTTTGGGAGGAAAGCATATTCTTTTGTTGATATCTGACGAATTTTAAACAAATTTTCTGATGTCAGTAATTTAACACAAAAAAAACAATATAGTTAAAAAAATAATAATGTTCTGTATATTTGTATTAATTATTCTTATAAATCATATTTATTGTTCTGAAAATGATAATTTTGAGCTGGAAATTGATAAAATATCTCCTCCAAAAGGACATCAAATGCAAATGTTAAACAAAACGGGTAAAAATCGGATAAATTCAACAAGTTTAAAATTGAATAACTTTAAAATTCAATATAGTGGAAAAGCAATAGTTATTCTAGTTGTTGTAATAACATTAATGTTAACCGTATTTTTACCTTTTGTTATTGCTATTGGAATATGTACGCACAAATATGGAATATCTTCCAGACTTCAAAAGAAGTTTGAGGAGAAGTTGAATGAAATTAGAGATGATCAATCTGATGTGAAAGATAGTTGAATAAATTTGATAATAGTTATTCTGTTTATTTTCTCATTAATATTAATGTACAGAAATAAATTATTTAGATTCTATACTATGACTTTCATCTTCATTATTGTTATCTTCTTGATTTGAAGTTTCTACTACTTCATTGAAGAGGGATAACTCTATTTTTGGAATAATTGTCTTAGTGTTTATATTGTGTTTCGAGTTGTCTTTTTCAGTATTTGTCTCTTCATTTTTCGTACAATCTGGAATAGCTCTGTTGTTTTCAACATACGATAAACTTATGGAGTTTTTATTATAATGATTATCTTCTCTACTGTTTGAAGAACGAAAATTTCTAAGACTATTTACATTAAAAATAGTATCCGTGCTGGATAATGTCTGATCCTTTAATGGTTCCTCGTATCTTACGAACTGAGGTGTTTTATCAGAGTATTTTGTCATGCTAAGTGTTTTATGTCTTTCATTAAGTAAAGTGACTAGCGGAGTCTTCTGTCCATGTGTTGGGCTAGTGGCTCTGGACGATATAGAAATAACTAAAAACATTTTAATTTATTGTATTTATCTATTTGTTCATGAGGAGCATCATATACAAATACCTGGAGAGGATGGCATTAACGAATGAAGATCGTCACGAGGAAAAGTAGTTTTAACGTAGATTGACTTGATTAAACGATAAGATAGATACAATCCACCAATAACTAATATTACAAACCACCAACTCTGTGAAATAGGTTGTGTTCTTGCCTAGCTGATCATCATATGTAATACTAGCCAACCTGCCAAAATATAAATTCACTAATAGCTGGAGGACACGAAAATGTGTCATTTCTCTCCATGGATATTACACTGTATTTACTCAGTATTTTTGGATATAAAGAATCCTTTGAAAATTTGAAAATTTAAAATATAATAAATTAACTAAAAAAAAGATTCTTTTGACTTTGATTTTGTAATTAAAACAATCGAAATATTAAATATATGATATTTATGAAAATTTGTGTATTACTCTTTCAAGATCACTTATGCTATTGTTTTTTAAGGAAATCTCTTAAATATAACAGCAAAATAAATCTGGCAAGTTTATTATTTTCTATAAACAATGAAGGATCGACTTGTAGAGTTTTTTTACCATGAAGTCTGTGCACCTTTTATTTGTCTCCTAACTTCTAAATATCCTACTTTGTTCAATTTTTCAACATTTTCATGTATTGAAGGATTCTTTTGATATAATCTGTAAAATAATCATTCAATTTTTAAAGAATATCTATAAAGTAATATAAAGAATTATAAGTATACTTTTTAGCTGAATCTTCATCATTATCTAGCAGAAATTCGAAATATTGCATTGTAAGTTCATCACCACGAATTATAGCACAAATTTCAGGATCTTCTAACATTTGTTGAGTAGTGTACATTGTTTTTTGAGGTTGTACATCTTGTTTAGTTAATTTCCTTTCAAATAATTGATTTTCAGCAGTTTTATTCAAATTAAATACGTTAGGATTATCTTTGGCTAAAGTTTGAAAATGTGTTCCTAAAAATGAAGAATTTCTATTAAATTTCGTTAATTAAAATGAATTAAGAACTATTACCTAAACAGGATGAGAAATTTTGGAAGAAGTTCATTATATATTCATTGTTTTTATACTTTTCAATAGCTCTTTTAGGATTTGTCGAAAATTCCATTAAAGCTTGTCGAACTCTTTCATCTACGATCTGTTCTGATAGATCTTTTTCAGATGCAATCTTTTTTAAAAGATCATCATTTAACCATTCTATTTTGGAATAAATAGAATCAAGAATTAATTTGGAATATAAATTTATGTATGAATTCATTCAGTACCGTTCTGTTTATTTCCTTCGAAATTTTTCAGTGTATCACTTAGATCAGCTTGTAGGGCCGACGGAGTGTCTTTCTTTTGAATAAATGGTATATCATCATCAGGCTTCTTTACAACTTTCTTTTTTGAGGGTTGCCCACTTAAAAATCCTTTGCTGAATCCTCCAAATGAACTTTCTTTTGGTTTTTTTGGTTGTTCGGATACTTTCTTTACATTTTCTTTGACAACTTTCTGTTCAGATTTCTTAGCAGGGATTTCTGCTGCCGAGACTTGACCAAACTTTTTAATTATAGCCTCTGTACAATCCTCCAAAGGAGGCATATCTAACAGAAAATATATATATATAAAATGTTTATCAAGTTTTTATTAGTATTATAGTATTTAATACCATCATCATCTGCCATTATTAATTCCTATCGGTGAGTTGATTTTTCAAGAGCCGATGAGTAACCTTGTCCTTCGAAAGAATTTTTAGCACGAAATTGAACAGTTTTTTTTTAGATGCGGAGCGCATGCGTAGGTTCCGCCATTGAAATTTTGCGAAAAAGGCGCGAAAGCCGTATTCGATTGCTAACATTAACCCAGCTTAAAAGTATTAAAAATTTCTCAGCAACTTAAAAATTATGGAAAAATTCCATACTATTTCTGTATATATAGAAATAAATTTCCTAACTCTTTTCAATCAAGTTGTATAGCTTTTGAATATCGCTCAAAAAAGTATCATTTTCACTAAAGACACATATTAGATAACTTATTTTATATATATTCCCATTAAGAGCACATTGTAGCTATTATAGTATGAGAGTACTTTAAATTGTTTTATATCTATTTAGCATGCAGTTTTGCCAGATTAAAATTTGTCTGCTTTAAAAATGAAAAATCCTAAAAGTTAAAAATAAATACTAATGAATATTAATGAGATTTAACACATCATCATGAAATAGTGGATTCTATATTTTGAATATTTTGAAAACAGAGTTGTAAATTCTTTAAACTTTGTAAATAAACAATTAAACGTTGAATATTAAAAATTGTTAGCCAACCTTACAGAAGAATGTAAGGAATAAAACCAATTGATAGGATGAATCATGTACGAATATGATGCTTCTTTCGCGCTACCAGGAACAATAACGCACTGCCTTAATGAATATAAAGAAATTCAAAGAAGGCAGGCAAAGAAAACAATAAGAAATATCATTTTAAAGCATAATATGGCCAATTCTAATAAATGGCCAATGTCTCGTTCAAGCTATGTTAAACTTACTAATTTGGTAATTCCTACATATTTTTATTAATAGAATTCTAATGAATGAGATAGAAAAAAATTGAGATTAAACAAACTTTGTTTAGGATGAAGAGGAAGATGAAGAGAGTAGATTGAGAATGAAGCAAGCCCATGCTATGAAAGAATTAGAAGTGTTTAGGAGGTTTGATTTCGATAGAAAAACGGAAGAGACCAACGTAAGGGGTTTAAAAAATGAGATAGCTACTACAACATGCTCCGAAACTATCATAACAAAAGAAATATTAAGAAGACAATTGAATATTAAATTTACATTCATTATTTTGGGAATCTTACTATCAACAGCTGTCTATTTAGCTTTACTTTCAATCGGTATTCATCATATAGAAGACGATCTTTTCTCTGTTAGTATTCTGTTAAAGATTATATTAAAGTGTTATATATTTAAATATTCATGAAATAACAGGGAAATTTAACAACAATAGCAAGAATACTGCTAACAACAGATGTTTTAGCTATAATCAATGGTTTTATCTCCTTAGGAATATGCTGTATGATTGGTTGTTATTTAAGTGGAAATCGTTCAATATCTTTAAATAAATATCTACCAAAACTGAAATTTTTAAGAATTATTGGTTATTTTCAAATTTATATTCTTATGACATTCTTTATAATTATTTTATTGGGTTTAAAGAATAAATTAATATTTTCTTCAATAAAAGATAAATTTAAAGATGCGGTTGAAAAAGAGAATTATTATAATAATCCATCATTGCGATCTGTAATTGATACAATTCATACAAACTTTAAATGTTGCGGTTTTAGAAATTATCTTGTATGGAAAGATACTTCCGATGATGGACTTTATCCTACTAGTTGTTGTTCTGAATCTTATTCAGCAAGTAATCAAATATGTTTAAAAGCTCAACGAAGTGCTTTTGGCAGAGGGAATTTAACTAATGTTAGCCTTAGTTACTTTAATATTCGAAATTAAATTGTTTATTCATATAAATAGGTTATATATGTTAGAGGTTGTTCTATGGCTATAGGAAATAGTTTTATTCCAATTATAAATATGATAATAACTACAGTTTATGCTATTTTCCTTTTATTGACTGCTATTTTCTTCTATCATACCCAAGTATATATAGTTGCTACGCAAGCTCTCAGCTTACCTGGTGCTTGCTTGGTTGTTATCAGGTAATTACTGTATTATAAACAAAAAAAATTAGAGAGAGAGAGAGAGAGAGAGAGAGAGAAAGGGACTATTTTTAAAATACTTTCTAATGTTCAGGTACCTTCGAATATCTAAAATATACTTAATTAATGGAACGGAAATACTGGGAAAAGTTGCTAATAGAATCATTAAAGAATATATTGTTAATAATATCGAGTTAGAAGCTGGTCCTAATTCTCCTCGTTTACAGACTGTTGTCAGTATACTTGATAAAGATTTAAACTCGCATAGATCATCAACGGTACAGAATGTTAGGGAGAGGTCAGCGTCGATTCTGTCGAAAACACCTCAAATTAATCAAGCTAAATTAGTCACTAATCTATTGCTAGATCCTGTTGGAAATGGTGAACCAAATGTAAAAAGAAAATTATCTAGAGCCTTAGGTAGCAGAACATCATTTAGGAGACCTTCAATTAGAAAATCTGATAGTCATGGGATAAGATTTCTACCAAAAAATCCTCCTGTAAGACAATTCACTAATACAATAGCGTCAAATCAAGCAGCAGATACTGATGATATTCAAATAACAAACGTAGAATCGGGAGTTAAAGTTTCAATTGATGGGAGGTCAAAGAAACTTTTAAATAAGGATGGAAAAGTATACTTTGTTTCTGATTCTGAACAAGAACAAACAGAAAAAGGATCAGATAGAACTGCAGAATCGCTTGTTGACGTAGGAGGCGATAAACTGAAGAAAATACATAAGGGATCAAAGCTATTTTACATAGAGGAGGATAAAGAATCCCTGTCGGTCAACAATAGAGAGGCTAAAAAACATTATTATTGTAAAGAAATGAGATTAACTGCTGAGGGAAAATCTGAGCATAAAGATGATGGAAATGAGAAATCTATTGACAAGCTAACCACAGAGATTCAAAAGAAGTTTCAAAAATCTCTTAATAAATATGTAAAATCACTGTGTATGCTAGATCCCGAGAGTCAGGCCTGCAAAGATGCTCGTATTAATCAACAGCTAATAATAGGCCACTCAGCTACGCCGCCAGAACTGTCGGATTACTCATACCGTCTCAACAATAAGCACCAAAGGATTCCTGAGAAAGATGATATGATGGCTGAAAATAGCGTTGACACTAGTGTACATATATCAATTGGAAACAGTGAACATGAAGAGGAGGACCATCTATTTAATCCTCACCTTCCGTTGTACAGTCATAATAATACTTCAGATGAAATTGAAGATGAATTTGATAAAGGAAATGAGATAATTACCTGCAAAAGAAAGAGAAAATCATTAAATTGGAACTCTAAGAGAACTTTTAGGTGCTCCAATCCACAGAATTATTTAAAATATGGTTTGTCAATATATATAACAAACAAAGTTTTAAATTATAATAAAAACCCTTTCATAGATAATCTTGCGAAGAACTCGGAAGCTATTCGAAAATTAGACGACCAATCACCATCAATGGATGGCCAATACAGTCCGCAAAATTACCAAGTTTGTTTTGGAGAAGAGGACTCAGAGCGCAAAGCAGCATTTGATGAGATAGATGAAACTGAAGATTTAATAAATGATGAAGAAGTTGATATTGAGGACGAAGAAATATACGATGATGAGGGAGAAGAGGATAAAGAGTATGAGGAAAATTTTGCTGATAAAGAAGAAGCAGGACAAAGTAATCGGGAGGAAAACAGACCTACAATTAAATTATTTAATGACGATGGTGTTAGATCGACTGACCTAAGAGAGTCTGATTTTCCAGGAAAGTTTAACGTGTTGATAGATTATAATAATAAAAGTCTAGAAAGCAAGCTAACTGCTAAACAATTCAATTTGTCACCTTCCAAGTGTCCCTGTGAAACAAAACAGGCCTATTATCCTCCGAACAATTCCTTTTTTAACAATTCTCTTTCTCAAACAACGAAGTTAAAGAATTTTGAGGAAACTAATCAACAAAAGGAGCTTTTCGGCAAAAGTTTATTCCCAGATACTGTAAATAGAGCTTCAAGAGAAATAGATAGCTGTGAATTGGAACAGTTTTTAGACAGGTAAAGAATTAAAACAACAACCGACATTATTTATTTTATATTTACTAATTTCTTCTATATTTAAAATTATTCTCTTAACGTCAATAAATAGAAATAATGATGAAATTGAAAGAGATTATTGTGGTCCTGGAATGTATGTATTTGCAGTAGAAGAAAGAAAAGGTAGTGAAACGTCCAATTCAGTTATATCAAAGCCTAATGGAAGACTTGAATCAGGAACACTTACTAAAGATTTACAAAGTACAAATTGGACGGATGATAATAGGGGAAACTTTATAGAAGATATTTCTTTGAGGTTTCTATTAATTAATCTGCTACTCATTGATATCTTCTAAAACCTTTTTCTTTTATAGAGAAAAGTCGGTTTCATCATCTTCGTATGATAACCTTTCACCGAATAAAATGAAATTTGATTGGATTATAACTGACTCTACCCAAGTTAATCCTTCTAATACTGGTCAAAACAATTCAGCTATAAATTGTTCCGAATTTGCAACCGTTCAAGATTGCGAAATAAATTATGATAAAATAAGTGGAAATAGACTGCCATCTTTGTATTTGGAAGATAATAACCATTTTGAACGATAATTAAAAAAATAAAACTTTTAAATATCCTTTTTTTCTAGGTTTTTTTATTCAACTCTTACTATTTATTAAAGTGAATTGTTTTGTATTATTTCGATTAATATTAGTAATCAAAACTAATTGTTATATAATAAACTATTATTTGAATGCATAATCAATTTGTTTTTTTTATATCACTTTAGTAAGTATAAAAATTGTGAAGACTTATAAGGAGATAGAATTTTTTTTGAATACATGAGATAATGTGGTTCAGTCTTCTGTAATTTTTAGTTTTTTGTCACATCCGTTACGGAACTTTGAACCACACGTACACAATAGGTCTGTAGTTAATATCAGACTTAAAATATGGCTGATATAACAGAAAATGATAAAGGTGAGTTTTAAAGTAAAATGAAATAGAATTGATCATTCTATAACTGAATTAATTACTGTATATTGGAGATAACCTTCTAAGGAAATATTTGGATGCCATTTATTTCTATTACAAAATTAACGTCTTCTTTTTAGCAACCGAGGATTTAACCGAACAAGAAATAACTATTTCGGATCCAGAGACAACTGTAAGTCTTATATATTTTATTATTTCAGTTGAGTTTAGCTATCAGTGTTATTTTGCAGTATTTGGATCTTAATCATTCGAGGATCGGAAAAATTTCAAATTTAGAGCCCTTGACAAAAGTTGAGGTGAAATTTAAATTGCAAATCTTAAGAACCTAAGATAAATATTTTAAATGTTTAATTCTTTCTTATAGGGAATTTGTTTCCGTCAAAATTTGATTAAGAAAATCGAAAATTTATCATGCGTTGCTGGAACATTGAAAGAACTGGAATTCTACGACAATATCCTCGAAAGAATAGAAAATATCGAAGATCTTGTGAATTTAGAGAGCCTCGATATTTCATTTAATCGTTTACGCAAGATTGAAAATTTGGATACTTTGAAGAAACTAAAAAAATTATTTCTCGTTCAGAATAAAATCGAAAAAATTGAAAATATCTCAGAACTAAAGGACTTGGAGCTCTTAGAATTGGGAGCGAATAAGATAAGAGTTAGTTAAAATACAGAATAGAATACCTCTTAGAAGCTTAAAATAAACGATTAATTTTTTATTTAGGACCTGGAAAATTTGGAAAGTTTGTCTAATCTGAAAAGTTTATTTGTTGGAAAAAATAAAATTTCAAGGCTGGAGAACTTAGAACCCCTTGTCAATCTAACAGTATTGAGTATTCAGGTAAGAATAAACATAGATAAATCGTTAAACCTTCATAAAATAATATTAACCTATTTTAGAGCAATAGAATATTAAAAATCGAAGGATTGGACACCTTAGTCAACTTGGAACAGCTTTATATCAGTCACAACGGCATCAAGAAACTAGAAAATCTTGACAACCTAGTAAATTGTTTTTAGATTTTTTCTTTTTAACTATCTTCACATTAAAATTTTACGTAGTTGAAACTCGAGACACTGGACGTAGCGGGGAACTTCATTGAGAAGATAGAAAACATATCTCATTTGGAGAAACTCGAAGAGCTTTGGGTAAGAGACAAATTGTTAACAATTAGTTAGATTTTTTCTCTTTTTGCTCAATTTAGGGCTTTATATAAGGTATTTTGAAGTAGTATTACATAAAAAGGGTTGCAATTCATTTACGGATTTCCTCTTTCCAGTTTAACGATAACAAAGTAGAAAACTGGAAAGAAGTTGAATATTTGGCTTCACTTAAGAATCTAAAAACTGTCTACATGGAAAGAAATCCCATTTGGAGAGATTCGGAAGACACGAATCGTATTTGTCCAAATTACCGTCGCAAGATGATGCTTATACTTCCAAAATTGGAACAATTGGATGCCTCCTACACAAGAAATTTTCAAATGACTCATTAAAATCAAAGTCGAACCCCATTCAGTGATAATATTCGACTATCATCTAGTTTAGAATATTTTTGATCTGATTAAAAGTAATAATACATATTTTTCTAAAGCTAGGCTTCTAAATGGCTATTCTTTTTGAAAGGAGAGCCCCGATTAGTTCTCATTTTCTCCTCTAATTCATGATAACTTTAACACTTTCGATTGATTACAATATTCTGCTTATCGCTTTTTTTTGAAGTGGGCTTTACAAATTTTTGAATGGAAAAAAATCAATGAAGTCTTTGGAATTATTGCGCTATAAGTTCAAAGTAGACTTTATCTTTAATTAAAAATATACTAGTATAAAATCATATGAAGCTTGGTTAAGCTGTTGGAATGAATATATTTGCTAAATAGCTCATCATTTTCTCCAAGGTCCCCAGACACCGCCATGAAGTTCAGGATTTGCTTTAGGGTCAGCAGCGGGATATCTAACAGGCACTGCTGTCTCATTCAATAAACTCAACCTAGTTAACAAAAATTTGACCATTTCTGGCCTTTTTAGTGAAAGGTCAACTCTTTCCTCAGGGTCATCTCTTATGTTGAAAAGCCAGCAATTTTTTCCTTGTTCATTATGTTTTTCAAATAGAGTGGAACTTGTGTTAGTTGCAAATCGTTTTGGGTACCATATTCCAGCTCCTTGAAAATGGAAATAACCTTCAGAACTCTAACCTAATTTTTAATCTTCACTTACCTGGATTTCCTGTTATTATTTTCCAATCCCTGTATCTATATGCCGCTCTTATAGAAGTATCGAAGTAGTTGGGAAATATTGGTTTTCCAGATTTTGGGGTTAGAATATCTATGTTGTGTAATATTTCATGCCTAGGGCTCACTCTTCCGTGAACAATACTATCCCATATATTATGACCGTCCAACTTGGTTCCATTAAGTGATCCTTTAGCTACACCTTTGACAAATGTTGGAAACCAATCGGTGACGTGATAGAGCTCTTTTGAAACTGTTCCCCTTCTATTTTCTGGTATTAGTTTGCTATGAACAAACCCTATACCTCTCATTCCACCTTCCCAAAGTGTAGCTTTCATACCTCTTAATGGCCAGTTGCTTCCGCCTGCGTGGAACTGACCGCCATTATCGGTTGAAAAAACGAGAATTGTATCGTCCCACATGCCTTTAGCTTTTAATTGCTCAGTTAAATTAAAAATAGCTTCATCCATGGCCGTGACCATGCCTGCATAAGTTCGTCTATCTTTATCCTGTACATGTTTGTAATATTTAAGATATCTTTCTGGAACTTGAAGTGGAGCGTGAACAGATTGAAAAGCCATATAAAGAAATAATGGATTATTCTTATTATGATCTTTTATTACTTGAATAGCTTTTTCGCCGAACAATTCGGCTGAGTAATGTCCTGTTTCATTTCTAACAGGCTCTTTATTATTCCTTAAATCAAGCCCACAATAGAAGTCATTTGAGGGTGGTGTACCACCGCATCTCTTATGAGTATAATAGTCTTCTGAACCCGTTAAATAGCCATAGTACGAATCAAAACCCCTATTAATTGGTAAATATTCTTCTTTATAAAAACCCAGATGCCATTTTCCCACCATATGAGTTGAATACCCAGCCTCTTTTAGTTTATCGGCAACTGTTGGATCAGATAAGGGTAAACCATTCGGTTGCGTAGGCCATATAATGCCGTGTTGTAGTCCAGTATGTATCTATAAAAAGGACAAATTAATTGGTCGTTTTTTATCATTAAAATTATCAAAATAAACATAAGAAGGAGTAACATTAGATTTCATAGAATTGTAAACTAACTTGATATCTGCCTGACATTAATTGAGATCTGGTGGGCGTACATATAGGCTGAACGTAATAATTCTCAAGGCGGATACCAGAACCTGCTAATTTATCCAAAGTTGGTGTTCTTATATCACTGCTGTGATATCCAATATCTTGCCAACCATAGTCATCAGCCAATATAAATATTATATTAGGCTTTTTTGCCTCCGAAAATTTAAATATAGAAAAAACACCAAAGATGATTAAAACCTTGAAAATATCCATGCTATTTGTGTCGATTGTACTCTATAAAATTGGTAGAGAAATTGAGTTATTATTTACTTAACACAATTAAGAAAAACTGGCTATTAAAGGCAAAGGAATAGATAACTTAATAAATGTTTCCTTTCCACATGAATAAATGATACAACCTTCACTCTTTGCAACAGATTTCTTTATGAATAACTTTGCTTAATAGCCTTGGCGCTTAATAGATAAAAAATTGCATGTTTATATATTGTATATATATATATATATAGAAAAAACGACTTATTTTTTTATAAGGAATACTCCTAAAATTATTAATTAAACGATATTATTATGATTTTTAAAGGTCAGTTTCGTCAGGTGATCTAATTATTTGCATAATCTGTAAAACTTTTAAGTTTGTAGGCTTTAAGCCTGTAACTGTTCTTCATTCAGAAAGTAACTTTTCTGATGATTTTCTCTTTGGTAGACAGCGATGTGATGGCCTATTTAAAAATTGAAAAGATAATAACTATTTAGATGTAACCTATTAACGTAGGCTAATCGATAGTTTATCAGTCGAATCTTGTTATATTTATGGTGTTAATATCATTAAAAGAGAATATGGTCTCGTCTTTTACAGCTGTTGACTATGTTTTATTTGCGGCTTTATTATTACTTTCTTCGTCTATCGGTATATATCAAGCCTGTAGGGGTGGGTCGTCATCAACAACAGAAGCTCTACAAGCAGGGAAGAGCTTAAATTTCGTTCCTGTTGCTCTAAGTATCCTAGCCAGCTTTTTTTCCGCTTCAACATTATTGGGAACTCCTGCTGAAATATATCTTAGAGGATCCATCTATTGGATATCAATTGTTGGTGCTGTACTACCACCTTTTCTAGGAGCTTTTGTTTTTGGTCCTTTTTTTCATAAATTAAATATATTAACTGTTTTCGAGTATCTAGAATCAAGATACAATGGAACTCTTATAAGGAGGATTGCAGCTCTACTATTCTGTTTAAGAGCCGTAATTGGAGCTGGTATCGTTTTGTACGGTCCAGCCACTGCCCTGTCAGCCGTAACCCCGTTACCAACATGGGCTGCGATTGTTGCTACAGGTGCTGTAGCAACTTTTTATACGACAATAGGCGGTATGAAAGCTGTAGTTTGGACTGACGTCTTTCAAATGTTGTTAATGTTTTGCGGAATGTTAGCGGTAATTATAAAGGGTTCAATATCGGTGGGAGGTATGAACGAAGTTTGGAAGATAGCTGATAGGGGTGGTAGACTAAAATTGAACAACTTATGGAGTTTTGATCCAACTATAAGGCATACATTTTGGTCTTTAACAATAGGAATCTTTTTCGTTTGGTTACCTCCGTATAGTGTAGATCAGCAAATGGTTCAAAGGTTTACGAGTACGAAGACATTGAATCAGGCTAGGTTGGCTTTGTTGTTCAATGCACCCGGGATGGCTATTATTATATCTTTATGCTGTCTGACGGGATTGGTTATGTATGCTAGATACGAAAATTGCGACCCACTATCCTCTGGAAAGATTTCCAATAGTAACCAATTACTACCATATTTTGTTATGGACGTTCTAAGTGATGCTAAAGGATTACCTGGACTCTTCGTCGCCTGCATATTAAGTGGTGCGTTAAGCTCAATTTCATCCATGTTAAATTCGCTAGCTGCCGTCTTATGGAAGGACATTCTTTCGGCCTTTGTCAAAATTGAAGATGACAAAACGGCCACAAAATTGACAAAATTTCTTGTTGTTGTATTTGGTGCGTTTAGTATTGGAGCGGCTTTTGCTGTTGGTCGTTTACAGGGCACAGTTCTACAAATGTCTCTAACCCTCAACGGAAGTCTTGGTAGTCCTCTTGTAGGTATGTTTTTGCTGGCTGTTTTCGTTCCTTGGTCCGGTCAAATTGGATCTTTAATTGGTTCAATTGTTGGTTTGGGAATTTCAATGTGGCTTTCCTTAGGTGCTTTTGTTACGAAACCTAATGTACTTGATAATTTGCCAGTATCTACGTCAGGTTGCATAGTTTCTAATATATCAACAGTAGCTCCCGTAGTCTCTACAGTGCCAAACGAAGTTATTTCAGGTATTAAAAAATTCTACTCCCTATCCTACTTATGGAATACTTCTATTGGAATTGTCCTTACGGTCTTCATAGGAATGGTCCTTAGCGCCATCTTCAGGGAAAACCATAGAATAAGACCTAACATGATGTTGTCGTATCTCGATACCTTTTGGCCCTGTGTACCGAAAAAGCTAAGAGACCGCTGCCGAAGTAGAAGAATAACATCGATGAAAATGCAGGAAGATGATAAGAAAGCCGAAGAGAAGAGAGATAAAGATGAAGAAACAAGCAAGAATTCTAGTCAATAGGTTTTGTAGTTTTGTTCTATTCAATTTTTATTAAATACATTAAATGAAATAAGAATTAAAAACGATGTTTTTCAAGTGATGACCTTCATTGGAAGATTGTTAATTGAATTAACTGCAGTGCTCTTGACGCAAGATTCAGAATTGTCAACAGTTTCAGCTGAAACTTCTTCGTAATCCTTTTCCAGAGCTGCTAGATCGTAGCGTGCTTCGTTAAACTCTCCCTCCTCCATTCCTTCTATTACGTACCAATGTACGAATGCTCTTTTTCTAAACATTAAATCAAATTTACGGCCAAGAGATTTCCAAGATCCAGATATTGCGGTATTATTCGATAGCATACAGAGTGCTCTGTTAGTGTTTCCCTGATCGGAATCTGCAACTGTTATTGGCGATTGGCTATTTATTCCTACTTTAAACCCAGTCGGACACCTAGGCAAATAAATATAGATTTTAAGATAATTATTAATATAGTTTCATACGGACCAGTCGACAAACGACAAAGATCTTGATCCTCGGAGGAACTGTATAGCTGAATTAACATCTTTAGGTGTAAAATCTCCCCTATATAGCATACAACAAGCCATAAATTGATGTTTCAAAGGCTCACATTTTACCATCTGACTATGAGGCTCAAAGGCATCAGATGTCAGTTGCTTTGCACTCATCCTTTCGTGATTTACACTGGAAGGTGGTATAAAGGGTGAAAAAGAGGTCAAAGGGAAGTGAATACGTGGATAAGGCACTAAATTTGTTTGAAACTCCGCTAAATCAACATTTAGACAACCTGTAAATCTTAAAGAAGCCGTAATGGAACTAAGAACCTAAAAAAGATGATAAAAGGAAATTCCGTATTATTAGAGTAAACAATTAATTTTTTTATAAGATAAGGATGATACTTGTGAAATTAGTCGGTTCAAATTGACGTAAGACGGCTGTTCTACTCCTAAGCGATTTTGGCAAATATCAAAAATTGCTTCGTTATCGTATAGAAAGCAGCAATCACTATGATCCATCATGTGGTGAGAAGCGTGTACAGCATTATAAGGTTCCACTATGACGGGAGATATTTCGGAAGACGGATAGATAGAAAAAGAAAATTTTGTCTTCTTTTCATATTCCCTTGACATAATTTCCATTAGCTTTGCTGTTAAACCAGCTCCAGTTCCACCACCGAAAGAATGAAGCATAAAGAATCCCTGAAGATTATCACAGTTCTCGACTAATTTCCGAATTTGTTCGTCCAATTGGGACATTAGCTACAGAAAATTTTAGAAACGAAAAGCATTACCAATCTAAATCGGTTTAAAACGAGAAGAATACTAATAAAACGCTCATTCTTACGTTAGTTTGAGCGCTAGATATCTGAAAGTAGGCACGAGCAAAATTCGAAGCGGCGTCCTCTTTTCCATTTATAATATAGCTTGGATGAAAAAGATGTTTCTGATTACTATTTCTAATTTTATCAACTACTGTTGGCTCTGAATCAAGTAAAATGGTTCTTGGAACGAATTGACCAGAAAGAGTTTCCGCAAAAAAGCAATCACAACCGTCCTCTTCAGACCTCTCCTTTGATCTCTTTCCATTAGCGTCTATATTATGCTCAGCTGCATATAATTGCCAGACAGACGTTGCCAACTCGCAACCGGCTTGTCCAACGTTCAAACTGACAATTTCTCGACCCATTTTTTTTTAATAAAAACAATAATAAAAGATGTTTTCTTGAATTTTTTTTTGTTTCGACTGTTAAAAATTTTCACTTCTCATTTAAATATTCAAATGTTTAATATTAAACTATAATCTGACTTCATTTATTATTCAAATACTAGTATTATTGACTACCATAAAAATTATAATTCATCGAAACATTGTCCAAATTTCTTAAAACGATTTAAAATATAAATAATAATGAATATATTTTCACACACGGCAATAATAGAATTCAGTATATTTTATATCATTTTCACATCCTAACAGGAATGAAATTGTGTTTCTGTACAATTTTAGCATTCGTTTATTTAAACGTAGGCGATTTGGTCCTCGAAAAAGTTTGGAATGTTTGTTGTTTCTTGTGTTGAGAATGAAATGAAAGGGAGGGGGGGGGCTTTAGGGAGGTGTGGAAAAGGAAGAATACAATATATACTGCAACGTATATATATATATATCTAAAAGGAAGATTGTAGTAGGGAGGGAGGGAGGGAGGGAGGGAGGGAGGGTGAGCGAGATAAAAATAAAATTCAATTAACAGCGATTAATGTTTGCTTTTTCACTCTGTAAACTTTTCAATTAGGGGGAAATTTTGCTTTGATAAGTAAACTTTGATATGCTCATTAAAACAATAAATAAAATAACAAAATAGAGGAAAAACATTATAAATACATATATAGATAGATAGATACATAGATATGTCGATATAGAGAACTAAATACATCTATTATTAGATTTATAATAAATGTCCTTTTTCTTTCATATTTTTAAATCCTAAACACATTTTGTAAAGGAAAAATAAATCACAAAAACGCCTAAAATAATTGAATCAATCACAGATTGTCGGAACTTTTTTGCTTGTTAGTATCTTTCTTTCTAAGCTTTGCTATATTTATCTTGATATTCGTGATGCCATTTGTTAAAATCAATATTAAATACCACAACGCATCCCGTAGCCAAACCGCATAGGAGATATCTATTTGTCAAAAGAGGAAAATAAATAGTTAGAAAAGACAATAGGGCAAAAAAAAAATCTTTATATTAATAAAAAATTACTTTTGATCGTGAGACAATGCTATCGATCTGACTTTAGCATCTCCTTCGGGGAACGTATGAAGAACGTTTAGGTCGTGAGTTCTCCAAACTTGAACTATACCAGCTAAGGAGCCGACCAACAAATATTGCCCATCTCTCGACATACACATAGCTGATACTCCATTTTCATTTTCAACTGACTTTTGTAATTTGCCATTTATAGAGAAATTTGCTATAATTTGACCTTGGTTATAAGAGACTGCTATAACACCTTCTCTATTCAAAGTTAACATGCTAGCTCCGCTACATTTATCGGGTGACTCGAGAGATCTTAATAATTCTCCGTTGTTCGAATGTACTAGAACGGGACCTTCCGCCGACGCAGAAACAACTATTCCGAGTTCTGCCGATACTACAACCGAACTTATTGTTGAATGATGACCCGTTAAAATGGCCTTAGGAGTTGGTGTATCGATTGAAGCATTGTCGCCAACAATGGCGTGAGACTTGGCACTCCAGTGCCAAAGCATTACAGTACAATCCCTCGAACCACTCACAATATAACAGTCTTGAGTAATATTGCACTCGGATCGGGAAACGCAAGTAACTAAATCTTGGTGTCCAAAAATCGACTGACATAATTTTGCATTTTCCAAAGATAAAACTCTCATAGAATTATCCCATAGACCGCAAATAATAACATATCTATTATCGGCCGTTGTAACAAAATGACAAGATTCCGTTGAAACTCTCTGATCAAAATTCGAACCCAGACTGCGGCGATGTAATCCAGTTCCCAAAACTATAATATTTTTTAAGTATTAATATAATTATTATTATTATTGTTATTATTATCATCTAAATAAGGATAAAGCTATTATAGGATAATAGAACAAAAAGAAAATAATTATAACAATATCACTATGGGTAACAAAAAACATTCCTTTTTCTCTTTTAAAGCGAAAAAAAAAAGCAAGTACTATATATTATCGCTTTTAAAAATATTGTACTAATAACAAACATGCTTGAATAATTCAATAATAATTAGATAATTAATAAAGATAAAACAACAATAAACAACAACAACAACAACAATAACAAATAAAAGGAACTAATTATAATTTAAGAATATTATGTAAGTATATTGTTCCTTTTGTTTTTGTTTTTTTGTTTATATTTAGTCTCATGCTTCCTTTTTCTAAGTCTTCATTCAAAAAATAATAGCACTATTTATAGTAATTATTGATGCTAAAGCTTTACAGCCATTTTCAAACAAAGGCAGTGGAAAAAGGTATAAAAGTAAATCTTTGTGTTTTGTAGAAGACTTAGAAAAATTTCTGTTGTTGTTGTTTTCTCATTTTTTTTTCTCTCTATCTCTCTATTTGATGCCTAATGTTCATAAGGAAGAAGGGGTCGCGGTTTTTTTTTTGTTTTTTTGATAATTATCATCTTTCGTAATTTGCTGATACGTGGGTAATTTTCCTTTCAATACTATATTCACTTACCGTCTCTAGACGATGCTACAACACATAAAACAATGTGTACAAAAATAGAAAAAACTGGTTGTATAAAAGAAATAATATCACAGGACCTTTTTTTAATGATTATTACTATTATTATTATTGTTATTACCACGTACTTTAAATGTACAAATACACAAGTTTATTTGCTTAAATTAAAACATTAATAATATAAAATGATAGATAAAAGTACTTACCGAGAACAGAATCCATTGATAATGGTAGAGATGGTTGATTTTCATTTTTATCTTGAAATGATCCTGCTGTTGTAGTTTGACCAGACGCTATTTAACGTTTTAAATTATTAATTTTATTTTATTAAGTTTTAATTGAATATTTTGGTAGTTTTCCAATACTTACAACCTGATGTCGAATTGGATGTTTGATTATGCCATTTGTTGACAGCAAAATTATGACTAGCCGTTATTGTTGTTACGGCAGGTGAAGGAACAGCTGGATGAGTATTGGCTGATATATGAACAACCGGAGAGTTTGACAGAAACTTCATTATCATGCAGACATCATCCACAACGGATGTAAACATCAATGGGGACTATGATAAAAGAAAGTAGGAAAGGTATATTAATGAGAATGGAATTGAAAAGTATTTTTTCGATTCCTTACCAAATGCATAGGAGAACTCCTTGGGGGGTGGGGCTCGGTTAAAAGCTGACAGGGTGTTTGTCCAAAGCTCTTAATTTGGCTTTCAAGCGCTTGACGCATAACAGCGTCACTTATTGAATCCAAGTTAACAGCTCCGTCGTAGGTCAAATAGTAAAAGACATTAGTAGCTCTAAGGGCTTCTGGTCCGCGTTGCTTATAACCAAAAATTAAATCGATCCATTGATGTAATTGGCAAGAAACATATTCGCTTTCAAGGGCTAAACGTAACTTTCGGACAAAATCTTCAGGACTAGACGCCCAAGGCGGAAGTTCAACGTCGTTAACTTTGTCATTCGTTTCCAGTACGCCTAAATCATACTTGTTCGAATTTGTAAACATATCAGGTAAGTAATAAAATTCGGGAATTAGTTCTTTAACGTCTGACGTATCCCTTTGGCAATTTTTCCACGCGGTTGGAATTGAATGAAAGGTTCTATTAGCGTGATCAAATTTTCCACCTTGCAGCGATAAGAATGCAGTTGTAAATGGTTCTAGACGGATTAACCAATTCAAAGTGAAGGCTGCTGTTGAGTAATGAGTACCATAATGAAAAGGAGGAATATCATCGTGTTCCCAAGTTTGGTATCGTTCTTCGAAAAACGCCTTTCTTGTCGGATTTAACGCTCCGATAGGCCGTGAAAGATCTCTGTAATTGCTCGGTAAGGACAAATCCAGTTCGTTAGATTCGTAGTTGACTATTACCCATGGAAAAACAGGATATTGATTCAAATCGTTATATGTCCTACCGGCAACCGTGTTTAAAAACATCAAGTAATCAAAATTTGAAATTTCTCTTCTTTGCCATTTCGATGTCATATTACTTTTATTGAATAATATTTTTGGCTGAGCAGCAGAAACCCGTCTAGTTTGCGGTAAGCCATACTTTACTCCAACTCCAACCCGAGGAAGAGCTCCTATTACCTTCTTGAGGGTGGCTTGATCTGGAAAAGCAAACATAATAGCCGTACGACTGGCCATAAAAATTTCCAAGGCTAGATTTTGATGTAAATAACGCCGTGAAAAGACCGCTCGAATTTCAGTAAAATGCCATTTGCCGTGTAAATGATCAACGTATTGTAAAACTTTTTGGTCCAAATTCTTATTATCCGGATGATCATCGTCAATCTCAAAATATAATTCTGATTTGGTTATTGACATCGTTCCAACGATTCCATATCCCAAAGATAATAATTTACATTTAGTTGAAAGAGCAACGGGACCTAATTAATAAAAAAGAAAAAATTTTACAATTTATATTTTATCTATTCGTCGTATCGACAATTAAAAGTAAAATTATTATAAAAGAAAAATAACAACATCGTTAATATAAACAACTAGAAAATATCTATTAATCGTGCAAAATGAACATTAAAGATAACTTTTCTCTTATTCTTAATGGAAATATCTTTAAAGTTTTGTTTTGTAGTTTTTCTTTTTTTTTTTTAATTATATAAATTTGAATTTCTTTTTGTTTTTTAGAAAACTAATTTGCGTTCTTGTTAACAAGAAGAAACAAGTTTAACGTTACTAGCAAAATGAAAATAAGTGTTACAAAAAATTGTGACAACTATTACTTGATTTCTCTTTGCCATTCTGATCCAATTTGCCTGTTCAATATGATTAGTTGGAAATGATAAATAATTTAGAAATCTTAGCAATCTTTTCTAATAAACCGTTATAAATTGTTTAAAACATAAAAAAAATAGGCTAAACTACTTACCCGCAAACTCGGCATCTAATTCCCTCTCGTCCATCAACGACAAATCTTCATCGGCTGTAGTATCGTGAGCTTGTTGCTGCACCTTTTGATTAGCAGATAAATGGGCATGGAAAGCTTCTCTTGCGGCGTTTATGGCATCTTCTGGTGCACCGTGCTCTATTGCGGCTTTTAGGGCTGCTTCAACGTGAGACGATCCTTGACTATTCTTAATCATACGACGTCGCCTTCTTGAATCATCTTCCCACGTGTCTAACTTGAAAAAGTCTTGCCTAAATAGATAAAAAAAAGATTTCTTTTATATTAATTAAATAAAAAATTGATTTTAATACTTGTTAGGACTTTCTGGGAGCCAGCAGCCATGTTTATTTGACATAATATTAATAACTTTGTCTTTTTGTTTGCAAGCTATTACGTGATCTCTTCTTCGTGCAGATGTTATCAAATGATCACAAAGCTTCTCTTCCTCTCGCCTATCAACGAGAACGGAAGCACAGAGTGTCTATATGAAAGGAAAACGATTTTAAAGCCTCTCCTTTTAACATGAATAGCTGTGCTTTTATGACTTACCTCAAACTCTGCGTGCTTTTGTACATCGTCGGCTCTCATTCTATTTAAAATAAAATCGGCTTCGTTTGCAACTCTAACAATGTGATCCCGAGTTGCATGAGATAAAAGTCTACCTTCATTAACCAACTCAATAAATGCCAAACCGGCGTGTTTTTGCAATGAATTTTGCCATTCTTGAGAGCATAATAACATAACTAGTTCTACAACGGAGGTACTTTGCTTAAGAGTAACCAAGCCACCAACTAATAATTCTTGACCGTGTGATCCCAAGAGAGTTTTCGACAAAAATGGTGCAAAATCTACAAAAATTTCTCGTAATAAAGGAGCTATGGAATCTAAAGCTTTTTCGAGTCGAGCTGTTAATGTGGCTGGGTCTTTGGGTGGAGGTAGGTTATCGAGGTTAGCTGGCATTGACAACTGTAGATTCTCAGGTCTAGCTTCCGAGGTAGCATTACTTGAAACAGATATGGCTGAAATAGCAGCTGGTGCATCTTTGTCCTCATCTCTTTCTTCTTTAGAGTCCTCAGCAATTTGAGTTTGTTCTTTTACGTCAAACACTTTGTTTGCTTGTTCGTTGGGTTTTGGTTCAGTTTCTGTTATATTATTTGATGTTGCATTTTCTGGTTTTGTTTCTTCAGCTTTGGTTTGTTCCACTTTCTCGACGTTATTCTCTTGTGAGGTTTGATTTCCTTCATCATTTTCAGATATCTTCTCCTCTGATTGTTCTTTTTCTGGCTCTTTTTCGGCTGGTTTTTCACTTTCTCTTTCAGTCTCCTTTTCATTCTCTCCCTCCTTTTTCGTGCTTTCTGGTTTTTCTATACTATCTTCTTTTTCTTGTTCCATTTCCTTTTCAGGTACATTTTCTTTGTCATTTTCCTTAATCTCTGAAGTATTACTAACCTCTTGTTTCTCGGAATTCGCTGCACTCTGTTCTTGAGAATTTTCTAATTTGTCATCTATTACTTCTTGTCCATTATCCCCTCCAGCCTTCTTATCAACGTTTGTTTGTTCTTTAGTTGCTTCTTCAGTTGAAACATCACCATTTTCTTTAGTTTCTGCTTTTTGTTTTGTTTGGCCATCCTCTTCAGTTGCTTTGGGGGAACACGATTCAGAGTCTTTATCACTCGAAACATTATCCAAAGATACTTCTTCGCTTCTACCGCTGTCGTCAGTAGTTTGATATGGCTGTTTACTATTTCCGTTTTCTGTAAGAATAAACATGAAAAAAATATAAGATATAAACTCAACAATAAAGAATAGATGAAGTGAAATTGTAAATTCAATACTAAAAATAAATTAATATATATATAAAGTGATATTTAAATAAATATATTTAATTGTAATTGTAAAAGAAGCGGCGTGCAGTAAAACTGTAATTAAGATAATTAACAAACAAACAAACAAACAAAAAGAGGGGAATTTTGACTGTGTTCGTCATTGTGTTTATCAACAAAATAAATAAATAATTTTAGTTGAAAAATATTGTTGATAAAAAAAGGAAAAGAGAAAAAATATTTCGTTGGATTTTTTTTTTTGACAACAGCGATTTACATGTTCAACCTTCGTTTCCTTCAATTTTTTCTTTACACGTCTTTAAACCATCAACAATTTGTGTAAAAATCGAGCCATCACTAGACGCCAATCGACCGTCTGATTGAAAGAATAAAAATTGGGAAGCGTAAAACGAACAGAAGCGAAAAAAATTCGTTCAAGCGCCATATGCTTTAATAAAAAAATTGCTTTTTAAAAAGAAAAGAAGCAGCAGAGGCAGGTTATTTGGAGAAAATAAGGAAATAAAATACATTTAATAAAATGATACATAAGTATATATATATATATATAAGTATTAATATACTGTTTATATTATATAAAGAAATATAGAATATACATTAGCAAAAATGCATTTATACGTGAATTTTGCTTATTTAAGAAATAATTAATTAAACAATCATAAATATTTACTACCTGTCAAAGCGCCAAGAGATTTTCCTCTCGCTGGCGTTGCTGGAGTTGATGGCGGCTCCAATATATCTCTATATTTCGATACCATTAAAACTGAACAAAAATAGACAATGGCCAATGATAAAAATTGAGCTTGCTTTGTTTCCTCCTGTTTTTAATTAATAAATAATACGGTAATCTTTAACGAGAAACGTGAATATTCGAAATACGTACAACATCTCTGTAGACAACTGCTCTCAACCTATTTATATCCATATCTTGTAGTAGTTTATGACTATCCTTTACTGGAGCTTGCTTATCGTTTAAGGCGCTAACCTTTACAGACAATTGTGCTCCTTTCATTAAGGCATATATTATGTCCAAACCATTTGACGCTGGTTTAATAGACTTTTCGTTCATTTTTTGCAATTGTCTACATTCTAAACAATTGCGAACTGCACAGGCGCAAACTAGACGCAGACATTGTCGAAGTATTCCCCCCGCTGACATGTTTTTTTCACTTTCCAGCTCTGAGAAAGTTAAAGAACTGGCAAATACTAGTATATCAGTTAAGTTGACTATACGCAAAAGAAAAGAAACTGCTTGTTCCACGGATAGTCCTTGGGCAGGCTCAAGCATCTCTATTTCTCCCTAATAAAATAAAGAAATCTATCAAAAAAAAGAGCCAAGAAGATTATATTGATTGAAAATACTTACAGATGGTGAAGTAGCGGCAGCTAGTAAGGGTAGTAAACCACCACAAGCCGTAATTAGAGTATCTGCTAATTGAGAGATCATGTGTGTCACGTTAACAACGAACATGTGATTTTCTGTGGCATTTACAAAATCAATCACGTTTTTTGTTTGATGTCTAAAAGAAAAATAATATACAAAATAAGTTTGTTTTCCTGTTTTTAATTAAAACTTAATTAACGTACGATTTCCATGCGGCAACGTCTTGTTCCAATGAGAATAAAACATTATTCAATAATTCTTGATGCAGATAACTCCATTTGAACTCTGGAATTCTAAAGGGAGGAGCCCTTGGTCCTGGACTAAAGATATGCTGTTTGGATTCTTTTTTCGTTGATGATGCTTGTTGTTTGGGGAATTCGCCTGGTCTTTCAGGCCCAGTAGCAGAATCTTTCATATTTGTTATAGCAGTTTCTTTCTCTGCGGCTACTTGTTCAGCTTGAGAGGCTGGTTCTGACGGACTCGGTAACGATCTTGCGCCATCAATTTCTTCTTCGTCTTCTTCGCTTTCTTTGGACTTTTCTGCTTTTGACTGTTCCAGTTTCCTTGCCTCCCTATCCTTTGCTATTTTTACTAAATCATTCATAAATTGAACAATAGTTGGATCAAATCCTAGAATTTCATATGCATCTGGGTCTTTTTCAGGAACAGGCTCTTTTTCTGCTGCCTCTCTGTCTTTTTCTTCATCGATTTGATCTAGTTGACCCTTTTTCTCTGTACTCTCTGTTTCTGAGTTCTCTTCAACGGCTTTCTGGTCGTTAACCTCTTCTTCCTTTGTTTCGTCCTTAATTTCTTCTGATTTGTTTTCGACATCGTCAGAACTCTCCTTCTCAAGCGCTTTTTCTATCTCATTTTCTACCTCTTCGTTTGTTTTCCTTTCATTATCTTCTTGCTGATTCTCTTCGTTTACTTCATATTGAGCGCCTGATTCAGTGGTTTCCTTTAATTCGGATATAGTTGGCCCACTGTGACCATTATCATTAACCCCCGAGATTGTAGAGATCGGCATTTGACTACGTATTTCTGGGTCAGAAACATTATCGACTTTTTGCTTTTCGTAGTCGTCATAAACTTGATTCATATGAGTCTTAAAATCCTCGTAAGAAACCTTGTGTTAAAAGGAAGTAATTTAATAAATTCTTTGCTTAAATGAATTATTACACGGTGAATATAAATAGCATACTTTAGAATGAACAATAGCAAGTGTATCAATCCAAACTCTCCAGCCTCCGTATTCGAATTTTATGGCATGATGTAACAACATTCTAAATAGTTCCATAACTAATTTGGTTATTTCTTTTTCAATTGTTGCTTTAGGATAAATATAAGCAAGAGAAAATAACCAATCCTGCCATACTGACATTTGAAGTATGGTCCTGATATATAATATTAATAAATAAGATTGCGTAGATTTACAAATATTTTATTAACCTTCTGTTGTCCTTACTATCTTGGCAAAGCATCGTTAAATCGGTTAAGAATACTCTCTTTACTAAAAGAATTTCGTGAGTTTGTGTCGATTGACGAATTAGCGATGCTATAACTTTCAAAACGACTAAAGAGCGAAAAAAAGCAAAAGAAAGAGAGGTAAATTAGTAGGGTAAATCCTTTTGAGCTTTGAATAATGTAACAAGGATACGTACGGGAATTCTCAATACGGCAATTAGCATCTATTTGGGCATGTTTTTCCGTCATGACTTGTGTTGTCATTTTTTCAGTTAGCAATTCGAATAAGACATTGTATGTCGCCATAGAAAGTGTATCGGCATTTAACATAAGCCTATCAGTTAGTAATGAGAATAGATTGTGAGGGCTCATGGCATCGTGTTTCCTCCTTTTAATTAAAATATATAGATATATATATATATGTTAATATACATGTATAAAGTATTTTATTATTAATGATAATAATTCTAAATGGTTGCGACGAATTAAAATTAAAATACATCAACTTACTTATGAGTACTTCTCATTAGAAAAAATCCTAATAACTTCATAGCTTGAATTCTAATCGCTTCGTTTGCTGAAGCAAGCAGTTTATATACAGTTTTAATCCCGTGCTTTCGATCAAAACCAGGAACCATAGATGCTGGCTGCTCCGACATTAAGCTTACAGTTAATTGTAGAACATCCTAAATAATAATAATAAATAATCTAGTATCTGGGTGAATAAATATTCAAATAAAATATACTTGTATGTTCTCATCTTCGTGCATAGTGGATAGATAATTAAGGATTGCTTGTAATTCGTCTTCATGGACGCCTGGTACTCTAAGTACTAATCGTTTAACATACAAAATAATGTAAGCTCTTAAAATTTGCATTTCACTCTTCGTTGGTCTAGGGCCATCGTTTCCTCTGGCATGTATGCCAGATCTATCGAGAGGATGGATAACCCAATAGTAGTATTTTAATGAATGCATAGATTGTAAACAGGCTGAAACTCGACGAATATTACTATAAATATGAGCGTCTTGTATAAATTCGGTGGACAAATAGCTATAGAGTTTTAATTGAACCTGAAATTAGAAAAGGAATTTTACAAATTACCACCGGATTAGAAAGATTAAAAGAAAAAAATCCTTACTTTGTATGGGGAATATATCCATAGTGCCGGATTAAATAAGATATGGTCGAATAAATGCCTTAACAACGGACCACCGGTTGGTTGAACAACTAAATATTGCGTTAAATTCAAGAAACAATCTAAAACATCTTCGGTAAGGTGCTCCCTTTGAGACTGTATTCATTAGATAAGAAAGTTTTAATTAATTGCATACTATTCATATTTGATGTCTATACCTTTTCTAATAGATATGATATAACTAGAAAACCTTTATTTTGCACGAGTTGCTGTTGTATATTCACTGATCCTTCTAATAAATCGCACATCAAGCTCATCAGTGTTGAGCTGTACCGTAGGGAAAAGAAAGTTGAGAATTCGTTAGTCGATAGGAAACGGTCTAATAAAGAAAGGAGTAAATACATTTCTTTTCTACTTACCAGACGCTAAAATCCGGTTTTGTTGGTTTTCCTTCGCTGTCGCTTTGCGATTTATCCAACTGAGAAAACAGAGGGAAAAGTATCTGTATACCTCCTATACTATGCAGGGTCTTGTAAATCGATTGAGTCACAACAGCTTTCACGTCTTCTAGCATTAAGGCGTGAGGAGTATGGACGAAATAATTGGTATTTCCTTTAGGCGAACTCTCCAAACATAACTGCGAATCGCACGATACCGGAGTATACATAAACACAATCTAACAAAACAAACATAAGCAAATATTAGTTTTGAAAAAAGTTGCTAAGAAATATGTATATAATTCTTGTTATTATTACCGTATTTGACAATCTGCCATCATATAATATTTTTTTTGTAGACTCATCTAACAACAAGCCACTCTCAGTTTCTAGACGAAATTGACTCTGTAATAAATAAATTATTTATATATAATACATCGCTTGGTAAAAATTTTACAATTTAACCTTATAACCGGGTCCAAGAATGTAAATAGAGCTAATTTGTTGTGCCGTTAGGGCTTCGTTGAAAAGATAAACGGAACTCATTTGCCCGCAAAACATAGTATCTTCTGTCAATTCTGGTGTACCACCTATGTAACACTTGTCAAAAGCCTAAACAAAATGGTGAATGATTTAAGCTCAGAAAACTTCACGGGATATATTCCTTTTTATTGTATACATACATCATTGGTGTTGACAAACCAAGACATTTCCGTTGAAGATACAAATTTTCCATTAACATACGCTCTTACTTCGCTACGGCTCCAGCGATTGTAAATGTGAACAATTGAGACCATAAACCACTTTCGGGGTACAAAATCGTATTTGAGACAATGTTGAAACCCTTTACCTTTTATTTTCATAGATGTTATAACAAGAGCAGAGCCAAGAAAATTGGCAGAATATCCTATGCCTTTGCTTGTTCGGAATCTGTTAAATTAGTGTGTGGAAGAATTTTACTTTACTTGTTTAGTTTGAGGAAAACGATTATTGACTAACGTATAAAGATATGGACGTTCTCGTTCAATCGTCATCCCCGTTACAGGGTCGAGCCTTATCCAACAATGAAATGTCCAGCCGTTTTGATAAGGCCATTTAGCTAATGGTGGTAATGCAATACCCTGTAAAATATGCATAAAAAGTCTATGTATTTTCTAGATTAATTTGTCGTAGACTCATAAAAACATAGTCAAGTCAATAAAGTTGATTATAGAGTTATCCTGCAATTTTTCAATAACGTATAAGCCTCTTCTGAAAATATCAACACTAACACAAGACGGTTCATACAAAAGATCAATTCTTTTGCTGAGTCTACAGCAATTGTCTTCAATTGTAATAAAAACAAGAATACAACGAAGTTTTTGACAAACCACTACAAACTTATCATCAAATAACGCAAACGACTTTGTAATATAGTAGAAATAACTTTGTAGTTCTCTATTCTTAACCCTTTCTAAATTGCTGACGCAGTTTACAAGTAATAAATGCAAACCGTTCTGATCCATTACAAACAATTTATTCTGGTTGATGGGAAAGTAAATTTTGTTGCAAATTTGCTTCTTCCAACAAATAAATCCGTCAAAGTCTATTTTATAAATATGATCAAATGATATAACAAAAATATTATTGTTTGAAACGTAAACGCTTGTTAAAGCTTTTTCGGTAAAGATTGGTTTTAAAATAAAATCCTCCGAGGTGCTAAGCTCGTCCTGTTTAAACAACTGGTGCCTAGTAAAGAAAAGTAACTCCTTCGATTCACCATTACCCAAACCAATCAAATCGTCTTTTTCAGTCATCCAACCATCCCTTGTAATTTTTTTCAATAGTCTTATTTTCAAAGTATTATAGGCTTTTCCATCTTTTGTTAATTTTCGTAACTCATTAGACTCTAACAATAAAAGGATCTCCCGGTTGGTCACATGAATATCTAAAATTCTGCAATCCGTTTTAATCCTGTTGGTAAACTTTTCTTCACTTGAACTACAAGCTTCTGGGTGTACTCTAACGACTCTACTGCTTAGCTTTATGTTTTTTTCTAAAATGGCTTTTTCAGAGAATATAAGACGATTAGAAGAATCTTTAGATGACGTTAATACCTTTGATGCGATAGCATCTCTACACCTCGCTTGTTTTTCACGTTTTTGTCTGTATATTTCCTTAGCATCTAGCTTTAGTTTACATATCATATCTTTAACCTGCTCCATAACCTCTCTCTCATGCTTGTCTATTTCATCAAAGATCTCTTCTTTCTCTTTATCAATCAGGTCCATCTTAGGTGTAATTGAATCTTTAGAGTTATTCGTATATTGTTTGGCTTCATTAGTTTTCACGTACACATTTTCAGGAAATCCGCTAGCCCCCAGAAGAGGCCATTCAACGCTCCTCTTACAAGTCCAACACAAAAAACTGTCACAGCTATTAAGGGAACTTTCAGAAAACTGCTCCTCTAGACATTCCTTACAAAAAGTGTGAGAACAAGGAAGGATACGCGGATCCTTATCTATAAAATCTGTGTCACACAATTTACAAGCGAAAACGTCAGACATTTCCTTATTCCCGACCTTAACAATTCTTGATTGTCAATGACAATAGATCTACACCGAGAGACATTTTTAGCCTATAATTATTCAAATAGACCTACCGCTTTTGAATTTCCAGTAAAGCTGAAAAATTCGTCTGGACCGTGTCTCTTGGGCATTTGCCGCAAAACTTGTAATAATTGTACCGAATACCGTGGCTAATTACAAAAAGAAATTTCATTATTAATTTCATTTGTTTATAATTGCTTGAGCAATAATTAATCATTTAGTCACATTTCATCTAGTTTTTTATTTTCTTTTTTACTTACCCATGTTTTTGTCTTTGTGTTCACCTGTAGTAATGAGAATACTTGACGAAGCTGTGGTACGCTTATAGAGTAACAAGTCAAAACTGATAGTATTTCCAATAGTAACTGAGCTATAACATCACCAGCCGTCCTCAATTTATCTAACACCTCACTGACTAGATTGACTTCAGTGCAGGCTTGGACATTACGTTGGGATTTTCTTACAATTGCCGTGAAGTGACTCCAAATCTCAGCCTATCAGTAAATATTCAATTTCCGTCAAGAATATTGAACACGTCAATAATAAACATTATATTAAGTCTAACTAACCTGTAAAGTCTGAGAACAAGATTCCAGCAATTCAACCATGTGCAATATATTTTCTGCATCTCTAATGATAAAATTACTTTCTAGTTCGAATGTACCTCCGACAAGCTGTAGAAAGATTTCGCTTATCAATAATGGAAAAATCAATAATCCAAATTAATAATAAACTAATCGACTGACAGCCGTGCATCGCACTATCATTAGAAACGCTAAAGAATGCGCAGGGGATTGATCAATCTGTTCCGTTTAAGCAGGATTGATGTGGATATTGGTCTACCCAGATAACACGTTTCGACAGGCAATTTTATTCGCATCGTTAAAAAAACAGAGAGCAACTGAATAATTAATCAATGCAAAGTGAAATTAACGCCTGAATGTGCAGAGAAATGCGGGATTTAGTTAAAAATGAAGAAAACTTTTACTATTCTAAACTCTTGCGCTGATGACTAACCAACCGATTTCTGATATCGTTAAGACTGCAAGATGCTTGTCGGTTTTCGAAATAGAATTTAGAATTGGGAGTCGCTTAGGAATCTTATTTATTCGATTGCTAAATTCTATATAGGGTGGGGTCGCCCTAGGTCAGGGGCCAATAAAGTTATACCCAATCTGTGACTTTGCCACGCAATCGAAAACTTTAGATTTAAATACCACATACCAAATTAAGAACTGCATCTACTACATCCTTATTAGATGCCTGCTGCACTTTGACGAGACCGATAAGTACACCGAACTTCAACTCATCATTGCCCGGCATTTTCATTACTTCTTCAACCGAGTCAACGGTTTTTTCATTTTTATCCTCCTCACTGGACATGTCAGGGTCAAAACATGGAGTCTAAGATGATGTTCAGGTCGTATTAACGGCTGTCCACGTCAAAAAAGTATATATTCACTTCCAGGCAGGAGCGTCGAAAAATATGACGCTGTTTCCGGTGCTCCGCAGAGAAAAAAAATGTTAACTCTTCAACACCTATTATGAATATTTAAAGTTAATAAATTTCTTATACTTTCTATCAGAAGTAAATATTTAAAAAGCGATTATTTCTATTACTCTTCTCAAAAAGTATGAATTTGTACGAAACTATCTTCACGTGACTTCCTGTTCTCAGGTGAATTACAAAAACCGCAGGTCTTACTTACTTCCTTATATGACGTTTGATCTCATATGATGAACACTTGAAAAAATTACAGTAATAGAGTGGCTCTTGAATAAATTTTACCATTTGTAATTCGCTCTAATTTTTTACTCTAATGCTCTTAAAACTGCTAAATTGACACAATAAAACAAATTGATAATCGAATTGTCAAAACATTTATTACATTACAATGTTACACTTTATTCGTATATAATATTGGAGTTAGGGATTTGTCAAAGACTAATTGATAATTATATTACTTTCTTGGAAATGATAAAATTTATTGAAAAGTATACTGTTTTTTTAAGATCAATCTTCGTCAAGAAAATTAAAATAAAATCTTCCTATATTTTCATCGTTAAATTAATTCGTGCAAAACACAGGCCATAAGTAATTTGTCTTCTGACACGCGTACTTAGATAATTGTCTATCAAATCTACTTTTCGTAATTCGGCTTATTTTATCGAAAAACCCTTAGTCATGACTGAATGAGTACAGTAAGCGAAAGAAATTAAATATTATCTTTGTATTATATCAGTTATAGAGATCGATAGCTCAGAAATAAAAAATAGACAAAAATAAATGAATAATTTATGAAATATGCAAAATGTAGGACGTACGACTATTATGAAGTAACTTTGTTATGATTTAATAGGCTGATTGAAAGGTTTCTCGTAAGTTTTGTCGTCTGCTGAAATTTATTATACAAAACCTTAACCTGAATTGTACGAGCCATGGACAAGCAACATATTAAGCTCCTCTCCAAAACAAGCAGAGCTCATGTTGAAGAAGGGGGACACTTTGAGGAATTGCTAGAGGTAACCAGCACGGACTGTCGCACATACCATCCTATTCATTGCAAACAAGTATGTTATTACAGTGTTCGAAATTTAGGTTGTACAATTTTTCTGATTGTTCTAAAGGGACTAATAGACCTTGGACCAGCCGAAAATGCCTTATGCGATGATCTTCTATTGCCTGTCTTGAATCAGAATTTGCCAAAGATATCAGTAGAACATATACGCTACACTAACTTTTCATCATCAGTTGGGTTTGTAAATTAAACACTAAAAATTAGAAACAAAAACCTTTGAAACCTTAATCTATTCAGAGAAACTGGAATAACGACACTTATTACCAAATTCCTCCAAGATGAATTTTCATCTAATATCTCAGAGAGTAACGTAAGTTATTCTTGTTTAGTATACAACGTAAAATAATCTACACTCTTTTTTATCAGTTAATACTTACATCTGGGGTAGGCTCGGCAAATGAAATAATTTCGTTTGCTATAGCAGATAAAGGAGACGCTTTTTTAGTTTTGGCTCCGTATTATTACAATTTCAACGACGATGCTGGATTAAAGCCTAACGTCTCGCTGATTCCTGTTTATCATGATGGAACCGAAAAGATGTCAGAATGTTTTAATAAAGCTTTAGAAAAAGCAAGACAAGACGTAAGTTTTTTTTAAAGAAAAATATATGTTTTCATTAAATATCCGTAATTATTTCTTAGGGTATTAATGTTCGTGCGGTTTGTATCTTCAATCCCAATAATCCAACTGGAAAAGTTGTGGGAAAAGACCACATTTTGGATTTAATTGATTGGTGCCAAGAGTATGTTATATTTTGTTTATTTTTTAAAAAAACAAAAACAGATATGTAAATATATATTATTTAAACATATTGTTTATTAAAATCTAGAAATGAATTACATCTCATTGTTGACGAGGCTTACAACCTTACTGTTTATGAAGATAAAGAGAGTTTTCAAAGCGTTTTCAGCCTTGTAAAACCCGACAATCCGTATGTTCATATTACTTGGGGTTTAAGCAAAAATTTTTCTGTCCCAGGATTTAGACTTGGGGTTCTATGTAGCTTTAATACAGCTGTTTTAAAGTTAGCATCTAGAATGGCTGTTTATAATAGTGTACCATTGTACATAAGGAATATTTGCAGTTCCCTATTTATCGATAGAGGTAAAATAAATATTTTAGTAAATTTTTCATTAGAAAAAGTTATTAATGAAAAAAAAACGAAATTTTTCAAGTTCAATGTAAGAAAATCATCAAAGAAAGTAACGAACGACTTAAAAAAGCTAAGGATTATTTTACGAAACGATTGGCAGATATAGGCGTAGCCGTTTGTAAAGATACAATAAGCGGTTTCTACGTTTGGGCAGATTTTTCTAAGGTACCCATGTATTTTGATCTAAAGTAAATATTGTTTTTATCAATTATTTCTCTTATTATTTTTAGTATATGCCTGAGAAGACAATCGAAGCTGAAAAGAATATTTATAAGCGTTTGCTAAAATTTGGCGTGTGCATTACACCTGGATATATGTATTCGAATCTTGATTATGGTTTCTTTCGTGTAATTTATGCGTTTCCACAACCAACTATTGATTTAGGTTAGTTAGCTTAATTTAAAAATATTTTAAAGTTTACTAATTAATTCTAAACTCTTTAATTAGCATTAGAGAGAATTATTTTGGCCTTAAATCCAACAGAACAACCTAGAATTTTGGAGAGTTTAACATCTGATATTGGTTTGTGGGATTTTATAACAGATTTTTTAATATTCTTTTTTTTTTAACCAATTATTTATTATTCTTTTTTAAGATGATGAAATTGAATTTGCCGTTGAAACTTGTACTCTTGAAGATGATGTTAAAAATCTATTTTCCGCTTTAAGAAGTGATAAGCAATGGGTGAAAGAAAATACTGGAGAAAAATGGGCGAAAGAGAATCCAGCAGCCGCAAAAATATTCGAAAAAAAATAAATTAAATGACCATATAATCAAAAAATTCTTTTCCTTTCTTAGAAAATTCTCTTAATACAATCTAGTGAACTGATTATCTTTAATCGAAAAGTTTTTTGATATAAGCCTAATTTGCTTATGCAAAACATTCATTAAATACTAAATAAACGGGTATTTGATTTTTTTTGCACGTTTGCAATTCATATTCAGAATATTGTTGTATTAAACTTACTAATGTTAAAACATTCTCAACTAATACCGATATTTAGACGTTTATGTAGTTCTTCCGCGATAAATCGTCCTATTTTAACTCTTTACACAAAAGAAGATTGTGAACTTTGTGACATTGCCAAAGCAGAATTAAACCATTTGGCGAGCCGGGTAAGAATTAGTTTGATATAAAATATAATCTTGCTGAAGTAAAACTATACATTTCTTTTATCAGTTTGTATTGGAAGAGGTGGATATTACAAAACCAGAAAATCAAGAGTGGTTTGATAAATATCGGTATGATATACCAGTCTTTTATCTGAACGGAAAATTTCTTATGAAACATAAAGCTAATCCTAAACTATTGGAAAGAAAATTGAAGGATTATGAGTGAAATTGACTGGATGAATGAAGCATTTACAGTTGCCAAGTTGGCACTTGAAAATTTCGAAGTACCAGTAGGATGCGTCATTGTTTTCGATAATAAATGTATAGCAACTGGAAGTAACGAAGTCAATGAAACGAAGAACGCAACGAGACACGCTGAAATGATTGCTATTGATAAAGTAATAAAATTTTCTCAAGAAAATAATTTAGATAGCGAAATGGTACTTAAAAATTCTGAATTGTATGTAACAGTTGAGCCGTGTATTATGTGCGCTTCAGCCCTTAAATTAGTAGGGTTGAAGAAGATAACTTATGGATGCAATAATGATAGATTCGGTGGTTGTGAGTCTGTTTTTAGTGTATGTTCATCGGATCAAGAAGTCATTGGCGGAGTTCGTGCTGAAGAAGCTATAAATCTTTTAAAACAGTTTTATAAAAGAGAAAATGTAAATGCACCAGATGATAAAAGGAAATTAAGAAAAGATTAATTATTACGGTTTCAATATTGACTTTTATCGCTCCTATTAAATATTTTCTTGAAAATTATGTGATTTACGATAATATGCTATTTAATTGTTCTAGAATTGTTAAACAAACTAAAAGTGAAGTCTTTAAACGCATAAGAAAGAGAAACAAAACAAAGTCTTATATAATTCATTCAATATGGGTCATACTGTTATGCAACTTATAACCTACCTATTGCATCAGTCCGTATAATTAATAATAAAATAGCTATAAGCTGGTCGGCAACCAATTCCCGAAAGAGGACAGAAAAACCAGTAATTTCAAAATCTAATACTTTCAGCATTGAATGAGTACTATCTGCAAGATTAGAATGTGTAGAGAATGTAATGATCCGGTCATATATAGAGTTACCAGAGTTAAAATAGATTACGACAGTTTATGGTATGAGTCTCAGTTCTAGAATGAGATATTCTTCATGCAAATCAGGACTCATTGATTGTGAAACTCTGTTTAAAATGTTATTAAACTATTAATCAAATTATCAAGACTGATGAAGTTAATCTCAAAAGGAATTCTTGGGAATATTTGTAACTTTTCTTAGAAGAGTTAACTTTCAAAATTACTCTTTTGAGGAGATGCTCTGCAACTTCAATCTTTACTATACACTCTTTAAGCAAAAATTAAGATATTCTAAACTTTCCAACCTAAATTATGTTAGTCTTTTGATGGTATCTGAAGTTTTTCTGTACTTCAAATTATCTATAAATTGTTTTTTTTTTCCAGTCACTGCAATTTCCATCTGACAAAGTATTCATATGCTTGTATGCAGCGTCATTTGGACCTCATTTGCATATAATTATCTTTCCCTGCTGAATAAATTGCTTTCTTGTAACAATATCTTACTAGAATTGTTGATACTTTATTGTAAACATTTTGTAACATTTTATGATATTCGCTATGAATAGAGGAATATATACAATGCAGAATATTATACATGTTGATTCCAGAAAGTACCACTGTGTGGAAATTGCCATTGTTCAGGACCAGGATTACTGGGAATAAAGTGAAAATTATGGTGACAGTCATTTGTTGGTGTTTGCCAGCCGTTCACCATAGGAGAATTAGTCCATGTTGTATTATGATGTGGCAGGGCTTGAGCGATTTGGGGTAAATGAACAGGAGCATTTCGTTGGAAATGCTGTGGAGCATTATGATAAGCTGGCATTTGGGGAGGACAATAAGTACACGAAGACTTGACTGCTTCGTTAGATGGATGTACATGACTAACTTCAGTATAGGGAGAAGGTTCCAATTCCATGGGTTTTCTTATTTGTTTCGGCCTAGTTCTCTCATATTCAGACATAGATTTTTCACTGGCTAGAAAATTTTTGATTCCTCTCTCAGACAGCAGCTTTCGAAATTTTCTCACTTTCCAAGATGACCAATCCATTTCTTGTTTAAGCTTTACTGACGATTCAACGTCTAACTTCTTAAATAATTTCATACTGGCTTCGGCAATAGCAATCTCGGCTAAAGATCTATGCTGTTTTATATAGTTACTCAAAACCATGGCCATTTCATTTTCCTGAATAGATCCACTGGCTATTTGTAAAAGTTTGTGCATATATTCTGACCAACAGTCATTTGATGCTTTCCTCTTTGAAACTTTCTGAGGTATTCCAATTTTCATGTAGTATTGAGTTTTATCTTTACGCTTCACCGCTAGTAGACTGTCAGTTTTCCAGACAATTTTCATATCAGTATAAATTTCATACCTCTTCTTTTCTCGTGGTTTCTTAGACGATAATGCTTGAATATGTAATATTTTGCGTCTTAAAGCCTTAATGGTTTGCTTTAATTTAAAGCAATTGTCACAATTGGAATTCTTTTCCTTTTCTTTAATATGAAGTGATTTGAACTCTCCTTCTTCACGCTCTGCATGAATTGTAAAATCTTTGCCTGGAGAAATTTTTGCTTTTATCTATTTGTCTCGAAATGTCTTTAAAATAGAAAACTCACCTTCTGGCAGTTCAATAATTGTTTCAACTACTTTTTCTGACTCTTTGTGTCCTCCGCTATTCCTACTTAATTGATTTTCATTTAGAAGTACGGGTGTTTCTTCATTTAAATGATTGGATAGTTTATTAATCTGTCGTCGTTGTTTAGCAATTTCGGACGCTCTTCTCGCCGCTCTAATTTGAGATCGGCTAGATTTTGGCATATTTTATATTCAGCTAAAAATTTTTTAATTTGTTTACACCGCCATTTCTAATTTTTAGTATGGCTGCATATTGAAAATTCGAATTATTTTCGCATATTTTGTTTATTCCTAATTATTTAAAAGGAGAATTAATTTTTTAATAAAAATATTTTAAAAGTTAAATATATATTTATGTCTTTATGGTAGAGGAGCACAGACCAGTCTAAAATTAAACCTTGTGAAACCCGGAATTGCCCCAATCATATCGTTGTTTTTTGTTTTTGATTTTACTAATTGCAGCCGGTTGAATTTAAATAGAGATATTATGTCTGGACCGGATGTGTTGAAAGGCCCTCCCAAAGCTCCTGTAAGTAATTAAATATAAATACTGGCTAATTTTTACACAGAAAAGATATCTATATATGGTTAAGGCAACTCTCACTGACTCATTCGCTCTATAGCCTCTCATTGGTCCTTTGAGCCATGCTCATTCCCATTTTTTTACTTTTCTGTTCTTTATTTTCTTCATCGAGAAATCTTAAAATCGCAATAGTAGGAAATGATACACTTTCAAGTACATTATTGAAGAAGCATTTGATGGAGATTGGCGAAGAATCAGTGGATCTATTCGATTGCGATGCAAACAGTTTAACTTCAACTTCAGTTCTCATCGATTTACGGCTTGAAAACAGAGTAAATCAAACAATAGCATCCCATCGCAATCTTCAATTATACATACGCATATCGAAGGATATTATCTACGAAAGCAGTGACAGAAAGAGCGTAAAGAGATGGAAAGAAACGGATTTATCTATCCTCCTTCCATCTAGTGGATTCTCAGATAATGCAAGAAAAATACTAAGCATCGAAAATTCCCTTGTGATTCAGAGAATGAATGGCGGCATTCCATTCGTCCTTTTTAGGGTTCCAGACGTTATTAGCTCTGATAATAAACAGTTGTGGGCCTATCTTTTGTGGCTCAGATCGAACAAAGTGAAGCCTGTTACAGTTTCGAATTCGTGGTTTACCTTCAGTCTAATCTATTCAAAAGATATTGCAAAGAGCATCGCTCAAATATTAGATTTGGGAACTTTTATTAGAGACCAAGCCATAAACTTAGCTTACAAGCGCTCTTTCAATTTGCATAGTATTCTCATCGACATGACTAAGATCCTAAGGAGAAAAGTAGATATACATATAGATGATAGAGTGACTAATTTTCTACCGACTAGTAGAATAGGAACCTTAGATGTGTGGAAAATGAATAGTTTACTAGATATCGAATGCACAGAATGGAATACTGCCCTAAGAATGACTTTAAATGAAATGGAAAGTCTAATGGGTGTTTCATCACCTGAAAGGGATAGAGCAATACATTTTTCTCTGACAAACATATTTGCAGGATTAGAAGAGAGATTCTTAGAAGAGATCGAAACGTATTATGCCATAAATTTGAACAAGTTTAGACATTCATTAAGATTTAAAACTGAGTTATAAAACGTTACTTTTACGATTTTATTCAAGCATATTTCTTTTATATATATATATTGTATTTTCTTCGAAAGTTCCTTGACTTTTTTCCCCTTTTTTCCCTCCTTTTTTTCCTTCCCGTCCAATTGGTGCTATTAGTGTTCATTCTATTTCATTAAACAAAGATACGAAATGAGTTGTAAAAAAAAATTTGGCCATGTTTATTTAAGTTTATAAAATACAAAAAAATTACTTTTAAATATTTATTTAACAGCCACCCGCACCTCCAACTCAGGCTCCTAGAAAGCAAGAATCCAAATCAGCGGTCAATGGTAATAGTGTCAAAGAATACATCATATCCGACAAAGATCCCGTTGGTTTTGATCTTTTGCCAGATCAATTGGTAAATAAATGTGTCGAAAGAGGATTTCCACTTAATATACTATGCCTAGGTAAACGTTATGTCAATCTTGTATAAAATATAAAGATCTGTAGGGCTTACAATTGTAGGATAAAAGACAAAATTCCATTTTGAAATTTGCAATAGATCATTTTTCAAACATTCAAAAAAAAAAAATAACCTATTAAATCACCTTATTATTATCGAGGCGCCATCTGACTGGCGCTCGATTGAATCTCTTAAAAGTTCATATGCACAAAAAGGTTCGCAACGATTCAAGGGGAGAGGAGCCCGTATCGTTTATTAGCAATACCAGTGAATTAACAAGTAGATGTTTTACGTTTGATCAATCTGATTCGTTTGTTGACAATTCATTAATAGTTGAATTTAATGAAAGAGCCTCTACTCATAGGAGTTTAGGAGATACATTAACAGTTGACGAAGATTGCATGCAATCAATGGATATCTCTGATTCGGCAAATAGTACAGCCGGCTCTCATGATATTAATATATCACTCAGGACTGCTTTTAATAAAAATTCTTCAAATTTTACTCAGGATATGATTGCACAGGATCCAACAGCATATAAATCTTTTAATAGAGATGAAATGATAGTATTTGATAACGAATCTTTAGCTGATCAAGTATGGAGGAGTGAAGCAACAAATTACTATTATTTCAATATACTATGTGTAGGTTCGAATCTATAATAGCTTATCGATCTCGTATATTTTTCGCATATTTTGCCGACAGTAATAGTAGAGTAATTAGATATCTTTTACTATATTCTATTCTTCACAATACAGGCGAAACTGGTATTGGAAAATCTACTTTAATGGATACTTTGTTCAGGAAGAACTTTGATACAAAACCAGCTGCCCACAATGACAATGAAGTTACTCTAAAAGAGCATAGACATGGTAAAGATGTTAAACTATGTCAATATGTATTAACTATAATATTTCAACTATGTATTTTTATAGATATGCAAGAGAAGCAAGTTCGTTTAAAGTTAACTATTATTGATACTGTTAATTTCTCAGACCAAATAGACAAATCAGAAAGGTAGAATATTTCATTTATCATCGATTTATGCTAATTTATAAGTGGAATTATTCAACAGTTACAAACCTATTGTCAAATATATTGAAGATCAGTTCGAATCCTATCTACAAGAAGAGTTAAAAGTTAGACGAGCTTTACACGCCTATCACGATACCAGGGTTCATGTTTGCTTATATTTCATTCCTCCAACCGGCTTAACGTAAGTGTCTCTCCTTGTAAATTTAGTTAATAAACTGTTTTCTTGACTATTATCCTTTTATTTACATTTTATAGACTAAAGGAATTGGACATTGCCACTATGAAAGCTCTTGAAAAGAGAGTCAATATAATTCCAATAATTGCCAAGGCCGATTCCATTACTAAGCCGGAATTACTGCAATTTAAGACAAATATCATTCAAAAACTTAAAGAGCATAAAGTTCATATATATCAGTGTCCAACTGACGACCCAATCGTTGCCAAAGCTAATCAGAAATTCAATGTAACTATTTATTACAAGTAATCATTGTTATTCTATAATAATACGTTTCTTTTTTATCACCTACTTTAGGAGGATATGCCTTTTGCGGTTGTCGGTAGCACGGAAGAGATTAAGCAAGGTGGTAAAACTATCAGAGCTAGACAATATCCTTGGGGAATAGTTCAAGGTTAGTTGAAAGTCTGTTTAAGCCCTTTATTAATATGAATATTTATGAATATTCATTAAAAATAGTTGAAAATGAGCAACACTGCGATTTTGTCAAACTTCGGGAAATGTTCATAAGAACGAATATGGAGGATTTAAGAGAAACCACTCATAGTGTTCACTATGAATTATATAGAAAGACCAAATTAAGCGAAATGGGATTGGTTGATGACGATAAAAAGTCGTTACAAGAAGCATATCAAGAAAAGAAAAGGGAACATAAGCAAAATATGGAAAGAGCTGAAGAGAATGTTAGAGAAAATTTTATCAGAAGAGTTAAAGTAAAGGAGTCTGAACTGAAGGAGAAAGAAAAAGAGGTATAGTTGCTATTTTCTTACACAAAAGCTTTAATATAGCAAAATTATCTCCCTTTTTCTTTTTTAGTTGCACGATAGATACGAGGAATTGAAAAAACAACATTCGGAAGAGAAAAGAAAGCTTGAAGAGGATAGAGATCGTTTGAAAGCCGAAATGGAAGATTTCAATAAAAGAAAGACTTTAGGGTCATCCAAGAGAAAGAAGTAAGCTTTGTAGAGCTAATCAATGTACTTATAATATTGCTATATATGAAAATTAATAGGTGCTCTTTGCATTTTTTTTTCACTTTTTGATATTATATTGACTAATTAATGTTGTCGTTAGTTGAATTATTTCTTTTACACTCTTTTAGTATTTCTCTTGAGCTTGAAAAATCAGAGTGGTAAGCCATTAGATCTAAAAAAAACATCCAAAAAAAATGTTCAAAAACGCTTAATTACGGACTTATGTTTTCAACTATCTTGAATATACCTCTTTTTATTTTAAATAATCTGTATATGTTTATATTATATCTAGTATGAAACTATTGCTACTACTCTTTTTGCGTTATCATACGTGTTTTGTATATTTAGAAAATAATGAAAAAGTTGAAATTTTGACTTTTTTGCGAAAATTCTGGATAAAAAAAATCTTTATAAAATAAAAATTTATAAAAAATAATAATAAAGTTATCGCAGTTAAGCCAACCTTGCAAAAAAAAAAAAATTTATTCAAGTATAATCAAATATTTAATCTACTTAAAACTAAATGTTTTATTTACGATGATAAGGGTTCGTAAAATAAATTCCTACTGTTTTTGCTAAAGCTATAGGAGTAACAGTTACTTAATAGTTCGTTTAGAAGTGCCAATTATATTTGAAGTAAAAATTGGTAAGTTTAAAGATTCATTTGTTTTGTCATCTTTTCAATGCTGCTTATTAAGTAAGCACAGTGTTCCTTGAAGCTTACTGGTTTTGCTGAAGTACAAACGGTCTTTAATCTCGACTCATCCTATAACAAAGAAAAAACAAATTTTTAAATTGTTTCGTAAAACAGTTTATAATTAACTTTACCTGATAAGTTTCCATTTTAGACCTTAGCCGAAGCGTGTGATACTTAAAGGCAGCCTCAGAAAAGACGTTGCTATAAGCATTGTTATCCTAAAAATAAAAATAAATTAAAAAAATTTCAGCGACTTTAGGTGAAATCTTACCGATTCGTAAAGCCTTCCTAAATCTTCAACTTTTTTCCCAAGTATTATTTCGGCAGTTTCTTGAAATGCAGTTATCCATATTTGATGCGTATGATCAGCTATGTTCATTTGTAGCATAAGTCTGTATTTAAAATCAGAAGTCATTTCTTGGCACTTCTCACATCTATATCGACCATCTCCTTGATCAGATAGCTTTTTATTACAGTTTTCTTTAGGGCAGGCTCTATAGAGCGCGTTATCTATTTTCACTTGCAAAATACAAGCTAATGACGAAAAATATTCCGCCTTTTCTCCTGCGATATTTCCATTCTTTAAGAACATTAGTGGACGAATATCACCACCACCTCCTGCGTTATTCCCTGTTGAACCAGATCTATCAGCTTGATATTCTTTGAACGAGGCAGAAGAACCATTACTCAAGAACCATCCTTGGAGGGCGTGAGCTTCTCTAACATCTGGATTTTTGAGAATTTGAGATGAATTCAGGCAAGATAATGATCTTCCGCCAAAGTCAGAAACTTTTACATTTTTTATTACTAGTACAGGTGATCCGCTACAATCATTATTATCTGCATCGTCGCCCCATAAAGTTAGCTTAACTGAAGTTTCCGAGTCGTCGACTAACGTAACCTCTCTCTTTCGTAGTTGTTTATTGCTGCTCTTACTGACAAATGACGAAACTTCGGTGGCTTCTTTAGCAATTCCAACGATATCAATAAAAGAGTTGGGCTCAATTTCCATCAATTTAGAAAATTTTACAAACTTAAAAGATAAAGATGGTATGTCGCCTACGTCCTCAGTACATGGCTCTATTGTGGTTTCCGGGTTCAAGACCAATTCATAATCGTGAGGAAGATTATTATATCTTTTGTCAGCAGTTTTTATTTGACCTTTCGAAATAAAGTAACATTTATTCTGTTCAAGAACGTCGTAAAAACGATCAACTTCATTTCGAAAAGCAGTAGCTTTAATCTCTCCAGAACTGTCTCCCAAAGTGCATGAGAAAAGTTTTCCTTCACCTTTGGAGTTACTCCATGTTCTAATAGCAGATTTAGACATAACTCTGGCTTTGATTGTCCATCGATTTAAGAAGGGCATAATAGATAAAATATCAGCAACTTTTCCAGGTGTGGCAGCAGGCGACGAAGCTATCTTATTATTGGAATAATAATTGCTGGATATATGTTTTTTGGCGGGAGGCGGCTCTTCTCCAGGACAGTTTTCCTTTTGGTCACTACTAGTTCCATTAGCTGGCTGCTTATTCTGATTTGTAACTTTATAAGGTTGTGGACTTCCTAAGATTCCACCAACAGTTTTACCATTTTGTAAAACTTCGATGCCGAATATAACCAAGATCCTTCTTTGGTTGTCTCCTCCTGAACCCAGAACATTACACATATAATTTTCCAAACGTACAACACAATTCTCATTGATTTCGTCATTTTTAACTCTTTCATTAAGTTGTGTTCCAAGCATAGCCGAAGAAACTGAATTATCGCCATCTGAAATAACTATTCTATACCGTTCCGCAGTACCTCTACTGGCAGGCATTAGTTTAAACCCTATTATTTGTAATATAGGTTTTTCGGGCTTATTCCCGTTCATAATATCAACTAATTTCCCTTTAGATAAGTTCATGTTTATTCGGTTTTGGCGGTTCAATGATAGCCGATACGATTTTAGTATTCAACAACCACTTTTGGACAGGTTACAAGTTCCTTCTAACATTGATTCATACTATTTAAGTCACGGATCAGGCAATTTATTAAAAACTATATCCTTCAAATGTAAAATTTTGTCAGTGAAACAAAATGATAAAACAAAAAAAAAATATTGAGAATATAATTATATTTATTCTCCCTTTTTTCATTTTATCCAATCAGCGACAGGATTTCTGGCGCCAATAGCCCAGGAAGGAAGATTCCCCTGTATTCTGCTGATAAAGCACGTACCGCACTTATTTTTCAAACAAAAAACCAGCATACATATCAATCTCTTTTCCAATTTTAGCTTTCTAATTTATGATATTTAAGAATAATACAAAGCAAACAGATTCAAATACCTAGCTGTATAGTAAATTAATCTTTTTCCCGTATTAACGTGGAATATAAGCGTTAAATTAATGGCCATAAAATGACATAATTTTAAAAAAAAAGTAGTTGTCGCATTGAGAGTATTGATTAAGATTTAACTTTAGACATAGATTTAAATCGTTTAACAGATGGCTGAACTATTTATTATAGACAGGGTAGAGTGTGTTTGTTTACTTTTCAATACCATATACGGATTCCTACTCTTCTAAACAGTTAAAAGAGTGTGTTACATTCTACCTGATCAAAGCTTTTTTTGTGTGCGATTCCAGTGGAAATTTAAGCTGATAACAGTAATATATGATATTTCTTTTCACTTAATTACTTAATATAATTAATGTATAGATTATATTGTAAAATAGCAAACGATCTTAAAAATATAAACGTATAATATAACTTTTTTAAAAAATTCTGAATTAGTTTTATAAATCATCTTTTCCAAGTTGATAAAGTTAATAAAGTTGTTAATTTAATTAATTCATCTTACTTCTATAACAGTAAAGTAAACTAAACAGCATATAAATAGGGCATTTAGTAACAAACGCTCATATATCTTCTTCGGGTTGCACGGATAAATCCAGTATCTCTTTGTTCTAACCGCATAAGTTTCTTATAGAAGAAAGAAACGGTGTTACAAAGTGAAAAAAGTCAGTTTTTTTCATATTCGGATTAATAATATGAGCTTTGCAGTAAGGTAAAAGATATATATTTAATATCAAGATTAATAACTATACTGTTGATTGATAATTCAAGTTAAAACTGATGAATAAACGATATTTTCGGCGCGCGTTATTAACAGGGTATTCTGTTCGAAACTTAAATTGTATCCTAAAGTGCTTAACCATAAAGAATCGTATATTTCTCAATTAATAGATATATAAATCTCCGTTTGAACTTTGGAACAATTCAGAACTAGGCCTATTTAACCAATTTACTCCTAGTTGACTGATAAGAGAATTCGGTTATTTACTAAACCACTGCTGATTAAATTCATTCAGCTTTAAAAGAGCGCAGCAGCATATATACGCAACGACTCTGCCGGCTTAAAGAGCTAACTAAGCTAAATTTTTATACTTTTTGTATTATTCTATATTTTAAACTTAATAAAGGACCATGGGTGATGCATCAATTGACATGGAACATCGTGATCCAAACGACCTAAACTATCACGTGAAGGTAACAATTCTATTCATATTGTTTTCTAACATATTAAATATGTTTACTAATAGTATTAATTAGTAATTTTTAATAGATTTATATCTATATTTTGTATATATAAAGTGAAAAAACATAATAGTTCATTTATATATGAGCACGTCTTCGGCTATAAAATTGTTCTAGGGTTATAAATATAGGCTGTAAACTAATAAAGGCATAGTCGTATTGTTTTATATGAAATTGCTATGCTATACAAAATTTTTAGAGATATGATTTTATTTTCATTTTTTATGAAATTCGTGTATTTTTAATCTAACGTGAACTGATAATCTACTTAATCGTAATTACTTTCATAGTTGTTTTTTAGCATAAAATTGTAGAATTTGCCAAAGGCCTATAATCAATTTAACAATCAGATAATAAGTGTTCAGTTAGAGAGAAAGAAGAGTGAGAGATCTGATATTTTGAGAGTTTAAAGTTATTCGCAGATGTAGTTATCTTATCTATCGCCTACGTTTATTTTTTTTTTGTTTGATAATTTTATCTTAATATTTCTTTCAGACAAACTTTTCAGAGGTCATTGGAGAACCCGATGGAGGTCATAGCGCCGATTGCGTATGGGTGAATTCAAACAAATGTTTCTTTATTGGAAAGAATATTTGCTATAAAGTAAATTAAATATTCGTGAAAAATCGTTATATAAAATGATATATTTATTAATAGATTCTCACTTTTATATGTGCCATTCCCATGGCATTTTGTTGGGGTTGCCAATTCGCTTGCCTTACTTTCTGTCACATCTGGCACGTTACACCGTGTTATAGAGTATTTGCTGTCAACCTCTCTTGCGCTGGTAGGTTTTTGAATATTTTTGAATAATTTCGAAAGCGATAATAAAACTTTTTCGTTATTTTTATGAACAGCCAAATTCTGGTCAGCAATGATACACTGTTACTGCGATCCATGTTACGAGGCTATGGCTTTGAGTATGACGAAAATCTTTTTCAACCATGTCCAAAATGCAAAACCATTTGATGAGAAAACTTACGAAGGCTTCGAAGAGTTCCAGAAGAGAGGGAAAGAAAAGAAATACGGAGAAGATCCTGCCGATCATTACTCTAATGCTTAGACTTTTTTTAAAATTAGTGTTTGTTTAGAGTTAACAGGCAATCTTACAAAAAAGTGTACTTACATGCGGCCTCTCTTGTGTCTTATAAGAAAGTAGCATTTAGTTATGTATATTACGTAATAGATGGCATTGCTGTTAAAGATTATAAAACGTTTGCCTTTTCTCTATGTAATAAACTCTTTTTTTGTTTGTAAAAGTTCACTATGAAAAGTATTTATCGCTTGCTCTTGTCTTAATTAATACGATAACACGAACAGATTTTCCTACACAATGATGTATTTATATTAGATTTATAATGTAGTTTTGAGATGAGAAGAAAGGAGTATAGTCAAATCTTTGTCCACCTTCGTTCCATCCTTCAAAGATTTCTTTAATGTTTATTTTTTAATGCGTAAATATAGATAAAAAACTGCTTAAAATCATTATCATTAACCGCAAAATTGGTAAATATTTTGCTTTATAAGTAATTCTTTATTAATGTCGAACAAGGGGACAGAGAGAGAGAGAGAAAAGCAGAGGGGATAGAGGGGATTTTTAAGATGAAGTCAGGGGGGAAGGAATTGGAAAATAACTATCTATATGCAAAAAATTACGAAATAATCTACATTAAATGAAGATGTAAAAATAAGCAGGAAGGTAACAAATAGCAAAGAAAAGAAAAAATTAAACATCAAAATGGAATAGCTCTTAAACTTCTTAATTAATTGAGATGAGTTAACGAGTTTATATAAATATTCTATTAAAATATTATCAGATTAACATAAATATTAACTGTCCCCTATCATTTATTTTTCTTTATCAACAGCGAATCATCTAAATTGAATGCAAATATATGATTTAGTACTGAAAGCGTTTTGTTCAAAAGTATGAGGGAGGATAAAAAAAATGTCTATTAAGCCTAAAGTATGTAACTCCGTGCACAAACTGTAATGATCCTGAAGTTATTAAATATACAGGAAATATGGAAGGGGAAGAGAAAAGAAATTAAATGCATTCTTTGATTTGTTTGTCCAGTGATTTCCATATTTTCTTGGAAATATATACACATATATATAATTAAAGAGATGAAAATATCATTTTAATAAGTAGAACGCCTAGAATTATAATAAATACAGTACATGTTTAAAAAATCGTTGCATTTGTCCTTTTTATAATATCCATAACAAGAATATAATATAGGAGCGGAAGCGAACAACGGAAAGAAGGAGAGAGCGGGAAGGGGTTTGATGAACTTTGTATAAAATTATCTCCTTTTTCTTCTCATCTAGTTAAAGGTTCTAACAATTATAATTATAGAAATAGTAACGAAATTTACTTTTTAATAGCCAATCTCATTTAAAAGAGATTTTTGTTTTTTTTAAAAAAAAAGGAAAAAATTAATTATGTTTTTCTTCTTTTTTTGTGCATTTAAGCGTTGATTAATGATTAATTTTAAGTAATTGATGACATACGCATTCAATGGATAAAAGCGAAATTTATCAGCTATTTTTAGATGATGTTCCTTTAGCATTTTCCAAACGTCCAGGCACTACGGATATTGACGAATAAATAATCGAAAAGACGCATCTACCAAAGTGCGACGTCACCGAACAAATTTTGGCATTACTATTGATTGCTTTACAGCATTCGACTGCAATCTACAACATTTGACCGTAACATACGGATATTTTTCTGGGGGAAAAACGAGATATGCAATCTTCTTGTTTAGAAGCTTTGTGTGATGTCAATTCTCCACCTTCCAGAGCTGTATTGCTACTTCTAAAGTGCAATAATATTCCAGTTCAAATGCTGGAAATAAAAAGAACGCCAAAACGTAAGATTACAACGATAAATTTCCGAAAAGAGTACAATCTGTGAATAAATTCGTTTTATTCTATTTAGTTGAAAGGGAATATTCATCCGAGATACCTGACACAATGCCTTACCCAGCTATAATTGATCATGAAAAGCGTCTTCATTTAACCGGAAGTTCAGCTATACTACGATATTTATGCGCAAGATTTGAATTAGCTGACCACTGGTACCCAAGGGATATTGTTGCTAGAGCCAAGGTAACTCTACTTGTAGGCCTACCAATCCGATTAGTAATCGTATAGAAATTGACGTTTTTATTTTTGTCGTCCTAAAAAAATTAGGTCGACGAATATATAGCTTGGCACGACGCGAATACCAAGGTAGCTGCGGCAAGCGTCTATAAATTGAGGATTGTACAACCTAAGAGGATGCATATTCCTGTAAATGAAGAAGAGTTGAGGAGGGCTAGATCTCGATTGGATCATGTATTACATCAATTAGTTGTCACTTTTCTTAAAGTAATCAGCAATTCTTTTTTAACTGTGTTCCATTATGTTAATTTTAATACGATTATTCATACAGGATAAAGACTTTCTATGTTCAAATGAAATCACTATTGCAGATGTCCTAGCTATTTGTGAGTTAGCGCAGGCTGTCGCTTCTGGTTTTGCAATAGGCGATGGAAGACCTCGTCTTCTCGCCTGGATTGAAAGAGTAAAAGGTCAACTACCGGATTTTGAAAAAGTTCACGGATCAATGGAAGTAAAAAAACCATTTCGTTGGTTGTCTATGGATTCTGCAATGTAATTTCTTGTGACTTCCGGCCAGGAATCCCATTATAAAGACAACGTTTATCAAATATCGCGAATAATGATAACTAGTACTTAAATGAATACCACGTTCATATCCATCATAGATATGACATCAGATTATTTTTAAATTTATATTTACCGATTATTTAAATACTATAGTTTAACAGCTACTTTATATACTTTTAAACTATCTTTCATTCAATTATAGATAAAAGAGAAACGTAAAAAATAGATATTTAACATTATTAAATTAAACAATATAAACCTAAAAAAAAAACAACAGCGAGAAGGGAGACCTAAAATAAATTTATGATGTTTTTCTGTTTAGTTTTGTTTTTTTAAAAAAACAAAACATCTCTTTATTCTCTTTTTTTCGAGTTCTTATCAAAAGTAGCTAAAGTGAGAAAGAAATAGTTCGTTTTTTCTTTTTTAACTAAAAAAGTTTGTTTAGGTCATATTTTGAAGGTTATGATTTGAAACAATACTTTTATTGTTATATACATATATATAGTATATATTAACTACGTATATATTCATACTTTAGATATGACATTGATTTTATAGGCCTATGTAATAAAAATAGCATCGTAATTTTTCAAAGTTCCTTCGCTTTTTTTCTGTGGATTAAATGAATAACACAAACAATAAAACTGAATTACTATTGTCTGAACTTTCAAAGAAAGAAAGAGGATAGCAAGAAAGAAAGAGAGAGAGAGAAATATTTAATCTATTACTGTAATTGTTGTAGTGTTCTTCAAATATTCGTCTTTATTAATGAGAACTCTTTTTATGAATAAAACACTTGAAGAGGATATTTAACTTTCGTAATATCTTCATATATTGAAATAATATTTAAAGGGTTAGCAGTACAGAATATAAAAGAGTCACAAAAATCTTTTTTGTTACTATGGCAACTAAATAATATTTATAACATTTCCCATAGGAGAATTGCTTTTTTTTCCCTTTTAAATGATTATGATATCAGTTTTTGTTTTTGAGGCATAAAATTAATTATAAAAGATGCTGTTAGTCAAGGATGAAATTCTTATGTATACAATATGTATATTGTTAAATAAAGAAAAGAGAGGGGAACCAGTTCTACGTCTAAAAATTGGTCGTATTTTATATCAGGTTTTTTCCTCTTCTTCAATTTTAATATTTGTATGCTCAAGTTCTATTTCTATTTGATTGCAATTTATAATTCTTTTCAAAGACGTTATTTATAAAATGAATAGCCTATGTTTAAGTACAATGCCTTTTATTGATTTCATTTTAAAACCTCTTATGTTGCTGACAGTGTAATTTTTTTAAACCATTTGGGTTCTTATAATGATAAACACAACTCTGGTAACAAATGTTTCTGTCTGTAAAGTGTAACAGTTGATATCTAATTCATTTTTTTTTATTTCATAATCTTAAAACAATATAGAAGTCTTTTTTCATATTTCCCATATATAGAGAGATGTTTTGTTTTAATTTCAATACTTTCGTTGCTTTCTCCTTCCAATCCACTTGCACTTTAAATCTAATTGTCTTTATCGGACGTTGTCTTTGTTGTGGAAGTTGGTTAGATGTGATAAGACTTTTTAGTAATATACGTAATTGTCAATAATGCCATCTGTTGGTTTTTTATCTTCTAATTTCTTTTGATGCTATTAATATTACAAATTATTAAAATAGAATGTTCTATAAAACGTTTAAATTATGCTATACATTGTCATATTTCAATAGCAACTATACTACAAGGCTCTAAAATGACTTGCGGCGAGGACTTATACGTGAGTATAATAGAGCGAATATTTAGCTTACTCAATAGAGTATCTTATGGCTAGTTAGCAAATGGTATTTTAAACTTTTTAGTTGTTCGCCAATTTCCGCAAATAAAATCCAGGTGCATCTTTGTAGTATTTATTTTTTCCATATTTTTTATCCCGCCTTTAGTAAACCGGAAGCTGCATCTATCCAATCAAGTAAAGAAGTATTTATAACCAATCACCTTTTACTTTGACGACTGAATATCTACCAATCAACGATCGAGTTAGCTTTTATTTTAAACCAATCATTGACTGAGTTTGTTCCGGTAAATTTGTGTGTTGTTACTGAGCACCGGTAAACACTGTTCATCGCTTGGCGGTACAACATCAACTTGTCATTCTCAGATTCTCGAAGTAAACTCACAAAAATGTAAGTAAAAGCTTGTTAAAGTACGATAAACGAGATCTTTATACTTTTCTTTCAAAACTATTAGCAGTGAAAATGGCAGATCGTAAAGCCGTCATCAAGAATGCCGATATGACTGAAGATATGCAGCAAGATGCCATTGACTGCGCTACTCAAGCCCTTGAAAAATTCAACATCGAGAAAGATATTGCGGCCTTCATCAAGAAAGAATTCGACAAAAAGTACAACCCAACTTGGCACTGCATCGTTGGCAGAAACTTTGGTTCCTACGTTACTCATGAAACCAAGCACTTTATCTACTTTTATCTCGGCCAAGTTGCTATTCTCCTCTTCAAATCTGGTTAAAGAGAATAAATCATGTCTCGAAAACATTAATAAATTTTTTTATTATCGTTTGTCAATTTTTTGATGGTTTTCCGATAGATTTTAATTCTTTAGAATATATAAAAGCATTCAAGATTGTTCCATTTAACCAAAATTTTAGTTTATTCAACTATTTTCATCAGTTATTTTGATCATACGTGAAAAAGAAAGCATATATATATATATATAAATATAGAAACACATTTGACTAGAAATATTAATAAGCAGGATATCACATCGCATAAAATTTTAAGGCAAAAACATTCTCAATAAAACGGCTACTTTCGGTAAACAAGTTACTTAACTTTGTATTTTTTTAAAACTTTTTAACGGTCATTTTTTAAAAAAAAGAAAATATAAGAAAACAGTTTCACTATATATATAATTATATATAGTATATACTGTATATAATAAAGATAGGAAGATTTTTAGAGACCGGCAGGCTTTTCGGATAGGGTATCATATTTACGTATAAGTTCGGCTTGTGCTACAGCGCCGTGCTCTTCTTGCGAGAAGGCGTATCCATCTAATAAAGTTGTATGAAAAAGAAAGAGATTATTTATATTTATATATATATACGTATCCAAGAAAATATATAGCCTAGCAAATGAATAAAAGCATATATATATTAAAAAAAAAGTCGTTCAATATAAAGCTATCGATCATGATGAATAATCATAAAATAAAACAAATTTCTTACGCTGAGGAGCGGCCGAATCAGAAGATCGGTGAACATTGCCAGAGGATCGGGAGAAAACATTATGAATCAAGCGAGTTGTTTCTGAAGCTCTGTTAAAATTTAAAAGCTCATTTTATATGACATTCAAGGAAAAAGCGATTATATTTTTATGTTAGTTTCAATTTGGTGGTACATTCACATTTATATATATATATATATATATATTAGCTATTGAGATCATTCCTATAGAACATTCTCATTTTGAATGCTATTATGTTTAAAAAAAGAGAGGAAAGGTTGATTCTTTTTCAATGTTTATATTTACGGAACGATCTTAATGCTGTCTGTATACAGTAATTATATATCTCTATATGTATGCTGTATACAAACATCTTTCCTTTGAATCCAAGATATTTCAAGGTATCACGTGCTCTATTAATACATTGCTTACATACAATAGTTTTTGTAGTGCACTCTTTATCTTCGCACGCTTTCTCTTTTTTTTTACCCTACCCCAAGCAGGTGCAAGTAGCCCCTAGTCACGTGATACGGGGAAATAGCTCCTTTCCAATTTTTTTAATTTTCTACACCAAACATGCTTATTGCCTAAAAAAACTGTCACCGTCTTTTTCATTTTAAAAGCAGGATATTATTTTTTGTTAAAAAGCCATTTTCTCAAAATTAAAAAAGTTCAAAACATATTTATAAAAGCGATTCAAATTCTTATGTTAGTTTGTTAAATTTCGTATATATATATACTGTCTAAACAGACTTATACATACATACAGCATATACAAATAGTACATATAATATATATACTGTATAATTCAAATCATCTTATATGCACATAAACAACCGTTATTATCACAATTATTTTACATAATAAAAACCCTGCAAGACAGTTTAAAGTAAATAAAAGAATTATATAAAACTACTATATCGCAAATTTGCAACCAAAAAACCCATAGGTAGGCAAAGAGGAGAAAAAAAAAGAAATCATTTTTAAAAACAGAAAGAAAATAAAAAACCTTTAATAAATATTTTTTTGTATAAATCTTTATTAATAATTTTTTATAGTGTTTTAAGCGATCACCTTAAGACAACGATTCCGATAATAAATTGATCTAAAGAACGTAAAATTAATAATTAAATGGCAAAAAAAATGGGTTAATTTTTAGGACAGCGAAAAGGAATTTTAACTCATATAGCCTATATAAAATAGCCCAAAAAGAAAAAAAAGAAACAGTTACCCGTAACTGTAGCGTTTGACACTATAATGGAAAAAGGGATAAAAGTGAAAAATAGACCGCATTAGGTGTCTTGAAATGCATTAAAAGTAATATTTTTCTTTCGTAATGATTAGAAAAGAATATAAATAATTTATATATACATATAGATATACAAGGATATCTGTATATGTATGTATAAACATTATTTTTAGTTATTAATATAACTAACCTTTTCCTAGCGTCTTTTTTGATTACTCCAGCAGGATCCTCGTGCCGTAATTCATGCTCTTGAACTTCTTCTTTGATTGTCTTAAAGAATGTTCTACGAATACTATCAAAATAGGCAGAAATTGTTAAATGTATTGTCTAATCGATGAATTATTTAAAATACTAACACTTTCCATACTAAGTCTCTTGTTAAGGAAACTGTTGGTATAAGTAGAAGACCAAACCAGAATATCCAACAGCCGAAAACGTAGCTGATGAAGAAATAAGAAACAATTAATAATTTCTTTTCAATTAAATATTTACGATTTAATTAATTTTAATTTGTCAAAAACAAATTAACTATACTTACATATCCATACCAACCATTTCAGCACCAATAGGCAAAGTAGGCCAAAAGTGAGAATAAGTCAACAATGTTAAAAACCAAGTGACAATTGAACCCCATATTGCAACATGGCTAAACTATTAAACGTATTAATAAAAGAATTATTACATTTAATAAAGAGAGGGAAAAATGAAAAGAGTGAAAACATTTAAGAAATGAAACTTACAACTGTCCAAGCACTATGTTCCAAGGCAGCCTTTAAACAAACAGTAACAACAACATACTGAAAGGGAAGAAAGGAGGGAATTAATTAAGTTACAAATATTTTATTATTTATTTACTTACAGTGTAAACCATATTGCCAAGAAATAAATAGTCACCAACTTTTCCATCGCGGAAAGCTATATCTATATTTAAGAGGTGAGAAAAGAAATTGAAAAAAATCGATCCTTTCTCGCTGTCAATTTTTTCTATTATTAGAAAAAAATATCTTATACAAACCATGGCTGAGAAAGCACAAAGGCATCCAAAACAATAGAATTGAATGATAAACTGCATTCATTATCCAAAACCAAAAAACTTTGACATTAAATGTTTCGGACAATTGAGAAGTTCTATATAATTGTGGAAAATTTAGCAAACTCTTTGCAGTGCAATGCCGATCAAATAGTCCGAGGGCTAGAGGGGGAGCGGCCGTAAAGACGACGTTGTAAAGGGCTATCGTCCACCTATCGAACACAATCTGACCAGAAAAGCCGGATACAACCGCAAACCAGAATTCAATAACATATAAGCAAACATTCTTATAAAAGGAGTAGAGGATAAGCTTTGTTAAACGCTGATGAGACCATGCTCCATGAACTAAAATTAGCTTATTCAAAAATCTAAATTGTCCAATTGCATAATCAGAAGCATGAGCAGCCTGGAGTCCTTCGTGACCAGAAATGCCGACGCCCACGTGGGCTTCCTGTATAATTAATTTTAAGCGTTTACAAACGGTAAAACGTTAGAGTTTGCTAAACAAACTTGAATCATTCCCACATCGTTTGCTCCGTCACCAATTGCTAGTGTTATGGTTCCAGATACAAACTTCTTAACAAACTTTACTATATCAGCCTTTTGCAATGGTGATACTCTGAAAAGAAAGCTCAATTTAATTTCTTTCTTGTTCGCACATTCATTCGTTCTTTTCCTTTCATTCTGTCTAGCTTTCTTGCTTTATCTCTACCTTTCTCGCATTATTTTTCTTTCATATTCACATTCTTTTGTATTTATATTATAAATTCTATAATACCTGCAGCAAATAACGGCTTTACAACTCACGGCTAGACTTACGAATTCTTGCCAAAGTTCTTCTTCCAGAGCCCATTTCAATGTCTGTCGAGGAAAAAACAACAAAACTAAATTAGGTTATTGTCAACAGTAACCTAGAGTTTTTTTGTCAATTTAAATAACTAATTTACATGGCCGTCCACAATCAGGGCTTCTTTATTTTCAGTATTATCTTTACTTAATCGGTTTTCTGTTCGAAACTTCTCTGTGTAATAGCGGATTTCTCGTCTTGTACTCTATTTTTAGACAATATAGCAACGAATGATAAGTAAGGGCAATTAAGTACTCAAAGGAGTGCACATACCTCCAAGTCTTCTTCGTTTATAGTGATTAAAGGCATATCTGCAGTCAATAGCTTACAAGAATAACCTATATTAATGGCAGTCTCTTGTTTGTCGCCTGTCAACACCCATATCTTAATGTCCGCTTTCGATAGATCGGCAATTGCATCAGGAACCCCTATTTGAAGTTTATCTTCGATGGCCGTCGCTCCTAATAGGAGAAGATTACGTTCAATCTTCTCAGCAGCTTCAGCTAAAAGATCGTCTCTATTATTTACATCCAGGGTAGCTTGTATTTGTAATTCTTTCCACTCCTCATAAAAGTTGGGTTCAATATCTGCTACGGCACAAACTAGAGTTCGTAAGCCGTCTTTAGCAAAGTCCTCAAGGTGATTAATCGTTTCATTCTTATATTGAGAATTTTTCGACAAGCGATCAAATATAACGTTATCAGCTCCTTTCACCATCAATTTTAGTTTACCCTCTGGGGTTCTGACGATAACACTCATTCGTTTTCTCGTTGATGTGAATTCGAGTACATGCAAAACTTCATAGCGCACTATTTCCCCCTTAGCAGCAATCTCAACTTCGACATAATCCGGTGTACGAGTTATGAACCGGTAGCCTTCTTTTTTAGCAGCAAGAACTAAAGCTTTCTCATCAGGTGAAGAGGCTTGATATTCGATCTCTCCATCTTCCTCTTTTTCCGGCACAGCAGTGTGACAAATCGCCAGTAAAAGAAGAAAATCTTGTACATTTTTATCATTTCGTCCAAGAGCGTTTTGAAGCTCAGGATCATCAAAGTGTTGCATGTTTTCATCATTGCTTCCATATTGTACACCTGCTATGCTACACTTTCGAAATTCCATTTCATTTCTTGTTAAAGTGCCCGTTTTATCCGAAAATATATATCTTATAGCTCCTAATTCCTCATTTAAATTTGAAGTACGAGCGTTTGCTGGAGTGTCATTCTCTTCATAATACATATCTAAGTCCCAATTTATAAAAATAGCTTGAAAGAACTTTACTACTTCCAAAGTAACTGGCAATGAAATTGGTATAAGATTATTATAGAGAATTATGAATGTCAGCAGGTTTAATCCAAAGTTGTTTGGCATTGCCTCTGTAAGGAATAGTAAAGAAAAATGGAAATAGAATAGAATATTATTTAATATTTTTAGATGCAGATTAAGGACCTAAATGAATAAAATTGTAAATTAAAGCACCGAAAAAGCCAACCCCAGGCAGTAGTAAAAGGTTAAGCCAGTTTATTTACATTTTTATATAATAAAAATTTAAGAAAAAGCAAATTAATGATTTAGTAAACGGTTTGCGTCCAGATTGATATCTTAAGACGCCCCTGACCGTAGAAGCTTAGTTTACTCAACAAACCTTTGCCTTTGGAATTTTTGACTGTTAGAAATAATTAATTAATTTATTGTAAATAATAGGAAATAAAAAGAGATTTATCTCTTCTCCCTTGTTAATCATTAAACCACACAATTGCTGATGGGGAATAGAAAAAAAAACTAACCATAGAATCCTAAGTACCAATGCGATTTCGCATTTTTATTACTCCAAACTTCGTATAGAATGGCAGATAATAGTGATAAAACCATAAGTCCTGCGAATAGGTAAAGTATTTGATAGTTAGTCATTCGCTCCACGGACGACATCTTCAAGGGAGCTTTAGTAGAGTTGAGAACTAATTTAGTATCTCGACCAGAGTAAGCCACTATACCGAATATCCATCTGGTATTCCTAAGCATGGCTCCTCGTAATAGTAACTGTTCCGGCCCGAGCGGATATACTCCGGATTGCGTATCACGTCCTGCACGTAATTCAATATTTCCCCTGAATTCGTACAAATGCCTATTGGGCTTTTCACAAACTACACGACCCTTAAGAGCTGCTAGGGCTTTATGATCTAACAAGTGTTTAGTTTGGCTTAAACCTTGCCGTATTTTCAAGTTTGTCTCTCCATCTAAGTTTGCTGTCTCTATATAGCACATAGCTTCCGGTTCGGATGAGGATAAAAGCACAATATCTGCTGGAAAGAACGAACCACTAACTATTCTAACAAATTCGCCAACTTGGACGTGACGCCATTCCACAGATTGCCATCCGCCGTTTCTCATAACTTCCACTTTTTGCTGATTAGTTGCTTTATCTGCCCTATGACGTTTAAAATCTTCAAAAATCTCTTTTAAAGCCGACACACATAAGATGAGAAAAAACGGTACAGCCGTTGTGAACTTTCCAGTCGGAGAGACATTTGGTATTTGTTGGAAGCAAGAAATAATTAAGAAGAAAATATTTGCATATTTTCGAAATTGTTCAAAGAGAAATCGGGGAAGAAAATCAAAATAATTATATTTGGATGTTCGTATGGAATTATCTGGGAATTTGACAGCGTGATCAGCAACCTCATTAATTCCTATAGTTCTGTGATCTTGCTCTGAATTTCCAACTCCTATATTGCCTCCGGATGCCGTGTCGTCGCTTGGACCGGCGCTTGTTGGAGTCATTTGATGGTATTCTATTAAAAAAGAAAACGGCGTTAGTGCATATATACAGTATCACTTTCCTGTACTTATATAAATAATAAACAAGGGAAAGCAAACGTAATGGTATATTGACAGTTATGACGAATGTTTCTATAAGAGGAGCATATTATATCAGAATCAAGAGGCATCAGTAAGGAAGTATCTTCCTAAACAGTTAATAAAACATTTGAAGCATAAAACATAAAAAATATGACCACGATATTTCTTATTATTCAACTTTAAACCGACTTATATATTCCTATCCAGGCAAATAGTATAATAACTCTCCCAAGGCGAATAAAGCTATTACCATGGTAACAATCACTGACTATATCATCGTTATAGACGTCAAAATCATCTACAAACTCTTGACAAACTCTCTTTTCTCGGCCAAAATCTTTCAACGCTATCCATTCCATGCGAGTCGAGTTTATAATCTGGAGAGAGAGAGAGAGAGAGATGGCGAGGCGCCACTCGTCTCGTCTCGCGCCAAAAATATAACACTATTTCGGTCAATTAACAAAGAAAAGAAAATAAAACTAATTAGCTTCCTACTCTGATAGATTACAAAATACTTTTACAATTATGCAATCAATTTTGCATATTAAAATTAATAAAAAAAAAGCCAAAAAAAAGCTGGAATATTCTATCTAAATAAATATTCTCAACTAGACTCTTGACACTTTGTTCTGTTTTTTCTTTTAGCAATTTACTCTGTCTCCATTTCTTTAAATAAGTAACTGATAAAAAAAAAACAGGGAATTTGTCTTCAATAATGTTATCACTCACTGTGTGTCGTCATATCACAAGTAAATACACAGAGTCATCACAGAAAAAAGTCGATTTCTATCTCGTTCACTGCGTTATGTTTCTCAATGGAATAGAACAAAATAGTTCGTTTATTCTTTCTTTTAGACTGTTTATATTATTATTTATTGTTTTACTTATTTTAAACTTGAACTTAACAAAAATAATGATAAGGCTTTTTTTAACAGTTAAATTTAGTCAAATTCTCTCCGCCCCTTCTCAAAATGCGAAAATGTCAGTGAATGCAACTTAATTCATTATTGACAATGTCGCTTTCTTTAACATGAAATTATTGATGGATAATAGCTTCTAATATCCATAGTAAATGATGGTGCATTAATTTGCAGTGTGTATTTCAATTTGTTCTACTTAAGCTACACATAAGGTAAAAACAAGTGTGGAAAAAAATCAATAAAACCCACTCCCCACTGTCATCATAGGATGAATAGAGAGAAAATACCAAAAATTCACGGTTCTATAGAATGAATTAATTTCCCAACCCCCTAATGTCCAAACACAACCGGAAGAAACAATTCTATTAAACAATCCAATTTATCTAACTATTATTATGATTCATTAAGAAGAAGAACATTTGGAATATAATAGATTTTTCAGGAGAGCAATTGAAAAACTTTGTTTAGGAAATTGACAAACCTGAAACACTCTTCCTTTTTAAGCTAACCATCGTTGTTGAATGCTGTGCAATATGTTACTGACTACCCAAAACGATGATAGTTAATAGGCCGGTATAGAACAGCTGTTATTTGGAAGCATATGAAAGTTTTTGATTATAGTAAAATGAAGAGCTGATCAGCTCGATTTTGTCTTTTTATTAAGTCTTCTATGACACAGGCAGACGCTTGCTTTCAACCCAAAATGAATGAGAAGATATCTATTGCGCCATCTATTGTTTGATATGTTACAGAAAATTATATATGTAAAAGCTAGCTAGAATCGTTCAGCAAAATCACACCGGATGTATCATATAAAGTAACAATTAACTAACTCATTTCAATTGAATCTATTCTCTGGTAAAATTTATACGTGATCGACTGTAAAATGCAAAGACAACATTCATATTAAATATATACTTGCATATATATATGTGTATATATATATATATATATATATATATTTTAGGTTGGTAGTACAAACCTCTTTCGCAACTAGAATTCTTAAAAGCTTTAAATGGATTAAACATTATGGGAATATGGCAAATACAATTGCTGAATGATTCTTATAGGAGTGAAGATAGTTTCAGCATTATTCATATCCTGTGTATTTTAGGAAACTTATTTTTGACGAGATTAGTAGATCTGGCAATTGTAGCCCTAGATACTTTTAAACAAATTCACTTTTGTCCCTAATATCTAATATAAAAATAATATGAAATTTAAGTTAAAACTTCAAGTTATTCCCTGAAATAGGTAATATTAATTTTATTTTTTATTCCAAACGTTTACATTTTAAAAACTTAATTATCGCTCAGTATTCTGCATGTTAGTTTTATAATTTTAACCGATTCAGACAGAATACATACACAGTTGAAAATATGAAAGAAACTCCACTTTCAAATTGTGAAAGAAATTTCATTTTAAAAGCTATTGAAAATAAAGAGGTTATTTAAACAGTCTTAGTCAATATTATTCCATAATTCACACAGATCTTTAATTCGTTATAGAGATTAGACGGCAGGCAAAGTTATGATTACAGACGAATAAAGCTTGAATTCGGTATAGACCGGGGATGTTGCACCGTGGAATTGGGAGAAACAATGTCTGTATAGGAATGCATACATTTTCTTTTAATTATATGACTTAACAAAATATTACACAACTTTTAGTGTCATGGCGAAAGTTAGCTGTGAAGTTGGTCAGCCAAAACAAACGAGACCTACCGAAGGATTTTTATATATTAATGTTGAGTTTTCACCAATGGCCGAGGCTCACTTCGAACCAGGAAAGCAAACAGAACAAGCAAATGAAATGGCACGAGTATTGGAAAGATGCCTTAGGGACAGCCGGGCGGTAGATTTAGAAAGTTTATGCATCATGGCAGGAGCTAAAGTATTTTCATTTTGTTATCTTTTTCATCGGTACTTTTAGTCCTAATTTGATCAAGGTCTGGAAACTTCGAGTTGACATCAAAATCCTCAATTACGACGGCAACACAATAGACGCTTCAGCTTTATGCTCAATAGCCGCCTTGTCCCATTTTAGGCGGCCTGATATAACAGTCTCAGGAGAAGAAGTTACGATTGTAATACATTTCTTTTTCGACATTTTACCTTCGTCTAAGTTTTTGACATTTATAAATTTTCACAGCATAGTGTAGATGAAAAGGATCCAATTCCCTTAAGTATTCATCACTTACCCTTATGTGTTACAATCGCTTTTTTCCATCAGGGGTAAAAATATACTTTAATACTCAATTAGAGAAGAAAATTTTTAATTATTTATATTTTAGAACATACTGCCTGACTGATCCGATATCAAGAGAAGAAAAAGTTATGGATGGCAAAATGATAATAGGGATGAATAAGCATAGAGAAATATGCACTTTGCAAATGACTGGAAACATGTTGCTAAATAAGGAACAAGTTTTACGGTGTACGAACATAGCCACAGTTAAGATCGTTGAGCTTAATGATGTCCTTCAGAATGCTCTCTCGGCTGATGAAGAAGCAAGGTCTCCCCTAACTAAATAAGCTATTCTTAAAACGTTATTGAATTCATGTTTGTCAAACAGGTCTTCAGGTAAACCATATGGAACATATGTTGCCGATTTCCGAAAGGTTACAGTCAAGGCGGCGGAATCTCCCACTCACAGTATGAGTGAGATAGAAGAGGAAGCGCGCTCAATGCAATTAGATTCTGATAGAATGGAGGAAAGTGAAGAGGAAGTGGTAGAGAATGTTGTAAGTTTAAAAGCCGCTTGACTAATCAAATTACTTATTACGTGTACTCTTAATACAGGTTAAGAACTCCTGGCTACTACGTATCAAAGAATCCAAAGCGAACGAAGCCCAGAAAGTTAAGGATACAATTTGTAGTGAAATTGACGAATTTCTAACAACTCAAAGAGAAATGTCTGACCTTCAGCAGCAATCAATTGTTAATGTCAATATTATTAGATTATTCAAAATAAACTTAATAGTAATCAATTTGCTATTGTAGAATTCTTCAAAAAACAATGGCGCTAAAGGACAAGATCAAGATGCCAAAACAGACACAAAGCGCAAGAGAAACCAAAATAGGCCTAAGAAGAAACCGGATACGCAATCTACCGCCAAAGGTGAAAGTCTCGACTCGGCGACGTCGCAAACTAAAAAAAGCAAAGGGAAGAGGAAGGGAAAGTAAATTTTTGCAAAACAAAACATTTATTTCCCACACAAAAGCTATATTATTGTACTTCAATACAGTTTTATTTCTCAACAAAGTATACGTTTCTTTTATATTTACGCGGAGATAGTGATTTTGAGTATTTGATCTATAAATTTAAAAAAAATTATGATGCATAAATTGACATTATATGTTTTCAAGAGAAAAAAATTTGACGCTTATATACATAAGTTCCATCGATCGATCTTCATACACTCAAATGTTGATTAATTAGAACATAGAAGCCAATAACTTAGCTTGTAAAACAAAAAATCCTATCTAAAAGAACCTTAAAACCTTCAGAATAACTTAGCTATAAATTTGGATGCTAAAAACAAGTGTCTGCTTTTGACGGAAAAATCCGTAGAGCTGTCGTATAGTTCAACATTAACAGTCTCATTCTTACTAAAACATATCCATAAAACAAGTTATTTTTTTAATTCTCCTAGTATTTTCTCCCTCTCTAGACCAAATAAACTCGGCGGTGGAGTGATTTTCGCTATCGCGTGGAATCTAAAAAAAGGGTGATAAAACAATTATATATGTACATTTGCTTAGATATTTGATAAGAAAACAATACTTTTCGCTTTTGTACTTGTCGAAGACCGCTTTCTGAACCAAATGCCCATTTATACACATAGCTTTGTATAAATCGCCCATGCATTGCCTCAATTCCGCGCGAGTATATCCTGTCACGTGCTCAAAATCGTTCATGGACTCCAATTGATCCAAGATAATTCCTGATAAAAACACACTTGAGGCAGCTATATGACTCATTTTATATTGAAGAAACGATTCGGCATCCAACTCAGCCATTTCAACAAAATACTGAAGAAAGCATTTATTAATATTCATTTTCGTTGCATATTAATTACTAAATTAGTTATCACCTACCATGACTAACGAATGAGCTCTGTGTTTAATTCGAAGTCGGCAACAAAATATTTCGGCAAACAAATTACTCGTAGGTGAAACCAATTCAAACATAAGCGTCTTGAGAATCAACTGCTCCATTTTTAACACCTGTTTCATACAACGTTTCAATGACCCTAATCTCTGTTTAAGGCTGTTTCAACACTATTTTCCTATACCTGATTTTTCGTGTAGGTATCATCCGTAATATAGACAAATTCGTTCACGTCTGGGGGGTAGATTTCTTCATACTTTGACGCTATAAACATAGCGGCAGCGCCAACCAATTGCAATTTTGAGCGGAAAACTGACATAACGGAGAGGAACCTGTCCACATAGTTAACAGCCAAACACAAAGTTTCGCGCTTCATTTTGTACTCTTCGGCAACTTCAACAAGCCAATCGACTAAAATCAATCTGTCGATGGAAAATATTATCTAGTAGGGTCTTTCAGATAATCTTACGACTGTATTACCTCATGTTATTTGTTATGTCTGGTTGTTTAGTTAAGTAATCGGGTCTAGGAGAATGTGATAATTCTGATTGCTTTAAATTACGTAGAATGTCTGTGGCATAGTCTTCACACCTGAAAGAGATTTCACGAAGTTCCGTGGGATCACTGATTAGTTTGTTAGCTGAAAAAGAATTTCTTCTCAATTCGGATGGTGGAGCGAAAGGAGATGAATCATCAACAAGCATAGCAGAGTGACCCGAGCCTGAACCAAGAGAAAGTAACATTTATCCCATTAGAAATGAAAGTGATCAGGGTAATAAAATACACTAAAATACACCAACACCCTACATATGGAGTATCCAAATCAGATTTTTTTAGATCAATTTGACCTACACCATCACCTAATGTTTATATACATGTTCTACCTAATTAGTGTTTATCTAATGTCATGCTTTTTAAAGCTGCGATTCTTACAGCTTGGACCTCTACAAAATTCAAATACTTAAAAACTGTTAGCGTCAAAAGACGATTTAAATGCCCTAAATATTATAAATAAGAAGGAAAACTAACTGTCCAGAGCAGGAGGAAGAGCTGAAACAATCGGATTCAGTAATTTCAAGTCATGCTTTATTGGGGATGGTTTGCATTTGTTGATGTCCGTTGGTATGGTTCCAAATGCTGAACGTTTAAGTTGTTTTGTCTCTCTAATTTCTTGATTTTCGCGGAAAATGGCGAACGGCGGATTTCGAAATTCTTTTCTCCCGGGTTGGGCATTTTCGTCGTTATTCTTAATTTTTAAACCACCCTTGTCTGTCACAACCTTGATTTGGTTGGCCTGGGCACGAAAAAATAAGTATAAAAATGCACATGCAAAAACTCATGCAAGTGAAAGTAAGCACCTTCGCGGCTCTAAACGGCTGAACACGAGGTTGTACGTTGGTGAGGGTAGAAAGAGCTGCTCGTTTAGAAGCTGGGGGCTTTGCAGAGTCCTCTTCTTCCATCTTTACTACCTCTTGGCCGTGATTTTCGTCGACACGGTACATTTTCCTGCAAGGCGATATAAAGTTGGCGCCACTAGAAAAGTGACAAAGTAATGCAATTTATGAGTACATACCACAGTTAAAATCGGATAAATGCTTCCTTTGCTTAAACGTCGCCTGATTTTTCAAACCATTAATTTTTAAACAATAAAAAACGTGGTTTGACGACTATTATTGCTGAAATTGCTAACTAAAAATTTGTACAGTGGCGAAAATCGTAGATGCCACTAGTAATATTGAACTGGCCAATCACCAATGAGCGTTTGGTCGGGTACGGAACTCCGTCTCGTAATTGTGTCAACTGCTAGTAACGTTTTCTACGTACCTTTAAACGGTTTATTTTGTCATTATAATTTTAAATTTATTCCATTAAAAGTCCAATAAACCATACACAGAAAAAAATATCTCCTATATTTTTTTTTGACCGATATTAATTTGTATCGACACTATCCTAGTAACTACGCGGCTAATGTTTACCATAGCAACAGTAATGACGTATTTTTTTTTCAAAAAACTACAATTTGAGTTTTATTTGCTTTAACTTCAAACAAATGAGCAATCATTCAAGAAAAGCATCACAGTAAAGAATTCATCTATCACTTCTTCGTTTCTACCAAACATTTGGAATCAGAATGAATCTATCTTTTGGGTATTTTCCCTTAAATCTTTCGATATACCATTTACGGTGAGCAATCGATCTTGGAATGAGATTAGCAAACGTAAACGCGGCAAAAGCGAGACCAGTAGGTGATGATGTGGCAAGAGCAAAGCCTACCCATTCAATCTGTATCAGTTTTAAAGATATGAAACTTTATCGTACATCTGAAATCAATTTGCACATAAGAGATACATACAAACTCTGACCAAAGGTTTCCACACGTAAAATATTCAAAAAGTCCACCTATAGGAAAAGTGAACTTTAATATATCGTTTGTCATAGTAAACAGTTTAATTGGTCAACCTTGTGGAATTTTATAGCCCGTTTCTCCCGGTTTACGTAGATTTCTCAGAATATGATCAGAGTGTAGATTCATAACGAATCCAAAAAGGAATAGCGTTGACCCCAGCATAAATTTAGGACTATTTAACCAATCAGAAGGATAATTACCAACTTTTAATAGGTAAAAGCCTTGCATATATCCATTAATAACACAAAATGCAAAGGCTGCAACGACAACGTAGGCAGCACTTGGTTTTCCTCCCCGAATTAAGAAAGGGTAAACAAAAGTCCTATAAAGCATATACAAAAATATGTTTTAATAAACTACGAAGGTATACTGCTGTACTATTTAGTAAACCGTTATTAACAGTGATTAATACCTCTGAGCGTAATGCAACATAAACATTCCTAACAAAATAAGATTTATAGGTTGATCAGCTTTTGGTGAATTTGTAAACATGTACAGCAAAACGGGTATAAGGAATGCTGGCAATTCTTGAACAAACCAAGCTAGTTTAACATTGATTTTAAATGTTGAAGGAACATCGTATCTTCCGTAAGGTGCATTTTGAACATATACGAGACGAAGATATACTATTGGTGCTAGAAAAATCATTCCCAATGCAAGATAAAACGGTATTGCTGCATTAGTACCATTAAGAAATGTTGACCACAGAATATCCATCATCTTGTCTGAAAACTTTGAGAAAAACGTTCGACCCAGTTAAACAGAACTGTTATAGTCTGCTGAGAGGTTGAAGGTTGCGACTAGAACGCCATCTAAACTACTTTTGAATACAATTCAAAAAACTTTACTGTTGAATAGTAAATATTTTATTTATATGAAAGGGAGGGAGTATAATAATAATAATATTAATAATAATAATACACGTTACTGTATTTACAATAGCTAAAAATATTAAATTTTAAAATAATCGTCGTCGTTTAGACTTTCTAACTTGTTCTTCATTATCTACTCTTTTATCCTTCTTACGACTATTCGTCCTGTACAATCGATACAATTCATTTACATGAGTACAAAATATAATAAAAGAAGCCAAAAAAAAAAAAACAAACAACTCAAAGAGTTAACAAAAGCTATTTTGTTAATAAAAACAAACAAACGGTAAAAAAGAACACAGTTGAAAAAAAGAATTGTTCCAGTGTTGAAAAAACTGTTGGATTATCAAAGCTCAAAAGCCCAAATCAAAGTTAAAGCACTTGCCTTCCTCTCATTGCAGAATGAGCTGAAATAGAGAATATTATAAATAAAAGACACTAAATTGCTGATGGAATTAAATATTAAAATATACCATGAGTTTGTGGCCTCTGCATTAGGAGATCATGTTCTCCCTGAACTAATGAATTTCTGTAAGTTAAAACTGGTGACCAGCTCTCCGTTCTTTTTTGAGCACCTCCAACAGCATCAACCTGTCTATCCAGATAATCGACAACGGCACGTTTATCCTGTTTAACTAATTTACCAGAGAAATCGGTTAACGTTTCCAAGAAAGCTAAATTAGGAGGAACAGAACCAGGAGGGTGACCTGGTGGAACATTGAGGGCAAAATTAATTCCTTCCTGATGTAAAGCGCTGACAGCAAAGCGATTTTTTATATTATCCAGTCCGAATGATAAGGCAAATCTCCTAGCCAATTCTTTTATAGCTTGGAAGCCATCCGATGTCTTTTTGACACTATTCGACCCTTGTTCACTTTGTAATTCTTTGAAAAGGTTACTTAGTGAAATGGCAAGGGTTCTAGCTGTAAGAACCTTATTTATTTCCCTAGCTTTGGCTAGCGTTGCCTTAATTATATCACCATAGTCATTGTAGAATTTAATGTAATTTTGAAATACTATGGCTCCGTCCTTGACAGGAATGCAATTATAAACGATCAATTTGCAAAAGCAAGACAAGAATTTACGTCTTTTATGCAATTCCTCTATCTTTAGATTTTCTGCTTCGTCGTCTTGAACAGCCTCCTCGTCTAAAATGAAAACCCTAGTTTGTAGAAATTGTATCATTTTATCAATTAATTCCCTATCGGCTTCATAGAATAATGGTGCCAAGGCCGCTTTGTTCTTTAATACACTACTGTAATACATCAGAGAGTCGGCTAATATTAGGAAGGCGTCTTCCTGAACTCTCTCTTGCATGTGGTCGAGTAACATAGTGGCATATCCCAAGAAAGTTTCCTGTTTATCCCTAGCCATTTTAATTGACTCAACGCATTCGGCATTCTGTACAGACGAGTGTTCCCACTTGACAAGATGGTGTACAAGAGCCAAATGAGAGGAATAGAGAGATCTTACTACAATTTCATCTGGTACCTGAGAAGAACCTGGCCTAAGGGCTACTTTAACAATATCAATATTAGATTGCCATAAAGGCCAACTGTTTAGGTCATGGTACCGCCACAAGGCGTGCAATCTTTTCATCGAAGCCGCCAAATTGTACGCCAAGGAACTGTCTTCATCCACTTGTCGTCTTCTTCTCGAGGTCTCTCTTTGAGAATCAAAGTAGTTGCTATAACTTCTAGCAAAATTATCGACTAAGGCGTCCACTAACGTTGATAATGCAACTTGACATCTCCTTGCAATTGCGTAGTCATCATCAACTAAAAACGATAAAACTTTAGATGCTCTCTGCAGAACTTCGTCGTCCGTATGCATTTGAACAATATTCGCAAGCTGTGAAAGAAGATCGTCTAACTCTTGTTCATGTCGTCCGGAAGTGTACATGTCAAATTCGAAATGCCAAACAAACATTAACAAATTTTGTAACTTGTCAGCATCATTTGAATATTTGGCCAGTAAAAGCGGCAACGCCGTTATAAAGTGTTCAGTAACTCGAGCTTTTTCTTCTGCAACTTGTTTCGCTTCTTTCATAGACAATTTCCTGGGTGCTGGACCGCCTCTGCCCACAGGATATTCACCGGTAGTTGCTTGATGCATAGCGCACGTCATAATCTCAACTAAAGCGTTTTCTTGTCGATCGTCCAGGGGCTCTTCGTTTGGACCAGATTCTTCTAATAGTAAATCTGTCATACAAGCATAATCACGAAGCATGGTACAACAATCGTATAAACTGTCAACTAAATATGTTGCATGTTCATGTAGCTCGCTTTCGAGAAAGAATTGAACTAAATCTCTCATCATAGGAGTATTTTTACTCCTTGTCTTGCCAGAGCCGGATACCAACTGTTCATAATCTGCCTCTTGTTCCCCTCGAAGTAGACGTAAATTGAGAAATGCTCCAGCTGCTGCTGCATGACCTCTGTGAGCCGAATAAACCAACTCATAGACGTTTTCACAATCCTTATCACTGAGGACATGTTCGCCAGATTCTTCATTAGGAGGAAGATTTCTAGCAATACTAGTAACCAATTGAACAGCGGCTACAGATACTTCGTATTCTTTATCTAAAGTCATTTCGACAAGACGGTCTTTAAATCTATTCGTGAATAATTCCAATTTTATGGCTGAATCGACATCTTCGTAAATCGATTGAAGAGCCTTAATGCAGCATAAACGAACCGATCCAACTTTGTCGTATAGGGACCAGCCAACGTATTTCAAATACGAGTCGTCTAAGAACATATTTGGATGCTTTCTCATCCATACTCCTATTTCGGTCAAGCATATACTTCTGATATCGGGTTGGCTGTCTCTGTATCTATGAACGAAAACTCCTTTGAAGATGTAGTTTAACATACTATGAATTATTTCCTGATTGTCGCTTATTTCTCTTTTTTTATCTAACAGCATATCTAAACGTTCTTTACTTTGTCTCGACTCATTTTTGTTTTTCTCCGCATCGTATTGACGTTGTGTATGATCGGCGCTAACGCTTAACGCTAATGCGACATCAACAAGAGCCGTCATAAACTTCATAGCAATCAGAGTGCTTGTATGTCTAAAAGCTCGTACTTGGGAATCAGTTAAACCGGTTAACATAGAAATAACATTATCCATCAACTTTTGATCATATAGAATAGTATGTTGACTCTGTTTGACAAGAGACTGAACGAAATCGCATAAATGCGTTTTGAAGCGTTTCCAAGTAGGACCAGGCTGAATCAAAGGATAGGCACTTGAATCTTCGTCAAATTCCTCGGTCATCTGCCTAATTATATCTTGATGAGTGAGATTCTGTAAGCTATATTTTGTAATTCGTCCACTGCATCCAGCACAAGAAACGAAAAATTGAATTATTTGAACCAGGCCTTCGTCTGAATCTTCTTCATAGGTTGCCATCCACTCGTCCACAATATTATTAATGGCAGCTCTTCCATCCTTAACTAGTTCGAAAAGTTCACTGATCGGCTGTTGCGGAGTAATGGGCTGTGACATTTGAGGCTTTCGTCCTCTCGGTGTATGACTGACAGTTTGCTGAGGCGTTTTCCGAGGCTTTTTAATAGTTGATTGTGTCTTTGGTCTTTTTGTCGGTCGGGCGTCATATTCATCTTCGGATTCTTCATCCACTCTATATTAGACCGGCATGAATTTTAGCATATGACAAATAACGCAAAAGTACTTTACGTACATTGAATATTCTGATCCGTCTAATGTCTCTTCGTCCGGATGGCGTTTCGAAACACCAGCAGTTGCTCGCTTTGGTCTAGGCATCTAAAGAAAAAAAATATCAACCTAGAAAAATGGCGCGAGATGAACAAGCAGACTAAAATAATGGAATCGGGCAACAAAGCAAAAAAATTGCAACCAATTCCACCTGTATATACTAAATTAAAATAATGGAAATCACAAAATATCATAAGAGCTATCTTACTTTAATGATAAATTAGAAAATATTTAAATAAAATTGAGAAATCCTGATTAATGGAAACGAGGCTGCGGTGTTTGATGTGGTTACTAGTCAGGTAACCTGTTTTCAAAAGATAAAATATACTTGAAAATTTTTTATCAGTTAACAATTTTTTATCATTTAAGATTAATCGATTTACAATCGTTAAAATATTTCCGATAATTTTATTGACCAATTGGACTATCAATGAGTGATTAGAAAATTAAATGCTCCGAGGGTTATTCAGCTAGTCGGGTACTGTTTCCGGTCACTTGCACAGTGATCCTCCAAGAAAAAATAAAGAATATTGGCTTGAAACAGATTTTCTGAAGTTTGTATTATTTATAAATTTTGTTTTTCTAGTTACTCACTCCGGTAACAGCTTACGATTGGTCTATCAATTGATGCTTGTCTATCTTTAAAGTCTGTTTAATTTGTATAAACTCATATCTCGTATGGAAAGTACCATCTCTCGTAAAACAAGACGACAATGTCAAAGAATTATATAATAGCAGCTGTTTGGCCACAAGCAGGAAGAAATTACGACATTTTGATTGTTTAGCGTGAACTATAATAACGATCTAGACAATACCTTTTCAGAGCTCTTTTATTGAAAGAGCGGTATTTGTTTAATGCATTCACAACATTCTGTTAATGTAATTGACACAGACTTTGATGGTCAGTAGTAAACGACCAGACAGTTTGACCTAAAAGACGTCTAGTTATCATCTAATTTTACGGTTTGTTTGAAAACAAGGATTTTATTACAACTTTAGAAAGGAGGCTAAAATTAGCTCGTCACTTTTATGATGAAAGACAGAAACTAGCGCACCGAAAAAAGTCATAACGTCAGTTTCTCCTTTAAGCTACAGAATATTGACTAAAAAAAATATTGGAATTGTTTAGACTTAATCCGAAATTATTCTAACGTTTCTAGCATCTGTCTCTTTCTCTTTATTGTCTCTTTATGTTTTATTATAGCTTTCGTTAAATATTAAAGTTCTGCGACTAAGGAGGACCAGTTTTGATAGATTACGTGAGCAATCGTGAATAATTTAACGATTCACAATAACCTCTATTTATAACAGTATTACTTTGCAAAGCCTCTATGCTTATTCTCTCCTCTATGTATATCGTTGATTATACTAATATTTCTTTTGCCAACAGTAACGAAATGAACTAGGACTATTTAACAACGCAAGAGGCAAAGAATAGAAAAATTATGTCAGTTCAATCACCTACATCGGAAGAAGCAAAGCTTCTCTCACCAAGAGAATATAGGATGCAGTTAGGTTGGTGTATATTTTTTTCTTCTTTATAAAATTAATGATTCATTGCCAATGAGTCAAGACGTCTGAAAATCTCATTAGACGCTCCTCATCGATTTTTTTTACTGTCTTTTTTTAACCACTTACTTGATTTGACCGTAGCCGATAGATGGCATTTTAAAAAAATCTAAATCCCCCAAGTTGGTTCTAAGAAAATGTTATGTATTTAAACTTGTTATTAATATATATGTGTATTAAGATGTATACATAAAAAATGGAATATTTATGGGAAGAATTGCGCGTAATGATATTCTAACGCTTGGGATATGATTATATTCGTCGCTTATGCTCGAAAACGTAATGCTTTTGACAGTGACGTCGATACTAATAATTCTGCTTGTAGAATTCGAACTTTTAGCAGTGGGGCGGAATAATGGAATATTTATAATAGTCTCGCCATATTCGAATCACGGGAGAAGGATCGATCATAAAGTAGTAATAGGTAGATGACGTCTACGATAAGCAAGATAAGGGCTGATCTATTGGGGGCTGACTAGAGAGTTAGCAATGTTGTTTGACAGGTGATTTATCGCGATGAAGAAATCCTTTGCGTCGGCAGCGGCGTTCTGCCCCATAATCGAATTGTGACGCTTCAAACGCCCCTCCGACATTCCGCTAAACGCTTAGGCTTCTTTGAAAACGGTCGGTTTGAGGGAAAATAATGAAATTCTATTCCCATGATGTGCCCTTGGTATGAATGTTAAAGCGAAATTTGACGCAGAAATCTTACACGCAGAAATCAAACTAAATCTATTCATCTCACGGTTCTCCCCGAGCGAATATAGTGCCAATTTCTTTTGCTGTACGATCTTTCGACCCGCACTCTGCAATATTGCCTGTACTCGGCTTTTAATAAAAACGATGATTCTCTCACTTGTAATTGTGATAAATCGGCTGTGTTTGTTAATTGGGAAGCATAGGTTGATAGAATGATGGACGACGTTTCGGACAAGTTGAATGAATTGATTGAACCAAAGTCCAAAGGCTTCATGACGCCTCTAATCACGTTTTCATTTACAGTCTTTCCTACGGTTCTTCCCCGCCCCACTTTTCTCCCCATATCCGTCTACTAGTGCTTCTTTGCTTGCTCTCAAAGCTCGTCTTATCAAACCAACTGCCACTTTTCATTCGAATATGAATACAAAGCCTTTCGCCTTGACGTCATCGAATATCGTAAATTATACAATAGACGGCATCAAGTTATTTTTTTTCGTGACAAGCAAATATCATTTGTTTAAATCAACTAAAGCGCCGTTCCAATAAGTTTGTGCCTCGAATCTATGATAAGTTCCAGTTGTCCGTTTTCCAGTCTATTTTCTAGTTTAACGTCGAGAACGATGTATTGCATAATACAAAAAAATCGGGTTTACAAGCATCTACAAAGACTTGCCATAGAGGGCGTATTTGCAGTGATCCGTAGACCGGTAAAAGTTGTTGGTTTGCCACTCGTCTTCTAAACGCATCCTAAAACAAGTTGTACATTTTTTATACGAATATTTTTATAAGGAAAATAAAATTAATATGAAAAAGGTATGTTAATTGTTGAGAAAGTACAGTCATATCGAATTTTTGTTACCTTTCTTCTTCTCGTACATTGTTTTTGCAGTTGGGCGTTTTCATAATAAAAATTTCTCTACTCTTGAGTACAGTTATTCAATTTTTATTGGTTTTCTTTTTTAGATTTTCTATGTTGACTATTTTTTTAAAGTTATAACTCTTTTAGTTGTTTTTGTTGTAATTGATGAAGTGAATGATTATTAATGATTTTGCGGCAAAAGTAGACTTGTCAGTTTTCTCCCACTAAATCCAATTAGCTGTTGATAGAATTCGGTTGATTCCTAAATGCTTCACGTCGATATAAAGAGGATATTTTCAACTGAATAATAGGTATAGAAAATGGGAAAAAATAAAATAAATAAATAAATAAACAATAAAGAGAAACGTAAATAGAATTTACTGTATTAATAAATATCTCTGGATGGTTTATTGCTGTACATTTTCAAGTTGATTTAACCCAGGTCAACACATTTATTTCATTTTAAAATAGTCACGCAATTCCTTTTCCGCCAATGCCTTCTAGGAAAAGGCGTCTGCACGCGGCGTTTAAAATGAATAATTAATCGTTTTGCAACTGTTTGTCGTACGGAAGGTGAGTGTTTGAACTAGGTAATGCGCTCAAATAATCGCCCAACTGCAATTATATACTCGACTACCCTTCCATTCTCTTAAAACGTCTTATTCCAGTTGGTTCAAAAACAATAAAGCGCTATGGCTCTCATATTGGAAGAAAACGGTAACTTATTGAACATTTTTGATCAGGAGAGATTTAGCTACAATAAAACGAAGAGGTTATTGACTGATCGAGAAAATAATAATTTAAACGTTACGCCATTGGGTAAACGTACTGCAATTTCAATTGAGGAATATGGTAGAGCTCTTCTTGGGAAGAAGATAGTAAATTCACCTATCAAACTTAGCGAAAATGTTGAGAATCGCATGAGGAATAGTTTACCTCATTCTAAACGAAGACGATTTTTTAATCTTAACCGATTTTGGAATAACGGCGGTGCGCTTTACAGAAGACTTCAGAGGTGGGAAAAAACCTGGATTTTGGAACATAATCCGGTTTACTTTGACGACATTATGGCGGCTGAAGCGTTTGACGTTTTTGCCGCCGACGATGAAATGTTGCATAGTAGTAAGTTAATTAATTACGATTTAACGGTTAATTTCTCGGGGGTTTATTATTGAATTTCTCTTCTCCTCTTATCTCCCACGTTTGTCATTAGTGAGTTCGCTTTGTAAGAAGATTAAAATTATCGACCCGGTTAATCATTTTGACTTTTGGTTAGAACAAGCAGAAGCGTCTCTTCCACTTCGGCGAATCCTTTATATTTTCTAGACGCTTTTTTTTTGCTTCGTTCGATAGTAATGCGTTAACTTTTCTTATCTTTCTCAGAAGCCATAATTTTTGAAGACAAATACATTTATTTATTTGACAATAACAATTTGTTTGTCAAGGGCTTAGACGCTACTAACAGATAGCGGTCTGCGGGTTTTGAACATTGAGTCCACTTTAGATGAGAATGGCTTCTCTTGCGTCGTAAATTTTGTTTGAGTTACGTCTAAGGCTTTCTTGTTTAAAGATCGACGCATCGACGCTCTTTTGTAAGCATCTAATGATAATTCTGTACCTCTTCGGATCCAGTTAGCGGCGCCGTCTGTTCTGTTTCTATTATATAACATGTACAAGGACACCAATGCTCCCAGTACGGCTACACCCACAAAACTATAAAATAAATAGGAAATTGACGAATTATTGTTTACTTCTTCTTTAACTGTAGATTTTGTCGAGTGAAACTCGCTAACGCATATCGGTTCTATAAAGTGACCTTCGCATCCGTATACGCACGTACCATCGCGCCTTTTACATTGTCTCGCGTACTTGCATTGCCCGCAAGTCTTATTACAGTATTTTCCCCATGTGTTTCCTTTGCAGGTACTTTGCAAACTTGTGTCAGTTTCGTTTTTAAACGCACTACATTTAATGATTTTGATCGACAATGAACTGAGGCAAAAAATAGTAAAAAGCATTTCCATTTATTTTCAAATATTTTTAAATTGTCAATATATTCATCTTTTCAATTGTAATTTATTTAATGAAGATAACTGATTAATTAAAAATTTAAAAGTAGTAAATTTTAAGATTAATAGCGTTAAGAGAATTAAACTAAATGGAAGATAAAGGGGAAAAAAATTACCAATTATCTTTTTTTCCCCATTTTTCAAATTTCCTGGCCTTGTCTATTCCTTTTTCTTTTGAATGAACTAAGAACACGTCAGATTGCGGAGTTTATCGGGTCAGGCAGCGCATCCCAGGGCGTGTACGGTTCATCAATTATCCACCGGGCTTTTTCATTCCGGGAAGATTGTGACGTAAGATTCCAGATGATGGTTGATGGGTAACCGGGGAACGAACGGAATGAGGGAACGTAGAAGGGAGGAATGTCGTATCGATCGTCGATTTTTTCTTTTCGTACAAAAAAAGGGCGTTGATTGAATTATGGCCTGGACGCGGGAATTTGAAAGACTCGACCACCGGAATCGGAGGGACAAAGCTAATTGAAACGGATCAGTATTCGAATTTGCGACGGGCTAGCGTCGTAATTGAGAAGCGTTCACGTGACTGGAATACGTAGGATTTAAGGCGTTTAAAAGGTTTTTCGCTAGGGCGAGAACTCTCCATATTGCCCAATGTCACTTGGGTGTCGTTGAATCATCATACAGGCAGATTGGCGTTCGCGCTATTTTTTTTTCGTTTTCCCCATTTCCCTTTATAGTAAAGGTTGGAAGCTTAAAAAAAAGAAATCTCAGGGATTTTAGCAGAATGGGCGTTTTTTTTGCTGTATCTCATTTTCGCTAACGTACGTTTTTTTTTTGCTTGCAAGAGCAAAGAGTTCTCACCATTTTTTATTATCAATAGGCCTTAATTGTACATCACGCAAGGTATATGACGTGCTTTCTAATTACAGACAACGAATCGATGACGAGCTTCTCGAATCCAAACTATACCCTGCACGCTGACGCCTTGAATAGTAACCTACCGGATGTTCATACAATTGGCATGAAATCGCCAGAAAGTGATGATAGTACATTCACATCTCCGACAACCGGAGAACAGCGCCTAGTGCGAGTACAACATTCTATTGATGATGAGGATGAGCAGGGTAATCGAGGTTTTAGCGGCTATTATTCCTCCATCGCCTTCTCGAAGGATCCCATTAGTAATGACAATACCGGACGGAATACGTTAGTAAAAACTTCTTTAATTGTATTCTTTCTTGTTGCATTCTATTTCTCTTCCTCTACATCCATTATCAATCCTTTTACCTTTATATTACCTTAAATTTATTAATATATTCCTTAATAGATACGATTCAATCGTTAATTCGCCCGACTCAAATGATAGTGGGATTCAAGCTGATTCTAAGCGACTTCCAGACGGTTGGGAGAAGCATGAGGGTAAATGTTCGAATTGAATTCAAATAAGCGCCATCTACAAAGTTCTTTAACCTTAATTGAGTTGCTTAATTCTGTTTCACAGACGAAAATGGACCTTATTACTGGCACGTAAAAAGTGGTAAAATACAAAGAGATAAACCGTCCGAAGAAGAGGTTTGCGTCTCAGTCGAACAATTAGATCAAGCTCTGGCCAAGCAGTGTTCCACAACTAAGGAAACTAGGTCGGTAAAGAGAATACAGAATACAAATTTAGAATTGCGTGACCGGAGCGAACAATTTTCTTATTCTTTTCTTATATCGAACCTCTTTATGATCATCGCCTATTTTTAAACTTGATCCACTTAAATTCTCTATTTTACGACAGATTTTTGTGTTTTCCTAAATTTTTCTTCGTGTCTATCTCTGGGTTCTTTGTCTCGATCTCTTCCGCTTGTTTCTCTTTCTTTCTTTATTTATCTATGCCGTTATTTATCTAAATCTATCCATCTATCTATCTCTTTTATTTCTATTTCCCATCCTATTAATTTTAATAATTCTATTAGCAGAAGAATATATAGTTAATTTATTATTCTAACAGTAATGAAACACGAAGATGCCAATTATCTGAATCGAATGAAACTGAAAAACCCGTTCGTTATGCTGTACGGTCTTTAGGATGGGTTAGAATGCAAGACGAAGACTTGACTCCGGAAAGGAGTAGTAAAGCGGTGAATAAATGTATTGTCGACTTGTCGTTGGGCAGGAATGATATAAACGACGTTGTCGGACGTTGGGGAGACGTAAGTTTAAGTTTTTCTTTCTCCTTTTCTCCTAAAGTGTTTTTTAACGATAAAGTATGTTGACTTAGCACTGAATAGTTTTCGCTTTCAATGGCTCCGGCCCTGTTAAGCCGGGCAATTGTTGAACAGTTTAAATGTGCTGACGAGAATGAACGGCACGTTTTGGTTAAGCCTTATTATATTCGGTGTTGTTTTCTTAATAATTTGGATAGTATGCTATACGAAAAGGATTTTTAAAATGATATTCGTTTATTGTTTTGAGAGGATAAATACAATTAAAAAACGTCGCGAGAATAAAAGAGCTGATAAATGCGTTCAAACAACAGAAGAGATAGAAAGATTAGAGCCATCAGCTCCGCCTCCTTATTCTCCTCCATTGGAACCTATTCATTTTGCTTGTAAAGAATGTATATTGGGAAATGAACAGCGACTTTAGAGAATACTTGATATTTGCCCTGTAAAACGTGACGTTTTTATGAAGCAGAAACCGACTAATCCTATTTAGCAGCGTGAAATTGTCAATGACAGCTAACAGACCGTAATATGTATATACTTCATGATAAACTTGTATAAATAGCGGGCCTGCGCAAATCTTTATTTATCTCTACCCTAACTCATTACATTTTAATTTTATTATATATATATATATTAATATGGAAAAAGGGCTGAGAGTTTTTTCATATATCTATCTATCTATCTCTATATATATACAGTATACATTATATTTAACTGTTGTATGATTTTCATACTTTTTAAGTATTATTTGTTGATGACTAATGAGTGATCTGTTTGATTTGTGCTTTCTCTTCATCTATAAATAAAAGGGAAAAGACTTATATATGGATATCGATATGGAATGCCTAAAGTTAATTGATCCTCAAGATACCACTATCGTCAACGTTCAACCTATACATTCGATAAGAGTTTGGGGAGTTGGACGAGATAATGGAAGGTGAGTAATTTTGGGAGGGACTTGCATAAAATATACTATGCTAATATGAAAAGAGAGAATGACTCTCGTTTCTTTTCTAAATTATCTCTTTTTTCTCTTTTTCTCCTTCTCTTTCTGTCTCTTTCTATCTATCCATTTATCTATGTATCTATATATCTATCTATCTATTACTATTTTCATTCCTTTTTTTTTCTTTTTACTTATTTCTTATTCTTTCCTTTTTCTACCATTTTATTTCTTTTTTATTCCTCATCCTACTCTTATCAACTCTAACATAAACTAGGGAGAGGTATTAAAAATAATTAATAGTTGATTTTAGTAAATGATAAGACCATAGATAATTTTTTTTTGTTTCTAGTTCCCTTCCTTTTATTTGATTTTGTTTTATGATTCTTGTTTCTCTTTAGCAAATTTTTTTTTTTTAAAAAAACACACAAAACATATAATAATGTCTATATAAATTTTGTAATTAATTTTGTCTTGGTGTACTTGTTATCAACCTCTCTCTTCCTCTTTCTCTTTACCCCTGAAATTATCCTCCTAATCCCGTAGAAAAATAGACTCTAAACCCTCTTTAATAAAATTTTAACCTTATTAATGGAATAGTAGCTGTAATGCTTTTTTCTTTTTGTTTTGTTAAGCTATTTAATATATTTATGATTTATTTATTTGTGTTTTATATAAATATATATTCTCCTTTCTTTTCCTTTAAACAGAGACTTTGCTTATGTAGCTCGCGATACGTCCAGCAAAAGGCACATGTGCCACGTTTTTAGATGCGATACGCCTGCCAAACAAATCGCCCATACTTTACGAGACGTTTGCCGAAAGATTATGCAAAAACGAAAATTTGCTCAGCAACCTTGCGGTGCAGGTTCGGCCAGAAGGCCGAATAATTTGCCGAATCTGGCCGATAGAGAAGGTGCAACCGGATGTCATGAATCAGCCAATTTTGATGCCGTCTACAGAGCTACAAGATTTCCAACTCCAATGGAGGAGCCTAGAAAGATGGTTAAGTGCCACTATTTGGGTAATTGCCAAGTGGCAAGACCAACAGGCATCGATGTACTTAACCAAGCAATGGATAAACTGTTAACAACAGTACCTCGAGAAAATTGGCTATTAGTTGCGGTATCTATAGCACCGTCAACAATCACCATAGCGGACAGCGCAGTAAGTTTCATTTCATTTGTCTAGGCCTAAAAGCATCGCAAAATTTATTATGAAATATTTTTATAAATTCGCAGAATAACGATCACGTATTAGCCGAATGTCGAGTTCGTTTCTTGTCCTTTATGGGCATATCAAAAAAGAACATTCAGTAAGTCTTCCTATTCTCTTTTAAACATAATCTTGTCTTTTTAAAAAGGTGAAGTAGCCGTAATTCTTTTTTTGATCTATTTCTTTTCTTTCTTTTTAGAGTGTTAGCTTTCATAATGCATACCGTTCAAGATTCATTTATAGCCTATATTTTCCACTGTGAACCGACTGCTGGTCCCCTTTGTAAAACTATCGAGGCGGCTTGTAAAGTGCGTATAGACATTATATTGATTGTATAATTCTAACCTGTTTCTTTACTTTTCGGATTCACCACTCTCCAGTTACGATTTCAAAAATGCTTAGACGCCCACCCACATACACCGGACGGAAGGGCTAAAGCCGCTCAAGCTTCTAGAGTAAGTATTATCCTTTAATTAGATCTTTCATTCCTTTCTCTCCTCCTCCTAATTTGGTGGTGGGAGAGCAAGGATCACATAGGATTTTCCATTAACTAGCCAAAGTCTTCAAAAAAAAAAAAATTGCCCATTCTTCAGGCCTATGGGAGATTTTTACGCTTATATAGACTTATTATCAAGTTTTAAGGGTTAAAAGAAAAGAAAAGAAACCCAATTAAACACTATTATTGCACGTTAGCATTATTGGTTTATTTTTATTGTTTTTAACTGTTGTTTGCATGATTTACGCGGGATTTTTTCTTTTTTTTTTTGCAATAACTCAATACTAAAAAAGTCCCTATATATACTGTATATACTATTTATAAGTATAGACGGTATTACGTCTCCTCTAGTCGTCCTCATCCATAGTGAAAAAAAAAAGAAAAAAAACCTTTTCCCTTACTTCTTTTTCCACCCTTTTCCCATACCCTAATTAAACAGCTGCAGAAAGAGAAGGAGAGAAGAGAATTAGACGCTCAACAACCACTAAACGTCTTAGCGAATAAACTAGGTACGAATGTCAATGGAATTCTGGAAAAGGCCAACAATATAAAGATAGGAGTTAGTTCGACCTTCGATTCAATCAAGTCAAAATGGTTTTCATTCTAGTCACTTGTTTTAAGTGTTGTTCTTATTTGCATGCCAAGTTTGCACCTTGAATTTTAATGTTGTGAGTACATTATTTTTATTCTTAGTAATAATATTTATTCTTAATCTTCTTTCTTTCTTTAATTGTTGTTATTGTTATTATTTCTCTTTATTTTTTCTCCCCTTCCCTCCCCTACATTCTCCTTTATTTACATTAATTCTTATAACAATTTTTTCCCATAGAATATGTTTTCATTATTTTTAATTCTTTTTTCTTCTACTCCTTCGTAGATACTGTATAAAGGTGGAGAATTGTTTTTTTTCCCTTACCAACAGTACTATTACACTATTTTAAATACGAGGAAAGCTATTATAACTGTAATAACACTAACAGCTATTATATTTATAAACATAATAATAATAATATATAAATAACCAAGCCCCTTTTTTTTCTTTCTTATAAATCGATCTATTTTTTCTTCTTGTTTATTTATTCTTTATCCTTATTCCTTTTTACGTTAATAAAGTTTCTTTTTTCCTTTTTCTTTTCTTTTAGGGATTTGGAGCTAGTATTAAACAAGGAGTTCAAACCGTCCTTGGTAAAATTGGAAAGTCTAAATCCAAATCTGAAACCTAAATTATATAGACATTATACATCTCTACAAAACCATATTATTATTATTATTAATATTATTATATTGATATATATATATATATATACTGTACATTAAAAAAAAGATGTTGATGGAAACAGTCGGAAAGAAACAATGGAAGATTTTTAAAAAAAAATATTTAAAAACAATCAAAACAAATATCAAGTTTACTTGCCAATTTTCAGTATCAATAGATGATGGATGGATGGATGAATGAATGGATAGATGGATGGATAGATGGATAGATGGATGGATGGATGGAAGACAAATAAACATACGAAAAAGAATCGGCCATTGTTTTTACTTTTAAAAATTTTTTTAATATGTAGAAAATAGAATTAAATCTTTAATTTATTGATTGAGATTGATAATATGATGATGATTATTATAAAGAATGCTGTTATATTGTATTTTTATGTATATTTGTGCATAAATAATTATATATATATATATATATATATATATAAATGTTTGAATTTTGAAGATAAGGATTAATATCCTTCTAGAACAGAAAAAAACGCAATGATTTAATATATTTTCTGCAATAGTTTTATCGTCTACAAATGCTCATATTTATATAGTTGTGTATAAAAGACTCTCCAAATATATATATATATATATAGTTGATACATCATGTTTTCGTAAGTTCAATTGTTAAAGAGAAACAGAGAATTTCTTTCCGAGTTAGGTGGTATTAATGAAAATAAATAAATTACATATATATCTCTAATAAACAGTGTATTCACCTTTATATATATATATATAGAGTATATATAATCTATATAACATAAATGCTAATCCGCGTGCGAGAAGAGACGTTTTATAACAATTTAATTATATTTTCTTGCCTATTATTTCCTCAGGCCTATTGTTATGTTTCGGAATTAACAACATATTCTATATTCTATAAATAGTATATAAAAAAAAATGAGAGGAAATGTAATTTTTTAAATGATAAATGATTACGAAATAAATGAAATTAAAATGCAAATGAAGTGTTTATGGATTGTTTGTCTTAATTCTAGTTTTTGTTTAACTGTAACAGTTTTAATATATTATTTATTAAAAGTTGAATTTGTATTTAAAGTATGTCAATTATTTTATATAAATATACTGTATATACATGAAGTACCATGTTTATTCATAGGTTGTATCTATATGGAATAATGATAAGATCTCTCCTAGAATAGTTAATTACATCACAAGTGACGAGAATGTTAGACATACTTTTTTTTCAATGTTCAACAGTACTATCTATCAGAATTACTCTGCTGAATCTTGCGATTATAGACGTTCGATAAGGTTATTTGGGAACTTTGGTAGAGAGAATAGGACAAGATCCTTCTATTTAAAAAACATATTAGGATTAAAAGGGAGTAGCAATGGCGGTAGTAAAAGTGGTAGGGAGATAGATGATGATTGTCTCTTGAAATTACCTTATGCGAGCTACGAGCCAAAGATAAATTCGAACATTTTAATAACATTCTCAAAGTCTGTTTGGCAGATCAATTACATACATAGTTTATGCCTGATCGAAGAGGAATTATTCGTTCTAAAAAGCTGTAAAACTGGACCAGATTGCCCAAGAGATTTCAATATGGCTTCCCTTCTATCGGAATATTATAACAAAACTTGTCGGGATTTAAACACTGGATTATTATCAACCGTCAGGCATCTAATCGAAACCTGTTGGAGATCTTATAAGCAATATGAAAGGCTTTATATATATTGCTTAGACGATTATCGAATGAACTGCTCAATCCCTTTGACGTGCAGACGTTATGGTTGGCTAATCGTTTCACTTTTAAGCTTACTTCCTCGTCAAGAGCCTCTAATGTCCAGTGGAACTTTATATATGGGCTTTCGTTTTAACGATAGCAACAATTTCAATAAATTTTCTATTCGATTATTTGACGATATAGCGTTAAAGAAAACAAAATTGATGGGAATAAGTTCGAATGATTCACTCCTAAACGAGATTGAAATGAAAGAGATAATAAAGAGTAAAAAGTTTGCAATTTTTGCCTTACTCATTTTCGTATCCCTCGACGCTCTATTGACGTCACTATTTTGGGCAATAGTCATCTTACAGTATTATATATTTTCTATGACTGTCTCCCTCCTTGTAGTAAGTTTTTATGAAGTTCACATTCTATCTTTCCTGGCAGGCATGCCTTTTATTATTCTCATGATATGGATAGGTTGTTTTGGTAAGGAAGAAAATAGAACAGGAGTAATAAGGAAAGCAATCCTTCCAGTTAGCATTAATTTTGTTTCATTAGCCTTTCAGCTAATGGAAGGCACGAACGCTTCTATTAATTTAGTCATTTGTTCCTACACGATGCTAATCCTATACGTTTTATTCGGAATTTACATACTGCCCTTGCTTTTATCTTTTAAAGTCGGTAAACAATCTAGGACATTGATCAATTGTTCAACGGTTAACAGTCAAGATTTAATAATGAAAGAATCGACAGATAAGGGTAACGACCGACAAACTGTTAAGCCATTAGAGAAAACCATAAATTTCTCCGCATTTTCTATTTTGCCGGTCATTTACGTTTGTCTTCTTTGCGGAACAATCTCATTACAGTATGTAATGTATTCTGTATATAGGACACCAGAAATCCTTCGTCCTCAAGTCCTAAACCTAGACCATCCTTTAATGAATTATAAACGAATTTCTGGAGAATTTGATTCTATTGGATCTTATTTAAATATGACGATTGTAGTTGATTTAGGTAGTGATGACTCTATCTCATGGGATTTCATAGAGTGGGCTTCAAATTCGTGTAACGCTTTAAAAATGAACAATTATACAACAACCGTCTGGAAGGTTCGCAGATGCTTCATGAAAGAACTATATACGGACATTAAGCAACAATGTAACAATAGTAATAAATATTGTCAGACAAGGGAAATGATCGGAAATCTCTCCTTAGCAGTAATTAAAAGGTATCCTCATAAATATCTATTTATGGATCATTTACTTACGGATAATACTGAGAGAGGAAGGAACTTTTATGTATTAAATTTGCAACTTGACTATCTTATTCAATCTAGTTTCGTTGAAGAGGAGTGCTTAAGGCAGAATATGATTTATGAGTGGAATATTTTACGATTGGCTATGCCTAGCAATTATCCAACAACTGTACACTTTCCGGATTTTGGCTTCGGGGTTAGACGATCGTTGTCTTGGCAACCTCTTGCCTCTGCTCTCTTACAATTATTTAGTGGTACTACGGCTTCGTTCTTCCTTAAGATTGATTTGCGTACGGGTTTAATCATGGTTATTAGTATATTATTAGCTAGTTTTTCCAGTATAGGCTTAATGCTATTAATGAATAATTTAATAACGGTTTTACATGTAATGGCCATGCCCTATATGATAACAATTGTTTGTATTTTGCATCTTTTAACTTTAACTGTTGTCGTGCAATTTAAAGGAGAGCAGAGAGTGACAAGGGTTTTATCGGCCTACAAAAGTGTCACTAATCCATCGGTCACCATGATTGGTACTATGTCGTTGATTACCCTGTTCTTCTCCCTAACCGATTCTACTCAATACATCTATAGTTTATTTCAAATAGCATTAATTACGATTATTGTCGCTTGGATATTTATATACTGTTTCTTTTTGCCGTTTATCAATATCAGTTCGATGCCCCCATCCTCGCTAAGAGACAATTTATTACGGAATAAACTGAGCGATGTTGTCAGTTCGGAGAAATCTTTGGCTATTCCCTCTAATAAAGACGATGAAAAAGAAGGGAAAGGGAAGTGTATAAATGCTTTATCTGGTGATGTTATTAGTATTATAAAAGGAAAGAGGCGTAAAGTTGGAGTGTATAATCTGCAAATTGGAGGCGATATGTTAATTGAACCCCAGGACAGTATAAAGGAGAAGGAAAACATTGATAAACAAACAACGCATATCCGCATAGATCCCTCTGACAATGATAACAAGAGGCGACAAAATAATTCGAACAATCCTAGGATATTTACAGATAAAATAAAGTCAGATTTGTTAACAACTGGTAAAGATTCAGACTTTATTAAAAGACTTACACAAGCTCTAAACGATCTTAAATCAAAGACTGATAATGGCACTAAGAAAGTGACAGATAAAGAGAAAAAGAAAGATACCTTTATCCTCAAGAGGCGGGGGACCTTAGAGCGCATTGCAGAAGAGGACTGGACGGGTACTAACTCATCCAGACCATTAAATACATCTACTTTGTCTTTATTATCCGATCCTCCTGAGCAACCATCCCCCATCGCAAAACAGACTTTTTTAGGTGTGAAAGGAAAAGTCAGAGCTCATACTAGACACTCACTTTTGAAACGAACCACCGACTCAGTCTCGGAAATGAATGATAGCGATACGAATAACGATAGCTATAGTATGAAAGCCGAAAAGATAAGCCCGAATAGCCAGTCTCAAACTACTGTTGTTTCTTCATGGTCAACTGACCATTTAGAGGATGCTAACATGGCCCTTGATAAAACAGAATCGATAATGTAGTCGAATATTTAGAGATCAATCCGAAGGCGACCAAAAGTCTACAAGTAGTTTAAATAATATGTCATTTGTTCGATATAAATCGACATTTAATGAAAATTTCAATAAGACCAAACGCCAGAAGCAGGAAAAAAGATCAAACGAAACGCCGACAAATGCCAACAATGACAGATCACTGAGACGGCGAACGTTTAACAAGTATAATAAAGATAGAAATTGTTTGTCTATGAAAAATACTGTTATTTGTTTGTTCCATTTTTAATATATATTAATATATAATAGTGTATATTTAGAATTTAGATAATAAAAGCTGTTGCTGCTTCTCCTTTTCACTTTGTTTAATGTATTTTAAAAATGCAACTCCTTTTGGGTAAATAATGAAAAATCGTGTAAAAACAACAATTATCTGCTGCCTTTTTTTGTGAGAAAATTAAAAAATATAATCAATCAAATATCTTTGGTTAAAAGGAATTTGTTGTAAAAACGAAAATATACAAAGCGTTTTTTCCGACTTTTGACATAGTTTCCACATTCTTTTTTTTCATAGCTTTTTTTTCACATTATCTTCAAGAAAAATTATAGAATTCTGCTGGTTTAAACTGTTCAATTCAGAAAAGAAAATGCATAATTTGAATTAAATTTCCAACAAAAAAATAATAGCATTTTTACAATATAAGAAAAATAATATGAAGAAAAATATTCTGGTAAATTCAAAAGTATTCAATAAAGTATATTTATAATACATAATGAAATGTGATTAGATATATAACTGTCCACATGTTTGGTACTATTTTCAAATGATCAAATGAAATTTGTTAATTATGATGTTGAAATTTTTATAAAAACATACCCACAATTAACATAGAATGACATACAAAAAAAAGCAACACACCAATCAACCACCATCCAAAGAAAACAAGAAAGATATACTGTCAAAAATTTGATAAGCAGTCTTATTCTCCTAATAATTTTATGCATCATAATATTCTGTTAAAATGTTAAAAATACCAAACATTTAGTCCATTTTTGATATTTCAAATTTAGTGTTCAATATTTCTTCATCCGAATCATTTATCAAATTGGGCAATGATCTATAAAAAAGTTTAATTATTTTTCAAAAAACCGAAAACCCTTTCATATTCGCTACTTACGACTCCACTACTGTTGTTGGAATGTTCTCATCGATCCATTTTAAGTCTTCCTCCTTTAATAAAGATTAAAAATTTAATGTACAGGAATTTTGTGCAATGTAAAATGTCACTTACTGCTTTTTTATTCTTTGTCTCCTTATTGGTGGGAGGGCCGTTGGAGGTAATCGTGGTTCTCTTTTTTGCACCGAATGATTCATTCAAATTTGTTTCATTCTCTTCATCATCGACATCATCAAGTAACGGAGTGGAGGCGAATCTCTGGCTATTGATGGTTGGTCGCCAAAGAACAATTATAATTCCCAATACAAAGGAAAAGCTGAAATGCCAGAAGGCTTCGTCTATCCAAATTCCTTTCCAACCAGGAAGACATTTGGAGAAACGATGTTCAACTAATGACCAAATCATATAACCAATTGAAATTAACACTGCTAATACTAGAGTATTAGTAAAATGGTTATATAGCGATAACTTAACAACATTTCTGCGAATTCTCAAAGTTTTCATAGTTGAAAACAAACTAGTGAAGATCCACCAACAGAACAAGGCATCAATTACAGCTAAAGGAATTGCTGTGAAAAAGTCTCCTTTTCCCTTGTTATAACCTCTATGATTTCTGACTTTTTGAACTTCATCAGCATATGAAAAACAAAAGAACAAGAACGCTAATGCTAAAACTCGTTGTAATTGATTCCCTAAACGAGGTTTCACGATTCCATATCCAAGACATGCAATAACAATCAGTATCCTCGCAAGCGTTCGTTTCAAACTTGTCAAAAATAAAGCAAAATACATAGCTCCTTTTAAACTTTTTCCAGTATGGCTAATCGAGCGATAATCTTCAATATAGACTGCCTTTTCCACTAATCCAAGTAAAATTACAGCACTGATCCAGAATTGAATACGAAGAAGATCTCTCCAATTCATAGCAGACATTATGAGCCAGGCTAAAGCGTAAATGACGTATAGAGCACACATGACACCATAAAATGGTAAAAATGGCCAATCAATTGCTGACAGATATCCATGTTTTCCTTTCATTGAAAGGACGACATTCGCTGTTATTGAATCATCTAAGGATTCCACTCTAACTATAAATATGTAAATTCCGTCCTTCCAAGCTTTATATATTCTATCTGAGCTTGTAGTAGGAGTAGGCTCCGGAGCTGCTGTTTTCGCTTCTCTTCTTTTCCTGTGATTATCAGTAGCTTTACCTTTATCATCAGTAGCTTTAACTGTAGCTTTAGTAGCTTTAGTAGCTAAAGGAGTGGGGGTGACAAGACCGGTGCTTGTTTGTGCTTGTAAAGTTGCAACTTCTGGAGGGGTGCCAGACAAATCCTAGCAACACGTATATTAAAATTTACTGAAGTGATGTTGAAAAGAAAAAACCTACTTGCAGATTGTTCGTTGATTCGCAAGATATTTCATCAGTGCTACTTTTATAATAAACTAAACGATACAAGTTTAAGCCTTGAATATCCAAATCTGGCTTGAAAAGTATAGCTCCAGTATTGTCATCCTGTTGTAAGAGCTATAAATTATATTCAGAATAAACAATCATGAAACATCATACGTGGTCATTAGCTAAAGCAAAAAGATCTCCCAGGCAATTCGTTTCTCTCAACATCCATGACAATTTTAAGGGTGTAGATTGTGACGAAGGGCAGTCAAGTAGAACTATTTGATATTTTGAAATGTATACATGATTCTAAATCATAGATAAAATTTACCTCGTAATGAGATTTCTGTTCCATTGAAGAGACTCTTCGCAACTATATAACTGGATTTGCTCTACGTTTAAAATTAATAATTTGAGATGTGAAAAATGTTCATTCATAATTTTTAATATAACTTACTTTTGTAAGATTAAACTCAAATATTCCCTGTTCTGGAAATGCAAACACAGAGCTCAAAAGTCCAAAAAGTAGTATTTGTCGGTGAAGATACATTGCCATGTTGGAAGCGGAAGTTCACTGTTTCGTAGCTATTACAGAAATTGGGAATTTTTCATTTTTATTGTATTTCCTTTTGTTACGATAATTTTTTAGATTTTGAAAATCCTTAATGTATGTAATGATTTTTTTGTTTTGCTCTATTTTGAGTGCGGACTAGCCCTAAGGTCTAGAGGGCGTAGCAATATCAGCAATACTGATCACATGTTTTTTCCTAGTTGTTCTCTGCACTCTTTAACTAACAAGGTGGTAAACTGAAAAACAACTCACTTCAAACATTTTATAAATTACGAGAGCTTAAAAAATAGCTTTGCAGGTGTCCTTCAAATAATTTATTTTTTATAATAGCATATATTCTTTTCTATAAAATGGTCAATTTATTTCTAAAATAACGATTATAGTATTTGATAATGTACATATTTATCTAAAATATATCTAAGGTTTAGATGATTAACATACTTAACATAAGTAGACAAAAATCATCTAAACGCTTTTAGGTGCGCGCCTATAATTAATAAAAAGAAATGTTCATCTGTTTGGCGCAATATTTTTAAATTTCTATTTAGCTACAAATAACAAGTTGTTTCTTTCATCAACGACATTTTCAAAAGTCTCTGATCATTAATGACAGATTGTTAAAGAACAATTATTATTCCTAACGGAAAGGAGGAAATGAAAAAATCCATCCAAATTCCATTCCAACCAGAAAAGCATTCAAAGAGACAATGCTTAACTAATGACTAAATGATAAATTTTGGCCCTGAATATCAAAGTCTGGCTTGAAAAGCTTTTTTTCATTATTATCGTTCTCTAGGGTATTCTACATATTTAATCAAGGATAGATATCAATGAAATATGAGACATAGCCATTTGATAGCTCACAAAGATTCGTTAGACAACTAGTTGCTCTCAGTATCTGTGACCATTTCAAAGTTATTAGTTTTAATGAAAAGTAGTCAGCTAGCAATAAAATTTCTGTTCCATAGAATAGACTCTTCGCAACTGCAACTGTTTAATTAGATTCCCTCTTGTTTGATATCAATGATTTAAGATAAGAAAAATTGTGTAACCATAATTTTCTAAAATACAGATTAAAACATTTTTTAGCATCTTCTTTCTAAGACTAACGGCTTGTTTAACGATTTTAAATTATGAATAATGTAACGATTGCAATTGAAAACTTATATACAAGTATACTACATTACATAATTTAAAAAGTGTAAAATATAATATATTATATATTTAAGTTGCGGTTTTTATTCAAATTTTTCTAATATAAACTTACGCTCCAGATGCGGACCTGTTATTTTAACAAAAAATTCGGCTGCTACGCGCCCACTTTGGAACTTTTTCCCGTTAAGCTAATCCTACTGTTCTTAATCTGCGATTCTAGTATGTTTTCATAATGAATGGAAAAGATAATTTTAATCAAAGATGTCAAGAATTTACTGTGAGCTCACTATTTAAAATAACAATAGTCATTTGACTTATACTGTTTTAGATTTTATATACACACCAAAAGCTTAAAAAATCGAAAACTTGGAAAGATGGATTTTTAAAGACAACAATAAATAGCACTAAGGTTTAAAGTTAAATATTTATAACTTTTAAGTTATAGTCTTATTTATAATTGTAGGTTGCCATATTGAGTGAATCTCGGGATTTAATCGACTCATTTCATTATCGATTTGATAAAGTAAGTTTATTAGATTTATATATTTTGCTTCTTATAGCCTTTATATCTTCTTTAGATTTATTCTGGCGCAGAAATTGAAAGCGATCAGCTTTTGATTCAAATTCAAGACACTCTTGATAAAAATGATTCTTTTAATGAAGAACGAAAGGCTGTAAATAATGCTCACAACGATCATCCCACGAAGATCGAACCTAGAACAAATTTCTCACAACCATTCAAAAAAATAAAATTGTCTAATGAAACCCAAAAAAGTGAAAAATTAACAGAAAGTATTAAAATCTATCAACCAAACTCTTCAGATGGACATCAACGTGTAAGGACTATACGGGAAATCCTTCATATTATTGGTATTGATCAAGAGAACAACCCCAATTCCGAATCTTCAAATATTTTAAAAGTGGGGAAAGGAAAATCGTCATCAAAATCGAACCTAGAATTGGAAATAGATTTGGATTGTTTTAGTGAAAGTGATAATTAGTGAAATGGAGAAAAATTGACATTTAGCAACTGACAATTTTTATTGAAATCATTTAATTATTTCATAACTTCTTCTATGTAACTTTTAATCTGTTTAAATTTCCTGTACACTATAATACAGGTGATTTATTTCAAAAGTTGACTTGAACTTTCCTCTGGATTATCCTTTTGTAAATAAATAAGTTTCATGGAATAATTGTGAGATGATTTGTACTATTATATCTGCTATTTTCCAGGCTCCTTCTGTCAAGATGACAGCATTGACGCTAAGATTTCAAACATTGAGGTTATACGTCAATACAGCAGGCTGGTCATAAATAATGTATTTGCTAAAAATATGGTTTCCATGCAAAACAAGAGACATTGACCACATCCGTTCAATGAATATTTCAATAACACTAATGATGATGGGACGCTGGAATATAGTAATGTTATGCCAATAATTGGTAAAAAATGCTAAATGTTCTGATTTTCTTTTATCATGTTTTTCAAGTAAGATATATCCTTGCAATTTCCGTATAGTAGATCAGGGAAATCTACTCTCAGGAGAACTAATATCCCTGCTATATACTGAAAAATAGTTATAACTGATATAGATCTCCTATCGACTTAATAAAATTTGGCTATTAGAACAACTGTTACTCCATTTTCCATACTAACTGATCAAAAAAAAAGTCAAACAATTTTATGTCAGGGACATCATTTAGATTATTATCATGATTACATCGTCTTCAGGTATTAAATAATAGGAGCCTGATGGATAAGCAAATAGATAGAGAGAGAGAGAAAACAAAAAAATAACAGATTAGACTTTTATAATCGTTTCAGCAAAAAAGCATACAAAATATTGAAATAAGTAAACAATACTATTTAAAACGTAACTGAAAATGTTCATTTCCTTGTATCTCAAAGCTAAAATAAGATAAAGAATCTTTCGATTGATTTTCATTATTACTTCCGGTACTAATAGCCTATCAATTGATTATACAAGTGATATATAGTTTTTGTTTTCTAACTCTATAACGGTTATAACATTTCCATCAAATTTTAGAATGTAGTAAGAGTTACATTAGATTCTATCTACAAATAATGAGAAATAAAGGTAGCTTTTTTAATTATGAGACATTAATTGAGAATGAAAATTTCTTTGTTTATGCAGAAACACTATCTGAATAAGGTTTGCAAGTTAGTTACCCACTTTAGAAAAAATCAATGAAAAAGTTTTCTCATTTTTATATCACTTTATTGTGTCTACTGTTTATTCCAAATATGTATTATTCGTTTTAAACATTTATCACTCCTTTTAGTTATATTTATATAATTATACACCTAAGAGTAGTCACTAAAAAGAAATATATTGTATATATACATTACAACCATATAACTTTCGGTTTTAATGTATCATTGTATAAATTAATAATGAATGGAAGAAATAACCGTTCCAATAAGTAGGGTTACTGTCTGCCTTTTGAATCCAATGGCGATTAAATATCTATCTTAAGATTTATAGTAACATTTAATTTTATTAATAAATTACTTGTGCATAATAGTTTTAAATCAACCAAATTAAGTTGCTTAATTGGCAAAATTTACGTCTCAATTCTGAAGCTTAAGATACAAATTGTTTCGCTAAGAGATTATATTCTCTCTGGACAGTATTCATCAGAGTCTGAACTCTTTCATCCCCGAAGGAGATTTAGGTTATCTTTAAGGAAATATATTAGATCTCTAATATATTGAAAGTATATTTTTTCCAGGAAAATGTCTATAAATATTTAAGAATATAAGTATCCTTAATACTTTTATAGAGCTCTTTTGGTTACTCAGAAAGGAAATGAAATTGTACAATAATTTTCCAACAGTCGGAAAATATTACCATAACTCCATGGCCAATATTTGAAATTTAGGCTATTATCTTCGACTTTTCATTAATAAATATTGAAAAACTAAGAAAATATTGGAATGATTTATTCTATGAATGTTTATAAAAACTGTCGTCAAAAGAAGTGTAAATATTACCAGCTATTTTCCCACGAATAAATACTATTAATTCGTTATTGATACGCTTTGCAGTTAACATTTTGCATAATTGCGGGACGTAGATATTATAATAGCTTTGTATTGAACAAATTTTCGTAATATCGTTTTCTTATGTCTTCTTACAAAGGAGCTTTTGTATAATATACTGACGATAGGTACTGTTAAAAGCCAAATATATAATTGGATTCAACAAAGGTTTTACAGTCATGGTAATAATTGATAACTTTGTTGCCAATGAATTATCATTTTCCTGCCCACTACCTATATCGGTAAAAATCTTAATCTGTAATAATAAAAGCGAATACAGTTAGACTATTAACAGATTATTGTTAAACTAACCGTTAAAGGTAATGGTAATATAGCATTAGAAACTCCTAAAGCTATTGTTAATGCTTGTAACTGATTAACTTTTTCTTTTCGTTGATTGTTCGAGGTAGTTGGATAAGATGAAATCTTATTATTTCGTTGTTTATAACAAATAATACAATAACTAAAAAGTCCTGTTAGAGATGTTGAATTAATCAATAGACAAAAGTAGACAAGGATAAAATTATGTTTTGGATCTATTTTTGAATTGGTAATATAAAGCACACAGATTCCAAGAAAGTGTTGATATTTATAGCTGTCAATATGAAGTATTATTGGAATAAGTGAAACGAGTAAACCATGAAGGAAACATACAAATGAACAAACAATAATAAAAGTATCTCGTCCCTTGCATAATCTCATATAAAACAAAGGAAAGACTACCATAAACAATCTCTCAGTAGTCATAATGAATATTAATTGTTCAGAAGTAAGTATAAAAATTAAAGTTAGCGCACCGCTAATTGAACACATTTTAGTATCATTTATCCGACTACAAACGAGCGTATTTCCAAAAATTGACATACTAACTACAAGACAATTAAACATATCGTTAAATGATACAATTTTAAAAATAATGGGTACTTTAGAATGCTTTGAAATTGAATTTAGTAATAAAAGTAATACAAAATTTGCAACAGATCCAAATAATAAAAACAAAAATGCAGGAATTTGTTGAAAGCTAAATGTACAATAAGAATTTGTTGTATTATTCGACATTAAAAGTTACTTGTTGTCTTTGAATAGTCCATTTAAAAAATTTCCATATAAACAATTAAAAAGATGAGCTGAAGAGTTAGGTAGTGAATTCTTTTATTAGTTTAAAGTCATATTGACAACCATCTTTTCCTATAGGAATGAATCTGTTTAACTTATCATCAAATGACAAAGTAAGGAATGTGAGAAAAATAATTTATTATTATTTATTAATTGACAAAATGGCTGCAAGAAAAAGTTAATATACTCTAATGTACTATTACATCCGCATCGATGCTCACTAAAAGCATTTGAGCACGTATATTGTTAAATTATGAGAGATTAGCATAAGCAATTAATTGCACTAAGATAGGATTAATTCATTTTTGCATATTTGCCATTTGAAATGAATGGAAGAACAAAAAAAAAGAACTTATGTAAAGTTGCGTGATACGTCGAAATTCAGTACTTTATTTATAAATTGCGATAATAGATTTATTTTCTTTTAGACTGCAACAACTGCAACAGGTTGAAAATTTATAAAGAATATAAATAGTAACCCACCTGTATAAAAATGGTATATACTTCAAAGAAACGCAATCATTAAGTGAAGGCAAAATGATGAAAAAGTACATTTTCTTCTTAATTTGTATAGTAATGAGTGAAAGAATGGTTAGAAATATTATTTCATGTAGTAGAATGTAACAGTTAATTAAGGTTTTCATTCCCTTTCGCTGTTTGAATAGGTAGGTTTAGAAGGAGTACCAATTTCTTCGCAAGATGAACAACTTGAGGCAAAGGAAATTGACGAATCGGAGATGAGAGAAATGGCGAATAATGGATATTTTATCAATGATACAAACTTTGGTAATCATGGAAGTGCGGTGAAAGATGTAGCTGATAATCCACTAGGTCTACCAGTAGTTCCTACAAGAATCGAAGACTAGTTTTGTACTGGCTACCTCTGAATCTGTCATCTTAACATGTTCGCGAAGATGTCCATATTCTAACTTTAATCTGAAACAATATTTGTCTCACTAATGATGCTTAAATTATTTTATGATTACAACACGAAATAAAAACTTTCAGCTGTTATCACCTGATCTCTTGGGGAAAATTATAATGATGATCTTATTTTTAAAGAAGGGGACAAGGTCGGTCAGGATCGACCAACCTTGTTGGATCATCCGATCAAAATGGCGGACGGCGTGTGCGAAATGACGTGATTTTTCAATTAAGGACTATGTATTGAATTTCCTCTACTTAATAATTTAAGTCTGGCACTTTATATTGATCTTTGTCTCACCTTTGTATCAAAATAATTCAATAAGCCTTAGTTTATCTGGTCTGAAACTGGGAAGGAAAGTTGTTTACTCTATAACACTTCTAGAATAGACCTTATTGATTGGGTATCTAATCTCCATCAGCTTCTTTAACTGAAAAACTATTTTGTTTTTATTTGTCACTCGTGTTTTTTTTTAGTAAAAGAAGTGGGGGAAAACGTAATCCATTATCACATTCTAAATTGTCAATATCTCAAGGCATAGGTATAGGCGGTTGCAATTTATGAATATAGATTTTTAAAATTTGCATACTACTATAAAATACACTGAAACTTTTATTAGACTTTATCAAAGAGTGTTGGAAAGATAAGATATAGATAATATGAATTTCTCAAATCCCTCTCTCCTAAACTTTCAACCAATTATCACAGTTCAAACAACTATTTTAGAATTGTTTAATACTGCTGAAGAATGGAGTACTTATATCTTAATTCCATTCATTTTAGTATTTGGAGGACTTGGAAATTCTTTTACTTTGGCTTTTCATTTATCCAATCGGAAATATTTCAATTTATCATTGATGTTAATGGTAATTTATTCATCTTTGAGCATTTTCATGTGCTTTTTTGTGGTAGCATTTATACCAATAATAAGATTATCTTCGCTTGAACTTCTATTCAATGTTATTGAAAAGAAGATAATATGGTTTCAATTTAATAATTCGATGATATTCTTCAGTTGTACAACGTTATTCTGTATTATGATGATAGCAGCACTTTTGGGTGTAATTGCTTTTGATAGATTCATAAATGTATACTTTCCTTTAAAAAAGGATAATTTGATTTTCAAAATTTCAACAATATTACTTTTATTGATTCTATTAATTCTGTCATCTGTGACTGGTTACCAATATAGGAAACCGTGCATAAATCACTGTTTCGCTGTTTTGGCCATGTCAATTGTTTTTGCTCTAAGTTTATCCTTTCAAATAATACTTTACAGTCTTATCGGTTATAAATTAGTTAGAAGCCGAAAAAATATTGTTAAGGTCGAACCGAGTTCTACTACATCAACAGATGGCAGTAATTCTATCAAACATGGAAATGATATTAAGAAAATACTGGCAAATCGGGCAATTTCTAGCCGAAATGCTAAGATAATTAAGAGTATGTTGGTAACATCCTTACTATCCGCAATAACTTTTACTCCAACTATCATTTTCTTATTGAAAATCTTACATACAGAGTCAATAGTTATCTACCTGATTATCTTTTTCAATTCAATTTGGAATCCAATTACTTTTTATGTCTTTAATTCGTCATATCGAAAGTATACCAAGAAAATTATTTTCAAAGTGTTTCCATGTTGTAATTAAACTCTATTCCTATAATTTTCTTCAGTTTTATCCCTAAACAAAGTGACTTTTTGATTTAGAAGGTAAAATTTTCACTTAATTGCGCAATTCTAAAGTTAGCTAATAAAAATCATGTTAACAATTAGTGAATTATGGTTATTTTTGAACCTGTGTTGTCTGCCCGGTTAGCTCAGTCGGTAGAGCATGAGACTCTTAATCTCAGGGTCGTGGGTTCGAGCCCCACATTGGGCGAATAATTTTTTTTTCTTCATAATTTATCTCTTTTGCCATTATTAGTATACTGTAATCCAACTAAAAGAATAGTTTTTTTTTTATTGATGAATAAAATAACAATGGCGTCAAATAATAATACGTAATCTCTTCAACAGAGGGCACTACAATCAGTGAAAATATTTGCATTAACTACGTTGTAAGATGACTTTTGAGATAAAAATGACTAAAATGTTAAATACTTGTCATTTTTTTCAATACAATTGAATCAAAGGTTATTATTTCTAGCCTAGTTTTTGAACATGTTTGTCCCCAATAAAAGTTGAGTAATAAAAAAGCGAGATAGAGATCTTTTTCTTTTTTTATGAGAATCAAAAGTTTATATTAAGGGTAAAATATGCAAATAGAAGGAAGAGCTAGTAAAAAAAGAAATTAAGATCTATTCCTTAAAATAGAAAAAGCTTTTTATTTTTTTTTCATTTACCGGAAGTATTCCTTTCCCAAAATAGAATTCTCGCATTGAAATCTTTAAAAGTATAGTTAACATCTATTTACGTATTACTCTTTTCTCTAATTTCAAATCGACGAATAGCATGTGATCAATAAAAAAATAACTCTGCATATCTGAATATTTCTTATATAATTAAATAAACCACTGTAAAAAGAAAATTAAGATTAACGCTAGTTGCCTACTACAGTACTAAAATTCTAATTAACTAACACTTGATCCATTCATAGAAATTGTAGAAACTTTTTTATATACTTTTTAAGTTGTATTCAGAAGACTTTATTGACAAATTGTTAGAAATATATTGTGATATTACAGATTAAGATAATGGTCGATAATAATGTAAACTTGTCTTTTTCTTAAGCGAAAGTTATACAATATTATTATATTAATTATTCTTATTATTAGAGATTATAGATTCTTTTTATTGTAAGTCTTAGCATAGACAAAAAAGAGAAAGACAGAAGGTTGAAAGTTTTATGAAGCTCTTTTTGTCTATTAAATAGTATTACTCTAAAATAGTGTTAGACAATTATGATAATCTCTTAAAAATTAATTGTCCACTAGTAAAAAAACATAAAGAATACTATTAGATAAACTATATAGACAGATTAAATTAGTAATAAGAACTAAACAATTTGGTTCATCCTCAAAAATTGAATATGTTTCAAGAAATGTAATATTCATATATAAGGCATTAGTATCTTAACTTCTCTTCTTATTCCTGGAAACTTATATTGTTTACTTTAATAGAGGAATTAGTCGGGTTTTAGAATGAGTTTGTACATGAGTAACTTAATAATTGTATTATTTCATCCAATCTCATATAATTACACAAGAAAATCGCTATAATAATGCCACTGTATTTGTGTATAAAGGTTATTAAACATGCTTTTAATTGCTAGTTGAAAAGGATATATACTAATAATGAAAAATGACAAATTCCTACTTTTATTGGCAGATGGCCAAAAGGATATTTATAATAAATTATTTTGAAGGATAAGAAAGTAAAACAAGTGTTACTTATTATAGCTATGAAGAATAATAGATGAGACATCTATACAGATATATATATATATATATTTCAAGCTAATTAAAAACAACCACTAGATCATTATTATAGCTGCCTGAAGATTAATTAATAATACTATATGACATATAGAAACTATAAATGCTTCTAAACTGTAGATGAATAAGACACTATCAGGACAGTCATTACTCAAAAATATCATATATATATATATATATATTTTTGGCTTTAATACCAATCTGAAAGTGGTTACATAGTAAACTCATTTTACTGTTACGAACTCTTCAAAAGTTCTTTCTGTTTACTGAGAAAAAACAAAAACTATGCTAAACAATTTTTAAATTATTACTTAACTAACCATTGCAATCTTTTTTAGAATTATAACATAATTTTATAATTTTATTCATAATAGAGGGAATGTTCGCTTTTCTTTATATGTTCTTTATTACTTTTTTTGTATTTTTCTATAAAGAGAATACTTAAGTGCGAATCTATTAATAGGAAGTAACTGTCTGCAATAATTCGAAAGTAAACTGTTCTTTTATGAAGAAATATCCTTGCTTTTTGTATTGTATCTAATTCGATTGTATTATAAAGATTCGAAATAGTTACAATTTTAACGATTCAATTATTTATCAAAAGGTTTATTTATGTTATTAAACTTCAAAAAGTGAATGAAATGAATAATTAAAGAAGCTGATATATTGATAAATCCTAAGTTTATAAAAACTGACAAAAAGAGAATTAATTGTTATTGATTGCGAAATTGTATTAATTAATTTCATGTTCAACTGATGAAATTAATTTTATGATGAAAAATGTTGAATAACGTAAAGAAATAACTAACCAAAGCAATTTTTTAAAATCTAGTTTCCTTTATCTCTTCATTGACTGTATACTACAAAAGAAAAGTTAATAATATATATAATAATTAATTACTTATTATTACTTATCATATGTAAAAATCAATAGGATTAGTATAGAACTTAGCTCTTTTTGTTTATTAAACGATACTTAAGTAGAATTTGGCTAAAAATAAAATCAATCGAAAAAGCCAGCTATAAAAGTTTGAAAGGAGAAAAGAACGAAAAAAGTCAACTTTAAAGATTAATACAAGTTGAAACTAGTTAGGTTAAGAAGAGAATAAAGGCATTATATCATTAACAGCTGTTTCTTTATTTCTAGCTGAATCAGTAATAGACTTAATTTAATAAATGATTATTCTATAGTTTTAATTATGCATTGTCTTAATTCTTTTCCATTAACTAATGTATTGAAGAAACCTGAATCTATATTAAAGAATCGTAAGACTAAATTAAACAATCCATTTGAAATATTACATGATAGAATGATCATTTATCTTAGTTAAAGTTAGTATAAATTATATTAAATCCTTTCGAACAAAAGGTTACTCGAATCGATTGTTAAGTTCTTAAATTTTACAATGGTAATTAATGGTAATTCGTGTTAGAGACTAAGTGTCTGAAAAAAAAAAGATTTTTAGCTTTTTCTTTGAATAATGGAATCTATTTAAAGATTCGAAACTGAAAGAAAGTCCCTTAACGCCCATCGTTCTCGATTACTAGTGGACTTAGACTATTAACTCTAAACTCTAAGGAGTTTTTGGGTAATACAATGATAAAGACTATGATATTTAAATCCTACCGAGGTTATTTTAATGAACAAATGTAAAAAGAAGAAAAAAGATATTATACATTTGTTACCAATAGAATTTTTTCCTATTTTCTGCATCTCTATCTTGTCTTGTTTGTTTTAGCTTACTTGATAGCTGATTATAAAATAGAAAATGCCGTAAATCATTCGATTGTTCTTTTTAAAATATGTTTATTTAAGAATTTATAGGTATAATATAAAATTTTATTTATTCTTTTTATAGTTTTTATTCATCGGTTGAACATTAAAAGCGAGGAAATCGTAAGTATTATATACCAATAAGGGAAGCAGGAAATTAAAATGTCTTTAACTTGTAACAAGTTTTAATTTTAACATAAGAGGAGATTTTATTTCATAAAGGTGTTCAACTGATATTGCAGTTTTCCTTTATATATATATATATTACTTTTCACCAGAAGAATCGGTGTTAAGGGGAGAGAATAGAGAAAAATCTTCAACGAAACTGAATATAGGTAGTCTCTCTTTTCTCTTTGTATATTATTCTTTATTCATTCTATATCCTAGAACAAAGAAACAATTGTTTTCTTATCTTACATAATTATAAATATATATATAAATATACACAACTTTGCCTAAGTGTAAATAAAAGTCTTGAGCGACTGGTTCCTTATAATATTCCTAATATACTTCTATATATAATAAATATTATACATTTCAATAATTCTTTAGGGTTAACTACCAATTCTCCCTTCCATTTTCACTGTTCGATATTAAAATACTTTTTACAGATTGAAAGAGAAGAAAACTGTGAGATAAAATTACCCAATCAGTACACTCGGCTTTAATATAAACAATATATAGTGTTCTACAGCAAACAGCTTTTCTAAACATTAGCGAATGAAAAATTAGTATTGCCTAGGATATATAAAAAAAATATGTCTCAATACTAAACTGTTAATCATTTTAAGTTGGCGCGTTCCAAATTTTAAACGGAAGTGACGTAATTTAACTGATCGTTTTACGATAATTCAACAACTATCTAGACAGTACATGTGCTGTGTGGATTGTTCAAAATTATGTCATGCAAAAGCAATTGTAGAAATATTTGGTGTGGTGGATTATTACCAATTTGGATAAAATACTGGCTAATATTTTCATCATTTGTTAGCCTTTATGACTCTTTTTTCGTCTTTCTACGGCCAGAGAGTTTTCCTGAAGGTAAATTGGCCACTGTCTTCATACCTTGTGAGTATTTCGTTCAAAATACCTTTATTATTCTATTATACCTTCAAGTTCTTCTCTAATAGATCACAAATATACTAAAATTGACGAGAGACCCTTAGACGAGAAGGATAATTTTATAGTGGCTGAAAAATGTTGCAATGTTATTGAATTTGTGTTGACCTGGATTATTATTTCATTGGTAAATTTAACAATTATATATTATTTGATAGAATAGGGAAAAATCACTATTATAAACAAATACGTTCAATCCCACTACCGAAAAAGAGGATTGGCGGGTAACTTATTACGTAATTAATATCATACGTTTGTTTATACATGTATATGTATTTGTATTGATTCTGTATTTAAATCTCTTCTTTTTTTCTATATACAGAACTTTTGTAAAAGTCAACACGCAATTCTTTTAACGTTCGCCGTTTGTACAATGACATTATGGAAGACTTTAATCTACGTTCTACAATATATACCTAAAATAGTGCCAGACGCAAGGAAATATACGAATGAAACATCTACAGGCCTTTTAATCGGCGTTGTCTTTGGTGTCAATTGCATTTGGATTGTTGTACCAATACTATGTATGATAAGATTATCGCGATATAAGCCAACTTACTATGCTGTAGGTAAAACTGCTGAATGTTGTTAGGCGAGAGTAAAACAAAACAGTGAGGTGAAAAGTGAACAAAATATATAGAATAGTATAGTATACTTTTAATATCCTATCGATTGCTAGAAATTGTCTATTATTTACATTGCTGACTAATTATCGAAGTTTATTCGAACGGCAACTTTTTTGTGTTTTAGACAGTAGAAAGATTTATTGATTTCTAGAAGAATCTTCTAATGGTGATGGCATTCTATCGGTCCTCTTCCTGGCCTTTGACTTTTGTCTTGCTTTATTCATCTTTCCTTTCATTTTTGCCATTGAAAATACAAGCATAAATGCCGATTTCGATGTTACTTTCTTCGAAACGTCACTTTCACTCTCTTCGTCTTCTTCTTCGGCGAGACGCGCTGCCGCCCGATAAGAAGTTGTCTTCTGCTCCGATAATTTTCCTAACATTCTTAATAAACTATCATTTCTGCAACCGTTTGAAGTATTCGAAGTGGTTCTAATTTCGGGAAGACGCTCTGATGAGAACATTTTCTGAACGTCAAATTGAGTTGGGCAAGCACCGAATCGCTCAAGAACGTTCATAACACCATTTAATTTGAGTCTTTTTGCATGTAAATAAGGAGAAACTCCGTCACTATCAGCGGTATCCAACGATAATCCGAACGATGTCATCGATTCACATAAGATCGAACAGGCTTCCGGATTGTCACGAATAGCGGCGTAATGTAATGCCGTCTTACCATTTTTATCTTTCAGTAAAAAATTTAAGTCTGGTTCAGCTCTTTCGACTAATTGCTTTAATTGTTGTGTCTTTTTAAGAAAAGACGTCCAAATTAGAACGCTCCTCCCAGTTCTATTATCAATAAAACAACAATCAGCCCCTCTTCTCAGTAGAAATGAGAACATTTTCGCTCTTTTACGATTATCGTCTATATGAAGAGCGGCAATCAGCGATGAATCTGTCTTATTCTCAAGTTTTTGACCAAAATCCAACAATAATTTCAATTGACGATAACGACATTGTTTAACGGCTTGTATAATTCCTGGCCCGCTTACAGATCCATTCATCGTTATTGAGTATCAAAAATGAGAATTACTTCCGGTATTAGAAAACAAATATAAATGCAAAAAAGCACAGGACCATCGAAAACAATTGAAAACGAATTGAGAGAAAAGGAATGTTTTTTAGATGGTATGAGTAGTTCAGTCGGTTGACAGAGAATTAATGAACCGGTAACGATAATATTTGCAGTATAGAAACAAGGCGTATTTAATCTAACTTAGTCGGTAGTCGGCACGATGTTAATTAAACGATTACTACACCTTAAAAGAAGGTTGTTGGCTAAACGGCGCTGTAGGACTACAATTCAACCCCTGCTCTCTTGATTGGATTCTTAATTGATTACCCTTTTACCGTTGTGTTTACAAATATTCTCTTTATGTTTTCTTTTAAAAATATTTTTTATATAACAAGAATTGTCACCGTTTAAAGAGATAAAAGACAAAAATAAATATTTAAGAAATTAGGCTGTTTTTTTACGAGAAAACACGTATAATTAACTAATTGTATTCATATTTATTACGAATATATAATTCATATATTTGGTGGTGGAACTGTACACAAAAGGCAGAATACAAATGTCAAGCGCGATTTATAATATCAACCTACGCTTGATTGCTCTTGAAAAAACTGGAAAGTATTCGGCGTTCAAGTCGTTTGAATCGCGCCTGCCATTTATCGTTTAGCTAACGTAACATTTACAGATAATAAAAAAAAATATTTATATATATATATATATATATATATATATATATTTATATATATAAATCTATACATATAAAGTTTAAATCATGCTGGAAATTCGCTTTTGAGATCGATACTTTTTAGGAATATGAACCGAGAAGGACTTCTTTCTACAAGATATTTAATAGTATTATTGAAACTTTAAGGGTAAAGGAGCATAAAGTAAACAGAAATGAAGAAAACTGAATTTATAGTCACTGAAGAATTAATTCCTACTAGAGACGTTAGTTTTATAATGCCACAGGAACCTAATACTGGTTCTAGTCCTCCACTACTGTCTACCTCACTGCATAGCTTGAAAAAGAAATGGTGGCACGGAGCTTTGGAACATATACCTCAACATTTAGCTGTTTGTGATAGGGGTGCATCAACTTTAGAAAGTATTCCTGAATTAGCGAATGAATGCAAATCGAACGAGACAGAAACCGACTCTTCCTCATCACCAAATTTATTGCTTAGAACTGCTCAGAAAAGACTTTTAAGACGGAGGTCTTCACTAAAAGATCAAGATGAATTGGCCAAATTAAAGCAATTAGCCAATAAACTTCAATTGGCAACGCGTCGGGGAAGTTTTGGTCTTTGGCAAGAACGCTACTTGGACGCTCTAAACAAAAGTGTTGGCTCTTTGACCGATGTAGAAGAATGGAATGAAGAAAGGAGGGAAAAGATTAATAGAGATTTAGCTTGGCTAAGGAAGGAGCTGGTACGTTTTTAAAGCGGTAGTGACCCCTATCAAAGGGGATTGAATACCTCGTTCATTTTCAATAGTCTGTAAATAATACCAGGCATAAAGCATGTAGTCACGCTGAGATATGACACGAACGCTGATATGTTTTAATACCATTCCTTTTTTTCTCTTCTCAATCTTTCTTTCTCTTTTTTTTTTTATCCTCTCCCATTTTTTTTTGCTGCTTAGAGAGAAATGAAACTTCATGACCAGATGCTCTCCAGCCAACTCATGAGGTTACGTAAAGAAATTTTATCAATACGCTTACAGGTACGAGCCCTCCTACAGTCCCTTCTTATTAAGAGTATTTCACTTACTTTTTTTTTATCATACACTTTATTCTTTTGCTTCATTGCTTATGGTTTTTTTTTTCTTTTTCTATTCTTAAAAAAATATCGAATAGCAATCGTACGAGGAGAATGAATACTTGATTGAAGAAGCCTTAGAAGGTCTCGAAGGGGAGGATGGCTTAGGCCTAGTAGATGTACCTAGGGCTGAGTTCAGTCCTATTCTACGGGATACAGGAGTTACTAAGTGGCATTTGTTGGACCAACGAAGATTTTCTGTTTTGTAATTTGTTTGTTTTTGTGATCTTATTTTCAGTTCACCTAGATCTTTATCAATAAAGAAAGAGTAAAGGGTAACGGTACTAAAAAGTTTTACTACTCAATTATAAGTTTTACATCAAAAGCAAGCTGTTTCTAATATCTTTTAAAAGACGATTTTCAATTTTATAAGCCTAGATCATATTTTTAAAAACTGGTCATATCACATTTTGCTCAAGTTGAAACTATTCATTAAGCTGTCTGTCTTTATAAAGGCTAAGAAAGGGGTCAATAAGATACTTTTGTCACTTGATGTCAGTGATTAATTATCATAAATATCTAATACAAATATTCTTATTGAAATAAACACAATGAGGGTAGCTAATTTTTTTGGCCTATGTAAATTTAGGGTATCAAATTTCTCAGGTGGCGCCATCTTGAAGAAATTTTATTTCAATAGAAGATTAAATGGTTTGCTTAGATTTTCTAAGAGCCTTTTTAGAAAGACATGTTTCGTCAACAATTACTAACCCTTTCTCAACTTTTCCCCCTCCCAGCTCTTGTTAAAAGTGTATGCTAATAGATTGGTATAGCTAACAAAAAGATCACATATTGACTGAGTAGTCTAAAAAGACGAGCGCCATCTTTTGTAAATTAAAAAAATAACAACCATTCAGTTATATTGAACAGCGATTATCTCTTAAATAAAGTAATTTTCCTGATTCCTTTAATAAGATTATAAAATTTCAATATAAGACCAATAAAGTTCCTTTAATAGGTTATATAATTGAGAATTGAATAGAGTGTAATTTCTTTGTAAATAGCTGGGAAGAGAATTCTTAAAATAGAACGTTCTATTTAATAGAAGAGAATATAATAAAAATGTAAAGTGTACACTTTCTTAAAAGAAATATTCAACCTTTATTTAAGGTAAAAATAGACATGAAAAAAGCTTAACACAGATCGATTATAGAACTTAAAAACGAGATAGGATGTTTTGTTAAGAACATAGTATTTGTATGTATAGATCTTTTATAAAGCTATTGATTGCCGTATACCATTTAGAATCGTTTAAACAAATTCAATCTGTAAGAAGTAACTTAATTCAAACGTTCTACCGGACATCTTTCTATACGTATGAAATCAATTTTTATTATCTATGTCTAATGATCCTAATAGGTCAATAAATTCCTTTTATTATTCTTTTCGAAGGAGAAATATAACAAATATTATCGTTCTACTTTTTTTTAAGTAGTAAATAATTTATCTAATCTCTATTTTCTCCCCTCCTTCAGACTATGAACTGTAAGGTAAACAGGAAGAGCAGCTAGGAGAGAGTGCGAAAAGATTTATGGTTTGAACAAAGGAGAAAGTAGGACTATTAAATAAGAAGTATAGATAATGGTTATATTGGTTTATTCCTTGATTCATTAGTTTTCGAATTCGTAAGAAAATTTCCATTATAATATAGATAAAGGACATTAATTATAACAATTTTATCGGTCATTCCTCAGTTACAGAATTAATATACAAATACAGAAGAGACTACTAGAACCTTCTGTGCAATCTGTATTTCATCTTATCAGTATGTTTGATAAGAAATAATCGTACTCTACACCTTTGACATGAGTTAGAACTCGTCTAAGTCTTTAAAAAGGTATTAGGCGATCACTTTAATCCATATAGGTAGAAATGTCGGATGGTAAGAAAAAAGACAAACCGCGTGGTGGCAAGGATAATCCCGATAGACTTCCTATAGACGGAGAAAATCGACCTCTCTTTTTTTTTATGTTTATTCTTGCTTTAACTTTAGCCGTCTGCTTTTACGATCCTAAATGGACTAATACCTTATTTGGCAGCAAGAGAATTGACAAAACTTGGTGGAAAAGGTCTATCGTTTATCAAATATATCCCCGTTCTTTCCAAGATTCCGATGGTGATGGAATTGGAGATTTAAAAGGAATCGAAAGCCGTTTAGAACACTTTAAATGGCTGAAAATAGGAGCTTTATGGCTGAGTCCCGTGTACAAGTCACCTATGGTCGATTTTGGATACGATATATCCGATTTTAAAGCAATTGATCCGATATTTGGTTCAATGGATGATTTTGAGAATCTTATTCGAGCGGCCCATAAAAAAGGTACACTATATAGTTTATTTTATCTTAAGCGAATTGATAATTATTCCTTTTTTTAAAATTGTAGAAATAAAAATAATAATGGACTTTGTTCCCAATCATTCGAGTGATCAGCACGAATGGTTCCAACTAAGCCGAAAAGGCGATATAAAATATAAAGATTATTACATCTGGAGGAAGGGAAAGCAAATGGCTAATGGCACTAGAATTCCTCCAAACAACTGGGTTAGTGTATTTGGAGGTCCTATGTGGACTTGGGATGAAAGCAGACAGGCATTTTACCTTCATCAATTTACAAAAGAGCAACCTGATTTAAATTTTAGGAATCCGGAAGTTCAGAAGGAAATGATAGTCGGTTGATTGTTAATAATATATATTTATTTACTTGTTATCAATTGCGTATATTTCTGTAGGATATTTTAAAGTTTTGGTTAGGAAAAGGAGTTGATGGTTTTAGAATAGATGCCATTAGTCATTTATTTGAAGATAAAGCTTTTAAAAATGAACCTCTAAGTGGTCTACCCAATACAACACCCGATCAGGCTGAGCATTATAATCATGTCTACACAATGGATCAACCCGAAACAATTGAAGTTATTAGATCATGGAGAAAATATTTCACAGAATATGAAAGAAAATCTAACAAATATATGTAATTATTTTTTTTATTATCACTGAGCGCCACCTTGTGTATTATATTGTTAAAACAGATTTATGGTTACGGAATCTTTCTCAAATCCATCGATGTATTACGAAGGAGAAACCGATTTCCCTTTCAATTTTAATTTACTACAGATGAATAAGACTTGCGGCGTTAAATGCATTAGAGTTTTGATTAATAGTTGGTTGCAGGAACTACCCAAGGGACGGTGGCCCAATTGGGTGGTATGTATTTGGAAAATTATAAATGACAAGCAGAGCGCTAATCATTATGAAATTTATTATACAGTTAGGAAATCACGATAGAATGAGACTTGGAAATAGAATGGGCGAAGACTTTATAGGCGCATTCAACATGTTACTTTTAACTTTACCAGGTACTCCGTTTACTTACTACGGAGAAGAAATTGGTATGGTTGGTCCCAAAATTTCATTTGAAGATACAGTAGATCCTTATGGAGTTAATTTCGGACCCAAAAGATATGAAGAATTCTCTAGAGATCCTAGTAGAACACCTATGCAATGGTCTGATTCTCGAAATGCAGGCTTTACAATGGCCAAAAAGCCTTGGCTTCCGGTTCATAGTAATTATAAAACACTTAACGTTGAGGTATAATGAACAATTGTCTCTTATAACAATGTTTTTAAAAAATCACTGTACGAACAGAATCAAAAAAATAGCGATCATGATGATAACACCTTGAGATTATATAGGAGATTATCATGGTTAAGGCAGGAAAAATCCTTCCAAATGGGAAATTTCGATTGGGCCATTATTACAGACAATATTTTATCTTATATCCGATGGTTTAATGGTTCACCAGCATATATCGTAGCATTTAATTTTGGTACGAAAGCTGAAACGGTTGACTTTACAAAATATTCCGGAAATTTTCCACCACCTGGTCATTTTGTTCCCGATGATGGTTTCGTTCTCTTCTCTACTCATCCAAAAGAGATACCTGGCAGTACAATTAGTCGATTAGATAAGATAAAAATGTCCCCTTCGCAGGGGGTTGTAATTAGAATTTGGCCAAAAAAGTAACTGTTTAGAAGGCTAAAACTAAAAAGTATTTCAAATGACACTAGAAATATTTGTTTTTTGTTTTTTATTTAAATACAATTTTATTACGTTCTACTAATCAGAAACAATGAAAAATCATTAATTATTGCTTCTTTTTACCAGCCATAGATCTTGGACTAGTCTTTTGATTCTTTTCTACAACGGATGCTATCCATTGGTATACGTTATAAGTAGTCAAGATCATAGTTGTAAAAACGAAGAAGAGCCAAGTTTTACTACGATTCTTTTCCTCTTCAATCATTTTTTCTGTTTTTTTTAAGAAGAAAGTACAATTCCTTTCCAACATTGAAGATATTATGCATAATTCTTAACTTTCCCTTACCTATTTCTTGTTTTAATTGATCTCTTTCCTTCTCAGTTTCAGGAAGTTGATACTTAATAAGTTGATCCATTCCAGAGTTCATCATTTTCACCTGTTCCAATTCTCCACGACACATTCTGTTATAATAACACAATTGATAGTATTTAATATACATATACATACTGTATTTATCTATCTATCTATATATATCTATCTACAAACTCCAAATCATCAGAGCTTCCACTATCATCTTTAGAATTTAATTCTTGTCTTAGTTGTTTAATCATTTCTTTCTCTTCTAAACATCCTTTTGATGGCTTTGATGGTTTAGCGGAGCACTCCTTTCTTAACTCCTCTGAACAAAGAAAATATAAATAAATATTAGCTACAATACGGCTTATTTATCAATATGCTACCTAATTCTTCTTTCAATTTATTTCTTTCTTTTTCTGTTTCTGGTAATTGAAAATCAACTAATTGTTTCATTCCGTTGACCATCATTTTATGTTGCTCCAATTCATGTTGACAATCAGTTCTAAAGAAGAAAATATTAGAGAAAATTTTTTACAGATTTCATCGCAAATGATAAAATCTTATCGTTACCTTTTGACATCTTTCTTTTCAACTTTTTTAGAAGCAGCTTTAAGCTCTTCTTTCAATTGTTTAAGCATTTCTTTTTCTTCAGAGCAAAATATGTCTAGGTCTTTCTTTTCCATTTTTAATGCGGATTCTAATGATTCGATTTTTTCCAAAGCTTTATTAAGTTCCTCTCTAGTTGTATTTTGTTTCTTTTCAGTAAAATATCTATTTACAAGAATTTATCATGAATTCTATATTAAAAGCTGTATATATTTATTGGTTGAAGATTAACCTAATCATTTTTTGATCCTGCTTCATATTAATACAATCGCTAAGCGACGAAGCGCACATATCAAGCTCCATACTCTTTTCCTCATACTTTATAGGGCAAGCTTTTGGATCTTTAATAGAACTCTTTAAGTTCTCTATTCTCTTTTCGGCCATCCTGACATTTTCATGCAATTTTTTTATTTCTATATTTAAGACATTCCTCTGTGATTCTTTTCGAACGGGACGGTAAACTTCAGTCGCTAAAGAGACGCTCAATAAAAGGAATAAACTAAATACTATCTTCATTCTGACTGATTGTACAATAAAAGGAGGAGATAGAATTTTTGTAAAAAGAACGAGAGATATTCTTATCCTTATTACACGTTGTGCGAATTGACATATGGTTAAGAATTGGTTTAAAAACATTGTAGAATTTCATCATTTTATCTGAAACATTTATATACAGACTTCCGAATCAATCTTAGCCTACAGGTATACGTTTACGTCGGCCTAGTCAATTGAGATTTCTATATTTTGCAAGCTAATATAGTAATAATATAAAATTAGAAGATTTATCTGATTAAATCTAAAATTACACGCTCCTTAATATATTTTTAGATAGGACCAGGTTATTAGAGCATGTTTCAAAGTACTCAACAAACATTACATAATGTTTCAAAGTTATAAGTTAGCTTGAAGAAACAACCGCATAAAAAAATTTAATTTATATGTTGAGTAGGCGTCCGATTATCTCTTATACTCCATATCTCCGAGCATCAAACGCCTGAAATATAAAAAAAGTAATTTATCGAAGCCTAGGTCACAATAGGCTTTCAAATGATTGCATGAATTATTCAAGACTAATACCAGATTATATTCGAAAGGAAATAATACAAAAAGGAAGCTAACTTTTCCTCTCTCGCTTTGCTTTTCTTTTAGAAATACTTTCTCTCTGTCTCTCTCTCTATCTCTATCTCTTTTCAGCCTTCATTAGTCTGCATCGAAAACTATTGCAATACGTTTAAGCGAATGGCATCGATTCATGACCCAGTCCTTACTTATACAACGTTGTTCGAAGATAGTATCTCTCGCATTACCATCTTAGACTACTGAGGCGCTTATCTCTTTTTATCGAATATCAGTAGCTTTACAACATATTCTGATAAAGAAAAGAGATATTTTTGGCAACTTTCACTTGTCAATATGGCTTCGAATCAGACTAAAATTGGAAATATTGGCGAAAAGATGACACCTAAGGAAAGACAAGCTCATAGAACAAATAATACAATACAGGTTTGTTATATTATCTCTTATTATATATTTATATATACATCAATTTAATTAGACTAATTATTTTCAAATATACATAATTAGAATGATTTAAATAGAAGATTAAAATATTTGGACATTGAAAGGAGAATTATTTTAAATGCTAAAAATACCGATATTAATCTTCAAAAGAGAAAGCTACCTCTACAAACATCAAAGTCTCCTGTAGACAGTTCTGCTGATTTATTAATTGCGCATAGAAGATCTTCACTTGAAATAGAAATACCTAAATTACAGCAATCTAATTCTCTTCCACATAATTTATGCTCTCTTGGCCATTCAATCAAGGATGAATGGAAAAATAAAAGCGACGAATCTCTTGAACAAGTTAAAAGTGTTTGCCCGTATGGAATAAGTGGAGGAATACGAATGGGTAATGGCTGTAAAAGGAGGGATTTACAAGATTGGCTTGGATTAAGGGATAGAAAGCTCAAGCGAACTCCAGTTAGAGTTAGATAAATGAAGGATGAACGAAAATACGTAAAAGACATTACTAATAAAAGGAATATTTATTATATTTTACGGTCTAGAAATATTATATTTTTGAACAATATCTTTATGATGTTGCTGAAGCATTGCTTTTTCATCGTAAGATCTAACGTTCAAGGTAGCACTCGGTCCAGTGTTCCACAAAATGCCCTTTTCATCTTGAACTGCAGTGTCAATACGAACCAGATGCATACCAGCGCTTGGAAAAGCCAAAATGAATTCCGCGGCAAAATAATCATTGTGAGGAACAACCATTTTACTCAACTCATTTGGAACACTTTTAACCTCCTAGTTATAATAAAAGTATATGCATTTTAATGATTTTGAATATTTTACTCAAAGAATATCATATTCATACTAATTAAATAGTAAATAAAATATTTTCTTTATTATCAATTTACCTTCTCAAGGTCTCTTACTATCGTTGATTTACTTTCTTGACTCGAATGGACCGATATCTGAACCCGTTCAACTGACCTATAATAGTCCTTTCGGCCGCAATGTTCGATAACACCTTCAATCTATAATGATGATAAAGTAGTTTTTTTGTCTTGTTATTTTTTAATAACTTTCCAATTAAGATTAATAAACAAACAGTTAAATAAACTAGAAATTTTTCAAGTGCTTTTTACCTTTAGAGTGAGGCGATTTTCAATTTTTAATGATACGTATTCACCTGAAGATTTATGGGGGCTGATATTCAGCTGGGATAGGTAACAATCAAATATTTTTATGTGTTTCACGAAATTCCCATAAGAATTTTATCCTACCTTAATTGTAGTTAATTGAGTTGATTGAAAAAACAGCTTGGGAAGCGGTAATTGTATACAAGTCATTGAAAGAATAACACTACTTAAAAATTCCATTTGCTGTATATCACATAGAATTTCGATTATTTTATTTGTATTTTTTTTAAACTAACCTCAGCTGTAAGGGCTTTTAATGGTTCTGGAAAAACAATATTTCCTAGTGCTTGACAAACATCCGTGCAAACTATTTGTAAATTTTCATTTTCGGCATGTTGAACTAATACAGTTGCGTCATCCGTCTTTTTTACGTAACCAAGCACCGAGGCAGCTCCGACATCTTCCCTAAAATGAGATTATATATGTAAAAAGAAAAAAAACAACACTGAAATTTTAGATAAAATTTGAAAATCTTACCCTCTACACCTCCTTGAGAACAATGATAAAATGAGCTTGATAATAGAACAGCATTTCTGTAATCTGTATTTGTATTGGTAAATTAGGAGTTGATAAGTCTTTAAACGTAAAGAAAAGAAGCAAGCTTACAAATCTATCTTCTCCAAGGTAATTGAATCAGCATTAAAACTAAGACTTCTCAAGCCATTGTAGGATTCTTCTATCTCTTGAAAATTCTCCATAATACTATCAAACTAAATAAATATTTCGTTAAAATAAAAAAAAAATCCAATAATTATTCAACTTACTTGATCTAAAATATGCTCACACTTGTAGAATTCGTGACCGAGAGATTGGGCTCTACCAGCTGACACTGCAGTTGGTGGATACGTTTGAAAACTGCAGCAAACGGTTAACAATCTTTGTAAGGAATAGAAAAATTTACAACGCATTTCAATATATTTGCATTGAAATTTTCGAAGTTCTCTTAAACAAGATGACGCCTGAATTTAATAAAAAAAAAATTAAAAAGAATATATTTGTTAAATAGGTCAATAAAAAGTATTTATGAATAAAACATTACTTGTAATTCTGCAAGTGCTTTTTGATAATATTTCTGTGCATTGTTTAATTTATCAGATATTTCTTCACTATTCAATTCTTCTTTCTCAAGACCAGCCTCAGCTTTGCATACATCTACTAAAGCCGATAGAAATAGATGGATATTCTCAGTAGACGCCTATTATATATTAATTTAAGGTTTAAAAAAAATTAAACAAACTAATTTCAAAGAAAAAAAGTAAATTAACCTTGGCCTTAACGTTTTCCAACAAGTCTATCCCCAACTCAAAATGCCCAAATCTAATACATTGCATAGCTAATTGATGATGACTTTTTGCCTTCATTTTCGGAAGAACATCACCATCTAGATAAGGTTTAAATTCTTTAATATCTTCCGTGTCACAGCATAGTAGAACCAAAGTAGTTTGAGCTAACTGTAATTGGAATATAAAATAATAATAAAAAATATAAAATTAAGTAAAGAAACCACAAGCATTTGTCAGTTTGATTCAACTTACTAATAATCGTTCGTCATATTTGTTATTTTGACATATTTCCTTCAGTTTATTAATAGCATTTTCCTGGTGTAGTGATGCGATAGCTCTGTGATTACAACCAGCAGCGACAGCAACACTAATTAATAGATGAGCAACATTTTCTGAGGTTAAAATAGAAGTAACTTAATGAAAGGTTATCAATTGTAAAAATAATATTACCAGGAGCAACTTCAACAAATTCCATCATACATCCAATTAACTCACTCAAAAACTGCCTCGCGCTATAGCATAAAAATATCAAACACCTTGTACAAATCTGAAGAGTTAAAGGTTAAATGTAAATTGTTCGCAAACATCAAAATGTTTACAAAATACCTTCACAGCTTCAATGTTTTTATCGAGAAGTGACGCACGAAATATAGTTAATAGAGAATCCTTGGAAAAATTCAAGGCCTTATCGACATGTCCATCTACAATTTTACATTAGACGAAAAAGTGTTATTGTAAAAGTTACACCTGATATCGTTTTTAATAAAACTAACGTTTAACATTGTGAATGGAGACGTTTGAGAGAACTCTTGTTGCTAGAGCGGCTAATTCAAGATCTGGATTAGTGGTAAATTCTTCGCAGATGTTTAGTAGAGCATCTAAATTTGCACAGCATGGTAAAATTATTCCTAAATAATTTATGTTAATAAAATTACCAGTTGAAAAATTAAAGAAGTGCACAGCAACCGATGAAGACAATGAGTAGAGTATCCACATTATCATTTTAGTTATATCATTAGTTATAATTATTTCTCCATGTTTCTTTCTCTCCTTCATCCTATTAATAAAGTCATCTTGAGACATATCAGCATCAAATAATTGCATTATGTCATTGATGGAGAACTTTTTCAATTTTTCTTCCTCTTTAACCAAAACTATAGTTTCTTTTGTATCTAAATCTTGATGTGGCTGAGAGCTCTCCTCTTCATCAGATTCAAGTTCACCATCTTCTAAATCTTCTTCTTTTTCGTCAACTTCCATGGAATTAAGGGTTGCTGAAGAATCAGTGACCTCTGCTAGGCCTGACACATCTTTTCTATCGTTCGAATCTTGTGCAAGTTTGCGTTTTCCAGTGGCCAAAGAAAATAGAGCCTTTATTTAAATTAAACATTTAAAATGCTTGTAGCTGTGTTAATTAATGTATAAATACTTCAATATGACATGGTTTCCACATTTGCGGAACGTGCTCAACAAGATAAGACATGTCCTCCATGCATAAAATGCCAATTTTAGGTCTATCTATTTCTTTCAAAATATAACATAATAATAATTCAACCTGTTTTTATAAATAACAGAAATATTGTATAATAATTCCACATTGTCAAAGAAGGCTTACTTGATCGGGAGCGTCGAACCGAAAGTTTGCAGATAACAGCGTAAGCGTATGAAGAATTTCAGAAACAAACTCCTCTGATGTAAAAGTATTAAGAAGCTTTATACAAAATTTTCTAACCTATTGCATATGATAAACATTAAACGGATTAAGTATATTTTTAATTAACTTACTCTATACACAGTTTTTGTATCATGATAAGTATATTGAAATATAGAAATCAATTGTAATTTAAAAGAGGGAGATGTTGAATTATCTTCTATCATATGTTCTAATTTTGGGACTAAGTTAATCGAAAATAACCTTTAGGTGAAATAAAAAATAATCAAATTATTTCAAATAATAAATAATTGAGAATGTTGAATAATTTGTTTATTAACCTATTCCAATTTGTAAACTTTTTAGCAGCATGAATGGCTGCTTGTTGTTCAGCATGATCGTTTGAATCTAAGCTGTTAACTATACTATGTTGTACATTTTTTTCATCATTTAAAATTATTGCCATAGCTGCCATTAACCTGTTGTAAATTGTCGTCATTATCTTTTATTTAATAAGGCTTCAACGTCTAACGGAAAATTACGTACCGTAGTGTAATTGCTCTAGCTACAGCGTCGTTGCTATGCATTACGGAATATATTTTCCTTGTTATTTCCTCGATGCTTATAAGTTTTTCAACGTGCTTTTCATTTTGTTCCGCTAAACTTACAATTCTTAATCGAACTAAATTTGAGCTAAAAAGCAGATATTCCATAAATTATTCAAGGTTCACATTATATAAGAGAAAAGCTAACCTATCCAAAAATAAATCAGCTAGTTTAATAAAGGCAGAATTAATTATAACAGGGAAAGGATGCTTGTTAAATAAATCCGAACATTTCAATATTGCCTCACATTGTTCGCCTCTGTTTGATGAACGAAGGCCTAAAAGGGTTGAATATCGCTCAGTATATTTTAGATTATCATAAAAATTCATGGAATAAATAAAAAAAATTGGATATCTATAATTTAAATAAGACCTTTATCTAATTGAACAAGTAATTTTTCAGCTTCCACATCATGAGTTGTTGATATATCTTTAGCGATTGCTTGATTAGACCAAACAGCCGCCATCCCATGGACTATGTGATTTAGAAGGCTATACACTGTTTGAATCATTTTCGGCCGTTAAAAGAATCAGCCCGGGAAAACAAGTAATTACTCGTATGTTTGTAAGTTTCCTTTTTTGTTATGTTTTATAATTTTGTATTAGCTATACCATATAAATATATCATGGTTATATAACATTTTAAGGGTAATTATTGCAAGAGGCTGTCGTTAGGTATTTTGTTATTTTGTTAACAATACCTACTCACCTAATTTCGCCCTTACTTTTCTTTCTTTGTTATTCGCTTTGATATTTAAAGTATACCTTAAAGTTTATATTTCAAATATGAAAAAAAACACTTTTGTATTTGAGAAGAGTGATATAGAACAGAAAAAAACTTGAAATTTGGTGAATTAATATGAAAACGACTGGGTCATTTGTACCACTTTCACTTTGCTTAGGTTTAGTATAGGCTCTTCGTTGACGGCCATCCAAATTGAATTTACTCTGTATTACTAAATTTCTCATAATTAAAATATGTTGTAGGAAATGACTTAATCTTTTTGTTTTTTTTTCAGAGTATTATTTGTGACGATACGGGCAAGAGGTTTGTAACAGCAGAATCTCTACCAAGATGTTTTGCCATAGGCCTAAAATGTTTCGAAATCCTAACGGATGCTGTATTTGTGAGACGAAAACATCCTCTTCAAGATTTACAGCAAGCAAACCCTACGAAGAACACTTTAAACAGTGTTTCAATCTCATACCTACCGAGGAACGAACTGGTCAAATGTGCAACGCATGTGTTTTATTATGTAAAAGGCATTTAAAAAGTGGAGGTGTAAAAACTTACGAAAGATACGTTGGTAGTAAAGCGGCGCCTAGGGGTAGACGAAGGAGATTGCCACCACCTGATGAAAATCATCGATTGTCTAAAGGTAAAAAAAGGCCTGATTTCCCATCAAATAGCAAAGGAAGACGGAAAAAGTCTAAACCAAAGAAAAAAGCGTTTGGAGCTCTATTAGATCTACAAGAATTTGAATGTAAGAACTTTTTGAACAATTAATTATTTAAACTTCTGTTTAACAATACAATTATTTATAGTATCAGAATCAGAAGCTGAAGAAGATAGTTACGAAACAAGAGTATATTATACAAGCTCATATATTGATCTGACTATATCTCAACCTCAAAAAACTTGCTGCGGAATTGTCTTCGTGAATAAGAAAGGTGAAGTGACTGTTGATAGTCTTCTTTTAAGTATGTGGGACTGTAAGTCAAAGTCGAATTGCTTCAATGTTAATAATATTTTTAGGAAATGTCATTTGGAAGATGAATAGTCCTACACAAAATAACATTTGTAGTGAGTTTTTTTTCCTTTTTTTTTTGAAATACTCCTTTTTCTTTTTCATTTTTTTAAATTTTGTAGTTCATACTTTTCGTTACTTTTTTTTTTAATACTTTTTAAATGTCTAAAACAAAGAAACAGAATGTTTTTTCATAATAGTTAAACAATTCTTTTATTAGTAGTAATAAGATATATTTCCTGTAAGAACTGCTATGGTTTATATGATAAATGTTACCTATCGATAAATCAACTCTTTGGAACCGGATTGTTTATCATTGAACATTCGTTTGAAATTGAATTATTGGACGGATAAATGAATTTGGGCTGACCGAACAACTTTTATTGATATGATCGAGATTGAGAATATAAAATCATATTGGATAGTTTTTCTACTTAGCAGATTTTAATGGATTTCGATCTTTTCTATTGATCAGCATGTTACTGTTTGGAGGAGTAAACTTTTCGTTCAAGTTTTTTGACTCTAACTGGTTTGAGCCGTGGCAAAGTTGCACTCTTATAGATTATTACCAAGCATCATTGAAAGCATTCATAAACATGAAAACTGGACAGTACTTTCAATTCATAGCTTTTCAGTATTTGAAAGCTATGGATTCAAAACCTTGAATTCACTAAATCATTGTTTAGGGTACTTACATCAAAGATAAACTTATACAGAGCAGTGTTTCGAGAATTGCTAATGGCCTTTACCTAAATTCTTCTGTCTTACTTTGCGGCTGCCTCTAACTCATTTATTCAATATCTGCACGTTTGCAATCAATTCACTTTAGACAAACGTCTTTCGTTAATTGCTGTGTAAAAAGAATAATAGTCGATGATTCCTTTTATCACCTATAGATTAGGCATTCAAAGTAATCAACGATTCCAGGTCTGCCGATTGCTTAGAATATTTAGAATTGAATAGATTATTGGTTGGTTATTGGGACTCCATAAGCTATCGACAAAATTTATTTAATAGACTGAAATATATGAAATATACTGACTGTATAGGAAATCTATGGAATTTTCTTGCTTACAGTTTATCTAATTCTCTAAATATAATTGAATTATATTCTATATCTAATCAATTTAAAATCATAGCGGATTACCAGACTTTGGCGTTTGGAGAATTGTTAGTTTCAATTAACGGTGACAGTTCAGTAATTATTGGATTTAACAATTGGACATCGTTAAAATGACATTTTTTTTTACGTTATAACTTGAGGATAATTGAAAAATTTTTCATAGATTTTGTTGAAATTGCTATGTAAAACTGGGTAATTTAGCTATTGATTTTAAGGGATAGAGAGGAAAAGCTTGCGAAATATAATAGTTCTCTTTAGCAACCTTTCAGTCAGAGGGAGGATGCCTAGAATCCATGACATGTTCTACGATAGTAAATTCTGTTAAAATAATGGGTTTCAATAAAGTGCTCCAATAGCAATCAATTTTCATCAACGGAGGTCTACACTAATAACAATTCTCAGAACATACTTAAAATTACAAAATGCAGCATGAAAAACTGTTGAGTTGGCAAAGCAACGCCAAAAACACTTTAGGTGTATTAAACATCGGCGAAACAATGAAATCAAAGGATTCTAGTCTACATGAGAGTGGAATACCAACGAGCAATATATTTGCTGTTAGTAGCTGTGTTATTATTTGAGCGTCATTATTCGCTTTCCCTTAGAATAAGCATCAACAAAAATTAAAGAGAAAAACAGGAAAATTCTTCATCTCAAGTCAATGTTTTAAAAAGCAAGAGGACGTGTCTTTAGTAGATACTAGTTACAATCATCAATTAGACTCTGATATTCTGTCAATTGACTCACAAATGGTGGCAGAGACAGAGATTTGATGAATTTTTTTTCCTTGACGCTTTTATTCCTACTTTTCTCTTCACGGTGGATAGCTCTGTGAATGTTTGTGTCTTTCCCCATGTCACTTACGTCAGATATATTATTTTTTTTATAGAAAAGCACATATCGTTTTACTTAGAAAAAAAGAAATACCGCAATGAGAACTGTAAAGTTCACTGGAAAATGTAACAAGATTTAAATAAAAATGTACATATTCATTAATATTTTCTTACTGTATATACAAATTGCTTCTTTTTTTTCTTCAAGTTGATTAGTAATTTTGCGATATTGTAGTCTGACGTATATATTTATCAGTCAACGGATGAAAGAGAACCAACGTTGATATAAAAATTGCACAGAGGAACAACCAAAAGAACAGTCTGTCCATAGTTTCGGCAACATTTTTCCAATCTTTAGCATTCCGTTCTGCTTCTTTCTTTTTCTCTTCCTCGTCCGATTTTTGGTAGCTACTACAACTACTACATTGGTTTTGATAATTAATCTGATTTGTCCTAATTGGTGAATTCTGAGTTTCGGAGACGTTACCATCCAGTTGTTGCAATTCTATGACTGTAGCCTCGTCGCAATCTAAACAAAGCGAAGACAAATAAGCCTTTGAATCAATGAATACAAACAATCGTTATTAACCCGATCCTGTTGAAGTCAGCCGGATATTGGCTTTCCTAAATGGTATTAAATTTCTTGTATGACGTCGATTTCTAACTTTGGCCTTCTTCTCTGGATCTTTCTCGCAAGGACCAAATATTCGACCTATGTAACGAATGACCACTGTTGTAACCTGGACATGAGAGAAATGTGTAAATTTTCATTATGCAAATTCTATCCACTTTATATAATTACTTAATTAATATTCTAGTCGAATTTAAATCACTAATACATAAGGTAATAAGGGAAATTTTTTTACCCAATCAGGAACTGGTCTATCCGTAATAAAATGAAGATTAAGAACTAGTACGGTGAGAACCATAGATAACGTCGTTATAGCCATCGTGCAAGTCAAATATATGCCTAAAGCGGAAATGAATATTTTTATTCGTTAGAGCTTTATTTGCCCATCTACCTAAAAGTGGAATATGATCCGAGGTCTTTGGTATATTTCCCGCCACGTTCAATAGAAATATTCGAAAAGATAGTAAAACGACAACCCCAATCTGCACTTTTTGTCCTAAAGATATCCAAAAACATTTAGATTCTCATTTAGATTGGTTTTGTGATGCTAAATTATTTATGTCTTACCAGGAGTACAAAAGAATATGGATAATAGTAGCACGCTTGTAAGAATTGAAGGTAGGATGATATTCATTATGTAAAAGATGTGCCGTCGGCGAAGGTGAACTTTGAAGGCAACGTTGGAAAAGCGCTCTTCCGGACAGCATTCGTAATTAAATTCTTGACGTTTTGCTGACGTGCTACAAGGTTATAATAAATTTCTTAGATTTTTTGAAAAAAAAATATGAATCATCAATAATTCAATGTTCTCAAAGGAACTTTGTGCAAAATCCTTTTTTTTATAGTTTCCTAAGAAAAAGAAGATAGAAAAAGGGAAAAATAGATTTTTACTTTAATATTTGCCATTCTCCATTTCCTTTATATGAATCCAGATTGATGATATTTGTACCAGAAGTGAGATTCATTTTTGAAGTATGATACGACCATGCGCCAAAAACCATATAGCACACTTGTTCATCGAAAGGATAAAATGTAATATCAATTGGACACATTGTCTGAAAGACTCCCCCAGGTTCCCATCGGATGTCTCCATTATATTCAATTATGGCACGGAATTGGTTGTAGTTCTCATAAATCTTTTCCGCCCTGTAAGTTTGTAAAGTAGGGGAAGGGGTGAAAACGACGTTCATTTTCAATTATTGGCGGATTAAGGAAAAATTATGGATATGCGTAACCCGTTAATAACGGCGAACTCCGGTCTCCATAGTAATTTCGCTTCTACTATCAGTTCGGTTAAGTTCTTGTGCTCCATAGGATTCCATTGCAGTCGTTCGTCTCTCCAATGCTACGAAAAGTTGTGATTTATGCATTAGAGATGACTTAATCGATTTGTTGTACGGTTTTCGTACGGCATACATTCGTTCATCATTTCCTTTTTTACTGTCTCTATCTCCTTCTCCTGCCCCTCCCCCTTCTTCACTCACTCTCTCTCTTTCTCTCTCTCTATCTATCTCTACTCTACTCTACTCTCGTATACTTTTTTCCTATTAAAAAAGGTTTTTGTTTATATTCTAAAATTGAATTTTTTAATAGAAAACATTAATGTTATCTCTTTCGAGCAGATATAGTATTACACCCCGGAGAGTTTTCTCCATAGTTCCTGCACGAATGAGAAAAACGTTCGAATTTCTTTTTCTTAATTATTCATCGTAAGTCTTGCTGCTATCAATCATTCTCGAGCTACCGTGTCCTACGTATGTACGTTGCCGTCTAAAGTAACGCCCTGGGGCATCGAATACCGAAACTCGTTTGTCAGTCTTTCGACCCCTCCAATTTTCTCTGGGAGGGAGGAGAGGAGAACGGAAGGGGCGTGGTGTAAAGTGAAAGACAAACAGGATAGGGTATGTAACTTAACAAATAGCTAATAATTGAGATAAATTACGTGCAAAGTTGGTTTAAAAACATGTTTGATAACTAGTCGTGCAACGCATAATAGGGTCTCACCTAGTACACACCTAATCATTCACAATACTATTTTAATCACATAAAAAACCTATCGACATTATCATTCTATTACTGTAGTAGAACATTTACTGTTTCATTCCCGCTCGCTTTTCCTATTCATTAAAGCAAATAAAGCAGGAGTAAGTACACCTTTCTGCACATATGATTGATTTATACTGTTTTTCAGATTATCGATTATTATTTTATCTTTTTTACCTCTTTGTCAATCTCTATCATTCTCTGTCTTTGTCTGCGTGTCACTCACTCACTCACCCTCTCTCTCTCTCTCTCTCTCTCTCTCTCTCTCTCTCTCTCTCTCTCTCTCTCTCTCTCTCTCTCTCTCTATCTTACTCTCCTTCTCTCTATTTTGATAAGAGATTATATGTGGCTACACTCGTGTGTATTAAGCAGATATTAAACTTTCCCTACACAATAACTATGAGGTATTAGAACTTTGAAAAGTGAAGATTTTAGTAAAAGAATACTATTATATAAATAGTCGATGTATAAGACTAACTTGTTACGTTTCCTACGCCTTCAAAGGAGAAAAAATAAGGAATTTAAGCTATTCAATTGAGAGATAAAAAATATGTAACAGTAAACTCTTAATATGCTTAAACAAAAAGGGTCAACTATTGAGTAAGAAGTTTTGTGGAAAACCGCCTCTCTTTTTTATCATTTCTTACTTCATAAGGATTATTTCCAAAGCAATTCATCCTATCTTAATCGGTATTGTATGTTAGCTGGAGAATTGATTAAGAAATAGCGTGACTCGAAGAAAAAGTTTAGGCCGATTTTAACTAGTGATAATACTTTGAACCATTTATATAAGGGTCCTAAAACACATTCAGCATCAAATTATTTCTAATAGTAGCTTGATAAGTATTCATGATTTTAATTAATTTTCAATGAATGTCCAACTTGTTAGTACAACGTAGGAGATTTAAAGTAAAAAACACAAAACAGAAGATAAGTAAACTCTTCAGAAGGGAATATAAAAAATTGGGGAGGAGGGGGTGGGGACGGGGGAAGGAGATAAAGAGACAAAATGGAGAACAAGATAAAAAAAGAAATTGGCCAATTTTCTCTTAATAAGATCGACATTTCAAAATGTATTTACTAATTCGACGAGAATTATAAGATTTTCGATACAATTAGTATATTTAAATAAATACATTAATTTATGATAATGACCTATTATATTATTATTAGTCAAGATTTTTTGTTAAACAACAAGGACTAGTGGTATTATATATCATTATTAATATATTATCTATATACTAATATGTGAGAATATTTAAAAATATAAACTGTATATATGTATATATATATATACAGTATATATATATTATCCATTCAATGACTTACCAAGATAAGTAGACCGGTGGTGGTTAAGACCTGACTACGAACGTCCTGTTTTCAATAGGGTATAAATTAAGAAAAAATAGATTTGTTCTACATAGACTAAATAGAATGACTTAAGTGATTTTTTTTTCTCTTTCATTTTTTTTTCAAAAAAAAAAAGAGAAAAAACTATCGTAATGTGAAAATAAACAGCCAAATAAAAATCCAATGAATATATAGCGTAATAATCGATTTTTATTTTTTTTGTATTAATTTCACTAATCCCATCTAACAATAAGAAAATCGGTCTGAATGAATACCTTGATTAATCATATATATATATAAAGTATATACAACAGATTGCATATATATATATATATATATATATATATAGAGAGAGAGAGAGAGAGAGAGAGAATATAGAATGTATTAATAATTTAATTAGCTTAGTTTGATGCGGTTTTATTAAACTGTACCTCTATAGAATTCCTTAATTGTAAAGTTAATGATAGTACAGTATAATAGCATACATATATGTAAATTTTATATATACTGTATATATAATAATCATAATTCTTTGAGTTATTAATACTGTATATTTATGTTTTTCTTTGGGAATTATCTCTATTTAATGGTAAACAGCCCACTAATTAACAACCCCGACTTTAAGAGACACAGATACCTCGTAAATTAGGCCTACCATGATTAATTTCGTCACTATTACTTTTACCTCTCTCTCTCTCTCTCTCTCTCTCCCTCCCTCCCCTCACCCTCGCTCGCTCTGTTTTTTTATATATTTTTATTTAGATATATTCTTCCTAAATCATCAACATATATCTATATATATCTGTGAATACATATGACTTACCAAATCTTTGATGTGCATCAATGAAAATTGAATAGAAACTTGTACGCTATCAACTGAATCTAGAACAGGTCTTGCAGTAGGATTATAATGGTCAAAGAGTTCCTTCAGTAGAATTTCCTCATCGGTCATTTCCGATTGAGCTAATTAATTGGTAATAATTTTGTTAAATGTAACAACATATAGTTAATATGAATCAAATTAATATTTGTATATATTAATATATATATATTTTATATCTAGATATACTGTATATATATAATTAGATAAACAAAAAATATCTGAATAGGGGATAAATATTTGTGGGAGTAAAATATTTTTTTAATAGCAATTCTATAGAAAATAGGGGAAAAATATTACTAAATATACAATTTACAAAAGAAGTTTATTAACAAAAAAAGTGAAAAATAGATTGAATAGAAGAATAGATTCGTGCTTACCTGTAACTAAATAGAAAACAATAAATATATAACACACCCACGCCATGTAATATTTTTCACCGGTCGACAGCCGAAGAGCGAATGCATAAATCCTCGATCAGCAATGGCCTATACATGCTTATTTCTCTCAACATTGATTGGACGCTTACGATTTCTGGTCGCCGGAAAAAAACGTCGGCTAAAATATTCGCTGTGCCTTTTATTCTCAACTTTTGCGAATGCTGCTCCCCCTTTCTTTCATCGCCGCATTTACTTCACATATATATCCATATGCCATAGATTTTATTGTATATACTAATATAAATACATATATGCATTGTTTGTCCTATATATATATATATATATATATATATATATATATATATATATCTTCCTCTATCCTTTATATTCTTTTTTTATATTTTAATTCACAAAATTCTCTTCCTCATCATTAGCTAATGTTTCCTACATATGCGCCTATGATTCTCTTTTATTGTCGTTATATATTTCATTATTGATAGCTATCTCTTCCTAAAAAAATTTTATCTTTCCCTTTCGAATTCTTTATTACATACTTTGATCTACTCAAAGTGGTCAGAACGTGCCTGTTGGCTGACGGAAGTAGACATCCTATCCTCGTTTGCTTCTTCGATGCTAATAGGCCTGGTTAAATGTCCGAAGTAGTCAATTTTAAATATTTATCAAATTATAAACGGTAGCAGGATATCTTTGATGACATACATTAAAGAAAAAAAATGATTTATCTATTGTTTCGGTAGTGTTAGTAAACTAATATAGGATAAATTTAGCGACAACCACATTCAGCCAGCGCCATCTGGATTGCTTTATATTCAATATTTTTCTTAAAGAATGTGAATTTTTTCTTGCCACGAATATTTTTTGTTATACGCCCGCCAGAAATGCTAGGCCATGAATAATGGTACGTCACGAATATCACGACCTGATTCAGTCATAAATATATTACGTTAAAATTGCCTAACAGTAGCTGATAGTTGACGTATGAAGATGAAGTGTATTTTGTTAAAGACTCTATTATTTATCGTCATTTTCCATCTATCTCGCCAAAATATCTGTGAAGAATCTCAACGGTGCGATTGTACATATGAAGGATGGAAATTAAACGTCGACTGCTATGATTATGAAGGCGATTTCCCTTCACTTCCTCTTAATACGACGTCTTTCTCTCTAACTGATTCAAAGGTTGAAAAGCTGCCGGATGACGCCTTTAAGAATAATCATTTCTTGGAGACTGTTACTATTTCCTATTCGGTGTTGTATGATATCGAAGAAAGAGCTTTCCGGGAGGCTAAAGCCATCAAATCAGTCTCGCTAATTGGTAATAAATTCAAACGTCTTAGAGCAAATGTGTTTAGAAGAATAGATTCTCTTCGTTCCTTGATTCTTCTGAGAAATTCTCTTCATACTATTGATTATGGTTTTCTTGGGGGAAATTCAATGAAGTTGGTGAAAATAGGTTTTAATCGTTTAACAGAAATTAGACGAGACATATTTATTGACGCAATGATTGAGGAATTGATTGTAATCAACTCAAGCAAGCTGATAATGACAAACGGAGAGTTTTTTCAGTGGATGAGAAATTCGATTAAAGTTGTATCTTTTACGAATGTTCCCGTCGTTCACCCGGAAAACAGATTATCCTTCAAAAATTTACGCTTGGATAAGCTAATATTGAGAAACGCAGGCCTTAAGGATTTAAGTAAACTTAATGGCTTGACCACAAAACACCTAGATATAAGCAATAATCAGATTGATTGGAGTAGTACAAAATCATCAAATTTTAGTATAGACAGCCTCAGTTGTGAAACTACTGGCTTGAAAGATCTACATCTGTTATCCCTAGCTTTCCCACGTATTAAAACCCTCTCTGCTGCCTATAATAAAATAGAATCCATTCCAAGTCAGGGTTTAGTTGGTTTATTCCCTTTAATGACAAAGGTTGATTTTTCTAATAATCTTTTTACGGAACTACACCCAAGAGATGTAGCATATTTAAAAACGGCTAACTTTAACTACTGCAAACTTCGTACAATATATAATGAACAACATGGCTTTTCAAAGAAATTGACAGACATGCTACAGGACGGACTACAATTGAAATTTAACGGAAATAAATTCCATTGTAATTGCCAACTAAGGTGGCTTTATGACTATCTAAAATCTCAAAGAAGTTATTCTTTCTTTTCTACTAAATGTCAAACGCCACAGTTTAGTCATTTTATTAATATGAAGGAATCAAATTTCTCTTGCGTAGCGGCTCAAATTGTGACTTTCTCAAAGTTTTTGATAGGGAAAACTTCAGTTAGACTAACTTGTGAAGCAACTGGCGATCCTTTACCGATGCTTCAGATTCATTTCCGCGAAGACGGTCTTATAAAAACGGAGAAAATTACTGTTCGGAATCCTGATCCGAAATTTAAGCGAAATAGATTATCAGTCGTTTACACAAGGGATAACAGCGTCCATTCAGACTTGATCGCTTATTGTGTTGCTCGGAACGAAAAGGATACAGTAGATGCTGTAATTACCTTAACTTCTCTACTCGGTATCACAAGATCTCAGCCAACTCCTACAACTATGACCAGAAAATCAAGTACTACCAAGCCAACCACTCTAAAAGCTTCCTCAAATCCAACAAAAGAGTTTGAGACGACTCCATCTACCTCTAAAACTGTTGTGAATACTAAATCATTTAGTAAAACCACCCTAACCCCATCACCGTCCACTACCCCTCTCCCTGAAAGTAGTTCAACAATGGATAATTTTAAGACTACAGTTAACGTTGAAACTACTAGGAGATCATCAAAGGGTAGTTCTACTCTTTCAGAACATCATACCGAACCAAGAACAACGTCACCGTCATTGTCAAAAACAACAACAGCAGCAACAACAACAGCAACAACAAAAGCCACAACTACAGCAGCAACAATGAAAGTAACAGAGGACAGATCGACAAAAGTAACAAGTGATTCAAGTAAAACGAAAAAATCCAGTTTACAATGGACAACTACACAAATGCCTTCTTCGTCAAGAGGTGACAATAAGTCGTCTCAAGAATCAAAAACTACTAGGAGATCATCAAAGGGTAGTTCTACTCTTTCAGAACATCATACCGAACCAAGAACAACGTCACCGTCATTGTCAACAACAACAACAACAAAAGCCACAACCACAGCAGGAACAATGAAAGTAACAGAGGAAAGATCGACTAAAGTAACAAGTGAGTCAAGTAAAACGAAAAAATCCAGTTTACAATGGACAACTACACAAATGCCTTCTTCGTCAAGGGGTGACAATGAGTCGTCTCAAGAACCAAAAAAATCCACTGAGTCAACCACTAGCGCCTCCCCCATCTCTACTACACTTACCAATGCCGTTTCAACAAGCACTAAAGCGCCATCTATCGAAGAAAGTCTAACAAAAATAAAAGTAACAATTATTGAAAAGGGAAATTCCAAAGTTTCTTTAACGTGTAAAAGTAATTTAAACGAAAAATTAACTTTACAACTATTTACTTCCAAAAACAAAAGTCAAGAATTTACAATAGTCGATGAGCAATTCTCAATTAGAACTGATAATTCTAATCAAATATCCTTCTATATTGGCAATCCTTCAGATGACGATACGCCAGCCCTAGCATCGCTAAACGAAGATTGTCCAACAATCTGTAATTGTCGAGATCAAAGTATTACTTGTCCAGCTAGCGATGAAAATATTATGGAAATACCAAAACTATCAGCTAATTCACAATTTACAAAGTTGTTTATTAATAAAGGTAATTTGGAAGTATTAGACTCTTCATCATTTCAAGGATATGATAATTTTGAGGAAATTCTACTTTCGAATTGTAATTTAAAAACATTACATAAAAATACTTTTTCAAAGATGAGAAATCTAAAATCTATTAGTATTTGGAACAACGATGAACTTCAATCAATTCCGGAAGGTATATTCTTAAACAATCGCGAACTACAGTACATTTCAATGTCTACAAATGGTATTCAAGAACTGCCTAGAAATTTTGTAAGAGGTCTCCACTTAATAACCGTTGACCTTCGTTCATTACAGTTGAAATCTCTTCATCATAGTGTATTTTCCAATTCAACAATGAGGAATTTATTCCTCAGTAACAACAGAAAATTATCTGATTGGGATCCGTCAGAAGTAGTTATGCATTTGAATGTCAGTCATCTAGCCATTAATTCAATACCTATGGCAAAATTACAGCATAGTTTAGATTTTTCAACATTACAAGCAATGGAAAGATTAGATATGTCTAATACTGAAATATCTCAACTAAAATTCCTAGATGGAGTGAGAACAACTGATGTTATAATAAATCATAATCATTTTGAAAGTTTACCACTACATCCACAAATGGATTGGACTTTTTTACGATATTGTAATATTACCAATTCAAAATTAATAAGTATTGATCAATTGCCCAGTATGCCTAAAATTCTTCACTTGAATTTAAAAGAAAATTCAATTACCCATCTAAATCAATTGAATATTTCAAAAAAATTTCCCAATCTGGAAGTACTTATACTCAGTTCTAATAAGATCTCTGTTTTTGATGCAAATATCATTACTGGTTTTGGAAGTAGGCTGAGAAGTTTATTCCTTAATTCAAACTTGTTAAAAACTATACCAAAGCCAAATCAACCTATAGGAGAAATATGGCCTGCAATGAAATATTTTGATTTGAATGAAAATATTTTTACCTGCGATTGCAACGTTGCTTGGTTTTATGAGTGGTCATACGGTAATGAGAATATAAGCGCACCGTATTGTCTTATTCAGATTGATCAAGTAAGGTTATTGAATGAAATGCCTAGAGAAGGGTTTAACTGTTCACCTAGAGATATTATTTCCTTCAATTATACTATGGACGATGAGAGAGTAGATGTCTCCTGTGGAAATGGGGATATTTGTTCAAATAGTGCGCGAATCAGTATAGAAGATGAAGGCTATTCTGGAACAAGAAAGACTTCTTCGGAGAGTAGAGGAGCTGCGCTCGTCTCTTACGAATACACCGAAAATACAATAAGACTAATTATAAGATGCGACATTTCCAATCCTACCAACGGTACGGGAATCATTAGTAAAACTAAGATCATTAATATTCGATCCAAGAGTACCGAAGACCCTCAGACTCGAACTACACAAACATCAATAAAGACTACATCACCTCAAAAACAATCTCTTAACTCTACTGGAGATTCAACAGACTATTCAACAATCTACTTAGCTGTAGGACTCTCGCTTATCTGCCTTTTTATTATTATACTAGCAGCGTTTGCTATTAGAAATTGGAAAATTGCTAAAAAATTTCGAAAGCTTCAGATGGAATAAAGAAAGTATAATCTTTTAGAATTACTTTGTTTTTTTTTTATATTTTTTATTCTTATATTTCATTATTATACGGTAAATAAATACAATTTTTGAAAGTTGCATTATATAAACAAAAGATACATGAATAATGATGGAAGAGGGGAGAGGAAAACAAAGAAGACCGTTGTATATAGTTGTGTAGAAAAAAAAACTGCAAATATTATAAAAAAAACTATATAGGGGAAAAGAGTAAGATGAAGGTATAAAGTATTAAAAAAAAGAAAACAGATGTGAACTATTTATACTTAATTTAAGCGTATAACCACATTTGGTGCATTTTACGTAATAAATATATATAAATAGAGTTTTATTAAGAATTTAATATATTAAAGAGTCAGCAATTCTATTTCTCTCTGCCGCATAGACAAGACTATAATCAAGCCCCATGTATGCATAACTGTTTTCTCCTACTGTGCACGGACTTACCTGGTTATTAGTCATCGATGTGACGTAGCAGAAAACGCTACATTCCTGGGAGATGCTACAGAGCGTGATTTTTCAGGTGTAGTATGATACATGTTTATACATAGATTCTTAATATATATAGGATTTATTAAAGATCTCTAAGGTGCATATATAAAGAAATTTTCTCTCAATTTTTAACACTTTTTGTTATAACTGTGATTTGTTTTTTAAATATCAATCAATAGCTGCAAAGTTGCTTATATTTATACAATGATTTATATATATAAGAACAGTTATATACATGTATACCTCTCTACGTACTATTCTTAAAATATTAATATATAGTACTATCCGTTGTTTTTGAACAATTCATTCAAAAAGTAGAATTGTTTATTTATACTTTTTTATTACACCTACTCTCCTTCTTCTTTTTCTTCTTCTTCTTCTTCCAATACATTTAAAAAAATTTTTTTTTACTGTATATAAAGAAGTTTGTCAAGTTTGTTTTTTCTTTTTTTTAGATAAGTAAATATTAATTTTTATAGGTTAATGATTTTTTTTTACTTCCAACTTAAAATATATCTATGTATAATGAACGATAAAATGATATAGGAGATTTTCTTTATGTTTGGCATGCTAAAACGTGATTAGCATCTCGTAAAAATGTATAGGGATGAAAGAATAGGTTATATAGGCTGAAATCAATATGTGTAGCATTAATAGTGTGTACTCGATACGCGATACAGGAAAGTCTCGGAGAAGAAAGAATGCAATGAAAGATCTCTTAAACTTCCATCTCCTGGCTATTATCGACGTGCTACTCTTTGTAGAGTTGATGGGTTTTGCAACGTGCTGTCCTATATTATGCAATTGCAGTGGATTTGTTGTTGATTGTTCCTATAGGAATTTAACTACTGTACCTTTAAATATACCGGACGGTATTAGGACTTTACTACTGAATGGAAACCAAATTAAGGAGATTGGTAACAATCAATTTTCTACCTATAATTCAATAAAACAGCTGGACCTAAGCAATTGTAAAATAGAAAAATTAAGCTCAACCTCTTTTCACGGTCTATATAATTTGAAAAAGTTGTACTTGGCTGATAACAAGATTTCCAGCTTGCCTAATTATTTATTAAAAGGTTTGGATTTGAATTTATTTTCTATATCACGGAATTTATTAAAAGATTTAAATCCATTGGCTTTTGATGGAAATTTGACGTCTTTATATGCCAACCAATTATCTATCGAACGTTTACAACGAAAGCTTATTGATAATTTAAAGGCTTCGTTAAAAGTTGTGCACATTAATTACAATACGAAACCCTTAAATATGCCCTTGGGCTTTTTTACTGGAACATCTCTCTCAGAGCTCTCCTTAAAAGGTAACCATTTCAAGGACATTGAATTTCTATATGGATTAGAGATGTCTGAGGGGAGAATGGATTTAAGTGATAATGAGATATCAGATAGAGCTTGGAATGTTCTCTATCGAGTTACTGGAATTAAGGACTTACTCCTCAATAATATTGGTCTTACAGAAATTTCTAATAGATATCAGTCAGAATCTCTTCAATTTATTGGTCTACAGAAAAATTCCATTAGAGAGATAAGAGATAACGATTTTAAATTTGGTCGTAATTTAGGTGCTATTGACCTACAATATAACGCCATTACTGGTATTCAGTCGACAACATTCAAACACAACAAGAATCTAACAATAATCGAACTATCAAACAATCAGATTGAATTTTTCGATTTTGCATTATTCGACGTCAATAGATTATTAAGACGTTTGTTATTAAGGAACAATTTTATAAGATCTGTCCCAATTACTTATCAACATTATTTAAAGTTATACAAAGGAGAATTGGATATAACTAATAATAAACTGCATTGTAATTGCCAACTTCAATGGTTAAAAGATTATCTTTTATCTATTGATTTAAGACAGAGGAGGAGATTTAAAATTGGCGTTTGTTCTACTCCGTCAAATTTCGAATTATTGTCAAGGCGTCACGAATTGAAATGCATTGTGCCTAAAATTGAAATTTTTACTATAGAACAAATACTAAATGGCATTGAATTCTTTTGTACGGGCTTCGGAGATCCTCTCCCAGATATCTCGGTACAAATAAGCCCTCTAGCGAACATAACAGTCTTGTTTAAAGGGAGTGCAAACTACAAGGGTGTGGTAAAAACTGGTTGCAGTACATTGCTGCTATTCCGGTGCATAGCCAAGAACGACGCGGGTAACGCTTTCAAAAATTCAAGTTTAAAATCGGAGGCTTGTCCAACGGTCATGACAACTACAGCTGACACGGACATAGTAACTTCGAATATCACTCGCTCTCCTTTCGTCGTAGGCTCAGGGAGCGGCGAAGAATCTGGAAGAAACATAGCCGGTATAGTTATTGGCGTTATAGTACCCGTTCTTGCTGTAATTGTCGTTATACTGGCAGTGATATACTGGTATAAATATGGATCTAGAAAACGCAAAGTTCAGATTAATCGACACGGAGCAGTGAGAAATCACGATCATAAACAAAATGGAAACAGAACTGTAACTATAACACCCGCCGTTTAAAAATTATGTGCTAAGATTTAAATAAAATTCTTTTTAATTTTTTTTTTAAAAAAAAAAAGAAACAAAAGAAAATTTTTTTCCAAAGAAAACGATGATAAAGACAATGGAAAACTTTCTCCGAAAATATAAAAAAACATAAAATTATTATTGTTGTTCTCATCTTTTTATTCTATCAAATAAAATCAGCATTATGTTCGTTGTGGTGCACATTTTGTATAACCTTTTGTTTATATATATATATATATATATACTTTATATATATACTTTATATATATGATTTTATATATAATAAATAAACATATACGTATTTATAACATACTAAAGGTGTTCAAAATATGGTAAACATAGATAAAGAGAGAAAGGGATAGAGAGTAACAGGTTCAAATGCAATTGCAAGGTATATGCAAATATATGTTTATGCTTTCATGTATTCATTATTTGACCTCTAAACAGATGAATACAAGCTAAAAAGGTAAATTTAGCAAAGATACCTTTACGCTAAATCAGAAAAATGTAATTACATTTTTTTATAGGACTTTTTTTTTAAAAAAAAATGCGTCTTCATATATATATATATATAAATTTATATATATATATATATATATATATATATATATATATATGTATATTTTTACATTATCGATGTGTTTATATAGAAGCTATATATATACTGTATATATAGGCAGTATTGTAGTCAAAGTTTGGTTTCTACAGGTGTCTCGTCTTTCTGAAAGGCTTTATTATCGAATCCTCCATTCTCTATTATTCTTATTCGAGGTTCCAAAACCCTATAATTGTTAAGTGGATGTGTTGGTGTATCACTACCCTCTGGACTTTGCCGACTAGATATTGAAGAAGTTTCCGCCCCGTTTTCAGTTTGTGTCGCTTTATCTCTTGCAAATTTAACGTTCTCTTCAATAATTCTCATTCTGCTTCGGCGTCTTTTCCTTTCCTTTCTCACCGATCTTTCTCCTATTTATATTTTTATTTATTAAGAATCTAGATAATACATTATGAATTATTGAAAACTAGATAATTACTTAGAGAATTCACTCTTCTTGGAGTGACAATTGGAGAGTCCAAGTCAAAGACAACTCTTGTAAATCCATCATCCGAAGCCGTGCTTATACTAGGAGATGTCTTCCCAGGTAACAATCTCTGCTTATTTATTTTAAAGCTGACAACTCTGGGTAAAAGGCTTGCCGATGAGTTATTTTTCGATCTGGCCAGCGGATTTCCCAAATGATCGTAGAGTGGTCCTTTTTGCTTCGAGTCATTTAAATGTAATGATTTATCAGGTACTTTGTTGCTTAAGGGTTCAGAAACGAAAACTGAAGAAATTCCTGGGGAAAAGCTTACTTTAATAGGAGTAATAAAAAATTTATAAAAGCGATTAAAACTTCTAAATAGGCTTGTAAAAACAGTAAAAATAGACGACACCCCACGCAATTTTTTTCGTTTATTTATTGTAAATCAATTACCTTTGACCCACATAGCTGTCCTATCTAATGAGTCGATAGTGGAGTTCGTTGATGGTAGAACGCATACTTGACGAAATTTGGCAAGTGCTGGTCCCCAATTCGAACTAGGTTTTAGAGCTCCTCTAATACCCTAATGTATTATTTATGGAAAAAGTAGAAATTTCTGGGTATTTAACAATTCAACGACTTTATTCACCTCTTTAAATCCTTCTGACCGTCCTAATATTTGGACAAAGAATCCTACAACTGTAACTGCCATCGGTTGTAAGCCCAGTAAAAGTGATATACCTATTGCCCAACGTGGATATGAGTAAGCATTAACCGTTGGCTCTTCGTATTTAACCCACGCAAAGATCATAATAGTCTAAATCAAAGGAAAACGTATGCATAAAAAATAAACCAATTTAATCTGGCTTTCAACTTACAGTTAGTATAATTGGTGCTGTAAACCACCATTGAATTTTCCAAAAGAATGATGGCTCAGAACCAAGCATTACTCTAATATTAGAGGACCAAAGTTTCATTTTGTAGATCCAACTTACAGCAATACAGGTAATGACTCCAATTAATACAACAGACCAACTAACAACATATGAATCCAGTAAATATACCATGTAGAAACCGCTTCGAGTACAGAATGGTAGGCCTAACAGATATAAAATAAAACAAATGCTCATTACAACGTATACTTGTCTCTTTCTTAACAGATTTTCGAATTCATCTACAACAGCAGTTGCAAGGGAATGAACCATAAGAAATTGAGAGTCAACAGCTAAACAAATTAACATGAAATAGAATAAAGCGGACCAGGCATTTGACGACGGAAGATCAGACAATGCCTCTGGACAAACAATAAAAATTAAAGAGAATTTCGAGGTGATAATTTCGCTGATTGGCAAAGACAATTTCTCCGCCATAATACCCAAAATTGAAAACATAACAAATCCAGAGAAAAGACTAGTTATTAGATCAAGTAAGCAGATAAGATAGGCGTCTTTTAAGCAATCGTAATGAAAGCGATTGTAACTTGCCATTGACATAACGCCCCCGATACATAAACCTAAAGAAAGGAACAGCTGTGCTGCGGCGTCACTCCAAACTTGTGCATCTGAAAGGCGTTCCCATTTAGGAGTAATGTAATATCTTAAACCTTTCAGGTAGGCATCGGATCCAAGTGTTGTAAATCTTATACAAATGATAATTAAAATAACGAGTGGAAAAATAACCGTCACGTAGACAACTTTTCCAGCGCTTTTTACACCTTTTAATAGTATTAAAGCAACTAAAAACCAGCAAAATCCCAAGCACAATGCCAATCTCCATTCAATACTACCCACATCTTCTATCCCATCAGATTTATTTAGCACGTATCGGCTGTGTTATATCAAAGTATAATTACAATTATTGATTAAGCATTAGAAGCAAGTTAAATCTTACAAGAAGTATTCTTCAGCCGCAGTAGAGAATTTAATAGATGAATTGGTCGTATTTTGATAAGGAAAACAATCAATTGGATAAGATGTATCATTAAACGTTTGATTACAAACTTTCCTAGTTAATAAACTTTCGACACAATCTGGAAAAAATTCCACAATTTTACAGATTATCTTTTCTTCTATTGTTCTCTTCCTAGCATACACTTACTTAATGAATTAAAGGAATTTTTGCAAGAACGCCAAGGTAATTCTCCTCTTGTAAATGAAGCGAAGAGGTAAAAGATAGACCAAGCGTTAATAACGTTATAGTAGATGCAGACTAGGGTTAAAGTGATTATGGTTGCGTACCCAGTCCCCTTAAAAAGTGGGCAAAATCTCCATACTGTCAATGGACCAAGACTAGAGAATTGACCAAGAATCAATTCCATATAGAAAATGGGTAGACCGCAAAATATTAGAATTAAGACGTAAGTTAGTAGGAAAGCTCCTGCAAAAAACATAAGAGATCTTTTTGATTTGGAAAAGAACCTAAGCTTAAATCAACTATACCGCCTCCATTTTTATAGACAAGATAGGGAAACCTCCAGACATTACCAATACCCACACAATAACCTATTCCCGATAGGAAAAATTCCCACCTACCACCCCAATTACCCCTACGCTTGTTCTCATCATCCTCCCAATCGACAGACCATGTGTCAATATCTTCTCCACATTGACCGTCATCTCTCATAGGAGGCAAACCGCTAGTAACCGAAGAAACACTCTACAGATTAGAAAAATTGAAAACAGAAGAAGTTTAGATTAATTAGAGAATAAAAAAAAAGATGCAAACCTCGGAAGAATTCGATAATAAAGAACTTTTTCTTCTTGGTAAAATCAACTTAAATTTCAATTCTTCCTGTTCGGATTTAATATAGTCTGGCATTGGGCCAACCAGTAATTCGCTGATATCCCATACTGGAATCCAATTCTTTGTCGGTTTTAATGCAATCTTCAATCTCTGCGGTAAAAAGCATGAAAAAAAACGACAAACTAAAAGTAAAAAAAAGGGGTAATGTGCTATTCACTTCTCGAAAAGTTCCTCGTGTTTTTCTTACAAGACAATAAATCATATAAAAAATCAATGGAAGAAGAGTCAGAATATGGAGGCAGACCAATAAAATTTTACCGCTGCTTGGTAGGTTATAATAGAACTTTCTACCCTCGTAGAAAGGGTCAACTGATGAATAGATGAAAATAAACTGGTAATAGATTAAATAATTATAATTAAGAATGGATATTTGAATAAGAGAAATAGCTACAATAAAACTAAATGGAGCTATTATTTGCCAAAAGGTTCGCCACCAATTTCCAGGTTTGTATCCCATCATTATAGTAACGTTTGATTTTAATTTATTCACTCCATAGAAGAAAGAGATTGAAGCAACTTCCAAGAAACCGAGTAGAGCAATAGACGTTCCATTTATATAATTCTCCATAATTGCTGTCATAAAGCTGCCTTGTCTTGTTATTGTGATACAGCCCAGAGAGGCTGCTGTAAAGCAGATTGTTGCTAGAATTGCGATTCTCAGTCGACGCTGTATAAAACTCAATTCATCAGCAATCGAAGTATATACAGTGTGGACAAGAACCGAAGTTCCATTGAAAAAATTAAAAAATACATTAACGTAGAAAAATATTAGCCAAAATTTCGATGAAGAAATACCATACAATGCTTCGGGTATTCTTACGAAAGAGGAGTCTGATTCAGATAAGATTAATGCAATGGGCGACTCTCTCATATGTGCCAAATAACCCGATAAACCAAATGTAATAACTCCGGTAAAAAAAGATGTTAGAACAATGCATATTGTCATCATACCGATAACTCTATATGAATTATCAGTAAATCTATTATGACTGGACAGTGTAACCATACTTCCCATACAAGGTCCCAAAGTAAAAATAGCTTGTTGAGCTGCATCAAACCAAGCCGATACAGTGCCAATTTTTGACCATTCGGCTCTTAAGAAAGTTTTTAGGCCAACTTCAGCTCCATCGAATAATAGAATCCTTATTAAAAACCCGAAAATTGAAATATAGATTACCGATGTTGTAAAGCACATAATCTAAAATGAAGAACTAGTTAAAGAGCTAATTAAAAATGACAAAAAGAAAAGAACATAATAACATACCCTTCCAAAAACTCGTACACCACCTAATAAAGTTAGGAATATGAGCAACCATATTACAACAAGAAAAAGTAGGAGGTACCAATCATCTTTCATGTAAAATGACCTAAACGATCTGAGTACTTCGTTTCTATAAAAAGAAAAAAAAAGAATCGACTTTAGAATATTTTTTGTTTTTTTTTTCACATTAAAAGGCCAAGTGTATCAACATGCATAAATTAAAAGACTTTTACTCGAAATATTCTTGATAAGGTGTTTTCAAATTACCAATAAGGCTTGCATTTGTTCTATTAATATTGCATGATTTCAAACAAATTGTACATTCTTTAACAAGTACCGACAATGATAAATTAGTACTGCAATTCTGAATCATTATTTGCGATTCACAGCATTCTGTTAAGTATGAAATAATATTTAATTATTTGAAATTATACACTAGAAAAAGAGAATCTATGATCTTTATGAATTTGAAAGGTATAGGAACTTAAAAAGGAAGTCTACACCCAAAATCTTTTGAAATAGAGGTATAGATAGCAATCTTTCTCTTTTTTTATATTTGTATTAATAAAGAAAAAGATTAATTATTTTATTATAAATCATATGAGAGACCATCTCTACTCACTCTTCGAATTCCAATCATTACAGCAGCTAATAAAATTGGGCGATTGTTTGGCCGACTGAGTCAAATAAAGAATTGTCCAAGACATATTTATTCCGTACCATGTTGATAAAAAGAACGCAACTAGAATGAAACCTATGCCTATTCCTTTGAATAGTGGAACAACATTCCAAACGGATAGTATTCCCTGACTACTGTATTGACCGATTAGCATCTCCATGAAAACTGTAGGTATTCCTGCCCCCACTAAAAATATAAAATAGGGAACAATAAAAGCTCCTCCGCCATTTTTATAGCAATTGTAACCGAATCTCCAAACTGAACCAAAGCATAAAGATGATCCTAACAATGCCATAAAAAAATCTATTTTGCTCCGCCATACTCCTCGGTTTCTAACCGCAATATCTTCTTCTTCCGAGGGTATATCAGAGTTAACCTTTGCCTTAATGAAAATTAGAAATAGGTTAGCATAAAGCTCCTATGTTATACCTAGTTAGTCAATTAAACACATCTCTTTTTTGTAATTACCTACCTTTTCGTCACCGTTTTCCATACGTAATTCTAATTAACCTCCTTGTAGTGAAAATCGATCAGTAATCGGCGTTTGAAGAAAAGCGAGAAAGGAAATGAAAAAGTAGAATATGTTAAAAGTAACTTTTATTCAAGCATACTGAAAACGAAGATTGTCAAATATAATATTAGGCCGAATGAGACATGGAAGGAAAGAGAGAGAGAGAGAGAGAGAGAGAGAGAAGAGAGCTTCTGACTTTTATATTAATCTCCAGAAAGTCAACAAAAATCCTTCCTTGAAAAGATAACTATATATCAGCCTATATTCAATCATATTAATCGCACATAATTCTGTATAAGTTGTATACATAGTGTAGTACCTGAAAAACTGAGGCATAGAGACGTCGCTTGCGTTTTTATATAGAAATCGATGCACTTTCTCGACGTCACAAATTACATGTGCACATACAATGACGAGTGTTTCTCCATCATATATGCTATAGAATGTATATTATATATTAATGCAAGGAACATTTCCTTTATATTATGTATATTAGAATCGTTCATTGTCAGTATTTTTAAATTTTTCATTAAGTTTAATGAACGCTAACAGGGTGATAAGAAAAAAAAAAGATAAAGAGGAAGAAAAGAAAAGGACGCTTATTTGCATAAATCTTTTTTTTTTTCAAATTGTTGAGCGAGTAACAGGTGGAACTTGTCTCTCTATATACATATGTATATTAAACATGCATATACAGGTATTGTTTTATATGCATGTAAATATATATATATATATATATATATTTATATACAACACTATATACAGTAAATTGTCAATTCTGAATATGCTGTAGATAGAACATAACAGAACAAGTAAACACTGTATATACGTATATTTTTGTCACAAAATGTTCTTAAAATTCGCTTAACCAATCAATATCATTGCCGTATGATGAGTAACGATGAGGTCTTGAATCACCTCTATCTAAGGATCTTGCCCTGCGTTCAAATGGCTTAGGCCTAGCAACTACTTGTCTTGAGTGATTTATTCTACTGACTGGATGAGTCCAAGATGTCGCTTGAGTAATGTGGCTGTTGATATACAAGATGGACTGTGTAATTATCACATTATTGCATTAAATATTAGTATTGCTTACTTAATGTAGTATTTGTCGCCTTCTTCAGTGTAGGCTTCCTCCCAGCCGACTGGTAAAGCTGCAACAGAAAATATAAATTAACTAGATCGGAAAGAAAATCACTAAGGGCAGGGATCGTGTTCTAGCCCTGAATATTTTATCAACATACGTTCGTTTTCTAGTAAAACTTTAACGGCCCTAACAACTTGCCGAGCCTGATGAGCGAGTTGGGAATTTTGGGAAGAATAAGAAGAACCTATTCTTCGGGCTAACGCCCTGGAATTCGTTCCATCTTCAGAGTAGGCAGGTACGGAATGGGCAACAGTCTGTTAAAAGTTAAAAAAAAAGACAAATCAATTTAAAGTTAATTGTTAGTTAGTAACTAAGAATCAAAGAAATAAAGAATATTCGATTATGTATAGCTCTTTTAGTTCTCCTTCCGCAGTGAGGCGGAAAATTCATTGTTCCGGAAAGAGAATTTAAAGTAAGAACTGTAGAATGTTTTAAGCCGATTGTTTATTTAATGACAAGAGACTTTATAACGATAAATTTCTTCTGCTATAGACTAGCTGCATCTTCTGGCGTTTCCCAAGTGAATGGTAAAGTTAGAGTAATGGATGAAAGAGCAAGGCAATGGACAATATATTTTCTGCTATTATATATTATTGTAAAATGTTTCCTGCCTAAAGACATTCCCTTTTCCCTTTCTCTTCCAAAAACCCAAACATCTAGGATACAAAACTAATTTTGTACCCTATTAATACCGGTAGACAAACAGTTAGAATCTATTAAAAGAAATGAAATTGACCTAGATACGACTAAAATAATCGAATAAGGCGCTTCGGAAGAGTAATTTTTCTCTCTAGTTTCCTCATGCAGGAAATGGATAGAGTTTGAGAATTATTTCCACCAAAAAAGGGATGTTTAAGCTAAATTACCTCGGCAAAAGTCAGTAGTTTATCAGTTGCGACTTCGTAAGTCTTCAATGTTTCTTCTGCCTTTCGAAGTTGGCAGGTTAGAACAGAAAGTCGTTTCTTTGTCCCTTCGTCAACCTGTGGGAGTTTTTTTGCAATAGAATTAATGCGATTTAGTGCAGTAGTTAAACAATATATAACTATAAAAGACAAATAGACAGTAGATACAGTATATTCTCCATCTGGCTATATCAATATAAATTGATAATTATATGAATATAAGAATTTATGGGCTAAACATGCAGAAAGTTTAAATGAAAGAAGCATATACTGTAAATAACTTAAACTATATAAAACTTTCCTACTCTACTGTAAATTGAAAAGTTTAAGAGAAATAAGTTTCGTATTCTTTATTTTAAGCCTATTACATTTTCGGGGGTGAAGGCTGAAAGCCTCCTGGCGTTCTTTAACTTGGCAATCTCTTTTTCCATCATCCGAACGACCCGTTCATAATCCTCTTCCGTCTCCCTTGCCGCCCGCTGAGCGTCTCCGGCCAATTTGATTTTGGTTTTTAAAGCAGAATTTTGACGCTCCATCTGTCGGCTATACTTTCTTTCCGTATCCAGAGCCGCCTGCAAAGAATCCAACCGTCCCAAAAAGTTCTTCTCGTCATTTGTTACGAGATGATGATGATTTTTATCATTTGAAGTTTTCTTTTTCTGCAGTATTTCGCGAGTTTTTTGCACAAAATCCCCGTACGTGACCATGCCTTCCTTATTCAATTTCAAACTGCTTTTTAATTCCTGCCATTGTTCATCCTTGAGCGATATACCTAAATCTTTTAAAGCCTGGTTTGTGTTGAATAGAAAAAATATTTAATCTGGACAAAAAATATAGGTCGACCACTCACCGATTTCAATTTGTCGATAGGCACTTTAGCTTGCGGATCGATTGAATATTTTCGATCTGAGGACGACGACGAGGTGGCCGCTAGCATACTTCCGTGGCCCGACGACGTCATTGGCGTTCTCGTAGAGACGCTTACGTCACCATCGGCGTTTCGATCTGGTGGATTACGCGTATTATTAACAGATCTGAGCAAATCAATGTAAAATTGGCTGATCAAAGACAAAACGAATATACAGAGGCAATTTGTATTAGAGTATATAAGAATACAAATAAGGCGAATGTTAAAGGTCGTATAAAAAGTATCGCTTGATTGACGTATAGATTTGTTTGTCGTATAAGATGCGTATTTTTTTGGCCATCGTCGACTACTTGTCTACTGAATATAGAGACTATAGAGAGTGTAGGGTTCTTTATTATAGTATATTATAAAGAAGCAGCAATTACGAACCGATCTAGAGAGCATAACACACACTACCCAGAAATCGTTATATAGACGTTTATTCCTGTTATTATGTACCATATACATATTTTATAAATATGAATTCTGCAAAAAATATTGCAGTTTATTCACGTTCATAGTAATAATATATAGATTAAATGCCAATCTTTATGGATTCTTCTATCATCTTTAGTTCCTTCTCACTTTCAAGAAACATTCCTATAGTGCTTCACTACTAAAAAGACTGCATATAGCAGAGATTTCCCTTGTGCTTGGAATGAAATCAATAAAAAGCGTTAGAGTAACGCAATTTCATGGCAAAAAAGAGCGTCTAAACGGCCTAGGACGCTTCGGAATATCAACAGAATTCATCATTGTCACTCTCGAGGGATCTATACAGAGAATTTACCCTTACCGTTTATGCATATAGTTATCGAATAAATATAAAACAGGAAGATCGGCTGAAATAAGAACGAAGATAATCCGAGAAAAAGAAGAGAATATGTAATCCCGAAAAACGTAGCCAGTTAAGTGGACTAGAGAGCGCGTAGAAATGCAGAGAGAATGCAGTGAAGTGTTCCAGTCGACAGCATCATAGCAGCCGCGTCAGATCAATCGATTTCCAATAACTAATCAATTCATTTTGCGAATCAATCATACGTCTTCCTTCGTCTTATCTATTCGCATTTATACGGCTGTCCTGTTACTGCGTAATTAATTATATGTTCCGACTATTGCAGAATAATATAAGAGTATATTACGGATATAGTCCCTGATTAAACAAAATCGATTTCGTTATAAATAATTAATGCATATCCGATTTGGTAGCCGAAGAGTTAAGACTATTTGCACAAAACTCTACACAGACGCTAGGATAATTACTAATATTTACTTTGATGGGAGTCGAGGTCGTCTTTTTTGCAGTATGCAATAGATGGCGCGAGCGAATATGTACAAATCGATTTTTCCCGATACTCACCTTTATCGTAATGAGAATAGCCGGCAGGAATTGTCGATTCTAAAGAAAACCCGGTGTCGCTGTCGTCGTCTGATTCTTCACTGGAAAAATTATAATTTTCCACCAAATGCAGATATCCAATCCTAGTTAAATTCATTCAAAAATAGATTGACCACCTTTTTATTGTCATTTATTTAAACAAGTTGATAACAAAATATTCAGAAAATTTATTCATACCTTGATATATTGTCTCGAGCGATCACTAATTTAACGTAGCCTTCGAACGTTGCAGATCTTAGAACTGACACAGCTCTATTCAAAAAGAAAAACAGTCATCAAGTGCTGTCTATAGTATAAGTGATATACATAAGGCACATTCGCACTACCGCATACATGTAAGCGTATACAATTCCAGATAATTCCTTTACTTTTACAGTATATTTTTTTATATTGCAGTCTTTTACATGGTATACAGTATATTTAGCATGTACAGTGTACAGCATAAATATATAAAGATATATATATATATATATATATATACATATATATATACTTACTTTGCATTGTCAACGTTCTCTAATGACTTGTTGTTTACCGCTAAGATTTCGTCACCCTCTTGTAATTCACCTGATGTTAATGAAAAAAGGGTCTACATTTTTTACACGACTCTTTTTTTTTTACATCAAGTACAATTTACACCTGAGACCGATAGATGTTTTACAAATACATATATATATATATATATATAACGTTTTAAATGAGATCAAAATTAGTACAGAGAGCTTACCTTGTGAACTAGCTAGGCCGTTTGGAAAGATTTTCCTTAGGAAAATACCGTGGTGTTTGCCTTTTTCTGTAATTCCACCAATCACCTTTTTTTGCAGTTTTTTTATCTGCTTTGTTATATATTTTTTACTAAGGTAAACAGACCTTGATTCCGATCCCTCCTTCACAACCGTTAAAAGTTACAGAACTCGTATGTCTGCCGGGAAATTCCGTATAAGCCGGCGATTCCATTTGGGGCGCTGAACTAAATCGGAGTTTATTTTTTTTAATTTTTTTTTTTTTTAAACATCTGTTGGATAGTCGAAAGTTTGTTGAATTTTTTGCAGACGACGTCCACATTTTGCGGCAAAAAACAGCAAAACAAAAATAAAAACTGTATTAATTGTTGATGAAATCATCAATCTAACTTTTTTTTTGAAATTATATATATTTTATTCGATAGTAAATAAATAAAAAATAATGAATAATGACGGAAATAGTAGCTGTTTTACTATTATTCGAGAAAATTCTAATAATTTCCATACGTCTATTGATTATTTAGAACAAATTAATTTAGTTGGTAAAATACCTTTACCAACTAAAAATTCACTTAAAGACCTTTACGAAGAAGTTAAAATTCTTAATCGATTATACGCCATCTATAGGGGTGGTAGTTGTCGAAAAACTACAAATGTTATTCTGAGTCGATTAAAAGAAATAAAAGCATTAATTAAAGTCACGAAAAAATTACAAAGTAACAATTTTTACAAGTCTTTTATTATAATTTTCTATTATTATATTAGGCGTCTAATAATTCTATTTCCAAAACAAAAGGTAGAAATATTTTGATGGACGATTGGGAATTGTTAAATGTATTCCATTCAAATGTCTAATATCTTGTAAAAAAAAAAAAGAAGAAGAAGTAGATAACGATGATAATTTAAAGTGAAGTGGAAGACAACCTAGAAGGGTAGCTTTTAGCACTAAGAATCGATCTCAAAGGGAAACCCAAACTTTGTCTTCTTTTGATGATTCATAAATGATTGATAGAGACATTAACATCTATGAATTTTTGTTTTTTTAATAAAAGAATCAATAAAATATATATGCAACTCTATATACTTTTTGTAAAGAACTTATGCAATATGTGTAGTTGTATCTATACATGCTAAATATAGATATGTATATTTTAACAATACACTCATTAGACTGTATTAGACAGTACTCTACTTTCTCTCTCTCTCTTTCACTCTCTATAAATCTTTCTGGTTTCTTTTATGCAGATTTTATTGGGCAAGTAACACAGTAGATTTATTAATAATATCGAATAAAATATGATCTATAGGATTTTTGATGGAAAAGAATGTCGGAAGATTAAAATTTTCTAGAAATGGAAAAAAATGCATTTATTGCAATTCAATTTATTCCTAATATAGACAGGGCGTTAGGGAAAACGATAAAAAGAAAAGAATGTCCTTCAGATGGGAATTGCATGAGATAGAACAACTTGCGAACAAGTTAAAAGTATCTCAGGGATAGTGAAGGTTAAGAGGGTTACTAGACGATATTTTGTTCTTCTATAGTTAAATATATATACTTTATGTCCAGATAAACCTATATATTAAAACACTGTTGATCATTGTAAATAACAAATAGGCTTAATGACAGGCTATTGTTCATAAAGAGAAAGAACTAGAGATATATTTAAAATATATTATTTATTTATTTATTATTGTTATTGTATTTATTCATCATTTCGAATATTATTAATTAGACGCTATTGTTAGCAGATTTCACTTCATTAGTCTTCTAATATTCTAATAATGAAATTAGTTCATTGTTTTTAATTTAAATTATTGTTTAAACCGTCCATTTCTTGTTTATGTATGTGTGTGTTGTGTTTTCTTTTATAAAGTACAATAGAACACCAAATAATCTATTAATAGAATTCTCAAGAACAAAAATTCTATTTGTTTAATGATACTTTCGTTTGCCTCCATGTTTTTTTTTTCTTTTCTTTTTACTCAAACATATGTGGAGAACTTAAAAGACAACTTTTAATGAGGCTTTTAGATAGAAAAAGGATCTTATTTTTTAACATTTACTCAATATCTTATTATAAATATTATATTTCATTGAATTTTGTTATATATAATGGATTTTATAAATTGGATGAATTCTCCATTGAAAAGAATATTCAAATTTTTGTACGCATGCGCAATTCTTAATGAAAATTGATTTATGGGAAAAGAATTAGCTTCGAGCAATATCTTTCAAATTAAAAGCATTTTACCAATCAAGACTGAAAAGTAGATTATTTACGCAATAAAGCTTGGTTCTACCCGAAACGATAAATATTTACTTTTTATCATTCCTTCCGGTTTCTTTCATATGTACGTTAGTTAGCTTAATTAAACATTAAAGAACTTTCTTTTAAAACAATACATGATTAATGTAATCAATTTTCAGGGATTTTTTAAGTTTTAAAGATAGATGTAGTAATTGAACAAGATCTGTAAATATAGATGGCACTACCGTTAGACTATATTTGATTTGCTTTATTAGGCCAATTGTGTATCCGAACTTTGAATATTGAACAGTTATACCTACCAATGGCAATGGTCAGCTTAATTTACTACTTGTTTATTTATTTTGCAATTTTTGTAATCTTCATCTCGACTATTGCAATAGTCTATTCATTAGTATCGCCGAGTTTAACTTCAACTAAATTTGAATATAAAGATAGATCCTATTTAGTGTTCGCCTACCTAAGAGCATTAATAACTAGCTTTTCTAAATCTCAAGGTCTTTTAACAAGGTAAATTTTTATTTGTATAAATTTAAATAAAATATAGTACTTAAACCATTAGTTAAATCAATATAAAGCATATAGTTTTACACAGAAAGTTCGATAATGAGATCAAGGTGACAGTTACCAATTGCAGGTTGTACAACTTTAAATTATAATAGTATAACATTGTTATTATTAAAGAAATTATAAATAAATTAAAAACACTCTATTTATATTTTAGAATAGATGTAGAACAAGTCGAAAAGTATCGAGTTGTATGCGGCTATGAATGTGTAATGAATAAAGGAATACCATCATGCTTCATGGAACACTACTTCAACTTGCCGATCATTTTAGCCATTACTAGGAATGACTTTCCATTAAGTCCTTTAGGTTTTTAAATAAATTATTTCTATTCTTTCTTATTGCTTAAAAAGTTCTCTTTCGATCCTTTTAAGGTTTAATTCATATAAAACAGAAAATTAAACAGCTAATTGATTTGGATTATTTGAAAAGGAGATCGTTCAATTGCGAAGTAATTGTTAAAGAACTTCAGCCAGTTGAAAAGGGTGTTGAAGTTACTATTCATATGAAGGTTGTTGCGAATAACTCTTTGATATGGACGGGAGAGTTAACCCTTTTATCTAGGAATAAGAGAGTTATTCAAAAGAATTATAGACGAACGGCAGAAGTCAATAACAGATTGAATCAAGAATTATCAGATGAAACAGTAACTGTAAACCTCTCGAAAAATCTTGGATTATCCTACGCCAAAGTGAGTGGGGACTTTAATCCCCATCACTTGTGGCCATTTACGTCAAAGCTCTTGGGGTATAAAAAGCCGATAGCTCATGGAATGTGGACTCTAAGTAAAGCTATTGCGATTGTATGCGAAGAAGGTAGTATTTAACTATTCATTACATAACACAAAGCGATATTACTCTAGATAAGAGTGAAAATCAGGTGAATAATAAAAATTTTTTGAATTTTATTCCTTTTGTTCTTAGACAAACAGACAAACTTGAATAAACAACACGAAATTGTTGCAACATTTAAGAGGCCAGCATTTTTACCAGGCACCTGTAAGTTCGAGTATACAAAACAGTATACCTCTGACAAAAGATTATTCGAAATAAGAGTCAGCGACGCAAAAACTGGAATACCACATTTACAAGCTTCTCTAACCATATAAAAAATATGTTTAATTGATATTAATAAACATTGCCAAAAAAAACAAGCCAACGTATTATAATTACAATTGTATAACACAATTAATTCATTCTTTATAGATTGAGAGAGCTCACTGGTCCAAGTAGTAGCAGTGTGAAAGGAGCAATATTTTTGTACACGGTGAATAGGGAGTAGGGAAACCAGAATGTAGACAAAGTATTTACATATTCAACAGATGTCTACACCAACTTCAACTGTTTAGCTGTAAACAAAAAGGGTTTGTTTGTCCTTTTAAGATAAAGATTATTTCATAGTTCAGATAAGATAAAATATGGATTTTTGTTCCTTCTATATATAGGCATATATTCCACAGTATTAGAATATGCTCATAGTATAAATTATTATCCGGAGAGCGGTAGCATCGTTGAATCATTTACAGGATTTGATTTTTGAGAGTATCTGAAAGTAACTGTAAAATCTTCGTTATCTTTTACAACGGCTACCGCGTATACCTTAGGTATAAATATTGTTGTCAAGTGGACAATGGAATGAAGTAGTAATCCAAATGATAGTAAGGTTCCTTTATATAAATTAAAGTGAGTTAGAAAATATGTTGGCAAAAAGGCACTCCATAAAATGATGCTTGTTAAGGCGCAAATGCAAATATTTCTCGATTCTTTGAAATTTTCAGGGAGTTTACGGGTAACAATTCCAAAAACACATGTTCCTATTAGTATTAATAGATTATAGGAGGTGGGAATACATATAGTTAATACTGGAATGTCGCAATATAACTCTGAATAAGGTTCCCACAAAAGAGGCATTGATGTTCTTGCTACAGGTCTCGAAAAGGATATCATCCCTCCAGTTATAATTACCTAGAAATTATAAATTCAGTATATGTCTTAGTTAACATTAATGCATTTATTTTTAAATAACCTGGAATAGGAAAAGAACTAAGACTGCAGTTAATTGCCACTTAGTTCTGGCAACTGGAACTTTTGTCTGACATTTTGCTGCTGCTCTAAATAGAGTGAACATTCTTTGACTTTTCATCAATAATGGTACAAAAGTTAAATTTACACCCAAATGAAATCCGAAAACTCCGATAATACAAACTATATTTGTCGACTTTCTTATTAATATAAAGATTGTTGCTAGACACACTAGTATTCCACTCACGATAAGAAAGCACAGCTCTTTTGAGGAGTTTTTCACCACCTGAGTATGAGAGAATCGAATAAACAGCATATAAATAAGACTTAAACTTATGACGATCAATGCTCCTGAAACGATAGCCAAACATAAGACGATAGGGTTTGTAAAATGAAGAAAATTATTCACTAAATCTAAGCAAACAGTTTTATTCAAAGAGTCTGGCCAAGTTGAATCTGGACAAGTTCGACAATCAGTTCCATTGTTAATTGTAATTTGATTAGGCAAGCACTCCAAGCAGTACCAGCAGCAAACTTTGTAGGAAGGAACAGGTTTAAAGCCTGCAGGACATACTTCACTGCATATTGACTCTGGAATTGGCCTAAAAGGAGAGCGAATCTTTTGAAATCCAGTTTCCTTTTTCCAGATTGCAATTACTTCAGTATGATTTATTGAAATTATCTGCTTTACTACAAACGGCTTAATAACATTACCTTTTTCATCAAATCTTATCCTTCCTGTCATACCCTGAAAATCCGAATTCCTAATTGCTTTCAATATTCTTTCGCCAGACAAACAGCGGCTGTGATCTTTCAAATAAGTTCTTTTAGACGCCTTGAGAAACACTGTTGGACAGTATTGATTGATTGTTGAGTTGACGGCGTAAGCCATTGTTAAAATAGCATCAAAATATTTAGCATTATTTACAGATATAAAATAATTGGGAGATTTCGGTAATGTTTTGTATTTATTGCAGGAATTTTTACTATTTCTATCCCACGAACAATGAAAAGTACTTTCCCAAAATAATTTCATCCATTGTAAATCAGTTCCATTTGAATTAAACGGAGTTCTCTCTGATAGAAAATCTTTTAATTCTTCCGATAAATTCAATGACATTCCCACTCTAAACATACCCGTTTTCAAAGAGTTTGGAAACGATTTATAAACGCTATCTATTACGCCTGTACATACCCAGATAAATTTATGTAAAGCGTTCTTTCTTTCTAATACGGAAAATAAACGTTTCACGGAGGAGGAATACATCCACAATATTACAGCTTTAGCTTTCGTGTTCGCGATAAGGGTTTCTGCAATTTCCTCTAGATCTCTCTCTGTACTGTTATTGTAGATACTGTTGTGACTTGCCACGCAAATACCCACTTCGTTTATTCTCTCAAATAGGTCAGTCATTACCATCTGATAACCAACGGTCACTTGCCAAACAACCGACACGTAATTCCAATTGAAAGTTTGTAATAAATCCACCATTACGTAGGCTTGTCTAGTGTCTCCAGGTTCCATTCTATTAAAATATTCGTATCTGTATTTATCGTTTAATTCGCTGCTCGAAGCCGAAGTGCTAATATGAGGTATTTCGTAATAGCTTAATATAGCACTGGTAGGAATGGCCTTTGTGCTAGTTGTCAAACCCACAACACCAGCAACAGAATACTTCGATGAAATAGTAATATTATTTCTATTGACATTTGATTTTGTTGCGACATCTGCCCCTTCAATGAATTTCGTAACAACAGCCAGAGAAGTATCCTTTCGGCCGCAATCAGCATAAATAATATAACCCAAATTTAAATTGGGTAACAAATCTTTTCTTTCATTTATATAATCAACACTGAATATGGAAGATTGTACATATTGAAGATATTCAAAACGACTTATCTTATTTGTACATTTTAAAGCCTTTGAATAGTCCTTTACTTGAGTAACAATGCCAAAATTAATATCACCCAAATTATAGATCTTATCAGTTAAATCGAATCTTTCCTCCGATATTAAGCAAGAACAGAAAAGTAAGGCCATCATGAAGAGATTATCCATAGCGATTCTCTAATTAAATAAAATTAGTGACAGTATATTCATATATAGAAAAATATGTAGAAAGGAACGTAACACTTGATTAAATTTATTAAATAGAAGTGTTAGTCATTTTTAATGTGAAGGCGTTACAATTGGTACAAAATACACTCGAAACTCGTACAGTAAATAATGGACACATATACCAAATCAGCTGTAAAGATCATTAAACTAAGTCACCGTTCTTAGAAGATAGATGTATTGTCTATCAAATGAAACACTTTAATAATAAATGAAAATCATTGAACTAGGAGAAATTAATCAAAAAAAAAGATTAAATGTAAGGCTACTTAACAAAACAGTTGGAAAGAAAATAGCATGATGAAATCAGCACTTTTTAACAAGTAGTTGTTGTGTTATTAAGGCTATTCTTTAATAACTCCTTCTTATTTTGCAACTATAAATTTGTATGTATGGCTACGAGTTAAGGTCATATTTTACACTGTATAGTATATATTTAATTAATTTAGTATATTGGTAAGCTCTTTACAAGAATATCTTGAAAAGTATGCATTAATAACTAATCAAGAGCTATTATTCTTTCTCATTTACAAGTTCAACAAGTACTTTATCGACAAGTTTCGCCATTCCGAGTACAGGATAAAATCATGGTGACAAATATAGGACGAAAAGTTAAATTATTTATTAGTTTACAGTATCTAAAAGTGTCTTTGATTGAGATAGATATGAAATTTTCCATTTAAAATATATTCATATTTCGTATTCTTTAAACAATAGAACTCTTTGTTATTAAGATTTGACTATATTTTTTTTAGATAATACTCTTCTTCGTGTAAATATCTTTTCAGAGTTTGAAAACTCTTTTACGAATGTTGACGAATATCTTCTCGGCAATAATTAACTATTAAGATTTAGGCTATTTTAGCATCTTTTCTCAGACTATCTATCTATACGTATATCAATATATCTATCCTATCTGTAGCTGTCTTCTTTATTTAAATGTCTAATTAATAGATACCAGTTAAACTTTAATTTTTTTACATTTAAAAATCTCTTAAAAGCACTCTTGAAAAAAAAACTATGATATAAATCTATGTCTTATCATTTAATAATCTTCATTTCTTCCTGTGAGCTGATCGGAGTACAAGATTGATAATTAAAATATGAATATATCATTGCGAATATACTCCAGTTTTCTGGTTATTGTTTATTTATCTAGTTTCATCAATTGCCAAGGTAATTAGAATTAAAATTTAATTAAATGATTTTTTCAATGAAATCAGTGAAACATATGATAATAAACAGTATTTTTTAAAAATTAAAAGGTTATTTTTGGCATGTGACTGATATGCATTTGGATCACACGTATATCAAAGGACTAGGTGGTGGCTCTTGCTCAAAAAATGAAAGTGGCCATCCCAGATTTGGACCTTATGGAAATTTCCTATGCGATTCGCCAATGAAATTAATTGAGAGTGCCTTCGAAGCAATGAAAAAGGAGTACCCAAATCCTGATTTCATCATTTGGACAGGGTAAAAGATAAATAAATAGCGAAAGAGTCTAGACTTTTAAAACATCTTAAGTAAATAAGCTTCGTTAAATTGTAGTTTTAACGCTTAGCAAATGCTTAGAAGAAACGTAATACATGCTGTATACACATATACAGTTATATATATATATATATAATATAGGATATCCACTTAATTGCATACACATTCAACCTGCTGAAATAATAGTATAATACAATCAAAATTATGTATTTAGGTTGTTTATCACAAGATTATACTTATAATTTTAAGCACGCTAACTTAATAATAGTTATCAGTTATTACGATTAATAATACCGAAGACAAGAGAAGCTTTAGTTGTGTCATAATTATTTGATACCAAAGTGTACTTTTTAAGTAGAGTATATATTAAGGTCTTTTTATGTTATTATCAATTTATTTTACGTGTCATTTAAAAGTATTTATCTCAAAAATAAATGGAGAGAAATAGTATAGGCATTGAAATAATTTCTGTATGGAAAATGCCATGGTAAGTTATGAATTTTTATCGTTTCAGCGATGATACACCCCATATATACAATGATACTTTCCTAAATATTGAAGTTGTAAAAGAAATTATCTTTAATTTGACGGATGTTATTGAAAGATACTTTCCGGACGTTCAATGCTATTCAGCTTTGGGAAATCATGATTGGAGTCCTAAGAGTCAATTACCTCCGTATAGCGCACCGCTCTATACAGAATTGGGGCAAAGATGGAACATGTGGTTAAAAACACAAGACTCTGTAGATACTTTTAAAGAAGGTGGTTCTCTATCCTAAAAGAGGACATCCTCTCTTTTTCAAAGAAGGAGCGCAATATTTTAATCATTTTCTTTCAATTTTCAGCCGGTTTCTATAAACTTAAAGTACCTAATTCAAATTTTACAATGATTGTACTTAATACAAACTTCTACTATCAAAGTAACAAATTAACAACAGGATCAAATTGGCAGCCTGATCCAGCAGGCCAATTTTCTTGGTTGGATAGGACACTACAAGATATTAGAGAAAAAGGCAAAAAGGTTTGTAGAAAGAGGTTTTTTGTTATTTTTCCTCTATAAATTCATTACATCAATAATAGTTGCGGGTATAACTGATAGTAAATACGTTATATGTACCCATATAAAACTATATATGTTTATCTATAAGTATAATATATACAATTGTATTGATACCATTGAAGGATATGTACTATAATATAATATGAAAACATCATTACAATTGAGTTATTAATTAAATGATATCTATAAATAACTATACATTTAAACAAGTAAAATTTTTAACTAACTTTATGTAATCTTTATGCAAAACAGGCTGTCTTGTTAGGTCACGTTCCTCCAGGTCAATTTGAAAAACATAGAGAAAAAAATTGGTTTGACGAAATTCACAATAAAATCTTTGTCCGTCTCCTGCAAAAGTACTCGAATATAATATCAGCCGTTCATATGGCGCACCACCATACGGACAGTTTTAGAATTATTCTCTCGGCAGGTTTGTCTTTTCATTTTCTCTATATTTAATTACTAGAAATAGATAATATGACTAGTTTATTATATTAATGACTAATTATGTATTTACAGATAAAGCAGAAGTCGTATCATCAATATTACTTAATTCAGCAATAACGCCATGGGAAACAACCGTAAGATATCTTGTTTTATAACTCTTTAATAGTCCTCCTCCTCCTCCGCCGCCTACATACGTTCCGTGTGCTCCTTAGGTTTCCTCTTTCAGTCATTATTTACTATTCATAGCTATTAAATAATATATTACAGCTACCAGGTGTAATTGGTGGAACTGGCAATAATCCAGCTATTCGTCTTATAAAATATGATAGAAACACTGGAACAACTTTAGATTATCATCAATTTTATCTAGATTTAAAAAAGGCTAACGATGACAATAAACCCAACTGGAAGTCTCTTTATAATTTTACAGATTTATACAAATTGTCATCTGCTAGTCATGAACAGATGGCAACGTTAAGTAAAAAATTGAGGTTGGATGGAAGCCTATTTGATAAATATTATCAAATGAATGGTGTTTTATACGACCCTAATGAAACTTGTACAGGAGAGTGTAAATCAGTTCAATTATGTTCTATAGAAAATGTAGATTACAGCGATTACAAAAACTGTATGGGAAGAGAGCAACCTTAAAGAACACTATATAATCCTATCATTTTGCCAATGAATAATAACATTAATAACTTGATAACTTTCTACTTTTTGTTTAAATTAAAACAATTTCAAGTTTTGCACACAAAAGTTATTTAAAAACACAAATTTAATAAATAAACATACTACAATATTGTTTAAATAAGAATTTTAATCAGTTTTCCATAAATCAGGTAACTAATAAATTTTATACTTTTGTCTATCTGATAGCTTTAATTGAGTGCTAAACGGGGGGGGGGTGGGAGTGAACAAAACAACAAAAAAGGTATAAACACCCATCTGGTGCTTTATTTATTCATTTTTGAATGAATCTGTTTTTTTATAATTGGTGAAAATATATTACTATATTATTTCCATGATAAAAATGGACAATGTCTGTAGAGAGTGTACGTTTCTTTATTATATGTATCTATAATAAATGTTAATTAATATAAATATTGCCAAATAGAATTATTAAAGGGCATGAGAGAGAGAGAGAGAGAGAGAGAGAGAGGCTAAGAAAAATTATCATTTAAGTTGTACATCTTTTTTTTCTAGAAAATAGGTAAACAGTAGTAGTTTTTATTACTATTTCAAAATGGTTGGGTTAAAGCGGTAGATGGCGTTTCTAAACTGTCAACAGACATAGTTTTCTAGAACGATACGGTCGTGATCCAATAAGTTTACTCAAATATTGAGACTGCTCGTTTCTTTTTCTCATCTGTCCTGTTGCATCGTAAAGTCTTGCTCTAAAATATGTTAATCCAATAAGTTTTTCGGTTGAGAAACAGTCGCTTTCTATTAATTCCAACACTCCTAAGGCTTTAGGAAATAGTCCCAGGATCGAATAAGCTTTAGCCTTAATTATTTTCGCTTCGTTTAATGTTTTATTAACATTTAAACATTTCATTTTTGCCATTTGTTTCGCAATCCATAAAGCTTTTGTTGGTAATCGCATAGCCAATAATTGATAGCAGATCCTCAAAAGGATATCCGTCTTTTCATCTGAACACATGTTATAGTCATCGCAGAAGATAAGTGCTTGTGTAAGCGGTTCTAAGGCAACCTGTGATGTGAACTGTAATAGAGTAGCACCAAAGGCTAATAACTTCACCCTCGTTACAGGAAGAATATCCTCATTAGTTGTTAGCCTTAACATTTTCCAAGCTTCCTCGTAACGTTCAGATTCTAACAATATAGTAATAATACTTTTAGTATCATCGTTCTTATGAACATCACTCGCAAGAGCGTAAGCCTTTGGAATATTATTTTCTCTAAGAACTTTTGGTAGTCTTAATAGTTTGGCTTTTTCTTCTTCAATGAGCTCTGAGTAGCGTGAATAGCGTGGGAAACGTCTAGCAGCATGCTCGAAGAGCTTTTCTAAGAATTTCGTTCGATGTGAAAACAATCTAGCTAATCCAACAATAGCTTTTGCTTGCAACTCACCGTTACAAGTTACGTCTGATAAAACGCTAGTATAGGAGACAACAGATAAAGATGGCAAGGATGATCTATAGAATAATGCAGCCTTAGTGGCTGCTAGCAAATTTCCATCGTTTTCGTTATGTAAATAATTTGAACAGTGATTTAATAACTGAATGTAACCAGCCAGTGAAAAATTTTTGTTTGTCTGAGCTAAACGGCACATAGCTACAGTTGCATGAATACTTATTTTGGCAGCAAGTTTTGGGTCTTTAATATCCATAGCTCGACTTAATTGTTGACGATAAACATTCATAAGATTCGGTACACCGGGTAACCATGTCAGAACACTTAGAAATGGCGACTGAGGTAGATGATGAGAAGCTGATTGAGATTGAGGAGGAAGAGGAGGTGGGGCTACCTCAACTGACTCAGTCATACATTCTTCAACACTTTGTGTCATTCCTAAAGAAGAATGTGCACCTGCATGAGCCAAGACTGCACCACAAATATCTGTTTTTTTTGTGTATTTCTTATCAAAGTAAGCGTGCAAATGAAATAGAGCGTCAGGAAAGTCTTTTACTCTCATTGCATTCATATAGGCAACGAATGGAGCAATATCTTTAGAGCTTACATTTATCATATTTTGCAATTCGACCGGTCGGGCTACTTTTCTTTCGTCTATCTCTAGCATTCTAGCTTGCTCTTCTAAGAAAGTGTCTTTGGGACCGCTCATAAGTTTTCCATCAACAATAAGTTTAACATCGCGCAACAAATCAGCTGTATCTTCGAATTGCAGATAGTCAAATGCCATTAAGTATCGACGGAAAAAAAATCCTATAACAGTACTAGATCCCGTTTCAACTTTTTGACTTTCTAGATTGGAAAAAATTTGATGCAGTTTCTCCACAGCTAATTCTTCATCAGTTAGTTCCCTTATGTCTGTTGTGAACATATCGATGAATGGCTGATGCCCAACACTATCGACTTCACGACATAATATAGAAAAGCTTGGAAGAATACATGATTTGACATATTTTAATAGGAGGAAGAACGCCTTGCGTTCTTGATCTTCAGAAAACTTTACAATATTCTGCGATGGTCTAACAGTACATTCAACATCGCTAAACTCACTAACGCAGCTTACTAAAACTGCTATCACAACTTTATCTGCAGTAATGCATTTAGCTCCATTTTCGCGGTCCATCTCAAAAATAATACTTTTGCATTTGGCAGATTTTTGTAAAAGGCAAAAGATTACTTTCTATCACCAGTTTTCTCTCGATCATTTGGATCACGTGATAATGTATTGACCCAAATTTAAACTTTTTATTTAATAAAAAGCAATTGTACTAGCTTCAAAAATCAACAACAGTTAAGGTCTTAAGAAAATATCAAAAATATTTTTAACTTTGAATAATAATATGCTTAACAAAACACGTTTCAACAAGAGCAAAAGGAAACTGTTCGATTTCATCAAAGTACAATGGCAATTAAGGACATTACTGCAAATAATCAATAAACCCTAAGAATAATTCATTGTTCATTTCCATAGTTAATAAGAAAACAACGTTCCATACCTCCATTTTTCAGTTCTATTCTAGTTTTTAAAAAAATTAAAATGATTTAGCTAAAATAGAAAAGAATAAAACTAGATTGATAAGCCAGACCGTTTTGATGTTGAGTGTCTTATTGTCAAGAATGAGACTATTTTGAATATTTTATTTAGAGAAAATTGGAATAAACTCTATATATTCAAAGGTAAGAAAATATTTAAAGAATGTTAATTTAGATTAAAAAATTTTTTCATTGTTTAGCTGACAATTGGTCGCTGAAACACAATTATCAGCAATCACATTGCTATTGGTAAGGTATTATGTAACGAAATGCGTGCTTGAAATATTTTTTTTAAAACCAGCTTTATACAGTATATGTATATATATAAATATATACCAATAGCAGGACACCGTAATCGAAACGAACGCAACGTGATCAAATAAAAATATTAACATCCGGGTGAACTCGAAAATCCAACATGGCTTCCTCCGACGGAGGCAAGGAAGTAAAAACTGCTTTTGTGACGAGAGAGGGAAAATATAAGTTGCTACCTTTGTCGGAATATTCAAAGCCGACAAGGAATCAAATAAACCCGCCTCAATATTCACCAGTCAGATTGTCTTTCATCGAAACAAACGTTGATAAAAGTTCAGAACTGATATTCGCCTTTAATTCCGGACGTGAACTATTTGTATATCCATATCGAGGAGTCCGAAAAGTAAGATATTTTGCAATAAGCTTAATAAAAACATAGAAAAGATTTTGAAAAAAACTAATTGCGATTCTGTAATTATCGTAAAGAATAAAAAATATGTAACAATTTGTATCATTAGTCATACATTATATTCGAAAAATGTTTAATCACCATATTTAGAGAATTTGCCATATTTGATTGCAAATTTTATTACAGGCTGCAGACTTATCAAAACCAATCGACAAACGGTCTTATCAGGGAACTATGCCTACAAGTCATGACTTTAATAAAGGACTGGCTTCTGCTGATAGTTTACCACTTTTGATTGGTTTTTCGGGTGGCCAAATACAGTTAATAGATCCACTTCGAAAAGAAGTTTTCAACTGTAAACTATTTAATAAAGAAGTAAGTAGATTTTTCTGAACTAAACAGCTTAGTTTCTCACACCTATCAACTTTGCATATTTAATATTAGTAGCAATTGTTAATATGAAATTGAAATGTTGACTAATCTTCTCCGTGTAACTCTTTTTATTGATTGATTTCTCACAGCGACAAGTCGATAAGTCTCGTGTTACTTGCGTTCGATGGTTACCCGGTGTTCAAAACCAGTTCGTCGTTTCCCATAGTAGTGGACAGTTATACGTTTATAACACGGACCTGCAAACAACATGTACTCAACCCCCTCATTATCAATCTTTCAAGCATACAGACTCTGTGTCAGTGTTCACCTGCAAAACGAAATCAACTAGAAATCCCCTCTATCGTTGGGTCGTCGGCGCTGGCGCCATTACACACCTCTCATTTTCACCAGACGGCGAACATTTAGCTATTACTTCTGCAGACGGATATCTCCGAATAGTCCACTGGCTCAGGCAGGAATTAACAACTAGTTTTCGTAGTTATTTTGGCGCCTTCTTACACTGCGCTTGGTCACCTGATGGCTACTACGTTGCGGCTGGGGGAGAAGACGACCTTGTAACTGTATTTTCTATGCAACAGCGCAGAATTGTTTGCAGGGGTCGTGGTCATAAGTCATGGATTAATTGTGTGGCTTTTGACAGTTCGTTGTGCAAACCTCTCGAGTATCGACTGGCTAGTGTCGGTGATGATACTCAATTATGTCTTTGGGACATTAATGAAGATGTCCTACGGCAACCACCGCCGGCCTCTAGACCAACGTCTCTGCCAACTCCCAATTCAGGCGTTCAATCGACAGTATCTCTTGCACCTCCTTCTTCAGCTAAAACTTCTAAGTCACCTCTAACTAATAAATTTGTCAATCTTACTCTAGGAGGGGACAAAAAAGACGAAAAGAAGGAACACAAACGTAACATATCTTTCACTTCCAAATCAGGCTCAACTAACCATGTAAAACCGTTGGATGACAAAGTTCTTGGAACACCAGTATGCCCAAGACTAGAGGAAGTTCCACTGCTGGAACCATTAATTTGCAAAAAGATTTCTAACGAACGCTTAACATCTGTTCATTTCTTGGAGGAATGTTTTGTTACAGCATGTTATGAAGGAAACTGCTATACATGGTCTAGACCAACATCTCCATCTTCAGTTAAGGATGTTACGTGAAAGATATATCTGAAAAAAAATATTCCACTCTACTGCCTTGTGTGATTTCTGGCGTTCATTTTTGCAGGCAAAGCTGAAACTGAACGTCTACGACTGCTGCTTTGTGCCAAACTAATAGTCTTTCCACTAACTGATACAAATCTGTTAAAAAATATGAAAAAAGACTGTTGAATATTAATTTCTTAATATTTTATAATTATTGTTGACCATTCCGTGTTTCACGTACTTGCAAATATCGGTTTGCTCTCCAACCTTTGGCAATTTATTGTACATAGATGAATTTCTATCGAGCATAATTTTCACGCGTTATATGTTTTGCATGATAGCAATGTGATAAGAGACCTAAGCTTTGTATATTAATAAAACCTCCATATGGAGTCAGAAGATATTTTATATTCTACTGTATTATGAAGTATAGAATACATAAATTAAACTATACAACTTAATATAAACGTACAGATTGATGTACAATTTGTTCAGGCGGTAACATAACTGCATTTACAACTTAGGGAAATTTCATAAATATTTTTTGAACAGATTAGTCATTCTTCTTCTCAGTTTCCGATTTATCTTCGCCATTTGCTTCATTTTCTCCGTTATTATCTATGGCATTTTGGGCATCTGGATTATCTAACATCTCTTGGCTAGTTCCAAATTCATTAACCCTCTTCGGGTCTACTTTATAAATCCATCTTTGATATAAGAAGATGAGAAAGATGATATCTGAAAATTTTTTATTAATTTCAAGAGTCTATCAAAATGTCAATTATAAAATTACCATCTCTGAAACAGCCTAGACGATAAAGAGTTGGCATACGAATAACGAATGCAAAAATGTCATCAATGAAAGTATTTAGGGCTTTATAAGTGAATGTTCTCCATGGTAAATGAGCTACACTCTTCAACTTGTAGTTTATAAAAAGTTGAGGAGTCATCATAATAAAGCCAAAAGTCAGAAGAAATCCATACAACATAGATAATACCCATGAGTACCAGCCTTTGTGTTCTTGATACAAAACTGAATAAACAGCATAGCATCCAAGCATGGGAAATAAAGCCCACGATAAGTATTTGAACGCCAACTGAAAGTACACACACTTCAGTAAAAAAAATGTTAATATACAAATCTTACTTGATCATAACGCTTGGTGTTTGACTCTGTATAAGTTGACTTATCTTCATAGTATGGTTTTGGTATAATTCCTAATAGCTTGTTTGTCCGGTCAAACTGAAAAGATTTTGATTACTATAAATTTTCGAATCGCACTAGAGTATAAAATATTTACTTTGACATTTACAACTTTACCAATTTTCCAAACCTCAATAGCTAATCCAATAAAAACTGATACCTTGACAACAAAATTTGTTTCGTTGTCAAGTACATATAAACAGACTATTAATGACTGAAACACATTGAAAAATACTGATCGAACAGAGAGTCCTTCTAAAGATTTCCTATTTTTCCAAAATTGAATATCTACAAAGAAGATAAATTTGATACTTCTGGATTAAATCACTACGTATTGCAACATTACCATTTTTAAAAGCCAAAAATTCAAAAACACTATGAACTAGTGAAACAACAACAGTTAAAGCTAAAAGATACGGATTAGTTTCGATTAAAGTTTGCTGTATAAAACAAAGAATTAGTAAATATTTTTACAATAGTTGAAGTGTTTACTTTCAATGAGTCTTGATCTTCATCGTCCCCATCATTCATATCTGACATGAAACTATACCATTTATTTCTCATCGATTGAGCAGCATAAATCTGCCATTTAAATAGTGACATTGGAGCGAATGTTAATGAAAAGTTCAATTCTCTGCGAAAATATTCAATATTTAGATAAAAAATATATTAACACTATATCAAAACTCACTTGATTGTGTCATTAAGGGGAAAATATTCATTGTTCATATTCCAATAATCATTTAAATATACAACAGGATAGTACTGATTAACAGTCGGATGAAATTCGATAACTGTAAAAAAGTAAAGTGATAAACTAAAAAAAATTTATAATTTCGAAACTTACATTCATCTAAGGGAGCTGGTACGGCTCCCCTAGTCCAGGCTGTATGATCATCAACTAGGTTAATAGTAAGATTTGGATGCCAGTGGGAAAGAATTTCATATTTTGATTCATTTTGAGCCTACATACACGATTGATTAAAAGCTTTTAGAGAGTTTTAAATTTGATATCTTACTCTAATTAAATCAGGATGAGCATCGCTTTTTCCAGTTAGAAGATTTACCGTTTGGACAAATTTCCTTTTCTTAAATTTATTCAATCCTGTAAGCCATTATAAAATTAGCCAATAGATATGATAATTAGAAAATACGAACGCTTGGTTTTCTTGATAGTAAATTTTTTATCGTAACTAGAATCTCTGGGATCAGGTGAATTACCCGCCTTAACGATGAAAACATGCAAATATATGGAGCCGTTGTTTTGAATAGTCTGAAAGATTTAATTAAAATAATGAAAAATTATCTAAAGTTGTGTGATTAATTACGGGAGTGGCCTTTATCTTTCCGTCTTTAATATAGGTTCCATCTTTCGTCAAACCACTAGTCCAATCTCCATACTCAAGCTCCTCTTCCAACCAGAATAATGATTCAGGTTTGAAGTCATCAAAAACTTCTGACTCCGATAAATAAGCATACAAATCCAAAGCCAATCCTTTGGGAAACATGTTCGTTGCTGGTCCATAAGATGGCATAGGTTTGCCATCAGGACCTTTTTGAGGCTCTTGTTGTTGTTGAGGGCGTCTAAAAAAACTGGCTATCATATACATGATGAACATTCGGAATAACAAAGATTTAAATATCGCCCATCCGCCAGGCCTAGGTTGTTGATTTTCAGCATTTTGCCCATTTTGTTGGACCTAAAATACAACGGCAATTAAAAGTAAGATGCGATTAAATGTTGACCCCTAAAAGAAATGTTGCGGGTCTGAATCATTAAATAGTCATCCTCTGTTGGGTGACGCACGTGGAACATTCCATGATGACTCAGCTCTTGTTTACTAGTTTAAACTGGAAAAATCCGAACTTACTTGTGTATTTTCGTTGGTAGCCGCAGCATCAGTAGCTACGACTTCACCGTTAGATGAAGACGCCGTAGTGTTATCATTACTGTCGTCCGCCATTTTTATTTCTCTTCCAGCCTTTACCGCAGCAGTCGAAAAGGATATCTGTTTTCGTATTTTTCTGCATATTTTACTGGTTAGTTATTCAGAATTCGCCTTCTAATTTTAGATAAAATGATTTTTCTCCTATTGAAAACCCCATGTTAGTATTTCAAAACTTGTAGTTTTTCTTTCAACAGCTGACGTCATAGAACCGTTCGTCAAAACATGGCGCGGATTCGCGAAAGAGATAAGAAACTGTTCCCGTTACAAACTATTGCTTCTGTCGTCGAATTGTTTAAGAATCATCTCGTGAACCAGGATGAGCCTGATTTAATACTCCTTTCTCTAGTACTTGGAGCTATTGAGCACTCAATTACTGATCGTCGTCCCTGTAAAAATGGCGCGAAAGATGCTGACCGAAGTAACATCGAGTTCCCGCCATTGAAATTATCGACTATCGACGCACTTTATCAGAAGTTTGAAACCCATATTTTATCAAATGTCAGCCCAATTGAAAAGGCTCGCGAAGAAACTACGATTGAGTTCCTACGAAAAGTATCTGATGTCGTGTGGAACTCTCTCTTACGCAGTTATCAAAAAGAAAAGGCTCATATGCAGACTCTCTTCAGTTACGTGACAGGTGCGTTAAGCAATCATATCGCAATATTTACTTGTGGTCTATTCAACGACTTACTTTATTTACTACCGTTTAGCTTTTGCGGTTGGACAGATGATATATTATTACTATACTATAAAGCTCGGTTAAAAAGCTGTCAAGCGTTTCGAATGTAAATAAATTGGCGCGCTTACTAATCGCGCGTCTTATTAGCATATTCCAAGTAGCCAATGGCGCAACAACGGTCACCCGGATACTATGTTTTGTATTTTGTAAACATTACCCCTTCTTGCGCAATAATTATCATGACTATTAACAACTACTCCACGTGATGACATGAAAGTTTGAGCGTAAAGTTATGTTATACGACTTCAGACCAAAAACTGTGTCAGGTGATTAAGAATGAGTGAGCAAAAGCTTTTAACGGGATTAGTGTTGATAAGTGTTTATATAAAGTTCAATTTTTTTCTATGTTTTATTAAAAAAACTTTGAGTTTAGTCTTCGCCACTTTTTTTTTAACAGCCAGTAAGTTGGACGCCTATGGTGTGTCATATGGAGTTTCAGCGGCATGCCAACTTTTAAAAAGGAACGATGTTCGATTAGCCCTGTCTGAAGATCACTCATGGATTGTTTTTGGAAAAAGTTTGGATAAAAGCTTAGAAGTTACTTGGCATGGTAAAGGTACTGATGATCGTCGAGGTCAAACAGCGGATCAAGGTGTTCAAGAGAGGAATTGGAGATACCAGAATAGCTATGCACTAAAATGTACAAGGCCGATGGAAGTGGCATCTTTAATTTGCGCAATCGATGTTCACTTGTCTGCAACAACTGACAGTTTGGAACTAAGAAACTTACAACAAGCTCTTCTTTGGCTGTTATACGATATGGGACATTTAGAGAAGTAAGTTAATAGGACAAAGTTTTATAACCGGCCTATATAAATAACCTACTTTCTATTAAAAGGTATCCATCGGCATTAAGCACGTTGGCTGATCTACAAGAACTGAAATCGACAAATAGCTCGCTCACGCCTGTCAAACTTTATCAAAAAGCTATCGAATGCAATCGAAAATTTTATGACAATCACTACGTTTATCCATACACTTTTTTGGGCAACCATTATTATCGCCGTAAAATTTATAAGGAAGCTTTACAATGCTGGAGCGAAGCGGCCGACGTCATTAGAAAGTAATCCTATTCATTTTTTTATATTCTTTTTATATTCATATATATATTATATAAACATACGCGCCCTGTCTGGTGCTAGTCTGGGACTATATATAAACTCGTATATTTATATACAAGACGTATCAAAACTAAAGATAGCCGTTTTTTTTCCTTAGATATAATTATTCGAGAGAAGATGAATCGATTTATAACATCTTTTTGGAAATTTCAAATTCCCTACTTCCGGATATTGTAAAATATTTTTCAACTGGTATCGTCGCTTCCAGGGATTCTCTACTTTGCGATCCTGAATGTTATGCATATATACTTCAAGTAAATACTTTAGATTCGTTTATTATTAGATTTATTTTCCTTCAATGTTGCATACATTTGTCTCATTTAAATATAAATATTGTTTATTTTCTTTAAATAGTTTTATGATGGAGTCTGTCAATGGGAAGAAGATTCCGATACTCCTGTTCTTCATATAACTTGGGCAAATAAAGTTTGCTTTTCCTTATCAAAATTCGATAGTGATACCAGAGGAAGAGTTCATTTGGATGAAAATTGTAAAGAGGATGATAAAGAAAACAATGATGAAAAACCTTTAAATATTCAAGAAGTTGTAAAGCAGTACAGCGAATTTGGAGAGACTTCACCCAAGATCGATGAAATCGCTAGAAATTGCGGTGAAGCACTGCTAAACAAGGAATTTTTAGATGAAGGTCATGGAGAACCTTTTACAAATAATAATGGAAGTCTGGGATCTTACCCTACGAAATTAAATATTGAGCCTCGACTTACTTTACGGTCAACAAAGATGAAGAACATATCGTCTTTACTCACTGCAACGAGATTTAACACGAGTGCCATTGAATTACAATTAACTGCCCAGTCACAAGTCACTCTCAAACACTCTGCTCCAGCAAGGGGTTACCCAAGAGCAAAACGACAAAGAAGAAATTGAAATGACATTTGCAAACAATAGACTTTGGTTTGTCTCTAAAAAACCGACAAAAAATCACATTTTTTAACCTAAGCGATATTTACGACCTTTTTTATCCAAGACAAAGGTTCGCTCATCAGGTTATTTTCTTCTGACGCAATTTCGAGCAACTTGATATTATATGGGCAACAATCTTACTTGAAAGAATGAATTTCGCCCAGTGTACTCGAAGAAACTTGAAGTTCTTGCACCACAAATATATTAATCGCTTTATTTTATTGCTGCAGAATTCTGTGTTCAAAATCTTCTAGTTCACTGCAGTTTTACCCTACATTTGTTTTTTTTTTTAAGTCTTTTTTTTGTATGTATATATATATATTTATAGTATAAAACGACAAGTACTGTTTATATATACATATATATTTACTTTGTTGCATTTTTGTTTAATGCTTTAAGCTAGTTTTTTTTTTGTATTCTCGTACTTGAGTAGTTTTAAACGTATTCTTTAATGACATAATTTTGAAGATTCCTATTTATCACTATATTTATCTCATTATGCATTGACACATGCTTGAAAAGTTTGTAAAGATTTTTATTGAGTAATGAGTAAAATTGAAATGATGTAGTGTAAAAGTCCTTCTCACAACTGCATGGCAAGACCCGCTGCGCTTATATTATCACCTCCTCCTGCTGTTTGTTTAACATTGGTGCAAATTAATACGGGTGAAACACATATCAATGCATTGCCCTCTTCCCAGCAGGCTACTGGTTTTTCGGCATTAAATTTAATACGCTGTGATCCCTCTTTCCTTCCAACTGCAAACGACTCATCCATGAGCAGTCTTGCGCTTTCTAGATCGATTTCCCCTGACGAACATGTATGACGATATGCTGTTAAGCTAGCCTTTGCTGCAGCAATCATAGTATTAGACCATTTATTTTTTTTGGTCATTATGGCCTGAAAGGCGAGAGTATGAACATGTAATCGGGATAGTTTTCCTGGAGATAAAACTTTCCAAATTGATCTCATTTGGTCTAGAACAAGCGCAATTCTAGGATGAGCATTAGAAACTAATGTTACGGAGTTATCTTCTAACATAGTATATAAATTCATTAACTCTTGCTCATTCATACCGAGCGAATCGGCATGTGGCACTATTTTGTCAATAACTTCTCTAAAAAAGTCTTTTTCTGCAAAAGAGGCCAGCTCAAAATGCCTAAGTGTCTCATCATTTAAAGAACTCAATAAAGCACTCAATCGATTTATAGATTTAGATCTTTCATCTTTGTTCATAACTGTCGAATCCAGCATTTGTAATCCGCCAAGAACAAAAGCATGGGGCTTTTCGGTCTGTATATGATTTTCAATGTCTTTTAAAGCGCTCATTTTCAAATTATGGACATCTGCGTGAATTATAAAACGATTTGCTCTCGGGGCAGTTAAATGCTGCCATCTGCTATCCCTTTCATATTCTAGTATGATGTGCACGTCGTCAACCTCTACCACCTGACCGACAATGTTCATCTTTTCTGACAGATCTTCGAACAAAGGCTTAGATAAATAAGCGCCCAGTGTGACGTCTTTCAGTCCTTCAGCCACAAGCCGCTTAGCAATCACTGGTGCATTTCCTCCCAACACCCATCTTGCTTCCATGGTCTTAGTGGTTTCTAGAGCCATGTCCCAAAATGTCCTATTTGCCACATAACGTCTACAAAGCAAGGGATTTACCTCTGCATGAAAATATGAAATTTTCGATTACTCACTCGGATGCGGCGCCCTGGGTGAAAAAAAATGCAAATATTTCTCCTAGATCATCAGGGCTCATAATGGAGTCGGGATGTCCCATACTTCCAATTGGAGCAGAAATATTGAGTTTATCAAGAAATTCAGTAGCTTCCACGAATGCATCTGAACAGGCCCCGATACCGACTATCACTTGTTTCGGTTTAACTAAACGATATTTCTTTTCGGCTCGAAGTAAATTCGAAAGAATGGTTTCCAAATGACTTCGTAGTTCTTGATCCGATGATTTCTTGTAGTATAAAGCAATCAAAATTGACAGTGTTGTTACAAGAAGACCAGCCTTAACGCTTTCCATGACCGCCATATTGTTTTCTGCGACAAAACCGCGCCAAATCTATTTTCAAAAGTGGATCAATATCTATTTTCGCCGACAATTATTCTATTTTAAACAATAAGAGAAAACTAGGTAATAATTTTTGGTGGGAAAAGCCATATGGTTTTTTAGAAAGCCATATTAATTATGTTTATTCTTTGTATTTACGAATTTTTCACTAATTTTTACCCTTCGACGAGTCGTATTTACTCAGACTCAAATAACTCCTTTACAGATCTTTTACAATAAGATTTTTTCAATGAGTCTTTGAATCTTAATAAGTCACTATTCATCTAGATGGCACTACGGATTATTCGACAGAGTCATAAAATTGAATTTACCAGTCCTACAAAGTCATAGACATGAGTTCTAATTATTAAGCAAAATTTCTTAAAATTTTGGCTAAAAGCCCTTCAGAAATTGAGAAAATCGATAGGGATAGCACCTTTGTAAACACCGTACTTTCATTATTTAAATAGAGGCAGATGAAATAATTTAGCTACAGGCGCCTCTTAAAGATTATCGATGAGAATTTTAGATTTGTATTGATACCTTATAACATTAAATTTTCTTCAAATAATTAATATTTCAAGCACACCAAACGAAATTAGTTTAATTATATGGGAACGGTATTCCATAAAATGTAATTTTAATGATATATAAGTAATTTTGTTTACCTTTTAAAGCGAGATTTTAAATATTCATTTCTTGTTAGAAAATATCACCAAAATCTATTATATATACTTGATATTTTATCAAAAGTATATCTCTCCACATCAACCATAAGTGAATTATTTTTAAGAGAATCGTCATAAAAAGTTTAACCCTTGATACAAAAGATAGCAGATTATGGATGTACTAAACGTATTGGTATAAGTGATTAAAATACAGGTTTGCAGATATGCAGCTCTTGGAATTTCTTAATACAGAGATAACTTTCTGTTTTAAACATAGTTAGCTGTTATCTTTAACTCAAGTTATTTTTATTCACTAAATAAGAAATCAATATATAAATGAAAATATTTTTTTAGGCTTAATCTTATGAGTTCCCTCATTCCGGAAAAAAAGTTACATTCTGCTCAACTTTATTTATTTGGAAACATTAGGCATATTAAGGGTTTCTAGTTCTTCTATTAAATCTTCGTATCGGAATTTATCGGGATTTTCGTTGAAGGTTGTCAATAAACTTAACTTCTTAGCATCATTTATACAGTAATATAATTTCACTTGAAGTGTTAATAAACGAGCTTCGGTGACATCCTGTCGGAAGAAATAGAAAGCGCGACTAAAATTATCGATCTCATTCAAAAGATACGCACCAGGTTATTAAAATCGATTTGTGAATTCATTAATACTATATCTTTTTCGGAACTTAGTTCATTGTAGTACGTCAGAGTAAGCACAAATGGAGCATTCTCTTGATGTTGCTTTTAGAAAATAGAAAATTTGTAAGTAAAGCTTTACTTTGCACAAGAATTTAATTTTTTATCTTAAAATTACCTGATAAAACGACAAAGGAGTCATAAAACATTGATTATCTTGCCATTGGGCAAGAAAAAATTCAACTCCTTGTTTTCGTGGCAGTGGATATACAAACTGAAAAAGATATTTATTTTATGAAAAAGATATCGGCAGTTAAAATGGAGTATACACACTAAAGGAAAACGTTGGGTTTTCGCTTTTTGATCTTCGTATTCTTTTGCAGACATGCAGGCGAAGACACAGTCGTTTTTTTTATGATATTCACACCAAATTTCCTCTATTTCTTTTTTATTCCTCTCCCTAAGTAATTTAACTTTCATAATTTTATCAAGGCTCTGTAAAGAATTACCAATATTAATGTACGATCTAGCAATTTTTATCCATTACCTGAGGTGTTTGTTTTATAGCGGATGCACCTTTCTCTTCACTTCGCTCAGCTACTGCTTCCTTTGATGGAGGAGTGCTGATACTTTGTTGACTAAGAGCTTCTAGTTTAGCCGCATATGCCTCAGGATCGGTTCTTTCAATTGGAAATTAATTAAATAGCTTAATATAACTAACTGTCATAGTTGAACTACAAACTGCTTTAATGAATATAATTTTTCGGCGTATTTCGAAAAAAATGGGTTATCTTTTAACTCATCTTTCTCAGGCTTTCCTGGAGCGGACCCAAAAGTTCTGGTATATCCATTACGATTAAGAAACTGTCTCCTAAATTCTTTCACCAAATATGGATTATTCATTGTTTTTCTCAATAGACAAGTAAGATTCCTCATGAAGATCGAAAAATACGTCAAAGATCTGGTATTATCGCCCAGTTCAATGATATTACAATTTGAGACACAATTTCAGTATTTTTACTTAAAAATACTAACCAAGTTATAATATACGTTTCTCAACTGATATAATAGACGCCGGAACAAATATGGACAATACAAGTTGGAACGATAAGGTCAAAACGGCATGAATAGAGTGGTGGTTGATTATAAAATACAGATGGCGCTTTTTTAAGAATGTTTGTCGGAAGGCGATACATGCAGTTCTAACTAAGAGGAACACGAGGTGAAATATATCAGCGTACTACGATGGATAATTCGTTGGAAAATTATGTGAAAATTGACGATGATTTTGAGGGTTATCCTTTACATCTATTTTGTGTGAGTTTAATCGATATTTATTAATCCTGTGATTCCTTAATTTTAAATAAAAACAACATTTAACGCCTTTTAATTCATGTAGGTACCTAAACACTATGAAGACGATCTTCAATCTATTTTGATCCCAAAGGGATGCGTTGACGATAGGTGAGATAATTGTATCATCTTTAAAATAATTAAACCAAACTTACACATGTTTCATAGAATCGAACGTTTGGCACGTAATATTTGCGAAGAACTGGGTAAAGAGCCTACGGTTGCTCTCTGTGTATTGAAAGTAAGTAATAGTTCGGTATTGACGTACATATACCTGTTACCTTCAGTTGAAAAGAGAAATTTTATCATATTTAATGGCTGAAAAAGGGTATATTTGTGCCATTTTCACCAGAGACTATTTTCAATGTCCTTCATTTCATTGACAAAGACAAATATAAAAATGCTCTCTATTTAAAGACAATTATGTAATAGAGATATTACTTCTTAAAGTATATGTAACAAAGAGTACGTCTGCAACATATAAAATCTGAAAATCTTAAGCTGTTATTTTTTAGGGAGGATACAAGTTCTATACGGATCTATTGGATAAGATACAAGCTTTAGGGAGAACATCTTCCGTTTCTATGCCAATTTCTTTAGATTTTATTCGTCTAAAGAGTTATCATAATGATCAATCTACGGGTGAAATTCAAGTTATAGGTGGAGACAATTTAGAGAACTTGCAGGGAAAGGTAAAGTTAACATAACCCATCCTTTAATACCATCATACATTGTACTGGTGATTTTATTTAGAAAGAAGTTTATAAGAGCATTAATTGTCATGCAGGTTATAAGCTTGATTTGAATCGATTTTTTTTGCTTGCAGAATGTGTTAATTTGTGAGGATATAGTTGACACAGGACGTACAATGACGAAATTGTTAAGTCTATTAGACAAATATAAGCCCAAGAAAGTAAGAGTTGCTAGCTTGTTTGTCAAACGGACCACCAGCAGTATTTATAGACCTGAATGTAAGCGTTGTTCATTGTCATTAATATTATTATAAAAGCTTATTATTTTCCTTCATTTTTAGATGTTGGTTTCGAGATCCCTGACAAATTCATAGTCGGCTATGCTCTTGACTACAATGAGCACTTTCGTGATTTATCTGTAAGTCAAAGAAAATAAACCTTTAAAATGAACTTTGAATGTAATGATTCTCTTTTGAACAGCACATTTGTGTCATCAATGAGCAAGGAAAAAGAAAATATGCTTCTAAGTAATTAAGTTGTTCTATGATAGATAATGCGAATATATATATGGACAGCCATATTGTTGTTGTTTGTATGACATTCCTAATATGTATTAGACACGTCATTGAACATTTTACTCAAACTTAATTGGATCAAATAAATGTGAAAAAAAAAAACCAGGGTATTGTCTTTTAAGCCTAGCATATGTCCTGAGATTGAAGCTTCATCAAAATAATAACTATACTTACCAAGTAATGTGAGAAATTATGCAGCTTACAAAATTCTTATTATTATATACTTTTATCTTTCGGAACAGAAGTTAAATTAGTTGCTCGTATTTTGTTAAATTCCTAAAGTATAAATATTATTTTGTTGTTCAAATAAAAAGAAGTGGGTAAGTTTAAGGCGCAAAAGATAATTATTGATTATTTTATATTAAAGCAATCTTCCATATATTATAATTCGCACTTGTTGATCGCAGAAGATTAAATGATTAACTTCAAATATGCCTTTAATTTAAAAATAGTTAAAAGACATGTTATTACAATCAACTATAATGATCAACAATAAAGGATTATTTGATAAAATATACTGAACACTATAGCTATAGATAAAGAAAACAATACGATAAAAATGAAAATGTAAAGACTGACAGGTCCCTGTTTTATTTTTACCATCGCCTTTTCCCAAGGGCGTAGGCAAACTTTTCGGTGATAGGTAAATACTCAGAGACTTTGTCATATACTATTACAAGCCTAAAATTAAGTACTTATAAACAAATGATAGGATTTACTATACCTTTCTTTTAACAAAACATGTATAACTTTTTGTGATCTATAATCTAAAATAGAATTACAGTGACAATGGTAATCAACATAACAATACCATAAGGGATAAATTAGTGAAGAAGTGTGATAAAACAACACACTCTTTAATCGACGAACAAAGAAATCGACTCTATCGCCTTTAGTTGTGTCAAATCTTCATAATCATTTGTGTGCTGGCCTCTTTAATTCATTAAATTTTCTTTTTGAAAATGAAAAATATTCAAATAAAGCTTTAGTTGCCATAAAGACAAACATATAAAGTCATAAATAGTTATGTTGTTACGCACTTTCGTAAATATTTCCTATCAATAAAACATAACTTTTTTTTTTAATTTGAAGGAATGTTTGTTGTTGTTATTAATTGACTAGATCTAAGTGATACAACAGAATGTCCGTATAATAGAAGAGGTTTCAAACTCTAAGCTTTCATATTCGGATTGAGATCGTTGAAATAAGAATGCTGTAGGGCGTCGTCAGCACACATTCTTTCAGTCGGATTGCAAATCAACAAATTCTACGAGAAAAGTACATTATAATAAATATAAAATAATATCTAAAGTTTGATAGAAGCATACTAGAAGCAAATCCCTCCCTTTGTTATTTAATCTAGGAACGATCTGCTGCCACGCAGTATTAACGTGGTAAATCGGAAAAGGTTTATAGTTTGGCAATTGTGTTACACCAGGCCATGTTTCTTCTGTTGGCGTACCCAAAATTCTAAAATTTCAAATCAGAAATTAATGTAAAAATAACAAATGCTTCGAGTTTAACTACTTAAATATTCGTTTCAATTGATCGTCCGTGTCATTTCCAGGAAACAACGGTCGACCAGCATTGGCAATCTCTAAGCGTAATAACAAAGTAAAATATAGTGAATTTATGATAAAATATTGGAGAAAAATGATAAAGCAACCTGCAAATATACAACCAGCTGACCACATATCAATTGACGTGGAGTACAGATTGGCACCAAACAAAACATCGGGAGCACGATACCATAATGTTACCACTTCAGCAGAATAGCAACGTACGGGAATGCCAAATGATCTTGCTAAGCCAAAATCAGCTAATTTCAATTCTGCATTCTGAAAATTGGCGTGTGAATTAGAGCTGAAAAATATCCAGATTTATTGCAGATTATAGCTACCCTATTTAGTAATAAATTCTGAGGTTTTAAATCTCGATGAAGGACGTTCTTGTTATGGCAAAACGCTAGTCCTCTTAAAAGTTGGTACATTAAAGACTAGAAAGTAATGAAATGCGAAATATTTGTATAAATAATCAGTAAGTTGTTTACGTAATATGATAATACCTGAACAAGTCCTGTGTCAATTTGTCCATTGCAGCTATCAAAAAATTTCTTAAGATCCTGATCACAATACTCAAATACCAGTGTCAGTTTCTTTTCCGTGTGAACGACATCATGTAATTTTACGATATTCCGGTGTTTAAGTTCTTTCAACAGGCAAATTTCCCTGAGTGCCGAACTTGGAACGCCCTCATCATCGTCATCTAACCTGACCCTTTTCAGTGCTACGATTTCTAATGTTTCCCGATTTTTTGCCTTGAAGACTGTTCCATAAGTACCTATCAAAAGATATTAATTAAATATTTCATTCTGATGGTCCGATAAGTCCTATCTTACCTGAGCGATAAAATAACTTATTACAAAAAGAACAAGAAACACTATGAATTCAAATATGAATTTCAGTGATTTATGCGTAACTACGTAAAGAAAAGAGGGATATATCATACCTTCACCAATTTTCTCTAGCTTTTCATATTTTTGCATTTTAAACTAAAAAAGAGATGAAATTAAAAATGATAAGTTGCTGTAGGTGTCGCCTTGAGCGAAACAAAAAATATTTTGTTCGGTATTACGGTGTCTTTGACAGAAAGCTACGTCTTGCCAGTGACATCTACCGTTCTTTTTTTGTGGGTAGATAGTATTCCAGGAGAATTATTGATTTATTTGAGGAACAATAGATGTTTTGGAGGATATCTTGGAAGATTAGCATTGACTTCTTAATTATAGCTTGTATTTGAGATGTCTAAGACTTCCAGAGGCTTTATTGCCATTCATTGCGGTAAATAAAACCTTTTTTCAATTAAAACTTTTAAATCGATATTTTGTTTGTTAGGTGCTGGTTATCACTCGAAAAAAAAAAGCGAAAATTACAATGCTCTTGCAAGAAAGGCATGTCGAGCCGTCAGTATAATTTATTAAATTTACCATAAAGATTAAACCTTTATTGATTATATAGGCAATTGAGGCTTTGCGATCCGGCAAGTCAGCGAGAGAAGCCGTTGTCTTAGCAATAACTTGCTTAGAAGTGAGTAGAAATGTATTTTTACATTAACACTGGATGACATAAAGTATATGTAAAACATTTTTTTTTTATTAGGATGATACAATTACAAATGCTGGAAACGGATCGAACCTAACTTTTGCGGGTGACGTCGAATGTGACGCCTCTATAATGTGTGGAAGAACACTTAATTTTGGAGCTATAGGAGCTGTTTCTCGTATGCATTATAAATATCTCTAAACTCCTTCTCTATTTTCTTTGTATTTTTTAGATGTGAAAAACCCAATTAAATTGGCTCATGAGCTTCTAGTATATCAAGAAGAAGTAGAATCTAATCTAATGGGAAGAATTCCTCCAAAGTTAGTACCAATAGACATATTTAAAAGAAGATATTTTCCTAAAATCTCTGTCTTTCAGTATGTTATGCGGTAAAGGTGCTAAAAAATTTGCAAAAGAGAGAAACTTGGAAGTGGTTGGATCTCAAGAGCTCATTTCTGACGACATGTTTCGTCAACATTGTAAATATACAAAAGCATATACCAAAGAATTAAAAAAGTTTCAAGAAAACTCCTTACCACCCTCTAAAAAACAACGTGTTGATAGTGAGAATATTTTTAAAACCAACGATAGTAATGTAATACAATTGAATATTGTTATAACTCTTTCTGAGTGATATATTTCAAAGAGGTTTCTTTTTTTTAGCAAGATAAAAGTATTCTTCACGACACTGTGGGAGCTGTTTGCGTTGATTGCTATGGTAATGTTGTTGCAGGAGTATCCAGCGGTGGGATCCTTATTAAACAACCTGGTAGAGTTGGACAAGTAAATAGCATATAATCAGTTTATCCTTTTAATTTTACTCTACCAATCGATTTTTCTAATAGGCGGCTATGTATGGGGCTGGATGTTGGGCTGATAAAAAAAATGATGATTGCATTGCCATATCGACAACTGGCAGTGGAGAGAGTCTAACAAAAACCCTTCTAGCTTATTCGCTGGCGCTGAAACTACAGAAATCTCATAGTATTATTACAGATCTTGATGAAGTCTTTAATGATTGTTTTATGAGTAAGATTCCCTTTTTTCTTTATCGCGTGATAAAATTTATTTTCCTTTAAGATTCTAGATTTGTTAATGACGTCACTGGTAGATTTGCTGGCGTTTTAGGCGTAAAATCAACCCCATTGGAAAAAAACGATACTACAGATACAGAATGTAAGCATGAAAACCAATGAAAAGAATACTGTTCCATTCAATATTATTTTTTCAGTTGAAATTTTCGTAACTTTTTCAAGTGATAGTATGAGCATAGGCTATCAAACAACGGCTGACGAAGAAGCCTCGGCTGAGATTCTTAGAAAGGCGAAGGATCAGACAACGGCTGCCTTTCATAAAACTCTCTAGGATATGATAGATAATATAATTCTTTTCTGTTTTGGTACTGTTATTTATTTCTCTCTCTTATGAAGAGCCCTATTCATTCGTTTTTTGTCATCATATAGCAAAAACAGCTTCAGAAAAAAAAGGAAACGATTCTTCCTTTTTGATCAATTTTTCTTTTACATAAAATATTAATTATTGATTTGAAATAATTAATTAAAGTTTTTGTTTTTCATTGTAATTTATTGAAAGAAACGAAAAAATAACGAGCAAAAAAGGTAAAGATGAACAATTAATACTTTATAGTATTGTTCAATAATATAGAAACGTTGAACCTTTTAGAATAGCAAGCAGAGTAAAAGTTTGTCTTTTTTATTTTTGCATAAAAGCAGAACATGATAAAAACATTGTAAATTAGGGACGGATAATGAATTCTTTTGATATACTCTTGAACAGAGAATAGTCTATTACGGACGGAATTAAAAGACCTAGCTAAGCTTTTTTTATATAACTTATCTTATTCTTGACATTTCGAAATTAACTATTGTGAAAAGTAGAATAGTAGTTTACTACTATCATAGGCAGTCAGGGCGAACGCTTTACCGTTTGGACTTAGGAATGAACTCCCTTGGAGCATGGTATCAGCCACATGTTCGGAAAATACCAATTCGACTTCTATGTCCGTTTTGTTTCTCATTACTCTCCATACACGAACCATACAATCCTCAGATGTGCTTAGAATTAGACCAGACTTTGGTGCGGAACTTAGACTTGTTATGCAGCGGGCATGACCATCTATTTGAGCTAGCACATTACAAGTCTCAACACACAATAGTCGAATAGCTCCCGATGATGTAGAGCAAGCTATAAGATTATTGGCGCATAGAGCTAAAGAGGTTACGCAATCGCTAGATGTTCCTGCAACGCCTCTGTTTGTCTGCAAATACAATTTTATAATTTATAGAGATGTACGGATAGTATTATCAATTATTACTAGTGCTATATTAGTTCGAACATGTCCGGTTGATTATCATAAATTATTATATTAATAATATAGAAGATTGATTTCTGCGTTGAATATAGGGGGAAAAAAACATGTATACTCTACCCTCGTAAAAGGTTGTCCAGCACTCCAGACTGAAAGTTCACCTTTTTCATCGGCTACTACAAGACATTCACCAACACCGTCCAGAGCTGCTATGGGATAGGTATGAAACCTTAGCGTTTCAACTAACTCAATGTTATTTCCTTTTGAAGGAACACTAAGAATCAGAACATGGCCTTCATACGTTCCAATGCATACTACATTATCTAGTAGAACAGCAATGCCACGGGCCAAAGTACAAGTATGAGTTGATTCGGGTTGAGGTAGGGAAAATGCATATAGTAATAGGAGGCCTTCAACCTCATATATATGAATTCCTTTCTGGGATGTTACAACTAAAATTAAGCGTTCAGCGACCTGTATCAATTATGATAATGTTATATATTAATGTATATATATATATGATGTTTACATACTGCGATATCTATCATTTTCACCTTTATATTAACAATTCTCATTTAATATTCTATCTTAGCTGATAGAATATCAAGTAATGTTTTTAACTAGTATTTCATCCATATGGTCATAACTTACTTTGACTATTTTTGCTTGAATTACAACACAGGAGGCTACAGATGCTTGCTCCTTGCAAGCAACTTGGCGTGTTGAAACACTTTTTCCATCTAATGAAGCAGTGATGACGTTAACGACACTTTTGTGTACAATTGCATAATGTAGTCGGTCTTTATCAGACTGAATGCCAATACTTAAATTATTGTTGATCGCTGAAGCCGATCCTTGAAAATTAATGGGCTTTTCTTTTCTATACATTCTCTTGAACTTTGATGAAGAAATATCCAGAAAGGTATTACTGAATGTCAAGGTCACTGTATTCAGCGACATCTATATAGAAAAATTTTTATTTTTATTTCAAAAATTTGAATATTATAAACTTAAACTAATTTTAATTGATTGATAAATAAATATATGAATTATGTTCAAACTATTTTTTAAACTATTCTAGAATAATTGCTCTTGTAAAGGTCGTTTTCATCAAGTTTTACGTCATCATTAAAGAAGATTTCATCAACTATTAGTATATAAGTGGACATTCTATAGAAGTTTTATAATAAGCGTTACAGAAAAGGAAAATGTTTCGAAAACTCTTACCACATCTGAGAACAGCTAATCTGTATCATAATAGCTGGAAGAATTATCTCAGTTGTCAAAGATACTATAGAGGTAGATGGACACCTCTAGCTCGGAGACCAACCTTTGGCGAAATGATTGATCATATGATGCCCAACAATCTTTACCAAGTAATGGATAGAAATATGAGAGAAATGGAACAATTTCTGACAGAGTGGTCAAGAAGGTCTGAAAGGAATTTTGAAGTGTTTGATAAAAGATTCTCTTCTCAATGCGTGGCCAACGAGGTACGAAGAGAAAGTATTTCTGATATTCTATTTCTTAGGTTTATAACATTAACAAGACATTATGTTTTCTTAATCTATTCTAGTCGATAACCCACAACGATAAGGTTTTTGAAGTTAAATTGGACGTAAAGCACTTTGCCCCTGAAGAGCTGCATATCAAGGTTGTTGGAAATCGAATTAAGGTTGCGGGAGAAGTTAACAAAACTGAGGAGAATGGCTCGTACGTTCAGAGAACATATTTAAAAGAACTCACAATTCCGGAGGTATGCAAAAATCGCTATAAATTACAATCTAACCTTTAACTTTAACATAACATAAAATACAGAATGTTAATGAAGCATCATTAGAAACGATGCTATCAGATGGAATATTAGTTATAAGGGGTGAAGTAGATCCAAAATTAACGAATGGAAGAACTCTAAATATCAAAACGGAAGAGTCGACTCCAGAAACTGAAACATCACCCGAGAAGAATGAGAAATGATCAATATTATCTCTACAAAAGAAGAGTTAATAATATTCGAAATTTTAGTAGTTTAGTCCGAGTTATTAATTGATAATTAATAAATATAGATAAAGAATAGAAAGCAATGACTTACGTTTTTTATCCTTCATAAATTAGTTGAAAATCAATTTAGAGGACAAACATATTTATGTGAAAATGTCTAAAAAAATGATTTTTTTTATTGAAAATTCATGTTTTCAGTTAAAAGTATAAATATATATGAAATTTGAACAAATTTAATGGCTTTAATAAGCGTTTTCTTATTGATTTATTGATTAAATTTGAAAGAAGAGAGTAACGTTTTGTTTTTTTTTCTCATTTGACTCTTAAGCTTCATTTGAAAGAGAAACAATCATTGTTCTCTTGATGTAATGATGGAAGAAGAAGATTATTATAATAATGATTTCTTAATGATAGGTGATTATATATGTTTATATTGCGAAGAAACTGAAGGCTATGTTTTCGGTTGTCAAACCAGGTTTGTCTTGATTATTAAATGTACTGGTATAACAGTATTTTTCGCTTGTCTTTATAGTTCTGCTCATAATGCTTTATATATATATCATCGCCAAGATGCATCTAAACCAGCTAATATTCCAAATCCTCATTGCGTTACATTTCAAATTTGCATACAAAATCGTTACAAACTTCAAAAGAAATACAGAAAGTTATTGTCACAAAGTTTGGCAAATCCAACTAATTTGCATATTCGTTCTCTTCTTCACCAAGCAAAGGTATTTTCTTTTTATTTAATAAATCGATGAGTTTCCTCATAATTTCTATTTATTTATTATCTTCATTTCAGGAAGGAGCGAAAGCAGAAATGGAAGATAATGCTTGTGAAGAGAGGAGGCAGAGAGGAGCAAGAGTTCGTTACGGAACTATTATTCAATTAAAGCACACATTTACTGAAAAATTTGTTCATGCTAGTACGACTGAAACTAGCAAGAGAGATAAAAATAACATGAGAGTATCTATCGAAGGGTATAGTGCGCATCAAGCTCACTTCCGGTTACTTCCCCGCTATAAAGTAAAGTCTGAGGGTGAAATTGTTCAGATAGGTGATCAAATTGTTTTGGAGAGTGTAAAATGTAATGGACAGTATTTACACTCAAGTGCCATATTTACAATAGATCACGTTGTTGGTAGAGGATCGGAATTGAATCTTGCTGTTGATCAGACAGGATTTACTGTTGTTCGTTACAGCAGAGCGCCGAAAATAGAAGAAACTCCAACTTCACTTTCAACGGAATACGAAGATTTAATAAAAGGAGGTTCAGTTGTACGTCTTTTTCATAAAGAACTTGAAGCATACGTTGTGGCGGAAGGTCTATTTAATGAATCGTTAATTGAACAAGTTCACCTCAGAATACGTCCAGTTGATCAGATGATTGCGAAAACGCTCTATCCGTCAACTTCAGCAATAACTTACTGGCAAATAGAGTCTGAATCAAGTGTTCTCAATGGTCACTCAATTAGATGGCAAACTCAAATTCGATTGCGCCATTTTGTCACTCGCCTTTACCTTAAAATAGATCAGGATAATAGAGTCGGTTTAAGCGTTGATGGGAAACATCCAAATACAGTTTTCCGTTTTCATCCATTAATGAGAGAAGCTGATGAGATGAGATTTGAAAGTTATGCTCGATTGGAGCATGTTCTTAGTGGTTCTTGGCTTCATGCAGATCGGGATTCCGTATACGAAAAAAGAGCTTTCGGTGGTCATGGAGATGATGGATCTATGAACGATTTAAGATGGGATGGCGCCGAACTAAGAACAATATCGGCCACGAACGAAAGAATGTATCACGATGCTTATACGTTACAAAAGGTAGATGAGATTAATTTAGCAGAGGCCAATTTTGTAGCGGGACAAGTACCTTTCTTAACTAAGCTGATAAGGGATTTAGAGGCAAGAATACCTAAACCCGACGAGACGTCATTTTTAAATGATCCTCCGTCAAATTCGAAGAAGGATGGTGGAATATTGAATGTCAAAAGAAATTGGAGGATTTGCACAGCTCTTAGGGAATTACAAGATTTTCTTATTATAGATAATCAACCGATTAAAAGAAGACAAAAATTAATGAGAAACTTTTGCATAATAGATCTATTAGTAAAAATTCTTCAATTGCCTGTCAAAGATGTTATTAATCAGGAGTTGATGACGGAAGTTACGAAATCAGTATATGGAGTATTACATACCTACATGATGGGAAATTCTAGGAAAAATTCCTTATATTTTGCAAAATATATAGATTTCTTTCAATCGAAATTTAGTCAGGCAGGCGAAATTGGTTTAGATATTGCTCAAATGATAGTTGAGCTCATTAAGGATAATCGCGAGATAGTCGATAGAATAAGTAGACGTCAGATTGATGAATTCATTCATTACGTAAGGAAATATAAGGTATTTTACTCTTTTTTCTAATCAATCTATATTCTATACTCTTAGTGGCTATTTTAATAGAATTATAGATATTTGGATCTCTTAAACGTACTTTGCGTTTGTAATGGTGTTGCAATATCTAATAATCAGTCGTATATAACCGAAAAATGGCTAGTTAACGACAACAGAGGCGTCTATTTAACGCAAAGGGGTCAGAATATTAGACGACAAACAAATATTATTTACATCTCTACCGATTTAGGTTATACTTGGTCTCCACTTCACGAGTTTGTAAAGGTAGGAGGAACAATTCCTTCCAAGTGATAATAGTTGTTTTTCAAGTATATAGATTTATATATCTCTTCAACAGGAAGGTAGCACATTCTATGATGAAGAGCAGAAGCTTTTCCTTGAACATCAATTAGATCTATTCAGAAAGTTATGCGACGGTAGAAATGAATACGTTATTCAAATAATAAGCAGAGAATTAAAGTATATTAGCTGGGAAGAAGCATTCTTATGTGTTCGCCTAAATATTCTTCCAGACGAATTAAGGGCTAAATACTGCGATTTGATAATAGGCCTATTCGTCGATGTTGGTAACAATTACGCTGTTTTGGAATATAGAAATTTGTCTTTTGCCTACGATGATATTGATATAAGAGAACCAATAGAGGATGGATTCGGAGAAGGAACCGAAATAGTCGTCAAAGATCTCGTCACAATATTCCCAGTTCTGAGGGATTGGATAATGGAGGTATTGAATAATCATGAACACTTTGTAGCTAGTAATGTAGGCTATAATAAATTAATTGAACAAGTAGTAAAACTTTTGGATTTACTTGTCAAATATGGATATTATGGAGCGGAAAGAGATATCAAAGATTTACAAACGCCTTTACTTACTCTTTTAGAAGGTGAGAATGATATACCTTTTCCAGTAGAAGAAGCACATAGTTCGGAAGCGAAGAAATTATTAAAAGAATATAAAGAGAAGATGAGATATGAAAAGACAATTGAAAATTCCAGTATTGTAGAAGTTAAATATCAAGCTCTTCAAGTTCTCGAACTTCTACTTAATTACCAATTTCAGACGAGACTGAAATATTTTGTTGCCCTTTTCAAACAGGCAGAAAGAGGTCGAGCGGCTAAGAAAACTAACGTACAATTACAGACTCTCCTCTCTCCTTCTTTCGATCCTGGCGATCAATCAAAATACTCTATTCAGAGGAAATTGACAAAAACCCTTAGGGAAGCTTTTGACAAGACTTCATATTTTGAAAAGAGGCAACTGATAGATGTCCTCTTAGATTTATCAAAATATAACTATGATAAACTGGTTGTAAAGTCTTTGTCGGTACTTAATAAATTCTTCTCATCAAGGACTGGAGCTTTTCAAGCGGCTATAGATTCGCAAATCCTTTTGACAGCCGATTCAGTTAGGGTTCACAGAGACTTTATAGATTTTCTTCCTATGCTTAGGAGACTAGCTAGAGCTAAAATATCTCCTCAACAAGTTGAAACTACTGTGGCAATTTTAGACAAACTAAGAAAACTTTGCCAAGTACCTTACGATATTAACGAAAGGCATTCAATCAACCAGAATATCCTGTTAAATCATGATATTTTATCAATAATATTCGATACACTCAATAGTCAACGTATAGATTCCAAGTTAATAGATGATTACCGAGAAGCAAGAATTGTTATACAAAAAACTCTTGAACTACTCAAATCCCTTACGAAGAATAACGAAATTGTGCAGAGAAGAGTTTTCGAGAGATTAGACCTATTACTAACTGTTACAGGTGTTGAAAATCAAATAGCTTTAACACTTCGGGAAGCGTTTGTAAATAATAGGCCAAATTGCCTTAAAATTTCACCAAAACAATTAGAAAGAATAGTAAATATAATATCAAACCTTCAATGCGAAGCACCTGAATTTCTCAGCTTGTTATCTGATATCGTAAGAGGAGATTCCGATATTCCTTTGAAAAGGAATCAAACATACATTATCAAATATATTATACGAAATTATTCAAGAATAGCCTACATCTTGGATAAACCTAGGGAACAGAGAGAGACCTTATTAACGAATAGGATTAAATCACCTAATTTGGATTATTTAATAAGATTAGTTGAATTATTAGCGGTTTGTGCCGATGGTGAAAATAAATTTATAGAAGCTTTATGCCAATCAGCCGTTCCTTTGGAAGAACTATTGGAAATATTAAAGAATGATCAAGTTAGCCTATTCGCTAAGCAATATTATATACTCTTCGCACATAATGTTTATCTGAGAACGTCATCATCAATAATTGATACAGGAACGGCTAATTTAAGTCATGATCCTTCGTTATGGTCGTTTATGGTATCATTAATCGTTCAGAGTACTATAACAAGCGATTACATTTCAAAATTAGATGATGAGACTGCAGAGAATTTTAAGCCTTTGAAGATAGAAACAAATATGGAGAATGAACATTTTCAAGCTCTTCATTTTCTATTAGATTATGCAATGCCATTTCTAAGAACTTTCTTTTCAAAATTTTATTCAAAGGACGCTGATATTTATCCGGAAGAGCCTGAAATAGTTCGACAATTGGCAGCGTCTCTGTGGGCGTTTGTCAATTCGATAAAACGCTTTGTAACGGATCCAAAACACTTAAAAACGATTGTTTCGTGTATGACAACCATCTTACCTGCGTCCGAATCGTCTGGTAAATCTTTGGATGCATTTATTGAATCTTTAACGTCTATTGATTGTTTAAAAGCGGGAAATTATTCAAATATTGGCCATGAGAAATATTACGAAGCTGAAATTGAATTAAATAGAACTTTTAAGACGTTCGCCATTAATGCAAGCTTAGTTTACGGTGGTCCCAATACAGTTGCCGCTCAATTAAAATTGCCTATAAAGAAATACGGAAATAAACCTTATGTAGATCTAACAAGTCATGAAAAATTACCTTTGGGAGAAGAGTTTCAGGAACACATTAATTGCTTCTACAGGCCTAACGAGAAGACTTTTGCCTCTCAAATAGCTCAATGTTCAATAATAATTAAACAATTAGGCATATCTGGTAGTGATTTACGTATGACCGAAGCGTCTAAAGTTGAGCAAGAAGAATTAGATATCAAATGTTTACAACTCCTTAGGGGTGTTATACACAACCATATTGTTAAATTACCAAATGATTGGGAAGAGCATCCCTTAAGAGCTAAAAGAGAATTAGCTAAGATAGCAGAAGTTCAAACTTGCTTATGTACAATGGGGGCAATTGTTGAAGTTCTTCCTTTACTTACATATTCCAGTGACGATATGGCAAGGGAGACTTTAGCTTTTCTCTCTTCCATATTATTTAATGCAAATCGTCAAGTACAAAGATCCTTAATTGACTATTTCAAGGCCACAAGAGAGGAAGTCTTCTTTCTTGCCGTTCGCAATCGTATGCATTTATCAACGATTTCAATTAAGGAAAGGAAAAGTCTTGCCGCCCAAAATAGGCGAATAACACCTAATGTTAAAGGACAACATGACCATCATTATCATGATTTACGCTCAACAATAAGAATTAGGAGGGATGCCCTAGAGAAGATAGAACACTACGAGTCAACATTAAAGAGAAATCGAAAGAGAAAGAGTGTAAGATTATTTTTTCGACTCATTTTGTAATCTAATATATTCATTTTCTTTTTGTAGAGGAGGGCTAGTCTTGCCACTTTGCAAACTCAAATTTCAACTAAGTCTATTCCAGGGGAAGAGGAGAACAAAGACTTAGTAGGTATTCAAGTAGAAGAGGACAGAAACTCTATTGCAGAAGGGAATCACACGGATGATGAAGTAAAGGATGGAGGTTTCATAGAGCTAGTCTTAAAGGTTCTTGCTCAAATGTGCGATGGACAATATGTAGAATTACAGGATTACTTAAGAGATCAACCAGATAATATTAAATCATTTAATCTTATAGCAGAGACGGCATCTTTCCTTTCAATGGTATATTCGAACGTCACATCATCAAATATCGACTTAGTCATACAACTATTTGAGACTCTTAATGAATTTGCGTCAGGAAATCAGGCTAATCGAGCAGTTATTGTAACGAATAAAGTTGTCGACTACGCCAATTTTATCCTTCGTTCATGCGAAACTGATGACTTTACAGATTGTAGCTCAGATAAGATTCTTACAATGAAAAAAGCAATTTCTAGCCTTATTTATTCTCTTATTGAAGAGAACGGTAGAGAAAAATTAAAAGTTGCTTGCGAAGTTAAGGATACAGTTGACAAAGAAGCATTCTATAAAGTAATGACAGATTGCTATTGGAAAAGTCAAGATAAATATCCAAAGATTCGACAACTATTGCATTTAAATAGATGGAATAGTTTGAATAGCGCAAAAGAAAGTTTACATGTGTTTTCATACCGTATTAAATTATACGCTAGTCAATTAATTAAAGGTCGGCAAAGGAGTATGGCCGATGAGATATCCGAAGTAGGTTTCTCCTATTTTAATGTAATTGCTCGCCTAAATGATATTGGAGCATTACAGCATCGTTTAACAGTTGCAAAACAAAAACAAATGCTAAATGATTCATTAGATCGAATGGAATCAAATCAAAAAAAGGCTTTTGAGTATTTCAAAAGGAATACAATGACAATTGAAATTGTAAAGGATGATGATTTGCAGAAAATCCACTTTAGAGTAAGAAGTCAACAAGTTTTAAGAGAGCAGATAAAAGAAAAATTAAAATGGAGTGTTGATAGGTCATCTCCAAGTAATAAAATAAGAGATTTAATGAATTGGTCTAAAGATATCGTTACAGATATTTATTATCAAAGGAAAATATTATCCAATTGGTTGGCCGCTTTTATAACTCGTAGATGGTTAGCGTGGAACTATGGTGTTATCCTACTCAGTTTGGCAATAAATTTCCTTATGTTAGTGTCGTGGAATGCGAAATTTTCACTTATAGAATTACCCAATAATGCTACTTCCCTACCATCGGCATTATGGGATCCCATTCCTCAGATGAAAGTTTCCAATTATTACGATCTTCTCTACGTTTTGGGAGGATGTCACGCCGCGTTCTGCGTGCTTTTGTTTATTAGTTATCTACTATCAAATCATCCTCGCCTCCCCAATTTGGCATCAGCTCGCTCTTTCCTTGGACTTTCCAAAGAGACTGACCTAAGTGAAGATGGAATTGAAATAAGTAAAAAGCGGATATATAAATCAAAATTAGACGTCCACCTTTTAAGCCTATCAACCTTATATTATGTCGCCTTGGTGGGACTTTCATTGGCTGGAACATTTTATCATGGATATTTTTTTGCATTTCATTTATTGAATATTGTAAATAACAATCAATTGTTGATTGGTGTTATACAAGCCGTCACACAGAACGGAAGATCCCTAATATGGGTTGCAATATTAGGTCTAATAATGTTTTATTTGTATGCAGTAATAGGTTTTGCAGTCTTTCGGGATCTATTCAAACCTCAACAGCACCTTTATTGCGCCTCTTTGTGGCAATGTACAGTTACAATGATTAGATATGGTCTTGTTGGAGACTATAGTGAAGTTTTACACAGGCATCACCTGAATAATTCATTTGTAAATTTTGCTTATCTGGCTATTTATGAAGTATCCTTTTTCGTATTTATAACGACGATAGGCCTAAATATAATATTTGGCATCATCGTGGACACTTTTAGCGAGTTAAGGGATTTGAAATGGACAGCCGAAAGAGATATGAGGGATACGTGTTTCATTTGTTCTCGCAAATCGTACGATTTTGAGCATCATGGTCTAGGATTTAACCATCATGTTCAAAATGAACATAATATGTGGGCCTATATCTTCTTCTTTATCCATTTGCACGATACAAAACAGAACGACTATACTGCATTGGATTTATATGTTTTTAAGCTTTTAGGTTTAGATAGGCATACATTTTTCCCATTGAATAGAGCACTATCTTTATCAACCGTCGATGACGATTCAACGGAAAGTAAAATCGACGAACTGTTAGAGAATGTATCGAATCTTGTCGAAAAGCAAAAATGGGAAGAGAATGAAAAGAAGAGGCTGAAGGATAGAGACGAATTAAGACAATGGCAAGAGAGACATAGGCATATGGCAATCACTCGTAGACAGGATAGGGAAGAACAACAATCGAAAACTCTACAAATTCTAGAAGAAACATATCTATAAATAGAAATCGTGCATATATTATATTTTTAGAAAATAAAATTTAAACAATTAATAAATAAGACTTAATTAATTTAATGAATTAATTAAATTCAGAGAGTTACATAAACTTTTGTACACCCTGCAAATTTCCTTTAGCAAGTTCAATCTTTTGTTTAATACCATTTGCTTGTAATGTTAATTGAGCATGTTGTATTTTCAACTCTTCCAGTCGATTTTTTAAGGCGTTACCTTCGTCAACTCTCTCTTCGAAATCTCTTAATAAAATTTCATTACCGAGTAGGCCGCAATTTTGTCTCAATTTTAAATTTTCATTCCTTAAAGCGTCTCTAACTTGTTTGGTTCTTGATAATAAATCCCTTTTCTTTGCTGCTTTTTGTTCAACTTCTCTCAGGGTGGCATCCTTGACGGAATTCTCTGCTTGAAGATGTTGTAGTTTCTCCTTAAGGTGAGTTAGAACTTGAACTGTACTTGTAATCTTTTTCCTTAATTTTACTAATTCTTCATTTCTTTCTTCAATTTTCTCGTTATAAGTCTGATTTTCAATTTTAAGCTGTTCAAAATCAATAAGGTGTAGACCTTCGGCAAGTTCTTCTTTAGATTTTAACTGCTGTTCCTTATTTTGGAGTTTATGCTTTAATTTGTGATTTTCTAATCGAACTTGAGAGACTTCCTCCTCCTTTTTCATTTCTTTTAATAGTGCTGCGTCAATTTCCTTCTCAGAGATATTTTTGGATGACCTAGTTGATATAGATTTCAACGCAACTTCTTTCTTATATTGGAGAAATTCCTCGTAAATATCGGACACTTGTTTCTGTTTATACTGGCATCTTTCCTTAAGTTCTGATAAATGTTCACTGGTTATTAACTCTTCGTTAGTGTATTGTTGTTTAAATTCCGATAGTGTTTTCATATATTTTAAATACTTTTGTTCATTATCCGCAGCCTTATCTACCTCTGTTCTAAGACCTTCATCCATTTTCTTTCTTCTAAAATAGTCATAAATTTTGTTTTGATATTGACTGTTTTTTTGGGTAAGTTCATTCCTCTGCTCTAAGAGTTCTAAATATTCTTTGTAGAGATTTTCCCTAGTCTTATTTTCATATTCTTCCTGTTCCAGTTGATTTAATTCCTCGAGTTCCTCGGCTCCATCCGATTCTTCAAAATCAGTCGGTGAGGCTATATTTGGCGGCGATCGAGGAGATTCTGATTTTGGCCTAGGATCTGATAGTCTCGTTGCAGTTCTTAGCTCTTCGTCGTCAGGGTCAACTTCATGATCTCTCTCTAATTCCTCTTCTTTAGATTCCTCTTCAATAGTCTCAGGTTTCTTTGTTTCAGTTAATTCTATTTGTAAATAATGCATATTAAATAAATATGAAATTTTACTACCGTCTTTCATTTAACATACCATCTTTCACATTATCTGAAGTCTCTTTCTCCCCTTCTTCATCTTTTTGATCGTTCTCTTCTCCTTCTTTTTCTGTTTTTTCTTTATTATCTTCTGTTACTTCTCCCCCTTCTGCTTCTGCCTTTTCTTCTCCTTTTTCCTCAGTTTCTGTACCATCAACATTTTTATCACCATCTATGACATCTTTAACCGATTGCTCTTCCTTTACAGTTTTATCTCCCTCTTTCTCTTCTTCATCAGCATCAGCTGTTTTCACTTCTCCTTCTCCCTCTTTTCCATCTCCATCTCCTCCATCTCCTTCTTTTTCTGCTTCTTTCTCTCCCTCTACATTTTCATCTATTCCCTCTTTTCCTACCTTTTCTACTTCACCATCTTCTTCGTTATGCCCATCAGGTTCATCAGCTTTTTCTTTCTCTTTTTCTTCACTTTTAATTTCCGAATTGTCTTCTGTTTTTTTCTCCGTATCGTCTTTACTCTCATTTTCACCATCTGCTCTATCATCGGGTTTATCCTCTGGTTTAACTTCTGATTTATCATCAGCCTTATCATCTGGTTTCTCTTCTACTTGCTCTTCTGCTTTGTCACCAGCGGAAGTCTCGTCTTTAGTTTCGGTTGCTTCCTTTGCTTCTACTGGTGTTTGAGATTTATTTTCTACATTTTCCGTCTGCTCAGTCTCAGCATTACCTCCAGTTTCAGGTTCCTTAGAATTGTTATCAGTTTGGATATTTGCTGGAGCTTCTTCGTTTATTTGGTCTTTTGCAGTTTCAGTTTTCTAAAATGTTAAAAAGGAATAAACTTAAAACAATATTTCAAAATAAATTTTTTAAACTTTACTTCATCGTCAGCCATGTTGTTTCTCTGATGTCGCTTAGCGACAGCCGATTATTGTTACGATAATCGAATTGCTTTATATTAACTTGTATTAATAAAAATCGATTTCCAATACGATCTTGCGTTCAATTCGATTTCAAGAAAACTTATAAAAATGTTCACATAACCTTTAGAAGGGCCAAAATCTTTGCAAATTACATATAAAAACAAGAAAAATATACCTAAGGTAATCGCAAACTAAAATTCTGCTTTTCATTAACAAACGGCCTATAAACTGAATGATAGATGTCAAGTTGAAAAGTTACAAAAAATAAAAGAAAGAAAAAGGCCAAAAAAAAAACAATTAAGTTTATAAAAAAATGTTGATAAATAGCAGTAGAGTTTTTTCGATGGAAAATACGTAAACCTATACAACTCTTGCTCGTTAGAGCCACTAAATTTTCTGCGAACCTGTCTTGACCTTCAGGCAAATCAAGGATAGTATTTGTAACACGTCGCTCTAAAGGATTTTCGACAAGACTCTTGAACAATGGCACCTTCAGCTAAAAATACAACTGATGAAAGTAGGGGAATTAATGCAATTCTTCTTGGTCCACCAGGAGCTGGAAAAGGAACCCAGGTCCGTAATATATATGAGTTGAATAACCACTTGACGTATTTTTATTAATAGGCTCCAAAATTGCAAGAAAAGTACTGTGCGTGCCATTTGAGTACCGGTATAGTAAACTTATTTTATAAATTACCAACTTAATAGACAAATGAAATGTTTATGGTTGTACTTGAAACTATTTATAGGAGATATGCTTCGTGCCGCCATAAGGTCCGGTTCGTCGATGGGAAAAAAAGTTAAGAAGGTATGGAACTATTAATTAAGTCCCACGACAGTAATTACCACTTAATATACCACTTTTTAAAATTAGATAATAGATGACGGCGCTCTTGTCAGTGATGAGATTGTTGTCGATTTAATAGACCAAAGTTTAGATACGCCAGAGTGTAAAAAAGGATTTTTGCTCGACGGTTTTCCTCGAACTGTCGGCCAAGCTGAAAAGGTAGGCCTTTTTAAAGCCTTTTTATTTTGTATACTTTTTAAGGCTTAGCCCGCTAACCTTATTTTTCTTAGCTTGACAGTCTACTTGAGAAACGTCGACGAAATTTGGACGCCGTGGTTGAATTTTCCATCGATGATAAGCTGTTGGTCCGAAGAATAACTGGCAGGTTGTTGCATCAAGCCAGTGGACGTACCTACCACGAGGAATTTCATCCTCCAAGAGTTCCAATGAAAGATGATATTACGGGTGAACCATTAATTCGTAGAAGCGACGATATTCCAGAAAAATTAGTAACAAGGCTCGAAGCATATAAGAAATCGACCCTACCATTAGTCGATTATTACAAGTATGTTTAAGGATAATACTAATTATACAGTATATATATATATATACACTAATACAAAACTTTTTTTGCTTTTAGACGTAAAGGAATTCATTACAGCGTTGACGCTTCAAAACCATCAGATAGCGTTTTTAAAACAATTCAGGGCTTTTTTGAAACTGCCAAGAAAATGTCTGCCATGCGTCAATAGGATTAATTGTTTTGTGATTGTTTCTGTATCTTGTATACTATGGATAATTCATAATAAAAAGAACAGAAAAACACTGAAATAAACAGATAATCAATTTACTGATCAGAAATCTTGTATCAAAATGCTGATAAGGCAAAAAAGTTACTTATATAAAAATCCAGATATTTTCTGTTTAGACCATAAGGTTAGCTTTACACTATGAAGTACTTCATTTTACTTTTTATGATAGCAAATGTATCTGGTTGGAGCCAATTTGACTTTTTACATTCAAATTTAGAGACGTTGAGAAATAATCTTCAGAGATATTTTGATGCACCAAGAAATCACATAGACTTAAAGCATATGTGGCAAAAGGATAATGTTAGATCATTCATAGAAGGTCATTTTTCAATTGCCAATCAATCTAAAGAAGTTGATTACGTTATTGATCCCTTTCAAACTACGTTGCTTAATGCTCTAAACGAAACGGCGCAAGGTATAAACTATTATTTAATATTTAAAGGAAGACACTATGGTACGTCAAATGATAAAATAATTGCTGTTACTGCTCAATATGATACATATGAGTATGCTGGTGGAGTAGACAACAATGGTTCAGGGACTTCAGCTTTATTAGAAATTTTACGTCTGCTCCTTTCAGCTCCTTGTCAACATAGTCATACAATTTTACTAGTTGCTAATGATTTTGAGGAATATAGTCAACTTGGAATTAAACATTTTATCAATAACTTTTTAGTCCCAAAAATGCTGGGAAACGGTCAACCGAATAAACCAAAATTTCAGGGTGCTATCGTTCTAGAAACTATGATGAATTGGAATGATACTGAAAACTCTCAAAACATTCCTGTCCACCCTGATGTATTTAAATGGCTATGGCCAAAGGAACATGAATGGTTTGTAGAAAACAAAGGAAGAGGAAATTTTGCTTTAGTTATTGGTAGAACACAGCCGGATTTTGACCTGCACGAAACTCTACAAAAGAATTGGAATGAGAGTATGTCCTCTGTGAATGATACATTTAAATTTCTTCGATTAACTTTAGACCTTCCGGGGGGGCCTCTAAAACCACCTCTTACGGGACCAATTATAGGACCAATTCTAGGTCAATTCTTCCAAGCTGATCTTAGGCAATTTTATCTTTACGACGGACCCGTCAACATGACTGCAGTTATGATAACTGACTCGGGTAAAGTAAAATAGTAAATTATTATGGTAATTTCTGTTCATACATCTCAATTTCTGATAAAATTAGGTAGGAACAGAGGTGTAATGAGAGAATGTTACGCACAGCCATGCGACAATTTCGAGCAAGTGACTGATGCGAAGATTAAACATCTCGGTAGAATTGTAGAAGTAGTAACTAAAACCGTACTAGATAGATCATCTTATATGTGTCCTAGTACTCCTAGTACAAATCCAACTACTCCTAGTACAAATCCAACTACTCGAACCACTCCTCCAAATACATCAAAAGGAGGTGAGCGCTATTCATTTTTAATTATACTAAATACTTAGTTTAAATATTTTTAGACTTTAACAGAATATCCGAACTCTTGTTTTGCTTTATGATGTTTTGGAATATTTCTAATCTTAGATGAGAAAATCTTATAAGATAATAACTGAAGATTTATATCTATCAAATTAAAAATTTCGTATAATTCAGAACGTTCCGTAAAATAGAAAAGCAACTGTTTAAGAGATCCACTTGAACTAAATAAAAAGATTTATTTGGAAATATGCTTCTTTTTATCAATTTAGTAGCAACTTTATCAATTTTTGATCTTGTCTTACCTTATAAATTATTAAGAATTGGTAAACATATAACAATATTTTAATATATTAAATTGTTATCTTTTATACTTTGTTCTTATTTTGAGAGAATTTTTTCAAAGCTATTTTTCAGTCTGAGCCTCCAATAAAAAAAAAATGGCGACCTTCGAAAAATTCGAACTTTTCTATTAATTGGGAATATGGTTCCAACCATATTAATTCTGGAGGTTTTTAATAAAAATATCATATTTGATTTAATAATTGAAAATATAAATATTCTTTTTATATAATTTATAGCTTTTATTTGCAATTTATTAAAGAATAGAACGAACGTTTTAATTGTTCTTGATAATTCGATAAAACTATCAACGATAAGCTTCCTAGCTAAAATCGACATGTCAATCATATTTGTTCCCTTATTGGTTAGAAAAAGTAATATAGAATCTTTTAGTCATCAAAGTATTTTCTCGGTAAGAAATAGAAAAATAATGTCAATAATATTAAGAATGGAATGTTCTTTAAATGGAAAGTCTCTTCTTCGAATAGCATAAGATAACAGCAACGTTATCTTTTCGATTTGTCGTAGAAATCATGAAAAGATTTGGTTGGGATAGAATTGCTATATTTACATCTTTGGATAAACATTATTGTAAGCTAAGATAGCTTGAAGAGAAAAAACAAACCATTTTTTCTATTATTTCCATAGATTTTGAAAATTTACGCTCTTTTCGATATATGCTCCAAAAGTTGATTAATATAAAAGAATTACCATTAATACTAACTAATTCATCTAATAGAGAAAATGATTTAGAAACGATGAAGGTGAAATATATTTAAATAGGAAATTTAAATATTATACAAATATAACTACTTTATAGTTAGTTTTGTAATAAACAACAATATTCCTAAAGGCTAGAGGTTTGAGAATAGGTCTCCTTACGGCTACTAATCTCTACGATACGAGGAGAATATTAAATCTGGCCCAGAAAAAGGATATGCTTTACAACGGATGGGGATGGATAATGGATTTAGATGTCAGTGATAAATTCTTTACCGAGAATTATGATATAAGTTATTCCTTATTTTTAATCGATCTTATCGGTTTAATGGGAATACGATATTCGGAAAATGGTTGGCGATCTTCGGTATTGAAAAGAACATTTTCAGGTTTAGAGAATTTTTTGGATAAAGAGGATTCTTTAAAATCGAATGATAGCAAGTACAAAGTACCAAAATCGATTTGTAATAATGGAATATACTCTAATCCATATGGGATTAAAATGATTGAATATGTTCGAGAGGTTAGGTTTCTTTATGTGTTTCTCTTCTTCCTTTCTTTCATTTTTTATATACATATAAAAGGAGTTTAGGAGTTCTCACTTTGAAATTTTCAACTTACAAAAGGGTTCTTGCAAAGGGATGCCTGTCTGTCAGGTATATCTCCTTATGTATAGAATAAAAGAATTAGTATCATTTTCAAGTTGAAGTCAAATGTAATTCGCTTTCTTTCTTTCTCTCTGTTCTCTTTAGATATCATTAGCCACCATAGAAATTAATTTAGATGAACCGGAAGGAAGCTTTAAAATTGACTGGAATCCTTATTTAGAGAACATAGTAACTTTTTTTGGTAGTACTTAAATAATAAGTATTATTCTGCGTACATTTTTTTAATAAGTAGTAAACAATCAATAAGGTTCAACCAATACCAAGCCAAAATCTTTCTCTAATACGCTAGATGGCGTTCATCTAACATTTACGGCGTGGCCAGTAAGTCGTTTAAGAAAGGACAAACTCCCTATTATTTATAATTAAATTATTATATCTTGCCTAATATTTAGTTCGTTCCTGAAATGCAATTTGTTGATAAAAAGTATGAGAAAGCAACCAATTGGGAGATAATCTATCATTCGAATTCGACGAGCGTTCCCCCGATTAGAGGTTTAGTTTGGGAGATGCTAGAACATATACGAAACACTTTAAAATTTTCCTATACGTACGTAAATTAACCTTGGAAAATATTATGCAAATAAATGTACTCATTTCGACTTAGATTAAGGATAATGGACTTAGTTAAGATTAGGAAAACTTTTCCCAATGAACCGCAGGGCGTTATTCGATTGTTGGCTGAGAATGAGGTCGATATAGGGCTAGCCACTTTTTTTTCAACGCAATCTTATAAAAAATATGTTAAATTTGGAAATACAATCTGGAAGACCAAATTGGTTGGTTTGACGGCTCATGAAAATATCCCTGTAGGGTTTTCAAGCTTTTTTAATGTTGTTGACTATCGTATTATTATATATTTACTGGTTCTTCAATTCATTGGATATATTCTATTAATTATATACGGAGCTTTCGAGGACAAGAAACAAAGAGAGCGCAGCTTTATCGTTTGGCATTTGGCTTGTCTAGTATTTGATCAGGTTTCTACTATTAGTTTAACTAATTTAACCAATAGACGCTTGGTGAAATTGGTCTTGAGCTTAAATTTCATAATGGTTCTCTTTGTGCTTTATCCTAGTGCTAGAATAGCAAGATTGGTTCAGTTTTCTAATGAAAGACAAATATACGATTATAAAACTCTGTATATATTTTTAAATACTCAAAAATTCCTAGGAGAAGTTATTAATATGGAATTACCATCAACTCGTAAGCACTTTGGTCTTACCAGTGGATATATGAAACTTGAAAAGAGGATTGTCATAAATAGATCTTTGGAGCACTATACGTCCGTAATCGAGGATATTACAAATTTACTATTACCAAAGAGCTCAAATTCCCTGTCTTCTTCGGTGGTCTACGAAGGTTTCGTTCAACGTATCAATGAAATTATCTCCAGATCGGAATGTCGATTAAAAAAGATTGAAACCCTTCCCTTAAGCGTGCCGTTGTCTTCAGCCGTCCGATTTAATTTAGCCGCTCGTAAGCATATCCTCAACTATTACGAATCTTACGAAACAATGTTATTCGCTTCTGAAATGTTTCATCACCATTTTGATCAAATCCCATTGGCAAAATATAAACATTGTCCCAATAGACTACAGGAATTAGGCAAATCCAAATTTACAGATGAAAAGTCAATCTTTATCTTTCTATTTATATCTACGCTTATTCTAGTAATAGTAGGCCTACCGCTTGAATATTACCTATCTTCAAAGAAGCAACTTAAATCCCAAAACGACAAAGAAATAGAATTACCAGAAATCCAATCGCAAACAATTAAAAATTATTGGATTATAGCGTTCGATATGGCGAAATTAAGATTAAGAGTTGTATGTCAGAAACTACAAATGAAAAATGTATTGAGATCAGTTTTAAAATCCCCATTTGCCAGATCAGAATCGGATGAAGGATCGACTGGAATTTGTACTACATCTACGGGGCAAACGTTTTCATTATCGAAAAGTAGTTCACTAACACCTCCCGTAATCCACAAGGGAAGATAACAATTTCATAAGCGAAAATTTGTAATATTATTCCCTAATTTGTTATTACTCGAGAAAAAATACAACAATATAATAAAACAATTAATTAGCTAATAACAAACAATGTTTTTACTTAACATTATTTTCCAATTTTCACATAATTGCCTAAATAAACATGTCAACTTTTTGCCTACTTTCCAAATGATGCAGCCATAATATCTTTTCTCTTATTATCCTTTTTCAAAGGTAGGACAAGTAAAAGTAATTGTAATTTGATTGTGATCCAATTCATTAAATATTCTATCCAATTTGACTTCTTCGCGACCTCTCCGAGAAAATATAGTGGTATTCCCAGTAGGAATAATAGTAAACACGCTCCTAAAGTTGTAGGATTCGTTACAAACGCCGGTATTATAATAACTAAAAGGGCAATTAGCGTGAGGATAACAATAAAAATTGGAACTTTAATAGGCCTATGAATATCCGGGCGTTTCCATCTCAAATATAATAAAGCTATTAAAACCAGTAGAATTTTAAATTGACTAGCCATCGATGCATATTCCAAAAGTTCTCCTAAGGCAGGTATAAACGAGTATAGTCCAGTAATTAATGTCTATAATAGAAACAAGCAAAAAAAAGACATGACAAAAAAGTCATATTAATGAGATATAAATTAAATGAAATAAAAAATGACAAACAATTAATATTATAGCCATAATAGGAGTTTTATATCTATAATGAATATATCCTAATATTTCTGGGTATTGTCCCGATCTTCCAGTAGCAAAAACAAACCTAAAAGACAAATAATTTGTTCCCCATTTGTTTTTGAGAAGAAAATAAATTAACCTAGCATCTCCGATAAAAGCGCCGTTAGCCGAGCCCAAAGACGCTAAAGCAACTACTACAGGTACAATCCAAGAGTACTCTGAGGGAAGAATTTTCTGGGAGAAACTCTAAGGTCAAAACATATATTTAAGTGCTTTCAATAATAATTTTTGGTTATTTGGCAATGATTTATTACCTGAGCTACTGTTTCGGAACGTAAAATTTCGTCGGGAGTTAAGACTCCCGCGTAAGCCACGTTCATAATTAAATAGAGTAGGGTTATTGTCGAAACTGAGGCTATCATGGTAATTGGTAAATCTCTTTCAGGGTTAACCATCTCCTCCGGAAGGGCGGCAATGTGTTCCCTAAAGAAAAATGCATAGAGAAAACATTTGCGTCATTCATTGTTAAATGGAAGAGAAAAAGTCCATTTAAAAGAGGGAAAACCAACCAGCCCTTATAGGCGAAATAACTCTTCAGGACGGCTCTTGAAAGATTTCCAATAACTAAATCACTCGAATGGAATAATGGGGTAAAATTCTTATATCCACCAATTGCTAGATGATAACAGCCGAAACTAACCACCAGAATAATGGAAAGAATTTTAGTAAAAGCAAAAAACGCCTGCAATTTTGCGGCTAAAGAGACGCTTCTCGCATTCAAGAAGGCAACCGTCACTAAACAAGCAACTGTTGTAGCCGTAATCAAACTTTCATTACACGTAATGTTGAAAGGTTGAAGAATGTACGTGGCAAAGATTCGTAAAAGTACCGCTAAAGAACTTGTGGCATTGACAAAAATATGAATCCAAGCACACAAAAACGCCGGAATCTCACCCAAGATGTTTATTATGTAAATATAAGCCCCACCGGACTTGGGCAGAACTGTGCCTAACTCTGCATAGCAAAGAGCCTGACCAAGACAGTACAAACCAGTAAATAACCAAATCGATAGGGAAGTTACAAGAGAACCTGAGAACTGGAATACTCCTGACGGTGCAACGAAGATACCAGATCCGATAACTGTTCCAATAATAATACCGATAGCATGTACTAATGTTATCGATCTCTTAAACTTCACCGACGTCGTTTTATGTAAAAGAGGAGTATTTTCATGCATGCTACACGCTTTTGCACTTTAATCTGTTTATTGTACAGCTAGGCCAAATTGAGATTTAAAAAAAAAAGAGAAATCTACAAGGTCAATGGTCTCTATTCAGATACTATGAACCTTAACAATTTTCGCATTGTCATACTCCGCCTGACAATTTGGGCATAACTTTTTATCCCTAGATATACAGTTTCGACAGATCACGTGAGAACAGCTGACTATTTTATAAAGATCTTCCTTATTTTTACACTGACAACATACTTTCACCTCTCTTTGCTTAGTGTTTGTCCTATCCGGAATTTTACTTAAGACGTCTGCGAGAACGTCACTAAGAGAATTTGATGAGGATTGTAATATAGGCGTAAAAGAATTGATGGTCGTCTCTTTTACAGTTTCGTCTTTCGGGTCTTTATCAATTTTAATCAACTTTGAGCAGGATTGTTCTTTTCCACCAACTGTTCTCTTCGATCCAACATTTTCATTTCGAATTAAAAATTCATCAATTCTGGCCTTAAGTGACGTATGATATACTGGTTTACTTTTATCGTTGTATGGAATACCGGTGAATGGATCATTCGGCATTCTATTCCATTTTGTTTCCTCTTCATTATGCTTTTCAATTGTCATTTTGTCAATAATTTTTCCAGACGGAAGAATAAAAGGTAATAGCATTAATTCGTTTGTTAAATCGTCCAAAAAATCCAATGGAATACTATCATTAGATAATTCATTTAATTTCCTCTTTAATCTTCTTCTATCCCTTGTCTCTTTCACGTCGCATACATTTTTCTTATCGTTTTGAACTTTTTGAGGAGATTGACTATTGAAATGGCGAATTGGAATATCACGGACAAAATCAGTTTTAGAATTGGCTATTGATAATGCGGATTCTATATCTTTCCTATTCGTTGGTCGACCCCAAATTTCAATAAACCCCAACACGCTATGTCCACCAATCAATTTAAGTCTTAAAGATCTAATTCCACGGTTGCCAAAAAAGTGTCTGTTGGTTAATTTCGAAACAATAGTCCTTGAGATTGCAAAACTCCTTCTAGGCTCATCACCTGAGTATGAGTTATTTATAAATTGAAAAGTGTCACAATCGCTCTCCACTTTTCCACTTCCTGCAAATATGAATTGTTCATCTGAAGAACAGGTTGAAGTCTGGATTATTTTTGTTTGTTGAGAGTCTACTGAACATTTCGCTACTATCGAATGGATGAGTATTGGCCATTGAAAGGTAAAGGTTATCGTTACGGGTGGTGATATAAACCTCTCGGCAGCGTATCCCCTCCTAGATATTGAAGGGTTATTGGATATTAGGTTTTCAACAGGGCAGTCATCCCTCGCTAGTTTATCGCAAGTGACTTTGGTTCCAAATATCTCTTTGGCTAGATTAAGAGTCATTGCATTACAAGACTAAACGCAATTTACCCCACAATATTCCACCAACTCTTGTCTCTTATAGTTCTTATTCATAAATCCTTAGGAATAGACTACACGCTTAGCGTAATCTATTCACAGGAAATTAAAAATATTTAAAAAAAAATAGAAAAAAAGCAAAATGCAGCAAAACACTCAATTGTGTTTATATGCTTTATGTACGACAACTGGTAGTAATTTTGAAAGGCGGGAGATTTTAAATTACCACCTAAAAAGTGTCTCGGTAATATAATACAATATAAAATAGTATTTCATCCTTTTAGCATTTTATTAAACAATACTAAATTGTCTTAAACAAAGTGAAAGTAGCTCCGACAAAAGTCATAAAAGACATTGTCTAGAAAAAAAAAAGTCGGTCAATGTCCGTTTTAATAATCAATTAATGCTTTTTATATGTATAATATACAGCACGTATAATGCTTAATTATATCCAATATTTAGGCCATTTAAAACAAGTCAATATTCGTTCAATAGCAATACATACAGTGAGTGCAATAAACAGTAAACTTAAAAAAAGTACCTACACCATGAGTCAATGTGGTTGAAAGAAATTAATAGAAAGTATTGTCTGTAAATCAGTGTGGAGAAGAGGGGAGGGGGCGGCAATTCTTTATATAAAGAGGGGTATTTTGTTTAAGTATAAATTTTATATAAGTTTGAACTATCCTTTATATTATTTGTTCAAGAAAATTAAATTTCCTTTATTCAAAAAAATAAAAAAGTGTTCAATACAATACGCCTCAAAAGTCAACAAGTTGAAAAATTCTATTAATAAGATAGTTTAAACAACAGAATATGGTTGTATTGTTTATATATAGATATGTAAGTATGTATGTATGTGTACGATTGTGTCGACTATGTTTATGTAGAGAATTTAGTGTTTCCTCTCTTTTTTTTTTATTATAAATAATTACAATTGTATTTTAACAGAAAAAAAATTGTTCAACAGTTCAAAGTTGATTAACTTTCAAATTTGATTATCTAGGCGGATTATGATGGAATAAAGCATATTTATCCCAGTCGGTAAATATCAAATACAAATAGTCCAGCATTCGGTGCGCTTGTGAATGTATACATAAAAAACAGAGATGAAGCACCTGAGTCAATTTTCTGTCAAGTTCTATTCTTATCTAAGCTGTCTTATCACCTATTTCTGGACCCCCCGGCAAGTGTGTTCGATCCCTTCGAATCGCGTTATTTATACATTCTATCCATTCCTTCCTCTCCTTATCATTAGGAGCACACATTCTATATATTTCATGTTTTCCTTCCCTTACTTTACCATCTCCGCCCGTTTTACATGCTTTAATGACTGAGTTACTTTCGCTATAAATTTCAAAACAAGCTGGTCTATGCTTCGTAGTATTTGCTGGATCCGTCTCTCGAACACGAAGATCTGACTCCAATGGAATTATACCCTTTGGCTCCTTATCAGCGGCAAATTGAAAGTAATATAAGCACTGGTTTGCCAGAACGAACCATCTCCTTTTCCAAGTTTTAATATTTCCTCCTAGAAGAAGTAATTAAAAAAAAAAAAAAAAAGAAAACATTTACTAACAATTGAAGATAACAAAAAATTACAATACAACTAAAGCGAGAGAGGTCAAAAAAAAGCGAAGTTATATCTCTGTAAAAAAAAAGAGGCATGCAAGAAGTTTTCTTATTCCCGTTTGTTATTATTTGTTTTCTTATTATTCATTATAAAAATATCATCGTAAATATAATATTGTTATTTCTTTTATTAGTCTCTTAGAAATTTTTCCCTTTCCTTTAATTTAAGAATGAAAAAACTGTTTTAAAATAATTTATACTTATTATTAATTCTATTTAGTTAATTATCTAATTACCTTTTAATTATATATATATATATATATATATACTGTATATTAATTCTATTCAAACTTATATCAATACATTTTGTGTACGTGTGGTATGTGTTTTTAATAAAGCATGCATGGAATGAAAAAAATTCTATCTTATCTTTATGCCATTCCCATATTTTATATATGTAAGATATATATATATATATACAGTATATATATATTTATATTTACAGTGTATACATATATATTAATATAACTAATTATCACTTTTATATATTACTTAGCCTTTGAATGATAACTAACTAACTAAATATATATATATATATATATATAGTATTTTATAAAGTTTTACTTAATAAATTGTGACGAAATTAGTTAAAACCAATACGTTCTGAACGAGAGGAAAACTGGTGGATTAGGAGAAAAGTGACCCGAGAATAGTTAAAAAGTAAAAAAAATTTAATAAAAAAGTCCTTCTCTTTTTTTTTTTAAAAAAAACCACGAAAATTACAACAATTACTTCGGGAGGGGAACCAAGCTTTTCGATAGTTTACAAGTTTTTTCTTATACTTACTTCGACCACTTCCTGTTTGCCACAAAATTCGTAAACGGAAAAAGAACAAGAGCTCTCTATCAAGCGTTTTTTTTTGTTTTTGTTTTTAAGACAAGAGAATAATAGCGAATGGATGTAAATTAATGTTAATTATCTTAATAAATATTTATTTACGAGTTATATTGCGGTATCTGCCTTATATATAGTTAGATAGGAAAATGAAGCATTATTAAATTGTATATCCCTATCCAGTCGCTATTACAAACTGTTATAAAATAATGAAAATTTACTAACCTTGTTTGAAGATCCAGCCTTCTTTATCGGGTTCAAAAAATGTCATGTTCGTGTCATCCGTTTCGTCGGAATTAAGATGGAAAGGTTCCTTCTTCAACGTTTCATAATAATGAGGTAGCTGTTCCATGATAGAACCTAAGCTGGGCTCTTTTTCCATTAAATCACATACAGATTTTTTATAATCGAGAAAAGACATTTTGTTCTTAACATTAGGATTATGAAAAGTTGTGTTGAGCATCATAAAACTATAGCACAGCATAAAGACTGCGTCGTTAGTTAACTCGCTGATATTACTATTGTTGTAATGTGCGGCGAATAGTTCCATTATTCTTTCAATAATCTGCGATTCTCCTGGAATTCGAAAACTCCATAAAAATTGGCGGAGCGCTTGTAAAATATTCATTCCCTGAAAATCTTGTTCTTCGACAAAACACTTGAGAACTTGTTGATTCTTTTCTTCAGCTTCACCAAGATATTTACCTATCTGCGTTTTGCTTAATCCACCAGTATGTAAGAGATAATGAGCTATCGATTCAGGAGTATCGCTAATAACTTTCTGCTCAATAAGCGCTTCAATACCCTATTTTTTGTTTACAAAACAATAAAAATGATGATATCCTTCGATAAGAAATATGTATCGTATTACTTTTTTCGCATCTGTATTAAATCTACTCCTTAAAGCATTTACGTTTTGTTGTTCCGTATCCTGCACGTTCCTATAGGCATAAATACGAAATGTAAATAAATCAATGTAAATAGACTATAGTAAAATGCTAACCCGTCAGTTTCCGCGTGCTGTATTATCCTTAACTGATCAATTATTCCGTTGATATCGTCTTTAATTTGCTACGGGGAATTGAGGAATTAGCGTTAAATTAACGTCAATAAAGACAAGCTGTTAAAGAAAACATTCGGACGACTTCTATTCACTCTCTTCAAAACCAGTCCAAATTATTTTCTCTTTTCCAAATAAGAGATAAGATTTTTTACCTCGATATCACGTAAAAGTTCTTCTTTTCTACGCCGTACTAGTTGAATTTTTTCCTCGTCATCTTCTGGTAGTTGCACTGTTGTTTATTTGTTTTTTTTTTTATAAAATATTAACAAATGTTACATAAAAAAAGCCTGACTGATATATTTTTACTTGACATATGTTCACAAAAAAAAAGCATTGTTGAGAGTAATTTTTTAAAAATCTATGACAGCTAATACGCTTCCGCTTAGTCATCGGTAATAGTTTTAGTTAGTCACTTCGGAACTACCTTAGTAAGAAAGATGACAAAGACAAAGAAGTGTATAATTGTTACTTAGATATCTTTTGGAAATCGTTCAATCAATAGTTTGAACGTAAGTTTTTTCAAGTCCTTACTGATAGAGGTAATAATAGGACTAGGAAGTGGGAAAAACGAGAATTAAAATTTACTTACTTTGAGTTGTCATATCGTCTCCTTGGTCCCAAAACGATTGATTATTTTCGCATTTGTGTGAATTCGTATTAATGGGCATCGATGGCCGCTTTTACGACGCCAATTTTGTTTAACTTGACTGAGTTTGTGTGGCGCTGGTGTTGTTGTGATCTCGTTATTCTCGCTTCTAGGTTATTTTCGTATTTTATTTAGTAAAAATTTGTAAACAATTTTAACCAATATTTTTATTAAATCTTTAAAAATAATAAAAATCTAAAATCATGAATTTTTATTTGGATAATTTCAAATTTCCGTTTCCTTTTTCATCAAAAAAAACTCAAGTTTTTGTTAAACTATTTGGATTATTAGCTACACTTATTAACTGCATGATTGAAATTGTTATACTATTGAATCAAATATGTTCATAGTTCATTAAAGAGGGAAATTTAACACTTCCTAAATAGAACTTATATTCAATTATCTTATCAAAAAGTGGGTGTTGTTGACTCATAAAGGTATGAGAATACAAACCGCCGAATCTAATTAGTTTGCTTTCTTGTTTGATAAGAGTTAAAAACATGAGAGCGTATAGTTTTTTTGTTATTTATGCACTACTGTTTAGTGCAGATATTTGTTTAGGGGGTTCTATTGTTGATAAAGGTAAAGATTATAACATTCAATTAGTTGAACTTCATTAAGCTGGATAACTTTTCTTTTTATTGACCAGGAGAAACTGCAACTTTACTATTACCTGAAACCGCTGGATTATTTGTTTCATTGGCAGTTCTAGTATTGATTATCACTGTATTAATTGGTTGCGCTGAAATATGCAAAAAGGGAAATTCAGGCTTTCAAGTAACCTTTAAAATAGAAGCAATCGATATATTTTTACATCGTTTATTAAATGATTTTTGTAGGATTTACCCGACGAAACAATTCCTCGTCCAGGCAATGATTTAGTAATCTTTCCCCCTATTGAAAGCACACCTGATTCTCAAATGACTGGGCCGCCAATTATTGAGCCTTTACCGGATCTCGCATCGATTAAGAAACCATCGATTAGCAACAGTATGTCGCTAAGGTATATAGAATTAATAAAAAATTGCTCTAAATTTTCAAACAAGTACTTAAGAAAATTTTAATTAAAATAATAGACCTAAGATTGCACTCTTAAATGAACCCGACGCAAGACAAGAAAGGAATTCTATGCAAGAGAAGATAAAATTACAAAGTATAATAAGTGAGTATAGAGTTGTTATTGAATATTGAACAAAAAAACAAAAAAAAAAAAGACAATCGAAAACATTTTCCCTCTTTAACGTCGGGTGCATTAAAGTTCGACACAGTTCAAAAACTACATTAGGATTATATGTTGACCCTATGTTGGGACAGTTGCAGTGTAAGATATATTTAAAAGTAATATATTACAGTAATGTTAAATTTAAGATATTTAATATTTAGCTTAGGATAACAATTCTTAACATTTTTATTATTTTTACCTTCCTAATAACATATTCCCCCTCCCTTATTTATTTATACTAATATACTAATATATATATATAAATATGTATAGATTGGTTTATTTTATTTCTTCTTTATAATACTTCAGAAAAACTATTGAGAGGTAAATAATGTAAACAAACAAAAAGATCTAATTATTGTATTAAAAGTGTAAATATAGTAAAAATAGTAATATATAATAATATTAATAATAATAATAATAGTAGAATGCATGTATGTTAATTAGTAAATAAATTATATGGTGTGCGTTTCCTTCCCTTTATTTTAAATTTTATTATTCTAAACATTTTTTATGGTATAAACTATTTAAAATATTTTATTATTGTTCTAAATTTTCTCTTTTTTCCCCCCCGCCTCTCCTCCTCCATCTCTCTCTCTCTGTTCTCTTCTCTTTCTTCTCTCTTGTCTCTGGGAAAAAAAAACAATCATTTTCAACAAAATTTCTCTAGGTCGGAATCAATTGCCGCGAGAAAAGTTAAATTATATTAAAGAAATTGGTAATGGTTGGTTTGGTAACGTTTTACAAGGTGATGGTAAAGATTTACTACCTGGTTATAGAAAATCGAAAGTTGTCGTTCTTAAATTGAACGAGGAGGCTGATCCGCACGATCAGTTGAATTTTTTACTAGAAGCTTCAGCATATAGAGAGGTTCAACACGAAAATGTTATTAAATTACACGGACAATGTGTTGAGACAACTCCTTTTCTATTAGTTTTGGAATATTGTACTTTTGTGGGTATCTTTATTAATTAATTAATTTATTCATCTTATTTTCAAATTTATTATAAATAGGGAGATCTCAAGCAATATTTAGTCGGTCACAAAGTTGCATTTGAATCTATTAGCGAAAAAGGTCTTTTATTACGTTTTGCCTGTGATATTGCGGCTGGTTTGAAAGCGCTTCACGAAGCAAAATTTATACACAGGTAACAATAGCTATTGAATGCTTATACATAAATTAAATTCAAATTATCTGTATATATTTGTATTATTTCAGAGATATTGCTATTCGGAATTGTCTATTATCATCGGATCTAACTTGCAAAGTTGGAGATTATTTTATTAATGAGAATATTTATAATGATGAATATTATACTGACTCGAATGGTGATAATATACCTATAAGATGGATTGCTCCAGAAACAGTTAAAGTTGAAAATAAATTTATAAAATTGAATAGTCCAACAGAGACGGCCAATGTTTGGTCTTATGGCATTGTTTTATGGGAGATTATGACATTTGGTAGTCTTCCTTATGCTGGATTGGAAGATGATTTCCTTATTAAGCATGTACTTAAGGATAAGGAACTTCTTCTTTCTAAACCCGATCTGCCTATTCGTTATATTGATAAAATGTTTGAATTGGTGGGATTATGCTGTTCTATCGACCCAAATTCTAGACCATCTTTAAGGGAATTGCGAATTATGCTTCTACAATTGTTATCTTATTACACTAAGGTTAATGATGTTAATAAAGATGCGTTTGAAGAAAAGTGGAATAAATTACTGCCGAAAAAACCAGCGCAATCGGTCGACGTTAGAAATATGGACGAAAATGGAGCTATACCCAATAAACCAATTGATTTGGATTTGGCCGATGTTCACCTGACTAATAAGTATCCTACATCAGCAAAACCTCTCGAAGCCAGCCCAATAAATGAATTATGTCTTCAAGATGAGTTTTCCTCTTTACAACATCGCAAGCGTCACTCCACTTCCTCATCAGATTCTGATGTTATAGTTTTGGATGAAAGAAATAGCATTGTTCCAAATTCAACTAGTACTCCTGCCCCAAAGGAATTTAAAGATCAGAGGAGTATTATTAAGAACGATTCAGCTTCTGATACTTTTCATACTGCACTAACAAGTCAGACAAGTCAATCATCTGAATTGGAAAGTTTCTCTTCGAAATTAGATAGCAGCAAATTTGCTGCAATGCTAGATACAGTTGGTCCTCTGAGTCTTGATGTTAGTAGTGAAACTGTTAGCGAAGAAGATGATGATGAAGAGTTCTCCGTTGAGGCAAGTGTCGAAACAATTAAGAACGATGGATTTGAGGCACTTGCGGAGAAAAGAGTTGAACAACCTGCAAATAAAGCCATTGATGAATCAGACAAATCAAAAATAGAGGAAGAGAAGAAGGAAGTAAAAACGGAGAGTAAAAACACTGATGTGGAAAAAGCTACAGGTGAAGAAAAGAAACAAGAAAATAATAAAGAGAAAGACGCCGGTAACGCTATTGCCACTGGTGACGACAAACATAAGGATTCATCGGCAATTGTTACCGACAATTATGATAATAAAAAAACTGATGAAAAGCCCATTGAAAATAACGATAAAGAAACCTCTAAAGTAATCGAAGCCGTTGCCGAACACCTAACAAGTAACGATACTGAAAATAATACATCAACCGATAAGAAGGCCGAAGAGGAAAATAAAAGCGATAACAACATAATTGACCTCGATCAGGAAAGTGAGAATGAGGAGAACAAAAATACGGTAAAAAATGAGATTAAGAAGTAGATAAAAAGAAAAGAATAAAATATAGAAAAAAAAAATTAACTGATCCTTTTTACCTAATGCTCAAGATGTAAATTTCTTATTTTTTGGGATTATTTTCATTTTGTTTTCGTAGAAATACTTTATTTACACTTTAACAAAGTTTGCAGTGATAATGAATTATAAATTAAATAATCTTTTTAATAAATGAATAGCAAAACTCTTCTTTTTATAAAAGATATATGCCGTATATTTATATTTATATATTACAAGTTCGGCTTTCTTTCATCTATTTAAAACTATTTTATCGATTATCTGTAAGAAAGAAGAAAAACATGGAAACGGAAATCTTTAGCATCCGCCCCTTCAGTTTGCTTTATTTATTTAGAAAACATATTCATTTATTAGGGCTAATTCTTAAATATCTTGCAATCTTTATACTTTTCAACAGTGTCAAGTTAAAACATAAAGATAAAGAAAGAGATGATCGTAAGACAATATGAATCGTATGACAATTTAAATCATATGACTTATTGCGTCACATGCAATATGTTAACCTTATCAGCGAATATACAGCGTATAAAGTAAACAAGCTATCGAACGATCCTTGTGTAGCCTTGTAACATAGTTTTATACAATAGTAGTATTTATTTTCTAGCAATGTTGGAAAATGAATCACTGATTTGTAGGTACTTCAAAAGCTTTTTAATAAGTTAAATAGCTATCTTAAAATTCTTTTTCCTATTATAAAAACTAAAGCGTAAATAAATAAAGATGCTTTAATTTAGTACTAGCACAATGATCTAGACCAGGTTTTTTCTATTTTCTTTTCAGTAAATACTCTTTTCACTCAAAGATATAGCAGGAAAATGTTTTTAAGAATAGAACCATTTTTCCCTATTACATGCTGACAAACTTTTCCTACTTAAACTCAATATAGAAAGATTGATTGTATTAGAGTTACAAAAGGCTAGAGAGACAGAGAGACGGAGAGAGAAATAAAAACTACGTAGCTATTTTATTTCCTCATTTTTTTTACTATAAATAAATAAACAACTGTTACAAGTTTATGCATCAATTACAACTACAACATGATTTGTTTGCCAAAGCAATTGTTCTTTAATTAATTATGCATTTTCTCCATTAGATGGCGTACTGAATATTAGTAATATTTTTCTCTTTTCTTGCTTTTCAAAACATTTTTTTTTTAATAAAAACAAGTTATTTATATTTACTTGTCTTATTTCGAAACTTTTTAAGCACTTCTGAAAAAGTTTCTTGTATACTTTCCGTAGTTTGTCTATTTATCTCGTCAGTTTGCTTTCTTTTATAATATATTCTACCAGTTTTTAAGATTATAAATATAATTACTGTAAATGCTATAGATACTAGTAAGAGTATGGTAAAAAATGGAAGAAATGATGAAACTGAACGTTTCCTGTTGATCTTTCTATCATTGAATTCTTTCCAAAAGGTTAATTCTCTTTTAAGTAGTTGAAATTGGGTAGAATTAAATAATTTACGAAATATGTGTAATCTGTTGGTTCCTTGACATACATTCCTTTTACATTTAGTTCTTTTATAAGTATTTTGCTTTCTACATTTAGTCTTTGAGCTGCTATTCGGTTTACATTCACGAATTGAGAAACAAAATCTCTTTGTAGGACTACATTTCGTAAACAAAGACCACTTTCCATACGTCACACCCATGAAGGAAGAAAATGCTTTTTAGTAAATTAATGCCTTTAAAATGTTTTGTTTTTTATTACTTGTGTCGCATATTTGATCCTTCATATTTTTATACCAGAGCATTTATCACCGCAGTTGGCAAATTTGTATGGTAGACCTTGACATTTTCCAACACCTCCTTGACAAGTTCTAAAGTTATATTTTCTAGCCGGTTCACACAGGCTATCGCACTTGCTCCAACCAAGCCATTCTGTCCATTTTCTATTGGGGCTATTAACTGGGCATTTGTTTAAAGAACAAGCTTGTGTTTCACGGTTATATGACAACATTTTCTGGCTGGAAACACTCATTGCGCAACTAGATGAATTGACCAACTTTCTTAGGGTATCGCTATAGCAATATCTAGTTCGATATTTGTGACCTCCACCGCAAGTTACAGTACATTCCGTATAATATGACCAAGCAAGCCAATAGGGTAATGAAGGACACGGTTTACCGAAGTTTTCACACTCTTCAAGCTCCTTATCTAAAGTGAAAAGTGAAAGGAATTAGCTTAATTAGCTAATTGCACAGTTTTCCCATTTACTCACTATTTCCTTCGCAATCTTGACCTGTTTGACACTTACGGACTCTGAATCTAACAGCATTGAAACCGCAGGAACCTTTACAATGACTCCACTCTTCCCAAATTCCCCAGTTCGGTAACCATATGGTACAACTTTCACCTCTTAAGTGGGCGGGACACTTACAAATTGGGTTACCGTAAACAGTTACGCAATGCCGCCCCTTTGGACATAATTTACTGTTACAGGTATCAGAACGCTTCAAACAGTTCAAAGCGGCTTCTCTATCATCACGCTCATAGGCTCTTTCGCATCGACAAGTATAAATTGTCCCAATATTGATGCAAATTCCTTTCTCTTTCTTCGTTCCGCAGAGATCGTCACCCGTTTTATTATCTACCCTAAATGGTAAACGATCCGTACACGGTCTCCTCAATCGATTACACCGTTCACCACTAAAAGTATTCTTACAAATGCAACGGAATTTTCCCCCATATAACATCTCACACTTAAAAGTTCCGATTTTGTTACAGTAACCGGAACGTTGGCAAATTTCTATTCTAGAACATTTTAGCAACGTTCCGTTCCATTCGTAATTCTCTTGGCATTGACACCGAAATTCATTAATTTTTGTCCTAATTATAGGGAAATCTTTAATAAAACTGATAAAGAATAACAAGTTAAATGGATATTGTTTATAAGTTTTACCCTAAAGAATGGCAAATTCCATCAGAATGTTCTATCTTTTCGCATGGTTCGTTAACATCGCAAACATTAGGACAAAAAGGAATTTTAGTGAAATCTATTGGAAAAAAGAGAAAAATGAAGAAAGAATTGCCTTAACCAATCGACTAAAGATACAAGAACCTTTTGTTCTATTACACTCAAAGATATTTACTATAACATTCGTCTCTTCAAAGGTCAAAGGCCACCAATTATTCCTATCGTTTGACTCTGTTATGCGATTGTGTTTATTCCAAATTCCAGATACGGCATTCCAAAAACAAGAACTATAATTAAATGAGAATTTTGAACTAGTAATTACACTCCCTTCTCTCTTGCATCTATTCCATTCTTCCCACAGAATTGAATTAAGACTTTTTCCTTTAAAAGATTGATAACTTGAGAAATGATCAATTGAGAAATCAACAGGTATTCCATTTTTGAAATTTTTATTAGCTTCTTCCGTCATTTCATTAAATTTCTTTCTATATAACTTATTTCCATTATATCTTAGTGTACTACAATTAGGACAATATGCTAAATTTGCATATAACAAGTATATGTATAAACAACGATTTATAGCCATAAATTCATCTAGCAAATAAGAGAATATTAGCTATTTTTATTTACTGTCATCGCTACGACTAGTTAATTTAATAATTTATTTAAATATATGCGTAATTTATTCAAAAATATAAATAAATAGAAATACATAACAATTTCAACAAGTAAAAGTGAATAATTAGCACTTAAAAAATAAACATTAATTTAGCAAGCATAAATGGAAAGTGAATAGGAAGAGAAAGAAAGAAAGAACGAAAGGTGCTATTGTTGAAAAAATTAAAAGTGAGAATGATGAGATAATTGACTCAGAATATAAAAGAAATAAAGACGAAGAAGGAGAAGTTGACAAAGAGCATGATTGATTATTAACGTAAAGATTGAAAAAATACGCTTTTTATGTATTGAAATTATTGTAAAATAAGAATAATCCCATCTAAATCCGATTGATGAAAATTTATTTTGTTGATTTGGTTCATAAGAGAGGAAAACGGCTAAAATGATTGTTCCCTATAAAATTCTTAGAAAATCTGGATGCCTGCAAGCGAATAATAAATTACTATGAAATTTACATGAATCATCATGCTAAAGTTTCTTTTCAAATATTTACGGATTTTGCATAATGGTGACCATATAGATTGCGATACGAGATTATGCTAATTAACAACGGCGTATACATCTTATCAATTGAAGGATTTTTAACGCCTTTTTATCTCCTACTCAGGGTCAATACTCTTTTCAAAAGCGAATAGTATGACTTTATACTCTGTTGCTATCTGTACCAAGATTCATTGATTAATAATGACAAATACGAATCTTTTTGAGAACTAAATCGAAAAGAGATTGGAAGAGAGTTATTATTATTCTAGCAGAAGATTACTTTAAATCAGAATATTGCCACTTTCCGACGAACTATCCTCATTATCCATCTCCAGAGGTTTAGTTAAGGAAAACATATATTGATTACATAGGAAAAATGCGCAGATTCTTTCAGGATTATAGCGATGATTGATTATATTGGAGGAGAGTTAAGGCTTTATCATATTTAATTAAAAGAGAGAGAGAGAGAGAGAGAAGAGAGATAAAAATATATAAAGAGGCAATTTAAATTACATTCTTTTATTTGCTTTATGTTTAGTATATAGACATAAATAAATCAATTATACAGTCTATTTACAATGGATATACAGTTAAAAAGATATGTACACAAATCTAATTTAATTCATCATATGTTAAAATTACTCATTTTCTTTACCATCAAACTTCTCTGCACTGGATTCTCTATTAAGCTTCATAAATTCTCCTAGTCCTGATAATTGATGTTGCGGTGCTGAAGTTGTACTTAAAATAGGTTGAGGATAAACATATGAAGATTGGGTAACATTCCGTACTCTGAATGGAGTTAAAGCGGGATAGGGATAGGCCTGGAAGGGTTTTGAATTCATTTCTATTTTATGATGCAAAGATGCTGATAGGTGATTAAGTAGTTTCGTTCTCGTTTCAATATCAACTTGATCATCATTCCCTAAGAAGGATAGAACTATTCCTGCACAATCGATAAATCCTTGAGAAAAGAAGCTATCGTCTGCAAATTAATAATAATTAATATTATGTAAATTCCTTGTGAAAAGAGTCAAATTTACTATTATCAATGTAGGAATTCTTTTGATGAGCTGTTGTTTTATCTTTCTTTATTTTCCCTAGATAAGAAACGGTCATATCCATAATTTCGGCTTTATCCAATTTATTAACTTTTCCAGGTTGCATTCTTATATCTTGCATAATGAGTAATTTTAAATGAGCTAAATGTTCATTTATTCTCGCTCTTCTTCTCCTTTCAATCAATGGTTTGCTTATCTATTGTAAGAGAACATAGTTAAAAAAGAAAAGTTATTAGAAGATACAACAAACCTCTGATTTTGTTGCCATGTTGCTCGGATCAAGTCTGGAGGTAAATTGAATTTGAACAAGCGTCAAATGAGCAGAAGGGCAATCCGTAACTATGTAAGGACGAAAACGCGCCACCTTTCAGGAGAAAACAATTGACGAATAGCTTTCGGCATTGAAATCTTTAGAAAGGACGAATTTTGGGAGTGTTTGAGCAAAGTGCGAAGATCACAGAGAGAAAACGATTAGACGCTGCTGGTCGCCTTTGTCCAATCATATATTCTTTTCAGGTGTTTACATACGTTATATTTAATTATGTAACGCATAAGGGCAGTTACATAAGGCGTGTGAGAAGAGCGACCACATTCAAGATTGAACGCCACAAACTCACCTCTTATCTTTCGTTTCTATCCCTAATTAAATTTAGGATAGGGGGTCATAAATACTTTTCTAGTCTTTTAATGACAGTCAAAAAAAGGTAGGGAGAGGGGGGTTATTAAAGTTATTTAGAAGGTTCTTTGTTGAACGGATATGCCCAGTTTAACAAGCTTAAATTATAGCCCATTGTCAGTGAAAGTATAGTTTGTTTACTTGCTGTTTAACTAAAAGACGGTAGAGAACGATAATTTCTATGTCAATAAAATAATCAGCTATCTCTCTTCTATTTTATTCTTTAGACACGAGACATTTTTCATTAACTTTATCGACATGAGAAAATTTCTCTATTTTTAACATAAGAAAGAGAAAATTAACTTGTTTTATGCAAATTAACTTTGGCAGTTATATAACGGAAAAGAAAACAATAAGAGTGAGAAAGTCTCTCGTTGTTTTTTTTTTCTTTATTTTAATTACAAAAAAAAAACCTTTCATTTTTTATTCTTAGTTTCCCTTCTCCCGCCCTCCCCCCTCCCTACCTCATTCGCAGTTACCTCATACAATCTCTTTCTCTCTTTTCAGTTTTCTTTCATAATCATTTGTATTCCACTTGAAACCCTTTCCCGTGAGAATTTCCATTTAAAACTTAAAAAGATCACCGAAATATCCTATTTCTGCTAATAAGTCTATTTGATAAAAGAAGAAACCTTTAAGGTTTCGGTAAACATCTTCAAATTTTTTTTCAAGGGTGTTTTATTTTTTTAAGCAATGTAGGCCTATATACTTGAAGAAGTAACAAGGAATGAGAACAATCATATTACAACTTGACAAGTTACGTTGTGGGGAAGAAAAATTATAATAATCTATTAATAAAGAAATATCTTTTTTTTTTTCAATGTTATTGAATATTCAAAAAACAAGTTAATTTGCATAATATTTTAAAAATTTACATAATTTTTACTTCTTATCTTAAGAAAGAAAATAGATCATTAAATAAAAACATCTAAAGCTGAACAATAAAAATTTTCTTAAGAAATGACCACTTGTGGCTCCATCTGCGGTTAAATTAGTACAAATTTGAAAGAAATGGGTTCATTTTTTATAGTAGGAGTAAAGAGAAAACAAAGTACATTCCTATATAGGTGAAAACTAAAGTTCCAATTGCAATTAAACGCGTCTGAAACATATCATCTTCAGTCTGCAATTGAAAAAATAAAATATTATTATATTCCAATATTGAAACCTGTTCTCAGTTTACCGTTGTTCCTCCTTTACTTCCATAAATTTGTATAGTCTTCGATCTTAAACTCTTCCATTCTTGAGACTCGTTTGTCCAAATTTTCGCTCTATATAGTATAGTTAATATCGAGTTTTTAATCCTAGTTCTTCATGCTTTTTAATTTTTTTATATGTTTTTTTTTTTTGCAGAAAATGGCGTTTTTTAATTATGTTTTTTATTTTTTTTGTCAGAATAACGTAATTGCTTACATAAAATAAAAACTCTTTATAGTGTGCGCAGGTTTATCGGCTAACCAAAACCAGGAACCAACCGTTCCAACAACACGATTCGATTCAATAGACATATTGACAGTATCGTTTGGAAAATGACATGTTATAATTTGATCGGGGTCCTGTGTATTGTTAACTTGTTGCCATCTTCCAATTATCTCTGTTGAATTGAGCGAAGAAGTTCTGGCTTGCATGACAACGCGTATTTCTAATGTTTTATTAGAACCCTTCCCTTTTGTAAGTTTCACTGAAATACAGCAATATTTAGCGCTTACCTATACATTTCTCGTCTTAAATAATCGATTTAGTCGAATGAATTCTATAAATTCTATACTTAATTGAAGAGAAAGATATGAAAACATATAATAGATATTTGATAGTTTAAATTAGATATCATATAAATATATATTCATACAAATTATATAAATATATGCTGTATATCTTCACTTCAAACCTGATGTAGTTTGTCCATATTTATAATTTGCAGTCATTACATCAACGCGATAGTCGTAAGAAGCTTCATATTTATTATTGAAAAAACAGTCTGTTGCTAAAGTCAACGGCAAAAGAAACGTTAGGAACGCCGACTGCATGTTTACTGCAGCATATACGTCTATGCGTTTAAAACGCCACGCCTAAGTTTAGGCCTTTATCATTGGAATGTCGATATCCGGCACGTTCTTTGATTTTTTTCTATTATTTTTATTTATATCAAAAAAAAAAAAAATACTGACAAAGCACCTGATACAAATTTTTAAATGTCAATGGGAAGAGAGAGATTAGTTGCGCTAGATGATCTGCGAATGTTTGTCAAATGAAAAGGTACAGGTACAGATGGCTTAGAGGGAACTTGAACAAGCACGTAGCCTGGTTGTTTTGCTTGTCCAACAACAGTAATGCCTTGCCCTTGCTTTAACGAAACTCCGTAATTTGTGTTGTAAGTCTCCTTCATTACTCTTTGTTGGGGAAATCCAACTTTCTTACCATCCACAATAGTGTATGGGCGTTGTAAGGGTATGGCTGGAGGGGGAGTTTCGCTCCAAGAATGATGTCGTCGACGGACTATCGCAGGTTTCTGTCTCTGCCTTAAATGTCGTTTCAGGTGCGGCCAACGCTTAAGGCATTGACGTCGTCTCCAATACGCTTGAATAATGGTGGCCGCAGCATTTCGTCTGCGACAGCGAGCCTCCTCCAAGCGCTTGCGGCAAGTTTCACTAAGTAAGACGTACTTTTTCCCTGCACACCACGATCTTGTGCCCTTAGAGTAATCAATTATAGATTCCAATATAGAACGCACTCCTATTTTTGAATCTCGAGGAGCTAAAATACGGAACCGATTTATGAAAGCTGAATGGCGAATTCTATGGGCAAGACCATCACTCATAACATGAAGAGTTTCCAGCAGCTGCAAAGCACGAGTCTGCTTTGCCACCAGTTCTCTCGAAAAGCCCGATTTCCCCGAGGTTCTCAAGCATTGAATAAAATGCGGGTAACCACTCTTAGCACTTGCCATCACGTATTGTATAAATGCGTAGGCATCTTGGCATAATCCGGAACTTCTGCTCGTAATACGAACATCAGGTGGCGGACAAATTCGGCAAGAAGTTGTTCCATTCATATTTTTCAATTCATTGGTGAACAGATGGGCCGCAAACCCAAATGAGGAGGTTGAAAACATATTAACAATGCTACTTGGTAAATTGTCAGAATTTTGTTTAATTAAAGTTTCAGCATCATACGAAACGGGTTCGGCAAAGTGTCTTATTCCGAAGTCGGCATTTGTTTCAGTAGGTTCGTATACACTATACAAAAAAAAAATATTAAAACAACGATAGATGGCGCTATTCATTCAAAATATAATTACTATTTCTTTAATTAAAACACTTACAAGTTCGTTGCCGTGTGTTGAGATCTAACATCCTGAATAAATTCTCGTATAGCTGTCATTTGACTGGAATTATGAGCATCGAGTAGGCTTATAATGCCCGTTCGAGGAGCTGTTAACACCTGTAGAACAGGACTATTGTCGTAGAAGGCGATATCCGTTTGCAATTGTTCGTCAAGACAAGCCCTTCGCGGTTGAGCGAGAATGTGAGTAGTATAAAAATGCTGAAGTGATTCGGCACCGATGTTCATAGACAATTGAGCAGCTGAATTGGTGCGGAAATTCTCGAAACCCGGAAAATCTAGCACGCTAATAGTAGCGGCAACCGGTGAGATTTTACCGTGCGAAACGCTTTGTTCTGTATGGAAGTAATAAAAAAACCGTTGGGAAAACAGGTGTTGAAAGTAGAATTTTATGAATATAAATTTTCTGTCTCATACCGCTCGAATCCTGACTACTGTCACTGGTTGTCGTTGCGTTAATTGTTGAAGTTTGAGGGGTTCGGCGAGAGGCGCAATTGATCCTCCTCACTACCGCTGTTATTGTTCGGGCAAAAAGGGCTTCCGCTAGCGCGTCTCTAATAGAATTCGCCGCCGCCGCGTCAGCTATTGAGGAGACTTTTTGCATCCTAACACGTTGCATAATAGTGGTCAAACCAGCTTTTAATGAAGAAGAGGATAAGCCGAGTAAACTGGCAACAGATTGTAATTCTTGTTCACCCCGAAGTATAGGGCGAGAGTCTGGTCCATCGCTAAAGCATATGTTTCCTAGCAGGAGAACTGCGCTAAGTATACGAAGGACATCAGCCACGGGTATGCCAAGAACGGTTAGGGCGGCCTTTACAAAAAAGAGTGTCATAGGTAAATGAAAGCGTATCATTATCATACCGAGATGATGTGATAAGAATCTCATTTATACGTACCGTCCAAGCCGATAGCCTTTGAACATTATCCTCAGGCGAAAAAGTTCTAACGTCGCCGGCACTTAAATAACACAAATTATTCGCCGAATATCCTTGCAGGTGGAATTTAGCTAGATAAAATAGAAAGGGTTAAAAAGAACGTACACGTCAATAGGAAGATCGTAAATATTCCGCAAACAAATAAGGTATCTCAGTAAATAATAATAATTATTTTATTATAAATAATTGAATTTTACAATAGAAAAGAAAAACCTTTTTCCGAGTTGGAAAGTGCTGATAGAAGAAGATAGAAGACGTGATAGTTGCGCTCAGTAGGAGGTAGACGTACAACGCGGGACTGAAAGAGCGTCGATAAAACAAATTATTAGAGAATGTTTTACATTCTTTTTAGCACCCCTCATATGCTAAAGTTCTGACAGCTTTTTAAAATTTTGTCATTTTGAACGTTTTTCAAACCTCTTTCCCTATTTTATTGAATACAATAGAAAGAGTCGTATATAATATTATTATATATTTTTTATTAGAATATCTCACAATTAAATCACAAAAGTAAGACATCGTATGGATAACTTACCGAATCAAAGAAATAGCAAGTTACTCGCAACTTTTGTATAGCACCATTCGTTATTTGATTTTCTAAATAGTAACCCTGGAATAATAAAAGAGTTGAGTCTTGCGCCTTTTAGTACTACGACATAATCCTCTAAAAGTCGACTATATAAATAAGACTTGGCACAAAAAAACAGCTATAAAATTTACTCCTCTAACTGTTTATGTATATATTGTATATATACAGTATATATATATTTATAGATATCTACACAATATAAATTACAAAACACGGTCTCTTCCGGTTTTTAATTTCTCCTGCATAAATTGAATGCTTTTGAAGTACGTAACGTATTCACCAACGCGTAAGAAAATAACGCTTGGGCGTTTCACTGGCGTTCCGAACTAGATTTTTAGGCGCCAGCATGTATAGGCTTAAAGGAGACCGATTCTTCAAAGGTTCAACAAAAAAAACGGTCATCACGCGATATAATTGAAGTCCTTTTAGGGTTATATCTTCACCCTTATCTATTTCTGTGCGTGTCTTGGTATAATAAAAGCGTACTTACCAATCGGCTTGCATGAGGATTTAGAGGGGTTGAACAAGTAGTAAGCGAGTGTAGAACAGTTAATGCGGCGGAAGAATGCTTAAAAACATCAGTTTCTTTACCTCCGCCACAAATGTCCAAAAAATGGCGTTGTATTCGGCGGCACGCGTCCGTTTTTCCCGCTCCCGATAATCCGCTTAAAATGATCGTCTGACTCTGACCCGTATCGAAGTACTGATTGACAGCTTCGTCAACGACATTTCGCAGATGGGAGCAAACAGGCGTTACTTCCAAAAGCCGTGGGGGCGGTTGGCGTTGACGCCTATTCAAGACCACCGTCACCGTTCCGATTTTAGTCTGGAATGTGAAGGTTCATGTCAATAGACAATTAGTATGAAAAATCGGCGGGAAATTTCGTCCCGTGTCAAGCGTCTTGCTGCGTTAACGACGTTCGCGAAAACACTTCTAATTAAGACGACATTAAGGACTATCAACCCTTTTTCTAGGTCACAATATTCGGAAACGTTAACTTTTTTATAAGTTTTAAAGCGGCCTATCAACCAGGTTAATATGTAATACAAGCCAATATGATAGCATATAGTCATATATACCTGTATATATATATATAGGTTCAATTTTATATATACTCACGCAACATCTATTTGATGAGACGCTATTTTGCAGAGCGACTAGTAAAGCATGCTCTGTTAGAGGTCCGGAAATATCGGCCAGATTTTCACTGATTTCTCCTCCACCCGATTTCCGATAATTGTAAGGTCGACTCGTTTCAAGACGTGATTGTCGCCGATCTGAATAAAAAAAGAACGAATAGAAGGCGAAATAAAATGGTATAATAGCCTGGGGGGCTATTTTTTCTGGCAGATGTAATACACCTTTTTTTTCACGATGCTTCACCGCCTTTTAACGCTCGCAGTAAGAAAATAATAAAGAAAAGAAGTGGGTGCAGAGAGAAAGACGAAGAGAAAGAAATGAAGAAATAAAGAGAAAAGAGAGCCAGGTGCAGCTACTTTTTTTCTACTATTAATTGAAACTCAATTTTAAGAGTCGGATAACTACTCACAAGGCGGTAGAGATGAACTTCGCGCACGTTCTTCTTTCATCTCGGCCTCCTTTCATATTCGAGCCTATATACGATTTGCTTACACTGTACACATTCGCCGCCTCTGATCAGCGAATGTTCTGAGCTTTTCTTTTAACACTTTCGCCAAGCATATTGAAAAAAGAGAATAAGAATATCCTTATAAATAAACGACAGGCTTAGGAATGCAACTGGAGTCCGCCCTGCTCATCATAATTCCATTAGATATTGTGACATGCTGCCAGCCCGACGGTCAGTCAGTCGAATGGCGCCAATAGAATTGAATAGACTGGTACCCCGTCACAAGCAAACACGACCCCTTCCGAACGTGTTCCGAACGTGTTATGTTCTCTCAACCCCTTCCCCGTTTCCTTTCAAATAGTAAGTCTTTCAACCGTTTACTCAGGCCTACCGTCCACTCAGTTACGTAATTCGCCTAGCATTACGTAATATCGATTGTACTCCTGATTTGACACAAATCGAATATCTAGAAGATAATGGAGTGATTTATTAGTCTTGGTCGACTTTCTAAAAAGTAAAGCCGCCCCTAGCTGTTCACTTTTTCAAACTTTTTGCGCCCTAAATTTCCTTTGAATTCAATGGAGAACCGGATGTAATAGAAAGATGAAAAAAAGAAATTGTCAGGTACAAATTACAAAAAGTGCAAAGAACACTCGATTAAGAAAATAAAAACAACCACTATAAAACTTTTATAATTCTTTAAGATTGTTTTAAATATAGACAGTTTTAAAATAAATCAATTAAAGGTAATAATGAATTATTGTCCAATACATTCAACTCAAATTGAAATGATTATGTCATACCTTCGTTCAACGAGTTATTACTGCTACCAGCAGGTGAGGGTCGACGTGCCATCTGCCGGTTGAGATCCGTTATTTGGAGCGTCATGTCGGAACCTGATTTGATTAAAGAAAATGAGCGTATTCATATTTTACAAGGAAAAATTATATGCTAAACAATTATAAATTAACTGACCTTCTGATTCCTTACTATCCTGGATGGTTTTAAAATACCGTTGAATAATAAACATTTTATTTTTCATGTGGTTCATCCAAGCTCGTCGAAATTTTTCCTTTTTCTTCTCGTCTTCCATGTCGTTTGCTATTGAACGCCCTAGACGCTCTGGCACTATCGTTATTGACGTCGATAGTTGAATGAGAAAGCACTTCGGAAGAGCGGCCTACTGAAAGAGCGGCGTGCGCTTTTGTTGGCCTTCCATGTACATATTTGCTTAGTCTGCTCAGCTACAATAGAAAAATCGACTGGATCTCCATATTAAGACGGCCGCCCTGTTAATAATTAAACACAAAAGAACGTTTTTTTAAACGCTTTCGGATTAAATAAAATCGACAGAAACCCAACACTATTGGCTACGCCCTTTTCGTAAGCGAAACGCTGCCTTTTTATAAGAGTACGCGGTCGTTAAATAATAATTATCGCCCAATGCAATACTCTATTATTCCCTTATTCGGAGGATTATAAATGCATTATTAACAATTGTTGTAAACTTATAGAGAGTTGCTAATTTTACATATAAATTATCAAATAAGCAGACAAAAGAATAAAAATATATATCTATTAATTCGAATATCGACAGGATTCAGTTCCACAAGCGCATTTAAATTTCTTCATTTCCCAAAAGGTTGATCCATAATCATACGACAATTCTTCGCCTATAAAAATATCCTTCAGGGTAAAAAAACATATCCGGGGAAAGCTTAAATCCTGACAATTCGTATAAACTCTTGTAATGAATAAATTCGGTTCACAACTATGATTTATGAATCTGGCAATATTTGCGTAGGTTGCTGCATCTATGCAATGAGTATCATTTCTGTCCTCACATATTTCATATATATAGGAATCATTATGCTGACGATCGTCGGCACTTGCATCTGATATCACTTCACCAATATATTCACAGATGAAAGAGTTTTTAGGTATTTGTTGAGCTGCTCTAACTCCCCATCCTTTCCTCTTGGTTTTGAAAAGATCAATTCGGAAAGTGATTCCATTCTGAACAACTCTATTACTGCATTTACTCGAACATTTACACATATCATTACATTCAAATAATCTTGGCGTTTTTACTCCTTTAATAGTTCTTTCTTGTAGACGTCCTTCCTCTGTATAAGGCACGCCCAACGAGTGTTGAGCGCAACTACAATCTAACGTAGAACAGGTCGATAGTTCGGGATCACACTTACAGCCCGCAAGAGCTTTGAAATTTATATTTCTGCTAAGGTCATCCAGTTCGATATTATCTCTTACATAAATAAAAGGTTCAATTTCGTCTGAACGATCAACACCGTTGAAAACAGGTATAGGGACAGTCTCTTTCCCTTTAGACAGATCGGTTGTTATGAGCCTTTCTCTTAAGAGATTGTCAGTATATAATAATTTCTTAGCCTTCAAATAGTTATAGCTACACTTTCCTAATGAGGCAGCCATATAAACGGGGGTTTTGTTTTCATTATTTGAGACTGTTATGCTCTCTATAGCATGCGTAGATATTTCATATACCATATTTTCGTTTCCTCTACGTGCGGCAATATGTAGAGCAGTGTCTCCGTTATTGTTCGCAGCATTTATATCACAGCCATATTCATAGCATAATAAAACCAATTTAATATTCCCTCCAACAGCTGCCCAATGAATTGCCATAGACTTTTCATGATCTTCTATTGTTGGATCACTGCCATTTTTTAATAAAAATTCGCCGCAACTCAAGTGACCCACTTCTGCTGCATAAACGAGAGGTGTGAAACCATCAAAATCTTGGACATTGACATCTAATTTCCTCTCTAGGAACAGTTTCAAGAGATTTACTTTTCCTGTGCTAGCTGCCAAATGTAAAACGGACTTTCCATTATCATTTGTCTTATTCACATTAGCTCCATGCCGCATTAATAATTTTACAATTTCAATATTTCCTTTTTGTACAGCCTTTAATAATGGAGTGTTGTTCGACTGTGGCAATAAAAAACAAAAAAGTTCAATTAAATATTCGATAAAAAATTCAAAATATACGTACAGAATCAGATGCTTCTATGTCGGCACCCATTGTCGTCAATAGATTCACTATATCTAATTTGTCTTTAGCTACTGCATACATTAGGGGTGTTTCATTATCCCTAGTTATTGGCTCTTCCAATTTTATTCCATTTAGGAAACACTCAGCAACTCCTATACAATCATTTTTGTTTATACATCCGATTAGTAGTTTTGAATTGACTTTCCGTTCAAAATTCGGTAAAACGTATGTGGTAAGATCAATTCGTTCTTGAGACTTTGGCGTTAACTGTAAGATTATTCCACATAATTTTCCTAGAACAGTCACACCTGCATTTGATTTGGTTTTCTTTGGTGATTTTGGTTGATTTTCTTTAATGGGATCCATAATAGACCTCCTTGTAGTTTTTCTCCTTTCGGTTTGCCAATGAGAAATTCTATAGTAACGTTTAGATATAACGTCAGATGCACAATGACTACATTTAACAACGTTAGATTCACGAGTGCAACAATATTCGTGCATTAAATGCGATTTTGGGGATGAATTGCATTGTATAAAAGCCCCTTCGGCACAGCATAGTCCACAGTGAGGACAAAAGCGATGATTCTTCATCTCTTCTTCGTGCTTTGAGCATACGATAATTGATGGCCGGTTGGCAGCAACTGTACGGTAGTATTTCGATCTGGCATCATTCGTACAGTGCACCTTTTTATCATTAATGCTATCAATAGCTTCGCATTTGGTTCCTGATATTAAAGATATTGGGAGTTTCGTTATCGCACACTTACAGGACATAATTCTTGAATCTATTTTATCTTCTGCAAAAAAATTACAATCTTTACATTTAATTGTTCAAAACAACATTCTAACATACCTCCGTTCAATTCAGTATTTGAAATTTCCCCATCTGAACCATTTCTACCCTTACTGAACCTTCTTAGTTTAAATCTTTGCTTGGAGCTTTTAGGTCCAGGTTTTGAACCTATTACATAATCCTCTTCCATATCATTAAACTTATTTCTCATGCAGTCATTTGATGAAAAATCAGAAGCTAGATTATCACTGGATGAATCGTAGTCACGTTTCCTGCCATGCCTTGTGCCAAAACAGTTACGATCATCTGAGTCGCTACCATTCGTATCTTCTTCACGAGACTCTTCGTCAAGACTCAGAACAACATTTCTACCTAATTGTATCTTTCGAACCCCGTAATTTTTAAATATATCTTGCTGAGCTTCTCGAATCCTCTGATTGACGAAGGATGACATGTCTTATGAAAAATGAAAGTAAAATAATTGATCCAACTATAATTTCTCAAATCAAAAATTTAGACTATATCGGATGTTTTTCTGATTCCTAGTAACAGATTTTATACAAAAACTCTGAGGATAAACGACAAAATTCTGTAAACAAGCACCTGCAACTCAGAAATATGGCGCCCTGTAAATATCAGAGTGGTTTCTGAAGAATTATTCCATTCCTTAAGGGTAGCCTATCTAATTGAATCACTCACATTATCTACTTTGAAACGTTTTAGTGGCAGATATTAAATGATTAATGAGACTTTCCCTAATATATTTTATACTAATTGACAGCTCCGCCTAAGATAACTCTCAGATAGTTCAAGTCAGTTTTGTACTATTACAATAGAATGTTTTACAATGTATTGTTCTTTAAGTACTGACCAAATAGAGCGATTTTTTTTTTGAATTGAACAAGCTCGATTGGCGAAAAAAAAGAAACCTTTTAAGATATGAAAGATATCTTATAACTTTTGAATGAGAAACATTCCAAACACCTGTCGTAACTATGTACGATTACCCCCATGCTCTTTTAAAGAATCTTTCCCTGCTCTCATTTTTTCGAATGAAATGTCAAAATATTTGTGTATATTACATTTTATTTGAAAATATCATTACAAAATTATTGGGACGGATGTATAAAAATAAATAAAAGTATCTAATTAAAGTAATTTACCACCATGGTATGGAAACAAGAAATATTCCAATTACAAAGATTAAAGTTAAAAATGTTGCTATTAAAGTCCACTGAAAATCGTCTGCTTCATTGTCTTTTGAAAATGGATAGAAGAATTTAGACCAACAGGATTCTTTTTCGCAAGCGTTTACGTCATCTAATCTGGCTCTATTTTGAAAAGAGATTTATTAGGGTATTATTGCTAATACTTTATGAATAGATTAGAATATAAAATTACTTTGGAATCCTTTCGTATTTTGGAGTAACGTCTTCAAAGGACACAGAAGAGTATATTTGGAATGTTTGAAAGTCATTAGCGTCAATATTTTGAAATGACCATTCAGAGAAAGAATAGCTAATTTTGCTTCCTATGATATTATATATTGAAAGATTATTTGCAGCACCAGCTCTTGTATAAATTATAGAGATATGAATAGATGAAGGAATGTCCGAACATATTCCTTCTGCCAAATCGAATACGGATTTTTTATCATTGCTAACAGTTTCATTAATGATAGGATTAAGAGTAGCAGTTGTAACATTTTCATTAGCTGGAGCAAGTGTAAATTGACTCAAAGTAGTATTTTCTTCGAAACTTGTTTCATTTTCCAAAAAGTATTTTGATAAGTCTTGCCTATTAAGTTGTTTATACTTCACATTAGATAATATAGAGAAATTTCAAAGAAAACTTACCGTGTAATTTTTATCCAATTATCTAAATTTTCCTTTTCAATCACACCTCCAATTGATATATGAGTTGATGGCATTAAAACGTTAAGTCTATTAAATATTAGCTGCCGAAGATATGTACAGTTTTTCAGCTCGGCTAACGATAACGAAAGTTCACAAGCAGATTTTGCTGATTGTAAAAATTGAACTCTTGATCTTCCTACTTCAGCGCAAAGAGAGCTTGATCCATCTACATAAAAAGGAAACTAATATTTACACACCCTAATGAAAAGTGAATTCTTTACCTTGCTCCCATATGTGAATTTGATTATTTACAGAATCATCTATACTGACATTACCCGAGGCATTCTTAAGAAATCCAGTTATGATAGGATAATTGGGTTCATAGCCTACAAAATAACAATTAAGCTTGAGATAGCTATAGAAAAAAAAATAGATATTCAATGTAAAACAATACCTGGATTGCCTGATGTTGATATAGGCTCTCCTGTCACGTTTTCGGCGACGTGCGTCCAAATAGTTTTATATTTCTAAAAACACGACCTAATTAAATAAAAATATTAAAATTGAGATGGAATAACAAACTTGATTGAGACGATTATGTGTTGTTAAACTCCATTTCTCAAGTTTTGTTTCTACTTGTCCTGTTGCATTTATGAAAGAAATTTCTTTCTCATATTCTACTAAATGGTTAAATGTAACGTTTCCAAGTAAAACTGTTGCGTCTAATTTGACTATTTCGCTAGTGGACCAGGTGAAGTTATATATTACATTCAGAACAACATTATCACATGTTTCAGTATTAGGGTTGTAACTCGGCTCTGGTGGGAGGGTAAAACCATTGTCAAAAGAGCACCTGGTAGCGTCGTCATTTGATGCTCTGTCTACCCAACCGTCGTCTTTACATCTGTAAGTATTCAATTCCAGATCGTAGGTACAATTCTCAAGGGTGTAATTAAAAAGTGAAAGAGTTTTTCTGGGTCTATTTCCAAACGGAATTTTGCCATTAAATTCTGGTTTTACGTAATTACTCGTATTAGTAGTGCAGAAATAGTCAGTATTTGTGATGGTAAATCCTCTCAAAGTCTTCTCTTTCAATACCGCCGGCCTTCTTGGAGAGCTTGTTGACATAATATTAGACGAAATAACATAAAAGCGAGCATTCAATGATGTAAATTGACTGCATATCGATGGAGATAATTTTTGAGAGCAATAAGAGTTTCCTTCCGTTATATATTGAACCTAAAATAGAAATATATTACGTACATTGAATGAAATTTTGACAGGAAAATTTACAGCTTTGTTCCAGACACATGCATTAGCAGTTATTCCAGACGAAGGCAAAGAAAGTCTATATTGTTCACCAGTAAGGAATCTTTCTGTAGGAGTATCAGGCTCAATACCAGTTCTAATGGTTGAGAACTGCCTATACTCCTTCTCTACTGTATCAGATATTTTTGATTCAACGGACCTTATTTGAAAATAAAAAAAAGAATTAACATATAATTTTATTATTAAAAACAAAAAGTTTACTCAAAGGAATATCTCATCACTCCTGTCTCAATTTTGTCTTGAAAATTAGATGCTCCCCTGATTATACGAATTTTATCCAAATTATAGACACCTAAATATAAAGATATTTTAAAATTCCCAGTTATTATTCACTGAAAAATAAGATTCTTTACCCAAAAATGCATTGTTTTCTTTCCATATGCACATAAAATCATGATAATCAGGTTGATCTAATCTTTTCTCGCTGCATAACTTTTCAGAGGGTGGAGCGTCTTTACCTCCAAATCGCCCAGGGAAGCATTTACTATTTGAATTTATTTCCGTTTGCAAACAATCCTTATCGCAGCAGCATTCAACGTCACATTTGTCACAAGTTAAGTCACAATGGCAGTGAGATATTCTAGCATAACCCGGATTAGAGAGTATAGTTTCTTTCTGTCTCTCATCATCAGTAACTGTAATTATTAAAATTTTATTTGATATAAATATTAAATGAAACTGTAAACCTTCGGGAAAACTACAATTGGCTGAGTTTTTTGGAAAAAATTCAGCTTTGTATCGCGCAATCTGTTTTAAATCTTGATAGCCTGGTACTTGAGAATTATCATCCTTTGGAGCACAGCAAGTAACAACAAAATCTTCACTAAAGAACTTATTTGGTGGAAGTAATCTTTGCAAAGTCAGTATTCGGTATAAGGTGTCCTGAATATGTTTATAAAGACATCAATTAGTATTTATGTAGCATGGATAAGCAACTGTATCTCTTACTTCAAAAATAATGGGTGAATCTGAACCTCTCATAATCCATTCGCTTCTGTTATTCGGAACAGGAGGAACATATGAACTATTTGGAGATACGCTAGGTGACAATGTAACTTGGGTTGCTGAAAGAAACATTAATATGTCAATGACTATGTAATTGTTAAAATAATCTTCCTAACCGTTCGGAGGTGCTGGCAAAGGGTCACATGCTTCCATTTCAGCATCTATCAAGTCTTGAGGCGTTTTAATTGTTTTAACTCTACAGACAAAATTAACGGCACGAGGAGGAATCTCCTTTATTTTCAAGAATATCTTTTTGAAAAAACATTGGCAATTATGTTTAACTTTTAGAAATTAGTGAGAAAGAAAAGCTACTTTAAAAAAATCTGTTAAAATTGTAATGTCTTTGGGCACGATATCAACTGTTAACTCTTCAATATCAAATCGACTAGAACCTAAACAAATATTGGAATTATAATAAAATAAATTATATTATAATAATGTGTAACCTCTTGAAGAAGCTGCTACAAATTGTGTTGTAACGGTACCAGACGATTGTAGTGAACATGAGAAAGTTGTGTTATCACTTAACTTCTCAAAACTGTATGAAAACTATGAAAAAAACAGTATTTTAAAAAGAGGACTATATCTTTCTTATAATCGTAATTTTTGAGAGTTACCTTTGCTTTTGTTTGTCCAATATAAAGTTCTAGATTTTCAAAGGTAATATTATCAGATGAATTGTCTAAGTTACATATAGCTGTTAGATTCTCCTTCATAGGTTCACTTGATGGTTTTAATTTTTTCATTCAGTATTATTATTAAAAACTTTATACAAATTAATTTTTCAAATAAACCTTATTTCAATTGGAAAGCTTCCGGTTTTAATCCGAAGATCATCGGCAAAAGTAATGGAATTTTTTAGAATAGATATTGTTCCCCTTGGTCGAATTAATAATTCCCTATATTTGAATAATTTTGTAAATATTAGAGAGACAGGAGATTGATAAAAATCTTACAATTTGTTAGATATCGATCCCTCTCGAGTGAATATATTCGATGGACTTTCACCATAACAATAGACTCTAGCAGCTCTTCCTTCTTTTATACTAAATTTTGTATAAACATAACGTTTTGATATAAATGCATCTTGAAATGAGATAAATTATATTACTTGGATATAGTGACAAAACCAACGTTATTGTTTGGAGGGATCGACAAAAGAGAGAAGTCCGCTGAACTAAATCCATCAACTGAATCTTGGTCGTCGATTGAACACCGCACATTAACAGTTTCCTATATTGGAATATGTAATTTGTAAAAGACAACAGCTAACAATAGAACTACTATAAAAGCCTTACAGGAACACCGGTTGAAGGTCCTCCTATTACACCATTGACATACTCTCTGACTTCACTAAAAATTGGTATTCTTAAGAAAGTTGGTCTAACTTCATTTAAATTAAAATCCAGTGATGTTAATTCATCATCTTGCGTGCCGATTAAGATTTTACCAATTTTACCTGCGATAACACAGGATCAGACGTGTTGAAAGGAATACTTTTGGATTATATACGTTACCTTGAGCTTGAGATTCTATGTTAGGCACAAGAATGAAGCCCAATATAATTAGATATTTAAGGTACATTTGTTCATACACAAAAAGCTTGATGCATTCCTAATTTCGAGCAGAATTCATCAGAAATTTTCGAAACACGACTGGCTTCCTGTAGCGTGAAATATGTTCGATTAATGATTTGAACAGGTATCCTGTCTATTCTTTTTCAATTTCTATTTTAAACTTTTCTAATTTATGAGTGAATTTTGCTCCAAATGAACCTACTATAAGCATTTTTTTGACAAAATTACTAGTTTTGATTCTTGTAATTTCAATTTGACTTACGAATTCATAGTTTTCTTTGTAACAGCGTATTGCTTATTTTTACTACATACTTAGGTTTTAATTATAAAATTGAAATATTTGCTCTTCGACAATCTTAGACTAATTAAAACTATTTACTTATATGTTAAATATCATAATAATAAATTGTATGTCTCAGTTGTCATGGCGACTCGTCCTCTTACTAAAAAGAAAAAATCTTTTACCAGTTTTCAGCATTACTGACGTCACAATTTCTGCGGAGGTAACTATTATTTTCGTGACCACGTGAAATACATATATCCGCAGTTTATCAGATTTGATATTGTTAAAGATGGAGACCGAGTCAAATGCAGAAAGTACAGCGAGAATGTAAGATTTTGATATTAATTAGTAAAACGTTACATAAAATAAACTGAAATTAAAAATGTTCTTATCGATATAGATTATGTTGTTTGTGTGGAACACAAATTGAACCGAATCCAGCTAATATGTGCGTTGCCTGTCTGAGAACTCAAATCGATATCACAGAAGGCATTCCCAAACAAGTTTCTCTACAATTTTGCCGAAACTGTGAACGCTATTTGCAGCCTCCTGGAACCTGGGTAACAGCCACCCTTGAGTCTAGAGAATTGTTAGCTGTCTGCTTGAAGAGAATAAAGAGCGTAACGAAAGATGTTAGACTAGTAGACGCTGGATTTATATGGACGGAACCCCATTCAAAGAGGATTAAAATGAAAATTTCTATTCAGAAAGAGGTTCTTGCAGGTGCTGTTCTGCAACAAACCTTTATCGTTGAATTTATTGTTCATAACCAAATGTGTGATGACTGCCATCGAGTTGAAGCAAAAGATTTTTGGCGTGCTGTTGTTCAAGTGAGGCAAAAAACAAAACACAAGAGGACAATATATTACTTAGAACAGCTTATTTTGAAACATAAAGCCCATGCCAATACTACTGGAATTAAACCTCTAAACGAAGGGATAGATTTTTTCTACGCTCAAAAACAGGATGCTAAGAAACTAGTTGATTTTCTTCAGATAATGTTGCCATGTAAATGGAAAGAAAGTCAAGAACTCGTTTCTCACGATATACATAACAACTCTTATAATTATAAAACCACATATTGCGTTGATTTAGTACCAATATGTAAAGACGATATTTGTATTCTCCCAAAAAAATTAGCTCAAATGATGGGCAATTTTGGCCAGGTTGCTATTTGTTATAAAGTTACAAATACCGTTCATTTCATTGATCCAAATAGTCTCCAAATAGCCGATATCAACGCAACTACATTTTGGAGGTAATTTAGTAATTGGTTCATATATTTATTTCATAAAATTAAGACGCTTACAATATTTATAGATATCCATTCAATGCGATTGCATCTGCAAACCAATTACAAGAATTTATGGTTATGGAAGTAAGTAATTGAGTTGTCGAACTGACTAATTGTAACGTGTCTTAGTCTTATGTTTACCTCTTTTTGTTTTTTAGACAGAGCAAATAACGGAAAATTCCAAACCGCATGTATCGGGAAGAGGATTTATTTCTCAGAGAGTAAGATATCTTTTATTTTAAACTTATTGGATTATATTATTAAACTAATTAAAATATAATAATAGCACGTATTGGCTGAAGCATGGTTGGCAAGAACAAATGAAGTTGGTGTAAGCGAACAGCTTTTCTGCAGAACCCACCTTGGACATCTTATTCATTGCGGTGACTCTGTTCTTGGGTATGTTATTTGATAGAATACACAAAAAATGTTTTCTTAAACGATATCCTTACGCAGATTTGAGATGAAAACTGCCAATATGAATGATCGCAATCTAGATGCCATTAAAGATGAAAAAATACCTGACGTTGTTTTGATAAAGAAAATTTATCCAAATCGTATAAGAAAACGTAACTGGATGCTAAAGCATATTGAAGATCCACAAGATAATAGAGAATATAGAGATTTCTTGGATGATCTTGAAGACGATAAAGATATTCGACAGAATGTTAATATATATGTTGGTAAGTATCTGTTTCTTCAATTGCTAATCTTTATTGTAAAGTTATACTATATTATGTTCTTTAATAAACTAGATCGTGCTAAGTACAATGAAAATGAGGCTTCCGACGATGATGATACGCCTAAGATTTTCTTGGACGAAATGCTTGAAGATATGCACTTGGGAGATGATGGCGGTCAAAGTAACGATGTTAACATGGAATAAATATTATGCATGTTGTAAATTATATAAAGCTAATAAGCAAAGTATATGTAATAAAGTACTAAGTATAAATTTATTACTTGAATATTTTTGCACAATATAAGCAAAATTTTGATTTACTAACGCCATCTGGTTCCGATCGATTTTTAAAAGGAATATTTCCAATATTTTTGTTAATAGACAATATGCTGTACAGTATATTGTGTAACATTAAGCAATTTATTTTCTATTGGAAGGAAAGAAAAAAAAATGTGTCAGAAGTGGGATTCGAACCCACGCCCACAGAAGTGGACTGCGACCTGAACGCAGCGCCTTAGACCGCTCGGCCATCCTGACCCCGATGATAGGGGTGGGCAATATGTATATCTTAAAGTTTGATGTCCTACTCACCAAACGCTATTTTATATGCGAAACAATATGTGCTTTAAAAATAATAAACCTAACGAATTGCACAACATACTATATAAGATTTGACAAAGAAATTACGATAATTTAAAGTATACCGTCAATATGAAAAAAATATTGACCTGAGATGTTTTTCCACTAATCGAAGATACTATCTGTCTGATAATTGGTTTTGCAAGAAAACAAATCGATTTTAATTATAAGTAAAGGCTTTTCCTTTACGATAATTGTTATTTTGAATAATTTAATACCAGTAAACTTAAAATCTATTTTTTTTTCACAACGTTAAATTCTTTTGAAAATACAATTATTGTTTGTATAAAACTTAACAGACTATTAGGCCTATAATATCGTCCACCGGTCGACAAAGTTATTATGGCGCCGTCGTCAAGGTAACTGTCAACAACACTCTCAGACGGACATGTGACGGAATATCTAAAAACAACAATTAAAAAAAAGTGAAAAGAAGAAAGTAGGAAAGAAACAATAATGCCAGTGGCTCAAACTCGCCTGCAGGTAATGCAGGTAACAAAATTACTCCAGTGCGTCAGAGATGGCGATAAAGAACAAATTGGTAAACTGTGTGCCAATGGTGTTCCCCATTTAATCAACTATAATGAACCAAATGCTGGAGACACAGCTCTATCGACAGCAGCAGTAGCTAATAAAGATAATCTAATAAGCTACCTATTAGAATTAGGAGCTCATCCAGATGTTGTTGATTTTCAAGTAAGTTCTATCACCAGTTTCAAACTGAAAGATTGTTTATCTATGTTTCAACTTAGGGGAGAACTCCTGCTATGAGAGCGGCAGAATACGGACACGTTCAATGCTTAGAGAGACTATTGAAACCAGGAGGCGATGCTCCTGAGAAAAAGAAGAGGAAAGGAGATGATGATGATGATGAGCATTTTGCAATAGCTGCCGACATGACTTTTAAAGATTTAGAAGGAAAAGGAATCCTTTGGTACTGTATTAACTCGACTCAAAGACACGAAACATGCGCTGAATTAGCTTTGAAGTTTGCTGCTGAAACCAATAACGTAGATAAAAATGGCAATCATGTGTTTGTTCATGCTTGTGAAACAGCATCGGAGAATGAAGAAATTTGCATTAAAATGCTCCAAAGCGGTTCTGATGCCAATAGTAAAAATGAGGTTAACTATAGATATAAGTTCTAATTAATATTTTATACAAAAACATCTCTTTTAGAAATCGAATAGGACAGCTTTAATGGCAGCAAGCAAAAGTGGTAGTCAGAGGGTAGTTAGAGCTATTTTAGAGAGAGGTGGAGAAGTTGACGTTCAGATGTTAAAGCTAAAAGTAACAGCCGCCCACGAAGCTGCTAGGGGAGGCTTCTTTCAATGTTTGGTTACACTTCATGCTTACGGAGCGCATTTTGACGTATATGATGATCGAGGAAATTCACCTATGCATTTAGCTGCTCTTAAAGGAAGTGGACCGTGTTGTAAATATTTGGCTCAGAGAGGATGCAACCCAAAGCCCAAAAATAACGAAGGGAATACAGCTAGAATTATAGCTAAAGAGGAAGGTCATAAAGAGGCTATTAAAGAAGTAAGAAAAGGGGAAAAGATCTTTGGTAAAACAGGAAAAAATAATGATCCGTGGATATTAGCTTTATACGATTTCTGCGTTGAAAGAACTGAACAACTGACCGATCTGTATAATAGGCTAGATGTTGATGGGCATGGAACAGTTGCTAAGGAAGATTTTGTTGATGGTCTTGAGAATATTGGTGCTCCAATGCCCTTGGAAGCGGATATGAAAAAAATACTCCAAAGTCATGATAAAGAAGGCAGAGTAGATTTTAATTTATTCTTAACAGGCAAAAAGTACGTCAACAAACAATATCTTATGTCCGCCTTTGAGCCGAAGAAAAAGAAGAAGAAAGGTAAAGGAAAAGGGAAAAAGGGGAAAACAAAGATTCCATTACCAATATGCACTCAAACTGAGGGACCAAGAACGCTGGGTGGAGGGCCCCCAGAAGTTTTTGTAGAGGAGCACTTAGTCCATACAGATGTAGGTCGATTTGATCGAGATCGTCCTCCTAAACATCCACTTCAAGACGATTCTGCTTGGTATCTGCATAAACCTGATAAAGCTCATATGAATATTATTCAGGCAACTGTTCATAGGCATTATGATACTGTTCAAGATGCTTTAAGTAAAGGTGTTCCAGTCGATATTACTGATAAATACTACAAAACTCCCTTAATGGTGGCCTGTCAAAACGGGGATTTAGATATGGCTCGATGGTTAATAGAGAAAGGAGCTAATGTCAATGCTTTTGACAATTTTAAGTGGACACCATTACACTTTGCCTGCCACTCAGGAAAGAAGGATCTCGTTGAATTTCTCTTGGACAATGGGGCAAATTTGGAATCTACCAGTCTCTGTGGTGCTACACCAATAATGAGAGCAATCGAAAGCTGTAGACCAGGGTTGGTTCAATTCCTAATCGACAGAGGAGCGAAAATGTTGAATGTCACAAAGCACGGTAAGATATTAATAATCATCCAATTATTATGAAATCAATTATCTTTCCATTTATATTAAAAAGACGACAATGTGTGTGATATTGCTGCATCGTTCGGCGATATGAGAGTCTATGATATTGTCAAAGAGAAATACGATAGCGTCCCAAAACCAAAGGATAATAAGAAGAAAGGTGGTAAAAAGTCTGCTCCTGCAAAGAGACCGGCGTCTAACGCTGGCCAGGCTGGCAAGGTAACTTTTCCATAAAATATTAATACCAATTTGAGTTTGATTACTAAAATTTAATTTAAATAAATAAAGCATTGTTCTAAGGTATTTCTCTACAAAATTTTACTTAGCGCATGTATATGTTTCACAGGCTTAAACGATGACACGAAACTCTGAAGTATGCAAGTGTTTGTCATATTTTCTCCTTTTTGATTATAATAACATAATGATTGCTCTATCTTTTGCACATTAGTATCATTCATTCCCTGACAAATGCTTGCATACTTTCTTGTAGTTTTTAGTTAGTATGCCAGCATTTGTTGAACAATATTATGCAGCTTCTAAATGGATTAATTTTAGGTGGCGACCGGCGGTGAAACTGGAAAAGAGAGTCCTATACTTGAAGCTTTACACTCGCATAGAAAAGGCTCAATCTTAAGAGCAGCTTCCGCATTAGCAGGCGGACTGGAAGAGAAAGAAGATATTTCTTACGTACCAAAATCAGTATGGACAAAATTACCAACCTCTGAAGAATTAATTGCCGCTCGGGTCGTTAGAAGAGAACGATTTAGTTGGAGAGTGGACTTTGAAGATTTTCGTATGCCTTTTCAACAGAATGTCCATGAAAAAATACAAAGTATCGAAGTCGAATAATAATTGTGCCTCAAATCCCAGGTTGCCAATTTTTATAACCCGCATAATAAACGAAACAATTGAAATCATTAAAACTAGTTTGTTGTTTGTTTTTTTTTATTTTCTATGTATTGAAATCGCTTTCGATAGAAAAGTTAATTTGGACAGATTTTTCGAAAAGTTATTCATCATCTTCCTCTTTTCTTATCAATTCTTCTCTTCAGATTTGCATTTTCACTTTCTAATAAACTTCGATCAACTTCGATTTCGGTCAGCTAAGATTATCGATATAAATAGAAAATCACGATTATTTTTTTATAAATTATAATAATATTACCAGTTCAATCATCATTTCCACCTTTCGCTTTAATAATTGATTGCGGGCTTTCAATAAGTTATTCTTCCTTTCATCCTCTTGTAGATCTTTCTTATTTGATTTTATCTTCCTCTCGGCTACGTGCAGAGAAAGGAAACATGAAATTAAACGATTAATGACTAATGATAGAGCAAACCTGGTATCCATTTTCCATCAGCAAACTCGAGATTGTGACTATCTAATATTATTTGTATTGGTTCTGCCTGGCTGTCGGCCTTTTCGAGAGAATCTAAGTTTAGATTTGATAGAGAAAGACATTTCCTCCTTTGAGCTTCTTTCACTGAAAATTTATTCCAAAAAAAAGGCATGTTCTATCATGTTAGCTTTCGAAAAGGTAAAAGTTACACCTATAACGTATTATCTTTATGGGCTTGATTACATATATCTCTCTGATAAATACAGAGTATAATCCAAACAGATGTTTGTTTTTCTTACAGAAAATGATAAATACAGAAAGGAAGAAAAATCAAAGTTAATAAGTTGGATAGTAGCATATTTCTACTTTCTTTTAGAATATTTATTGTGTTTGGACATTGTTACCTTTATCTTTTCCGTTAAATACGTTCCGTTTGTTCTATGGGATCCCGGAAGTTTACCAAGGAATATTCCATTTCCTAGTGGAAAATCAGAGAACAAATAGATAAAACGAAATGGCAAAGCTATTATATCACGTTCCAAGTTTCGATATAGAAGGGTATTTATAAGGGCGCCAAGGACCTTGTTTGTCACAAAAATTTTATACGAAAAAATGATCTTAATAGAACGATTCATGGCGCCATCTATTCTCTAAAAAAATTAGGAAGGAACGAAATTTGTGGAAATAAGCTATTGCACCCTAAAATTGGTTGCGAAGTTGATTATGACGGCTGTGAGATGAAACATTTAGCCGTTCTTTCAGGAGTTGTCTTTCTTCTTGCAGATACTTTTGCAATCACGAGTATACTTATTCCTAATTGGATCAAAATGCATTCGAGCGAAGGTAAGAGTTTATTAAAATGTATAATTATTCTATCCAAGAGAAATGAATAAACAAAACTCTTTACAGGTGAAACTAGAATAGGTTTCTTTTACATTTGCATTCGAAATACAATGAATTACGAAGAGCAATGCTTTCTCCATTCATTATTGTGTCAGGCCTGGGCTGTTGCCTTATTAGCAATTATCTTTGGAATTATTCTCATAACACTTACGATAGGGTTAATAATAGCTTCATGCTTTAAGTACGAAGTAATAAACACGGCGCGCTGGTTTGGATTTAGTGCTACTGTTTGCTTTAGCATAGCTGCAGTTGTTTTTCCCCTTGGTTTCGATATGGAACTAATAGGTGGAAGAGCGTATCAATTACCAAAGAATTATTCTGCAGGAATATCATATATCATTTTTATATTCGCTCAATGGATAACTGTGATATCTGAACTATTAGCTGGAAAAGTTTGTCTTAGCAATTATTAATTTAATATTAATAGTTACTATACTGCATACAGACTTGTATATATTTTGTTTATTTTTTTGAAATTTTCAGCCTATCCACTCCATGCAGATTATTTTGTAGTTTTTACATAAAATATACTACTCTGACACGTCATAATTATAAACAAAGAGCAGACAATAAGAGTAGTTGATGTGATAACTTATTACCAGAAAAAAAATAATTACATTGTATTGATAGATGATTGTGTAATTGTTTTTTATTAGAATATTCTTTCTAATAGCCTTCTCTATTGGTTTGTTTGAAAGAAAAGGGTTCAAATTTCCATCCTTCGCCTTTGTAAAATTTAGTCTGAAATTCTATCCAGTGCAATCTCAATGCGTGCAAGAAAGCAGATAACCCTTCCATTAGGATTAGAATACCTAGGGTGAGCATGGCCCAAGCAGCAAATATGGGGACTAGTATAAAAACAGCCGCATAACTAGACCAAGAAAAGCCTATTTTTAGCACCATACTCCATAAGACTTCTGATAATTGGGCATGAGCTAATGATAAAGCCCAAAGACGAAGATAGCTGGCGGTATTTGAGACGCATCCCAGACAATATTCAATAGTGTGTATAGCTTGCCGAATAAGGACGTCTCCCATTTCGAATTCCTCTTTAGGTATGTCTTGCTGTTCAAATTCTTCCAAGGGCACATCCGAAGATAGTGAATGTGAGTCTAAAATTTGAACGTCAACTTCAGCTGGATTTTCTACATCGTCGATTAATCTATTTTTATCTTCTCGTTTTGATGGTTTTCTGACAATTTGATTATTATTAACATTAGTATTAGCTCTGTTCCTATAGTATAAAATAAAAGGTTTGGTCAATAACATCCAAGGTATACAAATAACAATCAAAACAACTAAAAGTGTCTGAAGAGCTTGTTGGCCTTTATACCAAGACCATAAACTACAATCAACAGTGTGATCACCAACTTTAGGATATTTCATCATAAACATATTAATTAAACCAATCAACAAGCTCGGAGCACAATTCGGATCTGTTGGTCCAAATTTTACCCATTTTACAAATATTATCATAACAAGATAGCCAAACATTGAAACCATAAATATTATTTCCGGTATAAATACACAAAATATATCCAAATATCTCTTTTTGTGTTTATAATTAAAGAAACTTAAAACTACCCCAAATAACATGTGAATAACACCCAGAACCACAGACATTTTCTTTTTAAGAGAATTAGAGAAACTTATCTTATTTTTTGACATTTGCCAAACTGGATCTATACCAACGGGATAAGCTTCGCCTAAAAATGAAGTAGAATTCGGATCTAACATCCTTATACTGGGACCATTCTTGTCGAATATTGTTTTATTATCATAAATAACCCTCCAAGATGACCCAAAAATATTAATACTTTTTGAAAAGTAGTCGTTATATAAAAAGCCAGTATAGATTGAAAATAATCCCATCATTAAAATCATATATCTTCCAGAAAAGAATATTTGCCAAATTTCTTGATTTTTACCAACTTCCATAAGACGCTTTTCGAAGAAAACAACAATAAAGGCAAAAAGGAACATTATCAAACCATGACCAGCATCCCCAAACATAACAGCGAACAAGAATGGGAAAGTGATTAACGTATAAGGCATTGGGTTAATCTCTTTATAAGTGCCAACTCCATAGGCATCTATCACTTTCTGATAGGCAGCAGTAAATTTGTTTGTCTGAACGTGAGTTGGCGGATTGACAGTAGGTAATTTGTGAAGTATTGAAGGAGTTGACGAGCCAACGTTTTGACCAGCTTTTTCCAGAACACCCTGTACTGTGGCTATTAGAGCAGATGGCACCCAGCAATGGGCGATGTAATTTCTCTCTATTTTGAACATGTTCATGTGGAAGAATATTGATTTTACCTTTCTTAATTTAATTTTCCAAGAACAAAGATTTTCTCCTATCGCAATTAATACTCTATGACGTTGTTCCTTTGATTTTGTGATAACTATGTCCATTTCGGACAAACGCGATTCAACGGAGCTCATCATTTCAAGCCTTTCCTCTAAAGTTTCAGGACATGGGTATAAATCAGCTTTAAAGCCCTCGCAGACTTTCTTTGCTAGCTTCTCTAATCGAGGACCTTGTAAGAATAGTGTAAATAACGATTTCGGTTCATCGTATTGTTCATTTTCATAAACTAAATCTGTATATCTAATAAACATATTACCCCTACTCATATACCACAAAAGGCGGGAGAATGTAGAAATTTTCTCCCTTGTTAGAGTTCCGGTAATTATGACTAATTGACTCTGAACGTGATGACTAAAATCAGATAATTCCATTTCGGGTAGAATAGGCGTTCTATCAAAGCCTCGGTAGTCTGAATTATCAAACATTTTGTCGGCGTTTACAAGAACAGTTTTAAGTTCAAATAGCTTTGCACAATCTCTATTCAAGGCTGTCAAGTTTGTATTGATTTCGTTCAATTCTGTTTCAATCTTGGAGAATGTTGCCTCGAAGTCTATTAGCTCTCTTGGCAAAGGTGCAGGATAGTCAGTTGATTCGATGTAAGATATGTTTTCTTTTCTAATTTCCTTCTCAAAAAATGCCAATTGACGTTCTAGCTCATTACAACGTTTTATTTCGTTAACGAAATATTTGTTAAAGCTAGTTGTATCGCTATTTAAGTCGACGAATTCTACGATACCTAATTCACCCAATTGCGATGTTATTTCATAAGCTGATTCACTCGGCATATAAAGTTGACAGAGTGTCATATCAGCACTCCGAAAAACGGACTCCATTGTTAATAAATGTAACAACTCTGAAATCTGGAATATATTGATTTCAGTTAGCAAAACAAATTTCTCAGATAACGAGTACACCCACTAGACAACTTTTAAAAGTTGAATGTCAAGGTCACTAATTATATTTTCGTTATTTAATTATTCTGATAAATTTTTTATTTCGTTATTAAAACTAATTTTTTAAAAAATAAGGAACAAACTAAAAAGTAATTTATTCTCAATATAAGAATTTAAACAGGTATACCTATTTATACAATCTATGCTAATATTCATTTACATCTCATTTAAGTTAAAAACGATATAAAGTTCTATTGTAACTGATACTTTAGAAAGCCTAATTTGAAAAATCTAGCAAATTTAGCATTCATCCCTTTAAGTATTATAAATTAAATAGAAATAAATCGAATACCTTAAGAATTTTTGTAATATCGCTCATAAAAACTTTTTATATCTGTTAATAATCTACAATTTTCTATTGGTGCGAAATTAGTTTACAAGTTCATTTCTATTATATAATTGAAAAATAATTAATGCTAAAAGATATGTAACCTTTTCTAGCAAATTATTTGAAGGTGTTTAATTTAAATTTACTCTTTATCTACATTGAAAACGCTTTAAATTAAACAAATTGCCATAATTACTTAAGATTTAACAGTTGCTTAATTTTATAAATTGTCTTCCTAAAAGTTATTTGGTGCAGTATGTTTCTATTTTAGAAATGATTGTAAAATGTAACAACTATAACAATAAAAGTAATACAATTTGGAAAAAATTGGGTTGTAACAATGGTGAATTAAATTCCTTTTCATACTGGAATGTACCTAAATTCGTTCAATTTCAATAGACAAGGTTAAATTAATGGAAAGTGTTAGAAAGAAGGGCCAAATTTAGAAAATAGTAGTTTATTTGAATTTAATTATATTGTGTAGTTACATTTGAAAATTGCTTTTGAATAGTAAGTCGCTGCCTTAGTTCTTGACTATCGGCTGGTGAGAGACTCTGTAAAGCTCTTTGGAAAATTGTACCTTTCTTAACGAGATCCAATTGAAATATTTCTAAAGCGGTAATCCACGAATCAATTGTTTTTGGATGCTCACGTATCCACTCTTCCGCCACCTTTTTTCGTTGAACATCCGGCTCGTTTAGTTGCTGAATCATCAGTGAATAAATTCCCGATGGTTTTGGATAGTACTTTATTAGTCTTTGATAAGCTTGATCAACTTCTCTAGAATTGTCTACGACCCATTGGAAGAAGTTTAATTTCAAAGAAGCATTTGAGATCGAAGATGACACGAAATCTGTAACGTATGAATAAACCTCGTTGCTCGCTTCACTATCTGTAACAAATTCCAAAGCTGTTTCAAAAACTGTCCAAATATCCGAAGGGGAGATTTCATTAGTAGCCTTCTTTATTATATTTCTTGTCTCTTGGTGAGGAGAGAGCATAATCTTTGATGACCATAAAGCCGTAGAATTTTTGTGGGTTCTTAATGCGAGACTCGTTAATTCGATTGCTTTTTCATTTCCCTTCATATTCTTCATGCAAATTATGCATTTGCATAGACTTTCTTCGTCAAGAAATTCGACGTAATTGAAAACTTCTCCAAGTAATTCTTCAACATTTTCTTCTGTAGCACTTTTTAAGCAAAAAGCAGCATAAATCGAACACATCTTTTTCATGTCATCTGATTCGCGTAAACCTTTTTTAAGGTGTTCTATAGATTCATTTAGCGAAGAGCTATTTTCTGCAAGAAGAGAAAAGATCAAAGGATTTTTAGGAAAGCGTTCTTTGATATTTTCTAAAATATGACTTTCAACACGATTTCCCCACTTGTAAGATGAGCAATAACTGGCAATTTTAAAAAGTATTGTCATTGAATTAGGGAGAGCTTCAATCATTTTGTTATAGACAAGTATAGGAAGCTTGGCGTTCAAAATAGCATCATTTGAATTTTGTGTAGATCTACTGATCTTTTCTAACTTTTCGGCACGTTCCATCATTTTCTCTGTAAAACACATTTCTGATTTGAAGTATTCAAACCATAACTCTTCTGATTCTTGATTGATATGGAGACCTTTTTGAAATAAGGTTCTCCCCAAATCCATATTTTCTACAGTATAAAATTGATACCTTGCTGCTCCAATCCATAAACTGGAATTTCTGCTGTGAGTCTGCAATGCTCGAGCATATATTTTTCCAGTTATTGTCTTCTCTTTACGTGTTTTGGCAAAATCAATATGAGAGAGCCACAATTTAACGTCATCTTGGAATCTTGCTTCGGCCAATCGAAATAACTTGTGAATTCTTTTAACAATTTGAATATCAATTTCCAACAATTTATGATTATATCCTATTTTTTTTCGTCTTTTCTTTATTAAATCTAATACGTTCATCTCGTATTTGATGTATTTGATGTAATCTCGTTTCTCTCTGGTTCTCCGTCTTAATTTGTATTCGTATTGCTTTCGTCGTCGAATCAATGTATTCGTCTCCTCTTTACTCATTAGTCCGATTCTGCGAAGTTGTTGTATCTCTGGGAGCATTTGCTCCATGGATTGTTGAACAAATTCAGCCATCGTGCAAAAACGTGCACAAGAACGATAATACAGATAGATGAACGATATTGAAGAGTTACAAATCGATTGACTATTTCGATCTGCTAAAATCGAAATATATCGACTAAGTAACACTGATAAAAGTTCCCCTAAGAGTTTATTTCACTCTAAAAGTTTACCATAGTAAATAAATACATAGAATCAACAACATAGAATCCACACTTGTGGTAATACGTACCGCTAATACTAAAAAAAACTAATAAAAAATAAAAATATATAAGTAAACCTTTACCATTATAAAAAAATGAATATCAGACACTTTTAAGTTGTTTTTAATAGGTTTTTAACAGGTTATCTTAATTATCTTTTAAGAAGTATTAAGTAGAAAAAAGTTTTGGTTAGCAGCAAAAGAAACACCAGTCTAAAGTAATATGGCAGCCCCCATTGCGATATTTCGCCGATTTACATTTACCAAAAACAAATCTAATATTCTATTATTATCAAGAAGACTATTTGGAAATAGTCAGAATCAATTTAAGGTAACATATCATTTCAATTTTCGTGTGTTTATGATCTTGGTTAATAGGAAATATCGCCATTTACTACTAATCATGCTTGGACTATTGATGAAGAAATCAAAGAGCAAATTATAAAAGAAGAAATGAATGCAAGGAGGCACACGGGATCTTATTTTTCTCAACCCAAAGCTCTACCAAAATCTTTAAGATACTCCTTAGAGACTGTCATAGAAAGTTTGTATATTTACTTAAAATAGTACCATATTCTCTTTTATTTAGAATTTCGTACAATACGTATAATTCGAACAAAACGTGCTCTACGAATTCTTTAATTGTATTAAATATTTCCCATAAGGACAATAAATTGCATAGGCTGAGTGTCTCAAAAAATTATTCTATTTATAGGCTTTGGCAATGCTGATATTGACAAACTGTCTAAAGATATGAACAATTTAATTTCGAGTAGAAAAGTCCCATTAGAAAAGGATGAAATACTTGAAATATTGCAAGAAATAGAAAATGAAGTAATGGAACAAGGTTTTTCTAGATTTTGACTGTTTAAATATTAAATAATTAAATTATCTAATTAGATTAATAAAATTGTCTTTCTTTTTTAATCTATATTATATATATATAGAGAAAATGTCTCCGGAACATTTACAATCTTTAGATGATAGGAAAAGAGAGAAGCATTTGCATTATATGAGAAATAAAATAATGAATATTGCCAGAAAACGTTCTTATAGATGGAAAGAAATCGAGTAATTTTCAACATTTTTACGACAAAATAACGAATATAAAGATGAAGAATTCTTAAATAACTTTCCTTAGATATACCCTTGCAAAGGCTCTAGCTTACGCAAAATCTCGTTTGCACTTCGAATATTCATGCTTATCGAGGATATTTTTTGAGATGAAGAAGAGAGATGAGAACTTTCGACCTCAAACGCTTTTTGATTTTGGATCGGGCGTTGGATCTGTTATGTGGTAAATTAATCTTTTAGTTTACTAATCTATTACTCAACGACATATATTACGTTCCAGGGCCTGTAATGATATGTGGCCAAAATCTATATTCGAGCATTTTTGCGTGGAAAAGAGCAGTTCTATGATAGAGCTAGCAGATTTATTATTACGTGGTATGGAAAATATGGAATGGTTGAAAAATTCCATTATATTAACACCTTTTATTGACATTCTATTAATTTAAAATGATTTTCAGATGGAAATGAGGCGAAAGAAAGATGCTTTAAAAATGTTAATTTTAAATCATATATGCCTAAAGATGTCAAAGGTGGCTTTGATATATGCGTGTCTTCGTTTTCCCTACTACATCTCACAAGCAGGGAAGAACGTTTAAGCACTTTAAATCAATTGTGGAAATTAACCGATGAATATCTTGTTCTAGTCGAAAATGGAAATCTTAATGGATTCAAAGTAATAAATGAAGCAAGAGATTTTATACTTAATGTTTGTATTATCTAGATTATTCTTTTCTATAATATCTATATTAGAAAATAAATATACTAATATAAAAAATACCCAGAATATCCACACGCATATTAAACATATACAAAAACAGTTGTATGGATTTATTTAATCATCTGTATTTATTCATTTTATTACACTTCAGATGTCAAAAATCGACCAAGATCAAGGGGGTTACGTATATTCTCCTGTAAGTTTTATTTATTTTATATGTATAAGAATGAACAATAACAAAAACAATAATGTTGTTATTATTTTCATTTCCAGTGCCCACACGACCTAGGTTGCCCTAGAATGAAACATTACGCGAAACCTTTATGCCCTTTCTCTATTTCTTATAGAAAGCAACTTGTAAGAGTTACTTAACCGTTACAGCTCTATTTTTTTTTTATTATTATTAATTGCCTTTAAAAGAAAAAACTGTACTATTATATTTATTCCCAGGAAACGCCAGTTGAGAACAAAAAATTTTGTTATTTAATTATGAAAAAAGGAAAACGACGGCCGGAAGACGTCGAGTGGCCACGATTAATGGATAGTGTAAAGAATCCACCAAGACAGGCTGTTTGCCACATGTGTACAGCAAGTGGCGAATTGCAAACTGCCGTTATTACTAAAGCTAAACACGGAAAGTGAGTAAAAAGAACATATAGAGAGTCTAAAAGCTTATACGGTAAATATAATAATCCCTTTTTCTGTAGAACTCTTTATCATTGCGTTCGAAATGGTAGGAGTGGTGATTTACTACCAATGGTGCCTGCTGAAAATACGAAAAAAGAACCATGATGGAAATGTGGAAATGTGAACAAGTTTAAAAGACAATTGTTCTACAGATATTTCTTGCAATTAAGTTTCAGGGAAAACTACTTCGAATACAAACTATCTCATTTCCTTTATTAATTCTTTTTTAATGCTTTAAAAACGGGAAACGTTAGATGGCGCAAGTCATTAAGGAAATATTTTCAACTAATAGACTCAAGTATTAATTGTCATTGTTATGCAGTTAAACGGGTTTATCGGCATTTATTCATTAATATTTCATATAGAAAGTGTCAAACCTTTATCTAAACCCTTTCATGGTGATTAATACGTATAATATATATAATAGACAGTAGAATTTGATTTTGGCATATCGTTTGAATACGACTAGTCATCGTTTTTTATCAACTAGAATATCATTCTCTTCGTCAATATCTACTTCTTTTTATGTTTAAAAAGAAATAATAAATCGTCAAAGACAGACAAAACAAATAAATATTCTGAAGGATAAGAAGAAAAGGGTATGAGAAGCGAAAAAATGGAACTAGAGGGTTTGGATTAGGGGGCGGTTAGAGGAGGAGGAGGAGGAGGAGGAGGAGGAGGGGAATACCGTTGAGAAAATGTTTTAATATTTAAGAATGAAGGTTAGGGAGTGGGGGGGGGAAGGTGAGCGGGGCGGTATAAACATTATATTATAAGCAGGGCGGAACTTTTAAGCCTAATGTATATTTTTTTTTTAATAAAAAAATTGTTCATTTAAAACAAATAGAGAGGTCGCAGGTGGTATTGTAGAATACACTGGCTTCATTTCCATTTGACTGTCTTAAGTGTGGATCGTTCGGCTTAATATAACTAATTTCCCTGTCGCTCATGATAATTATGCCAAATAAGTTGGCAGAGTCTCTCTCCCCCCCTCCTCTGCTCAACTCCGTGTCTTTCTTTTTTTCCAGGCAGCGGCGCTTCTATAGCCGCCGTAGCTCCGCTCTCGAATTCTCCCATATTCGCTTCGAACGTTCTCTAGACGGCTAGGAATTTTTTTTTGTCTACATTCAATAAAGCTTCTTTTATACGTCTATGATTTATATTTTACTAAGACAAATCCAAAGGAAATGTTTGTAAATGGATTATTAATCAGGAGTCAATACGTCCTGTTCCTCATCATCTTCGAACTAACAAGCAGAAGAAAGTCACCGTGGTGTACATCAGCCAACGGCGTCAATACAACTATAAACGGAATTTTAGAAGTTAATATTGCTGGATTGTTTGAATTAGAAAATTCTACTATAAGGCCAGAATTTGTAGCCGCTGGTTTAGCCATACAGCAGGTCAACAAAAAAGGTTTCATACCTGGCGTTCGATTATCCCTCTTCGCAAATGATACAAAGGTAAATAACCAAAGAGAAAAAGGTAGTAATAAAGATAAAAGGAGAGAGGAAAGAGAAAAATAGATAAAGATATAGAGTAAGTGAGCGAATAAGTAAGAAAGAAAGAGAGAGCTAGAGAGCGAGAGAGAGAGAGAGAGAGAGTGAGAGAGAGATAGATAGATAGGAGAGGAGAGGTGTATTAGAAAGAAATAAAAAGGCTTAGACTATTGTTATTCATTTCATTTTTTTTTAATAAATCAATAATCATATGGATATATTGATAAACTTAGATTTCTAATTATGAGAGCCTTTGATGTTTCTTTTTCTCTTCCGTTATTTTTTTAATCCGCATTTCTTTCATTCCCGACTTTTCTTCTCCTTTTCCTGATAGGCTCTGATTTCTTTTGGAGAATGCTACTTTTTTTTTCTTTCCTTCCTTGTTTCCAATTTAAGAAGAAAATTATCTTTATTAAGTTATTTTTAATAAGAATTTATACATCGGTTAGAATATTAAATGTTTACGGCACGTGCCATTTTATTTGCGGACGTTTGTTATCCAGCCACATGTGGTGTGTAAAGGGCGTTCCAAAAAAATGTTCTATTTTAACTATAATCTACTTCTATTCTTATGCTTATATTTATAAGACAATTTTCTTTTATTGACAGTGCGACGCTGGAAGAGGAGCAGATGCATTCTACGATTTTATATATAGAAAACCAAAATTGATGTTCCTAGTTGGAACCAAATGCTCTGAAGTTGCCAAAACTCTAGCCGAAATTGTTCCTTATTGGAACCTTTTATTTGTACTTATAACTTTTTATTATAAAAACTCAAATAATGCATAAATATTTAGTTTAATTCAAATTGCTGTAGATACAAAATGTCAAGAAAAACTTAACCTTTTGCAGATTTCTTACGGTGCCATTTCACCAGCTTTAAGCGATCGTGAAAAATATCCAACTTTTTTCCGAACTGCAACAGTCGACTCTTCTCATAATGATGCTAGAATACAATTTTTTAAATCTCTCAATTGGAATACATTCGCAACCATTCACGAGGATCAGGAGCTTTACTCACTGGTAAGTTTACTGGTTCCGTTTTATCTGTCTCAATCGTTCTCTTCTTATGATAAGTCCATTGGTCGGGCTCATTTGCATAAACGGCTTGACCTTGCTGTCGCTCCCGGTCTAATACTATTATACAGGCGAGAAAACGACGCTATTTCCTTCACATCCTCCTTTTTTCTTCTTGATTTAGTATTTTAAACCTAAAACCTTTTTACGTAGAGTTTGGAATGTTTCTCAGCTGGTGGTTTAGCAAGAGTAGTTTTAAAGTCTATTTCGAATGAAGCCACCCACTAACCCGAAATTCGATTCTCTTTTAACAATTCAAAAACAAATTAAAAAAGAAAAAAGGCGGGAAAAAAGTGAAAAGAATAAAATAAAGGGGCGGCGAACAGCAAATAAGGAAAAGTTTGCCTGTAAAATCCGATAAAGCTCATTTCAAATTCACCATAAAAGCCCCTATTCGCGGCCGACTTCAAAGCCTTCCGTCCGATTTTCACGTTTCGATGGCTGTCTGAAAGATTTTAAGCTTGTTTTTATAAAACTTAATATAGGCAATCAACGATTTGTCGAGGGCGTTAGAAAAAGCGAATATGACAGTCGAGAGGGCGACGACATTTCGAGGAACAGGAAGCGATGTTAGAGTAAAAATGAATATTTTAAAGGTATTGTCACATTGTTTTCATTACTACACTTTTCATTATTCAACAGTTAATTGAGTGACTCTCATTTTCTAGGAAGCTGACGCAAGGATAATTATTGGTTCCTTCCAAGAAGATGCCGCCCGACAGGTGTTTTGCGAAGCCTACAAATTGAGGATGTATAGTCCGCGTTATGTTTGGATTTTACATGGTTGGTATACTGAAAATTGGTGGACCAGTTCCAAGGGTACCAGCTGCACCGATGAGGAACTTGCCGTTGCGGTTGATGGATACATTAGTGTCGATAGCGTATCGGTTTTTCGTGATGGTCAAACGACATACGAAAGTATATCCGGTTTAACGCCCGACAAATTCGACGAAATCCTGTCGTCCCGAACAAATCAGTCTGGCTTGATCTACGCTTCCCTCGCTTTTGACGCTATTTGGACGTTAGCTTATGCTCTCCGTAAATATCAGTTATCGGAGCGTCATTTACCAAAATTGGATATGTTTAATTATAAAGGTGAAGAGGGTTTCAATATCTTCAAATCATTATCAGAAATTCTTGCTAATCTTGAATTTGCTGGAGTCTCGGTAAGCTTATTAATATATTCTATATTTCCACCCAATTTCTTGTCCTATAATTCAATAACTCGTAATGGAGCTGTTGCGTTAGGCGTTCATGCGCGAAAAATTGCCCAACCCAATATGACGCTTTGTAGACGTTCGGGATATTCTTATTTCCGCCAGGGACCCGTCTCCTTCCACGGACCGGATAGGCAGGGGATTAGCGTTCTCGAGCAGAATCAACACAGCCACATGCGTACCATAGCTTTGTTTTATCCGGAGAAGAACAGACTGGATTTACATTGCAAGTCTTGCAAGGAAATCTATTGGAAGAACGGAAAAGTAAATAAGTCAACAATTTAAAACACTCTTTTATCATCTTAAATATTTTAATTTAACTCATTTTCCCCTTATCCAACATTAATTTTGTAACATAAAACATCACTTACATAGGTTCCGGTTGATAAGAAAATGGTGATCACTCAAGCGGAAAGAATCGACGAGGATACATTTATAGCTGTTTGCGTAATATCTGCATTCGGGATTATTGTTGCAATCTCTTTTCTTGTATTTAATTTATATTACCGGAAATTGAGGTGGGTAAACTTTTCTAGTCGCGACTCTTCGTAAATAATATATAAAGTAGGGAAAAAACGTTCACGCGCCAGCAGAAACAGACGATTTCCGTCTGTAGAGTTTGCTCTGCAACGAGAAAGCAATAGTAATGACGTTTGCGTTCCTTTCTGTCTCTTTTTCATATCGAATTATTCCCGTCAAACGCAGATAATTTTGCCTCTCTCTTCTCCTTTTTTTTTCTCTCATTCTTTATCTGTCTCCGACTAGCTTTCTTTCTTTCTCTCTCTCTGTCTGTCTGTCTGTCTATCTGTCTCTCTCTCTCTCTCTCTCTCTCTCTCTCTCTCTCTCTCTCTCTTTCATTCTATCTAGCTCTATCCTTTCTTATCTACCTGATCAAATATCATCTCACTTTATGAATAAAAGTAAATAAAAAAAAGGGAATATTTTTTTTTCTTTTAAAGTAAATTGTAAGGAGAGTCGTAGAGACAGAAAAAAAAGGAAAACTAAAGAGGAAAGCGGAGGAAAGAGCGCACTTCGCATTTTTTAGGCCTATAATAAGGATTTCGCGTTTCCATTGGGAAATTATTGCGATCCGCTCGCCCATTGCTGCCACTATATACAAGCCGATTCGATTAGGTAGTTAAGAGAAATCTCTAACGGAATGCGTTGATTTCTGTTGGCAGATACATCAAATTATCCAGCCCGAAGTTAAACGATATGGCTCTTGCAGGATGTATACTTGTGTATACGTCAGTGATATTATTCGGATTGGACGATGGTAGCGTAAAAGATGAATATTTTCCAATAATTTGCTCGGTAAGAGGCAATAAAAAAACAAAGGAAAAGACTAAAGAAGACAGTCTTTTTCTTTATATCTATGCCTTTTGAAATACAACGGTATTTAGAGATATTTTTTACAGACGAGAGCCTTCTTGCTGGCGGCCGGTTTCTCGGCGGCGTTTGGTGCGATGTTTACGAAAACTTATCGGGTTCACCAGATTTTTACAAGGGCTCACAGTGGAGTTATTAAGAGCAAGGTACATAAATCAGCTAAAAATCTTGTTCCTAACAAATCTTTTTCTCGGTTATTCCTCACTCATTAATCTCATTCTTGCGCTGGCATAAAATAATAGAGAAAAAGGAAATAGGTCGATTAATTAATCACAATGAGAAGGATTCATAAAAAGAACTTTCTTTATAGCCAAGAAAGCTTAATTAGGTGGAACAACTGCGTTTCTATTGCAAGAGTAAGTCTCCAAGGCACGTTGACTTTTCGACTTATTATCATGGGGAATAACCAGAAATGATTTTTCCTCTTTTTATTAAAAATAAGGACAAAACATAAAACTCCAAGAATATTTTCGTACTCGACCAATATAAAAGGTAAATTAGGAATAAATATAAGACTATATCTATTTATAATAATATGCATAAAGTTTAACAATGGGCTACTTATTACTATAAAAACGTAGTAAATTCTATTTATATATTTTAGTATTGTCTCTAGAGACACAAAGGGAGCTTTTATATAAATATTCATTAATAATACAACTATAAATATAATGTATCATTTAAAAATAGTATCTTATTAGGTTGAAAAAAAAAGAGAGAATGGCTATAAAAAAGAAAGGAAAGCAGACTAATTGGATTCAATGAATGTTTCCCTTTTCGACCTTTTTTATATCTCTTTGTTATTCTACTCAGGTGTTCAGGATTAATTGCCTGAAAAGATTTTTGCGAACAATCGAATAATTTACTTGATACGTGTTCTGCAGTTGCTGAAAGATAAGCAGTTGCTTACGATAATTACTGGACTACTATTTATCGATTGCGCAATCATCGCTCTTTGGGTGGCTGTTGATCCGATGAAGAGAAGGACTAACAACTTTACAAGAGAGGTACGGTACACTAATCTAATTGTTCTTATTTTTTTATGGTCTATTATTCTTATTTTCCTCTTTTTATCTCATCCTTCTTACTCCTATTTGTTTAAAATGGTTGAGCAGTCGGAAGAAGGAGATGTAACCTACATTTATCGGATATCGCACTGCGACAGTGAACACTCAGATACTTGGCTGGGAGCCTTATACGCCTACAAGGGAGTACTACTGATTTTTGGTGTATATATGGCTTGGGAAACTCGAAGAGTAAAAATACCCGCCTTAAATGATTCTCACTATATAGGAATGAACGTATATAACGTTGTACTAACGAGCGCTATAGTTGTTGCTCTATCCAGTTTATTGGCCGATAGGCGAGTCTCTCTCTCTCTCTCTCTCTCTCACACACTCTCTGTGTCTCTATATCTCTCTTCCTTCCTTCCTTCCTTCCCTTTATCAAAAAAGGAATTTTCCCTTATTGTTGCCCCCCCTGCAGGCCGACCCTGTGTTACGCCGTCGTTAGCGGCTTAATCGTCGTCTCTACTACTTCCTCATTGGCTCTACTCTTCCTTCCTAAGGTCAGTATGTATACTTCAATTAATAGGGCAAAGATTATTGTTTACTGACAAGGGAATGCATAGCGGGAAGGCTCTTGGTAGAAAAGTGTGCGGCACATTAGTCGGGGAGGTAGTAATTGTATATTCCTAAGTAAACAATATCAATTTGAGTAAATGTCAGATGTTTGGCGAACGGAACAATTCGGTAAATTGCTAGAAAGTATTGCGTAATTTACTAAGTGCCTACGCAGGTCTACGCCATAATCAGGCATAACGGAAATCCGGTTATTGCGTCGACCGGCATTACGGTAGAGGCGAACACGAGGCGTTTCATGGTTGACGACAAGCAGGAAGTTTACTACAGAGCACAAGTTCAGAATAGAGTTTACAAGCGTCAATTAGTTCAGGTTAGTTACTTTTTCTCCCCCATCTCTCTTTCTCTCTCTCTTTTTCAGCTTCATTGCCTCTAAACAAATTGCAACCCTTTCGCCACATATAACTTTTTTCTAGCTTGATCAGGAAATCGCTCGTTTGGAACAACTCTTATCAATACCCGTTCCACCAGTTGGTCCCCTATCCGAAGATTTATTAGCCCTCTTGCCATTCGGTGATATAGAGAAGAAAGAGGAGCCCGTCGAGCCTAAAGCCGAAGCTCTAGCTTTTATCAGCACGTCGGTAACAGATAAGACAGATGCTAGGAAATTCTTGCGAAAATTCTCAATGACGGCTCTATTAGATAAAACTAATAAAAAACGTTCAAATCAAACCAGCCGTATTTCGACGGCTTCGGAACAAAGGCCTTATTCGCGCTCCCTTCCCTCAGAGAAGCCTGCAATAGTTGAGGAAGAGAATCAAGATGTGATAACAAATGAGGAATATCGCGAGAATAGTCCGCCCACCTCGTCGACTAAAGCTGCAGATAACAACGAAGACGACGGCTACGTCTAGTCCATGTACATAAAAGCAATCATACTTTTACGAAATATTTACCTTTTGTATATCTATCTACCCATTATTTATATACAATTAAGTAACAATATATATAAGTATATTTATACCCTTTAATACGTTTAATTATGTTTTATATACGCAATTATAAAGAATTATTTTCATAAACCTGAGTTGCAGAGGGAATCTATGTCGGTTAAAACCGCAAAGTCCAATAAATACATAAAACTTTTATAATAATATCTACTAATCATTTAGTTTATACTGAAATATAAACTAGAAATTGAAATTAGGCAAGATATCAATTATTTTTTATTAATCTTATTTATAAACTGGGACTGTAAAACGTTTTCTCTTTTCTTCTTTTTTTTTGAAATTTTGTTATTGAAATAAATAATTATTAAAATATATTGAAATAAATTATTAAAATTAATTAACAACTGTTATTTTATTTATTAATTTCTCCAGTCTTTTTATTCTGCTGGATTCTTGTCCAGAATTATGATTAGTAGGTCTAACTGGTTGAACGGTGGCAGCTGTAGGATTGCGTGATTTATAAATTTCTACTATGGCCGCCTGGTCAGCTCTCTTAATACCCTATGGAAAAATTAATTAACTTTTTTATTATTTAATATTCATTGCATGATATAAAGAAATATGTAATTTCATTTATTCCTTACCTTCATATCGAGAACTTTATGTAATTCTTGTACGTCACTTTCTGGTAAAAATTTAGCGTAATTGTCGACAAAAGAACTATTTGAAGTGTGAGGTGCCATGATTAACTTTAGAATCATTTCGGCTTTAAACATTCCCTTCAAGACTATTCTTGTATAGCTAGAGGGTGCCTTTCTTGCCACCTGACTTCCAATCGACGGTAAATCCAATAGTAGCGTTTTCAAAGAATGCGTATCTAACAGCAGCTGTTCAGCTCCGATTTCACTGATAGGCTTGCATTTCAACATAGAACCAATAAAACGTGGGGTGAACGACGAAACCAGCTTAATACAGAATTGCGTAAAATATTTCCTAGAAGCTGATAAATTCTCCCTGATAATTGGCACATTGTTTTTCAAATGGTTACATATGGAAGTTATATAGGCTGACTGATCCCCAACAGATTCTACGTTAAACCATTGCAGTTTTGTCATAGCAGTTAAAGCTGGCTCGCAGACATTTTCAACATCGTGTACAAGTATTTCAATGGCGCATTTAATGACCGAATGAAAAGCATCTATTTCTTGACCAAACTGAACTTTTTCATTCAGGTTTGGATCAATTTTCTCTTTCAACTTTGATTCCAATTGCTGGGTTGTTTCCAAACAATACTCTGCTGTGCATAGCAGGGAGCAAGTTTTCCACTGTTCATATTCTGTTAATTTATTCCATGATTCACCCTCTTTTAGAATTGATTGCAGAAGACTTGCTGTGCTGGTGTTACTCTTTCCGCTATTACTGTTGAAAAGAAAATATTTATAGTTTTTTCTGCTTTTATAATTAACCTCTATTAAGTGCAAGTAAAATAGCCATAAAACTTTTTAAATCGATTTAACACTACAATTTTCCGATCAATTTCGATATTGTCTATAAAATTCACTAATAAACATTGATTCTTAATTGTTCACCTTGGTAAATTTGTCATTAAAACTTTGTAAGCGTATTCTTTTAAATATTTTCCAAATGTTAGAGCTAATTGAAGCATCGGTTCGCCATTTGACAACTGAGAACATTGCTGCATACATTGTTTATAATAGACGAATAAGTCGGCGCAACTTGGCAATATATTTGAAGATTCGTCGGTAGCTTTCCGTTGACTTTGAGCTTTTAAATCCGATACGAATCGGTCAATTAATTCTGAAAGACTCCTGCAAAGAAACAAAACATCAATAAATTGCATTTTCATTCTTATTTTGTTATTATATATACAGTATATTTAGATAAGGAATTTTATGCCATCTGGTGCCTATTTTTAATATTTTGGAGAATTCTTGAGAATGATCTCAAGGTCTTTTACTATTTTCATACATAGCATAATAAAAAAACTTACTTATTCTGATACTCTATATAAATATTTAAATGAGGTTCAAAGCAGCGGGATATAACACCAATAAAAGGATGAGTAGATGTTCTTGGCGTGGGAACTGTGGAAGCAGCTGGTTCTTCTTCAGGATCCAAGAATGGATTCGTAGGTGACAAGGGCGATGTTATACCAGTTGCAGCCGCAGCTGTTACAATAGTACTTCCAGGATAACGTTTAGCACACAATTGTTCAAAAACAGAAGTTCTCTGAACAGCAAACAGCAATAATTTCATATCAATATCATTTACCCTCCTGCTCATAATTTTCGATAGTTCTCTTCTAGTCTGATTACAAAATTCTACACACATGCGTTCTCCGACATACCAATGAATCGGAAACCATTTCCCTAATTTATCTTCAAAATCGACAAGTTTACGTTTTATCCACGTATATCTTTTGTCAATTTTATCTAGCCAAGCATCCTATAGTTTTATAATATGAAAAAAATCGAAAGAGACGTTAGTAATAATAAATAAAAAAACAAGTTCCTTACATCTTGTTCCTCTGAGAATAGTATCGCGTATTCCTCTAATTGTAATTTTACAAACCAAGATAGAATATCAGATTTTACTTTTTGGTCAAGAACGTCTAATATTTTACAAGCTTCCATAATGAGTTGTTGTTGTTGTAATAGCTTTTATGGAGTAAAATAGAAATTTATATTGATTTAGTTTTGAAAAAACATTAAATTACTTTAGAAGCTGGTCCCTTAAAAGCCCTCTCAAAATCTTCTCTTATTTGTAAAGCTAATTGCGTCTTAATGGAATCCTCTCTGTTTAAGTAATTAACTTCATTTTATAGTTTTAATAGAAGTACAAAACACAAACCGTTTAGCAAGTTCGCTAATTTGTGGAATGTCCATGTAACGTTGTAAATGTTCGAAAACATGAATTACACCTTGAAGAAGTTTTGCTGCTTCTTTGTATTCTCTTCTTTGAGTTAGATGAGACAATTGGTCAACACCTTCTACGAGCATTCTTACATGGTTTAAAACAGTTATTGCTATGGTTAAATGCCTTTTTGCATTGTCTAATTGTTTGATATCTCTTGTTATTTCTTTTACCATTCTCTCACTTTTTTCAGCTTTCCCTTTTATATCAGCAATTTTAGTAAAAAGTTCCCTAATTGTTCGTTGAGCTTCAAATAAGGTTTCTTTGCCACGCTCAGCTCCATTTACATCACTCCTAACAACGCCTAAGATTTCAATGTCAAGTTTCCTAAAAATGAAAGATAATTTCTAGAGTTACTAAAGAAATAGATATGAAAAACAGCACTTCTAGCTCTTCTTGACAATTCAATTCAATTTCTTACTTTTGCAAATAATTGATTTAAATATCGATTTTGATTTTTAGATATTAAATTTCATTAAATATACTCAAGAAAAATGATCGTACTTGAGTTTTCGCTGTTCTTGGTGGATAACATCATCAATGTTAACCAGAGATTGCTCACTGGGGAATAGCGTATTTATATACTCTACAGCATTAAAATCTGGTTTGTCCAAAGAATCAAAAACTGGAATAACCTGTCGATTGTATTTTTATTTTGAATATAGTGCATCAAATATAAAGAACGTTACAAAAATTCGCCTATATTTTAAATTTTCGTTAAAATATATTATATATAAGAAGATAGAAACGAAATTTTTTATATAACAAATAGACCTGTTGGATAGCATCCTTTACTTCATCATCAAATGTTATTGCAGCATGTAATATAGCATCTTCTGTTAATTGATCGTCGTCATCACACTGATCCGCCATTTTGGATGTAGTATGAATCATAAAACTCATTTATGCACTAGATGTCGTCTAGTTAAAACTTAAATAACTTCGCTAAAGAATAAAATAACTGAAAATGAGTTTTTTTTAAAACAATGGTGTATTCTATTAAAAGAACTTTATTAATTTGCAATTGATTAGACAAAGTATGCATTGGAAAAAACTGTTGGATTTTTCATGAGATTCAGAGAACTTTTTTCCTTTTAAGAAGCAATCTACATTGTTAAGGAGAAGGAAGCACTTTTGAACAGAATATTTAAAAAAAGAAACGTAAACATTTCTTACATTCAAAGAGCAATTTATGCTAATTAATTTTTTAAGCGACTATTCTATTCATGTAGAGAGGTATCTTCTTATATTTCTTGAAAAATTTAGTCTTATTTGGAACGCTTGATCTTAAGTTTTCCCAAAAAAGGGAAAACATTAATGGTATCCTTTGAAATATTACTCACGTTCGATGTTCTACCATTTCTATCTCCTACACGACCAATTACCGCCTCGGAGCTAGTATTCTTCCTGGGACGTATTTTGTAATAGTAAATATAAGCGTAAATTGCTCCAAGAACCAAAACAAGTCCACAAAGGACTCCGGTAATTAGGAAAAGAATTTCAGAAGTGTTCAGAGCCATTATGGAACAATTGAAAACTATGAGAGAAGCTAACTAAATATTGATGAATTTTTAATTGCTCATTCTCATATGAGTATTGTAATTAAGTATGGGAATTCTTAACCTAAATCAGTTAGATTCTTCTCACTTCTTTTAAACTAAAAAAGAATATTTCTACTTTCTTCGTTGTCTCTTAATTTCCTTTGACACTTTATTTATTAAATTATTGATCTAGGATCTAAAGACAGTATGAAAACTTTAATCTGCAGTTCTCTATAATTTATAATCGATGGATAGAGAGCGCCACCTTAAAGAATTGTCTACATTCCTTTAATATATACTGATATTTCTGAATTTCGTATCATATTATGTTTTTCGGCACGTGTTTTTCTTATTTATAAGAAACTGTTTTAGAACGAATTGAATGAATATCTGATGAATCTTTATAAAACAAATAATTATTTTATCATTAATTAACTTGCTTGTTTGCAAGAGGAAAGCGTACGATATGAAGAAACAATCAAAAACAGAGTCTTTACAAGAATGCCAGAACTGTGCAATAACGATTAGCACAAGGGATGTTGACAATCACAAATCAGTTTGTGGAAAATCTAGAAAAGAATATGATCACTCTTTTATTGATAGCTATGAATTGAATGCTAAACTAACAACAGGAGATGTTGAAAATGAAAAAGTAATATATGCTACTCCAGTAATAATGAGGCACTGCAAATTTCGAATTGGTAGACCAGTTTTGGTAAATAATAAATTCTTATGTAATATTTGGAATAAAAATAGTCTACCGACTTTAACATCCGTTCAAGTTCATTCAAAATTCGCTTATAAATTTCAAATAAAAAAGGACATGATAAGTCTCCGATCTTATTCACAGCATATTCCATTAGCAGGAAAAATTTATTGGACACTTAATAAAGAAAATACAAATACCAATAAAGATTGGTTCGATGGAGTTAGTAGTTTTCTTAAAATTACTTTATACGACGAATACGTCAATAAGGATTTATCTATGAATTTGATGTACTTAGGAGTTCCTCTTTCTGTTTGTATTAAAGATATTAGGGGACTTAGGATTTTTCAGAATCTTTCACTAGAAGACGAGAAATACTATCGAGTTTGCTCGGATACTGTATTCATTAACGAAACTATTCGTAAAACTGAAAAAGAACACTCTACAGACTTAAGTTTCGAAGATATTGGCGGATTAGCCGATGTGAAAGATAAACTTGTTGAATTTGGTAAATTGTTAGAAAAGCAACATACATCTATTCTTCCTTCTGGAATTCTATTGCATGGACCTTCTGGAACGGGGAAAACGTTGATCGCTAAGGCTTTTTTAAGACACCTTCAATCTAAGGATATTTATAAAGTTCAGTTTAGTTCAGGAGATATCTTAAGCAAGTATCAAGGCGAATCTGAATCTAAAGTTAAAGCGTATTTTAACGAAGCTCGAACAAATTCACCATCTGTTATTTTAATAGATGATATAAATGTAATATGCGCAAAGAAGGAGTCGGAAAACGTTCTCAAGAGAATTGTTTCGGTTCTGGTAACAGAAATGGACTCAATTACAACGACATCTTCGCCAGTTCTCGTTATAGCCACTAGTAATAAGACTGACGAAATAGATATATCCTTACGAAGAGCAGGCAGATTGGAATATGAAATTGAAATACCAGTTCCCAATGAAAGAGATAGGAAAGAAATATTGCAAGGACTGCTTTCTAAAATAAAGGACTATGAGGAGTTTGATATTGAAGAGATTTCCAAGAGGGCTCACGGTTACGTTGGATCTGATTTAGTAGCAGTTATTAAGGACGCTCGTTTTTCAGCTCTAAAAAGCAATAGAAAATTGAAAAAAGAAGACATAGTATTTTCTTTAAATCTTATCAAACCATCAGCCATAAGAGAGATAATCGTTTCCGTTCCAGACACTAGATGGAGCGATATTGGCGGTCAAGATACTCTGAAGCTAAAATTAAAACAAGCCGTAGAATGGCCTATTACGAGGAGGGAAGCATTCCAAAAGCTTGGTATCAAGCCCCCTAGAGGATTGTTAATGTTTGGGCCCCCTGGTTGTTCAAAAACTTTAACAGCTAAAGCTTTAGCTAATGAAACAAATTTAAATTTTCTAGCAGTTAAAGGACCAGAGCTCCTTTCAAAGTGGGTAGGCGAATCAGAAAGAGCCGTAAGGCAACTATTTCAAAAGGCCAGGCAAGCTGCACCAGCAATAGTTTTCTTTGATGAAATTGACGCTATCGGTAGTAAAAGATCGTCCGAAGGGTCATCAAGTTCTACCGATGTCTCAGATCGTGTTCTAGCTCAATTATTAACTGAAATTGACGGTGTAACAAATTTAGATAATGTGACAATTGTAGCTGCAACAAACAGACCTGACAGAATCGATCCAGCTCTACTTAGACCTGGAAGAATAGATAGGCTTATATATGTTCCCCTACCAGATTCAGAAACAAGATTAAAAATCCTACAGATTCACTGCAGTAAGACCCGCGTATCTGAAGATATAGACTTAACTGAGATAGTAGCCAAAACGGAAGGATATTCTGGAGCAGAATTGGAGGCAATAATTAGAGAAGCAGCCCTATTGGCCATAGGGGATAATAGTCAACAAATTACTAAAAATCACCTAGAAATGTCTTTGAAAATTGTTACCCCTAGAACAGATATGAAAATGATTAATTTTTATGATAAATTTGCCTTAAAAACTAGTCTATCAAAATAGAGCACTTTAATTTGTTCACTAATTAATACTATATTTATATATTATTAAGGTTTTTTTCTCCTTTGAAAGCCGCCTTGTTTTTCGTGTAATTAGTCTTCCAAAGTAAGCTACAATTTTGATAAGCTTAATGAGTCTGCATAAAACTCAATTGTTACTTCGCAAAGTTGTTTGTTCGATTCATCATTATACATTATAAAATATACTATTTCTGGCCGGGACGTATTCTGCCATGTAATAATTCGAAGAGCATCTCCTTCTACACATTCTCCTGAATGGAATTTTCTTACGTACTTGGCATGGTAATGAGCAATATCTTCCTTAAAAAATGTATAAAAATTCTTACGGAGTGCCATCGAAGCACAATTGAGACATAGTTTCGCATAATCAGCCTGATTTACATGCATGTTCCAATCAACTTCCTCGCAGGATACTATTGTTTTATATTGAAATACGTCAGATGGAGCCTTAAGCCTACTAATTCGATTGCTAGGTTGAAACTTAGCGCCCTCGTCCTTGATAGTTTTCAAGATCGCATCACTTAACTCTCTTGATCGTCTTGTCTTTTTATCAACGGCAACCAAACAAGTGCGATTTTCAAATAAGATTTCTTTTGTTTTCGGATTCCTTAAGGAAGATAATAAAATAAATGAACTTTTTCCATAGGTCGATATTCTTTGGTCGTAAATAAAATGATCCAAAAAATGTTGTTCTTGTGATGTTACTCGGTAAAAGTTGTACTCGGCCCTAGATTCAGACCATAGACTAAACAATAGGTCAAAATCCACGTCACGACGTGGAATCTTTCCGTTCTTTATATTAAGTGCAATATTAGCGTTATAACGAATACTATCCAGAGCCCATGGTTTAATATTAACTGTATAAATATATAACAAAATAATAATAATTCATCAAATATATGCTAATTTTCTTTACTCACATCGCCTATTATAATATCTAACACCAAAAAATGGTATTTTAATATCCTTTATATAATTAAATCCAAGCGTTACCATTCTTTTTCCTGGTCTTAATAGAAAAATAAACCGATACTACTGTCAAAATCTAGGACTGTAAAAGAGAGAAGGCTATATAAAGATATGGAAGCATAGGACTTTTTTCAAGCGGTCTACTATCAAAGGCCTGATTAAGATGAATAGATTACAAAAAAAAAAAATCGATTACATATGGAATATTTCAAACTTAGTTCTTTTGGACAGACAATATGAAATATCAATCATTTAACACTTTATAGTTTTTATTTGCTATTATTAAGTATACTATATATACTTAAGGATATACAATTAATAAAATATATGTTTTTTTATTGTCTATGTTTCTAAAATGAAAAATAGATATATAAAGCCTATAATCACTTTCTAAGTTACTTTATTAATAGATATAAGAGTTTTGTTAATATGTCTATTATTTTTAATTACATTCAAAGTTCACTGAAACCTTTCCTCCGTTACACTCTCCATCGAGTAATCTTTCTATAACATATTTTATACAATCTTCAACGTTTTCACCAAAGTCATCCATATATTCGTCAAATACTCCAGGTAATTTGAAACGGAATCTACTATAGCCAAATTTTTTTGCAAGTGCATCAAAAGTTTGACATTGTAGTTGACTATCTAATAAATTCCAATCTAATGCATTGTATACGCTATTAATTTGGTAATTAGGCCGAATTATATCGGGGTTATATTTTTTTTGTTATCGTATATATTAATATTTAAATTAAAATTGCAAAAAAATGAATGATTTAGTGAGTTTTTATAGATAAAATCAGGCCTAACCGTAAAGGATTGGGATGTTCATGTTTACTTATTAATGCAAAATGAATACGTTCGTCAAAGTTGTTATCTTGAATAGAAAATTTTAGTCTTGGATCTTTTTCACTAAATCTAACATCTCCTTTTGAATTGTACGGACGATTACACCGTAATATACCATTGTAGATGGCGGAAGCATCAAAGCTAAGGCCACCAACGTTGTAACGTTGATCTTTGTCGGGAATGATGCATAATCTTTCAGTTAAAGTTGTATGGAATACCCAGGCATTATAACAATTAAGAAATAAGCCTTTCCTAGTACATTCATGTACCAAATTCAAGTCTATATAAGCTACATGTTCTGCCTTAATCAGATAGTTTTGAAATTCTTTGGATTGAACAACACATTCAAAATTTAAGCAATTATTCAAAGATGGAAATTTAGCAAACAATTCCTCTAGGCTTACTCTAAATTCACTAATTGCGTTGTCTATTTTGTCTTTAGAGTTGATTAGACGCTTACGGTCGTAGGGTTTAATTAGATTGACATTGCAAATATCTTTTATTTCTCCCTTTGATTTTTTAGAAGTCATGATGTTATAAAGATTATTTTTTGCTTGTATTTTTTTTAATAATTTTTCTCTTAAGTTTTCTTTAGTTTTCTTTTTGAATTTTTGAATTATTGAACATTTATGAAAACGTATACTTTATTATTGTTTTTTTTTTTGAATATTCATAATTATCACAAGGATAAATAGATTAAGACTAGATTAATTGACTTTCGTTTATAATTAGTCGTTGTTTGAAAGTTACTTTTGATTAAAAGAGATAAATAGATGTATGTATGTTAAAAAAAAAAGTAAAGGAAAAAGAAATAGGTGAAAGAGGAAGAGGAGGAGGAAGAAGCAGGGAGAAGATAAAACAAAAAAGTCTCCCTCTCTTCTTATGTAAAATCTGTAATAGTAACATCCGACAAGTTGACAGAATTTGAATCGCTGTTGGCCCACATTAAACAATAATGCTCTAGCAATTGATCTAATAGATCCTTTTCATCAAATCTCTCCAGTTTTTCTAACCTAAATTTAAATAAATAAACTAAAAATAGAATGAAAATAAAACGAAAAAGAAGAAAGAAAGAAAAAAGAGAGAAAAGAAAACAAACCTCTGTTTTTCAGATGTCGATAAATTACGATAAACATTAGTCATCTCAAGACACTCAACATTCTTCCATCCATTTCTCTTAAATCTAAATAATACGAAAATAATAATAATAATAATAATAGAAGGGGGAAATTTAAATCAATAAGGATATCTTTAAAACTATCCAGAGTAATGGCGTTTAAATTGCAATGTATAAATGTATCATTATTAATATTACAATATAATACCGGTTAATCTGTGTATCAACACTTTGACAGGCTTCAACTCCCCGCAATTCTGTATTTCTTCTTTTTAAATTAACTATCATAACTTCACCAAATCTATCTTCCATATTCACTTGCTCGTAGTTAATGAAAGCTGATGTTGGGAATTTCGTGCTAATCCATTTCAATAACCGATCTGAATATTCCATATCCAAGTAGACTAGAACGCATTCAGTTATAAAGACGGTTGGTAGATTTGTATCTATTCGACAGGATTGTAGTTTGGCTTCCAGCTGTTTCAATTCCCTTATATCAGCCGAAACCAAATGGTAATCGTTCGAATGGATTTCGGTCCTGCTAAGCTGAATGTCGTCCTCTATAGATGTTTTTTATTTGGCGTTTATTAAGAAGAATTGCAAAAATAAGATTAAGAGGATTAGGGAAGGGATTTATCGTCGTTTATCTTAAAACTTATGAAAAAGAGCAAGGGAATAGTTAAAAATAACTGCTGATAGTACTTTTCCGTAGATATTCCAACCGCTACAATTACGCTTGTCATTACATTATTTATGGAAAAGAGAAGAAAAAAATCAGATACTGATTAGTTACTATGGTAACAACGATTGAAAGATTTCCTCGGAAACGTTTTATCTATTCTAAGGAATTTGCTTTTCCCTTACCTTCTGATTGTAATTTCTCAAGCAGGTCCATTTGCTCTTTAATTATTCGACATTTCTTCATTGTAACAGCTGGAAAGTCTACTTCAATAAAAGACTTTGGGGTTAAAGAGTCATCTTTCAAATTCCAATAGGTTGTGTCGTAGCCAGCTCCTAGATTTACAATTTGGCAATTGCCTTCTGTTTTCTAATGAGAGTATGTGAAAATTAACTTTGCGTATAGAACTTATAGGAAAATAAAAAGTACTTTTATAAACTCTTTCAGCAAATATCTCACGGAATGGACTCTTGTGTAATATCCAATACTTATCTCTGGTGATTTTCGCTCAGGATTTTCATAAAAAAACGATATGTAAGAATCTTTCCAGTAGCCTCTTTGAACTGCAGAAAGTTTGCAAGAAGAAGCGTCATCATTAGTCAATTGAACGGCATCATCGTTGAACGACATTTTGATCATTGCAAGCACAGAAACAATCTTCACCGGGAAAAAGAAATTTATTTCTATGGACTACGCATCTCAAATGAATGGGATTTTTTTCGTTTTTATTTGTAACAGTGATACAAACAATTTGATTTGTCGTTCAATTATTAAAAGTAAAAATTTAGTGAAAATCAACATAATTTAACTGATTTACTTCTTAAATTAAAGCAAGTTTAACTTATCAATAAAATTATGTAACTTTACTTTAAAAAGTCATGTAAAATATTGTACATGTATTTTATATGTAAAAAAAATATGTTAAAACTATTTATTATAACTTTTGTTCTTAAAAGAATAAAATAGGGATAAGATATAATAGAATAAAAGAATAGAAATAAAGATTAATTGAATCATAAAATATTGAAAATTTAAAGTTTATCAATATAAATACATAGTTAGAGATGCTTTGAAAATGTACATATGTTTCAATCATGTAAATGGATCATCTACTTTCCAAAGAATATATAGAGGGCGCTCTTAGTAATGTAAGTAAATTGTACACGGCCAATCTTATGTACATTTTTAAAAGTCAATATGTCCACGAAATTATTAAAGTCTTTCTCAGAGATACCAGGACCCAGGGGATTACCTTTTATAGGCAGCCTACTAGATTATACTAGATTTGGAAAATATTCATTCGATAGGATTTACGAAGCTTTCGAGCAGAGATCGAAGATTTATGGTAAAATTTATAAAGAGAAACTGGGTCCTATTACTTTCGTTCACGTTTCCGATCCTAAAGAGATATTGAAAATTTTGCAAAATGAACCAGAATATCCTAATAGGCTTAGACCGCCTATTTTAGAAGCACTCTGTAAATTTGACAATTATCCTGCTGGATTTTTAGGCAACGGACAAGAATGGTGGAATTATAGACAACCAGTTCAAAAAATATTGACGAACCCTTCCGCCGGTTCGGCCTACTTATCGGCGCAGAGTAAGGTCGCGGATGATCTAGTTGAATATATTAATGAAATTTCTAAAGAGGACGGCAAAGTACCAAACACATTAATAACTTTAATGAAGTATACAATGGAGTCAATAGGTATAGTTGCATTTGATTCTAGGATTGGTGTATTCGAGGATGGCGACATTCGAGTAGACGCTGAACACTTATTAACTCTACTTATGAGTTTTTTTGACATGTTTAACAAATCTCTGTACATGTTTCCTCTATTTTTGTACTATAGAACGCCATTTTATAAAGAAGTCAGTAGGATTTCTAAAGATTTAATCGATATTATGGCCAAACTTATAAAAGAAAGGAAGAAAATTGACAGTACTATAATACAAGATACTTTAACGAGTGCCGGTTGGACGGAAACGGATAAACTTTTCCTGGCGAATTCTTTGTTTAGTGCCGGAGCAGATTCAACCGGTAATGCCCTCTGTTTTTTCTTGTATAATTTAGCTAAAAACCCTGAAAAACAAGAAAAACTATCGAAGGAAATAGAACAAACATTTTCGAATGACGAAGAAATTACCATAGAAAAATTGGAACAGTTAAGTTATCTTAAAGCTTGTCTAAGAGAAAGTTTTAGGATCAATCATCCAGTGATAGCGGGACCATCTAGAGTTGTTCAAAAGCGTCTAGTGATAAGCGATTACGAGATACCGCCGGGAACAGTTGTATGGATGAATTGCGAAACTGTTTGTAAATCGGCCGAATATTTTACAAATCCAAAAGATTTCGAACCGGAAAGGTGGCTAATTAAAGAAGATGGAAGAAGAGCGGGAATTCCGGTAGGTTGTCTCCTTCCCTTTGGCTACGGAAGGAGGATGTGTATAGGAAGAAGATTCGCCGAACAGGTGATTTACTTAGCCGCTATAAAACTTCTGAAGGCTTATTCTATTAGAGAAAGTGGCGAAGAACATCTCGGAATGATAAAAAGAACATTTACTGCTCCAGATAGAATCGTAAATTTTCAATTTATTAGAAAACAATAACATCAATATATTACTAGATAAATTATCAATTCAATACAAACAAATCGTAAATAAACAAACAATATAATAAAATATTCCAGTTAACTTTTTACTAATAATGAGTTTAATGAAGAAGAGACAGAGAGAGAGAGAGAGAGAGAGAGGGGAAAACGTTAAAAGTAATTGAATTGTATGACGATATGGTTCGTTTAATAAACATTTCTATCATTTTTATAGATTAATTATCATCATATTCTACCCTTAAATGTCACATCAATTGTAAAATATTAATATTTATCATATACCTTATAAAAATAATGAAATATGTATCTTCCATTTTCTTTTTCATAAATAAGTATACCATGAATAAGATATAGAGATGAGAAACAGAAAATTTTGCGTCGTATTAGTCATTAGTATACCTATTCATTCCTACTTAAAAATACTAATATATGTACACAGCGTGTGTATATAGCCGGTATATAATATATATATTTCTCATAGTGTACTCTCTACTACAGACTGATGATATACCTGGAGGTGTGGTGAAATAAAAATTTGCGTTCCCTACCCGGAAGGGACTTGTAACAAGAGTCTAGTAATTTTTGATGAATCATCCAACGAAATTGAGGTTTTTTGACGGGTTTTTTGTTTGTGCGTTGTTTCTAAATTTATATATATAGATAATAAATTTTACAACTTTGGCGGTAGTTTGTGCCTTGCGCTGGACAGTTTAATGTAAATAGAACGTTCTCCCTCTTTCTTTTACTGGTAATTTATTTTTGTTCTATCGTTTAGTTAAATTATTCTATCTCTTTTTTAGCAGAATATAATGATTTATATTATTTCATTGACTCTTTTTCTCTGGTTTTCATGAATTAAGTATGATTTTTTACAATTATTCTTCATCTTTAATAAGAACAGTAATAAGTTATTTTCTTTTCTGACTACAGATGGCGCGGGGAAAATGACAACTGGCACCCCTGTTAAAGTATATCAACTCGACTAAAAGAGAGCGGGAGATGCTCACCTCGCAAATTCCACTCAACAACTTCGAATGATTCCGAACCTGTTATAATACGTCTGCTTGTAATCGACTTTTAATCCCTTATTGAATCGATTGATCGGAATAAAGTGAGCAGGATTATCGACCTACAAAATATTGGCAATGGCCGTTTGATAAAGGCGTCGTATGCGCTGGAGAATATCTTGTATCTCACAAATATCTTCCCTCAAAGGTACGTCTAAGACAACATAATACTATTTAAACTAGCTTATTTATTAGAAGATCTTAATATTGTAACGGTAATTAGAGTGAAAACTTGATAAAATAACGAGAAAAACTTTATACTTTTTCTTAGGCCTTCATTTTTTTTATGAATCCTGTTAAATAATATTTTAATGCTATTATTCAATCGGGGGGGAATAATATCGGTAATTTCTTGCTCTTTTTATGAATATATATATATATTTAAGTCGATTTTCCCTTTGCTATTATAGCAATTTTTTTCAATAAATACATATAATAATCTTCTATAGTAATTCCTGTATTAGTGAAAAAGTGTAAAGACATAAAAGAGACAAGGGAGTGATAGTTTGAATGAAAAGAGAGACTAACAGAGAGAGAGAGAAAAAAAAAAAAGAAAGAAAGAAAGAAAGAATTAACCTTACGGGAAATGATTGAATATTTTTCATTTTTTTTTCAACATTTGTTTATTTTATAGTCGATAATTTTGGAAAAATTTATCGAAATGAATTCAATTGATTGTTAAGGGTTTAATCCACCATGAAATTTGATTGATTGAACACACCGGTATATTTTTCACTACAAACAGCTGCTTTACTATAATATTATTAATTTTTGGTATTAATAATATTCTATAAGATAATTATTATTCCAGTTTGTTGAGTAAAAATTGTTGCATACCAGAGAGAGAGAGAAGAACACTTAGGAGAAATTATTTTTAATATAATTTCTCTGTCGTTTGTAGTAATGTTCATATATTGACTAAGTAAATTTAACCTTTCTATAACTAATCAGTTTAAAATTTTATTCAAACAATTCAAGTTTGTCATTAATCTTCATTACAAAGTAGAAATATTTGATCGAACTTTACACCAGCATATTTTTCAACAGCTGTGTTTTCCATAGCTTTATATCATTGAACGGAGTTTTTTTTTAATGTTTGTTTCTTTAAAAAAAAAACATCTTCTACAAAAATCTTTCTCTGTCTCTCTCTCGCTCTCTGCTGTTTGTCAAACCTTACACACCTGTAATTATCTTTGAAAATTACTCGCACTTATTTTCACAAACTTAATTATTTTTCACTAATTGATTTGGCAACCGTTCAAATGTTTTAACTAAGTGAAAAAAAAAATTTGAAAAAAAAAAAAGCAGATGTCGTTTCTTTTGTCTTTCGCTATTTTGGTTAACCCTTTCTATCCTCTTCCCGCATTTATATATCCCAGATGCATGTAGATATTCATAAAATTAATTATCGTTTAATATAAAATTGAACTTTAACGCCCTTTTAGTTCTTTTATGGAGTGTTTTGTAATTTTTTTTTGTCTAAGAAAGAGACTACTTTAAATGTAACGAAATAATAGGGAAAAATATGTGTGAAGAGAGAAAGAGAGAGAGATAGAGTGGAATGTTTTTTTTTATATAAGGTTTATTTCGATTGAATAAATTATAATAAAAAACATAGAGGAATATTAAAAGTTTGCCTTTAGGCTAGAAAGAACGGAAATGTTTGTATTTTTTTTATTCGTGAGCGACTAAAAAACAGGTGGAAGGTTCGCCAAGTGCGTAAAAAAATATATATATTTTAACCCGTAAATCTTTTATTATAGAATACAAGTTCTTAATTTTTAATTGAATAGAAAAGTGTTCTAGAATGACAGCTCCTTTTCAACGCGAACTAGATTTAATATGGCAAACTATATGGAGACGAAGAATAGGGGGTTTGTCTCTGCCTCTCCTCTGAGATAAGATCAAACGCAGTACAAATCCGCCCATTGGTTTGTCTACATAGAAAACATTCTAGAATTTTTGGGATAATATTTTCCCAGTATGTTTTAATTTATTAATAGTTTTATTGAAATGAACTAACAGAAGGGAAGATCGTATTAGTCTAGAGAGAGAGAGAGAGAGAGAGCAGAGGTAGACGTAATAATCTAGTTTTTTATTATTTATTACTTTATTAAGTTTTTAAGTAAGGTAATTTTCCAAAATTATATTAGCAAAAAAGAGTAGAAGATTAACAAAGTACAACTGTTTTTCTTCAAGGCAAATAGTACAATTTGAATTCATATATTTCATACAAATTGAACACTTCTATGAATTGAACAGAGAATAATTGCTTTTCGATTTCCTTTAAATATACATTGAACGGTTCATATGTTCTATTGTGCATATTTACAGAGCTTCATCTGTCACAACAAAGCCTAAAATCACAAAACAATTTTATTAATTTTTAATGATTCAAACCGTTAAACGTGAAATATTATAAATTTACGATAATATTAGTAGAATTTATTGACACTTCCGGTTCTTTTTTATATTTTTGTTGTTTTTTATTCTTAAATATTTAACTAAAACTCGGTAATTTAGTAAGTTTTCATTTCTTTGTTTAATTTACAAACTAAGTGCTATAAATATAAAACTCGAGTAGTTCAACCGCCCAAGTAGTAGCCGAGATGTGTATAAACAATGAAACCTTCATTGATTCGTAAAATATTACACTTCTACAGGTTATTATATTACGTACTTAACGCTTGTTATTAAATTTGAACAAAGTGGTTAAACCGCTATGATATTATACATTTTTTAAAAATATAACGCAACATCACGTGACATAACCTATATTGTATATCGATATATTGTACATATTGTACATCGGGTATAATTTTCACACGGCTACTTATGTATTCATAGGTGTTTTATGCGTTGTTGACGGTATAAGATTGTTTCGGACAAATGTACAAACTTATGGCTAATCATATAGAATTATTGAAAATATAAAAGGCTAATGTAATTACCTAACAATGTAGGCTTACGATTTAACCTAAGCCAATTAAAGGTGTTTGTCGTAAATCGCTATAATTATTAATTTTATTATACAACTCTCTTTTCTTTATAATTCATAATAATTTCATTTCTATTACCAATAGGAGATTTTGAATATTTGATTGATTATTATCTATTATTTAAACAGTTAGAGTACCTATACTCGCGAGAAAATATTACGAAATTCAAATGAAAAACCGTCGCTTCCCTTTCCCTTCCCATCTTACAATCTTCTCGCGCCTTCCATTCACTTCCTTTTTCTTCTTAGAAAGTTCATAAGTAGATTATTATCTTGGAGTAAAACGTTTTCGGCCCTAGAGATAAACATCAAAGGCGAAAGCAGAAAAAGCGCGTGTGTCGCGCCAGTTTGGCAGAAATAAAAACAGTCTAGAATCATTATAATAACATCATCAAAGTGTCATTTTATTTTATTAGCTGGTTTCTATTGCAAAGCAGACAAACTCGTATAGATTCCTTATAATCTTAGGCTAATCCATAAATCGGTTTTTTTTTCTTGAAAAAAAAAATCAGCCAATAAAAATACAAGCCTGGGAAGCATTAGGCGTGAAAACAGAACAAAACGCGGCCATTAATGCGAATAGCTGTTTGTCACGTTGTTTGCCATGACATCCGATACTCGAATGCGATAAAGCGGTCGGAATCTGGATTTATTTAGGGAGACTATCAGCCCACGTTGTCTTGTTTGCCGGTTTTGTCACTCAATGGTATGGCTAATTTATCGTTTCGTCTCTATCTTAAAACTCTAAAATGGAATCGGCTCTCTACTCTATAATTTGCTTTAGCCTCTGTTATCAGTCAATTTCGTCACTCTGTGGACATTTCCCGTCGATTTACGTCCGCGACTATTTATTCGTTCCGTATGCTTGTAACCCAACACGGAAACGTCCATTTTCCCAAAACCGCTCCTACGTGAACATCCGATTCTATGGTTACTGATAAGGATAACCATGGTAACGCGGTAAGGGGAGGGGAGGAAAAGATTCAAAACCGTTAACGAGACTTCAAATTTCTCCGTATCGTTCGTATCGTTTAGACTTGTTATTCTTGCAATACGAAACCAAATGTGGTGAAGAAAAGATAAGGAAACTAGAATAGAATAGTTTATACTAGCTTGTAATACAATTGTTTTTAGGTGTTAGTTTGTTATCTTCAAGTTACTTTTTATATAAATAATTAAATGACAAGCTGCTTGAACGCTTCTCGAATTTCATTTGGGCGTTCCCTGTCCGTTTGTCATGTAAGTTTTCATATAAATTTTAATGAACACTAATGACTATATTCTATAAACGCCCTTTGGCAATATACTTAAGCTACTTGTTATATTCAATTTGTCATTTTCTCCAATATTAAATATATAATATATACATATAGACCTTGAGCAAACATTATCATATAGGTTGTATGAAGAGATCAGGAGAAAAAACCATTTAACTCGTTATCCGATATTTATTATTAAGTAATCAATCGGTGTTGTATTTGTAAAGGGATAAGGAGACAATAGAAAAAACTTCAATAAACTATAATCCTGATCTATAAAGAGTAATGCAATGACGTTCTTTTTAGTTTGTCATTCATTTTGGCCGAACGGAGTTGGTTTATCGCAAAGGTCAGCTAATGCTTTGCTTTTACCAATTCTCCGCAGCAATTATTCCTGTCTCTTCTCTTAGCAAACATAAAGCCCCTTTGCATTATTGTTTAGAATTGTTTGTGAGTTGGAAAATATCTTTATCGACATTTTGATCTTTGCCTCTATACAATTTCTCAACGATGTAAATTCCCCCACCATCCCTCCCACTAATAAAACATTCGTTTTGTTCGTAACTCCTCTCGAACAGGGAAGAAAGAAAGAGTTAAAAAAAAAGAAAAAAAGAAACGCTTTTGCCACACCCTTCATCATTTCAAAAGAATAATACCGAGTAAAGAGTCATATGTACATTTATATACTGTATATATAGTATGCTATTCTATGCATTGTTATTGTTTGAACTGGATATCGGGGTTAGAGTATAAAAAGTCTAAATAATGAAAAAAATTTTGTTTGTCACGCCTCTCAAAAAAAAGGAATACATTGTTCATTTCAACGTTACCTTACTACTCGAAATTGTTTGCCTTTCCTCTTAAATAAAAAGGTATTACTTTACAACAAACAGAGGACATTTCGTTCTCTAAGCAAGGCTATCCTCGCTTACAGATTGTATAGTTAGTTAGTTAGTTGTTTGGAAGATATTAGGCCATATTGAAAGAATATTCTAAATTGCTATCCGTTAATGTAATTTATTTACTTTAATATTGAATGGACGAATAATAATAAGAAAGCGGTTGAAAGCAATCCTAAGTAGAAAAACATCAGTGTTTATTATAATAGGAAATTTCAGATTTAGAAACAATAAGTTCTATCTTATTTCTTCTATTCACAATTGAAAAACTTTTACCATTTTTATTTTCGTTGGTCATTAAACTACTGTTTGTCAAAATAAAAACGACGCCGGGCGTCAGCTTGTTGTTACGCATCGCTTCCACCTGCATTCAGCAACAGCTGCATGTTAACGCGTTTTTCTCCTAATGGGTTGAACGTGTCATCCAATGTAATTTATTGGAATGTTTTAAAAGATATAATCTGTAGCATCTCTGCATATGCTTATTATAAAAAATTTGATATATGTTTTGCGTGTAAGAGATAGTGTTATGTAACAATGGAAATGGGTGTTATGAAATGAGGAATAAAGTAAATAAGGTGTGGGCGGTAGTGGGTGAGAAAACTGGGTGGTATACGTTTCAAAAGGATTTGTAGAGCGGGAAATTAAAATTTATTGGGGAGAGGGAGGTTAAAAAGCTAAATGACGTTTAAATTATTATGGTTGTATAATTATAAACAAAGATTAATGCTTTAAACGTTTAATTATACTTTAATAAAGAGAAGGAGTCGGGAGAGATATAAAAAAAAAGGGAAAAGCATGAAAAATTTTACGATAGGGTTAATTTTACAATCGGCGCACCTGGTAGCACGTTTTCGTTACGTAGACGGCGTTAAATTCTCTAATAAACTTAAAGAAATTGTTTGTTTTTACCGTTTAAACGATAATCCCTTACTTTATTTGACAGGAGAATGAAAGCGGCGAGTCTATTAAATCTCTTCTTTATTTGCCTATGCTTTTCAATACCATTAACTGGCCAACAAGTGAATATAGTTGATCCACCAAGGGGTGACGTAGTCGTGGAAAATGGTAAACCCGTTCAAGTGGGTTGTAAAGTGGAGAATTGCGACAATTCATGCAGCGCTCAGGTATGAGATTGTTATAGGGTTTGCAATAACTTTTTAATTAAAAAAATTACCAAGTAAACTCTGATCTGGGGGGCTATACGATTATTTTCTTGTAATACCTTTAAGAAATCATGCATTTCATCAATTAAATCTACCAGAACAAAAGAGAAAATGCCTTGGGCCAAAGATTTGTAATAATATACATAAAAATAATGATATTTGAAAGAAATGACGCGTTATAGCCTCTAGCAGAGACGTTTGCAACCTCTGACCTGTTTATTTGAGAAACAGCAGGGATTCATCTGAATTGCTATATTATAGAAGATTCTCTTTTTTTATTCTTTCCAGTTACATAAAGATCAGTTAATGATATGGCACAAGGAAACGGGATTCTATAGTCCCCTTAAGGATGAGTTGATGTTTGTTGGTAACGAGAATGACGGTAAGATATTGTTTTACTCTTCCTCTAGACTCGGTGTAGCGGTCCATAACTTATTAATAAGCGTCAGAAGTTTCTTGTATCAACCGCTTGATTATTCATTTACCGATTAGCGTATGGGGAATGAACTATAGAGGTATATCATGTTAACGATACGCCTTTCACCCACCTCTCTTCCTCCCCGTCTCGTTTCGACCTTTCGCTTTAAAGATTATTGAGCCTTCTTCTCAATTGAGATTCTTCTATCGACTATGAATTACCTTTTGTCGGTATACCATTCAAAAATCACTATAAACCCCCATCACGTGACTTTAACGTATACAGTTTAAAAGGTTATCTAAATTTCGTTTGATTACGGCTTTAATGGTAGATGCGTTACCCTCAAAGGAATTGTTTAATTGGAAAATTCAGTCTGCTTTGCTTTTTCTATGCCAAATTTTGTTAATGTAGAGTATTCATAATTAATTGATTAATTAATTAATTGGTTGTCTTAAAGTCGTTTTGGCCGTTCTAGAATGTATTTTATTGTTTGGCCTCATTTTTTGCATATTCAAATCAATTGGAATATATAGTACATTCACTATTATTAACATTGTTATTCCAGGAGACTTCACCATAAGAATTCCAAAACCTTCCATTAAAACTGACGGTTTTTATAAGTGGAAGTTTATACAAAGGAAGAATAATAAGTTCCAAAGGCCAATCGAAACTGTTGCTGCTTATATCAACGTTACAATAAAACCCGAAAAACCAGTGATAACGTCGGCAGAACACGATAAACTATTTTTGATAAAGAAACGTAAGGAAGGCGTTGAAAAAGTCGAAATATTTTGTACAGCGAATCTGGGTAAACCGCCTCCGGTAATCAGATTACAGGTGGGTGATAATCAGCCATTACTACCTACAAGAAGCTTCTCGGTGGCTAGTGGAATTAGCGAAGAAATTAGCAAATTACATAACGTTACAGCCAAGTTTGAAATTGATCTGGACAGAAGTTTAGACAACGTTAGGGTAAGTTCGACGGTCAGAGAAGCTTATATTACAAACTAATTGTATACATTTTCCATCCACGTCCTCTGTATTACTAGGCAATTTTTCGAGGAAAGCACATTTTCATTAGCTTATCTAATCTTCCTTGTCCTCTATATAGATAAGTCAGTGATTTCTACGGATCATTAAATAATTCACATTAAATTTATTGCATCACAATCTCAATGCGAAATTTCCTTTCTCTTCCACCCGACTTCATTTCTCTCTATATATAGGCCTAAAAATCTATAATTATAACCGAAGTAATAACAAATAAATAAAAAAAGTGGTAATATTATAAATCTATACAAATAAGAGAAGGAGAGAGAGAGAGAGAGAGAGAGACAAGGAAAAAAATCGTTAAAACTGTTCAATTGAAAGCAAAGATAATTAGAGAAAACAAGATATTATTATAGTAATCCTGTTTGCTTATTTTTGCATAAATATACCTGTTTTAGACGATATTGAGATTACGTCGTCTTTTTTTTATATCGTTACATATATATGTTTTTTATCAATATTTTTGCAGAGAGTTTTTTTTTGTTTGTCAAAAAAAAACAAGACAAACAAAATAAAAAAATTAAAAGTAATAAAGACAAAGAGAGAGAGAGAGATTTTATATAGTAAAAGTAGTTCTTTTATTAATTATATATCTTCTACTTTTATAAAGAAAATCTAAGTTAATTTGATATAAGAATAACAATTACCAAGTGTGGATTGATTTTTAAGTCCAAACTTCCTTTAAAGGTTCATTTTGTATTGTGTTTAAAATGTATAATATATATATATATATGTTAATGTTTGTCTAGTGTTATTAATTTAATAGATTTCGCATTTCTTTTTTTGTTTCTTTTATAGGTCACGTGTACTGCTACCAATTACGCAACTAAACAACTTGGTATATCTCTGGAGAGTTCGGCTGTTATTAAAATTTTATCTCCTCCGACTATTCACATCCGACAAACTCCTGAGGGTCACGTGACTGAAAATGACACTGTCACTATTGAATGCTGGTCAACAAGTGAACCGAAAGTATCAGTTTGGCGATGGAAAGAAAACTCTAGTTCAATTAATATTAGAACTTCTACGTATAAATTTATCGCTAGACGGCGCTACCACACGACGAAATTTAGCTGTTTCGGCGATAATAGAGTAGACAACGCAAGCAAATCAGTGGTTTTAATGGTGCAATGTGAGTATGGTTTGGAATGTTTGTCTTGATTAATGATAAGTGATGGTCCGAGTTTGATTTCCACTTAGAGAGGGTGCAAAGTCAAAGGTTGTGGTGATTCCAACCGATTAAAACAAAAAATAACAAAAAACCAAGATTCCAAGACTTATCACTTTACACAATTACTTTGTTTCATTGGGAATATTTTTCATATTTCTATGAAAGTGCTCTGGAGAATTTGTCAGCGCCACCTATACAATGTAATTTAATTATGCTTTAACAAAAACATATGTGTTTTCAATGTTGAAAGAAAACAGGTAACAAACAAAGAAAAACAATTATCCGAACAATATTTAAATATTCAACTGTTTATTAGTTTTCTAATAAACTATATACAGTTTAAATAATGTATAGATATAATATAAACAGTAACAATTACTATATATCTCTCTATTTATGTTTGTAACATAGATAAATATGTTTTTCTTGCCTTATTACATCAATGTTTATTCCATAATCTATTATTTATATTACTATACAGTGGATATCTTCATAGATTGAAGAATAAGATAGAGAATAACGAGTTTACATAGGTTATCGACTAATTATATATACTAAGCATTTTGCTTCTTCTTCTTCTTCTTCTTCTTTATCTCCTCCTTACAAATCTACTCTGTTAATAAAACAAAAAAATTATTAGGTCTTATCTAAAGGATTACTCTTATAAACTTTAAGTTGGATAATCATTGGATAATAAAGCTTTTTAATTCTTTTTAAGTTAGAGTAAAAGTCAGTAAATTTAAGGATAAATCTTATTAGAGAGTTGGATAATCGGTTAAAACTTCAATTAATAGTTACTGTTTCATTTACAGACCCCCCACGGTTTTTGAATGATGCCAAACCCGTTCAAATTAATTTGACGATGAGTGAAAGCGTCGAATTAAATTGTAAAGTGGACGCCTATCCGACAGCAATAGTTTATTGGACAAAGGACGGCAGAAACGTACATGCAGGTAGGTACAAATTGGACAAGTTTAATTCGTTCGAATTAATCCGATTAATACGCTCTATTTGAAGTGTAAAGATTAAAAATTGACTGAACCGCGAAATGTATAGAGGATAATTAACAGCCGACATACATTTAGTTTATTTTCTTAAATATTCCCCCACGTTTCCCACATCACTCCGAACCTCATACCCGTTTGCCCTCGTTTGTCATTCTATCATTAAATCATTGCCATTAAATATACTATCTAAAAAACATAAATAACGCTTGTAAAAAGAAAAAAAATGGATTGTCGAAAAAAAGACATTAAGTTCTTATAAGAACAGACGGAAAATGATGTGTTAGAAGATTAATAACTACCTAAAGAGGGACAATACTTATTGAATATTGGATAGAGGAAACTATTGAATATATGCAGTGTCGCATAGCAATAGAAAATGAGAAAAATTCAGCTCAGCCATCCGTTAAATTTTACTGACCAGCCGAATTTACATAATATCACCGCCCCTTTCCCTTTAATAAATTGTATTTAATACTGTATATGCTATGCATACTAAGAATAATTCTTACCCTTCAAAATCTTAACCCCTCCCCCTCTCCCTCTCCCGCCTATTTTTATCTGTTATCTAATTTCGTTCTTTTTCATATTATATACAGTAAAGTATATATATTACGATATTCATTACAGTTTTCTTTCGTATTTTCAGGTGAAAGTTATAGGTTTACAGTTGATTCTCCTTCAAAATTGGGCAAATACGTATGCACCGCAGTTTCAGTACGTTTTCCCAACGTATCAAGGGATATGCACGTATTTCAAAAACGTAAGAGACTTTTCTCATTTTTTTAATAGAAATAATGCATTATTAATCTTAAACTTTAAACCTCCTTAGATAAACCCAATATAATTTCCAAGTTAACACAAACTGGAGAATACAAGGCTAAGGGAAGTCTTACGTGTACAGCATTAGCTCAGCCAGATCCTTATCGTTTTATAATGTTGAAAAATGGCAAAACCGTTCCAGTTTCTTCCTTAGATAGGCTTGTATCAAAAGTAGAAAAGATATTGGGCGGCGCCAAATATACTTTAACTTTTACTGAATTACAATCTAGCGATTTTGGGGAATATAATTGCACAGTATATAACCAATTGGGTTCCGATTGGAAACTAATCAATTTCGAAGAAACAAGTAAATACACGCTTTTCTCTCTCTCTCTCTCTCTCTTCTTAAATATACATTAAAATCATTGTTTTTTTTATTTGTCTTTCTAGAATCGCCTGATTTAAAGTATATTTTGATCGGCTCAATGGCTGGATTATTAGTAGTTATTTTGTTGATCGTAATTATCGTTTCCTGCAAACTTAGGCAACATAGTAGTTCAGGTAAAGTTGACAAACAAGCACCTGTCACAATATCAAATTGCCTTCTCTTGACCGTTACAGATTCAAATGCTAGTACGACGCCAATGCATGTCGAGCCAATCAAGAACGTTGTTGATGTTGACAAGAAAGATACTTTTCCTGACGACGTATGACTTTTAAATAGCATAACAAATCGAAATAAACATGCCATATACGTATTAAATCTCTTTCAGAATATCTGCGATCTATCTAACTACTCAGAACACTGGGATTATTCAACATACCCGGGAGATTTTATATACGATCAACATTATCCGGACGCTATAAAACAGTCCTATTTACCAGCAGCAAGACCGGACAGTCGATTATCAACGAACGTTTAACAATTCGCCTTGTTAGCATTTTTTTTTGTCTGTTTTTTTTTTCAGATATGCCAAAAGACTGATTTATACAATTTTGTTAATATTCGTTAACGATGAAATACTCCTGACAGTACAAATTGGACTTGCCATTTAAAACAAAAATCAATTATTTATTTTAATTTCGAAAAACAATGATACTAGATAGATTATCGGTCTCTATTATATAAAATGTTCTGTTTTTTCTTTTCTCCTCTTTCTTTTTTGTACCAATCAATTGATTCAAGAAATACAAATTGTATTCTATTTAATTAATCTTTTATAGTATTTTTTGTCTTCTTAAATTTTGATAGAAATTTCTATTTTTATAACTGAAAGATAATAAAAGTATTCAATAATTACGTAAAAGCTGCTTGAACTTTTAAAATAATCGGATTATTGCACCATTACTGCCATTATTTTCTCTTTAAAAGAGTATCCCTAATTGGCTTTCTCTAAAACAGAGTATTTCACTTAGAAACTATATAAATATATTATTATATTTAATATATTTTAAACGAATATATAACAAGTATAATATTTACGAAGAGCAATTTACAATAATGCTAATTACTTTATAATCTTTATTTTCATCTTTTTTGAAGTTCTTGTAATCTGTCCAGAAGCTGTAAAGAGAAATGATGATGTTTAACACATAAAAAAAATGAGAATAAAATTGCTTCTTTTATCTTGTCATCCATTAAAAATCGATTTAAGTAAATGGGACGTTATTTTTTTTTTGACAGATCATTTAAACTGTTTTTATATAAAGTGGAAATTTGTTATTAGTTATCACCTGTTCGGCGCCTTCCGTTGTTGAATTTGAGAATTCTGTTATACAATTTAGTAAATCAGCATTTTCTTCAGAGTAATTCTTTTTAGCTTTTTGTTTCTTCCTGAATTGGACTCCTGAAGATATAGACATTAATTGAATTTAAGCTTGATAGATAAATTAATAATTTAAACCTTGATGGAGATATTGTTTCTTTTTCAGCTTATTTTTTTTCTTTTTTGAAAGTCCTTTTTCACTTGAAGGTAGATCTTTCTGTTTTTTTACATCTGAAAAATTGTTAATAGACTTGAGTGATAATATGTGTGCTCGTGGTAGAGCTTACTAGTAGTGTTTGTAAACTCCTCTTCAGCTAATTGTAGACTTTTCTTTAATAATTTAGAGCTCATTGAGATCTTCTTGATAACGGCGATGATACTTTACAAATTGATTTTATTAATTTCAAATTAATGAGTTTATTTCAAAAGACCGAATACAGTGACAATTTCAATCGATGGCCCTTAGGTTGGCAAAGAAGGCGAACTAATTTTGTTCGTATGTGAACGACGCCATTTTAGTTCAGTGTGTGGCTCGCAGTCTCCATTTTTAATTTCCAATGCTAAACTATAACAATTATAGCTCTATTTGAGTCAATGAAAACTGTTATAATTGCTAGCGAGTGTTTTACTCAACTCGTTGAAACATGCCAAATGACCCTACTGTAAAACTTCCTTTCAATGAAACTCCTGTAAAAGTAGAAAATGTTCATGTTACTGGGGTGAAGAGAACAAGCTCTAAGCAACTATTAGCTAATCTAAAGTTGATTTTTGATGCAACTAACTTCGAGCAATTAGTATCACAAATAAAAAAGTCTAAGGACACTCTAAGCCGAACCGGAATATTTAAAAAAGTTGATGTTTACATTGATGTTCACTCTAAAGGAGGCCATGCCGTTGATAAAACAAAATATGATGTTACGTTTGATGTAGTTGAAGAGAAATTTGTAAAAGGAGGTAGTATTTATCATGTTTTAATTAAGGTATAACTCTAACTTATGGCCCTTTTCTTCTTAGGTGTCAGTAGTTTAGTTGGAACAAACGAAGGAAGTCTCCTGTTCAACCTTAATTTTCCTAATTTATTCGGCTGTGGAGAGAGCCTAACGTTTGACTATTCTTTCGGATCAAAGAACACATCTGGCTTTGGAAGTCATTTAAAATTGCCCCTTTTTTACAACCCTGACTGGAATGTTTTACTATCAACTCTCAAATATGGAAGGGATTTTGCTTGGAATGGTACTAGAGAAAAAACTGTAGGCCCATCAATTAGTTTAGAATTTCCCTCGTTTGTTGGTCAACATTCTCTAAAATATGAAGGATTTTGGAACCTCACCGAATGCTTGGATAGTGAAGTATCGTTAGGCATAAGAGAATTTGCTGGTCATAGATTCAAAGTAAAAATCAATTCTATAAATAAAAATATTTCGATAAAATGATGCAATTTTCTTCTACATTTCAGTCTGCAATAAGCCACACGTTGAAGAGAGATTTAAGAGATAATCCAATTTTACCGACTAATGGCTCACTTCTTCAAACAAAACAGGAAATAGCTGGATTCGGAGGAGATGTTAAGTTTTTAAAACAGTCGCTTGATTTCCACTATATAAAAAGTTTATTCTTCAATACTGCTCTTCACTTTTCAATGTCGACCGGATTTTTGAAAAATTTCGACAAGCCCTCACTGAATGATAGATTTTATCTGGGTGGACCTTTAACTTTAAGAGGTTTTACTCTAAACGGAGCGGGGAATCAAGAAAATGGTCATAGTTTAGGCATTGAAAGCTACGCTGGCGCTAGCGTAAATTTCTACACGCCTTTGCCTTTTTTGAATGGAGATTCAAACTTTTCAAGAGCACTTAAACTTCATTATTTTGCAAATTTTGCATCAGTAGGAAATATAACAAAGATGGCTAGTCTGTGGGACAACTTAAGAGGAACCTGTGGATTGGGCCTAGTTATGAATTTATCCAATATGGCTAGAATTGAAATGAATTACTGCTTACCTCTCCGAGCTAAACATGGAGATAGAATTGTTCACGGTTTCCAATTTGGAATAGGCATGGATTACTGGTAAAAAAAATTGAATGAAAAGACAAAATGTTTCCTATAAATAGAATGGAAAAGAAAAGAACTTATGAATCTTTTGAATAGAGAGAGAGCTTGAATAAATTTACAGAGTAATTTTTTTTCTTATAAAACAAAGAGAAAAGCAAAACTTAACAAACTTGAAGTTATATTTAACTGAAACTCATTAATATTTATTATAATACTTATATATGTATTTGCGGATGAATACTTTATAAGATAGTAAAAATAGAAAATAGCACACTTAAGAAGTAATAGTTTTTTTCTCTATTTTGAACTATAATTACACGGTATAAATGATTTTCTAATGGATTAGATCTTAAATTATTGAGAACGTTCTTTTTTCATTTATAAATATGCAGTAAAATTCCTTCTTTTTTTTTTTCCTCACGTTTAACAATTGAAAAATGATTATTCTATATAAAAATAGAGATCGAATGACGAAGTTCATAAATAGATTGATAAGTAACTTAAACTGAAATTATTAATTATTCAAACAAGAAAATTCTATATTTCGTAGATTGACGAAAATATCAATATTTTCAATTAAAAAGTTATAAATTAAAACAAATATGACTTCATAGCCTAGTAATAAATATTCATTATTTAAATTAGCAATATCAAAAGTTAATTAACTATGTGTATGACATGAATTTTTCTTTTTATAGAATATAAAAAAAGAGAGGGGGTGTGGGTGAGAGAGTAGGGGAGAGAAAAGAAGAAAGATAATTCCTTTTTATACTACCTTTAACCTTTTAGATAGGAAAATTTAATAAATATAATATTTATTAATATTTTATACAAGAGCTATCTATTTTAGTAGATTGAAAGTAATCAAAATAGCATAAAATTATATAATAGTATATACAGCAGGTGGCGTTTTCCAACAATAATTTTAGCAGACGACATCGTGATTAGAGTGATCCGAATAGGTAGTTTATCAAGAAAAGGGAAAGGAACTGGTAGTGAGAGACAATTTCTCTGCAAATCCAAAAAGATGTAATGAATCTAGAAGTAAATTGATTAAATATTTGAAAAGGTTGTTATGCAAGTGACGTGCGATCACAGAAAGTGCCACTGTGTTTCGTGCTGTTCTTGCAGCCCTTCTGAAAGGCAGGACGGTGTTTGTTTGGCTCATAATAAACTGGAGAAGAGGGTTAACCAAGCTTCCTGCAGATGTGAAAACACTCCGGAGCATGTGTTTAAAATTCGGTTACAAGTTAGTTTATTTTTAATTACACCCACACCTTAACAACCCTGCTGACATTAATAAACAAATTGATGATATTCTCTTAGAAATTTTTCAATATTAAAGTAATTGGAGTTCTTTCATTGCTATTGAGCTCAATAGGTTGCTTTACTTACGATACTGTCCACAGAATTTTTATTCATTTTGTATTCATCGTATAGGATAAGAGTTATTTGTCTAGTGTATATGCTAAATATAGAAAGGCTATTTTATCAAATAACAATCTATATTCTATTATGCCGGCATTTATAATTGTTAATGTTATTCTTTTTTTTTTAATTTATACATACACGTAAGAATTTATAACATTCTTTTATTTCTTCTTCGTTATCGACATTAATCGTCACCCCCTTCTTCATTAGCTTTGTCATATTCTCTTTGTTTTCTTTATTATTCTTTTCATACAGCCTTTATTTTAAATATTTAATCTTTATATCTTACTCATTATTTTTTATTATTTTATTTATAGAAAATCAAACAGTGGTTTAAGCAGTCGAACAGTCAGCAAAGGAGTTTATTAATTAAGGAAATATTAGATGACTGTGAACCAACCCAATTACTTCTCATGAAGGATGTAGTAGATGGCCTAGAACTTGGAAATGATTTTGTCCAATGGTTGCCGAGATCTCTTTGTTTGCATATTTTTTCGTACTTAGATGTTGTAAGTCTCTGCCGATGTTGTCAGGCGTCTAAAGCGTGGAAGGACGCTGCTGATGACGTTTCACTATGGAAAGCACTCTGTAATAGACCCGAATGGGCAACATCCTCACCTGATCGCCTATTTGCCTTTATCGATAAAAAAGCTAATTCTACTATATTAGACTGGAAAGCCGCTTTTGCTGAACGTTATCGTATTAGGAATAATTGGTTGACTGGAAGATGTCATGTCAGAACATTTGAAGGCCACACGCAGGGTGTTTCGTGTGTTCAGTTTGACGAAACACGAATAGTTAGTGGATCTAGTGACAAAACTATTAAAGTTTGGAATATGAGAACAAACAGTCACTTAGCTGTCCAAACGCTTGTTGGACACTCCGGAACCGTAAGGTGCCTTTATTTATGTGCCAATCAATTGGTTAGTGGTTCTACAGATTGCACAATAAAAATCTGGGATCTATCTGATAGCTTAACTTGGAGTAGCATTGCTTGTAGGGCTACTCTCCAGGGTCATACAGACGCTGTAAGATGTGTTAGCGTTCACGATTCGAGATTGGTAAGTGGCTCTTATGATAAAACTTTAAAAGTTTGGGATATGACCACAAGGGAGTGCGTTCAGACGCTAGCTGGTCATGACGCAGCGGTCCTATGCGTTCAGCAGAACGAAGAGACTATCGTTAGTGGATCGTGCGATAAAACTATTAAAATCTGGAGAGACGGTCGTTGTATAGGTACTCTAATTGGTCACGCCGATGCTGTTACGTGCGTACAATTGGATTATAAAAGGATCATAAGTGGCAGTGTTGATTGTACAATAAAATTTTGGGAAAACGATACTTGCGCTAAAACGATCGATTGGATGGCGTCGGAAGGCCATACTGGGGTTGTAAGATGTATACAAACAGATAGATGGAGAATGGTAAGTGCCTCAGATGATAAAACAATAAAAATATGGAGTTCGACAAATGGTAAGAGATTGGTAACCCTTAAAAAGCATTCAGACGGCGTTACCTGCATTCAATTTAATGATAAAATGATTGTGTCTGGCTCCTATGATAAAACTGTCAAGTTGTGGGACTTTAGCTCATGTTAATAGCCGAAAAAGGTATTTTTTTTCTGTTTGTATTGACTCTTGCTGCTGTATGTATCTTTTATAAATAATAAAATATATATTGATTTACAGAATATTTATAATACTATTAATAAGAGACTAGATGGTCCAAAGTAGGACGAGACATATTACCTTCAACTTTTTGATAACCAATTACACATTATCGATATGGAAAGAGATAATAAACTAAAAAAAGATAGAATTTTAATTTTTTTTTTTATAAAATTCGACCATAGAAAGACAAAAAACTCTATTGATAAAAAAGAGGAAGTGTTTACAACCAAAGGAACAAAAGAGGTATAGTAAGCTAAGACTATAACAAGGTCATACTAAACTAGTCTAATAAGCGCTAAAAATGATTGTAGGATTATTGCTGCATCTAATTTCAATTTAAAATAATTTATATATGTTGTACAAAGTAGTCATCGTTGAAAAATATTCTATATAGAATCCTTATTGGCAAACTATGCTTCATATATTGGATGTATTTTTAGTTTCATTTTTCCCTTTTCCTTTTGATGATAATGTAATGAAATTATTCAAGATATGAAAGATTTTTAAACTAACTCTTTTCTACGCTTTTCCTATATTCCTTGTTCTTTAGTCTTTAGAAAGACAAAGATTCTCGATACGCCTTTTTAGTTCGTTTTTCTCTATTCTTTTCCTATCTGATTAATAAGCGGTCAAGAGAAAGAGAAAACTGAACATGATACATGAAAGAGATGAAGACAAAAAAGTTATTGGAAGAAGCAGTACGACGATTAAACGAATAGATAAGAATATAGTTAGAATTGAAAATTTCCATTATAAAGAGAACAATCCAAGTCTATATATGTGGGGAGAAGATGAATAAGGAATATAATAAAACATTGGCTACTAATAGGTTTAAAGAAGATGATAAGACGCTAATTACAGCTCACGTTTCTTTTTTTCTTATTACTTATGATGATATAATTATGGATAAGTAAATTTCTTCAAGTTTTTTTTTCAACTTTAGCAATAAAAAATGGACAAAAAGTTGAATAATGAGTTGATTATTGAGTTAACTTCCGGTAGAGGTCTTTCAAGTGCCACTGAAGTAAATAATTAGACTAGGTGAGGAATACAAACTGCAAGAAAAAACAGTGTGTTTTCACCTTAATCACTTATATTGATAGCCTCACGGCATTGAGTGACTAGAATTAATAGATTTATATTCTTTCCAGTTCATTTTCTCACTCTTACTGATCATCATCATCATCATCATTATCTTATCTTCCGCTAAAACTTAGCCTTAAAAAAATTTTTTGCAGTTCCTACATTACAGTCCTCAAATAAAATATTACAATTAATACATTCAGTATAAAAACTCAATTGTTGATGCGAGCATTTTATTCTAATTTGTAGATTAACGATTAACAATATAACAATATGGTTTGACATTTTGTATTTAGGTCTTCTTTTTTACCTTTAATTTTTTGTCTTTAGCTCTTGGAGACAGAATTTTCTGATGTTCTAATTGCAGTTGACGAGTACGAAATATCCCTGATAATTTTATACTCATTTCATCATCTGGATCAAGTAATAGACGAATTATTCCATCCTTTACTAAAACGGGAACGTATACTTTCCTAACAAGAAGATATGTCAAAGACAAGAAGAAAAATTCATTAAAAGTCAACAAAAGATATTAATCTTTAGTATTTTTAGTAGGCAAATTATGACGTCTATTGAATATTGAAGTTGTTTGATATAATTGAAATTAATTTGTAACTTTACCTATTCTGAACAAAAGGCCATATATATTCTCTACCATCGAGCTTTCGTAAATCTACCAGTTCTCCGTCAATTCCAACAAGATCAATAAGATCTTTATCAAGATTATCATCATAATTATAATGATGTATAATATATGTGATGATTCCGATTTTATGACTATGAGGGTTAACTAGTATAGTTGATGCGCTTGAAAAGTATATCTCAATATACATTCCGGGCACCCATGTTAGACTAGCTGAATTGTCCCCGCGTGTATCCGGTTTATCGATTACATCCGACACTTTCTGAATATCAACTAAGGGTCTTGTTAAATCAAATTTTGAATTCTTTTTCTTAGTTAATGAATAATTTGCTTTCATAATAAAAATAAACTAATTGACATTTGAATATTATACTGTTTCGAATTTATTTTCAAATACTAGAGAAATATCTCTTGTTCCATTGGCATTGAATGTCATTTCAATCTATTATCATTCGTATCACATTACAGTAGATGGCACCTCTTTATTTAATTGTCTTATAGGCTGTTATTTTTGAAAAGCTTTAAAGTAACACGGTAACCGATTTCTGTTATCTTTTGATATAATTTTTAAAAAAAAAGAACAAAAGTTTTTGAATGCGTACAATTCTTGTTTATTTATGCTCTTACAGTTTCCATCAGTTTAATGAAAATTTACTGTATAGAAGTTTAGATTAATAAAGAACAAAGCCAAATTACTATTGAAATACATAGTTAATCAATGCATATTGCGAATAATAGGGAGGAAACTGCCGACTTCTGGTTCTTATTCTTGGAGAACCTCCTTGTCGAAAGTGAATTCTCCCAAACCAGGTCCAACACGTTTCAATTGTGTGACATAGTCAGAGAGTTGCTTAATAGCGTCAACTTGCTCCTTAAGGTATTCACCTTCCAAGAAGTCGCACAATTGTGGGTCTCCGTGTTTGTCAGATAATCTGTGAATTTCCAACAAACTTTCATTCACCTTCTTTTCCAAAACAAGAGCAGTTTGCATGGCTTCACAGCCAGTTCCCCACTCTTCTTTGTCAGGTCTTTTGATATCTTGAAGGATAATGCGACCACCTCTCATATTTTGGTACTTCATAAGCTTTTCAGCATGTTCTCTTTCCTCTTCCGATGACTTCTTAAAGAAGTTGTGGAATCCTTTAAGAGCCACATCATCGCGGTCAAAAAAGAAAGCCTGTTACAGAAAAACATTCATTAAAATTTTTTTAGTCATGATGATTTGCAAAATATTTCACCCTTCATATTTGAGTCAACATGGCGGATGTTCTAAAAAAAGAACGTTCGCACTAAAACGCTTATACTTTGCCATTTTTTTACAGACTCAGAAATGATTTTAGGGTAAAACAGCTTAAGAAAGGGTTTTTGCATGCTGCGTCTAAACTTATTTGTTATTTGATTCATAAACATATCAAAATGGCGACAAGGTCATTCTAGTCACTTTGCTGTAACCTGAATTAATAACACTTGTTTCGCCTAACATTCTACTCGCTACTATGCAAAATACATTCCCTTCTTTTTCGGATAAATGTTTTTCAAAAAATCTTACCATAGCTTGATAAACGTAGGAAGCATAGAGCTCCATGTTTATCTGCTTGTTGATAGCAGCTTCACATTCAGAATTGAAATTTTGACGTATCGAAGACATGGTGTTTTTCAGAGGGTTGTTGAAGAATTTGACGCTTAAAAAACGAGTCTGAAGAGTCTGAAATTTGCTTGTACGTTCTCTCACGTAGCAAAGCAAAGAATGGCGGTTCTGCGTAGACGATCTCTATTTATATCACGTGATTCGCCTATTGCCTATTTGATGGTTGGCCAAAGGTGACGTCACTTGCTATACACGGCCTACATTCTCGAGTCACGTGTTGTTTACTCGACATTATCTTCCGAGCAATTAGGGTTAAATAATTAGTACATATCGTTCATTTTTTTTGGTTTTACATAAGCAGAAGCAGTTTGAATATTTTTAAGAATTATAGTTATCAAAATATATTATGGAATCTTGTTAAACTCGAGATATTTACACTTAAAACCTTCTCAAATTGAAGATGATAAATAGAGAACTGATATTAAACCCAAGATATTTGTGCTAAAAAGATTATTCTGTTCAAAATATCTATCAATATTTGAAAATTGATCTGAACTAGAAAAAGATAAATTTCAATTTTTATTAAGTGCATTTGTCTGGACAGTTTTCCTACGCCTATTCTATATTGTTTCATAGAATCTTAAAGAATCTATAACTTTGATTCGACATTGTTAAATAAATCTGTAAATTTTAATATATCTGATAATCAATTTAGATTAGATAATTTCATATCGTGTCAAAACGAATATATATATATATATATATAGACATTTATATGTAGAAGTGTAGATATTTTTCTTGAATGGCATAAAGAATATTTACTAGAAATCGATCAAGTATCCAACGTTAACTTAATAGAAATACCATATTGTATTTAATGAAAAAACGCATATGTTCTTAAATCTATTTTCGTGGTTAACCTTACACCTATTTAGAGAAGTGAAACAATACTTCTACTTTGTTTTCGTTTGATTTATCAAAAAGCTTAGTAGAGACTTTCGACTTTAGTTGTGATGTAAATGTTTTTCTATTGACCTTCTCTATTGTCTTGGTAATAGTTATCTAAGATGATGATGATGACTACTAACATAGCAACTATATATGTAATAAAAAAGAACTTTCTCTTTCTATCTTCAGTTCTATTGGATATTTCCTTATTTGTTAAATAATTTAAACGTTTTATTCCACTAAACGTTAGGATTAATCTCTTCATATTAAATATCGTTTTTTTGCAGCGTTTAGTCCATATAATATATTGAAATCTTCTCCTCTCAGTTTCAGTTTTGTTAGTCATTAGATCGAGGTTGTATTTTTTAGGACATGAACAAAATTTTTGTAAACGGCTATACTTATTAAAGTGAATCATTGCTGCACTTATCTTCAAAATAGGTCTTGTTTGCACCAGAGAGCATTTTCCATAATAGCTATGACTTTTCAAAAAATAGTCTCTTTGCACTATAAGAAGTTTATAGGAAATTCCCCCAACCTATTAAAGTATAAAGTAAAATATTTATATCAGTTTTTTTCTTTCCAACAGGAACGGAATATTTTCAACAAAAGAGAAATAATTACAAATGACTCAACATAGAGTTGTCTGTGGGATTATATTAATCTTTAGAATTATCGTAAAGAAATATTACAAAAAATTTCAATAAGCTTTTCTTCTTATTTCAAATAAATACTAATTGTTTTATATGTAAACCTAGATATCTCTTTTATTCTTTTGTTCAAACTTTACTCCCAGTACAAATTGTAATTTGAACATTCTTACAAGCTACCATAATAACCTCTACTTGATAATAGACGGATGATAATAATGTTAAATATCCTATTAACCTCATTTTCTTTCCAAGTTTAAGATGTGTTAATAGCTTAACGAAAAAAGAAAAATACTTTGCGTAATTTTTTTTGTATTATTTAAATTTTCAATTGAAGTTTATTTATTGTCAGTTGGGAGGATCAGGATTTCAGGTTCAGCAAAATACTATTGATAGAATCAATTTTAAAGTAATCAACGGGAAATGCATTTTAGAATAATCAATGATATTCATTTTTGGGTATCTTCGTTAAGTTTGGTTACAATCTGTTGATTGTTAGCTTTTCTTGCAACTCCTGGTTCAAAATCTTGGAGAACTTCATGATCAAAAGTGAATTCTCCCAAACCAGAACCAACACGTTTAAGTTGGGTTGTGAATTTTCCCAAGCGTCTGATGCTGTGAACTTGCTTACGAAGATAGTCATCTTCCAGCATGTCGCATAAAATAGGATCCTTATGGGAAGAAGCTAGTTTATGCATTTCCAAAAGATTCTCGTTAACTTTCTTCTCCAAGTTCAAAGCTACTTGCATACATTCCAAACCGCATCCCCATTTTTCCTTTTCTGGACTCTGAGATAAAATTACCACTACTATATTATACATTTATAGTTTTTAATGTTACAAATTACCTTAATATCTTGATAAATGATCCTTCCACCACGCAGATTTTGACATTTCATCAGCATTGTAGCAGTATTGCGTTTCTCATTTGACATGTGCTTGAAGAACTTGTGAAATCCAGGTAAGGCGACATCATCACGATCAAAATGCCAAGCCTATTTCAAAATATACATTAAATTTCAGTCAATATAAAATGTATTTTACAGGATCCAATGCAGAAAGTTAACAAAAATTGATTACAACTTAGTTGTTTTTATTGATTTATGTGATTAGTATATAAGTAATAATAAATTACTTAATATTAAAAGCACTTGAATATTTTTCATTGGTTTTTATGAAATATTACGATATATTACGTAATCAGATGTTTATTTTACAGCTGTTTTTTTTAACCTGGAGTTGTCTGTGTCAAGCAAGTCACGTTTTCAAGGTCATTTCCTTTACCGGATTTTTGTCGTTGTATTTTTGTTAATATTTTACTAAAACTAGGATTTTGAATATTATAACTAAAAAGAAAAACTAAAGTATATTATACCATGGACTGATAAACGTAAGAAATATGTAGTTTATAGTTTATCAGCTTGTTGATGGCAGCCTCACAATCAGAGTGAAAATTTTGACGAATTGCAGACATATTCTTCCGTAATTCAATAAAATTAGCACGGTAGAGTAATCGTTTAACGATAATAAAGAATTTTCTGTGAAAAATTCAACGCTTTTCTTGCTTGTACGTTCCCTGACGCAGCTAAGCAATAGAATGGCGCTCTCAGAAACAACACAATTATAGATGTCACGTGACCTTCAAAATTTTTTTTCCAGGCATTGAAAGCACGTATTTTTCAAATATTTTAAGGAAATTCTATTCTATTTTTAACATAAATAATAAAAACTTAATGAAATTATTTTTATTGGATTTTTTTAATACAAAAAATACACGAAAGACATAAAAAAATTACGAAATATCATAAAATATCACGTTTTTTGTGATATAAGGCAAAAAGTTTATAAAAGAAAATGTTTATGATTAAAGTTCCTTTAAAACAAGATTCCCTTCCATTTCTTAAATGATTTTTTCCTAAATATAGTTATAGAATTGTTTCTTTTTTTTTGACAAAGGTGCAACTAAAGTACGAAAGTAAATTAAAAATGGTTTGAGTGTCATAAGGTGTTCTTTCATCTAGGCATTATATGACATATGAATTTCTTTGTTCTATAAAGCATACAGACTTTTGATAATGCTTTTATCTAGAAAAAATATTTGATTGTTATGTAGCGAAAGGTAAAAATACTCGTTTTTTTTTTTTACATGACAGATCATGGTATAGCAGATCTCTCTTTGAAAGTTACTAGGGCTGGTCGCTCTAGATTAGAACTTAAATATTTTAAAAGTTTGTCCTTTAATGTAACAAATGGACCATTGATGTCATCTTCCTCTTCCTCATCACTTAGCTCAGTCAGTTGCTCAGATAACTGGCTTTTGCCAAATCGTTTAATTAATCTCCATTCATTAATTTGAGCTTGATAAATACGATCTCTCTTCATACGGAAATTTTGTACTAATGAATATAGTTGACGGTGAACTAAGCCAAAAAAGAATACACCTATAATCAAGAAAATATTGTATCTAAATATCCTATATAGCTGGTTTGGTGTTGGGCTAAGATTAATGTGTCTGAATAACGGAACTGAGAAATAAGAAACTCCTCCGCAATCATCCATTGGCCTACTCTCCATATAGTCATTAGCTATAGTCTCAATTTTTCTGGTGGGTAATATCTCATGAAGATAATTGTTAAAGTCAATGTGTAAATTGGATTCTTTTCGAAACGCCATCGCAACTGACAAATGTGTATAACCATAGCGACAATCTTCTACAATCTTTAATTTACATCTAAATAGTATTGATAATCATTAAGATTTCTATTTGGAGACATATTTCATATTAACATGAATACCTTGGTTTAGCTTTTATTATATGATGATATACCCTAAAATTTTCTCCGATAAATATACGCCTTTTACCGTTAACACCGTCCAAAACTATGTTTATTCCAGTTTTTGTATTATTAACAAACCATTTGTGTTTCTCGATATCATTTATTATATACGAATAGGGTGATTTGTGAGATCTTGATCGTAAAAAGTCGTGAACGTAACTGTCGTTTTCAATCCATACCTCAATCCCATTGTCTAATGCATCGACAGCATCATTTAAATCATCAACTCCTAAACTCGGAAGTATTCTCCATTTTAGAATGGATGAAATAGTTAAAGACCTAAAAGCGTTTAATAGAACAAATGAAACATAATAAATCATGAAGAGAAAGAACTTCGAAGAATAAGATGCTGGAGCAGGACCAAATCCATTGTAGACTAATGCAGATGTAACGGAAGATAACCAACCGTAAAGTGATCTATCGCATGAGAAGCTTCGTTTATATTTATAGCCATTGTTTAAACACCGACAAGGATTGGATGTTGCTCTAAACGGGCTTAAAAAATAAAGAATTGAAAAAACTATGCTGCAGCTTATTACAAGGCCAAAAATTCTCAACAATGTCGAAGTATCAATAATAGACGACAGTTCTGCAATTCTATCTTTTAATGGCTCGTGTAGCGTTACTACAGATAGACAAACTCTGCCCAAAGGCTCAGAAAAGCTAACATAACGCTCATATTCTGGTTTATTATAGATACCCGCAACTGATACATCTGAACGACCTTCTGTAAGAGAGTCAAGAATTGCTTGATCGTATTTTGATGCACCAATCTTACAATTCCGACGTTTACAAGTTGATGGAATTTGAGCATCGAAAGTCCAAGAAAGGTTTCGAGATTTTGTAAAGTTTCTCAAAAGTGCTACGTATAGCCCAGAATAGATATCATTGACGTGAACATCTTCGTGAGTGTGACGATCTGAAAACTCTTTTTTACAGAGTGTCAAGCTATTTTCTGGTTGAAGGAGAACGGAAAAAGAATCCTGAAATTGAACTATTTTAATAAAGGACTGCTTTGAAGATATTTTTTTATAATCTTAACCATTTCAGGTGACAATGATGCGTAAATTATTTTTCTACCTTTTTTAACAGGTGGAAGAAAGTTGCTAGAGTTTGTTACATTTAACAAACCGTCCTGTAGTCTACCATCTCCAATCCAATGCCAATTTTCTTCTAGTTTTAAGGCGGCTAATACTAAATTGTCTGCCAACAGTTCACGTGCTTCATCAACCGTGGAGAAGCCTACTTTGGCAATATGATTAGCAAACCGAACAGCCAATTTCCAAGTGGAATCGAGATAATTATCGAATTTCAAACCGAAAGCATAAAATTTCCCGGAAAATGTTAAGTTAGATGGTTGATTCGAGTTCATTAAATTTAAAGTTGGATCAATCCATATCCAAGTTAAATCTTTATCTTTAGATTTTTCCACTATCGAGTAGGACAATCTACTATCTCTGGTACATATTAATACGGTTGAAAACCCTATAAGGTGTTAAATAACCAATATATATATATCTTGATACTATATATAAAGAGTCTCGCCATCTATCGTATTCCTACCGTGTTTTTCGATTTTTTGTATACTTTTACTTAAAGTTTTTGTTGTTGATAACTTTATTATAGGTAGTACTTCAACTTTAATGCCTATTTCCTCTAGCTCATAAAGGGCTGATAAGCAATCCCCATTATCCTCGGCTACAAAACCAATTTCATTCGGCCATAAGTCTTTTAATATAAGTTTTGAAATTGAAATTTGATCATAAATAGTTGGTAGAAACTATTAAAAGACACAAATTGAATAAAGAATACCAAATTAGTTATTTGAAAAATAGAAAAACGTGTTAAAAATTTATTAACCTCTAATATTGAACTTTTCTTTTCAATCAAACGAAATGGAACTATATGGATACCGTTAAAATTAGTTGTTTGATCGATAATGGAATATAATTCACTATTTTGAGGACCAACAATTATTTCACACTTTTTTTCTTGTAATATTCTAATGCTTGATTTTAATTCTAATAAATTTTGAATGATGAATGAAGAACTATTTTCAATAGGATTTTCTAAGAAAAGATCAGATGGATATTCTTCAGAAAAGTAAAATGGGCACACTTTTATACTAAGCCCTTTTCTAAATAACAGTAGAGTTATTGAACAAACAACAATTGCTAACAAATCCATCGGTTTATTCAAAAACTTAACGTAACGTAATAAATCTTAGGCCTATAGAGCATTTTTTTCATTCTATTGAAAGTTATAGACACCTTGGAAACCGCGCTCTTTTTAATGGGTTTTTCGTTAAAGTAAATATTTGGCGAGGAAAATCAAATCTGTAAGTTTAATCAAAATATATATTTTAAAGACATATAAATAAAATAATTTTGTTAAATCGATTATCAAAAAGTAAATTATTTGCAGAGATTTTCAAGAGAACATTATTTTATTCATATTCCATTTCAGTGTTCCGGTTTTTAGTAAGACCGTTGCGTTCCTTCTACTCGTGTTTTCGCTCACCCGAAATCTCTTTTTTTTTTGGTATTACCACTAAGTATGCCTTATAGAAAATAGAAGATTCCTTAAGGAGTTGCAACAAGTTTTTTATAGGGTTCGTTTGATTTGTAGATTAACAACTATTGATGTACTTATCACTCTTTACTTTTCCCCAGAACTAAACATGATATCCCGAAAACATAAAAACGACGGGGATAATCAGCTAAACGGTCCTCCTGACAAAAAACTGAAGGAAAGCGATAAATTTGATCTTTGGGGAGATGATGATGGAATGATTGATGATGAATTATCAAAGGTCGATGATGAAACACTCTCGCAATGTGCATCTCAATCAATACATATAGTGAACAAGAACATTTTGGGTTCAAAGACTAATCTAACGAATGCTCCAGTCTCTTGCTCAATCCTGGATCTTGATGATACGCAATCATCCTTTAAAGAAAATCCAACAATCAAAGATCCCATGGAACGCGCTAGGCAAGAAATTGAAAATTACAAACAAAAACTAGATCAAATGAAAAATCACAGATATCAGCAAGATGGTGAAATATACAACCTGAGACAGTCTATAAGACAAAGAGATGACCAATTGGCTAAATTACGCAATGAAAAGTTGGACTATCAAGAAAAAAACCAAAAAGACAACATTGAGAAAATTAAACAGTTACAGAAAGAAGTTGAAAGATATAAGGGAGAGCTGGCATTTAAAAATCATGAGATAACTGAAACAGAACAATTTTGTAAAAAACTTACTCATGAAATGGAGATGAATGCATCAACTAACTTAGGTAATATCACTCCTGTTAAAAGTAAAAAGAAATCTCCCGTTAAAACTAGTGGTGACTTTCCGAATAAATCTTCATTTCTAATGGGTCCAAATGTATCTGAAAGTCCTGATAAGTCTAAACAAACTAAAAGCATACCAACGAAAATATCAAAGAAGAGGGAATTTGATTTTGAAGTTTTACAAACTACCAATGATATGGCCCTTTACAACAAGCATTTAATCACTGATACCTTTTTATCATCACTCCAGGAAAGCGAAGTATTGGAAGTAGAGAGGGCTATACATCATCTGCTCTGCTCAAACGTTAGTGAATTCAACGAAATCGAAGCAACAGCGGGTGCTAAGAGACTATTGCCATTTTTACTAGAACACATAAATAACTATTTACAGTTCCTATCTACCTCAGAAAGAAATTCCAGCGTACCGCCAGAAAAGCTAAGCAAACTATTTCGAGATTGTATTGATATTTTGTATTACCTGGTCGTTGATAGATCCATATTAGTTGCTGATTGGTTTAAGAACGAGAAGGAAAGTGATGTTAAGATGGATATTGATGATTCGATTCGACTTTATTCATCTCCTATATCACTCTTAGCTTCTTTTTTTGTGCCAAATTTGAATTACGGCAATTTAAATGAAAAATATGAAGTTCTAACGGCTATTTTAAGGATTCTTGAAAGGATAAGCTACGGCACCTTAAGTAGTGAAGATATTTTAGTGCTTGTGAGGAGTATTTTCTTGAACCAGAGCATGAGTAAAGTTATGTTAGAAACGAATGATAGTCAAAGAGATAATGATGAATATGCTAAATTTTGTCTTCAGTTGCTAAATTTAATTATACGGATTTGTTCTTTTCCTGATATAGCTGGACGATTATGTTCAAAGAGTAAATCTGAGTTAAAGGCTGATACCTGCGTATTTAAAGCTTTACTGTACACCCTGAAATGCTTTAGGAGAAGGAACGATGAAATTAGAATGAGCATAGCCGAAAGAGTAATATCTATGTGTCAGACAATGATATATTCTTGCGACGGCGATACATTGCAAACTTTCTGCAAATGTTCTACTGAAATCAGTAGATGTTTAATTTTATATACCCATTCTCTTTATAGTATATTAATAAAGGAACAATTATCAGGAGAAGAAAGTTTTCAAGAATTTGAGAAGGATCCTTGGTTGAGGAGATTACCAAAAAACAGTAAGGAAGAGCGACTGATAATTTTAATACGGCGAGGTTTAAGAATTTTAAAGAAATTAGGCATCACGTTTCGATACGTAGAAGCTAACTGCCAAAACGTTTTAAAAGAATTCATTGAACTGTATCAAGTAATCGATCGATGGTTGTTTGGTATAAAACCATACATGGATATAGATTCCCCTATGTGTAGTCTATGGGATTTAGGAGGAGATTATTGAAAGTTCTAACTTTAAGTAACTTTTTATTAGCCTCATAATGTATGAAAGTATATAATTGCTGCATAAAAGTAATACGACTTGAAGAAAAATATAAAGATATTTATTTGAATCAATTTATATAACTTGAACTTTGTTATCAATACGAATAACACATTCTGACTGTAGACGAAAAAAGCACAATTACATTATGAAATTGTCATTGCAGTTTGAGTAAACTTTTATCAAAGTTTTGGAGCACTTTTATCAACAGTTGTTGTCTTCTTTAAACCTGTTTTATTAAATGACGCAATTGAACCTAAAAATGCCGATCTGTTACTGTTTTCAGGAGGTGACTTTGCAGTTTCTGAATATAAAAAAAAGAAACACGTCATAAAGAACATTTAAACGGAATGGAAGACAATATTTTTTCACAGAGAACACTTTCAGTATTTCTCATATCATTGGCTATTGGTGTTTGCATTTTCATATGCATAATTATTCATCAATATTATCATATCAAACAGAAAATGAATCTAGAAATTGACAAAGAGAAACTCGCAGGAATTCTCAATAGTTTGGCGGAAAAATCTCTTTATAAAATAAAAGATTATAAACTAAAGCATGATTGCAAATATCCAGAAAAGTTTTGGGACTTTACTGATATCAAAAAACTAGGAACTGAATCTCCTACGATATTAGATATATGTGATGACCAGTATCAAGATAGAAAACTACTGTTAGAATCGAATTTTACCTGAAGAAGAATCTAATGAAGGAGGAGCAGGGGGTGGGGGAGCCTGAGGCACAGGAGGGGGTGGAGCAGTACCATTTTGTTTCGGCTCTTCTTCAACTACGTTAGAATTCTCACTACTTTTTTCCATTATAGAACCAGATTTCTAAAATTGAAATTGAAACAATGCAGATAAAAGATTTCACATTTAATTAATCATTCCAAACCTTTAAAGCTTTTTTCCTCTTTTGCTTTTCAGTATCGGACATATGAAAATCGCGAGATTTTTCTATTTTTTTTTGTTGACTAATCTATAAAGACGCATTATTAAAAGTGATTGAACAAGTAAAATAAAATTTTAAACTAACAGTTTTTTGTTCTTCTCTCAACCTTGCTTCAAAATTAAGCTCAGCCTCTCTTAATGATTCTTTTAACTTTCTCGGTATTTTTATTATCGGCTTAGTTGATAATGTATTTGGGGCCGACGACAAAAATCTGAGGAAAAGTTTTTAAAAATAAATCAATCGGTAATTCTAAAATATAGATTTTCTACAAAGTTTATGTAAAGTTTGTCTGTTAATACTTACGGATGTTGAAGAAGTTGCTCTAGAGTTGGGAGTCCATTTTTGCAAGCTTCGCTAGTTAAAATACTTTCTAAGATCGAACGAATATCGGGTTGGCACTCTATTGGAAATGATTGGCAAATTGGTGACATCAATGGCTTTCCAATAGCCATCTCGTACAGAGTATGACCAAAATTATAAACGTCTATTTGTTCAAGTGTCTATTTACAAATAAATAAAATATATTTATTGTAAGCGTAATAGTCTAATGAAAATATTTAATACCTGAATCTTTCTATACTGGGTATAATAAGGTCTATATTGAGATGGCACACCGAGAAGAAAATTTTCAAGATCTAGTAATTTGCATTTACCATCGACTACAGCAACATTTCCAGTATGCAAATGACCTTAAAATTGATAAGAAATATATTAATGTTAAAAACGTATAATATAAAATTAATTTTAAAAATTTTACCGTAACAGTAACCCTTTTCGTATAGATATTTTAGAGTTGTTATAATCTGCTTTGAATATGTACGAATCGTGACGTAATCGAGGGGAGTACACTTTTTAATTGATGCGTATTTTTTTAAATACGAAACCTTTGGCTTCGACTAAAGGGGAAAGAAATTAGAAATTTTTCTTGTTTTTAATTCCATCATTTTTTAATAAGATACCTTGTATATAATATCTTTTAAAGTTCCACCCTCATAAAATTCTCTAACGACTAATGCTCCAGAGGTATTTGATAATACCCTGTCAATTTTTCCTATGAAATCGTGCTAGATAAAAAGATAAATTTAATAAGCTTGTATAGTTATGTATCAATGAATTTATTCTCTTACCTGAAATTGTGATAATAATTCAAGAGAAGATTGAAAATATTTATCTCCCAGAGGTGCATCTGGACCATATACTGTCTGTTAAAGAAAAAAAACAATCGTCTGCTAAGTACTTTCTCTACTGTTGTTTTAGTTTATTGTTTTTATTTTTCAAATAAAAATAAAAAGTATAATAACATCTCCTAAACTAGATTGAAACTGTGCTAAGTTTCTAAATCTATACCACATTTACTAAACAGTTCATAATGAAGCCTACCCAGCTGAGAACATATCTGCCTTTAGGGTTTGACACTTGGCGAGTTAAAACGTATTCTTTTCGTATACGCCATCCAATATCTGGAATAGCTTCTACTACTTGCCAAGTTGGGTCTGCCCTGAACATCATTGACACATGTTCTAATGCCTTCTCTACAATGATAATGAATTTTGATAAGCAAAATATTCAAAGCATAGATGAATATATTATTTACCCAAAAAATTTTCCTTGTAATTTTCATAATCTAAGAATCTCTTTACCTCCAAGCAGTTTGCCAAGCAGGGATACGATAATATACTATTTAAATAATTTTGCAGACCTCTTTGTCTTTCGGCGATGAACTCTCTCTCCTTATTGCCAAATACTTTTTTTGGTGGCAAGGTTAGTTCAATAGTAGTAAATTTTAGATAATAATCTAATGCCACAAAATCACTATATCGTTTCATAATTTTCCAGCTTTTATCCGATAAAGGACCCCTTTGAACTCGAATGACATATTCCTACAATTAGAATTCTTAATGATTTATTGTAATTAAAAAATGATTCTTAAAACCATTTCTAGAAAATATTAACCGTATGATCTTTGACATTTTGGGATGTTTCAATAAAGCAATATAAAGGTATGGAATCGTCCAGAGTTAGTTTCGCGCTTCTTTCTCTTTCGAAAACCGCCATCTTTGTTTATGAAGGCGGAGTAATGCGTTGAAGAATAAATCGAAAAATTAACAAAAATCTTAACCGAAAAGAATTTTAAAAAAAAAGAATTTTAAAAATGAAATTATTATTACTATTTCTAAAAAAAGAGTGTTATCTAAACAAAATTATTACGTAATGCTTTATAGTTTCGATATAAGTAAAAAAAAACAATTTTTTATGGAACATATTATATAGACAAGTATTATCATTATTATTATTATTGTTAATCGTTTTATCTACTAGAAAAGCGATGAGAAAATTTTACAATACATAATTTCTCTCAATCGAGAAAGTTTTAATGGTTTATTCAACTTTTTTATGATATAAAATAAACTAATGTTTTTAATTTTCATAATACCGTTCTTAAGAAAGAACGTTTTAATTATGTAAATTTTCCAGAAAGAATCGGGTTAATTTGAAGGAAAAAATAATTGCAAAATGAATTAATCCTCAAAATGTACATGTTGAAAACAGTTTGTAAATATCAACATATAAAAAGGTAAATAGTTTTAACCTCAGATCGATGAGATATTACTCAGCAGATTTTAAAAACTCGTTTAGAGGTCATTTAAATAGTAAAACTGACCCAATAAACAATAATAACATTATAAGAGGAAAAAGGAAAATATTCATAGTTATAAAGTGTAATATATAATTATAACAATTAGCGACCTTTATTACAACTGAATTGTAGTTATATATTATTTTTATAGAGTGCTTGCTACATGGGTAAAGATTAAAAGTAAACTGTCCAATATTTCAAAAGAGATAGACAGTCCTATTAAAAATGGTGTCTAGTTTTTCTAAGAAATTAGCTGGAACTTTTAAACTGCTTTTTTGCTAAGGATAAAATAATAATTAACGACTAAATGTAATTTTTTCAATTGTTTATTATTTGTAAAATTGTAAAAAAAGAAGTTTCGAACTATATATTTACATAAATAGTTAAATTCAATTTAAAATAGGTATGTTTAATGAAATAATTGATGTATAAGTAGAGGGCGCTGGTGATCACCTGATTCGTCACGTGATTTCCCTGTTTCGTTCTCTTAACTTCAAGTTTTCATAGAGATCAAGGGAGAAAATAAATTTCTCTTAAACGTTAATAAACTGTTACAGTAATTTTTTTTTTTGAGAAATTGTAGTAGTAAACGTAAAGGTATCTTATTTATGTTTAGATGTACAAAACAATCAAATTGCAACCGATGTATTTAAATTGGAAATTAATATTAGTCAGTTAATTAGTAAATATTCAATTAAAGAAAATTCATATTAAGAATGAAATATTTTAATAATTCCTATTTAAATTACATTTGTCATAAATATCTATATCAATACCAGTTTTGTTTTACCATGGATAATGATGTTAATATACACATATAGAATAAGACATCATGAATGCAGCAGAAACTAAACAATTCTTCATGAATTCTTTAACATCAACATTCTTTTCGGCGGGTAAATAAACTAATATATAAATATTATAAAAGAATTTTAATCGATATGTAAAACATTCAAAAAAAAATAAGGTATAGCAATCGGGAGTAATTTGAACCTCTTCGATAAGCTTCTACAGTTGGATTCGCCTGTAACTTGCAACGAATTTGCTATTAAATGCGACTTGAAGGAAAGGTATTGAGATTTTTATTTAAAACATGGAAAGTTGATTATTTATCTTTTCGAAAATATTCAGGTATATAAGAGAATGGTTGGGTTTAATGGTTTCAGGACGAGTAATTTCGGTTGATGGTTCTGAAGATGAAGACAAATACTTTCTTAGTGAAGATCAAAAGACTGGCATTAAAGAGTCAGGAAAAGTAATGATACTTACAGAACTTGCGAATAAGTTTATTGAACATAGTGATAAGCTTATTTCTTGCTTTAAACCGGATGGACCAAGAGGTTCTTGTCATCTTTTTAAAATCATTAAAAATTATTCCATAATTTTCATTATATAGGAATTACTCACGAAACCTACGACTCTAATGGAGCATTTGACCTTCTTGGAAAATTTCGCTCGTTAGCGGATTCTTCTGCTGAACAGGACGCAATTATTAAACAAGTACCAGGATTGAAAGAAAAGTTAGGTATTGTTTTACTAAATAGAAACACGTTTACGATTATTAATTGATTCATTAAACTTTGTTTCGTTTTCTATAGAAACTGGTAACTATAAAGTATTAGAAATTGGATGTAATCGTGGCCATAATTTGATTTCATTCGCAAAAATGTTTCCAAAGTCAACTTTTGTTGGTCAAGATTTAACTAGTGAGGGGATTATGGAGGCAAAGAAAATGTCGGCCAATATGGAAAATGTAACGTTTTCCGTTCAGGATGCTTGTGTAAAATCAGAAACAGATGATGAATCCTTTGATTGGATTCTTACCTGTGATGTTATTCATGATCTACCGTATCCAGACAAAGCTTTGAAGGAAGCATTTAGAATTTTGAAAAAAGGAGGATACCTCAGCATTGTCGACATAAACTGTCATACTAGACATTCGCAGAATAAAGATAATATGGTAGCACCTTTTGTCTACGGCAACTCACTTTTGCACTGTTTGCCCATGTCCTATTCTCTACCAGATAGTGCTGGCCTAGGAGCCTCCTGGGGAATTGAAAAGGCGCAAGAAATGTTTAAAGATTCTGGCTTTGAGTTATACGGTAAATTCCCAATGCCAGATGATTTTGAAATGTACTACGTACTTTCAAAATAAATGATCGCTTATAAATAATAAAATAAACAAAGCATTTTTTAAAGTGGTTCTTTTTTTTTATTTTTATGTAAAAAGTGATAAAAATATTAATATTTTTATAATTTAATTTTCGTTTTAGTCTTCCCAGGAATTAAAAATAATGAAAGAAAAAAAAATAATACCAATATATGACAATATACTTTTTTTTCTTTTTAAAGTAAAAAATAAAATACTGATGATTCTAATATTAATTAATTGCACGCAGTTGGGAGACTTCCTCCTCTAATTGCCGTATTTTTTCGTCTTTTACTGAAATTTCCCTTCTTAAACGTTCAACTTCCGTTGTTTGTTTATTGTAAGCGGTTTTAAGCTATTGGCAGAAAAGGGAAAATTAAGAATAGAGTATTATATTGTTTTAGTTTTAGGAATTGTTTGTTTAAGCTTACTGTTTCATAATCCTCCATCGATTCTCCATTATTGTCGTTTGGTGTGATAATAGTCTGAAAGAAGAAAATTCTCTCTTATATATATTAATATATATGTATTTATATATATATACTGTATATATAGTTATTTAATTAGTAATTAACTAATTAATTAATTATAAATATTTTAAGATAGGCAAGACGATTTGATATTTTGAAAAATAAATTAGCATACAATATCAATCGATTAAAGAATGAAAAAAAAAGATGGATAGGGAGAAAGAGACAGAGAGAGAGAGAGAGAGAGAAAATATTGATAGAAAGGGAAGAAAAATTCACTAATTAAACTAACCGGTACAACCGCTGTTTTACAAACAACTTTTGTTTGTTGTAAGAATACGTCGCTGTACGATCTTCTTGCTCTTGTTGGTGTATTCTCTCTATCTTTACCCAATATAGGAGTAAGAGGCAATAATCTCGGTTTTGGTTTATCAACATCCAATTCATTCTTTTTAAAGGATTCTGGAAATGGGCAAGACGGTCGTCCCCGTCGTTTCCTTCTCAAACTTTCTCTTAATTTTGATGGTGTAATTAAACTATGATCTGGAGCTGGTTCGTCCATTTCGAAAGATTGTATAAAATCGCTACTTTCTTTTGTTGGTACTTCTTCTGGTAAAGATTCCTTAGATTTTCTATTTTTTTCATTAGATTTATTTAAAGGCGTTTCCGTTTCGTTTAAATAGCCGGAACCTTTCCAATTTTTATCGAATGTCGAATAATAATTATCCTTATCGTCTGGTGATTTTTTACTATTTTCGTCGTGTTTATAATCTCTTTTACTAGTCTCTCCATTAGTAGAAGGTGGCGATTCAGTAAAAGTCCGATCGAGATTCTCAGTTTTAATTTTCTGTTTTTGACAGTCATTATTATTTGTACTAGATTCAGATATTGATACATCATCCGTTAGAGTTTTATCGTTAACCTCAACAAGCCTATCTAATTCGCTTTCGTTTAACATCGATATAGATTGATATTTATCAAAATCGATTGAACTATTACAAGTAATATTCTGATTTTCAAATATAGCATTTAAACTCATATCAACTGCAGGAAGAGGAGGGGGGCTACTAGGTGGCGTTGTATAATCACTATTCGACGAAATAATGCTCGAGGATCTCTTGGGTTTAACCTTGTAGGGGATAAAAGAAAAAAAAATCTATCTAATAAGAGCCATGCCGATAAAAGGAAAAAAACAAATAATATTGGGATATCAAACAATAATTAGCATGCAAACATAAGAAAGAGAGCAAAAGAAAACACCTTTTCCCCAATGCCCTTCACCCTTAAAGATACATATAACAAGAAAAACATAAATTTGTCATTAGTTTTGCTCTGATTTCTGAATGGTTAAAAAGAAAATAAATATAACCATCACATACCTGCGATTCGGAAGGTAAACTTGCAGAAAAACTAGGCTTTGGTACTATATTAATATCACTTTGACTGTTAGTAGAACGATAGGTTAAAATAGGCTTTTTCTCCACATTTCTATTTAAATAAAACAAATTAAATATTAATTAAAATATATAGATTATATAAATAAAGTTAGGTTTATTACCTATTAACGTCAATTTGACTATTTTCAGTAATTCTATACTCGTCAGAATAGTTCGTTTGATAATTTTCATCCTTTTTTTGTTTTTTTAAAAAAAAAAGAGAATTATTTAAATTATTTTATAAATTATCATGTATACTGTATTTAAAGCTTAAATATTTACAATTGATTTTGGTGATAGAACGGCCTCTTGAATGAATTCTAATTCAAAAGTATTTTTCGTTGAATTGGGATCCTTTAAATATGAAAATATAACAATATATATATATGTATATATACATATTTATAATACTCATTTGAATATATTTAAATATTAAAATTTATAACTCACCTTTAAATTAATTAATTTCGGATCTCTATTTAAACCTGATATCCATTCCTCTGCTGTAATAGAAGGGTATGGCGCGGCAGTGGGCGGATATATATCATTTTGAAATATTTCAGCCTATAAAAAATCAACGAAATAAATAAATAAATAAACAAACAAACAAAGAATAAGCATTTATTACAAACTTTTCTAGGAACAATAAAAGAAACAGGCTCGCAGACTGGTTTCGCAGATAATAACCTATAGAAACGAGCAATTTCGCACTTTGAAGTAAATACTCCTCGTTTCGGCATAAAACCTTTAAAAAAAAAACCGATATTATGTTATTATGAATGAAATATGGTGGAATACTTTACCAAATCCGCATTGAGAAGTTGAAAACTGGCATTGATTTAAATAAAACAAATATGGTGCATCCTCTAAAATTTCATAAAATTTTATACTACTGTCACCCTAAATATTTCAAATAATTAACAGTTAATTAATAAATTAATTAGTTAGTTTTTTTAATAAAAAAAAACTTACTTTACCGCAACAATAGACAACTTTGATATCATGATCGTATACCGGAAAGCAAACTCCGTTATTACAATCCATATCCTCTACTTTAAGTGGTTTCGAGAGATCGTTCTACAAAGATGAGAATTTTCAATAGAATATCTATTATACTCGTCAATTATTTAGCTTCTTCTTCTTCTTCTTCTTCTTCTTCTTCTCTCTATCAAACAATTCCTAATCCGAGAGGAAGAAGAAGAAGAGAAAATTAATTTTAATAAAATACTTACAGCGTCCCAAAGTGCCACCTGACGATCGTGGTGTTTATTAAATCCAATAGTAAAAATTCTTGAAGTTCCTAAAAACGAGCACTTTGAAGGTTTTGATCCACTATGAACCGTTCCAGGACTACTACTTTGGATAAGTTCTCCACTCCTCGAATCTATTATTCTTATTATCCTATCTTTACATGTTGTCGCAAAAGATGAACCATCCAGATTCCAGGAAATCGACAAAATAGGTGCCGTATGCAATTCATCGATTACTGTTAATTTTTCGGATGTGGAAACATTCCATATAATGCAGGATTTATCGTAGGAAGCCGAAAGTATGATTTCGGCTGCAGATGGATGCCATTCAATATAGGCTACTTTACGGGTGTGTCCTCTATATTGAATAAAAAAAACACATAATTTACCATCTCTCTTTTACTAATGCTATCGAACTATTACTATTAACGTACTTTAAATTAGCCACGTAATCCGTTAGATTTGACCTCAAGCCTCCTGTTGGGATTTGCCATATTTTGATTGTACAGTCTTCAGAACAGGAAGCTATCACGTGATCGTCGTATCTATTCCATTTCAAGTCCAAAACAGGAGCTTTATGACCGCACACCTTGTGAGTTAAATCAATTCTACCGCATTTTTCCAATGGCAAAACTGTAAAAGATCCTCCTCCAATTGAATCACTAACAACAGCCAAAAATAAGGGATTGACACCACAAAAAGTCCCATCGTGAGATAACTTAGTAATTTTAAGATTATCGTAGCACTGTTCACGTTTAAATGTTCTACCGTAAACGTGGCGGAACTTCGAACTACGAACTTGAAAAGGCATCTAAGATTATAGAAAAACGAAATATATGAATAAATGAATATACATATACATATATTAGTATATAGATTAGTAATTGAATTAATTGCGGATTAAAAAAAAAGAGAGAGAGAATGAAAATAAAAAAATAGAAAGGCATAGGAGGATAAATTTTTCAATTTTGTTTTTCTTTTTTTAAAGCAGAAACACTCTTTAACTTAATAAACAAAGAAAAAAGCATCTATTCAAAGCGTTAATTTAAACAACAATAATAATTTTTACCTAATAATTATTATCTCTATTTATCCTTAATGGATAATGATAAATAGAATATATTATATTAAAATATATAAAACAAATTATCGTTCTATATATTCCAAACTCTCCCAAATTTTACCACTTAAAATACTTTGAAAAAAATTGCCTCTGGTAAGTCTTTAAGTGAATATTATATAGAAGAAGAAGTTAGAATTTAATGTTGCATTACAATACTTATTGAAATTAAAGAGAGTGGTAGTCGTGAGAGTAACAGGCCTATATAGAATATCTATATATATATATATATATATATATATACTACACAGTAGTATACAACGAATATACAGTATATTATATATATATATATATATATATTAACCTCAAACCATCAAACTTAGTATAAAAAAAGAAATCTGTCATTAAGAAGCAATTAACATAAGGATATTTCAAAAAAGTGAAATCAATAGAAATGACTGCTTGCAATATGCTTCAGAATATATAAATTTATATATATATATATATATATAAAAACAGAGTTTAACATAAATCTGTTACAAAATGTTCTGTATAGTAGTAGACAAGTTTACTCTATTTATTTATTAACAATAGATTAATAAAAGAAAAAGGATAGTAAAAAAAGTATTACGTAATCTTAACAATAAACAAAAGTTGTTGTTGTTATTATTATTAATAATACTGATTTTGTGTGTCATTAGATTATTAAGTTTATATCTTAAATAAATAGCTTATTATTGATATTCTTAAATAAAATAGAAAATTGAATAAAAATATAATTAATTCAAAACCGGAAATCAATTTCTCAACATAAACTTTTAACCTTTTTACGAATAGATTTACTATAAGAAAAATAGTATAGTTTTCTATACTCGAATAAAAATATTATCTATATTGAATAAGATTATATTAATTATACATAAGATCTCTTTACCTACCGATTAATGGTAGAACAAAGATAATTAGATTATATTTACTATACAGTATATTAAGAGTAATAATACAAAGTATCGTACTACGTATCTTTAATAATAGATAGTTAACTTTGCTAGTTTTTAATACTTTACCTTGAAAACTATTCTATAAACGAAACAATATTAACGAACCTAACACCCCTGAGATACCGAAATCGCTATAGCCAATATATAGCATAAGTAAATTTATGGAAGATTTAAGTTTAAGAAAGCCTTGCATTGTAAATATTTTAGCTTCTATATAGGCTTATTTAAATTTGGTATATAGTTATTAGCCTATCGAAAGAACAGTATATAAGTATATTAAAAATTTTCTTTACCTTCAAGAAAGAAAAAGAAACATAGATATGTCTCTCTCTCTCTCTCTCTCTCTCTCCCTTCCTTATAAGGAAATGGAGAGAAGGCAATAAAAAATTAAAAAAAACGACACCTACATAAACGCACATGCATAAGTATTCTGTAAATAAATATCGTCAACAATCCTTTGTGAAAGAAATAACGTTTTCGAAACACTTGATTGATAAGGAGAAAAATAAATCTTACTCTATAAATTCTTACTATTTTAATATATTTCTTTAATAATCACTATTACGTAATAGAAGACCTATCTCTCTCCGTCTCTTCTTTCGAATAAAAAACAAAAGAAACCAAACAAGATCAAACCAGATTGTCTCTCTCTCTTTTTTACTATTTAAGTAAGGATTGATGACAGTATAAAGATATTAATACTATAAATTACTTTCTATTATTTACGCGAGACATTTAATCTATAAGATCTTAATTAAAAATGATTATTATCTTGTATTCTTTACTATCCCCTCTATTTGTATTGATATTTATCAGACTAAGACTTACAAATTATTCGTTGATCAATTACCAACAAAAATAAATGATTTATAGTATTGAAAAATTAATAATGACAATATACGCTATTACTTTTATATATAACAATAATTGAAATAATGAAAAACAAAGGAAACAACTTACAAAATAAGTTTGAAGACAAACAACTCCTTTCGTATGTTACGTTATACATATAAAAGAGGTAGAGATATATATATATATATTAGTACTAGGATGCAATAAAACAAAGTTTAGTACTAAAACTTAAGGCCTGAATTTTTAAAAATAAAAGAATTTACTATTAGTAACGGATAGTTTTTCGTTTAGGAATATTAGAAAAATAAATCTGTATCAACCTCTTTAAAAAATTTAAAGCTATTATCTGGCTAGTGCCTGATCAATATACTTTTCGACTATTAAACTATTGATTGTTTAGTTAAAAAAAAAAAGAGAGATAGAGTCACGAATGCATAAATAGCTATTTGTCCTACATGCATACACACATGCATCCATATATACTGTATACATATATATATGTATATATACAGTATATTTATCAGGTAATATTAGTAAGATTACTAGATTTACTATGCTAGATTTCGTCGATTTATCTTATCGCTATTAATTCTTTTAATTTTTAAGAAGATACGTTTTACAATCAATACTAGACAAAATAAATTGTTGTATCGATAATAAAAGTTCAAAATACTATAACATATAAGTTTTAAATGTTTTAAGCCTATAACAAGCTATTTACAATAGCAAATAAGCTATAAAGGCAAGATAAACTAAAGTTTAAGTGTTCTTGTAGCTAGATGAAGGGCTAACGTAATTCAAGTTAATCTCTTTTTCTTTTTATAATTCTTGACAAGATAAAGCATCTGTTGTTACTTAATCAATTGATTAATTAATTGATTTTATTACATATGTTATTTATGTTTTGAAAAAATTCACTTTTCACGTTAAAAAAAAATCTTATTAAATTGCTTAAGAGCAATTGATCAACCTCTAAAGACTATTAGGTTAAGGTGTTCTAAATTCTATTCACATCATATCTCGAATAAATGGCAGGGGAGGGGGGGGGGAAAGGGAGTGGAAGAAAGGTTAGAGGGGGGTGGAAGTGTTGAAAAAAAAAAATATAGAACCTTTTTATTCTTTTTTTTAAACAGATCAATTCTCTTCAGTTCTAACAAATAAGAAATGAAACGACGCATGAAAGAAAGACAGGTAGAGGAAGGGAGGGAGGAAAGGGAGACAGGAGAGGTTAAATGAAAGGATAGAAGAGATAAAGACAAAATTGAATCCTTTACTAGAATAGATAAAGCATACAGACAATAAATACTTGTTAATCAAAGAATATTATTAAATATATAGATAAATCAGAAATAATAATAAAAAATATCATTCATTGATATAGATTTTAAAAAGAAACGTCTCAATATCTCTCTTTTTTTTTCTTCTATCTATCTATCTATCTGTCTGTCTATCTATCTAGCTTTATGTGATTTTTTTTTGTTTTCAGCAGCACATTTTTTCAAGATTGAATAATTTATCTGATAAGAAAAATATATGATAGATAAGAGAGAATATAGAGAATATGTAAAAGTATGTTCCTTTTTTTAATATATATCAAAAAAGTATCAGTATCAAAAATTAAAGTGAAAGTTTTTATCTAAGAGGTAAAGCTTTCTCCCCCCCCCTCCCTTCCTTCCTTTTCCCTTTCTCTCACTCACATAGCACCTAATCTTTCGTTTCCTTTAATAAAATCTTCACTTTTGATTTTTTGCGTATGTCTACTATACTAAAAACTACAAAAGCTTTACAATTAGACAAACAAAACACGTTAGAGAACGTTAAAAATGATACTAAAATAGGTGGAAAAAAAAAACAATTTCTCTAAAATATATGATTTTTATTAATTAATTAGTTCAATTGTTAAAACAAAACAAAAGGAAGAAAAATACAAAAGCTCTAAATTATGTTATATATTATTTATAAAATAAAAACAACCATAGAAGATAAATAATGTTATAATACACTATTTTTAATAATTTTTAATAATTATTTCATTTTTTTATATAGCAAACTACCTCAATATTCATTTTTGTGAAATTTATTTTATCCCTGTAGAAACAAAATATAAAATGATTTTTATATACATCTTCTTTTCTATAATGTAGTTTAATACTATGTTAGTCAATATCAAAATTAGAGTCATCAGTAGGACTCTACGCGAAATGGTAAGCTTTTATAGTGATTACCTTGTTACAATTTTTAATTTTCAATGTCTTTTACTACGAATAACTTATACAAGTTTCATTTATAATTTGCACAAGTTCTTAACATTTTATATACATACCTGCAGATATAACGAGGAAAATACGGTGAATTAATGAGCCGTCACTTTCATGAGGTAAATAAAATACGGTACAATATTCCGCGTTTATTCGGATACCTATTCTCTTTTAACGGAATAGCACCAGACTATTATACTGTAGATGGAGCTAGATTCAATTTTATTCAAAACTAAGCGGTTGACAAGAGAAAAGGATTAGTTTTGAACGATTTAGTCAATTTTTTTAACATTCCCAACAAGCTAAATCTACTTTTGCAATTTAAGCATTCATTCAAGCGAATATGCCTAGTCCAAGCACGTTTTACCCCACAGAAGTGAATCGATAATCCCATCGTTCAACGATTACTAATTTTAAAAATTCATGTTACAAATTAATCGGCTTAAGATATATATATATATATATTTCCCTTAGCTGTTTAATCTGAATTAATTACTGCAATGAATTTTACCTAAAATCTATTCAATAATTAATTGTAAAGCTATCTTTTTCTTGTTTCGACATAGTTTACTTTACTGTTTCATTTATTATTTATTAATAGAGTGAAGAAATAATAATTTGACCTTAAAAAATGACAAGTTCATAAGGGGAATTTCGTACTTTTTAATAGTTAAAAAAGGGTACTTTACTCAGAATATTGAAAAAAAAAATTCTCTTCAAAATATCTAGGGTATTCCAAGGTTTAATCAGACAAGACAATTATTGATAATTATCTATAGAAAATTACTGTATTTTTCTTTTTAGTGCACAATATAATAGAGAGAGAGAGAAAGAGAGAATGAGAGAAAGAAGCCACAGCAAGAGAAAAGTCTAAACTTTGACACGAGAATGTTTTGATACTCTACATAATATACAAACAATACAATCACTTCCCTAAATAAATAACCTTTGTACAAATAATTATTATTTCTACTCTAGCTTCTAGCCTTTTTTAATAGATTTTCTTCTTTTATTAACAATTTTTTGTACTCTATATGCCCTTTTCTCGCTTTTATTTTCACCTATAAAAAGGCTAAAGTAGTTCGCTAATTATTGTAATTACAGTTATATTGAACTTTTTTTGATGTTTTGAATTTTCTTTTTGAATAAACATTGACTGGCAGAACGATTCAATTTACTCCAAGGGTGTTCTATACCTTATTACTTTTAATAGCTTTTTTTTCTTTATAGGCCTTATATAAGACACTATAATAATTTGAAAAAAAATTGAATATATTTCGATTTTTACAAATTTTTACTGCCGAGACGATATGTCTGGAAGACGACGAATTCCTAAATCTGGAAAAACTGCTCCTCCTCCTAAATTAAATGTATAAATTTATTATAACGTTTTTAATATGTTGTCGAAATTTTATTTCGTTAATTAAATATCTAAGGGCTTAAAATAGGCTATAAAGCTGCTAGCGATAATTGGGTAACTCGTGTTTCAATTTCGTAATATGTATTTTTCAGCCACCACAACCAACTTCATCAAGTTCAGAATCAGTTCATCCAGATGAAAATTTTGAAAAAGAATTATACTGGTGTATTGAACAGCTAGAATTAGGCTTAACAACTAAAAAAGATCCAGATGCTTCACAGAGTATGTAAAGTATTTTTTATACTCGTTTTTTTTTCTAATAATATAATTCATTCTAGTTGAAGAAGCTGCAAAATTAATTAGATCATTAAAAAATCCTAAAGCTCCTCTGGTAAAGAAACGTCAAATTATGCGAAAAACTTTTGGCGATTATAGAAAGAAGATGATGGATGAAGAAAAATCTTTAAAATCTAGTAAGTAAACCCCTCGCCCGCCCCCATCCCATCATATTATTCAAAGACAAGAAACAAATACTAAACATTACTTTTCAATTATTCTATAATTACTCGAAACAACTAAAGAAGAGAAAAAATCATCGGTATGTTCAGTTAAATTAGAAGAACAAAAGACTGGTCGTTTCGTAAGAAAATCGCATTCACAACAAGAAAATTCTACTGAAAACAAGACTGAATTCAAATTTAACTTTAATCTTGATACGAATAGTTAATTGATTGACAAATTATTTTAAACCAGCTATACATACATTCATTAACGGCGAAAGATTAAAGTATTATAGTTTCAATGTAAATATCTTTCCCTAAAAAAGGAGTTGATAAGAATTCAATAGCGATAACATTATCTATTACGTAATGTTATTATGGGAACGAAAACGTAACTTTCGAATTCCCGTTAATTAGTGAAATTCTTAACATATTTTCCTTTATATTAATATACTACCAGTTTATTTTACGTATTTCAAATTTTTAAGTTTTTATGGTGATTATTTTGAAAAAAATTTTAAAGAAAATATGGAAACGACAGTTTCTAATAAGATAAGAAGAATCAAAAAGACATTTTCGAAAAGTGTGGGAAAAGGTGGAGGAGTTAAACAAAAGCGTACTGGGAAAAAGTCTAAAAAGAGGCGACGAAAGGTTAAGAATGATGTTACTAACGTTGAAGAACTTTTCATTACTACTAACGATAAATCGAAAGATGAAGAAGATCGAGAAAATCTGATGATGAATTTTAAAGTAAAGAAAGAGTTAAAAATAATGGAAAGTGAAGAAAGAAGAAAATGTGGCGAAGAGTTGAAAGAACTAATTGAAATATGGAATTATCAATTAGAAGAATTTAATAAAAGAAATGAGACGAATAGATTAAAAAGTGAATGGCAAGATTATATAAATGGTAAATTCCCAAATCAATCATCGGAAAGAGATATTAATACATTCTTAGCAATACTTAAAGAATCTCAATTTATTGGTATTAACACAGAATTGAACAGATGTCAAAAGGTTTTTTCTTTTTTGAAACTAAACATATTGTTTGATTATTTTATTATAAAATTGCAAAGATTTTAATCGTTTTTATATAGGTTTTACAAATTATTAACGCAGTTAATCATATTCAATCTGACGAAAACTTTTCGAATAGTAGACATGAATGCATTTTAAAGCTTGAAGATAATTTAATTGATAGATTGGATAGAATAAGCGAAAAGATTCTATTCGATGCTGAAAAATATGTTTCCGATAAGTTTGCTGAGAATTTACACAAAGAATTAAATTTCAATGAGATCCGCCTAGGAGTATGGGGAAATTTAAGTAAAAGTTCAAAAGGTCGTACAATAACAATGGAATGTCTAGATATGAATATAACAATTCCAAAACATATTTTTAACATTGATTACGGTATTCGAATTCTCAAAATAGACTACGATCATCTTAGTCATAAATCCAAGTCATTTTTAAAAAAAGAGAAGATTGAGGTTATTTTATTGAAAAATATCTATGAAAACTTGTATATACTTAACATTCTAGTTCATTTATTTATAGAATACAACAATAAAGAATAATAATTTGAGGGGTAAAACAACGACTGAAAGAGAGAAATCCTTTATCTATTTCGATGACAAAGATAAAAAAGAATTTCCATTTTTAGAGAAATTATGTAAATTTCAAATGAATTTATTCCACTTGAAAAATATAGAACAAATTGATTATCCTATTATTCGTGTGAATAGCGACGATGAACAATATATAGTATCTGATACGTTAAAAGACTCGCAAGATAGTAATTTTTTTGATTCAACTACTACAAAATTGTATCAAAAATATTATAATAAACCGTATATTGTTGATTTACGAAGTTATAGTCTCTTATATAGTATATATCATATTGATCTTGTTCAATTGCCACCTCAACCTCATCAAATTAAACCAGGTACTATTCTCCGTAAGGTAGCGTTATACTTTTCATTCCACTTTTGAGTGCATTTTATTGTTATTTTTTTTATCTTATAGATTGAGGAACCGAAAGGAGTATTAAAATATTTTCATAATGTTATTGTACCGGAAACGAATAGCGTAAAAGAGACTATAGTAACGGCTAGATCGTCATTTGTTGAGAGTACATATTCGTTTATGAAACACATTAAAAGTGATCTTTCCGAGTCTTTGAGTAAGATTTATTCAAATGATTCGGAAAATAATATCGTTATTACAATAAAAATATCGACTTTGTTGTTCACTTCTGGAAACATCTTTTTAGCCAGATGGGACGGAGATGATTGGGTAACTAATGGTAAGACTATTTAATATATAACTAATTAATTAGATTATCTAATGAAAAATATTCTAAACTAAAAAGGATTCTATTATGAAAAGTATGACGATAACAATAAAAGTATCACATTTAGACCAAAAGAATTTGGTCCTTATGGCATATTTTACGATTTACATTGTCAGTACCCTTTTAAAGATTGGATTATACAACCTATTTATGAGAATACAGTTGTTATAATCCTCTATACAACAATGATAAGAATTGAAATAAAAGTTACAAATAATTTGGTAACGCTTATTAATCCTAATATTTTACAAGGAGAATTCGAACCGTCGATATTCGTTCGACAATTAAAAGATATCGGTTTAAATATTTTCCCAACGAATGACGCTAAAAATTACGTTAATACACTGATAAAAGACGCCTCTCTAGAAGAAAGGCTTTATCGATCAATTTCTCTAATAGCTCCTGCATTCGCTGTGGCGAATTCAAAGTTGATTAATTAAAATTTTTAAGATAATAGAACGTTATTAATACATTTCTTTAAATATACGCAGATGGAATAGATTGGTAAATGAAACTGATAAAATCGTATTAAAAGTATTGGAAAATGTAGATAATAAGCGAGTATTATCTGATTGTTCTTGGAAAACTCTAATGGCTTCAAAAGTAAGATCGATTATTGTCGATATTAAAGATAGTTCTGTACAATGGAAAGAGGATAAAGAGGGAAATTCAACTGTTAGGGCAGATATATATCATACTTGTATAAAAGATTTGGCAAATACTCGGTCAAGGCTGATAATTGATAATTCTGACTTTAATTTTACTTATACAATTTATAAACTTGTGTCATTAATGAGACTTTTAATATTTGTTCAGTAAATTATCGATATAAAAACTTTCTAATGCATTAAAAAAAACATTATCTAATTTAACAATGATATTTTAAATTTTGAAGGTCAAATTATTAATAACGCCATCTACAACACTACCACGTGTAATTGAAACTAGACAGCTGCGAATAGATACCTTACGATAGCTCATTCTTATTTAAACTACGAATAGTATATAGACAGTGAATTCTGAGTTGACAATCATTCGCCGCCCAGACCACAACACAACAAAACCTGTTAGGTATGTTAAGTTTGAAAAGTGCTGTCTTCTTTTAAATGCATTCTATTTATATAATAAGTTGATTTTATGCAAATATTACATGTTATATTTATAATTCATACATAGATGCTAATATTGCCTCATAACAACAGCTCTAAGTATTAAATATATTGTTCGCTACGATGTATAATATAATATAGAAAGGTCAGAGTGCTTATTTAAGACAACTATACTTTTTAGAAAAGAAAAATGGAATCTGCAAAAATCTTCAAGGCGAACGAAAACTGTCAACCTGACTGGAAGCAAGCTTCCGCCGATTACGATGGTACCGATACCCATTTGGAAATTATGGGAAAACCAGTTATGGAAAGATGGGAAACACCTTATATGCATAAATTAGCCGAGATTGCTGGTAGTAAGGGTGGTAGAGTTTTAGAAATTGGATTCGGGATGGCTATCTCCGCAACTAAGCTTGAAGAACAGAATATCGATGAACACCTTATCATCGAATGCAACGATGGTGTCTTTTCTAGACTAACCGAATGGGCTAAGACACAACCTCATAAAATTACCCCAATGAAGGGGTTATGGCAGGTTATTACATAATTTCTCTTTTCTCCTTATTGGTATGCTATACTAGAGATAGTCTACTTAACCTTTATTGACCACTTGATCTTCTTGACATTGTTGCGCACTTGTCTGATCTTTAAAAAAAAAAAAGATAACCTAGTGAACTTTTCACCGACCTTGACCGTTATCATTGGTCTATTCCCCATTCCCTCGTATATCTTTATATGTAAAAAAAAAAAAGAAAGAAAGAATGATTTACTTTAATTAATAAAAGATATTTAATCAATAGGAAGTTATAAACAATGTTCCGGACAACTCCCTAGATGGTATTCTTTACGATACCTATCCATTGAGCGAAGAAACTTGGCATACACATCAATTCGAATTCATTAAAAATCACGCCTATAGGCTTTTAAAGAAAGGAGGTGTTTTAACTTATTGCAATCTGACCTCATGGGGTGATCTTCTAAAAGAAAAATACAACGATATCGAAAAAATGTTCGAAGTAAGAACAAATAATAAATCTATTGTTCAATTCCTTTGATAATCTTTATTATTTTTCTCAAAAATTAGGAAACTCAAATGAGTCATTTGATCGAATCTGGATTCAAGAAGGAAAATATTAGCACTGAAGTGATGCCAATCGAGCCAGAGAAGGAATGCAAATATTATCAATTTAAGAAAATGATCGCTCCAACTATAATTAAAGAATAGGATGTTAGAAATGTTTATTCTTGTCGTATTTCTTTTGCAAACCTATAATATTTCAACTTTTCATATTTAAACTAGAATATGAATTATTTCATTGAAAATAGAATACAATTAGAATTTTGTTTAATTTCAATAGATCAATAACTTTATATTCTTATAATTGTTTAAATGTCCCAAATAGAGTAGAAGGAACTTTTCCTTTTACAATCGTCTATTTGCTTTTTATCAGATTTATAGATAAGGCTAATATGTCACAAGTATTGATGTATATTAGTTATTTAGATTGGCTTTCATTATCTATCAATTAGTTAAGTTTTTAAAATAATAAAACAAATAAAGGAAGATTTATTGTTCAAATTAAACTTTGGTGTCCTTTAATGATAAACAAAGGTTATAGCAAAGTCAATAAAAGGTTAATTTTTCGGTATGAATCCTTCAATAAGAAAGAGTCAAAGGAGAGAAGATAATGATAGTGTTTGCTTGTCAAAACAATAAAAGCTTATTAAGATATATACAGTATGAACTATTGATAGCCAAAAACGCTGTAATCAACTAGTGAAAAAGTTATATATTCTTTAATGCCTGGACATAATATAGGCCTAGCTTAGTTATAATAGATTTAAAATCTCTCAAAATGATGGATATTTATTTTATTACTTTATTGGAGTTGATAGCTACAACTACGCATTTAGAGTTTAGTATAATTTAGTAGGAAATTAAAGATATCTATACAGATATATATATATATATATGTATATATACTGTATATTATATTACAATGTAACAATCTATAGACCAGAAGAAGAAATACTACTATTATTTACTTTCAGTTTAAGAAAACTATCAATTCTTAACATCTGTATTATTGCATTTAGAACATAAAGAGACATTATTTGTTCTTTTTTCTTTGATGAAAGATCAATGTTATATATATATATATATATATATATATAATAGCGAATAAGGTTACTTTATAATTGTTTGATGTTTTTCATAGAACGTTCTGCTTTTAAGTTTTCTATTTTAAGTATTTAATTTCGAATCTTTAATAGAAACTTCTTGGAAAGCAAGTCTTTAAAAAAAATAAACTCTTAAAGTAGTCACTTTAAACGAATGAAAACTGGTAAACAACGAAGGTGAAGGTTCTAACAGCTGATAGTACAAATATCATATAAGTAACAAAGTAGAGCATAGTCAATATGCATCGTAAAAATATTCAAGCTCTGGTGAAAACTAGCCGAGCACAGATATTAAATCATCGTACTATGTCTGTTCAAATACCGTTTGCAAGAGAGAAAAGAGGCGACTTCCAACAAGCAGCTCCTCAGATCTCTAATCAGTATACATCTCATCCGATTTTAAGCCGTTATATTAAAAAAACAATGGGACCTGAAGTATGTTATATTTCTTCCAATTATTTGTAAAATAATCAAGATTATTCTGAATCCAAAAGGTTGCTCAAGCTATTGAACCTGATCTCAGACAATTTGGTGATCGGGTTGCTAATGAAATTGCCGAGTTGGGATGGAATTGTGAAAAAGAACAACCACAATTGAAACATGTAAGGAATTTGCAATATTATTTATGCAGAAGACCCTTATTAATGCAATTTCATAAATCAATAGTTTGATGCATGGGGCAAAAGAGTAGATGATATAAAGACGTGCGACTCTTGGAAAAAGTTGAAAGATATAGCGGCGGAAGAAGGTCTCATTGCTCACGCTTATACAAAAAAACATAAGGAACACAGTAGATTATATCAAATGATCAAGCTTTATCTATTTTCTCCATCCTCTGGACTCTTTTCATGTCCATTGGCAATGACTGACGGTGCTGCTAAATGTTTGTTAACTATAGGACCTGATAGTGCAATGAAAGTTCCATATGAGCATTTGATCACAACAAATCCAAAGGATTTTTGGACATCAGGTCAATGGATGACGGAGAAAAAAGGAGGATCCGATGTTGGTTAGTTTAATTCTATTATAATTATTATTAGGAATTAATGCTCCAAAACAAATTGTACAATTGTACCTTAATCCTTAGCAAATGGAACAGAAACTGTAGCCGTACTACAAGACGACGGTTCATACAAGTTATACGGATATAAATGGTTTACTTCGGCAACAGACAGCAATATGTCATTAACCTTGGCAAGAATAGTTTCTAACGATGGAACCTCAATCAAAGTTTGTTACAATTAAAAAATATCGATAAATATTTTTAAACGTTATAAAATACTTACGTAATAGGGAACAAAAGGCTTATCAATGTTTTACCTAGAAACTCGTGATAAAGAAGGAAATCTTAATAATATTCAAGTTCAAAAGCTTAAAGATAAATTGGGAACAAGACAAGTACCAACTGCTGAACTACTATTAGATGGAACAGTTGCCAAACTGGTAGCTATTTTAAAATAGAGAATTTTAACTAACAACTTGTCAAAATGATGATGATAATGCTTTTAGGTCTCACCGATTGGTCAAGGAATACCTAGTATATCAGATATGTTAACATTAACAAGAATTCATAATACTCTAGCGGCGGCTGGAGTAATGAGAAGGTGTTCCTAAAAAATTTTACTTTATATTTCAAGTCAACATTAATTTATCATATTGTCAAATTACGTTACAGGACGATGACTCTTGTGAACGATTACAGTTTTAAGAGAGAGGCTTTCGGGAAATTGATTAAAGATTATCCTCTCCATACGAAAGTACTCGCCAGAATGGAGGTTACTATTGCCAAAAAATAACGATATCCAAATAAAGCCTTTGAAAAGTTACAATTTTTTATTTTCGTTTAGGTTGAAGCAAGAGGAGCGGAACTTTTAGCTTTTGAGGTTGCTAAATTATTAGGCAGACAGGAATGTAAAGTGTCCAATGAGGAAGAGGACCAACTTTTAAGATTATTAACTCCAATTGCAAAATTATACACGGCTAAACAAGTAAGGCAAATTCACGTAGACAAATAGTTATGCATGTTTTAATAATATTTAAATATAAAGGCTGTTGCCATCGCGTCGGAAGGTTTAGAGTGTTTCGGCGGACAAGGATACATTGAAGATACTGGATTGCCTATGATATTGAGAGATTCTCAAGTTCTTCCGATTTGGGAAGGAACAACAAATATTCTTTCGTTAGATGTACTTCGTTGTATAGTAAAGAGTAAGGGTGCTGTCTTATCGGCATTTGCAAACGAAATCGACCGGAAATGCGATGGAGAAGTTTCAAGTCAATTAGACGAAGAAAGAGTTAGAGTTAAAGATTCGGCAAGGAATATAATACGTTTCATAGGTGGAAATCAAGATAGTTTAGAAGTTGCCGCAAGGGATCTTTCCTATAGTTTGGCAAGGATTTATATAGGTTTGCAAACAAAAGGTTTTCTTAAAAATTTCATTTACATTGATCATTATCACTTTCAGCTTCTTTGCTTATTGATTTCTCAAAGAATCCTTATGGAAGAGCAGACGATGTTCTTATAGCGAAGAAATGGTGTAGCCAAGATTTAACTCCAGTTCTAACATCCCACGAAAAAGGAGATTATAAATCTACTGTTTGCGATGGAGAATACGAATTAATTTTCAAGTCTAAATTATAATTGAAATTGAAGTCTTTATTCTGTTTTCCTAACAAAAAACACGGCTAAATATATCTTCTTGCACGTGATTTCAATTTAACATTCTCCATTTCCTATACAATATTTTATAAATGGAAAAAATTAATAATATACCATATAACTACAAACCATAGACGATATATTAAGGAGACAATTTACTAAACTTTCTTCAGTATATTCATTTTATAATTTTAAGATTCTTCGAAAAAAGATAAATTATCTTTTCTAATGAAATAAACTATATAAGAAGATAGAAAGATATATAAAAGCCACAGGCTTTCTTCTTAGTCAGTACTAATTACAAGTAATTTTAAAAATTAAGTAAAAAGCGAATAATTAACTATAAGTAGTAATTTCTTTAATTTGTTCTTAATTAACCATTATTCTTTCAAATGCCTATATATTTATAATTTTATACATATTGTATAGTTTATTCATCGCATGTGTATTGCTTTTCTATTTGAGAAAGTTGTTCTAATTGGAAAGGCATTGCGTTAGACAGGAGGAGAGAGAAGAGAGGACCTTACTTAATTGATTAACTGTACATCATTATCTTCCACTCTGTTTTCCTTCTCTGATTTCATTAGATAATTTAATGAAGAGTGGAAAAATAGCATATACTGCATTGTCGTCATTTTGCGTGTTAATAAGGCTGAGAAAGTCAATCGTCTAACTGACGGAAAAGAATGAAAGTATATTTTATAAATTCTCATTTCTTAAGTATTAATCAATTAAACAATCTAAACTAAACATAAAATTTTATTTGCTATTAAGACGTTAAAATGCAAATTGAGGTTAAAGTGGCGATTGTTAAATAAAAATGAGGTTGCAGACCCCGCCTCTAACTTATAGTTGTAATAAGCCACACCCTGTGACCATCAATGGTATGCAAAGGTGATCGTTACGCCTGCTTTACTAAGATATTCTCTACTTTCATGCTTCATTTAATTTGTTGTTGAATTTTTTTTGCGCTTTAGTCGGCTCTTCTTTTCATCAAATTTGATCGTTTCTCTTTCCCATATATACCCCCCTCGGTCTTCTCTCTCTCTCTGTCTCCTTGGTAAACTTACTTTCAATAATGAAACTCAAGTCTACAAATACCAATACAAAAAAGGATAATTTTTTTCTCCCTTTCAAGGGAAAATAGCTGTGTATGGAAAATAAAAGACTATAAAAAAACAGAGAGACAGAGACAGAGAGAGAATATCAATTATATATAGGGTTTTTTCCAGCTAAACAGAGATAATTAATAATAATAATTAATATTCATATAAATTTTTTTTTCTTTCTCTTTTTAAACGAAAATAAAGGAATGTGAAAACAAGCGTTAAAGTATGAATACATTATAGTTTGTTTGTTTTCTTTTTATGTAGATATTATTAATTCCTAAATTGTAATTCGACTATTTGTTTAGAAAGGATTTTGTAGTTTTTACTTTGTTTTGAATATAGAATGTAAACAATAATAATTGAGAAATTATAATAAAAAAAAAGGAAAAAGGAATAAAATATGAGTTTAAAATGGAGGAATTAAGATTGTATCATTAAGTTCAAGTAATTTATATATTAAGTATAATGCAACGGCACATTGACTAAAGTGTGAGAGTTATATCTTTTTTCGACAATTTTATCCACCTTTCAATATTCAATTATTGTTTGACATATTTCTGTGACAAGTACACTAGCTTTGCTAAAGAGAATTTCTGTACCGACTGTGAAGAGGTAAAAAGAGAATGAATGAAAGAAAAAGAATTCATTTACCATAGTACATGTGTATAGAGTTTGCTATAGAATGAATTTGTTAACTGATCTGAAATATTTTATATACAAATCTAAGTATTTCCATATATACTGTATATCTACGAGTTATTTTTAACTTTGTTATATTTGAAAATTTCTTTTTACAAGCTGTAAAATCTCTTATGTAAAAAGGTATTAATAAAAGGTATAGAGGAAGGAAAAAAGACAAATATGAACACAGGAATTTAAAATAAACATCTAATAGATTAAAAATATATCTTGACCATAAATTTTCATGAATATCAACGGAGTTCAATTACAGACAATAAACAAGATTAAAGATTCTGTGTTGAAGACCATAGTTTAATACTCTCTTCCACTTCTTCATTTTTCCTATTAACTTTAACATTCCTAAAAGAATTTCAATAAAGTAACTGTTGTATAAAAACTTTATTATTTACTTACAAATTATTTTGACAATCTAACGCCTTTCTGTAATTCAAATTTCTCGAGTTGCTTTTATCTTTTTCAACCGTGCCGTACTTGGCAACATCAGGCAAATCCGATGTAAAGTCAAATCTACATCCTTCAATGTAAAGATTTTTCTTCTTTTTCCTTTAAAAGATAGATTAGCCAAGAATGATATGGAGTCAATATTCTAACACTTTAACTTAAATTACATACCTTCTCGTATGCTTTAAAAAGCAAAACAGCAAAACAGACAGGAGTATTAGTAAACTAATTAGCAATATTATTATAGTCCACCATATTTTCTCAATAGATAGTCCGTTTATAACTATAGAATTCTGAGCGGTTGAAGTTGCAGGTAAAGTCTCATAAGCTATATATATATATATATATATATATATATATATATATATATATATGTGTGTGTGGAAACAAACAAAGACAAATTATATTAATAATTAATTAAACAGTTAGATAAAGTAAATTATATTTTATATGATATATAGAACAACCTATTTTTATATTATATATATTTCTCTCTGAATCAATTGTAATACTTTTGCCGATTGATGAGTAAGAAATTGTTGAATTCCCTACATTCGTTTCCCTTATTACAGCTATGTCTGTTAAATTATCATAACACATATACATGCAATATATAGATTTAATATTTATACAGTATATAGTATACACGTGATAATCCTTATCATATGTTTTTTTTTTAAATCTTTTCAATAACAAACTTACCAGTATATTTTCGATTTATGTTAACTACACGTAATTCAATTTTCGTTTTATTCACAACTTTTCTTATACGATCATGATCGTAGTCGAATAATTTGCAAACGTATTCTCCTAATGAAGAGAGTAAAAGACATGAAATTAATAATCTAGTACAATAATAGGTATCATTTTTTTTCTTTATTTTTCTAAGATATACTGTATATGCTAATATATAGTTATCAGCTGATTCGATGCAAAGAAGAACATATTAATCGAGGAAGAGCAATGTATGAAAGTAGTCTAGAATACTGTGATCTAATGTGAAATTATAATTACCGGAATCATTAGCTGTTAAATTACAAAAGTTGAAAATAAACATATTGTGAATTTCTTCAACAGTTATATCCTTTTTATTGTGCATTTCCCAAAGGCGTCCACCAATCAGTAGATGACGTTTCTTTAGGCCTTTACCTGTTGTATTAGCTATAAAATAGGCGCTGCTTCCGTTTTTCCGCCCCTTGAAACACTCCAGCCTAAAGCAGCTACCTCTTGCTAATTCCACTTTTTTTTTCACAAAGACTTTTGAATACGAAGAAGTTGCAATGATTACTAGACCTATACATGAATAAATACATTAAATATCTATCAATCGATAAACATTCGAAAGATATTACCTAATAGAGCAATATTTATCCATTTTCGATACATTTTTCATTACGTTCAGATCTGGAATAGTAATAAAAAAGTATGTAGAGTAGTTATGCGTAAAACTGTAATAAAGTCTAAAATAATTATGTAATTAGGGCATTTTTTTTTAGATAAGAGTCTTTTACGCTTTTATTTCGTTAACGTTAAATAACGAAGGGTTCAAAGGACGAGAAACGTTCCATTTTTTTTAACCTAAAAAATTGTCATTCTCTTTATCACTGTTACTTAGTATTGGCTGATGGTTATTGTATAAACAATAAGAACATAAATTGACAAGTTACTTACAGGCTTTTGAGCTTTGAACCTTTCTGAAAAAAACCTTAAGACAATTGGTTTGTATTTGTCTATTTTAAATATTCCGTTTCTCTTTTTCTTGATTAAATTCCTTCCAGTTCTTCGTCAAAGGAATAACAAAAATCGAATATAAAGTGAGAGGAGAGGATAAACTTCTCTTTTCTTCGAAAGTTTTAATCCAAATAAAAAATTCTACTTGAATATCTTGATAAATGTCTCTATATATGTTTTGTTAAAGAAGTAAACGTTCGCAACAATGGGAACGTAATAAATGCTCGACTATAATGGAGGCCTAAAAAAAATTTTTCTTCAGTTTTCCTCCTTTTTTTATTATTCTTACTGTTTTAGAATGTCTTTTTGATAAGTTGAGTATAGAATAAAGAGGAAGGATGAAAAACAGTAGTCTTTTGTTGCTGATTTGTTGACAAATGATTAATACAGACAAGCTTTCGTGAGATAACTAGTAGTATTTTGAAGTTACGTCATGTGTTCTTTTGACTTGTGTTAAGTAGAGCTTCTTTTATGACGAGCCATCAGAGAATGTAAAGGGTTAAAATACGTAATCTTTATGAGTATACTGGTATCTTTTTTGTTCTGAAATGAGGAACTTCCCTTCTAGGTGTCGCCTCTATTTTTTTCAAATTCTAGGCCCATTTGCATGTCATATCCAGCGATCCTTCTCAGATGTCTCACGTGACACGTTACCGAGTTTCTAATTGGCTAAACGAGGGTAACGGATTTCTTAGGATTGTTTTTGCAGAATTGAACTAAGCGACCTGTAAAGAAAGACAAAATAGATTTGGATGGGAGCCAAAATAATTTTATCTTTTTTCCTTCCAAACACACAAAAAAGCAATTATTCAAGACGACTCTCAAATATACAACTATTAAATTATACTTATACATTATTTATATACATTTGTTTTGTGAATTATATAATCAAACAAAGTAGTTGAATATTTTATCAATAAAATATGGTTAATAGAGTAAATTTAACTATTTCTATTTTTTTTAAATATTACATTTACTATTAATAGAACAAAAACCCTTTCAAGCTAATAAAATATAATAGTAACAACTATCAGAATTTTATCCTACAAGAAACAATAACGCAACGCCTATAATATTTCACTTGTAAGCTATTTAATGAAAATTAGTTTTATTAATAAATTAGCAATATCATTTCTATTAAGCTTTTTTTTAATTTATAAAATTATCTTAAGTTTTTCTTTTTTTTAAAGAAAGATAAAGAAAAAGACAAATTTATTCTCTCTTCCTTTCTATTTGCTTTATCGAATATTTGATTTAACTATTAAGTAACTAGTTCTATGTTTTTTATATTATATTCCCATATTTTGTATATCTATTTTTTATCATTAGTAGATATAAGTGTATATATATTAACTATTAATAAGTATGTCAAATCCATAACAATTGTAAAGTTATATTTTGTAAGTAATTGGAATAATTTTTAGAATGAAAACTGGTAATTTTAAAAAGTATATTTCGTCGTGCAGCACGTTTCTAATAACGTGAGTTCTAAAGAATATAAACTAAACTGAAATTATTTTTTATCAAAATAGGAAGATTTCATAAGAAAAATGGCTAAGAAGTAAGTTTCACTAGACTTTGATTATTTTCGTTTCAAAATCTATGATACAAGCTTTAGAAGTTAGCGAGCGATATTATGTGTCGTTAAAATATTAGCATTTTTTTTTATTATGAATCTTTTTATTCAGCTATGCAGTGGACGCAAAGTTTCATCCATTTTATACTGGTGGAAAGATAATAGTTTGTATTTAGAATGCTATACGTTATTTATTATGATTTTCTAATTAAAATATTTAGGAAGGAAAAGATAATCTATTCACGTTGTGTGGAAACCAAGTTCACTGCGTTTCGGAAAAAGGCATTATTAAACACTCTTTTGGTGAAGTAGGTTTTCTATTGCATTTATTCAGTTTTGCTTTCTTTTATAATTTTATGTAAAAGATCTAAAAAAAAGTAATTTTCAATTTTTACACAGATTGATGGAGAAGAAATTACCTGTTTCGTTGTAACTCCCGATAATAAGGTAAGTCTTCAATTATTAATATAAAAACTATAATTTAAGTTCTCCTAATATAGTATATATTAACTGCTGAACGAACTTTACTTATAAAACAATATAATTTAAAAGATAATGAACTAATAAGAAAATTCAAGGTATATTTCAATAAATGTCAAAAGTTTGTTAGAATTATTTATAACAAGAAACTTTTCAGGCTGTTCATAATTTGCCTATTCTATGTATGGAATTTGACGTTAGTTCAACTTTACTAGCGACAGGTAGCTCTGATGGAACATGCAAAATTTGGGATATTGACAAGCAATATTATACACATAACTTGAAAGCTCAAAATGGAGTTGTTACGTTAGTTAAATACAAATAACGTTTTAATTTTATTGAATTTTTAATTATTTATAATAGAACTATAACGTATCACCCGAACTCGGAAAAATTACAAACTTTTACTTGCTACCAAGATGGAATGATAAAGAGATGGGATTTGGTAAAGTCAAAATGTATAGCAGATCTACAAAGTCACACGAGTTTCGTGACAACTTTATGTTTCTCTGCTGATGAGAAAAGACTATTTAGGTATTATTTTATTTTTTACACAGTAGAAATATTTTAACATATTTCAGTTAAAAATTTTTAAATTTCTTATTAGTGGTGGAAGAGATAACGTAGTAATTATTTGGAATCTAGAAGATAATGAAAAAATGAAAGTTATTGCAATATTTGAGGTAAGCTATATTTAAAACAAATGTATATTAATTTATATATAAACAATCGTTTGTTTTACCTAACAGTCTGTTGAAGTTTTGATGCTTGTTCCACCTGAAATGCAAGCTGAAAAATATGGAGTAAAAGATAATAATGATTACTTCTTAACTGGTGGATCTAAAGGTAAAATTACGCTTCTTATATTAAACGACCCTTTGAGCATTCTGTCCCCTTTTTAGGCCAATTAAAAATTTGGAATGCTAAATCAGCGTGCAATGTGTATACTCACGATCGCATCGTTCCAAAGGTAAGTTAGCATTCTGTCATATTTTTTATGACCTTGAACAAATATTATATAATCATCAACAGACAAGAAAGAGAAATGAAGACACTGACGTTTTAATAACATCTGGTTTCCTTTCTTATGATAAAAAACAATTAGCTTTTGTATCAAATGATCAAAATATCTTATTCTATGATTTAGCCTCCATGCGCATGTCGAGGCAGGTAAGAGAAATTAGATCCTTTACTTCTTTCTTAGATGATCAAATATAATATTAATCAAATTTTGTCTTTCTGCTCGAAGCTTGTTGGTTACAACGATGAAATTATTTCTGTTAAATTCTTGGATGATGAAAAAATTTTGTTAGCAACTAATAGTCATCTTATTAAAATTTTTGATATAACTACATGGTCATGCACAATTATATCGGGGCATGAAGATATTGTTACTTGTATAGACGTTCATTCTAAAGAATTATTCGTAACTGGTAGTAAAGTAAGTAATAGGCATTTAGTTTTTTTTTAAACTCTAATTTCTTTAATTACATCAGGATACAACAGTTAGAGTTTGGCAATTCAAAGATAATAAAATACGTCAAGTCGCAGTCGGTTCGGGTCATTCCCAGGCTGTTGGAGCTGTAGCTTTCGCAAAGTAAAGTATTAATTCTTGGAAAATACCATTAACTTCGATATTGTAATATAAAATTTCAGACTTGATAAGTATATTGTTAGTGGAGGTAGTGACAGAATTTTGAAGCTATGGAAATTGGAAGATGTTGATAATGAAGAAAATAAACTAATTTGCTTAAGCACTGAATTAGCTCACGATAAAGACATTAATAGTATTGATATATCGAGAAAAGACAAATTAGTGGTGACTGCATCAAAGGATAAGACTGCCAAGGTATCTAAAACTCTAATTTTTCTTCAAAAAATTTCAGTAAAAGTGTAATCTTTCAGGTGTGGTCTCTACCAGATTTGCAGTTAAAAGGAACCTGTACAGGACACAAAAGGGGTATTTGGTGTACTCAATTTTCACCAACAGAACCGGTTTGATGTTCTTTTATTTACAAGTAAAATCTCACATTCTTTCTTTTCCAGACTGTAGTAACTGCTTCTGTGGATGGAACTTTGAAACTATGGTCCTCTAAAGACTTTTCTTGCCTAAATGTAAATTAATATACATATAGGTACAATAACTTCATAATAAAAAGTAATTTGTTTTAGACATTTGAAGGTCATTCGGTATCAGTTTTACACGTAGCATTTGTTAATAACGGTCAAGATTTAATCAGTTCTGCTGCGGATGGAAACATCAAATTGTGGAGTATCAAGACACGAGAATGCCTCAAAACCTACAGTGAACACGACGACAAAGTAACTGATATCTTAACTTAGCATAAGATAGTTTAAGTTTTTCTTTTTTACTAGATTTGGGCCTTGGCTACAAATAAAGCTGGTGACCGAATTGTTTCCGGTGCTGCCGATTCTGTTTTATTACTATGGAAGGTGAGTTAAAAGATTTGTTTAAATACACTCATTAATTTTCTTCTCGTTTTCATTTTATAGGATGTAACTGAAGAAGAGTTGATAGCTGAAGCAGAGAAAAGAAGTCAACTATACTTAAAGTAAGCTTGACATTTATCATTTTTATTATCATTGCAGCAAACAGCATAATATGAGACATCAATTGTTTTCTGTAGACAACAGAAATTAGAGAACTTTTTACATCAAGGAAAATTATTAAAAGCTTTAAGAATGTCCATAAATCTCGAACTACCATTCAAGTCTCTCAGCATTTTAAAAAGTATACACCTAATTAACAAATTTATATGTTTTAATAAATATGACTTATTTCAAAGTGATTATTAAATCTGGAATAATCAGTAATGATAAAGACTGTGAAGGATTGGCCAGTGTTTTACTGAAATTGGAAGACTTCCACTTAGGTGATTCTTTATGGGTATATTTCATTGGAAATTCTTAATATTTGTCCCTTTAGATGTTCTACTATCCTTCGCCTCTGATTGGAATAAAAACAGCAAGCACTGCATGGTTGCGCAAACATTGGTAAACTGTATGTTGAAAACCTTTTCAAAAGAGCGTTTACTTTCTCTTTCAAATATTAAATCCTTCATAGAAAGTTTCATATCTTACAGTGGTATGTTTCTTTAAAATGCTATTGTAATCGTTTTTAATAATATTTTCCCTAATATCCGTTTTACAGAGAGACATTATACAAGAATAAGTACCCTTGAACAGAAGAGGACAATCATCAATTATTTTTGGGAATGTGTCAAATCATCCGAGGCGGATACAGAACTTGAAGAGGAAAAGATTGAAGAAAAAATGGTTGACAGTTCTGACGATGATGAAGAAGATATACTGGGAGAGAATGAAAATATTGTTAATATTGCAAAAAAAATGTCGAATGGAGTCGAAGTAAGTAGAAAATATGTTTATTATCCGTTTTTAATGAACGTTTCATACAACTGATAATGAAAAAAAGAAACGAGTCGAATCAGCTCAGTGCGTTAAAAGAAGTGAGAAAGCCTTTGAAACATGCGTCTTTCAAATTAAATACAAAGACTCTCAACTAAAAAAAGATGAAAAAGTTATTAGGAAGACATCAAATATTGAAATATTAAATAAAATAAAGAAAGCCATAGATTCACCTGAAAAATCGATACAATCAACAGAAGAGAAAAATACATCTGTAAGGACTAATATAAAAATTTTATTTTTATTATAATTTATAATTTAATTTCCGTAAACCTCAGGTAAAAAAATCCAGGAAAAGTCCCAAGTCGACTGCTAACACTACGGAAATAAACGAAAAAAGGGGAAATTCAAAGAATAAAGAAACTTTTAATGATGCTGAAATATCTAATAATTCTGATCCAGTTACCACATCTGTTAAAGAATCTTTCATTGAAGCTGGTAAAAATAGTAATAAAGCTTCTAGCAATAAAGGCTCACCCAGAAAGAGGAAGCTGAATAACTCTTCTAAAACACCAATAGAAAAAGAAATTCCCATTCCAGAACGAGAAAAATCACCTCAAACTCCTTTGAAAAAGAAACAAAGACAAAATAACGGCCTATCAACCCCAGAGATAGCCTCTAATGAAACATCTGCAGGTTCAACGCCAACTCGTTATCACTTACGAGAACGTTCTAAAAAAACTTACGGAAAGTACTAACAGTTTAATAACAAACTACATTTTCTTGTAAATTAATAAAAAAACATGTTAATATTTCAAAATTATGCAGTGTACAGAGTATAAGCCTATATAAAACAAAAAAATTGTATTCTGTCTTGTTAGGCCAGCGCTTATAGACCGAGAATTCAAAGTACTTGTAGGCTTATCAAAAGGTTTTTTCGTCGTACTGTTTCGATTAAGAAAGAAACTAGTTAAAAGGTTTTGAGGAAATGCGGATATACCAACATATATATATATACTGTATATGTAACAAAAGCAAGCAGTTGCAGACTGGATAACATAAAGATTAGAGAAGATGACTGAAACATTATCAATACTCTTAGGGATACTCAGTTTCTGGGAAACGCGAAATTACTGCTTAACTGTGTCTAGTATTCAAGTTTGCACTAAAAATTTGGATAAATACTCGATTAATGATCCATTTCCATTCGGAAGGCCGCAAAAACCTGGCGAATTTTTAGTAAGACGATCCTATTTTACTAGTTACAACACAGCGTTAAGAGTTCCCCAATGGGTTTTTGAAAAATTAACTGTTAAAAACTACCGTGGTTCAGCAAAGAAGAAGAAAATTTTTAAGAGTGATAACGACGTTCAACCGTTTATCTCCCAGAATTTTGACTACGGACATAGCGATTATACAAGAGGTCATTTAGCGTCTGCTGCAAATCATAAGCATGATCAAAAGGCTATGGATGAGACGTTTCTCTTAACAAATATTGTACCTCAGAATCGGGAAAATAATCAAATTTATTGGTCTCAAATTGAATTTTACGTTAGGCTATTAGTTGAAAAATACAACGAAATTTCAGTCTTCTCTGGACCTCTATTTCTACCGGAAATGAAAAATTCCCAATTTACTGTTAATTTTAAAGTGATTGGTAAAAATTTCGTGGCTGTTCCGACTCATTTATATAAAATAATAGTTATTAAACAACCACATGAACAAACAATAACCGGTTCTTTCGTCATTCCCAATGAATCTGTTAATAATACTATCCCTTTAAGAACTTTTAGCGTCAACTATAAAACAATAGAAAACTATTTAGGTGTAAAACTGTTACCAAAATTGAAAGACTATAACGATCTATGTAATGTTGAAAAATGTCGCTTGTTGTCTATACAAGACGCAGATAGATTTCGTAATGTTTTGTTGTCAAAAAATATTTCAATGCTAGAAAAGAGTTGGGAAAAGTTCAAGTCAAGGTCGGAATTTGTTGATGATTTACTACTAACTGTCTATAATAAAAATAAACAATTGTTGTAAGCGTATTTCTATTTAAAATACAATTTAAAGCTAATTACTTGCGATTACGTGACAGTTACAGAATGGAAAGCCGGTTGAATAATGCATAAATCACCTAGGTAAGCAAACTATATAAAACGTGGGTTTGTGCAGTTGAGAGACAGCAAGCGAATTGATCGGATATTGAACGTAAAAAGAGACGAATACTTAAACATATATGTATATATATTTATTTATTTATTATATAAATTCATGGGTCTAAAAGAACTTTAATAGTTTATCACAAGAAAAGATTTAAAGAGTGAGAGACATAATTGTGACAGAAAAAAGAAAGAGAGTGAAAGAATTAGGGAATACTACCAGTGCACAGTTCAATAGGAAAATTATGACGAGTGGAACTTTAATGTTGGATGCTGTGAAATCTTGTCGATTTAAGCAGGTAAAATTCCTTGCTAGGAATGGATTAGCACCGACAAGAGACTCTTTAATTGCCGCCCTCAGAATTGAAGATGGTCAGAGACGTTTAAAGATGTTTCGTATACTTTTACCAAAATTTAGGAATTATAACGATATTGAGGAAGAAAGCGGAAGAGATGTTATGACGTGGGCTTGTGCGCTTGGACGCAGAACTGAAGCTCTCCTCCTGCTTAAAGAAATTGGTGCTGATACTAAACTAACTTTAAGGGACCAGAATGGTAGAAGCCCTCTTCATTACGCATGCGAAAGGGGAGACGTCGAGTTAACTGAGGCTGTTGCCTGTGCCCTCCAAAAGTATGGATTGAATGCGGATTTTGAAGATTCCAATGGTTATACACCGTATACTTTGGCCAGTAGAGCTGGACACAATAAATGCACAGATATTCTCATAGAAAAAGACCAAATTACAAGGCAAAATGCAGACGAGAGTATAACAACTAAAAGAATTCAAATAGAAAAGATGAACAAGGAGAGGAAACAAAAGATTATCGAGCTGAAAACATTCGGTCGTCTGCCAGCACTCGTTAAAGCTGAATTCAATATAAATAATGTACGAATAGTACCGTCTAAAAGGGAGAGAAAAACACTGGAAGGCTTCCTTATCGAACGACCGAAATCGACGAGCAGGGAACTTGAGGCACCGAAGCGTAAAAAAGCCAATATCACCTTGCCTTCGATAAGAAAAAACGACAGAGTAATATTTGATATGATGAACTTATTGACTGAACAATCTTACAACACTTTTAGACCTCCAGCAAAGAATGTACCGGATGTTAACGAAGTAGATGAGACTAAAGAAAAAGACACTCCCGCCTATCATAGAAGGAGTAAGGTTAAAAATCGAAGGGATAGAAGAAGCAGGGAAGAAAAGTGAAAAGGAATATTTGTCTGCATTTTTTTACGTCCAGGGTCGTTTCAAAGAGAAGAAAAAGAAAAAGACTTTTTTATGTAATTGCGATATATTCGTCAATCGTATATTGGATTTTAATAGCAAGCTCCCACTTGACAAAGGCCTATATGTACCGATTAAATATGCATTCGTCTCTTATTTGAACGAAAGCCAAAAACAGATTAATTCTAGCGATACTTATATAAACGAATCCACTCCCTTTCAAGTAATGCTTAAGACTTTAATTTCCCTTTTCATTTTCTTTTCTCATTTCTCTTCTCTCTTCTTTTTTTTCTCTTAACAATTCTAACTAAAATAAATCAAATTTAATTAAAATTATTGACCCAGATAATCATTAGCATCAAATGTTAATTACAACTTTTTTATCCATTCTTTCATGCCTTTTTCATTGCGTTTTTAGCGGGAAGAACAAAACAAATAAAACAACAACAGAGCTTGAATGTATAAATTTATTATTGAACTTGTATTGAATATGAATAGTAGTAATAAAGAAATAAACACATCCTCATAAATATTCATAGCTTTAATTAAAATATATATATCATATTTCATTTTAAACAATGGAACTGAAGAAGAGGAAACATACAAAGAAAGCATACAAAATAAGAATAACATAGATAATGAATATGTATATTTCATATTCAAGTATGAATACAGTATAATATATATATATATACAGTATATGTTGGATTTATCAATGTATTACGACGTTCCGATATTTTGTTTATCTTGAATAAATCTTAAAGGAAACGTTAGATAATTGAAACTTTTCATTGTATTGTATAATCTTTAATCAGATATTTCTCTTCTTTTCTCTTATAAAAATTTTGTGAATAAACTGTCAATTAACTACTCTATACTATAAATTTATCGATTTAGATAATCTCAAAGATTAAGGTATTTTCCTAATACATAGATTAATCATTAATAATGAGAAAAATTTAAAAATACTCTTTTTTCTGAATAGAAATGAATAATAAGGTTAATTTTTTCTCTAATCTCATATTTTACGCTTAATATATTTTCCCTTATTTCCTTTTCTTTAAAATTTATAAATTAAGGCTAATAAGTACTTTAAATAACCTAACAATGATATTAAGTATATTTAGTGGGTTAATAGGCCAATACTAATCTAAATCTTCCTCATGACTCTACTGTATAGAAATATTATCTTTAATAAACGTATATATACTGTATATATAGTATATTGTGTATATAAAATATATGTATAATTAGCGTAAAAGCAATTATTTAAAATTATCTATTAAAACATGTTCCAGAGTTAGAATACATAAAAAAGCAGAAACCATCATAAAAAAGTCTATATGTAAATGAACGAGCGAGTGTGAGAGAGAGAGAGAGAGAGAGAGAGAAAGACAGATAGATAGACAGACAGACAGACAGACAGACAGACAGAGCGATAGATAAAAAAGAGAGAGAGGGAAAAAGAGAAAATTAGAGAGATAATATAAATTTTTTAAAATGCATGATTAATCAGTCTCTTGTTCTTGTACATTCCGCATTCCACATTCCCTCCCTCCCTCTCTCAATATCTTAATTTTTGCATAGCTTTAAAGCAAGGAAAACTTTAAAAGTTTTGTAATTTGAGCTGTCTTTAAAGTTTAAACTAAAAAAATTTACGGTGAAAGGTTTACCTTTGGAAGACAAGAACGAAAAATTTTCCCAGAACCCAATAAAAAATGGAAATTGTAAAAAAAAAAACAAAAATTTATACATTAAATGACAAATTTTAGAAAAGAATTGTTTTTCTTTGGCTATTTATTTTATAATCTTAGTGCCCATTTTATCCCTTATCAATGCGTGTTCTAACCAATCATCCTCTTCCTTATCGCTGTCTTCCTCGTCGTCATCCAATTCAACGTCCGGTAATAATTTCGAATATCTGTAAGACAGTTATTGATTTTGTCTTAATTTATGATTTGTTTTTGAAGAGAATAGTCTATTTTTAAAGTAATTAATGATTATCTTATTGTTACTAACTTAACAGTTGGCCTTGGCGGTGAACATTTAGCAACCAGAATATTGGCAATGAGGAATAGGCCTAGAAGAATTGCTCCAATTTGCATTAGGACTTCAACACCCCATTTGGAGTAAATTGGGCCAGATATTAAAGCACCAATACCGAATCCAATATGATTTTCAAAATGGTTGACAACCGATTGAGCTCTACGATTAACTATAATTGAGTTAATCCTAAATTCTGGATGCCAGTGTCTAGCGCTTAAAATGAATCCTTTTCCGAAACCCATTACACCAACACAAGCTGGAGTTAACCATAACCCACCTGCCTTTTCAACTAAACTACACCAAACTAGACCAGCAGATATAAAGAATAAACCAAGGCAAGTTTCAAAGAAAATTAGATTTTTCAACGCCCTACCAACGATAGTCGACGATACAACTTGACCTATTCAAAAACAGAAAAGACTATTATTCAAGTTATTTATTGTTTCTGCCGTTATTTAAAAAGTGGCATTAAAGCATTTAAAAGTGTTATTGATTAACATTATTAAACGTAGTCTGTTGTATCCTGGGTAATACGGAAAATATTTATAAGTCATTTTTTTTACATTTCTATCTAATTAAATCATTAATTCTATTTCACTTTCCTCTCCTTCTTTTAATATTTTCTTTCTATTTATATAAAGTATAGAAAAAGAGAGTTTTGTTATTTGGATCAATAAGAAAGTATACATATTATTTTAACAGATAAATACAGTATATATATAGTATATTTTCTTATATATCTTTTCATTAAAGGCTAAGTAAATTTCTTCAAGTTAAAAATAAAGATTGTAAATGTTTAAATAGTTAAAAATAGATAACTGTATAACATACCGACTCTGGAAGCTGACACGACTATTCCTAAACTTAACCAATTACCATCCTTAAACATTTTCCAAAATAGAAATATTTCAACAGTTGATGTTGCAAAACCACACGCCATTGCAGTTATTGTTAGAAAAATTGATCTAACATCTCCAAACGTTGTCCTTAAACCAAAAAGAAATTTACGCTTTCTATGAGCAGTTTTATTAGGGAAGAATATGGATAGGATAAGACAAAATCCCATTAAACAGGCGAATGATAGGAAGAAAAGATAGACAGTTGGTAAATGCATAATTCTTTCACAATTTCCAAATTCGACAGCTGCGGCTATTGTAACCGGTGTCCAAATTGTTCCAAAATCATACCAAGTAGAATGGCTACCATATTTATCCAATCTATCAAATCTATCGAGAAAATCGTGCCATATATCGTCTGCAACAGGTTCAACAGCCGAACCAAATAAGCTAATTCCAGATATTGTTAAAAGAACGAAAAGCAACGTTTTATTTTCCACATTTTTCAATCTGTAAAAATGAAAATTCTAATTATTATTAATAATTAATAATTCCAAAAAATACAACTTATCAGCGACGCTATGCACTCCCGACGTCATTTTGTTAAGCGTTCGCGATAAAAAATCAGTAGCGGGTGTTGTCGGTGAACGACTCACCCTTCGAGATTTCTCTTTTATCTTAGCAAGGACCATCGTTAATTGTTCTCTTGTCAATAATCTTAGTTTATTGACATCGGTGCGCGATGCTAGTAAATTCTTATCTCTTTCCGATAATAAATCAAAAGAGGAAATCGGTGAATTTGACACAACATTTCTAGTTGTAATTTTTTCCGTAATAGCCTTTGTTAATTCCCTATAAAAAAAAGTAAAAAACACGTTATTTTATAGTTTAAACTTATAGATTACTAATAAAATCTTCAATAGAAATTCAATAACCTGAATTCTGTTGGCAACTCAGTTTTCCTTTCAGTTACCAAATTAAATTTTGTTACGAATTCGGTAGTTGTCGATGGTACAGATGGAGGAAACTGTTTATCACTATCGTTTTTTGGAATGCATAAGAAATTCTTATCATAGGCAGACGTTTTCGGCGGTATAAACATAATAACTACATAGCCCAAAATGGTAAAGAAAAGGGATAGCATCAATGCAGCACGTCGAAAACCGCAAGAGGTAGCGCATTTAGAACAAGTCCATTTTCCAATTATAGGTAAGAAAGAATAAACAGCAAATATCAAACCAACGTGTAATGGTTCTAGTCCTAAAAATTTCAAGTATAAAGTAAGGAATGGAAGAAGGCAAAATTTAGATGAGGCCAGCGAAAAGTTAAACAGATTTATAACAACTTGGCGGTAAAAAATTGCTGGCCGATCTTTAGAATTGTATTTTGAAGTCATTCTCTCCTTAGTCTTTCGTCTGAAACAAGAACAGAATAAGAAGAATGTATCACTCACATTCTAATATAGAAAGAAAACAACATTTATATTTAATGTTTATATACATTAACATTGCTATATGTAAATAAAAAATATTGACGAATTTTATAGAAACATCTCTTTTGATTTATTCTCCTCAGTTTATGGGATAGTAACATTTGTTCTATGTTAAAGGTAATTGTCAATAATGGTTGTTCTTGCGAGATAAACATTATAGCAGGCGCCATGTTTATAATTATTCTTTTCCCTTAACATTTTCTGATGTTTTAAATATTTCATTTACTATAAGTTTTAATGAAAGTTAAGATTAATGGAGAAAGGTAAAAATCCTTTTCTTCCATTCTTTTCCTTCCAAATAAACGTTTAGTTTACATTGTTATTGAAAAGAGATAATAACTATCTTCTTGATAGTTTATTTATAAATATTCTTTTAAGTAACTATTGCCATTTTTTTAATGGAATAATTTAGTTTATGTTTCAAGCCCAATCATTTGTGTTTGTGATAGGTTAAGTTGAATTATATTATTATAATTTATCTTAATATATCAGGAATAACGTTTGCATATATTAATTTATAATGATTTTTTCAAATTTAGAAATTAGGTCATTAATAAAATATATATTTATTTGTGATGAATACTCGATCGCTAGAATAAAGCTTTTATTAAGAAAAATACGGTACCTGAGCTTTCATCGTCAGCAAACCGGAAACATCTGTTTTGTAACTATATAAACTGGTAACTATTCAACATTTTCGTATTCATATCAAGAATTGCATACTCTCAGTATTCCTGTTCATTTTGTGCTTTAAAGTAAATATTTCTATCTTATAACATACATTTTCATAATTATAAAATGTGAAAGACATTATCGGTCTTGCATTTGTTCAAAATTTGTATAAACTTTTATTCTTTTAGCCACGCTTGAAGAATTGTTAACTACTTATAAGGGTGAAAATGGAAGAATCAATTAGACAGCTTATATCTAATCCCAGAAATGTGTCCTTAGAAACTGTTGATATTCTTTTACAAATAGGATACAATATTATCAAACATCCACAGGACGAAAAATATCGAAAAATTCGCTCTGGGAATAAAATTATCAAAGAAAAAGTGATAAATGTTCCAGGGGCTAAAAAATGTCTATTTGATATGGGTTTCACAGAAACAGAAGAAGGTTACATTTTCCCTCAAAATGGCAATTTAGTAGCATTAAACAGAATGATAATTAATCTGCAAAATGCCCGTTTAAGAATATCTGCTAGTGTAAATCAAACTACTCTAATTGTAAGAGTCATAATAGTTTTATAATATTAATAAGTATAACTTAAGCCTTTATTACTATATTTATTAATAATTTAGCAAAATGAAAGTCAAATGTATTTGGAATTAACACGGAACTTGGAACGTATGACAATATTTGAACAAGTCCATAAACAGGACAGAGCTAGATCCGTTTTACCCATGGAAACTCTAATTGAAGACGCCAGTAAGAATTTTCCTGGACCACCTCTGTTCTCGAATCCTGAATTTCGAGACGTTATCATTATTTTCTTGCTGACTTGGTTTAAAACTAGTTTCTTTAAGTGGGTTGACACTTTACCTTGTGAGATATGCGGGGGCGAATCGGTTGGTGGCAAAGCTGGAGTTCCAACCCCGGAAGAGAGTAAATACATGGCCCAGCGAGTTGAAATTCACACTTGTAAAAAATGTGGCCACGGTACCCGATTTCCCCGTTACAATGATCCTGAAAAGTTACTCGAAAGTAGACGAGGTCGATGTGGAGAGTGGGCTAACTGTTTCTATTTATTTCTCAGAACTTTAGGATTTGAAGCTCGTTTCATAACAGATAATCAAGTAATATAGTCATTTTTCAAAGATTTTTCTTAACATTCTCTATATTTATTCTAGGATCATGTATGGTGTGAGTTCTTTTCAATTGCGCAAGATCGCTATATTCATGTAGACCCGTGTGAAAATGCCTTTGATCTACCTTTAACCTACGAAAAAGGATGGGATAAAGAGCAAATGTACGTTTTTGGATTTTCCCATGACGATCTCCAAGATGTTACCTGGAGATATTCAAATAATCATCAGGCAGTATTAGCGAGACGTACTCAGGTATAAAAGTCAATTACAGCCAATTTCCTCAAATTATATCACTTAATTTGGAATCAATTAACGTAGGTGAGAGAAGAATGGCTAGCTAAAACCATACATAATATAAGAATTAATCGATGGAGAACGTTACTACTCACTCCTGGGAGAAAGCTAGTGCTTCAAAGAAGAATTTGTAAAGAACTTTTTGAGTTGATGATTGAAAAAGCTACGTTAGATTCAGAGGGTCAAGGAAGAACTTCTGGTTCTTTAGCATGGCGTTTATCCAGAGGAGAAACGGGGAAAAGATTTAGACCGTACGTTATAAAACCCACAGAAAAGGAAGCAAAATCCAAGCGTATTCATCTTCAATATTGTCCCTCAAAAGATGAATACAGGAGATTATCGGATAATTCCACCGTCTCCGGATGGCGTGAAATGCTCTTTGAGTGTATAGATATATTTAGAAAGGAGGAGCACGACTGGAAAATGGTTTATTTGGCGAGAGTTCCTGGTTATGATTTCGGTAAAATATCTTGGAAGTTTGATCTCAGAGATGTAAGAGGAAAGATTAAAGAATTTAATGTGAAGCTTATACATAAAACATTTTCTGACGGAGAAGTTACCTGGAGTGTCAAATCAGATGAAGATATACAAAGAATTAGAAGTAATATCAAACAGGTAGCATAATTATTCAATATTATTAACATATATTCTATTTTGAAGCTAATGTCGAAGATACCAATGTAAACGATTTCTCGAAGGGAAGGAATCGTGTGACCTTGACGGCTTTATTAAGCGAGGGTCAGGGAGATAACGCTTGGCAACATGCCCAATTGTTTCGATCATCAATGTCGGAGAACATCGTTCTTTTCGATGTAGAAGTAATTTTTGAATAAAAGAAATTTTGTAAGATTCGTTTTGGCTGGAAAATAAAGTTTAAAAAAGATATTTTTAAGGCAACTTTGTTCAAGTATCTTTTTATATATTGAATATATATATTTATCAGCTTAAACATAAATAAACACAAGGTTATAAAAGTAAAAGGCAATTTGTTATACGGCTCTTTTTGATTCTTTGAAAGAGGTTCAAATTAGTGCTATGGTCGATTAAACCAGAGACATTGAAATTAGAATATCTATTGTTGGAGAAGAATGATCAGACGATTAAACTTAAGATCTTAATGACGCAGCAACACCCCTGGCTAGTATGACGTAACAGGGCTATCAAACTTTCCTTGATCGCGACGGTGCTGCCATCTACGCAGGTATCGGCAGTCAAATTCTCGATCTTTATCGATTTCAGCGTTCGAAGAGAACATCAAGGCGATTTCTTAAAATCTAAAAGAGGGAACCAAAACAAACCTTTCTTAACTCTCATCTCTGGACTTTTTCATATTACTTTGATACCGATTTCACTAGTAAGGTAAGATTAAAAAGCTAGCGGGTTGAGAACAGGCGCATTATCGCCCAGCGATTTACATGTTGCAGCTGGAAGTAGTATTAGATAAACGCCCACTCAATACTCCCACATTAAGCACGCCTACATATTTCAGACAGCGGCAATGGATAAGGAAAAGACGAAACTACTTATAGAAAATGCAATTTTATGTGCTTGTCGAAGTACTCTGGAAGGTGATTTTAAAGTGGATGCGTTAGTCGGCGTAACTCTTCAAAGCGGAGAAGTTGTATTGATAAATATTAAGGAAAAAATTTCTGAAAACTTGGAAATACACTCTCCGTGCACTTCATCGGCAAGCACGCCATCAAATTCTTCTTATTCAATACCCAACAAAAGGAAACAGGGTTTAAAAAGGAAAATTAATGTTGGCCAAGAAGATGACAGCTCCAGTGACGTGGAATGTTCTTCATGGAATGTTCAAGCATGCGGGGGTATATTTATAAAAAAAAAAATTTGTTCTTTTTGTTATAGAGTTATATTCTTTTTTTTAATATCTAGCGCCAGTTTTCCCTTCAACAGACTCTAGAAACGATTTAGAAAATTCAAATAATAATAAAGCTATAATTAAGCCAAATGTTAATTCTCAACTCGATTTAACAGAAGATAGACTAATTGATGATTTATTATCAGGCGGAAAAGAAGCTTCCGGTAAGTAATTACAGTCAATTTTAAGTCAATAAATACATCGTGTCAAATATCTATAGGTCAAATATTAAAAAAGATAGAAAAGATAAAAAAGGAAGAGGTAGTTTAAAACTTTATATTTATTCAAATTATATACAGTAAATATATTTTTATTGACACTTCAGCCTGATGACATTATGAGAGATAAGAATAAACCAATTAATAACAATAACAATAGGGAAGAGTGGTTATGCTCCAACTGCCATAAATCGTTTGCCACAGCTTCGCTATTAGATATACACTTTAAAATTCATACTGGCCAAAAACCATACATATGCGATATATGCCTGCGAAGTTTTAGTAGAAAAGATATGCTGGTTCGTCACACATTGACACATTCCGATGCCAAACCTTTTAAATGTTCGCATTGTAATTACGGTTGTAAACGACGGGATCATTTAACCAAGCATATGAATAATGTTCATGGATTTAAAAAGGTGAAATAGTTAACAACGAAACTATGATCTTTTATTTTGTTATTTATTTGTTTATTTTGGTGCAAAGTAATTAGTTTTTTTTCGGTGCATACAAAAAAAGGCTATATTTCTTGAATAAATTTTGCCTGTATTGTTTTCTTATCAAGTATTGAGAATTCACAACTGTTTCCCAGATCAAAGTACAATTTTTTAGCAGCTGTAAAAGGAATTATATACCGTACTTTTTTATGTCAGACATGTACATTGAACATAATAAAGATAAACACTCATGGCGGCAAGAGATTTACTGATATAATAAATAAATATTAAAGTCTCTTTCAGCAGGTTATGAAATAATTGGGCACTTTAATCGTCTAAGTCTTCTCTCTCTCTTTCTACAACGTGTGATAATTTCGTTCAGTTCGAGATTTATAGAATTTATAGCCAAGAGCCACGGCAATTACAACCCCAAGAGCTAATACTATTCCACCAGCAAAAGATGCTCCATCGAAACGCTGTTGAAATAAAAATGTTAATTTTATATTTTATACTTTTGAATTGTTTCGGCCTATATTAAACAATAATTGCAGCGCAATATTGCATTCAAATTTTTAAATGACTATTTTACCAGATGTTATAATGTATGATATTTTTGTTGGCAGTATAAAAAAATTCTCATTCATGCTGGTAGCCATGAGTTGTAATCATATAGACTATTATTATATTTTACAAATATCATAAAGAGGCAAACCTGTCCTGAAGAATCTTTTCTTTCAGTTGGCTTAGTTCGTGAAGTAGTTGTTTCGGTACTTGAAGTCAACACTTTACCAGTTGTACCACTTGTACTACCTACAGTTACTTGTTCCGTCTGAGTTGACTGGCTTATACTTACTGATGGGGTCGTAACAATTGTTTCGTTTGAACTGTTTTGCGCGGCCTGTTCAGTCATTGACGACATTGTACTCGTAGACTCCGGCATTGTACTTTGTCCGGCATAGCAGGTTAAAAGTAACAAAGATGAGCTGAAAATAGCTAAAAAAGTATATTTCATCACAATTTCCATAGCGGGATCAAGTTTAGTTATTAGCAAGTACACCGTATATCTAGCACGTGATATAAATAATTTTATACCCAGTTAGAAATGCATGGTATCTTGCAGCAATCATATTGCATCCAGCAACTTTGGAGCATGAAACGGTACCACACTACTTAAAAACAGGGCGCTTACTGTCGATATTCGATTCAACGTAGAGAAACAAAGTGTGCGACAGCTGCTAAGTTTTTCGTCGATTGTGCCAACTGTATTTATAATTTAGAAACAGATGTACGTCTGATTGGCAGCATAAAGCTTCTGCGAACTCGTTCACTTCGTTCGAATAACAAATACAGCTGTCCGAAGAAGAGAGATTTCTTCATTCTACCTCGTTTAATTTCATTCGTCCTATTATCGCTCTAGGTATCAGATTTCTACTGGAGCGTTCAACGATGTCACAGCTCGACAAACAAAGATTAAAGTCTCTTTTAGAGGATACTGTGACAATGGTGTGCAAATCTAGTCTAGTTCAACAAAAATTTACAGTTGAAGGTCTTTTAGGCATAACTTTGGAAAATGATGATGTTCTCTTAATAAACATAAATAAGACAATTGCAGAAGATGATAGTTCTAAAGAAGACGATGAAGACGGTGTAATGGCAATATCACCAGAACCAGTGAAAAGAAAAATAGACTCTGATTCAGAAACAACACCAGTGAAAAAAGAACGACCATCTCCTACTCATAATCGAAACCGGAAGGAAGAAAATGACGATATTAGTGAAGGAACCTTAACCACAGTAAGTCGAACATGTCTACCGACTGTTCCTAATCCATTTTGGACTTTATCCCACCAACCGATGTCCCAATTAGCCTCTTTTGGCGCAATGGCTACATGGGCAGCTAGACCTGACCTAGCATCTTTTAGTGAGGCAGCAACCGTTAGTATTAATTTACCACCGTCAACGGACAAAGGTAAGGCCACCTGTTTTTCATTAATGTTTGTGCGTCTGCTGATTGTTTGGATTCACAGTACGAAGAACATTTGAAAGTACAAACACAACTCTACCATCTATACCAGCCCTTGTAAAAAATGGCTGTCATTCAACGTCCCAATCGTCAGAGCAGGTGGGCTTAAAAGGTCACTCTAAATACGCGTATTTGCATCTGTTAACTTTCGCAGACCTCTCAGCAACAGCACACCACTTCAAACGCGACCGGAAATGTGTCACAGCCTTCGGCAGAAAAACTATCATCTAGCAAGAATTTAAGTAGGAAATTCCATTGCACCCAATGCTTACGAAGCTTTACTGATCGCCATAATTTGGAAAATCACATAAGAACTCATACAGGTTTAACAAATAACTGTCTTGTTCTCTATTGTACCATGATTTATTTACGACAGGCGAGAAGCCATACAGATGCGAAATTTGTGGGAAAAATTTTAGTAAAAAAGGCAATATGGAACAGCACATGTGGACGCACAGTGAGGCGAAACCATACACATGCACAATTTGTAATCAAGGCTTTATCCGAAAAGACTATTTAAGCAAGCATATGGAACGGCACGGTACTCGAATGACGGTAAGTGAACAACAAACGACAGAAAGTCAATCAAATGATACTTGATTCTGTTTCTTCTACCAATCGTAATATTTTTGTCGTGGTCTGAGTCATATTTTTTAAATGAATAGAGGTTTTTGTGCTTAATTTTTGCTAATTGCACTCTGTTTTTATTTATATTTTTTTCTTTATTTTATGAACGTCTTGTTAATCTGTGAGTTTTGTTTCGAATTTTCTACCTCACAGAGATGTTAAGAATTTTTTGTCCTTTTCGGTGTTCAAACTGACAATGGATCTGCGTTTAAAGATACTGATACTTAGCACGGTGTGCATGTATTACGTATGTATATATATATTTTTGTATATATACGTACAATAAGTAAATTTATGTAATAAATCAGTATTCGTATACACTTAACTCGTACGAACAGTCCATCTGTTTAGTTATTGTTTCAATTCTAACATTCAAGGTACTGCCAATATGTAAATTTTTAGTACTAAGAGTTAACACATCTGTTCGAATTGAAAAGTCGTCATTTGTCGAAGCCTTCGGCACGAACCACTTAAGCCCAAAACGTTCATTTAGATACACAATTGACATTTCATTCCAAGCGATACTGGGATTAGAGTAAAATACTCTTTTCAACATAATTAAACTGTTATTTTTAACAGAATTATGATTCCATTGAAAACTAAATTTAATGGTAGTATTCGGTTCAAATTTATAAAAAGTATGATCAATTGCCAAATCTTTGTTTATGGTGTTTCCTACATATCTTTTGTCTCTAAGATATTCAACAGTATAATCTTTATCGGCTTTGAAAAAATGAATACTTTCACTTTCCTTATTACCGAACTCAATCTTATCAACCACTCTTAAAGACTTATTTGGCCTCGCGTAGTAGAATACCAGATGTGAAAACGTCGTATGACCAGCTAGACTTGCTTTCTCAGTATCTATAAAAGTATCTTCTTTAGCTCTATCCAAAATACCCGTTTCAGTCGCCTCCATGTACAATGTAATTGATCTCTTGAAGGTGATAGGGTCTAAAATGAATTGCCTATAGCAATGCCAAGATAGTATCTTGTCATGTACTCTTTTAGAGTGTGGAACTCCATAAAAATAACTGGACGTATTTTCTGCTAAGTAAAAACCATGAGCATAATTAAAAAAATCTTCCAAGCCTGTGCTTTGGACAGAAACGTCTGACTGATTATCGATAAACATCACGTGATCAGCCTGCAATGCTGCCCAACGAGCGTTAATATCCTTAGCCGTCTGATCAGCTTTCAGATTATCAATGCCTAATGTAATCCCTACAATATGTCCGGACAAGTTATTTAGGTCTAAAAACTTTCGCCTCTTGTGGTTATCACCAATAAAATATTTGTCAGCCATATGGAAATAGCCTGTTGTTGCTTCATCGTAAAAATTCTCTCTGGTCTTTATATCGTAGCATACAGAAATTGTTTTCTTTAAAAATTCACTTCCTTCAAGCGTAATAACAGCGCTCTTCCAGAATGGCATTGGAAAGTACAAATATCCAAACATTTTCGTTTGGCCTGAGCAAGATTTACTCCTTCTTCCAAAAGCTATTCCTTTGAAATCGTTTAATTGCCCATCTGCTAGAAAGATCTTTCCCAGAGGTATCTTTTTAATTTGATATTCTTCTTTATCGTCAAAGTTAATGTTCATAAAGATCTGAGACCAATCCGTTATAGTCCTATCACTTGAACTATCCTTAACCGTTATAAATATTGAACTTATAACCGCCGCTTGCCTATGAGAGAAGAGAATAACATGCGAATCCCTGGACATAATTAAGCATTTCAAACTACATTCGGAATGATAAGCTGGTCCATAGTTCTCGGGTTGTTCAAATAATTGTGTAAGATGGGATTTTAGTATTTGTCGTTTCTTACTTTCTGTAAAGGGAACAAGATATATGGATAAATAAACGATTGAATATACAATATAATAAAAATAGAGATAAATACCAAAAGGTTTGGAAATTTTCGAAAATGAATCAAAACTTTTATAGTTAACTGGTAATTTGTGTCTAGCTATTGAACTATAAATATGATATTCGCATGATTTTGATTCTTTGGTACAGTCGATGGTTTTCTGCAAAAGGTCTGAAGGTAAACTTTCACTTGGTCTATATTTAATAGTAATATTCTTCTTGTAGCATATTGTCTGATAAAATGCAATACCAGTACAAGGCCTTCCAGTTCTTTCGTAGAAGAGATTGGAATGTTGAAGTTCTGCTAAGGAGTAGTTTATCTGTACGCCATCTACAGTTATCTCAATTGTATGATTAGCTAGATCTTCAAAAGTAACTCGATGCAATTTTTCAGCATTTGTAGGCATCAAAGGAAATAAATAAATCTTTTGAACGCAGCCCGGATTATAATCTTCATAAATAATAACATGATTGGTAGAATACCCTATATGAAAAGTAAAATCTGGAAGCAATGATTGTATATGATCAGGATTTCCAGATGTTATCTCGTTAAAGGCTAAATCACTTTTAAGTTTCGGTAAAGAGAATAGGTGGTAGGAAGCGGCTGCTTGAATACTCAGATGAGGCGGCAAAAGAGATTCTATAGGATCCTCAAAATCAGGCCGGCCTTTCATTACCAGTCGAAATGAATCCTTCGACCATTGCCGAGGAAAACCTGAATACCTTTGAATTAGAAACCACAACTCTGAACTAACAATAACATATACAAATATAATTGTTAAAAATAAAAACAATAAATTTCTTCGTTTTGCAGAAAATAGAGCTGATTTATTGCATATATTCTTAAGATTCATAGTAGTTTCGCTTGACTGATCCGTTGTAGATGACTCACAATGCCGTTTCTTTAATATGGGAATTCCCAAGGATTTACCTAACAGGTGCGCAGTTGAAAGTCAAGGCGTTCGGCTTGTACAAATTTGTATTAAAGAGAAAGTTAAAACTTTTAAGGAATAATTGATTACATACATTATTATGTAAAAAAAAAATGCATGTTTCGAACACTGGTTATTCATTTACAATAAACAAAAATCAAATATTTTAAATGAGTATTAAAAATATAGCTACCTGACAAACTAGCAAAGATTTGGCAAGTTTTCATTCATACAAAGATCATAAAAAGGATGATAATAAAAATAGAAAAAAAAGGAATAATTAAAACGGATAGAGAGAATAATTTAAAAAAAAAAAAGTAAAAAAACAACGCAAAAAGACGAAATTCTTTACAAATCTTCACTAAAAGTCTGAACAAACGTTTTAGGAAAGACTCCTTTCCTAAATATTTCGTTCTCTATATGACCTAACCACCAATCGTCTTCTTCTTCTTGTTCTATAATAATAATCTCTCCTTCTTGGAAAGTAAGTTCGTCATCGTTATCTGCTATACAGTCATATAAAGCTATACATTTTTTAAGTTTTTCTTTAGTCTTTGATGGTCTATTTGGTGGAATTGGATTCTTAGAATTGATTATTTCGGTTTTAGAAGGTTTTGGTAAAATAGGAGGTTTGGTTTTTTTCACGTTGTTTGAAAATTCTGGCGGTGGTGGAACAACTAACTTCGGGGGGTCGGACGGACTTCTTGCGTGCTTCATTATTTTGGATAATTGAACTTGAACATCGCTGGAATTTCGTGAATGACCTCTAAAATCTCCAGGAGGAGCGGGAGCTGGCGGCTTCCTCCTGCTCAAATTTTCGCTACCAGGTGGGGTAGGGCTCGTTGATTCTATCGTTAATGTTCTTGATCTATGGGCTGTCAAAAGTTGACTCGATTCGTTTGTCATTACCATGGACTTAGGGCGTGGTCTGTGCGCACCCCGTCGGGGTGTCAAGGTATCTAAATCGTCGTCGCTATAATCGCAGTCGGAGGGCAGTCGCCAGTCGAAATTAATCACGTCAAACAGAGAGGTATCGCCCTTAATCGCCTGCCTGAGGACATCGCAGCACGCTGTATGATTAAGTTTCGTGGCGATTTCCATTGGTGTTTCCCCTTCCTCATTTTCAACAAGAGCCAAATCACAGCGTGATTTAAGTATCAATTTCAAACACTCGACATGTCCACTCTTGGCACAGATGTGAGCGGCATTTTCTTTCCGTTTGGTGACATTACTGATAACTTGAGACCGAATGTTTTGCGTAAGAAAATAAAGCAATGGAAGAGCCGAGTCATCGTTCAAACTACAAGCCAAAAGTAAAGCATTCTCTTCCTCATCGGAATTCGGAAGAGTTTGTATAAGGTCACAACCTTCCGCATAAACTTGAATTAAGGCAAATATATCATTACTGTATATTGCAGTCTTCAAATCGGATAGACGATCCTCTTCGCTAGAACAGGTAGCTATAGCGTATTTCTTTAATTGATATTTACTACGGATAAAAGTTTTTCTCTCATTCATCGAACTCAAAGGTGATAATTTATCACAAGGATCCAAAGTTGCCTCCATTATCTCATTAAAATCATTATTACTAATTGATCTTGCAATCTACAAATTCGATAATGATAATAATAGCAAAAATTACAAAATAAAAATGAGATAATAAGTTGATAGCAACAGCAAAAAGTAGTTATACTAACCAATAATTGAGCTGGTGAAAGGTCATCAATAACAAGACTCTGAGTTCTTGAAATATGTGTTCCAAGATCCCTATGTATTCCACAACATTCCAAACAAACTAATACTCCCAAATTTACAACTAACCATTCGGGATCTATTGCTCCGCAATCGCAGCAAATCCGATTTCCAGATTGCTTACGAACTTCAGTTAGTATAATCTTAACCAAATCTCTCATACTTTGTTTAATCGCGTCATTACTATTATTCATTGCAGAAATTAACATAGAATCTCGAGCGGCTGTTAAAACACCAATCCAACTAAAAGAAAACAACGTCATTATACTACTTTCGTATAAAAAATAAACTGTTACACTTACGCTTCCATATCAGCATCATCTTCCGCTTGAAGATGATAGGTTCTACTTTCTATTTTAAAAAAGTATAATAGTTTTATTGTAATATTACGAATATTGCATGGATTAAAAAGTACTCACTCGTACTGGATATTAAATCGAAACATTTCCGAGTTACATCATCGGTGACTGCCTTAACCGTACAAGTTAATAGATTTAATCGTACAGGTTCTTTTAGAGGCTAGATATATTTCAAATATTTAAATACATTAATATACTATATAAATAAAAAACATACGTCAGAATGATATATACTAATCATTCCATCCTTCACGACACATCTTCTCTTTTGCCATACTTTTCGGCCTATTACTCCTCTTTCGCTTCTTTTTAACAAGTGTCCTACCCTTTCAGTTCCATAGGCTACTCTTCTAGCCGCCGTGCTACCACCGGAAGCGGCATTCCTTGGAAGAGTATTACTAATGACAATGCTATTTGAAGGCTAAAGACCAGTTGTAAAGGGGTGTAGTAGGGGGTGGGGTGAGAAGAAAAAATTTGATATAATAATCAATTTATAGTTAAAGACATATATAAGTTTTTGGGGGCCTATTACAACATATATACTGTATATATATATATACATTTTACAATCAGCGCAAATATTCTATTTAGAAAGACCGCAAACTAGGCTTAATCAAATTGAAAGTAATGATATGCATACATGTCGATAAAAGATGCCATTTGCATAAATTGAATAGGGTGTGATCAATTATAAAAAAATTTAAGAAAAAAGTGAATATAAGTATATGAAAAGAGAAAAATGTTAGGGGGAGGGAAGTAAGAAAAAGAAAGAAAGAAAGAATCGTAGGAGAGTATTCAAATAGTAAAGGGAACAAAAGGGCAAAAGAAGGGAGGGGGGAAGAGGGAGAAAGGGAGGAAAAGAAAAAAAAACGTTACGAGATGATATATACTTACAAAACTGTGTTTAGAATGAGAAGTCTAAGACGGAAACGAGAATTTACAACGTAAAAGGAACGGAAACAAAACAAAACAAGGCGAAAAAAGAATCAATCAATTATCATACCTCCTTGAAAGAATTTACGCATTGTCGTAATCTATCACGTAATTCAATGAGTTTACGTTTTTCTTGATCTCTAGATTGCCTGACTTTTTGTAAATTTTCGCTTAAATCTTCAACATACGTATTAAAATGTTCCATTGTCTTGAGACCGTCTTGAAAGTAGCTAGAAAAAGGAAATAAATAGATTATTTATTTATAGCGTTTATGACCTATATATAACAATAAGATATAAACATACTTATTCTGAGCTTGATAAAATTCTATTAGTTTCAATAATAAATCAACACCTTTCTTCGTTTTGGCTTCATTCAATTTAATAAGATACTGTAGTTTTAATAGATTAACCTTATTACATAACTTTAAACGGTTATTATATAAGCTCTTACTTCACACATTGTTAATTGAAATATACGCCTTTCCTTCTCCAATTCTTCCTTAACATCTGGAGAGGCTAAATCCGTTTTATTTCCACTTTCCTTAGCAGCTTGACGACGTTCTTTCTCAACTTTTGAACTGAATAGATGCGTAGATAAACATAGACATTTTAAATGAGAATATTAATAAATATTTCACAACTAATTAAAATACATACAATCTGGCGTCGTAATCTTTGCTAGCCTTTTCAAAATTCTTTTTCATATCGCCTTTCAAACTCTTTAATTCACCTTTTATCAGAGAATCCAATGGAAAAACTAAAATATTCCTCAGATTTTCCATCTGAAGTTTAGATAGAAAATAAACACCGCGAATTGATGTATAAAAAGCATATGATAATAGATTATTATAAGAGCAAACTAATAATAAGAGTAATAATAATAAAAACAAAAGCCAACCAAGTTTTTCATCAAATTTGATAGTTCTTTAGTAACGATAGCGAATTTCTGAAAAGCTGCAGGCAAATCATGCCCTTCTGACAATTTATGTAAATTTTCAGCCAAAAATATTTCATTCTGGCAGTGCACTGCAAACGTATACAAACATGCAGTAGTATAAAGAGGCAAAGAGAAATCAAATATTTGAAGATTTGTCACTCTTCGAAGAGAGACCCTAGAAAACTTACTATGCCCTGAACTATATAATGCTTTACAAGATTTCTTCATTTTCGTCACACTGCTTCGGTCTTGATCAAGAACCTTAAAAAAAATCAATAAAACCCTATCAGAATTTCTATTCGTAGAGCTAAATATATATCTATCTATCATGATTAATGTTAAGCCTATGATGACTAACGAATTTGTAAAAGAGCAACTATATTTTACTTTTATAGCATAAAACAAGACAATTACTATAAAAGAGACAAATAAAATTTAGGATTATAACTTATTATCAACCGATCTTCGACAGCGGAACTTTTATTACGCTGTCGATCAATTTGAAAATTCTCACCTCATCAATAAATGACAGCTTTGTCTTATAGTCCGTCATTCTTTGCACAAATTGTGAATTTAGAGGGGTGTGGACATCATCCCAAGTTTCTTTCATAAAGTCTTGAATAGATATTCTTTCTGGCATATTGCTGATTATCTATAAACGCTTAATCAAGTGAAAATCAATAGCCAAGCTTGTTGGTCGTCTGCTAATAACTAATTGTCTGGTTCCGGAAATACCCAAATTGTTGAATTCAAAATTAAGGCGGAACAGGTGTCAGTGCTTCCGTAACGTAGCAACCTATTTAAATTGGCAACGCCATCTCTCGAATGTGTATTATAAATATAAACAAAATAATCGAAATTATAGGCCTAAGTTGTCAACATTATTTTTAATAATACAATGCTTTTTTAGGTGCTTGATAGCGTTCGAGTTTTTGATAAGGCAACTCTTCTTCGCCTTTAAAGTTTATAAATTTTTCTTTAGATGCCGGCGAAGGGTCTTCTGGTAAGGCAATCCTAGAATTTTCCCTGTATTGCGTTTTTTGAACTAAGAATTTCATTAACAAACTAATTCCTTCAGCATCTTTTAGATTTAACTTGGGTGTCGACCAGCAAATATTTCTCAAACCGTCCTTTTGCCATAATTTCATGTTGTTAAGTTGGTAAGAGAAACCTTGAACCCATTCTCCATTTGTAACCAGAGTTTGTGTCACGAACGGAAACGGAAGATCGTTAAACATATTAAATCCATTATTGTGTGCCTGGGCCATAGTTGAGGAAAACGAGCTCATTAGACCACAATGTAAAATATCCCAATCGTCCAATTTTTCACCATTTTCTATACTATCTTTCAGAATATGAATTCTTAAATGAGTAAATTCACATGGGTCACCCAGTAAGTGACCATTAACATTTTTTCTTCTTCCGACCTGACTATGATAACCATGACAAAGTGGATGAACAGGCAAATAGGGTATCGGCGATAACGTGCAGGTTTCAGATTCCATATCAATAAACTATAAACATTAGATTTTAGATATTTTTTAATATAAAATAGGTTTATAAAAGAATATCTAAAAAACTTACATTTGGTAAAGGATCTTCAGTTCTTATCTGGAAATCTGCTTCTCCTAATACTGCAAATCTTATGGATAGATTATCAGGGTTTCTGAATTTAACTACTTTCTTTAAATCTCCGTCGTCATCTGTTTGAATTATTGGTCCTCTATCCCAAAAAGCTTGCGTTAGGACATTTTCATCAAGTTGACAAGTCCATAAATGTTTATATTTGGAAGAAATTTCGGGTAATAAATTACCTAATAATTGTTTAAACGATGCTTGAGCTATTTGATGCTTCTGATCAATTTGAGATAGACTATTCAGATTTCTATATTGAAATTTCTGTAAATCAAACGATTGTTCCAGTAAAGATTTCGTACGGTCCAAATATTTACTGTATTCTAAATTTTCGTAAATATCAGGTAGCTTTCCATTGTTAATAAGATGAGTTTGAGTTAAAAATTGCTCATATTCTAATTTGGCTCTGGTGTAATTTCTACCAGGGGTTACGTAGAAGAAGCGACATTCCTCCTCACCGGCTATGTGTTCCAAGCGATCTATTACTTTAGGAATTGATTTTATTTTTTCTCCTTCTTCAAACACTTTCCAAGCAGCTTTTGGTTTAATATTTTCTTCATCCCATCTTCCTGGAGGATATTCTGATTTAACTTTGGGATATTTATATTTTAATTTTTCCTTTTGATGAGGCTGTGCAGTTGAATATGATCTTGCTAACAGATTACACGATGTTAAGCGTTGTATACGAATTAGCAACTGTGTATCTAGACGCATGCTTCAAGGATAAGTTTGGTGCACGTGCGCGATGTCCTCTTCTGTATAGAGGATAATAATATACTATTATATGGAAAAAATATGATCTATAAGAAACAATAATGAAGTACTATAGGTTTTTAATAATCGCCATTTATTAATTTTAGTCTTCACTTACTTCTGTACTATACCCTAATTCTGCTTCTACTAGCACTTCCGCTTCCGGTTATCAACTGGTTTAAATTGCTAGTTCTTAAAAAATGCTTCCTAAATAAGCTAATAAATTTTGCGATAAAGTAATAAAATAAAGCGTATTTTTTATGTGTAAAAAGCTATTTTATTGATCTTTTTTCCACAAACAGAAAAAAAATAACATTATTTATACTATAGAAAAAGAATAACTGAATGGATTTATTGTTAATTAAAACTAACTAACTATTTGCATATTATGAAAAGGTGTATGCTAATAACAATAAAAGTCATTCTTGTGAAACCTTAATCTATAAAGTCGATATATCGTTTTTATGTTTTACAATAAAACAATAAAGTTACAAGAATACAACAACAATATATTGCAATTTTCGAATGTCACCTTTTTAATTTTTCACTAAAAGAGAAAAAGAGCTTTAATTTAAGTGGAAACAAATTAACCTGATCGATTTCATCTGTTCAGAAATTAATTATTGTATCGCTTCACGAAATGTAGAATAATCAATTTTCATTTGATTAAAAGTGTACTTAAAATATGTTCTATTATTCTATTAATTGAGACAGCGAAAATAGAAATAAATACTTTTTCAAACGAAAGTCGTAAAGCAATTCAAAAAAATAAAGTAGCGATAATAGGATATTTAAAAATTTGAAAAAAAAACTTTATGAATTCGTAGTCTTTTAAGTTTTTAAACTATACAGATCTTGTAAGGTATTATTAAAATGAATGATAGATTAGCCGCTGGAGATGGCAGTTCTAATTCATCGAAAAAATTCAAAAAGTTTAATAAATCTTTTAGTTTTCTTACATCGGCGAGGAGTTGTTCAACGCCAAAAGATCCGGGGGAGGGGAAGAAATATCCATCTAGCGATAGTAAACTCGGTCGTAAGTTTAGTAATAGATTAAAAAATTGGCTACGTTTGAAAGAGTCGTCTAGATATTCTGTATCCGAGAGTTTTAATAGTACAAGGAATGTAAATGATTTCATGCCAAAGTTGGGATCAATCTCTGAAAATAAATTGGAAAATGTTAGTAATTTTTGCGTGACTGCTGATGAAAGTTCCTATCTAACCGAAAACACAGAAGCCAGGGATGGAGAGAATCGAGTAATCGATAAGCCTAAAAGCGCAAAATCTCTATGCTCTATTACCGATGATGATAATGCTTTCAATGATAACAATATGGATAAAATGTTAATGAAACCGATAGAAAGTCGTTCGTCTAAAAGGGAAGCAGAAATTCAAACAATAAATTTAATTGGAGAAAGTGAATCTATAGAGAAGCTAATAGAAAGCAAAGATATATTGATTGCAACCTTGAAATCCGATTTAGAACAGCAAGAAAATGATTTTCAAAAAACTTTATCAAATATAAAAGATTTAACTAGTAATTGTAGAACTTTAACCACCGAATTATCATCCTTAGAAGAGAAGAAGAAAATGCAAAAGAGGAACAATCATTTAGAAAACGCTTTTTATCGAATGAAAATGGAAAGTGAAGAGAAAGAAAATAAGCGTCTACGATTAGAATTAGGTCGTCTGAATAAATGCTTAAGAGCAATTAGCCTTGAAAACCACGTGAGAATTAAATAAATATATATATATATATATAAAATAAATCGGAAGTCAATCAACTCTCTCTTTTTCAGCATAATAACCTAATATTTTTGTGGGAGAAGGAATCGGATGCTGTTAAATTGGCTTCATGCTACGATAAATTAAAGATATTAATAAGTCATTTAAACATGATAAATGATCAATTAAATGGGGAAATAAACGAAGGCAAACTCTCCGCAATACTTCTCAGCGCTAAAAGTACTCTTGAAGAAGAACTTTCCCGTAAGGACGACTTAGAAATGAAAGCAAAATCATTACTTAAAGGATTATCTGAAGCTTCTAAAGAAATTCAAAAATTTAGTAATAATTGATTTCGCAAAAACAGTTAAAAATTTTCAATCGATATTATCGACAATATAATATAGATTGTATCTAAAAATTCCTTTGATTTCCTAATGGTGCAATAAATAACGTCCGGTTTAAGTTTTTTTTTTATAAATCTCTTTCTTTTGTCTATTTTTGTGAAATTCTTAAGAATTTAGTAATTTGTTTTAAAAATTTAAAAGGAAATAACATATTCAGTGCAAACGATAAAGTAATTTCTTGAAAGTTCCATGCTTTTGATACACCGTTACCGTTAAGTCCTATGCCATCATTTACTCTTCCCTTCCTATAATGATACATAGTAGTATCTTTCAAAATGAAATAAATTTGATATATGAAAAAGTGGACTGCTCCTATGAATGATATAAATGAAAAGTAAATTATAATAATTGTAGTCAAAAAGAGGAAACTGTTATATCCTCTTAACCAGTCTATGAATGCTGTTAAAGGTGAAAGAGACCAATAGCTTTTCCACTGTAGAGATTTTATGTAAATCACCGATGAGATAAAAGTTAAACAGCATCCGATGCTACAATGTAATAAGAAGGCTGCGAAATAATGGCGATTCGTAATTCCAATACAGACTCCTGTTTTTATCGAAAATGTTATTATTAGTATATATACAGATACATTATGTTATTATAATTACCTGTGAAAAAGCAATGATGATCTCTTCTTAATACGCAGGTTTTGCATAAAGGACAATGATTTGCAAAACCAGGTACATCTTTTTGGCAACTACTGCAATATCTATCCAAAAGATGCTTGGAAATGGCCTCATCTTTATATGAATAATTTGTTAACATCAAATAATAATTGACCAAAATATTGACAGTCAGATATAATATTATCACTCTTGAAAAGCCAAACACACCAGTGTCATTGAAAGCATAAGGAAAGAAAATATAACAGTCTATAGTAATAAATGTTGCTATCAAAGTACAAGTATAGCTCATGCCAAACTTGTTCAAAATTCTTATACATGGTACTTCCATATCCTTTTTAAGTTTCAGATAAGATTTTTTTATCCTAAATCATGATAGAGGAACTGATCCTTTCCAAATTTCAGGCACAAAATTACTTTCCAAAGTCCTACTGTATTCTATTGAACTATTAAACTAACTATGTAACGGACATTTCAATTTTCATTCTAACTTCAAGAACTGAGAAGAGAGTCGGTAGATGGAAACACTATAGGTAATTTTTAGACCGGATATTGTAAGTTATTGTCGTTTTCGTACAATGGAATTGAATATAAGTCGTTTTTTCAATGGAAGTAGATTAAAAATTTCCAGTAACTTTATCATTTAATTTAACTACGTTAAAAGAATTTTATCTTTATTTATTGAGTAAAATTTAAAATACTTTCTAAAAAATTGTTTTGAATAATCCTTGTATTATATAAACTATATTATAAGACCTTTTTTTGAAATTGAAATCAGTTAAAACTTTTATTTGGTAATACATTGTCTTTTTTATTTTTATATCTTACAGTAAACATAAAATAATGCTATCCTATAACTTAACCTGCTTTCAAAAAAAGTATTTCTATAGCCTTTTGAAAAGAGATGATTATTCAGCAAAGAAACTTTTAACAAATACTTTATTAGTGAATTATTTTTTTAAAATATTCTATTTAAGAGAAATAAGATCTAGCTAATATGCAAAATTTTATTTAATATTTTATATTTAAAAATAATACGAAAATGCGGAAGTCATAACCATAATACAATCGGCTCTTTACCAGTAAGACTGTCACAATTGAAAATCATAGAGATATGTCGTAACAGACAACTTATAAAGCAAAGACTTAGAAAGGTAAATATGTTGACTTATATAATTTATGACCTATTATTATTATTATTGACAAAAGGAACTGAAAGAATATTTTAAAATTCGTTCTTTGGTTTTAGAGAAATTGAAGAATAATTATTTTTTATATTCTACTTTAATTGTAGTATTTACTAGAAAAATATCTTTCTATTTTAATATTAAATTTATATAGTATTTTATATTTTGTTAAAAGAGAATGAAACTTCTACTAAAAAGTCTAGACCTATTTCAGTTTGATACTTTCTATTTGTTTGTAAGTGCAACAAGTGTTTTTAAGTGTAATATCAAACAAAAACTACTCAATAGTACTGTATGCTTATAAATAGTTTATAATATATCCATAAATTATTTATCCCAGTTTGTTATGTAATATTAGTTTTTCACAAGAATAGTCTGAATTACTCTAATTTTCAACTGATGCTTTTGCTGCTATTTATAGAATCCTGTCATTGTGTGCATTAATCACTTATGGAGAGGGATAGTAATAGAAAAAATATTGATTTACCAACCAAGAGTGAAATCTATCATGAGAAGCAGAGTCGTCTTTTGTGTGCTATGCATGCTCTAAATAACTTCTTCCAAAATGATCATCCCTTTAGTAAGAGTGAATTGGATAGGATATGTGAACGGTAAGTCTTTGTTATCTATTAGCTTACATTATTAGAACGTTGTTTAAAGAAAATAATAAAAAACCTCTATTTTTGTAGTTATTCGTAATAGTTTCCTTTCATTTAAAGAAAAATTAGTGTCCGAGATGCTTAAATTATTTATTTAATTAATAAAACTATATTTAAATGGACAGCTTAACGCCAGGAAGCTTCATTAATCCTCATAGGAACTTTTTGGGTTTGGGTAATTATGATGTCAATGTATTAATAGCAGCTTTTCAAAGTCGTAATTTAGAAACAATTTGGATGGATAGGAGAAAGTTAGTGATTGAGAATATTTGTATTTTAATTAATAATCATTTAATGTTAGATCACCAAACTGCTTGGTTCTTCAAGAAATAGAAGGTTTTATCCTAAATGTTCCAATTACCTGGAAAATTGGCGCCTTTTCTATACCATATATACGACAACGTCATTGGGTAGCCGTAAAGAAAATAACTGGCCAGTATTATTTATTAGATTCAAAAGCAGCTGAGCCAACATTTATCGGAAACGAGGTAGATAATTGGTGAATTAACTATATCTTCTTATATATTTAAATTTTATAAATAGGATAGTCTAAGAAAGTGTCTACAAGAAAATCTACAAAGAGACGATACAAACATTCTACTTATCGTTAAGCAAGATGTAGCAGAAAAATCTTCGTGGTTTAAAAGTCCAGATTAGGGCAATTTTATTCTGAAATCTACAACCTTAAACAAACAAACAAACAAACAAACAAACAAACAAACATAAGAAAGATCGGAAGGAATTCTCATATAGAAAGCGGATTATTAAATGTTTCAATTTTAATCATACAATTAAAACTATAAAGGAAACGTAAGTGTAAATAATTTATTGTACAATAAAATAACTATGAAGGATATTAGAAAAAAGAAAACTTTGTTCAATTGATTATTAAAAGTATATAACAAAAAGGAAATCGTTAGAACATTAACTAGTTTCCTCTTCAAAGAATCTTTGATGATACAATTTCTCGTAGGTGTTTGGTAAATTGGCCTTATTTAGGATGTGTTGAATAAAGAGTAAGTCTAATTCCTTGTCTTCCTCCTCTTGTAGAATTTTTCTCATAGAATTTCTTCTAATTATCTTCCTTCTTGTTGAATTATCATACTCTGATTTTCTTTTACCAAGAAATTGTTGGCATATTATATAATTATAGATAATTTCAAATAGAAATTCAATAAATTCGAATAAAGTTATAATGGAAGCTCCCATCCAAAGACCCATATGACCTCCTAAATCTGCAATAAAATTAAAAGTTGTTATCTTAACTGCATCTTCGTTGATTGTCTGCTCAAGATTCTCGTAATAAATATTAATGGCTGCTAAATTCTTAATAAGATAGCTCAATCTTTCTTCATTATTCTTTCTCGTATCGTAGAAATTCTTTAATTTTTTATTATTCGTATTTCTAAAATGTTCCAAATTTCTATAGGCGCCAAATGATAATCTCGTCTCGTATTTTACTTGAGAACAAACTGGAATACATTTTGGACAAAGTCTATCCTCAACTTTGGAGTTTTCTGCAGTTTTTCTAGCAATGAATAATTCTTGAAACCAATCCATACATTGTTTAACTTTTTTATCCCTTTCCGGTTGACAGTAAATAGTCTCTTTTGGATTATCGAATCGATCTTTACCCAGCTCCTCTTTTAATTGATTGAATGCGTGAGATTTGTTCCTATAACGGGGTAAAGCTGGATCGAAACAATAACAATGCTTAAATAGTTCAATTTGATTACAAGTTTTGATACAAGACAATTCGCTATAGGTAACGTGTGGTAAAACACCAACGTAGGCGTCTCTATCTCTCATTTCATCTTTTGTTAAGATTTTGCAATCCGAATATGGATATCTAATGTGTTTAAATAGTTTTCTATGAACTCCAACGTATGTAAGCATGCCTGGAGAAATGTTAAAACCATCGGCCTCTGGGAAAGGAAAAGCCGAATTGTTATGAATAGCTATACGAAAACCTGTTGATGTTTGATATATATTATTGTACTCATTAACTTGGGTGTCAAGAACAAGAAAGAGGCTCTCAGTTACACCGAACGTAGAAGCTGTTCGATTTCCAAATGCGTTAAAAGTATAACAATTGCCATAGGAAGTACTCAGTACCAGCATAAAATCTTTGCTAGAGCATGGAGTTCCAAAGTAGGAACAATAGACCAGCATATTCTTCAACTTGTGACCTAATGTTCTTCGTATTTCCTCTTCTTTCGATCCAAGGTATCTTTGTAAATTAATTGATTTAATATAGTCATTTTCGTTTCCTAGTTTTTCGGCCAACTCTTGCTTAATAGCCGAATAGCCGGCCTTCCTACCTTCGGCTTGCTCGTCGCTAAGTATAGCATTCATATTGCATATAGTAATAGCTGGAAAGGATAGTTTAACTTCCTTCCTAATTAAGACACTTGTAGTAACGGGAAACATAAGAAACTCTAATAAGGTGGAAGAGCATAGTGTTATTAATAGAACAATGCAAATACATATTAAAACAATCCAATACCAAGTTCTACACTTCCCTCTGGATACCTTTAAAGACCACCAACCATGAGCCGAAACTTTACCAGAATAATAGGTTAACAAATCAGATAGATTATAAAATCTAATAGGTCTATCTAAAATCGATCCGGGTTCAGCATTTGGGGCAAGATCATCCATATATCGTTGTTGCTATTTTAATTTTAACCTTATGAGGTCTATTAATAGAAATTCAGTTTAAAGGGTATTTAAAGGATTCTGTGCACTCTGAAAAGTCATCACGAATCGATTTTTACCAGAGGGAATGAGATATACCCATTATATTTATATTAAATAAAGGAATTTTTTGTCAATGATGTTTCAAATTTAAAAATAGTGTACACCTTAATGTCAGATTGTTAAATTAGTTATTAATTTACTCTAATTACTCTTTTGAACTATTTAGATAAGTCGATACAAATTTTAAAAAAAAAAAAAAAAAATTACCTTTCCTACATCTGTAATTAAGTTTGTATGGGTGCTGCTTAAGTTTTCTTTGTATTTAAATATAGAGAGAATAAATAGAAAGGCACAATAATTTTCAAAAATACCATACTCTCTTATTCAATTTTGAATATTTACAATATAAAATGTACTGAATACATATATATATATATGTATATAAAGAAATAGTTTGTTTTATTTGATTGCTTAAAACATTCAAATTATTTCTTCTTTCCTTTCTTTCCTTTCTTTCCTTTTGCACCTTTTTTGCCTTTTTTACCATCGTCTTCATCTCCTGCAGCTGCTTTTGCTCGTTTTTTACCTAAAGGAGTTTTTGCATACCATGACTTAAAGGCTTCCTCTTCTTCTTTATAAATTGGATCCATTCTAGCGAGAGCATTTACAAATTCAGTGGCAACTAATGGCTTCTTAGAAAGTTGATTTATTCTGTAGATATTTAAATAGGTCATCATTTAATTTAAATATTAAAATATTAAAATGCGTATTGTAACCTTCTCTCAGTTAGAACGGCTTTGCAAGCTTCTACCATGTGACCAGGTGTATAACCATCGGAAATTTTCGATAAAGATGAAACATCAAATGTATTATGTTGAATTTGACCTCCGTGTCTATTAATTATAAGCCTCCACAGAAGATGTCGAGAAGCATAGTCAGGTCTAGGAATAAGGATGATTTTTTGAAATAAGGTAGCCATCGGTTTCATTTCTCCATCAAAAGGAATTCTAGAGCATCCTATTAAAAGAACTCTATCATCTCCCTTTATTGTTTTCATCACTTTCGGTAAATCCTTTCTCAAACGTTTAGGATCGCTCTAAATGAATCATAAATATTCATAATTATTAGTTTCACAATATTTTTCATTCAACTTTTAATAAGTTTTTTAACAGTAAATATTAAATAATAAGACAATAAATAAATTTAAATAAATTATTGAATATTAACACCTTCTTTATTTAATAATAAAGGTGCTATTACATAACATAGAAGATAAGATAAACATGCTTTTAGGTGATACTTTTATATTACAGAAAGAAAAAGTCTAAAGTAAGAAAGAGATACTTTTCCTTCTCATTAGTAAATTTTTTTTCTTTTAGTGATCATTTTAACAATAATCGACGGATTAGTCTTTTCTTTTTAACGCTTAGAAACGAATTAGTGATTATCTGAAATTATCCTATAATATAAATTATAATTTTTTATAGTATATCATACTATATATCTTCTATGAGAACATAGAATGAATCGTTTCTAAGCTCAAGAACTAATCCAAATGTTAAAATGTAGTGACTCTATTACCGCTTCTCTCTTTTCATCATCCCAATCATAAGGAACGTTTTGCTTAAAGAGTATTTTAATATCAGATATATATCTATTTTTAAATATCGATATGCTATTCATTTTTTCATAATCATATCATGAATAGGAATTTTAATAAAGAGAAAGATAGAGAACGTATTCGTTCATACAAATGCATAGACTTACCATGTCGGTTTTTGGTACTTTCTTTTTGAACATTTTTTCGCAATCGTCCATATAAATAACAGATGGCTGAATGGCTTTTGCAACTTTAAATATCATATGTACCATGAGTTTTAGACCATCTTTACCAGGGTATTTTCCAGCGATATTAGAAGCGCTAAGATCAAATAAATTTGCACCTGTTTCTGTGCAAATGGCGTTTACGAGCATATTTTTTCCTACTCCTCTAGGTCCTGCTAGTAGTATAGATTTAACTAGAGGAGCTTTTTCATGAACAGCTGGTGATCCTAGAGGGAGGACAGCGTATGATGAAACGACTCTTCGAACATCGCTTAGGGATGGTTGGGGTTCAATATTCGCTTGCCTAAGAGTTGTTCCAAGATAGCTATATTCTCCGGCAAAATCCGACATAGAAACCTTGGGATTCCTAACAATTATCCCTTCACCAACCAACTCTTCATAGAGACTTTCAATAGTTCTATCTGGAGTTAGATCTTTTTCTTTTTTTCCTTTCTTCCCTTTCTTACCTTTCTTACCCTTCTTTCCCTTCTTTCTCTTACCCTTTTTTTCTTTAGCCCTATCAACGGCCTAAAAATAATAGAGATAAAGACTCGTTAAATTAACACTTAAAGAGTCGAAAGAATACAAACAGCTTTCAAATTGGCGAGTTCCGTTCTCATTAATTCGTCAACTTGAGTTCGGATTTCAGTAGATACTTCCAAGCGTTTTTCCTCTTTAATCAATTCAGTATCATGCATTTGGCGAAAATTGTTTTCTTCATCTCTTCCGTGCCAAATTGCTTTTTTGAAAATAATATATAAATAACAAGATAATACTTGATTCTTTAATTTTACTTTTATAGGTATCTGTCGCTTCGTTAATAGCTGGAACGAAGCTTGATGGTGCCATCTTCCATCCTTCCTCTTCTTCCTTTAATTGGAAAGCTTATTAGTATAAAGAAAAAATTTACATAGTAATTAAACTTACATCATCCCCTTTTCCTTTCTTGCCTTTTTTTCCTTTCTTGTCCTTCTTTTTGTCCTTTTTGTCTTTTTTATCCTTCTTTTTACCTTTCTTCCCCTTTGCGTCACCTTTTTCGGATAATTCTTTTTCCAATTCGACAGGATCTTTTTCCTTAAAGATAGCCGCTGAACCGCCTTCTTCATCATCAGGATAGTCGGGGAATTTTCCAGTAGCATCCCTACACTCAATAAACCACTCCCGCACTTGATTCTGCATAAATTCTTTCATATCCGGTCCTTCAGTTTCTCTTAGTTTATCCTTAACGGTTACCAAAGCATTTTGATATTCTTGTTCATGAAGGTCTTGAGTCACTCTCCTATTGTTCTCTGTCTTAGAAGCCAGAGTTTGAGGAGCTTTTTCTTTCGGAATAAGTGGAGGAGGTGTCTGTTAGACAGAAAAAATGAATTGAACATAAAATGAACAGTTTCTTTTATATTTTACCATGCCGATAAACATCAACTCCTCTTCCCTATCTCTTTTAGTTTTTCTTCTTTGTGAGAAGCCTTTCCATAGTTTCTGAATTCGGATTGCGGCAACATCGGGATCTAGTGTAGGAGCGCCTTTATCTCTTTCTCCATCCTTCTTCTCTTGCTCACGAATTTCTCTCATAAACTTTGCACGCAATCTTCCCTGTCTTGCCCTTTCGTGAACTTGAATATAACGTATGGCCTCCTCCATAGACATTTTAATATCATCTTTATCTGCATCTTTATCTTGAGGACCTAATTTTGCTAATATTTGACCTAATAGCTTTTCCCTCTCTTGTAATATTTTATTGCGTTCGTGTACAAAATATTTAGGCAGAGGCATTTCCACATCATTCTTTAATTAGTAAGATAGGATGGTAAGAAAGATTATATCATATTGTGCAAATTTATTAACTTACCGGGGTTAATTTCAAATCGGAGAGGACATCATCAAAAAAATGGTATTCTGAGAATTCCAAATTCACCATTTCACTTTTGATTTCTAGTATTCTTCCCATAGTTCCATCTAGTACATGCCTAATGAAATTTGTGTACTTTGAGTGATAACTGAACAATTTCAATACAATATCTTACCTCAATACTCTTCTTTTTTGAGGATGAACAATTTGATCGTAACATCCCTCTAATTTTCGGAATATCTGAATGTATTTTACAAAGAGAGTTGCAAGTAACTGAAATGCTGCTGTTCTGTCTTTTTCAGGTTTTGGAGGTTCTGGAGGAAGTTCTTGGTGAAGTAAGTCAATTAATGCCGACTCGGCTTCAACCCATTGTTTTTGATAATAACTATTGAAGGACATTGTTGTAAACAAATAATAAGAAGCCAATTAATACAAACCTGTGGGACATATTTTTTAATGGATAAAACTTTTTTCTGTTATAATAGCTAAATAAAAACAAGCGATCTTCCTAATAACATTTAGTTTGTTGGTTGTCTATGGAAACGATATTAGCCTGGTTACGGGTTATAATTTCCCGCGTAAACGTTCCTTCGTATTCAGGTGAATAGGCATTGTTGTTATTTTAAAGACAATATTGTCTCTGCTTTTAGGGAATATTTTAAAATGAAATTTAAATAAATTGTACGAAAAATTTCTAAAGAAGAACTTCCGTTTTCAATTTCAAGTCTGGACTCATTCAAAAATATCTTTACAAATTCATCTCTCATTTTATCGACCTACGAGAGTTTGCTTAGGCTAATAAAAACTGCATCCGAATGGCTTACAAGAGTAACGCCAGTTCTGGTTTAGATTCGGATGATCTTAGTCTGGAAACTACTGTCCCAACTGACTTATCCCTATCGCCTGACATCTCTCACCCCTCCAAAAGCAAAGTTGGAAGATCACAGCTAGAGAAAAAACAGTTGCAGCATGATCTGCAAGTTACAAAGATCGAACTGTCTCAAAAATGTATGCTCATTGACTCGATAAAATCAGAATACACTCAAAGAATCGATGATCTCCAAGAACAACTAGCAGATGTTACTCATGCCAAACAAGTTTTGGCACTAAGGTTAGATGCAGAAATTACCAAATCGCAAGAAGAAGCCAGGAAAAGACAAGTAGCTATTCAAAATCAAGTAGAAAAACTAGTTAATAGACAAAAAATTTTGGAAACTCAAAATGAAAAATTACATTCGGCAACAGAAGATATAAAAAAGACACTTTTCGACCTTGCCATTTCTGAACAACAATATCTAGACCTAAGACAACAGAATGATACAGATATACCTTTAAAGGAATTTGTTGCTATGAGATTATTTGAAGAGTTAAAACCATGGAAATTAGAAAATGAAGAATTAAGACACAAACATAAAGTAACTTCAGATAAAAATACCCGTTTAAAAGCAGAAGTAACCAAATTAACAGAGGTTTTTATTATATTCTAGAATATAATATTGTACGTTGCTTTCGTAAACTGGAAAATAAACTTTTCCTCTATTTTTAGGATATTGTTACTATGAAAGAAAAACTCGAAGAACATAGTATTAAGAATGAAAGATTGGTCCTATCTCTAGCAGAAATAAAACAGCATACAACCATTGATACTTATAAGGTAGAGAACTATGATAGAGTTCACAGGTAAACCAAAAAGCAGAATTTCTTTATCAGTATAAATGATTTATAAAATGGATTGTAAATTTAGGGAAAGGGATGACTTCGAGAAGGAGTTAATAGATATTCAAAAACGATTCTCATACATAAATACTGCAAATGACGTCCTAACAAGAGAAAGAGACGAATTAACCTCACACGTAAGTTTCCTCTTTCAGTACTAGTTAGTCAATCTAATCATTAAGGATTTTTATCTTTACAATTCTATAGTTATCAGCATCTGAAAAATCCAATACTTTGTTGAAGCAAGATAAGGATTATATGCAAAGACAGGTTTGTCATAAAAAAAACTAGGTTTATTCAATTTCTTGAGACAATTCATTATATGTGATCCTTTCTTCAGCTTCTTGACTCACAAACAAAATTAATGTATTTGGAAGAACGGCAAATTCAATTAAATAATCAGCTAGAATTAGCAAAACAATCACGAGAAGAACTATATGATAAATACGTTACTTCGAGGTTAAATTATTTATTTTATTCTTTCGCTTTATTTATTCTTTTATAAAATTTGTCTTTTCCAAATTTAGAGATGAATATAAAGAACAATATGAAAGAAAGATGTCAGAACAACTGGATAAAATGCGATTTAAAACTGACAATGAAATTGAAAGATTAAAAACATCTGCTAAAGAAGTTTATGAACGAGAGAACAGGTAATATCCGGGAAGAATCTGTGCTTTTTCCACTTTTCTATATCATACTTAATTTTTTAAGGAGTCTTCGAGAAGCAAGGGACTTGGCAATATCGGAAAGGGATAGAGCTACTGCTAGTGAAAATGAATTACAGCATAAATACGATCAATTACTTATGGAGTGAGATTTCTATACTCTATCAAAAATAACTCGTAAGAATGCTATTTTTTTTATCATCAGCTTCAGGCAGAAACAATCAAGCACCGATCAGAAAATTGGAGAGTTGACGAACGAAGTTCGCTTAAAAGCTTTTGAAGTTGAAAGAACAGCGATTGTTCTTGAAGAAAGCAATCGAAATGTACAAGAATGTCAGAAAGAGTGCGATAAATTGAATAAAAAATTAGAAGTAATGACAAAGGAATACTACTCAGCAACTGGCGAAAAAGATAAGAAGATAACCGAATTACAAACGAGGTTACAAGAAGTAATGTGTAAATTAGAAACATATGAAAAATTGGAAAATGAACTAGATGACGTCGTAATGCAAGCAGCAGAATGTAAGAAATTGAATATTTCCATCATTTAACAACTGTTTTCATATATTAATATTAATTTAAATAGCTTCGGAGAGTGATAGAAATGGCGAAGATATCTTACTCTCATATGGATATGGAGCCAATTTACCAAGCATGTCGAAAAGACGACTACAACATAGCGTTCAATTGGCTAGAAGAGTTCTTCAATTAGAAAAAGAATGCACTCTTCTTAAAAAACAAAAGGAAATTGAAGCCGAGAAGAAGGAAAAAACCTTTGAACAATTGAGACAAGCAAATGAAGTTATCGATAATAGTCATCAGCCTTATCATTATCTCGTTGAAGCTTTAAAACACAGAGATGGAATAATTAATGATCAGAAGAAATGTTTGGAGAGTTTTGAGGATGATTTACAGTATGTGATACTTTTATTGAAGGCATTTTTTTATTTTACCAATTCAAAAATAATTGCAGAAAAGTAAAAAAAGAACGAAATAACTTACTCCAATTGAAAAAGCAGTCTGAGAGAGATATTGAATCTCTTTTATTACAAAACGAGGTTTTTTACTTTTAAAATAAGTTATATTTTTATATATTAAATAAAACCATTGCTTTTTCTTTACGTTTGAAGGAGTTACGTGAAATGCAAAATTTGATAAATAATCTCAAAACAAAGAAAACTGGTGGAATATCAGCGAAACCGTCATCTTATTCTAGAAAAACTAGAGTAGTTGCCTCTTCTTCTCCCAATGATGATGATTGTAATGTACATAATCCATCTCCAACGTCTTTTGTAAATATTATATTTTAATAATCTTTAATAGTGTAATTATATAAATTTATTTTGCAGACTAATCCAAAAAAATTCCAATATCCTGAAAAAGATTCCAGAGTTATGGTTAATGGCGCCAAATCCTAAATGTATATATTTATATATATATATAAAGACTTTTTAACTCTATGAAAATATATTGTTAATTTATTTCATATTTAAAAAATAAATCTTTAGTTAAGAATACATTAATTCAATAGAGAAAACTACTTTCCTTTTAGTCACGTGATAGGAAAAGACTGTGGGAAAGGAAATATCATCTTACATTGTAATAAGAATTATTTCCCCCGTTATTCATTAAAATTCGTTGAAAACTTGAATATTCAATCATTTATAAAAGTTTAAGTAACCCAAAAAATGTCGGTAAGTAGGGTTTTCTTCTTTATAACCTTAGTTCTGAATAATGTTTTAAAAGTTCAATTGTAAAACCGTAAAAAAAAAGACATGGCGGAAATTATAGACAGGTTCGTAACTGTATTTTATATATTCAAATTACTTTTTCAGAAGACAACAATTACGGAAAGGGAAATTAAAAGAAGAAAAATAATATTAGGAGGCGGTAGAAGAGATCCCAACCTATCTCTCTTTATCAATGTAGAACAAGCATGCATTCAACTTTCGTAGTATATTTATAATATTCCCTGTCGGATATTTTTGATTTTAGGCTTTAGAGAAATTAATACACTTTGAAGAAGTTGTAGAGAAGAAATATGGTAAAATTGACGATATAACTTCAAAGGATATTTATAGAGAGCCGCTTTTACATTTTTCTTATCAACGAGTATGACAAATTAATTTACAAATTGGATACTTGTCTATTATAAAAGTTCTATAATAATCGTCTTTCTATCCTTTCATTTAGACAAGAATAAATCATAAGAACTACATGTTAGCATTTAAGAAGAGTATTTTATCAAACAAACATCTTTTTAAAGATAGAATTGTAGCTGATATAAGCGGAGGAACAGGATTATTTACAATATGGGCATTAGAAGCAGGAGCAAAATACGTATTTACCTTTGAACCTACCGAATTCTATTCAATAACCAGGCAAATTCTTAAAGATAATGGATACAATGATCGTGAATATTTTCATTTATCTATTCGAAATATAGCCAAAAAAGCCATATATTTGCAGACGTTACAGTAGTTCCTCGTGACATGAAGCAAACGCCTCTTCCTAAAATATTTGATATTTTAATTTGCGATTGGCAGTCAGAGTTCATTAAACCATCAAATATGATCAATAATCTATTATTCTTCAGGGATAACTATTTGGTACATTTTAGTTTTTAAAGTGTTGATTTTGTAATCATTTAACTCTTTATTTATATTGCTTAGAAGCAGGATGGTATTATTTTACCTAGGAAAATTGAAACTTATGTTGCTCCTATGGTTAACAATAAAATATTGTTACAAAACTATCACTGCTTCAATAACATGTATGGTTTGGATATGAGTGAACTGAATCATTTAGCGAGAGCGGAAGGAAGAGCTCTGTCAAGTCCGATTGGACCTAATAATATAAAGAGTATTCCTAAACTATTCAAGGAATACGATGCAAAAACCTTGAATTTATCAGTATTTACAAAAACTACAGACTTTGAATTCTTTCTTGATTCTTCTAGCCGAATAGATGGACTTTTATTCTATAATAAAATACTTTTCGAAGATCTTCATAAAGCCGTCTCATTCGAATCTGATCCAACAGTTGAATACGAAAATCCATCGTCAGTCATTCCACAGTATGTTATTGTTTTGAAAAATTCAGTTGTCGTTAAAGGAAAAATAACATTTTCATCTAATATAGACATGGTAAAGAATAACGTATTTTGCTTTAATGAATTAAATATATATAAATTATATATATATACAGTATATTTATTATTATTTAGATAAACGACAACAGATGGAAATTTATATTACAATCAAAAACAATTGATAATAATTCAAAGATGGAATATTTTATATGAATGATTAAGGCAGTATTGTAGTAATGAGTGCAAGTTTTCAAATAAAAGCCAATCCTGTTCCTGATAAACATAAAATACAATTGGCGACAGCTAAACCAAAGCTGGCGTGTAAATGGAATTTCTCATTCGTAAAGCTGTCTAGCCATATTCTATTACCATTATTATAATTTGCAGCCCATGTAACGACCGATACGCAAATACAAATTCCTAAAATTTAAACCTACATTTATACCTTTATATTCCAATTGGTTTAAGTTACCTGTTACTATAAGAATGATGCTAACAATAATTTTACCATTTGCCTTACCCAAACCTGATAGGAAAGTTAAGAAAAGTAGAAGAATGAAAAATGCCCCTGCCAGACCAATTAGACCGATTATCATAAAAGCTCGAACGGTATTTAACCAGTCTGAAAAATATAAAGAAGATAAAACTTGAAGATTAAGTAAACGACAACAAAAAAAAAAGATTTTAGACCAATTCCAGTATGAAGGGTTTGACACTGGCCGGGTGGATCGACACATATTTTCCATATTCCAATATTTATTTTACATTCTATCGGACTGCAAGAGAACATTGACCAATATGGTAACGCGATGGATATAATTTGAGAGATGAATAGCATTGGTATTAAGCCTAAAAGAAAGTAGAAGCCCTTCGATGACATTGTTCAGAAGGTTGAAATGAAATGAGAACTAAAGCGATTTGTACCTTGGTCATGTTTACAGAGCTTATCGATATCATAAAACAATAAATAAGGTTTGTCATATTTTATTATATCTAATGAAATAATCTACTCTTGAATCAAATCCATAATATCTCTATCAGCCAGATCAGTTTGTTCTATACCGCCATTGTCTATATTTATCATATTATCGTTAAAGATGGCTTGATTTAGCGAATCGGTAATAGCAGGACCAATAATTCCTTTACTGTCGTGTTTCTTTAAATGTAATTTTAGTTTATCACTTCTCCCGGTTGTATAACTGCAATGATCGCATTTAAAAGGTTTATCACCAGAATGTATTCGTTCATGGCGAATAAGATGAGATCTTTCCATGAAAGCTTTTCCGCAAGTGGAACATACATGCTCCTTAATTCCAGAATGTTTTTTTAGATGCGTTTTTAGAATACACCTTTTATAGGTTTTATAGTTACAATCTTCATAGTTGCAATAAAACATTGCACTTTCATCGTGTGTTCGCCTATGCGATGCTAAATGAGATTGATACTTGGTACTAAACGGGCATTGATCGCACAAAAAAGGCTTTCCTTTCGAATGTTTAGCGGCATGTTGCTTCAAAGTATTTTTGGCTCTAAACATTTTCCCACAAATATCACACGAAAATGACTTTTCACCAGAATGCATTCTGATATGAACATTGAGGTTGCCCTTTTGAGAAAACTTTTTATTACATTCAGGGCATTCGTAGGGATAATCACCAGAATGTTTCTTTTGATGGTTGACTAATTGATAAATCTGATGAGCTTTAAAAGAACAATTTACGTAGTCGCATTTGTATGGTGGACCTTTATAATGTTCTTTCATATGGTTATAGAAATCTCTATTATAGCAAGTCTGGAACTTGCAAAGTGAACATTTATATTCGTTATCTGACTGAATGTGAATTGCTTTGAAGTGTTCTGATATCCTTTTAGGGCAGTGGGCACTATAAGGGCAACGTAAACATTTGTAATTTCTTCCAGATTTCGAAATCATTTTGATGGTACTTGCTCCGCTCTTCCTACTCTTTTTCCTTCTTGTTCTCTGTTCAATTTTAACAATGGGAATACTTTCTTTTAATAATAATTCATTTGAATCTTCTTTAAGAATCTTATCTATTTCTTCAGAATCTTCAATAATTGGTAGATCTCTTTCTTCGATACTAACTTTTTCAAATTCGCTTCTAATCTGATTTAATAATTCCATATACTTCTCGGAAAGAGATCTTTGACATGCAACTGCTGATAATAAAGCTAACACGTCATCGGTTCCTTCCAAATATATATTATTCGAGAATATGGATTCTAAGCGTTTTTCATTCACTTCCTTCCAATTGAGACATTTAAAAAGAGATTCTAGATGTGATTTTCGATCATTTTCCTTATGACGAACCCAAGCACATATTATATCGACTAGAGATCGATTGGCCGACGATCTGACAGAGAGAAGTGTCTGAAACTGCCTAAGAGGAATTGTTAAAATATATGAACTATTTATCAGGCAACTATAATTGTCAATAATGTAATGTTTCGATATTTCTGACAATTCTGTTAGATTCATTCTATCCGCCAAATTTTTTATGAAAATACAATTCTCATTCGTCATATTCTTCTGCATAAACTTTGCACACCAATTAAGAACTTCATCACAAACGTATTTGGCACATAGTTCACTTAGAGCGAAAACATTATCATTGTTGATTTCGATCGTTCCGGTGTATAAAAAGTTCAGAAATGACTGAAATATTTCTACGCTTGATGATTTGACTTCTTGTTTTGATACAACACAATCTGCATTAAATAAAGAGCGAAAATAAGGATTGGATGCGGAAAGTACATTCTTATGAGCGTAGATATCTGTTGAATTCACTGTAAATACTACATCGCAAAATGTTCCATCGGCTCTATAATCATTCAAATTTCTACCCAAGTTTGATTGGATGTCTTTTGAGGATCTTGAAACAGTGATTTTTTCATTAAATCCATTTAAAGGGAAGTATATATCCATCTTGTATAGTGACCTTCACCTCACTACCGAAGAAATAATTCCATTATCCAAACATAACAATACGGTGTCCATAGCAATCTTTTCAAACTTTTAATATTTATGAATGAAATTTTTTTGTAAATTATCTAAAGTAAAAATAAACATATAGACACTATAGTAACAAAGTGAAAATCATTGCATAAGTATTATTAACAATGTGCTAAAAACATCAATTTAAGTCATTTGTTGTAAATTTTGTATATTTTTATTTGAAAAAGAGAATATTTAACGTTAATTAGTCTAAAAAATAAGATTAATATTTTACATAAGTATATAAGAAGTAAACAAAACAATCATTTATAACTGTTTGAATGAATAATAATAAAATATAGTTAATATAATCTTTCTACCAATGATATGAACCGTTTCTGATTTTAATTGTTTCGTATGCTCCAGTTATGGATGAAAGTATAAAAAATCCACTAGTAACAACTGCACAATGAAATCCGTAAGAGAGCCAATAAGTAAATATCTGATGTTGAATAGGATATTCGCAACATTTCCAAGCTGATCTAACAAACATTACGGAGAAAACAATCCATGATATAATTCCAGCTATAGCTGTTTTAATAATAAAAAAACAACATTAAAACTATTATTAACAGGAAGATGAAACTAACTTGCTACTACACAACAAAATACCAATCCGTGAGCAACATATACATTTTCGTTGAAAGATGGCATACATGTATAAGCTATAACTGTTATTAAGCCTGCTAACCCCATAAATAACTGAATTGTTTGAAGAGCTTGACATCCTTTCCACCAACCTGAAATGTTTCTATTGTTAGTTAATTTCTAATTGGAAATTTAATTGGCATTTATGCTTTACCTGGAACTTTCTGAACTAAATTCAAAGGTTCACAATCTTCTCTACCAGTGGTTCCATCCAATGGTCTTGAACATACATACCAAACTCCGTATCTGCCTTTGAAGAGGTCGTCATTAACCCCTTGTTCAGTTGTTTCACCCCATCCAGGTACCGTAAAGGAGATTACGGAAAGAGCAAAAGCTAATAACAAGAAAATCAATGTTATCCAACCTAACAACGATACGTTTCTTCTCTTTGATAAATTTCCAAACTTTGGAATTTTTACTTCTCCCATTAAGCCCCAATCTCTTATTTCATACGGTTTTTTAGAAACTCTAGGGGGTCCTTCGTAATTTGTATTCTCCTTAAAGACATTATCATGCTGCTCCAGTTCAGTCTTTGTCGTAAAATCAGGATTTAAATCCTGCAGAGGTAATTTTTCTTCCATTCTACAATATACCTCTAATTGTACAGGTATTCAAAAGTAAGAACTGATAAGAATTAGCATTGTAGTAGAGCAATATTCTTTGTGATAGCCTAATACAAAGTTAGGCCCTTATCTTAGTAATACAGATGGCGCTTATTGTTATATCAAATACAAATTTTATAGTTTTGTTTATGTTCAAGATGTATTCTAGTTTACAAATTAAAGTAATCACCTTTCGGAGTTAATATACAAACAACGAGAACAGCATATCTTATACAAAGTAAAAAGATGCATAGTAACAATAATTTCCTTTTTTTCTATATCACAGTCGTGAAAGTTTTTACTTAGAGAAGACACCGATATTACAATGACTGAAGCAGATAATTACACTCTTGTACTATGTGCCTGAAACGGTTGCTCTGCATGTCTTCTCGACTGTACAAATAACATATGAGGTTCTTCAGTGTATTCATTATCAATAACGCAGTGCGGTTCAGTTCTCGTTGCTGAATAGTATGATTCAGATATTACATCGCTCTCTTCAATTTCGGCTTCCTCTCTTATTGTTTCTAGTTGTACATTTCTTGTAAAATCTTCTTTATCATCTTTTCCATGCTTTTTTCGAAAGTGATTTTGAGATGCTTTTAATTCTATAATACCAAATATTCCAGCAATTAACGTGAAAGCACCACTTACGACAGCAAATGCGAAAGCAAAATTTAATCTAACTATCTCTGGATCTGGAAAGAAGGATAGAACACTTCTTTTCCAGTTTATACCGTATAGAATCACTTGTACCAAGATAAATATACCTATAATAATAAAAATAACAAAATATAGATAGATATATCTATGCAACAAAAAGGAATGATTAATACTGTACTCGAAATAAAGTCCAAGCTAGCCAGAAAGATCATTGAACAGGGATCATATTCAAGGAAACGTTCAGCTATATATCCTATTGTTAAGAAAAACGAGAGCAATTGAAATATCAAACAAACTACTGCCAAAGCTCTTGTTCCTTTATAAAAAGCTGAAATAGAATAGTGTTTGTGTATAATTTATGGTAATTGATAGTTTAGAATTACATATTTGACATTATAAACAGTAAAATACAGATTCTACAAACTTGCCCATCCTGGTGAGTAGCAATGTGCCTCATTATCGCACATTTGCCAAAGGCCAAACTCTACCCAACTTCCGTCTTTTAACTTTACGTATCCCCAGCCATGAGTAGTAAACGCAGTAATATAAAAGATACTAGACACGAAAAGAAATCCAGCAGCAATATAGACCCATCTTGTCCGTTTTATACTCGTATTAAAGAGTAACTCTTTCGGAAGAGCTTCCACTACTCTCGCCTGCATTTCTGCCACATTGTCGGTCTTATCTTCATTACTGCATTAATCATTATCACATACTCTCTACTACAGTTATTGACTTAGTTTATTCATCCACTCACCTCATGTTTATGGGGTCTTCACCAAAAATATACTTTATCAAAATTTAAATAGTATTGAAGCTAGACAGTGCAGTTTTTAATCGATATGCTTTACTGATAAAGATAGTTGATAATTATAGCAGGCCTAAAAATTATCCCTTTCCGCTATCATAAAAATTTAACTAATAAGCGTATCCAGCACACTGCCTATGTAAGGCAGTCATTTTCTGAGGCCTTTTTTATTCCAAACCTGGATTCTAAAGTACAAAGAGTCTCTTTTTTCCTTAAGTAAAAACTTACATTGTAAACCATATTAACACAAACCTATGTATGTTTATTTATTAATGAACAAGGATTAATTAGTCATTCTGTAAATTAAATATTTGTACAGTAGCCTTTTATAGTATAAAAAAGTTTCAAATTGAGTTCTAAAATAATAAATGCTTTATCAGTAATTGTTTTGAATTTTTATAACTTTAATATCAATATACTTTCATTGAAGAATGAAATAAATCAAAAAACACTACTAATCTTTATGTACAATATTGTTTCTTTTTTATAATAGAAACTTCAAATTTACTTTTGAACTATGTGTTATTTATAGAATTTCATAGAGTCGTTTAGTTTCTTGAGGACTAGGTTTTTAAAAAATATTACTTAGTTATTCTTATTTCCTTTTGAAAATCCTGAAAATCCCATTAAAGCTGCCATTTCTGGATCTTCTTCAACTTCAAATTCTGTGGTATTCGCTTTTCGTTTCCTTTTCTTTTCACGTTTATAAGCTTGGTGTTTGTCTTGTTCCTCTTTTATGGCTTTAAGTCGTTCGCTAAGCTCCACTTCTTTTGTTTTCTCTTCAGCTTGTTTTTTTTTCACTTCGAATCTCTTTTTCACCTGATCTAAAGTAGAACGCTCAACTTTCATTGACATTCCCATGTTTCTTTGATGTTTTTTTCCATTTATATGATCAAGGAAATTTATAGAATCTTTAACGACACAGTCGCAAACATTGCAATAATATCCTCCACTTTGTGAGGCCGGAGTTGTCTTTGTAATAACCTGAGACTTTCCTAAATGGGAATCAAGATCCACCTAATGGAAAATTAGTTTATTAATGCTAAATAATGCCAATATGTAGTTATTTTAATAAATTAATATATTAAAAAGAATGCAAACTTTATAATCTCTAGGTTTAAGCATTTCTCTTTTAACTTCTTCATCATTTGTATTTGATTTTGATCTCTCGAGTTCAGATCTATCATGTGCTATTTGTTCATATTCGGATAAATCCCATTTTCGACGATGATCTCCAGGCTAATTGTAAAAAAAAACGAAACTGATATAATGATCTGCTTGAATTTTTAAAAAAATCAAAATCTTTAAAAAATATGTGCTGTTTGCGCAAAGAGAACATATTGAAACTAAACTATACACTATATTAATAAGATAATATAATTTTGCTTTTCACTTTTCATTGCTAATTGCATATTTAATCTTACATTTGCCTGAGACATGATGTGTGGATACCGATTCCTCTCTGATAATTACAAACAGACGGAACGCAGAAAAGATTTTGAAGACATAAATTTTTTAAATTCAATAGTTTTATAATAATACTTATTAAAATTAATAATTGAAATATCAAAAAAATAGTATAATCTTAAATCTTTATAGTAACTAAATTCTAATCTTAATTTGAATATCTTATGAGAATAAAAATTAACCGCGGACTTGACAGTAAATGTGAAGAGCGCGTGCGCTAGAAACCGGAAATTAGAAGATTTCGCCGATTGTGCTTTAATATCGATATTATATAGATTTAAAAGTCTTTTATTGGAATCTTTCAAACAAGAAATATGGCAACAAGCATGGAAGTGGACGCTGATAGCACAAATGTGATGGCTCCATCCGGTACTCCTGGTAGTGTAACGATAGCCTTGCATCCTTTGGTTATAATGAATATATCTGAGCACTGGACTAGGATTCGTGCACAAAACGAAGGGAAATCTCAGCAAGGTTTGATTCTATAGTACTACCAAATCTTTTAGAGAAATAAACTAAAAAGTTTTGCAACTTTCTTATAGTCATTGGCGCTTTAATCGGAAAACTTTCCGGAAGAGATATGGAAGTTATGAATTCTTTCGAACTGGTCTTTCAAGTAAATAATGGTGAAATTTTCATTGACAAGGATTATTTAACAAAGAAAGATTCGCAGTTCAAACAAGTATTTAGTGAATTAGATGTTCTTGGTTGGTATACAACAGGTGGATCTCCAACACAGAATGATATTCAAGTCCAAAAACAGGTTGGTTATAAAAGAATAAGCCTTACTTTCATTATTTATCTTATACAATTTTTATCTTTATTAGATGGGAGATCTTTACGCTAGCCCTATACTCTTGAAACTCAATCCCCAAGTTAAGCACACAGATGTAAGTTCCTGATCAATAGATTCTTAGAAATGATTAAGCAGTTTTTCTCTTTTTAGCTCCCTGTTTTTGTCTACGAATCTGTCATAGATATAGAGAAAGGCGAGGTAAATATAAAAAAAATTATCTCTTAAAGTTTTTAAAGCTTTTTCAAATTCCTCAGACAAAGATGCTATTTGTCGAACTAGAGTACATATTAGCCACTGAAGACGCCGAAAGAATAGGTGTGGATCACATTGCTCGAACTTCAACATTAAGTGAAGCACAATCCCCTATCGGGTGCGCAAATAAATTAATATCAATATTACTTCGTTTTATTGAGAGTTTCTAATTTAATTAGATCGAGCATGGCCGCCGATCACCTGCAAGCTCAGCATAGTGCCGTCCGAATGTTACATTCTCGAGTGAAAATAATCCTTGAATATTTAAAAGCTATGGAACAGGGAAAATTACCGAAACGCCCAGATATACTTAGAGATGTTCACAGTCTCTGCCATCGTTTACCAGTTGTTAAAACGAAAGAATTCAATCAAGAATTTCTAAATGTAGTTATTTTTAACATTTTCTTATCAAGATTATTTCTTAATTATATCATTTTTATAGCAAACAAATGATGTACACTTGATGGCTTATCTGGCAACAATAACAAAAAGCTGTAATAATGTCAATAAGGTACGCAATTTAATAAATTCATAGTTTTATTTATTTATGCATAAATTTCTTCTTTGAACAGTTTGTTACGAAATTTAACACGTTGTACGAGAAACAGGGTATGGGCAGACGTGTAAGAGGATTGTTTTTTTAAAGGGAAAATAGCTTAAAATTTTACATAAAAGAAAGAAATATATTAATATTTCATAAATTTTCTATGGCAATATCAACTATTCTGTTGAATACATTTATGCTATAAACAATTTCAACAATTATAAGTTACAGAAAAATTCAAGATACTTGAAAATGAAATTATTAATAAAATTTAATGAACAAAATAGTAATATTGTAAATACTGTGTCTTATTTATTCTGTTAATAATTTACATATCTACTGAGACAAGTTTTTGGAGGCAGAAAAATATTTTTTTTGACAGAAATCAATGTATTTATTGATTTTTACAATTTCGTTGTTCTATATTCTGACTAAATATACAATATATATTCCATATATATTGTATATATTATATAATTCTAAAACTTATTCCTTATATATTAAAGGGTAAATTTTCCTTAACCTTCATATTCTCAACAATTGAATTACCAACTTGAACTTATTACCCTACATTTCCACCCATTACCATTTTTAGAAATACATATATATGTATATTCTAACTATTAGTCTTGCCTAAACATTTTTCAGTCATAACCACGCCCATAAATAAACTCTGATAGAATTAAATAGAGTTTGAATTCATTTAAAGTGTTCATAATTCTAATATAATTTATCCAAAAATTGTATTATTTAAATGTTTAATTTTAATATTTATGTGAGTCAACCGAAGTACTCTTCCTCAAAGATGTTCTTGTCTTTTTCAATTTTCTCCTATTTGATATATGATTTAACGTTCCATCTACTCCGAGAAATTTTTCTAGTGCTCTCATCGAATCTTGAGGGAGAAGACTGATGGGAAACATTAAAGGTTATTCCTAAAGCCATTACCGAATACAACGTATATATAATTTAAGGAAGCAAAACCTGTTGATAAATACTATCCAATACATTATTCTCGGTAGAAGAACTGTTTTTTTATTGTGTAACAAAGCATCAATCACTCTCTTCGCTATATAGGTGGGTTTCAATCGAGGAAAGAGCTTAGGAAATTTCGTCCTTATCCCTTTAGATTACTTTAAATAAGTTACTAATTTAAAATCCATATGAGGGCTTACCACTTGCTACGGATTCATCAACTGCATAGGAGTGTACAGAAGTAATAAATATATTACTATTTTTTAACTGATATGCTAAAGCTTCGTTAAAAGTTAGGCCGCATAATTGAGATGAACAATACTCAGAAGCCGCTGATAGACTCATTAAACCCAACATTGAATTAATGTTGACCAAATGACCTCTTTGAGCTTCTACCATAGCTGGTAGAAAGGCTTGTAGAATCTGTTGATAATAAATAATTAAATTAAGTGGAATAAACCTTAAAAGTAGAATCACTCTCCTACCCAACAATGATCCATAAGATTAAACTCTAACGACTTGTCTGTCTCTGACTCATCAATGTTGAAATAACTCTGACAACAGTTTACTCCGCAATTGTATACTAATATTGTAACACTTCCATGCGTATCTTGGATATCCTGGGCTTTTAAAAACACTCTTTCTTGATGTGTAATATCGCAAATTTGATAGATGCAGTCCACCCCTTGAAATGAAGATGAAAGAAAATTATTTAATTATATAGGAAAAGCATGAAATTTAGGTTACCGTATAGCTCAATAGCTGAGCAGGTTGATGCTAAAGCCTCTCTTCCCCTTCCCCATAAGATAATCTATTTTAAAAAAAGGAAGAAAAAAAGGAAGGTTATTAGTTAATCTTATCGAAAGCAATCTCAATTGTTCTTCCTCAACTAATTTAGGTCTATGCTTCGCAATTTCCACAGCAATTTCCCTCGATATAGCATGTCCAGCTCCGGTAATCAATACAATGTCGTCGCTTACATTCTTCAAAGGTAAAGGTTGGAAGAAATAGCGGAACAATCCCAAGCAAATGGATTTGAAGATGAAGCAGATCAATGTTATAAAATCAATAATTAATGTTCCTCTAATCATGTTTAGCATATCATCTTTTGTGGGTGATCGAACCTTTTCAACAACAGTCTCCATTGTCGGTAATTGATTTAAATTAAATGAATAAAAAAAATCCGATTTAATATATGTATTTTTTTTATCTAATAGATTTAGAAAAAAGGGCGTGACATGTACAAAAAAAGACATATGAAACAGCAAAACTATGGAATTTGTGTATTGCAATTTCCATGATAAATATGAGTAGGAGTATCACAGGAGAAATAACTATCCCAAACGCTTTCGTATCCCTTATCTTTCCACCATTCGCATAATTGCCTATTCCATCCGCAAGGTAGAACATAAAACAAATTTTCATATTTCATGCTTAACAGAGTAAAGAAATCTTGGTCCCCTAAATGTCCTTGGAAGAGAAACTCTTTTGTCAATTCAGTCATGGATTTCTTATTTAGTAAAGAATTGTAGAGAGTTGACGCACGTAATTTATTCAAGTCCATCAGTAGCACACCGCTATTAAAACCTTGTAATCCCTCAGGTTTCGGTTCACCAACTCTTGTTCCGGGGTTCTTATTTCTATACTCCCAGAATGTATGCCTATAGACCGGCTGTAAATCATAACCGATCCCTATCAAATTTTCTTTCTTAAATTCATTAAATAACTTGTACAATTCTCCAATATCTGAAACGAATTTCAAATCTGAATCCAGCATTATGATTTTATCATAGCTTTGTGGTAGAATTCTATGAATAGCTATCGATAAGAAGAATAGAGCGTCGCTATAATATGAACCAGACTTTGAGCTAAAATGATCTTGCATTGGAAGAACAATTTCATTTAATTTCGCTATGACGTCATCAATATCGAGTTTGATTAGCTAAAAACAAGTGAAAAAAAAATAGAGTTAAATTTTACAATTCTTTGTTCCAATTTACCTCAAATTTATCGTTTTTAGTCTTTTTCGATTCCTGTTCAATTATTTCAGCACCTAAAACTTGACTCTCAGGATCTCCTAGAATATGTAATTTAACAAAAGCTTTTGAATGTTCCAATAGAGATGAGACAGTTAGCCTAAATTTCTGTTGTAATCTTATATTATAACCGGCTTTTGTAAATGTTATTATAACATTTATTGGCTTTGTCATTGGATCTTCTTTAGAATTTGGCTTTGAATCTTTTACTGTCTTTTTTTCAGTTTGAACTGATACGGACTCTTTTTTTATGGTATTTTGTTTATCAACACCAATATCTTCACTTCGTTCTATTTTCTCCTTCTCTGGTTCGAATTTTAGCTTACTATCTGCTACTTTCTTCTCATTTGTCGCTTGTTGTTTTGATTTTTTGACAGTTTGCTCAAATGATTCAACAACCTCTCTCATTTTCCTTGTTTCTGTTGTAAAGGTATTACTCGACCCTAGGTTGTAGAAAGCACCGACGGCTACAGCTGATACTGCCACCACCATCAATAAAACTACATTCTTCCCCCATTGACTTTTCTTCTTCTCTTTACCCATATCTTTTATTTATAACGAAATTGTTGGCAACACCTCTCAACAACACAAAAAATGAATGGTATGTCAATTTATTGTCACATAAAGACTTCAGCAACTAGTAGTTAACAAGTCAACGAAGCTTCTCAAATTACTCCACGTATGAAATTACCGGAAAAAAATTGCAAAAGGTCAAGGTCTATAGGTGGCGTTGTGAATGTTAAATTTTTTTTTAAGTGCGAAACTGAGTACTTAATCAGCCAGGGGGAAACAGAGAATAGTTTAATTATAAAAAATACTGCTAGCTAAATGTCAGCCTATAACTTTAGGTCAGTTTATCGATGGATTAATTGTTAGGAATGGTCTTTTAGATTATTTTCAAACAGTTATACTATTACGTAATTATTCACTCTTTGAACGATTGTAATTAATTCAATTTGTAAAATTAACATTCTTTGCCATTTTCAATATAGATAATCCAATAAAAAATCGATAAACATTCTAAGGATTAAAGCATTAAACGGCTAATTAACAATAAGGTTTGTCAATTAATCTAATTACATTCAGATACACTTACGGCTCAGATAAGATTAAGATAAGATCAAAAGAGCTAAGAGATTCCTTTCTATCTATTTTTTAAAAGTGTAAACAAGACAAATTGAAATTATTCATTTATTTAGTCTTTGATGAAATAAACGTATAAAAAATCTTAAAATGTAACATTTGGCAGGTGTAATTGTAAAATTACGAAAGGAAGGTAATACTTGAAAATGCTGAAATACCACTTTCTACACAATAACCTGATACTTATAGGTGAAGATAGTCGTAACGATCGAAATATAAGAACAAGTCACAATTAGTCACTTCTTCTATCCTCTTGTGAAAAGGATACAAGGGCTTTTAACTTTCTATTAACTTCCCTATATATGAAAGAAAAGTCTTTGAGAAGATTTTCTCAAATATTATAGATGTGTATAGGACTTTAAAACTTATTGTCTCTTTAATATTTTATTCAAATCATATTATCAGATAGTAGTAGCTACAATTTGGATACTATAAACCAGAAATTCACTAAACAGTCACTTAATTCGTACCTTTTGCTGATTGGTTAATTGTTGCCCCAGTGCGATAGTTGATTGGCCGAATATGGACCTCTTAAGTGAATACATTTTAGGGAATTTATCACAACAATCCCAATAATATGTCGGGAGGGTTCCTAATTAAGAGAATTCTCAGTGATGAGAGGAAACAACAAGACGATGAAATTATTGATGTCGTATCCACAGAGGAAAATCTTAACGGTAAGATTTATTTTAAGGCCATTAAATCGAGTGAAACTATTTCTGATTTAAAAAGTTACTAATGCGTCCCAAAAGACTAAAATAAAATTAAACCAGCATTAAACCTTCATGTCAACTCAACCTATATTAATGTTCTGTAGATTTCAACATGGGAAAAGAAAATCCAGATTATTCCGGAATTCGTCAGGAATTTTGGTCAGCTTGTTGGAATGTTTCAAGACTGTCATTGCTCTCTTATCCAAAACTTTTTTCCAATCTCATGTATCCAACAGCATTAAAGACCATTAAAGAATCATCAACAATGCAAAATTCCACAAAGTATCCATGCGATGGCTGCGGAAAGCTCTACGTTACCTTCAACGGCTTGTCAAGACATAAACAATTTCATTGTCATGCTTATTTTGGAAAACCTGAATTTGTATGCAAACAGTGTAAAAAGACTTATTCTTCGGCTGGAGCTTTGAAAATGCATATTAGGACTCACACTCTTCCATGTAAGTGCCCATTTTGCGAAAAAGCTTTCTCGAGACCCTGGCTTCTACAAGGTCATATTCGAACACACACTGGAGAAAAACCGTTTAGCTGTAATGAATGTGGCAGGGCTTTTGCAGATCGGTCAAATCTTAGAGCTCATGTAAAAACTCATTCAGTTGCTAAAGAATATGCCTGTTCATGCTTAAAGACTTTTTCCAGAATGTCTCTATTAACGAAGCATAAAAGGGGTAATTCGTGTCAGTGAAAATTTATACTCGCTATAATAAATAAATAAGAATATATATATATATATATTTGCATATATACTGTATAAATTATTTTATATATATAGTTTTATTAAACCCAGATTATGGAATTATTGTTTCATTGTTAAACTATCAAAAGATTATTTAGAATGTTCGAAAGAAAAAACCTTCCTTCGTCATCTTTCTAGTGAGATTTTCAGTCAATCATATATTTAATTACGATAATGATTAATATAACTAAAATTAATTAGTTGTATTAGGTATGAACATAATGTATACAAGCGTTAATCAACCTTTCTTTCCGGATAATTTGAATTTTGAAAAATTTTACTTAGTATTTTATTATAATTCCGCTATACCTTTTCTCTTGACAAGACCATATGCAATTTTTATTTGCTGCTTCTGTGATCTTGTAAGTGCTCCTGTATTAATGGGTGATTAGCTTATCCTCATCTGAAAGAAATGTGAATCTACCTTATTCAAATAATTAATCCACTTGTTTTGTAGAATATTCGAGAGACAAATGAAAAATTTATTAAATTTGGATGACATTCTCAAATATCTTTATTGTTATCGTAGCAAACTGACTAAATATAAACTTAATATTAAATCTTACTAAAAAAATAGTTCAATACTAATAATAGAATATTTAGTTAATCAATTTTACTTAAGTATTACTGTTTTATTATTAATATGGCTCTAGAGTGAGGATATCTAAATCTTTTGGCTATTACAATCCGTAACCAGATGGTTTTCTATTCATCCTCCATCCGCTAAGCATAGTGTTTTTTTACATTCGTCATTTGTCTAGATGAGAAATACCAGGAAACATAGAAAGAGTTCAATCATTGTTAAGGAAATTTGGAATAACCCAACCAAAGTTTTTAATATATTACGAAAATATGACCTATACATATACTATATATGTATATACTAAGCGTTTACTAGTAGGCAATACTTTCATATAATATAATAAGTTATTATTAGGAAAAGCCTGTTCCATGAGATCCGTATACCTTCAACTTGCATGTTTTCGTTGTTTTTTATTATAGTCAACACCGAAACAAGCGTTTACACATTTATATTCACAGTGGTGAATGAATTAGTTAAAATTTGTTTTATTATCATTCCAAGCCATTTTAAATAATAAATAGGAGGGATAAACTGAAAATACCAAAAGAAAAAAATGCGATATTAAGGAAAGTAGGATAGAGAATACCTGATCTCTTAACGTAGCTGGACTAAGCAATTTCATAGGAGAAACCGTTTGAAGATAGAGAGAGATAAGATGAATATTTTGTAATATAAGATTTAGAAAACTCATTATAAGACTTTATTGTTTTTAAACTGATTAGCGTCCATGAACTTTAAGGTCTTCTGCTTGTTTTTATTGTAATTGTTATTTATAACTGAATAATATAGCGATTCTATGCACACACGCTACATTCTTTATAAAGTTATTTTTGACTATGACTTCACGATAAGAAATGTATGAACAGTGGAATAGAGATATGATGTATACGAAAGGCAAAGTTTACAAATTTTGTATTTCTTTTAATACGAATTCAAAATAGAAATTAAGTTTTATTACAAATACTTTTACTTTGTTATAGAAAGATGTAAGACTTTTCTATGTTTTATTATAATTAGACATACTATTCTCGGAATGTTTCATAAAATCCAGCTGTTTAAACTTATCATTTAAATTTCAATGCTCATTCGAAATTTCTTGATCTGTTTTAACATAACACTTTCTCTTAGTTAGAATAACCTAAATACAGAATGTAAGGATTACGGGTCTTTGCATATTTTTTTTTAAAATAGACTGCATAGAGCAGCGTAGTTGATATAGTCTATGGTTAAAGAAAGCCAATACAAGTAACTAAAAAAAGTAATTTCACGCTGTTGACATAAATCCATGACGGAAATTGTCTTACATTCAAAAGTCTTTTTCGAGTGTTCCTTGATCTATTTATTGACACCTCTGCCATCTGGTGTCTTCGCATGCCTCATTTACAAAGATTGTTTCGACTATAATTAAATTTTTAAATTTACACTTTGTTCGATTGAATTCTATTCGAATAAATTTAATTATTCATAATGACGAATGAACGAAAGTTGAAGGAACCAATTGAAAGTGCTGTTAATAAGAATTCTATTAAATGGATTTAACCGATTCACTACGAACAATTTCCTTTTTCTTTGAAACGCATACAAAAAAATGTTCGAACAAAGTGAAATGAGATCGAATGGTAAAGAATACGGTTATATTAGGCAAAAATTCATCAATCTGCAACATATGTCGTCAGAAGCTTGTGTTTGTGACAAACCAGAATTTTTTATATAGATATAATTGGTCATAAGAGTCTCATATTTATCATCTATAATATTTTCGTTCCTCGAAATACAGAGAAGATATTCGGTTGCTGGAATATTTGCAGGTTATTGACCTTGACAATTAGAAAATTAAACTATACATATTTCAAGGGGAATTTTTTGCCTTCGAGACATGATGGTGTACTTTTTTGTTCTGTCAATGAAGTTGTGCAAACATTGTCAGCACTGCGTCGAATTAAATGCAATTTTTATGCGAGAAGAAAAAGAAAACCTATTTAGCATAGGATGCTCTTTTAGATTCCCAGTACAAAAAAAAACAGAAGATTCTAGTTTATGTTTATTTTAGATATCTTTTTTCTAGCGATCCTTATAAATTATTACTAAAGATACGAAAAATATATATATTCGTTAAGAATGGTAAGAAAGAAAGGCTTTTAGAATTGCAAAAAGGATCTTTTAATTTGCTTTATTACTCAAGTCTTACATTTCATGTATATTTAATTAGATTATTAGAAATGTGGCTGTTTCTTTCAGGGAGTTGTATTTTTGCTCTAAACTATTATTAATTACTGTTTGGGGAAGAAAATTTTTTAATTATTTTCGAATCTTTTCATTTAATTATATAAATCCGGTAATATATTAAAAAATTGTTTAAAATATGTAGTTTCATGGTGTAATATAAATAAAATTAGTTTTACGAAAGTAATGTTCAGAACCGGAACTCACGTGACGTCCTTTTGCGTTTGGTTATAGCGTGGTAAGTAGCATGTCTCAACAAAAAAATCACTCAAATATGCCAAATTTACGTCATTTTTCCGACAATTTTCTCATTCCTCTTTAAAGTTTAAGTAATTTATCGCAGTAATGAGAAAATGACCTCTAAAAAATATATAATAATGCAGATATTAACGACTCCATGTTAAACACGTGGAAGCCGATCGTCTTTTATGGTAGCCAATATACTCCCAAACTAGACCTTAAATATCATTTCACTGAGGGTGAAAAAACTTATATAATTGAATAATTAAGCGCCAGAGTTAATTCTAATAGAATTATAAAATTAAGAGAGCAAAACTAAGACTTCCTCTTTTCTACACAGGCATTTCTTTAAACCTAAGTAAGGCAATCTTTGATTCACAAAGATGGTCAAAGAAGACAAGTCCACTTGGAAGGCTAATTATTTTACCCGTATTATTCAACTCTTTGAAGAATTTCCAAAATGCTTTATCGTTGGAGCCGACAATGTCGGATCAAAACAGATGCAGTCCATTCGTACTAAACTCCGTGGAAAGGCTGTGGTTCTTATGGGAAAGAACACGATGATGAGAAAGGCTATCAGAGGACATTTGGAATCCAATCCTGCTTTGGAAAGGTTCGTAAGAGTAGTTTTAATGATTACAATACTATAGAGACAACTATATAATTAAGTGTATGATGATACCTCTCGCGTCTTAAATCATCTGCAGTGTCAGCGCCTGATAAAGGCAGAACCCACTGATGCTGTAATGATCAGATGATTAAAAATCCATGTTTCATGGAGTCTGATACTAGGCAGTTTATTAATGACTACTATTTATGTAAGCGGCTACTAATTGAAATTTTATTTTCAGACTCCTCCCTCACATCAAGGGAAATATCGGCTTCGTTTTCACTAATGAATCATTGCCTGATATTCGTGACATCATTTTGGAGCAGAAAGTAGCTGCCCCTGCAAGAGCAGGAGCACTTGCCCCAAAAGATGTATTTGTACCTGCACAAAACACAGGTCTTGGTCCAGAAAAAACATCTTTCTTTCAAGCTCTTCAAATCGCCACTAAGATCACCCGTGGTACCATTGAAATCTTGAACGAAGTTCATTTGATCAAATTAGATGAGAGAGTTGGTGCCAGCGAAGCTGCACTATTAAACATGTTGAACATTTCTCCCTTCTCTTATGGTTTGAAAATGCTCACAGTTTACGAAGAGGGTTCCATTTTCGATCCATCCATGTTAGACATCACGTCTGAGGAAATTATGAATAGATTCATGGGTGGTTTACAAAACGTTGCCGCATTATCTTTGGCTATCGACTATCCCACAATCGCCTCCGTTCCTCATTCAATCATCTACGGATTCAAGAATTTAATGGCTCTTGCAGCAGTAACTGACATAGAGTTTGAAGAAGCCAAAATGGTTTGTTTTATTTAGTATTTCTCATTATAGAAATGGAACTCTTGCGTACCAATATATTAGAGTCTTTACAACTCTGAATTTGAGTTCCACTTGGATTAGATGCCGCTGTAGGGCATATACAATTTGATGATGAAGCGTTTTTCCGTATTATCTATGAGGAAACACAAACGAATGTAGCGACAGGCTGTCTGATTTTAACTTAGATATTGAGTAAAAATTAAATTGTTTGCAACGCTAACGTTGACTTCTTTTTTACAGCTTAAAGAATATTTGGCCGATCCCTCGAAGTTTGTCGTAGCCGCAGCTCCAGCTGCTGCCTCAACTGAGGCTAAGAAAGAAGAGAAGGTTGAAGAAGAAGAAGAATCAGATGATGACGATATGGGATTGGACTTGTTTGGTTAGAGCTATACCGTTTTCAATTTGTATTCTTACTCTGAATACAGTTTTGCAATCCTTGATTGAAGAATTGTTGATATCAAATTGAATTAATACTCGGCGTGATGATTGCGTTACCGCCTTATACCCGCTTTAATTTAACATAAAATATTTCATACTGGTTGACTTACTGGTATTCGTACCGAAAAAAATTTACACCAACAGAATACGTCCTACATTTCTAAGTTTTTTCATATTGTAGCTATTTGTATATTGAGTGAATTAGAACTCTTCCAATTTTCCTATGATATAGTAGTCGACATGTATAAACTAAACACAGTAATAGTTCGGAATTTTTTCTTCAAAAAACTAACTATTGATGGAAGTATTTGAATAACTAATAAATATTATCCATCTGATTACGGAATATAAAAAAACTTACTTAGGCTCTGTAGCCCATATACGAAACTGAATCGAAGGCAGCCATTTTGTGTCGCAACAAAGAAACCTTATCCTCTTTGCTGCTTTCAGCAATCACAAGAGAGTCTCGTCTTGCAGACTATCTCGTTTTTTTTACATTTAAAGCTCACCATCAATGACTATACTCTGAATCTCCACTTTCTACTATGTATTGAAAGAGTAATAAATTCTCCTAACGAGAGCTGAAGTTTAATAATCCTATATAAGAAAAGGGTAACTGTATGCTAGGTGCAATAATAGTCGTCATAATTGGGAAAATGAGGTAAAATGGGAAATATGCTGACAGCATTTGCTCGTTGTTAGATTGTCGATAAAAGACTTTAAAAAAAAAAACGATAAAATGGTAGGATTGTTGATGAATAATATATAGAATGATACCAGAATAAATGGAAAGGATCCGTCAAAGAAAAGTGCGACCAGACGCTATTTATAGAAACTGACAATTTGTGTAGTTCTGCCACTAATACTGTAAAAAAGAAGTCGAGCAGCCTTCATTCATTATATTTGTCTGTAAAATGATGAATTTGAGAATGCATACATAATAAGTTTGTATGCAATGTGCGTTATTGACAATAAAATAACAAGTATCTTCCGTTTTTGATAATGTAGAGTACAGGTACAGACTTCTTCCTTGGGGCTAGAAGTCAAAGAACAACGATAGCAAAATGTATAGAAAAAACACCGGTCACCTCCGTTTACCTAACATCGTTGGAACGTCGAAAAGAATCTTTTTCTTGGCACCGACGAGAATCGAATTTTCGCGACGCATTAGCGCCGAGTAGGTTTTCGAAGACGTCTAGTGTTGAGAGAATAAAAAAGGAAAAAAAAGAGAAGAACGACGCACCAAGTCAATAGAAAATAGTTTTATCGATTGCCCAACCTAGGGTCATCTGTACATCCGCGCTGCTCAATCAGCGCACTGTCTACGAAATTCCCAAGAGATTTCGCCTCTACGAAAAACGCTACATACACTGTATATTCCTCACTACGCTTTGTTTATTTATAGCACACGCCATAACATGCAGCAGAATACGGCAATTTATAAAAGAAAAACAAAAATAACAGGTAGATATCGTTAATCTACAGCCTAATACTGTATTAGCTTAACATAATATATAAACTAAAACTGTTAAATTTTTTCGAGTATTATATAGTCTACTTAAAGAAAACAATAAAAAATAGAAGCAACTAAGTCGGAACTTTACTGCTGAGTAGGTCGTCAATAAACGCCGCTTCGGTGGGAAAGGAGTCGAAACGCGCTTCATGCGGCATTTGTGCTCTCATACTCATCGATTGACTCATGTATGTTCTCTGCCAATCTCTAGTCATGGCATTCGGTGGTCTTGCGAAACGCATTTGTGGCGTTGGATAGGGAGGAGCGCGCATTTTCTGATAATACGCGTGCCGCATTGCTTGATGTTGTTGCATAAAATATGCCTGCTGTTGTTGCTGATGTTGATGTTGTTGTTCGTAGACATGTTGCGGCGGCTGTTGTGGCTGCTGGGGTGATGTATACATTTGGTTTGTATGATGTCTGATAGCCATTTGCTGTTGCATGTGTATATTGCGACCTTGCAGGTGGACTTGTTGTGACGTCGACAAATGCGTATGCGAATGCGTCTGCATGTGTTGTATGTCTTGTTCTTGAGATAGATGAGGAGCAGTGGCTGCAACTGCCGTTGAATACGTTTGTTGAGGGGCTGCTGCGTAAGCCTGTTGGGCCTGCTGTTGTTGTTGCTGCTGCTGCTGCTGTTGCTGCTGCTGTTGATAATAATGAGGTGGTGGAGGAGCCGGGGGGGAAGAATGTTGGGAATAAGCTGGGTGATCGTGATGTGTCGGTGCCATCGGAGGCTCGTTGCAATGGTGTTGTGCCGCTAATTGTTTCAGCGTCTCAGCCGCCGGGCCTGGAGGAGGATTCGGTAACATTTGACCGGTGTCCGTCGACGTAGTTAACATCGTCTGATTGGCAGAACTATAAACGGGGGTTGGATTGGGTTCGAACGTTTGTTCGTGAGGGTAGGCAGGAGGTGGGGGACCGGATGATTCCGGATCCGGGTTAAAATCGTTTAGCAAATCTGGCGGTAACGATTTCATGAGTTCATGAAGTTCTTGCAGGTCCTCTAAGCCCTCGCAGATGTCGTAATTTTTTGGAGATTCAGAGGTAGGAGGAACTGGTGGAGCCGAAGCTGGTGAACCCGCTGGTGGAGCGTTCTCACCAGTGTGAATTGTTAACCGAGTTTCAATTGTATTCTTCTCTCCAGGGTTTATTTGCTGTACAACAGAGACGCTAACGGAGGAAGAAGCATTTGAAGATGGCACATTGGAAGACTTGACTTGAGGCTGTCCTGGAGTCGAGCTCTGATTATCTAATTTTCTTTTCAATTTCTGTTTCGGATGACGGATTTTAATGAAAGAACATGAATAAACGCGGGAAAATAAAAAATTACATTAAAATAAACAGCTCTTTGATCATTATTAGGCTCTTTCCTTGGTACGGGCTTTCTCTGAGCAGCAGCATTTCGTTGATCCACCCATTTAGTATGCAACGTAGACGTGTGATCCCGTTCTTGACTGTAGTGAGTCTTCGACCAATTATCGAATTGGTTATGTTTGGCTGTACCGTGTCTTCTATAGTCCTCAAGTCTTCTTTTTAAACGGTCGAGTGCTTCCGAAGAAGGTGCAACGTTAGGAGAAGCTGTAAGACCTGGATGATATTCGGTAGTGGCCATTTTTGGCCACTAAACGAAGGAAACAACTGCAAGACGCCGAGGGAAATGGCGTAGGTAAATACGCGAGACTGTGTCGCCCCCTGGTTGAACGGTTTTGCGGTGTTCTAGTTGTTTACAAGAAATGTAAAACTTTTTTTCTACTTAGATAAGAGAGATTGAATGAGGATTAAAAAAGTAACAGGATATTTTATGCTAATTCTTTACTTATGCATTGGTAATCGTTATTTATTTTAGACGAAGTATTGAAATTTAATACAACTGTTGAGCGATAATATAGTACGAAGGTTATCTTTGACTGAACAGTCTGGTTTAGATAATGCGTCTTGTGTTGAGGAGAACTGTTTTAATTGCCAGTAGGCTAAAATTCAAATTTAATCAAACTAACGTTCAGGTTGTTCAGCTAATTAGGAAATCCCATGTCCTTCGGCCCTTACGACTATCGTTCACCTTTTTGCCCTTCGCCTTCAGACGCGGTAAACACAATGAACGGTCTGACGAAATTATTGCAAATATTCCAAAAGAAGTATTCGCAAAAGAAACTATTAAGAAACGAATTGATAATATTTTCATAAAGATTTACGATTTCATTAAACTGTTTTGGAGAGGGATTAGGTTAAGTCTAACATTTGGTCCATTGTTGATAGTATATCCGGTTTTCTCATTAAGTGAATCTTTACAACATACTTGGTTAAAAATATTTCTTCGGGCCGTTGAAATTTCAGGACCAACTGTTATCAAATTCGGCCAATGGGCCAGCACTCGCCGCGACTTATTTTCCGATTTCTTTTGCGACCTCTTCTCGAAATTGCATGACGAATGTTACAAGCATTCGTGGAGAGCCACGAAAAGGAAGTTGCATTCGGCTTTTGGCCCCAAATGGCGGGAAATATTCATTCACGTGGAAAAAGTACCGGTGGGTTCCGGCTGTGTAGGTCAATGCCACAAGGCCTATATGAGAGCCAACATGATCCCTGACGAGGATATATTACATGATATCAACTTTGACTCCGAGTCAGATGAAGCTCAAATAGATTATGCTGATGGTTTGGAATTAATAGGTTTTGGAAGACGGGAGGATGACGATGATGACGAAGATAACGATGAAGGAGACGAGGATGTTAAACTCCGATCAAAAATTGATTTACTGAAGTCAAAATTAGGGGAAGATGAACCGGAACCAGTGATTATACCTGTTGCTGTTAAAGTGCTCCATCCAGGCATTTATGGAAGTGTTCAAAGAGATTTAAAAATAATCAGTTACTTTGCACGAATATGTCGAAAAATTATACCTAGTTTACAATGGATAGCAATAGAAGAGTGCGTTGAAGAATTCACAAAATTGATGACGAAACAGATTGATTTAAGGTTCGAGGCTAAATGCCTTGAAGAGTTTTCTCAAAACTTCGAGGACATTCCGTATATTCGATTTCCGCGAGTTATTCGACCATTTTGTAAAAGGAATGTAATGGTCGAAACCTTCGAGGTATGTATTAATTCTTCTATCAGAATATCTAGTATTATTTAATACATTTTCCCTTGGAAGGAAGGTGAACCGATTAGCAACTTTTTAAGTGATTCGATAGACTGTGATCTAAAAGAGGATTTAGCTAACTATGGAATAGAGGCTCTATTGAAAATGGTAAAAAAAAATTGAAGTTTTACCTGCTTTTAACGATTTTCTTTACTTCAATTGTTTTTTTTTTTTTTTTAGATTTTCATCGATAATTTTGTTCATGGTGACCTTCATCCAGGAAATATTCTAGTTCAGAACGCTGAAGCTTATTTGAGCAATAAACAAGCAAATAAGGTTATGTTAGTCGATATTGGGGACACTCTGGTAGCTGACGTAAAACCTGCTGCGACGCCTCTTAAATTGGTTCTTCTAGACGTTGGTATTACATCGTCTTTGGAAGAATACGATTTAGACAATTTTAAGGCTGTATTTACATCCATCATTCAAGGCGAAGTTTGTTTCCTTTTCTAAATAGATTTTAGATTTTTTTTTTTCGAATAACCGATCTATCATTTATTCAAAACAGGGTGAACACGTCGCTGACTTGATGCTGAAGCACGCACCGCATCATCAATGCAAGAACGAAAATGCATTCCGAAAAGAATTAGGAACTTTAGTTAATCAATTTAGAGAAAACTCATTAACTTTAACTAGAGTTAATGTTTCACTTTTATTAGGCCAAGTTTTTCAAATTTTAACGAAGCATAAAGTTAAACTGGAAAGTAATTTTGCTTCAATCATGATTGCTATGTTTATTGTGGAGGGTCTTGGTAGAAGTTTATACCCTGAAATCAACCTTATTGAAAAGGCCAAACCGTTCGTATTAGGACAAGTTGCAGCAGGAATTTGCCGCAAACTTAGTGAATAAACATGTTAGAACAAATGAAAGTTAATGTTTGTTCTTAATATTCCTTTTATTTGAAACCCATGAATGAACAATACACTTTTTGAATCGAATCTTTAAAGCATTTTACTGGAACTAATTCCGTACCAAAGACAGCTTATTGCAGAATAGGTGCAGAACTGCAACCGCCCCGCACCAATAAGCGAAAACGTGATTACTTGCTAAGAGACGAGGGCGGATTGGCCAGACGTTGCCTCAGAGTGCGCATGCGTAGTTTGCGAGTGTTTGTCTGTGAACGCAATGTTCGGTTTGGACTATGAAATCATTAAGGCTAATTAATGAAATGCCATGACTCGAAGAACGTTTCGGATAATCATCTTCTCCTTAACGTTTCTCAACATTATTTTCAGGTAAGTTTAAAAAATTATTCCAATAATCGAGTCTATCGACTAATTAAAGGTCGAAATCGACTGTCGATAGGCCTATCGACTCTAATGTACTTATCCCTTGTAATAAATTCAAAGTAACGATTCTTACCCTCGTCATAATCTCCTTCCGTATTGTTTTCCAGGCACGAAGTACTAGGCCTGCAATTGGATAATGTCTCAAAAACGATAGCCCATCTACTAGATGGTTACGACATTCGTTTAAGACCACAATTCGGAGGTTGGAAGATATATTGATTTAAATTACGGATAATAAACCGAACGCGCCAAGAGAAACCCGCAAAAAATTAATTGAAAATCGATACGTTTTTGTTACATATCTTTTTTCCCTTTGCCGTAGAAAAAGTAGGGAATTGTAGGGAAGACTAGCAATAATATCTCTTCTCGTCAAAATTTCCCTTTTTTTTTATACTTTTTGCTTTCATAATTAATAATTTATATATAGATTATCCGTCTACAGTAATTTTTAATCGGCTTTTTTCTAAACGTATTGAATAAGTTATGAAATACGGCGTAACGGATTATAAGAGCGAACCGATTTAGAATATTTGCTTTCCGAATGCAGCCAATATTTCGTGTGGAAAGTAACAATCTGTTTCTATTCCGCGTTTAGGTAGCCCTTTGCATATTGGCATGGAACTATCGTTGGCAAGTTTCGATAGCATTTCCGAAGTGAATATGGTGAGTAGAAAGATTGCATTTGTGAATATCGATTCGTCAGAAATGGAATGCAGCCATCAATCAAGCGCGTATTGTTGTCAGTTTTATTTCTTTCCGACGTCGCCGCGTGATATAATCAACTGAGCCTGGCAAATGCAATGTGGCATGAGAGACGTTGTGGCCTTTTAGGCAATTAACTCAATTTCTCTATCGTTTTTTTGTAGGACTACACCATAACGATTTACTTGAATCAGTACTGGAAGGATGACAGATTGGCTTTCTCTAATAATGATTCAGATTGTATGACTTTAACTGGGGATTTCTCTGAGAAGATTTGGGTTCCCGACACGTTTTTCGCCAACGATAAAAAATCTTTTCTGCACGACGTTACTGAAAAAAATAAGATGGTGAGGCTTCACGGGAATGGTTCCATAGCTTATGGTATGAGGTTTACGACCACTCTGGCCTGTATGATGGATTTACATTACTATCCATTGGATGTTCAAAACTGCACGGTCGAAATTGAAAGTTACGGATATCCTATGCAAGATGTTGTCATGGTTTGGCATAATAAAGGAAGTATTGAAGGCGTCGATAAAGTAGAAATTCCTCAATTTACAGTCGTAAAACACCGTACAATATCGACCGTTGAAGAACTTAATACTGGTAAGTATTTGCGTTTGATGAACTAACTATTTATGCAAAAGATAATTAAGATAATTGGGTCAATTGATCGACAGGTACTTATCAAAGGTTGTCGCTCAGCTTCCTGCTTCAAAGAAATATTGGTTATTTCATTTTCCAAACCTATCTTCCGTCTATACTCATTGTTATGTTGTCTTGGGTCTCCTTTTGGATTAATCATGAGGCAACTAGTGCTAGGGTAGCTCTAGGTAACATTCATCCTTGATAATTAATACTATTACTATTTAATTAACCCATTTTCCGGTTAGGTATAACAACTGTGCTTACAATGACTACAATCAGTACGGGTACAAGATCGTCCTTGCCTCGTATTTCTTATGTGAAGGCCATCGACATTTACCTAGTTATGTGTTTCGTTTTCGTGTTTGCCGCTCTACTCGAATATGCAGCAGTCAATTATACCTATTGGGGGGCTAGAGCTAAAAGAAAGGCAAAAAGACTTAAAGAGCAAAAACTACAAAACAACGAAATAAATAATGCTGATTACGATCAGGTAGGTTAAAATAATATTATAATCGGAAATTTCTGAATTAGAATAATAAAAGCAGCAGCACGAAACGATCGAATTGCAGCAAGTTAGAATGTCGCCTATACTTAGCCTGAGAAATAGGCAAACTTTCAATTACGAGTCAGCAGAAACTAGCCGTATGCCTCCTTCTCTACGAATGGCATATCCTAGACCCACCTTTTCAATGAGAGGTGGACATACTCAACTTAGGCGGCGGGGACAAAAAGATACACAAAAGAAGAAGAAGGTATTGAACACGTTGAAGAAACGAGCCAAGGAACTTCGACAGAAGATGCCAAGTGTTAAGGACGTGAACAAAATAGACAAGTACTCTAGACTGGCTTTTCCCTCACTATTCCTCGTTTTCAACGTCTGTTACTGGTGTTTCTACTTACTACAGTAACATCCTCATAATCATTATTTGACAGAATCGTAGTAAGAAAAACAGGAAACAATTTTCTCATTTATTACAATACAATCATTTAGTTTCTTCTAAATTGTCCGCTTTTTCTTCCTCCTTCATTAAATTGCCTAGCATAATGGAAGCGAATAGCAGAAGGCCGAGTGACTTGTTGGAGCGAAATTTCGCTGCACAATCATCATTAACGTCTAGCCGAACAGTACCTATCTGAGAGGGAATAATTGCACTTGGCTTTTCATTCGTCTTCCGTTAAATTATTCACTTACTTGCCATGCCAAATGAGCGCCTACGGCGCAGACCCCTGCAAAATACGGCCACGTCTGATTGCACACGACTCCAGTCGCTACTAAGCCACTAATCATCACCCCTGCAAACCCTGTTAGCCAGATCTTCGACTTATCCCCGAATAATAAGGCCGTAGATTTGACACCAATTAAAGCATCATCTTCTTTATCCTATTTATATTTATACAAAAGAAATAGAAATTTTAGACATTTGATAATTGTCATTAATTTAAGAGAAATGATAAGGGGGATGTTGCGTGGGTGAAAACACCCCCGCTATTACTCCCAAAAATGGCGCCAATTTGTAAAAGCAAAATGAAATGAAACCTGATGGGCGTAAATTGTATCATAAAGAATTGTCCAGGAAAATCCTGCAAAGTATAAAGGCAAAACAGCTGACCAAAGGCAAGTTCCGTGGGTTGCTGACCATCCCATCATGCATCCCCAATTGAAAGTAACTCCTGCGGAAATTAAAGAGAAATTTTCATGTCTGATTATTTTTGACTTTCTTATACGGAAATTTTTTAGCTGAAGTATTAGTTTTTATTTTCTTTTAAAAAAAGTTTAATTATAGGCGCCATCTTTGGTTCTCTATCGATCTGACCTGATGCGCATAAACTGAGTCGTAAAACATCGTCCACAGAATACTGCTCGTGTAAAGGAGAATGGCGGGAGATGTTAGTGAAGCGTGTATGGCGCTCCAAGATATCAGTACGCCCAGGTTTAGAGTACAGCCTGTAAATTGTATATATTACGCTAATGAACTTTTTTAAACGCTCCTGCTTTCTAACACTAAAATTTAAACAAACGAAAAGAGTAAGATATCGATACTATATACGACGATTATTATTTAATAATTCTCTCAATGATTTCCTACCTAACACGGCCTGAGGCCAGTAGGTAAACCGTTTCGCCAAGGGGTATAGAATAACAGGAACCATTGCTAGAAATCCCAATTTAATTCTGTAAACAATAAAAATCTTTTATAAAAAGGAAAGAAAGAATAGATAAATAAATTAAAAACTTACGTATACAAGTTAAAGGAAAGTAATATTGCTAGTGCAGCGCTGAGGTTTAGGCCTAGAAAGCAAAGAGCTTGGAAAGACGACAAATCTCCACTTGCCAAAGGTCTACTTTTAGTGCGAGCTACCTGCAAGGCATTTTAAGGTCATGATCCTATTAGATGCAGAACTTTAAAAAAGAAACAGCTGCCGAATATTTTCATTTCTACCTGCCTATCGAAGTCCCTATCCCAAAGATCATTTACTATGCAACCAGATGATCTCATCAAAAAAGAACCCAATCCGAATACGCCCAGCATGTATAAACTAGGCAGCGAGCCTGCCGGTGTTGAGAGAGCAATTGCCCAGGTGCATGGCAGGAATAACAGCCAAGTTCCGATAGGTTTATCGAATCTTATTAGATTCAAATACGGCTGATATGCTGGTGGACATGATTTCACCAATGAGCTTAGAGATAATGATGACAAAGTCCTTTTCTTGTAGTCAACAAAAGTTAATTTTTCCTGTTTGTCTAGTTGAAGACGATTTATGGTCACTGATTGTATTGTACCCAAGTTGAAGAATGTTGCAGGATGGGAGGCAGGTAGACTCCTGGCACAAGGTCTAAGTAATGAAGTGCCTGCTCTGAACAATAAACCTGTAGCCATATTTTTCTAGTAGCTGAAATAGAAACGTAGTCCTTCTTTATATTACTTAATTAAACGGAAAATTGGTGTATATTTCGGGAATAGGTGAGAAATAATAAATATTAATGTGAAATGATTCGCTAGGTTCGCATCTAATCGAAAGATGTTATCTGCCCTTTAAAAATATATGCATTAACCTTTAAATACCCAAATAGTTAAAGCAGATTCCCAGTTTATTCGAAGAAACTGCCGCAAATAAAATGACCTTGAAAATTGACCTTAGTTAGGAAAACGGAAGTTCATAAAAAAAAAATATTTTTTAAAAGATTTTCTAAATCAAAATCTTAAAAATAAGTAGAATAATATTTTTTTTATAAAAAGCAAATATAAAATTTCTTTCATTTTGACATTGAATAAAACTTGCGTAAGCCAGGTTTCCCGGATAAACATGGCGGATGCTAGACGTGACACCGATCTTGAGAAAAGAATTACTGAACAGGGTAATTTAGTAAGAAAATTAAAAGGAGAAAAAGCACCAATTGAACAAGTATGTTATGATCTTTAATTGAGTTTGAGTATTTTTTCAATAAATCACCTACTATCTGTATAAATGGCTAACCTTTTGAAACCATGCGGCATATTGCATCATTCTCTTATAGACATATACTCTAACTATGTTGTCAAAAATCAAGTTTAAAGAGTTATCGAATTACTGAAATTGAATTTAACATTTGTACGAAATGAAATCAGATCAGTATGCTCTTCTTTGCTGTCCAATATTTAAAATTACTTTTACAGGCCATAGCGTAATTTCATTATGAGACTTTGATAAATGCTAAAAAAGCCGTACACGGACATCAGATCAGTTAGAGTACGTCTCTTTCAATTGAACCTATCACTCATAGCCGCATTTGTTGAAAGAGATACGATCAGTAATCCAAGAAATGTTCCTTATAACCATTGAACTTTGAATTTTGAGTGTGTGTGTGAGTGTATGGATGAAATGAAAAAAAAAGAATTGTTCCACTTATCATGAACATCCTCAGTAGTAGTTTTTAAGCTAGATTAAAGATATATTAAATAGTAGATAACATTGCTAGTCAATTGTATCTTAATTTTAAAAGAAAAGAGTTATTAACTCTGGAGCAGGTGCTAGTTTTATAATTAATAAGATAAATAGAAAAAATGTTAAATAATTACTTTTTGTATTCTGTATACACATGAAGAGTAAATATTAATGTTTTTCATAACTTCAATTTGTCGGTTGTGGCATCAGGCATATGTTTAATTTCAATTTAAACCGCTTCCTTTAAAAATTTACAGCGATGCCATCTCTCGACAACGTATGTTATTTGAGATAAAAACCAATTTTAAATAAGTCTATATATAGAATTTAGAAATTTTGTATTCTTTACGATTATTCTTTATCTGTGATTTGTTAATAAAAGTCGTCGCTTATTTAAAATTATCTTATTTATTTAAGAAATTTGCTATCTTTGTAAGCGATACGGAATTGTTTACATGAAGCTCACTTTCTTTTCGCAAGTGAAGCCAATAAGTGACTTGTAATCGTTTTTATCTGAAATAAAATATGTCAAACTCGTGTTTTACTAGGTTAACGTATGAGCATGACGCAACTTTAAATCAGTCGAAAGACCTATATAATATAATGCTCATGCTATAGAAATGATATCGAGCGCCACCATGTGCTTGTCAGAATGGATGATGAAATCTTAAATGCGATAAAAAGTCGTTGCGTTTTCTACTATCTTCATTCTTTTGATCGAACTCGAACAGAGATACTGTCATTTTGCTAATAGTGCTCAATTTTGAGGAAAAGTTTTTAACAAATTCTTAGAATTAATTAACATACGGACTATAAAACGTGGAGTAGAAGTGTTCGTTTTCACTTAGTTGGATAGCGATGGCGCCGGTTGTAGATCTGCGAAATTCTTGTTTTGAGAATATTCAGAAAGAAAAATATGAATATATCGCCCAATATGATGCCATTTTCAACCAACAATATAATTTATATAGAGAACTAGTCAAAATAGGAGAAGGTATTCAACTACTTCGTGTTCAAAAACCGTGTGGTTTCAAACAAAAGGTTCGACATTTTTACTGGAGTAGCAGAAAAAAATTTTGCATTGTCTTTAAAAAAATTGCTTATTTTTCTTTCCATTTAGTTATTTTTCTCTTACAGACTTTACAAATATGATTAGTATCGTACGTAGTGTTCGTTTCTTCTCTAGACGAACTATCCCTCAGGTGAGAATCGAAAAATGGACAATGCAAAAGTTTTTTCTCAATTTTTATTTATTTATTTATACTGTATATCTATTATCTTAGTAATTCGTCATTTATGTTTAAAAATTGAACATGTAATTAATTGTTTCTATTGTGTTTTTAATAGATCAATGAGGAAGTTCAAAAGCTCTTGAAACTTAAGTCGGAGTTGCAAGAAAGAGAAGGACCTAAAAAATTCGTCCTTAAAACTGGCAAAGTAAATATTTTGATATATAAAATCAAACAAAAAAATATAATTGAACTACAAAAAAAAAAAAAAAGTGAATTTGATTAAAAAAGAATCTACATCGATTTCGTTTATATATTTCTTTCGTTTTTGCAAATAGGGTACCCGTGATTACAGCCCGAAGGACATGGCGTTGAGGGAAAAAGTCTTTCAAGTTATTGTTTCCACTTTCAAACGCCATGGGGCTGAAACCATAGACACTCCTGTGTTCGAATTAAAAGATACTCTAACCGGAAAATATGGAGAAGATTCAAAATTAATATACGATTTAGCCGATCAGGGAGGAGAAATATTATCTCTTCGTTATGACTTAACTGTGCCTTTTGCCCGATACGTGGCTATGAATAAAATTGATAATATAAAAAGGTGAGTGATAAACCATGCAAACCAGTGTTTTTCTGACCATGAACTTGTTTCTTATAAAGATATCATATTGCCAAGGTCTACCGAAGGGACAATCCAGCTATGACCAGGGGGCGGTATCGAGAATTTTATCAATGCGTAAGCGAACAAAAAAACAACATTAAACACTGTTTAAACTTGTTTTTATTTCAGGATTTCGATATCGCTGGTCAATTTGATCCTATGGTTCCTGATGCGGAATGTTTAAGAATTGTCCATGAGATATTGGGTGGCCTTGATGTTGGTCCTTATATTGTGAAAGTAAACCATAGAAAAATTTTAGATGGTATATTTGCCACCTGCGGAGTACCCGAGGATAAATTTAGGCCCATTTGTTCAGCTGTTGATAAGCTAGATAAGGTATTTTACATTTTTACTTTTAAAAACCCTTTAATGTTAAAACTTTTATAATTTCGATTTCAGACGTTCTGGGAAGATGTACGTTTGGAAATGGTCGAAGAAAAAGGTCTTGATCCCCAAGTTGCCGATCTTATTGGTGAATACGTTTCTCTAAAAGGAGGTGCAGATCTTATCTCAAAACTAGAAGCGGACGAGCGTCTCATGGGAGATAAAAGAACGGTTGAGGGTCTAAAAGATATGAAATTATTATTGAAATATTGCCAACTATTTGGCATGGAGGATCGTGTTTCTTTCGATTTGAGCTTAGCTAGGGGGCTTGATTATTATACTGGCGTTATTTATGAAGCTGTCTTGTTGGGTACAAAAGTTAATGAATCTTCTGACAGCGAAGTTGTTGGTGTTGGTAGCGTATGCGGAGGCGGTCGATACGATAATCTTGTAGGAATGTTTGCTGCTAAGCAAAAAACTGTTCCTTGTGTAGGATTGTCGATTGGAGTTGAGAGAATTTTCTCTATATTAGAGGCCAAGGCAAAAAGGGAGAAGTTGAGTGTTCGAACAACTGAAACTGAGGTATTTGTTGCTGCTGCCCAAAAGAATTTATTAGATCAGCGAATGGAACTATGCACTTTATTATGGGATGCTGATATTAAAACTGAGCAATCTTACAAGAAGAATCCGAAATTATTAAATCAATTTCAATACTGTGAAGAAAATGGAATTCCACTTTGTGTAATTATCGGACAGTCAGAGTTAGAGCAGAAAATTGTTAAGTTGCGAAACGTTTCGACCAGGGAGGAGGTCTGTAACATCCGATTTTTTAATCTATATTTAGCTTAAATCTGTGTCTTTTCACAGCGTGCAGTCCCAAGAGAAAACATGATTGAAGAAATTAGGAAAGAACTATCGACCTGTTTACAAAAATAACAATTGGAATTCTTTAGGTTTATTCGCTACATTTTCAAAAAGTTGATTAAATTATTTATTTTGTTATATGTCACTACCAATAAAAGCTTCAAGCTAAGATTTTAATTGACAAATTATGTATTTTGTTTAAACCCACGCAAATTACAATTCAGATTATAATTCTTCATTTTCTAAATCGCAATGAAAGTTCAACGACAGCCTCTATTCTCGGTTTAAGTCAACTATTGTTATAAAAGGGAAATCAGTGCAAAAAATAAACGAAGTTTGAAAGTACAAATCTTAAGTGTACAGCCACACTTTTTTGCTCTGTTTACAGCGCACTCTTTTCACCAGTCTTTAAATGATTAATGAACTTTAAATCCCCTGCTTTGAATAATAAAGGGAGTAATCAAGTATTAATTATAGTAAACATGACACTGCCCTGGCTGATAGGATCAAGCTATCTACGAAATATGAACTTGAAGAAGTACATTACTAATAGGCATTTTGTAAATATAAAAGTAAACAACCAATTTTCTAAAGATTCTAGGAAGACAAACGTGTTAAAACGTGTAGTTGATATGGAAATTTATTAGTTGCCCTTTTTACCTAAGCTCCGTTCAGAGTTGTTTACTACAAGATCATTCGGGATACACGTGATTCGATCTTTAGCCTTGTCGCTGATTCGTCTGGCCATTTTTTAATGCGTTTGAATTCGGCTATGGATACCGGTAAAGCTATAGCTTCTGCTTTAGTTTTCGCCGCCCTTATAGTAGCGTCTATTGATGGGAGAAAAACTAAATCCTTAGCTAAAAGTAAGTAACTTGTTTGATCCTATTTATCTAATTTATCATTTATCTTCTTTCGTTTTTTCTTTTCCGATAATCTTTCAACTTCTTTCTCTTGGTACAAAAAAGTTCGACCTAGGAATGACCGCAGGGGCAATTGTGGCATAAGATTATTTAATGAGATCTTCGACCATAGTCATTCGACTTCAAAACTGGTATGTACTTGTAGTAAAAATAAAGGAAAATAACTCTAAAAATAGATTATCAACTTTATTTTTCCGAAGAACACAGCTTATTTGCATATTATTTTTAATTCGTAAATAGGTAAACAACTGGCTTACGACAACGAAATCGTGCACTACTAAAAAAGCATCGCAGCTTTCCAGCTGGAAAGGACCATGCATGCATTCACACATGAAAAAAAGACTGAAGAATATCATATTTGAATGCGCAACAAAACAGAAACGCTTATGCAAAGCTTTTGAAAATGACGTGAAGTTAGTTGGTCGTATTGTGCACTCGAGGTAAACAACAATTTTTCGGGAGAAAAATTTCCATACGATAATTTAATATTGAATAACAATTTACGATATTTCTTATTTTTCTTTTTACATAACAGCAAATGGTTCGCTGTACTCCGGCACGCAACAGAGAAACTTCATTGTCGAAGATTGAGTACGGATAATTGGGCAACTTTTGTGAAAGATAATTTTGCTAACACTAAATTTTTTTGGTGAATTGTTATGCATTTCATTCTCTCTCTCTCTCTTTTTTTTTTGTTTGCTCTATTTATTACCTATTTTAGTATTTTGTAAAACAAGCAAAAAAGAAAAAATTAAAACATAAAAAAAAGAAAATAAAACAAAACGGCAATTTTAATCCGTTCTGAAATAAAATCTATATACCTTGACCTATTATTTTTTTTTCACTTAACAAAGCATTTTCTGAATTAGATACTGTATATAACAACAAAATTCCTATTAAACTAATCCTAATGCAGAACGGTCATGCAGGAATACTATTGTATCACTATATGAATCATACCTAAAATCAACAATTCATTGTGCTTCAAGTTTGCATGTCACTTCTGAAAAAAACGAAGTATCTTATATATATATATATATATCCTTATATATATAATATATATACCACATAGATAGAACTACAAATATAATCCAGGTCTTATGAAAGTTGACACCTTAAAATTTTAATAATAATACAAAATAATTCTTCATGCATATCCAATATCTACTGATAACTAAGTTCTTTTAGTTTAATCTATGATTTTGATAGGTTTGTAACCACTGCGAAATAGATTAGATAGATAAAATCCATCTCAAATTGTTTTTATAGTTTACAGTATGTAAAATTTCTAACTTTCTTAAGATATCTCTGGAATTTCGTTCTCTTTTTTTATTATAGAAAAAAGCTTCTCAACAGTTTTTAAGAAGGATTAATTCTGTAACAAAAAAGACGTTCTTATTTTATATATTTATATAAATTTATATGTATATATAATTATTAGCGTCGTCTGCTATCGAATACTTTTGTTTTCTTTTCTTCGAATAATTAAGAAGCATTAGTTTCTACGAAAACTACTTTTTGTTTTTTTTAATCCTAACAACTTTGATAATAAAATATTCTTTGAAAGTCAAAATATTTTATCATAACAAAAATAAAAAGTAATAGATAAGTATGGAATTCTTTTTGAATATTACGCTAGAATATGCTAATTATATCTAGGTATATCTATACTTATATAGATATATTAGGGATGCAACTTTCATAAGTTTACCTGAAAGAAATATGTACAAAATATAGAAGGGTAGAAGGAAAACATTCAATTATTTTTGTTTGAAATGTACATTAGAGAAAAGGGAAAGAAGAATAAGGGTGTGAGGAGTGGGGGGGGGGGGGGGGCTTGAAGAGATTCACTATCTTTTTCTAAGAAAAATAGATATAAATGTGTTCGCCTACACATTTGTATTGCTTGATCGAACGTGAACTTCCAACTTTTCAGTTTCTCTCCCATAATAATGAAACAAAACGGCATCGTGTACAGTATTAAATACCAGATGTCGCCAGTCATCCCATAGAGATTCAACAGTTCGCAGCATGTTTCTAGTCGGACCTTGTAAACATATGATCATATTTGTTACAATTAAAAAATACATATTAATCATAATCAAACGTACTTGTGCAACAAGCCAACAAAACGGTTATATCGACGGCTTTGTAATCATTCATTAACTAAACGAAAATGAATCGGATATGTAAATGTGTTTTATTGTCTTAAGTGGTTTTTCTGTTCTAATGAAATAGGTTACTTACATTTAGGAGACAATGAAGACCGGCAGAATCCATGTGTGCAATTGCGGAACAATCGAAAATAATTGTTTTTAAGCTATTTCTGTGCAGTGCATCCGCCTCTGATAAACCATTCTCAGCTAGTTCCGCTGTGATAGAATCCTTCGAAAATCCTGATTAATTACCAACATAGAATTAATGTTGATTTATTACCTGTTTATCATCCGTAGTTGACGCTGTCGGTTTCCTTAATACTTCTTTCTTCTTTTTTTCCGGGTTTATTCCAGATAAATGATAAACTCTACTTTTAAATGGTTGGCTGCTTATATGATTTAACGGATTCTCTAATTTCAATATCTTTAATCCTGGAAGTTCTTCTACAGTTTTTGTATCATTAAAATCTGTATACAATTCCGAGCCAGGAACAACTCCCAAAATTCGAACTTTTGAATAATGAGACCGAAATGCGACTGTTAGTAGGGAGAACATGACTCCTAAACCTAAACCAATGTCCACGTCCAAGATAACGACTCCGACAAAGGCCACAATCCAAACCAACTATTCGTTGAGTATGTGGAAATAAGAGTAAAAAAAAGAAAAATTAATTTCACGAAAGAATAGAAAAAAAAAGACTATAGATTGAAAAACGGAAATGGCAAGGATTAATAAAAATAAAACAAATTACAAAGTCGTATTTGCAGGTCTTCCACAGAGGCTTTAGTTCTTTAAATTGACTGAATAGGCTCTTGATAGCAACGACTATGATGGATGCGAGAACACACTTGATAGAAAGAAATAAAAGGTAAATTTGAAAGACATAAACATAATTAATTTTTGTTATTAATTAATAAACGATTAGTATTCGAATATATCATTGCATACTTTTGGTAATGGCTGAAAAAGTGGACCAGCGGCTAGTAGGACTATTAGAATTAATGCACACGAGAACAAACCAGCAAGCTATAAGGATGTGTATTAATATTTTAGTATATCTTTGTTGACTTATTAATGACTATTATGTATGGTTCACCTGTGTCTTTCCACCCACTGATTCTTGAACACTACTCCTCGACAAGGAAGCGCAGCAAGCATAGCAATTAAAGAAGGAAGATATCGTATTACTCCAACCTAATGCTAGAAGTTCCTGTTAACGAATTGGAGCTTAAAGGTATACACGAATAAAAACAGAAAGAAAAGTAGCTAAAAATAAGGGAATTTGATTACTCTCATAGTTAAAATAAAACATTGGAGCGACAGTGACAGAGAGTAAGAGAAAAGCTCATTAGGAATGCCGGTCTTTGTATTCGATCTACAGCGACGTCATTCTTAAGGCGTCTAAATATCGATCAACGTCTCCGTTGTCTTCGCAGTAAACAATTTCCTACTCACTTGATTCGGATCAACGTTGTAATCATGACGCTGGGCGAATATCTTTGCCAGAGATAAAGTTATAGTAAAGGAGATAACGGATAATGTAAATGCATCTGCTATAAGATGAGGAATAAATGATGCTTTGGGTAAGGTCGGGGTACTGAAACCAGCTGGAATTTTTCCCACAGTAGTCACAGAGTATTTACTTGGAAGACCACCATAGTGCGATGCAAGAGTAGCAATAATTACCTGCAAAAAAACATAAAAAAGGAGAAATAACAAAGTACTTTATGAGAAGAGAATATGTAATTAAGCGAATATATTCGATTCTCAATTCTTTACCAGTAGTAACTCTATAGGAAATGGCATTCGTAATTTAGCTTTAAACTTGGGGTTAATGACTTCTTTAAATATGGTAAGGATAACAATGCAAATAATTGAGATAATTATGGCGCAGATGTTTGTTTCTGGAATTTTCTTTATAATGTCAATGTAAGTCTGAAGTGGACAAAAGGGAAAGAAAAAAAAAGTTATTTTACATGGTTGAATGGTAGCGCTTACTCACGTAGATAATGTTCAAGGAACCGGAATGCCGAGGAATTCGAATGTCAAATAGAAACTTGACTTGACTCGTTAAAACGTGAACTGCTGCTCCTGTTGTAAATCCGCTGACCAAGGCCGGAGAGAGGAGAACGGTTACACCGCCCAAGCGAAGGAAACTCATTATTATCTGTTGACAAAAGTGAATAAGCAAAAAATGGTTCTAAAGAATAATTAAAGCGCGTGACGGGATAAATTTATCAGTTTTGGTCATTCAACCTGAAAAATTCCGGCCATCAATGTCATAGCAACAGCAATTTGTATTTTATACTGCATTTCTGAATCCTCTAAAGAGGTACTTGTTGTATTAATTGGTGGTTGAAAACGTTCAGCAAGATCTCTTTCAACAATAGATCCTATAAGAAGTGAAGGAATGGAAGCAGTTCCTATCGCGATGTGTTTTGAAGTTCCAAAAAAAAAGTAAACAATGATTGGAAAGAATGAAACATAGAGTCCATATACTGGACCAAGTGATGCAAGAAAAGCATACGCCATTCCTGTGATGGGAGAAAAAAAAGCAGAAAAAATATATAAATGATTATAAACAGCCAACTAAATGAAGGCGTATAATAGATGCCTCACGCAAGAGGAAACGACGCACAGGCGTTTCGTGCTCGTAAACCGTTTCGGTTTTCTAGGCCTGCGAATAGCCTGATAAGGAACCGTTTTTTGTATTGTAAGAGATTTTATAGAAGAAAATGAGATGATACTTAAAACTTAATACAAACCCTGTGGTATATTCATAATTCCAACAGTTAAACCGGAAGCAACATCACCGACTAAATCTTCCCTTAAACTGTACTGTCCAAAAATACCAATAAACGGGAAAGTACTCAGAATTTTTTTCTTCCACCACTTCGCCGTTATAACTTCTTGAGATTTTTCCTTGATCTTATGAATTCGATTAATAAATTGTTCTTTCGAATTTTTTTCATGAGGAGCATCGCTAACACACAAAGGACGTCTAATAACTGCTCTACTTATGTCTATTTCGGGTTGAATCATTTTTCCACTAGTTAAATTTATTTGTTAAAATATTCTCTATTGAGCGATAATGAGATATATTATACTATTAATTCAACTTTGATTCACATACGATCCATAATACAAGAAGTTTTTGAAGAAAACTCATTAAATTCCAAAAATATTTACAAATTATGTGTAATTTAAAATATCCGCTACTGACCAAACCCTCTACAACAGATAGACTACAATCCGTAACGTTGCAAGATGTTCGACAATCTGGCGCGCTGCATCAAACGCTTGTTTCCCCCCCTACTTATTAATATTCATAAGGTCATCTAATGCTATTTTCATTGTTTAAGAATTAAAACTATTCGTTTAGAATCTGAAATACTTCCTAACGATTATATAATGTGTTGAATTTACTTTTAAATAATTCATTCAGTGTTTATTGTTTCACTTGGAACTGTTTTGACGAGAGCTGATCACGTGCTTGTTAATTTTATTAAAACATTTATCCAAAACGCATCTGTTCATTTTTAGGCCTTAGATGATTCAACTTTAAACAACTACGGTTGGACAAACAATACTACTTTTTTACCGATTAATACCAATTGGTGTCATTTTATACAAACTGCAACAAGCTATACTACATCTAAAAAAAACTTGACGCAAGAGACGCGTTTCCATAGCTACAACGCGTGCGGATTTTAGAATCGGTTGAACTTTCTTCCCGATTAAACATATTTTTATAATTTTTTTTTTATTAAACCCAATACATATTACCCATGTAATTCATACTAAAATTATGAGGGCTATACGGGTATTGTCAGAGATCAAAAGAAAGATAAATGTTATATCTAGAATTTCATTTTTTTTGTATGCTATTTTTTTAAATGTAAAATATCGTAAATCGAATTGGAAAACATTAAAAAGAAAAAATCTGAAGGTGCAGTTTTAAGCATCTTCAAGATGCGCTCTTTGATTCCTACCAGCGCCATCTGGTGTTAATTACTAAAATTACGACAAATATGATGTGTACATTTTGGATTCGATTTGTAATATGTTCCAAACAAAATATAGTGCTGTTTAAAACAGTTCATATTTTAATTAGCTCTGCAAACGCTAAACACCCTAAAAAGGGAATAAAGTTCATCTAAAACTATTAATCTTTCTAAGAATCAGATTTGCTTCGGATCTGTTGAAGTAAACCGTCGCAAGTTTTCTTCGCATCTCCAAGTAACATAGATGTATTTTCTTTAAAGAAAATTGGATTATCAACCGCTGCATAGCCAACGCCAAGTGTACGTTTCATGACGACAACCTGTTGTTAATTTGTTAAAATTCAGTATTTCCACCTTACAGAATTTCAATTAACTAACCTGTTTACTCAACCAAACTCGAATAACTGGCATACCAGCAATAATAGAATTGGGATCTTCCTCGGCAGCCGAATTAACGGTGTCATTAGCTCCAATTACAAGTGTCAAGTCAACTTCAGGCATGTCGTCATTAATTTCCTCCATTTCATGAACTATATCATAAGGCACACCAGCCTCTGCCAACAGCACGTTCAATTGTCCTGGCATTCTACCAGCGACAGGATGTATACCAAAACGAACAGTCTTTCCTCTCTTTCGAAGAGCATCAACCATTTCAGCAATGGGATATTGAGCCTTAGCTACACAAAGACCATAACCGGGAACAATCATTATATTTTGAGCTTCATCAATAAGATCAACAGTCTGATCAATGTTTATTTCCGAGTGAGTTCCAGTTATTTCCATAGCTTTTCCACCGGCATAGGAGCTTGTTCCGTAACCACCTAAAATAACATTTGGAAGAGAACGGTTCATAGCCTTGCACATGATATAGGATAGAATTGCACCGGATGAGCCAATTAAAGCTCCAACGACTGTCATCAAACTATTGTTCAACATAAAACCTTCGGCACACAAAGCCCATCCAGAATAGGAATTAAGGACAGTGATGACAACTGGCATATCAGCTCCGCCGATTGCTGATGTGAGAGTAACACCCATAACGCTTGATAGACCGGCAGTTGCTAGTAGCATGCCCATACCACTTCCGAATGTGTCGTTTGCCAAGAAATAACCCATGGCACCAATATTAGTAGCCATTAGGGCTGCATTCATGGCGTGTCTACCGGGAAGGAGTAGAGGATCGGATTTAAGCAATCCTTGAAGCTTTCCAAAAGCGATTAGAGAACCAGTGAATGTTACTCCTCCAATGTAAGTTCCCAAAAACATAACCGTCTTCAACATGTTTAAGGCTGGATTGTCAGCTAAATGTGGAAATTCTACCATAAAATTCGCCATGCATGTAATAACTGCTGCTGCCCCAACCAAAGAATGAAACAAAGCAACCATTTGAGGCAGATCTGTTACTTCCATTCTCTTTGAAATTATTACACCAATTGCCCCTCCTACTCCCATTGTTAAGGCCATTTGAGTTAATAACTCAGGAGATGGTTTCAGAATGCCTAAAGTTGCGGCAACACCGGATGTTACCCCAATTATACCTAAAGCATTACCCAAACGAGCTGTTTTTTGGGAGCTTAAGCCTGTCAAGGCTCCTACACAACATAGTGATGCAGCTAGGTAAGCCATCTGGTGAACATCAGGCAAATCTGTTAGGTAGACTGTTCCACCGTAGCCGGCTAAAAATACTGCTCCTGGGATGGCATACAAGTAGTTGTATTCTGGAGGATCTGTAGGTCTCTTGAACATGTCTAACATCCTTTGGGTCACAAGGAAACCACCTCCTATATTTATTGAGGATATAAAGGCGGCACTAGCAGCCATTGCCTGAGCGGTCGTTGACGGTACGAGGCCTGGATAAAAAAAATTGAACACATTGGAGGAAATCTAGTTCTATGTCACTGATCTCTTACCACCGCCCATTAGCCACAAACCACCCACTGCGGTTATTCCCGAAATCGCGTTCGTTACACTCATAAGAGGTGAATGGAGAGCGGGTGTAACTCCCCAAACCGTATGATAACCCACAATTCCGGAAAGACCAAAAGTTGTCATCATAGAGCTAAAAGCTGCGTTAGGTGCTACGTATCCAAGTGCTGTTTACAACCATGAAATTAATAGCAAACTATTTAACTCCCAGTTATTAAAAATTGTTTACCAAGAGCCGTGCTTAAGCCTCCGGTGTACATTAGCGCACTATTCATAGTATTTTTAAAGTAATTAATTGGTGCAATCTCTTTTTCAGCTTCAACGTGAACTTTGACAGCTTGAGGAGGTGACGGATCCTTTATAGCTGGTGGGGGCCAAGTCAATTCACCCTGAATTATAATAAAACTTTTATGACTTAAGACAATAAATTATATGACGAGAGACATCTACCTTATCTAAAACGATTGATCCTCTTACTACGTCATCTTTTATATCAATAAAATATCTGTCGTTCTCAGTCATTGAAAGTAATAATTTGCTGATATTATTACTGTATAGGGTTGATGAAGTTGATGGTAATCGAGAGGGCATATCTGTATAGCCAATATGAACGACATCCTTATAAGTGTATGTTTCACCAGGTCTAGTTGTTTCTATGTTGCCACCGGCTTCTGCTGCTAAATCAACGACAACAGAACCAGGTTTCATCGATTCAATCATTTCCTTTTAATAAAAAATATCATTGATAGTAATTGAAATATTTATCTCTCGGTGAATGTTGTATAAGAAACCTTTTTAATTAACTTCGGTGCAGGTTTACCAGGAATAAGAGCGGTTGTAATAATTATATCAACTTCTTTCGCCTGCTTAGCAAACAAAGCCATTTCAGCTTCGATAAACTCCTTTGACATTTCCTTTGCGTATCCTCCAGTGCCCTCACCTGATTCCTATATGAGACGGAAACTTATTTAAAGAGATTAATTTTATATTATTACTTCTTACTTTGAAATTGAGTTCTAAAAACTCTGCTCCCATTGACTGCACCTGTTCCCGAACAGCTTCACGAGTGTCAAAAGCTCTTACTACTGCGCCCATATTTTTTGCTGTTCCAATAGCAGCTAAACCTGCCACACCTCCTCCAATAACTAAGACTTTGGCTGGAGGAACTTTACCGGCTGCTGTTATTTGACCGGTGAAAAATCGACCAAATTCACCAGCTGCTTCAATAACTGCTTTGTAACTAAAAGTTGAAAAAAGTAATTGTAATGAATTTTACTATTTTGAAGAAGGCTATTATTAACCCTGCAATATTGGCCATGGATGATAATGCATCGAAAACTTGGGCCCTGGAAATTCTTGGAACGCAATCCATTCCAAATACTGTTAAGTTTTTTTTTGCTAGCTCTGATATTAACTCTTGATTTTGAGCTGGATAGAGAAATGAATAAAGTATTCCATTGTCGCGAAATAACGAAACCTCATTCGCTAACGGGGCTCGTACTTTTAGAGTTATGTCTGTTTGAAATGCCTCTTTTGCAGAAGTAATTTTGGCACCGGCTGAGGCGTAGTCGTCGTTGGAAAATTTGGCTTCAGCACCAGCATTCTCTTCAACGCTAACATTGAAACCTTTTTTGGTTAATGTAGCAACTGTGGCAGGGACAAGAGCTACACGACGTTCTTTGAGGAACGTTTCTTTTGGAACCCCGATTGTTAAGTTTGAAAAACTAGTTCCCTTCTCAACTTTACATTTTAGTCTTATGGTTGTATGAAATCCTCTTCTTAGCTTGCAGTATGGTCTGGCTGCACTCTAAATAATATTTGTTTTTTGTTATTTTTGTAAGGTTAAGCTAATTTTAGCTTACTTGTAATCGAAACATTTTAATTTTTTCTTATCGAGAACCTGCGAAAAAATGATCTAGTTAACTCATATCATAAGATTACTGTTTCGAGAAAAACACAATAAAATTTATTTATGCAATTTGAACTAAGCAGCGCCAAATACACCAACACGTATCTTTAGACACAGACTGGTCTAAGTGAAAATGATCTCACGTAGACAATATCATTGATAATTTTCATATGTTAGAATTCTGTTCAGAACATTCAGAATGCGTCTCATACTTTTAATTGTCAAACTAAGTCATTTGCATCCTCTGCAGTGCTATTATATGATCAACTTCAAACTTACAACTCAATAAACTTCCGGCAATCGTTGAAAGACGTCCATTCGCCACCATTTGCGCGAAGGAGTTCCTAGTTTTCTATCCAATCACGTCTCTCCTACCAATCTGCTTTGCATGTATAATGACAAAAACAAATTCGGTGATTGGTTCTTGTTGTTACCAAGAAATTTCGCAACGGAACATTCTATTAAAGGTATTTTCCAAACAAAAATAGGGGTGGACGACTTATAGAAAATAAATGTTTCAAGTTTTTCACATAAATAATTAAAATATAATGAAATAAATGTTAAAATACATGCTATAAAAAAAATTTTCGCCTATTTCTCGAATTTAAAATCCTAGTTAAGAGGAAAAATTTCTTTTTAAATGCCGACACCCAGATATTTCATGAGCCAAATATCTCAACCATTTGCGCTTGAAGCTTTCTACAGCATTTCGAACTAGGCGGATGGCGTCTTCAATTGGAAAATTTGCAGCTCGTTTAGCTAGATCGGCACCTAAGAATGCTCATGTTTATGCCTCAATCGGCTGCAATAGTTTGCAAAAGAGTCAATGTAAGTAGAAATACTCCAAATTCTTTTCCCTTTTCTTACCGGAGAGCGGCCCCGTATGCCACATACCAAATGTTTATTTACATACATAGATAATTTTATTACGATAAAAAAATAATGTAACTGTAAAATTCAAGTGCAAATGAATGCTATCGATTCAGTAAATCTTTGAAATATAACTTTTTATTTGCTTAATTGATATGTTTTTTATATATATGGTCGTTTTCTAGTTTCAACGGAGAGACGAATCAAGGTCAAAAATCCCGTTGTCGATTTAGATGGAGATGAAATGACAAGAATAATATGGGAGAAAATAAAAGAGCAATTAATTTTCCCTTACCTTGACGTAGACGTTAAATATTATGATTTAGGTCTACCATACAGAGATCAAACTAATGATCAGGTGAATATATAAATATAGAATCCATTAGGGAAAAAGGGCGGGGACTGCTATTTAAAAATATTTTTTTGAATTATTTTTGTACGAGCAAAGTTCTTTTATTGTTAACTTTTGAATTTTCAAGGTCACTATTGATGCTGCTCATGCTATACAAAAGTATAACGTTGGTATAAAGTGCGCTACAATTACCCCGGATGAGCAAAGAGTGGAAGAGTTTAAATTGAAGAAAATGTGGCTCTCTCCAAATGGTACCATCCGAAATATTCTTGGTGGAACCGTTTTCAGAGAGCCCATTATTTGCAAATCTATACCTCGACTTGTGCCTGGATGGACTTCGGCAATTACAATTGGGCGTCACGCATTTGGAGATCAATATAAGGCAACAGACTTAGTTATTACACAACCTGGAAAGTTTGAACTTGTCTTTACTCCGTCATCTGGAGGCAAAGAGGAGAGATACGAAGTATTCAACTTCAGAGATGGAGGTGGTGTTGGTATGGGAATGTACAACACTGACGAATCTATTAGAGGATTCGCCAACTCCTGTTTTCAGTATGCATTGAAGAAAAAATGGCCCCTCTACCTTTCAACTAAAAACACTATACTTAAACGCTACGATGGCCGTTTCAAAGACATATTTCAAGAAATCTTTGAAAAACAATACGAAAACGATTTCAATTCCGCAGGAATCTGGTATGAACATCGATTGATTGATGATATGGTAGCTCAAGCTTTGAAATCTCAAGGTGAATTCGTTTGGGCTTGCAAAAACTACGATGGCGATGTCCAAAGTGATATCGTTGCCCAAGGATATGGAAGTCTTGGTCTGATGACCTCTGTTCTCATGTGCCCGGATGGTAAGACCATTGAGAGCGAAGCTGCTCATGGAACTGTAACCAGACATTATAGAGAACACCAAAAAGGTAATCCGACTAGTACTAATCCTGTTGCCTCTATTTTTGCTTGGACAAGAGGCTTGGAGCACAGAGCAAATTTGGATAGTAATCCCGAATTAGCCAGATTCTGTCAGGCATTAGAAAAAGCATGTGTCGATACAATCGACAGTGGAAAAATGACGAAGGATCTTGCTGGGTGCATTTATGGAATTAAAAAGTAAGTAAAAGAAAATATTTCATTGTTTAGCAAGTAAATAAACTAATAATCTTTCTCTATTATTACAGCGTTAAACCGGATCAGTACTTGTACACTTTGGATTTTCTTGAAGCAATTAAAGAGACTCTATCTCAACAAAATTAGATTTAATTTATCAATCAAGTGTCTACAGTTTTTTAACAGCCGAATTTAAAAAGAAGGCGATTAGAAGAACTATTTTAACTTATTATTATTCTTTACGCCTTTAGCGTTATAGTGCACGTTTTTTTGAATTGTTCAACCAGATGAGAATATGGAAATAAAAATTGAAAATAGTGTCAAAAATTAACATAGATGTGTCTTTCTTACATATTATATTAGGAGCAATTAAACAACGAAAATAGAATAAATATAGAACATTTAACCTTTTCCTTCCACATTTACGTAATTTAGTATTTTATAACGTTTCTAATAATACTCGTTTTTTTAAGACTATCAGTCTAGTCTATATTTATCAATGTTCAAAGGTTCCTTTATAACAAAGTTCTTCGTACGCCCCTTTAAATCGTTTCATTTTCCTTTCACTCGTAATGAAAATGTACACCTCTAAAAGATTAAACGATGGTATTTCCTCCCTCTTATCGCAGACCCAAAAGTAGGAGCGTACTAACGTATAAGTCTACCGATAAACTTATAATATCTAATCAACTAGAACTTATAGATTTTTATTGAAAATATGTCAATACACAAATCCTCTAAATTCCACGTAAGAATTGTCTATTAATCGATAACATTTGTTATTATTTCGAATCAGTGGTCAAGGTAAAGTTAACATGCATACAATGAGGTATATAATTTAAATATTTGTTATAAATTGAAAGAGATAAGATAATGTGAATATTCGTTAGATGAAAAGAAAAGATACATTATTTTTAAACAATATCAAGAACAAAAGAAGATATTTACGCGCCTGCGCGTTAATGCTCTCCTTTTGCAGCTGACAACTTTCATTAAAATAATCGAAGAAGATCCAATACTTTTAGGCCGCTAACGTTTACTTCTATATTGAAAATAGAACGAGTTCCTTTATTCTAGGAAGCACGAATAGATTTGTAGGCCTATCCGATTCTTGCCACCTCATTACAAACATTAACAATATTTTCCACCTTGATAATGAGTTTTTAAATAATAATAACATTTTCCTTATGAATTGTTTAATGACGTTTTTGTTCGTATTTGCATACATTTTTTTTATGAATATTTCAAATTCTTTAGTATATTTACATGCAAAAATAGTTTTTTTTTTGGGAATGACGTTAACGCAAATTTTATTGTCTATGCCGCTAGATGGCGTAATAAGGGAGGCCCTCTTGGTAAATCGTTCAACCGTTTCGAAGGAAAATGGAACCAAGTAAAGTGCAGCCCTCTAAAAAAAGCTCAACTAGTAAATGGACGAATATACAAAGCTTCCTGATTTTGATGAGTTTGTTATTCTTCTCAACTGGATTTATTGAGTCTTATACGAAACGGGCGGTTATTGATCTGCAAAGGAGGTTCGCCTTCGATGATCGTTATTCATTTTTCTTGAATGGTCTATCTGACGTTGGCCTGGCATGTTGTGTGATTTTTGCAGGGTACTATGGTAATAATTTGCACCGGCCAAAAGTTATTGGAATAGGAGTTTGCATTACTATTGTTGGGCTACTTTGTTTCGTTCCACAAGTTCAATATGATAACTTTGATCCATCAAATATGACAGCTTTGCACGGGGATGCTGCGATTTGTACTGGGACTAGAAAATATTATTCGCAATGTGATATTGTAAAAAAGTTTGAACGAGGCAGTCGTTTCGTATCATTACTCAGTCTTGGACAATTTTTGATAGGATGCGGACAAACTCTTTGGACAATTCTTGGTTTAATGTATATAGATGACAACTGTGATAATTTAACTAAATCGACACATTTTATAGGTATTATACTATATACATATATTCTGTTTATAGGTTGAATATCAAATATGAAATCATAAAAATCCTGTAATGTCTACTTTTGCTTCAGGAATATTAATAAGTATGAAATTTTTTGGTCAATCTATTGGTGCTTTACTGGGCTTTGGTTTTGGTGAGATAAATGAAAATCTTAAAAGTGGACTTGATTGGATAGGTGCTTGGTGGCTTGGTTTTGCTATTATTACAGGGCTCTTATTTTTCACTGCCATTCCTATTTTTTGTTATCCTAGATTTATAATAAAGAGAGCATGGATTTGGTCTGGGTATAGGCGTGTACCACAAAAGACAACGACCGCAAAAAGGAAGCCAAAGTCTAAAGCAAATGCCAGAGGTACTAAGAAGAATACAACTTTGAAAAGACCTGACAAAGAAGAATCCAATGTTGAGGAAAAGGAAGTTGAGACAACGTCTGAGACTAAAACTGAAAATTCGCAACCAGAAACAATTCAATCCTCTTCCAATAAAGATGAAGCAACTGTTATTGTTATAAATGTTGAAAATGGTAATATTTTTGAAAGAAATGCGTTCGAAACCCTTGAGAGAGATAGGACTAAGGTTGAACTAGCAGAAGAGGACGCATCTGAAAAAGATGAAGAAGAACCTGCAAAAACAGAAGAAACTAGTCTGTATAATAAAAAAAAAGTTAATGAAACTCATATTGAATCTCAAATTGACCAAACCGAGTCAATAAGCAAAGTGCAATACAACGGATATGTAAATGAAGGATTTGCTCTTGAGTCCTCACGTCAGGAGTTAGAGAGTAATAACATAACAGACAACACAATTCCAATAACAATCGAGGAAGTAGATGAAAGTAATAAAGAAGAAACCGATGATAAGAACGATAAAATAAAAAAAGCTGAACCTAAGAAAACGAAACGAAGGAGGAGATTCAAAAAATATAAATTAAGGGGTAAGACACCAAAAAAAAGAGAGTTTTCTTTAAAACATTTCAAACGTTTAAGCTCAAATTAAATATTAAAACAGATATATTTGATTATTTATTAAAATTATTGAAAAACCCTTATTGGATATTAATTATTGTTGGAACAATAATATCTGCCTTTACTCATTTGGCCTATTTTAGTAATTTACCTCATTATTTAATTGCTGTTTTTATGATGGAAATTAGACTAGCATTTCTGCTATCAGGTTTGATTATTTATTAAAGTTTTAATTTTAACTATATAGTATTGTGTAAATGATTTCAATAGGTCTTGTTTTTGGTGTTGGAACTGGACTTGGAATAATCTTTGGATTATTTCTAACTACAAAATATCTTAAAACTGCAAGAAGATTTACAATTTATATAATCTCTATATCTTTGACGATAACCTGTATAGCAATAGTGTTATTGGCTTTTAGATGTAATTCTCCAGAAGTTAAATTCTACGCGGATAGAGGGTAATGAAATTTAACTTGAAATTCTATTCATTTATTAATTAATATGGTAATTCAAAAAAAGTATTCCGTGTTACTGCGAAGAAGTTGAATTCGAAAGAATATGTACGTCAAATGGAACATACTTTTCAGCTTGTCATGCAGGATGTAAAGAAATAACGAATGATGGCGTAAGTGTGCCTAACTGTAATATAGAATATCCAATGCACATATAAACAGTAAAGATCTTTATTATACTCATTTTTTCTCTTTCTTAGAATTATGCAAATTGTTCCTCGAGCATTTCTGACAAGATTTTGGAAGCTGATAAATGCTCTAAGGAGTGTAAGAATGTCGGAGGCTTTCTTTTCGTTGCCTTTATTTTGGCTATGGCTTGCGGATCTGGTTACATACCGGTTTTGAGCCTTATTCTAAGGTTATTCATTATTTCTCATATAAAAACCCTTGACCAATATCTGTTTTTTTTAAATATAGAACTGTAGAGAGGAAACAAAAGTCCTTATCCTTTTCTTGTGTAGTATTTGCAGCAACAATTCTGGGCTCCATTCCCGGTCAGGCATCTTATAGAGAAATCATTATTTCAAATTGCAATCAGAAGTATCTAGATTGTCGTGACAATGACTTATGTATATCATACAATACTGGTAAAATAGTGACAATCTCTAACTTATTAGCTGGTGGTTTACAGTCAGTATCCGGTATTTTTTTTGTTGGTCTTTTATTACTACTACGCTATAAAAAAAAGAAGAAAAGTAGAGAAGAAGCCAAAGCATCTAATTAAGACAGATATAATAAATACTCAAGACACAAAATAACTGGAATAGTTAGAGAATAAAGTTGAATTAAATTAATTGAAAATTCATTTGATTAATGAATATTTACCTAAAATCTTTACAAATCTGTAATGCTTTATCTAAGAAACGCCAAAAATGTTGTTCTATTTGTTTTGTAGGTGGATATTAGATTCTTGAATATTTTTTATTAATAATTCAATAAATACAAATATTTGATATCTTCTGTAACAACCTTCCTAGATTAAGCTACCACTACCAATAATGATAATACTAGTATTGCAAATAAAGCGGATGAGAAGGGGATTTAAGAAGATTTTTTGCCATTTATAAAATACTAATAACCATTACTTTCTGTTAGAGCTCGTTAAAGTACTACTTTAGAGAAATATTATAAATGAATATAACGAAAAGAAGGAAGATAAAATAACAATACGTTGTTTCATTGCCCGTTTCGAATAATTACTTTTTCTAGAAAGGTAACGTAATAAACTACACAAGTTTATTGAATATAAAATTGAATTATTATCGAATATATAAGGGAATTCAACTTGTATTATTTTATTATGGTAGACACTAGAAGCAATTTTGATTTGGAAATATTACTTTTAATTGATTATTTATAATAAAAAAAAAGGCATGTTAGGCAAATATGTATTGAAAGAATAGAAATATTAACTTAATTACAATATATTTGATATTTATTATATATGCGCAAGATGGCATTTGTTACTCCTGTTTATTATCATTCTCTAAAATGAATGTAGATACGGTATAAGAGAGTTTTATTAACAACGCAATGAAACATACAAGATAGATAGATAGATAATATAATTATTATACAAATAATAATAAAAAATAACGTACAAAAGAATTATTAATAAAAAAGTAAATAGAACTTTTTTATAATTCAATTTTCTTTGTTTTTCTCTTTTCCGTTCATTGTTTATCTTCCCTTTCCTTTCCTTTTTAATTTTGCTTTAATAAGTATTATGCAATAAAGAATTAAAGAGTAGAACTTTTCACCAACTTGTTAACTGGTTAAAACATTTTATTTCAAGTATATTTACGACTTAATGATGTTCTGCTTATTTCATTATTTTATTGGCATTATGAGTATTTTTCGGATTAAAAAAAAATAAATATTAAATATTAAATATTGGCCTATGTTAAGTTTTTCTATTCAATCAAAATGACTATATAAGCACGGTAAAGGGGAGAGAGAACAACAAAATCGTTTAATCCTATCATTCAATAGCGTTTATTGTCGCTCATATTTCAGTACTTACAGTTGTAGTGTTTATTTTCCGGAGGAATTTCTTAAGGAGAAGTAATGTCGGCTAGTCGTTCTGTAATTAACTTGGAACTGTATGGAGAGAATAGGAGTCATATTCGATTTAAAGAATGTTCTATAAATGATAAAATTAGATCACCTTCAACGAAAGATAATCGAATGAATTTACCTCGATCTTTTACCAACGTCTTCCTCCGAGAATACGAACTTTCTCCCAGAAATAGGTAAAGAACTAATAAATCTTTAATTTTCTTTTATTAAATTTATATTAGAATACAAATATTTACCATTTAACATTCCTTTAACCGTCTTTCTTATAAACTAATATATTCTATTACATCTTCTTAGGCCACATATAAGATATAATCGAACAAAAAGAATCTATAGCCGTCCTCAAAGTTCATTAGATATTATGCTAAACGAATCATGGGATGTGGAACAACTCAAGCACGATCATCAACAGCAAGAGTTACTCTCAAGGATTTATCATATAGAAAGCCTACACCGAAACGAATTGAAAGCTTGCTATTAACAAATAAAAAAGGATGAAAAAAACAACAAAGCAGATAAATATTAATATATTCATATTTTCTGTAATTAGACCTTATTTTAACCCATTTAAAATGTCAATAAAGCAATAATATTCGTCTTTTCTAACAAGTTTTCTTTCAAAATATTTATTTTATTGTTTACGTTGTTTTTTGCGCATTTCCTTTTTATTTAGGGAAGGATTTTTGTAATCCTAGTAGTAATTTTCTTTTTTTTTTCAATCTTAGTCATTGAATTACAATCATTTTGAATAACAAATAACAAGTCAAATCTACGTTATTAGCCTTTTGAGAACTTTATTTTATTATAATTTTTATTCTTTTTGATATTATTAAACATGTTTATTTTGAATGTTATTCATAAGATTTTTGCTTATATTGTTTTATATTTTATAAATAAATAAAATAGTTTTTTTCATTTAAAAGATTAGCTTTTAGGCGGTGAGTTGAAAATGGTTGGTTTTTTATAAGTTTACCGTTATACTTAGTTTAGAATTTCCCTTTCGAATAATTTTTACTATTTTATCTTTTCTTTAGATTAGTCTGTGTACAAGTTGAATTAAAATATGAAAGCTTAAGGCTAGATTATTTAATCTTGTTTACTTTTTCAACAAAAATACTTTGAAATGTAGATGTCGCTACCTCATTTCCGGATATCCGGTTGACCGGTTGATAAGTTTACATTTAAGATCCTCAAATTTTTACTATTAAGCAGATTTCTCGCCTATAATAGTTTATTTCTCATTATCCTTTTGTAAATGGCAGAAGATAAACGGGGAAATAGATTTAAAGAAGGTATTTTAAGTCTCTTTATTGTCGTAAAATGTTAATTTCTTCAATGAATCGATTTCCAAATAGGAGAAAATGTGTACGTTCTCAGTTCTGGTCTTGTGTATGATGCAAAAATACTCGAAATTATCGGAGACTCATACAGGGTTCACTATAATGGATGGAATTCTAAATGGGATGAAACTGTTAAAAAGCAGAATGTAATGCCCATAAACGACGAAACACACCGTATGAAAATTGATTCTGATGCCAAACGAGTTCAGCAGAGAGCGTCCAAACTATCTATCGAGAAGAAAAAATACGAAAAAAAGAGAAATCCTATGGGTGAATCAAAAAGAGGAAGAAAGCGAAAAAAACATGGCATTAAAAGAGAGACAATAAAAAACTCATTCGAAAATCTCAGTACTTCTCTGCACACTAACAGTTGTAATGGGCAAAAAGCTGAAAAAATAAACAAATCATTCGAAATTATAAAAACAGCTCCAGGTGAAAAGGGCGTAATCAAAAATTATTCTGCAAGCCAAATGTCTACTTCTCCCCTTACAGAGCAAAAACCGCACTTGAAAAAATCTGAAAAAAAGGAATCAACCGAGTCACTACCATCAGCTAAAAGCCAGCCACACACTAAAGAACATACACCAATAGTGAATGCCCCAGAAAGGAAAATGGACGTAAATCCTCACTCCGAAAAAGAAATGGAGGTTGAAGAGTCGAATTCTTATTATAAGGAAGCTTTAAAACGTTGGGTATGTTCTGTTAAAAAAATCTGTTATAATAATTCAATTATTGAGTTTTGTATTTTAAAATTTAGACGGAGAGAAGGAAAGAAGCAGAGACGGGGAGATTATCTGAGAATCCTGTTGATATTAGAATACTTACCAAGTAAAACAAGTAATTAACTAATTTATATTTTCTTCCACAGGCTATTAAAGCCAAAGCCATGAGATTATATCCTATAAATATTCCCGATCAACTTTTCAATTATACTACGTCGACTTATCGTGAAATTAGGAAAGATCATAAAGTGAGAATTGCGTTTAGTTATGTAACGAAAATAAAGAAGTAAAACAATTAATATTTTAAATCATTTACAGGTGTTTAACTTTCCTTTATCGCACACCATTAGCGAAATATTTACAGACTATTTAACTCAATCTGAATTATATACCAAAAATGAAAGGTTGCAAAATGGATTAAGGAAACAGGTTTCTATATGCCAATGTCTTTTTAATGTTATTCTGGGGAAAGAATTGTTAACCGTTGTTGAAAGGCCCCAGTACGCCAGACTTTTAAAAGAAAATCCAGGAATACCCCTAACTGATATATTTGGTGCTCCTCACCTTGTCAGACTTTTATTCTATATCAATAGGACTTTTTCATTAATTGGTGAAGTTAACTCAAAAAGAGAAGGATTTTATTTATTATTAACTGATCTCGGAAATTTCTTAACAAGAAACTACGAAAAGTACCTTGAATCAAACAGGTTGGTCGATGTGAGACCGGAAGAGGTGTCATCCTTTGGCATTGCTCTACCATCGGACAGTGATGAAGAATAATTTTTAAAGTTAATTTAATTTTTGTTAATGTAATTGTTTTTGATCCCTTCGAATAAATATAATTCGGGTTGTAAGCCAGCGACATCTATCGTTGTCGGCGCGCACCATAGCGACAGATTGTTTACACATCCGACATAAACGATGGCAACGAAGAACATTAGCGAATATCAGGAAGAGTTCTGTGGTTTAGGTGGAGGAACCACTGGCAAAGGCTCTGGAGGTGAAAAAGGGGGGCCAACTGTATTTCCTGTGTGCCGCAAGTCCTATGATATTCAGCCAGTCGGAGGTAGAATGCAGAAGAAGTATAGAGATGCATTGCTAACAAAAATTGCATCTCCAAATGCTGCGGATCTCTCTCCCAACGCGACCTCGTATCAGATGGATATCGATCCCAATATTGGAACCTCCAGAGGAAGGAACACTTTTCCCATGCCAAATTGCAGCGGATCCATGGCAGTACCTGACGTACATAAATTACGCTACATGCACAACGACTACATGACAAGAGATGACTGGTATGACCATGGCACTGTCGCGGAACAGAACAAGCAGAATCTACAACAATCAGGCGAATCGCAGAACATGACACAAGAGGCCACAGCTAATGCCGTTGAAGAGCCCGCTCAACCGGTTGCAGCCAATTAGACAAATAATATTTTTATTTGAAATGGTAAAAAATACAATAATTTAGATCTTAACAATTTTGAGAGTGTCTACCTCTAGTCTCTTCAAGAAGGGATGATCGTAACTCGTCATCTACTTGTTGACTAGATTTTGGTTCCAATTGTTTTACTAACTGAAATTTAGAAAGATTTAAATCTTTAAAGGCCTGAAGTAGGAAGATTCCACTTATCACACAACCAAATCCGCAAATCACCCCAACGATATCCATGACAGTCATAAAATTCCATTCTTTAAACAATATAGCAGAGGCTATAATAACAAACGTTGTAAATACAACATAGAGCATAGGTGTAACGACTGATGTGTTAAAAATGTCCAGCGCTTTATTAAGATAGTTCATTTGAATGGATATGCAGAATATGACAGCAATTAAAATTATCCAAGTATAACGATTCGTTAGTTCATTATGGCCATTAAATGTAGACTTCAAAGCCACTCCCAAGCCTTTACATGCCATAACAGATAAAGAACCAATAGATCCGGTAATTAAGACATATACCATAGCATTTGTCTGACCAAATCTTGGTCCGACGAAAAATATTAGCCAAAGGTTTGCGAGAGTGATGATAACTATATAAATAATGAATCCAGCATCCTTTAATCTATTAGCCATTTCGTTCATATCTTTAATTTCACCTTCTTTGGGAGCGTGAAGAACTATCACGGTTGATCCGAGTAAACAAACTACGCATCCAATTTTTCCCAATAAATTTAAATATTCACTTAACAAATACGAGGCTAAGACAGCGCTGAATCAGCAAATTTCATTGAAAAGATGAATGCAAGAAGTTGTGTTTTAATGGATGAAAATAGTTACCTAACTAAAACGCTTAAAGCTCCCAAAGGAGTCACTAAAGTTGCAGGAGCGAAGGCGTAAGCAGTAAAATTGCAAATTTCCCCAACAGCCACTTAAGAATATATAAGAAAAAGTTAGATTTAGCCATTCTGCTTTGCACTTTAGTTTACTAAACTATTAAATTCTTACTCAATATCATTCCAACCCACCAAAGCCATTCTCTCAAATAGCCGAATCCTCCTTGACCTGCCCGAACGGATTGACTTTGTGCGGCTAATTTGAGTAGACCTTTTTTTTTCAATATGAAAGAACTTCCTATAAATGCTGAGGATAATATTGCTAGGGATAGCCCTATATAAAAGTCTGTTGATTGTGATATTGATGGCATTGAAGTGGTGAAATTCTTAATTGTTTGTCTTATCTCCTATAAATATAGAACAATGTAAAATTTGCTTATAAATAACTTATATATTATTTCGAGCAAGCCAATAATTATTTTTATTAACCATAAACATGCAGATTTAAAAATAAAGTTTATATTAGTGGTCAAAGCAAAATTTTATACCGGCATTCGGATGAGGTAAAAGCTACACTGGGAAATTCAATCATAAATCATAGATAAAAAATAAATATTAAATTAATTGAGATTATTTGGATGATCAACTATACTCACAGCAAAACCTTAATCATAAACTTGGGACATGTCACATAGAGAACACAACAGGAAGTTGATGAATCTTTAAAAAATATTATTCGTATTTAGCATAGTCCATGATTTCCCGCCAAATTATCAACTTTTTAAAAGTTTTTATATAAATTTATTCACACTATCGTATTAACTTTATATGTGAATTTTACATGTGTAGCTCTTTAACAGTCATTAGTGTGGGATATCGTCTGCTTTTCCCAACGCTTTTTGAAGCCGAAACAGAGATTAGGCTACTCTTTTTTTGATTACTAAAATTTGCTTTTTCCGACGTTCTTTTGGGAATTTCTGGCGCTATTAGTTCGCTGCCATTATTACCAAAATATAATGAATTGCACCAATAACAAAAGTAGGAAACAAGGAAAAAAACTAAAATCAAAATAGTAAACACCAAAAGGACAATATGAACGTAGTCTAACAAAGATGATGATGAGCTAGTTGTATGTAGTTTGTAATTCTCGTTATAATCATTTTCGAATTCTCTTCCATCTTCGTATATATGTTTACCATTGCTGTATAATTGAATATTTTAGAAACAGTTAGTCTAGATGTAAATTTTCCTTTGTCGACTCAAAATAGAAAAGATAATTACCATAAATTATTCGTTTTGTGAATGAAAGAGTCCTTATCTTCTGGTAATGAAATGTTTTCACATTTATCATACCTAATTTCATCTTCGATATTATCAAAAAGTAATCTGTCTCTTAGGTAACATGTAAACAAAATCGATTGATTAAAACATTGCCTTGTAAATTGTAAATATAGTTTTGTTTTTGACAAGTTATCTAATAAACTTTCGTTAGGCCTATCTTTAAAATAAATAGGCGAATTATTATAATTAATAGTTAATTCTTTAACGGATGAAAATGATTTAATAAACAGGAAGTTAAAATCGCTAAAATATTTATAATTATTAAAACAATTGCCAATAACTTGAATTTTTAACACATTAACACTTTCAATAAATGATGGTTCGTTTCTAGATTGAGGACACATTTGAAGGTAATCTAACTTTCGATTACATCTATCAATAACTAGAGTAATATTATGTACTTCTTGAATTTTAATATTACAGAGTAAATGTCGACTTTGATTGAATAAAATCGATTTAATTGATGAAATATTTGCAAATGACTCATTATTTTTATCATAAATAGATATTAAAGGTTGACATTTATGAAAAGTAAAAGAATCTATTAATTCAACATTTTCTATATTTATATTAATGAGAAATATTTCTGGGGCATCTATATTCTTTAAACAGTTCACTATAAAATGCCTGTTGATACAACATACCCTTATCAATTATTAGTCATAAAAAAAGCAACTAGTTAAGATAACCTCATTTTCATATTGATAATTATGTCTGTTCTATTAGGTTTGTGATCAGTAGAATTTTTATTATCACAATGCATTATTAAAGATTTCGACGAATTATCAAATTTCGTATCACAAAAATGACTAATAAGATTTAAACTATTTTCCGATATAACAATGTTGAATATATTAAACATTGTAATTAATGTAAAGAGCATTTTTTGTCTCTTATTCTTTATTTATTCTAGATTATTAAAAGATTAAAAACAATTATGATGCTATGAGTCATTTGAATTTTAACAATTAAAACATTCTCAACTAGTAATATTCAAATGATTACATTTCAATGAAAATATCAACAATTAAACATTATATAGCCATGGAACGCTATGGTAAATTTTGGAGAAGAGAGGAGAGAGAGAGAGAGTGGAGGGGGGGGGGGGGGGATTGCAAATTATCAAGTTTCCCTTATATCTTTTGGAGAATAGCCTAATTTTAATAAATAGTTATCAGCCTCCATTTCATTAGCATCTTTGCCACAAGGCCTATTGAATATTTGTCCATTTTCTCTTATCCATTTATTAGCCACTGCATAATAAATATACAAAGCAAGATATACTATAATATATTATAAACTTTACAAGGACAATATATTTACCCCATTTGTTGCCTAAAAGAACAGGGCATCCTGCGTGTTCTGTCTTCATATCCATACTGCCATCCTTTTCAAAGTTATACCAGAATGCTGCTGCGTTCTGTATAGTTCATTTAACAGACTTTTTGGAGTATAAACTTTAAATTTCAAGTATTGTTACCTTTACTGGCGGAAGTCTGACTCCTAAATGTGGAAAGACTGTTGCCCCTCCTGCTTCAACATCGCTGAGATAGAACATCCAGGTACAAATTCGATCTCCAGTTCCTTGAATAAAACTCGGAACAGTTTTCAAAGACTCCCTGTGCTGTATTTATATTAAGGCGCCATTTTTTATAATTGATCTTGATGTATTTAAAATACTCACATCGTAGAAATCAGTATGTGGCTCATACTGTCCCCCAATACCATAATTTACCACTTGAAAAGGTTCAGAATCTGATCCTTCTAATCTAAATGTTGTACTCAATCCTGTAGCTCTGCTAACTCTTTCACCAAGTAAAGCAACAGTTTTATTATCTGAAATGTCCCACAGCCATCCAACTTTTCCAACTCGATTATTACTTAATTCTGGATTTGTAGCCTCACCGACCAATGCCCTCGAGAGCTACAAAAATAAACAAGTTGGTTCGTATATTTTGCAATTTCAGAATTAACGCTGGCGTTACTAACTATGGGAGTGGCAAGATCTTTAAGTATTTCAATTTCTTTATCAGAAATAACATCATAAATGATAGAAACGAAGGGTTTATAGTTGAAAATTTCTTGTTTGAAATATTCAAACGGTACGTGACGACTCCTCACGTACCTACACCTGAGCGCCTTTGAAGTCTTTCGCATAGCCTATTGATCGTTAAAGAAAGGTTATGGAAAGATCGTTTTTTTTAAATTATTTATATCGATGAAATTCAAGAGTACAAACGGCTTTATCTCCTCGGCAAAGTGCTTCATACTTTGCCAAACTTTCTGACATATGTTTAGGCCATGAATACTCATCGTACGACTCAGAATACCCCTGTGCCTGTAAATCAATGTGATATTCCCGTTGTACTTCGTAATAAGTTTTAAGATTTTCTCTGTGCTCATCATTTTGAACTATAGAATAAAGTAATATTCATAAAGTAGCAATGATAGATTAATCATTTAACTCTATACCTGTATCTATTCCGAAAGAAAGTGTATCAACGGCTTTTTGATAATTGCCAATCTATTGAATGAAGAATATAAATAATGATAATTAAGTTGATAATTTGTATAAATTAATTACAGAAATATATAGATCGGCTATAACTCTAATTAAATATGAAAATTCAAAGTATTCATTCTCTTGAAACTTTTCCAAACTTTTATTTAGCCATTGAAGAGCTATACCGAAATCGCCACTTTTCTTCGCCGCCATTCCGATAACATAGCAATCATAATAATCAATTTCTTGAGATGGTTTCCTAAAAATCAGTTAAAAATTATAATAAAATATAGAATAACAAACAATTTATAGTCTGTACCCAAGAACGTAACCGTCCACTAGATCTTTAGTAAGTAGCCTATAAGTTCTTTGTAGTCTAACTATAGCATTGGCAGCTCCATCAATATCACTCTCATCTGGCAGACTTATCCTGACATCTGATTAAAAAGAAAATACAATTCGATCAAGTAAAGTAAAATCCTTAGAACAAGAATATTACCCTCATTTTTTAAATTGGCTTCTCGGAAAATAGCGCCCCATCCCAAAGCTAATCTCTTAATTAAGCTATAAGCGTTCAACGGATGACCAATATAAGTTTCAGCACTAGTTTTCTCATCTAATAGACTTTTTATGGGATTCAAGTGGACAGATTTCAAGAATCTTAAAAGAGATAGAAGAATATTGAACAACTAAAGAATATAGATTTAAACTAATACAAACGATCGAATTTTATCGAGTCTTTCATTTTCCGATTTGATGATACTATTGGCTGAGTCGAGGAGAGTGTTCTCGCTTTCAAGAACACTTCGTAAATTACTTATTGATGTGTAGATATCTGATGAATCAACCGATACAATAGTTAATAAATAAATTAACAATAATTTCATTTCTCCTATTTTAATGACGTTTTCAGTAGTTTGTTTAGTAAGGCCAGATAGTATCAGAAAGAATAGAATCTTGTATTGTTGAATCTACGGATCAATGACTTTCATATTACCCTCATATATAAATTCGTATTGAAATCCCTTCTATTTTCACATATTAAATATAATTATAGTGTATTAATGAAAGAAGAAAGCAAGCAAACAAGCATAAAACAATGAATTATTTAAAAGAAACTAGACGACAGTATTTAAATTTTTCTTAATGAACGTGTTTTCAGTAGATTGTTGACGTGAGTCTGAGAATTGCGGAAAGCTGCTATCCAGTATAAAGTAAATGATACGCTTAAAACAAATCTACTCGGTGTCATTGTTGGATGAAACCTTTAATTAATTAAGAAGCTTTAAATTGTCGCAATGTTAATTATTATATTATTTATCACTTCTTAATTAATTTACCAGAATATTAATGACATTGGAATTAGGCCTACATGCCTGTGTCTTCTAGTAAATTCATTTGCAGTATTTTGCGGGATTCTCCGCCTACTAGTACGCCAAACAACATTATATTGCGGTATACCGAATATTTCAAGATTATTCCAAGATATATTTTGAAAAATTATCATTATCCAACAAATAATATGTACTAGACGAAAAATTAGGATCTTATCAGTTTTCCATAAGAAAAAACTTGATATAGGACTCCAATAAGTCATTAAACTATTTAACGATATTGATGTTAAAATTAAATAAAATGGTCGAATCTCAGCTAAAGCACCAAATTTACGTGCCCATTGAATTAAGTTTGATTCAACAAATAATGAATGAACAACTACAAATTGAATAATTAATAAAAGATTAAGGAACGATCCACCACCATTCGTAACATTTTTTGGCGGATCAATTGAACAGAAGTAAGCAAATCTAATTAAAGTACAAACTGTTGTAATAATACCAACAGTTATTAAGAATATATCGAAATATTTTCTTA